AATTGGCACTTTCACTTTTTTTTTCCTTTTGCTTTTTTTTTTTATTTTTACTTCTTTTTAATCAATGACTCTTTTGAACATTGTAAGTTACCATTATACTTATTTTATTGATCTATATTATATATTTAAAAGTCACTCTTTACATATTATACTCACTCATACTTACTATACTTACTCTTTCTTCTTCCTCTACTCTTTCATATTATGAACTAATCTATTTTTGTTTTATTTTTTTTTTTTTTTACTCTTTTATAAAGATATAGTAGATAGATATATGAATAAAATATACAATAGGATTAATTGGAATATAACAAGTTTTCTATTGGGCAAAAGAATACCAAGTTAGGGGGAAAAGTATCTCTCGTATCCAACTCTTTATCATAGAAATTAGTTTATTGAATAGTTTAGTCTTTTAGTTATAGTGTTTTATATTATATTTTCATTTAAATAAAATCATATTTTATTATCATTTGTTTATTATATTGTCATTTCACTATTACTTATCTATTTGTCTCGATCATCATCATTATCAAAAGGAGTAATAAGAAAGAATGATATATTATTATTGTATTTTCACTAAATAATAATAATAATAAAAAAAACTATTGTAGAAACAAGATTCATATACACATCAGTATCTACTATTTCATTTCATACGTTACGTTCATCATTTTAAGCATATATATTCTCTTATTATCAACCATCATCACCACTCATGATAATAGCAAGCTGTACCTGTATACTGTTAATTGTACGTCTTCTCTCTTACGAAATAACGATGTCATTGATGACATCGTAGGATAGACCATGTACTTTATCACATAATACACTCAAAGAAACATTTTTATTAAATCATCACAGCAATAGATAGTAGCAATAGGTACATACACAAAACATCATAGCAGGATAATTTAAATAATCAAACATTTTATTTAAATAAAAGAGTATTTTTACAGAAGAAAAGAAAGGGAATAAAGAAAAAAAGTAACTAAATACCAACAATATAAAGAATATATACAATACTGGTGATAATAATGACAATGATAATAATAACAATAATAATACTAATGGAGACAGAGATGCCAATCAAGTAGAAAAACAGAATGAGACCATCAAACATGGAAGAGACCAATCAAATAAGAAGAAACAAAAAAAAAGATAAGGGACTAACCACTTAGTAAAGGATTCTGGAAGAAATACCATGACAACGAGAGACAGATGAAGGAAACGGAAAGAGAAAGACCAACCAAGTAAAAAAAGAGACTAAGAGACCACACGAACATGAGAGAGAACAGCAAAAGAGAGAGAGAAAGAGAGAGAGAGAGACACCATACCATTAGAAAAAATAATCAACCAAGTAGGAAGAAAAAAAAAAGACCTTCAAAAGTACCTGTACATACAAGTTGACCTGCCTTTGCTGTTCAGTCCAGAGTCCAACAGTAAATAAGATAAAAAAAAAAGTAAAACGATTAGTTCCTTAATCTATGTCTTACCATCATAATTGTCATTCCATCCAGCTCCAAACCATTAGAAGAGCCATAACCAGCTAAAGCTAGAGAGAAAAAAAAAAAAAAAAAAAAAGGAAAGAAAGATGAGAGAAATGAGATAGATAAAATAAGAAAGGAAAAAGAAAAGAAATGAAAACTCAGTTAGATAAAATAAGAAATGAAATTATGAGTTGGCTGAATTAAAGTATCTCTCAAAGCAATCACGTATCTTTTCTTTTCTTTCTTTTCAATAAAGAAGATTTAGACTATATAGACAATAATATCTAAAAGATCAATAAAATAAAAGAAGAAATATATTAGTATCATTTCCTTTTTTCATCTATTATTTTTTTTAGACTTATCATTTTGCACCATTGACCGTTTTATATCACCGTTTTGTTTGACTAAAGGTTAATATAAAGTAATGATGATCATTCGAGATTTGATCGCATAAACAACAGTCATTGTATCTACAGATAAAATCGACCAAAAAACAATACTCCATCACTGTTATTCTTATATATATATATATATATCCATTGTTACCTTGCGTATATCATCTGACAGCGATACCGTATCAATCCCCATACAATAAAAGGAAGGATCTGAAAAAAAAAAAAAGAGAAAGAAGCAAGTGATTGTATGTAATATTGATTGATCATCTTTTTCTTTCCTGACAACTTACTAATTTGATTGTATAGGCGACAATCATAGTATCTACGAATAAAAATAAACCAAATGAATAGCAATCCGTTACTTTTTTTATTTTATACATGTTACCTTGTCAACAACAATGGATGTTTTGTATCATATCATAATTGAATGTCATCATCATCATGAGTTCGAAGAGGAAGAAGGGTTGCCACTAGCAGTACATCTGACATTTTAAGACCATCAAGGAAGGTAGCTTGTTCCGGTTTTAATAGATACGCTCCACTGACCAGTTATGATATTATCCCCTAATTCTTTCCAAACCATACCGCAATTGGCAGGACTTCCAAGGACTCCAGCATGAAACAACACGACCTACAGGCGATATACTGTATTCCCTGCATGTTGCCTTCTAGTCTCCACCTACTTGAGCACTAGATCCAGCCTCTAGATTCATAAATGATCCTAGACACCAGTCATCCTCGACCAAGTCCAATGCCTGTCAGATAAACAAAGGCCATCACGCCATGATCTTGAGTATCACCAAAAGCTAAGTATAAAGTGATGATGACCATTCGACGTTTGATTGTATAGACGACAATCATGATACCTACAAATTAAAAAAAAAACCAAATGAGTAGCAATCTGGTACTCTTTTTTTTCTTTTATACATGTTACCTTGTCAACAACAATGAATGTCTTGCATCATCTTGATTGTATAGGCGACAATTATGGCATCTAAAAATAGAATCAATAAAACGAGTACTAGTTCATCACCGTTATTCTCTCTTTTTTTAATGTATGGATTACCTTAGTTACATGATTCACAAGTGTTGATGTATCAACCATAAAGGTCAAACCAATGGAAGAACCAAGGACAATTTACAAATAGTATAGGCGAAACCGAAGCTATTGATTTTTGTTGAAAGGAATGGAGAGTACCACAAGACGAAGGGATAATAGTCCAAGGTCATGGGAGAAAACAATAAGTGGAAGACATCATACCAAGTGGGAGGGACAAAAAAAAAAGAAAGACAAGGACCAACCAAGTAGAAAAGAGATTTCGAAGGAAACACCATGACAATGAGAGACAAGCGAGAGAAATGGAAAGAGGGAGAGAGAGACCAACCAAGTAAAAAAGAGAAGAAGAGACCACACAAACTCGAGAGATAACAACAAGAGAGTGAGAGACACACTATACCATTAGAGTAATGATCTTGAAGAAACCAACATCATAGGAGAGAATAACCAACCAAGTAGGAAGAAATGAAAAAAGATCTTCAAAAGTACCTGTAACACAAGTTGACTTGCATTTGGTGCTCCGTCCAGAGTCTAATGGTAAAAAAGATAAAAAAAAAAATAAAACGATTAGCTCCTTAATCTATGTCTTACCTTCATAATTGTCATTCCAACCAGTTCCAAACCATTAGAAGAGTCATAACCAGGTAAAGCTAGAGAGAAAAAAAAAAAAAAAAGAAGGAAAGAAAGACGAGAGAAGGAAGGAAAAAGAAAAGAAAAGATACGTGATTGCTTTGAAAGATACCTCAATTCAGCCAACTCATAAACTCATTTCAATAAAGAAGATTTGACATTTATTATTTTTTTTAGACTTATCTTTTTACACCATTGTCTTGTTTTGTATCATCGTTTCGTTTGACCAAAACCGAGAAGAAAAGAGATCTTGACAATTGGAAAAACCAGAAGAGTCATGAATTAACATAAAACAAGTAAGTAATTATATTTTATACTGTCTTTTTGTTATTTTATTTTATTTTATTTATTTTCTAAATTGACAATTGTAGAATAAGACGCCATTACTGTCATTGTATTTTATATGTTACCTGTCATTATTCCAATATGGAGACGCGAACAAAGTGCGGAGAGTGAATAAAAAAAGTGTGGAGAAATGGAAAGAGAAAGAAAGAAAAGAAAAATGTGGGGAAACGAAATAAATAATAAAAAAAAAAGAAAGCAAAAGTCCGAATAGATAAAAGTGATGTACCAAAAGTAGCAAACTAAAGAGAAAGAATATATTGTAATGTGATAATGAATGTACAATTAAAAAAGTAGATTAGTTTTTTGACATTGAAAGGAAAATGTCAAAAACTAATCTACTTTTCCTTTCACTGTTGATAATACATTTAGATCGAGTCGAATACAATATATAGCAAAAAAGGGAAAAAAACGACAAAATATATGAAAAAGAGAATTAATATGATTCCATATTGTTTCTTGTTTTTCATATTATTGTTCGAAAGTCTTTAAACTTGATTCTCTTTGCTTGGATTCAGCTGTCATTTAATTTATTTAAGGAACCAGGTACAGAAATGCATTGATGACTGTTCGAGAAAAGTAATAATTATGATTTTATTAAAGAAAAAGAATATAAATACATATAATTGATATACTAAGTACCTTTCTAAACTACAAGTAAAAAGAATCACTAACGATTCATAAGCCAGAATAAAAAAAAAAAAAGGATAAGGAAGATACTTCTAATTGATTGTGTAATCCAATCCAGTTGAATCCTATAATATATCCTGTTCATCCACGTTGTCTACACCTTATGACAATAGCATGTATTCATTTCGTTTCATTCTGTGATCCTATTGTATATATATCTATTCCTCTGATTCAGATGTATAGCCACTTCGCGTAATTATCCTATTGATACTATATTTAAATGATTAAGTTTTAGTGTATATAGATTTCTTTCAGACATATATTCAGTGATGGTGATTGCCAATGATAACAAGTATGAAGTATGAGAAGAAAAAAGAACGGTAATTCTAGATGGATGGATGTTGTAGTAAAAAGATCAAGGTCAGGAGAATGTATATAATATAAAAAAAAGGAAGGAGGTTAGAAAGAAAAAGAAGAAAAGCGCTTGTTTTTGAAACTTACCTTTAATAAGAGTAAATATTTGTAAAAACCACATAGATAACATGAGTAGGATATAGTAATGAAGTTGGAATGTATAAAAAAAAAGAAAGAAAGAAAGAAAGAAAGAAAGAAAAAAGAAAAAGAATTATTTTATATCTCTACCTGATCGGAGCCAGTTTAAAAAATCATGCAAATCAAATCTACCAATCATAAGGAATCACATAGGTTCAAGTTTCTTTTTTTTTTTGAATTGATTTTTTTTTATTATTGATTATAGTAACATCATAATGATGATGATGATGATGATGATATATTAGAATAAACACTTTCAAATGAATGATTTTATCACTTATTTCTTATTCCTTGTATTCATTGAAAATTGAATAATCATGATAGTTGAAGAAAGATCACAAAAGAAAAAGGAATATCAAACATATAGGTTAAATCAATTTGAATAACTTCTTATTAATCTGATGGAACATCAATTACATTCATTTAGAATAATAAATCAGTTTAAATACGAGAAATTGATTATCTGATAATAACAAAATAATAAAGTAATGAATATAAATTATGAAAAGCGGTAGTTGAACATCCAAAAAAGGAAAGGCTCAATTCATGAGATTATATAAAATAGACCTCACATTTTTTTATTTTCTCACATTCTTCTTCTTCTTCTTCTTCTTCTTTATCACTACTTTATAAACTTCTTTTTTTTTTATTTTGTATAAAAAGTAAGTAAAGATATAATAAAAGGTACTTCATATACTTGTTAACTAAACTCTCTCTTTTTATCTTGTTATAGAAATACCGTCTCTTGACTCTTCTTTGCAAACTGAATCCTCAATATATCTTCAATAGATCATGAAACCATAGCAATGGGACTATAACTATCAAAGGTACTACTATGATTCCAAAAAAAAGAAATAGTAAAGTAGTAAGTGATTTAGGTATGGTTGCTGATTCTTTTTTTTTTCTTTTTTTTTATTTCTCAGTAGTTTACCAATATAATGCCAAAGGAAAGGCTATTGGACATGTCTGTCAATTATAGTTATCAGTAAAAATAGAGCGTGGGCAGGGATATTATCTTCGAAGGTAAGACATAAAATGAGATAATGAAGGATTTGTCAATCAAGGTGTCTCATTTTTCTTTTTCTTTTTCTTTTTCTTTTTTTTTCCTTCGATGATGGATAGTGTAACAAACACAAGTTTAGCTGCTTATATGTTACTCTGTTCTCTATAAAGGCATCCTTTTTATTCAAGATGGTTTAAATTCTCATCAACCTCGTTATTCTCGTGGAAATTAATATCGGCATCATTACTATCGTTGTCAGCCATCAAATACTATTAGTACAAGTGCCAACTGGAGTAGAGCATCTATTTCACCATATCAACCATCAACATTTATTTATTAAATCGATAGGTAGTCATGATACATCGTCCATCAGTCTTATTATGTTACGATCATTCAAGTGTTATGATCATTTTCAAGTATGGTCAATTACTATATTCAAAGTAAGATACAGAAAAACGAAATGAAAACCAATATTTACAATATGATTCTCATTATTCTTTTTTTTTTTTTTTTTTTTTACATATATATGTATATTATTTTGCTATCATTATCAAGCTCCTGGGCATATGGTCACAGAATCAATCGGAACGGATACAGAAAAAGGATGAAAACGCAATGGTAGACCACTATGTTATTGGAATGAATAAAGTGTACTACAGGTACAGACTGAAAAGGGAAATCAATTTGTTGTGCAAATGGACGATATTCTTCTATAGTTTCTTTCATTGATAGTCTTAGTCTTTTTATATTCCTTTTCTATCATATTCTTCAATAAAGTTACATTATCATTTTAGCTGTATATACAACAATCAATCATCATCTTATTTTCATCATTTAATTTCTTAATATAATCCAATCTACTCATTATCAGTTGTAATGAAGTACAATCAATGTCAATCAGCACGGGTCATCATTACCATTGACTGCTGCACTCCTTTGACCCCAGTAATTTGGAATTGGAGATCAGCTGCGATAGAGGGCACTTGTCATCATGTCAGTGGCACGTCGTACACGTTTGTGGGATCCGAGGAAAAAAAAAATTTTTGAAGGCAACAGAATTATCAAATGATTGTATTTATTATCAAAATTAAAACTAAAATGACAAATAAAGAACTTTTTCTAGGGTAATAAATAATAATAATAATAAAGTAAATAATAATAAAGTAAATAATAAAACTACAGTAAAATGATGAAAAGGGGGAATCTTTAATCAAGTCAAAAAGAATAGACAACATAATCAAACAAAAGAGAGAGAAACAACTACGATAGATCAACTAGGTAGAGAAAGGGATGAAAATCACATGTATTCCTTTTCAGAGAGTTCCAATTTGGTGGGAGTAGCATCATCTTCAAGACGACCACCAATGATGACTTCAGCACCTTCTCCATGTTGCAAATTGTCGATTTCTTCGACAGTGACATCAGGAACAGTAAAGCACACCACATAGGCTAACAGGATACCAACGACGTTGACAACAAAGACAATGATGAGTTGAGTCATAAAGGGAACTCTGGTAGCATCCAATTGAGAAGCAACGGCAGCAAATGCATTTTGAATAGTCTTGTAGAATCCACCATAACGAGCAGCACGTTCAGTATCATTTGTCATGGTACCCATTAACCAGTAAACAAAACCTTGATAAATAGAATCCATAAAACCGAAGAAAGCGTATTCGATAGCCATACCTGCATAACCAGGAGAGTAAACATCAGTTTTGAGAGGAGTGGGGAGATCTCTAGCAGATTCAAAGGTAAAGTTGCGTTGAACAAAGATAGCACCAATCCAAAGAGCAACCACAGTAATAAGGACGATGGTATTACCAGTGATGGCACGTCTACGACGACCACCCAAAGACTTTAAATCAAGCAACCAACCGAAGAAACCACCACCGATGATTTGGAAGAGCCAATAGAGTAAGTTGTTGAGAGAACGAGCACGTAAATTGAAATAACCACCACCGTTGTAAACTTGGAATTGATAGGTATAGAACCAATTGGAACCAGCAAACAAGGGAATCAAGATCAACATACGCCAGTTGGTAAATAGCTTGAGCACTTCAATGAATTCACGTTTCCAGTTGGAGAATTTATGCAAAGAGACATGTGTACCATCATTACGAATGACTTTATTGGGAGGAGTCAAAAGAAGAGCTAAACAAGCACCAAAAGCCATCAAAACCATAAAACCAATATAAGTACCCGTGTTGACATTGCTGGTGGTAGTGTTATGCCAATTGTTACCAAGAGGAATGGCCGCACCAATAGTAGCACCTCTAATAAAAAAAAAAAAAAAAAAGAAGATTAATATAAGAAAAGTAAATAAATAAATAGAAGGAAAAAAAAAACTTACAAATTGAAGATCATCCAAAAGATAGAGAAAGCTTTACCCTTTTCAGATTCATTAGGATAAGACATCATAATACCAGCTTGAGCAGTCCATAAGAAACCAGCGCCAATACCGAGAATAGCACCAGCCACAATAGTGAATGCATCACTATCTGTTAAGAAAGAGCCAACATAGAGAACATAACAAAGAGCAGCAGGAATAATGACACGATGACCAAAGATATTGTAAATAGGAGCACCAAGTAAAGAACATACAGTAAAAGTGACAGATAAGGCTGTTTGGGCATTATTGACGGCGACCGTGGATGATTTGCCCCCACCACCCATACCAGACAATGCGTTGAACATACCTAATAATAATATTAAATTAGTTTTTGCTAAAAAAAAAAAGATATGAATAGAAAAAAAAAAAAGAGCACTTACCAGGGCAACAGAAACAGATAAAACCAACCAAAAAAATTTGGAAAGTAGGACTATTATAACGGAATGGTAACTTGAATCCCATTGTATAAATGAATGAAATAGATTATAGTATTGTGTAAGTTTTTAATGTATTGATAGAAAAAAAATAAAAAAAAAAAGAATAAATAGGGATTAAATAATAATAAGAATAAAAGATAAAGAGAAAAGAAAGTAAAAGGAACAAGAAAAAAAAAAAAGAAATTTTTTATAATTGGATAAGCGGAATATGAATATGTTTCCACCCAAAAAAGTGTACAGGCTTGATCCAAGAATTTCCTTTTTCTCGCGTTACCCAGTCATTTTCGTTCCATTCCAGGGTCTTTTTTTTTTTTTAAAAAAAAAAAATGGCTTTTCTTTTTTTTTGTGTTGCCACCAATAATCATCGTCTTTTTTTTTTTTTTTTTTTGTTTCTCTTTTGAAAGAAGACTTCCCACGCTTTACTCAACCCTGATGATTACGTTATTACCTTTATTTATTTCTTTTTGTAGAACATCCTGTCAAAAAAAAAAAAGACATATCCTTTTTGATATTTCTTTGATACCTTTTGACATATATATATATAATATGTAAGTGTAATTTAGACTATATTGAAAATATTAAGATGATGAGAAAAAAAATAAGTGATACAGTAAGCGGCGAGTTAAATCAAATAATAAAAAAGGTTCTGTTTTTGTAATGGGAACTGAAAACAGTCGGATCACTGAATGGAAAAAAGAAAAAAAAAAACTTTCTTTTTTTTTTTTTTCCTGATGTCTCATTTGTTGATAAATTAAGAAAAGCACAACTTTAAATTTCCATTTTTAGGAATAGAAAAGGTGTTTACGATTATACCTTATTTCTTTTTTTCTCATGCTCATCTACTTTCATTTAACTCTATCTATAGAATAGGAACTTTTAGTTTATATATAAAAATGGACCCTGTTAAAAAAAAAAAAAGAAAGATGATGATGATGATGTTTGTTCCTTTTTTTTTTTTTTTTTTTTTTTTTTTTTTTTTTTTTTTTTTTTTTTTTTACAAAATTTTGGTTATTCATCCTCAGATGATATTCCGAGGTTGCCTTTTTATATGCTGTCTTTTTGAATTTTAACTACAGTGAATGCCCCTCTTTTTTTTTGAATACAAATATAGATTTCCAGTGTGGGGAGATTATTGAAATGGGGAAGAGGGGTCTGACTGAGATTAAAATCTTGACAACAACATTTAAGGTTATTATACAAATGTATTACGATGACAAACAATCCACTTGTTCAAAAAGGTTTTTTCAATACCCTGACTTTCAACGTTAGGTTTGTTCCATCTGAATGTGGACCCTGATGATTTTGTTCTATTTCCTAATCAAATCATCCCATTCTTTTTTCTTTTTTTTACACAAGGGATCTGTCAGGGTGCTCACTTTGTTTTTTTTTTTCTCACCGTTTTTTTTTTTTTTTTTTTTGATTTTCTAATAATACCAAAGAAAGAGAAAGTCAATGATTTTTTATCATGTTTCCAATGTGGATGATAGAATATTTGGAATGATCTAAACTCTATGGATTGATTTGGAACGAAAGAGTGAATATATCATTAGTATTTTTTTCATTATTCTGCTTGGGTTCATCCAATTCTTTTTTTTTTTTTTTTTTTTTGTTTTGGACTTCATTATCACTGATTGGCTCGATCAGTTTTTTTTTTATTCGTTAAAGATCTTTCCATTTTTGTTTCTTATTTTATTCGTATGCTTTTTGCAGAACGATGTGAAAACTAAGGTGATAACAGGTGAGGATGATGATGATGAATGATGATGATGATGATGAATGATGAATGATGAATGATGAAGGATGATGATGATGAATGATGATGATGATGATGATGATGATGATGATGATGATGATGAATGATGAATGATGAATGATGAATGATGAATGATGAATGATGAATGATGAATGATGAATGATGAATGATGAATGATGAATGATGATGATGATTGAATGATAATGATGTGCGGTGGATGATAATGATATAGTTAATAATTTTTTGATGGAAATAACTCACCTTTCAAAAACTTGAATGGATCTAAAAAGATGTGATTGGCCAGTTGTGAAATATCGGATTTGAAAAGACTGCGCGTCCTTATTTTCTTTTTTTACCTTTTTTTTTTTTTTTTTTTTTCATAAATGCGATAGGAGTTTCAATGATCTTTTCTTTCTCTTTTCTTCCCTTGCCTTCAACTTCCTATTGACATCTTCTGAAGGCAACTTCTCTTACTCAACATTAAGCGACGTTCAGAGAACAATCTGAATAATATTAATAAGGTAAATATGAAATTATCAAAAATACAAAGGGGAAAGTACAATAATAAAGATATAGCGAGCAATTGTGCGATAATCTAAAGGCGCAGTAATGAAATATGATGATATTAATTACGTTCTGAATATTTTAGAAACACAATGATGGGAAACAAAAGCCATTCTTAATGCAACCGGATAGTGACGATGACTTCGAAGACCCACCCACACAAATTATCAAAGGAAATAAAATTTTTTATTGGTTCAAGAAAAAACCGAAGGTACAGGATGAAGAGAATTCATTTGAAAACAAGACCTCGTCTGATGCAAAGAAGTCAAATGAAACCAAGAACTTCTCTGATGCAAAAAATTCAACTGGAAACAAGACCTCGTCTGATGCAAAGAACGCCACTGGAAGCAAAACCTCCTCTGATGCAAAGAATTCAACCGGAAACAAGACATCCTCTGAAGAATGGAAAGACATCACTGTCGCCAACATTAGCGATAATGAACGACATATTCTCATATCGTTCTTTGACTTCAACAATCCTTTCATATATTATTTTATTGGATTTGGGGCTGGCGACGCCTTTCATTCAGACAATGGAAAGACTTTTGTTGGCTTCATGCTACGGGCAACCGATTTCGTGTTTCTATACAAATTACTGGAAAAGGCGGGTGTTTCAGTAGTGGATCTCAAGTATGTGTCGCTGCATAGCTTTAACTCTTGATACTAATGCCTTTTTCTTTTTCCTCTTCTTAGATTCTATGCTAATGACAAAATATCTACTGTCTACAAAGCGGCTTATTTAGGGGTGGTAAAGTGGACAATGACGCGTGAACTCTTTGGTAATAAGTGGGACAGCTTAGGATTGCCCTCCTCAAGAATAAATCGGGTTGTACAAAAAAAAATCGATAATCTGATCACAGCAGTGGACAAGGAAACATTCACTTATCATCTACTCCTACTGATTCTTGGATACATTACTGCCGATGGCTCTGTTACAACAGCGTTCTACAAGAAAGATGACGGTCATGGTGTTCGTATTCAAACTGTAAAGCTTATTGGTACAGACGAAGCATGGTTCGACTATCTTATGGCTGGGTTTATGGACGAGCGTGTTGGTGGTGTCGCATACAAGTCAAAACAAACAAAACAAGGCAAACGCAAGGACGGTATGGATCACAATGATTTATATACTATGGTGATCAGTAGTCAATCTTACGGTTTATTGCTGGCAACGTTGGATCGAAGGGTAAAAGAACAGATACCGGTACATCTCAAGCTTAAGTTTCTTCATTGTCTGTTGAAAAAAGGTGTTGGTGACATCGGCCTTGCAAACCTTAGTCGTGGAAATCGACTCGCATTTGGAGAATTCGTTGATTTTAATGATGGTATCTCTTGTGTTATCGGACAGTAAGTAACGTTTTGAGGGGGGAAGTGGAAACAATCAAATTATTCACTATTTTTTTAATTGGATAGAGATCTCTACAGTTTGAACATGTTCGCAGTAAATGACATACTGACATCATGCGGGATGGAGAACGTAACAACAAACGACGACATCAAAATTGAGGAACTTATCAGACATGCTCAAAATTTCACACCACCAAACGACGATAAACTTGGTGGAAATTCCGTTAAGTACTTTCAAACGGTTATGAAACGACAACTCACTGCCGATATTAGACATCCACAAAGCCCAACATTCGGACCAGTAATCAAAATGAAAATGATTATATATTCTCATGTGTTGTGGATAACGCTGTACTAACATTCATTTCTTCTTTATAGATCTTCTACCGCTGTGATATATGTAACTTGATCTTTTATACATCCAGCAATCTCAAGAGACACAAGATGACCCACCAAACAAAAGTATGCAATAGAATAATGCGATGGAATACATACTACTATAAAATTCACACATTTTTAAATGATTTTGCTGGGATTAGATGTTCAAGTGTGAAAGATGTGGCAAGCTCCTTGGTACGAATTGCAACCTCCAAAGACATATGGAGACTCATGACGTAAGTGGAAAAGCAAAAGAAAAATGTTTTGTTCATTATTAATTCTTTCTTCTCATAGAACACCACCTACAAGTGTCCGATAGACGGTTGCTCCAAGATATTCAAAAATTCAAAAAGTATTCGACGACACGTCAGAAACATACATGAAAAGAAGGTAAGATTTTGTACCCTCCTCCTCTTACATTTGACTGTACTACAACTTTCTTTTTTCTTGGTATGTAGTAAAAGAAACAATATCCCTGTCCACAACTGCAAACGTATCCTCACAAGTCGTAGAAGTCTAGATTATCATCTCAAGTCGTCACGCGCACATGTAAAAAAAAAAAAAAAAAAAAAAAAAAAAAAGGAAAAATGTATCTACACCTTTCCGAGCACTAATTGAATACAATTTCTTTGTTAGAACCCTATCCAAGAAACCTAGAAATGAATGATTGATTTTTTCTTTCATCACTTCTATTTTCTTTTGCTATTTATGTTATCTTTTCAGCACTTTTATTTATACTTTTTATGTCTGATTTACTCTTTCGTGAAATAAAATATCTTTATCTTTTCTCTTCTCTATTTCTGCTTTTGGAAGTCTATCTTCCATATAGACTGACATACTACGTTCATCAAATAGAAATTGTATATGATGATTATCGACAAACGCTATTGCGTTCCCAGGGTCTACTCATGCTGAACAACAATGCAGTATTAAGAAAAATGTTTCGCTCCTGTAAGTATCATCGAAAGAAAACTTGTTCGAGTTCGCCTACTCTGACATATCCTCTTTTTTTTAGATCTGCTTATTATCAGTGCTCACAAAAAGATGTTTATTCTTATGTATTGGTTTAGTGTGTTTCTACTTGGTAGAAACGTTTCTAGGTTGTGGGTAAGCTGGCGGTCAGATTTTCCTTACCAAAAGCGACATCATTCCTTATCTCTTTCCCCTCCTCTCCCTCTTTTTTTTTTTTTTTTTTTTTTTTGATTTTCTAATAATACCAAAGAAAGAGAAAGTCAATGATTTTTTATCATGTTTCCAATGTGGATGATAGAATATTTGGAATGATCTAAACTCTATGGATTGATTTGGAACGAAAGAGTGAATATATCATTAGTATTTTTCTCATTATTCTGCTTAGGTTCATCCAATTCTTTTTTTTTTTTTTTTTTTTTTTGTTTTGGACTTCATTATCACTGATTGGCTCGATCAGTTTTTTTTATTCGTTAAAGATCTTTCCATTTTTGTTTCTTATTTTATTCGTATGCTGTTTGCAGAACGATGTGAAAAATAGGGGGATAACAGGTGAGGATGATGATGAATGATGATGATGATGACGATGAATGATGAAGGATGACAATGATGAATGATGAGGATGATGAGGATGATGATGATGAATGATGAATGATGAATGATGAATGATGAATGATGAATGATGAATGATGAATGATGAATGATGAATGATGAATGATGAATGATGAATGATGAATGATGAATGATGAATGATGAATGATGAATGATGAATGATGAATGATGAATGATGAATGATGAATGATGAATGATGAATGATGAATGATGAATGATGAATGATGAATGATGAATGATGAATGATGAATGATGATGAATGATGAATGATGAATGATGAATGATGAATGATGAATGATGATGATGATGATGATGATGATGAATGATGATGATGATGAATGATGATGATGATTGAATGATAATGATGTGCGGTGGATGATAATGATATTGTTAATAATTTTTTGATGGAAATAACTCACCTTTCAAAAACTTGAATGGATCTAAAAAGATGTGATTGGCCAGTTGTTGAAATATCGGATTTGAAAAGACTGCGCTTATTTTCTTTTTTTTTTTTTCCTCTTTTTTTTTTTTTTTTTTTTTTGCTTTTCAGTAATGAATCCCATATACCATTCTAAACTTTTATCATTTATAAAGCAAGAAAGTGAATCTATTCGTTTATCTTATAATGGCACAACTGAATTGACTACCGATGAAAAGCGTGAATTATTGATTCAGTGGTTAGAAAATGATCCTCGTTTTCTTTTAGATCAAATTGGGTCCTTTCTACCTCAAGATCTAGCCAGTTGTTTAGACAGTGGTAAATAAAGTATTTGACATGTATCACACTTTTTATAAACACCTTTTTCTTTTTTTGGTAGATATACGACAAGAACAACAAGAAAACGACAAAGCAAGTGAAGGACAATCAGTAAACAATACAAGGATAATTTCTGCAGCCACTCGACACAATCGACGTTATCATTATCTTGTGCATCATTTACGACCTTCTGGTTACTTTTCTGAACATGCCATTCAATTACGAGCACCCTCTTTATACGAAGAATACATTGGTCAATATATCCCTGACGAAGAACGCTATGCACCATTTGAAGATGATATGACTTTGGTTGATCGAGTATATCATAGTATGGATCGACGGTATGTACAAGATCAATGGGAACGAAAGAAGCGATCAGAAGAAGAACAGTATGAAGAACAAGATGACGACGACGAACCAACTCCATTGACAGAACATCCTACGAATCGATTAGAAGAAGCAAGACAACAACAAAAAGAAGAATTAATTCGATTACTTGAAGAACAATGGATGGATGGTCTGGATGATCAGTTTGATTATACAGTGGTAGATAATGACGATACATATGATGACCTAGGACAACAAAATCAAGATTTACAAGATCGATACTTTGATGAAGAAGTAGAAGAGAACCAAGGCGGTCCAAACAATGATACTGGTATCCTAGATTATTAGTCCCCTTCATTATTGTATTATATCCTCTCTATGTATATACCCTGTTTATTTTGAATAAAACATTTTGCCTATTTATTCTTACTTTTTGTTTTTTTTTAAAAAAAAAAAAAAAAAGGAAAAAAAAAGACTTCCTGATGATGCTACAGTTTATATGAGTATTCGCGTCTGTAGTCCCAAAATACTTTTTTTTTCTAATATCTCGATCATCAATCAAGCAATTATTCAACCATAAATCAATGACTATTTTCCATTATCAACCAACGCGTTATCAAATAAAAAAAAAAACAAGACATAATTTAGAAATGGATAACCTACTCTATTCCTCTGTTTCAAATCAGATGATCAAACTAAATAAGATGAGAAGAAAAAAAAAGAATCTTTATCATGGAAAAGATATAATAATAATAAAATAAAATAAAAAAGACTAAACTAGACTAAACTAATTTGATTCTAAAGTTCATTCCCAATCATCATCATCTTCTTCTTCATCATCGCTTTGCATTGCTGTTTGTCGTTGTTTCAGTACAGCAGCTAAACTAGAAGCTAAACCACCATTAGATGCATCATCATTGCTTGTTGTTGCTGCTGCTGCTGTTCCTGCCAAAGCTGTTCCACCCACTGCTGCTGCTGAGGCTGCTGCCATACCATTATTTGTTGATCCTTGACGAAGTTGTCCTCCCTTTTTGAGTGTTCCAAACCCACCAGTTGCACGAATAGATGCCATGAGATTTGCTCGTCCATCTGAAGAAGGAGGAAGAGTGGTATTACTAGAAGGAATTGCTGGAGCTGGAGGTGGCGGAGGAGGTGGGCAATTTGATGGTGGTAAAGGTGTCGTTCGAGTTGATTGATTCATCATTGGTGGCGGTGGTGGAGGTGGAGGAGGAGAAGGTGCTTCACCAATATTACCAGTAATTGAAGGTGATTGAGATTGACGTACACCACGTTGAGGGATAGGTGGAAAGGCTGATCGAGGAGGTGGTGGTGGAGGAGGAGGAGATGATGTTGGTTGTTGTTGTTGTTGTTGTTGTTGTAAAGTAGAACCAAGTGTTTTTTTTCTTGGAGGTGGTGGTGGTGGTGGAGGACGACGACCTATAAATATAAATAAATATATATAAAAGAAAATGAATGAATGAATTTTCGACTTTACAGTGATATTACCTGTTTTTGTTGAAGGTAAAGGTGGAGGAGTAGGTGCGGGAGAGGAAGGTATAGATCTTGAAGGAGGAGCAGGAGGAGGAGGAGGAGGATTATTGGTATGTTGATTTAAGAATTGGTGAATAAAATCTTGATTTTGATTGATTTCTTCAGGTGTGATACCAAGAGCCTTGAGTTGTTCAATAATACTATTTTGTTCTGGATCATTGTTTTCAATAGTAAAACCTTTTTCTGTTGTATAACCAATATGTCCCAAATGACGAAAATCGGATGGTTTACCAATATGATTCTTATCAATATGACTTTTGCGTGAAGAAATTTTCCATTGTGTGCCATGACTATTGCCAGATTCATCTAGTTTACATAAAATAATAATTTCTATTTTAGATAACATTACTCATCATTATTCTTTACGTTATACCTTTTAATCGAATTGAATCTCTATTGATCACCTTTTTATAGAATACGTCAGCTTCACCTTGATCCACAAATTCTAAACCTGCCAGATAATCCTAATTATAATCATTGATAAAAAAAAAAAAATGTATGAGAATAAAAAAAAAAAACAGAGGAATAAAAGTTAAAACTTACATCAGTATCAAATGTATGGAAAAATGGTTTATCTTTATTGTATTCAAATCCTTCATATAACTCTTGTTCCCAGATCACTCCAGTCTGATTCTATTAAAATAAAAAAAAATTAAGACGTGTTCCTTATATATCAAGTTATGACTTACTTCCATATCAACAATACGAATAAAAAAGGCATTTTGTTTCTTTTTATCTTTACAAAAAGTGGCAGCACCCCATCGTTGTGAATAAGTCCAATTGTTACTATGTGGTAAAGCAATGTATAACCGAGCTACGGCTGAAGTAACGATTTTCTAATTAAATAATAAAAAAGAAATCAATGAGTTTTTGATGAAAAAGAATCAAATACAAAAAAAAAAAAAAAGGAAAAAATAAAAGTAACATATTACATACACAAGTTGGTAGAGCTTTACGAACTATATTTTTGTCTTCAGTAGTAGGGAGTGTCACAGATGGCATCTAAAAAAAAAGTATAAAGAAGAAAAAAAAAAAAAAATAAAAAAAAAGATGCGAGCTTTGAGTATAGGTTTGAGATTTCAGTTTCCGACTAGGTCAGTAGAGGATTATTGTAACAAGGGAAAGCTGAGCACGATGTATCATAAAAACATGTGGTAATTTCCTGGAAAAAGAAGCTCATCATTATAACATAACTTTGATTTTTCAAGTATATAATAATTCAAGTATTTTTTATATATTTAATTCTACCAACCTCAAAAACATCTCAAGTAGTGAAATTTAAAATCTTTTTTTTTTTTTTTTTTAGATATATATTTTTTGATTCTCCCCCTTTATTTTTTTTTTCTTTTTCTTTTTTTCTTTTTTTCTTTTCTCACTCTCTCTCTCTTTTTCTTTCACTTGATTCCATCATATCCATAATGGCAACTCGTGAAGAACCACAACTTCCACCTGTATCCCTTACTGATCTAAAATTACAAAACCTGTCACTTAATGAATCTTCTACTTCTTTATCTTCTCATCCTTCTACTACAAGTGATAAACAACAACGTTATTCAGATTCAACTATTACTCGAAAACCTGATGCAATAGACGAACAAATTGAATCTCCTTCGACAACATCTTCAAATGGAACTAAACCTACTCAATCTTCTTCAACCACTACCTCGACAACTTTAACTGATCCTTCTCATCTTCAACGTGGTTCTTCTATGGCTGCTTCTATGACTCCTGTCATGCCTCCATCTCAAAATAATAATGGTTATACTTATCGTCCAGGTCCTTCTCCTCTTCCTCCTCAAGCTTATTATGAACAACAACAACATCCTCCTCCTCCTCCTCCTCCTTCAATGAATGGTGGTGGCAATAAATATTATTATGTTCCAGCTCCTACACCACGTCCTCAGTATGCTCCTTCACCTCATATGGGTTATCAGCAATCACCTTATGGAAGACCTATACCACCACCAACTCCACAAATGATGATGTCTCAACCATATTCTATGCCTCCTCCTCCTCCACCACAACAACAACAACCTGTTATTGACAACAATTATATGCCAGATAGTTCAGTTTTAGCTGCAAGTCAAGCTGGAAGACGTCCTCCTTCAAGTCCATTTCCACCACCAACTATGGAAAACCTACAACGTTTTCGAGCTGAAGCCCAAGCATCCAACGATCCTAAAAAAATGCTCGATTTAGCCAAATATATGATGGAGGTGGTTACTGTGGTTTATGCTGCCAATGAATCGAAGGATCCCAAACGAGCTCGCAAGATTAAAGAAGCATTGACAACTGAAGCACAAAAGATCGTCAAAAAACTTACAACCAGCGGTAGTGGTCTAGGCAAATCAGGTGGATATCCAGAAGCTCTTTTTTATTTGGCGGATTGTTATGGTAGTGGCAAACTTGGTTTGGTAGTCGATGTGGACAAAGCATTCTCTCTCTATTTACAAGGTTCCAAACAAAGTCATCCAGCATGTACCTATCGTGTGGCAGTATGTTACGAAGTAGGTGCAGGGACCAAGAAGGATAATGCTCATGCTATTCAATTCTTTCGCAAAGCAGCCAATTTAGGTGATGGACGAGCCATGTACAAACTTAGTATGATTCTTTTACGTGGTACACTTGGACAACCTAGAAATCCTCGGGAAGGTATGAGTTGGTTAGAACGTGCGGCAACTCAGGCAGATGAAGATCATCCTCAACCTATTCATGATCTTGGTGTGGCTTTTGAAAAAGAAGGTATTCCATCAGTGATTCCTGATCCAAACTATGCTCGTGATTTATTTACGCGTGCTGCTCTATATGGTTATGCTCCCTCTCAGTTCAAGCTTGGTTTGGCGTATGAAAATGGATTTCTTCATTGTCCTATTGACCCTCGACGATCAATTGCATGGTATAGTAAGGCAGCTGAACAAGGTGATTTGGAATCTGAATTGGCATTATCTGGTTGGTATTTGACAGGGGCTGAAGGTGTTTTACAACAAAGTGATGCTGAAGCTTACCTTTGGGCTCGGAAGGCTGCGGATCGTGGTTATGCCAAGGCGGAATATGCGGTAGGCTACTATACAGAAACAGGTGTTGGTGTCAAACAAAGTTTAGATGATGCAAGAAAATGGTATATGCGTGCAGCTGCTCAAAATAATCGACGTGCCATGCAACGACTCGCTGAACTCAAAAAACATGGAAATATGCAACAACGAAGGAAACATACCCGCGAAAATGGTGTTGGTCCCAACAACGAAAAGGATTCGGATTGCAGCATTATGTAGATTTTTTTTTTATTATATATATATATTACTCTTTATTTTTATACTATTTTATTCATTATTCTCTAGTCATATTATTTCTTTTTTTTTTTATTTTTATTTCACTCTCATAATCATCATCATTATTATTATTATTATTATTATTTTGTGATTGAATACCTTTTATTTTCTGTATGTATATTTTTTTCCTTCTTTTCCTTCTCTCTAAATAAAAAGAAAAAGAAAAAAAATCGCCCCTGTTCATCTGTCTTTTAAAAAAAAAAAAAAAGTAATTCATATACTGTTTTCTCTTTCCTTTTTTCTTCTTCTTTCTTTTGCCTTTTTTTTTTTTTTTCCTCATACATGTTTCGCTCGTATACTCGACTATTACCAAGGTCAGTATGTCAACGATTATTGACAACATCAACAAAATATCATGACTATATCATTCAACCTCGACTTGACTACGGTTATCTTGCTGAACATGCTCATGATTTCGCCGAAAATATGCAAGCACGAAGATACGATCCTATTGATCCTATTACCTTCCAACAATTAGCTCAAAAACGAAAAGATATTTATCAACAACTTCTTTTATTACGGTCACAACGTAATGCTCTCTCCAAAGCTGCTGCCTCTCATCAACGAAAGTCTACATCTTCATCAACTTCAGCACAAGCATTGGCATCCAATACTCGTGAACGCAGTATTCAACAAGCCCAAGTCCTCAAAGCAAGCATCAAGCAACATGAACAAGATCTGGAACAGGTAGAATCACAACTACTTGCACAAAGTTTAATGATACCCAACACCATCCATTCTCAAGTCCCTCGTGGTGATGAACCAGTGATACTCCAAGAAATACATGGAACTAGCAAGAATGACAGCTTTGAACCTTTGGATCATGTGACACTGAATCAACGACTTGGATTTATGGATATGGAACAAGCCAGTAGGATTGCCGGTTCTAGTTTTTATTACTTGCAAGGTGGGGGTGCTTATCTGGAATTAGCATTGATTCAATACGCTATGGACAAGGCAGTAAAACGTGGTTACCTTGGTATACTGACACCTGATATTGTACGTACATCTCTTGCAAATGCGTGTGGGTTCCAACCTCGACGTGGTGAAAGTCAACAAATGTACAATGTGAATACAGACAATACAGATGGATTGTGTCTTACTGGTACAGCAGAAATACCTTTGGCAGGCAAGTTTTTGGATCGGATCATCCCTCAAGTAGATCTACCACAACGTTGTGTTGGTTTTGGTCATGCTTTTCGTATGGAAGCCGGTGGACGTGGTGTAGAAACAAAAGGACTATATCGTGTACATCAATTTTCCAAGGTCGAATTATTTGCTGTTACTACTCCTGATCAAAGTGAAGACATGTTAGAAGAATTCAAAACATTACAACAAGATATATTTACTGAACTTGGTCTTACCTTTAGGTAAAAAAAAAAAAAAAAAAAAAAAAAAAAGATCATCATCAATGACCATTTTTTTCAAATTATATTTTATTTGTTTATTAGAATACTAGATATGCCAGCTCAAGAACTAGGTGCTAGTGCTCATCGAAAATATGATATGGAAGCTTGGTTACCCGGACGCAAAAAATGGGGTGAGATCTCCTCTACATCTAACTGTACAGATTATCAAGCTCGACGATTATCCATCAGGTACCGTCCTACTCATCCTACTTCAGACAATACCTTATTCTGTCATACTTTGAATGGAACTGCCATGGCCGTGCCTCGTGTGATAATTGCCATTCTTGAAACTTTTCAACAACCAGATGGTTCTGTTACAATTCCTGAAGTATTACGAAAATGGATCCCTGGACAACCAACTCATTTGACCCCATCATAGACTATACAATCATCATCCCTTTCATTCTTTATTATATCATTCATTCTACATAGTATACACATTTTTTTTTTTGAATACACTTGATCTTTATTTGTCAAAATGTCATCATCTATAAATAAATTAAAATTTAATATTCTATTATAATCTATCCTAATCTATCTACTATTTTTTTTGTTGTTGTTGCCTAAATATACAATTGCTTCATTGATTGTTGCATATTTGCTGTTTTGTCGGTATCGTTGGATGTATCGTTCATTGCTTTGGAAGTATGCTTACTGGCCAATTGTTGTTTCTTTTCCCTCTGTTTTTCCTTTTGTCGCATTTTTGTTTGGTATTTACGATCTCGTGCTGATATTCGTTTTGGTGTAGACTTTTCAGTTTGCATCTTCTTCATTGTCCCTTGATTGCTTGGCGCTGATGTGGTTTCTTCTTCTTCTTGTACACATTGTTGTTGCTCCTTTTCACTGATAAGCTTGTTATTATTGTTATCATCATCAATAACTGTCGTACTAGTATCCATCATAGGAGTTTTGGTCTCTTTATCACTGTTGCTGGATTCATAAAGCACGTCGATCACTTTGTCAGGATTGCCTTTGTATTTCCGTAACAGCCGTCGTATTTTTCGGATATTGGTACCAGGGCAAGCATTCAAAATCACCTTTTCTTTCGAGTCAGGAGAGACTTCATTATTATTATCATCGCTGGTATGTCCATCACTGTTTCCCTTGGTATCAATGACAGTAGAGCTGCTTGGATTTAGGGTCTACTTAAATAAAAAAAAAAAAAAGGGACGTTTTTGATCATGAGTATCAACTCTTTTTTTTCTTTTCTTTTCTATATTTTAGGTAGGTCTACCTTGATCTCCGGCATACCACTATAAGGTCCATCCACATTCCTTATTGAACTATAATGTTCCCAACTATGATATCTATAACATGATGAAGATTTAGAAAAGCACTTCTTTTTTTTTTTCTGATCTATTCAAGATCATTGAACTTACGCGATATGTAATATTTGACGACCAGTATCATCATCATCATCATCATTATTTTCTTCTTCCACATCCTCATCTATTCCACTAATAACATAACTGCACTTGAGCAGAAAGAAAGAAGAGAAAGATGAGATAAATCAGTGCATATACATATAACAATATCGTAAAAAAGATCTTACATCATGCCAGGCTGATAGACTTTAATATCTACTTGTCTTAATTTCGCAAAGCCTACTATCACCATATGTCCACCGAAAAAACCATCTTGCTGTAAGTTAGCTATATACCGATCGAAAGGGATATCATCTTCCACAAAATATTGATATGTTTCCTTATGCTGTTGTAAGTACTGACATACTTCTTGTCGAATCGATCGATGATGTTTATCATAACCATAGTATTGATCGGATAATGCACGGAAAAGACCTAATATATTATTAAAAATGAAAATAAAATAAAAAAAGAAGTCAAGTTAGACAAAAAAGACCTGTAAATAGCAATATACCATTCTCGTATCTTATTTACAATTGCCATCACCAGTAATGCATTTGGTTGTTAATCCAAGTCGTTTCAATTGTGTTTCTAAATCTTGTCCTTCACTATCAACATCCAATAGAATTTGATTCTAATCGTAAAAAAAAAGGAGAAGTTTAGATCCAACATGTCAAAGCTACATACTCTGGATATGCTTTTTACCTTTTTCGTACGTCGTTCTTTTCTAGTTGGTTTATCTACAAAAAAAAAAAAAAGAAAGAAAAAGAAATAAATGTAAGTAATAATTCCTAAACATTCATATATGGTATCAAAAACCAAGTTAATACCTCTTTTGCCTTTGGTCATTGCTTATTGCAAGGTAAAAGGAGAAAGAATTGATTTGTCGCAAAAATGAGAGGGAAAAAAAAATCCATATCGGAGTCTATTTTGACGAACTTTCACAAAGTGACAATATGTTTACAACGTTTGCTAACAAGTTTAATGCATGTCATTGGACGAACCAGTCTAATACGATCAACTATTGTCCTTTTTTTTTTAAAAAAAAAAGGAGTTTTACTTCACTTCTCAGTAGCCGTATTCTTCCTTTTTCTTACCTTATTCATTTATAGTAAAAAAAGTATCGGAGTGGAAAAAAGTATCAAGGAGACTCTTGAAAACGCGAGCACTTTTCGCTCTCTCTCTCTCTCTCTCTCTTCTTTCTTTTTCTTTCTCTCTTTTTCTGTTTTCTATTTTCTTTCTACTCTACTATAGAAAAAAAAAAAAAAGACCAAAGGATGCAATGGAGAGTCCTTACATTATTACTTGCTGGGCTTGTTGTCATTTATTTGGCAAGTTTACTTCAAGATACTCCGTACCCACACCCTGCTAAAATGAAAATCGATCGACACCATCTACCCGGCACTTTCCCTGACACTTCGATATTATCAGTACAACCTAACCATCTTTATGAAGCAATGATATATTTTGGCCATAATCAAAATGATCAAGTTATGTCTGGCACTGGTGATATGAAAACAGGAGTTTTTGGTAAAGACAACTTTAAGATAGGATATATCAACTTGAACTCACTTTTTTTTATATTTATAGGCAAGATCAAACTTCTTCGAAGACCGATTCAATTCTTATTACAACATCAAGATGGAATATCTACTGAAGACGGTAAACTTTAATCATATTAATTATTATATCCTCATTCCTTTCCTTTTTTTTTTTTCTTACTTACTATTATTATTATTTTTTGACTCTTAGAATGGACAAATGTTTTGGAACATACTTTACGAGGTCATATCACCAAAATATCTGGACCTCCAAGCGCAACAGATTCCCCTTTACAATTTGCTGTATTATATCATACCGTTGAAAATGAAACTCCTCGTTACTATACTCGTGTTTATTATTTGGCTAATGATACTGGTTCCTTTGAATATAAAGATCTTGTTTTTCCTGGTACTACTTGGATCAAATCTTTTGTTATAGAAAAAGATTCTATCATCTTCTCAAGGTATACAAATTTATTCTATTAAAAATAACTTCAACATATGGCTGACTTTTTTTTTATATTATTATTATTATTTAATAATATGATCATCATTTAGAGATCCTGATATTTATCGATATCGAATCATTCGATTACCAAATGATCTGACAAAAGCACCTCATTCTGAAAATGCTCAAGATATTATTTTGTCTGCAAGTGAACCTGGTTACCGTATTTCTCGTAAATTTAATATAAAATATATATTTATCAACAACTAATCATTTCATTTTCTTTTCTCTTTTTTATTATTTTTATTGATTTATCAGCCAACTATCATCTTACGGATCAAGTAGAAAAACATGAAAATGTCCTTTCAAGACTTTATTCACCAATGTAAAATTATATATTCAAAATGAACATAGATATTTATATTTTTTTTTTGTTTTTTTTCTCTTTTGGTCAATTGCAGATTGGATACTTTTCGTGTGGTATCTTTAGATATTTATAAGGCAAGAACCAACTTTCATGTTAGTGTATCTGTAGCTGACAATGCAAGCTCGGTTACACAATTATCGGAATTACGTGGGGAAACTCCAGTGGACACTTGGCACTTACGGGAACATAACACTAGGGTAATGTCTACCAAAAGGAGAAAAGGACAAACACTAACCTTCTTTTATAATATATATTTAGAAAGGTAGCTACTATGAAGATGATTTCTTGGATAGTAATGGTGTTTTGGATATGTCTCAATCTTCTGAAAATCGACTACAAATGCCACCACTTTCTCTAAGTAAGATGATATACTTATAATAAACATGTTGCTCTTTTTTTTTATTTGGTTACTCATATTATTTCTTATTTCTTTTTTTTTTTATGATAATATAGCTAGGTCAACGGATGCACGGACGGTAGCCTTCCCCATTACACGAAGTCAATTTACGACACTGGATTATACTGATAAAGTGGATATATTACAGAAACAACAAAATAGCAAGCGACGACTTTATCGAAACAGTGAAGATGGCGCAGTGATTCCAGAATACTACTATTGGCCCATGGATGGAAATGAGGAAATATACGATGTGTACGATGGAGATATCTATGGTTTGGAAATCAACGAGGCTGGCACATTATTAGCTGTGTGGACTGAACATAACTTTATCTATATTTACAAAAGAGGCTCAGGGGACGATCATGTTCTTCAACAAGGTGATATTGATGATACTGAAAAGAAGAAATATGAAAAAACATCCTCATTCGATCAAGCTACTGAAACCAATAAACCAGTTGCTTCTCCCACTCTATTACCAATCAAACCATTATCTTTGATCGATCAATTGGATATATTTCTTGGTTTTCGTCTTCCTCCTCCTCCTAGTGACATCAAATCTCAGTATCAGCATCCTTATTCTCATCCTGATCTTCCTGCACGTTGGTTCCTACGTATGGTGATTACTCCAAATGAAAGAAACCCAAGGCAATCGGTAAGCAAAAAAATCATCATCATCATCATCATCGTCTTTTAACTTACTACTTTTTTTTAAAAAAAAATGAATGAATCAGCGGATTAGCACAGTGACTTTTTTCAATGCATCATCAAGTCAACATGGTCATACTGGCAACAATTATCTTTGTAAGTGGTCAAAATAAAAAGATTTAGGATGGATAAAAGGTATTATGGGCTTTATAATCTTTCTTTTTTTTTTTTTTTTTTTGTAGTGGTTGGTCTGAAAACAGGGGCATTACATTCCTACTTGATCGATGCCATGGAACCACCTCAAAAAATTGGTTTGGGTAGCTTTATCATTGGACAATGGGATATGTTGATTGCTATGTGTGTCATCATTGCTGTGTTCGCATTTAATGAATATCAACATTATGGTGGTGTATAGTGTGATCTTATCTTTACTTTAGACTTTTTTTTTTGTATATAGAATATCACTTTTTTTTTTATCGTATCAAAACAAAAGGCATCAATAAATAAAACATTGGACGAAGAATTTTTTTTTTTTTTTTTTACTCTTCAACTTTATAGCAATGATGGATGATGAATTTATGTAACCTCTACCATAAAAAAAAAAGTAATGATGAAAGTCAAATCAATTTTTATTAAAGATAAACAAGTGTATATATAAGAGAAGAAAGAAATGGATTTACTAATCTAATAGTTGTAATTCTAATTTCCTATCATGAACCAAAACGTGGACTAATCCTGGATCAATTGTACCATGTGGAATGTTGTCAATACCGGTGTAGGCGAACATGTCAGCTGTCACATCGAATTTCACGATATGAGTCGATCCAGATTCCAAAAACACCTTGTGAAATCCTTTCAACAGTTTGGCTGGTGGAGTAAGACGGCGATACGGTTGTTGAATATACATCATCACAGTTTCGTACCCATCAAACGGCCCCTGGTTAGTGACGGGAATAGTGATTGTTCTTGGTTGAGTAGCAGATAGGATAGGATACTTGACATCACCTTGAGAAATAATACCATTATCACCATTATCCGTTTTGTTGACTATTGAAATATTTCCGTAAGCAAACTTGGAGTAAGAGAGACCATGACCAAATTCATATAATGGATCCCAAACATCATTGACAGGGTGCCAATAATTCAACATCAAATCTCCAGCATGTTTCGGATAAGTATAAGGCAAACGGCCGGATGGATTGACTAGACCAAATAAGATTTCCCCAATCGCTTGTCCACCCCATGGACCAGGAAGATATGCTTGAAGAATGGCACTTGAATGATCCACTATTGATTCCAATATGCGCGGTCTTCCTTCTACTAGAATTGTCACTATTGGTTTGCCTGATTCTGCTATCATCTCGATAGATTTGATTTGACCTGCTGGTAATCGTGTATCATGAATATTCCCTGGCACTACAAAAAAAAAAAAAGCAAGTTTTTCAGATATGAATGTGATTTATTTTCAACTTTTACCTTCAGTATAAACATGTTCACCAATAGCAGCCACAACGACATCGTAATCCTTGATAACATCCAAGACTTCATCCATACTTGTGTTGTTTCCATCAATATCAAACCCTTCGATATAACGCACCTGTATATCAGGAGAAGCCGATTGTCGAATACCTTCAAGAATTGTCACACCTTGAGAATAGAATTGATCATCTTCTACTGATCCATGCCATCGATCCACAGTTGCACCTTGCCATTGAATAGTCCAGGCACCAGATGGATGAGATAAGTCGTTGGCAGAGGGTCCAATCACCAAAATACTTTTGATAGGTTGTGAGTTTGATGAATTGCCATTATTATTATTGCCGTTGTTGTTGTTGTTGTTGAAAGGTAATATATTATCATTGTTTTTCAGTAAAGTGATGGATTGCCTCGCTGCGTCAATGGATGTCTGTTGTCGTCCATTCTTCTGTTCAGAATCTACTACTTGTTGTAATAGTGTCGATTCTACCTTCCATCCTTCATTGTCGACATCCAGTAAACCCAAATCCTTTTTGAGTTGTAAAAGACGTTCAGCTGATTCATCAATTCGTTGTTCAGAGATCAAGCCTTCTTCTACCAGTGCCACCAATGAGTCAAAAAAGGTTGTATCTGAAGGCACCATGCTCATATCAATACTTGTCGAATGAATTGCCAGTCGTACAGCTTCTTTGTGACTTGAAGCTACTTTATGAGTTGTATAAAGATGTTGAATTTCTGCCCAATCAGTCACCAGCATTCCTTTAAATTTCATTTCATCCCGTAGTAATTGTTGTAGATATTTTGAAGACGCAACCACTGGTTCACCATTGATATCTATTCAGAAAGAGAGGGTAGAGTAAATCATGAATTCTTTTCTTTTCTTTTCTTTTTTTTTTTTTGGAACTTTTGTAAATTACCGATATATGCTTCCATCGCTGTTGCGACACCACTATCTATTGCTGTTTGAAAATTGGGAACAAGATAGTCATAGATAGTACGGTCTGATATCACAGTAGAATCACGATCTTGACCACTACAATATAAAAACAAGCGAATCTTGAGTAAAGGTGCATTAAGTAAAGTAAACAACAACATCATCTTTTTTACCTCCATGGATCACCATAGGCAATAAAATGCTTCATACAGGCGGCTACTTTTGATCTGTCAGTTTTGTATTTTCCTACAAAGATAAAATAATAATAATAATAGTAATAATAATATCAGTGACACCTCTTCTTTCTTTAAAACAAGTACCTTGATAGCCATGGATAGCTGCCTTTCCCAATACAGAAGATAGATAAGGATCTTCACCAAAATTTTCAAATACCCTAGGCCATTGCTTATTCATTGGTATATCCAGTACAGGGGCAAATGTCCTAAAAAAAAAAAAAAAAAAAGAAAAAAAAAAAAAAAAAGAAAAAGAAAAAGAAAATATTTAGATAGATTCTTTTGCAATACATATATGAAAGTTACTTACCAGTGAACACCAGCAGCTCTTGTTTCCATTGCAGTAATAGAGGCAGCTTCGTAAACCAGTTGGGGATTGAAAGTTGCTGCCATGTTGATACCTTGTGGGAATAGAGTGGCTATATAATAAGAAATAAAACATTTAGAATTGTGTAGCTTTTTTACATATATATATGTTAGCTTACAGTTTGCAATATAATGAGCACCGTGTATATGATCTAGTCTGTGAACGATGAAGAATAAAAGTGAATGAATGTCCTTCTTTTTTTTTTTCTGTTGGTTTACTTACCCATATATGATTGGGATTTTGAAAGTATCGTTAGACACAGAAAGAGAAATTTGTTGTATGTTATTAAGAATACTAGCATATGCCGTATGATTGTAATTGACACCGTTGCTTTATACAAGAGAAAGGGGTGGAAAAAGGTGTTAAGAAAAAAAGTAAAAAAAAAAAAAAAAGAAGAAGAAAAAGATTAAAAAAAAATCAGTTTTACCTGCTGAGTTGATTTAAATAACTTCCTACATGATAATTTTTAGCATAATATTCCACAGCTGTCGTATTCAATTCACCATCTTTGGTTAAAATCAAATCTTGATTAAGTTGTGTCATTTGACCTATTTTTTCACGGATTGTCATCAATCGAACCATGATTTTTATATCATCATCAATTTCTCCAGGTCGATCATATTCAGATTCTTCTAATTCACCATACATTTCCACTGATGATGATGATGATGATGTAGTTGAGCAGATCAGTCCTGATAAACTTCCTATAAGAAGAATCAAACTTTTATATATAATCATTTGTTTTTTTTATTACTATTAAATAGAAAGAAAAAAGAAATGAAATAATGAGAAAGAAGAAACATACCTTTATATATATATGGTATTTAGATTTATTTAAAGCTGAACCGAATCATATCTGTCAGAATCTATGGTATTTTTTCTTAAATGATGATATAATAAATATATGATAATGTTGTGAATGTTCCATCTATAATGATGAATGATATCATGTGATGAAATCAAAGAATGACAATCCTCTTTCTCTCTCTTTCTCTCCTGTCCCAAAAAAAAAAAAAAAAAAAAAAAAATGGAAAGGAAAAAGAAAAAAGTAAGAAACCGTCCGTTGTTCTTGTTAACATCTTTTTTTTTAAAAAAAAAAAAAGAAAAAAAGAAAAAGAATAATCAAATCTAATATACAAATAAAATGAATCATTACAATAATCAACTTCATCTATTATCCATCGTCAATCAACTATCATCATATGAATCATAGAAATCATTATTCATAACATATCGTTCCATTACCATCTGTTCATCCGTCGTTGACCTGAGATTGGATTTGTTTCTCTTCCCCTGAAGTAAGTGGCTTGGAAGAGAAGTATCAACAGCCAATGAAATCCACTACAAAAATTTTTCACCGGTATTTGAAAAAAACTTTTTTTTAAAAACGGTGTTGAAGACTTTTCTTTTATTGTTCTTCCTCTTTCTCACTTTATTGAAAATGTCTGATCAAGTAAGTTTGTTTATAAAGATAAACTAATGGAATATTCATTTAATTTTTATTTCTTATTTATCTATTATAGATCGAAAAGGCCTACCAAAAGCAACACGGTGTCTTCCAAAACTCCAAGGTGTCCTCCAAGAACAAGCGTTGGTTCAAGGAAGTTGGTTATGGTTTCAAGACCCCCAAGGAAGCCAAGTACGGTACCTACATTGACAAGAAGTGCCCTTTCGTCGGTGAAGTTAACATCCAAGGTCGTATCTTGACTGGTGTTGTTGCCTCTACCAAGATGAAGCGTACCATCGTTGTTCGTCGTGATTACCTTCACTACATCCCCAAGTACACTCGTTACGAAAAGCGTCACAAGAACATTTCTGCTCACATCTCTCCTGCTTTCGATAACGCCAACGTTGAAATGTAAGTTAAAAAAATTATTATTATTTATCATGATCATATTGCCTTGATTCTTCATTTTTTTGGGTTACAAGATACTTTTTTGTCTTCTCTATGTTGAGCTTTTTTGTTTCTCTTTGGAATACTTGTATAAGATTGATATGACTTGTCATCATTCATTCTGTTATAAGCCGCTACGTTTTTTTTCCTTGTATGTCGTTTATACTTATGGAAAAACGGAGTGGAGAGAAGCAAACTCTTCATATATGATGAAAAAAAAATGAATGGATGAGGTAGTTGGTGAGGTGACGGCCTACCAAGCCTTTGATATCCAAAATATGTGTATACTAATGCACACTTCGTCTTTTTTTTTTTTTTTATCTTTTAGTGGTGATATTGTTACTATTGGTCAATGCCGCCCTCTTTCTAAGACTGTCCGCTTCAACGTCCTCAAGGTCCAAAAGGCCAAGAGCGCCAACAAGTCTTTCCAAAAGTTCTAGATTAGATTTATATCTTTTTTTTTTTGAAAAATAAAATCTTTCTTTTTTTGGGTCTTTTATATTGTATGGTTTTGTTATTACTATTATTTTTATTATTACTATTATTATTTTGTAATGATTGCGATAGTGAAATACTCTTAGTAAAGGTTTTTGAACTCATTCGAATTTTTTTGTTGAAATAAAAAAAGGTACTCCTTTCAACTTTCCCTTCTCTTTTTTTTTTTTTTCTTTTTTCTTTTTTTTTTTTCTTTTTCTTTTTTTTTTTTTTTCTTTTTCTTTTTTTTTTTTCTTTTTTTTCCCTATCTTATACTTTGATTATTCCCCCACACACTCCTTATACGAGTACCACGTTGGCTTCATATATACTCTCCAAACTAGGATACCCTCCCACCTTCTCCAACTTTTTATCTTTTTTTATATGATTATTATATTCTCCTCTCTTCTTCTTCTTGATATCATCTCTTAATGTCGGATCACGATTCTTCTTCCTCCATTCACCAAGATTCTGCTACTTTACGCAAGTACGATGTCACTGTCACAACTACTACACTATCAGCATCCTTGAATATCACTACTATATTGTCTTGGGTAAAGGATGAGTTGGAACCGTACGTGGAACATGGTCAACTACCAAGTATTGAAGATTTGGATACAAGTTGGGAAGATGGTCGCGCCTTTTTATGTCTAGCTCATAGTCTCTATCCTACTTCCTTTGATACTACAACAATATTCAATGACCTCATGTCACAACCCCTTGATAAGACTGATGTTGCTGCTGCTCGATCTACTTATGCCTTTTCAGTATTCAACGATACACTCGATATTACTCCACCTCATTCAATAGATCCTCCAATACCAATCCCACTATACCTTGCACAAGTTCGACAAGCTTACCTATTTTTAAATCCGTCATCAGCACATCCAAGCTCTATTACCAGCCACAACGACAATAATGACAATACTATCGACACGAATGATCCATGGCAACAACGAACAAATGCTGTATTATCCGCCATCCAACAAGTCAGGCAACAACTATTAGAATTGGTTTTTCATCCATCATCTAGGGATGATCCCAAGTACGATAACCATCGCGATCTATTCTCAAATAATAATAACAACAACGGTGAGTCAAGTGATATCAACTCATCATCTGACGCATATGAAGATACTGACCCGAATAGTACCACCATTAAAGTCACGGAACCAGCTCGATCAAGGACAACAAGTGGATGGGAAGAAGATCTCGGCATGATGGAACAACAGTTACAGGATTTGCATCATATCATGGATGATTACCATTCTTGGACAAAGGACAACATTAACTCTTGTGAAGGATATAAAGATGGAACGACCTTGACTCAAATGGAAAAAGAAAAGCGGCGAGCATTGATACAGGTAACCATATAGATAACCTATAATCACCACATTACATTTTTTTTTTCACTTTTTACTAATATTGTCTATATTTGATCATTTTAGAGTGTGAATGGTGCTTATGAATCTCTCCAGGAATATCTAGAGCAAGATCAGCAAGTATTGGCAGTATTTCGGAAACGGGCTCTTTTTACACAAGCTACAGCTCCTATTCGACAAGACTTGGATTGGGTACAAGCAGAAATGTTGAAGACGACTACGACAGACAATGGGATCAAAGAACTTGAATCACGTGTACGGAATGCTGGGATATTATTACAACAATTAAAGCAACAATATAGCGATGGACAGTGTAGTATCGACCTTTCATCATCACTATCAACAAGTACAACTGATAATCAACTACAGGAAGATGAACAACAAATCAACACAAATCGTTCTTCTGATCATGGTTTATTTACCGACGACGGTGATACACATACTTTTTATGCTGCAGAAGTGGATGCCCTCGTTAAAAGGTATCAGTTGGTGCAATCTTGGGTGGATGATGTTCGTATTTGGTTCGTGGAAGCTCAACGTATCCGACAATGGATTGGTGAAAGAATTGATATATTGGAAAACTCAACTATACCGGATGGTATCTTATCTCATCATTTGACCCTCACTGCCGATCAAGTGGAAGATCTCAACACTACTCATGATGCTTTGGAAAAAGAAGTGGAATTATTTGACAAGGAAGATATGTCTCGCTTACGGATACATGTGAAAGATTTGACCACTGATGCAACAAAGGATAAAGATCTTAGGTAAACCGAGTCAAAAAAAAAAAAAAAAAAAAAAAAAGAAAAAAGTAGGAAGGATGAATGAAGTTTTAACTAACTTTAATCTTTAATCTTTTGTTTTTTCCAAAAAAAAAAAAAAAAAAAAAGTCCGGCTGATACAACCACAATTGAAATTACTTTCACAACTCTGATGATATTGGACAAACTGATGCATTTATTACATCAACGCTCATATGATTTGCAAGTTTTGACACTCCGGGTTTTCTGGGAAAACGAGTATACAAAAACGGTGAATTGGGTACGTGGTAAAGCTCAAGAATTGGAAACTTTCATTAGATCACAAGCGCGATGGCGAGATGACATGGATCAAAGGAGTCTTCATGCCAAAAAGGAAAGCACAATGGATGAACGCTATATTTACTTGACCAACTCAAAGACAACAGTTATCGACAAGCTCTTGGAATTTGAAATGAACATATCGAATTTTGATCAAGGCCAATTTACAACTACAGTGAACATCTTTCAGGAAATGGATGATACATCTCGGATTGAACTACCCAGCTTTTTGGAATCTCGACAAGTAGAAGTAGAAGAAGCATTCGAAGCATTGGTAAACCGTACTGCTTTTGCTCGGCAAGTGGTAGAACAATACTTGGCTATGGCAGACTTTATGGAAACAAGTGATCATTTGATACATGATTATGGGGAAAATGTGCGTGAAAAATTGATTCGACAAACATCCATGGTATACAAGTTATTTTTGGATCAACAACAACAACAACGGAATAACTCTGATGGAATCAATGAAGATATATCATCTATCTTGAATGACAGGATTTTAATGGATGAAAATGCCAACTTTCAAGAACAAGCAGTAGGTTTGATCACAGATACAGCTAGTCGAATTCCTTTTACCGAAACTTCCTTCACTTTGGGTCAACAAGAAAATCAAGCAGGAAACGATAGAGTGCGATTGGCTGTGAAATCACAAACATCAAATCTGATACTTTTTGGCGAGTCGTTGGAACACAAGTTACGTAACTATCGATTGGCTATTCATTGGTACTCTCAAGTCAATTTGGTATACACTGATCTTTGCAATATACGTGATGAAATTGATAACGATATTCACATCATCTCTCGTTTCGTTGACAAGTTGGAACTCACCTATGGAGAACAAGTGGAACGATTATCGGGTACTATGTCACAGGACGAGACTATTATACAGGAACGGCATCTACAACAATATGTGGAAAAGATTGACGTTCTACAAACACAGCTTGACACCGTTGCTAATAAGATACAAGAAATATATACACTTCATGAAATACCACCAGCATCTCCAGCTATCATATCTTCATCTACTTTGCCATGCGATGATGCATCAGACACAACAACAATATGTTCACCAAGACCAACTTCAATTATTGGAACACCATCCTTGATGATATCAGACACAATAAGTTATCTTGAAACTACTGCCGACACCTCTTCTTCACAACTACAAAAATTGGCACACACCTTGGATCAGTGGAAATACAGTCTCTCTATGATGAAACGGAGACAAGATTGGGAAGATCAGTACAACATGGCCATTCAATGGATAGCAATACAGGAAGAAAAATGCCAACATATGCGTATGGAATCAGCATGGTCTCCCACGGAAAATTTGGCGACACAAGATCATCAATTTGAACACACCAGATCTTCTGCTTTATCATTGGAACAAGAGTGGACTGATTTCAAATCACAGCAATTATGTCAATTGAAGAATACTTTTGCACAATTGATAAGTGGATCTGAAGAAGCATCAGTAACTTCTGGACAAAGAAGGAAATGGATCCTGCAACAAGATCGACAAGATACTTTGTTATCAAAAATAGTGACGGTGGATGCTATTTTCATGATGGTGATGTTACTCCTTGAACAACGAAAAGCGATCACTACGTTTTTGATCAATAGTGATAAGATACAATCTCAAGGTGCTCGATGGCTTTATGATCTCAAGGCGTTTGTTTTACAATCCAGGACTGAACAAGCACTAGGAACAACAGAAACATTGCCACAGTCAGAAAACAATCGATTTTGCTTACATTCATACAGCAGTGAAGTAGAGGATCTATGGGCCACATGGAAAAACTATGATAGTGAAGGTTTTACAACAGCTGTGAAAAATTATCGTGACATCAACGCTGGATTGACGACGGATCTGGATCAATTGGATACTTTGGTGAAAGAGCAAGCTCTGGAACAATACAACAGATTAACATCACTTGGTTCTTTACTTGCTGAATGGGGATCTGCTGCCGATCATACAATGGAGTTACAAAGTAGAGTACAAGCCTGGTCTAGCAAAACGCATTCTCTCGATAATCATGTGGTTGACCTTTTTGCGACACTGGTGACAAAAAAGGATAATCTTGTGGCGATACTTGAGGTTGATTCAACAGAAAATAAAAATAAGGATACTGCTATGTGTGATTTCTTTCTGGATGGATCTAAGCGACATATCAACGATATTGATGGGATGGTTCAACACTGGCTGGAAAAAGATTTCAACTCATTACATCAGGAAGGACTGGATTTGCAAAATGGAATCATACAACTTGTCAACAAATTGGAATGCTTGATGGACGATCAAGGTGACAACAAATTGGCGATTACTGTAGATATGGAGACAACGCTGACACTAATCGATAACTCACAAGATCGATGCACGAATATGGCGCAATCGCTTCTGCCGTATGTGTTGAAATTGATAGAAACAAATCGTCAACGCTCAGCATGGGAAATCATATCATCAGATCTGTCTCTCAAGTTCAACCACCTGCAAGAACAATTGGAGCATATGGAACTGGAAAAACAAAACTGTTGGAGACATTTTAATACCACAACAACTCTACAACCCTTTGTGTCTGTTTCAACTACTCTGCAAGATCTTATAGCAAAAGTGGCCGTATTTAGAGAACACTTTGGAAACCAATTTATCATCTCGTTACATGCTGAAAATGATGCCTATTGCAATATGGAACAATCATATCATGATCTCTCTCAATACGAATTTCCTGAAATAGTGGACACTCCGTCTCGTATGATGTTACCGATCAGTTTACAAAAAAATCATGCACATTGGGGACAGGTGATTCCTTTTATGGAAAAGCGTCTGGAATCATTGGCTACTGACTTGGTATGGCTTTCAACCGGTGATTCATGGCTACAACATGCAGATGAACAAGTAGAAATATGGATGACCCTTTTGGATGATCTCGAACACTTTGTAGAACAAGACGCAAAATGGACTATTACGTTGGATAAATCTGTGAAACCAAGTGTTGATACCCTTACTGTGGCTACTGATGTCAATGATGATCACTTTGTGGAAGTTGATTTAGGAATGAATGATCTACGTGAACGTGTGGATGATTCAATCAACAAAACAGAAACTATTTTGGATGAAATGAACATATGGAAATCTGATCAACCGCTCCAAGAACAACAACAATGTAATGGCATTATTCTAGACGAAATTAAAATCTGGGACCAAAAGAAAACCTCTTTGGAACAATACCGCGCCGATGTACAATCCTATTTGAAGTATGCTTCAGCGATGATTGACCACCGCAATAAATTAGGCCAATGGTTGGATGATATCTCTGAATTAGAACAGCTGGGTGAAACAATAAAGGCTACCATTTTACAAGACAAAAACGGAATAGGCAAAGATAATCATACTGAACATTCGACAACGATCAATGATGACGATGATGATGATGATGATGATGATACGATACAATTGCTATTGGTACAATTCGACAAAAGATTATCATCGATACTTGATTACGCTCAAAATGTGGATTATCCAGTTCGACCATCTCTCTCAATACAAAATAGTCAAGAAAATACTGATATTACCGATGATGATGATGATGATAATATGACCATTCGTCAATTTGTACAATCACGCCATGAACAAATCAAGGATCTCTTATTGTCTTTACATTCGATCTGGAATGCCAAGGAACGATCAGCTCGCCTGAAGGCTTTGGTGGATGGACATGCAGTTAAAGTGCTGGAAACTGAAACTTGGATTAAGGATACAAATGACAAACTACGACAAGCGACAATTGATGATGATGGAAAAGAAGATGTTGATATTCAATTACTTGAATCAAAGTTGGATGTAGTGATCGAGTTAGAAAAGGCGGCAAATGTATACGCAGGCATATATTATAGTGGACTCAAGGAATCAGCACATCAATGTATCACAGCCATTCGATCGGATATTGACAACAACAAAAACAATGATGATGATACTGAACAGCTAGATCGTATTTCTATCATCCAAAAACAAGTGGATATTCAATGGCAACAATTATTAGACTCACTTACACAACAACACTTTGATTTACAAGGTCAACTTCAAGAAGCGGAACGTGCATATTGGAAGACACAATTTATACATAAATGTCAAGCAATGGAACAACAGCTCACTACTAGCAACAGCAATTTGGATACTATTGAAGATCATCATCTTGATCAATGGAAAACTACCATCAACAATATCAAATCAGTAGAATTGGATCGATATGAAAAAGCACTTGTATCTGACGCTGGCGACAACAATGACAAAATACAACTGGCTTTACAACAGGCGAATGACATTTATCAGCATTTGGAAAAGCATCTTCAACAGGTAGCCGATGATACCCATCATTATAGAAAGGAATTGAAATACACAAACCTAGCATCAGCTCTTCTTGAATCGACACGCAATTTACAATCCAAATTGTTAACACTCGTATGCTCAAATCAAGTGATTCCTTCAGTGCAACTGGACATATCAGCAGATGAAGCTCATTACGACGAATTTACGGAAACTTATGAGTCTATACTTGATGATATGGCTGAGAAAGGACAAAAATACAAGCAAGTAGATGATTTATTCTTATCCATGAACGATGATGATGAACAAAAAAATCGGACAACAGTTACAGTGGAACAACAACATCAACAACTGATGATCGAATGGAAGACTTTACAAAACGAATGGACGAAGATAGATTGTTGCTATCAACTATTGACTCAACAGCGCCCTATCTATGCTGTTTTGTATGAAGTACCTGCTATCTTGGATGATATCGAATCGGAATATGACTGTGAAAGATATGATGATGACACTACAGCACAGAAATTGGATTTAGCAAAAAAATTGATGGATGGCACTTCCAGTATGGTGAATCAGCAACAACAGAAGAAGCAACAAATTCATCACACGACAAAACCAATCACTGATGAAAACGAAATGGAAATTGCACTAAAGAATGTCTTCAAGCAACGGCATGATGATCTGTTACATCGAATGGAAACTATAAAAGGGAAGGTGGATGCACAACGTACACAACACCAGTATCGAGAATCTTATGAGTTATGTCAATCAATGGCAGATGAGATCAAGGCAACGGCAGTAAGAGAAATGACAACACTTACAACAAGTTATTACATATTATTCTCTGGACAAAACCAACAAATAGATTCGCAAACCAATAGTGATACCAGCATGCAATTTGGGACACAGGGATGTCAACAGTGCGCAAAGAAAGTGGCAGAGAGTGAACAAGTATTACAGCGATTGATGTTGGACGTAGAAGCAATGATTATCAAGAGTAAATCAATTGATGGTATGGAGGATGTTGTTATTCAAGAACTCGAATCCAATTGTCAACAGGATCTGGACAAGTTGAAGAATCAAATACAACGAAACAAGGTGCTGGTGGATCTCGTACGGCGAGTTTTGGGACACAACAAGAGTGCAGATAATATAATTACCTGGCTGGAGCATTTCCAAAAGGCGGTACAGGATCTTCCATACAACAATACAACGAATAGCAACGACATCAGCCATACAAATGAAAAGGAAACAAGTGATTTGGATATCAAGCTACGAGGATTTGAACCCCTTATTGGCTCTTTGGCAAATATGAAACAAGCAATACAAGCAACTGTCTTGGTGGACAAGGATGATGATGATGATGATGATGATCATATGGCTTCAGAATCTTATTGGAAAACATTGGCGCAGGATCGGTTCAATCAAGTTACTCGTTTATGGCAAGATTCAGTGGATTCTTTGGAAAGGGTCAAGAAACAGGCAGGCAAATCACATCAAATTTCCTTGATGGTGCAAAAAATTAGATCTATGATGTCCATTGTGGGAAATGCTCGTGATCAAATCGAACAACTACAGAGAAATAGTTCATTAGCCATCATCTTCCGGAATACGATCGAAACAACGACAGATAATCCATCTCATCAACAAAAGCAACCATTTGGACTCGATACTTTTAAATCATTACCAAGGGATTATGACATTACATATGCAGAAGAACGACTGGAAGTTATTGAAAACGAACTTGCAAAACAGGGAAAGAATCAGCGGGAGGAAATTGATGAACTTGTTCAACAATACCATAACGACAATGATGATGATGATGGTGATGGAAAAGCCTTTGTACCTCAACAAAAAGAAATGGATGCAGCATGGAATAACGTTATGGAAACCATCAATAAAACCAGACGCTCTCTCACATCAGCAAAATATATTGGGAAACATATTTGTATTTTGGATGGCATCGATGTACTTTTGGATTCTATGGATGAAGTTGTTCTCAAAGCGGCACCTCATTATCATGCAACGATGGTGGACAATCGGTACAGTAAAGCAGAATTACAAGCCAAGTTGATTGAATTGAATGCAAGGTACAGCTATTATCAAACCAACATCAAGCAAGATTTAGAACGGGCCAAGGAATCATGGGACTCACTGATGATGAAAAGTGCAGCAGATGATCAACAAGAATTCAAGCAAACAAAGAAAATCCTTGAACAATATTTTTTGAAGCAGCAAAAACGATGGAACGAATTGATTGAACATCAAATTCCTTTACGGCAACAAGAGCTACAAAAAGCAATGGAAATTTCATTAGGTAACATGGAACAAAAAACCCGGCTTCGAAAATCATCTCTGCCAACACGAAAAGCAGCATCTACGCTATCTTCTTCTACTCGACAAATACCAACCACTTTATCGACGCAACATATACGACCCTCCTCTAGAACGGTAGCTTCATCATCCACTTCCTCTACTTCGGGATTACATCCATCAAGTGCATTGCGTGATCAACAACAGCATCGACTTCGAACAGTAACATCATCTTCAGCTCTATTTAGTGACTCTAAAAAGCAAAGTCGTCAACATGAATTATCATCATCATCCTCTTCTTCTACTACTACCACAACAACGACTCCTTTGACTTTTTCTGTCAGTAGCAACAAAAGAACATCAACTCCTCTCTCAACAAGAAAAAAGCCTAATGCTTATGTTGCTCAAGCTGGTAATGCCTTGGATATGGAAATCGGTCGTATTATCAATGAAACGCCTTATCGGATCAAAGTCAAGATGGTACCTGGTGAAGTGGGGTAAAAAAAAAAAAAAAAAAAAAGAAAGGAACAAAGAGGCTTCAGGAGATGGACATGAATGATAACAATTTTTTTTTATTTTATTAGCCGTTACTGGTTTGGCGATGTTAATCCAAAGCTTGTTTACTGTCGTGTTTTGAAAAGCAAGATGGTGATGGTTAGAGTTGGAGGAGGTAATCAAAAAGATGTATTATATATATATATAAAAGACCTTGATATATCTTACGCTCAACAATGTGGACTCTTCTTTTTTTTTTTTTTTTTTTTTTACTCATTACCCTTTTTTTTTTTATGATAAATTATGAAAGGTTGGACTGAACTATCGCAATTTTTACGTGATCATGCATCATTGGAAGGTGAATTAATTATACCAAAGAAACAGAACAAGCAATTGTTACACACTCCTATTCAAGAAGGTTACCTAGAAACAACGACTTCATTACAACGACAACGGCAACAATTAATGCAACAGCAACAAGAAGAACAAACACCATCATCCATACCCACGATGAAGAAATCAAGGTCCACTCCATCAAATAAGAAGGGTATTATGCAACAAAAAGGATACAAAGAAGGTGACAAGTTCTTTGCAGTTGATCGACATGGAAATCAATTAGAAGTGAAAATGACGAAATTTAGCCAACAAAGCGCCCTTCCAGTCTCAACAGCAACCAATCGACGAAGAAAGTTGGTCAAGGGATGAATTTAATTACCCCATATTAGAAACTTAGTTGATTTGAATCTATTTCTTTTTTTTTTTTTTTTTTACCCCTTTTTTATATTCCTGCACTTATTCTTTACAATTCATATATTATACACAATTGTTTGAAATAGATATCATCATGTCTTTTAATTCATATTTATATACACAATTGTTTGAAATAAAATTATATAGATATCATCATGCCTTTTTATTTGTCTCTTCAACTGTTGTATCAATATCATTATGCAAATTCTCATGCTGCAGAAATAGATGATGATAAGCGGGTACAAGACTGTCAATTTTTGAAAGAATGAAGCTATCTTTTATTGATCATATATTACTGTCATGAACCTTGGAAAGAGAGAAGACTGTCTTATCCTTGGCTCTTTTTGCTCGGTAATTACTTGGCTCACTGTGCGCCTTAGAGCGGTATTTCAAACCTTCTTTCTCTTTTTCTCTTTTTTTTTTTTCTTGGTCTTTTGGGAAACCCCTTTCTTCTTTGCTCCCATTGTTACTTCGAACTATTTTTTTTTTTATTGATTTACTTTTTATGACGAACAATACTTTGGAACAATATAAACTGGTGATTGCATATGACTTCGGAACAACTTATTCAGGAGCTTCATATGCATTTACTCAAGTCACACCTGAAGTTTTTGATGTTCAGAAATGGTATTAAAAAAAAAAGTATTGAAATAAGTAACTGAACAATATATATCATTATATATAAATTTGGTTTGTTGATAGGCCTCACAAAAGTGGACACTACTACCCAAAAACACCTACATTATCACTTTACAAGAAAAATTCACCAGATATGCTTATGGATTGGGGTCATGGTGCCAAGAAAATGATGCAAAAACCTCAAGTGGATAAGGAATATGTTTTATTGGCCAACTTCAAGTTAAATCTGGATGCAAAATTAAAACGACCAGCTCTACCTAATGGAATGTAAGTTTTTATTACTCACATTTTAAGAATATCATTTTTTATTTTATTTTTATTTATTTTTTTTTATGATCACGCATATTTTTATAATATAGGACGGCAGTGACAGCTGTAGCTGATTATCTACAAGCCTTGCATGAACATGTTTTGGATGATATGACGCGTGGATTTGCCAAGAATTACCATCCCGATACTTTTCGATACTGTTTAACGGTACCAGCCATGTGGTCAGATCAAGCCAAGAATAGTATGCGCCAAGCTGCTGTCCGTGCTGGGTTGGTGAAACCGAATGATCCTCCCGATCGATTACTCTTGATCTCAGAACCTGAAGCAGCTGCACTTTACTGTGAAAAGATGTGTGATCAAGTCAATCTTCTTACGTCGGATCGATTAATGATTTGTGATGCTGGTGGTGGTACGGTGGATTTGATTGTATTTGAAGTTGATGGGCCTTCTAAACTCAAAGAAATTACCAAAGGAATGGGTGAAAGCTGTGGAAGTATGTTTCTCGATGAAAACTTTTCTATTTTGTTACAAAGTAAATTGGGTAGACAAGCAAACAACTTACCAAATGCAGCCGTGCGAAATATGATTGATCAATTTGTGGATATTATCAAACCTGAATTCGATGGATTGGATGATCAGTATCTCAATTTACCTGCTTCTGTTCAATTGGATCAATTATGTGACCCTAGTTCTGATTGTGTTGATGAAGGTACTTTAGTTTTACGTGCTAGCGAATTGAAAGAAAAAGTGTTTGATCCTGTAGTAGAAAAAGTGGTAAGTCTTTTCTTCAAAAAAAAAAAAAAAAAAAAAAAGAGATTGATTTTCATTATTATATTTTAGATTTCTTTGATGGAATCTCAATTTCAACAAATTCCTGATGGTCGATTATCATGTATCTTTTTAGTGGGTGGATTTGGATCATCTAATTATTTATTTCAACGTGTACAACAAGTATTTTCAAACCGTGTCAATCAAATTCTATGTCCTCCACGTGCAGCGATGGCAATTGTTCGAGGAGCTGTCCATTTTGGTTTGAATCCTAGAATGATTACTTCTCGAGTATCAAGAAGAACTTATGGTATTAATGCTGGTCTTCCATTTGATCCTGAACTTGATCCTTTATCTTCTCGAATTGTTCGTCCTGATGGAAGTGTACGATGTCCAACAAGATTCCTAGTATTTGTGAAGAAGAATGATAAACTTCCTGTGGACCATTGTATTCATGAAGAAATGTTTATTTATTATGGAACTTTGCAAGCAACGGATATTATGTTATATGCCACTGAAAATGATACGGTACCTCGTTATTATAACGAACCAGGTGTACATCAAGTAGCAGCTATTTCTGTTCCTATTCCAACTCTTCCAGGTGTGGCTCATGGTGAAAGAATATCTTATTCAGTACGAATGTATTTTGGCATGACAGAAATTAGGGTAGAAGCTGACTTTGGAACTGGTGAATTATATGAAGTTCATTGTGATTTTGATGCTATCAATAGATATGATGATGATGATGATTATTATAATAGTAGAAGAATTAGTATTGAAAATAGGTGATTTTATATATATATATATATTATTATGATCATTACAGTATACCTTTTTTTTTCATTTATTTATTTATTATTATTATTGTCATATGAATAGAAAATAAAAAAAATTGTTTGGAACTTTTTTTTTTTTTTTTTTTTTAGTTAGAATGTCTGAGTTGTACTTGTTTATTATGCATTTCTTTTTTAATAGATCGACAAATAAAAATCATTCAATATATTTTTTTTTTTTAATCAAAATCAATGGTTATGTATCAAAAAAAATTCTAATGAATCTGAAAATGAACAAATAGTAAGTGATCGTCATCGAAATGGATTAAAACTATTGAGAAACTAGGGAAATTTCCTTTTTTTAGAATGTTACTTTTTATATGATTCGTCAGTTTAAGGTAGAAAAGGGAAAACAGCGCGCAAAATGCTAAGGCGGAGTGAAAAAGGGATAATATAATTTTGGGAAAAAACTCGTTCTTTCTTTCTTCTTTTTTCACTTTTTTTCTTTTCTTTACATATACCCAATATCTTTTTCCTTTTATCTTTACACTCCTTCTTCTTATTCTTTTTCCTCTTCTTCTTCTTCTTCTTTTTATTATTGAATTTTATCTTCTTTCTCATATACTTTCTTAAACATCTAATTAGAACTTTATAGTTTCCATCTCCTCACCCCTTATTCCTTTTTTTTTTATATTTATTTATTTATTATTTCTCATCTGATATATATATATATTACTTACAATATGTCTTGTGGTTATGACTGGGTAGAAATAGTTGATCCAAATTCAAATCATACTTTTTTCGCTAATCCTGTAAGTAAATAATTGTAGTAATAAGTAATCTTAACTAGAAGTAATATTTAGCAGTAGTAATAATAGTCAAATAATTTTTATATACTAACTCCTTTTTTTTTTCTTATATATATATATATATATATAGACAACTGGTGAATGTCTTTGGGAGAAACCACTAACTGGATCCATGTAAGTTTTTATTATTCTCTTTCTCTCTCTCTCTCTCTCTTTCTCTCTCTCTCTCTCTCCAAACTATTATCATTTTATTATTATTATTATTATTATTAACTCAACCTTCTTATATATATATATATATAAATACATTAGGAAAATGACCGATCCTGAAGGAGATTGGTGGGAACTATGGGATGAGAAGACCAACTTACCATACTATTATCATACACAAACATGTGTCACTGAATGGACAAAGCCTGTTGATAAACATGTTGTACCTCTAATTAAAATACAAGTAATGTTTGAAAATAAATTAAGTTTGTTTCTTTTGGTTACTATTCTTGCTAACCCTTTTTTTTTTTTTGTTTAATAGTCTTCTTCGGTGTTCAGCAAACGTATGTCGGTCATGAAACGGGATTCAAACGACATTGATACTACTACTACTCCGGTGGAATTGAAACGAAATAGTAGATCTCTAGATTTACCAGCTACTTCTTCATTGCGACGAACACTTCATCAAAGATCAAATTCTGATGGAAAGAACGATTCTTCTATCAGTACGTCACCTACAAGTTGTTCAGATTATTCCCTTGTCGACCAACAAAATGGTTCATCTCTTCTTTCTGCCGTTTTACCACACTCAACATCTGCTGTCTTTAGAAAAATCAGTACACCTGTTAGAAAACAAAGTTTACGGTCTCAGGTACAAAAAAAAAAAAAATACATATATCATTACTTTGGATATCTAAACTTTTCTTTTTCTTTTTCTTTTTTTTTTTTTTTTCTTTAGAAATCAGAAAGAAATATTCTTGAAACAACAACATCTACTACTACTACTACTAATACCGGTGAATCTCGTCCTCGAAGATTATCTCATTTTTCGGCCTTCTCAAGCTTTAGTTCTAAACCATTAAGAAACTTCGTCAGTGGTCGTCCTACATCTGTTCAAACCACTCCTATATCTGTCAGTCAACCTATCAACAATCCAGGTAAAAAAAAAAAAAATTCACAAAATCTCTAAATTTGTATTCATATTTCTTTTTTAATTCTAGATGCTGCCACTGCTATGAATCCTATCAAGAATCAATCAAACTTGGAATTGGTTTCACCTTGTTTGAAAACTGGTAATCCGCTGGCTCGGATGACAGAACAACAACAACAACAGTAAGTCAAATAATTAAAATATTCTAATTTCTTTTTTATTAACCTCTACTTATAAATAGACCTTCTCTTCCTGATGGATTGAGTCATGATATCAAACAATTTGCCATTGATGGATTCGCTAAAAAGTATTTTTCCACTCACAAAAAGGGGTTATTCCGACGAAGAGTGCCTATGAATGAAATGTTACAATGGACAAAGGTAAAATAGAAAAGGGAGGAAGAAGTGGGGGGGGGACGAAATGTAGACATCGTATATCTAACATGTGTTGTTTTATACCTTTTTAGGATTCAATCAAGAAACCACTGATTATGATGAATAATGATTTATATAAGGATGTCTTGAAATGCTTCAAAATGATTCAAATGATTATGGGGGATCGCTCACGACCACGGAACACAAATGATATTGATGATTATCAAAACATTCTCAACTTTGGTATCATCAAGGGACAAATGCGTGATGAAATATATGTACAAGTATGCAAGCAACTTCATAATAATCCTAATGGGTAAGATTATATATACATCAACCTTCGATTCTTTCATTATTCTTAGTCTTATTATGTACTTTATTTATTGTTAGATCAAGCATCAAAAAAGGTTGGGAAATTTTATGTGTTATCAGTATTGCCTTTCCACCTTCCAAGAATCTCGAAGCCTATCTCACTAACTTCGTTCAAGAAAATCACAATGTTATCGAAAATGATGTCAATATAATGAGTGCTCATGTCTCCAACAAGTTGAAACGAATTTGCCAACGAGGGGCTAAAGGAAAAGTCTTGACTGCCGCAGAAATCAATCGTGCTAGGGTAAGAAAGAAAGATATTATCAAAGTCTTTGATTTTAATATTTAACTTTTTTTTTTTTTTTTTTTTTTTTTTTTTACTTATAGGAAGCACCTTTCAAACCTTCAGTTTTTGGTGAAACATTACCTTTCATCATGGATCTTCAAGCAAATCAAGATACAAATCTGAAAATTCCAAGGATTGTACCCTTCCTAGCTGATACTGTACACCAATTGAATGGTCAACAATCGGAAGGCATCTTCCGTGTACCTGGTGATGCTGACAATGTGACTGATTTGGTAAATTGAAGAGAAGAAAAAAAAAAATTGAATTATTTATAGTTACTCATATTTTTTTTTTTGTTTTATTTTATTAGCGTGTACGAATAGAAAATGGAAATTATGATGCAAGTGAAATCACTGATCCTAATGTCCCGGCGTCCTTACTAAAATATTGGCTTCGTGACCTTGCTGATCCTTTGATACCTGCTGAATTGTATGACACCTGTTTGGCTCATTCCGAAGACCCAGTGCAAGCAATTAATATTATCAACCAGCTTCCTGAAACTAATCGTCGTATCGCCTTGTATATGATTAGTTTCCTTCAAGAATTCAGTCATCCTGACGTTATAAAGGTGACTCTGATGAATATCAACAATCTCGCCATGGTCTTCGCTCCAAACTTTTTACGATGTCCTGGTGAAAGTCTTACGACAGTATTTGAAAACTCAAAATATGAACAAATATTCCTCCGTACCTTGATACAACGATTACAAGTTTCCAAGCATAGTTGTGTTTATGATGATGGACAAGTCTTTGGATCAGTACGTGTAGATTAATAGTGATAGTTTTTAATCTTTCGTCTTTTTAGTTTATTTGCCCTCTTTTTTTTTAATTATATCTTTATTTATTTTTTATTTTATTTTTGGCCTAAATCCCATCCTCCCCCCCTTCATCCTCTCCTTCCCTTCTGATTATTACCGTTCCATATTCCAAAAGACATCATCTTCTGTCATTGGCAATATGTATCTGTGTCTTTTTTTTTTTTTTCCTCTTTAGTTTCTTGTTATGTCTGTACCTCAGCTGGCATTATTCCTGAAAATAAAATTAAAAATCCGTTGATCGTTCTCGTACGTTAAGTGTATTCCTTTTTTTTTTTTTTCTTTTTCTTCTTTTTTTTTTTTTCTTTTAACTTTCTTCCATTATATCTTTTTTATCTTTCCCTTTTTATTATTTTTATTTCAATTTTCTCTTATCTTTTGAAGAATTCAATATCAGAATTTTCTCGTTTACTTTACTCTACGGTACAAATAACAAAAGCATGGAACCAACTCGTTACAGGTCCCGGCATCCTCAGTCTCCTACGCACCGGTCTCCAGAACTACCACATCCATCTCTTACTGGAATTGCTCAATCATATGAAGTTACCAATGAACCCACTGCAGCTCAAAAGTTTGTTCAACAACACCTTCTAGAGCAACAGCAAAAGCAGCAGCAACAACAACAACAACAGCAGCAGCAGCAGGAACAACGTGTCCGACTCCAACAAGAGCAATTAGGTTTCTCCATAGGTTCCTCTACGGCAGTCAATAGTGATGTTACTGAAAAGGCAGATTCTACCAATACATTACCATCACAATCCAGCTTATCCATGTTCCAATCTGCGGCTTCTGCGGATGATAATAGTATTTCCGGTGTTTTCTTGGACAATGTGCATAGCAGCAACAATGACAATAGGATCAACAACCGTTATTTTGGCGATGAAGAACCTACAGACAATAGCAGTAGTATTGGCGGTGATAGTGATGTTGGTTATCAGCAGGATGAGGATTCTGGGTTTCAAATCTACGGCAAACCATTGGCACCATATGATCAGGAACAACGACGACGTAGTTACCTATTCAGTCAAAGTACAGATAACAATGATGATGACGATGATGATGATGATGATGATGAACATGGAAGTGACGACTACAATATCCATAGTAAAAACGATGATGACAGCGATAACCGTGGTGACAAAACAACATCAGAAGAAGATGACAAGAATGATGAACAAAGCAATGATGCCATTCACTTGTTGACATTCACCGGATACAAGCAACAACAAGAATATAGTCATCTCAGAAACAATAACAACAATACTACAGAAACCAAGTTTGATCACGATGGATTTAGCAATAGTGATGATTTACAATATTTGATTCGACAAAGACAAGACGAAGAACTACGTGGATATCGACGAACACCTCGAGGTGGAAGACCTGTTAGCAGAACCAAAAGTGATATTGATGATGATGATGAAGATGATGATACAACACATACCAAGAAAAATGGTGACATTGGAAGTATTGGAAATGATAGTCAAATCAATGATGGGATTTGGCATGAATATCAACCAGATTATGGCATGTTGAATGAATCGTATCAGGCAACCAAACGCAATATTTACAAAGAAATTAATACTACTTTAGGTGATCTTCAACAACTTGAATCTCGTTTTGAAGCTTCCAAGTTACAATTTCATGGACGGATTGAAAAAGAATATGAAGAATGGTCATATCAATTGGATTTACAACGAAGGAAACTCGAACAACGGAAACGTACTTTGAATGATACTGAACCACGAGGTAAGAAAAAAAAAAGGCCATAAGGTTAATGACGCATGAAAATTATTTACTCATTTTAATTATTATATAAAAGATATTACAGCATTTCAAAACAAGATCAAACTCAATGTTGGTGGAGTTATATTTGAAGTAAGTCATCAATATGTATATATATAAAATACTCACTCTTTATTATTGATTCTGTTTAGACATCTTTGGCTACTTTGAAAAGGGAAGAATCAAGTTTATTAGCTACCATGTTTTCTGGAAAACATGTCTTGAAATTAGATGCTGAAGGATCTTACTTTATTGATCGAGACCCTACTCATTTTCGATTGGTATTGAACTATCTACGTGATCTTAGGGTAAGTTAAAAAAATCATTTATTATTCTTTTTATTGATAAATTAATTCATGTTTTTTATTATTCTAGATTTCTCCAGCTGTTATCCAAGATAATACAGTGTAAGTTTGTTCAGAAGAGGAATGATCGATCTTTCTTCATTTAACCTTTTTTTTTTCTTTCTTTCTTTCTTTCTTTTATCGAAAAATCTTAGATGTCAAGAATTACTACATGAAGTAAGAAAAAAATAGGCATATACTATTATTATTATAGTGTTACTCATCTGATTCTTTTTTGTTTTTCTTTTTTTTTTTTTTTTTTTTTTTGGTCACATTACTTTTTGGTAGGCTCAATATTATCGCATTGAAGGTCTAATCAAACTTCTTCAACAATAAGTTACACACCATCAGTTCGTAGCGGACCTTTTTTTTATTTTTTTTTTCTTCATTTTTTTTTTTATTTTCTTCCACTCTTTTTCTTTATTATCATTATTACTATTATTATTATTCACTTTTATTATGAATAAAGATGGAAGTTTATATGTATTACTTTTATTCTTTATATTCTTATCAAAAGTTTTTGGTCAAAATGGAACATTTGATACTTCCATAGATCGTTATGCTTCCGTACCCAAGATCGTCAACTGTAAATCAGAAAATAGTATGATAGTATCGAAATAAACTCACTTTGTTCTTTTATATCTACGTTTTTAGCCGAGTCTAGCAAATTCTCTGTGGAATATTACAATTGGTATAAAGTGATTACCAACATGGCAGTGAATCAATCCTATGTCGTAACCTATGGACAACAACCTCGTCCAACGAGTGTTGCTACTGACTCTATCTTTATTGAAACAACCAATACTTCTACTATTGGTGTTACTGGTGTTAATGTCGTCTTGTCCTATCTAGAAGTAAAGAAAAAGAACAAAAAATAGGCAAACTTTTTATCTTACTTTTTTTTCGTTTCCTTCACATATATTTTTTATCTAGTTGCTTGGCTTACAAAATAGGGTACAATATTCAGATAGTCCAACATCAGTTACCTCCACTTGTTACAATAGTTTGACAGGTCCTAATACAACTACGATCATGTTCAGCAATACTACTAATGGAGCACCTACTTCTTCTTCGAATACTACTACTACTATGATTGCATTTTCCCCTGACGAAACAATGACACCTTTGGAGGTAACTCAAAAAAAAAATATGAATGAAATATATTGAATGATTTATTTTATTTTATTTATTTATTTTTGAACTTAACTATTATATACATATATCATTTGTTAGCAATCTTCTTGGATCATGTATATCAGTTACTTTTTTGATTTGGAAGAAACGGCTTATAGAATCTATCAAGACAATATTCAAGGACAATATCTATGTCATAAGGATAATTTGGTACAAGCAGGAGCCAAGAGAATTGCCATCACTCGTTATGTCAATAATCAATGGTCTTTATTACAAAATACTCGATATTATTCAACACTGATTACTGAAGCTGGAATGACACCTTTCAATGGTACGATGGACAACTTACATACAACTGATTTCGTGATTGATGTGTCTCCAATTTCGTCTAGTTTTACTGGTGGATATAGTCTTTGGCTTCAATTGGTGGGTAGATACGATCCAAATATTCAAACTTTTACAAATGCAAAGAACGTATTTCGTATTGATGGATTGGTGAATAGCGATGCTGGTATAGGTAGAATCACAAAAAAAAAAAAAAAAAAAAAAAAAAGAAAAGAAAAGAAAAGAAAAGAAAGGATATTGATAACCTTTTTTTTTTTTTTGATAGATTGGTTTGAAAGATCTCCTTCTCGACCTGATCTAGTGATTCAAGGTAACATATGCAAATAAATGATGATAGAGGAGTAATTATTATTATTATTATTTGAAATAGATGTGATTCATATGGTATACCCTACATATGAAAGTAATTATCAATCAACATGGTTACGTAACTTTGCAAAAGGAGATACGCCTTGGTTAACACAAAATAAATATCCAATATGTGGTGATATGTCATCTATATTTCCAGGTGGATGTCGATTTGGAGTATTCTTACCTAATGGATCAAATAATGATGAATCAAATAATACAACCGGATTATCTACAGGTGGCAAGATTGGTATTGCTGTTGGAGTCATTATAGTAATTGTTGGTATTAGTTTCTTTGGATTCTACTTGTTCCGTAAGAAACAAAATAATCCTGATCATACTTTTTACAAGATGAATGATATTTAGACTACTGGTTTAGTTTATTTATTTATTATTAGTTATTATTATTGTTTTATTATTATGTATAATATATATATAAACTTGTATTCTTTTTTATCTTATACATGTGTGCTTATATGGATATTTATTTTTTTTTTTTCATGTTGATCAATGGACGGTCATTGAACAATGTCTATTGTATCACCAAACCAATTTTATTTATTTTTTATTTTTTGCCCCCCTTCCTCCTTTTCTCTGTCTCTTTTTTCTTCTTTTTGTGTCTCTAGTGTTTCTATGTTTTGATCCCTTTCCTCTCATTTTCTTTTTATACATATATATATATACACTTCATATATCTTTATTGGTTAATCCTTCTCCTACCCAAATACCCCTCCTCCTCCTCTTTCTTCAATAGTTTTTTTTTTTTCTTCATAGTCATATATAGCATTCTTATCCATGTGGATTATCTCACGTATAGTAAGTAACTCAATTCTTCTTTACATATATATATATATTTTTCGACTTGTTAGTTGAACATTGTTTATTCTTTGGGAGTATTTCTCCTTTTTTTTTATCATTTTTATTATTAATATTATTACTATTATATATCATTTATACTATATTGTACTAAAAACATACTTAGTTTGTATCTAGTTCATTCTTTTCATATATAAATATATGTTTGATCTTATTATTCAACAAAGTTTACTCATCATCTTCTTTTTTATTTTTTTTAATTAGTTTGGTGAATCAAGGTGGACAAGGGCTATCTTTTGTCAAGTCATTGTACAGGCTATTTTGACGATTACTTTTGAAGGTGTCATCTTTTGGTATCATTCTACCCAAATCAATATACTCAGCGAACGAAAACTGACCAACAATAGTACTGATATTGCAACAGCATTTGCAAATGCTCAATCTTTATTGGTATATTTTGTTCTTTTTATTATTGCCCAACTCTTTACTGTTATTTTGGTCATTGATGCGGTATGTCTTTTTTTTTTTTTTTCTCTTTCTTTTAATTTTAATCTTATTTATTTATTCAATAGATCTATCAAAAAAATACCATCCAATTGATTGCATTATTTGCCTTTGAATGGGGAATGGCAGCATATTCTATTATCCAATACCATCAATCATCAACGCTCTTCAGTACAAACGATGCTGTCGTCAATCTTGCTACTGCTTATTTGGGAGACGCTTTACATGCTTCGAAATGGGCCGAAATCACTCAAATTTGTATCATGGTTATCAGTAGCGTTGTCTTTTGTTTCTTGGCATATAAACTTTATCTTGATTTTGGTTGGTACATTTACAAGAAAATTGGGGCTGAACAAGCTATGCGTGGTAAATAGATAAAATATTAAAAAATAAATATCATGACTGATTATTATTATTATTATTATTAGATCGTTATAAAATGTATCAAATCTTTATGATGTTACTCAAATTTGACTTTTTCTTCTTTTTGGGTTTTTCTGTTCAATATTTGGCTTTGATGATCGTAGTATGGTGGCCTGAAGCAACAACGGACGAAACAAGGAATAACTTGGTACGTGAATTGATTGAACATATCATCCTAAGTTGTGCCGTTACTATTCTTATGCTGATTCTAGCTTATTGGGGTGTAAGTGATCGTGGCCACTGTGCAAAAAAAGAAAAGCCGTGTTACTATAAATATACTTCTTGCAACTCACTTTTTTTTTTTTTTTTTTTTTGGTAGTTACGTCGGGAACGAAAAATTCATATGCATTTATTCGTTCTTTTATCCATGGCAAGTATGGCCTACTTTATATATACCTTGGTACAAATCTCTTTAGATCCTGATAGATTCCTTGGTTCAAGAGCTTTTCTTACCTTCTTTTGTAAGTTTCATTCATTCTGCTTTTTTTTTTTTTTGATCTAATCATGATTATCTTTTTTTGTTTTCTTAGTATGTGTTGATATGGTGCTTATTTTGGTAAGATCAAATAAGAAATCACTTTGGACATGAATACTTATTATTTTTTTTTATTATTATTTTGACATTTAGGTGTCTGTCCCTGTATCTATTGTATGCTTACGAAACTTCAATCTTGGCTTGATGAATCATAGTAAGTTATGTCAATGTTTCTCAGAAATGGAAAAGTGATCTTTAATTTATTTATTTATTTATTTATTGGTTTTAGTATCACACGCAACTGCTTCAGCTGCTTCAGCACATTCTATGACGCCTCTAGGAGAAGAAAAGGCCAATTCCAAACGCTGGTCTATTGAATGAATAGTAACCTTTTTTTTTATGTATATCGTTTATACATCTATAGTTTTCTCATTTGATATCATTTCTTATTTTCCATACTTTTATCTTCATTCCCTTTTTTTTATTATTATTATTTTTATTTTCGTTTAGTCATACCTTTTTTTTTTTTTGTAAGCTAGTTAGTTGCCTTTACACACCTTTTTTTTTTCCTATTACTTTATTCTTTATAAATAAATCAACCCACATATATATCTCAATACAATGATGTTTGTTTTGATATTTTGACGATGTTATATATAAAATGTTTTATTGTTTGATGAATCAACGACTAGAAGAATAACAACAGAAGATGGATGATAAATAAAATATAAAAAAAATGAATGTTCAAACTAAAAAAGTAAATAGGCAAGTTTCTAAACAAGAGAAAAAGAAAAAAAAAAAGGAGAGATATACACTGTATAAGAATGGGAAGGACGAGCATAAAGAAAAAGAAAAAGAAAAAAAAAGTGAGGGAGTAGGATGATCAAAAAGGTAATAACTAGTTTGTCTTGACAGCGAGATCAGACTTGTCTTCCACAACAACGGCAGCACCACCTTGTAAAGCACCACCAGCAATCAATTTTGCATTACCAATGACGGCCAAGATATCATTCAAGCTGTCCTTCCAAGTATTCAATCGAGCACTTAATTGTTGCCATTGTTCCTTTCCAAACACACGGTAAATGCTACGATGTACAATGACTGTCTTGTTCAATTGATCCAACTTGGCTTCTACCAATCCAGCACGAATCACATCAATCACCCACATTTCCACTTCATCTTCCTTGATCATCAATGCCTTGGAGATTTCAGCATAAGACAATTCACGAGCCAAGTTTTCAGAACCCAGAGAAGCCAAGGACAATAATCGCATCTTGCGTAAACCAGCTTCTTGATCAGGTACAAGGCCAGGATGATTAGATACAAAAGTTTCGTATGTTTGCAAGTTACCATTCAAAAACAAATCCAACAATTTGAATTCTTCACTATCCTTGATATGTTGTACCGCAGTATATTGAATCAAACTTTCAAAGGCAAAATAATTTTCCATATCAATAGCAGATAAAATAGCCTTCTTTGCACAAGTAATAGATTCATCATCTTTGGTTTCATAGGTTGCCAATTTCTTCAACAAGAATTCAAGTGATGTTTTCCTATAACATATCATAATACGTATTAACATATGTAAAAAGTTGTATATAAAACTTACTTTTCACCAGCTTGATCCAATTTTTCTGAAAGATATTGATACAATTGTCGTTCAGCAGCAAGATCAATTCCCCATTGTTTAGCCCAAGTATCGACATTAGCTAATTGACTTGTAAGTGAATCCAATTCATCAGCTTGTGCAGTAACATCGACCAAACCTAAGAAAGCATCATATCGAAGAGGAGAATTGTTGGGTAAAGCATTATATAAATTAAGCAAACTGAATTTAAAAGAAATAAATAAAAAAATGAATGAGTCTAAATGAAAGATATATCTTACGAAAGAATGACTTACATTTTTTGCTTCAAACTGGTCTTGGAACTTTCAGTTTTAGTCAAAGAACCAACCAAAGTTTTGACAGCTACAGGCAATACTGATTCAGGTGCACCCAAAATAATCACAATAGAAAGATTGAAAGCATGTTCCACCTCTATCAAAAGTAAAAAAGAAATAAAAAATAATAAATAAAAAAATAAAAAATAAAATAAAAAAATAAAAAAAATAATAATAATCTTATTGTAAAAGAATAATACTTCTTTTTCTTTTTACCTCGGTCGTTCTTGGTCAATAGAATAGAAACGTCTTCAGCAAGGCGAGAATAAATGCTGTTTTTATCGGTTTCAACAAGAGCTTGAATTTCTTTCACATAAGGAGCATCGTCTTCACTTTCACCACGTAGTCGGGAAATGTAAAAGGCCAAGTCATCAATCTAATAAAAGAATAAAATATATATAGTTTAGTCAAATATTTGTTTTACGTTTTTGTTATATTCCCTCTCTTTTTATGTACTTGATCTCGCATAGCTTAATAATAAGCCACGCAGGATCATCCAGTTGATGAGTTGGTTTTAATCTTCATATCATTCTTTTCCATATTATAATCATCTTTTTAATATACCTGTGCTTCGGATGAGCTTTGGATAGAAAAGGTGGTCGACATATTAATGAAAAGAAAAAAAAAAAGGTTAAGTGAAGGTGAAAAAAAAAAAGAAAGAAAATATAAAAAAAAAAAAAAAAAAAATAGGGTAGACACCGCTTCTTGCAATAAAGTTGAGAAGGCACCCAAACAGTCACTTGGAGGTTACTTTTTTTTTTGTAACTCAGTGTCCAAAAAGAGAGGGATTGACAATTGCCATACATAGAAGGTGAATGAAATGACCTTTTTCTTTTAAAAAAAAAAAAGAAAAGTTGCATAATTGACAAAAAACGATAATTGAGAAAAAAATAGATGATTCGAATATTCTATAATAAACATTTTGCACATCAAAACAAATCAATTAGAGATGCAATAGTTTAGGTTACAGCCATCATCAAAAAAAAAAAAACATTCAGGGGGGAGTAGAGTTTCTTTTCTTTTATTATTTGTATTTATATAATGTAAAAAGTGATAAGGAAGTAATTAAATTATAAAGAATTGATACTAAACTATTTTCTAGCTACAATGATTTGACCTACAGGTTCACCTTCTTGTACTTTTTCCGTAAAGAGATCGATCCAACTACGTACTTTTTCATATACCATAAAAGTAACAGCTTGACCAGGTGCAACACGTAATAGACGAGGAGTAAGACCTTTGTAAAATGCACGGGGTCCTTCTTTTCGTAAGATATCTCTTGTCACTGTTTGAAATCTTTCCCATCCTGATCCTTTTGCACTTGATTTTTGAATACGTGTCTTGATGGTATCAATAGGAGCATTGGAAAGAGGACCTAAAATAATATAAAATAAAAAAAAAAAATCAATATATCATTCTCTTTTTTTTTTTTTCTCTTTCTTTTGTTTACCCATAGCTCCAGATACACCACCAAGAACTAAATGTTGATAAGAAGGAAGTTCATCCACTCCTTGCCATTTTCGTGCATACTTTTTCATTTCTTGATAAGCTGTAAAGTTGGCCGCTTGATTGGTAGCTAAAAAAAAAAAAGGCTAAGTTTTGATGATTCTTTATTTTTAAATTGATGATTACCTTGTCGTAAAGCAGTCAGAGTAACGCCTTTATATAAAGCACGAATACCTTCTTCTTTTACAATTGTATAAGCAGCATGAGGTGCATTTCGATACTTGGGAATATCTAATGGATCTGCCATAGAGTGCCTTTGAGCTTGTAATCGAATCTTGATCAAATCCATAGGAGATACTACCATCACAGCTTCCGTAGTACCTGCAAGTAACCCAGCTGATATACATATAAAAGTTGGTATATAAATAAATAGGTGAGTTCATGTATGATAGATAAATTCATCTATTTTTACCTAAGAATACAGCTTTCGTACTAACTATATTATTCTTATCGGTCATATAAGACTTGTATAATTCAAAAGAACTAAATCTAATAGCCATTTTTGGGACAATACCAGAAACAACAGCACCAAGACCTTTATAAAGTGCCCAAAACGATTCATTTTGTACAATTTTCATACCCACACCAAGAAAACCAATACGTTGACCCTATTCAAAGAACAAGATAAAATAAGTTTTTTTTTCAAAAAAAAAAAAAAGAAAGTCTTTTTATTCTATATACTTACTGCTGCGTTTCTTGCACCATTCTTTGACAATTGCATACGAACTTTGATAGTATCCAAAGGATGACATGTACAAGCTTCCATAAGACCAGCAGCTCCACCAGCTACCAAGTGAGTTACTAACGAGGTTGGTTTCTTTCCATCACGACTCATGTTGAATAATATAAAGAGAGTATTTAAAAAAAAAAAAAAAAAAAAAGAGAAAGAAAAGTGTTCTTTTTTCTTTTCTTTCTTTAAATAAGTCAACAAAACAGAAAAGGGGGGAGAAATTGCCAATTTCCAAAAGAGGGGCGGAGGCTCTTGAATTTGATTGGCTAAGAAACAGGGGCGTGCAAATCATTATTAAAGTTTACCCTTCATTTTCCCCTTTCTTGGCATCCTTTTTCTTGATTTCGTCCTTTTATTGTTGTTATTACATTATTTACCTTTTTGTGCAAGATCCTTCACTTTTTTTTTTTTGGCAGGAAGGAAGAGGGGATGATCTCTGTTTCTTCGGTAATTCAACTTCCGATATGGTGCTTTTGGGTGACATTTTTTCGAGGACAACGAATCACGCGAAAAAAAAAAAAAAGAAAAATTCCCATCGTCTTAAGAATTTTTTTATTTTTTTTTTTTTCTTTCAACTAAAATATCAATGCTTTCCAGACTTTATACGCAGCATTGGCCTCCTAGTCTCGGTGGTACTTTACGTTATCGCCCTTCTTTATCTACTATGCAACTTCGGACTTTTCGATCTTCTCAAGTTTTCAAAACTAACCAATCTGATCTTACTGTAAGTCAATTCAAACAAAAAAAAAAAAAAAAAAAACATTATTTAACTCATTTATATATACTTCTTTGTATATATAGCCTAAAGTGATTGAAACTACTGAACAAACAGCTCTCTTGTATTTGGATAATATTTTTCCTCTTCGTATGAATTCTTTCGACTTTCGCCAATTTGTTTTTCGAAATACCGACCGATCTTTGGAGAATGTTGCTAATCGTTGTATACCAACTGAGAACTTGCCTTATAACTTCAAATTATTGGATATTATTGGAAGGTAAAAATAGTATAAATAATTCATATATGATATATACTTACATATATTTTCTTAGAAACAAAGATGGTGGTGCGATTATCAAGTTTGGTTATCAAAGCGGAGACGAACAAAAAATGGAAGCTGCCAAAGAAATCGTATCAAAGGTGAATATTTTCTTGGAAGGCAAACGTACTCTAGCTCCTTTCAATTTTCGTCCTGTACGGTCCTTTTTAGTGAAAGGTCATCCATTCTTGGAAGATATGGTACGACGATATCCCTCTCTTCGATTACGCGTGGAATTTCAAGGTGAACCGGTTAGTGTAGAAAAACTATATAAACATTTACGACAATATGGTAAAATCTATGATATCGCCTTATATCCCAATCCTGCTGCTGGTAAAGATCCTGCTCGTTATGCTATTGTCCAATTTACAAGAATCCGTGCTGCTACAAGTGCTCGAAATTGTCTTCATGGACATCTTATTGGTGATACTCGACTCAACATTCTTTATGAACGTCAAATGGTAAATCACAAAAAAAAAAAAAAAAAAAAAAAATATGAATAGGTGAACTGATGCTTTTTTCAATATATATATATATATATATATATATATATATAGCACACCAATGCAGTGAAAGACTGGCTGATGAATCATCCTCGTATTACGATTCCTACTTTGGCTGCCACAGCTGCTGGTATTACTTATGCTATCTTTGATCCTCTACGTGAATTCTTTGTCATATCTCGAATTACTCAACGCTTCAATCCTGAAGAATATTCCTTTTATCGATGGTTACGACGAGAAACTTGGGCTCGATTGGTACCATATCAAGATTCTGATCGAAATATGTGGAATGATGATCCTGTCCATTTGCAAAAATTGAAATCTTGGTTTAGAGAAAAACCTGGTAAGAAAATAATAATAATAGAAAGTGACCCAAGTTATTTATGTGATTTTTTTTTTAGATTCATTTGTTATTGTTAATGGACCCAGTGGATCAGGAAAAAGTGAACTTGTCAAAGCCGCTCTGGATGATAGAAGGTATAATAAAAAAAAGGAATGATATCATACTGAGTCTATAATTCATCTTTTTTTTTTTTCTTTAATAGAAACAAGGTCATGATCGACTGTGAGGAACTAGTGAATTCACGTAACAAATCAGAAATGACCAAGGCTCTTGCAAAACAAGTTGGTTATTTTCCTGTGTTTACATGGGTAGCATCACTCAGCAATTTGATTGAAACGTTGGTCACAGCAACTACGGGACAACACACTGGATTATCAACAACACCAGAATCACAAAATAAAGGCATACTGGAAGTCGTTGGCATTGCATTAGCTGATATTGCTCCTATGGAAAGAGCTGAATATGAACGTAAAAGACATGAAAAAGATACCTTTACGAAAAAGCTAACCCGATGGATGGAAAGACACTTTGGAACAACAGAGGAAATTGAATTGGCTGAAAAAGAAGAAAATGAAGAAGATGATTATGATAGCCGCGCTCATATTCCTGTGGTGTTTATTGACAATTTTATGAAGGATGCTTCCAAGAATACAGTTTTATGGGAAGATTTGGCTGAATGGGCAGCTTTATTGGTTAAGAATGAACTGGCTCATGTTGTCTTTGTTAGTTCCAATGTAGCCACTGGCAAGATTTTGGCAAAAGGTAATTCAAAAAAAAAAAATCATAATACCTGAATCTATGATGATATACTCATCGCTATCTTTTATTATTATTATTTCATAGCTCTTCCTGGCAAAAGTTTCTCAACTGTGAACTTGTTAGATGCTCCACCTGAAGTTTCTATGGAATTTTTGACTCGCAATCTTGGTATGGAAAAGAGAAAAAAAATATTCAATAGGATGAAAAGAGAAGGAAGAGGAGTGACAGATCATCATATCGACTAATCTCTTCTTGATTTGTGTTATGAATCTCTAGGTGAAGAAAAGATTACGCCTGAACTATATGACATTGTGGACGCTTTAGGTGGTCGTTTGAATGAACTTGAACTCTTGGTGCAAAAACTAAAACTGGATATTCCTCCACAAGGTAATATATATATATAGGAAAAAAAAAATAAAATGACTGACCCTTTATATATACATATATATATTAGTTGCTTTTGATGATATTGTCCAAAGAAACGTGATTGAAATCCGCAAATATGGTTTTGGTGAAATGGTAGATGATGAATATGACGTGAATTTGGATTGGTCCGTTATTCAATTCTGGCAGATTGTCAAACTATTGACGAAGGCAAATAGTGTAAGTTATCCTACAAAAGAAGATATAATCAAAAAAAAAAAAAAAAGATTAATCATTTCTTATGTTTTAGATTAACTATGATGAATTGAAATGGAGTGATTATTTCGATGGCAAAGACAAACCAATTCGTGCAATGGAACATTCAGAATTAATCAGTATCTTACATCATGACGGTAAGGGAAGAGAAAAAAATGATAAACAATGAGGATAAGAACTGAACTATATTTCATTTTATTTTGTTTGTAGGTCGGCCCAACTCAATCCGACCAGGCAAGCCTGTCTATTACACAGTATTCAAACGACTTTTGGAGGACAAAGTATTTGCGGCATCCATGGAAATCGAAACACATACTTATTTGAAGAAGACAGCCGAAGACAAATTGACAAAATTACAACAACAAATTATCGAATTATCTCAAGTATACAATGGTAAACCTCCTCGTGAAATCGATCAACGCATTCGTTACCTTCTCACTAAGGTCAAGACTTTACAAGCAAAGATTGAAGACTGTGAAAAGTCCATCAAAGAAAACATGACAATTGTGACTACAACTTGGTCAGACACACAATCAGAATAGTACTGTCACTCACTTATATATGTATACATAGCTTTAGATTATTGGACTAGTTGATAGTTTTGATATTGTACATACATGTATTTTATTCGTTTGAAAATAATAATAAAAAAAATGATTGGTTAGTATCTTTGTTTTTCAATATAGGTTGATAATTGATATGACAGGAAAGATGATGATGATATGATGATGATATGATGATGATGTTTGATGTGATAATGATAGGCGTGCGTGATGCAAAATGGACAACAAAAATCAATCTTGCATATATGATTTTGAAAAACTTCAATCAAGCATCAAGACATTTATTTCATAACGATAATAATAAATAGTAGTTCTATTGCTACCATTCAGATGGAATCAAGAAAGAAAAAGGAAATCTATCTAGAATGATTGTACCAGTAAGACAAAGAGCTTAATCAGTATTTATGCAAATGCTTGGGGCAAAAGGAATAGGCTAATTAAAAAAAAAAAAAAAAAAAAAGGATTGAAATTAGTTTCATGATTGATAAATAATAATTATAAAAAAAGATTTACTTACACGACAGATCAAACCAGGACAACAATCATCAGTGGTACGACATGTTCGTTCAATGCCAACGCAAGCAGAAGCATATTGGACCATGTTGGCAAAGAGACAAAGGGACATAAGAACGAAGAGGGACTTGAAACAAGCAAACATGATAAAATAATAATTTGAGAAAGAAATGAGATAATGGAGAAAAAAAAAAAAGAGTCAGTGATTGATTTCCTTCTTTTATAGTTTTTATTTTCATTGTTGAAAGAAGATTTACATCCTCCAGGGGCCACTCCGTTTTAATACAAGAAATTGAAAATGAAAAAAAAGCCTGTCAAAAGCTTGTCAAAAGAATCCATCTTTTCTCCTGGATTTTCGAGCCCGTTCATTGGTTTAGATGGTGAATAGGTTGAAAGTACAATCAAATTGGAGGAGAGTCTTAATCATAGATGTTGATTAATGATTGCAAAGTAATCATAATGTTGATGAATGATTGTAAGGTAATCATAATGTTGATGAATGATTGTAAGGCAAGTACAATGTTGATGATTGTAGGATGATGTATGGATGACGAAAAAAATAGTTTATTAATAATGAACAATGACAAGTCAAAACTATGAGATGATTGTGCCTGCTTGCAATGTCGCAGACCCATATAATTCCCCTTGTGTGCATAATCACTGCTGCTTCGGACGAAAAGGCGGTAGGGAATCATTTGAATACCCGCATAAATCGTCCAATCATCTTTAGTCAAGACGAATGTACAAAATGAAAAAAAAAGAAGAAAAGAATTTATTTTTCCTATTTATTGTTTGTCTATATTCAAATAAACTATAAAGGCATGATATATTCTATTAATGAATGATTTTCATTTATTAAATTGTTGATATGTAAATAAAAGTGGCGATACTGAAGGGGCTTAGTGATCAAGCAAAACTCTTTGAATAGGCATGCGAGACAGATGACGAAACAGACGAAACATCAGCGGCAGTTGAATTTCCGTTGGTATAAAAATAAAAATTTGTACTCTTCAATTATAAAAACTTCGCATCTCTTTCCCGTTCTCCACTTTTTTTTTTTTTTTTTTTTTTGATAAGGTAACTAATAAAAATCATAATTTGGGAGAGATTCCAATATAATGGTGTTATCTTTATCTTCATTCTTTCTTTTTATCTTTGATCGTAATGAACTTTTTTTTTTTGTTGCTTGATACTTTTGGTCTCCCTTTTTCTTCTTTTACCACTCTATCATTACTCATTTTTGTTTCTTTTTTTTTTTGTGTAGAACTTGTCAAGGAAAAGAAACGATAACGCAATTGATCAACAACAACAACCTTTCGTATATTATACTTTTTTTTTTATCTGTCAATTAGGCTTTCTTGTGGAAAAGAAGATTATTCTATATTATCTTGTACCTTTTTGACAAAAGAAAAACTCTGACACCATGTCCAATGCTATTGTGGTAAGGCAAATAAATAATAAAATAAAATAAAACGGAATATTCACATTTCAACTTTTATTTAGTCCAATGTTTATCGATACGTTATTGACGATGTGATCAATCAAGTACGTGGCGAATTTGAAGACATGGGGATCGATGAGGCCGTTTTACAAGAGTTACAAAGGGTAAATAAAGATTATGAAACCAGAATTCATTTCTAATATTATCTTTTATTATTATTGATAGTCTTGGGAAACAAAAGTAGCTCGATCTCGTGTGGCCAACTTTGGGTTCAATAACGATGGATACTATGACGATGAAAGCGAACAAAATAATGTAAATAACGATAATGACAACAATGGCAACAACAGTAATAACAGCAATATCCCCCCTACTACTACGACCGCTACCAACAATAACAACAATGTATACTCAGAGGTATAAAAAGAAAAAAAAAATACAAAAAAAGAGACTTTTTTTTTTGGGAAATGAATTCATTCTTTTCTTTTTTTTTTTTTTTTTTTTTTTTTTTACCTATTTTTTAGACATACTCACAAACCAATCCTCCTGCCGCCAATCTTGCCACAATTGCCAATTCTGGTGTACGAAGTTCATTACGACCTGAAACTATTACCAATACTATGCGACCTCCTCAATCACAAAATCAAAATACATTACAACAACAATCAGCGTCAATATCATACAATCTACCACCAGCAAATATGCCCCATTTGCCTCCTGTCAATGGTAGTGGTCAATATTCATCCATGCAACAACATCAACAAAATTCACTTCCTGATCTTCAATTGCCTGGTGGAGGTCGACCCAACATTCCTCAAAACGATGGTGTTAATGATAATATGACTACTGAAGTAAGTTGAATGGAAATATGATTTATGATGAATTATATTAATATTTGATATATTCTGGTTTAGGAAATCGATGCTCATATTTCCAAGATAGTGATGGATGCACATGAACAACAACAAAGCAGTATACAAGATGATTCACCTTCATTGAGCTTCTCTGCAACCAATCTATCTGGAGAAGCATTGGCAATGGACAACCTTCCAGAACATATCAAATTGTTGATGAAAGATGCAAGGGAAAGAGCCATTCAAGCTGGTGCGATTTCATCAAAATCTCGTATTGCTCAATTAGATGGTGAAGATGATAATGTAAGTTTCCAATAAAATATGAAATGATGTTATAACTTTTTTTTTGTTTTTTAATTAGGATGATATCAATTCTGATTTGGATGATTCAGACGATGCTGATGACGATGCTGAAGGTGGGGAAGAAATTGAACATATCATCCTTTGCCTTTACGACAAGGTGACACGTACAAAGAACAAATGGAAATGTGTGTTGAAGGATGGCATCATGCTGGTCAATGGTCGGGACTATCTCTTTCATCGCGCCAATGGAGATTTTGAATGGTAGAAGATGAACAATGGATCAAGATAAGGGTTTTATAGTCACATTCCCTCCTTTTTTTTTATTATTATTATTTTATTATTATTATTATTATCATATTTGTGATTCTTCTTTTTTTTCTTCCAAATTGAAATTTATATATACTATTATATGACATTCATAGTGTAGCTCCATGTTTTACTATATATTTGTTTTTCTTTTTTTCCTTTTTATCAACAGTAATAATAAAAAAAAATAACTATATTTATTCTATTATTGATATTTTTATGAAGATATTTTATTCATCATCATCGACTCCAGAGTCAAAAGGTATAATAAAAAAGTGGGGTACTATTTTTCAAAAAGAAAGATCACGAAGTGCAGCAAAAGGATCTAAAGGTTGTGGAGTAGGGGAAGTAGGGCTTGTATGAGAAGTCAAAGTTGGATGGGTAGATATCTTCGTGGGTGAAGGTATTTTCATGGAGGAAGGTGGTGGAGGAGCCAATGGTTGAAATGGAGCTTGTCGAGTTTCAACAGACTATAAGTGAAAAGATGAAAAAAAAAAAGTAAGGATTTTGAATCTATCTTTTTTTTTTTTTCCTTCTTTACCTTTGTAGACCAAATATCATCCAATGTACTCGTCTGTTGTGTCATTGTTGTTGTTGTTGTATTTGTGGTAGAGGGAGATACAGGCTATCAAGAAACACACACCAAAAACAAATCAAAACCAGCATTGGATTAGTTAAAAAAAAAAAAAAAAAAAAAAGAAGAGCATGCAATGTATATATGTATGTATTACTTACAGTGTTCATCCATGGATTGTTATTATTATCAGCCAAAAGATCGATGCTATGTTTTTGAGAAAGATTGTTTGCAACCGTGGTTAAACCAAGAGGAAGATGATCATCATTTGGGTTGTTAAGCAAATTGGAATGTTGTTGTTTGATGACAGAGTTTGGAGACGTGGGTGGTGGCGGAAGTATAAAATTGATTGAAGTAGGTGAAGTTTTAACTGATAAACGACGTGTTGAAGACAAATCTTGACGACGAAGACCATCCTAATAAAAAAAAAAGAAAGGATGATGATAAGAATAAAAATGTATCAACAAAAAAAAAAAATGAAAAGATTACCTCTGTATAAAGTTCATTGATAGTACGAATGATCTTTTCACCATGTTCTTTCCAAAGAGCTCTATCTAACCATCTTTGTTCATAATACTTTTGTCGCATAAAGAGTCGTACGTCATAATCAGATTCTATCCATTCTAATTCACTATGAAAACCATGTAACCAAATACGTTTTGCCATTGTATTACCACCCATTTCAAGACTTGTTGTTTCAGGACCAGAGAATTTGCTTGTAGAGATAGATTTCACTCTATGACCTACTTCACGTCTAATAATAAAAGTATGAGGATATGATATTTTTTAAACAAAAGAATATACTTACACAAGTCCAGAACATCTTGCACAGATAAAAGTTTGAATAGTCATATCTACAAAGAAAGGACTCTATACATAAACTTTTGTTAGAAATATATTGGGTTTATTATATGTATTCTTCTTACTGTGGCTGCACAATCGAAACATCGTTTATTATCAGGTAAACGAAGTAATTGCTTGATTTTACTAAATAAAAAAAAAAGAATTAAGTTTACTCTATAAAAAGTCACTTATTAGACCTTACTTCATATCTTGTTCTTCTTGCTTTTTTATTAAATGAGTCATGATGATACAGAAAAAAGAGTTCTATTCCAAAAGAGAGAGAGAGAGAAAAAAAAAGGAAAGAGATGGTAATTTTAAGCGGTACATAAATTGAAGCATTAACTTTTTTTTTATATGTCTGTTTTTGGAATACGCTATTGCCCCCCATCTATTTTGTAATACTCACCCATGCTTACTAAAATCCCCTCTCCTCTGTTTTTTGAATATAAAACTGTCTATCAAAAGTCTAAAAATGGTAATCAGTCAAAAAGTAGGTTGTGACGATGATATGATCTGGATTTCAATGAAATCATTAAAAAAAAATTTTTTTTTCAGGGCAAGTAAATATAATATTCTTTATTTCTTTTTTTTTTTTCTTCCTTCTTCTTTTAAAAGAAAACTATAATAACTCTCTTGATTTGAATCTATAGGTAAAAAAAAAACTCATTTTTTATATTAATTTTCTTTCCCTTTTTTTCAAATCAAATGATGATATTCTATTATAAAGACATTTGCACGTCAGTCTGATTCTCGTAAAAAAGAAGACAAACGTTCGCTAAAAATATCTGATTTTGACAAGTGGAAAGAAGAAACCAAAAAAAAAAAAGAAAAAAAAATTGGATGAACTGATCTTATTTTTTTTTTTTATTTTTGTAGATGTGTGACCATGAGAACCCGATGATTATGATAGTTAGTTTTTAGTATAGTTTATATATATATATTTAGAAATGAAAATAAAAAAACTTTATAGAACATTGTATATGATGAAAGATCTGTTTTTAGACATCAGGATCTCTCCACCTAAAAAGAGAATGATGATTTATTTATTTATTTATCTGTTTCCCACAATCTTGGGACAAAAAAGAAAATGAGTTCTATAAAGAAAACCTATAAACACTTTATATAATAACAAAAGGGATGTGATATCTTATGACTTTTTCGGAGTGATAAGACAATATTATCAATTTGAAGATGGGATGAATCATGATGATGATATGAAAGTAGTACAAACTGTGTAAATAAATAAACAAGTATAGATAGAGTGGAGAGAATTCTTTATTTCATCACAAATTTATATAAAAAAAAAGTCTAGTCAAAATTATAAAAAAAAGATCTATACAAAATAATAAAGATATGTGTGAGGAAGAAGAAGACGAAGAAAAAAAAATGATGAGGGAAATATACAAAATACATATAAAAAAAAAAAGAGAATATAGAAGGGAGAATATAAATATAATACAAAAAAAAAAAAAAAAAGATATTGGTATTAAGAAAACGCCTTATTATTTTTTGTTGATGTTGTTGAGAGTACAGTGAGTGTGTCGCCATCCATTAGGTAGAATACCATTGTCACAAGTAATAGTATTATACATCCATGAAGAAGCCAAAGCTTGATCTATAGTATATCTAGTGATTGGATCTGGATCCATCATACCTGCCAAACATTCCCTTTCTTCTTTAGAGAAACCATTGAAACAATCACATTGATCTATTCCCAATTGCCTTTGTTTCATATATTTGCCATAATCATGATCACCACCATCGATAGCTTGAGATGATACCATAAAAGGAGAACCGGGTACAGCATCTCTTGATGATACTTTCTTACCACCAACACAACCATGATAGAAACTTGCACCAAAAGGAAGTTGTTGTTGTCGAATACAGAAATAAGTAATGGCAGCACTCCAAACATCTAAAGCACGTCCATCATAGGAAGAATGTTCATCCTTCAAAGACCACATTTCAGGTGACCAAAAAGGTTCACTACCGCACCATTTGTAGCATGACCTTGGTTTGGATTCAAAGCAAGATTGCACTACATCAGCTACACCAAAATCGGTAATCTTGAGTGTGCCGCCACGAGTCAGGACAAGATTTTCTGGTTTGATATCCCGATGAGCAATACCAAGTTCATGTAATTGTTGAATTCCAAGTAATAGTTGTTTAAATAAACAAGCACGTTCATCTGTGGTCATATTGGGTCTTTCACGAATTAAATCATATAGATCACCACCATCACACTAATTATAAATAAATAAATAAATAAATGTTAGTATATATATTATTTCATATGACTTTGTTCTGTGTAAACAAAAAAAAAAAAAAAAAAAAAAAACTTACATATTCCATAACAGTACAATAACGATCTTTTTCGTCAGTAACCAAATCAAAAGTACTAACAATATGAGGATGAGGATGTTTTGAGACAGTTTTACTGATACAAAATTCATTTCCCATACGTTTGTGATAATCACGTTCTGATTCTTTCTTATCACGTTTCTTGAATTCCTTGACAGCTAAAATGGTTCCAGTATTCTTTTGTCGAACAAGACGAATAACAGCTGTAGCACCAGTTCCAATCATTTGTTTCTTCAATAAATTTGATGGTTTGATATAATCACCATATTTTTCACGAAGAGTAGGCATAGAAGGTGTGATGGCACAAGAAGGTGAATTACACAAAGAAGATGGTGATATAGGTGGTTGATTGTTGATTTTTTCATCTACTGATAATGTCTTTTTGAATAAATGAGATAATGATCGACTAAGACTAGATCCAAAACTACTACTTCGACTTTGACGAGGAGAAATAATGCTGGAAGAATCATTGGGTAAAGTCATTTTTAATCCTATACTAATACTAGGTCGTTGTAGTCGTTTACTGGGAATGTCCATTGGTGTAGTAGGATGAATAGTTTGTGGTGATAAATATGTACTATCTTGAGATCCATCGGTTGATACTGAAGACGATAAACCTGGACAATCACAATTGTCTAAACAATCTGGTGAAACCGATCTTGGTATTTCTTCTTCTTCGATCATTAACCAAGTAGACATGATGAAATGTGCTTTATAAAGGTATTATATTTGAGTCGTAATGGTTGTGGTGTTGTTAATGAGAAAAGAAAGGGGAAGAGAGGGGTGTATATCTATAAATAAGAATAATAATAATAATAGTATAAAAAAAAAAATGGTATGATAATAGATAAAAAAAAAAAATCAAAAAAAAAAGTGAAGGGAAAAAAAAAAAGAAAAAAAAAGAAAAAAAAAAGGGTGGGAGCTATTTTATAAGAAAACGGGGATAACGGTAGAAATAAGAAAAAAAAAAAAAAGTTTTTTCTCTCAGCTTGATTGGGAATTATTGAACGAATGGATGAATTCGACGGGAATCTTTACAGCGGAAGATTAAATTAGTTTCTTCGCGGGAACCTATGACTAACTTATCCCTTTCTTGAACTTCGATAACTATTCACTCTAAACTAACCAGAAAGAAAACAATATATTCATCAAACTAAGTAGAATAGATCCCACATGATGAAATTTAGTTAAAAATGGATATAAAATATATATATATATATATATAACTTTAATATTGAAACACTCATAGATTTCATACTGTTATTTATGATCTTTACAAATTCAATAGACTAAGGAAGAATATGATGTAATATATAATATTTCGTCATCATCATCATTTCAACAATATATATTTATTAACATTTCAAATAAATAAATAAATAAATAAATAAACTATACTATCTAGTCATATATATATATATATATATATATATATATATATATATGTATAAAAGGTACAAATAACTATACTATATATAGAATTACAAAAAGAAAAGAAAAAATTAACTATGCTAATTTCAATTTCACCAAAAGTTTGCTTTTATTTTTGAAGCCAAACATGGATTTCTTCTTAGGTGTCGTCATAGAAGGAGGTCCAGTAGGTCCAGGAAGAGAAGTGGATGCCAAGGATATACCTGATTCCGTAGTTGTTGGTATATCTAAATCGGGAGTCAATGTCTTTTCATCCTTTTGTATCAATAACGCCGAATTCAATTCATTTTCATCCAATACTGCTTTTTCATCAATTCTATTGGTGATTTCTGTAGACTTGACTAGCTCTTTTGTTGATGAATTGATTTTCAATGATGATGATGATGATGATGATAATACTATAGGTGGTGGAGGTGGCAACATCTTGGAAGAACTTTGATTTGAAGAATGATGACTGGTCAATACCATTCTATGTGATGAAGAGGAGATAGTTTGATGTTTATCATTGTTGTAAACTGCTGAAGAGGAAGAAGAAGAAGATACCATAGAAGATCCTTGATCTGACGTATGAGGTTTATTCAACTTGGCAACGTGTACTAGTTCAGGATCATGTGGTTTTTCTGCATCCCTACTAATGGCTTCATCGGGTTTTCCTAAGGCTGCTGTTGTAGATGATGAGAGTGGTGTTGAAGGAGTGGATGATGTAGGCAAAGAAGCTGAAGCAGTAGACATTGCTGGTGAAGTATAAGGTGGAGGAGGTTGTGTAGGAGTTGCAAACTTATTATTGACACTTTGATTATTGTAACTATCTGCTGTTAATAAATCTAATCTTGAAGTAAAGACACACCGACGATCCAAAATAAGAACTTCTATTTTGATTTCTGTTTGTCCAAAATACATATTGACAGTCATTGTAAGTTGTTCACCTACTCGTACACCTTCAAACGTTGGCATCTTGATAGGAAAACGAGCAACCAAGTTCACCCGAGGATCTGTGACTAATCTTGGAGGAACACCTTCACCATCAAAAGCATACAAATCTAAAAAAAAAAAAAAAAAAAAAAAAAAAAGATTCAGTTTAAACATTAGGAAAAAGTTTTAAATGATTCTTTTTCCTTTTTTTTTTTTTTTTTTTTTTTTTACCAGTTTCAGTGCCATGTGGATAAGTAACCAAATATTTCTTTGTCACGCATTCATCAAGACCAATAGGTTGTCCTTTGTGAGCATATACACTAAATCGTTGCTTGCAGTAATATCTTCCATGAACATTAACACGATTTGCAATAGGATCCAATCTTTCTTCAAATGGAATTTGACTGTTGAGACCATAAGTTCGACCTACGAAGGAAAAAAAAAAAAAAAGATAAAGTTTTCTTGACTGTTGACTCTATTCTAATTTGTTATACTTACGAGAGACACGCTGAGCAACAAGACGAGGATTTAATCCAAAATAAACCGCACCACGGACCACCTAAGAAAAAAAAAGTAAGAAGAAAACAAAAGAATTAAAGTTCGAAATTCAGATGAGTTATTTCCATTGTAAGAGTTTATATTCTTTTTTTTTTTTTTTTCCTTCTCCTTACCGCCATTTCCGCTCGAGGAGGAATACCGACAAATTTGACACGAGGTATAAAAGTTTCATTCACACGACGATGAAGATAATTTGATTTTCCAAAACCACCTACCATAAAAATAGCATCCACAGGTTTGAGAGCTGATCCATCCAATTGATTACGAATCAATCGAATTACTTTTTCCACCACAGGATCAAATACCTTTTCTTTGAGTTCATCGGTAGTAAATATCAAAGTACCATCCATAATACCAACTTCCATATTGTCATTATTTGGGTAACCCATAGTAAAAGGAATAGGAATAAAATGATCTTCACCATCATCATCGAATTGAGGCTTGATTCTTTCCACAAAAACACTCATCATTTGATCCATAGCACGTTGATTGACTGGTCCAAAATGTTCGAATTTCTCCCTAATTAATTGTTCCATGTTTTGATCCAAAAAAGTTGATCCACAGGTATCACCAGAGCCTTTAGTCACCTCTTTCAATGATCTATCTTGAGCATTATCATTGATTTCAAATACAATCAAATCAACAGTACCACCACCAGCATCGCAAATCATAAATCGTTGACCATGTACAAGATTGAATTGGTCACATGTTTTTTGACAGTAAAGAGCAGCTGCTTCAGGTTCACTAATCAAACTCAAGCGTTCCAAAGGATCGTTTCGATCAATCATCCCAGCCATAATAGCAGCTTCACGCATCACCGCCTTGGCTTGATCACTCCATGTTGCTGGTACAGTCAAACAGTATCGATATTGTCGTTGATCATAGTTTTGTGCAAATCCGCGCTTCATAGTATCGTGAATATAGTCGTGTAAGGAGCGTAAATAGTCAGCAATCACTTGTAGTGGGGTTAATCCATTAGGTAGCAAAGACAGTGTGGCAGAGGTTGCTTCATCCAAATAGAGCTTGAATTTTTCCAGAAAATGATCTTGAAGATTAGGTCGTTCTGATTGTTGTCGTGCTGCATCACCCCAGGCACCTACTTGTTGAGAATCTTTTTTATATAGAATAACGGTGGGTGTTTTGGGATAAGCTACATTTCGTTGTTTGGGCCTATTTTTCAAGAAAAGAAAGATAATAATTAATTTCAAAAAAAAAAAAAAAGAACGTATAAGAATGCTTACCATGTAGTAATGTCCTGAAAGTCTTCAAAAGTATCTTTGGTATATGCATAACAACAACCACTAAAAGTCGTGCCAAAGTCAATACCTACTACATAAGCATAGTCATCTGCATTGAATACTTGTGTCATGGATCTGCTTTTTTTTTTAAAAATAAAAAAATAAAAAAAAAAAAAAAACTAAAAAAAAAAAAAAACTTAAAAAAAAAAGAGAGAGAGAAAAAGAAGTGAAGTTTAATTTAGTCCTAGTTTTGATTTGACTTTATTTTTGTGGGCTGAGTCAAAAGAAATTTATTCATCATTGTTCATCCTAAGAATAACGAAGAAAAGATTCCAAAATCAAATAGTTTAGCGTATCACCATTTATCCTTTTCGGTACGTCATCCACATTGTGTGGCAGAAACATGCTACTATATATTATCATTACAGTTGAGAATATGCTACGGAACACAAGCGCTGCCACAATTACTATATTCGGAATCCTCTTCTAACTTATCAAAACTTAAATATATATATATATACACTTTTTTTTTTTTATTCATATTGGATCATTTCAATAAATATATATATATATCGCATTCTAACTAACCATCTATACTACAAAATATTATATACTAATCATCATCATTTATATTCTACGTCGTTTTGTTGTGAATTGAATCTTTGAAGATTTTTCTGTATCACCAGTTGGTATTCCCATAAGTTGTACTCCTAGTTGTTCTTGACTGTTTCCTAAATCATCCTGTGAGGCTTCACTATCATTCATTGTTCTACTATCTTCACCACCAAACAAGATCCGTTTGTCCTATCCAATCCATCTTTGTTGTGTCATCCTGTCGTTTTTGATCTCTTTTTTTCCTTCTACTATTGTTGATTTTCCATAAAGTATCTGTTACTGCTGTACGCCTCTTATCAAACTTGACACGAAGATCTTCCACCGTATCATATTGGGGAGCATAATACACTTGAAGTAAATTGGCATAAAATACCTTATCATCCATTTTTCGTTTCGCTAAGCGAGCTTCATCAATGTTGGAATAGGTAACTAAAAGTGGCGGCAGAGTAAACGATGGAGATGCTTCTTCGATTCTATTCAATGACTGCGAGTTTTCTACTGTTCCATAGAGACTACATTTCGATAACAAATGTTGAATGGTTGTTTCTTCACCACTGAGTGCTGGGATGTTTTTAATAATAATATGTCGTGACTCTTGAGCAATGGTGTATACCACTACTGCCCTAGGTATCTTCGGTTCGCGATATTCTGGTCTATTCAAAGCCATTCCATTGGATATGAAGACAGATAAAAAAAAAAAAAAAAAGAGAGAGAGAGAGAAATAGAAAAAGAAAAAGAAAAGAAAAAAAGACTGCTTTTAACTTCCGCTACATCTTTTTCTTTCTCTTTTGTGCTACAGTTTATTCACAATAGTTTGATGCTTGAATGACGATTGATGATGACAATATTAGAGATAATGATAACTAAAATATAAGCACAATGACGATGATATTAATAAAAATCATAGATAAGATTTTATTGAAATGAGAGAGATGATATAAAGTGTATCTAATACTAACCAATAATACAATCGCTATAATAACAACTAGATAAGAGAACAAAGTTAACCTAATTAGAAGAAAACCAATCAAAAAGATAATTTTTCATGATTGCCATGTCTTCCTTGTCATACATTTCATCCAGTTAATAGTTGATTCAAAAAAAAAAAAAAAAAAAAACAATATTGATTCACACATAGAAGGAAGCAAAGTGATACATATCTACACCAGAAAAAAAAAAAAAAATGAGTTTCATCAAAAAGAAAAAAAGGAAAAAAGACTGACTTACAAAAAATAGAAGAAGAAACCATACGGTATCATACACTTTTTACCTTAAGATTCTCGAAAAAGAAGGAACGAAGAATTCATAAAAAAAAAAATACATCATTCAATTCAGTTACTTTTTATTTTTTTTCTGGCTAACATTACCTTGGTTTGACTATACCCGAGAATGACTATAAATAAAACAATTAGTCAAGTAACAATTCTATGGAAAATAAAAATAGTAAAAAAAAAAAAAAAGGAAAGGAAGTCGGATTCCAATCAAATTAGATCAAAAGAGAAAGAGTAGTTTAATTATATATATGTATATCATAAAAAAACAGAGAGGTATAATGTAAAAGAATAAATGAAGACGTATTTTGTGATTAGAGTAAATAAAAAAAAAAAATAGAAATAAAAAGAAAGAATGTGATGGGAAAAATAAAACGAAAGAAAAAAGGAGGGAAAAAGGAGGGAAAAACGAATTTATTCAGTATGCATTTTTTCGCAGTATAAAAAAGACCATTTCTATTGGTCGTCATAATACCGACACGGCTACTTTTATCCAATCATTTTGCGCGATTTTGCTATTAGATTGATAATGATGTTTTCAGTCTAAAAAAATGTATCGCCTTGCTAGCTCAATCGGCAGAGCGTGAGACTCTTAATCTCAAGGTTGGGGGTTCGACCCCCCCGTAGGGCTTATATTTTGTTATTTTTTAACCTTGCTCGGAATATGAAACTGTACCAATCAAGTGTGTTAAAGATTTTTTTTGTTCTCCTGTAAAGATTTTATTTGTTACTTGGTTGATGATTGATTTGTTAAGTGATTTTTTGGTTGTTAAGGCCAAAATTGAAAAAGTAATTCGGATGATTGAAAGAGAATAAGTTAAATAGTGAGCACCAGTACTTGATTACGCAAGCACACGTAAAAGTTTTTGAATAAAACAAAATAAAAGTAAAGTAGAAAAAAAAAATAAAGTCTTGTTCCAAATTTGGAAAACAGAAGAGGTTCTGACTTTTAAAATATAGAACAGAGTGAGCCAATCAAAAGTGACAATCCACAATACAGTTAAATTGGGGTGGAGAAGATATATTTTAAAAAAAATATTATAAAGTTGATTAACTAAAGAAAAGGAAAAACAAAAGGAAAACTTGGGCTATTTATACTAAAAAATTTATGTATGATGGAACAAGAGACAAAATGAACCAAGGGTCAAAAGGATAAGTAGTCAAAAAGGACTGCGGTCCCATCAGGGGAAAAAGATTTTTTTTTCTTTTTTCTTTTTTCTTTTTTCTCTTTCTTTTTTTTTTTTTTTTTTTTTTTTTTTTTTTTTTTCTCAACATTAGATTTATTTGTGTTGTTAAGAGATTTTTTGGTTGTTAGGTTCAAAATAAGAAAAGTAATTCGGATGACTGAAAGTTAATAATGAATATAGTGAGCACCAGTACTTGATTACGCATACGTATAATTTTTTGAATAAAATAAAAGAAAATATGATACTGTATTTATTGACTTGAATTGACTGGGGAAAAAAGGAGAAAGAAGATGGGGTATTTATACTATTTGAAAAGGGGTAAAAAAAAAAAAAAACGTAACGAATATATATATATATATATATATATATAGTAAAAGAAAATGATGACACATGTACATAGATCATTAGTAGAGTGTAATAATAAAAAAAAATTGAATGAACTTTATTGTCGATAAAGAAAACTAAACAATACTATACACTAAACTACGATATAACCTTTATGACTCCATCTCTGTCACCACTGATGATCATAAGGTATGGAATTTCAGTGAAGACGATATCGGTGATCGCATCTGTATGATTTCGCATCAAATGTTGTTGTTGAACCACTGATGTATTGAGTCCATTGTATAATTGATGTTGATTGACATGTGATGAAGCCCTATTTGATATAGATGATGTTGAATTTTGATTTGATGGTCGTTGATGAGTAAATTCAAAATGGAAATGGATATTATCATGAGTGTTGGAACTAAAATATGTATAAATAAATAAAGAATACATAATGAGTATATAGTCATTGATTTTTTTTTTATTATTATTATTTTTGTATACCTATATCTTGGCTTTGCTTCATCGATATCCAATCCCAAGATCACTGCAGAATTTTCTATTCTGTTCATATCCCAAAAGCGTAATTTTCTATCGGCACCACCAGTCAACATAAATCTGGAATCAGAGGGTGAAGATATGGCACGAATGGTATTTTCAGCATAATTTGTTTCTTGACTTGTGAACGTACTAAACATGATTTCAGTATCTGATGGTACTTCCAAAGCCTATCATCATAATAAGAACAAAAAAAAATAATAATTATAGATGTATATGGGCAATTTTTTTCCTTTCATTTTTTTTTTTTAAAAAACAACCTTACCTTATACATTTCCATACTGATCCCAGTTGTTTTCTCATCACCAGATTTGACACCATAGACCTCCAAACATTTCAATTCCGCAATGTTCCATATTGATACTTCATTTTTTCCTGATGCAATGATAACTTGTTTACCTTCAGCCCTTGGGTCATGATTTAACATCATTCGACTAATTCGACTTTTGCTTGGGTGGAGCCATGAGTATAAAGGAATTTGGAACCGCATATCATAAAGAGTGAGTATACCACGAGTAGTTCCAACTAATAACCAAGTATGGAGTCGATCTGTCACCATAGAGGTAATGATACCTTTTTGTATGATGATAGGATTATCATATCAAAAAAATAAATAAAAAATAAAAAATAAAAGAGGAAATCAGTGACAATCAATTAACTTTTTCATGGTTTTTTTCTTTCCATTCTTACCATAGCTTTTTCGATTCTTCAAAGTAACCAAAGTGTTCATCGTCAGTAGATCAATCAGGTAAATATTTTCCTTGTTTGTTGCCACTAATAGAATTGACTTGGATCCTGTCATAGTATTGAATGCATCTGGAAAACAAAAAAGGAGGATACGTTAGATGATTTCATATGTTCCTATCACAAAGTATATATGGATGCTCCACTCTCATACTTACTGCTTGTAAAATGTTGAACAATCAGAGCGTATTCATCAACTAACTGATATTCACGTACAGTGATACATTTTCCAAACTTTAATGATGATCCAGAACTTCTTAAATCGACTCTATATATATGTAAGTAGTAAAAGTAAAATAATAATAATAATAATTAGTATATCTATATCTATATCTATATAAATATCATCGTATGTGTATTTAATATTGCTAATACATTTACCTGAATATATGGATGCTTCCATTATCTGATGCTGATGCTATACTGTAAGTTTGTTGAATAAATGTAATGCATTTAATACTACCACCTAAAGTAAAACAAAAGTCAAGATCGGTCTCCCTTTCCATATTCAACGCATAAAAAAAATACTACCTTGTTTATTGTAGGTTGTCCGCGATCTGTTAGTGACGTTACGTTCTAATCGAGAGCAATCCCATATCTTGACAGTACCATCATCAGAACATGAAGCAAAAAGTAAATTATCCCAAGAAATAGCCAATTGATTGATACCAGCCGTGTGTTCAGTGAAATGTGCTACAAGTGTCCCTTCAGGCTTCCAGTTCCCAATCGTTCGTAGTGAGGAAGTACCTTGTGGAAGTCGTCGGATGCGTTTCATTACAGATGGATCTCCAATGAATTCTAAAAAAAGAAAAAAGGAAAAAAAAAGGTCCACTGTTAATATCATAAACTATGTGTGCATGATTTTTCTCCTTCTTTTTCCAACTTACCGGGTATATGAGGTGGAAAAGCTTCCATCGCTGTTTTATAAAGTATTCTTTGTAAATGAGAGTAACCAACTATATGAAGAAAAAAAAAATACATCAATCAGATCCAATCAAAAAAGGATTTTCTTTTTTATACCAAATAATTGATTTCTGTTTCTTTGAATTTATTTTGATTACCTGTACTTGGAGTGCTATCTTGGATTTCACTTGAATCAGATTCTATGTTCCTACTAATTAACTTGTTCATATCATCTTGATAACCAATAAAACCAGATCGGTGTACAGCTTTGATCACATCTTCTAATGTAATAAAATCCCCAATCACCCATAAAATATCAGCGCAATGTTTGGATAAATTAATTTTTTTTTTTTTACCTTGCATGCGGTCATCTTTTGTGACAGGAACGCTTGTACCAAAACCATGATTTGGGGCAGTAGAAGTCTTTGATCCACTCTCAGGTAAAACATCTTGAAGTATAGCTTGTACATGTGGTTGATTTGCTATATGATTCGTTACGGATATATTATCTCCTCTTGACTTTGATTCTTTCGTTGAAGCTCTAGAGACAGTGTCATTCTATCGTAATAAAACGAGATATCATTAGACATAAATGTTCCAATCGTTCTTGACCGTCTATATATATATATTCTCATACTTGTTGAGTGGATACCATTCTGTGTTTTGAGTTCCAAGTATGAACTTGCTGGGAAAGATCAGGTAGAAAAACAGTGACAGGAGTAACACCTAAGTTTGTCAGAACGATTTCACCACTCTATTAATTTGAAAAAAAAAAAAAAGGTAATGAGTTGGCATCAGTTTGAAATTAACTAACAACAATGAACCATACAATATTTGATATTAATATACTTACAGTAGAAGTTATATCATCTACACCTTTGGTTCGACTGGATTAAGAACAATAAAATAATAACAAAATAATAAAAAAGAAGTTAAATGGTGATCGCCTTACATTGTCTCTTCATTTAGGTTACCTAGACTTTGTACGAGACACCTTGAATATATATTCCCGCATATATAGTAATTTGAGTTCATCATCATTTGTCATTCCAACATTTCGAAGGCGTTCAAGGTTTAACCTATCTCTGTATATTCAAAAACAAAAAGAAGACATTATCATCATCATCATCCAACTTGAGCTATTTCTAACTTACTCTTGTGCTTGATTCAGTTCATCATGAGAGACAATACCATTGAAGACGGAACCTTAAAAAAATGAAACAAATATATATTTAGATATTGAAACAACCCAACTATTATATATATTGGTTGTTGCATTACCTTGACGGATCAACGTAGCAGGACCTACTGATTTTGATTTCGATAAGGTTGAATCTGGTAGACGACTGCCTCTTTTACTCTGTTGTTGAGGTTTCCAAAATATAGACTGATTTGAAGCTCTATTTGCCCATAAAATGGTTTGTTCGTATACTTGACGTGGAATCTATGATACAAGATAAAATTAATAATTGACATTTATCTTCATACCAATTCGATATCTTAGTGTATAACATAATCAATACTTACTGGTGACTTGACATTGTGCAAAAGAGATTCTTCATTGATATCAGCAATATCAGATCGAAGGAAAGGGGTCAACAGAGGGTAAATAATACACCAGCGATCAGTTTGTGGAAGGTGTTTTGTTGCTGAAGATATAAATCCAATAGCGCCTTTTTTTTTTAAAAAAAAAAAAAAAAAAAAAAAAAAAAAAGAGAGAGAGAGAGAGAGAGAAAGAATGAGAACAGTGAGTTGATTGCTCATTTGAATGCATATGTACATATATTTATATCAGTTATTGGGTTTACCATATCGAATCCAAATGTTTGGGTGACATATCAAAGGAGACACAATACCAACTAGTTCCCAAAGTTTCATTTTTTGGAATAGACCAAGATCAGCTAGACTAGTGAGAGAGTTCAACACCTTTTCAACAACGAATTCTTCAGCATCTAATTATATCAAAGAATGTCAGTGTATCATCTCTAAAATAAACATTTAAAAAAAAAAGCAGAATGCTTACCAGTCAAAGCTTGGATCATCAATGGTAATATATATTCTTCCAAACTTCTAGCGCCAACAAATGTTCCAACTCCCTTGACGCTTTCGAAGAATGCACTATATGAATTATCAAATATAAATGAAGGAAAAAAAGAAAAGAATAAGTGACCCATCCTATTCACTCCATATTATCTCAAACTTTTCATTTACCTTCGTAACATCCAATCCTTATCGTTAAGATAAGTAATCATATGGCTAAGCAATACATCATTGGCCTTTTGTCGCCCAAAGAATACACAGAGGCATGTGATATCCGTTAAAAGAGCTCGTTTAACCATACTTTCGCTATCAATCAGTAGGGTTGTCACTTGTTCTTGAATCACCGTTTGTAAATCTTGTAGTGATGAATCATATGCAGACTATATCGTGAGGGAATAGAAATAATTAATTGATGAGCCATATTTTTTTTAAGGAATGAAAGAATAATCGAACTTACTTCAAAGTCTAATTCTTCTGCATCTATATCCGATAGTGGGAAAGCATTGTCAGCGAGCAAGAGCTAGAATAAAATATAAAATAAAGAAAAAAAAAGGGGGGGATGAAATAGATGAAGTTAAGCATGTCATAACTACCTTTGTTTTTTATTTTCTTATTTTTTTTTTTCAATATTACCTGAGTCATCTCCAAGAATCGAAGAGCAGTTTCTGATAATAAAGCAATACAGCTGGCATACGTTGTTCGAACCATAACGTTTGGATCAGTAGTAAATTCACGTACAGATGGTAAGATATATTCAGGGAATATCCGAGCGTTGATTGGAGAGATTGATTCAACGATACATAGCTATCATAAAAAAAAAAAAAAAAAAATGGATGAATAGATCAATGGGTAGTAGAAACAAGATAAAATAAGATATCAATTAATTTTTCTTTTTTTTTTTCCTTTTTTATGTACTTACCACTTGCGTGAGGACCTTGAGAGCATTGGAGCGTACAAGAGCAGATTCATCAGATAAAAGAATCATAACATAAGGTATTAAACGATCTAGCTTCACATCATCAGGAACATGTTCGGCCAATGCGAGAAGTATATCCAATGATTTAAGTTTTGAGCTTGCATATAAAGTATTCCTAACCAGAGAGCAAACAAAGGATAAGATGATCAAGTAGCCTTGTTCTATCGTATACATATATTATCAGACAAGAAATCAGATCAGCTTTGTCATAGTAAACTAGTTCTTGATGAAGTGCTTACCTCCTGAGTTTGACGAATGATTATTTGAGTGAATACTTGAATTTTGGTTATCGTAATTGGGTATGTTAAGAGTTGGTGGTAAAATAATCTGTCAAAATAAGAAAATAATAAAATATCAGAATTCTACTTTTCTAAATCAATTCCTAAAATATCCTTTTCTTATACTTACCATCGAAGTTGTCGTGAAAGGAAGATCTATTATTTATTCAAGAAAATAAATTAATATAAGGTTAAAAAATGGTAAAGATAATATATTTTGTATTTTGTATGATTTACCTGAAAGAGTACGACGACGTTCCCTGAGATGTCCATCAATAAAAGGAGATTCATCTGTTGATGATGACTGTAGTTCTTGGTGACTGAGCAAACGAAATATTCTTTCGAAATCGTGATAAAGTCTTTCCATCTTTTCATCAGCGGACACCAGTTTCTTGTGAGGTTGAGTGATAAGTGGTAGAGCAGGGGACATGGCTGTCATAAAATTGTTTTCGACTGTCTGTATCTTTGAGGGTAATGTTTCATTCTTATCAGTAAGTAATCCAATGTATTCATGCATAAAATTATAAAAATAATCAGGAAATACTTTTCCTCGCCTAAGAAATAGAAATAGAAAAAAAAAAGGTTAAAATAAGTATATATATATACCTGAGATGTACAAAACAATAATATTATTTTCAATAGTAAATAGTAAATTACCATTCTTGGAGATATTGTTCAGCTGAGAATCTTTTTGTTGGGTCGATTTGAATCATATGAAGTACCATATCCTATTAAAATGTAAATATATTTAATCAATATAAGTAACAAATCAAAGATAACATCTATTTTTTTTTCTCTTTTGTACCTTGATATCAGAGTCACCCATCTTATCCAATGTGGCAGAAGGATCATATTCATCATTTTGATATTTGAAGAGTTGTGAGAGTGAAAAAATCGAAGAGCCTTCCAAAAATAATTCGGCAATGACGCAGCTAAGATGATTTAAAACAAATAATTAATATCTAAAATATTAACCTAATTGATTCTTTATAGATCTACCCAACAGAGAATATATCCATTTCAGGTGTTAATTCGCATAAAATGTTATTGAAACCAAAACCAAGAGATTTCTAATATAGCAAAAAAAAAAAAAAAAAAATCAAATTCCTGCTAAAATAGTTTCGCTTTTTTTTTTTTTTTAAAAAAAAAAAAAAAAAAAAAGACTTACCAAACGTCGATCAATATCAGTTCCTGCTTTATAAAAACGTTCTGGAGCAATATAACAACTTCGTCGAGAAGATGTATCAAAGAAGAAAGAGAAATCAGCTGGATCATCCTAATTAAAAATAATGATAAATAAAAAAAAAAAAAGTCATTCAATATTATTTATTCTAAATTACCTCTGGTAAAAAAGTTGGTTTATATGATGCAAAATCAACAAGGTAAGTCCAATTCCATGAAGTAACTAAAATATTTTCGGTTTTGATATCTCCATGATAAACATTTTGTTGATGACAATCTGCTACACCACGAAGTATTTGATATGATATCCATTTCTTTTCTACCAAAGTCAAAAATGGCCGAGTACTATATAAATAAAACAAAAATATTAATATATACATATTAATATAATGTTTTACTATTTACCTTATTCGATCATAAAGACTACTATAGAAATATTGTCGTACTAAATATGCTGCACGGTCAGTTTCAAGTATCTTTTGAAAAGTAAAAACGTTGGGAATCTTGTAAATGGCATCGTATTCTCCTGAAAAAAAAAAAAAAGAAAGTTAGATAACATTTTTTTTTAATAGAATCATGACAGAAAACTTACTCTGTAGTTGCTTCACATGTTGTCGTAAAGAGAGTCCAAGTTTTGGTTTCACAAATATTTTGACCACAACTAAACCATCCTTATGTCGACCGCGTATAGTTTTCATGAATCGAGCGTTTCCTAAACTATTCAAGTTAAAAAAAAAAAAAAAGTTTTTAGTTCATCTAAATAAAAAGTAAGGTAAAATAGAAATATCATGTTACCTTTTTTCGTAATAAACATCACCAAGTTCACTAACATAACTATCTACACCGACAATAGCAGTAACATTAGATATATTGTTACCCATGGTCGCAGTAGAAAAAACGAAAAAAAAAAAAAAAAATGACGAAAAAGAAAAAGGGAATTGTTATCATGCGAGCAAAAAAAAAAAAAAGGAAGACCGCTGACTTTGAAATGATCAATAGTAGATGTGAGGGCAAGAGGGAAAAAAAAAAAAAAAAAAGGATATCTGAGCAAGTTAAATTCCCACTTTTCTTTTTCCTTTTTTTTTTTTTTTTTTTTTTTTCTTTCCTTCTTCCCTTTCTTTTTCTCACTTTTTTTTTATTCTTTAAAAAAAGTATCTTTACTTGTTAGTCTTTCTTTTCATCCACAATCTTTTTGAAGGATTAGAACTTTGTGTATGGGTAATTTATATATATGATAATAAGGAAAAAGCCTTTCTCATTGAATAGTCATTTATATATCTTCAATAGTCTAGTCAATATAATGGAGGAACTCATATATGATGATACCATAACTACGACGAAACCAAATACTAATTCACCTTCTATCGAAGAGAATGCAACATCGGAAAAACAACAACAACAGAAATCTTCTTCAGATCTTGATGTCTTGGACACTCATGATGAATATACTCGTTGGATATTGACTGCCTCTCAAAAGAAACTTCAACGGAAAGCAAAAAAGCAACGGGAAGAACTTCAAGCAAAAAATTCTTCGGTCAGCGTATCGGCTTTGGACTCTGTCAACCTACCAGACGAGAATAAAAAATCAACTTGTTATGGATACATCAAAAGTAGAGGACGAAAATATATCATTACAACAAAATTTACAAACATTTGATCCTCTCAGCAACAGCAATAATAGCAACAAAATAGAACACAAATCTTCAAGGCGGCGTCATACTAGTTTGGGTTCTTCTATCAGTCATAATGTTAACAATATTCTATCTCCTAAGCCAACTACAGCTCCTACACGACTACCTACACCAAAATCATCCTCTATCCATTTATCTTCTCATTTCTTACAAACAAATACTTCATCCTTACCTACAACCGATAGACCAAGAAGGACAAGACATCTCTCAGCAAATGACGGAACTGTTTCACAACATCATTATCAATCCTCTGCTCATCCTACCTCGAACTCAAGCTGGTTGGATCTTGATACTGACAATTCTACAATTATACCTATACTTCCAAGGAAACAAGATACTAAACGACCTGTTTCCATGGTTTCTTCTTTTACTGGGAAACAATTATCCACTGATGTTTGTACTTCAGATCACGTCAAAGGAAGAGCAAATAGGCAATTAGTGGACTTTGATCCCTTTTTATCACAAGATCCTCTAGATGATAGACTCAAGGTAATCTTACATTTAATTTAAATAGGCGTGATATTTATTTATTTGTACTTGTACTCAAGTTTTTTTTTTTTTTTCCTTTTTATTTGTTTATTTGTTTATTCATATTTATTTTATAGTGCATCAACAAGGATAGAACAACTTCATTTCATACACTTGCTGGAGGACCAAAAACACCATCAAGACGCAATGCGAATATAGCCACACCAACAACTACACGTATTCCATTACCTATCAGTAGCAACAAAAAGTCTGAATCCATGGACAATACAAGTGGTAGTGGTGAGGACGATGGATCATCATCACAACAACAACAACAACAACGAAGACGACGACAGCAGGTCAGCCCATCTACAGCACCATCTCTCAACAACAAAACAACAGTGACTAGAGTATCACCCTCACATGATAGTCGACCTGACAATGAAGTGATCCGACGCCCTTCTTTATTATCAAGTGATCTTTTACAGGAACAGCGAGACAAGGAACGAAAGATATCATGTCAGTTGGATGTCAATTTAGTGTCTGTACAAGGGGAACTTTGTGTACCTGAATGTATATCTCAACCAGATTCATTGGATCCAGAACAACAGCAACAACATGACTCTCATCATCATCATCATCATCATCAATCGTCATCAACTTCTTCTACTTCACCACCATCACATCCATTGCAACGACGCATATCTTCACTACATGAACGACTTCAGGAATTAGTACAAGATGATTCAACCTGGAACGACACTTTGAAGCAAGAAGATGATGGTACAATTGATAATGAAGTGGAAGAGGAATGGCCAGAAGAGGATGAAAATTTGAACCCGACGTCATCAACGCATCAACATATAAAAGATACAACACCAAAACAACAACAAAAACGACGATTACGACGACTTCCGCCATCATCTTATTCATCAAGGACGGTACCATCTGCAACAAGTACATCGTCATCAATATCACCAGCATCATCATCATTGGCAACATCGACAACAACACTGGAAACCCCTTCCATGCGACCGGCGATGAGCCCACCCACCGCATTCAGATTATATCAACAACATCTTTCACCATTTGAACAACATGAAATTCTAAAGTACTCACAAATTTACTTCGTCGGCCATCATACCAAAAACAAATTCCAGGCGAAAATGAATGAACCAAACAACAATTATGGTTATGACGATGAACGTGGAGATTATCTTATTGTACAAAAGGACCATTTGGCTTATCGATACGAAGTGTTGGAAATCATGGGCAAGGGCTCTTTTGGTCAAGTTGTCAAAGCATTTGATCATAAATTAGGTACAACCGTAGCTGTCAAACTTATTCGAAACAAGAAACGATTTCATGCTCAGGCATTAGTGGAAGTCAAGACTTTGGAAGATTTATTGAAATGGGTAACATTAAATTATAGATTATATATATCGTTGAAAAAGAATAATTAAGTTATATGTAATTTATTTCTTTATTTATTTTCTTTTGGATTTAGGATCCTGATGACAAGCACAACGATGTACGAATGACTGATCACTTTTATTTCCGAAATCATCTTTGTATCGCCTTTGAATGTCTCAGTATCAATCTTTATGATTTCATCAAAAGCAACAACTTTCAGGGATTTAGTATGGGATTGATTCGCCGGTAAGGAAAAAAAAAAGTATATAAGATTAATCTGTGATGATTCTTACTTTTATTTTTATCTTATTTTTTTACCTAATATGATTATCAGATTCACTATCCAACTATTGAATTCACTGGTGATTCTTTATCAACATCATTTGATCCATTGCGACTTGAAACCTGAAAATATTTTACTCAAACATCCGACAAAAAGTACCATCAAAGTGATTGACTTTGGAAGTTCTTGTTTAGAAAATGAGAAAGGTAAATATCAATATAAGGATTGAAAAAAAAAATTTTTAATACACATATAATATTAATATGTATATATTGTTTAGTATATACCTATATTCAAAGTCGATTTTATCGGGCACCTGAAGTGATATTAGGATTGGACTATGGCATGGCTATTGATATGTGGAGTGTAGGATGTATCCTGGCTGAACTATATACGGGTTATCCTTTGTTTCCTGGTGAAAATGAACAAGATCAATTGGCGTGTATTATGGAAGTTCAAGGTGTACCTTCTCGTTCTTTGGTAGAAAAAAGTACAAGACGTAAAGTATTTTTTGATTTTTATGGTAACCCACGAATCGTGCCCAATAGCAAAGGCAAGAAACGAAAACCTGGTACAAAATCCTTGGCTCAAATTCTCAAGTGTTCCGATACAAAGTTTGTTGATTTTATAGATCAATGCCTCCAATGGAATCCTGATAGTAGGATCAAACCTGATGAAGCTTTCAAACATGGATGGATTGCTAGACAACAACAACAACAACAACAACAACAACAACAACAACAACAACAACAACAACAACAACAACAACAACAACAACAATAGTAGTATTAGTATAGATCATTTCCCTTTCCTTTTTTTTCGTTTATCTTCATTATAGTACTTTTTACCGTTCGTATCACACTTATTCTCCTTTGTATAGTTTTTTTTTTTTTTTTTATGTTTATGTTATTTAATCCAGTTTTATCTTTTTTCTTTTTATTTGTATAATATTCTAATCCACTTAATACATTTCTTTTTCCTTTTTTTTTTTTTTTTTTTTTTTTTTTTTTTTTTTTTTTTTTTTTTTTTTTTTTTTTTTTTTTTTTTAGAAAAAACAAAGTAAATAAAGAAATGAAAATTAACGCAGCACATAAATCTTCGTATATCACTGAAACATGATCAAACTACATTGTTAAAAAAAAGTAATATTTGGAATGCCGACAGCATTATTTATCTTTTTTCTTTCTTTCCTTTCTCTTTTCGCTTTTCCTTTTTTTTTCCCACACACATAAAGTTCTATTCGAACATCTTCTCTGTCTATTGTTTATACCTCTTTCGAACGACTTCTCCCTCTCCTGATCCTTTTGTTGGTTTATCAAACAAGCAGATCATTACTCGTTTGAAACAATGAAAAGAAGGACAAACTTGACGCTGTAAACCAAGGTAAATAGACAAAAAAAAAATAAAAATAAAAAAAGCGTTTTCTTATTTATATTTATATTATTATTTCTCTAGTTACATGTGGTCGTTGTGGTCAACAAGGTTACAAAGATGCTCGATCTCCTCTCTGCCCCATGAATGCTCGAAACCTATCTGGTATGTAATCTTTATTTTATTCAATTATTTTACTCACGTATTTATACTTCAAATACATAGATGCCGAGAGTTCGGTAGGCCCACAACGGTACAAGCGACCTCATACTGAATCCTCAAAGCAAGCAGCAAAGCACCAAAAGTTGGCTGGAAAAGCTCTCCTGGATGAACGTCAAGCAAACAAGAATGTCCCAAAATGCAAGAAATGTACTAATGCTGGTGTGACTGAAACTGATGACTACATCCCACACGGTAATTCCCGATCAAGACACTGCCAGTTCCATCAAGCCACTATGAATGACGTGATCAAGACTATTTTTGGAGATTCCTGGACCATGGCGACAAGAAAGATCACTCCAGACAAATTCCTCGCTCTTGAAGGTGAGAACAAGCAAAAGGTATCCGGTACAATCATTTCCGTCGTTGATTACGTCCGTGAAGTCGCCATCAAGGCAAACATGTTCATTTCATACTATTTTCTTCGTCAATTGGAACATGACTATGAACAAACTGGCTCTACTTCCGGTGTTCTTGCTGATGATGCTCCTGTTGCCTCTCTCTCCTCTGTTCCTGGTCTTTCTTCTGCTACTGATGATGCGCCTTCTGCTGATATTTTGTCTGTTACTGGTGATGTTTCTCTTTCTGCTGATATTTTGTCTGTTACTGGTGATGTTTCTCTTTCTGGTGATGTTTCTCTTGCTGATGGTACTTCTCTCGATCCTGATGACTCTTCAATGGCCTCTGCTGTCAATACCCCTTCGCCTGCTGGCAGTTTGGAATCATTCATCCGTACCGCTGGTGGCCTGGACATGTCTTCTATTGTTAGTGAAGGCAGCTCTGAAGGACTTGATCAAACCGACGTCGCTGGTATCATTGATGATGATGATGTTCGCACTCCTGGAGGTATTAACCGATCTTTCCGTGGAATGCACCCTGTCCTCTTCCATGGTAATTTCTATTATGGCTGTATACAGATAGTACTTGGTCAGCATATCACAAACAAAACTGGTAGTATCCCGTGGATGACAAGGAATGAAATATTTGAGGAATAAAAGCGACAATTTGACAGTGATGAAGAATGCATAGTATCTCTAAACAAGACTGATATCTCATACTCGAATACTTTGGCACACCTGGCAAGAAATCCAGCCGTCATGATCAAGAATTGTGTGGTGGAAACACTCGAACAACGAGCTGCTGGTTACCTCGGACACCTTCTTCGGGTAAAAACAAAGGTAATTAATTATACATATATAAAAGGAAAAACCATTAAATTCTAACATTTCTTCATCTGTATAATTTATAGTTACTTTCACCTCTTCAAGCCAAGCGAGCTTCTCTCTACTTGTATGATGTTTTATCTGGAGCAACCAATCCATATTGGCCAACAGAAATCGAGCGAACTGACGAACTCAATACCGTTTTGGAACAAATTAAAGCTGCTACTCCTTTAGGTCCAACTGCCATCACCCCAAAGGTACTAGTGACAAATGTTGAAGTCTACATGACAGTTCTTTACAAGATCTTGGTACAGCTGGAACAGTACAACGCCGGAGAAATGCAACGAGTAGATGAAGTACAAACCCAAGCAACTCTCCCTTGGGCTCTTTCAATGGTCAAGATGCTCGATGATTATCGTTCCTTAAATCGCCGCCAACGTACAAAACCGAAGTATCAGCTTTTTGAAAAGGTTAATAACGATACTGAAGACAATTATACTTTTTCCTCTCCTGTCTGCCAAGCTTCCAAGGATAAACTGGTGAAATTGGTGTTGGAAACAAGACAACAAATCAAGAACTCGATCAACTTTTTGCAAGGTAATTAGAAAATAATAATAATAATAATAATAATAATAATAAAGGGAAATTCATATCTTTTTTTTTTTAAAAAAAAAAAATTGACATACAAATAGGCCATACTGAAATAGCAAGAACTGACTGATTTTTACCTGAACGATCTGTTGTGGCCAAGCAAACTCGTCTGTTCAAGCTCTTACCTTCACTGTCAGTCAAGCGACGGTTTATTGACATCGATATCCTGACCTTGCGTGCCATTCTTTCTCATTCTGGTGCAACTTTAAACAACAACAACAACGTCAACATCATCAACAACGTCAACATCATCAACAACATCAACATCATCAACAACATCAACATCAACATCAACATCAACATCAACATCAACATCATCAACATCAACATCAACATCAAACCAGTGAAGAAAATAATGCAGAACTTGAAAATTTAAGGGAACAGATGAGACGTGATGTACAAAATTACAAAAAAGAAATCATTATCTCTGGTATTTATAGTGGTACGGTAATCGTGGAAAATAACGATAATCTTTTTTTTAACTTACATGAAATTGAATCTTTATATTCTTCTTCCCATTTGATTAGATGACACATATGAATATAGGTAAAGCAATCAAAACAAAAAGAAAAAAAATAGTAGAAAATGACACTTACTGTTTTATTGTGGTCATGAAATGCATTCTTTCTTTTTTGTGTAGGCATATCATTCTTCCCAAACAAATTGCTCGTTATCTCCCTGATAAGAAATACAAGATCTTGTTACAAGAAAAGGAATATCGTCGACTAGATGTGAACATATCATTAGGATGGCAACATTATATGACTCATAGTAAGTTTTGATAATATAACATTTCTATTCTTTGACTTAAACTTTTTCTATTCATAGAACCCGAACCCAATATCTTCTTATTAAGACGCAGCTTTGAAGATGCAAAAAGAGTAAAGAAAAAAAAAGAATCATTTTCAAGTGAAGTCGTTTTATTAATTGGCCTTTTCTTTTTTTTTTTTTTTTTTTTTTTTTTTTTTGAAGGGCATGAAATTAGAAAATTATCATCCACAGAATACTAGACGCGTGCCGGGTTCAAATCAACTACTAATAGAATCAATAACGAAAAGTCAGAAGCAATTCGAACAGTTGAAGCCGCTATTACAACAAATAGAAAGCCAAACAACTATACAAGATTATCATGATGATAAGATACAATCACCATCTCCAATGGAGCAACATTCTTCCTATTATACTGGTGATACTGAAAGCGATGGCGAATCCGAAGAAGAAACAAAGGAATTTTCTACTCAATTTGTGATAGCGACAAGAATATTGGTATTATGGATTACATCAACTCGACACTAGAAGCATTGGAAGTATTAACAACACTCTATGGTCAAGAGCATTTACAAGGTCTCCGATTACTAAATTATCAAGGCAGATAGATGATGGATGAAGAACTAGTAAAATATCTTTGTGAATGGGAAAGAAAGTACAACGCTCCTCCTGGTGCTGAAGAAAGATTGGCAAATCGTAGCTATGTTAACTACCAAAGAAGACGCAGAAGACCAAGAAGGACAAGAAGAACTAATAAATGTACAACCTCCTCCTACAATAAAAACAAGGTAAGTCTAGTTGATTGCAAATGAATGTGCAATATATATATACTGACACTTATGTATTTTATTATTGATGCATATAGAAAGTGGAAATAAACGCCAATCGACAATGATAATACCAAAGTTCCTGTAGTGATGTTTGGGGTTGCAACCTTTGGGCGAAACAAAAAGGGTGCAGGCGCTTTAGCAGATAAATGTCGACGTTGACTGAAAAGGACGGACAAGACTGGCCGACTTATACATATCAATATGGATGAATATTTTAAATGGTACTGGTTCTGGTCGTGGTTCATTGTCGTTATCCAATATTCTTCACGTATGTTATGTACCTATTCTGATGTTCCTTCTGACACTGTGGTTGAACCTTACAATGCTGTTTTGACTGTTCATCAATTGGTTGAAAATTGTGACGCTACCTTCTGTATTGATAATGAAGCTCTTTATGATATCTGTTTCCGTACTCTTAAACTATCTAACACTGGTTATGGTGTTTGCACTTCTTTACGTTTCCCTGGTCAATTGAACTCTGATTGATGTCTCGACTAACCGATTGTACAATATGGACCCTTTATTATGAATGCAAAAGAAAATATCTATCAAGTCTTCTCTGGTTATGAAAGAGGTGAAAATGGTTTTGAAGGAGCAAATGAATTCGTATCTGATGTCGAGGAAATTGGAAACATTAAGTTGACGATCTGGTCTTTCTCTATCTCTGTTTGTCCATATTGTGTGTAGATGGATGATTGATTAGTTTAATGTATTTTTATTATATCCCTCATTTTTAGAGTCATACTTTCTATTATTATTATTATTATTATTATTATTATTATTATTGGTGAATAAACCCTTTGGACTTGTTTTGAAAAACCATTTGTACGAACGTGACTGATATGGCTGATGATGACACTTATTATGTTAGTTTGACGGATGTTGGATGATGGATGGAGTAATGATGCTATAGGATGAGTGGTGATTGATACCTGTGATGATATACTCAAATCAGGGCTGTACCAGTGTTCAATATGCGTTTCTTTACATTGTACTATTGGTCATTACGCGCTTCTGTGTGTTGTCAAATTCTTCTTCACATCAACCGATTGATATATACAGGTCAAAATATCGTCATTAGGTAAAAAAAAAAAAAAAAAAAAAAAAAAAAAAAAAAAAAGTGGATGAATTGATCTGTTTGTTAATGCATGTCAATGAACGACAGGCATAAAAGATAGTCTGGTATCAGCAGGAAGCACTTTGTTATGCTGTGAATTAAAGACCAGCGCGTTTTCATAAGGTCAATTTTTTTTTTTGTTTCTTCTTCCGTTATTCCTTGTTCTTTTTTATTTTTATTTTTATTTTTATTTTTATTTTTTATATTTTTATTTTTTATATTTTTATTTCTATTATTATAGCTATTCAAAAACTCTTTTCTTAACTCATGGAGGCAGAACAATTGATTATTGAAGATGAATTACTTGAATTGATGGGCATAAATGAACAAGACATTATCCAACCGCGAAGCGACTATGAAGGCATGTCTGTTATTGACATTATCACATACAAAAAACGGTGGAAACGACAGCAAACTCTATTACAGCGTGGTCAGTACTGTGTTATGTTTGATTGATGAATATGAATATTTTATTAACCTCCTTTTTTTTTTTTTTTCCTCAAAAATATATATATAGCACAACGGCAGCAAATTCAACTTGGTGAGGCTGACAATGACGACGATAGCGAAGAAGACGAACCTGGTGACGATGAATCTGTGTCAACTCGTGGATCTTCCTCCAAGCAGCTGGCTGGTAGCAAGCGTAAAAGAAAACAAGGTGGTGTGGAAAAGGCGTTGAAGCGTCGTGGTCAACAACAGCGAAAAGTTATGGGACAAAAAAAATCAATCAAACCTTGCCAAGAATGCCTTAGAAATGATCGTTTTGACACGGCGTATACTCATAGTCGAACAACAAGTCGTCTCTGTCCATTCCATGGTGCGACACGATTACAACTAGTACAGCAACGAGTGGGTAGAACCAGCACCGTCTGTCGAAAAATTGGATTGAAAACGATATTGAATGTAGATGTTTCTGACCAGCAACGTGTTTTGGATGGGATCAATGATGTGGTCTCCTATGTACGCAATATTATAATCAAGTCACACCTGTTCATTACCTTCTATGTTTACAACTGTTTGACGAATCACACACCGATCACGAAACAACTCTTCACCAAGAGCTTTTTTTACGCAGTTTTTCAGCAAATTAGTGGGGCCACCATCACTGTGAACAACACCATTGACCAAAGATTAGCATTGGCTATACGGGACAGCTACCACCAACTCAATCAAACACCAGCTCGTATAGAATCATTTGGCGAACAGCAAATACATGGAAAGCGATACTCAGACGTTGTCTCATCAGCCATGGATCATTATGTAACATCATTCACGAATCGAATTGTCGAAGATATTACTCAGTGGATGGCAAATTTGTACTCACTTCGCGTAAGTGAATTAAATCATCAACACCAACAACAACAACAACAGCAGCAGCAGCAGCAATCTCTCGCGCAGCAGCAACAGCTAATTGGGCAGCAGCAACAGCTAGTTGAACAGCAGCAACAGTTACTCGAACAACAACAACAACAGCAGCAGCAGCTATTTCAACGACAGCGGCAGTTATTCGAACAGCAACGTCAGTCACTTGAACAGCAACAGCAACAACAGCTAGTGGAGGAACATCAGCAGCTAGTCGAACAACAACAGCATCTACTTGAACGGCGGCGTCAGATATTAGTACAGCAAGGACAGTTACTTCAACATCAACAACAGGAACAACAAGATAACCTATCAGAACCACGCCAACGGCAAAATGTAAGTGATACAATCAAAGTCTTAAGAAAAGGAATAGTCGTCTCACACGCAATCGTATGCTTCATTCATAGGTATTGACGGAAAAGGACTTCAACAAGCTCGGTCTTCATATTCTTGCAAGTGCCATCAACAATGCAGATATACGACCTGTTTCAGCAACTGATCTATCTGGACCAAATGTCACGGAACAACTAAAAAATGATGTCGCTACCGTTTTGAATGAAGCAAATGTGGATTTATGTACTATATACAACTTTGCTGCCCTGCAAACTCACACCGACACAAATCAGAAGTCAGTAGAAACATCTTACCGAGCCCTACATACTCAAATCATCCATGCAGAAACCGGCCTACGTATTACTATGAATAATGCAATCAACCGGATTCAACAACTTACGCAAAGATTGGCGGATACACACGACAACGAAATCACTGAGTCCTTATACCGGATATCTGAAAATCTCTATAACCTGCTTCGCTTACATCAAGATGCCACTGATTTAGTTGTTGAAGTTGCCAACGGCTTTGGATTGCAAATGGAATTGAACGATGAGCGATGGGATACAGCGGTGGTCAACAGTTTAATTGCAACACTCCAAACAACTATGGAACAACGACGTGTAGCCGAAGAAGTAAACATTCAGCATCACGACTTAGAAACGCAGGAACTTTTGGATATGATGGACCTTGCAGCTATGGAAATACCACGTTTGATGGATGATCTCAACACTCATATTCAACAACACACAGTGTCCTTTCGTCAATTTGACCAAGCTCGCCAACTTTATTTTGGGAATGATGAATTTGGAAATCAGGTCTTGATGAATACTATAATTGATCATTGCCAGCAAGCTGGGGCTCCAATAACAGTTTTGGGAACGCACATACAACTATCGACCGCTTATATTAGTCGACATTGCGATATCTTTACCAAGTATGCTTTCAACATTGCTGTATATTTTGATGAATACAACAACGCAACAACGAATGCAGCAAACCCCGTCCAAACCAAAGTACCACGAACTTGGTGTTTTGAGAAGATCCGTGACCTTGATGATTATCCAAGAATGGGACGACGACGACGCTCAAAATTAGCAACTTTAGTACAAGAAATCATTCCAAAAAACGACAACTTGGACCATCACCGCCATCAATTAGAGTATCTATCTGATGAATCAATGACACAACTTCAAACATTAATCACTGACACCCGACAACAGATCCTATGCTCGACGCAGTATCTAGAAAATCCCCAAGAAAACCAACATCTTCTGCCCAACTGTTTTACGCCGGATGTCAATCATGTTATCAAAAAGAAGAGACTATACAACCTTGTACCAAAGCCCTCTTTTGTGAAGAAACATATCAAGATCAACAGTACGATTAGGAATCAGATTCTCCGCTCACTAGATCTTGGTCATTACGTTAACGGAAATTCAACATTATCTCGTGTTCTCAAACTTGAGAAGATTAGAAGACATGACAGCATGGTTTTTTCCAATTATATTATGACAGACGGCTTTTCTGTATCCGTTCCTTTTGACAAACCGGTTGGACATGGTGAAGCTTTGCCAGATTTGGTGCCAGCAGACTTTTGCGAGTGGGAATTTGATTATCTCAATGTTTGGGGCGCAGATCCCGGAATTACAAGTATATATGTAGCAAGCAATGGGTCAAGTAATGATGTTTATGACAGTGCACTGGATCATGAAGGTAAGTGGTTATCTTGGTTTTTTTTTTTTTTTTTTTTTTTTTTTTTTACGTGAACTTATTATTAACATCATTCTTATTACGATTGTTATTAGATGTTATTCAAGGTTATTCTCCCCAAGATGCTAACACAGGTGAAGCTACCACAGGTGATGCTGCTCCAGATGATGCTGCTCCAGATGATGCTGCTCCAGATGATGATGCTCCAGATGATGATGCTCCAGATGATACTGCTCCAGATGATACTGCTCCAGATGATACTGCTCCAGTTGATGCTTCCCAAGATATTGCTTTCGAAAACGATGTTCCTCAAGGTCATACTCCTGAAATTGGTGCTGCCTCAGATCGTAATGTGGAAATGGATGATCAGTACGATAGCGATGACGATCTACAAGGTAATTTATAATAGCAAATTAATGACGATTGACAACGTTCTGACCTTTTTTTTTTTTTTTTTTTGAAGGACATGAGATTAGAAAATTATCATCCGCAGAATATTACACACGTGCCGGCTTCAAAAGAACTGTTAACAGAATCAATAACGAAAAGTCGGAAGAAGTTCGAACAGCTGAAGCCGCGATTACAACCAACAGAACAACAAGCATGACTGGCATTACTGATTATATCAACTCCACCTTGGAAGCTTTAGAAGTACTAACAGCATTTTATGGTCAAGAAAATCTACAAGGCCTTAAGCTCTTGAACTATCAAGGGAGACAGAAGATGGATGAGGAGCTAATAAATATCTTTATCAACGGAGGAACGAAGTACAAAGATAAACCTGGTGCCGAAGAAAGACTGGAAATTCGTACCCATGGCAACTATGAAAGAAGACGAAGAAGACGAAGAACGACAACAAGAACTGACAATGGAAACACTGATGTACAACCTCGTACCATTAAAACCAAGTAAGTCTAGTTGATTGAAAATGAATGCACAATATATATACTGACACTTATTTATTTTATTATTGATGCATATAGGAAATGGAAAAAGGCACCAATCAATAACGATAGCAGCAAAGTTCCGGTCGTGGTGTTCGGTGACGCAAGATTTGGGAGAAACAACAAAGGCGCTGGCGCTTTAGCTGACAAATGTAGACGTTTATTAAAGAAGGCAGACAACGCTGGCCGTTTGGTACATATCAACATGGACGAATATTTAACTTCACAAATATGTTCAAAGTGTGGATGTAGATCTCTTTCCAATGACATCATTACTGGTCCTGAAGACGAATCGAAACGCATGTATACAGTGCTGACGTGCACTCGTTGCAACACTGTATGGCTACTTCTTGATATCTCAGAGTACAGTTTAACTATATGGCGGAGAAATAAAAATTGAAACAATGGAGGATGTACAGATGGATGAATGGAAAAAAATAGTGGTTAATATAAATAAAACATCATAAAGATTCATTTTTTTTTTAACTTACACAACTGCAACCATCAACATGTATTTGATACATGGATAAATCATCATTGAAGAGGAGGTCGAGCTAGGTGACCCGGTCTCTGTCCGCTGGTGGCTAGGTTAAAGAACAGAGACCGGATGTTTCTTGAAGTATATCAAGAAAGTGGTACTAAATAGTTTAAATTCAGCTTCTCCTGCGATCTTCATTCATTAGAATGTGACTCCGATTTTTTTTTTCTCTCCTTTCAATAAGAACACCCGTGGGAAAAAGTCAAGCTCAAATCCCCACGCGAATATTTTTTTCATTCTTTTTTTTTCTTTTTTTTTTTTTCTTTTCCTTAGTCCATCTTCTTTTTTTCTTTTTTTATCTTCCATTCTTCTTTTACATTCTTTGTTAAAACTACCATGTTACCCACTCGTTTGGTACAAGTATCACGTTCTGTGTCACGACATTCTTTAAATTTGAAAAAGGCGACCATTCTACGAAGTTATCACGTCTTCCATGAAGAACAAGCCAACGTGTTACCCAATAAAGTCGAAACTGCCAGTGCTTCATTCAAAGTAAAATAATAATAATAATAATATATTGTCTTTATAATCATCTCATCTCTATTTTATTTTTTTGTAAATAGGAAAATGCTGAAAGAATGAAAGCTTTGGTAGAAGACTTGGAACTTAAAACTGAAAAAATCAAATTGGGTAAGTAATTAGATATCAAAAAGAAGTTTATCCTATTCTTATTCTTAATTATCTTCCTTTTTTTTTAGGTGGTGGTGAAGCTGCACGCAAACGTCATTTATCAAGAAATAAAATGCTTCCAAGAGACAGGTAAAATTAAAAGATAGAGTAAAACAAAAAAAAAAAAAAAAAAAAAAGAATAAAAGTTAACTTTTCTTTTGTATGTGTGTGTCTTTAGAATCAATCGCTTGTTGGATCCCAAGTAAGTCGTATGATTTTGATATTTTACGCATATATAGTAATGATACCCTTATCATCGTTTAACTTTTTATTTTCTTATTTGGTGCTAGTTCTCCTTTCCTTGAATTGTCACAAATGGCAGGTTACGAACTATATGATGATGAAGTACCTGCTGGAGGTGTCATCACTGGTATTGGTCGAGTTAGTGGGTAGGTTACTATTTTAAGTATATATGGATCATTTCTTATCTTTCTTATTTCTTATATATATATAGTGTGGAATGCATGGTTGTCGCCAATGATCCTACTGTGAAAGGTGGCTCTTACTATCCTATTACTGGTAAATAATTGAATTTTATATAACAATTCAAAAACTAATTAGTGATTTTTGATTAGTGAAAAAACATCTACGCGCTCAAGAAATTGCAAAGGACAACAATTTACCTTGTATTTATTTAGGTAAAAAAAAAAAAATACTACTATTTAGTGGTGGATGATATTAATGATCTTTCTTTCTCTCTTGATAGTTGATTCTGGTGGTGCAAATCTTCCTCGTCAAGCTGATGTTTTCCCTGATCGTGAACATTTTGGTCGTATCTTTTACAATCAGGTAACAAAAAAAAAATCATATTGATATGTAAAAATCAAAAAGAATTGTTACTGGAAAAAAAAGAGCTTATTTTTATCTAATCTATTGATCTCATTATAGGCCAATATGTCTGCCAAAGGTATACCACAAATTGCTGCAGTGATGGGCTCTTGTACTGCTGGTGGTGCTTATGTTCCTGCTATGTCTGATGAAAGTATTATCGTTAAGAAACAAGGAACTATCTTTTTGGCTGGTCCTCCTTTAGTCAAGGCTGCTATTGGTGAAGATATTAGTGCTGAAGATCTCGGTGGTGCTGATTTGCATTGTATGTGAAATAAATAAAAAAAAAAAAAAGGAATGGAATGGAATTAGCTAATGAATAGATTATTTTATACTATTTTAATAGGTCGTACTTCTGGTGTAACCGATCATTATGCTGTAGATGATGAACATGCTCTTGTACTCGCTCGTCGTGTGGTTGCTAATTTGAACAGAACTAAGGCTCCTCAGGTAAATAATATACATTATCAACAGTAAAAAAAAAAAAAAAAATGAAAATGAAAATGATTATGTCAGGTACATATCTATATCTTATATTTTATATTACTTTTTACTTTTATTATTATAGTTGGCAATGCGTACCCCTGAAGAACCTTTATACTCAGCTACAGAAATTGGAGGTATTGTTGGTGATAACTTACGAAAATCTTTCGATAGCAAGAATATCATTGCAAGAATTGTAGATGGAAGTCGCTTCTCTGAATTCAAGGAACATTATGGTACAACTTTAGTCACTGGGTTTGCTCATATTCATGGTCATCCTGTTGGTATTGTGGCGAACAATGGTATTCTTTTCTCTGAATCAGCTTTGAAGGGTGCTCACTTTATTGAATTATGCTCTCAACGAGGTATTCCTTTGGTCTTTTTACAAAATATCACTGGTTTTATGGTGGGTTCATCTGCTGAAGCTGGTGGTATTGCAAAGAATGGTGCCAAACTTGTCAATGCTGTATCTTGTGCTCAAGTGCCAAAGTTCACAATCATTACTGGAGGTAGTTTTGGTGCTGGTAATTATGGTATGTGTGGCCGTGCTTACTCCCCTAGATTCCTTTGGATGTATCCTGTAAGTATAATATATATAAAAAAAAAGATCATACTCTTTTTTATTCAATTCTTTTTCTTTTTTTTTTTTTGGGATGATATTTTAGAATGCTCGTATCTCGGTAATGGGTGGTGAACAAAGTGCAAATGTTTTGGCTCAAATTACCAGGGAAAGCAAGGCAAAGAAGGGATTATCTTGGTCCAAGGAAGAAGAAGAAGAATTTATGGCTCCAATCCGAGAAAAATATGAACGTGAAGGTCATCCTTATTTCTCTAGTGCGCGTTTGTGGGATGATGGTGTCATCAATCCTAGTGATACTCGTAATGTACTTGGTCTGGCGTTGAGCGCTAGCATGAACGCTCCTATTGAAAAAACAAACTTTGGTGTTTTCAGAATGTAGTTGTTATATATACTTGTTGTTGTTTTTTTTTTTTTAGTTACTGTATATGTAGATTTATTCTTTTTATTACAAGCAAATAAATGTTGTTGGTTTTTTCCCTTAGATGTTACTTCATAGACGGCGCTTCAATTAGAAAATATATCCTTTTTTTTTTTTGTTTTCTTTTGTTTACAACTCCTTTCTTTCACTTTTTCTTTACAAAAAAAAAAAAAAAAAAAAAGACAATGCCTTCTTCCTGCCAAGAACTTCGACAAGAACTTATCGATTGTATGCTAAAGTCCAATTGCGTCTTGGTAAAAAGAAACTCGGTATCAGAATGTTTTAAGAAGGAACATGAAGACGACGTTCCAACGGAATGTAAAAGTATCAAGAAAAGTTATGCTGATTGTCGAAGAGGAATGGTATGCACTATAATATTATTCTATTATACTGAATTTATATATGATTCTTATCATTTTTTTTTTTTTTTTGGTAGCTTGATCCTCGTATGCGATTCAGGGGAAATAAGACTCAATAGACAACAATACCTTTAAGAAACTGACCTTCAACAATCCCAACAATGTAACATCATCTTCATTTAAAACCAAATATCTTTTTTTTTTTACTTCTTTTTATTCTCTTCAGTTTTATTCGTACTAGTCATCTTTTATGTTGATCAAGTGATTGTATATACTCTTTTTTTTTTTTTATTATTATTATTTCTCCTTTGTTAGATTCTTCTTTTGTGATTCATATTAGACAAATAAAACTTATCTTACTTTTTTTATTTTATATCTCACAATTGTTGCGTTCTTTTTTTTTTTTTTGTCTTACTGTTGTCACTTCTCATGTATTAAATATTAATTTTCAATCATCATCGATCATAAATAATCATTATTCAAATGTTGCCCTCATCAATTACAGTATCAATATGCATCCCACCTTTTTCACCTTGTAAAATATCCTACCGATAAATTTGCCTTATTTCTATTGGCCACAATAATACCGACACGGCTAATTTTATCCAATCATTTTGCGCGATTTTGCTATTAGATTGATAATGATGTTTTTAGTCTAAAAAAATGTATCAGCCTTGCTAGCTCAATCGGCAGAGCGTGAGACTCTTAATCTCAAGGTTGGGGGTTCGACCCCCCCGTAGGGCTCTATTTTGCCATTTTTTACCATCATTCGGTCTATGAAAATGTACCAATCAAGTGTGTTAAAGATATTTTTTTGTTCTCCTTTAAAGATTTTATTTGTTACTTGGTTGATGATTGATTATTAGGGTTGTTAAGTGATTTTTTAGTTGTTAAGGCCAAAATTGAAAAAGTAATTCGGATGATTGAAAGAGAATAAGTTAAATAGTGAGCACCAGTACTTGATTACGCAAGTACACGTATAAAGTATTGAGTAAAATAAAATAAAAAGTAAAATACTGTATATCTTTCGTGATAGTATCAAAAGATCATGAGCATACTAAATTTCAAAGTCCGTACTTTTTTTTTTTTTTTTTTTAGATATGCTGTAATTTTTTATTCTTTTTTTTTATTTCTTTCCTTTCTTTCTAACAACTTTAGTTATAGTATATCAATTAGTGATCTATAGTAGTCATACTTTTATTTAATAAAACTTTTATTTTTATTCCAACTACTTTGTTACACGTCAATGTAATTGATTCCTTCTTACGATGTATTTTTATTTTTCTATTTGTGAATGCATTCTTTATTGTTTTTATTTTATGGATATGATTATGGAATACGCTGATATGACACATTCAAAAGAAATCTCTCTCTGGCAGCATACATCGAACGGCAATTGAGAAAAGAAGAGTTCAAGGCAAAGGTACTCGATCTCATGGAGGATGAATTAAAAAAAAACTGAATGACTACCGAAAGGAACTGGAAACGAAATATGGCAAGCTTGATAATGGCATTCATTCTCAAGAGGAAAAAGTTGTTAGAAGCGTTGGATTCGAAAATCATGGTGATAAAGTCAAGGCGACCGATATTAGCATCGACTTTTCGTCTGCATTTTGGAAGACATTCGCTAACACAACAAGGAATACTGAACGAAGGAAACGCATATAAAACAATGGCGAGAAAAGTGAAAAGTTATTACAGTGTCAAATTCAGCGAAAATCAACTTGCGGTTTTTCTTTTTCTTTTTTTTTTTTTTTTTTCTTTATCCTTACACATTGTGAAATAAAAAAATCTTGTCCAAATATAGTAATATTGTAGTTTGGAGTATATGATCACGCTCGATGAGAATGAAGATGATGATGGTCGAATAATGAAATAACTTGATGATAAGTACTTTATCATTAGATAATATTCCGGATGATTGATAAAAATCAGTAAACCATTAGATGATGATCATTCAAAGGACTTACCAAAATTAATTGATCTTTTTTCTTTTTTTTTCTTTTAAAAAAAGAAAAACTTTTGTTGATTGATAATACCATAAAAAATATGATTTCAGTTTGAAGAGACAAAAATAAATCATATTATATCAACTAGTTAGATAATACATCTATCATTTAGTGTATCATCCATCATCATGTAATATTTGCGTCCATGTCAGTTGAGATGATGGGATCAAAAAAAAAAAAAAAAAAAAGATCATAGAGGCATGTTTCCGATTGGTTGACAAAATCCGGTGTGACTGAATGGTAACCCCCTCAAAAATTGAAATCCCACTTTTCTTTGTAAGCTTTCTTCTTTTCTCATATTCTACCGATTTTTATTCTTTCTTTTTCTACTTAAATAAAGAAAGACATCTACACTTATCTTTTACAGTATACTTACATAATCATATATATATATAACATATCATGTCAACACCAACCAGACGACGTCTTATGAGAGACTTTAAACGACTTCAAAGTGATCCTCCCGGTAAGGAAAAAATAAAATAAAATAAAAAGTTTGTTCATGGCGTAGTAATATTATATATAATGTGGTCATCTTTCATTATTTATTACCTTACTCACCATCTCTTTTTTCTTTTTTTATTTTACTATTATGATACTTTTGTTACATTGATTTTATAGGAGGTGTATCTGGTAAGTTAGTATATATCATGAAGGCAGGATTATAATGAGGTGGAATAGAATAAAGTCAACTAATACCAAAAAAACATTTCTTTTATTTTTAAATATATAGGTGCTCCTTGTTCTGATAATATCATGATGTGGAATGCAGTAATCTTTGGACCAGGTAATATATCATGATGATATCTTTTTTTTTGTGTATAAGATTATTCACTCATTTTTCTTATCATATACTATTCATATATTGTAGCTGACACCCCTTTTGAAGATGGAACATTTAAGCTCGTTCTGCAGTTTGATGAAACTTATGTAAGAATATAAAATATAGATACAAAAAAAAAAAAAAAAAAAAAATAGGGTATATACTGGAATATAATGATGATCGATTTATTTCTTTTTTTTTTTTCTCACACACATACTTATACATCTTTCTGTTTTATATATATATATATATATATATATGTAGCCTAACAAACCTCCTTCTGTGAAATTTGTATCCAAGATGTTCCATCCAAATGTTTATGCCAATGGAGAACTTTGTCTTGATATTTTACAAAATCGATGGAGTCCAACATACGATGTAGCAGCTATTCTTACCAGTATCCAATCTTTATTGCATGATCCCAATCCAAATTCTCCTGCCAACGCCGAAGCTGCCAACTTATATCGTGAAAACAGAAAGGAATATGTTAGACGTGTCCGTGAAATTGTGGAATGCTCATGGGAATGATATGATATATATATATATACATAACCTATTCTTCCTTACCATTTGAATTATTCAATCATATCCTTTTTCCCTCTCCTTCAATTATTGATACTTATATTCTACATTTCAATTTTTTTTTTTCCTTCTCAACCTCCTTTTTACCTTCATGAAGTCCCCCCCCCCCTTCTTCACTCTTTGTAAACAATAAAAAAAATGATCCAATTGTATTGATTGATATCCCTCAATAATCATTTCGTACTATAAAATCTTATAAAGTCGCATGACTGAATTCACAAAATGGTAAGGTCACCGGAGTTGGATTGGTATGTTGAATGCTTTGCTTTCCAAAGTGGCTTGGTGAATTCAGCCAATGATCTTTTATTATCGAAAATTTTTTTTTTCTCTCTCCTACTCAGAATAAAAGTTTTTATTTTTTTGTTTTTTACCACTTTTTCTTCTTTCCCTTTACTTCCATATTCAATTTTGACCAATGGCTCCCATCGCTAAGAAGTCCAAGAAGAACGCTGAATCTATCAACTCTCGTCTCCAACTTGTTACCAAGTCTGGTAAATACACCCTTGGTTACAAGACTACCTTGAAGTCTCTCCGTCTTGGCAAATGTAAGTTTCCCTTATCCACATAAAAAATATATTACCAGATCATCCTCATGTTTGATTCAAATATGAGGGGGGACAGGAGCCAATCAAAAAAAAAAAAAAAGATTCTCTCAGGCAGAGATTGTCCCCCAAAACCATGTTTTTTATTAACCTATTGTTTTGTTTGATTTTTTTTTTATTATTATAGCCAAGTTGGTCATCATTGCTGGTAACTGCCCTCCTCTTCGCAAGTCTGAAATTGAATACTATGCTATGTTGTCCAAGACTGGTGTCCATCACTACAACGGCAGTAAGTATTTTTTTTTTTTTATGTAGAGAATAGGATATTATATTAAAATGGTATACTCATTCTTTTTTTTTTTTTTTTTTTTAAATAGACAACATCGATCTTGGTACTGCTTGTGGTAAGCTTTTCCGTACCAGCGTCCTCTCCATCACTGATGCCGGTGACTCTGATATCTTGACTGCTCAATAAATGTAGTTTAGTAGTAGTTTTGGTTTATATAGATAGTAATTTTTTTTATGTATATATAACTGGAATAAAGAAACTTCATTTTGACGAGTGTTGATACATTCAATTCTACAGACGTGTTTTCGTGGCTTTTTTTTTTTTTTTTTTTTTTTTTTTTGAAACAAGTTGTGAACTCAGAAGCGAATGAACTACTTGGAACAAGAAAGTGTAATAATAGTGTGGATGATAGTTGAATGATTATCTGCGATGATGGCGCAAGGACTTCATATTCTACAGTTTATTCACTTATGGTTGAGCAGTTGTTTTGTTAGGTTGTGATTGATGGAAATGGATGATTTTGGATCATCATCTCGGATGGTAACGTGAGAATGATGAAAAGACTGGATGATACGATTCTAATAATAGCAAAAGATTTATTTGTAACAATGAATAATAATACTAAAAAAAAAAAAAAGGTATTTATGACTAGAGTAATATATATATTAGGTATAATAATAAAATAGGAATAAACGATAAGATATTTCACGCCATTGCCAATTCGAGCCAAAATGTTCGTCGTTTCCAAAGTCTGATTGTATTGTCGTTCAAAGAGATGTGATCATAATCCCACCAACACTTTCTCTACACAAACAAATATATGCATAATAATAATAATAATTAATAATTAATATTATATGATGTAGTACTTACAGCAGGTTTTTTCCAAAACATCATCAATCTTTTCAAAATATCCGCACGTCGATTTGATCCAGTGACATTAAGGTGTGATAATGAGACACTCATGACACAAGTGCGTTTTGGCTCCAAATCACGATAGGCCCATTGGTCTTGGTAGTCGAATCCAGCTTCATATAATACAGAGATCAAGTGTTGTTCGGCCAAATTGTTTTCCTTTTCAATGTTTCTAACTAGAGATTCAAAAACCTTGTTTTCTTCCACCAAATGTCGACCTGCTTGAGTTTTCATTTGCTGCATATTCTTTTCCATTCCACCTTTAACCTGATTCTTTTGACTGGATTGTAATGTTTCCTCGTTCTTGTCGATGATCGATGACTGGGGTAAAACAAAATAATCTAATTCTTCACGTAAAAGGATAATGATTTGTCGATGAGCTGCCTCTGCAAGGAAGTTTGTATCAGATACGGACAATGGTGGCATGGTGTATTCTGGTTGTTGTTTCAAAGAAAGCTGGCGTGTTTGTTCAAAGAAGGAGGCGATATACCGGAAGCATCTTGGGTCAAAGTCGAATGAATGTATTTTTTCAGGTACTGATGTAGGTTCATACAAGAGTTGGTGGAGGCTAAGTCCATCCGAGATAATATTGAGGGTCAAACTTTCAGGAAAGAGAATCTAAAAGATGGAATGCATAAAATAGCAGGTAAAAGAATAAACTGAGTTGGCATATATATATGTATATCCTTTCTTACCAAAGTTTCACGATCAATGTCAATCCTTTCACCACGTAGTTCCAGTTGAAGTTGTTTTGGGTTTACTTTACTTTCATTAGAGTTGTTGCTGTTGTTGGTTAGACCCCTCGTTAAAGATTTTTCTGTCGCTTGAGTAATAGGTGATGTGCTTGTTGTCATTATATATATATATATATATGGTATGATAGAAGGTAAAAAAAAAAAAAAAAAAAAAAGAAAAAAAAAAAAAAAAAAAAAAAAAAAAAAAAGGAAAAGAAAAGAAAAAAAAAAAAGAGGAAAAAAAAAAAGAAAAAGAAAAAAAAAAGAGTGGGAAATAAGTCTAATGCAAGCAAGCTGCTGCAAAAGGGCTCGGCGGCTTCCTTATCAGGTAATAGATAATAAAAAAAATATATGTTCAGACTTTTTGACTTTTATTAAAAAAGGATGGATATGATATTGAAGAAAAAGTGTGGAATGGATAACTAAACTACAGCTACTACGACTACTACTATTACTACTACTACTACTACTACTACTACAACTAATACTACCAATACTATTTCTATGAATGATTGGGTAAACTACAGCAAAAAAAAAAACATATAATGAATTTATGCAGAAGCAGATTTTTGCATGGAGGAGGTACGACGACGTTCCAATTTCTTTTCCTTGGTTTCCTTGACACGTTTAGCGAGTAATTGCTTGTATTCGGCTTCGGCTTCCTTGGAAGCTTCACATCGTCTACGCTTGATGGCACGACGATGACGCTTGCGTTGCAAAGTAGCAGGAGTGACCAAACGTTGAATCTTGGGAGCCTTGGTGAAAGGTTTCTTTTCAGGGTTTTTGGGTTGAATTTCACGACGGATCACATATTTACGGACATCATCAGCATAAGACAAGTTAAAGAACTTGCGGATCTTGGAGGCACGCTTGGGACCAAGACGCTTGGGTACAGCAGTATCAGTCAAACCAGGAATATCTTGTTCACCTTGCTTGACAACCACAAGGGAAAGAACAGCCAAGTCAGAAGAAACAATACAACCACGGACAGACTTTCTCTTACGTTCACCAGTACGGCGAGGACGATAACAAGAGTGACCCTTAGACAACAACAAGCGAACACGGTGAGGTAACAAAACACCTTGCTTCATGGGAAAACCTTGCTTGTCGTTACCACCAGAAATGCGAAACACGTAGCCCTTGAATTCATCACCGAGAGCATCCCCAGCAACTTCTTGAGACATACGTTTGTCGTAAAAGCCGCGACTAGATTGATATATATATTAGTTGGTTGTACAATATCTTTTTTTTTTTTTTTTTTTTAGGTTGTATATATGTATATTGTCAAAACTTACAGGCGACGTTCATCATCGATTTCAATCAATTTTTGGCAGCCGGTAGCTGGATTGGCAATGTTCAACTATAAAATAAAATAAAATAAAATATAGTAGAATAAGTATAATTGAGTCTCTAGTTTCAATTGGTGTGTTGATGCAGTTTGACAATGGAGCGTATATTTCAGTAAAGAGTATCATTCATCCATCCATCCATCCATCCATCCATCCATTCGATCCGTCTATCATTTTGCGTATATATAAATGTTGATGCGTCCATTCGTTGTATATCCCCATTGTCAAACTGTAGTTCATGGATCAATGTTATCTTTGTATTTTCTTACTTTCATAATGGGTGAAGAGGAAAAAAAAAAAAAAAAAAAAGGACAATAACCGAGAACCCAAAAAAGGATAGCTGCTGTGTTTCAATTGATCACTAGCAAGAGACAGTTCGAGAGATAGAGAGAGAGAGAAAGAGAGCCAATACATCAATAGAATGAATTTTATTGAAATGATTCAAACTACAATAGTAAAGATATACACAGAGACAATAGTAATAATCATAACAATAATATACTATAGACTTGATAAAAAATATCTATAGAACTGATTCTAATCTTCACCCACAGGCACTTCTTCTTCAAGGTACCGTACCAACTTTACACGTAGTTCGGTAGTATCATCACCACGGAGAGTATCACTGACAAAATTAGCATCCACTTGCATTTGTACCATTTCCAATGCCCCTCGTAGCACACCACAGTAAATATTTGAGTACCATAATCCGCCTTCCAGAGCTTCTGTTGGTAGTTCAACATATTCCGTCAATGGGTTTTCATCAAAGACCAAGGAGAATTCTTTAAATTCTGATGACCAGTTTGTAACATTAGGCGTAATATTCAAAAACAACTTAAAACCGACCTTTGCTACTGCTTCTGCTGTTTCTCGAAAATCAGAACATCTTGATATACCAGATCGCGCTAAAAAGTCTTCGATCAAGCGTTGTCCAATGTTGTATCCCCTAGTCAAGATCATATAAAAAAAAAAAAAGAAAAAAGAAAAAAGGAACAGAAAAAAAGAAAGAATATAATATTAAATTAAAAAAAAAGTCATAAAGTTATTGTATTATACTTACATTTTTTCAAGTTGCTTATTGACTTCATTGTAATCTTCATAATCTTTCACCAGTTGTAATACCATTGAGCCATATGTCAGAGTAAATAGTTCAGCATTCTATATATATATATATTTTTAAAAAAATAAAATAAAAATAAAAAGAGATTGAATAACAACCAATCATTTAGTTATTATTGTTAGTTAATTGTAAGTTTTTCTCTTTTTGGGTTGTGCGCGTACTTTTGGTTTCATTGTATTACTTACAATCTTCTCAACTTTGTTCTTCCAAACATCATCGCCAAGTGCCTTGTATTGTTTTGCTAAAGGTGTGCTCATAATAGAGTGATGGTATTGTAAATTGAGGTAATTAAGAAATGAAAAAAAAAGCAAAGAAAGAAAGGAACTACAGAAGACAAAAAAAAAAAAAAGAGAATATGCTGGGCTTCAAAAAATGTCAAATTGCCTTACTATATATAAAAAAATAAAAAAAAGACCTCTCTTGATTTTGATAAGGTTGTGGTCCAAAAAAAAAAAAAAAGACTTGTATCGGGTGGAAGTATAAGAAGACCGTGTAGCTTGTAAATTGATTTAAAAAATTGATATCAAAATAGATAAAGAAATAAATAAAGAAAAGAGAGGAAAAATAAAGTAGCACTTGTTCATATTTCTCACTTGATCAAGGAATAAAATAGACCCAAGTAAATTGATTTTAAAAGAGAAGTATTATGCAAATTTACATTCACATCACAAGATATGAACGTTACATTAATATATCTCTGTCTTAATTGTGAATACGATGATGATGATATCATATAAAAAATATAATCCTTTTTTTTCCAAATATGGCTGTTGAAAAGAATCAACTCACTTGCTGAGGCAATCACCATCAATCATCAATCAATGTGTTTTGACATTCTCTAGAACGATATCTGAAAAAGTGGTAATGCGACATCCATTTTGGAAAAACCCGATATTTTATTTCATAACTTCTTGTGACCCGACAAAAAAACTTGGAAAACACTGTAAAAAAAAAAAAAAAAATATGTACACTATAGAAAATAAACTATGAAAACGCTATTTACACTAATTTAACCACTGATGACTTGACCAAAAGTATTTCCCATTTTCTGGACACCCCATGTGGCATTGGATAAACCTTCCTTGGTGGATTCAGTAACATGTTTCTTGACCAATTTAGTATAAACCCAGGTAAAAACAATCATAAGTCCTGTAGCAAGACCAAATACGACATAACCAACAGTTTCAGCATGAGATATATCTGTACTTGTCATAACAACGATCACCTTAATAATAAATGTTGCCACCAGAGTGATACCCCACCAAGCTGTCATCACTCTCATATCATTTCGAAATCGACTCATATTGGAATATAAGTAATCAAGTTTCTGTCGTTTGCTTGTTTTCTTTATACTAAGTCGTTGTTGATCATAATGTTGTAATTGTTCATCTTCTTCTTCTCGTGGCATAACTTGATTTGCTACCTGGAAAATCAAAGGTCGTAATTCAAAATGGCCAATACGGAGAGGAATCAAGGAGAAGAGACAAAATACACCAATCAATAATGGTACAATAGATTCACAAATTGCACTTGTTTTTTCATCCGGCTGAGCAATAGACTAAAAAAAAAAAGAAGAAGAGAGAATCATTAATATCCTTTTTCTTATTCTTTTTTTTTTTTTTTGGAGTTTTACTTACAATAATACCAGTGATTAAAAAACTAAGTCCAGAAACAATCCCTAAAACATCAATTGTTTTTTCTTTGAACATACGTCTATTAAAAAAGGAAAGATAACAATAAACAAGAGATTAAAAAAATAATCTTTTTTTTTTTTTTTTTTTACTTACATAAGCACAATAACCAAAGGAGGAGAGGATGCCACTATCATTGCTAATACTTGGTGAATATGAGGTAAAAGTAAATGATATAATAGAATAGGAAGACCAATACTCCATAGAATAGCCAAGAAGAAGTTTAATATTGGTCTTCCACGAATAAAGCTAAAACTAAAAATATCTTGAATAGTTCCTAAATCCATAGGTAAGTTTTCGTCTTGTTCCTTTGGGACAAATGGAGCTTGGTGATAATGATCTTCGCCTTGTTCCGAATAGTCATTCAATTTTGTCGTGTCATTATTGTTATCTTTGTTTGAAAAGAACCATACCATGACTGGTTTTTGTCACTATAATAATTATAGTTTCTATAAATGAGCTTTTGGTTTTTTTTTTTTAATGAGAATGAATTGTACAGGAAAAAAAAAAGAGGGAAACAAAATAATAATTCAATTCTCTTTTTTGAGATTATATGCGGAGTAGCAAAAGTTTATCCGAATCCTGTATGCCAAGAAAGAGTATCCTTTTTTTTTCCATTTGCCTATTTACAAACAAATAAAAAAGTTGTCAGCCATTATTCATTCAAAATATGGTTTTATTTCTTTTGACTTGTTTCAATCATCATTTTATATACCTTCTTGGAGGAGTGGAACCATGTCAACAAATTCAACTGCCGCATTCAACACCTTTTTTTTTTTTTTTATTATTTTTGTTTTTATTTTTTTTTCCTGTTTTATTTCTTTTTCTTTCTTTCTTTCTTTCATGGTTCGATTATCTGTGAATAATAAATATACAACCCTCATACGACGATTATTACCAGCATGTGATAATGATATTTCTTTGGCCAAACGACAAATTATATGGATGAAGGAAAAGATTATTATGGATCGACACGATATTAAAAACACTTCTACTTTACTCACCACAGAAGAACTGAATCGACTAGATACCTTTGTTCAACAACGTGTAGAACAACATAAACCTTTACAATATATACTAGGTCAGCTTTTTTTTTTTTTTTTTTTAAAAAATAGTTTATTGTATAAAAAAGGTATTCATTATATGATATTTGTAGATCCTTTTAGGCACTCAGCCTTTTTATGGTTTGGATATTTTGACAAGACCACCTACCTTAATACCAAGATGGGAAACAGAAGAATGGACACATCGACTTGTAGAATTGATACAACCTTATTGGAAAAAACAACAAGGACGACGACGACGTATTCTTGATATATGTACAGGATCTGGGTGTATTGCTTTAGCATTGGCTGCACATCTTCCATCCAATAGTACAGATATTTTGGGTCTTGATATCTCTACAGAAGCAATCAAATTAGCTAATGACAATCTCGTAATTCATCAGAATCAATTAAATGGTAATCAAGTCCAATTCCAAATTCAAGATATTTATCAAGCTAAAGTAGAAAAACTTTTTGATGATCCTTGGGTTGATCTTGTGGTATCGAATCCGCCTTATGTTACACATACGGAATATGTAAATTTGGAAGCTGAAGTGAAACAATGGGAAGACAAACGGGCACTGGTAGCAGATAATCAAGGTATTCTTTTACATCAAAGATTAATTGAATTAGTATCAAAGAACAACAATAATAAGAAGAAGGATGGTGATGAATTATTACCAAGGTTAATAATGGAAATAGGTGGTGAACATCAAGTATCCTCTTTAAAACAAATATTGGATTCTTATGGATTTAGACATATCAAGATTTGGAAGGATTTGGCCGGCAAGGATAGGGTGATTTTGGCCAGTTAGATTTGATCAAGATGTACCCTCATCGGAAGAACATGATCTCGCGTGTATTTTATATATATTTTTACTTAGTTACACTTTCTCACACTTTTTTTTCTCCCCCACATGAAATTTACTCCAATAAAATTTTACAATACAACACAGAAAAAGGATATTTTCGTTTGCATAATCGTGACTTGTCTGGAAAAAATCATGATACGTTTTTTTTTCTCACACAATTTTTTTTAATTCTTTTTTTTTTTTTTGTTGTCTTTTCTACTTTCCTTTTTTTTTCTTTCTTTCTTTTTTCTTTTATCTTTATTATTTAATTAATATATAAATTATTATGATGAAACATCTTACATTGAAAAGTTCTTTATATTGGTAAGGTGATTATTAAACTATCATAATATAATAATATTCATCTTTCTTTCTCTTTTTAGGGGATTACCAATAACTTTATTAGTAGGTTCAGCATATACTGTGGGTAAAGCAAGAACTCATAATCCAAAAAATCCTATTCAATTTGTAACAAGTGGTGAAACTGGACAAGATAGTGAAAAATTGGAACATATTAGAGCAGATTGGCATCAACGTAATAAGGGTATGGGCTTACGAGACGTCAGGTAATAAACTATAGAAACAAAAAAAAAAAAAAAAGTGAAGTCCGCTATGATGAATTATTATGCAACTAAACTACTTTTTTAACAGTCGTAGTGGTGGTGGTGTATGATATCTATTCTTCTTCTTTTTTTTTTTTCTTAGTTTAGCAAACATCAAGACAAAATATATTACCCCAACGCTTTTTTTATTTATTTATTTATTACTCTTGTTTTATTATTATATTGTGAATAAAGAAAAAAAAAAGATAACCTACATTCATATAGACTATTTTATTGTTTTTGGATTGATCGAAAGGATTTAAAGGGGGGGGGATACATTCCACATAGGACAACAGTTAGTGATGGATATAGGAATGCATTGGAGAATTTGGTTTGTTTAAATTCACTCTTTTTATTTTCTATTTATTCATTTCTTTTTTATTATTATCAATATGTTAACTACTGGTTCAAGTGATTATTCTTTAACACTAGCAACAAATCATCAAGATAACACCATTCATTGTACAAATAATCGACTAGTACAAAAATGGATTGACCTTGTAGATCGATGTTTGGAACAACAATGGAAGGATTCACAACAATTATTAGTATCTGCAAAGATTTTGAAAGATGCTTCAAATTTATTTAATCTTGATCAAGTAGTGAAGGAATTGAGTGATCTTGGTCTTGGAATCATGCAACGTTCTATTGATCTACGCCAAGAATTAGTTGACAATGCGTTTGACTTTTATGATCAACCAATCAACAATCCAACACATCCATCACCTGTTTCAACCACCGCAATTGGACGTGACATACCAGTGAAACATTTGAATCATACTTCACTTTACGTATCTTTGCCATCATCTCCTGAATCTGATGTTTATGAACCTCTGTTAAGAAAATCATCAAATACCGCAAGCTCCAAAAGATTATCATATTCAAGTGAAGGTTATTCTCCTTTCACTTTACATTCTAAATTATGGGAACATCAACGACGAAATAAGTATGAAAAAAAGACTACAAACAGTTTCATATCATCATCATCATCATCATCTTCTTCTTCTTCTTTATCATCTTCTATGTCATTCTCTGCTTCAAGATTTTCACCATCATTAACAACTAAAAAGTTATCAGAGAAAAAAAAGATAGAAAAAACAACAACAACAACAACAAAATGTCTCTTGGCTCCTTCTCCATCAGCACCTACGCTTTATCAAATCATACCAAAGGATGATGATGATGATGATGATGTTGATGATGATGATGGTGATGATGGTGATGATGATGATGGTGATGATGATGGTGATGATGATGATGATGATGATGATGATGATTTATTAGACAAGCATCCATCCATTTATAGTCAAGATCAATGTTCATCTAATTTCATTCCAGCATGCACTTATAACTATTATCCTACATCTGGGGAAAAAAAAGAATCATCCATTCAGTGTCAACAATGCTTTTTTTGTAGATCTTCCATGCCACGCCAAAGGAGTTTCTCCTTGGATCAGACTGTGCATTCCCTTCCTAGCAACAATTCTTCTACAACCTCTTCTGCGATCATCACGACAGATCAATATCCTTTAGATAAAGAAAACAAAGATCATCCTCAAGTGAAAGATGCAATGCTTATGACTGAAAAAGCTGATGATGATACTGATGTTAATGATGATGATATTAATGATGATGATGATGATGATGATGATAATGATGATATCGATGATGATATTACTCTTTTGGAAACGACTTTGTCTCGCGATTCGCTAGATTTGGATGAATTACCAATGCCGCCCACCCGAAGAGACTTAAAATCACCTCCTCCATCTTATAATAATAGTAATAAGACAATGATGATGAAGGCTCCATCGATTCCCATCCCATTGCGTACTTCTTCCTCCTTGGATACTGCTGTCGCCACTCCTTTCATCATCGCAACCACACCAAAACCATCTACACCTGTAGTAGGAGCAAGACAATCATTATCATCACACATCACACCAAGTACAGCATCATCATCATCATCCATAGTACATACAATGTCGACAAAATTCCATTTCAAAAGAAGTGGTAAAAAAAAATTATCACCCACGATGGCACAATCCTCCTCTTCTTTCTCATCAGCCACTACCGCTTTTAGCCACCATAGTAGCTCTCCTTTTGCAAATGATGACAATAATCGTGATGATAATGATAATGATGATGATGATGATACAAGTAACAAAACAAATCGATTTATTCGCTCGTTATGGATTGGACGAAAAGTATCCTTCCCTACTCTATTTGCATCCAAAAAAGTGCATCCTTTAACACCTTCCAGTATAGATGATGATCCTTTTTTACGTTGATGAATGTTTTTTTATTCTCTCTCTTTTCTTATATATATATAATATTCAAAAATAAAAGAACAAACTACATTATAATTGAAAATGAATTTCCTTTTTTTAATAATTATAGTTGAAAGTTAGCTTCGAACAGATTAATACTCAGTCGCTTTAGTTTTTTTTTCCTGCTTTTTTCTTTTCTACCTTCGCGCTTTTCTTCCTTCTTTTTTTTTTTTTTTTTTTTTTTTTTTTTTTTTTTCCAATTCTTCTCAGCTATGAATCAACTCTCTTTTGGAAAAAGATTGTTTACAGGAAGATCGCTTGTTCCACTTCAACGACGACTGATCACTACATTAACCTTCAAGAGACGCGACGCTTCTCTTCTCTTACATTCCTCTCCAACAACTTTACGTGCCAACTCTTCTTTCCCTTACCGATCGTTTCATTCGTCTTCTATTCTCAAGTCAAGCTCTACAGCAAACCGTCTCATCCATGAAAAAAGTCCTTATCTTTTGGTAAGAAAGCGAATAAAGCCAGTCCTCTTTCCAAATTAGAGTCATTATTGAACCAAGACTAAAACAAACCTTTTTTTTTTCCTTTCCTCTTGTTTTGACATTCATAGCAACACGGTAAAGCAAAAGAATACACATATATAGATTATGATTCAGTTGGCTCAATACTCACTTTTATCAATTCTCTACTCTTTATTGATACCTCCCAGCACACAACCCTGTAAGCCTTGTTATATTGTCTTCTACCCATACTCAATTTTTTTTTTTATAGGTTGACTGGTATCCTTGGGGAAAAGTAGCTTTTGAAAAAGCTAAGATAGAAAACAAGCCCATTTTTTTAAGCATTGGTTATTCTACATGTCAGTAAGTGTATCATCAAACTAGTACGTTGTTGAAGTTATCTGACAATGCTAATTCTTCTTCTTTTTTTTTTTATTAGTTGGTGTCATGTTATGGAACATGAATCTTTTGAGAACGATCAAGTGGCAAAAATTCTGAATGATCACTTTATTTCGATTAAAGGTAAGTCAATATATAATACTAATGATGATAGTGAAAAGGGACATTTCATATATATCTCTTATTTCTATAGTGGATCGGTAAGTGAAGGAAGAAAAATAAAATGTTAGTATAGAGAAGTCTACTTATCATTTATATTATGATTTATGATTATAGTGAAGAAAACCCCGGCGTAGACAAGTTATATATGACATATGTTCAATTGACAACTGGTCGTGGTGGCTGGCCCATGTCCGTCTTTTTGACTCCTGATCTTCAACCTTTTTTTGGAGCCACTTACTTTCCTCCTGATGATATAGCTGGTCAAACTGGATTCAAAACCGTGTTATCAAGAATTGCCAAGGTATGGGAGGAGAAACCGGATGCACTTCGTCAGAATGGTCAAGATACTATCCATCAACTCAAGTCATATGTACAATCACGAGCAACTGATCCTCTCGTTGATATGGATGCTAATAAAATTGCTAAGGATGCTTGCGATCATTATCAATCTGTTTATGATGCTTCTCAAGGTGGTTTCAGTGGTGCGCCAAAATTCCCTCAACCTGTCCAAATGAACTTTTTACTCGACTACTTTGGATACTGTCGACAATCTTCAGAAAACATCAAGAATAATGATTCTGGGAAGGATGCTCTCAATATGGTTTTATACACTTTGAAGGTAAGACGTATATATATATAATGTTTTTGCAAATTAAACTCACTTTATAATTTTTTTTTTATTTATTATTCAGAAAATTGCTAATGGTGGGATTCATGATCATGTTGGCGGTGGTTTTCATAGGTATAGTACTGATAAGAATTGGCATGTTCCTCATTTTGAAAAGATGTTATATGATCAAGCACAACTTTTGGCCACTTACTCTACAGCCTATCAAATCACCAAAGATCCATTCTTTGCTATGACTGCCAGGGATATTATTACTTATGTTAGTCGTGATTTACATCACTCTCAAGGAGGATTCTATTCTGCTGAAGATGCTGATTCTTTACCTACCAATGATGCCAAAGCCAAATTAGGTAACAAAGCGATCATCCATAAAAGAAGAGAATGATATTCATTTACTTCTTTTTTTTTTTTTTTATTTACTTATTTTGTATATTACAGAGGGTGCCTTTTGCGTATGGACCAAATCCGAACTTGAATCCATTTTGGAAACCAATCAAGCTCAAGTCGTCATTCGTCATTTTGGTGTCAAGTCAGAAGGAAACGTTGATCCTATGCAAGACCCGCACAAGGAACTAACGAACAAGGTAAACAACCCATTACTTTCTTCACATAGAAACATAATCTCATTCTTTCTTTTTTGTTGGACCTTTATAGAATGTTCTAACTTCAGTTGAAACTCTGAAAGAAACTGCAGATGCTTTGAATATGCAAGAATCAACTATTGTAGACCTTCTTCAAAGTGCCAAACAACAATTATGGAAATATCGAACAGAACATCGACCTAAGCCTCATCGCGATGAAAAGATTTTAACATCTTGGAATGGTAAAAAAAAAAAAAAAAAAAAAAAAAAAAAAAAAGAGAATGAGAAGTATTTATAAAAAATTTGTTATTGTTATAGGATTAATGATTACTGGATTAGTCAAAGCATATCAAGCTCTTCAAGATCCCTCTATCCTTGAATTGGCTACCAATACTGCAGATTTTATTCACAAAGAATTGTATCAAGCCAAGTCAAATACACTTTTACGAAGCTATTGTCAAGGTCCTTCTACTATAGAAGGCTTTTTGGATGATTATAGGTAATCAAAAAAGAAAGCTGATTGATGAAGAATAATACTCAAATGAACTCATTGTTTGTTCTTTTCGACTTGTAGCTATTTGATCCAAGGATTACTTGATTTGTACGAAACTGACCACGATGACCGATGGATCCAATGGGCCTATGATCTTCAAGAAAAACAGAATGAATTATTCTATGATAAAGAAGCTGGTGGTTATTTTACGGTACAAGAAAGTGATAAAAGTATTTTAGTACGATTGAAAGAAGGTAAATCTATGATAGAAAAAAAGGACGAGAAATCATCAAATTTATTTTTTTTTCTTTCTCTTTTATTAAAGAACAAGATGGTGCCGAGCCTTCTCCAAATGCTGTATCATTGAAAAATTTGGTTCGATTAGGTACAATCATAGAAAATCAATCATATGTGACCAAAGCGCAAGATACTGTGGATTGTTTCAACATGGCTATGTCTAGGTTTCCTTATGCCATGCCTGCCTTGGTGACCTCTTTTCTTTTGATGTACCATGGTGCCAAACAGGTAAATATCTTTATAGAAGCCATTTGATTATTGAGTCCTTTTTTTAATATATATATATATATAGATTGTTCTTGCTGGAAACTCTTCAGATAAATCGATGCAAACTTATCAAGATATCGTCAATCAAGTGTTTATTCCTAATAAACTTGTTATACAGGCAAAAAATAGTGGATTTGTGCATGACAACAATAAAGTGATTGCAGATATCAGTTCATCATTGGATTATCAACATGGAAAAGCCACTGCATTTATCTGCGAAAACTTTACATGTGGACTACCTATTCAAGATGTTGGACAATTGAAGAAACAACTGGAATATTGATAGAATGGATGTAGTATTAGATTATCTCTCTCTTTTTTTTTTTTTCATTGGTATTATTTCATGATGCAACAATAAAAAAATATGATTTTTTTTTCTCTTTTTGTTTTTCGTATCATAAAAGATGTGGTTCAATGTTTGCTGATAAAAAGTTGAACTGTGCATATGCAGAAGAATCTGACTCGAACAAAGTGATATCCAAAAAAGGTGAACGGGGTTTGAAAGCTGTTCATGCTTAAGGAGTTCTGCTGATGGGAGTTTTTTTTTCTTGGCAACTACGTCTTTTTTTTTTTTTTTTTCTTTGTTTACTTACATTTCTCATCTCCTCCAGTCTATTGTATTTTTTTTTTTTTTTTCGTTTCTTTCTATAGACCGATATATCGATGCATCCTCTTTTATTATTTTCCATTGTTGCAGGTGGTACGGTGTTTGCCATTCTTGGAGCTTTGGAAGCAAGACATCTTTATGAAACTTACCGTGAACGCCAAGAATATGAACGTTTCTGTCAACATTACGCTAAAATGAATGAATCCAAGGAATTCGAACCTGATAGTGATGATGAAGAGGAAAAAGCAAACACTTCAGCAAGACAGAGAACTGATCATCTTGTTCGTCATCGTCACCCCTTACCATCTCAGTCTCCAAATTCAGTTTCTGATCAGGTAATAACAAAAGCTAATAAAATAAGAATGTTTTGATTCTCTCTCTCTTTTTTTTTTTTTTTTTTATAATGCTAACTCACCTTATATCTTACTTTTTTATTGTTTTAATTTATTGAAATATAATATAGGCATGGGTAGATCGTACCGAAATTGAATTGAATGAATTGGAACGGAAACTTTCAGATAGAAAACGACATTTGGAATTGGAGCAAGCATTATTGGATCAGGCTGAAATGGATCTTGAACAACGACGACGATCTATGGAACGACGCGATCATCATCATCGTGTTTTGTCTGAACGTCAATCTTCTCCATTTGATGATAATGATAATAAGCATACGGATTCCCTTGATTCATTCCTTACAACTGATACACCAGATCCTACCAAGTCATTCAACGGATCTTTATTACGACCTTTATCTTCTACTCCAAGACAACATGATCTATCCTCTTCGTCCTATGCTACTTTACCTTTGATAAATCGTGATGTGGAAGATATGAAGACCGACAACAGAAACGACAATACTCCTCCCGCAGAACAAGATGATCTTTCACCATTAAACATTCAATCACATGACAATGCAACACCAGAAGAACCTTGGTGCTATGAAGGCAGTGAAGATGATGATGATGAACCTTCGACATGCCAACGATCCATGCGATTCCCAACACAAGACGGCAACGGCAATAACATAGAACCAGAGTCGGATGATCAAAGCTCCTGGAACTCCTCCTATTCGGTACAACGTTCTGCCACCAACGATGATGATGATACATCCTATGATGATATGTCAAGTTTCAACACTCTCCGCTCACCTTCATCACCTTCATCAGATGGTCATTCTTTTGATTTGCTTACGAACTCGGATGTTGAAAATGGGCATTGAGATAGGGGGATACCTCATTTGTGCTTAGGATAGTTTTTTTTTTTTTTTATTTTATTTTTGTGGATGACACTATTTTTACTTTTGGTTATACCTTTTTTTTTTTCTTGATGGAAATAAAAAAAAAGTCAAAATTTGACAGATCTTTTTTTTTTTTTTTTTTTTTTTTTTTTTACAGATTGTGTTAAGGGCCAAAATAAAAAGAATAGATGAACCCGAAAACATTGTGCATTAGTAATACAGAGTTGGATCTAACATGGTACCTTAGTAATTCAAAGTAGTATTCAACATGGTTCTTTATTACAATATTAGGACAAAATGATCAGTACATTTTCTCTTTTCAGTGTCCTGACAATGAAATAAAATAAAATAATGAAAAATGAACATCTGGTTCGACTCTTTTTCCAATTTGACATCCCCTTTACTAATCCAGAAGGAGGGTTGATCGACCGACTTTCATGGGCGGTAAACGAAAAAAAAAATATAAAAGGCAAAGATATTCCTTTTTTTTTTTTTTATCTTTTTCTTTTCTTTTTAATTACAAATCAACTATGCCTTTTCAAATCAATTCTTTTGTTACATCAGATGTCCATGGTAAATTCAAGGAATCTACACGTCCAGTTGAAGAACTTGGTCCTCATCAAATTTTGATCGAACTTGCTGCTGCTGGGATCTGTCATACGGTAAATAAGATTTATTTAATCTCTTTGTTTTTTTTTTCTTTTTATTCAACTCAATATACTTTTTTTTTTGGATAGGATTGTCTTTATCTCGATCAACAAGGATTAGTTCTTGGTCATGAACCTGTGGGTTATGTGAAAGAAATGGGTTCTGCTGTCACTGGATTCACTAAAGGTGATTATGTTGGGTAAGTATTAAATTATATCAAAATTGAACTCCATTTTCATTGTTCTCCTCTCCTTTATATAGATTCTCTTATATGCAATCAGCTTGCTTGACTTGTGACCAATGTTGTGCTGGTGATGATCTTTATTGTAAGGATCGTGTTTGTTTCCCTGGTAATGGAAGTAACAATGGTTTTGCTGATGCTGCTGTTGTGGATTCTCGGTAAGTGCAAAGAAATATATGTTCCTTTTTCGTTCTTCTGTTTACTTTTTTTTATTTTTATTATAGATTTACTTATCATATTCCTTCTGAAATTGAACCTAAGCATGCTGCTCCTCTCATGTGTGCTGGTTCTACTGTTTTCAATGGTTTACTCTCTACGAATTTGAGTCCTACCGCTTCAGTTGGTATTGTTGGTATTGGTGGTTTAGGTAATGATGGATCTATATCTATATATGGCCACTAAAAACGTATGACTTGTTTTTTTTTTTATAGGTCATCTTGCTCTTCAATTTGCTAACAAATGGGGTTGTCATGTCACTGCCATCTCCACCAGTAATTCCAAAAAGGAAGAAGCCCTGTCATTCGGTGCTCATGCTTTTCTCAACTCGAATGATTTTGCTACTCCTGGCTTCTTTGATTCCGCTCCCAAGTTTGATTTGATTCTCAACACCACCAGTGTGGATTTACCTTATGATGATTATATCAAGTTATTGAAACCGTAAGCATGCGTACAAAAAAAAAAAAAAAAGGTGGGAGTATTGACTTTTTTTTTTAATTAGTAAGGGACAATTTTTATTGATTGGTGTACCTAGCAAGTCAGTGGAAGTGAGTGCTTTCCCTTTTATTGGCTATGAATTGGGAATGCGTGGATCTCTTGTCGGTGGTCGTCGTGCCGTAAGATTGATGTTGGAATTTGCTGCTCGTCATGGTATTAAGCCTCAAGTGGAAGAATATCCTTATGTAAGTGAAAAAAAAAAAAATGGATGATGCCGAAAAAGAGAAAAAAAAAAAAGCATTCTTTTGTTAACACAAATATACTTTTTTTTTTTTATTATTTGATGGTAGACTTTACAAGGACTGGAACAAGCTATGGAACGATGTGAAAACTACAAGGCTAGATATAGAGCTGTGTTGGTGAAGGATAAACAATAATTAGTATTAGAAATATAGTTTTCTATTGTTATTATCTTTTTTTTTTTTTTTTTTGTGGTACATATATTGAATTTTGAACAAATAAAATCATATTCAATGTAATTAAAGATAAAGAGAAAATAATCAAGTAAAAATAGTATGTAGTTTTATTATGACTAATGATGCAAAAAAAAGAGGGGAATCAAAAATAAATAATAATAATAATAAAAAAAAATGATGAAACTATACAACAATAAGTGGGGAGGAGTGAATCTATTCTATGACTTGATACATGTACCAAGAGGAACGACTTCCTCTTCAGTTGGAGATCGAACAGGAGAAACTGAAGGAGTAGCAGGAGTTGGTTGAATAATTGACGCTGTTGTTGTTGGATTACCTCTATTGTGAGCCATATGAGCCTTAACTAAATGTCCAGCAGCAAGAGCAGCACATAATGAAAGTTCACCAGCCATCACAGCAGCACAGATGATTCGAGCCAAACGTTGAGCATTCTTTCCAGGTTCAGTAGGATGAGGACCACGTACACCAAGCATATCCAACATGGATTGTTGAGGAGGAAGAATAGTACCACCACCGATAGTACCCACTTCAATACTTGGCATGGTACATGAGATGTGTAAATCTTGTTGATCATTGACAGCCTTCATTAGAGTAATGCAGTTGGAACTTTCGACATTTTGAGCAGGGTCTTGACCAGTGGCCAGGTACACAGCCGTCAGAATATTAGCAGCATGAGCATTGAAACCGCCTACCGAACCAGCCATGGCAGATCCAATCAAGTTCTTACTAATATTCAATTCCACCAACGCAGCCACCGTTGTCTTGAGTACTTTTTCTACAATCGCACCAGGAATCACTGCTTCCGCTACCACTGATTTCCCACGACCCTCAATCCAGTTGATGGCAGCAGGTTTCTTGTCCGTGCAATAGTTGCCAGAGAGCGAGATGATTTGCATATCAGGGAAATAATCACCAAGAATACCAAGAGCCTTTTCACATCCTTTTGAAATCATGTTCATACCCATCGCATCACCTGTGGTTGTTGAGAATCGAATAAACACCAGTTTGCCAGCCAATGCTACCTTGAGTTTTCGTAATCGAGCAAATCGGGAGGTCGAATTGAAAGCTTCAGTGATAACGGTATTACCTTCATTTTCAACCCATCGTTTGCATTCTCCAGCACGTACCACAGAGGGGAATTCCACACAAGGTCCACGAGTCATTCCATCCGCTGTCACCACCGTAGAAGCACCACCGCCAGCATTGATTGCTTTGCATCCACGAGCTGTCGATGCCACAAGACATCCTTCAGTTGTTGCCATGGGAATATGAATTGACACACCATCAATGTTCATTGGACCAGCAATACCCACTGGAATAGGCATATAACCAATCACATTTTCGCAACATGCTCCCATCACTTTGTCATAATGATAATCTTCCAAAGGTAGTGCACTATGTTCCAATGTTTTTGTCAAAGAGGCACGAGAAATCAAAGCACGTCGGATATTGACAGCACGTTCAAGATCACCAAGCGTTTTTTCTAAAGCGTAAGGAGCCAATTTACCAGCTTGCACAAGACTGATCACTTCTTCATCCAATAATTCTTCAGGAGTTTGCATCAGAGACATACAGGTTTCCAAAGGGCGTATTTCAGTGGATGGGTGTTGTCGTCGTTGTTGATGATGAGAATGATGTTGGTGATGATGATGATGATGAAGTGGTTTCCTAGTTGCGATTGATGATGATTGGTCGGTAGGAAGTGTATCTATATCAGCTGTGATAGATTTATTGGGCACGATTGAAGTTGTTGTCATTGGTGTTTCCACAATTTGTTTTGGTTGTTTCGCGACATTGAAGAGATAGGTGTTGAGAAAGAGAGAAACAAATAATGCGATACTAAGCCATTTGCTGATAACAGGATGTTGAATATAGACATCATAAATATCAAACAAGGAAGCCATGGGTTGAGCAATGGCATCGGGAATAATATTCCATCCAGATTTGGCAATGTGGAAGGTAAGTGGAGGTGATACTTCGACGATTAAAGGTAGTAAAGATGAATTGGTAGCAGATCGTTTGTATTGTTCGAGTACTTGAGTTAACGTGTCAGAGATGCCTGGTTGGGTAATATCAACTTGAGGTCCAGATTCAAATGTAGAACAGATATTGAAGAGATGCATACCAACAAAGCCAACAATCTAATATATATATATAAATGATTATGAGTTTATGTATATTTCTTTTTTTTTTTTTCTATGACATACCAATAAAAGTTTAATACGGCCAATGATCGGGTCGTCCGATTTGTTTTTGTCATTTTTGCCAACATCATTGTTGCTAAACGCCTTGACCATTGTTCCTCCAATCAGTGTTGTTTTTGTGGGTACAGATTTTGTGTTTAATGTCGGCGAAGTTGTGGGTGAAGTTGCTACCTTGCCTGGTTTGGATGTTCCTTGTAACGTACTGATTTCACGAATTCTTCCAAGCTAATAATGTTCAAAAGAAAAGATAAATAATAATAATAATAAAAAAAAAGGAGTTAATCACCTGAGATACTTTTTTTTTTTTTTTTTGGTTTGTCATTTGATTTACCTCCAATTTCAAAGCCAAGACAGCAGTATACCAAGTAAACATAAAGAAGAGATCAAAGGCTAATAGAATAGCACTCAATAGACAGAACTCCCGGAGACCACCAATACCAGATTTTGCACCGAGACAAAGTACCGTAATTTCAATGAAGCAATCCCGAGATAGAGGTAGAGCAACCGAATCTACAGCATTTACCACAGTTTGTCGTATATCTTGTTTAGAAATGGATGATTTCTTGCTAGTTTGGAATACACTTTTGGTCAATTTGAAATGACGTTCAAAACCGATAGTTACCACTAGGAAAGGAAGTGCCTCACTATCAAAATAAATAAATAAATAAACCTAAAAAAAAAAAAAAAGAAACTAAAAATAAATCACTTACGCCAAGACAGTAGCATGAACTTCTACTCCAAGCATATGTACAGTCAAAAAGCCAACCATCAAAGAGAAAAGACCATTGACAATCACTGCAGTAGCCAAAGTATATCTTGAACCCATAGAACGCATATTCATATAAAGAGAAAGTACCGTTGAAATAGCCATTATATAACCAGCCAACACTACAATAATATCAACATTATCGGCAATCTAAAAAGAAATACTTCAGTTTAGTATAAAAAAAAAAAAAGAAGAGTAACACAATGACAAACTTACATGAATAAGATCCTTCAAATGAAAAGCGATATTTCTAGATAAAATGAAGAGCCAAACAAATACATTATCTTGAGCACCAGAAGCATTCGTTGATGACACCAAATCAGCAGGAGGTAAGGTAGCAATTTTGTGTTCCCAAACATCGACCAAGTTTTTTCTAAAAGAGGTTGAAGTGTTGAGTATGTAAGATAGTAGGAGATCATTGGATATCAATACAGGGTTGACAGTTAAACAATCTTCATTGTTGGACAAATGGTGACTAGGTAACTTGTGACACAAATCGTGATGGTAGTTGAACTGTTTGGCGCCAGCATCGGGGACATAAATATCGTTTTCTATTGTATGGCGAAATTGTTGTATAATAGTCTCATCTCTCAATGAATTATCGTGTTGTTGAGGATCAGAAATAAGGATTTGTTTGATAGCCATTCTGATGACTGTTGGTGAAGATAATAAATGTTGTTGTTGTTCTTCAAAAGGTTGAAAAGGTTCACCATTCATAGAATATACAGTTGTCGGTGAAAGTCGAGTAGCAGGAGTAGCAGTACCAATAAATAATTCAGATGTTCTTGCCAAATTAAATAAATAAAAGTAAGTAAAAGAAGCTGCCATAAGAATAACCACAATCATTTCAATAGGATGTCGAGCTGCCAATGTTGATAGCCTATGAATACTTTTCCCTAAAAAGGCCGAATATGATCTGGATGTCCTTTCTACACTACCGGATCTTTTTGATAGTAATGACATTATATGTTATTAAAGATATAAAAACGGGAAAACAGGACAAATAGTATAAAAAAAAAAAAAGAGAGAAAGAGGACAGAGGTAATGTGGAAGTGGAGTTAAAATCAGAAAGAAAAAGAGAAAGAAAAGAAGAAAAAAAAAAAAAAAAGATATCAAAGAACCTTGAAGTTATTTTTATATGTGGCAATTTTTTTTTTTTTTTTTTTTTTTTTTTTTTTTTTTGGAAAACCGAATCCCTAGTGTTTATACATCCTTTAGCCAATCATAAATTGAATTCTTTAAACACAACGAAATTTAACCAAAGAGAAACGATAAAGGTGAAATGAAGGAGATAAAAAAAAAAAGCAACTCTAAAGAAGAATAATAAGTAACAGGTTTTTTTTTTTATTCTATATATGCTTCCCCTCCTCCCTTATATGCATAATAATACTTGGGTTCTCTAAATTTGTTTTCTTTGTTTTTATTATTATATCTACTTAAATCTATAATATCACTATAACTAAAATTTAAGTTCTATGTAAATACAATTGGGGGTACAGCTTCTTGCACCAAACTTGCAGTCATGTTTTCTTGACTAAGATATTGAGTAGGGAAAGTAACCAAATGTCCACGGATATTCTTTAATTTAGCAATCACATCTTCACTAGTCATTCTCCAAGGATTTGCTATATGACCAGGTGGAATACGAGCAATATCTGGTACAAATTTTCGATGATCATCAAATGTTAAAACTATCCAAAAAATAATAATAAAAAAAAATAGAGATTGATTAAATCATCATCATTTCATTCAATTTTTTTATTTTTTTTTTTATTTTTTATACCTGTATCATCTGGTACACAATGAAACACATTTCGATAAATACCAGTATTAATATTTGCTGTTCGATCCCAAACATGAGTAAAAAATCCATCATCTAATGGATCCATCACTAAATTATCCGCTTCCAATGCTGAATACCTGTGCTCTGCATGATTGTTGATGTCTTGATTGGTTTCAGGGAGTAGACCAAGGTGTTCCTTGAATAATTGTATACGCAGGGTCAATGCGAACCTTGCTGCTTGGTACTACAAAAAAAAAAAAAAAAACAGAATATCCATGATTCTCCTTTCTGCTAACCAAACCCCTCTTTCAGGATTTCCCTTTTCTTGTTTTACCTCTTGTCCATTCATTCTTGAAGTCACCATATCTGTATCTTCAATAACAATTGCAATTTCAGAATCGCGATTACCTAATTGAGATCTAATAACATGATCATCAAAGAACAAAGAAAAAAATTGAATCAAAATATTTTTCAAATAATGATAACAAAGAAAAATATATTTACCTATCATTAAGATTAGCTAAAATGTCAAATGAATGGCATAATTAATAACAGAATATCTCTATATTATTATATTATTTATTTTGATTTACCAGAACCGCAAATCACAGTCTTATCATCAATAATCATCAATTTGGAATGAATATAAATCTGCTCAGTCACAAATTCCATGCGTCCATCGTTCATTGTATCCCAATGTTCTTCACTATTTGATCTTGATCTTTGTCGTTGATGGAATTGCTGTTGTTGTTGTTGTTGATATGGATGTTGTTCTGGTTGTTGATACGGACATTGTTGTTGTGATGAATAATCATCCATCATTCCACGATTACCACCACTTCGCATGGTCGTTAAGGATCCAACTGATGTACGTATCTTTGATTTCTTTGTTTTCGTTGTTGTTCTATTGATAGCATTAACGTTGTTGTTACTAGAAATTCCATTTGTTTGATCCATAGATCCATTTCTTGAAATATCCGTGTCATTGATTGTTGTTGAATCTGGTGAAGACGGATCCACAAGAATACCACTTGTCATTGGACTGACCATTTTCGCAGCATTGGATTTCTTGATACGACCCCATTTTCGAAGACTGTAAAAATGAATATAATCTTCTGCTGGGATGTTTTCTTGTTCCAATTTCTCCAAAATCGAACTACCACCACGAGATATTGACAAAAATTGATAATGAGCTACTGACCTAATCACATTAGAAAAAAAAAAAATAGTCAAATGCATATGAGTGAATGAAATAAACTTTTTTTTTTTTACTATCCTCCCTTTTTATTTACCTCAACGGCATAGACCGGCGATCAGCACTTGCAAAATCCCCTTCAAATCCAGGAGCACACGGAATCACCACGATAACTTTGAATTTTCGTCGTTCGTGATAAGCACGTTTGATTCTATCCACAAGAGCCTAAAGAAATAAAGAAGAAACAAGAATTTTTTTTTTTAGTCATTCAAGTAAACCAGTCCTCCTTCTTTTCCGTTACCTCGCCAATTTTATTCTTGATTAACTTGTCACCTGCATGAGTGGCCGTAACTATATCGTCAACATCAAATAGAGAAAAAAAAAAGAAAATTTGTTAAACATTGATATCATCGATAATCACACTACTTTTTTTTTTTCTTTTTTTTTTTTTTCTTTTTTTTTTTTTCTTTTTTTTTTTTTTTTTACTAAAGAATTGATTTTCAATATAGATAAAGTGCTTGGCTCTTGAAATACATTCCATATATGCATTGTAGATAGAGTACTATGATATAAAACATTAGTTCTTTCATTTTTTTTTATCATTAAGTGTTACTTACTTCTCTTTGAATTCCAAGACTCCATTCGGCACTACTACGGATAACTTGGACGCGACTTGTTCCACGAAATTTTTGTTCATCACGAGCAGCTACATATTCACCTTTTGGTAACAAAAATGGGATATCCTCCTTGTCCTTAGCATGAGTAGATTTGATATAATTCCATCGTTGAATAAAGTGTCGCGCAACATCTCTTGCCGGGGGACCCACCTACAATAACGAAAAAAAAAGGATACTTGTTGTCAATAAAAGGAGAGAAATACGGGGACAACTTGTTTATCATAATTTCCACTAGTTCTTTTTTTTTTTTTTTTTACCATTGCAGTATGAATATCGTGCCAGGGCATCCGTGGAGCGGTTTGCTTGTCAATCACCTCCTTGTTGTATTGACTAACTATAATATAATAAAATAGATCACCATTTATTATAACAATATCATCTCTTCTTTTTTTTTTCTTTTTCTTTTGTTACCTTTAATGAAATCTTTGATTCTAGGATTGGAATAATCTTGACCAGGAAAAATTTCCAAACACTCTCCACCTGAAGAGTAATCCGTTAAATCATGCGCATGAGTATCATAACGTCTACCAAATTAAAGAATCGACAAAGTTAAGGGGGATGAGTGGCGCAAGCATATCACATGCATACAATCATTGATTTTTTTTTACCCAAAGCATAAATCCAGTCCACCAATAAACGCTAGTCGGTAATCAATAACAAGGATTTTCTGATGTAATAAGGGGATTAAATTAGTCTTACTTTTTTTTTTCTGATTGGGGAATGTCAATAAGGATACTTTTCTCTTACTTCATGATGAGCCCAAAAAAGAGAAGTGATATCAGAATGACGTACAACTATGTGTGATAAGAAAATACAGGATTAGTTCGTTTCCTTTTTTTTTTTTTTTTTTGATGATGATTACCTTTGATGTTCTTGTGTATGTTTTGTAGCCAATCACGTGTATGCTGAGAATCCAGTGGTAGGGCAACAGACATATTTTTATAGATAACAATATAAATCATCACACCTTCAATGGCCTTCCTTTTCAATAAACGATCCAAACGGTATTCTTCATTACCTTTGGGAGGTCGTCGTAGATACTATTAGCATATATAAAAATAAATAAATTCGTAGTCAATCCAAAAAAAAAAAAGGAAAAAAAAGATAGAATGGAGGATTCTATGTTTTCGTTTACCAATTCTGGACTCTATCAACAGTTGATACATATAAATAAAATAAATAAATGATTTATTTAGTCTATATTTTTAACAATCTTACCAACCACCAATCTTCAATATATATTTCTGATTTTGCTGATAAGATAGCTTCAGCTACAGCTTCAAAATATTCTTTCAAAAAGAGAACAAAAAAAAAAAAGAAATTGCATGAGTGTTCCATTTTATCAAATATCCTCCTTTCCATTTTTTTTTTTTTTTTTTTTACCATGACTATCGACAAACCATTTCACTTTGCAGTTTTGACGAATTGGTGCAAAGGAACCAAACCGATGATTTCTAACCCAAGGACTTTGATTTTGTATTGTTTCCAAGCATTCCATCCATTCTTCAATTTGTTTGTTGGTGGGACCTTTAATTTCTATACGTCTAGTACTGTTGGAAATAGTAATATGTGTTTGATGATACGGTGCAAAAGTACCATGACCACGATGGATTTTCAAATGACGATCGAATAATAAGACTTCTGAAGGTGTAGTTGAACCAATATCTTTACAAAAAGCAATATATCTATTCAATATGTGATATAAATAATACAAATATGAGATTACTATGCCTTTTTTTTTTTATTCATTACTTACGAATCACGTAGCAAGAGCCATTCTTTTCCCCAATGATTCATCCATCTAAAAGCATTAGATAACTTGAGAGATGTAGGATTGATTTTGTGTTCCAAATAACCTTCTTTTCCTTTCCAACCCATATCCTTAACAATACTGATCGCACTTAGTTCCAAAAATTCACAAAGATCATAATTGACGACCAAACGAGAGTTATGCACCAATTCCTTCAAATAATTTTCCAAAGCTATACGTCGTTTGATTGTAACATTTGTCCACATTTCATCATCATCTTCTCCGCCTGTTCGTGTGATCCGCATAGATGTCAATGCTGCATTGCATAAGTGAGCCAGTTGACTTGGGAAAGAAGGTGGTGGTTCCAAGTGACTTCCGATACCTGCTGCTTTGAATTTCAAGGTTAAATGAAGGTTGTAGAATTCAATGATCGTTCGCTTGATGACCCATTTGATTTCACCATAATGTAATTCAATACGGAATGTCCATAAACGTTTTGCATTTTGTTCAATTTCACTATCGGTGATGGCTACTTGTAATATATCAAAAAGTATAGGTGGCTAATCAAAAAAAAAAAAAAAAAAAACTAATTAATCATCTATTTTTTTTTTGTGTTTCTCTTACAGGGCGTCGTCCATGTTCATCCCGAGAAAAATAAGAAATGTGAGGAACTGCAAATAGAGGTGGATAGTAAGGTACTAAAGGATACTTTGTCCACATGTGAGGAGCCATACTTGAACGTCTCTGATGAGTAGCGGCAAGACTATTCATAATTCGGATTTTTTCGATTGATTTTCCCCATTGTGCACGAGCCTTTCCATCATCTGATGATTTGCATAAATAGTAAAAAAAAAAGGAGGGAAAAAAAAAAAAAAAAGAGAGAGAGAGAGAAAGGTATGAGTAACTAGGACGTACCTTTTTTTTTTAAATATAACTTTGACAAATCATCTACTTACGTTGTTGGTCACTATCTTCCCTCGTGATATTATTCGTTGTTGGTGAATAAGGCTTCAAATGAGGTTGCAAATGTAGAGCATGCTGAGGATCAGGTGATACTTTTCTACTGTCATTACTGGAAGACCACTTGGATATTAATGGTCGAGGACGTTCCAGAGGATGAGTATAATTAAAATCAGGCTGTTGGTGTGATGATGTGGCTTTTGTGAACTGACTAGTGGTTGTCATATTGCTAGCGTTACTTATACCGAGATTATCTACAATAGTGCTACTGATGTTGTCATCATTGTTACCGATATTGTTGCTATCCATAAAATAATTGCTATTACTATCTTGTTGATTGTGATCCTGATGGTGAGTATAATGCATATTTTGATCGATCGATGCATGATCATCCGATTCGAATGGGTGTTCAAAATAACTTGGTTTTAATTCGGCTAGTTTGGCTGCCCGGGCATTTTCTTGAACCACTTCTTCAATAGACGGTAAATGATCATCCATGGTAGGAGGAATAGGAATGGCCAACATAAGTTGTTTTTCATGTTCAGTAGGTTGTAGAGGTGTACCACTACGGATAGCAAAATCAGGAGTACCTTCGTCACGTTGGATAGTCACCGACATGCGTCTCATCAAGGAATGCCAACGTTTTGCCAAATAAGTGGATTCTTCTACTTCTTCTTCTTCTATTGTCTCTTCTTGTTGTTGTAAGGTTGTGTCAAGACTATTTGAAGAGGTTCGAATACTGTTATTCTCATAGTGGTGATAAGTATGAAGTGAATGAAGGCCAAAGGGAAAACTAGGGTGATGGTCGTCCTGTTGATATGATTCTAAACGTTTCAAGTGATCGTATTGTTCTTCTTGTTCAATAAAGTACTCGACATTGTCTACTATTGGATTCGACATTTTCAATGTAAACAAGAAAGAAAGAATAAGAAACACTTATCTTTTTTTTTTCTCCCCCTTTTTTTTTCCACGCATATGGAAAGTAATTCAGTTACCGCTTCATTCACTAGAAAAAAAAAAAAAATGGCTCGGATTCCCAAAAAGGAAGTTGTTTTTTTTGGAAAGAGTTGCACAGGATCAAAGGTGTCTGATATGATCTCGGGACCATGACAAAGAAAAACAAAAACAAAAACAAAAAAAAAAAAAGAATAAGGAAACAATGACATTATTGGATCAAATAATCATGAATCATATTCATGATCGTCCTTCATCACTTTGAGGTTGTATCTTGTCTCAATTCAATAATTGCCAAGGTACAGTTTATTCACTTTAAATTGAGATAAAAAAAAAATAGACGAAGAAAAAAATAAATTTGGGCGTGAAGGGAAAATCATCAAACTAAGAGCGAAGGGAAAATCAAATTGGAATACCAAGTAGATAACATATTTAGAAAATAAAAATAAAAATATATATCAGTTAATACATCATCATCATCATCATCATCATCATCATTAAAGAAAAAAGAAAGAGAGATGTGCTTGAAAGGAAAAAGGACAAATCAGAATCATCCCTCTTACACTGAATCAACTGAAATGGACAACATTTGCATTATTTTCCTTCATTCTTTTTTTTAATTCCCCCTTTTTTGAAGATAATAGTAATGAATAGATGAATCAATGCAAAAAGGATGACATGTGATGTTATTCGTGGAGTAAATAAGGGAACAATCCAAGGGAAGAGATCCGTAGATTGAATCAAACGAGATTTTTTTCTTTTTGGTAACTCATCCATCATTGCATTTGTCCTTTTCTCATACAAAAAAAAAGGATCATCGCATATCTATTCGAACACTGATGCAAACAAGTCTCTAATCATAGAGCAGAAAAGAAGAGGATAAACGCAATCCAGAAAGGAAAAAAAAAGTAGTACAAGACACCGGTGTTTGAACCTGAAGTATAAGGATTTTTTGAATCATCCTTTTTTTGTTTTTCTTTTTTGCTTAGCCTTCTTTTTTTTTTATTATTATTATTTATTATTGACCTTTCAAACTATATCATCATGGCTTCACGACGACCTCCTGCTACTGTACCTTGTAAATATAAAACAGGAAAGATTCTTGGTAATGGAACTTACGCTACTGTCAAAGGTAAAAAAAAAAATAAAAAAAAATAAATAAATAATACTAATAATTGAAAATAAAGCTGCACTTTTCCTGGTAACTAACTAACTACTTTATGATATATTCTTTTATTTTTTTCTTTTCTTTTCAGAGGCTATGCATGTAAGTTAACAAAGAGAAAAAAAAAGCTTTATCAATAATTTCTTTTTCTTTTTCTTTTATTTTGTAGATTGAAACCAACAAGTTTTATGCTGTCAAAATTATTAATAAGAAACTCATGGAAGGACGTGAACATATGATCCGTAATGAAATCAACATTATGCGAAAAGTATCTCAAGGTCACAAAAATATCTTGAGTTTGGTGGATTATTTCGAAACTCTCAATAATTGTAAGTTTTTTTTTATCATAAATTTTATATATTTTATTTCTTTTATTGATTTTTTTTCTGTATTTATTTAGTATACTTGGTAATGGATTTGGCTCAAGGTGGAGAACTTTTTGATCGTATCTGTCAAAAAGGAAACTATTTTGAACGTGATGCTGCCAATATTGTCCGTACTATTTGTGATGCTGTAGCTTATTTGCATGATAATGGTATTGTGCATCGAGGTAAAATATTTTTTAAAATATGTTTTGAATTAACGAACGAAGAGTGACCAACAAATTTACTCATCGTATTTTATCTTTTTTTTTTTTTTTTTTTTTTTTTTGATCCTCTAAATTAGATTTAAAGGTAAAAACCATCATTATTGACACTAATCGGATAAAAAAAAAGTATCATAATATTCATCTTTTTTTTTTTTTCTGATTTACTCCTTGTTTGTATAATGTAGCCTGAAAATTTGATCTTCCGTACTGCTGATGAAGACTCTGACTTATTGATTGCCGACTTTGGTTTATCTCGTATCATTGACAGTGAAAAGTTTGATGTATTAAGAACTACCTGTGGTACTCCTGGTTATATGGTAACATAAAAAGAGGAAGGGAAAGAAAGTAAATTGAAATTAACTATTCTTTTTTTTTTTCTATCTAGGCACCTGAAATCTTTAAGAAAGTAGGACATGGTAAACCTGTGTAAGTTAATATATATGATATCGAACATCAAAGGTATATTCTTATTCTTATTATTTTGTTTTTTTTTTTTGTCTTTTGTTTTAGTGATGTATGGGCTATTGGTGTGATTTGCTATTTCCTCCTTTGTGGTTATACTCCCTTCGAAAGAGACAGCAATGTAGATGAAATGAATGCCATTATTCGTGCGGATTATACTTTTGATGAAGAGTATTGGGTTGGTGTTAGTGATGATGGTAAGAAAATAGAAATAGAGAAAGAGAAATACTAACATGATATATATATATGAATAATGATCATAGCAAAGGACTTTATTCAACGTTGTTTGACCATCGATATGGAGAAACGAATGACAGTACATGAAGCTTTGGAACATCCTTGGTTAGTATCTACTCAATTGGAAACTCGCGATTTGTTACCCAATGTTCGTCGTAATTTCAATGCTCGCAAGACTTTCAAGAGAGCCGTGGATATGGTGCGTCTTTCGAATCATCTTGGACACAAGCATATCAATAACTCCACTTCTACTCGTGATGGTACTGCACAAAATTCGGTGGAAGGAGTTAAACCTGTGGATGAAGGAACTGAACATGTTTTAAAAACGGAAGAATAGTTTAGTATTTATATATTATAGTGTATTTTTTTTTTTTTTTTTTACTTTTTTTTTTTGTATGTGTTTAATGATCTTATTTATATACCAAGTCAATAAAACAAAAGATGAATACAAATAGTTAATGAATGAATGGATTAAATTCTACAAACATATTTCTAAAGATAACGTATAATATATGGGTGTGTTTTGTATGGAGTCATCTTATTATTCAAAAAAAAAAAAATATGGATATCTATCTATAATTGATAAGTCAAATTCCTTTTTGTCTTACAATATGTGTCTACTCTAATATGATATTGTATTAACTAGCTTTTCTTTTTGTTGGAAAAATTTTGTTGATATTGGATCCAGTTTTCATATTCCCATTCCAATACATTGTCAATGTCCCGCATATCTCGTAAAAGAAGCCATCGTGCTGTGGATGTATCTAATAACCAACTGATCAAACCTCTCCGTCTAGCAGCTTCTGTTGCCAAATACCAAATCCATCCAAACACTAGACCAACCAAGCTGCCTATCATCACTTGACCAGAAGTATGATAACCCAAGTAAATTCTGTTCATCATCATCATCATATATATATAATACGGGTGTGATATTGAGTAAAAATAAATAATAAATAAATTATTTATGTTTTTTTTTTTTGGTACCTTGACAAACAAACCATGACAGCCATAAACACGATTATCAAGTATGTGATGATTTTCCAAGCTGATTCCTTTAATTTGATATGATTCATCAAATACAAGATACCAAATGTAGCAAAGTACCATACAAATTGAGCATGACTTGAAGGCATACCGTATCCTGTTCCTAGATTCACTATATAAAAAGTAAAAGAATGAAGATGAATGTTTCAATAAATGGAAACTACCCGTATTATTTCTCCTCCCCAAAGAATGATTTACCAGAAGGACGAGCTATTTGAAAGTATTCTTTGAGAATAGCATTGACAACTTCATTACAAAGTTGTCCAAATAACATGACAAGACCAACGACTTCGCGACGTGACACCACTACTGATGCATAGAAGACCAAGATGGCGATGGGTGCAAGAGTGATATAGGCAAAGATATAAGCTATAGAATCTTGAGGATCAAACTGAACATGAGTCAATGATAATGAAGCCAAAGTATTCCCTGGGTGAAGATGTGATACCATGAAGAAAGAATAAAAAGAAAAGGGAAAAAAAAAAAAAAAAAAGGAAGCTTCAATCTTTTTAAACCACCGTCAGCCAATGAAATTGGATTGAAAGCTAATGAGCAAAATAAAATCAATAGAGTTGAATGAATTGGGTCTTTATTAAGGATAATACAAGGAAGAGAGATATACAAAGGGGATTAAAGCAAAGGAATGATAATAATAACAATAATAATAATAATAATAATGAAATGGAACTAATTCTAAATCTAATCTATAGACAAATTGAAGGGGAGGGGGAGATAATCCACTACAGATAATAATAATAAATAATGATGATGATGATGATGATGATACTAGTGATATGATGGTGAAGAATGATAATCAAATAATCTACCAAGAGTCAATCTTCATGGTTCCATTTTCCAAAAGGTTGGTGTGCATTTTGAAAACTTTATCAAGCATTTGAGGTTCATGACCCATACCACGAGCAAGACATTTCTTAGTAGCCATATCAAAGTAATCTTGAAGCAAAGGCTTATATTCAGGATGGACACATTTGTCAATAATGACTTGAGCACGTTCACGAGGACAGAGACCGCGAACATCAGCTAAACCTTGTTCTGTTACAATCACATCCAAATCATGTTCTGTTTGATCAATATGAGAAGCCATAGGGACAACACAAGAAATACCGTTGGGATCCTTTTTGCTGGGACGTGTAGAAGGAGTGTGCATGATACTAAGTTTTGCGTTACGTAAAAAGTCGGCAGATCCACCAAGACCATTCAACATACCAGATCCTGCTACAAGAGTTGAGTTGGCATGACCATACATCTATAACCAATAGAATCATCAATCAATCTATATCATATCCTCTGGGATTATTTTATATATACTTACATCAAATTCAACAGGAGTATTCATAGCAATACAACCAAGGCGACGAATAACTTCAGGTGAGTTGGAAACTTGTTGAGAACGCAAGAGTAATTTGCCCTAAAAAAAAAAGACAGAGAGAATCCATTGTTTGAGTTACATGATCATCACATATCCATTCCTTCTTTTTTTTTTTTTACCTTATACTTTTCCCAATTGCTGTAGAAATGTTCAAAACCTTCAGGAGAGAAGCGAATGGAAGTTGAACTAGCAAACTTGAGTTTTTCAGAATCAAAGAATTCAAGGAAAGTATCTTGAAGGACTTCAGTAAAGCTGAATACATGAAAACAAAAGTAAGATTAGTCTTTTGTACATAGTTTGAAAATACCGTTTTTTTTTTTTTATCAAACTTACACAGTGACATCTTGGAAACGAGATTTAGCCAAACCACCAATAACAGCATTAGCAATATTACCAATACCAGATTGTAAAGGAAGCAAGTTTTCAGGAAGACGACCCATCTTGACTTCATGTTCCAAGAATTCAATCAAATGGTTAGCTATAGCTTCACTTTTGGCATCTTGAGGAGCATTAGGACCAGTACAATCAGGTCGGTTAGATTCAACCTATGATATTAATTAAAAAAAAAAAAAAAAAGAGGTTAAATAAGAAAAAAAAAAAAAAAAGAACCGGACTTACAATAGCCAAGACTTTATCAGTGTCCACAGGGATAGCACACTAAAAATAGAAAATCAGATTGGGATTTTTTTTTTTTGAGTTTGCCGTGGTGTCATTACTTCATATAGTAATAGTCCCTTTTTCTTACCTGTCCGATACGATCTTCTACACCCATAATCAAGTAGGGTTTACGACGAGGAGGTAAACTACAACCAACGATATCATGTAAACCTTCAAAGGAAGGAATCTTGGTATTCACTTCGATGATAATCTTGTCTGCCATTTGAAGTAATTCAGGGGTTGCACCAACACTTGCACCAGGAACAATCCATCCATCTTCAGTAATGGCTGTAGCTTCTACAATCACTACATCTAATTTATTGTTATCAGGTTTATCTTTGGTATAGTAACCTGACAATAGAAAAAAAAAAAAAAAGTGGTGAGTATCTTCAACCCCAACAAAAATGAAAAAAATCAACCCAACCAGCTAATCGGGGATCTAATCGTTGACCATCAGATAGTTGTAGATCGATATATATCCTTACCATAAACAAGGTCTTGAGGGAACATGGACAAGTGTTTATCAGCAAAACGAATACGACCTTCATTGATACCTTTCTTGATGTTCTTGCCAACTTGATGAGGGTAACGACGATCAATCATATTCAAAGCAGCCCAGCGATCCTAAAAAAGGAAACTGTCAATTTTTCATTTTCCATTCTTTTCTTTTTTTAATATATATAAAAAAAAAAAAAAACTTACTTCAGTTTCTGCACCACTACTGGCACCAACAAACAAGTTGAATCTCATTTTGCCTTGAAGATTATTCTTTTCAACATGATCAGCTAAAGCGATAGGAATCATTTTGGGATATCCAACACCAGTGAATCCTGACCATCCAAGGTATTGACCATCTTTGAAGAAAGGTACAGTATCTTCAGCTTTCATCACCTTATTCAAAAGGGCAGGACGACGAACTCGAGATTTTAATGCTGCGCTAACAGATGCCATAACGTATTATATTACAAAAAATCAAATAATAAAAAAAAAAGTAAAGTAAACAAGAAAGAAAAGAAAAAGAATTCTTCCCCTTCTCTTTTTCTATCCCATTTTATGGGTTTCTGTCCAGGCAAGAAATCCGATCGATCCTGAGTTTAAATGTCCTCGACAAACGTTTTTCCTCCTGTCAAAAGATTTTGACATTTAGCAAATCAAATATCATCGTTTCATAATCTTTTTAATTTTTTGGTTCAAGTTCCAGAAAAAAAAAATATGAGCCAGTTGATTTTCTTCCCTTATTTGTTTCTGACCATGGAAATAGGTACCAGGAATGAAAAAAAAAAGGAAATAGTCAAACCTTAAAAAGATATTTTTTTGATCAGTTAGTTGAATGATTTGGTTTTAATATCAATAACCAATCATTACTATTTATATGAAATAAAACGTTTAGCCATATTATCAAAAATCACCTTTTTTCTTTTTTTTTTTCTATGCCTTCTATGTAATTTCATTTTCGGATAATATCTGTAGCGGTTTTCGGAACTCATCGGGGTACTTTCCGCATTCTTCATAGTGACAACCATGTTCTTCGTTTAAACGAGTTACCGAGAATCAAAGCTGTCTCCACTATTTCCATCTCTTTCTCCGGGGAATCATCATCATTCGTCAGATAGATTCATCAATAAAAAATCTGGGGCTATCCCCTCATGATCTTGCTCTCTCCTGGTTTCTTATTCTGGGGTTTCCATCCATCATGTCCTTTCAAAGCCCGTACGCATAAAAAAAAGTGTTGCTTAGCAACCATATCTCTTATCGATTTTGTACCATCACCCATCACCCATCATACATCACCCATCATCCATCATCCATCATCCATTCTATTCATCATCCATTCTATACATCATCCATTCTATTCATCATCCATCATCCATCATCCATCATCCATCATCCATCATCCATCATCCATCATCCATCATCCATCATCCATCATCCATCATCCATCATCCATCATCCATCATCCATCATCCATCATCCATCATCCATCATCCATCATCCATCATCCATCATCCATCATCCATCATCCATCATCCATCATCCATCATCCATCATCCATCATCCATCATCCATCATCCATCATCCATCACTCATCATCCATCATCCATCATCCATCATCCATCATCCATCATCCATTTATCCATGTAAAAAAAATAAGAGACAGAGATTATAAACAGTTTATTCGCATAAAATAGGTGGTATGATCTGTATGTAATGTCTGTAAATTCATACTAGCTAAATCCATAAAAAAAAAAACCATCATTTCTTGGCAGCAGTGGATCCAAAGTTGGCTCGTAAACTTGATCCTGTTGAATATCGCTTGAAGAGACCCTTGGCTTGCCCTTCGATCAAACATTTGTTCCAACTGATTCTCCCAACAAGATTTTCCTTGTAATTCTTGACAAGGCAACGTCCATTTCGCTTAGGGTGGATGCGTCTGTGGTGTTAGCTGACAAAGGTAACTTGTTAGGAATTTCGATAGATGAACCAGAGCCCGTATCCAGGTCGATAAACTTGCGCTTCACCTTTGATCACACTTGATGATGATCAAATAAAATAATAAATATAAAACTTAAGATGATTATACAATCTTTTATTGATTTTGATATAACAAAACTTTGACAAAGAGAGAAAAACGTATAAACTACTGGATGTATTTATATACAAAACCTAAAGACTATTTTTAGATGATTATGGTTAATCATCATGATAAACAAGAAGAAAATAAGACGGATCAAACTGATAAATATGATAAAAAATGTGAGAAATGGTCAAAGTGTGTGAATTGGACAAATGTCAAGATTTTGACAGATAGCAAGATAATAATAAAAAAAAAGTCTGATTCATAGCCAGCTTCAAAGATTGATTTCATCCTAACAATACGCTAAATACGTTGAATACGTTAAATACGCTAAATTTGGCGTGATCCATGGAAAAAAAAGAGAGAACATAAAAAGTTTATTCGCATACTAGCTGAACTAACTAAAGGGGGGGGGAAGGGGGCTATATGTGTTTGTTGGCTATCCAAGTGTTGTCCGTCCTGAGCTATTCAGTGATCATCATCCATCATCCATCATTATGCATCATAAACCATCATCAGTTATCAAAGAGTGCAGCAAAAAAGGAGATGTGATATCTTCAATCTCCGCATTTTCAAGATAAAAATACTGTGGCACTATTTTTTTCTTCTACTCTTTTTTTTTTCAGCTTTCTTTCCTTCTTCAATCCATCTTTTTTTCTTCTTTCAACTGCATCAAATAGGTACATGATATCATGAACGGAACTTAGCAAGGTGATGAGGAACATGTACTGGTAATGTATTGAATCCAATAGGATGGGAGTAAAAGACTGCAAAACGGGATTGACAAAGTCTGGTTCCGGGAATAATAAAAAAAGGTAACGAAGAGAATGTCATGGGACACGACGGAGAGGAGTGAAAATACTTAAATTGTTACTAACTTTGGCACTCTTTTTTTTTTTTTTTTTTTTTTTTTTTTTTGCATATATTCTCTTTTTGTGCCTAGACCTTGGATTAAATAAACCATTCTGGAAAAGGACAAGGATGAACAATGAAACCAGTCTCTTTTATTAGAAACGCGACTACCAATAGATTTTAGAGGAAAGAACGGCAGAGGATATTATTGGTTAATTGGATATCTTAGTTTTATTATTTATAGATACATGAATAAAAGTCTTTTTTTTTTTTTTTTTAATTATTATTTTGAATCGAATTATGGATGATTTGTCTCGGGGGACACGAAATCCTTTTAGTATGCTCTGGACAACATTATAGATGAATTTAGATGAACAGAGGAAAGGTAACAAATGAGGAATCGACATCCAGTACCTGAATATCGAAAAAGAATGTGATTATCATCATGATCACAGCCATCATTTTTATGAACCTATGATGTTATCTTTATTAAAATTTTGGTCATCGTTATCTCTCTTTGGTCAGAAATTGCATTTATGGAAATCAATGGATAAGGGTGAGAAAGATGGGAAATGCTGGACTAAGGCATAGCTTATGTGGATTACCTTTATAAGAAAAGATGTGGAGGGTGACGCTTTACGATGACCAAAGGTTGGGGCCATAAAAAATGACATTCTATAAGTATGTCTATTATTATGACCGTTGACGTTCACACACTTACATATACTGCTAGTATAATTGGAGGCTGTGCATTGTTTCATTCTAATGATTCATCCCGTGGTAACACCAAATGAAGTCTACTAACACCTAATCAATGAAATAAAGCATTTTTTTTTAAAGTTGTGAATGTGATCGATATTAAAAAAAAAGATTAAATGAAGAAGAAATTGAGTAACACTTTCATCTATTGTTGAATTCGAAATTTTTGGCCAATAAGAAAATGATTAGGGTGATATTTTCTCCACATTTTTACCTGTCACCTGAACTTTATTTGAACATTTTCATTTCAGCTTCCTTATTCATCTACTTCTCTTATTAGTTTTTTCTCATCATTTACAGCAACAATAGTAAATTTTTTTATCAATGACAAATCTCAATCATCCATCGGTCTTATTTTTATGTTCCTGAATTGTGCCACGCCAATGACAGTACACTTATTTTAGTTATTATTCATTAATGTTTTCATCTGATATGGACAAATGATAGTCGAGACTCCTGGTCATTCTTTACTATGCGGGAAAAAAAGGTTATACGGTAATCAATCACTTTGTATAGATGATCAATAGTAATAGTAACTCTAATATGAATGTATTTCATAAAATAATGGATCATCACTATTGTATCTAATAGATCCACCAGTTTAAAAAAAAAAAAAAAAAAAAGAAAAGAAAAGAAAAGAAAAGAAAAGAAAGAAATTCAAAATCATGCTGAGTCCAGAGATAAAGTCTGTGAGTTCCCTTTTTTCCCTTTCCGAGTTACATTATGTTTTTCATATGTTTGCAGGGTTTTTCTGTGTTCCGCACATAGATCATCAGTATAAATACCCTATAAAACAAGACGTCAAAAAAAAAAAAAAACAATCACTAAGATCATTTCACTACCCCTTCCAATCATTTATTATGAAAACTCAAGTTCTTTTACCTTTGATTTTGACAACATGGCTTCTTGTATATGTCCCTACTATTCAAGCTGTACCTTTAGGAAAGACTCATAGTCCAGTTTCTAAAGCTGATGCATCCAACAGTACTTTACCTCCTTTGATACCTAATCGCGTAGCACCTGCTAGCGTCATACCTTCATTCAACATGTCTATGGAGCAAATGATCAGTGAAAGTAACGGTCCCTTACCTAATGGGACAGCAAAAGTGGGTCCATGGGCATTGGATTTACCCAAGAATGACACTTCGGTAACTACTTTTGGCTCTAACGCTGGCGTGACTCAAGCTTCCACATCCCAGGTAGATGATGCCTACTTGCGAGCTGAATTGGCGGCTGATGCTTATTGTAAAAGTGTAGTTCCATTGAATATTTGGGTTTGTCCTCATTGTCAATCAGCAGTCTCGGATGCTAAGATTGAAACATCCTTCACTACTTTGGCGGCTGATACAAATGGTTATATCATTACAAGCGCTAGTCAAAAAATGATCTTTGTCGTCTTCAGAGGTAATTTTCACTCCTTTTTTTTTTTTTTTTTTTTTTTTTTATCATGATTGCATGAATTTACCATCTTTCTTTCTCTTTAGGTACCAATTCTATCAGAAGTGCCATCGTGGTAAGCGGAACTCAAAATCATTCATCCTACTTCACGCATTTCTTTTTTCTCATACTTTTCTTTCTCTTTTGTCTTTCTCATTCTCGAAATGCATTCAACAATAGGATATGAACTTCGTCAAGACGGACTATACACCTGTTGGTAACGGTGCTCAAGTTCATGCTGTAAGTTTTGGCAACTTTAGCATTTCATTATATTCATTCTTCTTCTTTGCATAGGGTTTCCTCCAATCTTACTTGGAAGTCCAAGATAAAGTAATCACTGAAGTAAGCAACCTTGTCTCTCAATATCCTGATTATGGTATTCAATACACTGGGTAAGCTCTATTAGCCATTTTTTTTTTTTACCATTCTATTTAACCTTATCAATTTTTTTTTTATAATAATACATATATAATAGACATTCACTTGGAGCTGCTCAAGCTGTCTTGGGAGCCATGGATGCTTATCAACGTATCAAACAAATCTCTTCATCCAACTTGAAAATTCATACATACGGTAACTAAGAATAAGAGTTACTTTGGAAGAAAAAAAAAGGTGATTGATAGATCATATCTCTTCTTTTAGGTGAACCTCGCGTTGGAAATAAACAATTTGCTGCCTATGTCAAGTCAACCAATGTATCTAAGGTTCGTGCTGTGCATGCATCTGATTGTAAGTGTTTATCTATAGTTAGATATATTAAATAATTAATAGAAGGATCTTACTCATGATTTTATAATTAGTGGTTCCTCATCTCCCTCCTATGAATATGGGCTTTCTTCACTCTGGTACTGAATATTGGATCAGGGATAATGATTCGAAATTAACAGGTAAGCAGAAAAAAAAAAAAAAGAAATTGAATTTATTCACTCCTTGATGGAAATAAGTAAACTAATCTTCTTTTTTTTTTTCTTTTCATAGATATATGTCAAGCTGATTTTGAATCTGCATCTTGTTCCAACACTGCTGTTCCTTTCCTTAGCATCACTGACCATTTAAGGTAAAAAGAAAAAAAAAGATACGTTTGACAAAAATTGATGAATGATATTAATTGGGAACCTTTTCTTTTTTATTATTCCGTAGCTATTACAACATCAACGAAGGCCTTTGTTTGTAGTATGCTTGATATACTTTTTATCTCTGCTTATCTTGTAGTTTCTCCATTCCGGTCTTTTTCCCCTTTTATAGTGATATTCGTTTTGTAACTTACCTATTTATCTCCAATTTTTTCTTTTTTGTTTATTTATTTTGGATCAATAAAACCGAGACTTGTTGTTACAGTAATAATGATGAATGGATGATGATGTAAAGGATGGATGAATGGATGAATGATATTTTATGATGACAGATGACGAGAACATGGCAGTAAATAGGATGAACATGGTTTGTATATGAGTGTCCATTTTCCAAGAGAGGTTTTGCTCATTTTGTGCTACCACTGAAAAAGCATACTATGATTTTCTCATCTAAAGCATCATGACTTGTACAATAATACATATTCCTTCTTGTTTCCCTCATGATCAACTTTGTGGGAAATCAGTCGTGATCACACGTACCTTGAACGACAAGGAAATTACCAAAGCGTAGTTTGGAAAATCGTGCAACGAGATGAAAATATAATATGATTAGATGAATGATGAACATCTCTAGACTTAACCAAATCAGTGCACGATAAAATCAAGCTATCCCAAAAGCTTCTATTTGTCTTTCGAGTTATTTTCAGGCTTCTTTAATGACTTGTTGTCAGGTTCAGTCCTATTTTGGAAGACCTAGTGTTTGATATTACAGCCCCGAACTTTAGGACACAACTTTTTTTTTTTTTTCTTCTTTCTCTATCTCTCTCATTTTTTTTTATTTTTTATTTTATTTCTTTTATTTGAATACATGTGAATGAACCAGGATTACAAAGAAACCGCAAAGAACATATATAAAGAATACCGACAGGTCTTATCGAAAGTTGGTGAAGCTTCAGCTAATGTAAGTTTCCTGGGAACATCAACAAATGTAAAAGCATCAATTGCCTGACTCGCGTTTTTTTTTTTCCTTTTTTCTTTTCTACTGGTTTACAATAGGCGCAGTATATTCACGCTCAATCGAACTGGGTCTTGTAAGTTTATCGAACAATGAGTTTATGACAACAAGTATGGCTTTTAAAATAACCTTCATTTTTTTTTTATGATCAATAGTCTATTACTGGTCGACTATTTCCAACTTCACTCATTAGTAGTTTCTAGTACCACGGATACGGACCGAATTCCAGTAACTCTTCGATCTTCCATACAACTTTTATCCAATGAATCGTTTTTACATGATCAAGGTGAAATGATAGCAGATACTTTGGACCTCTTTGACTTGTTGGAAAGCGAAATATCTCCTTTGCCTAGACAATCAATTGATTTGCGAAATATCTTTCAAGGATTTATCTATCTTCCTACACGTTGTCAAGTGATTAAATGTATGATACGATATAGGCCACTTGATTTCGATATGGTAAACTAGAAGTAAAAGATAAAGATCTAGTGGCAGGGATTGCTAGAAAAAGGCTCATTTATTTGTTTCTTTTTGCCTTAGATTATGGATTACCTTTTGAAAAGTATTCACTACCTATCGACAAAGCACATTCTATATCTCAGGTAACTATATGATCAGTTATATACATATATATATATATATATATATATATATATATATATGTTTGTGATACAGCTTTTTTTTCATTTTTAATGCATACTTAACATATATATATGGACATATAGTGATACTGTTTATGCAATGATAGAGGAACAACCTGATCAAGCACATCGTATTCGATATCAATTGACAGAATTACGGATTTTACCCAGCCTTACTATACGATTAACAGTGACATTCTGTAACGATGACTACGCGGACTTCCTGAATGGTGTCTTTAATTCTCAGCCTTCTTGGTTTTTACAACAATCTTCTACCAACGCAGCTTCGTTTACGAAAATCAAGTCGAATATACTGAAGGAATTATCCAATTATACCGTGATTATATCATCTGAAAACAAGGAACAGCAAACTGTCTCAATGACTCATTTGGCGAACATCACTGCTATTATTAGGGCACTTAGTGGGTTAGTGGCATTTTTTGGTGTAAAACTAACTGATCAAGAAATTCAGCAATGTCTGACATTATTAGGTCAAGCGTCATCTGAAAAGTAAGTATGACGATGAACGTGATATCCATGCCCTTAATTCATAGAGTATATTTCAATATAGATTGGTCAAGTTACTCCTCTGTTTAGTATTGATTTCAGCAGATCAAATGATGAGACACCAGGTAATGATTTTTTTTAAAAAAAAAAGAAAACAGTATGTATGATTACTTAGTTTTGTTACATTTATAGAAACAATTGACTTCAACGATGATTCAACTGATACAAAATGGTAATTCTGAAATGCCTCTCTTGCTAATGGCATACTTCCAAACTGATGAAATTGGCCAAATTGAAGAGATGATGAGAACTATCTTGCAAATGCAAGTTCCTATACGTAAGTTTGGAACTCTTTTCTTATCGTCTGATTGAAAATTTAATGAGATTTATCTTTTCTTTTTTAATAGCGAAAATTGGATTATTCGAAATGCAAAAGTTATTCAAGACAATCGACTCTTATATAGTATAGTAGAACAAAAGGTTTAGAATTTGAATAAAAACTTTCCAAAACTGGATTTTTGAAATACTCAACGATGATCTCTTTTGATTGGTTTGAAATGTGAACCGAACGCAGTTTAAAAAAAAAAAAAACAAAAATGATAGAAAAAGTGACCTTTCTCTTTACTTTTTTTACTTCTCTCTTTTTTTTTTTTTTTTTTTTTTTTTTTTTTTTTTGAAACCTAACGGAAAAGGAATGATTCCAGATTATATATAAACGCTATGACTCCAGAAACCAATCAGGACGCAACTCAAAAACAGCCAGTTCGGAAAAAAAAGGCTGCAAGGGCTTGCATTCATTGTCAAAAGGTAAAGATATATAAAAAGTATAAAAGCTATTGTGCTAATAAACATTTTTGATTTTGATCTATTTTTATATATATATATAATTGGACGTTTTGAACATAAGGCTCATCTCACTTGTGACGACGGTATATATAGAAATATTTCACTCATTATTTGGATTTGCTTACTCATAAATTACACTTTTTTTTTCTTCATTAGCTCGACCTTGTCAACGATGTATCAAACGAGGATTATCTACAACTTGTGCCGATGGAGCCAGAAAGAAGGCAAAATACCTGCAAGATATTGATGGTATAGACTTTATTTGAATTCATTTTGAAAAAGAATAGGTATTGACATGCTTTGATCTTATATTCATTATAGAAGCAGCTACTTCTCCACCAACATCTCAACAAACCTACCATCCCGAATCTCGATTAACCATTGAAGCCGTCGATTCTACCTTTGGAAACCCTGTCACACAGTTAAATCCTCAAGGTTAGTAGAAAATCCATTATTTAAAGAATGAACGAATCTATAAAGTCGGTATTTATGCCTTATATATATATATCTATATTATATGATTTTTGTGATACGTTAGACACGACAAATTTAATCGACAATCGTTCCTTGTTAGGTTTGGATTATGGTTTTGGATCATCAGCTGCAAACTTGGAATATTCAATACTCTCAAATATGTTGAATACTTCATCATCTGCTTCATCTTCCAATATATTACCGACCTATCAACAACAAGCTACTATGTCTCAAGCGCCATCACATCATCAGCATAATATCAAACCGTCTGATTTATCCAATTTGCAAAATATATGGACATCTCCATCACAATTATCTTCTGATCCAATGTCAAACACCAGTAATTTTATAGGTTCATCTCCAGTGAACGCGTTACAACAATCAACTGCAACCTCACATAATGGATTTATGCATAATACAACCACTCCTCTCGCTCATATACCTTTGCCACCTACATCAACATCTTCTCCATCATCTACACCAGATGCTTCTTTAGTATCATCACCACATCAACATACGTCACCTTCTAGTGTAGTGAATCCTTCACCAATCACTTCTTTTCCGCCATCTATTGCTTCCTCCACTATTGGTAGTTCACAAACCTCAGCTTCCGGTATTTCTACCATGTCAGCTTATGGTGATGGAGCAGTAGTCGCCAAAGTAGCAAGTCCCGTAACATCATCTACAGGTGCCACAGTTAAAAGAAGAAATCAAATCATCACACCCATCATGGCCTACTCAAGTGTCAAACATCCATTTAGTTATGCAGAAGGCTATCATTACTTAGTAAATTATGCTCGACAAAAGTAAGAATCAATATAAAAAAAAAAAGAGAAAAGGAAAAAATATTTATTCATCTGACTATTTTTTTTTAATAGGATGAGTCAAGAAGATTTAATGCGTATCAGTCGTGCTTTGGCTCTTTTCAGACCATCCGTCCTGGCATCAATGATGAATTTGACAACAGATGATTTGATCTTCACAGAAAAATGTTTACAACGAACGTTATTGGAATATGAAAAACTGATTACTTATTCTGGTACTCCAACGGTGGTTTGGAGACGAACAGGTGAAATTGCACTTGTAGGCAAGGAATTCTCATTATTGACACAATGGTCCAAAGATGCTTTGTTGAACAAGAAAACTTATATTTATGAGGTAAAAGTGAATCGATATGAAATAGAATTATTCACCTTTTTATATATATATATATATAGTTGATGAGCAATTCTTCTGCAGTGGAATATTGGGAACAATATGCTTTACATGCTTTTGATAATACGGATTCGGCGGTGTATAGTTCATGTATTCTGGTCAGTCCTACCAAGCGTGTGGTTCCATGTACATTTTGTTTCACCATCAAGCGTGATATCTTTGATCTACCAAGTGTAATTGTTGGCAATGTAAATAGAAAAAAAAAAAAAACACAAAGTATAAAAGAAAAACAGGACGATACTGATGATTATATATATTCTTTCTTTTTTTGTATTTTAGTTTCTACCCATCTTACGATAACTGGCCCGATATTGTAACTTTTCCATTCCCTTTCCATCCCTTTTGGGTACTATTCAACCACTAGATTTTTTTTTTTTTTTTTTTTTTTTTTTTTTTTTTTTTTTTTACTTTCTATGCATACAATCTTCTTCTTCTTAACATAGTATATATACTTACATTATTTTTGTATATTTCATCTTCCTTCCCTTTTACTTCATTAGTTCCTGATTCATATATATACACTATAGACATCCACCATATTCTACCTCTTTTTTTTTTTTTTTTTTTTTTTTTTTTTTTAAAAAAAGAAACAAAATACAAAAAGAAGAATAAAGCCTTATTATCAATGACACATGATAGATACAATTTTCTTTTTATTGAACATACACATAAACAAAAAAAAAAAAAAAAAAAAAACTAATAGGTATAAATAAATAAATAAATAAATAAATAAAGTAATGAGAAGACAATGCTAACGTTGAAGATGATCGTGACGATGAGGGACCGAGATACGATGGAGAACATGTTGATTGGTGTGTTGTTGCAAGACACGATCTGCAGGTAGTCGACGGGATTGAGATTGAGAACGATAAAGTGAATTGTGATGGCGAGAAGGGATAGAGTCATCGTCCTCTTTGGTATACCAGATGGATTGTAGTTGAGATGTTTGTTGTTGCACAAAGGAAGATGGCAAAGTGGCTGTAGCATCGTTGGTATGTTTCATGGTAGATAACATGTGACTGAGATGTTCCAATTGCTGTTGTAAGTCATGCGTACTTGTTGATGGTGATGGCACAGGAGACATTTTAGGGCTACCTAATGGACTTTGTTGATGTGAAGCGTAACCTTGTTTGAGGAGTTGTTTTTGTGATCGTCGTACATCCTTTTCTAGCATCCATTGTAGGCGTTGTTCGTTATTCCGTTCAGACTTTTCCTTTTGTAGTTGTTCCTTTTGTTTCTTTTTCAAAGTATGATGGTTGTCATCGTCAGGATGATGAATACTTGGAATTTCGTTGGGTTCTAAAAATAAATGACCACTGCTTGTTTCCTTTTTCCATCCATTATCATCTGCCTTATCCAAAATCGTCATCAGTGAGGTAATCAAGATCAGCTCCATTGCTTGTACATCTTCTACTTGGCATCGTGTCAAATTGTATCCAAGCAGAGACATCAAACCAAAATATTCATTCTTTACACCACGTGGTAGGTATTGAGCAACACAAATGTCATTTCCTCTTCCCATCATGGCTCGACATTCCAAAGAAGGTCGCATAGGACTTTCACGAACCCTACAATAATAAACAAAAAAAAAATGTCATCATTCATTTTCTTTTTTTTTTTTTTATTACCATTTGTATTTCTGATTCTCCCATTCAAAAGACCATTCAAAACCAAAAATAGATGTATCCTTTAATGCTACAGATTCCTTATATCCTTGTAACGTAATCGGTTTGAGTCGAGCGCCTGCACTTTTCACTTGAGTTTCTGCCCGTACATCGAAGGTTTCTAATAACAAAAAAAAAAAAAAAGGTAAATACCAATCTAATTTATTCATTTTTATTATTGTTATTGTTACTTGGATCAATAAGAGAGACTGCATAAAAATTAGCCAGACGATGTCTAATTTTGATAAACCCAAGTTCACCAGTTCTTTTGTTCCTAATGTCGACAATGGCACGGTTACGGGGATGTCTTTCTAAGGTATAATGAGTCACTGAATCGTCTATTGAAAACATGAGATAAAAGTCAATTTTTTTTTAAAAAAAAGGGTTTCGATAAGAAAATAAAAGAAAAGAAAAGAAAAGAAAAGAAAAAAAAAAGAATGGAAACGAATTCAAAAATAAAAAAAAAAGCCCTTCGCCAAGTAAAAATATCTATCTTGTGAGACCATATCACTGTCCATATTGGTAACTCGAAAACAAAAAGCAAAGACCTCCCTTATGAATTTTTAAGGTTTAGTTTCGCCTTTTTTTTTCTAACAAATCAGGTACCATAGACACACACGTGAGTTCATTTGTTCCTTGGGTATGCAAGATGACATGTAGACATTGGATGCTGCGGATGACCCAAAATTGTACGAATCTCCTTTTCTTTCTTCTTTTTACATAAAATAGATGGCAACTCTGATGCATGAACGCGGAGAATAAAAATGCACCAAAAGATAAACTGCTGTATTCAATCTATTTATTTATTAAAATAAACCAATAAACATACAAAAATAAAACTAAGAAAATAACTAATGAATATAATAACGAGGTTCATCAAAAACTTGATATCTGTGACCACGAACACCATTTCCACGGAACATTTGAGGATAACGCAATTCAGGTTGGATAGAAGATTCAGGTACACGATCATAAGATGCTTTCCAATATTGTCGAGGATCATCCACCACTTGGAACTTGCCACTTTGAATTTCAGTATCAGTAATCTTACCATGACTAATACGAGCATATGCCACACGTTTCAATCCACGATAACCAATATATTCACACCAACGATCCCAATCATCCGTAATATCAATATCGTTCATATCTCCACCATCAAAGAGTAAGTTATAAAGATATTGATGAGGTTTGGTGACCACATAGCCAAGGAAAACAAAAGGATTAGGACTAGTGCGCATGATACGAGCCAATTCAGTTGTTTGTAATTCACGATCCACAGGATCTTCTTCTTGTCCATTATGACTAACGATAAAATCGACAGGTTGACCATATACATCTAAGGTAGCATGAATTGCACAAGCCAATTCACCCACAGGTGATGGTAAAAGATGATGACTTGATTTGATAATAGGGAATTTCGATAGCATCAAACAACCCCATGTATGTTTCATAGTTGATGGTCCCTATTTTTTTTTTTTTTTTTTTTTAAAAAAGGTTAGTTTGTCAAATGATTGGCACAATATCATCATCATCTTCTTACATAGTCTACATAATAACCAAGATCTTCTGCAATAAATTGAGCCCAATCACGATTACCCATAATAATTCTTTGAGTATCAGATTCAAGTAAACCTATAAAAAGAATAATAATATAACAAAAGAAAAGTGTAAGATGCTTTTATAAAAAAAAAACGATATAGAGTTTGAATCATTTACCAACAACATCCAATTCCAAATCGCGAAGAGCATCCCGCATACGCACTTCACTAGCCCACATATCATCATCCAATGCAAAATGAATAGTCCAAATGGCCGCTGTGAAAGACTTGGCAGAACTGGTAAAAGGAGCAGGGGTTACTGCAGATAAGTTGCGATTGAGAGCCACAAGGATGGAAGATACCATAATACCAACAACAGAAAGTCTAGTTAAGAATCGAGTATTCTTGATGATATGTAATTGTCCAACTTTTTTGACTTTTTGACCACCAAGTTGAACAATACCACTGTCAGCTTCTTGTTTGCGTGCATTGAACAAACCACAACCAATTAGGAACATCATCGTACCGAGAACCCAGTTTGTACGTTCACGAGCATACACACCACCAGGAACAAAAGCATAAGCTACAACCCATACATGTGCGAGACAAAGAATGTTGTAGATCATAAATGAAGTAAACAATGTTTTGAAGGGACCATGGACAGTGATAGATCGGACAAGAATAGGCATCACAGATGTCAAAACAGTTCCCAAAGCAAGACCACCATAATAAGCTGTCCAGCCAGAATAAGCATAGAATACAATACATCCGATACATCCAAATACATACCAAGGTAAACTTGTCACTAATGAACGATGTGTGGACAATAATAAACCAAAGGCTAAAGAACCGATAGTGGCTACACCCCAAGGGACTGGTTCAGGTCCATAATTAGGATACCCATCCACAGACCAACGCATAATAGTAGATGAATCAGAATACATGGAATGAAGAGCAAACACCAAAGAACCAAAACCAGCAGACGCTAACAACCAATTTGAACCATCTTGACGTCTTCCAATAGTATCATTTGAAGAGGAAGCTAAACTAATAGGATTGGTTCTATCACGCATTAATACTTCTAAAGACGCAATCACTCCCAAAACAATACCGATTTCGTTGATACCACCATTTGCTTTGTGCATGATAGGCCAGATGGGATTTTCAGACCACCAAGCGAACTTCATTACATTGTGTACCAAGAGACCAAGACCCCAAATTAGAATGGATCGATCCAAAGTGCCTGTATGATGACGAGTTTCGATCCAAGTAGCACACCAAGTTGTCAAACTAATAGCTAACCCAACAGCTGTCAAAGATAAACGCCAAACAGGATCCAATTTCAAATAAGATGCAATACCGATCAATGAAAGAAGATGGAAAACACCTCGATGTTGTGCAAAAAGACGTCGAAGAGGACCAATACCGAGGATCATAGGTGTAAGAGTGATGAATAAAAAGGCTTCAAATCCAGAGATACCCATATGCCACAAAGGAAAGTACCTAACATAAAACAAGTAAATGAACCAATCAGTAAAATTAGATGCGTTCTTTGATTTTTTTTTTTTATCTTATCATACCAAATAAGCAAAGCGAGGGAAGTCAATAAGGACCAAAAAACATAAGCTATATAAAGAAATGGAAATCCATATTAATAAAGTAATTTTTTTCTTTTTTCCAGATTTGACGGTTCTTACCAAGATAGGTTTCAGTAATAAATCCTCTTGCCAAAGTCAATGATCGGAGAGCAACAGGGGAGATGGTATCTTCCGTATGACTATAAAAAAAAAATCAAAAATGGTAGTCAATAATGTTAATTTTCTCCATTTATAATTTTCATTTTCTTTTTTGTTTTTCCTTTTTTTTTTTTTTTTTTTTTACCCTGGGATTTTGGCAGATCTATAACCAAAAAAAAATGTTAATATCGATATCAAATGAAATTCCAAAATGAGTAGTTTTAATAAGAGATGATCACTTACCCTTCTTTAGAAAACGTCACAGGGGAAGGAGCGCTATTACCAGAGTAGTCTACAATACTGAATTCAAATGTTTGGAAGTCGAGGGCAGTGACAGCATCGAAGGCGACATCATAGAGAATCAAAGACCATTCAAAGAACGCATATGTTGTGTATGCTAAAAAAAAAAGTGATAAATACCACGTATCAGTTGCTTGTACACATATGATTCTTGATTACTTACCACCAGGTATTTTATGAACCTTATGTTGAAGGAAAAAATAGATCATAGGAGGTAAAGAGGCGAAAAAGGCGATAGTGAAGAATCGTCTCCATTTCAAAGCAGCAGGATTTCGAATAGGTGTCGTATATAATCCACCGAGTTGCCAAGGTAACGTACAAATAAGATAAACAATCATGGCAATGTCATGAGCTAAATGATCATCTGTACTGGTAATATAAGTCCAACCGCCACAAGAGATGGTTCGTACCAAACCAACAATCAATAAGAATTTGCCAAAAGCAGGTGAGCTGGAACGAGAAGAACGAGTTGTATAAAAGTACCAAAGGAATACCAGTGCAAACCTTGGACCTGAGGTTAATGCAATGAAGATTTGAAATATGGCTCTTGCAGGATATCGATCACCAGTAGTTGCACTAACACTTGGGAACCTGTATAAAAAGAAAAAAAAAAAACAAACCAAAAGAGTTAATATTCTTGTAGGGATACCCAAAGCGCGTTCCAACGTCAAGTTAATCTTTTTTCAATCAGTTTACCATTCCTATATATATATATATATTATATACGAAAAAAAGAAAGAATAAAAACTTAATACATATTTTTATATTGAATAGATTTTTTTTTTTAAAAAAAAGAGACATACATCAGGATAGCCATAATATTCATTTTGAACGATCTTGTAATAGTGAGTGTAACAGCCAGCAGCAAGAGCAAGAAGAAAAGCACCTAAAAAAAATAAGTAAAGGATGCAATTGAAAAAAAAAGAACGATCAGTTTGACAATTTATAACTTATTATTCTGGAGACTTACTATAGGCAAATATGGTATGTGAATAAGAGATAAACTTGGCAGGAACCTAAACAAAAGGAAAAAAAGAAAAAGAGTAAGGAGAGTTAATACGACTACAATTTATACCTTATATACATCTGTGTATACCTTTGCAATAGTCACTGGAGTTGGTTCATGACCATCGGATGAAGCTGGATGCTTTTCCGTCATGACAAAAAGGCACAAGGTGAAACAAAAAGGAAAAGAAAGAAAAAAAAAAGTGATAAATTCAATATGTTCTATAAAATTCAATCCTGAATTGAAAGCCCGTTTGCCCTGTCATATATTTGCCCTGCCCATGTGTGATACGTTTCTTATGGTGTCCTATCTTCATTGTTCATATCACACAATGGTGAACTGTTTTGATAGTTTTTCTTCATCAAATCTTATACTTTCAAAATAATAGTAAAAAAAAGATAGAAAAAGACACACTTATACATTTTGTTGTTCCTGTGCTGTTACAAAGTTTGACATACCAGTGAATGCTGTGTTTGAAAAGTAACCTATTTGGCAAAAATTCTTTCTTTTCTTTTTCTCACTTCCAGATTCTACTCTCTCTCTCTCTCTTTCTTCAACCATGTTCAGCTCATATCAAGATCAGTCCAACTCATTATCAAAAAGAGCATTCGCAGTTGAAAAAGAAAAAGCACAACTTGTCAATGGTATACCGGTTTCTGGAGAAGATTACTTACTACTTGTTAGGTAAAAAAAAAAAAAAAAAAAAAAAAAAAGAACTATAATAAATCTAATTTCTCTCATTTCTTTAGACAACAGGCTGAAGCATGTGTTCAAACAGTCGTTGCTCCACCTCCTTCAGAGATCGTTCAACTAGATCTTCCCTTTGAATATCAATTCACCAAGGATACCCCGATCATTAACAAAGATCTGATACCTGATCCCGCCTGGCAATCTCTATTTGCATCCTGTTTTGAACAATTCAGAAAGGTGGAGAATAGATCGAATTGTAAATATATATATATTTTTTTTTTTTGCTAACATGTATCTTATTTTTTGGTTTTATTTAGGGAAAACAAGATACCAAGCACATATCAACACAACTTTCTCATCAACAAGGAGAAGATCATATAGCTCAAGTCAGTGATATAGTAACAGAACCCGATCTATTACCTGTCATTGCTCCATTATCTCAGGTAAGTTGTTGTATCACACATATCACAAAAAAATCAATTCAATTGAACCGATGATTTGGTTTTATTTATATATAGAGAGAAATATTCAAGTTATTAAAACAGAAATCAAAATTATTACAATCTACTTTACATACTGATGAATCTTGGAAAACTCATGCAAGTGAAAATATGCCTATCATGTACCCAAAAAAAAACAAAAAAACAATACTAACGTATTCATTCTTCATTATATGACTCTGTAGGCAAATTGGATATTCTCCTTATTGGTGTATGTTGATCCAGTGCTTACATCCATGGATATATCAATATTACGAGATATCTGTCGAACATGTATTGATATACGCAACAAATGTCAAGAAAATGAAACTGATCAAGTCATACAACTCAACATTATCATCACCATCATTTCCAAAGTATTCAAACAATCTGATTTATTATAGTTTTATTTTTATTTTTTATCATCCCTTCCTTTATCTTTTTACTTGATGCTTATCTCCTCCCATTTCTTCCCAGACTTTTTTTTTTCGTCAAAGGAATCAAATAAAAACCATGTATACCACTTTTTTTTTTTTTTTTTTTTTTTTTTTTTTACTTTTCCTTTTTGATAGTTACATATGAAATGTCTTTCTGTCGATGTCAAAAACTGTCATCTCAAAACAAATGTCGAATGTTTGGATACAATATCAATTGTTTATTTCTATAGACTACAAATACAAATGGCTAATAAAAAAAAAATATGTATCTAAACTAAAATTCAAAATCGACTCTAAATTGATTGATATCTGCACCTGGCACTGCCTTTTCCGCCAAATCACGTCGATCCTACAAATAATAATAATAAAAAAAAAATGAGTATTATATATATATATCTCTGTATAGTTCCTTAAAACAACACACTTACAAGCATATTCAATGATTTTCGTAACATATCCCATAAATTCCTTGAAACATTGATACCTTCTTCATTATTAGTAATACCTCGTTTATGCATAGATAATCCGGTCAGTAAATGTTCAGCAGCTTCCTTGTAACAACCAATGTTCAAACAACTCACACCCAAATTGTACCTTGCACGAACAAAAGAAGGACAGAGTTCTAATGCTTTGTGATAGGCTTCTATAGCATCTTCTGATCGTCCATTATTGGCCAAGGTCGCACCAAGTCGATTCCATAATAGATAATCCTAAAAAAAAAAAAAAAAAAAAAAATAGAAAATAAAGTTAGTTTCTTTTTGTCTTTTTTTTTGGGGGGGATGACTTACATCAGGACGACCTTTGACAGCCGCATAAAAACAATCAATAGCTTTTTCCAAATCACCACCACCATAGAATAAGACTCCTAAACCAACTTGTACATCAGGATCCATTGCTTGTCCATCGGGAGCCATCTGAGCAGCTTTGATAAACATAGCTGTCACACGTTCATGAAGTTCGTAAGGAGTAGCAGTTTCAAGTAATGGTTCGTTAACTACCGAGGGATATTTTTCACTGATCCATTGTTGTAGAGTTTTATATGCTGCATGATCATAAGATTCATTTGTGTAGCTGACAGCCAGGGACATTAGGGCTCGATAGTTGGACGCATTCACAGACACAGCTTTTTCCAAGGCACGGATGGCAGGTTCTTCTTTTTCATTTTGAGCTTGTACATTGCCAAGATGCATCCATACATCCGAATCAGTAGGATCTTTTTGCACTGCTGCTTCCAAAGCCAAAGCCAGTTCACTAAGACTAATTATTGTTCCATTTGATTGATTTGCCATCATTTCTTGCGCTTCCGCCAAAGGATTGGTATGATCCAAATAAGGGTTCTCAATTTCAAATACATAGTCACCTAAATCGGGTTTGTACATGCCACCACTACTAGGTCCAAAGTGACCGAATTCATCTTCCCAGTCATCACCTTCGTCCACATCCGATTCTTCTTTTGCCATTTGATCCCGGAGATCTTGCCAAATAGATTCAAATTCTTTGAATGCTGCTGGATCTTTACTTGCTGCTTCTTCGATTCTTTTCGCCATTTCTTCTTCAGTCTCTTCTTCTTGTTGATCATTTCGTTGTTGTTGTTCCTCTTGTACTTGATCAGAATCAAAAGCTGCAAATTGATCCTCCCATCCTTGTTGATCCAATTCTACTATCCGATTACTGTCACTTGTATTCTGTTGTTGATAATAAAAAGGAGGAGATTGCACAGACATTCCATTTGACCATCCAACGTGATTCTGAAAATTATTATTATTGTTAAATACAGTTGGTTGTATAGGATCCAATCTTGATTGTTCTGAATGATTCATAAATTCTTCATGCCAACCTATTAATGATATTCATAGATAAAAAAAAAAGACATTTTATATTGATCCAGTTTCTTTTTAATATTTTCATCCTCCTTTTTTTTTTTTTTTTTGTGTGTGTGTGTTTTCTTCTTACCAGTAGGTGCTTTCATGGCTGATTTAGTTGACAAGAAAGCTCTTTCCATTGTAGCAGTTTCTTCATTACCAAGTGGAAGAGGAGGTATGTTTCTTTGATGATATTGCTGTTGATGAAAATCACCAGCCCAAGATGATGGTTGATTATGTTGCACAGCATCCAATTCTTGTTCTAATCGAGAGAATTCAAATACATTTCCAGGTTGTTGTGTTAAACGATGTTGTTGCTCTTGTCCAAAAAAGTCATTGACCATGTTGTCTTCATTAAAAACGCCTAGTCGCTGTTCCCTTGTTCGCATCTATAAATATAGTTTAATACCACAAACCAATATAGAAATAATAAAGTTTTGTTATTGTTACTTACCGACATGGATACTGTGTTGTTTGCTGATGATCCTACAAAATGATCCTTTAATATTATAATTTGATTAGTAAAAACGATTCTCTCCTCATTTTTAAGATCTTTTTTTTTTTTCTTTTTTTACCTTTTGAAGCGACCGATCTTGATTGAGCTGTTTCATCATTTGAACCATGGGATTTTGTCCACTGGAACAATCGGCACCGTTAATACTTGGAAAAGACATTGATATATAAAGAGGGGATAATAATAAAAATGGGTAATGAAATAAAAAGAAGCAAAGAAAAAAGGAAAAAAAAAAGTGGAATAAAAGGTTACCAATCTTTTTTTTGGTTTTCTAGAGATTCATACTCAGCAAACAACTGTTGTCACCAATGACGGGAAAAGGTTTTAGCAATTCATGCAAACTAGTTTAATTTCGATATAGGAAAGGGTTTAATGTGTGAGTAAATGTAAATCTGAAACTTCACGCTTTACATTTGATCTTTTAACCCACGTATATATAAAGCAACTGATTTTTCTTTCTTTTTTTTTATTTTTTTATTTTTTTATTTTTTATTTTTTATTTTTCTATAGATCCAAAAGAAAAAGAAAAATGTCTTCGAATAAGTTTAGTCAGAAATGGGTTCATTCTAGCCGAGGATTACCTGGTTCTTTTTTGAATGAAAATCATCATACAATGGGAAATATATTAGCAAATGAAGAAGACAGGTAAATAATAATATTAAAGAAAGTGTTCATATTGTTGATTTCCTTTTTTTTTTTTTAATTAGACAAAATATGATTCATGAACAAAATATAAACACTGATATAAAGAATGATGATACTCACGGTCAAGTACCTCAACGGATGACTGATCCACATCAAGGTGAACAACAATCAACTTGGGATAATACAACAAGTGACAGTTATTCACGAGCAAAAGATCAATTTCCATCAGCCACTATGGATAAAATGTTTCCAAAAAATCATGTAAAGCGTGGTATAGAAAAAATCGATCAACAACCCCCACCACCACCACATCATGATGATGATGATACAATTCAGCCATTGTTAGAGAATGATCCAGATCCTGCAACCAAATCGGCATTTCAACCACAATCAAATCCAATCACAATGCAAGAACAATCAGAGTCTCCTTCTGATTTGGACTCAGCAGCCAATAGTATGGATTCAAATCGTGCCATTCTGAATCAACCTTTGGTATCTCAACGTGTGAATGATCAAGCAAATACCTCTTCATCTCAAGATACTACTGAAGATGATTCCATGCAACAAGATCGACTGAATATGAAGGGAGGTCCTTTGGATACTTCTAAAAATAAAAAAGAAAATACGCTCCAAAATAGTCCTTCATCACCGCCAACATGGAGAAGACGACATTCAGCCTCTGAACATGATTATTGTGCTGCATTACCAGTATTACAATCCTATGTGCCTTATGCTCAAGGTGTAGCCGCCAAAACTAATAATGAAGCAAGATATGAAAATCAAAGTCAACAAATAGCTGCTTCTGATCGTCGTTACAGCTTGCACAGTATCGATCATGAAGATCAACAACACGATGCTCCTGAAAGTCGTCGTCGAAGTAGTCTTTCTATTCATTCCATCAGCAAATGGTTTAGTCATCATAAGCCTCAAAAATCGACCTAGGTTATCCTCTTTGATCATATCATACAAAAAAAAAAAAAAAAAAAGGGAAAATGAATATCAAATGAATCAAATTCTTGATCTATAACATAATAATATATAGTAATAAAGATAAAATATGACATCAATCAGATGAAGTGTTTATTTGTATTTAAAGAAAATGTAATTGAAAATGATATGGATTATATGTAATATATTACAGGTAGATGATGATTGTATAGTAAAAATAAAAAAAAAATAAAGGAAATATATTATAAAATGGGGAATCTTTGTACATAAGTTGAGATATAATAGAATAATAAATAAATAACAAAAAAGAAAAAAAAAAAAAAGAAGCTACGGTTGCCATATATGGACCACACCTTGAGAACCACTAACACCAGCTGCTAATACTTGAAGATCTTCATTCACAGATAAACAATTGACAGGGTTCGATGTTTCATAGGATCGGATCAATCCATTCTCACCCTTCACATCCCAAAATTTCACCTAAAATGACATAAAGAATCAATAATTAAAAAAAAAAAATCATCCTTGTTCCTTACCCTACAATCGCCACCTCCAGTAATCAAAATCTGATTATTCTTCATCCAATGCATACCACCAATTCCTATATTTGAGTCTGGAGCAATATACCTTTCTCTATCATCAGTGTCTATAATATGAAAAAAGAGAAGAAAAGAAAAGATTAAAGCAAAATCTATGGAGTCTTCTTTTGTACTTTACCACTATGTGTAAAGGTATACACAGGTCGTGATGGTTTTCTGATGTCTACGATGGCCACTTCATTAGCAACACTTCCAGAAACAATGTAATTGTCGCATTGACTACATGTACATCCACCAATACAAAAGAAAAAAAAAATGAATCACCCTTTTCCTTCTTTTCTCTTGTTGATTTTTTTTTTCTTTTTTTACCTGAAGCAAACAGAATTGACGTCAAGATGTCCAGTAAATGCCTTGAGAATGGATTTCCCAGTTTTTGCGTCATGAAGGTGCATCAGTTGATCACCAGATGTAGCCCCATAATTGGCAGATACAATAGAATTCCCTAAAGAAAAAAAAAATTCCATTCCATCATCTATTCTCTCATATGTTTCTTTTCATATGCATAGACTTACCAATATGTGATACAGCCAGACAACCAACAGAACCGCGAATATCTTGAGCATCCCATATGGGAGTGGCCTTTGTACAGTCAAACGCTGTGATCTACAATGGAAGAAGATAAAGAAAAGAAAATGAGTGGGAAAGGTTGTTACTAATATTATCTGTTATTCATATTTTGATTTTTTGTGCTTACCCATCCAGGTTGCTGATGTAATTCACTTTTGTATCCAAAAAATAACATTTGACTAGAAGGTCCATTTCCAAATTCCACGCATTCAGCACTACAATGTTCTACATCTGATATTGCCGTTGTTTCACATATAGCACCTTGTCCATCCCTACCTTTCTTGTTGATTTTCCATATCACTCCTAGTCCATCAGAGGATGAGGTCGCTATGACATGTTCTTCTTCAGGTTTGACCGAAATTTGATAAACAGAACCATTGTGGAAAGCTATATAAACAAATAAAAAAAAATCAGGATCATCAATCAAGAAAATTAGATCTATACATATTTCTAGTTCTTACATAAAGTCGATAATAGTTTCTTTGATACTGCATTCCATACTTTTGTATTTCCATCCCGACCAGCAGAAAAGATCAATTCCTTGCAGTTGGACATCTTGAGATCATGTACAGTTCGCCATAGCTCTACAAAAAAAAAAGAATAAATTATATATCATGATGTGATTAGTTACCTTTTCATCTTTTCCTTATCCTATTTCTTTTCTTTCTTTTTCCTCTTGACTCACTTTGATTACTTTCACCATTTGCTGATTGTATTTCTGTAGAATGTCCTCTCAATTGTGTCACCTGATTCTTCGATGTTTGCCATGTTCTAAGATTCCCTTCAATATTGTAAGCCAAGTGATCATCACAAAGAGATCCTGCCACTATTTGAATCCTATGAAAAAAAAAGAATGAATCAATATTAATTACTTTATACAAAAAAAAAAAAAAGTATATAAAAATCATCTAAGCTTTTTTTTTTTTTTTTTTTTTTTTTTTTGTTCTTACCCACTCCTTGATTTTGGTTCAGCTTCCAGTAGTAAACAAAGACAATCGCCACTTCCCTCACCCACCGTGATTCTGTTGTGTAGGTTACTCCAGATGGCCATTTCACATGTTGACTGACTCACTTTTTGATTCATCATTCGTGAGGAAATTAAATCATGATAATTGTTGACGGTTCTGGGTGGACCTATCGAAGTATAATAAACAAAAAAAAAAAATAAACAAATAACAAGATAAGATAATCATAATTGATTCAAAGTCGTATATATTAACTTACGTTTTTTCTCTCTAGCGACGAGCAAAGGTTTCTTGAATAAATGAAGATGTTTCGAGTTGATAATATCGTAATAGCGAAATCGACAATCTTGCTTGTCACGACCAGGAAGAAATGAGGCTATTTGATGCCAAAGGTCTTCATCATTGAAAATTGCTGTCAATCCACGTTTTTTCCTTTCTAGTTTTTGTACCCTTGAGCAGATAAATGAGTCTTCAACTTCAGTAAAAGGAACATGCATCAAATCACCAGGTTGGAATTGAGCCCAGTCTTCCCAATTGGAATCTTGCCATACAGGAGCAGGTATGTAAGGTCGAGCCATACCTCCAGCTAGGTAAGGTGTTTCTAATCGTTGGATCAGTGCTTGTCGTAGTTCATCTTTGTTATTGGCGTTTCCTAATGTACTTGTCGATTGGACAATGGTTGCCCGAGTGGTAGTGGCCTTGCGTTTCAATGATCTTCTCGATGATGCTGATAAACGTGTTCTTTGCGATGATGATGTTGATAGGATATCACTCATTTCATTTCTTGGTGACAATCCTTCTAAATGATGATTGACAGAATCTTGATAATGATCCAGCCTTGTAAACAGTTCAATCAATTCCATATCTTGTAGAGGAGTAATGAGAGTAGTCGCTGCAGATGATGTGTTCGACGGTGATTGCTAAAAGAGAAAGAAGAAGAAAGGAGAAGAGAGAAAGAAAAGTTAGATACATGACAGTACTATCAAATATAGTCCTTTGTATTTTTTTTTGTTTTGTTTTTACCCAAGTTTTTGATCGTGTCTTGTCATTCATATTGATAACAGAGGTCCAATCAGGTTCAGGAACGGTATGTTTCAATTCTGATACTGATTCAGAAGTAAGCACCTGATCAATGAGTTCTTGTGTCAAACCAAACAAGTTTTGTGCTGAAAAGTAAAATGCATCGTTGGCCATAGTAGTAGTAGTTGTGGTAATATTAGTAGTAGATTCCAAGGACGGTAATGACAATGTTGGTAGTTTGATTTCAGTTAAAACCGAAGGTGAACTATCAGTACTTGTTGAAGTGGGTGCAAATACAGGTGGAAGATCAGATATTGATGTTGACAGTGTCATAGGAATAGATGGTTGTGGTGATTTTAGTTGTATTGGTTGAGTTGGTGATAATGAATCAGAAGGTAATGATTGTCGATTCTTTATTGGTTGCTTAGTTGCTAACTTTTGACTACCTGAAGGTATTGTTCTTGTAAGTTTCGTGTCAGGTTCATCGTCGTCGAGTAAAATAGGTTGTGACTGAATCAATCCATAAGTAGAAAGGGAACCGTTGTTTTTACCTTGCTTTTTCTTGTTTCTTTCATTGCTAGTAGGAATATCATCAGATTCGTCATCACTAATAATAATAATCACATTCTGATTTTCCTTGTTCATATTGGTGATAAGAGGAAAAAAAAAAAAAAAAAAAGAGAAAAGAAAAGAAAGTGACAAAAGAAAAATAAAGAACATAAGACAACTAAAAAAAACCGCGTTGTCGGCATTTGAAAATGCAAAGGGCAGAAACCACAACGAAGCCTGCCATAAAAAAAAAAAAAAAAGGAAGGAATCATGTGATGCTGTAAAATATTCGTTCATTAGTTTATTGATTGAGATCTTCCTTAAAAAAAGATGTGGCTTTTTTTTTAATTGAATAAAAGAAGCAATTGATGAAACATAATGAGACAAGAAGAACGAAAAATCTAGACTTGGAAGATTTACAAAGAAAAAAAAGAACCACGTTATCTTTTTTTTTTTTTTTTTTTGGCTTTTGTTACTTTGATGATAAAAGTCACAAGTTAATTTATGGTAAAGTTGGGGGATACTACAAAAAGGTGGAACATAATTTAGGTAGTTTTGTAGAATATATGAGAATAATTTCAATACAACCAATCCTTTGCTTGCAATTTAATTGGATCATCATCTGCAGAAAAAAAAAAAAAAGGAGGGAAAAAGGAAATTAGACAGTAATATTCATAGAAAAAAAAGTGGGGGAATGAGAGAAAAAAAAAATCACTATGACGTAAAGATTTTCACCCGAACCCTGATTTTTTATTATTGAAGATATATAATAAAGACGAAAAAGGAAATAAAAAAATAGTAAAATTGGCAATCTAATATAAAATAAACAATATAGGATGATGATAAATAAGAAAAATATAAAATATAAATATATATATATACTATTAACATAATAAACACAAAAAGGAATTCATAGATGAATGAAGAAACGATATAATAATGAGATAATCAATTTTCATAGTCATCAACGTGACACCAGAATGGGGGAGAAAGGAAAATAAAAAAAAAAAAAAGGAAGGAAAGGAGTAAAAAAACAAAATATAATAAAGAAAAAGAAAAAGAAAAAGAAAAAATACAATCATGAATATCAAGATAATGGGAATATAAAAATGATCATGCATACATTGGACAATCTGAAGAATTATGCTTGTCTGATCCACAAAAGTAACATAACTTATTGGCACCAATAAAGAATGTAATTGTTGTCTTTTTGCATAGTTGATGATAATGAATATATGATTTTGATCGAGAAGTATTGACAATAGACATTTTCATATATAATATATATATATCGTGATAATGATTGATTTAGAAAGAAACAAATTGTTTCCTTTTGATTGGCTATAAGGAAATAATAATAATAAAATAAAATAAAATAAAAAAAAAGGTGAGAAAAAGGGAGAAAGAGTTAAAACAAAAGAAAAAAAAATGTCATTCCCTTTTTTTTTAAAAAAAAAAAAGAAAAACAAGGTCGAGATTTGTCTTTTTTTTTTTGTAATTCCGAATACCCTTTTTGGATATTATTCTAGAAGATACAAAACTTGTTTAGTCAAATTGTAATCAAATAAAAGGTATTATATATATTGAATGAATAAAATAATGAATCTTATATATATCATATTGATCATCAATAACTTATATTGAAAATTCATTCATTTTTTTTTTATTTTATCTTTTTGTTCGACCCTGGAACCGGGGAATGAAATAACTAATTTTTTTTTTCTCTTTCACTTTTACCTTTTTTTCCTTTTTTTTTTTTTTTCCCTCGTTACCCACTTTTTTGAATATAATATGGATCATTCCATACTTAATAGAAATCATCCAAATCATCATTATCAACAACAAGTTATCAAAACAGAATTAGTTCATCGTACAATACAATCTATTAAAGAACTAGTTATTCAATATCCTTCTGACTTTGATGTATCCTTCTTACATCCACTTGAAAAACCTTCAATACCAATTCATGAAGCTGTAGCAAATCTCTATAATGATACCCTACAATATTATCGAGCAAATAATATTACTTTTGATGATCATTGGGTAAAAAAAAAAAAATAAAATAAATAATTTATTATATTATTTAATAATATCTATTATTCACCTTTTTTTTTTTTTTAAGCATTGGAATATTGCTTGGCGACAAGCTTTATCATTTGAAAGTCTTTTAAGTTTAGCACATGGTGATCGAACGTTACTGATACAATCTTTTCATCCAAAATGTCATCGTATATTGACTGCTATCTTCAACCATGATTTAGCTAAATATATGCGATATTATCCTTGGCGATGGTTTTCTGATCTGGTCTTTGTTGGTGCTGGTGGTTTCTCTAGTGTTTATGCATCCAATATTGCTTTATTATTTGATGTTCCTGAAGCTGGTCGAACTTTTGGTACCTTTAAACGTGGTGTTGCCATCAAAGTTGTAGATGAAAAAATATTAAATGAAGTAAAGTATTTTATATTATTATTATTATTATTATTAAATAATAATAATTTTTTATATATAATAGATCACTGTTCAATCTAGGGCTTTCTTGGCATTACTATTTCATGGCATGACAGTATGTGAAAGTACAGGGGATTTACTAATGATTGGTACTTTGGCAGAAGGTGGTAATTTGGAAACTTATATCGATCGACCTATACAAAATTCTTTGGATTTGATTTCTGTAGCAGATATGGTGACTCGTTTAGCTTTCAATTTAGCAAGTTTACATGATGATATCAAGATGTGTCATAGAAACATTCATCCCAAAAATGTTTTATGTGTAGATGATGATTATTTATTGGTAGATTATCGATTCTCAACTGCATCAAATGAAGCCACTGAGGTCACAAGACAATCAAAAGCTCATTATGGTAAAATTGACACAAAAAAAAAAAAAAAAATAGAATAAAAAAAAAGACTCACCACTTTTTTTTTTTTTCACATGAAAGGACGATTACCTTATATTGCACCAGAACTTCGACAAGGAATCTATACTGAAAAATCGGATGTCTTCAGTTTAGGCGTTATCATGTGGCAATTGGTATCTCACCTTACATTTCCAACACCAGAAATTTTATTGGATGCTCCAGAAGTTTATCGTATTGAATGGTTACCTGGTGTACCTACTTGGTATTTAGAACTTACAATGGCTTGTTTAGAGCCACGACCAGAAAATAGACCTGATGCTGAAGAAGTTGGATTATTAGCTAGAAAGTTTGCAGCGGCTGGACCACGACCTCCATCTGATGATCAAGACTGGATATCTTATGTAAGACGAAGACGGGAAGCTTGTCAACAACATCAATTAGAATTTAAACGTAAATCTTGCCAACGCCACCATCATCATCAACATCATCAACATCATTCTAATTATCCCACCAATGCTTTATTATCAACAACAACAAATGGTCCTGTGACACCAACTACTAACAATGACAATGATGACGAAGATGAAGATGACACTAGTGCTTCTCGACTTTATGCTTTTAGGAACCTTCCTTCTACTGAATCTTTATTTAATCTCCCCTTCCATCGTCGTTTATTTGATCCTGTGAATATCTCCTTTGACAATTTATGAAAATAATTTATATTTCTGACCCAAAATAAAAACCTTCTAGTATTATTATTCCTTTCGTTCTTTCTCTCTCTCTTTCTCTTCTCTCTCCTGTCACCTAATCAAAACTTTGACATCGGAGACTCAAACTCAATATTTAGTGATGTTTTTTTTTCCAACTGTTTCGCTTCTTTTCTTTTCACTATCGACAACTTTTTTTTTTCTAATTTCTTTTTCCCCTTCTTGATCGTTTAAACATGGACGATAAATCACGTAATTACAAATGGGCAAGTTCGAAAAAACGATACGAATGGAAACAGGAATATGAAAATGGAATCGCTCCTAGGGACAAGGATTTGGAAGAAGAATTATTTGGGGAAGATTCACATATTCCCAGTGGTATCAACTTCTCGAAATACAATGACATTACTGTTAAGGTCAAAGGCAGTAATGTACCAAAGAGGTTTGATTCAGTATGTTATCTATATAATTGGGTTTTTTTTGACATGTCTACTAAACTTTTTTTTTTTTTTTTTTTGGTAGTTTGCAGAAGCAGATCTTCACCCGGTCATGAAGGAAAACATTGCATTGGCTAGGTACACGATCCCTACTCCTGTTCAGGTACTTTAAAAGTATAATCAATATCATACATTTTACTAAGAAAAAAGATATAAAACAAAACTTATTTGATTCTATCCTATGTACTGATACCTTTTTTTTTTTTTTTTTTTTTTTTTGGTGGTGTAGCGTAATTCTATTTCTTTTGTTACTGCTGGTCGTGACTTGATGGCTTGTGCTCAAACTGGTTCTGGCAAAACGGCTGCGTTTTTGATCCCTACTTGCTCTTCTTTATTCTCTCAACCACATTTGATAACACGCGACAATCATTCCGGACGACGTTTTACTGCCAAACCTTTAGTTTTGATCGTGGCCCCAACTCGTGAATTATGCTCTCAAATCTTTGATGAAGCCCGTCGTGTATGTTCTTCTTTTTTTTTTTATTTAATTGGATAATATATTATCATACTTATACACTGATTTTTTTTTGGATTGATTAGTTTTGTTATCGCAGTATGTTACGTCCATGGTAAGTTGTCAATATGTGTTCAGAAGAAAAAAAAAAAAAGACAAGATGTCAATTTATGATCTCCTTTTCTATTATGAACCTTATTTTGTTAGTGCTGTTTATGGTGGTGCTGGTGTGCCTGGACAAATCCAAGAAGTTATTGCAGGATGTGATGTATTAGTGGCTGCACCTGGTCGTTTGTTGGATTTTATGGAACGTGGTGTGATCAGTTTATCAAATGTCAAATATCTTATTCTTGATGAAGCGGATCGTATGCTTGATATGGGTTTTGAAAGAACTATCCGTAATATTGTGGAAAGACATGGTAAATAATAATAATAATAAAAAAAAAAAGAGAATTCTACATAGGTTTATCACTAAATTAACTTGATTTTTTTTTTCTAGATTTACCTAAAGATCGTCAAACTTTATTATACAGTGCAACATTCCCCAAAGAAATTCAATTATTGGCAAGAGACTTTTTACGACCTGATTATTTGTTTTTGCGAGTTGGTCGTGTTGGTGGAACTACTACTGATATTACTCAAAAGGTTTGAATAAAATGAATAGAAAGAAAAAGATGATATAGAAAAACGCTTAACAAGATTCTTTTTTTTTATGGGAATAGGTGATGTGGGTGGAAGAACAAGAAAAACGTGAAAAACTCAAGACTATTTTACTCTCTCAGCCTCCTTGTAGAACATTGATCTTTGTTGATACGAAACGTTCTGCTGATTCGTAAGTGAATTACTAACATATATATATATATATATATAAGAAGAACTATCACTGACTGAATGAACTTGATATTTATAATTTTAATCTAATAGGTTGGATAACTTCCTTTACCAGAATCAATTTCCCAGTACATCAATTCATGGTGATCGATCTCAAATGGAACGAGAAGATGCTATTTTGGCATTTAAGAGTGGTACTTGTCCTATCCTAGTGGCAACAGCGGTTGTGGCTCGTGGTATTGATATCAAGAACGTGATGCATGTCATTAATTTTGACATGGTAAATGACATTGACGAATATATTCATCGTATTGGTCGTACGGCTCGTGTGGGTAATGCTGGTTTGGCAACTTCGTTCTTCAACAATAACAATATACCTGTAGCACAAGATCTTACTAAGGTTCTTCAAGAATGTCAACAGGAAATTCCTCCCTTCTTGACTCAATATATTTCCAAAACTTTGTAAGTAATAAAAAAAAAAAGCAAATAAGAAATTCAATATGTATTTAATTTTATTACTGTTATTATTATTATTATCAGGCGTTTCAAAGATGATGAAGATGACGATGATGATCTATCTAGTTATCAACACCAACTTAGCAATGGTACAACTTCTGGCGGATGGGCAAATCAAGAACCACAATTTAACAATGATGCCTCTGGTGGATGGGATCCTGATGCTACCCCTTGGTGAAATATATAGGATAGTTTTCTCTCTCTCTCTATATATATCTATATATATCATCCCTTTATCAATTCTTTTCTGTATTCAATAAAATTTGACACAATGATCTTTTTTCTTTTTGTACACCCATCTGCTTTTTAAAATATGTTGATTGTCAATCAAAAGGTTACACTTGACGTAATGGATATCAATTCAAACCTAAAATGAAGAAAAAAAAAAAGAAGTAATTTTATTATAATAGATTTCAAAATAAAATGACTATAAACCAACAATGAGGAAGAATCAATTAATTTTCCCTTTTTCTTGTTTTATTTATTTCTTTGTCATGCTTATTTATTTAGGGGTAACTGTATTACGGTTACATTTCCAGATTTATCTTTCTGTTTTTGGCGGAGCCATATTTGAATTCATTGGTCTGTACAGCAACAAGTCACCAATCTGTCAGTGAATAAAAAAATTCTTTCCTCCTCCGCCTGCCTTTTTTTCTTTCGTTCTTTTTTTTTTTTTTTTTTCTTTTTCTTTTGACACTTGTCACTGTACTTTCACTGGTTCTTTCTTTTTCACATACACCTTTTCTTTTTTCTTTTTTTTTTTTTCTTTCTTACCCCTTCTCTTTTTTTTATTATTATTATTATTTCAATTCTTTGAATATCTATTTCAAACTTCTTATTTTATTACCAATTATGACTGCTAACATGAACTTTGGACCTGAATGGTAAAATACACGACGTGTATTAATAAAGATGATGAACCAATTTTTATATTCATTATATTTTTTATTTATATTTTCTTTCTTTTTCTTCTTCTTTTTATCTTAGGATGCGTGGTGGAGCTTTACCTCAACGATCCAATACCATCGACTCACAATCGACTCAATCGACGTTATCACCTACTCTCACTTCCAGTTTGTCTTCTAGTAAAGACAATGATCTTGTATCATCTACTTCTCAAGACAATCCTTTCAAGTATTCCAAAGAGTTTATGCTTAGTCTTTATCGTCCAATGGATCCTCCTTCTCATTTTGAGAAGCTTCCTTATGTTGCTGTAGACGAATCCATTGGTCCTCTTGCTTTTGTTGATCTGACAGACGAAGAAAAAAAGGTAAATGAATATTTTTCTTTCTTTATTCCTTTCTTTCTTTCTTTCTTTCTTTCTTTCTTTCTTTCTTTCTTTCTTTCTTTCTTTCTTTCTTTCTTTCTTTCTTTCTTCCTTTCTTTCTTTCTTTCTTTCTTTTTTCTTATGGTTGACTCATCTTTTTTTTTTTAATAGTTGTTATCTGGACCTGTCCATTCAGAAGGTGGTCGCCGTGTACTGACAAACAATGAAAAAGGTAGTGGTCAAAGATATCACCGTGGAAATGACCATCACTCTACTGAAAATGGTTCCAATCGCTCAATTAATCGCTCCAAAGGTAAAAAAAAAAAAAAAAAAAAATTCATTATACAACCATCATAGAAATTGACCTTGTTGTACTTTAGGTGGACACAATGCAGAACATCGACGAGACACAACAATGGAATTCGAAGGATCAAAGACATCAGATGGTGGTAGTCAAAATGATGTCAACAACAATGGTAATTCCTGGGGTAATGGACGTGATACCATTGGTTCGTGGGAAACTCGGAAAACTGCTAGTGGTTTGGACAAGGCCTGGTCCAATCGATCCGGTGACAATGAAAGAGCTTCTCATGGATGGAGTCAACCAGTTGGCAATGGTACTGGCGATTTGACAACTTCTGATTTCAAGTCTGATGGTGGTAGTAATGATTTTCAATCGCACACTTTGGACTCGGTGGCAGCTAATTCTTCTTCTTCTTCTGAATCTCCTTTATCAGAAAAGCATCCTAGTCAATACAAATGGTTTTATCGTGATCCTTCAAGTAATGTCCAAGGTCCATTTGATGCTCAAGAAATGCAAGATTGGTACAAGGCTGGTTTCTTTGGTCCTACACTTTGGATTCGACGTGAAGATCAAGAACAGTTTGAACCCTTGGCAGCTTTGATTCTCAAGGTCGGCAGTGAAGATATATTTATGAGCCCAATTCCAACAAAGCCTGAATTGACTGATTCTTTGTCTGGTATGACATCTTCCCGTTCAATGGTTGATCCTTTTGGTCGAATGGGTGGTCCTTTATTTGGTTCTGGTGCTACTGGTAGTAATAATGGTAGTGGTGTTATGTCTCCTAGTTTGGATTCACCATCGGCTTTCTTTGCTAATCATCCATCAGCTGATATCCTATCTCAAGGTGGTATCAAATATAGTCCTTTTGGAAATACTTTGAATCAAGGTAATGGCTCTAATACTGGTACTCCTTCTTTGCCTTTGGCCAATCCTTTTGGAACTAATGAAAATAATGTTTTTGGAAGTTCTTTACTTGGCCGTGAACCTGGTTCACCTTGGGGTGAACAACGACCTTCTACACCTTCTTGGATGAATAATACCCAATCTGACTTGTTTGGTACAACTTTCCAACGTCAACAACAGCAACAACAACAGCAACAACAACAACAACAACATATGCAATATCAGCAACAACCACAACATATACAGCCAATGATGAATCCTTTATTTGGTATGCGTGGCTTTGGTGGTGAAACTATGGATCCTCAACAACAATTCATGCAACTCTTACAGCAACGTCAACAACAATCCATGATAAAGCAACCATTCCAACAACAACAACAACAACAACCTCCTATTCCTGATCAACATATCCAACAACAAGGATTCGGACAAAGTCAAGTCTTGGAACAGCTCAGTAATCATGCTTCACCTGTTATTCGACCAGCCGGTTTAAGTGGATGGGGATCAAGTCCTAGTACTCCTCTGGCTATGGACACACCATCCAGTCCTTGGGGTTCCATTGTCTCACCTGCTATTCCTCACAAAGTTTCTGAAGAACTTCAATCCAAGGCACCTGGACAACAGTCACCTCGTACACAACTATCTCCTCAAATACAGTCCGCCAGTCTCCCTACTAATACTGTCAAGTCTCCTATTGTCAATACCGTGGAAACATCAAATACAACTCATATCGAGACTTCTGGTCAACCTCAACAAGAAACCGATAAAAAGAAACAAGCTAATCGTCCCGTGGAAGAGATACTTACTTCCTCATTGAATAAAATTAGTTTACAAGCTATTCAACAAGAACAAGATGAAGAACGCAAGCGACAAGAAGAATTACGACAACGTCAAAGGGAACAAGAAGCTGCTCTGGCCAAACGAAAAGCAGAAGCTGAAGCACGAAAAGCCCAACATTTCGCTCAACAAGAAACTATCGCAGCATCCACTGTCAAGACTGGACCAGTTATGCCTCAAATACCTGCAGTGAAACCCGTATCATTGCGTGATATCCAAGCCGAAGAAATGAAGAAACAGCAAGAAGTTAAAAAGCAAGCCAAAGCGAACAACAAGTTGATGATGGCCGCTACTCTCCAACAAAAGGCTACTAGTGGTATGAACAAATCTGGTTGGATTGGTAGTGCGTCTGGTTGGGGAAATGAATCTTACAAAGGACCTTCTTTACGTGAAATTCAAGAATTGGAAGCCAAAGAAGCTAGTTTGAAAAAGGAAATGTCACAACAACAACAACAACAACAACAGCAAGTTTACTCTTCATCGTCTACTTCGTCTGCTACAACATTATCATGGGGTGTGGTGGCTCCTTCCAACAAAGCGGCAACTGTATCAAACACAGCCTCATCGTCATCATCATCACTTGCATGGGGTAATGCTTCAGCTCCTAAGAAAACATTACGTGAAATTCAACAAGAAGAAGAAGTGGCCATGCAAAAGAAGGTCTTGAAACAACAACAACAACAACAACAACAATCCTTGGGTGTCAAATCTGGTTATTCCACTATTGCAAGTGCTACTCCTAATACTAGTACTGATGATGCATCATGGACAACTGTACAAGCAAAACCAAAACAAGTTCCTGGAGCAACATCAACTACTTCTATTAATTCTCGTACAAATAGTAATAGCGTCAATGGATGGGATGTGGTAGGTGCTCCTAAAAAGCCAGTAGTCTTGAATCAAGCTTCTTCTGTGGCTTCTCGTCCTGCTGTGGTGGCAGCTCAACAACAACGCAAAGCCAATGATACCAAGGCTCCCAGTGAAAACTTTAAATTATGGTGCAAGCAATCTCTTCGTGATCTTAGTCCTGGTGTGAATGGTAAAAAAAAAAAAAAAAAAAAAAAAAAAAGGGAATAACACATAGAAATAGAGAAATGGATATTGGATGTAAATGATTTACAATACTTATCATGTTTTTTTTGTATATGTATATTTAATATAGCTGATGAAATCCTTAAGATGCTTCTCTCCTTCCCTGTGGATAATAGTGTCAATGAAATTATCCAAGATATTATTTATGCTAATTCTACTTCTATGGATGGAAGACGATTTGCAACTGAATTTATGAAACGACGACGCGCTGATTTGGCAAATAACACATCATCAATGGTTTCAGCAACCTCCAATGCGACATCTTCTGGTTTTGAAGATGATAGTTTCCAAGTAGTCAGCAAGAAAGGGAAGAAAGCCAAGGCCATGTAGTTTTATTCAATGTAGCTTATTCAACCATTATATATTAATGAAATAGATATTGTATTATTTAGCCTTAATGATGATGATGATGATTTTTTTTTTTTAGTGAAATAAAAAGAAAATAAAGTTTTTGTTTCTATGCACAAATAAAAAAATATATCTTATATGGGCTTTTGTTTACAATATTGGTGGACACGGCTGGGTTTATGTCTCCCTTTTTTTTCACTCTTGTTTCCCTATTTTCCTTTTTCTTTTTTTTTTTTCTTTTTTTACCTACTTTTTTTATTTCTCTCCCTTCTCCCTCCCTTTTTCCCGTTTTATTGTTATGAATTTCAACATCTTCAAACCGAAACAAAAAACACCTCATGATCTCGCTAAACACCTAAAAGATTCTATACACAGACTAGATGGACCTGACAAACGCAAGGTAATGACATGAATAAAGGATAGGAAAAAAAAAGAAGGTGTATTTGAAAGATTGAATGGATTCTGGGGTTAGTTGAATGGAATTTGACTAGTAGCTGGATTGATGGGATATCATGACACGTACATCAAGGACAAGTGCTATGATATAAGAGAGATTAGACAGAAAAGGATTATGTTGTGGATGAAGAAATAGGAAGACACTATTGATTATAACAACAATAACAGTATTATTTGTTCATCATAATATGGCTAATATCTTTTTTTTTTGTTTTATTTGTATGGTTAGGCTAGTGAAGAAGTTTCCAAATACTTAGTATCCATGAAGAACTTTTTACTCGGTAAAGTTGGGTGCTATTGTTATTTTGGAAAACTCTATATGAATTCATATATTATATTTCTTAGATAATGAACCCAATCCTGATCTTGTGGCACAATTGGCACAAGAAGTGTATAGTAACGACATATTACAATTGATGATTTTGAATATTGAAAAATTTGAATTCGAGGCAAGTACATTACAAAAAAAAAAAAAAAAAAAAAAAAAAAAAAAAAAAAAAAAAAAAAAGAGAATGATGTAAATTTAAAAGGTGAAAAAAAAACTCAAAGTTTATCTTTTTTTTACATAGGCAAAAAAAGATGTTGCTCAGATCTTTAATTATTTACTTCGACGGTCCATTGGAACTAGATCACCGACTGTGGAATACCTTTGTACTCGTGAAGAAATCTTGTTTACATTATTGAAAGGTTATGAAAAACCTGAAGTGGCATTGAATTGTGGATTGATTCTAAGGGAATGTTTGCGACATGAATCCTTGGCCAAGATTATTCTATATTCTCATCAATTCTATCTTTTCTTTGATTATGTGGAAATGAGTACATTTGATATTGCATCTGATGCATTTGCTTCTTTCAAGGATATTTTGACCAGGCACAAACAAATGATCTCGGAATTTTTGGATGCGAATTATGATGAAGTAAGTGAAAATAAAATCATTATTATTGACTTAACTTTTTTTTTCTTTTGATATAGTTCTTTGATCATTATAAACGACTATTGACTTCAGAAAACTATGTGACAAAACGCCAATCTCTCAAGTTATTAGGTGAAATTCTTTTGGATCGATCCAATTTCAATGTGATGACTCAATATATCAGCAATGCTGATAATTTGAAATTGATGATGAATTTATTACGAGATCGAAGTAGAAATATACAATTTGAAGCATTCCATGTATTCAAGGTAAAAAAAAATATTTATTTTGGAAAAATGATCTTTAACTTTTATTTTTATTCTATTTAGGTATTTGTGGCCAATCCAAACAAAAACAAGTCTATTTTAGATATTTTGATCAAAAACCGAGACAAATTGATTGTTTTCTTAAACAACTTCCATAATGATAGACAAGGTAAATCATTATATCATTATCCTACCAACTCATTAAAAATGACCTTTTTTTTTTTTTCTTCAGATGATGAACAATTCAACGATGAAAAGGCCTTTTTAGTCAAACAAATTCAAGATTTGAAACCTCAAGAATAAACTTAGCTAGCGTGTGTTATTCAATTTTTTTTTTTTTTTTTTGTTTCGGTTGATGATTTTTCTTTTTTTACTTCGGCGTTGTTTGAAATTTACACTCTGTTTTTCGTATTTCTTGCGGCACATCACTTTTTTGAACTTTTTCACTTGTCTTCTTCTTCTTCCTCATCCTCTCTACATATTAATAAACTATCCTTTTTTTTTTATATATATATCATGACCGAAGAAAACCGAATACCAACTTCTAGTCATATAAATATTCCCACAACAAAAAAAATTTCTTCACAAGACTCTTTGGATCATCAAGACCTGACACCTAACTCCAAACGACGACTTGGTCTCTTTCACCGGACAAACTCGCAGAAGTGGTTACAAAAATCGCATTTGAGTCAGCAGCAAAAACTATGGCAGAAAAAGTGTGCTGAACATGCTAGTGGTAATCAAGACAATTTGGATGAATTCCCTTTGGATCCTACCAAACTAGTTATACGACTCACTGTGATTGGTGCTAGACATTTGACTTTGAACGATGTAAATATATGATTATATAAACCTTGAAAGGACGACTTTCCACCTATATTGATCTCTCTCTCTCTTTTTTTTTTTTTTTTAAAAAAAAAAATAGGAAGCAACACTGAATCCATATGCTCTTGTCAGTTGTGCAGGACGTAGAGAACGCACACATGTTATCAAGCAAACTGCTGACCCAGAATGGTCTACAACCTTTGATTTCTCTTTGGCTTCTATCCTTGGTCACAGGCGGAAACAAATGGCTCTCACTCAAGGTGTCACAATAACTGTATGCAGTAAAGATCGGTTCAAATCTGTCTTTTTGGGTCAATATCGTCTTTCATTACAAGAAATGATGGCTTATCAACAATCAAGCAATAAGGTAAGAATTCTTGAAATGCAGAAATAAAAAAATAAAAAAAAAGGGATATCTTGTTAAGAGCAAGAGAGAGAGAGAGAGAGAGAAGGGGGGGGGTTTACGGGAATGGTGGGAAATGCGAAGTTATTTTGGTGTGCTTTTTGTCGGCAACACGTGCTGGATACTTGATTTAAAACTAAGCTGTATGTTATTTATATTTAATTTGGGTAATAGGCAAAATGGTATCCTTTACAAACTACGCACAGACGACGACGAAAATTTGGATTACGACGAAAACCAAAGGTGTCAGCTCCAGATAGTCAAAATAGTACAGATAATGAACTGATGGTAGGTGATGGAACAACAACTCCAACAAGTGATATCAACTTCAAAATCGGTTTATTGGTCAATAACCATCATGGATTTATCGATGATACTGTATCATTTGCTGAAATGGAACAAACATGGGATATGGTATGGAATCATCTGACAACAATTTTTGCTTCATCATCATCAGAGACGGGACTTTATACCGATGATGCCTTGCCTTTGGAAATGGATCAGCTTCACCTCCATCAGCCACTACTCTCTGATGACGAAACTCCAAGCGAATCATCCGATCGAGGTATACAGATACGTAGTAGTCGTGGTACCACAGCAGCTGATGGGACTATCTCAGGCTTAGCTCATTCTACTACTGATGATAAGCCATCAAGACGTCGACGCTTTAGACGCAAAAAGGTAGTGAATTCTTCGACAAATACAACTGGTAAATCTGTTATGGATGGTACAAACACAAAGAAGAAACGATTACGACGATTTAGAAGACGACGACCCAAGGAACACATTGCTGAATTTAGATCTGATGTTGTTGGTATCATGTTTTTAGAAATCTGTCATGCCAATGATTTACCTCCAGAAAGAAATGGTAAAACAAACAAACAAAAAATCAAAACAAACAAAAAAAAAAAAGGTTGAACTTTTTTTTTTGACTGATCTATTTTTATTATTTATTATTAGTGACTCGAACAAGCTTTGATATGGATCCCTTTGTGATTGTGACATTTGGTGCATCTACCTTCCGAACAAGATCTATTAGACACAATTTGAATCCAGTGTGGAATGAAAAACTCTTTTTTCATGTTCGACATCATGAATCTAACTATAAACTCAAATTCGCACTTTATGACAGGGACAAATTCTCAGGCAATGACTTGGTAGCATCACAACAAGTACCTATTATTGATATTATTGAACAATCCAAAGAACGAAGACGTAATCAGCTCTCAGAATCTTACCAAGCTTTATCACCCGATGCTATTGATGTGGATATGGATCTCAATACGATCGCTTTGAAAATGTTTAAAGAAGATAAATGGCAAAACAAGCATCAACCAACTTTGACCTTACGTGCCAAATTCGTACCTTATGTGGAAATTCGAAAAATGTTTTGGTTGGCGTTGGCAAAAACATATGATATTGATGAAAATGGAACCATGAGCAAGCTGGAAGTACAGGCCATGTTGGAAAGTTTAGGCTCTACCATTACTGAAGCAACTCTAGATGACTTTTGGCGACAGCATGGCAAGGATCCTAACAATGAATCGGATGAAATCTCTATGGATGATCTTGCGCAAAGTTTGGAAGATTTTATGCTTTCATCGGTGACTGATGATGATGAAATCATTGTTGGTTCGGCTACTCCTCCATTGACTGATACTTTAGTTTCAAACACTGCCGATTCAAGATTACAAGAACAAGGTAAATATATATATATATATATATATATATGGGACGAAAAAAGAAGGGAGGGATCAATAGAGATAACTCAATACAATCCTTTTTTTTTAATTAATTATTATTATCATTGTTTTGGAATAGGTTCACCTACTTCTACTACAAATGCAATAAAAACAACGACAGTATCAGCGGAACCTGCAACAACAGCAACAACATCAACAATAACAACAAACAATACATTGTTTCCTTCTGATGATGACCCTTGCTTTGGTGATGAGCCTACTGCTTCGGATAGTGACTCGGATTCTGACGATCTCATATATACTGATGCTCTGGAATCTTCATTTTCTGATGGTGAGGAAGAAGAATCTGATATGGATCTTGATATGGAAGAAGACGATGATGATCTGGAAGCACTACAAGAAGCACAAGGTATTCAATTCATGGGATCATCATCACCTACTCGACTAGAAATATCTGATTCCTCTGGAAATACATCGGACGCTATGCAACCTTCATCTTTACCGACATCTCTCAACACCACTACTCAACCAATGCCAGTATACCCTCAACAAAAGGTTAAAACAACAATGGTTCATCAACAACATGAAAAAGTAATTCGATTAACCGAATGTCCTATTTGTCATCGACCTAATCTTTCACGACGTGCTCAAATGGACATTGTTACTCACGTTGCTACATGTGCGGCAAACGATTGGACAACAGTAGATCGGTTTTTAATGGGCAATTTTATCACGGAACAGTATGCTCAAAGAAAGTAAGTGTATTACAGCCAAATGGAGTCACATTATTTTAATGATAATTATTGACTAACTATCTTTCTTTTCTTTTCTTTTTTTTCTTTTTTCTTATTAATATTGATGGATAAATAGATGGTTTGTCAAATTGGTCAGCAAAGTTGGTTATGGAAAATATGCTCCTGGAAGGGTAAAGAAAGAAATTATCAAAAATTGATGTATTTTTTTTTCTCTCCTTTTTTTCTGTCTCTCATACACTCAAATCAAATACTCATTCATTTTATACTATATTAAATATACATAGAATAATGCAAATATTATTGTCCAAGATAGGAAAAGTGGTCAGTTGATTGAAGAACGAATGAGTGTTTATATTCGACTTGGCATGCGTCTGGTATACAAAGGCATGAAGACTGGAATTCAATCAAAAACAGGTAAGGATTGAAAAAAAAAAAAAAAAAGTTGATGATTCTCATATGATTTTTTTTTTTTTTTTGAAAAGCCAAACGAGTCTTAGCCAATATGACAGTTCGACAAGGAAAACGATTTGACTCCCCACAAAGTGCACGCGAAATCCCAGCATTTATCAAATTCCATCGTCTAGATATGTCAGAAGTGTTAGAACCATTGGACCATTTCAAAACATTCAATGAATTCTTTTATCGAAAACTGAAACCTGATGCTCGACCTTGTGAATATCCTGATGATCCCAAGGTAGTTGTGAGTCCGGCAGATTGTCGTATGATGGCATTCCAAACAATAGATCAAGCAACCAAGATATGGATCAAGGGATTGGACTTTACTGTTGCAAAACTATTGGATGATGTCAACTATGCTCGACATTTTGAAGGTGGTTCGTTGGCTATTTTTCGTTTAGCTCCTCAAGATTATCACCGGTAAGTTGAAAAAAAAAAGTTGAGTCTTGTATCCATTTATTTATTTATTTATTTGGAATAGATTCCATATTCCAGTCGATGGAGTGATTACAGAAACGAAACATTTGGAAGGTCAATATTATACGGTGAATCCTATGGCTATTCGGACCACATTGGATGTATATGGAGACAATGCAAGGTCGATTGTACGTATGGACACTGAACAATTTGGCAAGGTGGCAATTGTATGTATTGGGGCAATGATGGTTGGATCAATTATCTTGACGGCAGAAACGAATGTACCATTAAGACGTACTGATGAATTGGGTTATTTCGCCTTTGGTGGAAGCACTTTGGTGGTTATCTGGGAAAAAGACGCTATCCAGATGGATCAAGACTTGTTGGAGAATTCGGAAAAATCTTTGGAATCTTTGGTCAGAGTTGGTGAAAGAATAGCTTCTGCATCTACTATCCCTTCCCCTTCCATGGCTTCCTCGACTGCTTCTTCTCCATGATTCTTTCTATATATTTTCTAGATTAGTTTATTCTTTTTTTGTATAGATAGATATTGAATAAAGATTATATAATAAACTGTTCGGGATATCATTGATAATGATGGAATGTGTTGATGATGGTTGAACGATTGAATGATGCCAATGAAGATAACTTATGACTTTTTTTAAATATTCATCCATTTTCATGCTTTATCATTAGACTGACAAAAGCATGTATTACAGGATTTGACAAAGAGTGATGAGCAAACCACATCCCTTTTTCTGGTAATCAATATCTCTCAACAGACAGTATTAGTGTTAACAATATATTCCAAACCTTGAATCTATTCTGTCAGGCTAGTTGATGAACCTGTCAATTCAAACAATTAAAAATAAAAAAGCGTGATATACAGTGTTTTCAAGGTTTTTTGTCGTGTCACAAGAAAATGCTTTTCGTGATGTTATCAAATAAAATATCGTACTTTCCCAAAATGAATGGCGCATTACCACTTTTTCAGATATCGCTCCAGAGATGGCGGTAGAGAACATTAAAAACACACAACACATTGATGATAACTTGTTTATTAATAATAAAAGACACAAAAGAAAAGTAACATAAGCTTTTCATATTTTTAGCAGCTTTGGGTGTTGTCCATTCTTTTTTAGGTATCAATTGATTGATGATTCATGATTGAAGATTCATGATTGATGATATGTGATAACGGATGATTGTATATTGGATGACTGTATGATGGATGATATGTGATAATGGATGATTATATGTTGGATGATTGTACGATTGTATGATGGATGATGAAACATTGTCGTCAATCACTGTACAAATTTCTGCTAAAATACAAAATACTTCATTCTAGTTATCTTCTGACAGAATAACATTTTCTTTTTTTTCTTTTCTTTTTTTCTTTGAAAAATGTCAAAACACTCTTTTATCAGCCAACATGATAAATCAATATAATAATGATGATTCATCACATCAATGGAAATTAAAAAATGGCAATAACAAGTATGCTGTGCACAATCATACTATCATTTAAAATAGAACAACTAAAAAAAAAAAAAAGGAATCTAGTCATTAAACTAAAACACGGCAAAAACAAGTCAGTACCATGTATCACTTAGTACATAAATATTGTAATAATAGAATTTAATGTAGAACATCTATGTAATTAACTTTATTATAAAGAGAGAAATGTTGCTAATACTAAAAAAAAGAAAAAAAATGATGAAGTAGATACTAAAAATAATAAAGTAGATGATAAATTAAATACAATAGAAAGAGAGAAATGTTGTTAATACTAAAAAAAACGATGAAGTAGATACTAAAAATAATAAAGTAGATGATAAATTAGATACAATATAAAGAGAGAAATGTTGCTAATACTAAAAAAAAATGATGAAGTAGATACTAAAAATAATAAAGTAGATACTAAAAAAGACAAATGATAAATTAAATACAATAGAAAGAGAGAAATGTTGTTAATACTAAAAAAAAAATGATGATGAATTAGATACAATATAAAGATAGAAATGTTGCTAATATTTTTTAAAAAAAGATGATAAAACTTGCTTACATCTTGTCTCATCATTTTATCTACTAAAATTAGCTCATAATTGCAGGGGTGATTCATTTTCTTATAAAAGGATCTCTTTGATTTAACTTTTTTTTATTTCTTTACATTACATTCATCTTACGGGTCTGCCTTTTGGCTTACCTGCCTGCTTTTTGGTCTGCCTTCTTTTTTTTTTTTTTGCCTATCTTTTTATTTACAAGTATTCTTTAATGGTTTAATCACCGTTGTCTCAATCACTCTTTTTTTTTGTCTATCTTTTTATTTACAAGTTTTCTTTAATGGTTTAATCACCGTTGTCTCAATCACTCTTTTTTTTGTCTATCTTTTTATTTACAAGTTTTCTTTAATGGTTTAAACACTGTTGGTTCAATCAATTTAACAACTTAACAATTCAACAAATTCCGGGATGGTTATCGCCATCCTACTTTCGCTACGGCGATCACGTTACACTTAAATGGTAAGCTAGTGAAATATTTTTATCTGGATAAGTATTACTCATTTTTTATTTTTTTTTTTTTATATGTTAACTTGGTGAACTCAATTGGTGGATTTCTTTTTTTTTTTTTTTTGATTGCTCTTTTTTTTTTCATGATATCTATTTTCTTATATTCTCTATTTGATTATGCGACAATTATATTTTTTTTTCTGTCATTTATTTTCTATCCTTATTATATTTTATTTCCTATTTTGCGCCATCTTATTCTTTGAATTCCGTCATTTATTATTGAATAAAGTGTATGATTGGCTATCTTTTTTCGGTGGTCCTCTGGATTTTTTTTCCCTTCCGAACTTTTTTTTTTTTTTTTTTTGTAGAATTCTCTTTTCTTTTCTTTTCTTTTCTTTTTTTTTTTCCATCATCTCTTGCTTTCAAGTGGAATTGATTGACAGGATGGATGCGTTAGAATCTCAATGGACTCCGTATCAACTGATGTCACTTAGTGTGGGTGCTCTTATCAGTTGGTTGTTACTTTCTTACCTTAGCAAACCTGGTGTAAAGAAGTTCACGGTGCCTGTTCCCGAAGGTAAAGATACAAAAATAAGGTGATATAGTACCCTTTCTCAGAATGAACTAATTTTACCTTTTTTTTTTCTCCTGTAAATTTTGTATCCACGTAGCTGCTGATCCTAAATGGAAAGGACCTATACTAGAACATCCTGTTATACGCGTAAGTGTGTGTATATGAGAAAGAGAAAATAAAAGTACTTCATCACCTGATATTGTCTCATTATTATTACATGTTTTTTTATTCATAGGATCCTTCTGACCCTTCTACTGTTATTTGTTACGATCCTGCTACTGGTTATTTGATTGACAAGATCCCTGCACCTACAGTGGCAGATGTTCATGATGCTTTGGAAAGAACACGGGCAGCACAAGAAAAATGGTCCAAGACGACTTTTGATCAACGTCGAGCGGTTTTGAATAGTCTATTGACCTTTGTGTTGGATAATCAAGAAACAATTTGTAGAGTGGGTGCTCGTGATACTGGCAAAACTAGTATGTACAATTCAAACTACAAAAAAAAAAAAAAAAAAAAAGGTGTGTTACATAGTTGTACTAATCATTCCATTATTTTTATTTGGGGTGTGATCTGATTAGTGGTGGATGCTTCTTTAGGTGAAGTGATTACTACTTGTGCAAAACTTCGATGGACAATTGATAATGGTGAACAAACTTTGGCAGATGATTATAGAAGTCCTGGCATGATGATGATGTACAAACATGCCAAAATTGTGTATCAGCCTATGGGTGTTGTTGCTGCGTTGGTTAGTTGGAATTATCCGTAAGTAAAATAATAAAATAGAGTGATTTTGTGAGGGGAAATGTAAGAATGTGAACTAAAACCTTTTCATTTTATTTTACTTTTTTTTTTTTAAAAAAAAAAATAAAAATGATATTATTCTCTAGTTTCCATAATACCATTGGACCTGTTATTTCTGCATTAATGTCTGGGAATGGGATTATCGTCAAGTCTTCCGAATATGTGGCATGGTCTTCTCAATATTATTTATCTATTATTCGTAAATGCTTGGAAATCCATGGTCATGATCCTGAATTGGTTCAATTTTTGACTGGATTTGCAGATGTGGGTGAAGCTGTGGTAAAATCTGGTGTAGATCATGTTACTTTTATTGGTTCTCCAGCTGTGGGCAAAATTGTTCAACGAACTGCTTCTGATATCTTGGTACCTTGTGTTTTGGAACTGGGTGGCAAGGATTGTGCTATTGTTTTGAAAGATACTGATTTATCTCAAGCTATCCCGGTCTTAATGCGCGGTGTTTTCCAAAATTGTGGTCAAAACTGTGTAGGGATTGAACGTATCATTTTGGCTGAAGAGATCTATGATCAAGTAGTGAATGAAATGCAAACTCGTATTGGAAAACTTCGACAAGGTGCTGTAATGACTGATGGTGATGATGTTGATTGTGGTGCCATGACTATGGGTAATCAAGTAAGTCAAATAAAAAAAAAAGAGAGAGAGAGAATATCAAGCTGATGTATATAATTTTGACATAGTTTGAAAAGTTGGAAGGATTGGTGGAAGAAGCTGTATCTCGTGGTGCTCGATTATTATGTGGTGGCAAACGATATCAACATCCTATTCATACTCATGGTCAATACTTTGAACCTACATTACTAGTGGATGTGACGACGGATATGGCTATCGCTAATAATGAAACTTTTGCTCCCATTATGGTGGTGATGAAACATCAAGGACCTGAAGATGCTCTCCGTATTGCCAATGCATGTCCTTTTGGTCTTGGATCCTCAGTATTTTCTGGTGATAAGAGTGTGGCGGAAAAGCTTGCTCTCAAACTCAAAGTAGGCATGTCTAATGTGAATGATTTCGGTGTGAACTATTTATGTCAAAGTCTTCCATTTGGTGGTGTGGGTATCTCTGGTTATGGACGATTTGCTGGACCTGAAGGACTTCGAGGATTATGTGTTCCTAAAGCCGTCACTATTGATCGGATTCCTGGTGTCAAGACACCGATCCCTCCTATTTTGGATTATCCCGTCAAGAGTGCTTGGATTAGCTATGGCTTTGTACAAAACTTGATTCATACGATTTACAACCCGGATTTAGTGGCCAAGATCAAAGCAGTCGTTGGATTGGCCAAGGCTAATCTTCAATAGTTTCCAGTATTATTATTATTTATATGTGATCTAATAAAGAGACAAATCAACAAATCATCTATTTTTTTTTAATTGTGTTTGAAAGTGATGAATAATCCTATAAACATTATACTGCTTAGTTTTTTTTTTTTTTTTTTTCTAGGGACCAACGGGAAATTCAGTCGATCCATATGACAGGACTGGTACACCAATAAGTGATTGATTCTCCGCAAGCATGTGGTTTTCCTAAAGAAGAGTATCCTTCTTGAATTCAAGAACAAAAGAATAATCCTAATGAGTCATCAATAAAGAAGTGGGGGGGTAGATTGTGGAGTGAAAATGATCCATAGAAATATCGCGGGGAACATCTTTAAAAAAAAAAAAAAAGACAACAGAATGATAAAAAAAAAAAAAAAAGTTAAGGGATAATAGATCCATATTTGTACAACGTTGTTCAATGGGGGGAGCAAACGGAACATAAACTTTATCTTTGTTTAGATTTTGCCACCATTTCTTTTTTTATACACTGACTTTTTTTTTTTATGAAATATCTAAATTTGACTAAAAATCAAATGGCAAAAAAAAAATTTTTTTTAGACAAATCAAAAGAAAGAAAAAGATCAGATCATCATAGTTTCTTTTTTTTTTTTTTTTGCTCACTAATATCCTCAGAAGAATCAAAAAGAGATTCATTTTTTTCATTGAAAGACATAATGATTATCATCATAGTCATTTTTATCATAAGATCAATGTAACAACATTTGTTTAGGAAGGAACGGGAAAACATCATCCGTTCTAGATTGCTTTATATATTACAATACCCGACCATATAATCATCTGAATGACAAACTGAAACCGGCCCCAACCTATACCCCGTGGGACTAGATGAATCAATCACTGCATGTGTTGCTGACAAAAAAAAAAAAATTGTTTATTGTTGATCAAAATGGCAAGTGGTTTTATTTGTTTCTATTGATGTGAAGATAGTACAAACATAATAAGGGGAAGAAATACATATTAGATGATAACAAAAAAGGGAGGATGACAAAAAAAAAATGGATGGAGAAGTAAAAAATAAGTGGATATAAAATAGATCTAAAACAAAGCTAAACTAAAAAAGAATAATAATAGTAATAATAATAATAATAAAAATAATAAAAAAAAGAGTCATTCTAATCAATAGAATTCATCATCCTTTTTACTTGAAGTTGGGACCCTTCTTTTCTTCAGTATAGTTTTGCTTAATTTCAGCAGCAGCAGTATCATCACGAGGTTTTTCGGTATGAGGAGTAACACCAGAGAAGTTCGATGGCATACGACGAGAATCAGGTCGTTGACTGTAATGAGAGCGAGGACGTTGAGCAAGAGATTCAGCATCATGCTTAGAGTCGTACAGAGAAGTACCACCAATACCAGTAGCAGTGGATCGAGCATCTTCTTGAACTTCTTCGGTAGCAAACAAGACTTCGATTTCTTCCAAAGACTTACCCATGGTTTCAGGGTACCAGAGATAGATAGGGATCAAGAAGAGAGCATTAAGAATAGCAAACATGATGAAAGTCCAGAATTTAGCATATTGGAAGAGTACAGGAGTGATTTCAGCCACAACAAAGTTACCAAGCCAGTTGGCACCAGTACTCATAGAGTTACCCTTGGCACGCATACCAGTAGAGAAAATTTCTGAGGGATACAACCATGCAAGACCCAACCAGGCAGCACCAAACACAAAGTTGTAAAGGAATACACCAACGATGACACCAGGAGAAGCATTTGGATGACCGTTTTCAACACCCCATTGACAAATACCAACAAGAAGTAAAGTAACCATTTGGAAAAACAAACCCAAGTACATAAGCTTACGACGACCCCATCGTTCAATTGTATAGATAGGAGTAATAGCACCAATAGTATATACAATAGCATCCACACCAGCCATCATCATAGCCATACTTTGAGTAAAACCAGCATTCATAAACACATCAGTCAAATAGTAAGAGATAGCGTTGATACCACCGAATTGTTGAATAAGTTGACCACCCATACCAAGCAAAACTCTGTAACGATTGTTGAACTTGCCCTTGGTGAATAATTCCTTGTAACTTGAGATACCAGTACGACGTTCCAATTCAATACCGTCACGAATTTCTTCCCATTCAGCGATACAACGAGGATGAGTAGTGTCTTCATCAGTCCAGAGTCGAGCAAGAACAACCTTGGATTCTTCTTCATAACCGTGAGCTTGTAACCAACGAGGAGTTTCGGGAAGAATGAAAGAAGCAATACCAAGAATAATAGCAAATACCATTTGGAAAGCCAAAGGGAAACGCCATGCTACTGGACTGTCAACAAAGTAGAGACCGAATTCAATCCAATAAGCAATAGCAACACCAACAGCTAATAAACAAGCTTCGAAAGCGACGTGAGCACCTCGAGACTTGGGAGGAGACAATTCAGCCTAATTGATTGAAGTAAAAAAAAAAAAAAAAAAAGGAAAAGAAAAAAAGAATAAGTACCTGAGTTCAAATATTTAAGACAGATTGTTTAAACTTACTTGATAAACAGGAATAGTGGCAGTATTCATACCATTACCAACACCAGTAATGATACGAGCAGCAATCATCATACCAACGTTAACAGAAGCAGTTTGTAAAATAGCACCAATGATAAGAATAAGACAACCATAACGAATAGTTTTACGACGACCAAGCATATCACCAATTTTACCGGTAGACAAAGCACCTGCCATACAACCAATTTCATAAAGGGCAACAATAGCACCTACCAAAGCAGAATTAGGATAACCCATTGTTCTTTTGAAATCTTCTGTAGCAATCACACCAGACATAACACCCTATTAGATAATCATAACAAAAATAATGACAATGATAAGTTTCTAATAGATCAAAAACTAAATTAATAATAATATTCATTACTTACTTGATCATAACCAAAGAGTAAGAACCCGCAACCGGCAAGAGCGGTTGATGCTCTGAATAAAGCATTTCCTTTCAACACCATAGTGGCTTTGATTATAAAAAAAGGAAAAAAGAAGAAGAAAAAAAAATAAAAAAAAAAGTAAAGAAGAACAAGAAACCGGAAAAAAAGGGACCTCTCCATTTATATAGGCAAGCGGTAATTGAAATGTACAATTGCCCTCTTACCCCCCAAACTTTCTTTTTAGAGTTTTTGATAACTCTATGCGCTTTAACCAAAAAGAAAAAAAAAGGGGGGAATGAAGCCGGAGATTACAATCATAACGTCATGGCAAAATGTTGGAAATATCATGATTGGTTGGGATACACCTGAGTTATTCTTTTCCAATTTTTTACCAGAGAAACGATACAAATTCATTCGATAGCGGTTCTAAAAACCAATCAAAGTCAAAGTTTCATTTCCATTGTAGAAAATATATATAATAGGACACATATCCAATGGTAAGCTGTAATTAAAAAAAAAAAAAAGAAAAAAGAAAAACTACAGAAAAAAAAAAAAAAAAAAAAAAAGAAACAAATAAACTTTTACCATTGGATCAAATCTTCATCATTTTCATAAAAAGGGCAAATAGAAATGTGATTGTAGTTCAGCCAATGAACTTGATTCTTACTTGTCAAGCCAAATCAAAATAGGTAACATCAAAGATTATATATATATCTTTATAATGGGTGTGTGTGAAAGTATGAGTGTGTACAAAAAAGAATATCAAACTAAACAAGTCTGTTTTTTTTTCAACATCATGTCGAATCTCAGTACAATACGTTTCTACAGTATCGGTTATCCAATTTAGCGTCAAAAAAAAGGCATCAGCATCGGAGTTCTGGCGATCCTCCTGGGGGGAGACTATCCCATGATAGCATACTAACCTAATCCAGTGTTCATCTTCTGTTTTTCCAAGGATAGAACAAAAAAAAAAAAAAAAAAAAAAAAAGAAGAGATAATGAACATGATGATGTTGATAAGAGAATGCAGTTCATGTTTACATTCAAATATAAACATAAACTGAAATGGTTGACTATATTTATCTATGTACGCGTGTGACTTCTTTGATAATGAAAAAAAGGGGGAGTTATATGCATGATTCTTTACTTTTTTTTCTTTTTTTAAAAAAAGATGAGAGTGAGAAAGAATACTATTATAAAAAACAATGAGATTAAAAGGGTTTATTTATTTTAGCTAATCATCAACTTTTGCTGGGTCATCATCATCTTAACATATGGATCAAAAATCATGCGAGATGACTTTTTGGTCAAGCCAAAAAAAGTTGCTTAAATCCTTTGCCCATTTTTCAATGACCGACTAGTTTGGTTGTTCTTGGGCGCAGGATTTCATCCCTGTCGATTTCCCTTTCTCACTTGTTTTCGTTTTTTTTTTTCTCTTTTTCTTTTTCTTTTTTTTTTTTCTGCTTTCCTTGTTTATTGACTTGACAATAAATTAATAATCTTTACCATGGATAGACGAAGAAGAAAAACTTTACCTGTAGTCAAAACTGATCATGACATTGAACATCCTGAAGATGAACTTTATACCATGACAGAAGAACCTGAAGAAGAGTATCAACAACAACAACCATTACCTCCTCCTCCTCCTGCTGCTACTACTACTCCTCAAGGTCATTGGGTTAAACTAGCCGAAGATGATAATACTTCTTATTTATTTAGACATAGTATTGGACTGGAAGAAATCCCTGGTGTAGTGCAGACTTTAAAACCTCCGAGTAAGCTTTTCAAGATGAAAAAAAAAAAAAAAAAGATCGTATATTCATTTTTTTTTTCTCTTCAATTTAGAAAATGCCAAAGAACGACCTTTAGATAGTAAGTTGGCTATCATTATGGGTAAGATACACGTCATACAATTTTTTATATGATTTTATTTTGACTTTTTTTTTGTTTGTTTTGTAAATTTAGTCGGGTTACCTGCTCGAGGAAAAAGTTACATTGTCAAAAAACTTCGACGTTATCTTAATTGGCTTCAATATGAAACAAGGGTAAGTAAAAAATAAACGAATAAGATTTAACTGAAGGTATTGATTGCTTTTTTTTTTTTTTTTTGTTCAATTAGGTATTCAATGTGGGCAATACTCGACGAGACCAACGAACAGCAGATATGGATCAATCAGCCAGCTTTTTCGACCCAGATAATAAGGACATGAAACGAATGCGTGATGAATTGGCCATGAATGTATTGGAACAACTAATTGATTGGTTGAAAAGTGGTCATCGGTCTTCTGTAGCCATTCATGATGCAACAAATTCCACTATTGATCGCAGGTAAGAAATTATAATATGATATTTGATATGATTTGGCTGATGATTGATATATTTATAGAAAATTACTGATAGATCGACTGCGAAAAGAACCATCGATAAAGATTCTTTTGATGGAATCTGTTTGTACTGACCAAAAGGTAAATGAAGCCATTATCAATACCAATAATGTATTTATTTATCTATTTTGAAATCATATAGGTATTAGAAAGGAATTTTAGGCTCAAGTTATTAGGACCAGATTACAAGGATAAAGATCCATGCAAGGCATTAGCTGATTTCAGGTCTAGAGTGGCCAACTATGAACGTGCTTATGAACCATTAGGAGACTGGGAAGAAGAACGTGATCTACAATATTGCAAAATGATCAATGTTGGGAAAAAAGTGGTGGCTTACAATATCTCTGGTTATCTGGCAGGACAATGTATCTTCTATCTTATGAATTTCAACTTATCTGGTAAGATTACAGCATTGCATATATTGATCCTGTAATGATTCATGTTATTTTTAGAACGACAAATATTTGTGACAAGACATGGTCAAAGTACGGATAATTTAGAAGATCGAATTGGTGGCGATGCCTCGGTTAGTTTTATATGAAAAAAAAAAATAATGAAATACTAAAACTTTTCCCATTATGTAGTTGACACCTTTAGGAAGAAAATTCGGCAAGGCATTAGAAAAATTCATTGGAGAACAACGCAAATCATTTGCTATCGATTTGGCCAAAAGCAAATATGAACAGGAACAAAAATGGGAGTCGTATGGTTTGGATTCTTTGGACTTGACTGATGGGTCCAAAGATAAGGACAAGGAAACAACACATGATATTATCAACTCTCAAGCCGAAGCCATCTCATCCTCACAATTCACTATATGGACAAGTATGTTAAAACGTTCAACGGAAACAGCAGAGACTTTTAATGTAGAGGATTACGATATCAAGGTAAAAAAAAAGAAAAAGATGAACTGGGTTGTTACTAAATTCTTTTTTTTTTTTCTTTATAGCACATTCGATTCTTGAATGAAATCAATTCTGGGGTAATTTCAAAATACAAAAAAAAAAAAAGGAAGAAACGTCATCTCATCTATTACTACTGTATCTATAGGATCGCGAACGTATGACATATGAAGAAATCAAACAACAGTACCCTGATGAATTTAAAGCACGACAAGAAAACAAACTTTATTATCGATACCCTGGAATGGGAGGTGAATCCTATATTGGTAAGTATATTATTATTATTTATTATTATTATTATTATTATTATTATTTCTTGGTTTCAAATGTGTTTGTGCTTTTATAGATGTGATCCATAGACTTCAACCCTTGATTATTGAACTGGAAAGAATGACCCAATCATGTTTAATCATTACACATCGAGTGGTGCTACGTATTATCCTTGGATACCTTTTAGACTGGTCAAGAGAAGAAATGCCTCATATGTTGGTACCATTACATACGTAAGTTGAGATTTAGTACTATATTATATGAATACCTATTGAACAATTATATATATAGAGTATATGAACTTCGTCCTAAACCTTATGGATCTCAATTGAAGAAATGGAAATACGTAGAAGAAAAGGATACTTTTGAAGAGTTTTAGTTACATATAGTTATTTAGTTTAGTTCATTTTGTATTTTAATATATATTGTAACAATGCTTTGGCCTTTCCCCACAAAATCTGCGGTGTTTCAACACTGCGTTTTCTATATCTTTTCGAAATTCTTTTTTTTTTCCTTCTTTCTTTCCTTCTTTTTTTTTTTTTTTTCTTCGTCTTTGATTTAATAAATATAAAAACAAAGGTGAATTGATGTCTCGTTCATATGATTCTTCTTCCAAACATGCCCGTTTAACCAAATCGAAAGCAACCGAATCAACAACTGCTATCCAACCCTTGGAAATCACAACTACTGCTGTCGTCACTGGAAGTGGAGCTATGAAACCTTCTAGTCGTAGCTTAGAAGATAGAAAACCATCCTTGATGCCTTCAAGCCACTTTCAATCTATTATTGGAACTTCTTCTACTCCAGTTGATACCTTGACCGCCTCAACATCAAGTGATAATAATTACAATGGTAAAACCGACACCAGCAACACTATTAGCGATCTGCCAATCTCGAGTCATACAGATAACCAAGCTCAAACCAATACCCAATACCAACAACAGGAAAAACAGCACCATTACAAGCATGGTGAACAACAAAAAGGTGAACAATACCAACAACACCAAGAGGGACAGGATGAAGGACAACAAGAACAGAAAGAGCAAGAACAAGAACAGCACCAGCAACGACCACAATTACATTCACAACCAGAATCACTAGCAGAGTCACAAGCAGAACAACGACAACAACAACAACAAAATGAGTCACTTGATCTACATCGGAAGAAATCACAGCGCCATCATCACCACTTTATAAAATCGCCAGTATTCAATCAAGGAGATCTTTCTGCCAGTGTAGATACAGCAGCTTCTCCTCTTGTCTCTCCAATGGTCTCTGGTGCTTTATCTGCCACGGTGACGACTCTTGATACCGCATTTCCTGGTTTACCTCCTCCTATAGATGGTCCTTCTGAAGCAATGGCAGCTTTATATGATGTTGCCAACGGTACGTACAACAGCTCTTGATTTCATTTAACTAACTCAATTTTTTTCTTTGTATGGATGATACATATATTCTTTATATCTTTGTTTTAGAATCTGTCAAATCAAAACCAAATCGTAATACTACATCTGATACATTGGCTCAACTATTTGATTCCTCTTTCTTCTCTGCGATTCTTTTGGTACAATGGTCCAATGTGGTGGGCCCCAAAGTGAGTAAGGCATGGTCAGCGGAACCTATGGAACCTTCTTTATTGACAACAATTGCTCGACAAGTACTGAATGGTGAAATGGGAAGGACATTATCAGATATTGAACCCAAATGGTTGATCCTTCATCAGCAAGCTTTGGTGTGTACTGCATTTTTATTTCAAGATCCATCCTCCTTATCTCTCTGTAGTCTTGTCATGGTAGTACCTGTACGTTATCTGCGAAACTTTTCCAAGTACTTCAAGGTACTCTCCCAACGTGTTCCTCGTCAATTGATCGACGTTTTGGTCAGACTTCGGAAGCTATACCGCCGGCTCAATATTGTAAGAAAACTACTTTACTATAAATTTTGTCTTTTAACTATTATTCCTTCTTTTATATATATATAATAGTCATGGTCTATTACTCTTGATTATTTCGCCAATGTCCATCTCATTCCTTTTGTTCAATCTGTCATGGATTTGGAATCTGTCTCGTTACCCACTGAGTGGCTCAAGGTAAGATATATATATAGTCGATATTTATCGTTTTTTTTTTTTTTAACCTTTTGCCACTTACTTTTTATCAACTAGATCAGTCACACACTTTTGGCTAGAGACACGAAACCCATCATCAACGCTGATTTTCTTGCTCAGTAAGTTTTTTTTTTCTTTTGACCTTATAGGAGAAAGAGGGAAATTGATGTTTATTTATTTATTTATTTATTTTTTGTTAGAATCATTACTTCTCATTTACAAACTTATGGATCGACTTTATTAATCGGGAAAAACTTGACATTTATGAATACTGTGATCAACACCTTGGCATTGTTCTTATCCTCGGAAGAAAAAAGTCGCTCCAGTCATGCAAGAAAACATCACAAGTATATGCCTGACCTCTATTTACAAGGCCTTTTATTACAGGTAAATGATTCTGAAGTTCATCAATTTCTTTATCTTAACTTTTCCACTTGCTTATCAGGATATGGAAGATATGAAGATTCGATTGGAAACAGCGTTATTAAAGTCACCAGTACCTACGACACTTGTGGACCTCAACAAATTACAAGTCAAACAAACACTCCTTCAACCTGGATATCGTCAATTGATGTATCAATGCCATGATGTATTCTTAAATAGATTGGAGGATGATTTATATATGTATACGACCACTGGTGGAAACATCAAATCACATACTGAAAGTTCTCAGAAGTAAGTTCAGTAAAAAAAAAAAAAAAAAAAAAAAAAAAAAAAAAAAGAAAACAAATTATCTTACATTATGAATTTTATGATGATGATGATAGACGACCTTTAACGCTTCAACCAACAAAGGATATAGCACCCATGATACAATCATTATTGGATGAAACGTTCCAACTACCAACTAGGATGCGCGAAGCGTATATTCGACAATGGCGAAGGGGATTGATCAAACAAGCGACGGCACTGGTCAAGTTTATTGAAGATGAAACAAGTGCGATTCTAGCACAGTCATCCTCATCACCATCAACAGGCACCTCATCAGCAAATATGACTGAGTCTACGGTTTCAACATCATCATTAGTACCTTCATCGTCATCATCATCATCATCGACAGCAACTTCGGCTCCAGCAGCAGCAGCAACAACAACAACAACAACAACAACAACAACAGCAACAACAACTTCATCAGCAACTGCAACAGCGACTGCAACAGCAGCAACCGGATCACAAAGCAGCATTTCAATTCCAGTAGCAAGACAAGATGTTGTTCAAAGGATGATGGATGCTTTGGGTATCAATTCATGGCAAGATTTCTTGGTGATACTGACAACGGCAGATAAATTGCGACCTGGCATGGTGGGCTTTGTGGATTCATATTCAAATCGATTATAGTCATATCTTCGTTATCATAGTCTCTTCATACCATTTTACATATATATCATTCTTTATTTTCTTTTGTGTATTTTACTGTAAATAAAACATCAAACAAAATGAAAAGGTTGTTATTATTATTATTATTACTATTTGTTTATCAGCAGCAACGTCTCGTATTTAAACTTTGTTTTTATTTCTCGAATAGGGTTTGATCACAGAAAGTTTGTTTTCTCTCTGTATACACGTGCATTGATTACTTTAAATCTTGATCGTATCCTATAACATCACAAAGTATATATATATATATATATATATAATAATAATATCATTTGAGAATGAATATCTCTTCAGAAAGTGACATGATTAAAATAATATTCATCACATATCTATATATTACTATCATCTTGGTAAACTTATCTTCATAAAAAAAAAAAAAATCGGATAAAGAAGAAATATCGGGCTTTTGTTGTTTTTTTTCGGGGGAGAGGAGATGTTCCGTAAATAAGAATTGGGGGGACGAGGAAACCAAGGGACCCATTATCCTAATGTTGTACTTGCCTGATGTCAAAAAAGAAGAAAAAAAAAAGGTGTTACATAACCAAAAGTTAGTTCATTTTCTGCTTTCTGCAAAAAAAAAAAAAAAAAAAAAAAAAAGGAAATCCTTCTTGTAGTTCTAAAGCTTTTTTTTTCCTATGAAAGTTAACGAACTAAGATCCTTTTCTTTTTTCTATGATTACTTCTTTTTTAGGATATTTTTTTTTCCTATGATGAAGATCAGTGTACTTTCTCTTTCTTATTAGCCAAACTACATATGAATGTCACACTAATATACTGTCAAATCTGGATCAAATCACAAATTGTCGACCAATTAAAGCGACCATCATGAACAATAACATACTCATTCTAACATTGTTTGACTGCCAAAAACGGTAATCATAGTAACAATATATATATATATATATAAAAGGGGGGAGTGAAAGGAATACGTACGGCGGCACATCAAAACTAGTACGATTACCCAGGCAAAGTTGAATGGACCTCCGTTTGAATTCATGTCAGGGTTCATGTCAAGAATGATCGGTTTGTGATCCCATTACTTTGCGTATAAAATGTGGCCCCCCTTTCTTTTTTTTTTAACGAAAAAATCATCATCATCAACCGCCATCTTTTTTCTTTTTTTTCATCAGTGATAAGAGCTACAGTATTGGTTTACTTTTTTCTTGTTAGTCTGCATGAATATCATCGATGATACGGTATATAAATTTTCTGATAATCAATCCATTATTTAAAATGAACATATTGAATGAAAGTTGAAAAGAAAAATTGGCTTGAGTACAGAACCTTATATGGATGATGGACTTATTTGGTAAGCGAAGTCAACTATTTTACTTCTTTTTTTTTTTTCTTTCGCATGATATGAAATTTCTCTCTTGGTTCCCTTCTCTCTTTCTTTCTTTAAATATGTTTATGGATGTAATCATTAATGAATAATAGGTGAATCTTTTATATAGTTTCTAATAACATGAATTTAAAAATATAAAACATTGGAAGAAAAAATAACAGTACAGTTTTATCATCCATTACAAAAATACAGTATCATTTTGTGATATTATTCTTTACACTTTATTTAATAATAAATGATAGAAAAAATAAGATGTCGCAAAAATAGGAAATAAAATGAAGTAAGAATAGAACAAAAAAAAAAAAAAAAAGATAAAAGAGTTTTAGCATAATCCAAATTGAATACAAGAAAAAGAAAAAGAAAAAAAAAGGAGTGATAGTAGTTCCATTAAGTACAAAAGATTTATATATATTTAGTTATCATATCCTTTTTATATATATATACATTTATTCTAACTTACCTGTATTAAATACATCCTCCTAAGAGGTGATCATATATTTATATATGTTTGGTTACGGAGTGCGAATTGATTACTTTTTGGGTGTTAACAAATTTTTTTTTTTGATCAAAAGGGTAAAAGAATAGCAGCGGGCCTTTTTTTTTTTTTTTCTTCACTTTATTATTATTCTCTAGAAAACCCACGATCTTTGTATTTTATTTATTTTTATATATATATACATTACATATATATATTATATATATTTTGCATGGCATTCAACTTTTTATAGGTAATGGATTCAGACAGTGATTATTCAGATTGTCATTCCATATATTCAGACGAAGAAGAAGGTTTGGAGGATTATAAAACTGGTGGCTATCATAAAGTTAGTCTTGGTGACACTTTACAACAAGGACGATACAAGATTCAATTAAAATTAGGTTGGGGTCATTTCTCTACTGTTTGGTTAGCTTATGATACAAAGTAAAAAGAAAAAGATGAAACCAAAAAAGATTTTTTTACTTTTTTTAATTCACTTTTGTGCATTTATTGTTTTAGGTTGAAGTGTCATGTTGCAGTCAAAATTGTAAAGTCTTCAAGGCGATTTACACAAGGTGCCAAAGAAGAAATTGCTTTATTAGAAAAGATTCAGTCCACCAATCCTACATCAGCCGGATATCAACATATTGCACAACTTTTGGATCATTTTGAACACGAAGGTGACAATGGTATACATGTTTGTATGGTATTTGAAGTGCTTGGGGAAAGTCTTTTGTCTTTGATCAAGAGGTTCAAATATCGTGGTGTTCCTGCTCCCGTGGTAAAAAAGGTGGCGACTCAAGTACTTTTGGGATTGGATTATTTACATCGTGAATGCGGTATTATACACACTGATCTCAAACCTGAAAATGTTTTAGTTTATGTCCCCAACGTAGAAACTGTATTACAGGAACGCTTTCATATACAAGGAGATACTATTATCAATGGAAATCAAGAAATGGAACAGGATATTACTATACTGGATCAAGTGGATACAACTGGATTAACCAAGAATCAAAAGAAGAAATTAAAAAAAAGGATAAAGAAAAAGTTAAAAAGACAACAACAAGGATCACCAAGGTAATTAATAAAAAAAAAGAAAAAGAAAAAAGAAACTTATTAACTTTTTCTCTATTATAGAAAGGATAAGAATGGAATTATTACATCATCTGTACTTGATTTTACTGCTGGAGACTTGGATGTCAATGTATATGAAAATATTATTGTCAAGATTGCAGACCTCGGGAATGCTTGCTGGACCAAGGATGAATGTACACATTTGATACAAACTCGAGAATATCGAAGTCCAGAGGTGATTCTTGGTGCTAGATGGAATGAAAAAACTGATCTATGGAGTTTTGCTTGTATGGTATGTAATCTACTTTATAAAATGTATATAGATATATATATATATATTTTGATATATTAAAAGTCTCACAACTTTATATTTTAGATATTTGAATTATTAACAGGTGAATTCCTATTTGATCCAAGACCTTCTTCGAAATATTCCAAAGATGATGGTAAAAGTCATATATATAAATAAATAATAATAATAAATACTGATGATTATATAATTATTTTAATTAGACCATATTGCACAAATGATAGAATTGATGGGTAACAATTTACCAACAAGATTGACACAAGATAGTGAATTCTCTCACGAATTTTTTGATCGACATGGAAATATGAAACATATCAAGAAACTACGGTACCGGGATTTACATGACGTATTGGAAGAAACATATCGTGACGGCCACCAACTTGAACTCCTGACTGATTTCCTTACTCCAATGTTACAACTTGATGATGACAATAGAGCAGGTGCTGCTATTATTATGAATCACAAATGGTTACACGAATGATCTGCTTCCTCCTTGACTGGTCTGTCATTCTTTTAGTTTAGTCTTTGATACTCCGTCAGCTGAAATAAAAAAAAAAAGCTTTTTTTTTTTGATCTCTTTCCTTTTTTCCTTTTTTCCTTTCTTTCTACCTTTTTATATTATATTTATTCATATACCTATATATATATTATATTATATTATATTATATACTCTCTTTTTTTGTTTTTAAATGAAATCATGAAATTATCTCCTAAAGAATTACATTATTTGAAAAAAGAATTAATCAAACTTGAATTGGATCGTGAATGGTCTTATCTACAAAAAACATGCCCTGATCTGATCACCTTATTATCATCTACTTCTTTTTCTTCAACAACAACGACAACAACTGAAGATCTTCCATTTATTCGGTTCATTATGAATCAAATCATTCAACCTTTCCCTATGATTCAAGGCCAGACAGATCAACAAAGAAGTACGTTTTGGACTCAGTGGCAACTATTTTTGATAGAGTGGTACCAAAGACAACCTTGTACTTGGATGCCACCAACAACACAAGAAGCTTTGAAACGTCGTGCAATGATCACCAAACTGAAAAAAATGATGATACTTCTTTTGGACAAGTTGATTCAATGTGATATCAAAGAAGCCTCCTTTTCATCTTTTGTATTCAACCAACGACAATCATGTGATCCCAACAATGCAATCATGTATGATCCTGCCATCATTTATGGAATCAACATTATCTCAGTTCAATTATTCGATATACCAAAGCGACATTTTATTCATTCATCCACCAAAAAACACACTTACTTTATCATTGAAACTAAAAATAACAACAACACTTCTTATGTAGCACGTCGACATTCTGATTTTCGTCAACTCGCCAAACATCTTCAATCCCAATTCCCAGATCGTAATGATATTCCTAATGTGCCGACCAAAATACGCAACAACTATAACGGATTACCTTGGCGTGAAATGGATCGTCGAAGATTACGTGGTTTTTTATATCGTCTTGCATCTATCTCTACCTACCGACATTGTACACTTTTCCAAGAATTTCTTTCACCATCTGTTGGATTTACAAATGATACTGAACAAGGTATAATGGTGGCATTATTTAACCATCATCATCATCATTATTATCAGCAATTAGACCTGGAAGATGTAATACGACGACGAACATTAGATGCAGCTTTACTAAAGGACCAACAAGAATATCAACTTCATATCGACCGAACGTTATATACATTAGATCAAGAATTGACACAATTGAAATTACAACTTTTCCAACCTGGAGGATGCTCTCTTTTATTGGACATGATCAAAACTACTGAACATTGGCATGATTTACCTATCTTGATGAAAAAAGCTTTTGAATGGGGTCGACTCTGGTAAGGAATTCAATACGGATTTACATACATATATTTATTTATCCTTTTTCTTTTTTTTGTTAGTTTTGCATTTACATTGCATAAGCAATTGATAGTGTCTGATTTAGCCTTGGAAAATCGAAATCAACTGAAAAAGACTCATGCTTTTCTTCCTTATCGTACCATGGCCACTTTAATGAAAATATCCAATCCCATGCGCATGATGAAAACTATTTTGGACTTGTTTTTGGCAAAACCTTTTGGTGGTCGTAGTCTAATGCAAAGGTTAAAAAAAAAAAAAAGGTGCTTTTTTTATTTGGACCGACGTTACACTAACTAACTTTCTTTTTTTTTTTTTATTATTTCTACTTCTTCCAGGGCTATCCTTATCAATCTTCAAGAAGAAATGAATTCAATACAAACGGATATTGATGTATTGGAAAAAAAATTAGATCCGATGATTTGCAAAAAACTTTATAATGCTGTGATCACTGAACGTAGTGATGATGCTATGGATGCATTGGAAGGTATGATAAGAGAAATATAAAAAAAAAAAATAACAAGTATATACTAATGAACGATTCAATGTAGGACTCTCACATTCGGATGCATTGTTGTTCATCATGAAACACCCAGATATTGAACCATGTTTAACATCAAATCAAATTCAAACCATCAACTTTTCTCAAAGGGAAACAACAACCATATGTGATGAGGATAGATATCATTGGAAAGAAGTTCAGCGACTTTGGTATTTATACGGCAAACGACAAGATCAAACACAATGGATGGACCTTTTACTTCAACATTCGACAGGAACATTATTACAAACTGTAATGGGAATTCTCTACCAACCTCTAGCTCAAGTCTACCAGGCCGCTGATCTGAGTACCACATTGTATGAATTGAAATCTTTTATGGATGACCTCGTCAAGGTAGTGAATCAACTTGAACAATCCTCCTCCTCCTCTTCTTCTTCTATGGATAGCATTCAACCTTTTATTGATTTGATTGGACGTCATCAAACTTCATTTTATCGATTTGTACACAAAGTCCATACACAGACGGAATCTCGACTATTTACTGATTTGATAGAGTATGTGGATACATGGATGGGTCGTACATATCAATATGATAACAAACCCAAATGGAAAATGGATGCGTTTTGGAAAAAATTAGATTTGGATCATACACAAGAACAAGCTTTACGGAAAGAAATCGAGACGATTTGTGAATACTATTGTGCACGCAAGCTATATAGTGCGGAAAAACGACGACTCCGGGTACAAACAATGATAAAACAACAACAACAGGAAGTTTGGTCAGAAAACGATGATGATGATGACAATATAGACGATGATGATGACAATATAGATGATGATGATGATGATCATTGGATTTCTAATAATGGACAGTACTTGGATAACCAACCTATACCCCCCTCCCCGCCTTTAGTTAGTTCAACTAGTATGTTAGCTTACTTACTACCTACCTTTATTAATCAAGTCATGCCCCTTCTTTCATACGAATAAACAATTTACACTTTATTTTACTTGGACGATTTGATGATGGGATGATGCATGATACATGATGACGATTACAACTATGACGATGACTTCCATAACAATATAGACACTTCTCTCTACTGTAGAAGACATATTCCAAAAAAAAGAAAAAGAAAAATACATACTGGTTTGAACTATTATTTTATTTGTACTTGGATCAAAATGTTGCCACAAAGACATAAGAATACTAAAAATAAAAGGAAGAATAAGGGGAACTAACTAGAATAGGGGATATGTATATAGATTGAATAGATTTGGGATTTGAATTTAGTGGAAAAGAGAAGGATATTAAAAATAAAAAAAAGGGCTAACAAAAACTAAAGAAGATCACCAGGAGCACAGCAAACGATAAAAAAAAAAAAAAGAGAGAGAGGGAGAGAGTGAGGGAAAGAGTGATTACCAGTTTGAAGTGCCAGTCTTTTGAAGTTCTTTGAATAAATAATGATGTAAGACATCCCATCTTTTGATACAATCAGTCACCGAATGTCTTCCATCAAACAAGGTTTCCACTTCATCCCAAGATCCAACGCGCATGAATACATGTCGTAATAATCGTTTGTCATCCCGTTGTGTCCATACATTGAAACGACGGCGGTTTTGGCTTTGTCGATGTTGTTGCCGGTGTTGATGATATACTGGCGATAAAGCATTTGAGTTGATACTTGATGATGTTGATGAAAAGGATGATTTTGGTACGCTTGATGTTGATGATGAGGATTGGCTGAAGATCATAGATCCTTCTGCTTTTACTAATGGTGATGATGGTGGAGATGTATGCGGACAAGGTGTATTTGGACTTGATGTTGATATTTGGAATTGAGATTCATTCGAATGAGGCGGAGATGGAGGACGGATGATATTATTATTATTATTATTGTTGTTGTCGTTGTTGCTGCTGCCGTTATTATTGTTGTTGTTGTTTTCCGTATCGTCGTGCATCATGTTTTCTGATAAATCATCTTCTTGATCCATTTCCTGCTTACAACTTTGTTGCCATCGAAGTATACGCTAATGATGTTTTCATCCATCCAAAGAGAAAGTGAGTTAGTAAAGAGGAGTTTCAAGCTGATACTTAATCAAGGAGTATTATAATATGCAACTCTTACCTTTTCTTCATACTTTCGACAATTGGAAAGGACATTATCAATAGTAAAAGTAGCATCCAACCTATTCTTTCTTCGATGAAGCATCGAATTTTTCCATTCAATCTGGTCGTCATTTGGTTCTTCTTTCTATAGACAGAATTGATAAGATTAGAAATTAAAATTTCCATTGGTTGTTTTTCTTTATACCTTGATTTTCATATCAGTATTGTCGTCAGTGTCACTTTGTTCATCAGAACTACTTTGTGAATCTGTATCAGATACATCATTGGTATTGGTTCTTTTCATTCTTTTGTCTAAACATTCAAACAAAGTGTTAGTGAGTCACAAAAAAAGAAAAAAGAGTTTATATAAAATAATATGGTATAACTTTACCCATGGTTTGTTTTCTTCGATGTGGAAGACCTGTTTTTCGGAAAGTGGTAATAGTATATTGAATTCTTTGTCTTGATAAGCCTGTCATGGCGGCAATTCTACCTTCTGTAGCACCACCTAGATAAGAACCGACAATATACCATGAGAGTGCGTCCTGAGATAAGTTATTAGAAACGATAGGTATTGATGGTTTCATTCTTTACAGTGAAAAAAAAAAAAAGAAAAGAAAAAGAAAGAGAAAAGCGGAATAAAAGTATAAATATTTGCTCCAAAAAAAGAAGCTCGTGTTCATTCCATTGTTACGAAATTTGTACATCCGCTTCACTCTAAAAAGGTACATTATAATTTCATCTATTTAAACTAGTACAGTATCTTTTATTATTCTTGGATAAAATAATGAATAGTAGTAATAATAATATATCTATGCCAAGTTATCGTGTGAGATCGTTTCAGGTCCTTGGGGTCCAAACGCAGGTAATTTGAACGTCTAATTAAAATAATAAATTATTCACCATCATCATTAGTCTATTATTTCATTCCTTTTTTTTTTTTTTTTTTTTTTTTTTTTTTTTGTATTTTACCAATGGATCAAAATCAGCCATTGTTTTTAATACTTGAGTAGCACCATGAGTTTCACCATTTTCTGATAAATTTAAAATATTTTCATCAGGAATCCAAATCACCTAATAATAATAATAATAATAATAATAATAAAAAAGTATCAATTATTTCAAATCATAAATAAAAAAAAATAGATATATAACTTACATGCATTTTTGCATTTAAAGCAGCTTGAACACCATTAACAGCATCTTCAAATACAAGACATTGATCGGAAGGGGGATTTCCTAACCTTTGTTGAGCTAACAAAAAGAGATCAGGAGAAGGTTTACCATACTTAATACCATCATCATCACCACAAACAATAAAATCAAATAGAGAAAATAGGTCCTGATTTTGAGAAGTCTTAAGTTCAAATTTAGATCGAGTAGAAGAAGTGGCTACAGCAATAGGAATCTTGTGTTGATGCAAATGACGAATCAAACGTTCTACACCGTCTAGAGGTCGAACTAAAGGGAACTTTTCATGTTGAATTTTTGCTGTAATATCAAGGTATTCCTGTACAGTCATAGGTAATTTGTATGTTTCTACTACAATTCGTGCACTCTATAAATATAATTGAAAATAAGGATACTTTTTTTCTTATTTTAATATAATACTTACTTCATCTCCAGTACGACCCATAAGTTTGCTTTTGATATCCCAAGTAAATCTGGCTCCATTAGCGTATTTATCAAGGATTTCTTGAGTCACTTCGGTATACACACGTTCCGTATCTAACAATAATCCATCCTATATTCAATACAAGTAAACGTAAAAAAAAAAAAAGATTAGATACTATTTCTGCTTCTATAACTTTTTATTACCATGTCAAAAATACAGTGTGTGATAAGAGGTGTAGTCATGTTGAAGGAAATGAATGAACGGTGCAGCAGTTGAAGAGAAAAAAAAAAAAAAAAAAAAGAAAAGAAAAAGCGAATCAAAAGTCCCCCAAGTAATTTTATCGCTGCTTTAAACTTTTTTTTTTCCTTCGCTTTTTCTTTTCAACTTTTTTATTCTCTTTACGTATTATTTTTCTTTTTCTTTTCCTAAGCATCATGGGATCTTCACGAAAGCATCACCGTCAAGACGATTCAGGTGAACATGAAAGACGACATTCCAAAAGATCTAGAAACAAGGACCAAGATACCAATAGAACTCACTTGGACGAACAGCTCATTGGAACCATTCAACGTAAAAAATAATCATATTTTCTTATTGTTATAGTAATTCACACTTTTTTTTTCTTCCTTCTTTCTATGAAATATATTAGCCATTTCGACGGACGATTATTTTGAAAAGGCAAGTGAATTTAGGATTTGGTTAAAGGAAAAGAAACACAAATACTTCAATGAACTAGATGCAGATGACGCTCGTTATTATTTTAAAAAATTTGTGAAAGCTTGGAACAAGTACGAATTGGATGGTAAGAAATAAAATGATCAGATCAAAAAAATATAAAAATAAATAAATAATACGATTTAATATTTATATTATTTGAATAGAAAAATATTACAAAGGTATCAACTCTGCCCACGTCTCATCATCAGATACAACATCTTACAAATGGTCGTTTGCCAAGAATTTGAATACAGAAGAATTGGATTATATCAAGGATAAAGTGGATTCTATGACAGGACGAGGAGAAATTGAATCGAAAACATCATCGTCATCAGCAGTAACCACAGGAAAACGAAGAACCAATGTAGGACCTAGTTTACCACCCACATCTAGATCATCTAACCGAGAAGATCAAATTGGTAAAGTTTAAATACACATAAAACAAAATAAAATTAAAATGATATGATCTATATCAAATAATTAAATTATATATTTATATATCTATTAGAAAAAGAAGAACGATGGGAGAAGGAACGTCAACAACGCAAAGCAGAATATCAAGCACAAAAACGTCGAACAAATGATTACATCAATGAAACAGTACCAAAATTGGAAGGACGAGAAGCCAAATTAGCGGAAAAACGGGCCACCAACTCACTAAGACGACGTGAACGAAGTCCTGATGTAGAACTTAATGATAACGATATTTATGGTAGTGGTGGCGATGATTATAAATCAAGATTGGCAATAGAACGACGAAATCAAGAACGAAGACAAGCACGATTTGAAGCAAAAAAGGAAGAACGTATGGGACCCATCAAGGAAAAATTAGCAGACTACAAGGCAAAGGAAAACGAAACAATGGCAATGTTTAGGAAAATGGCTGAAGAACAGAAACGAAGGGGTGGTTTATGAAAATCTTTTCTTTTGTATATTTTTTTTTTTTTTTTTTTTTTTTTTTTGCATAGTATGTACTATAGGAAGCGGATTCTCAAAATAGTACTAATAAAAAAAACATCAAAAGTCTCAAATTTTTACTTCTTTTCTTCTTCTTTTTTTCTCTATCTTTTTTTTTTCTTTTTCTTTCATATATATATATATATATATATATATATATATATACCTGTTTTATTTTTTTTTTATTATCCTTTTTGATCATCGATTGAAATACCTCATATTATGACCATGTCTATGAAAGAATGGCAGCGTGAGCAGAAACTGGCAGTAGGTCGTCTGGTATTATCTGTATTGACTGAAAACGAAATTAAGCTTGGCACAGACTGGACTATCCCCTGGTGGCAAAAAGTAATTACCCGTATAGGATTGGGTACTAAAGATAATGGTAAAAAAAAAAAAAAAAAAAAATAACAATATTCACTCTTTACTGGAAGAAATTTTAACTCGACTTTTTATTTTATTGGGATAGTTAACTCGTTATCTTTACAAAAAGCTATTGAACTTGTCACGAAACCAACTGATATTCGTATTGATATTTTATTGGACCTTCTTTCGATTGCCCTGAATGTGGATCAAATCTCGACAGAGTAAAATGCTCAAGTTTTTTTTTTTGTTTTATATCACTTTTTTGAATTATTCACATTTCTTTATCTTTTTATCTCAATAGAAAAGATCAAGCACCAAACGACATAATCTATGATGCACGTGCGCGACAATTTTTATATTCATTGACACTAGAAATGGGTCTGCAAGGACTGGAATTAGCTGTTGTTGAGAGAAGTCTTGGGCAACAAATGTACTTCACTCTCCAAGAGAAAACAAAAGGTGGTGACTCACATAATGACGACAGGTTTTCACAAATGAACTCTTCAGCAAAGCTTGCTATGCATGAAAATAACAGTAAAAAGAAATTATATCGATGGTTGGCTACTGGTGCTGGTGTAGTTGGTGGTGGTGCTGTAATTGGTAAAGGAAGATCCAAAATGAAAACAGAATAGAATCTGTATACTCACATTTGATGATAATATATTTAGCTCTTACTGGAGGACTAGCCGCTCCCTTACTGGCACCTTTTCTGGTTGGTTTAACAGGTGCTACATTTTTTGCTACGGCTGGTGGTATCGCTTTGGTAACAAGCCTTTTTGGATTGACAGGTGGTGGATTGGCAGGGTTCAAAATGCATCGTCGTACACAAGGGCTGAATGAATTTGGATTCAAGCAAATCTTGGTGGATAAAGATATGCCCCCTATTCCAACACTGAAGGCAAAGAAGAGTAAAAAAAAAAAAAATTGAAAAAAAAAATGTCAACCTCTTTTTAATTGTTGAAAATAACATTTATTTACTTCTAGGCAACTATTTGCGTTACTGGATTTTTATTGGATGATGTCAACGAAACTGTGGTATGTTCCCAAAAAGAAAAAAAAAAAAAGGTAGTAATATTGACATTTCTCTTAACTTTTTTTTTTTTTGTATATATAGACTCCTTGGATCAATTCATTTGAAAACAATAGACAGAATATTGACACATTTTGCTTGGAATATGAAACAAAGGTTTTGAAAGAATTGGGTTATGCATTTCGGCGATTCCTTACCAATCAGGCTCTCAAATATGCTGGACTAGAAGTGGCAAAACAAACTGCTTTACAGGCCTTCTTTGCTGCTGTGGCTCTTCCTGCAACGTTACTCAAAGTTGCTGATATTATTGATGATCCCTGGCAAATTGCTGTTGATAGAAGTAGGAAGGCTGGAATAGGTAAAATTAAAAAAAAAAAAAAAAAAAGAAGAAAAGATACACATATTTGGAATACTATGGTATCTCATATACATACCGCACACGCACACACATATATATATAGTACTGGCTGATACATTGGAAGAAAGGGTACAAGGAAATCGACCATGTAATCTGGTAAGAAGAAAAAGAAGAAGATGATTATCGAATTTTTTTTCCTCGTTCTCATCTTAATTTTTGTATAAAGATTGGCTACAGTTGTGGAAGTCTAGTGATATGGCAATGCTTACAAGAATTACATCGACGTAAAATATACGGTGCTATTGATCATGTTGTACTATTAGGATCTCCTATTCCAAGTGATGATATTAATATGTGGAGAAATGCAATGAAGGTTGTATCTGGTCGATTTATCAATGGTTTTACAACTGAAGATTGGGTCTTAGGTATGATATGAAAGGAAATAAGAACTAAATTCTGATTGATCTTAATAATTACTTTTTTTTTTTTTGTATAGCCTATGTTTATCGTTTACACTCATTGGAAACAAAAGTGAGTGGATTGGCCCCTGTTCCTTTTGATGGTGTTGAAAATCTCTCTTTGGATTTAGAAGGTCATACTTCTTACCGGGATGCTATTCCTGAAATTATGTCAAGAATCAATTTAGAATAGATAGATAGAGATATATTGATGATAAATAAAAATTACTATTACACTTTATTTGATATTATATTCATAGCTCCTCTCACAAATATTAATCTTTTTTTAAAAAAAAAAAAAAAAGTTGGGACTAAAAATTCGAACAGCGTAGCATAAAAATTTTGAGCTGTGACCTTTTCCCTAAGCCAAAATTTTTTCCTTTTTTCCCCCCCCCTTTGAACTTTTTTTTTTAAAAATTGTTTAACAAGTAGTAGTTTCTGCAATGCCAAAAAACACGGAGGAGAATAGTCAAAAGTCGATAAAACGAACCAATGAATCTTCTATTGATTTGGAAAGCAAAGAAGCCAAGTTAGGTAAGTCATTAAAAAAGAAATGTTCATCAAATGGTCTAAAACACTGGAAAGGCGATCCTATTGACCATTTTTTTTTCTATTATCCTACTTAGCCAAAAAGCTGAAGAGCTTGGAATCAAGATCTCTCGCGTCTGTTACCATTCCATATACAAATGTACCCGGAAACAATAAAATCAATAGCAAGCAACCATTACCTTCACCTACTACGACAGTTGACACAGAGAAGGTCTCGGTGTGCCAAGATCAAGAAACATCAATCGAAACGAACAATATCACAACTGAAAAAACTACATTAATGGATACAGAGGCAGTAATGGACCATGATACTACGACTTTTATTAGCTCGACATCAACAACCAAAACAAAAACGATAGACAATCAACAATCCATTAGGACTATGGTATCGCAAGATCAAGAAACATCCAAAGAGACAACAGATACAGTGCCAACAATTGATGATAAGAAACCTGTTAGTGCCATGGCTGCTCGAAGGGCGAAGAAATTGGAACTAGAAGCTCGTTCAACGGCAGCAACATTGGACACCACTAGTACTACTGCATCTCCTCCATCTCCTACTCCTGCGACTACAACGACAAGTACCACAGATCCTTCACAACCAGAACGACCTCTTAGCGCCTTGGCGGCTCGACGTGCGAAAAAAGTGGCAACAGATGAAACAAGCATACCATCATCACCAGTTGACGATCTACCTAAATCAACGATTACTCCTGATCGAGTTATGAATAGCTTATTCAGGGAAACAGAAACTGAAGCAGAAAGCGATCTCGAATATTTAAGTGCTGAAGCAGATTTCGATATGGATGATGATGATGATGACGATCAAAAATTGGAAATAATGTCTACACCTCCCACTATCAGCGATAGCGAATACAAAGATACTAACGACAAGGAAGATATGACAAAAATAAAAGAAGCTAAACGACTTGCCAAATTGGAAGAAAAACTGTAAGTCAGTGATGGATGAATGAGGAAGCAAAAATCCAATCTTCAAGAGATCTAACATAATTTATTTATTTATTGCATAACTTAGTGCCAATATGTTGGTTGATCCATACTCTGTCTCCACTTTTGATTCTGAAAATGTGGTTGCTTTTGAACATAATGGGGAAACATGTTTTTGTATTGGCTTCAAAAAGAATCAGGTAATAATATATTATTATAATAATAATAATAAAATAATAAAAAAAAGGAGGACGGAATGATTGATATATTTGTATAGAATCTTGTTTTTCTTGGATACGCTTTAATTGGTACACTTTTTGGATCAATACAAATCAATGGAGCTACAATTTCTTCTAGTCTCGACCGACCACAAAGTTTGGATCGACCTTTGGACCCCTGGCGAAATGTCTCCTTCTTCCCTGTATTTTCACCCAAAAGCGCAGCTTTGATGACTGTACAATCTATTGCCTACGAAAGAACAATGGTTACTTCACCATCAACAACATTTGATTCAACATTTTCAGATCTTGGAAATATTTTGGAACCATTACGATCATCCTGGAACTCGTTTGAATCTGTGATTATCGTTAAAGATTTGTCTTGGTGTGGTATCGAAGATTTACAAAAGGTCTTGCCTTCTTTTAAAACTATTTTCAAATTTGATAATGCAACATACAGATTGAATGATGGTCCGTTCTATGAAGATATGCCAGGCTTTAATCCTGTAAGAAAAAATAAAAAAAGAAAAAAAAATTCAAGGCCAAAATAGTTCTAACTATCATGTATATCTATATATCTAGATCGTCAAGACAACACCTGCAGTGAAGGCATTGAAAATCCAAACTTCTTGGGATACAGCGGTAAATCGATTATTGGAAAATGAACAAGGTAAAATTTATAAAGTGAATGTGATTTATCAGGTATGTTACTAAACTTCTCTTCCATCTTTTTTTTTTTACGTTCAAATTTAGAACACGCTATGCCATCCATTTCCATGGTTTGTGGTACGAAAAATGTTGGTAAATCTACTTTTGGACGTTATTTGGTCAATCGACTTTTGAATGTGTAAGTTAAAAAACAAAAAAAAAAAAAGAGAGAGGTTGTGAAAATAATAGTTTCTAATTAAAAGAAAAATTATGTCTTCTTCTAGTCATCAACGGGTAGCTTACCTTGAAACTGATATTGGTCAAACTGAATTTACACCTTCTGGAATGGTATCATTTCATATTTTGGATACACCTCTACTTGGACCGCCATTTTCTCATCCTCATCTCAAATGCAAACGAAGCTTCTTTGTTGGATCTACGTCACCGAAGAATGATGCCACTTATTATCTAGATTGTATTCAACAGTTGGTACAAACATATCGACAAGAAAGTGAAGCATGGGTTGCTATTGCTGAACAAGATGGAGATAATAGTCAACGTCAACTATTACCACTGGTAGTAAATATTCATGGATATGTAAAAGGGGCTGGATATGACATGTTAATGACTATGATGAAGGACATTATGCCTACTCATGTCTTCGCGTTTGTTAACTCGCCTGGTGTTTCCAACAATACTTTCAATTTACCTCCCGATTTTACCAATAATGTAATGATGATGCAAGAATCTTTACCAAATCGACATTTAATTCACCTTCAAATCCCAACTAATCCTACATCGACTACAACCATTTCTGATCAAGGGCAATCACTATTACCAACCAGACCACAACAATGGAAAGCACCACCTACTACCTGGGCCGACAAATATCAACCAATAGATCATCGACAGTTTATGCTAATGTCTTATATGTACCATGATGCATACTCATTTTACACTCAAAATGAGAGCAAACGTAGCTGGTGGCACACATCGACAAGGTTAGTGGAACGTATTCCTTGGACAATTGATTGGCGAACACATTTGAAAGGTATCTGGGTATTATTCGATGATGTACCAGTTTCTCAATTATTATATGCTCTCAATGGTTCCTTGGTGGGTCTGATTGGGCAAGTGGCCAGTGATGAACAAGATGATGATATTATGATGGTCGATCAACCTTCAACTGTACAAGAATCACGAAAACAACAAATCAACAATGATGTTAATAGTAGTAATGATCAACTAGATGAAGTTACATCCTCAGCTACAGAACAAAAGAACCATACGGTAAGTGCAAAAAAAAAAAAAAAAAAGGTTACATTGATATAGCGATCAAACTCACACTTATCTATTTTATTAGATTCCACCAAAATACCATGCGGCATTGACAAGTGCACCACCAAATCCAGCAACAACAACATGTTATGGAGTTGGCCTCATTCGATCAATAGACCCAGAAAATCATCGATTTTATATCCTGACGCCTTTAAGTATCGAACGCTTACAGCTAGTGACTGGTCTCGTCAAGGGTGATTTGGAATTACCTCTCAATTGTATGTTTGACAAACGAGATGAATATGGTAATGGCGTTTGTGATTCTCCATGGCGACAAGTGCCTTACTTATCTCTCGACGTTGTAGAAACAGCAGGATCAGCGGCTCCTAGGTTAAGAAGGAATATCATGCGGAAATCTCAGCAAATGGAATAGATACATAGGAAAAACAAATAAAATCATTATTTTTGACATATACTATTTTTTTTTTTTTTGGGTTTATATGTGTGAGTTGTTGTGTCATTATTGGAATCATCATCATCATCATTATCTATATAGTAAGTAATCAACTTCCCATCCATCATCATCAACTATAAAGTTTTCGTTATAGATATGATACATCGTCTTTTTTTATTATTAAAATAAATCTAAAAAGGTATTCTAATGCCACCACATATCAATCTACATACACTATTCTAAGCTTGAATATCAGTAACAACGTAACTTTCACCTAGTTTCAGTACATTGAAATCATCGGTTGAATGTCCTCGTTTTTGCAGTGCCACTTGTAATCGTTGAGGAGGTTCTTGTACAGGTTCGTCAGTCAGAGCAAAAGTACCCCAATGAATGCCAATCTGTATAACAGAAAAAAAAAAAAAAGATAAGATATGATTAGATAATGATGATTCAAATATCTTTTTTTTTTCTTACTGAATGCTTGCTTTTGATATCTTCATGAACTCTGACAGCATCTTCAGGCGAGCAATGTACCGCTGACATAAACCAACGTGGACTGTAAGCTCCTATTGGAATCAAAGCAACATCAAAAGGACCAATTGTATTTCCAATTTCTATAATACAAAAAGTTAGTATTAAAAAAAAAAAAAAAAAAAAAAGGAACTTACCCTTAAAGGCTGGACAATGTGGTAAGGTTTCCAAGTAATCTTCATCATATTCTTTTTCAGGTCCAGCAGTCGCGGGGACGGTACGGTATCCAGTATCACTATGACAAAAAAAAAAAAAATACTTAGTTTGGAAAAAGTAATGACGACCGTTGGTTTCCTTTTTCGGAACGTACCCACCAAAAAAGATCTTCCCTTTTGTACTAGTACCATTATGAATCCCTTCTACACACCAAGAGGCCCATAGAGTTTTGTTTCGATCCCGAAGTCCTCTTCCAGAGAAGTGTTGACAAGGTGTACAAGTCAGTTTGAGTTGATTGTTGCTAGAAGACGATATATCAAGTGTTGATGATTCCCACCAATCAAGTTCTACCACTCGATCTTGTCCAGATGTTGTTTTTTGTTTGCTGATCTGTCCAAACCAATCTTTATTGCCTAGAGGAACGAAAAATCTTGTATCAGGATTTTTAGTAGTCAACGATTGTATTGTTCCCAAATCCAAATGATCATAACTATAAATACATAAAAAAGAAGAAAAGGTTAAAATTCCTTCAGCATAATAGAGAATAATATATACTTTACTGATTATGCGAAATCACAACAGCATCAATTTTTGGCAAGTCTTCAAAATCACATGGTGCTTCAGTGTATCGTTTTGGTCCAACGAATTGGACAGGTGAGCATCTAAAAAAGGAAAAAGATCGGTTAGAGTTTATCCGTGCGCCGCATTTTTTTTTTTTTGAATTGAATTACCTGCATGAGAAAATAGGATCAAACAAGACATTAAAACCATTCACTTGTACCAAAGCACAAGCACTGAATGAAAGGAAAGGATTAAAACATGATTTATATTATATTGATTCTATCACTGTTTACTCACTGTCCTAACCAAGTAACGACGATAGTTCCATTCTTGTCAGTCTTATTTGATCGTAAGAGATTCCAATCCATATTAACTTTTTCCGGAAGATGTTGAGGTTGAGCTTGCGTCACTACCTTGGACAAGTTCATACCACTTATGGCTTTGATAATGGATATTATACCGTGTTCAGTGAAAGAAGGCCAAGGATTATGAAATCCAGTTCCTTTGTGGTGGTCTTTGTTTTTGAGTCCAACAGACGAAGCTTCACTTGGCTGAGCCATAACAATATTAGAAGGTTGATGAATTGAATGTACAAATAAAAAGGCAGTAGTGGTAAAGGAACAAGTAGTAAGAATAGCTTTTCTATGCTTACTGAAAAGGTGTAGCATTGAATTGAGGGAAGGAAAAAAAAAAAAAAAAAAAAAAGAAAGAAAAAAGAAAAAAGAGAAGAAAAAAGGAAATCTATCCACTTTTAAAGCTTTTGACAGGGCGCATACGGTGTTTAAATAACGTAGAGCAAAACCCCATCTCGATAAAATTCGATTCTTTTTTTCTTCCTACTAGACCATAGTTATTGACCCTTTTTTCGCGATTTTTTTTGTACCATTTCTTTTTTTACTTTCATTATTTTACATCTTTTACGTCTCTTCTTATCTATCCTATTAATATAATTGGTTCTTCTCTTTCTTCAACCACCTTTTTTTTTTTTGGTCTTTAATTTATTTGATCAACGGTGTAGTAACGACAACTACGTTCCTTTCTCTCCCTTTGATCCTTTGGGTTATCTGTTTTTTTGTTATTTGGCATTTATGGATTTCAAAATATTATCAAAGTATGATGATTTATTATCTTCAATACTTTTGGATGATCAATACCTTTGGTTCGATACTATCAAAATGAATCAAGATCTTGTGAAAGCAGATATATCAACAGACATCATTAGACAGATCATTTATGACAATGTTATTATCAATAGCGATGTTGTTCTTGCAGCCAAGCAACTATTAAGGTAAGTATATACACATAGTGAAAAAAATAGAAAAAGTAGCTGATTAGAAAAAAAAAAATAAAAAAAGTAGCTGATTAGAAAAGTATTAAACTCAAAGTCTTCTCTTATAGTCTTCCCTTCTTTGACTTATATTTGGAAAGCAAGGATGAGAAAGAACGATACGAATTTACTGCTCATATGAAACGATATCTTTTGATGTAAGCTTCATGAAAAGATGATATAATATATAGTAATGCTTTTTATCTTATTTCTTCTTTTTCTAAATGAAAAGGTATTTGCCCAATGCCGGATTTGAAATCAGTGATACTCTTCGATACAATGGCGTAGAAGCTTGTGTTATCTCTACGAAAGTATGGGTAGTGGGTGATGAAATCAGGAATTGTGTTGGGATGATTGCTTGTTTGAACCCTGAAGATGATGCTGAATTGAAAAAATCAAAAAGGGATTTTAGTGTCATGTACTCTCAACGTCGTGATTCAAACTGTCTCTTTCTAGGTCCTGCAAGGTTTATGAATGTAAGTTCTCTTTATCTATCCTTATTTATACTAACTTGATTTCTTCTATTAATATTATAATTATTATTAGCATGATTGTGGATCGAATTGCAAGGTAGAGTTTTGTTAATATTGATGAAAATGAAAATTGATTTACCTTTTCTAATCTTGGTATTATTTATAGTTCATTAATCTTGGTCCTAGCTCTATTACTTTTAAGGTGGTCAAAAATATAGATGTGAATGATGAACTGACGGTATTTTATGGAGCTCATTACTTTGGCGTCAATAATTGCGAATGCCGATGTTTGACTTGCGAAAGGTAATAAAAATACTTTATCACCATGTTAGTGTTCTTACGAACTTATTTTATACATTCTTATGAACTAGAAACGGACAAGGATACTTCTCAAAGCTTGAACAAGAAAATGATCATGTTGAAACCACACAACAAGACCATTCTCAACGACGTAGTGGCAGAAAGAAAAAGAAGACATCATATGAAGGTAAAAGAATAGAAAGTCGAAAATAGTAATTTGTAAAAAAATCTTCTCATTTCCTTTTTTTTTTTTTTTTACCTTATTATTATTAGAGTACATTATACATCAAGGTGATCGACGAGTCAAACTGTCTACAGGTGATGATCACAAAGTTTTGCCCAAGAAGAAAAAACAGACAAACAAACGCTTATTAGAACACATGGAAGAACGTATGACTTTGACAAAACCAGATAATAACATGATATTCAAAAACGGTACAATCGCTGGCGACTCACCTAGGACTATCTCATATTCAACACCTGCAACTATTTCATCTTCACCAAGATCTCTTGATGATTCCACTACCACTTCTCAATCTTCTATTTATACTGATTCGTCTCTTATCAACAAGAACCATCCAAGGGAAATTGGAGAAATATTGGACTATTCAATGATGATGAACGAAACATCAATAGGATCTACTATGGGTGAATTTTTAAAAAATCAAATGGTGGCAACGACCGATCCAACAGAAACGAATAAAAATGAATTTTTGCAAGCAATCAATAATGACGACAATAACAAGGTAGTGCATGATGCCAAAGGAGCCAATTATTTTTCAGCAATCAACAACAACAGCAACAACAACAACAACAAAAATAACGATACTCGTATAAGAAACAAAGGGATTTTGGAGGAATATCAAAAACGCGCTGGCATTGATCATCTTTTAGAAGCAGCCATTACCATTGACAACAACAATCACATAGAAAAAACACAAATGACTAACATCAATATCAAAGTAGAAATAGCATCACCATCGTCAACAACTACGAACACTGTTATGGATAACAAGTTTTCAAACAACCATCATGTTGTAAACAGAATGAATGATGGTACAATTTCGACTAGTTACTCCCACCATGACGAAATGCAACAACAACAACAAGAACAACAGCAACAGCGACAAAGTCAAGAATTACCAGATTGGTTACAGGCAATGGATGCGATTTTGGATGATGACTGTGATTCAGATGTTTCTTCTATGATGACTGCGGATTTGCAGGAATTGGAGGACTTGACTACAGACTACTGTATTGGGTGTGGACGTACTTTGTTTCCAGAAGCAGAACAGCAGTATACAAGGACAAGCGATCTGGAAATATCACATCAATATCAAGAACTACGGCGGTACTGCTATAATAGATGTTGGCGATGCAGTCGGCATTTTCTGATTTATCACCTTGAATGGCCTATACGACGACTTAAGAAAGGGAAGAAATATGTACCAACAACTTGCCTATAGGAACAAAGCTCTCTCTCTCTTTTTTTTTTTTTTTTTTTTTTTTTTTTTTTTTGATGGACAATTGGATAAATCAATGCTATTTAATGATCTTTTTCCTATATATCTTTTTGTATTTTAGTACTATACCTTTTATTCATTTTTTTTATTTGTATTTTCTCTTCTTCATTTACTCTTGATCCAATATTATTATTAACATTTCTTAATAAACTCTCTGGCTCTTCATGGGAGTCCTTTTTTTTTTTTTTTTTTTTTTTTTTTTTTTTTTTTGGAGGGCCTAATCGTGTAATCATCCATATCACCCCTATCTCGACTATCAACCAATCACATATTCTATCATCCTTCTTTATTGCACGAGTTCCCAATACTACGATTTTGAAACATCATTTCTAGCAGAAGATAACCTCCATTTGACAAAAAAAAAAGATTTGTAGTTTATTCATGCCCAATTCATCAAAAACAATTGATACAAAAAAAAAAGTGATAATGAAATACAAATAATAAAATGGATAATACAAAATACTAAAACTATACAATAAACTAGACTAGACTATGAAGATAATAATGATGTTTGGTGAATGATAATGATATATGTATAAATGAATTCAGTAACGTTTGGCTTTGACTTTCTTGTAATGTGATTTACCACCTGAAGTATGACGGTCCTGAGCTTCCACATATTTTCGCTTGTAATAATCTTGTTGTTCCATATCAGCCATCAATTCATCAGCTATAGTTTGTCTTCGATCCTTTCGATTGATGCGTGATGAGAAGAATTCGGTAGCACCCTCGATAATAGTACCCATTTGGAAATATTTCGAATTGAGTTCGTTCTTACCCATCTTTTTATAATGTCTTTTTCGATCCAGAACATGTCTCATCTTGAGTATTTGTAAATCACGCTTGATTTCAGGTGTCATATCTACCAGGGGCATATCGAACCAACCTTTTCCAGCCGTTTTTTCTCGTTCCTAATAATAATGATAAGTTAATTAGGTTTGATCATATCCTCCACCATTTTTTTTTATACCTGTTGTCGTTCCTTTCTGGTTAATGATTTGGTATCAACATTGTTCTTCTTCAATGCAATCAATGTTTTGTTATTGTTTCGCACCTGGTCTGCTGCTTCTTCAGAATCCACTAAAGCCACTACTTGTGTTGATAGTTTTGCAACACCAGCTTCTTCTCCAATATAAAGTTCTTGTTCTACTGACACACCAGGTTGAAGTTTTGGGAGTCTAGCAATGACAAACGAAAAAAAAAAGCAATGTTAGTAAATGATGTCCTTCGGATTGATTGATTATATTATCATTTACTTGATATCAGTTTTATCCATATCGTCCTTACTATATAGAAGAAAAAAAAAAGAGTTAAGTTTTTTGTTTCCAATAACATATAAATGTATTCTTTTTTTTTTTTTTTGCCATCCTTACTCAAGTTTGATCATATTATCTTGTTGTACCCGTAAAGCTGCCTGTGCTTTTTCCAATAGATCATCTAGATCATCGTTGTTATCTTCCTCATCTTGGTCGTCACTATCATCATTGCTGCTACTATCATCACTATCATCACTATCGTCATTATCGTCACTTTCTTGTTCGACTTGATCTTCATCATCCTCTTTCTCGCTGCTACTGTCGCTTTCAAAGTGAGGTACGACTACTGGTGAGTTTTTCCTTTTCGTTGATGCTACAGAATTAGGTTTTTTATTTTTGATCACATTTAGATCGGTAGACATTTCAGTTGTTATTCCATTCAGGTTTGCCGATCGACGAGTAGTCACCATGTCGATATATAAGTAAATGAAAAATAATAAATAATAATAATAATAAAAATATGGATAAAAAAAAGAAGAGAAATTTTCAGTAATAAGAAAAAAAAAAAAAAGTCATGGTGGATGTTTAAATTACAAAATTCATTGATTTTGATTGGCTAGGCTAACAACATATTCTAGTTGATTTTTTTTTTACTTTTTTCTCTCCCCCTTTTTAATTTGTTTGTCATGTTTGCCTCCAATATACTTCTTACCTTTTATCAATCATGTGTATTCAAGAAGTAGAAAGGTAATTCCAATAAAACATAAAACAATGTATTAAACAATGATATTTATCTATTTTATGATTATTCTTTTTGTTTAGAGCATCTTAAACGCCATTGAGACCTTACAATGTTCAAGGATAACACTGTGAGAAAAGTTGTATTCGGTGATCCTGGTAGTATAAAATGGTGAAAAGTATTAATGTAAGTTATGTTTAAGGGTATTTTGAAATAAATAGGATGCTCATTATTTTTCATATTCTTTTATCTTTCTTTGTTTAAGGATTCAAGGTAGTGAACAGCAACTCGATCGTCTTTCACCTTTTGTACGGACGATATACAGACATCTATCATCGGTAGGAAAAGCTTGGATGGATTCAAAGAAAAGATGGACAATGACAATTATAGAAACGAGTCGCTTATTTGGATATGACAAGTGATAATAATAATAAACGACATTATCTTATCTTCTATTATGCTTGATCCTGTTTTGAATCGTTATTATCATATTCACGTGGCAGTTTATTTATTTTATTTTTTTTTTTTTTACTCTCTTACCATATTCATCATCATCATCGTCTTTTTTTTTTATTGTCGTTTGTATTACACATTTTATTCATTATTCTATTTTCATTGTTAACCACTATCTTTTACCATTATTATTTTGGAATTCTTTATATATTATTATTGTACATACAAAAAATAAAACATGGTTCATTCATTGAAATGGTTTATTAAATAATAATAATAATGATCAATGTTATACATTGTTGTCAGGCGTAGATATATCTATATTTAGATTAAGCATTGTCATTTATTTCGTATACAGCATCATTAGTACAACAATAAAAAAAAAGAGAGAGAGAGAGAAAGAAGGAGAACGAGAAACAAAGGAAGTTTTTATTACAAGAAAAAGAAAAAAAAAGATATAGTAAGGGTAAAGAAGATGTATATGTAAAAGAAAATATTATAAAAGGTAAATGAGAAAGATAAAGAATATAAAACTAGACTAAAAAGGGACATAATGATGAAGAAAGGAGACTACAGAATGGTACAACATTTACATCGAGAAATGGATTCAAGACTTTTCCTATCTAAATCAAATAAATAAATCAGGATTAGTATCAAAAAAAAAAATCAATCGTCATATTAATCTACTTTACCATCGTCAGTTTTCTTTATATATTGTCTTATCACCAAATGAACAATAGTAGCATGTCCACCAAGTAAACCATTATCTAAAATAAAGAGAAAGATGATGATTACTACTAATTATTATTTGTTTGTTTGTTTGTTTTTTCATATTTTTGTCCATTCTATTTTCTATAAATATACCTTTTAACTTTGAGTGATTATCCAAAAACTTGCCAAGGTATACAAATTCAATATTTTTGACGGAAGGAGGTAATTGCTCGGCCCAATCTATAACACTTATAGAGTCAATTTGTATGGAGAGGTATTTGGTTGATACTAATATATAAATATATTCATTTCTGTTTACCTTGAGGCCAATGATCCAATATGTATGACTTGACGGTATCAACAGTAGCGGAAGGATCAAAGTCAAATACATTGCGTTTCCCCGATACTAGAAGCATAGTTAGACGAGTCTTGTCGGAAGGGATATGTTCATCTGTAGATAAGGAAGTTGAATCGTCAGTCGAAGAACTATGGGGTATATTACTATCCATGGGTTCCCTTTCAGCCATGGGTAAAGGTTCAGTCGATGACATTATATATATTGTTGTTGTTTTTGTTTTTGTTGTTGTTGTTGTTGTTGTTGTTGTTGTTGTTGTTGTCGTGGTTGTTTTTTTTTATGTCGTCTATAAGATGTATATTAAACGTATATATGTATAAGTATATATATATATATATGTAGATATATATATATATAATGATTGAGAGAAGGAAAAAGAATGTACAAAGCTAAGAACAAGAAAAAAAAATAAAAGAAAAGAAAAGGAAAGGAAATAAAAAAAAAAAAAAAAAAAAAGAAAAAGAACCTAAGAGAGATATGTTGTTTTTGTATAGTGTGTGTGTCCACCACTTTCTACCTACTTGTCTCTTTTCGGGGGTTAAATCATTTGAGCTGCTAGAGTTTCCTTATTTGAGGAACTGGGGCCCGATCAATGCAACAATCAATACATAAGGTTGTGTTTGCTGAAACGAAAAACACTTAGGCAGAATGAAACCTATATTACTGCCAATCGGCTATTAAACGTATCCAATGATTTTATCATATAGAACAATAAGAAAAAAAAAAAAAACGAATGACTTTTTTTTATTTTTTTTATTTTTTTTTTTTATTTGATTTCTTTTTTTTTTTTACTTTTTTTTTTTTCTTCTTTCTTCTCAATAATGTCAACAACAAAAGATAATAGTGATCACTTAACTCATCCTCAAATGTACCGACAATCCATCAATCATTCACAATCATCAATTACAAAAAATCAATCAAAGAAAGAACAAATAATTTTTGATTGGAATAAAATGAATCAACAACAAGAACAAGGACAACAAGATTTATGGGATTTATATCCTCAATTGATTCGTGATATAGAAAACAAAGGTACACGTGAACAAGTAAAACATTTACATGATTTGGAAAACTCTCCTTCTAAACAACGATAGATTACCCTCTCTCTCTCCTTTATCACTTTTTCAACATTTTTCAATAAACATATATCTGTATATATGTATAATATGATATGATGATTTTTTGTTTTCATTTGTTTGAGAAGATATATAGGAGAAAAATTTGATAGAAAAATAAACCCTAAAAACGAGGGAGATTTTTTTTTTACCTTCTACTCCTTTTCTTTTAACCATGTTGTTGCCTCGTTTGGTCCCTTTCAATCTCCGTCGCATGAGTTAAAAGAGAAAGTTTTCTATTTTTCTCCTTTTCTTTCCTTTATTCCCCTTTTCTCACTCCTCATCAAGGAGAAAAATCATCCTTCAATTTTTTTTTTTTTTTTTTTTACCATTATATTCATTCATCTCCTTCCTTCTTACTGATATGATTACTCCCTTTTTTTTTCTACTAGAAAAAAACTTCTCCCCTTTTATTTTTACTATGTACCATCATTATACATGATTTTTTTTTTTTGATATATGTTGATTATACATACCAATGCGAATTATATCATACTCAACTCCTATATTATTCAATCTACGAAAAGCATGATCTATTCGGTATGGTAAGTTTAATCACTCTTTTTTTTTCAGTACAAAAATACAACAAAATCGAAAAATTCAATTTCTTTTTTCTCTTCCCATTTTTTACTTATACTTTTTTTTTTTAATATATTAGTAATCATGATACGTTCATCCATCATCACTGTATTACTTTTATCAACCTGCTTTCATTCTTTTTCTAGTATCGTTTCTGGTTTTGAAGCTGAAGATATTACTGCTGGGGAAACTGCTTTTACAAATGCGATCAGTGCCAATGGAGGTGTTCTCTCTTCTACTGGTACAGAAGAATTAGTCTCTGGTTTAGTTCCGGATGCTCAAAAGCTTGTAGATCAACTGTCAAGACGTGATGATATTGAAGAAACTGCAACAGAAGGTACAGGTGTCGCTACTTATTCTGATGAACCTTCGGGTAACGGTGGTGCCTTGAGTACAGTTACAGGAATCACCAATGCTGTTCTTCGCAAACGTCTTCTTGGTGGTTTAGGATTGGATGGATCTCAAGGCTCACAAGAACAAGGTACTGGTACTAGTTTAACCTCAGGATCAGGTGGATCTACAGAATCTGGAGGAGAAGAAACGGCGAAAGGTTTACTCAGTGAAGTAGGCTTACGTCGACGTGGTGGTTTAACAGGTGGTCTTACAGGTGGTTTACTTGGAGGTGGTAATAAAGCAACTACGAGCGATGTATCTTCTGAAGAACAAGGTGGCTCCCAGGTCTCCCTTATTGATCTTGGTCGTCGTGATGGATCAAAATTTGGTGCTGGTATTACTAGGGGTTCTCTTTTGGCCCTTCGTCGTCGTCTCCTTGAAGAATCAAACGCTAACACTGCAAATCAAGATGATGGTGGCATTGTTGACAACATTGTTAAAACAGTGGGTTTGGGTACCTCTCCTGGTGGTGTCTTACGACGTGATGTCAATACTGATGGTGATCAAAACCATAAAAGTGACAAGAAAGGCAACGAAAAAAGATCAAAGTATTCCCTGAATGATTCAATTGACAATCAAGATGGTGATGATAGAAAAGCTCGTGTGGAACGTCGATCAATGAACTCTATTCCCTTGGCATCTGGTGCCGATCGTATTGCTCGTGCTCGTCAAGGAGTAGTGGTGGACCCTGAACAAGACAAATTAGCCAAACAAAAGAGAGGAAGCCTTCTTCGTCGTAGTGGACATTATGCTCGGGATTATGCTGATGATAAACGACAAGCTATGGAAGATCGACGACAAGCTATGGAAGATTATCGAAAAGACCAAATGGAAGAAAGAAAAAAACTCGAAGAATTAAGACAGGATCAACTTGAAGAACAGAGAAAACTCGACGAAGAACGAGCAGAAGCTGGTCTATTAGGAAATACTGATATGCAAGAAAACACTGGATTACAAGGAAATACTGGATCACAAGGAAATGCCGGATTACAAGGAAATGTTGGATCACAAGGGAACGCTGGATTACAAGGGAACACTGGATCACAAGGAAGCAATGGCTCAACTCGTGTCTCTTTGATTAGTCTTCGTCGTCGATTACTCAATGGTGTGGTGGAAAAAGTGACAGGTGCTGTGGGACTTGATGATAACGTAAAACAAAGCCAGACTGTGGGTGTCGCCCCCTGAAGCCAACCTTTAGTGGAAATATTAACATAATAATATAGTAATAGTAGTAGTAGTGATAGGTTCTATATATATTTTTTATTATTATTATTATCATACCTTTTTTATTAATATTATTATTATTATTAGTATTTATTTACACTATAATTGAAATAAAGAAAAAATTGATTTATCTTTTTTTTTTTTTATGACATTTTATTTTATTTAACAAAAGAAATCTAAGGATAGGTAAAGTAAGGCGGGGTTTGATCTATACCAACGAGGTAAGTGGCCATTTTTATCCATTATCTTATGGAATTTATATTTAGGCCGTTTGTGTTCTTCTCATCATGGCATATTGACTTGAACTAAAAGATATTTATATATATATAGAAAAAAAAAAGTGGAAGGCGTAAATGATAATAGATGATGATTTAAGATAAAATTGAAAAGTGTATAAAGTGAATATATATATTAAACCTGTTTTTTTTTTTTTTTTTTTTTTTTTGTAATGGTTTTCTATTTTCTTTTACGTTGGTCTCCACAACTGAGATTGAAAAAACCTTAAATTTGAACCTAGTTTTCTTTTTTTTTTTTTTTTTTTACATCTCTATTTTTTTATTCTCTGTCTTTTCTTTCTTCCTTTTCTTTCTTTATTTTATTTTTCTTCTTTCTCTATAACATCATCATACATAACCCTCACACACAAGCGCCTACACGCACATTTATATAATAAAACAAAAAGTCGTGTAGAGTCCTGGCAAGATCAGATTATGCTCACCATCGATCTCTTATCCTTTATTTGATATCTTCTTTTCATCTATTACATTTTATCTCCATTCTCTTGAACCACTCACATTCCCTTTTGGTAATTGAAAAGATGATATTTGTTATTTGATATATAAATTGTTAGATAACCTGCTCATTATACTTTTTTTTTTTATTGTCTAGACAACTACCAGAAAATCTATTCTATATACATCCTTCTTTTTTTTTTCATCCTTTTTACGGCTTCGCACTTTTTTCTTTTTGTTACCGCGTCAAACAGAATACTTTTATTTACTTTATACAATATAATCTTCCCTTCTTCTTCCATTCAATCTCAATGCATCGACCCACTTTTATGCCTGACTTCAATATGAGAAGTGATGGTGATATTCAACAACCTCAAGCAAGAACTCAACCTCAGGGTCAGGTACAGTAATATATATATATATGTCATAATTGTCTAGATATTTTTTTTAACTGTCTTTATATATTACTTTTGTAGTTAGCGGCTATGATGCGTGGTCGTACGGATGATCATGATATTGGTATGACCTTGGATTTTGAACGTGCAAACAGTGCTCCTCCGACTGACCCATTATTGTATATGGACAAATCATTTCTGGAAGGTGGATTCTCTGCGGCTGACCCAACGTGGAAAAATCAGGCTCCTATTTTAGATCCGACTCCATCATCTCGTCAAGCTTGGCCAAATAGTACCGGTAGCACTACTACTACAACAAACACTACTACCATTAACACTAATCACAGCAATCATAGTAACAATAGCTTTGGTTTATTGGAAAAGGATCGATATACATCATTTGGAAATAACAGCAATGACAGTCTCACTGGTGATTATGGTAATAACAAGGATCATTCCGCTGTTTGGAATCAATCTAATCCGGCTTCTGCTTTGGTGTCACCTCAACTAAACGAATCATTTTCTACAGGAACTAGTAACACTCAAATGGTAAATAAATAAATAAATAAATAGAAAGGAAGCATAAGGGAGAAAGGTTACTTAATCATTTTTACTTATCTATTTTCAACCTTTTAGATTCCAAGATCTCATTCTCCTTTTACCTTGCAACAACAACAACAACAACAACAGCAAGTCGGACGTAGTGCTGGTCAATTAAAACAAAATGCTAGTTATCGTTATTACTCATCTGATACCTCCTTTGGAAATGATGACTTTGCTCCTGTTACCTCCTTGAATCCTGATTTCTATGGTACAAACAGCGTTCTCACCACCTCACCACGCATTCAACAACAACAACAACAGCATCGGTTCAATATGTCACCACCTCCTCGTGCCAATTCTACTCCTCCATCTAATATTCAACGTGATCACATACCTGACAATTACGAATATGAACGTCTTGTTTATGGCACTAATGCTTTGTCACTCAATCCCAAGGTAGGTTTATTTCCATGTTTAATTAAAAGATCGATGAATGAATATTAAACATTATGTTTTCTTATTTGTAGGATGATCTGAATACACAACAACGGTATACACATATGATACGCCAACATCAACAACTTTCTCATCCAACACTTGACAGTATTGACACCGCTAGCAATTGGAATCAACAAACAATGCGCAACAATATCATGTCACCAGGTAGGAAATGACTTTTTTGAAATGAAAGAAAATATTTACAAATCCTTTTTATTTATTTATTTATCATAGTTCCAGGTTCATTTGATACTGATTTCATTACTGATTCTCCAACCACACCAGCGCATTATTATGGAGGGAATGGAAAAGTACCTGTTTTCGGTTGGGATGATGCCAAGGATACTTTATTTATGGATGGTCAACCAGGCAATGCTCAGCAACAAGCACAACCACGTCAACAACGACCTACCATTGGGAAATATCCATCAACACCATCATTTGCGTTAGGAGATCATGGACTCCGTTGGCCAGCAAATGAAGTATCCAACGATTCATTATTACGTGGACAGATACCCATACAACCGCAACAACAGCCTCAGCAACGTTTCCCAGTTTCCAACCGTTCAACAGATGAGTACATGATGCGACAATTACAGTCTCGTCAACGGCAAATCCTTTTACAGCAGGAACAAATTATGCTTCTAAGGGAACAGATGTTGAGACAACAACAACAACAATATCAACAACTTCAACAACAACAACAACGTCAACCTCATCTGCCTTCTCCTCCTCCTCATCTTCAGGTTCAACAACAGCAACATCATCAGCAGCAACAGCAGAAGCAGCAACAGCAACAACAACAACAACAACAACAACAACAGCAACAACAAGATTTACTGATGCGTTACGGTCCAAGTGGTAATGTGTTACCTGTACCTGGTCGTGCTAGAATACCAATGACTGAATCCATTAGCACACCTACTAGTATCTCCTCTACTGTCTCTGTGGACATTATCCCTATTATTCGCAGCCCATTGTTGGAAGAATTTAGGAACAATAAGAATAAGAAGTATGAACTCAAGGTAAATAAAGAAAGAGAAATAATAATAATAAAAAGAGATAAAGTTAGTTTTCTCATCCGATTTCTTTTTTTTTATTTTTTATTATTATTATTTTTATTAGGATATTTTACATCATGTGGTTGAATTCAGTGGCGATCAACATGGATCACGATTTATACAGCAAAAATTGGAAACAGCAAATAGCGATGATAAGCAAATGGTGTTTGATGAAATCCTTCCCAATTGTTTACAACTGATGACAGATGTGTTTGGCAATTATGTGATACAAAAATTATTTGAACATGGCAATCAAGCCCAAAAAACGGTATTAGCTCGACAAATGGAAGGTCATGTATTATCTCTTTCTCTTCAAATGTATGGATGTCGTGTGGTACAAAAGGCGTTGGAACATGTATTGAACGACCAACAAGCAGTATTGATTCGGGAACTCGATGGCAGTGTATTGAAGTGCGTCAAGGATCAAAATGGCAACCATGTTGTACAAAAAGCCATTGAACGGGTGCCTGCGGAACATATCCAATTTATCATTGATACCTTCCATGGGCAAGTCTATCATCTAGCCACTCATCCTTATGGTTGTCGAGTGATCCAACGTATGTTTGAACACTGTCCTGAAACTCAAACATGTCGCTTATTAGACGAATTGCATCGTGGAACAAATCAATTGGTACAAGATCAATATGGAAATTACGTTATTCAACATATTTTGGAGCATGGCAGTTTGGAAGACAAATCTCAAATCATCAGTAAGGTCCAGGGACATGTCCTTCAACTCTCGAAACACAAGTTTGCTAGCAATGTGGTAGAAAAATGTGTGGCCTTTGGTGGAAAACAAGATCGTTTGGCTTTGATCGATGAAGTATTACAAACACGTAGTGATGGCACCTATCCTTTGATGACAATGATGAAAGATCAGGTATAGTATTAAAAATACCAAGGTCATGGATGTATATATTGACATTATCTATATTTGATTACATACATAGTATGCCAATTATGTTGTTCAAAAAATGTTAGATGTAGTAGATGGTCAACAACGTGAAGTTCTTGTTAGTAAGATCAAACCTTATTTGCCAGGTCTCAAGAAATATACCTATGGAAAACATTTGATTAGCAGTAAGTCCTTTTTATATTTTGATTTTTTTTTTTTTTTTTGAATGATTCTTTTGACTCTCTTCTTTTTTTTTTTTTTTTTTTTTTTTGATCAGCTTGCCTAGAAGTGGAAAAACAGCTATTGTATGAAAAGGAAAATAGTGATGTGGAACAACTCTCTGTGGTCAAATCTTTAAAAAATACCCAACAACAAGAAGGCACCATTATCTAAAGACAATTTTTAGGAAAGCAAAGAAAACTTGGATATCTTTTCTTTTTTGGTCTTCTTTATCATTCTATTTTTTTATTATTATTATTGTTATCAATCACTACTCCTTTTTTTTTATTTATTATTATTCTTTGTCTTATATCAGATGTTTGTGCTTTTATTTATTCTTCATTTGTAGAATAGTTCTCCACCTTCTTTCCATCATTATCATCTATCTCTTTGTTCATGTTGTTAGTTTCTCCCCTCCATTTATCTGTATACTTCTTCCCATTCCTTTGTGGTCCATAATTTTTTTTACCCATTCCAAACATACACTACTACTACTACCTGTGTACATTCTTTCTCTGTTTACTTATGTACTCTCTTTTCCTCTTTCTATTTCACTATTGTTTCCTCCCTTTTTATTTATTTTATTTATTTATCTATTTATTTAGTTTTTTTCTTGATACTATCCACTTCTAAATATGCATTGCAATAAAGTTATTTTTTTTTTTTTACAACATCAAAAAAAAAAAAAATAGATTAGAACTTCCAATGGATTACTATGAATACCTTTAGAGATAGCTGGTAACTTGACACCTTTTGTTTGGTGGTATCCATCTAATAAATAACTGTTTCATCCATCTTGAAGTATATCCTTATAACATTGTAATCGTGAATTTATCATTATAGAGTTTCAATTATCATCTACTGCATCCATCACTACATTCATATTTTTTTTTTTTTTTTTGCTCATTATTGGCATAAAGAAAGGGGGTTCTGTTAGTGACCCAATCGGGCTAAAACTGAGATGGGGAAGTCAATTTCAACCAATCGCGAGATTTCTTGACTGAATATCAAGCAATTCGCTTTTTTTTTTTTTTTTTTTTTTTTTTTTTTTAATTCTTTATTATCAACACATTCATCAACATGACCATTCTACCAGTTTATGTTTCTGGATATACACGACAAAATGGTAAAGGGATTTACTCGTATTTATTCGACACGGATACTGGTTTGTTAACTAATCAACAACTAGTAGCCAACAGTGAAGCACCATCATTTATCACCATTCATAGAGAAAGTGGGCAACTTATTGCTGTGAATGAAACCAATGAATATCAAGGACGACAGGGTACAGGGTATGTATCTGCTTATGCACGCGATCCTTCATCTGGTGCATTACAACTCTTAAACACACAATCTTCAGAAGGGGCGGATCCATGTTACGTGACGGTGGTGCGAGATTATTGTTTGGTGAGCAACTATACTGGAGGCTCTGTGGTGGCGTTCCCTCTCAGTCATGATGGGTTGAAACCAGCAAGCAGTGTTATGGATTTGGGCAAGAGTGGAATACAAGCAACACAAGCAAGACCCGACCGACAAGAAGCTCCACATGCACACGCAGTAGATGTAGATCCTATTGAACAAGCACTTGCCATTGTGATGGATTTGGGTAGTGATCGTGCTATTGTGATTCCTTATCATCATGGTGAATTGAAACAACCATTACAATCATTTAAATTCCCCGATGGTGCTGGTCCTAGGCATATGGTGTTTGCTCCCAATATGCGCAGCTTTTGTTATGTACTTGGCGAACTTGACAACAAGGTTTACATGCTGGAACTCAATTTGCGCAACGATGATGATCAACGATTCCATTTGATCCAACAGATCAGTGCTTTACCTCCTGATGTTGTCTCATCTTCCGATATGCTGGGTGCCGAAATCAAAATCACACCCAATGGCAAGTTCCTCTATGCTACTATTCGTGGTCATGACTCTATCTCGGCTTTCTACATCGATGATCGTAATGGCAAGTTAACTTTGATCGATAATCAATCTACACGAGGTCAACATCCACGGTACTTTGTCATTGATCCAACTGGTCATTATCTCTTGTTGGCCAATCAGGTAGATCATTAAAAAAAAAAAAGCATGGACTGGAAAAAGATAATCATGAATTGAACGAAATACTAATCTCTTTTTTTTTTTCCCTCCCTTTTCTGTTGGTGTATTAATGATCTAGTTCTCTAACAACATAGTGACATTCAAGATCGATCAAGATTCTGGAAAGTTGTCCCATATACAAACCATCGACCACCCTGAAGCCACGTGTATCCAATTCTGGTTGTAGTAGTATTTAGAATAGTTAAATGGTCATGATTGTATCTTTATTTTTTTTTATTATTATTATTCACAATAAATATATATATAAATCAAGAGAGAGAGAGAAAAATAATAAAAAAATGAAAAGATGTCTTGGAAGAGAGTGTTATCCAGAAAAAAAAAAAAAGATAATCATCTACCGACTATACTATTGCCTATATTGTGGTTGTCCTTGAGGATGTGGTAATTGTTGTTGATGCATTTGTTGTTGTTGTTGTTGCTGCTGCTGTTGTTGTTGTTGTACATTCATCAACTCTTGCATTCGTTGTTGTGTCTAGTTCCAAAAAGTAAAATGTTAATTTATCGTGGTAAACTCCCTTTTTTTTTTTTCTTTCTCTTACCTTGGCAGTGAGATAATGGAACACAGCTTCCTTGACCCATGATTGTTTATAAAAGTCGGTTTGACGCATTTCTTCTAGATTCACTTTACTTTCACCAAGTATGACCTCCAAATCTCTTGCCTGACTAGCGATCCATTTGTTGATGAATTCTACAGGATGTTTGGAAAACTGTAGCAAAAAGTCACGTTTAATCTTTGAATTGTTGATGCTTTGTACACATTGGACAATCTTATCATCTAATTCCATGATTTGCTTTTGTGATTGTTGTGATGATACTTGATTGAGCATCTTTTGTCGGATTACACTGTCTAATTCCACATCTACATCAAATGCTTTTGGACATTGATAGCTTTCTTTATCCACTCTAATCAACATAACAAGAGTCAGTAATTTCACATATTGAATTCGCTTTTCTCTTCTTACCGAATGGTATAATTCAAAACAATTGGATCAGGGCGAGTCAAATGTTGATTGATCAAATCAGGTAGTGCAGAAAAATGGACTTGGCGTGTCCCAAATAGCTAACATTTATATAATAAGAAAGAGTTTGAACCAAATCAAAGGAATACATTTAAATTATTTCTTACCTGAGCCAAAGGAGGATTGCAATGTATAATACGTTTATCTTCATTGTCTTGTAATTTATGATTCTATATTGATAAATGAGAATATCTATATAGTTAATCTTTTTTTTTATCCTAACCATCTTCATTAACCATTCCATCTATTTTTTTTATTGTTTTGTTTTTACCTTGATATAATTCCATAGTTCCATGATAATGCGAGGTTTTGTATCCAATTTGATGTTGATCAGATGTGCCAAACCTTCACTGAGCTTGAACTTTTGTGGGTTGTATTCAGGGTCTAAAATAATACGTGCGTTGACATTCATATCACCAGTTCGTTTGATTTCTACACCATCATATTCTGTTGCATCAGCTTGTTTGTGCCACTAGGTCAAAAGTCAAAATTAGTGATCTGTCTCTCTTTTTTTTTTTTTTTATCTATATATATATATATATATTTCTCTTTACCTCGATAATATTTCCTTCAGGATATAGATTGGGATCACGATCCAATTCCACCACAATGGATCGAAAGAAAGATGTGAATTTTTGAATAGGTTGAGCTTTCTTTGTTGGAATGACAGGCTATAAAAAGCGAATAATAAAGTATTAATCTATCTATACCATTTTAGTTAATATTTTTCTACTTACATCCAATAATCGTCCTTCTATTTTCAGTGTCCAAGAAGGAGGATTGCCTTTGTTTAAATCAAACGAATTTTCGTCCTCAGTACGGGAACTAACTTGATCGGCAGATGTGTTGGAGAGAAAGATTCGTAAAGTACGCATAACCTAGAATTAAAGAAAAGAAGGAAAAACAATCAATTATCCTTTCTTTGTTATCATACTTCTATAGAAACTATTCTCTATCTACCTTGACGGGTTTTCCAATTGCTTCTTGCACGTCTAAACGTTTTCGCATAATGGTCGCGTCCAGTTTCTTTTCGAATTCACTAAGTTCTGTATATAATGCGGATTCAGGTACGAAGGCCTCAATCTAATATAATAATGAGATAAAATATAAATAAACAAATGGTGATTTTATGTATAGATGTTGTTTGTCGATTCATTTATTTTTATTTATTTTACCTTGGGAGGCATATTTCGATCAGTAGGACGTTTTTTTCTAGAATGAATAAAGGAAAAAAAAAAAACACAATTCATAACATTAATATCACAGAAAAAAAAAACATTATCCTCTATTTTGTTTGTCTTCTTATTTACTTGATGTGTTTGGCAATGGAATCACCTTCATTTTGTCGTTTCCTAAATTGAACTGCATTGGACGCAGCTAGCCCTTGTTGAGGCATCATCATGGGTTGTCCTTGTGGATTTTGTTGGTACATATTATATCAAACGAGTATCGAACCAAGGAGAAAGGTTGAAAATAATAATCAACTTGAAAGAATAAGAATATATGAGTTAAAGAAAGAAAAAAAAAAAAAAGTTGAAGCGGGAGACAAATTCAAATGAATCCAGCGAGTGACTGGTCGCTCCGATTACTATATATGGATATCACATTGAAAATGAATACTTCCTGATGGATGAAATACTGTAAAACAACTGATAGTGGAATCTAATAATGATGATGATGAGGCGGTACGAGATTACCATATCAAAGAAGAAGAAAAACATTTTAATAATCCGAATAATCAGTTATCGTACATGCACTGTTATCAGCCTAACGTTGTTAAATCATAAAATAGAAGATGTGTGTCGGTAACATATTTATTATACAGTAATACATAATCAGATGCATTATCATTACCACTGTTGGCTCTTCATTACCGATGACTGTTATTAGTTTCCTATTGATCATCATCATAGAAACCACAATTACAATTACAATATTACTATATATTACTGTGTTATTTAAAGTAAAACAAATAAGCAGAGGCATGATAGTAGTGTAAGATTTTCATATTGTAATTAGGATTATCATTTTTGTGATAAATACATTCTATTTTCCCTTTCATAAATTATTGACCATTCATCAGGATGCCTTCTTTCTATCATACGTTAAATCAAGTTTCTTTATTGATTTGATAATATTCAAGTTGGTATAAATAAACATAAAGATACTAATGAAGATATAAATTGGACTTAGTTCAGAATACAGTCATTAGAGCAAAACAGGCATAAAATAGACCAACAGGATAACCGACCAAAAGACGTTGATCTGTCATACGTAGAGCAGTAGTAAACATAGCAGAGCTTGACCAAGTACACCAGAAAATACTAAGTACAGAAAGAACAAAACCTACTACACCACCTAATTTCAATACTACACTGAATCCACTGAGCATCACCATGGGCAGTAAACAATAACCAAGTACACTAGCAGTACGAGAACCATCCACACCATCTTCAGACATCAAATTTAATACCAAATAGATCGATACTACACCAAGAACACCGACACCATAAATATATTCAAAGTGTACTTTACCAGAGAGCATCAAAAAGATCCCAAATAAAAAGATATAGTAAAGGTCCTGCTAGGTCAGCATCGTCCATAATAGTTTCTGATACTTTTTGAAAAGGATTCAATACCGTCAAACTCTATAAGAAAAATGTTATCATACAAGTAATGGTACAGTAAGTAATAATAAAAATAAAAAAAAAGAATAAGACTAACGTAAGAAAACAATATTGACTTACCTTGGCTTGTATATGTTGTAGATTAATCCCAATTTCTTCTAATAGAGGAGGTTCGTCTTCAAAGCCACCAGTTCCAAATGCACTCCAAAATCCTCCAGATTGTCCATAGTCAAAACCAGATCGCATGTCACCAGATGGTACTGCTGTTCCACCCATTGATGAGGTAGAAGCTCCTGTTTGATGAAGAGAAGTAGTTGCTGAAGGATTAGTAGGGCCGTAGTAAGATGAAGAGGTCATATAAGAAGGATCGTTATAGTTGGACGCGTAGAACTGTAATCCGTCACCATTGGATGTTGCCGTATTATCATAATATCCAGTGTTCTTTTGGTCAAAAAGCACAGAGTGAACAGGTTGACTCATTCTGTATATATATATAAAATAGAAAATAAGAAAAGAAAAGCGATGGAAAAAAAGAAACGTGGGCGAGTAGCAGTTTCTTAACTTTTTTTTTATGATTAAAATTCCGCACCGAGATATTTTTGAGATTTGACCAATGAATAAATCATCCCTCATTTGTATAAATTGATTAACATTGATTTCAATAAGGATGAAATAGTAGTAAAATGTCATTGCTTTGGTATGTAAATTGCTTTATTAAAAAAAAAAAAAAAGACAAATATCTATTAAACCTAATCTATTTTCTCATCCTCTTCTTGAATCTTTCAGCTACAACTTCATCTGTTGCCCATTGTCGTCGATCAGACCTTGGAGCTTCCTTTTGATTGTCAAATCGATGATTCCCTATATTCACTTGAAAAAGAAAAGAAAGAAATAATTGTCAGTATCAATAAAAAGAAATCATTATCTTTTTTTTTTCCTTGTTGTACTTACCATCTGTACTAGTTTCTTTGTCTTCCATAAGTTTTCTCTTTGCACGTTCTGTATTTTCAATATTCTTGAGTTGAGCACTACAATTATATAAAATAAAGTATATATAAGTAAATATATATATTTCTTCCCATGGATCTCATCATATTAAATTATTATTATTATTGTTATTATTATTTTACTTACGATATCCCTAAATCGACTTCTGGTATGGCAGTCAGCATTTGTGTTGAGTGTTGTACATTTCCTTCCTTGACCACTTCCGATGCAAACTATAAAGGTGAACAAAAGTAGATAGATCAGTAAATATATATATGTAATCATTCTTATCATAGTTTACCTTTAAATGATCAGGTAAATGATATAATTCTTCATAAATATCTTTCATCCCTTGAGGTTCATTTGATTCTTCTTCTTCATCATCCGGTATATTTGCATCTCCTCCACGCTTTTTCCTTAGTTCTGTTTCAATGTATTTCATCCTAGAAAAAATAAAATATAAAAATGTTATCTACTTTTGGTTCATTCTATTCTTTATTTTACTTACATGTGTTTATCCACGTCCAATTTATTTGTTTGTGAAGTAAATGTATCCAGTCGTACTTTTTTGCCTTTTCCTTCTTCGTCGTCCGCCCTAGATTGCATATATAAAAAGAGTATAAAAGATCAATGATATATATATATATATATATATATATATATATATATAATGATTTACTTACGTTTTTCCTGCTGCAAAAGCATCCTTGTCCACCAATCCACCTTTTTGTAGACTCCAAGATCCATCGTCTACTGGTTTCTTTGGTTTTGTTTTCTTTTTGCTATCACCTTTGAGTAACTTTTCAGCATCTACACCACCATGTTTTCGTCGAAGTTGTCGAAGTTCCTGTAGTTCTTCAATCGTATGACTGAAAATAATATAAAATAATTGAGATCTACTAGTAAAAAAAAACGATTAAATAATAATAATATAGGACTTACCTGACATCTTCTGTAGATTCTATGTTTTGTCCATTATCTATAGCTGTTTCTTCATCAGATTCATGTACTTTCTTTCTATAGTTTCTTGTTTTCTTTGAAATAGCCATTATAGATGTATAAAGGAAAAGAGTACAAAAGTGAAAAAAAAAGAAAGGAAATAAAAAAAAAAAATTGTAGCTTTTTGACTGGAACTTTACCATTCAATTTTTGAAATACCGTCACTGGCCACTATAATTAATGATTTTCAATAAAATTATGTTGTAGCTATACAGTTTGAAGTATTCTATGAAAGTCAAATTCCTTTTTTTTCTTCTTTTTTTGGGGGAGGGGGAGAGGGAGGAAACTATGACTTGGCATTTCCACAGCCCATCACATCAAATAGGTCAGAGACGAATAAGGAAAAAGACAAGCATATTTAAGGACGAAAATCCATATCTATGTTTCTATAACAAAAAAAAAAAAAACAAAAAAGTGTTTTTCTGAATAGGTTTTTCTTCTAATAAAAAGAAAAAAAAGGTTTTACTAAGTGTATTTGCTTTCACCAAGCTTGACAGTTCAATTGTTACACTTCTTTAGGTTGTATTAACTCATTTGCTCAAACCTTTGTTTCAGTCCCCGCCTCGAATCTTCTGTAAGCTGAGCACAAGCAAAGGTTTTATTTTTTTTTCTTTTCTTTTCTTTTTTCTTTCTTGTCTTTCTTTTTCTATTTCTTACTACTTTTTCCCTTACTGATATACATATTATTTTCTTATATACATTATGGCGTTTCTGTAAGTAAAACTTGAATTATTATTATTCACATATTATTATAAATAGTTTAACAATAACTCATTATTTTCTACTTTTTTCTAGGCATGGTTTCAAGAAAAACTTGAACCGAGCTGGTCAATCGGTAAAAGAATACAAGTCTTTCTATTTCAATTTACTTATTCTATTTTCATCTTATAGATTATGCAACGAACTGGTGCCTCGGATAAAACTGCTGATAGTGAGTTTGATGAAGAATATACTCGATTCAAAACGTAAGTGACAACATTATTATTATTTATGATACTAATATACTTATAAAAGTTTGGAGAAAAAGTCTGAAAAGTTATCAAAGGAAACAAAAGGATATTTGGATTCACTTCGAGGTAAGAACATGGATATTTAAAAAAAAAAAGTTGTTATAGAAAGGAAACATTCAGTGACCTTATTTTTTTTTTTTTTTATTTAGGCATGACTACAGCACAAACTCGTATTGCTCAAACTATTGAATTATTCTATGATGATAGCAATCCTATGGGTCAAAGTGGTGCAGATTATAAACGTACAATGGAAAAACTCGATGAAGAAGCTAGAACAGATTTGGTAAGTCAAGATCATTGGACATGTCACAAAGTCATATCATTGATGACTTTCTATTTATTTAGGACACTGCCTTTAGAACAACCGTGCTCGAACCCTTTGGACGATTTTGTTCTTACTTCCCTGAAATCAATGAAGCTGTGAAACGACGACAAAAGAAATTATTAGATTATGATACACAGCGATCCAAGGTGCGCAAATTGATTGATAAACCAAGTGAAGATCCTCAGCGACTACCAAGAGTAAGTGAAATGATGATTGTTTAATTAGAGTAGGATTAAATGTCTATTTTTTTTTATAGGCCGAACAAGAAGCCAACTTGGCCCGTGAGATGTATGAAAATCTGAATAGTATTTTGGTGAATGATCTACCCAAGGTGGTTGAACTTCGTGTACCTTACCTGGATCCATCCTTTGAAGCTCTTATTAAGTCTCAATTACGATTTGCACAAACAAGTTATGAACAATTAGAAGGTTTACGACATCATTTTCCTCCTGAAAATGAAAATGATCAGCGTGTGGATAATGTATTACAGCAAATGCGCGAACTGACCATCTGTGGAAACTTTTAATAGTCTTATTTTAGTAGTAGTAGTATTAGTATTCTATGTCTTTGTATTAACACCCATTCTTTAAATAAATTATATTACTTTTATCGATTGTTCTTTTGTCATTTATATTTACAGATATAAATATTTTTTTGAGGACAATTAATATGGGAAAAAAAATGAGGTCAACAGTGGAATGGTAATCGTATTATGCTACTAAGGTGCATGATGGTGGACTCCTATGTTTGCCTTTGATGTTGATTAATCTAATGCTTCTTTCTTTCATTTCCTTTATCAAGTTACATTATCGGAGTGTGAATCATCAAGGTGCCTTCATTTTTTTCAAACCAAAAAAAAAAAAAAAAAAAAGAACCGCGTTTCTTTTTTCTTTCACCAGTTTCTTCTTTTATCATGGAAAACACAGAGGAACGTCATCCTGCACAGGATATTGTACCTGATTTTGACAAATGGGCATGCAATGCAAACGAATGCATGACTTTGGAAATAAGCAAGTGAATTAAAAACCCAATCAAGAGTTGAATTTATAGTAGGATCTAATTATATTTCATTCTCTCTTATAGGATCTCCCTTTATGACTACTTCTTTCCAACCTACCTTTACATATCCTCTTTTTGGTTCACATGAGACAATCTTTGGTTATAAAGATCTGGCTATAGAGGTATGAACAAAATTAAAAAACTAATCAGCTAGTTTTTTTTTTCAACTCATCCCTTCGATGCTTCGTGTGTAATTTAGATCAAATATACCAATGGATCACTACGTGCCTTTGTTGACATTACCTATTCTGCCAAATATCAACCTTCTTCTTCTTCGTCTTTCTCCTCCGGATCACCTATTGAAGCTGACGATATAGCTGGTCCTTTGAAAAAATACATGTCGCAAGGTATAAAAACAAAGATAGAATATAAACTTTTCATACTGACGCAATTCATATCAGATACTACCACCAACATTGATGCATTTGATAAGAGTGTTAAGGAAGACGCAGCCACTTTCAGACCTTTGGGTGAAAAGGTATACGAATATCAAGTAGAAGCTGACGCAGAAAACGAAGATGAAGATTATGAAATTTACAAGGTAAGTCAAAAGAAAGGATGGCAACAATATGACTTATATTTCTTTATTTAGTGCTCATTCAAAGATCCTCGATTCCGTGAATATCATCGACGAATGCAATTCTTTGTCTTACTTTTTATTGAAGGATCAAGCTATATTGATGATGAAGATGAAAAATGGGAAATATATACATTGTAAGTGGGTCAATCGTTTGTTGACAGCGTGTATATTAATTTGATATAATTATATTAGATACAAACGTCAAAAGAAAGGTGACGAAAGTATATACACTTTTGTAGGATATTGTACCGCATATCCTTTTTACTGTTGGCTAGAACAAACACGAATGCGTATTAGGTAGGATGACGATATGTATATCAAAATAAAATATATGTATACATATAGAAAAAAACAACTAAAACCTTTCTTTATTATTTTTTTTTTTTTAATAGTCAATTTTTGATTTTACCAACGTATCAGGGCAAGGGTCATGGAGGTATGTATGATCATGATTTCCCAATAATCTACTTAATAAATATACTTATTTTTATGTTTTCCTTTTCTATCTTTCTCTCTTTTTTTTTTTTTTCTTCTTCTTTGTCTGCAGGACAATTATATAGGACTATCTATGAATTATTTGCTCAACGAAAGGATGTTTTGGAAATCACAGGTAAAAAAAAAAAAAAAAAAAAAAAAAAAAAGGAAGAAAAAGGAAATATTTACTGGTTGCAAAAGTAAATGGGATGATGATCTTGATAATCTTTTATTTCTTTGGCATTTTATTAGTGGAAGACCCAAATGAAGAATTCTCGGATCTACGTGATAAGTCTGATTTACGATATTTGCGGGATCATGGTGCGTTTGATGGAATTACTATCCCAGTACCTCAAGAAACCATACAACAATTACAGAAAAAATACAAATTAACCAACGTAAGTTAACCAAACTATATATAACTTCAATAATTACGTTTCATTTTTATTTTTTATTTTTTATTTAGAGACAAATACAAACTTCTCTTGAAATATATCTGTTATCAAATTTGAACAAACGTGACCGTGAAGCATACAAAAACTATCGATTACAAGTAAAGCAACGTCTTTATCGCTTCAATTATGTAAGTCAAATGATTTCCTGACGATTTGCTACATAAACTAATCCCTTTCTTATTTATTTTAGGATACTTTGCAAGAAATCGAACCTGAAGACAGAAAAGACAAGCTCCACGAAACATATATGGGAGTAGAACAAGATTATCATCGCTTATTGGAAGAGGTTTAGATTAGTTTTTTCTTTTTGATTTTTTTTTTTTTTTTTTGTCATTTCATATCTATTCACTACCCTTTTATTTTCTTGTATAGTCAAATATCCTATTCAAATAAACTTTTTTTTTCATCTACTATCAACATTCCTTCTTTTATTTGCAGACTCTATCTTTTTTTTTTTTTTTTTTTTTGAAAGATTTTTGGAGTTTTACAGCCAAAAATTTCGAACTCCTCAGCCAAATTTTAGCTGTAAAAATGAATCCTCAGGGGGTTGCCAGGCAATTTTTCCAAAAAATCGATGAAATTTTTCAGACACTGATTGTACGGTAGACGGCAAGGTATGTGATAAAATGATATTAGATGAGGTTAGACTACTTTTCTAAGAGGAATCCAATGGTGGTCATTTTATGGGATGATGATCGTTATTGGATGGCATATGACGATAGTAACATTTTAATTTACTCTTATAAATTGGGGAGATGAGATATTAGTTATTAGTAAGTGAATAATTTCATCTACGTTTAGTTGAATTTAATGTGATGATGGTTATTTTTTTAAAAAATGAAAAGACCAAGTTTATTTTCCCGGAAACTACCCAGTCATCGTAATGGGAGGGATGACAAAAGATTCAAAAAAAAAAAAAAATTGATGTAAAAAATGTTTTAGCCATTCGTGCAGATTTCTTTGTATCCCCTTTTTTCTCTTTCCTTTTTTTTTTCTTTTTTTCTTTTTTTTTTTTTCTTTTTTTCTTTTTTTCTTTTTTTCTCATATGGGTGGACTTGAAAGTAAGTGAACCTCAAATTATATTTTTAATATGATATTCATTCTTATATTTTTATTAATTTTATAAAAAAAAAAAAAAAAAATAGATCAGCTTTTTCAATTAAAGGTACTAAAAGATAAAGTCTTTAATCGTTTTTGATATTAACCAAATCTTTCCTTTTTTTTTTTATAGTTCACTTCGAAACAATTACAAAAACAAAGTAAAAAATGTCAAAAGGATGAAACTCTTGAAAAAACAAAACTGAAAAAGGTAAGAATAGTATATTATTTTGGATTCATTTTAATATTAACTTTGGATAGGCGTTGCAAGATGGTCATCCAGAAGCTGCTCGTATCTATGCTGAAAACTGTATTCGGAAAAAAAATGAAGCGTTATCACTCTTACGACTCTCATCTCGAGTGGACGGTGTTGCTTCTAAGGTTCAAACCGCTATTACCATGAAATCTGTAGGTTATTTTTTTTTTCTTTTCTTTTCTTTATAAACTCACTTCTTTAAAAGGTTTCTTCTTCCATGGCAAATGTAGTCAAAAGTATGGAAAAGTCAATGGGAAATATGGACCTGGAAAAGGTAACATAATCATATCATTATTATTATTAGTTTGAAATAGACAATTCTAATTTTTCCTTATATAGATGGCTATTGTATTGGATAAGTTTGAAAATCAAGTAGAAACATTGGAGACACAAGAACGGATGACAGAAGCAAGTATGCCTATGGAATCTCAAGTCGATCAGCTTATGGAGCAAATGATGGAATCCGACACTTTGGATTTACATGCACAATTGGATCAACTTCAAGTCCTTACTTCCAACATCTATACCAATACCACGACAACCAAAAAGGACTCAAGTGATGATATGTTGGAAAAGCGTTTACAAGCTCTTCGTAGTTAGATAAATAGATAAATAATAAAAAGTCTTTTTTTTTTTGTCACCAAGTTTGATAAGATCTCATCATATTCAAATTCATATTTCATATTTGATGATTCCTTCCATGTAACTTTAGTACAAACTACAGTAGATATATAACATGATTGCAGTTGATATACGCCATTTCGTTCTTATCATCTTTTTTTTTTTTTTTTTTTTTTTTTGACAAACAGTAATGAACCTATGAATAGAACCTTTTTTTTTTTATGACAAATGTATTTTTATTTTATAAGAAAGAAAAAGAAAAAACGAGTTGGCAATAGTATATATAAATATAAATATAAAAAGAAAAAAAAAATAACTATACTATAAAACATAAAAGTGAACCAAACAAACTAAAATATCTAACAAACTAAATCCATACATCTTATACAAAGGCAAACCCAGTTGAGCATTCATTGATGGCCTTGAATAAGTTGGCACGTAAACTTTCATAAGAATCATATTCTGGCAAATCCACTTGATTGAAACTACAGAAAAAAAAAAAAAAGAAATGTCAATACATCAAAATCATCGTTATATTCTTTTTTTTTTTTTTTTTTTTTTTTTTTTTTTACCATGTATGAGCAGAAGGCAATCTACTATCACCACCATAATCCTTGTGAATCTGGAACTTTTGTACACCACCAGAACCTTGTAAATGAGCAAATCCTTCCAATGGGACTTTGGATGTTCCTGTAGCAAATTGTAATAACTTGGCTCGTTCTTCTTGATCAAAGCTTCGTACGGCACGCCAGAACCATTGAATTTGAGGAGATGTACTATGATAAGTTACATATTCGGTATTGTTCTTCCAATCATCCAGATCAATATCAGGCAGACCAGAGATCAGTAATTCTAATTCTTGTTCATTGAAGATTTGGATCAGTGATGCAGGAATGATGTCATGGAAACCTTGCAAGAATGCGTTGATTTGATCTTTGATTGCAATCGTCAGTTTTTGTGCTGTCACCAGATTTACATATTCATGTTTGTTTTGTTCTGTCACTGGTATGTCACGTCCACCTGGCTTGAGATCAATCACCTTGGTTGTACCGAAATCATCCATTTCCATACTGAAGGTAAGGTCGATAATGTCAGTAATATCGTTGTCCAATATCCACACCAAACTCTTATAATATTCAGGATCCACAGCTTCCACATCACGGTAGTCCACAGATCGATTGAGAATATGCTTGTAGAATGATCGTGTAAAGTAAGCATCCAGTAGCCTTCCATCATAAATCGCTTTGCCAATCACACGTCCAACAAACTTGAAAAAGCTGAGATGGTCCGAATTTACCCAGGATGCACGATTGGGTTGGTATGTCAACTTATCCGCGGCAGATGCAATAAACAGAGCATAGTTGGGATCAAACATTTGTCGTGCCAATACAGAGAACCATTCACGAGTCACACCGCCAGCATCCACACCTTCTTCATCATAGAATCTCACCATCAATTTGCCAAACTTGATTTCTTCCCCTGTTCGTCCCTGTAGCTGATGATACGAATCTTCAAACACATATTGTCGTCGTACATTCAGTTGTAAAGGAGGATAATGACTTCGAGGTTCTGTTCGTTTGTGTAATTGTTGTACAAAGTAGTTGCGCTTGTTGTCAAATTCCAACATCTTGGGATTGCGAACCAATAATGAGAATGAGCCACTCATCAGAGTTGGGTTGTTACGCACCATAATATTGAGAATCTTCTTGTGATCTTCTGTAAATTTGAAAAACACATCATCAGGTGTTTCACCAGATTCATCACTACGGATAGTAGCTTCAGGAGAGGAAACACGATTCGAACTAGTTGCTTCAGATTTTTGTTGGAGTTGTTGATTAGTCATACTTTCGGCATATTTGGACACCACCATAAACGATTCAATCAAAGGTAAAAGCACCGTTGCCACATTGATCAATTCTTCTTTTTCATGAATCACAGATAGACAATCACCCAGCATTTTCCACAATGGTAAGAAATTCAATTGATCGTAGATAGCCAACATTCGATTTTCATTCTTAACTTGTTCATCTGATTCATCCGCATTCAATGTCTTCGTTGTTGGTTGTCGTTTGCGTGAATACATATAATCAATGGTCTTGAGCACCCTGAGAAGTTTGGCTTGATGTGAGGATGCAGCAGAAAATTGTGTCAATGCAGATGTTTGAATATCAGTTCCAGTCATGGCATTTTCAAGAGCACGTAGCAGATCTTGTAAATCATTCAAAATTTGTTTTCCAGAGAATCTGGCCGCTTCTGTAAATTCATGAGTGATTGTTTGAAGAGCACCATCCAAAGCTGAAAGATGAGAGATCACACCAAGAGTGTACTGGAAAGTTCTACTTGAACATTCACCGCTTGTCAATACATGAACCACCATTTGCAAATAATGATCAGGAATTGTTGGAGGTTTTGGTACAGGTCGATGTTGATGTTGTTGAGTACCACTAGATTCAGTGATTGATTGTTGTTGTTCATTTTTCCCTTGTTCTTCACTTGCTTCCGCATCGGCTTGTTCCTTTTGCTGTTGTTCTTGTTGTTGTCGATTCTCAACCTTTTCAACGTATTTTTTCACCAAAGCAGGGAATGGCCTACACATGGTCGCTAATAGATTCATCAGTTGTTCCATGAGATGTGTATTATCAACAAATACAGGTCGATCCAAAAGACTCATCAAAACCAAAAGAGGATATTTGCTTGAAGGTTTGTTAACATCCTTGTTTTTACCTTTCTTGCTACTTGATCGTTTCAGGCCAGCCAAGCAGTCGTTTTCCGTCAAAAAGTAAGTCAATGATTGTTCATTACAAGATACCACATAATGAAGTACTTCCAAACATCGTTGAGTAATCAAGTTTGGTACATTATCACCAATGGTCGTTGTTGTGCCAGCAGAAGTTGATGAAAGTCTACGTTGTTGTTTGGAAGATGAGGCGGATGGGGTTGTTGTCATTGCAGAGGAAACACTTGAAGTTTTGGGGTATAAAGATAATTGAGCAAAACTCTTGTCTACAGCAGCCAAGTCAACACTACCATCATGGAGGATACAGATCAATAAAGACAATAGATCACCACGGGTCTTGCTATTTTCACATAGATTCAACAAGAGTTTGTTCAATAGATTCTTGGAAATAGATTGAGGAACAAATAACAATCGAGCCAGAGTTGCCAGTTGAGTTCGATCCACTAATTGCACTGTATCTGTACGTCCGATGGGCTTCTTGCTTTGTTGTGCTTGTTGATTACGAGATGAATTAGTTATACTTTGTCGGTATCGATTCAACATTCGACTAAAAGGCTGATCTGATCGCAAACTGGTTGGTGTAATGTCATCCAAATCTCGCACGATCGCATCCAAAGAGGCCATAGTACCAGCACTAAGTCCATGATAAGATCGAGCTCCAGATGCTGTAGCCGGAGTTGTTGTTGATGTTGTTTCCAAGTCTGTATCACCTGTAGCCGTAGTAGTTTGAGCTGTAGAACCAGTATTATTGTTGGAGGCATTGCGTCGTTGTCGTTCACGTCGATCTCGTTCAATAGCTTCTTGTCGTAATACTTCATCTCGAATATCAGATGGCAAGGCGTCCAAAAATTCAGGGCTAATCGAATCATCTTCAGGAGGTTGAATAGATTCACGACGTTCACGCATATGTTGATTAACCACTTCTTCCCGTAAATCATCTGGTAATGCTTCCAAAAATTCCACATCGATACCAGTGCCAGATATATCGACAGATTCACCGTTGATTGTAATGGTTGTTCTTTCTTCATTGTCAGTTGCTGGTGCTGTTGTCGTTGTCGTTGAATCAGATGGTGCTGTAACAGTGGTATCTTCTCCAGTTTCCATAGACTCTGTTTGTTGTTGTTGTTGTTGTTGTTGTTGAAGTTGTTCAGCCGCCAAACGTTCTTCTTCAGCTTTTCGATCTGCAGCCTCTTTCTCTTCACGTTGTCGTTTTTCTTCTTCAGCCTTCTTTCGTTCAGCTTCTTCTTTGAGTCGACGTTCTTCTGCAGCTTTCTTTTCTTGTTCCCAACGTTTCTTGTTTTCTTCCAAAGCAATAGGAATCAATGAGTTGAGGAGAGCATTGGTAAGCTTGGTTGCTTGATCAGCCATAGTGTTACCATACATCATACGTGCTTCTTGGTTCCACCTTTCAGAAGTTGACATTGGTTGGAATTCATGTAACAAGGCCAAGATTTGTCGTGATTGATCAGCTGCTGATTCTCCAATAGCACCAGAAGTAACATTCGTAGTATTTGATCCACCAGCCAAATTGGAAATCATAAAAGAAGAAGAACCATGACCACCAGGGCCACCACCAGTAGTACGAGTCATTTCCAGAGCACGCATAAGACCATGACCAGGCATTTCCATTCGGAAAGAATCACCAGCATTTCCACTGTTTGATGCTTGAGATATAATATTTTCTAGTACTCGTAGAGCACTTCCACCAATAATGTCTTCAAATGCTTGCAAATTACCAAGTCCAGTGGATCCACTACCAGTGCCACGATGTCGACGAGAAGTACCATCAAAAGAGCGACTTGTACCAGTAACATCAGTAGATTCAGAGCCTTGATTATCAGCAAGTAGAGGATGAGTTGTGATATCTTCAGAAGTAGATTCACCGCCAATACCACGGAATGTGCGACCCAAAGACGATGAATGACCACCAAATTCTACAATAGGTACTCTGTCACGAGGAGTAGATGCACCTAGGATTTCTACACCTTCCATCAAGCGACGACCTTGAGTTGATCGACCAGGACGACGTAAACCAAGTCCACCATAAGTTCTAGGACGTTCTTGCCAACCTTCATCACTAACATCGAACGAATATTGAATGTTTTGTGGTCCATCATCCACCAAGAAAGGATCACCAAGGTCATCTTCATCAATCAAAAGTCCATCGTTCAAATCAGTATCAGGTTCATCATCAAGATAGCCTTCCGAGCCTTCTTCTTCATCAAAGTCAGATTGGTCAAGGGTATCCAAATCCACATCTTGAGTCTATATATACATATAAAAAGGAAGGTTAAATATTATATTGTAACAAAACCTCTTAAAATAAATCCCATCATCATTCTAAAAAAAAAAAAGAATCACTTACGTCTTCGAATCGACGGCGTTGATGATGATGTCTTCCTTGTTGTTCATCATCAGATTCAATAGATATTTCAGCACCCACAAGAACTTCGCCATCGTCATCAATATCTTCAAGATGCCAAGTCATTTCTCTTCCATCTTCATCGTCTTCACTACCACCAGAATGATCAGAGGATTCATCGTTATGGTCACTTTCATCCGAATTATCATCGTTGTCGCTACCATCCTATCATATATAAAGTAAGTCAAAAAAAAATTTTTTTTCTTTGTGGTTGTTATGAGAAATCAAATCAAGGAACTTACTTCATCTTCGTCCATATCAGTATCATAAGGATGACGATGGAGAACCACGTCCATTTCTTGATCAACGTCATCATCTTCAAGTTCTTCTTCACTCATGTCAGAGAGATCACTTCCAGTTTCTTCGTCAAATTCATCTTCGTCGAAACTAATTAGAAAAATAAATGGATAAGCTAAAATATAAAAAACATTCATGAATTTATGTCTTACCTTGCACCTTCTTCATCTTCAGAGGAACCAAAATCATCTTCGTCTTCTTCCATCACACTTCCATCAAACATACCCAAAGAGGAATTTCGATACAAATCAGGAGCTTCATTGTCGTGATCATCATCGTTATTTGTCGCCAAAAGAGAATCGTCATGATGGTGATGAGCATCAGTAGAATCAGTATCGTGTACACCATCAGTGCCACCAGTACGAGAAGCACTTGCTGCAATAGCATCATTGTCACCTCCTTGTCGATCTGTAGTAGCAGTTGATGTTGATGCTTTACCTTTGTTGTTGGTTGATGATGAAGAGCCTTCCAATTCAGCAGCAGCAGCTCGTTGTTCCGCCGCTTTTCTTTCAATAGTCACAGCCAATTTGGTCAATTGTTCCAAAGGTCGGATCATAGCACTAAGTACAGTTTTTGCATGAGGATAGTTGACATCCACATCGCTAATAGCACTAGTCATCACACCAACAAATCCCTTGTCTAACATAATCTTGGCTAGTTGCATTGAAGTGTCTTCCTTTTGTTGTTGTTGATGAACATGACTTCCAGGATTGGGACGAGCATTCAGGATACGGTGACAGAGATCGGCAAGACTGAGATACCTATTATACTTGACTGATAATTGTTCTGTAGATTGAACCAAGGTTTGGAATGCACGTACCACACCTTCTAATACATATCTCCGCACATGGGTCAAATCGTGTTTGTTGGAATGAGTGATTTCGTTCTTGGAAAGAGTATTGTAACACATTGCCACGAGCACACAGGAAGTCCACATTGATAATCCTTGTCCCTTGCGAGCTTCATCATCAGTTGGTTTGATGGCATTATAAGGTAGTAGATCGTTGACCAATAAATTGAGTACATGATGACGACTGCGAGAATTATTATTGTTTCCATTCTTGTTGGCACGTTGTCGACTAAAGTTGTAGATATCGTATTTGCAGGATGGGTAAGAAGATACCAATTCAACCAAGCATTGTAAAAGGAAACCAGTATATGCATATTTCAAGTCACTGTTTTCTTTGTCAGATGAACGAATCGATACCAATTCATTCAATAGATGGTTGACAACGATTGAAGAGTTTTTGCCAATTTTTGAAGGTGAATGATGAGTAGAGGTTGAAGTAGAAGTTGTAGGTACTGGAGCAGGCGTTGTTGTGGTCGTACCAATGGTAGTTGTTGATGTTGTAGATGTTGTAGCACTGTCATCCTCTTTTCCAATAATTTTGATTTGACGATTGTTTTCATATTCGTTGTACCGGGTTAGTCGACAGATCTTTTCAGAAACTTGTAAAAAGACAGCAGGATCTCGAAGTGCGATGGCAGCATTGTTGCGGAAATAAGTGGTGATATCTAAATTCTTTGGTCTTGGTACTGTTCCCCAGGTAGTTATGATATCATCAATTTGTTCTTCCAAAACAAACTTGTCTTCGATAATATGACGTAAAATGAGAATGATAAATGCTTGCTGACCTTGAAAACCTTCTAAACTTGATCTTGGCTTGGCAAATAAAAGTTCCAATCCACCATGTTCCACCAACCGCAAGGCATCATCGTTATTTTTGGTTAAGCGAACAATGATGCGAAGGATAGCAAAAAGATCATCCCTGGTAAGCTTGGTTTTTCTGAGTAGAGTGATGCAACAAAGGAGAAGTTGTTGTCGTTGCAGGTCAGTAATAGCATCCTTGTCACTATCAACAATTCCAACGGTTGAATTATCTTCTTGGATAGGAGCAGCAGAAGTCGTAGTAGTAGTAGTAGTAGTAGTAGTAGTAGAATCACCCATTTCAATATCACCATTGTCGTCCACAGCAGTAGTAGAAGCAGTAGCATCATCATTTCCGGTATCAACACCTTTACCTTTGTTGCTTGACTTTTCTTCACTAGTGAGCTTGACTTCTTTGGGTTCATCAGATTGACAGATAAACATTTCTAATACCAAGAGAGCAGATGCCAACCAAGTGGGAGTAGGAGTCGATGGATCAGATAAATCATCCTTGCATTTTTCCAAAATATCAAAGAGACAAGTCAAACGTGAAGCAATATCAGGTATGGCAGCATGGAAGGGAGAATCTTTGAGTAGTAAGGCCATTAATCGTAGCTGACTGCAAACCTTTGTATAAGGAATTTCGCTTGTATCCAAAGAAGCTTGAATTCTATCCACTAATGAAGATATGACTGATTTCGCCAAAGTGAATTCCTTGTCGCCATCCTTACATACAACCACCAGAAGGTCATGGGCATCAAAGATCATATCATCACGTTCATCCACAAGTTGCAACAAGATTTCTGGTAGTTCCTTTCGTAGAGTATTGCGTAATTCTTTGAGAGACTTGAGATCTTCTGAATCTTCTTCGGTAGTTGCCTTGTTTTTGCCTTTGTCAGTAGATTTGTTGCTGCTAGAAGAACCACGAGCCAAAGATCGGTATCGAGAAGACATGAGATTGAATGGATTCAGAGAGTCAAGAGTCATATCTCTATTGTCATCATCAGAGTCATCGTCATCATCAGAATCATCATCACCGTGATCGTATTCTCCAATATCGTCTTCTTCACTAAATTCATCTTCATCCATATGTTCATCTTCATCAATGTCGTGGTCATCGTCGTCCTCGTCATTATCATCATGATTGTTTTGATGATCTTGAAATTCTGTCGTTTCTTGACTTTGTTCACCTTGATCATGAGATGTGGTAGTAACTGAATTGGTAGAATCTTGATTATTTTGATTATCGCTTGCTGGTGCGGGAGAAGATGAACTGCCTGTCGTTGAAGTAGTTGTAGTAGTAGTGTTTCGATTTCTAGAAGATCCACTACCAGCACTGGCTAACATTGCTGTAGGATGACTGAAGAGATAATCCACTGCACGCGATATCTGATTGTTGCATCTCACCATAGCTTGTTCAGCACCAGGACGATTGAACCCCATATCGACCAATGTTTGAACACCTGCTTCATTGGGTACCACAGGTGGAGGAGGAGGAGGACGAACACTGTTGAAAGGAGAAGGAGCTGATGCAGGAAAAGAACTACCAGGAGTCATGTCGATTCCAATCTGAAGAACACCATTACCACCTACACCAGCGGTAAACCCACTACCATCAGATAGATTTCCGGTAAATCCACTGCTGCTTTGTTTCGGCTTGTCCAAATCCGTAGACATCAATTGAGCTAGAACCTTGATATACATCCGTAATACATACTTGGGGAACTTGTAAAAGAGCTTACTTTGAAGATGTTTTCGGATAGCAGCCACACGAAGAGAGACAGATACATTCCATTCACGAGGGTCAAAGTACTCAGGTACAGAGCGATCTTTTGCTTTTGAGATATGGAAAGTATAAGGAGACTCCATCAAGAGTTTTTCGGAGCTGATGTTGAGTAAAACAGCAAGAAGAAGTTCAATACTAGCGTCGATACGAGGCAACAAGGTTTCTTGATCAGAGGTAGACCGATCAGCAATAGGAATGGATTCAATAGATTCAGCAGCTTGCCATAATTTATCCAATGTATCCACCATAAGAGTTGTACCACCATTACGATCAAAAGTCACAGCCATAGGTACATGTAAACACGGTGTAGCACGATCATCCAATAAAAGCATAGATACCAAGGAAAACATGGAGGCCAAGTAGTCATATTTACAAGGAGGAACATCATCCACATAAATACAAGACCAAGAAATGTTGTCTTTCAAAACTTGAGTCATTTGTTCTGCCAACTTGAAAGATTGACCAATTTGACCACTATCCAAACTTCGACGACCTACAGATACCTTGTTGAGACCTAGATTGACGAAAAATGAAATAAGTTTTCTTGTTTTTCTAATCACTGAATGACAATTAATAATCTATCCTATTCTTTACCTTGGAAGATGGGTGTCAGAGCTTGTGGTATTTCGCCAAGAAACATCTTGAAGTGCTTTGTGTTGATGACACGTGGATCTTTGGCATCAGGTTCTTTTTCCTCGTTTGTATCCATTTCAGTAGTTGCTGATGATGGTTGAGTATCAGATGTAATTGTGGTTGTGGTCGCATCTGGTGCTGTGCTTGCATCAGTTGGTCGAGAAGGTTCAAAACCTGATATACCTAATGGATTATCGATTCGTATGTTGCTGGACTTTTTCGCAGATTTGAAGTTATACCAAGATTTAGGTACAGATTCCCTTAGTAAAATGTTTTCCCAAACCATCGTTCTGGATAAAAATGAATAATGAGTATCGAATTCTTGAATTCTTTCTTTTTCTTCTCCTTTTTTTTTTTTTTTTTTTTTTTTTTTTTTTTACCTATGCAGTTGACCCAAGAGTAAGATAATGCTGTCATCACCAGTTTGAGAAATAAATTCATTAACAAGCGCGATCCCATTTTTGCCATGAGTAAGAATAGAAGAACAACAAGTATTTGCCAAGAGCCCAATATAACCATATAATACAATGAATTGACGTAGGAGTTGATTGCCACGTTTGATCTTTTCAGTATCATTATCTATTATAGAAAAACAAGAAGAAAAAAAAAAAGGAAAGTGTCGGAGATTACTTGATCATAAGAGGGAGGTATGAATATAAACAACTTACCTTGTACATCAATATAGTCACGAATAAGACTTTTATTTCCTGGTGTGTAGTCATCCAAAATAAATTTAGCAGAAGTTTTCACTTTTTCCACAATGGCCATAACAGTAGGAATTGGACTAACATCAGCAATCATTCGGAAGAGATAAGAAAGAGAATCAGAGGCAATTGACACAGAGAAATCAGCTGGTAACATTGGTAGAGTAAAGTAATCCAAAAGCATTTCAGGGCATCGATCTTTCACAAATTCTCGGATATTGGATTGATTTTGGAATAAACCTTCGAGGAACTATTTTTTTTTTGATGAAAAGAGAGAAAGGAAAAAAAAAAAAGTAGTTAGTATATGAAATAGAATATAAGTAAATCATCATCTTTTGAATTACTCTTGACACCAAATCGATAAAAGAGACCAGTAAACATTCCACTTTTTCATCAGGTTTGTTGTTAGTAATGTTATCGCTATCAGCAGTTGTCATTTCCACATCAGTGTTGTCATTAGATTTCACAAGTCGTAATAAATGACCATTATCACTTGGTTTCCCTTCTTCTTGTTGCCCCATATCCAATACCTTTTTGATCATTTGTGTAACACATTGAAATACATCTTGTCGCAATGAGGGATGATGTCGAATCAATTCATCCATTGTGTTACCCAATACAGTAGCACCTTCCAGTTCGGCAGGATTCCGTAAAATATCGTGGGAAGTCATCAAATCAAAAAAGTGAGGTAACGGTTTGATATCGTTAAACATTTCTAGACCTGGACCATTAAGACATAAAGCACCAAAAGCATGAACGGCAGCAACCAAAACTTCACCATTTGGATTTTCATAACGAGAAATAGTTTGAAGGAAACATTGTGGTAATTTTTGTTCTTGAAGAATAGCCAAAGAGGTTGGTTCGTTGTGAATAAAAGTGGATGTAACATTGGTAGCTAATAAGAATTAAAATGAATATAAGCTTTGTTTTTTCTTTGTCAATTATTCCTCCTCCTTTTTTTTTTATTACCTAATGCAAATACACTATTGCCAAAAACCTTGGGATTTTCAATGACTTGAATTAATGACGAAGGAGCCGAAGAATCAATCAAATTTCGTAAACCATCCGCCGTTCCAGTAGATTCCATCATTTTTATCAAGAATTTAAACATTGCCTTGACAAGGGATACACGATCATAAGGAGCCAAAGCACCAGTAGCCAGATCTTGATCAGCCAATTTTGTCTCGGTAGTTTCCATAGAAGTCGCATTCTCGATTCCTTGAGTTACTTCAGACTGATAAAAAAAGGAAAAGGGATAATGATCCTATTAATATACTGATTCAATATAATTATTATCAATGCCTCTTACCTTAATGCGAGCCAATAAGATATCTAAACCATTTGCATTACAGAATGCGGAAAATGATGTTGATATATTGTTCACAATCGTATCCAATAATCCGACGACTTTGGTGACGTTCTATTAATAACGATATCCAAAAAAAAGAAGAAGAAATATTGTTAGTACATATCCACTCTTTTTCCTTCCCTCTCATTGCTCTTTCTTTTTTTTTCTTTCTTTCTCTTTTTTTTTCTTTTATCATTCATGTTACCTTCAAATGAATCGATTCCTGATTGTCAACAATATTCAATAATGTAGGGATGACACCAGCAGTCATAAGCATTTGGCCACCAGGTTGTGTTTGTAATAGGTAAGCTAGAAGTGTGAATAATGATTCCAAAAACTCATTGGGAAGACCTAAAACATACACACACACACAAAAAAAAAAAGTAAGTAACACAGTTTTATTAGTACAAAGTTTTTGTTGATTACCATCAGGTTCAGTATGATTGTTAAGATGTCGTAAAATATATAACAAAGTACCATGATTCGCTGAAGCATTGAAAGCATGAAGAATTTCATTCAATTTGTTGCGGTGTCTTGCTATGGCATCTAACGCATATAATGCATATGTTTGAACATCCTAATAGACAGAAAGAAAGAGAGTTAATGAAATAAGAATTTCCTTTTTTTTCTTTTTTTTTTTTTAGAAGATACATACATAACAAACAGATTTTTCAGGATTGATAGCTTCGGCTAGATGAGAAACAAGATGAGGTTCATAGACAAATATTTTGTTTTGGGCAGTAGATTCGGATGCAGTATGGGCTTCAAAAGAAGAAAAAAGAAAAAGAGAAAAAAAAAAGGTGAGTATAAATGAAGTCTATCAACAATAATTTATCCTTACCCATTATAGAGAGAGCAATCAATTGAGAAATCAATAATTTTTTCCTTGCAGAAGAGTCACCAATATTATTTGCGATTCGAATACGATTGAGTAATTCAAAATGATATTCTTTTGGGATATGATGTTGTTCTACCAGATATGTAAACCATTCCAAATCAGATTTCTTTTCTTGTATAGAAAGATCTTCAGTGACAATATGAAGACCTTCATCATCATCTAGATTTGTTGAATCATTATTTCGAGTACGATAAAATTGTAATTTGATAGTAATCATTTCATTGGAAGGAGTAAATTGATTACTAGATAAAGATTCCAAATCTTGGTAAGGGATAGACCAACCACGAGCTAATTCCAGAATTTTATCTTGAGGAGCAACAAAACTTGATCGAATAGCTCTTGGATTATTGACGCGTTGTGCAGGTCTTAACATGAATCGTAAAATAGTTTCCAAAACGTCAATATCAGTTGTATTTAATAAAGCCGTCAAATGCTAATTTATATATAAAATATGAGTTTAATAAATTATAAAACAAAAACAAAAAAAACTTACTTCATAAGAGTTATAAATATTTCTGTTGGTACAATGTTCAAATAATGTAAGACTAAAGTTGGCAATGGCAAGAATCAATTGTTTGATAGAAGGATCAAAAGGAATAGTTTGTATTGTATCCAGTTTGTAATCATTACAAATACGTTGTAAAATAGTATCAAATCGGTTGAGTACTGTTACCCAATGAAAAAGATCCCCACGTGGATAAATCCATTTATCAAGTTGTTTAATCAAGTTGGGTATGTTAGCTTCGGCATCTTCTTCCAAGTGTTTGATCACAGTACGAAGTGGTAGAGGCTATATAAATAAATAAAATAATAATAGTAAAAAAAGAGTTTATAATAAATATTCTATTCTTTTTCGTTTTTTTTTTTTTTATTATTTTTTATTTTTACCAAAGGTGCTAGCTTTTTTGAAGGGGTCTTTTTGATCTTCATGATCGAGACTAAAAATTAAGAAAAAAAAAGGTATTAGACACGTAATGAGATCACGTCAGCAAAATAAAAAATAAAGAATACTTTACCAAAACAAAATCAGAATGTAAGAAATGTTTTGTCAAGTTTTAAGTGTTTGAATACACAATATGAAGATTTTATAATAAAAAGAAAAAAGAAAAAATCAAAAAGAAAATTTAAAAAAATAAGAAAAAAAAAATAAAAAGAGATTTGAGAAAAAAAAAAAAAAAAAAAAAAGAAAGAAAAAAAAAAATGGGGGGATTGAGAGAGAAAGAGAGAGAAAAACGAAGAAAAGGGGAATTTACAACTCAGCAAAAAAAACATGAACCCTCACAGTCAAAAAAATTTATTCGCTTTCAGCTTCTGCGGCAACATCTTGATAATAATAAATATTAATATGAAGAGAAAATTTAATTGGTTGAAAAAGAAAAGGGAAAAAAAATCAAATCTTTTTCATATTAATAAAAGAAAAAAAAAAATAAACCACTATAGATGGAAGTTTTTATGTATAGATGACATTATATAAACAGTGTACAAGAGCAGTTTTCTTTTAAGACAAAAAAAAACCCTATAGCCTTACGCGGTGTTTGAACATGGCATCAATGCAGATTGACAAAAAAATCAAATGGCCGATGCAGCACAAAAAAAAAAAAAATAAAGTATTTTTTATTAAGAATCAAAAAAAAAAAAAAAAAAGAGGGGAAAAGGGGATGATAAGGAATGGTTAATGAGGGGGTGGGATGAAGTTATCGGGGTATACAAAAGGAATGAGTCCCAAGAAAATATATATATATTAATGATGATGATGATGATGATGGTGATGATCATCATCATCTTGAGCATAATCTAATACGACACCAACAAATTCATCCAATATCTTTGTATTCTTAACATATTTGATATTGGTAGCATTTCCTAGTGGTTGTTGATAAGAAGAAGAAGGGTACAAGAATGTATGGACAGGAGGTAAAACAAGAACTGAAGAGGAGGTAGAAGATGATGATGGAGAGGAATCATCAGTAGTTGTGGTACTAATACTACTTTCACTACTGCTACTTGTTCGTCTTCTTAAACTTGTACTTGATATCAAAGAAGGGCATAAAGAATCAATCGACGGTAATTCAATCTTTTGATGAGGCATGTTGTAAAAAGGTAATTCTGATTTCCATACACGATTTTCTACATCATCACGTTCATTAGTATCATTTTCATCATCTTCATTTAATGATGATGATGACGATGATGATGCAGAGGGATGATGACGATGACGATGCATTTTTACTTGTTGAGTTGATGGTGGTGATGTGGATGAAAAAGCAGAGGTTGAAGAAGTAGTGGACGATGATGATGATTTTGATTTTATATTGATTCGTCTTCCTAATCGTCTGATGATTTCGTCCCTGATAAATGTTTGTTTTTCCAAAGAATCTTGATCACCAAACTTTTGTCTAGCCAATCTATATACACGACATCGTAAATCATTTTGTCGATTCTTTTCACGATTTTCAGCTCGCCACTTTCGCATTCTAATTAAAAAAAAAAAAAAAAAAAAAAAAATAGGTAAATGGAGAATAGCGGACTTGATTTGTTTTGTCTATGTATAATTTACCTTTCAGTTGTTTCTTCTTTAGAGACTACCTTCTTTGCATGACCCTTCCATCTTTTTTGATCACGACTCCTGACATAAGGAATGTTGTGAATGTTTGGATTCTCCATGTGTCGCTTTCTATTATTAGTTTTGATAAATGATAAGTAACTGAAAGTATTAAAAAAAAAAAAAAGGTACTGACTTACAAATTGGATCGTGTGGCAAACACTAAAAGGAGGAAAAGTAAGAAAAATAAAGAAAAAAAAATCAGTTTTATCAATATATGATGGTGATGATGATGATGATGATTTTATTACTTTTTGGGCATTGAGAGCAGGAGAAGATTCTTGTAAAGTCATCTTGTTGTGTCATAACCAAAAATGTAAAAAAGAATTAATTTTTTATATGAAAATATTATATAGATTACAATGAAAAAAAAAAAAAAAAGTTAAGAAAAAAAAAAGAAAAGAAAAAAAGGAAAAAGGAAAGAAAAAAAAAAAGTATCAAGTTTTATGTTTATGTTGTTGTTTTTTCATCTATCCTTCTTTAAATGCCGTCAACATAAAATTTTTTACATTCTTTTTTTCATAAGCATCAAAAAAAGTAAAAGGTGCACATATTGCATATATATATAAATCAATCCTTTTCGAATAACCGGGGTCAAAAAATAATAATAATACTGATGATGATCATATCAACTATTACTACTGTGACTATTACTCTTTTTCTTTTTCTTTTTATAATAATATAAATGATCTATTCATTCAAAATGATGAAAAAGAAAAAGAGTTCAATAAAATTGTATCTTTTACTACTTGTTCTATTGTTTTTTGTTTATTCAATCACTACATACCTAATTATTATGCATGTATGTTTGTCATATAACAAAACGGATCAACATCATCATCATAGGAATCATCATAGGAATCATCAAAATGGAATCGCATATATCATTCCCGGGTCACCCCCTTTGATTCCCTGGCTTTCCCTGTGATTTTCTGGTGTAAAATAAACCTTGCATTCCCAAATTCATCATAAATTAAAAAAGAAACAAGTGAATAAGAAATAAAAAAAAAGACTATATGCAAAAGACTAAGGCTACTCAAATACCAATCGGATTCATATAAATAATAAATATCATAACAAAAAAGCAAATAAAGCGGGGTAAAAGGGGCTTGATTAAATTTTTCACTCTGCTTTCCACACACACTCTTTTTTTTTTTTTTTTTTTTCTCTCTCTTTTTTTTTTTTTCTTCCCCTCTCTCCAACCCCCTTATTTTTTTTTCTCATCCTATTCAAATCAAATCCTTTGGAAAATACGCTTGATCCCTTGTTTTATCAAAAAATCATATATACTTTTACTTGTTTGAGTCGTCATCTTATCATTCAAGAAATCCAGTTTGTATCACAAACAGTAAACAATAACAATTCACTACTATCACATATCTACTACCATTACAACAATAACAACAAACATACACAATTGTATCACTCTGATAATAATAATAACAATAATAAAAAGACATTCTTTATTTAATAATCTATTCAATAAATTACTAAACATCCAATCAATCCATCAAATCAATCAATCGATCAAGTAATTCATTCATCATCCGTACATAAAATCTCTTGCTTCTTCTTCTTCTTCTTGTTTAGCCTGTTCTTCAGTTTCTACCTTGAAGCGACACATTGGGCATGTATGATGTAATTGTAACCATGGTAATAAGCATCCTTCATCAAAGTAATGTCCACTGTCAAAATAAAATAAAAAAGTTTTGAGGTAAACAAAAACAAAATGTCATTTATTCCCATGATTAACCGTCATCATCTTATTACCATGGCATCTTGGTCACCTTGTCTTGACTTGATTGTAATATTTCTTTGCATATAATACATGTTTCTTCACTATAAAAAAAAAAAGATAAAAGATCAATACTTATTCTCGTTTTGTTCTCCTTGATTACCTTGATAAAGACTTTTTGGCAATAGTGGGTAAAGAAATCATGAATCGGTGAGACGCCGGTGGTGGTCCTTTACCTTGACTTTGTGATTCTTCTAAAAGCTGTGATACTAAGTTGTCCAAAAATTGTTCTTGATTGACATCACCATGATCTTGCATTTGTTGTTGATATTGTCGAAAGAAACTGAATATGCATAATATACAAAGTTAGTTCAAATAAATACACACTTTTCTTTACTAGTTGACCTCCTTTTTTTTGGCATACTTTGCTGTTTGCAATAATTGATTGACATTATCTGTCGTCATATTCTGTGATCGATAGTGTTGAGAAGATAAAGATGTTGTTGGAGTCATAAAATCGTCAAGATCTACATTATACGTTTTGGCTGTTCCAGGTTTTCGTATATTGGTTTTGATATTAAGGTCGTCTAGTGTATATATATAATCAACTATGAGTTTTCATTTATTCATCATATTTCAATAAAGTTCTATAATAATATGTAAGTTGTTACCAAAATAACTAGCCATGGTCAAAGATGAAGAGAAAAAAAAAAAAAGAATTAAGGTAAGTGTTTGAAGACAAGAAAAAAAAAGCTAATTGCGTATTCATCTACCCAAAAAATATGGTCAGCTGGATATGAACTTCGATCCAAATATAGATATTGGAGAAAAGACAGAAGGGGCCAATCAAATATCAAATAAAACAAAATAGACAAAGAATATATAGAATATGAAGGATGGTTAATTCATTATTATTATTAAAAAAAAAGAGGTACTTACACTGTAAAACTGGTTAATTCTATCAAGCCACAAGAGAAGAACGAAGACAGGGCATCCGATACCATCCTGAAACAGTTGTTTGCTTGGTTGAGTACCAACCGGTTGACCACGCCACGGGCAAAGTAAAAGAGAAGGAAGTCGAAAAAAGAGGATAAACAAAGACAGAGTGTACCAAAGAGTAGAAAGAGAAGAAGAGGAACAAATACAAAAAAGGACCACAGAGACGCAAGATAAAAATCACACTATTAGTATTGATGATAATACAGGTGTAACTATAAAACAACGAGGAGCCAACCAAAAGACAGCGTACAATAAAACAGAGGAGACAACTTAGGAAGAAAAAAAAAAAAAGAGAAGAAACAAGTGATAAGAGCACACCAATAGGATTGATACAAACAACGGAAACCAAGGATAAACCAAATTAAGAGATAGTACAAGAGAAAGCGAGTTGCATATATGCTCTTGCAGTACTAGTTCCTCCTGTAGAAGTAAGGTACGTCCTGGAATTGTTCATGGAAGGGGATGCTTGAAGTCTTGAGAGCGTTCTTCATTTGATACTTGCAAAACATGGCGAGATAAAAGCTGTTTCGAGAGGCATTGATATGCAGTTCCACACCATATTACAGTCGCTGCAAACTATCACAGCACGTAGATGACCACAAGCACTTAGATCCTTGTTATGCATGCCGCTTGTGAAGTATTTCTGGCATACGTAAATTGAAAATTGAAAAATACCATTAGATTAATCTTTTTTTTTTTTTTGTTATTCTTTAATACCTTTGACGATATATATTCTTCATTAACTGATACAATAACTAGTTTGCCATCATGTTCAGCACGCTTGAGAGTCTTGTAAACATGCTTCACTATTCCATATTACTTTCCTTTCTAGGTTATTCCAAAATATTCTTCATCAATAGGCAGTATAAAAATATTGTCTGTTGGAGTAAAAAAACCAAGTTTTTGTTATTTGCTAGCAAAAAAAAAAAAAAAAAAAGTCAGTATTCAGCCGGTTATTGAACTTTCCTTTTTTGTTTTGTTTACTTACATGATATTAGTTATTTTATCATGCTGTTGAATAGGAAAGGAGTTGTATTTGAGGCCGCCTTTGAGAAAAATATTGACTACCTCGGCATCCATTTGATGTTGATCCACGTAGTTCAAGAATTGATCATTTGTGTATGTTTCACCATAGAAGCCAAGGATTGCTTGTAGATTCGACAAACTTATAAGTAGCATAGTCCAAAATAGACTCGAGAGCTTGAAGTCTTCGGTGTCGGTATATTTGCCTCAATATTGATAACGTTGTCCATATGATTACTCTTCGAGTCTTTGCTGCTTTGCTGTTTGTATAATCATACTGGATTTGGAGTACCATTCGGCTATCGATATACTTCTTTGTTCTTTGTTATCATTGTTGCCCTCACTTGTTCAAAAGGCCAATATTTGAGCTTGGTATGTTGCCAGCGATTCATTTCACGGTAATTATCGAGAGTCTTTACCATTGAGAGTTCATAGGGCATAGACGATATGGAGCATCCTTATAACCTTGTTGACTGCAATGGCGACATGTAAATTAGAGAAGAAATAATAATTTAAATAAAAAAAATAAGAGAACAGCGTTTATATATATATAATTACCTTGGTTTACTGCTTCAAGTTGGTTTTTCTCGTCTTGTTTTAACTGAATTAATGATCTCTTTGTTCCACAAAGTAATAAAGAAGGGTAAAGTCATTTGAAAAAGGAATAAACAATTTTCAAAAGAAGAGATTGAATAGAACTGGATATGTCTGTGGGAAAGAAAAAAGAAAGAAGAAGAAAAAGGAAAGAAAAAGAAATCAGAGGTATTCTTATCGCAACCGCACCAAAAGGTTTTCTGGGTTTCAACTTGGTGGATGCATTGATCAAATACCTAATGATTTTCCTTCCGTTGACAGCATACTATGTTGGACATTCAAGATAAAGTTCACCTTGATCTTTTTTTTTTTTTGTCTTTTCAATGAGGGTTTAAAGATATCTTTTTATTGAAAATGGAAAAAAAAAATTTAACGTTATAATATTAGGATAGGGGAAGAAAAAAAAGGGGTAAAAAAAATTATTATTTTTTTTTCTAAGCTAAGCGACCAACAGGTAAAGTAAAATGAGAAGATTCTTTGGTGAGCAAACCACTGAGAGCATTATACCAAGCAATAAATGCAGTGATTAAGCCTAGTACACCTCCTGCTTGCTGTGTGACAATGCTACCGTTGAATTTCGCCGCTGCCAAAAGTACAAAGGTGATGAAGAGCATAAAGAAGAGAGCAACAAGACCTACTGTCGAACGATGACAGGCAATCAGCATCACACCGGTAAAGATAGTCCAACCCAAGAGATAATAGCCCAACGATTTGTTCAGAGTCACTGTATCACCTTTATAGCTATCGATGACATTGAATGAAGGAATGAACATCATGCCAAAAGATAGCCAGAAACCACCATAACTAGAGAATGCAGTAGCACCAAAGGTGTTACCAGTCTATTTTTTTAAAAAAAAAAAATAAAAAAAAAGGAAAGGATATTAGTATTCATTTAGATCATTAACATCATCGCTATCATATGAATAATAATAATGATGATGATGATGTGATGGCATTGATGATGATTGATAGGAGGGTGAATGACTCACTCTAAATTCCCACATGCCAGCAAGTAACTATTTAAAAAAAAAAAAAAGTATGAAAAAGTCGAATGTCAGCATACCTTTTTTTTTGTAATGCCAATCATCATTCTATACTTTTATATAAAATAAAAACTTACTTGTACTAATCCACCGTAGCCCATTGCAAGGCCTGTAACCACACCATGAGGCGAAGTAGGAGCGAGTCCAGCACCTGCATTGTGAAGTGACAAGACAAATGTAGTTAAAGCGAATGCACTCAAACCCAATGGTCCTGGGTTAGCAATCACTACTGGTGCAACAGGAGGAGGAGGTGCTGACACAACTTGGAACTTGGATTCAATATCGTTGACTTCAATAGACATGATAGAGGGTGAAAAGAAATGAAATTAAAAAAAAAGGAAGACAAAAGAGAATACACCTTTAGATCCAAAAAAAAAGAAAGGAAAGACTTGTTTTTATATGTGAAACCTTGATTAAGTTTTTTTAAGGAGTCAAAGGGGAAAAAGAAAAGAAAAAAAAAAAGGGGATCGACCCTTTGAGGAGAAAAAAAAAAGCCATCCTATTGATCCAGATAGATAATATCGTATGTATGAATTTTCAATGGAATAAATCAATATAATTACATTGGATGATTTTCCATGCCTATTAGTTGAATATGAGGGAGAAAATTCTCTGGTTTTTTTTTTTTATTATTTGTTCTTTGACTTATCCTCTGATCTTCAAGGAGAATTCATCTGAAAACTAAAAGGATGATTCTTTTTTTTTATGATGCATGATACAGATGCCCCTTTTGTCTACATGTTAAAAAAAAAAAAAAGCATTGGAAATCTCCTAATACAATCTGTATATACCTCTTTTTTTTTTAAAAATAAAAAAAATGGTTGTCTGAGAAATGAGCTTCCTAAAGGGGATTCATAACCTAATTAGGTAAAAGGAAAGGTACATCCGTTTCTTTTTACGGATTGTTTTCTATTTTACAAGTTGTATCATCATCGTATAGTTGTTAGTCTGTTGCAACAACGATTATCTAGTCTAATATCACTAAAGATACTCATTCGTTTATTAAATAGAAATATTTCTGATACTGCATATGTTATAACCGGTCTTTTATTTGAGAAAATAGGAGAACAGAAGGTAAAGAATTGATCATCCATACAGTTTACTCTATCTATGATGATGGCCCTTTGTAATTAAAACTACTAAAATACTAACTATAGATTAATTTTTTTTTTACCCCACAGTTCTAAGAGAAAGATAAAAAGAAAAAAAAAGTGGCTTTGGGCAACATGTTCAAATGAACTTTTTTCATTGATATTTTTTTTTTTTTTTTTTTTTTTTGGTGATCCTTGGTAAGGAGAAACGAAGTAACACTTCTTCCATTAAAATACCGCTTCCTTCAAACTGTCAAAAAATCCACCAATGGTTTTTCATAGTAACATAAAAAAAAAAAAAGAAAGATGGCGCGGTCATGATTCCTCTGGGAAAAAGCTTAATAAAGCTCCCGCACGTGTAGATCATCACCATATTTAAACAAAAGAAAATCAACCACATTTTCAAAACATGGAATAAAGGAGGTGAAGAGTTCATATGATAAACCTTGAATTTCCTTTTCCTTTGAACGCTCCAAAAGGAAATCATGCACTACGAATTTGAGGATGGGTACACAATAGTTTATTTCTCACTATAAAAAAAAAAAAAAAAAAAAAAAAAAAAAAAAAAAAAACTGTGTAATCATCGATTAAGACAGGAGGATCAGAAAATGAGTGAATTGAAACTGGTACCACTTGGTATTACCATCACTTTAATTCCACTGTCATGCGTGATTATCTCCGCTCTTGAAATACAGTATCACTTATTTTTGTGATACCATTCATTTTTGTTTGTTCAAGGAGAGAGCTACCGAAAAAAAAATTACTCCAAATCAGGTCAATATTATTTTACTTGAGACCCATTTAAGAAAGAGGTAGATGATCATGATGACGATTCAATAAATCACAGTGGTAGATAAAAAAAAAAAAATGATGATGAAATCTGTTAATGTGGAAAAAAAAAAAAAGAATGGAACAAAAAAAGACAAATTATTCAGGGGGGCACGTATATCCATCTGCCTGGTTACCCACACACATACATATCCAGCTTATAAAACAAGCCAATAAATCATTCTGTATCAAATATAGATTGAGCTACACCAATAAATTGGATGGATGGATGTACATAGTTCAAATAAACAAACAAATAAATAAATAAACAAACAAGCAAGGAGCGATCGCCATCACTACCGTATCCTGTTTTTGATCAATCATCAAGTAACCTATCATAAATCGAATAATCATCTTTCTTTTAACCTATTTCAATCATCATCATCAAAAATCAATCTAACACCGATCATTCTAAAAGATAAAGAAAAAGAAGTTTTTTTTTTATTATTATTCAAGGAGGATTGAATTGAAAAGAAGACTATGGTAGTAATAATAATAATAATAATAATAAAGTAATATATATATAAAGTAGGACAAACTATACTAAAGAAAGAAAAATAAAATAAAATGCTATGCTATAGAGATAAGGAGTTATATGGATTAGGACAGACGACCAACAGGCAACAAAAAGTAAGAAGAATCCTTGGTAAGTAAACCGGCCAATGCATTATACCATGCAATAATAGCGGTCACCACGCCGAAAGCACCTCCTGCAATTTGTGTGGTTAAACTATTATTGAATTTGCCAGCCGCTAAAAGGATGAATGTGATGAAGAGCATGAAGAAAAGAGCGACAAGACCAACCGATGATCGATGAGAAGCAATCAACATGATACCAGTGAAAATTGTCCAACCCAATAGATAGAAACCAAGTGATTGATTCAATGTAGCCGTGTCTCCATTGTAACTTTGTAAAATACCAAAACCAGGAATAAAGATCATACCGAAAGATAACCAAAAACCACCATAACTAGAAAAAGCAGTAGCACCGAAAGTGTTGCCAGTCTAAAATAAAAGTAGAAAAAAAAAAGAGGTTAATTCAAACTTGTTTTCGGTTGTTTCAATTGTTCTATGCAACATTGGTTATGTAACTTACTCTAAATTCCCACATACCAGCAAGTAACTATAAATAATAATAAAAAAAACTGGTTACGATCTTCATTCATTCATGTATCTCGTAAAAAAAAAAAAAAAAAAAAAAAAGAAAAAAAAGAATTGTTACTTGCCTGAACTAGACCCCCGTAACCAATTGCAAGGCCAGTGACCACACCATGAGGACCAGCAGCATTCAAACCAGCACCAGCATTATGAAGAGATAAAACAAAGGTGGTCAAGGCAAAACCACTAAGACCCAAAGGACCTGGGTTAGCAATAACTACAGGAGCAACAGGAGGAGGAAGAGCTACTTGTGGATATTTAGCTTCAACATCGTGTTGTTGTTGTTGTTCAGTAGAGGACATTTTATGTACGAATTAAAATATGTAACTAAACTATAAAATCAAGGGAATTAGAATAATAACAAAAACAATGAAAAAAAAAGGAAAAAAAGGAGAAAGAAAAGAAAAAGGGGGGAAGGGCGTACTTTTATATTGTAATGTAAAAAAAAAAAAAAAAAAAAATTAAATAGCCGCATTGGGTGATGGCCATATCAGGAAGTCATCATTCCAAGTTGGAAGCAATACAATATTTGTGCTTTTATTTGAGCTTTTAATAGATCAATCTTTTTGTATACATTGTTTATAATGTTCTTTTTCAAAGTCCTTTCTCAATCCTAAAATAATAACTATTTGGTTTTATTTTGATTGTTTTCTGGCTTGGATCATTCAAAAAAAAAATATATATATATATAGAGAGCTCAAACACAAAAACAAAAGTGGCTGGAGGGAGAAAAAGGGGGAGAAGGGGTGATGATAGTACCATCATCATCACCCATCCTTCATTACAAAGACAGAACCCGCGAACAAACAGTAAGAGAATGAAAGAAAAAGAGACGTGCAGGTGGCACACTGCGTTTGAACTTTTTTTCGGATGAGTTACCTAATATGGTTCTTCTTCCAGACAAACACCACTCACATCGCGTGTGAAAGAGAATGAAAAAACTATAACGTGTAGTTAGAAGGTTTGGAAGTGGTAAAAAAAAAAAAAAAAACCAAAGAAGATAGACTTTCCAAAACCTTAATAAAAATGTGATGCACCAACGTTATGGCTTTTGTTCAGTTTATTTGTTTATAAAAAAATCAAGCCTTTACTCTAACTCTATTCAAAACTATATTACACCTTTTTTCTTTAAAAAAAATTATATTATGATAAGATCACATTCAATATTCATTATATACTATCATATTGAAAAAAAGGAGAATTCAAAAAGAAGAATCGGACAAGTAGAAAATCATAAAGACCTCGATGTACGATTCTGTTTTCAAGTTCCACATAGTCATCAACGTGTAACGATCACCAGTAAAATGTAAAAAAAAAAAAAAAAGCCTCTTCCACAGATTCCATAAAAAGAAACAAGATTCAATACTTTATTTTTTGATCGAATGACTGAACTAGAGTATCACTAATACAATATCTATCCAATAAATGAGTATTGTTTATGATTGATAAATCTATTCATCCATCCATCCATTTATCCAAATATGATGCAAATCATCGAACTGCCTTGTTCCATGTAGCCATAATTCTTGCTTTTCCTTGCATTAAACTTTTTTGTTTTGCAGTATTCATCCATTGATCGGCGTATTTCACACTAGTATTTATCCGTTTCCATCCAGTTGTTGTTGCACAACTGACCAATTAGCCAATCAAGACAAACTAAATAAAAAAAAAAAGACTGGGGTAAACTACTCGTTCTACTTGTTAGAATATGATTTTCTCGATCATTTTTCCCATAACCAAAAAAAAGAAGCCAAAAATAGCTTTAGATTTACTTTTTTGATCAGCACCTTGCTTTGCCATTCGAGTACATTCTTTGTTGTAAAATTGTTCAACTTAATTCACCCTTCGATCTCTTGAGTTGTATCCATTGAACGTGATGAATAAAATCCAAGTACAAAAAAAGGTCAAGATAATGATAAATTGATAAAAAAAAAGTGATGGTGTTCATGTTATAGCGCTTCGTCATATTCCCATTGCTGTGTTGTAGTTTCAAAATAAAACCTACCTGCCTTGATTCCTGGGAAAACCTTGAACCAATACATAATCTATACATAAAACAAAACAAACCAGTGGTAATAAATAAAATACTGAATGATGAATTTTACCTCCCTTATTTCACATGTCATGCGTATCCTCTATTGATGCTGAAACTATATTTTCCTTGTCCATTGTCATCCTATCTCCAAAAGTACTTCCATAATAAGTAAAATAATCCTTGCTCAAAATATATCTCTGTATCCTGGTGATAAAGGAAACAATAATAATAATAAAAAAAAAGAAAGGAACAAGGAATAAAAGATGAAGAACAATTAGTAAAGTGGTTTTGTCACTTTGTTTGTGTTTACCAAGTTCTCGATAGAGATTCACCTTTATAACTTATTTCGCCATTGATATTCAGATACGTTTTCATTCATAGAATGATTTTAAATGTCTAGTTGACCTGTCCCATTAGATAGTAAGGAAAAAAAAAAAGTAGTCCAAAAAGGATGAATCCACTCTTATTTTCAACCAAAGTCATTGTATATCGTACATGGTGTGAATATCGTTTTGAGAATGAATGAAAGATGGAATGTAAAGTATGTGCAAGTGATAAAAAAAAAGGAAAAAAAAAAAAGAAAAAAGGAACAAAATGAAAAGAAAAATATATTAGTTAGTTAGACTAGAAATTACAGCACCGCAAAAGAACAAAAAGAGTACATAGCGATCTGATTAGATCAAAAAAGACAAACACACACACTCCGCTATCTTACTTATTATTTAAGTGATCGATTTACACTTGATTCAGAACATAAGATCGGAAACGTACGGAGAGGATCGGTACAACAAAGGCTACAAAAACCCTTTGTTATACCTGTTGGGTATATTTTTTCGCACGATGAAAAAGATCGACAATAGTTTTTTTTTTTTTTTTTTAATGAATGATAAGGATATAAATGAATGATGAAGAAATAATAATAAAATATAAATACAATAGAAGAAAGTAAAAAAAAAAATGATCACGATCATCATAAATAATTAAGGAAGACGTCCAATGGGTAAGACAAAGAAAGAATTGTCAGGAGTTAACATACCAGCCATAGCATTATAAAAAGCCAACAAAGCAGTGATCATACCACATACACCACTAGCCACGGATGTAGAAGTACTTCCATTGAATTTACATGCTGCTGTTAACACATAAGTCAAAAATAACATAAAGAATTGGGCCACCAAAGTAACGCATGATCGATGAGCTGCTATTAACATCAAGGCTGTGAATAAGGACCAACCAATCATATACAATCCAAGTGATTTATTGAAAGCATCCGTTTGCCCACCATACCCATCGATTATTTGAGAACTAGGTAAATAGATGAATCCATAAGACACCCAATATGCCCCATAGCTTGTGAATGTAGTAGCACCAAATGTATTCCCAGTCTACACAAAATAAATAAATAAATAACGATTCATAAAAAAAAAAGCTTTTTCATGTATATCGACTTACTTTGAATTCCCACATGCCGGTCAATAACTAGTCAGTATTATCATATATACATAAAAAAAAAAAAAAAGAAAAGACAATCGAAAGAGTTAGTATGAAAGAGTGATGATGATATTTGATACTGATTATCATTCTTTTTTTTTTTTTTTTTTTTTTTTTTTTTTTTTTACCTGACACAATCCACCATAAAATAAAGCAATACTGATGATGATTTGTTGAGGACCTTCCAGAGATACACCAGCACCAATAAGATGAAGTGATAAAACAAATGTAGTCAATGCAAAAGCGCATAGACCAAGAGGAGCAGGATTCGCAGTGACCATATGAGCAACAGGAGGTGGTGGTAAGGGTAATGATGAATTGGTTAGTGTAGAAGGTGATTCTACCATCGCATCATATTTGTCAGTCACTACTTCGATGGTTTCCATGGGCATTGTTTTATTTTAATAATAGATGGGATGCTATGAAAGAATGATGATGATGATGATGATGATGACAAATGGGTATAATATAAATATTTATCTATATATAAAGAAACAATAAAACAAGCTAGGCTTGAATGTTTGTATATATATGTATTTTTATTTTTAAATCCTTGGTTTTGTTTTAGAAAAAGAGGAAGAGGAAAAGGAAATGGGGTAAATGAAAGGTGGGGAATATATATCATCACACAAAAATCAATTGATAATCCGATAATACTTCTTTTAAAAGGAAAGAGTATAGTTAAAGCGAAAAATATACAACTCTATGTCTAACTTTAATGTTGTCACAGTAATAAGGTTCATGATCCAACTATACTGTGTAACGTACTAATGGTATATTGCTAAAAAAGAAGTGCTTCGAGCGTTAATAAAAAGAGAACAAATAGATCACGAGTAGTACAATGATGATGATGATGATGATGATGATGATGAGTGAAAAGTAAAAGAATAATTCTATTTAAAAAAAAAGAGAAGTGATGATAAATGGGTAAGTGAGAAAAGAATATACTATATGGTATATTTTCATTGCCGACTGATCAATTGCACCAATAATACATCCTCAAAGAATCCCATATATAGCATGGATGTTTGAGCATCCATTTCATCTCCTCTTGTTATTAAAAGAAAGTATTTTTCTCCCGACGAAAATCAATTTCAATTGATCCATTTATATATCTTATATTACAAATGCATCTGCATATACTTGAAACTTAATAAAATAAAATAAAAAAAAAGAGTGTAGTATTTGGTATCATCATATTTTGCATTTGACCCTGTACTCAGAACGGTCTTTCAATTTTCCAGCATGAATAGGATTGGGAGAAGGATCATAAGCCACATAGCCACTGAACACAAAAAGAAAGACATAGTCGGAAATCTCATCTTCATTCTTTTTTCTTCGCTTTATAATGTTCTTTGACTTGAATATACCTGTACCGTCCCACTTGGATAGATCAGCACGCGATAAACTTAAACTGATACTCTATAGAGCAAGTCAATGTATGTAGTCTAAAAGAATCTTATGTATTAGGAAAAGAAGCTACACTAGCTAATTCTTTTTTTTTTTTTTTTTTTTTTTTTGGAACAGGTGATGATAACCAAGTTGTGGTGGCACTCAACTCGACTTTGACCCAATATCCTATCAAGAACGTAAGGAAAAAAAAAGATAGATAAAATAAAAGAGTATTTACTGGATAAAATAATGATAAATAAAAAAGAACATTCCTTTTTGACAAAGTCTTTCTTTTTATTATTATTATTATTATTATTATTATTCGTTTGCAACTCACTTTTTTTTCGTTTAGGAACTAGAGTTTACATCTTCAGAACAATACGATAATATGAAAATACTTCGACGAGTGACCATGGAAATTGATACCTTTCTGGATAATGTACAGTAAACACGTGTAAAAATAGAGAAGGAAAGTATGGTTGAATGACTAACATACTTGTTTATGCATCTTATTTTTGTTTTTTTTTTTTTTAGAGTAGTTGGGAAACTTTACAAGCGAATTACGATTTGGTAGCGTTACAAACGAATGAACGGAATGTATTCGAACAGGCATGCCAATCAAAATATATCGATATTATTTCATTGGATTGTACACAACGATTACCGTTTACTTTGGATCCGATGATGATACAAAAGGCCATCGAAAACAACATTTACTTCGAACTATGTTATGCCCCAGGGATCAGAGGTAAGAAGGAAATTTAAATTAGATGGATTCAAACGTGTTTTGGCTAAACCAACAATTATTATTATTATTATTATTTTATATTTCAGATGATACAAGTCGTGGTTACGTATATCAATTAGGTCTAGCTTTGATTTCAAGTGGTGTGAAAGATCATTTAATTATATCAAGTGGTGCTATCATTGTATCTGAACTTCGTGCTCCTTTTGATATCTATTATTTGTAAGTATTGATATGATCTCTATGACCAAAGTTACTCACATTCTTTTTTTTATATATATATAATAAAAGTGCAAAATCTTTCGGATTAGCAAATGACGAGGCGAAATTCACTTATTGGAAAACTCCTGAATCACTGATCACTCTGAAATCATTATAAATAGTTAGTTATTCCTCCCACTGATCATCATCATTCCCAATATCATTATCATTAGTACTAGATGATCATTTAGACCATTAGTCTTTCTCTTTTTTACATTCGAATCATTTTTTATATAAAAAGAATTGTATTATACATTTTATTCATTTTTGTTCCAAAAGATCCTGCGGACGAGCCCGTTGTTCGAATGCCGCTAGTCACTAACAATTCAAAACTTTTTTCTTTTTTTCTTTTCTTTTCCAGTAACCTCCCTCCCTCTTTTTTTCTTCTTCTTTTTTTTTTATCACTCTCTTATTCTATTTACTACTCTTTTTGTTGATGTCAAGATGAAAATTAGAGATCTCGGTCAAGAAATCCCTGGATTGATTCTCATTGATGATTTTGTGACGGAAAAAGAAGAAGCAGAACTTGTGGATCAAGTCAATCAACGTCCATGGAGTGGATTAGGTCAAGGGTAATAAAAACACTTGGTATTATTGACCAGGTGAAGGGCACTTGAAAACAATATGGAGAGGAAAAAGGTATTCATTATTCCTCTATGTCTTTTTTTTTTTTTTTACATCTCTAGACCAAATCCTGAACTCAAAAGACGAACACAACAATATGGTCATTTGTTTAGTTATCGATACCGGTAAGAAAGAAAAGAATCCAAACAAAAGACAGAAACTTGAAAAAAGAAATAATAAATATCATTTACACTTTCTTATGGTACTCTTTTTCTATGTATCTAACACCATATGATGGAATAGGAAAGTACTGGAAGAATATGGACCATTACCATCGTTTATTGATCCAGTAGTACAACGCATCATGTCACACCAACTTATGCCAGAAAGTCCAAATCATTTACTAGTTAACGAATATAACGAAGGTCAAGGCATTATGCCTCATATAGGTAAAAAAAAAAAAAAAAAAAAAAAAAAGAACAGTATATGAATAGTATGCAAGTGAAAGAAATAAAGAGAGTGATGGAATACAAAAGTTAGATGATTCACTATACATATTCAACAGATGCTCCTGCGTTATTTGGTCCAGCTATCTTATCCTTGTCTTTATTATCAGCTTGTCTTATGAAATTTACTCATGCCACAACTGGTCATAGTATTGATGTCATACTACGTAAGTTAAAAAAAGATAAAAAGATGAAGGGGGCGTATGTGTTCGTAGGAGATGGAGGACGACGATGATTCCTTCACTTTGTTGATCATATTTCCTTTATTCTGTGGAATATATAGCTCGTCGATCTATGGTGGTACTGACAGGTAATGCTAGGTACAATTATAAACATGGTATTTCCAAGGACTTGGTGGAAACAGCATTGGATGGGACAATCATTCAACGTGCACAAAGAATTTCATTCACTTTTAGACAAATCATTGCTTGGGAAGTTCCTCCAGAAGCAGATGGATGTGGATGCCATAGCAACAAGGATGACAAGAAATCTATAGATTAGATATATATATATATAAGCTTAGAATAGAAAACCCATGTTTTTCATAGAGTTTTACATATTCGAATAATAATAAAAAAAGACATTTTTTATACCAACTATACTTTATTATTCCAATTACGCAAGTCCTTATTGTAAATGAATATGTGAATACAAATAATAATAACAATAATAGTATATATAATCTATTCTAGTGGATAAAAAAAAAAAAAGAAGACGAGGAGAAAACAAAACTAATAACATGGTGGATGAATGATGATTTGAATGATGATAATAATGAGAAAGGTATAAACTAAAGAAGAAGAAAAAAAAAGATGGAGTAAAATGTCAAAATAAGAATAATAGTAAAAGAAGAATATGTCATTGTTGTGATAGAGATCCAATCCACCGAGGAAAGAAAAAGCAAAAGAAACCAATAAGTTTATGCCAATCCCAGTTCGTTTTTGCTCCATTCATATGTAACATAACTAATACTGACAGCAGGCACAACCTAATCATAATCATTAAAAAATATCGCATGAGATTGCAATTTTTTTTTATATAATGTCCATTACCTTGAGAAGAGTTGGGCCAAGCCCTTTATAAAATCCACGTATACCCTCAGTTCGAAATGTTACTTGAGCCGCATCCCATGGAGATGAATAATACCTTGGATGAGCAGGTGTTCCTTGAGCTTGTAATCTATATATAAAGAGAAAAAAAAAACAATATATATGATCAGTCTATGAATGGATGATATTCCCTTTCTTTTATACCTAGTTCGAATCACATTGAGAGGGTATACACTTGTAGCACCAATAGAACCACTCACCATCCCACATGCCCATAATACAAACACACTAGGCTGCTTTTGTTTGTCAGAATGAAGATTTTCTTGATCAGTATGTCGTAAATATCCAAGCTTTAATGTTTCATAAATGCCTATCAGAAAAAAAAAATTGAATAAACTTTGTTTCTCTTGTCCAATTGTTATTATATCTCCTACCTAAATCCATGGCTTGGTAAGGAAATACACCTACCAGACCAAGGGTCAAACCAGGCCAAAACGCACGAAGTCCAGCTCGAGTATACATGGACTTGATAGTAGTAAAAATGACAGAACGTGATGCCCCATTAGCCAACGAAAAAGATGACAATAACGGTGATGATGATGTTGTTGTTGTTGATGTCGTTGTGATGGTTTTCATAGATTCTCGTTGAAGTGACATGATTCGCGTTTTCAATGTTTCTACAGGATAGATGAAGAATTGAGAGCTAAGACCTGCCATACCACCAGCAAGAAATCGTGCACCTGTTGGTATTGAGTCCTTATCTTCACAATGTAATGCTTTGGCTAATAATCCTTTACAAGTTTCATATGAATAAAATTTGATGGCTTCCCCATAAAAAAAAAAAAAGAAAATATCAGTCTAAACCTCTTTCTAATTTATAATTGTTATTTTTCATTTACCTGATTCTGGCACAATCTTAAAAATATTCAATCCATTTCCAACAAAAAATCCACGCCAACCACCTTTTGCATAAATGGCCTTGATAGCTTCCTTCAGTGTTAATGATCCGCCTTTGGAACTATCTGTAATCAAATATACCTTGAGTCGATCAAAAGGAGCAGTACATGTTCGAGATACAGCACCAGCCAAACCACCTGCAAGTAGATACTTGATAGCATGATGAGATGTTTCGTCTGTTGGAGGAATGATCACTTCGGCATCTTGAGTCAATTGTGTTGATGTTTCATAATAACGATAAATTTCACTGACACTGGTTTCAGGGAGTAACTATAGTAAATAATCATTAGAACCATATAAATAGTTGATTTCCCTCCTATTTCCCTTTTATTACCAGTAAAAAGTTCTTGAATTCATAAAAATCAATTACTCCATTGCCATCTAAAATCAGAATAAAAAAGAGTCAATCACTTTTTTTTTTTTTTTTTTTTTGATAATTTGTTCATTTCTATAATGATTTTTTTTTTTTTTTTTTTTTTACCTAAATCCATCCATTGCATAAAATTCATCAATTCTTCTTGAGTAATTGTAATACCCGCTTCTTGTAAAGCCATAGCTAGATCACTTGGTAGTAAGGAACCATCTCCACGAGTGTCCATCCGTTGAAATAATTGCCATAGTTCCTCTTCCTTTTCATGTACATAGGTTTTGAATTCATCATAATCAACCACACCATCTTGACTGGTATCACATTGAGCCAAGAGTTCATTGACGAATTTAGTGCGAGCTGGTAAATGGGTCATGGCTGTCAAACCTTTTTCAATACAATCCCTATCCAAAAAACCTTGGTGTCTACGATCCAAAGAATCAAACAAAGCTCGAATCCGATCGTCTCGTTCTCGTGGTGTCTCTGATAAGTAAAACCCCGTGGCTTCAGGAATGTCGCTGGTCATAGATGTTGCTGCTTCTAATGCTTTGGTTTTATCCTGGTCATTGTTGGAACCTTCATAGTGTTGACGGAAATGTTGTTGATGATACCGTTGTTTACCTACAATCCATCTAACTTTATCATTGTTGAGAGGTATGTCTGTCTGGTTTGGATCTGTCGTTGTTGTTGGTGTAGATATTGACGAATGAACCATATTGCATCGTATAGAACTGCCACTTCTTTTTCTATATATTGACAGAAGAAGAAGGAGAAGTACAAGAAGAAAGCAAATGCTTGTGTAAGGGAAGCGTGAGAAAGAAGATAAAAGAGTTGTTGTTCGAATAAGATAATAATAAAAAAAAAAAGTAAAAAAAAAAAGACAACTAATGAAAATTTTAGCGGGGTTTGCCTTATGACTGTCTGAACATATTGGCCAATCAATGAAGAACTTAAAGCAAGGTTCGGCCATTGGAATCTATCCGTTTATGATATATATAAAAAAGAATCTTTCTTTATTTGATTCTATATAAAAATATGATATTAAGTTATTGTGACCATCTTTGATTTAATCATTCTTTCAATCATTCTTTTTCTTTTTTTTTATCATCGCACAGAAAACCGTAGAAGATCACCAAAAACGGGAGGACTCGTGAACTCTTTTTTTTTTTTTATTTATTGTAGATTAAACTTCATATGGAACAAGCATGAATCTCTAGAAATCAATAAACTGGGCCCTCAATAATGATGCAATTGGCATGAACCTTAAAAAATCAGATGCACAGATGATGATGACTCTTAACTACAAGCGGTGTTTTAAACAACAGAGAGAGAGAGAGAGAGAGAGAGATAATTTTTGAATTTCTTTTCTTTTGTTCTTTTCCTTTTTCTATTTTTTTTTTTTTTTTTTTTTTTTAAAAAAAAACACACTCTCTATATACCATGAATGCCATTGAACAATTAGCTCGTGATGCCCGTTTGGCCTCTGTTAGTTTACAGTCTGTCACCAATGAACAAAAGAACGAAGCTCTATTGCGTATCAAACAAGTCTTGGCTGAACGAAAACAAGATATTTTCAAAGCCAATGAAAAAGACAAGGAAGTAAGTGACTACATTGTCTTCTTTTTTGACCATTCTATTCATAAGCATTTCTTCTTCTTCTTATGGATAGTTAGCAGAAGTACAAGTCAATGCTGGTAAGCTCTCAGGTTCTTTATTCAAACGGTTGGATATTTGCAATGGTGACAAGTTTGAAACAATTCTCTCTGGTGTGAGCGACATTACAAAGCTCGATGACCCTACCAAGAAAGTGACTATGGCAACCAAGGTGGATACGGATCTTGCATTGTATCGAGTCACGGTTCCTGTAGGAGTACTATTGACCATTTTTGAAGCTCGACCTGAAGTAGTGGTAAATATCTCCTGTTTAGCTCTCAAGTCTGGAAATGCTGTGATTCTGAAAGGTGGTAAAGAAGCTACTCATACCAATGCCATTCTAGCTTCTGTTATTCAAGATGCTTTATCATCCTTGCCCGATTCAAATCCTATTCCTAAAACTGCTGTGCAAATCGTCGAAACGAGAGAAGATATTTCTGCCTTACTGGATCTTGATCGTTATGTTGATATGGTCGTGCCTCGTGGTAGCAACAGTTTGGTCAAATACATTCAAAACAATACTAGGTAAAAAAAAAAAAAAAGAGTCAAATCATCAAATTTAACAATCATTTTATTTATTTTAGAATCCCTGTCTTGGGTCACGCTGATGGAATTTGCTCTGTTTATCTTGATAAAGAAGCTGACGTGATAAAGGCTACAAGAATTGTTGTGGATGCAAAGGTAAAAAAAAAAAAAAAAAAAGAGATCCAAAAGAGAGGGACAATTATCATCATGGTAGTGATACTCATCAATTTTTCTTTTTATATAGACAAATTACCCTGCTGCCTGCAATGCTGCTGAAACATTGCTTGTACATGAAGACTTATTGAAAACCGATGCTTTTGCCAAAGTTGCTCAAGGATTACTGGATGCGCAAGTGACACTGAAATGCGACAGTGTTTCTCAAACATATTTGCAGACAAGATACGGTGATAATGAACAATACAAGACCAAGCTTGAATCTGCTGTGGAAGAAGATTATTCGACTGAATTTCTGGATCATATTATTGCGGTCAAGGTGGTAGGAGATGTAAGCGACGCGGTGGAACATATCAATGATCATGGATCCAAACATACTGATTCGATTGTGACCGAGAATGCCGCGACAGCCGATTACTTTATGACCCGTGTGGATGCCGCTGGATGTTATTGGAATGCAAGCACTCGATTCGCTGATGGTTTCCGATATGGTTTTGGTGCCGAGGTCGGTGTCTCCACCAACAAGACGCATGCCCGTGGTCCCGTTGGTTTGGAAGGTTTGGTCATTTACAAATACAGAGCCTATGGCAATGGTAACATCGCTGGCGATTATGGTACAGGCAAGAAACCCTTTTTACATGATCCCATCTCCCCTTCAGATTATCATTTATAATCTGCCTTCCTTCCTTTTCTTTATGTATTATTATCATTATCCTTCTCATACTGATAGTTTAGGTTAGTTTAGTTGATCATCATGGTTATTCTTTTTTTTTTTTTTTATGTATACGATTTGAATAAAAATAAAATAAAATAAAATAAAAAATAAAACGATCTGGTCTTCTTTTATAGCTTTCAAAACCAAACATGTTTTATTTTGTTTTTCTAACGTAAAAAAAAAAAAAAAAAAAAAAAAAAGGATCATGCCATGAAGCATCTCCAGATCATTTATTCATCCATATACCATTTAGATATTAAACAATACAAAGTCACTTTCATATTCAGTCCAGAAGAAAACTAGTAATAAAACAATGTAGAAACTTTTTTTGTATAAAAATCGATTAGAAAAAGAGGATCATATGTCTAAAAAAAGAAAGTAAAATCAACCACATAAAAGATTGGATAAAACAAATATAGTATATTTTATTGATATATTGATATATTGGATAAAATGTAGATATAAAGGAATAATAGGATGTGGGGGGTAAATATTGAAGAGTAAATTGAATGAGACTAATAGCGCCAAAAAAGGAAATATGAGAGAGAAAGAGAGAGAGTAACTTAGGATGTGAACCGACTAAGGAGATCCTTGACTTTACTTGTGGTAACAGGTTGTTTTTGTTGTTGCTGATGAATGGTCTTGATAGGTGTGGCACTGGCAGTATCCAAAGTGACTGCTCCCGTAGTGGTGGTTGCATTGGTGGTAGGTGATGTGCGATCTGGTTGTTGTCGTTGCTGGACAGGTGTTTGTGGTCGAGATGAGGTAGTGCTTGAATCTGCAGGTGATTGAGACGCCAATTCATTTTTGCTATGATCACTATCATTCCCACTTGTTTGTTGTTCTTCTTGTACAGCTTGCAGGTCGGAAGTATCCTTTTTCTCTTTTGTCTTTTCTGTCGATGTAATGTCGATTGATGTTGTAGAATCAGTCGTAGTCACGATATCAACATTACTTGCTGTGGTGGGTGCTGCTTTTCTGGAAGCCAAGACCTGATAAAAAATCATAAATGAATATTAGTAAGACACTTGACTCTTTTTTTTTTTTTTTTTTTGATGATGATGATGATTATCTAATATTACCTTTTTTGTCGCTCCTTGAACAGAATTATTCTTTTTGTCAGTCGTCGTGTTGGTATCAGGTCCAATCTTCTTTGACTTAATAGCGGTGTTTTTCACGGGACGGGGCTGTTGTCGAAGAGTCGAGGTGGATTCCTTTTTACTAGCTGTTACTGATTCCGGCTGTTTTCTCCTTTGTTCCAACTTGAATGTAGCTGTCACACTTGTTCCTTTTGCTGTCGTAGTATTAACCGAAGGTGCTGACGGTGAAGATGTTGATGAGGTTTGTTGTCGTCGAGCACTAGAGGCTGTAGGTGCAGTCAATCGAGCGATAGCATCGTGTGAAGCTTTGATCTTGGGTTTCACAATTGGCTGTTGTTTTTCTTGTTTTTCTTCACTATTTGGTAATACATTCTTGTTGCTTTGATTGGCAAGGAGAGCTACACGTGGAACCCTTGGAACTTTCTTCTTTGTTTCGTCCATTGATGATCTCTTGTCCTTTCCAGTATCAGATTGTTGTTGTTGTTGTTGTTGTTGTTGCTGTTTGTCGGCTGGTTTTCCAGTAGTGCTTGTTGGTCTAGTCAGTCCTGTTGCACGAAGTTTAGATTTTACTGGTGGCGAGGGTGGTGTATTTTTGTTGGATTTGGCATCAGGTACCTTTCGAGTTGTTGGCCTACTTCCAGATACTTCACTTGATTGTTTTTTGTTGTTATTATTATTGTTGTTGTTTTCGTTGTTGGTGTTGTTGACAGTATCACGGGATGCCTTTTCGGAACCAATATCCTTTTTTGTTGGGGATTTCTTCTTTGGCGCCACATTACATACGTCTTCAGTTTGTTCATCGCTGTTGTCAGGTTTTGATTTCACTTTGTTGGTGGTCACTTCAGCTTCCTCTTTTGTCGTCGTAATTGGTTCAGTAGTGACAGGAGGATTCGGTATCTCTTCATTGATGGATTCTACTGATTCCGGAATTGCCGTAGACTGCTCGGATGATGTCGTAGGCTGTTCGAGCGATGGATTGTTTAATGACTGCAAGTTCTGCTTAGGATCGTCTGTTATAGTTGAGTCTGGTTCTTGTTGTTCTTCTGTAGTTTTAGGTGATGATGATGTTGATGATCCTGAGGTAGCCGATGTTGATGGTGATGTAACTGATGGTTGTTCAATAGCAATTGTTGATTCATCGACGGACTCTTTCGAAGGTAAAATTGTCGTAGTGGGAGGGTTTTTTGCTGGAGAGGATGAGACAACTGTTTGTGTATCACAATGAGGAGCTGCATTGAAAGTAGCGATGGCCACGGTAGTAGAAATAGCGGTAGTGATTGCTAAGTTATCGACTGTTGTTGGCAATGATTGCTGTTGTTGGTTAGTATCAACGTCAGAAGAAACAGAGATAGGTGGTGTTGGAGATAGAAGCATATCAGTAGATTGAGAAGTGTTTTTTGGGTGTTGAGAGATTTCTTCTTCAGTTGATATAGGTTTTTGTGAGGGAGGATTGCTTGTTTCGGGAGGAGTTTGTGTCACCGTATCACCTTGAACGTTCACCGTAGCACTTGATACAAGTTCTCCTGATTTGTTTGACTCCGCAGGTTTGAATAAAAGTTCCAAATCCCTTTTGACAATATCTTGAGTGTTGCTTGAGTAGACACTATATTTATAATAAGAGAATAAAAACGGAGGTCAGTGAATAGAAGAGCTTGCCTTTTCAGGAGAAAAGGAGGGAAAAATGGTTAAAAAGGGAGAAAGCATGCACCAATAATAATAAAGCGCATCAGGTTATTATTATGTTATTATTTTTTTTTCTTTCTTTACCTTTGGGGATCCATCATACGGTTTTTCTTCTTAGTACTGTTTTGATTTGTCACCAGAGATAAGAAAGATTGTACTGCATTTTCTTTTTCCAGGACCACCACTTGAACTTGATCACTAAAAAAAAAGAAAGAAAAATGTTATTAATTCATTAGATGTTTGGATACAGTAAACTATTTCTTGATGCAATGTTATGCATATAATAGATAAATAAATAATATTTTTTTCTTTCTTTCTTTTACCTTTGTGATGATTTTTTCCAGCCATCAAAAAGTTGCCGATAGTGAAGCTTCGTTTCTTTTTCATCATACGCATATAGGATATCTATTTGTTCATCTGATAGTTTCATAGACTGTTGTTGGAGCACATTATAACCATTTTGTTGAAATCCTTTGATGGTGGTGTCCTTATCGATAATGGAAGACGCCATGATAATAACCACAACACAATCGTGTGATGATAGATATGCTGTTATTGTTTGTTCTTGTTGTCTAGTCGTCAGATCCTCGTCAGATTGTGTTGATGATGTCACAATAGTATCACATGTTGCACTTTTCTCCAAATCCATGGAAGAAGGACCATTTTTATTGTTATTATTATTGATGTCATCCAAACCGCATTGTTCTATAGGCTTTTTAGCAAGATCACTACTATCGTCCCTAGCTTGTTTCATATTGAACCCTATTTTATTCATAAAATCAGTGAGTAAAATTTGATCTTTTTGTAAGAAAACACGTCTTTTTTCTTTACCTATAGTTTCGACACTTTCAACAGTTGTAGTCGGATCCTAAAAGGATAATAATAACCAAAAAAAAGTTCAATACAGAACTGTTAAAAGCAATTTACTTTTTTTAAATTCCTCTCATTTAATTTTATATACCTTGTTTTCAATTGTCATGTTATAATGTAGAATATTTAATAAAAAGAAAAAGAAAAAAAAAAAAAAAGGAAAAGAGGGATAAAAAAAAAAGATGGGAGGCAAAAAGAGATATCACGTTGTATTTTCAATGTCCGTATGCACTTACAAGGTTATGTATACACTGTGTGACAAAAGAACAAAAAGGACAACTTTCAAGATGGAATAGAGTAATTTATTATATATAAACAAATAAAAAAAAAAAAACAACAACAATAGACTATAAAAACAATAATAATAATAATACACCAAACTACTGAATTTCTTTTGACTTATCCGTTACTATATATGCATTGGTATTCTCTTCTACTTGTTGATCCAACCTGTTGGAAGACTCGATTACCATTTCTTTTCGTTTGCCCCTCAAATCAGCCCAGATCGCCTTTCCAATCAATTTGAGTGAATCGATAGATTCATAAACAGGATAAATAACAACAGCAGCTGTACTAAAAAAAGTCCAAATGATGCCCACAACCACCCATCCAGTAAAGAATTCCTTACTAAACACATATCGAGAAAAGAACATGGGAAGAGGCCACACCAAAAAGAGACAGACGGCAAGAATCACACTAGACATTTTGGCAAATCTTGCTGATTTGTTGAGGAATTCCATTTCTTCAACTGTTGGGATATGATCACCGCTTTCACTTGCTTGTTTTGCTTTTTCTTCTGGTACATTTTCATCATCAGTAACAAGTTGGATATTTCGAGTGGATTCAAAATCATAGTTGTCCGGGTTCAAAAAGGTCAAAATCAAAGTACAAGGAATTGGAGATAAAAGTGCCACTAAATTTCCTGCCATCATTGGCATATTTTGAGATGTAGTATCCACTGTGATAGTACCGTATAATCCATAAGTGGTTGTAAGCCAAGTGATCACAGCTGCCACGAAACCGAAGATAGGGGAAACAATCGCTGCTAGTTTGTTTTGCTTGCTCCATAGTAAGGTCAGTGTTAATGGAACAACAGCACTAGATATCAAGACACCCATCTACAAATAAAAAAATACAGAGATTTAAGACGCATATTAACATCACCCTCCCCCCTTTTTTTTTTTTTTTTTTTTTTTGTTACCAAAGTATATAAATATCCAAGAGCAATGCCTGTAAGGTTCAACAATACAGCCAAAACACCCATCAATATACCAAACGTTAGAACAGCAGCATGAGAAAAATGAATGACAGCCTTGCCAGAAGCACCAGGTCGAATATAGGTACGATAAACATCATAAGTAAAAATGGAAGAAACCGAAATGAGTTCTGCAGAAGATGCACTTGTGACAGCCATGAATACTAAAACAAGAGCACCAAAAGCGCCAAGAGTACCAGATAAAGCAATAGCAGATTCCACCAAAACCAATCCTTGACTCACTGCTTGTGGTGTTAGTTCAATCTCCAGAGCTCGAGCAGCCAATCCCATTGTTGTAGCCAAAGTAAATGGAATAGCGAACCAGGAAAGACCTCCCATCAAATATGCCTTGACCGCATGTTCAGGTTTTGAACTAATAGCACGTTGATAATAACAGTTATCCAAGAAGACTGTTCCAAAGTTACCCACTATATTGATGATTCCAAAGATTAATGCTTGTAAAGAGGAAAAAGTCACCAAAGATCCTTGTTCATTATCCACAATAGGTGTTTTGATAGAGGATGCAACAAGTAAATCATACATTTTGCCAGGAGATCCAATCAAAGGTGATGTTGAGTAAACAGTAAAATAAAATGATATGATGATGATAAAAAGAATGGCAGTATGTCTATTGTGATTATATTTTTTTTTTTTTTAAAAAAAAAAAAAGAAAACGAGAGAAGAAATCAGTTAGATATGATGATTATTTTATTACTATTATTATTGTTATTAACTTACGCATAATCGGTCAAAAAAGTTGCTTTAATCCCACCAAATAGAGTATAGACAATTACACCAAGAGGAAGTAAAAAACATGCGGCAATGACGTTCATTCCAGTAAGATAGGTTATTACAGCTGAACCACCTAATAGTAACATGGCAGTAACAATCTATATTTATTATTTTTTTTTAAAAAAAAAAATAAAAATAAAATAAAAAAAATAAAAAAAGAAAATAGAATAAATCAATCCATCTTATATACATATATATATCACAATTTGAATCAACTTACAATATTGGTGAATAATGAAAACACAAGATATACAATATGAGCAGTTTTCCCATAACGAGCATTTACAACCTAATAAATTATGAATTAAAACAATTTTAGATTAAATTCAATATATATCTATTTCCTTTGTAAAAACTTACTTCTAAAAAAGTATGTGCATTTGGAGCTTTTCGTTTAAGTTCAATGGCCAGCACCGAGAATAATAAAACTTGCACTACAGCACCACTAAGAAAGAAAGAAAAAAGATAAATAAAAATATTCATTCACTATGCACTAGTCAGAAGATTACTTACCTTGCATACCAGACTGTAAATTAAAAAAAAAAAAAAAAAAGAAGAACGAGTTCAATATATTTCATTTTATCATTATCTTTATCTTACTTGGTCCAGCAACACCATATTTATATGCAACTTCGGTACTTGTCAATAAAGTAGCAGCCCAAGTCCAACTAGATACAACAGCACTAGCAACAAGACCAGTCTTGATACTTCTTTGTGCAGTCATGTACATTTCAGATGTTTGTACTTCATGTAAATATCTTTTCAACCCCATCGTCACCAAAGTCATACAAACAGCAAATAGAGCTCCAAAACTAACAAAAAAAAAAAAAAAAAAAAAGAAATGAGACATTAGATAAACGAGATCTTTTTTTTTTTTTTCTACACACCCCAGGACAACAGCATAACCTGCTCCTTCTGATAGAACAGCCATTATTAAAATAAAATAAAAATACAAAGAAGAAAGAAATGACAGTTTTTCATATTGAGTTTCTTTTTAAATAGAGAAAAAAAAAAAAAAAAAGGCTGAAGATAGGTAAGAAACGCATGATAAATAAAAAAAAAACTTGAGAGAAGATAAGATAAATTTCGAGTATTTGGCCTTATCATCGGAAAGTCAAATCATCTAGCTACCAGCAGTTATCAGTCAATTGTTTGTCCCACACAAAAAAAGTAGATCATCAATACAAAAAAGGTATCTTTATTTTCCATAGATAAACGAATAATAAATAGATAAAAATAATTTCTATATCAATATTTTTTAGGATAATAAACAGTATGTCTACAATTTCCTCTAGTAATAGCATCTGTCAAAATGTAATCATCACGTCCTTGTACATAAAAAAAGAGACTAATTTCTTTGAGTTGTCCAGATCTATTACAATCAATCTTCACAGGATGTCCAAATTCTTTTTGAAGTACACTATGCATATTTTCTAAATTGTAAGTACGACCAGGAAATACACCAGCCACACTTTAAAAGAATGAATGAATAAAAATAATTTTGTATATATTTTCAGAAATATATTACTTTAATACACCGTAGATATCATAATCTTGTTGAAGATCAATTGCTTTCTATTAAATAAATCATAAATGAATAACTAATGTAAAAAAGTTTAATAGTTATTATACCTGGAAATAATCATTCACATCTTGATATTTAGTATATTTTTCACCATAACAATTGGGTCGAAGGGTTGTAACGCAACTTCCATGAGTATTCCATTCATGAGACCAAAACCTAAAATATCAAAATCAGTTTTTTTTTCTATAATCAATATCAAACAAATAATAATAATAATAATAATATACCAATTATTATCTCCTTTATAGCTTGGCCATAACCTTGATATATTTTGATATAACGAAGGATTGATCGATTTAATAATAGGTCCAATATTATTTGTTCTACGAGTCGCATCACATCCTTTTCTAGGAGCTCGTCCACCATTACTATTCATACAAAAAAATAAAAGTTTGTTCACTATTTTATATATTTTGAAGTCCATGATATATTACCAAGTATCTGGCCTATCACAAATAAATAATAAATAATAATAATAAAAAAAAAAGAAATGAGTATGAATATGATAGAGAGATAAAGGAAGTTCTAGCTTACCAAATACCATGAATTGTAAATTCATCACTGGGACCATAGCCAGGTACCCACTGTAACGTAAAGACTACCAAACCATACTGAGGAGAACAACAACCATCAACTTTGGATCCATTCCAATGACAGGACAGGACATTCCCTATTTTCCAATAAAATTAAAAAAAAGGATCTTATATCACTGTATCTTGACTCTATCTGTTGAAACTTACTATCACAAGTAGGGCCTTTCTGTTCAATACTAACAAATGATTGCAATGGTGTCACTTTAGCTTGTATTTGTAAAACGTATCCTAGAATACATAAAGAATAATAGCATAAAAATGTCTTGAATATTGATAAATTCATTCAGCTCGAGTAATAAAGGATTTAGAAAGAAAAAGGAAAAAGAAATATTTAAAAAAAAAAAAACCGAAAAAAAAAGATTCGTAGGCTTTTTTGTATGCATCAATCAACCAGAAAATTGTTATAACCTCCGCCAGTTGTGAACAGGTCAGCTGTTTAGTGAAAGGAACAAAAGAGTGGCCAATAAGATTTCATTTTTTGACTAAGGAATCGCAATCATTGGAAGGGAGTAAATACAGTGGAAACAAAATGTTACTTCTATCAATTCTACACCAACAGTAATAAAAAAAATTACCGTCATCTATAAACTCCCCTACTTTTAGAGCTGTTTACTGTCATCCATTACCCACAATGTACCGGGATATAAATTCCTATAATGCAAATGGTATCAACAATCATGACAACTGTAACTAAACTTTGTCTTCAATATTTTGAATATAGCAAAGATTAAAAAAAAAAAAAAGGGGGGATGAAAAGATATTTATGATATGAGTACTTTGAAAAGAGAAAAGTTTAATTTCATTAACGGATGATGTATGTATGAGTATGTAGCTTGTTGTCTCTTCTGTTTTTCTTCATTTCAATTTCCGTTCTAGGACGACATAAAAAAAAAAAAAAAAAAAGAAAATTCTGAGTTCCTTTTCTTTCTCTTCTTTCCATTTTCTTTTCACTAAGTAATTATGGTCAACCACGATTTGAATGTTCTTGCCCAACAATGGCTTGATCTTGACAAGGTAAGAAAAATAACAAAAACAATGATTTTGTTCTACATACGCAAAAAACTTCGATACTAACCAGTTAAGTTTTTGATCTTTAGAATGAAACTACTAGAAAAGAAATTCAACAACTTTTGGAATCCAACAACACTACCGAACTTGAAAAGCGCTTGGTTAATCGGATCGAGTTTGGAACTGCTGGTAATAATAATTATAAAAAAAAATGAAATATATATATATATATATATGTATATACTGAACTTGTTTACTTGAGGTAGGTTTACGTGCAAGGATGGAAGCTGGTTTCTCTAGAATGAATGATCTTACTGTTCTTCAAGCGTCGCAGGCAAGTCAGCAATTATAGAAAAAAAAAGAAACAATCTAATTCATATTTTTTTTTTTAAAAAAGTAGGGATTGGCCATGTATATTGAAGAAAATGTTACGGACGCTAAGACGAGAGGTGTAGTTATTGGTCATGATCATCGTTATCATTCTGATAGTTTTGCTCGATTGACTGCAGCTGCTTTTATTCAACGTGGATTCAAAGTATGGTATTATCGTGATTTAGTGCATACTCCTCTGGTGGTAAGATATTATGATAAATATATATGACCTGAATATTTTATGTTTCTTACATTTTATTATATTTATTACTTAGCCTTATACCATCAAAAAATTGAAAGCTGCCGGTGGTGTGATGATTACTGCTTCTCACGTAAGTGATTATTTGCAAAAAAAAAAAAAAAAAAAGGAAGAATACTGATCTATCATATTTTTTTGATTCTTTCATGTCAGAATCCCAAAGATGACAATGGATACAAAGTGTAAGTTTTGAAAAAAAAAAAAAGGGATCAATGGGTATTTTGAAAATACCAAAATTGTATGACCGATATTGTTGAATACTGACTTACAATTTGAACCTTATTTCATATATTCTATAGGTATTGGGAAAATGCTTGTCAAATTATACCACCTCATGATGAAGGTATTGCTTCTTCTATATTACAACATTTGAATCCTTGGGGATGGGGTTATGACTTGGTGGATACAAGTGAATTATGTGTGGACCCTAGCAATCAAGGTGTTATTGATGCTTACTTTGATGAAGTAGCTGCTCTTTCAACTTTCACGTAAGTGCAAACAAAGACAAAAAAAAAAGAAAGTTAGAAAACAAAAATAACTTAAACTTTTCCTTCATATTATAGTCAAGATAATGTTAAATCTGATATCAAGTTTGTCTATACGGCCATGCATGGTGTTGGTACTCCTTTTGCTGAAAGGGCTTTTAATGTTTTTAAATTATCTCCATTTATTCCTGTGAAAGAACAAGTCAAACCTGATCCTGATTTCCCTACTGTTGCTTTTCCCAATCCTGAAGAAGGCAAAGGTTCCTTGGTAAGATGAAAATCAAATAGTATTATAAAAACTAAGAATAACAAATTTCTTTTGTACCTAGAGTTTGGCTATGAAGACAGCGGATGAACACAAGGCTACTCTTATTTTGGCAAATGATCCTGATGCTGATCGATTGGCTATTGCAGAAAAACAAAAGGATGGTGAATGGAAAATCTTTACAGGTAACCAAATTGGATCTGTTCTTGGTGCTGCAAGTTATGAAAAGGCTATAAAATCTGGCAAGAAATCAGGTAAAATAATATATATATAATAATAAATTATTATCTATATGAAGGTTAACTTTAATATATATTTTATATATTTAGCTGAATTGGCTATGGTGGCTAGTACTGTATCCTCAAAATTTTTGGAGCGTATGGGACAAGTAGAAGGGTTCCGATTTGAAGAATCACTCACTGGCTTTAAATGGATTGGAAATGCTGCAATGCAACTAGAAAAAGAAGGGTATCAAGTCATCTTTTCTTTTGAAGAAGCTATTGGATTTACTATTGGGGACATTGTTAAGGACAAAGATGGCATCAGCGCTTTGGCTTTCTTTTCCGAATGGGCTATTCAATTATACAACAATCATGGAACAACAGTTTATGGTTATTTGGAACAACTTTATCAAAAGTATGGTTATTTTGTATCCGACAATTCCTACTTTATCTGTCACGACAAAGCATTGATTCAAACCATTTTCCAACGTATTCGATTTGGTAACCAACCTGTAAGGAATAAAATATTATTAACAATTTTTTTTTCTTCCTTTCTAATGATTTTCTTTCCCTCTTTCTCTCTCTCTTTTTTTTTTTTTTTTATCTTTCTTATTCACAGATTCGTTCTGACACTTCGTCGTTTGGTTATGAATTGGCCTATCCCAAGACTGTCGCTGGTTACAAAGTGGTATCTATTCGTGATCTCACTATTGGTTATGATTCAAGTAAACCTGACAATAAACCTACTTTACCTGTATCCTCTTCCTCTGAAATGATCACATTTAGATTGGAAAATAGTACTGTCTTTACTATTAGAACAAGGTAAAATAAAAGGAGAAAAAAAAAAAAAGAAATCAAAAGATGATAACTGATCATTTATGTTTAGTGGCACGGAACCCAAAATCAAGTATTATTCTGAACTTCGAGGAGAAAGTGAAGAACAAGCGAAACAAGATCTTACAAAGGTTGTTACTTCTATTGGTCAAGACTTACTTGAATACGAAAGAAATGGATTAGAAAAGAAAAAAGAAGAATAGTTTATTTATTGTATTATTGTATGATTTAATCACATTTTTAGATTAATATGCTGAGTTTTGATTGTCTCAGATTACTTTTTTTTTTTGTTGTTTGTCTTTTTTTTTTTTCTTGGTTCCTCTTCTTCTTGTCTGATCCACAATGTCATAGATTGCTCCTATATTCTGTTTTATATATATATAATTTTAGACATATCTATCTATCTATTACTCTTTATAAAGATTCATTCTCATATCATTATGACCAATAAAGAAAAAAAGTCAAAACAACTGAATTCGAGATCATTGACTTCCAAAGTGTTTACCTCTGATGACAATGGTAATAGGAAAAATACTATTTGTTATTGAATAATATATTCCTTATAAAACCATCTTTTTTAATAATAATAATAATAATAATATATATTATAGACTTTGCGTTACCATTGGTTAGATCAAAACGAGTCAGACCGATATCCTCACCTCCAAGAAAACGAACTCGTTCGATCACTGAAACAACCATCCCAACAAAGGTATATATTAAAACCATATATATATAATATATATATATATTCTTATATTAACTATTTTATTTTTATTTATTTAGTCATCTCATCCTCATATTCGAGCACGTACACCTCCTTTACCTGATACCGAAATAGTTCGACCTCGTAATGTGGAAAAAGTGGTTTATGGACGATATGAAATTGATGCTTGGTATTATTCACCTTATCCTCATGAATTTGGCTCTTTAATCAAAAGACTCTATGTTTGTGATACTTGTCTTCGATATGTGAAAGATGATATTCAATTATCCAATCATAAAGTAAAAATAAAATATCAATGACATGGGATAATAAGGTTTCAACAATGGATTAATACTTTTTTTTTCCTTTTTATTTATATAGGCACAATGTCAAAGTCGTACTCCTCCTGGTAGAGTAGTTTATGCCACGGATAAGGTCAAAATATATGAAATAGATGGACGTGACAACAAGGTAAATCAATCTATACCAAAATAATAACAATAACAATAATAATAATAAAAAAGGAAGGTAGCATGATATTTAGTATACTTTTTTTTATTATATGATTTCCTTGTATAGATGTACTGTCAAAACCTTTGTTTAATGGCGAAACTATTCTTGGATCACAAAACCTTATATTATGATGTGGATGGATTTAAGTTTTATGTATTAACCGAGAGACAAGAAAAAAAACCAAAAGATTTGATGGTGGGATACTTTTCCAAGGTAATAAACATATTTGAAGAAAAAGATAAATAAATCTAATCTTAATATTTTATATTTCCTTTAGGAAAAAATATCATATGATAATTACAATTTGGCATGTATCATGACACTTCCGAGTCATCAACGAAAAGGTTATGGTCGATTACTTATTGAATGGAGTAAGTATTAAAACGCAATCATACGATTGGATAACGAAGCATCTCTCATCTTTTTTTTTTTTTTTATTATTATTTATTTTAGGTTACGAATTATCCAAAAGGGAAGGTGTTATTGGATCTCCGGAAAAGCCATTATCAACCTTGGGACTTCTTGGATATCATTCTTATTGGAGCTCTGTCATATTACAAGTTTTAAAGTCTTTAAAAGAAAGTGAAATCTCTATTGCAAGATTATGTCAAGAAACTTATTTACAAGAAGAAGATGTTACTTCAACTTTGGCTAGACTAGGTTTATTACGTCACTGGGAACATCCACCTTCTTCATTAGTTTCAAATAATCCTTCCCCTTTATTTAGTATATCTCCTCCTCCTGTAGTAGTTCATATTGATCCGTCCATGTTAAATCAAGTTATATCAAAACATCATATTCATTTTAATCGTCAAATTGATCCCAGTTGTATTTTATTATGATCAACACATTTATTGAAGAATATTTCTGAAATATACAAATAAAATTCCATTTAAAAAATCTCATCAAAATTAGCTTTGTTTTCATATTGAGTGGTGTCAACATTTTTTTTTTTTTTTTTTTGTGTGGACCATGTAGACAAAAGAGATACTCCAAACTTAATTTATCTATTTCCTTTGTTTGTTTTATCACGAAAGTTCTTCGATTATGATCTCGATTTTGATCTCCGTTTTCGTAAAGGGGGCATAAGCTTTCTACTTTCTACAAAAAAAAAAAGTAACATTTTTTTGTTTCCCTTCTTTTCTTTGCTTTTTTTCTTTTTTATTGTTCATTTTTTTTATCCTTCATTTATTTTTTCATTCTTCATTTATTTCTTTATTCTTCACATTCTGCAAAGGCTGATCCTTTTGAACATTTGACCAAGAAAGAAAAGATCCTCAAGTTAATCCATGACAAATTGACGCATCTCAATCAAGAACAAGAAGAAGAACAAGAAGAAGAGCAAGAAGAACCAATTGGAAAGTAGATTGGAAGTCGTCAACCGTGGAAGACGCCAACTGTACAACTGTCTTATGTATGAGGCTAATCAAGATACCGTTGACATGGAAGAACGCCTACCAGGAACTGATGATGATGACTCAATATATATCGATTATTCAAAACCACATCATCTCATTTTTGCGCAAGTATATCACCATTGATGGCGTGATTCTTCAATCGGTGATCCTGCATTGTGGTATTTATCAAAGTCATCTTTCATGTATCAGTAGACGAAGTCCAAAATTTCAACAAATCAAGAATATAGACCGGCTCTTTTATGACATGTTTCATTTTGGCAAGGATGGCATTGATGATTATGTGAGCAATTTGGATCAGTATATGCAAACCAACGACGACAATGAAGAATAACATCGCATTTTGTATCTGTATTGATGGGTAAGGGGTTGATATACTTCTGACATGTCGCGGCAGCACACAAGCTTCTACTGAAATCGACCTCTCCGACCTTCGACAAACAGATGAAATGGGTATTTTTGAAAAGCATTTCATGTTGTGGTTACGAATGACGTAGAGGCAGCAATCAATCATCAAGAAGAATGATTCCAGGTGAACGGTCTTTCCGTTTGTTTCCGTTTTATGGCAACTCAGTCTTCTCTCTTCTCAGTACCTTAAAAGTTCGGATTTTTACTCTCCCATTTCCCTAGGTAAGATCATTCTTCATTGAATGTTACATAAGGCTCACTAGTATTTTTTTTTTTTTTTTTTTTTTTTTTGTTTTGTAGGTATCTGATTTTTTTATATCTTTTATTTTTTTGTTTTTGTCTCAATTTAAAGTGAATAAACTGTATGATCATATAAAATAAACTTTCTGGGTTTGGAAATTTCCATTTTTTTTGTATATAAAATGTGGACCTTCTTTTTTTTTTTCGGATTCTTCCTCTTCTCTCTTCTTTTTTTTTTTTACTCGTCTTTTATTACTTTTATCTATTTTATAATATAAACATGACTACAACTAATACCCAAGCCAAGAAACCTGTTAGGTAATGAACATTCTTTAATGTTGTAAAATATTCAGTGATATAAGCATCCTCTTCTGTTTGGAAAAATAAATCTCATCATTCTTTTTCTTTTTTTTTTATTCTAAGAGTGTGGGTGGATGGCTGTTTTGATATGATGCACTATGGTCATGCTAATGCTTTACGACAGGTACGATGCAAGTCTTTTTTTTTTTTTTTTGTCAAGTGGAAAGAAAACAGCTGCACCTTTATATATGACTAATTATCTCTTCATGTTTTATTTAGGCCAAAGCTATGGGCGATGTACTTGTAGTAGGTGTTCATTCTGATGAAGAGATCAAGAAGAATAAGGGTCCAACTGTGATGAAAGAAGAAGAACGGTAAGCACTAGTAAAACAAAGAACCAAAACATCAGTGAAACAAAAAAGGTGGGGAAGGGTAATATATGTGCGGTTTAAGGAACTTGGGATTGAAAAGATATGATTAATTCATTTTTATTATTACTCTTGGATAAAGATATGCAGCAGTGGCAGCATGTAAATGGGTAGATCAAGTAGTACCAAATGCACCATACAATACTACAGTTGAAATCTTACGGGAATACGATATTGATTTTTGTGTACATGGTGATGATATTACCACTATGGCGGATGGAACCGATTGTTATCAAGCAGTCAAGGATGCTGGTCTTTACCGGGAATGTAAACGTACAGTAGGTGTATCTACAACGGAATTAGTGGGTCGAATGCTTTTGATGACTCGTGATCATCATAGTCGACGACAATCTATTGGTGGATCTTCTATTGCAAGTATCAATTCGGAAGATCTGGGTTCTTTCAGTACCACGGGCCGCCCCAACGCCATCAATGATCCTCTTCGACGTACTACCATTTCTCATTTTTTACCAACTTCCAAACGCATTGTCCAATTTTCTGAAGGTCTGGAACCAAAACCTACTGATCGTGTTGTCTATGTGGATGGTACTTTTGATTTATTCCATGTTGGTCATGTGGAATTCTTGAAACGTGCAAAGGCTTTGGGTGATTTCTTGATTGTTGGTGTTCATGATGATCAGGTAAATAGTTTTTTTTTTTTTTTTTTTTTTTGACTCATATGTTTTTTTTTTTTCACTTTTTTTTTAATAGACTGTCAATGCTATCAAGGGCTCCAATTATCCATTAATGAATCTCCATGAACGTGCTCTTAGTGTTTTAGCTTGTAGGGTAATGTGGATGACAAATGATGATCAAATCAAAAATTCAACAATATTTTTTTCTTTCTTTTTTAATTTATTAGTATGTGGATGAAGTCATTATTGGTGCACCCTACAGTGTCTCTGAAGATATCTTGAACAAGGAATACACCGTACACATTGTGGCTCATAGCAACACTGTCACTGCACCTGATTTGGATGGACGGGATCCTTATGAGGTAATAAAATAAAATAAAAGCTATTTGAGCAATCTTGCCCATACTCATCCTACTTTATTTTTATCATAGTTGCCCAAACAACGTGGTATTTATCAAATCATCGACAATCCTAACTCCACTATTACCACCGATGGTATTATCGATCGTATCATTGAAAATCGACTTGTGTAAGTGAAAATATATTACTTCTCTCTGTCATTTTTTTTCTTTTCTTTCTTTCTTTCTTTCTGGGAATGTGTATTTGAATGGAAGGAACCATGAGGAATCGCCAATATTGACCTTTTTAATTATCCTTTTATTATAGTTATGAAGAACGTCAAAAGCGAAAGAACGCCAAGGCAACTGTGGAACAAGAAAAAGAAGCGCAAGAAAAGTTATTGAAAGCTAGACAATAGAACGGTATTATAGTTGATTTAGTTAGTAGATGTGAAAGTAGAATAGTTATAAGAAAAACTTTCAAATATCCAATAAAAAAACATATCATTTTTATTTTGTATCTAGATTTGTCATATTGATGTAAGTCGGTCATTGTAGCCTTAGGCATTCAGTGAGAATCGTTGTAAATCAGTACCACATATTTTTTGGCATTGAGCAAAAAAAAAAAAAAAAAAAAAAAAAAAAAAAAAAAAAGAAGCATCATTCTTTATCATCATCGTAGATCGATCATCATCCACTAGAGTCATATGATGTAAATATCAAAAAGAAGGTTTATTGTATCAAAAAAAAAAAAAAAAGGTGAGAATATGTGTAATAAAGATATATATATAAATAAATAAAAGGAACTAAAATAATAAACTAACTAGTAGAGAGAGTAATTATAATAAAATTCCACAAATAAGACAGAGATGGATACAAAATAATAATAACAATAAATCACCAACCAGTAACATTCTTGTGCCTATTTTCCAAAAAGCGAAAGAGAGATCCAGGTTCTTTTTTCCATTGATTGTGCCAATGATAAGCAAATGTTTGTAGTAGGCGATGTTCAGAGAATTCAGTTTCGACAAAAGCATTTGGCATCGAGTTGGAGGGAGCGCAGACCATGGAATCCGTGAAACACCAGGGTAAAACAGACCAAGGACGAATACCATGATGAAGTAAACGACGATAGACACGATAATACATATAACCACCCCAGTCGATCGTATTTGGTCTTGGAAGAGGACCTCTTGCCATTTCTGTCAGCATTTCACATAGATAAGGAGAATGTTTGTTGAATCGCATAAAGGCACCATTGAAGGGGAATCCATCTGGTAAGAAACAATCCCATTGTTGTAACCATTCTCGTTCGAATAAAGGAGACATATCTCGAATAAACAAAGAGTCCATATCAAACCACATACCACCATACCTGTATAGTACTAATAATCGAACAAGATCACCATCCAAATAACCACTTGTATCTTGAAAATCCAAATGAGGGGATGCTTCCATAGGTGAGCCTTTTGAGAGTTCTTTAGGATCATATATCAATGTTTGTAATCGATCCCCAACGTGAGACTTGATATCCTTAATGACACTAGAATTTGACAAATCACCATTTGACCAAAGATAGATCACTGAGTTTTCAACATTTTGAGTGGCGAAAAAAGATCGTAACGTTGCTAATTGTTTGGGACCAACAGGAGCAAGATCAGCACGCCAGTAAGCATGATAAATCATGGGTTTGGAAGATGAATCTAAAGTAGTTTTGGGTATGGGTTGAATAGTAGAAGCAAAGTCATAACAATCAAAGTCATCCAATAAACCAATGCCTGGAGTCACGTCATATACATAGCCTTGACTACCATGAATGTAAGGGGAATCATCGGGTAAAGATTTGAAACAACCACCTAGTTGTTCATAATAAGCTTCATCAGCATGAGAGATCCAGTTTCGTAAATAGATTCGAATGTTGAGTTGTAAGTCACAAACAATAAAAAAAGTAAGAATACCAATACAACCTAAAATAATAGCCCATTTCAAAATTGTCCATGGTCGCCAGCGTTTTATTGGTCGTATATAAGTTGTTGTTGTTGCTGTTGTTGTAGGACTACCACCAAGTCTTGTATATTGTTGTGAGATGAAAAGAGACCGAAAATAGTCAAATATAGAGTTCATTTGTTTTATGTAAGGTATATTACATATATATATATATGTGTTTGTGTGTGTGTATATATAAAAACAAAGAAAAAGAAAAAAAAAAGGAGTACAATGAATGACTTTGTAAGGTAAAGAATAAGATGATAAAAAGGGTAAATTGAGTAAAAGTATTATGATATATATATAAAGGAGATACTTTATTATATAAAAAAGAAGTAGAAGAAGAAGAAGAAAAAGAAAAGAATAAAAAAAAGAAAAAGAAAAAAAAATTTCTTGATTTCAATATAATTAAAAAGAAACCAAAAAGTTTTATAAAAATCAAAGCCTAAATAATTTTTGATTGGATAAGATTTCTAATCTAAATTTAATCCTTACAAAAAATGAGAGACTTTACCAATTGTAAAAAAGACTTGGCAATCTTTTTTTTTTTTTTTTTTTTTTTTTTTTGATTTAACGCCATTTTTATTATCCTTTTTTTTTATATATATTAGAGAAACTTTGCATAACAAAATGATTTTTTTGACATGATGGTCAAACAAATATAGAGTAAAAAAAAGTACATGAAAGCGGAGAATAAAATAAAATAAATATATATAATAAAAAAAAAAAAAAAATAAAGCATTTCTCTTTTTGCTTTTTTTCTTTTATTATTCATTCAACTTTTTTTTTTTTCCTTCCCCCCTTTCCATTCTCTCATCTTTTTATTTATTTAAATTAACCACTATGGTTCCTTCCACTCTTTTATTTGAATCTGGTATTATGAAAATATCAGATTATGATCCTATTAAAGATAAATATCAAATTCGTACTTTACAATTACCCAATTTACCTTTATTAGAAAATCTTGAATTATCACCATTATTAGTTGATAATAATAATAATAATAATACTATTGATGATAGTAACAAAATGGAAATATCAACAACAACAACAACATCATCATCAACTGATACTATCATTCATCGTAAAAAACCTAGTTCGGTTTCACAAAACACGTCTCGTTTTACAGAATGTTTTGAATTGACATGTATTCCAACTGTTTTCAATGAATCTATTCCTACTCCTTCTTCAACATTACGATCTAGTAAATCTGTCACTTCCAAGAAAGCTTCCAAATCTATTTATAATACAAAAACTCCAAGACGTTGTTATTCTAATCCCAATTTGTCAAAGAAAAGTAAAGTATTATTTTTATTTTCATCAAATAAACAAAAAGTAAATCATTCTTTTTTTTTTTTCTATACATAGATACAATGATGGATATTGAACCTTTAGATCCAACTTTAGTAACAACCATGATGAAAAACAACAAAACATCCACTATTAGGACACCTAAACGTTCATTATCAAATGCATTCCATGTATTATCTGGTTTACTACCCAAGAATAAACGACGATTGGATATCTCTGAACATGATTCAAAACAAGGAGATGATGGCAGTATTCGAACCATTGGATCTTCTTCTTCTACCATAAGACAAGCTTGGGTCGGAACAACCTGGGTAGATGAAATGAAAACTTGTGATTTGGATTCTCGACAACGTTTTTCTTCAAAAGATGAAACACGATCATGGTGGCAATCAACTCTTCCTTCTTCTTTGTTATCCTCTGTTGATGTCTGTATGTGATGTTACCTCTTTTTTTTTTTTTGGATATTCCCCGTCCTCTCATCTGTGTCCCCTTTGTTTATTTCAATATTATTATTATCATTCTATTTATTATTATTATTATTACTATTATTATATTAGTATTTATTATTATTATATTCATTCATTCATATATTTTATAGTTATATCCATCTTTTATATTTTATCCCATTCACTTTTTTTTTTTTTTTCATTGGTACACACATTTTCATATCTCTCTCTCTTTCTCTTTCTTTCACACACACGCATACATACATACGCACACACACACACACACAGACACATATATATATATATTTACCCATCCATTCATTCTTATTAGTATTCATTAGTCATTCCATTCCTTTTTTTTTTTTTATCATCAACAATAGATACATGACAAATAAAGTCTCCTCTATTTTTTTATTGTTATTTTTCAACTTTGCCCCTTTTTTTTTTTCTTCCATGTCAGTAAAAAAAAAAAAAAAAAAAAAAAAAAAAAAGAAACCAATGGTGTAACATTTATTGATCAAAATGACCGATCATTCATTTTGATAAATTGACAAATGAATACAAATTTCGGTGTTACTAAATCCAGTCTTACCGTTAAGGGGGGGGGAACTTTACTACCTTTTTACTTAGATGAGGATGATTTTTTTTTTTTTTTAAAAAAAAAAAGGGGGAGGCGTAGAAGAACAAGAAAGTCATGTTGTAAACAATTATTAGATGGGATTCTTTATCCAAAAAAAAAGAAGGGGTGTTCCTAAGAACCGGGGCATACCATAAATGAAAAATCATGGTTGAACTTCTCCGTGTTACAAATGTATCAAGATATCTTTTCCGTTTCACCAAATAAAAAAAAAAAAAAAAAAGAAAATTTTTCATAAGGCCATGCGTTCATCTATCAAATACAAGTCCTTTTTTTTTTTTTTTCTAAATTGTATATAAATAGTAAAAATAAGTTGGTTTCTTTATTTGGTCTGTTTCCATGTACATAGAGAGAGAGATAAATACGAATGTTAGGAGAAATTGAATATATAAATAATAAGATCAAATCAGATATATATATATATATATAGTGACTGATAAATGGGAAGGATATATATAATATATATATAAAAAAAAAGAACTATACTATTTCAAATCTTAAAGGAGATCGTAATCGGCCATCACCAAGTATAAAAGGATCCTTTCGCCTGGGTAAAAAACCACGGGGTTTCAGTGGACTAAAGAGTTTTCTTGATCGCATCATATTCAATTCGGCTGCAATCATCCGTAAGTGATCGGGATTCGAACGGGTATCGCGAGTATAGGTATTGGTGTCAAAGTTGAATCGAGGTTGGGTTGTGGCTTCAGATCTTCGTTTTCGACTGGATCTTTTTCGTCGTGGTGGTAATGGCATAGGAATAAAACCATTTCTTCCTTTTTCTTTTTTTAATGTTGTTGTTGATGATGATGATTTCTTCAACGATGTTGGTTTTTCTTCTTGATCAGATGAAGGTGAACTTGATAAGGAAGATGGTAAAGATTTGGATGTTTTTGTGATAAAAGTGGATGCCGCAATAGCCGAGGGAGTTGAGCTTGGTGAAAACATGGAACTGACTGTACTAGAAGGTGCTGGTTGAGATGATGAAGCAAGTGATTGGCGTAACTTTTCAATGGTGTCAATCCATTTCTGTCGGTCTTGATCTGGTGGGGATGATGACATGGCATAAGAAGTAGTTGTAGAAGTGGATGGTGTATTTGATTTGGTGAATGAAGGAATAGATCGTTTAACTAACTCTTTATGTGTATTGATATCTGTTATTGTTTTCAATGATGTTGATGATGATCTTAGCTTCTCTGTAGGAGATATCATTGAATCCAATACTTGTTGCTGTTGCTTTCGTCTAGCGGTTCGACCAGCGGAACGCAAGGAGGAAGAAGTGGTAGGAGGAGAGAAATCACTTTCATCGTCGTCTTCGTCATCATCATCATCGTCGTCATCGTCTTCATCTTCATCGTCGTCAATAGATCCATTATCAATATCTTCAAACCGAGTTGATACATCCTCTTCATCGTCTTCATCAAATAAAGTAGCTGAGTCGTTTTTGTTATGATCAATGGTTGTGCTGTAGAGTCCCGACTTTTGATGACGATGGTGGTAGGTAAACTTTGCAATTTCTTCTTGGTGCAACAAGGTCATAGGGTCACTAAGGGATGGAGGTGGCATATGTAATGGTAAGATTCCCGTAAGAAAGTCAACTGACAGGAAGTTCTGAAAAGGTGAGTGGATCTATTCAAAACAAAAAAAAAAAAAAATTAGTATGTTTGATAAGTAAACTAACATCGTTTCTTACCAATTCTTCTTCATCAGGTAAACTTTCTTTACTATCAACAGCAACCCAGTTTTCCACATGAGACATTCTTCGAAGAGCTTGTTGTTGTTGTCGTTGAACTTGACTTTTCTTTTTTTGCTTTCGTTTCTTCTTCATCAACGGAGGAATGGCACCATAAGGTTGAGGAGCATTGGCCGTCAAGTTGCGAACGATTTCTTTGTAAGAGAAGGAAACAGTGTTGTTAGCATTGGGTATTGGAACAGGGTCAGACCGCGAAAAAGTGGTCGACATGATAACATGAGAATAATATTAATAATAACAATAATAAAAAGTAGAAAGAAAAAGGAAGGAATTGATTAGGGAAAAAAGGGGGAAAGTGCCAAGGGAGAGCTTTCCAGCCAAAAAGAAAAAAAAAAAGAAAAAACAATCCCCGCTTGGATGACTATCAACGCTTATGTGATGAAAAAGACTTCTATGATAATGGATCATCATGTGATAACAAACGATATGTGATGATTTATGTGTTTAACTATAGAAGAGGGTCTAAAAGATTCTTTTAACAGTTGGTTTATTGGATTAATCCTGACAACCTTTTTTCAATGGAATGATCATGACATTAATTTAAAGTGATGGAAAAAAAAAAAAGGTTTTTGAAGACACTTATTGTCTTTCTCTCTCCTTTCTACAAAAAAAAAAAAAAAAAAAAAAGAAGCTTTCGCGGTTGTAGTCAAAGTGATATGTAATATAATTTGTACATCTATGATTGCTTCCATGGTGGTGCGTGTACTTCTCCTATAGGCTCCTTGTACTCACTTTTTGTTTTGCCTCTCCATTCGAAATATATATATATATATTCTTTTTGGTTCTTCCCAAATGTTGATCATTATACCAGAACAGAATATTCTGTGACAAGGAGTCTTAGTTACAGGTTATTATATTGAAGATGCACCTATAAGATATTTACATATATATATATATATATATATTATGATGATCACCACACTAGCCATTGTCTCTTTTAAAAAGCCGAAAGCGTTGAAATATTTAGAAACTTGAACACAATATGATGGTCAAATTATACTTTATTTGAACCTTGACATCACATGACAAATCAAGGAATATTTTTTTTTTCCCAGAATCATCAATCAATAAAATATAATAATACAATTTCTTTTATTAATATCATCCTATGTAAATGTATGTAAACTATCCTGAAGATCAATAACTATCCTACTACTACCAGTAAAAACAACAAAATAATAACAAAGTTTCACCATCCGGTTAAATCATCATCTTGAACGTGATCCCGAATAAATTCTTCAATACTTTCAAAGTAGCCAACCTATTTTTTTTTTTTTAAAAAAAAAAAAAGGAAAGAAAAAGAAAAAGAAAATAATGTTAGTAATAATATTTGAATGTATAAGCAATAAAACCTTACTTGTAAGCATGTATCGTTATGAGTACCATAATTGAAGCCCTTCCAAACTTTTGCCCCAACTGTTTCTGCGACTTCGTATAGTTTTGCCATATGACTTGGTGGTACCAGCTCGTCCCGCAAACTGGATAAAAACAAAATCGGTACACGTTGAACATTCGAGATGGATTTATATGTTCGCCATTTTTGGTTGCATACGTATACCAAATATCGAAGAGCTCCAGGAAAGATATGAGGAATGAGTAATGGCTAATATAGAAAGAGATAAAATATATATAAATATATAAATATATAAATATATAAAATCCATCAAATCCTTTTTTTTTTATTATTATTATGAACTTACCACTGATAAGAATGTATTTTCGATAATTAATCCGTCAAAATCATCTTCATTTTTGGATACAACATGAATAGCTACTGCGCCACCTAACGACTGTCCATAAGCAACCAACCGAGTATGTTTGAGAATAGGGTGATTCTTGATATAATCTACAGCAGTCTATATATATATATATATAAGATGAATCATTCCCAAATACAATATAATTTTTCCTCATTTACCTGAGCATCAATTTGTAATCCCTTTTCATTTGCTTTTCCTTCACTAAGACCATATCTACATATAAATATATATATATATATATATACAAGGTTAATAATATATATATAAATAAAGATATATTATACTTTACCCGCGATAAGACAATGTAACAATATTGTAGCCTAATTTTTGATATAAAACTTGGGCAATAGGAAGTCGATGACCCTAACATAGAAAAAAAATTGGGGTGAATATTATATCTGAGCATTTTTTTATTTTTTTATTGCTATAAAAACCTACCATATTTCCAGCATTGGCCTAATATCAATATCAATATATATATAAAGAATATCAGTATATATTACTTTGTTCTGTATAAATATTACTTACATGAAAGCATAATATAGTCGGGGCTTGTAGTGCCATTCTTTCGTCTTGTTGAATTAGTACATAACATCGAAGCTTGATACCATCTTTTGTAATCAATATTTCTTCACTATCTGGTAGACCATATTCTGAAGGTTTAGATACCTAATTAATTAATTAATTAAAAAAAAAAAAGAAGATATAAAAAAAAACGCCCTTTTTTTTTTATTATAATTAATCCATCTTACTTTTGTTCTTGATCCTGCTGGATAACTTGAAGAATAAAGTAAATCGCATTGATAAATGTAAAGTATAACTGATATGGCAATAGTGGTAATAATCAAAAAATAAATCGTATATAGAATAAATGCTATCATCGTATTATAAGAAGGTTGGTATATGACATTGGACAATCAAAGGGGAAAAAAAAAAAGACAAGTAACAAAAAAGAAAAAATAGAGTTTTTTTTTTTCTCTTTTATTTTTGGGATTCAACAACATTCGCCCCACACAAAAAATCGATAATTCAATACCAGACACATTACACAGAGGTATCTCAAAAGCATTGGGGAAACAAAAAAAAAAAAAAAAAAATACTATAATACACTATTTGATAACTATTCTTTTCTATTCTATTATGCATTTCTAGCCTTTTTCGCTGGTCTTGCAGAATGGTCATCCTTGGTCATGCTACTTTTCGTTGATTTGATATCATTATCTTCTTGAGTAATACGCCTTAATGGATATTCAACATTTTGTTGTACCAATACACTATTTAAAAAAAAAAGGAAATTGACCAATCAGTAAGATTTGACTTTTTTTAATTTATTCACATATATATATATATGTCTTTTTTTCATTTACTTCATTACTGGCTTTGGTTCTTCTTGAAAGTAAGGATGACTTAGTGCTTTTTCCGCTGATATCCTTTTCGCTGGGTCATATTCCAAAAGAGAAGATAATAAATTGAATCCAGATTCAGTTTTCACACCAGGCATCATTTGGTATGCTTGCTTCAAATTGTTTGGACATCTAACAATAATAATAATAATAATAGTAATAGTTAGATATCAATATTCATTATTATGTATAACTTACTGTGGAAAAGAGCTGAGATGATTATAATCTGGTAATTGATCTATAGTAGGCCATCGATCTTCTACAGTTATGTAGAAACAGAATCAAAACACAAGTTTAAATTTATATTTCCATTTCTCTCTCTTTTTTTTTTTTTTCCAACTTACTTCCTGGTGTGCCCAAAATTTCGAATATTTTTGATAGTTGACTTCGCTGAAAAGGAACTGTTTTCTTGTTGTCCATCTTTGCTTCATCCCCTTTAAAGATTGGTTTCAGTGCCAATAATTCACCAAAAATACATCCTACAGCCCACATATCCACCGCTTTTGTATAATGTCTTGATCCAAATAATAATTCAGGTGCTCTGTACCATATAGTTACCACCACTTTATCACCGTTGAATAATGGTTGAGGAGGTTTGTTGAATAATCGAGCTAATCCAAGATCACCTAAACATCATTGAGAGAAATAATATAAGCACCTTTGTTCCTAACTACACTCTTGTTTTTATTTCATACCTGTCTTTACAATGCCTTCACTTGTTAATAATACTAAATATATATATATATATATATATATATATAAAAGACGAGATATTAAATGAGAATTCACTAGTACATATATATATATATATATATATATATATATATATATAACAAATCAATATAAAACAGTTCCTTACCATTTGCAGGCTTTAAATCACGATGAAGTACCCAGTTGGCATGTAAGTAGGCGACACCGTTAATCAGTTGCCATAAAATAGATTTGACAATAACTTCTTGAATTGGTTTTCGTTCAGTATGTAAATGATGATGAATGATTTGCTATATGATTAAAAAAAAAAAAAAGAAAGAAAGAAAGAAAGAAATCAGATACCTACATATATATTGTTTCGTAAAGTTTCCTTTTCAGCAATTACCAAAAAATCATGTTCAGCATATTCAAATACCATGAAGATCGCCTTGTCTTCTAAAAGTACTTCTTCAAGTCCAACAACATTAGGATGATTAAGTTCACGACAAAGCTAATGGTAAGAATATATACGTTCGGTTTAATTCATAGATTATCAAAGTTGATCTATCTTTTTTAGTTTACCGCTATTTCACGACAAGCCGATTGTGATATACCAACATAATGATGAGTATCGCCTTCCCGATCAGGTTTGAACTTTTTAATAGCAAACTCCCGAGTATCGTCTCTATCAATGAAAAAAAAAAAAAGGTAAGATTAATTTTTCTTTCAGTTATCTAATCATGAAAAAATAAATTTTTTTTAACTTACTTGTTTTTTGATTTCGCCTTGTAAACTCGACCATAAGTACCAGAACTGATAAAACCTATAATGTCGTACTTATCCAAGACTTTGGGCCGGCAAGCATCCCTTTTCAGCTTGTATTCTGTCATGGACATGGTAAAAAAATTGTTCTGCTGTTCGTTTCTATTGTATGACTCGTGGTAGTTCTTGTTGCTACTAGTGTTGCTGATACAATGATTAATTATGTTGTAATGTGTTCAAAAAGAAAAAGAATAGAAAAGAAAGAAAAAAAAGGAAAAAAAAAAAAAAAAGAATAGGGGAAGAAAAAACTCACATCCACAGCGGGATTAGAAATCATTGTCCATTTCTTATCTTGAGCTCGTTCTTTTGACTTTTTCTTGTATTCCCTTTTCTTTCTTCAGCTTGTTTTTTTTTTTTTTTTTTTTTTTTTTTGTTGAATACGCATAATGAAGGGTAATTAAATACTTTATTGAAAGCAATATGAAAAGTATTAATATTTTTATATTATTTTGTAAAATAGATACAACTCAAATGGTGATTTTCGCCTTTTGGTTTGTGGTTCTATTAGGCGTGCCTTTTTGGTGGAAAACAACAGAAGTATATCGAGCTCATTTACCCTTTGATGAAATAGATTCATTACAAACACGTCAAGTAAGTCATTACTCGCCTGTTTTTTTTTTATCTCTCTAGTAAATAAACTTTTTTTAATATCCCTCTTTTTCTTTTTGACTGGTTTAGGAATCTATGTTTATCTTACCAACTACACTTTCCCTTTTTGTACCTGCTACTTGGTTACTCTCACTTGACAATACTTCCGGTACGATCCATTCATTAGAAACTTCATTAGAATACAAGCTATCCGAAAAGTTTCATGATGTGTCCTTTTGTGCAAAGTTTCCTTTCCATGTACAACTCAATAGTTGGTCCACAGATGATCTCACTCTTGGTAATTTTTGGGACTAAATTCCTTTTTTATTCTCATTCTTGACTATTCTTATAATCTATTTTAGAATCTATAAATGCTCTTCTACAACAACAAAAAGATTCTCCTATTGGTCAGTATTCATTTTACTTTCATTCTTCGAATATTCAGCAGAGCAAATCACCGCAGAAGCATGATCAAATTAATGTAATCATCGGAAAAGACCGTACAAGTGTTATTCAATTGTCAAAAATAGATCAAGGTAAAAATGAAGCTATACATAAAAGAACCTAACATATACTCTTTTTGTACTGAACTATTTTCATTTGTAGATACTCTTAATTCAGTGATGATTTCCTTAATTCCAGCTATATTCAAGACAGAATTTGAAGCAATTGATGAAATAGCCTCTTGCTCTTCAGGCAAGGTGGACAAGGTAAATGAATCATCATCAATAGACTTCACTTACATTCATATTCCTTTTTTTTTTTCCTGATAGTATGATGCCAATAATATGCGTACATTCAAATATTCATCTCGTTACCAAATCACTTTCAGTCTTATGAACAATAATCCTCGATTTATGGCTATAGACTGGGACATACGTGATGCAGCAAAAAGTATGGACAGTTCGATAATATATTGATTATTGTGATCTGACAACTTTTTTTTCCATGACTTTTGTTAGGATATCTTTACCCATTGTTAAACGAACTGTCTGATGTATCCAACTTTACGGTGGACTCCCAGGTATATATTAAAATAATAATAATAATAATAGGATGTCAGAGGATGATTCATTACTCATATATTTCTATTTAGATTCAAAACTATGCACCACTATCGCAATCACCTCATTATATGGAAAGAGAAAAGAAACCGAATTATTATTACTTCAAACCTGAACAATTACCACATTTTGTCAATTCTGCAGATTGGAATCTAGGTAAATTGGAAGACAGAATTTGATGATATAGAGCGCTCTAATCCCCCTTTTTTTTAGCATCCAGTATCTCTTCTTATCCAACCATCAACTTTATTCTATACGTTCCTTCAGCAGATGTCACACCCTTACGGATCCATGATCAACAAGGTAAAAAAAAAAAAAAAAAAAAGAATAAAAAGAACTGAAAATTATATTCATGTTTTGTAACTCATTCATTACTATCCTTTATTACTATTATTATTATTATTTTAAACAAATTACAAGGACATCCACTTCTTTCCAATTCCTTTTTGATTCCTCGATGGGGAGGAGTTACAATCAAGAATCCTCCAAAATATATTGAATCCAAGTATAGCATTACTAAATCTGATTTGAAGCCTATTATGAAGATATTTATCTCACAACTCCGAGGTTTGATGGGAATTCAAGATATAAGCTCTTCTGCAGCAAAACTACTTGTAAAGTATACATATATAAAAAAAAAGGATGAATGATACGATTCTAACTATTGGACAATTGATTTCAATTAAACAGCCATCAAACTTGAATACAACTTTTATGCTTTCCACACAAACGGGAATTACCACTTTGGAAAAGGATAACTTGATTCGACGACGTACAATGGAAAACATGATCAATGCAATTTCCACTCTTCGATCCTTGGGACAATTGGTGATGGAGATTCCAAATATGGTTGTGTTGGATCATATACAATCTCAGGTAAGGAAAAATTAAATATATAAAGTATATATATAAAAGACGCAAATGAATAGATGATGATGGTATTTTTTTTTTATTCCTTTAGGTTCGACAATCTTTAACATCTATTCAAAGTGTCCGAATTGAACTTGAAAAAGGTAATTATGGTAAAGCTTTAAAACACTCAGTGGACGCTATGGAATTATCAGAAATGGCTTTCTTTGATCCTACGATGGTGTCGATGCTCTATTTCCCTGATGAACACAAATATGCGATTTATATGCCCCTTTTTGTCCCTATATCTGTACCTTTAAGTATAGCTCTACTAAAATCATTAAAGAAATGGAGAAAAAATAGATTTCCTTCCTCCTTGTCATCATCAAAAACAAAATCTGAATAAAGTTTTATTATTATTATTATTTTAGTTTTACTATTTACTATTATTATTATGTGTTACTGATATGGTAGTAAAAATAGTTAAGGTTTATTAGATACAGTTTCGTTGAAAAGGGGAATGCTTTGATCTTTCAACATCAGCATCTAACTATGGTGATTTTTTTCTTTTTTTGATGACTGATTGTTTTTGGTTTTCAACTAGAAAAACAATGTAAACTTGAGATCACATGACCCTTATGGTGATACATTTCTCTCTTCAATACAATTGTGTAAATCAATTTCCCATGATCTTTGACTGTATATGATTGGAAGAACTATTTAGCAACCGCACTGACTTCCTTTACTGAGAAAGGAAATTGAATGATCGATACCCCATTTTCTGCAATATATTTTATTTTTCTGTCATATTTCGCTTGATATTAGGAAGTTTTAACTTATAAAAAGATGATTATTCTTTTTTTTAAAAAAAAAAGTAAAATAAAACAAACTTTTATATAGTAAGAAAGATATGGATTCATCTTCGTCATTCTAAACAAATACCCAATCAGTCGAGTCATCGAGGGCGGTCCTTGAAACTTTAAAAATACATATAAAAAAAGAGATGATCTCTTTTTTTTTTTTCTCCACTAACAAAAAGATATTGTTTTTTTCTTCCTTCTTTCGCTTTTTTATTTATTTATTTATTTAAATTTACTATTTTATTATTGTTTGTATTACTAATTTATATACTCCAAGGGTACATTTATTACATTAGTTAAAAACTATATACTCAACATGACTACCATGCGTTCATTAGAAGAATATGACATCTCACCAGTGACAGGGTTTTTACCACCTGAACCTCCTTTACGTCGACTTGACAACCCTTATTTTTTACCTTGGGAGACTATGATGGATGATTTTAATGGTCTTCTTTTGGCTGGCAAACTACGAGAAAAGATCCTCAAGGTAATCCGTTACCTCCCCGCTACCATATCTAGTTATTGTATTACAGCGAAACCAAGAAAGGAAGAAAAAAAGATACTTATTTTTTGTTATTGTTATTATTAATATTGAATAGATGCCTTTATTGGATTATAAATACCTAAATACCATTCAAGAATATAGAAGAGCTTTCCTGATTCTATGTATGTTATCTCATAGTTACATATGGGGTAAACATGAAGAAGCATCTGAAGTAAGTTAACAATAGCAAAAAAAAAAAAAAAAATATTTTTTTTTATTTGTTACAGATGACACCTTCTGTATTACAATCGGATAAAGGTTATGAATTTTCACACGATTCTCTTTTAGACTTTACCCGCAAATTTAGCTGTTCCTTGGACTGGTATTGCTGAAGAACTTGGTCTTTGTCCTGTTGTATGTCATGCTGCTGTTGTATTATGGAATTATCGTTTACTTGATTCTGAAGGTCCAATTGAACTTGCGTAAGAATATTTCATTTTTTTTTATTTTTGGGGGGAATATGATGAACTTATCTTTTTTTTTTTTTTTGGTTTTGTACTATTAGTAATTTGACAACCCTTGCCACTTATTCTGGGTCACTTGATGAATCTTGGTTTTACTTGATAACAACAGCTATTGAAAGTGCAGGTTCCAAATGTCCTGCGGCCATTCTCTCTTGTGTAAATCATGTATGTGATGGTAATTATGAAGGATTAAGATCAGACTTGACAACGATTCATGCTGCATTGATGGATATCAACGTTGTTCTTCATCGTATGTTTGAAAAATGTGACCCATATGTCTTTTACTGGAAAATCCGTCCTTATTTGGCTGGATGGGAAAATATGGCAGAAGCTGGACTTCCTCTTGGTGTGATATATGAAGGTGTAGATTCTCTTTGGTCAGCTGAAACTGATGAATATGGGGATATTAGCCATCTTACAGAAGAAGAACGTTTATTACGCCAATATCGTCGTTATGCTGGTGGAAGTGCTGCTCAGAGTAGTTTGATTGCTGCTTTTGATGTTGCTTTTGGTGTACAACATCATCCTGTGGGTGAAAAATCATCATCAACCTCTTTACCACCTATCATTAACAACAACAACAATAATAATTCAACACCTTATTCACCTGTTGATAAAAATGATCGTTATCGTCACTTACCTCTGACTCGACCTGCTGATGAACTTGATCATTCTGGAACTTCCTCAGGTGCCACTACTCCATTACCGCCTTACAAACGTACCAATCGTAATGCATTTTTACGAGCTATGCGCAAATATATGCCAGCACCTCATCGTCAATACCTGGAAGATTTAGAAACGGCATCGAATATTCGTCCTTTTATGATGCATCTGGAGGCTCTCTTTCATAGTGGCGAAATTACTGATGAAGAATGTGAACTAGTGGAATTATACAATGAATGTTTACATCAACTCAAGTTATTCCGTGACAAGCATGTACAAATCGTTAGTCTTTATATTGTCAATCAAGCAAGAAAAGGGCCCAACATCTCTCACGGTGGTTTTGCAATGGAAAAGAAAGCAGATATCCCTCAACCTTCATCATCTACAGGCTCAGACAATGGAAAACCAGCACCAAAGAAAACTTTACATAACATGTTATATCCGCAAACAGCCTTGGAAACGCATCCTGGTATACGTGATGGCTCTCCTTCGGCTAAGATCAGTTCTCTTTTCCCTCAACTTGGTTTGGCCAAACATGTTGATCCTAAATCGGGTGTGGTACGAGGCACAGGGGGTACGAATGTCATGCCCTTCTTGAAACAATCAAGAGATGAAACTGCCGAGATGAAGATCGCTTTGGAAAAGGTACAACAATTAGCACAAGAAACTCTTGAAGAAACGAAATCTTGGACCGATATGTTATTACGTAGATAGTGATCTTATTTATTTATTTGTTCATTTTTTGATGATGATCTATTTTATATTATTATTATTATTATTATTATTATTATTATTATTTGTATGATTTTTTTTTTGTTAGGATATCTCTCTCTCTCTCTCTATATATATATATATATATATATATTTGATGTAACAATAAATGAAATATCTATATCTTGTTATTTACATACAAAAGAATAAAAAAAAAAAAAAGACTGACTATATAAAATGGCCTTTATTAGAATTTGTAAACAAAATAAAACAAAAATCAAATGAATAATCATGATACACATAAAACAATCACTAAAACTAGTCCAAAAAAAAAAAAAATCAAATTTGTTGTTGAGATATTTGTTGTCGAACGGCCACATTTGAAGAAGCGGTGGATGTGTTCAAGGAACCATCATCATCATCAGCTATCATTTTGTCACCTAAATGTTGTTGTCCATGTCGAAGGTATAAAGCTGGTTTACGTTTTTCCACTACATCACGATCAATCACCACTTGGTTGATGTTACTACCTGGTGCATCAAACATAGGATCCAATAATACATTTTCCATAATGCGTCGAAGTCCCCGTGCGCCCGTCTTTTTCTCCAATGCCATTTCTGCAATCTTGTGTAACGCCGCTTGACTAAATCTAAGATCAACCTAAAAAAAAAAAAAAAAAAAGAAATCAATGATTCTAGTTTCCCACACCTATTTTCTCATTCTCACGCTCACCAACTTATCCTTCTAAATATTATATTCATCCACTTTATTACCTGACTTAATTTGAATAATCCTTCATATTGCTTCAAAAGAGAGTTTTTCGGTTCCGTCAACACACTCACCAAGTCGGCTTTGGAAAGACTATTCACATTCGCCACCACTGGTAATCGACCCACAAATTCAGGAATCAATCCATATTGAACAAAATCTATTGTATATATATATCAGTATACGAACGTTTCATATTTTCTTAACGAATTACCTGCTGGTTCCACTAAATCAAGAGGTTGTGAGGAGGATTTATCATCTTGAATAATAACATCATCATCATTTGTAGATCGAAGCACAGCATCAAAACCAATACTCTAATGAGAATCATCAAAGAAAAAAAAAAAAGGTCAATTCATTTCTTTCTTTCTATTAGATTTGAGAACCTACTCCTTTTGCAATACGATCCTTCACCATCTTATCCAATCCAATAAAGGCACCACTAAGAATAAAGAGAATGTTGCTTGTATCCACAAAGTAAGATTCACCTTTTGCTCCATTGGCTGCAGGTCCATTTCCATTACCACCCAGAGGAACATTGCCTCCATTTCCATTGCCACGACGATGACTAGGCGCATTACCTGTTTTATCAACAATATTTACCACCGTTCCTTCTAACATACGCAACAAAGACTAATCATTCACCAAAAAAAAAAAAAAAAAAAAAAAGATTAATACAGGATGAATGATGATAATGATCAGTGGATGATGACAATAATGATTTACCTGCTGTACACCTTCTCCAGAGACATCACGCGACCCCGTTCCTGAGTCAGATCGACGAGAGATTTTGTCGATTTCATCAATAAATACAATCCCCATTTCAGCACGTTTGACGTCATAATCGCATGCCTATGCATGAAAAAAAAAAGAAAGTAAAGATGTAAAATAATTTATTCAATTTCATTTTTCCCTCATGATCTTTTTTTACCTGTAATAATCGATGAATCACTAATTCAACATCTTCCCCAACATAACCAGCTTGAGTGAATGGTGTGGCATCACTGCTCTATAAAAGAAAGAATAGAAAAAACAAAGATGTTGTTAATGTCAAGAAATATGATCCTACAACTTTTTCTTTTAACTTGCTGAAAATGGGACTTCAAGTATTTGTGCCAAAGTACGAGCCAATAAAGTTTTGCCTAAATTCAAAAAAAAAAAAGAAAAGAAAAGAAATATAAGCCTATCTTTTTTTTTTTTTTTTTTTTTCCTTTTGACATTTACCTGATCCAGTGGGTCCAATCAATAAAACATTACTCTTATCATGAATAATCGTATCATCTGTCTCCTTATTTTCAAAACTTGCTGTTGCATGATTAGAAGAAGTTGTACTTGGTGGGTTAATCCAGCTAGCTCGGCGTTGTGAACCTAATAATAATAATAAAAAAAAAAAAAGAGAATCCATCAGCTTTATTGATGTTTGGTTGCTCACGTGTAGTCGCACAAGAATGCCAAAAAAGTAATGAATCCTCTGTTTCTTACCAAAAGCTAATAAACGTTCTGATGGAGAAAGACCTGATGATAAAGAACTTGGTATAGGAAGATTGGAGGAAGTATAATAATCATGAGGTAGGGCTGAATGGTGAAGTTCAGTACGTTGATGTGGATTGGCAACTGATGAAGTAGTGGATGAATTGGTATCATTATTATTATTATCAGAGAAGTTAGGTCTAGAGGAAGCTGGATGAGTCAAAGTAGGTGTAGATGTACCCATTGTGCCAGTATTTGAATGATTGGTGGGAGACGTAGTGGTTGCTGGTGAGCCTAGCATAGAAGAATTATCTTTTTGTTGTGATTGTTGTTCCTGCGTTGTTAAGTTGGCACGTACTCTATTGTAATGGTTGTATATAGCCACAGCTAGGATTTTCTTGGCTCTACTTTGTCCTATGATATAGTCATCCAAATGTTTGACAATCTGTAACGGTTTAGTTTCAATAACATTATTTTTTTTTATTAAAAATTCTGAACTTACTGTTCTGGGATCAGAGAGTCTTGCAATATTCACAGGTTCTGAAGTACCATTCATTATCAACCCTCCTGAATATTCTCTACCTGTATCTGTTCCAGGATAGTCCATACCATTGTATTGCCAAAAACAACCAGTTGTACCAAATCGTCGCTTAGATGAAGGTAAATGCCTTGGTTTCAAACTATAAGAATGTCGTTTATAGTAGTTAGATGACGACCAGATTTGAGGATAATGTAGTTTTCTTGCCGCAGGAACAGGAGAAAAATGACGATAATAGTTAATATTGGTTCTTGGAAACATAATATAAGAAATTTCAATTTAAAAAGAAGAAAAAAAAAAGGTACAAAATAGAAAATAGAAAACAAAAAAGTAGAAATAAGAAAGAAAAGAAGAAAAGAAGAAAAAAAAAAAGCGTGAGTGTGTGAACTTTCGGTAAGGAGAGGATTCGCAATGCAGCATATGAAAAAAAAAAAAGCGTCATTTCAATTACCGATAACAACCCTCCCCGTAAACTTTGAATTTTAGGGTACAAATTAGCGGAAGTCGTGTCCAGTTTTACTTCTATTTCTTTCTTCCTTTTTTTTTTTTTTTTTTTTTTTTTTTTTTTGTTTATACTTTCTTATCATATCACCTTATTTTATATCTAATATATTATTATTATACTATTTCATTTGATTCTTCTAAGAATGCACAATTATTCACCTTGTTTTACATTTATTATATCGCCATGTCATTTGATTCTTACCGAAAAGCACAACTACATCTACAAGAAACAAGAAAGACAATTACTATACCACAGTTAGACAAAGACACCTGTATATCATATTTCAACAAAGTATTCCAAGTATTAGTACGCGAAGATTTACATAAGCTTTGGGCAAACAAAAAGAAGAAAACCGAATCCGAAATTCTATCAAACTATTGTCAACAACAAGAAAGAAAGCGAACAATACCAAACCTTTACAAAAAGACTGTAGAACTGTATAACCAAGGTAGTATACATATACATATATACATCTATTCCAATATTAATCTAACTTTTACTTAGAAAACTCAACCGACTTTTCCAAAGATACAATTAGAGCAACTGTAGACTCGAAAGCTATACCTTATGTTCGCCTTTATAAAGAATTTGTGAATAATAATGCTGCCAATATATTAGAGGAATTAAAAAACAACTACAACAACGACAACAACAACAACAACAACAACAATAACAATAACAACAACAACAATCAAGATAATGAGGATAATTTTATTCACAATACCATTACTTCTCAATTGAAGACAATCTTACGACCAGATTTGTCTGACTTGGAGAAAAACATCATCCATCAATCGCTACTGAAGTCCCAGAAGTTAATTACAAATATAATGGCGGATATCTCAACTTTGGTTTTGTTAGACCTTTTGAAACGGACCACGTAAGTAAATAGTGATCATGAAATACTAGTCATATACTCATATGCTCTTTTTTTTTTTTTTCTTAGTGGTCCACCTGTAGAAATAACTAGTATTCTACCTGAATGCAAGATTACCAAGGTCCTTCCACCACTACTGATCTCTCCTCCTTCTTATGATGTCAAGAAACTCATGGCTAGTCACAACAATGCCACCAAAGCTGAACGACGTCTATTTGAACTGTATACTGGTGGCCATTTGATGCATCTGTTGACCGCAACTCATAACTCTCAAGAAACCTCTCTTACTGACACTCCAGGTCCTTCTACTTCTTCAAGTCGTGATTCCAACAAGGATGGTATATTGAACTGGAATTTGGATTTACCGGACATCACCAACCTAAACCTTACTGATATGCCACCTGGATTATCTACCATTATTCTGCCTTATTTAAATACGTACGCCACCAATTTAAAGAATATATATCAAGGTGATATAGTGGATCGTCTGTTATCAAGAACTATTATGACTGTTCTTCAGTGTCGGCTTATTCTTCCAAAAAAGGACCAAAATAAGAATGAATTGAAAGAAAGGTAATGCATATTGATGATTTGATGATGATGATGATGGATGGTTCACATTATTAACCTATCTATATATAATTAGAAAATCACAACCAAAAAGTCCCAAGAATTCTTTTACATTCAAGTGCCAAATCAGACGCCACAGCAAAAGAATAAAGCGGTTGCAACAATTTGATAATATAAATAGATCAGACGTTCTTCAGAAGGAGCAACAAATTCTCGAACACTTGATGCAATCCTCTATTCTCAATTCAAGTACTACTGCTCAGGTTAACGTGGAGATTCCTTTGGTGGACGATTCTGATGCTCAGATGAATTTGGATATTACTTTGGTGGATGATACTAGTGCTCCGATGGAAGTGGATGCCCCTGAAACCATTCATGTTAACCCCTCCTACAATCGACTGAAGAAAATTGCAAATTTTGTGAAGTCAATTCTATTCAAAAAGAACATCGATCAACCGTTAACTGTCGAGGATCTTAAGATGCATGCGCCAGATATGGAATTTAACGATGACGAAGCCAATTCAGTACTCCTTTTGTATCAATTTTTCTCACCATACTTGTTACCGAAAGTATACGATGACGATGTAGATCGGCATCCCCTTCTCAATTTCCCTCTTGTTACGGTATGCAATCATATTCTTCGCTCAACTGGAAACGAGAAATTTGTAAGACGATCTGTACCAGTTGTAAAACATTCCAATACCTATTCCATTACTTTGGATCCAACAAGATTGTATTTGACTCTGTGCTCGTTGAAAGGACGTGTTGGCGGAACAAAAGGCGGAAATGTGCAACCTCTACATTCGTATGGATTCGATGTTTTTCTTCCCAACGGTGACATAATAAGCAATATTACCAAGTCAATCAAATTCCAGGATGAACTATTTGGTGCTTTTTTTGATCTTCCAACCAGGCGAAGCCTTTGTGCGAAAAAGACTGGCTTTATCTTCTCCAATCGAATCACAATCACTAACTATGGCGCGGTGCGACTACATTCCAAAAAGGAAAAACCAATTGACACTGATATCAAGCCATCAGCAACCAAGGTACGACGAAAAAGAAAGTTATCTGAAGAGATCACAATGCAAGAAAAGATAAAGTCATTGGACGCTTCCTTATCAACACCAGCTGAAGAATTGCGCAAGTTGAATAACGAAATAGATGAAACGAAGATGAATATTATGAATATCAACGAACAAATTGAATCCATTGCCGACACAACACATGATGATCTGGAAGACCTCCCAACAAAAGATTTTTTAATTAAACGGCGGGCAGAAAAGAAGCGACAGCGTGATGATCTACTTCGACGGAAGCTTGTTGTGTTACGGAAGATATCAGCCCTCAAGACAGAGAAGAAGGACCTCTTTGACGAGTTTTATTCAACTGACACGACAGATGTTAGCCTATCCTCATCATCTACTGGTAACGAATGGGAAAATGGAAGTATTTTTGTTGGATGTGATCCGGGTCTGGCAACCATGGTCCAAGCTACAAGTGCTGATGTCAAGAAAGTAATGTACTATTTGGCAATCAACAATCGTTATCAACCATTGGAAACATTAGTAGAAAAGGTGGATAGTGATGGCGATGAAAAGGAAATGCTTACTTTGAAGAAATACTCAATTACCAGTAAACATCTCGACGATCAAACCTTCTCCAAACGCCATCGCAAGGGAATGGAATTCAGAAAGAGACGAGATCATCGCAAAGTAAGTGATTCCAAAAAAAAAAAAAGGATGTCAATAACCTATTTTTTTTTTTTTTTTTAATTACTAGTCCCAAACTCAAGGTGTGCTTTCCGTCAAGCAAGTAGAAGAAAAGTTGGCTGGATCAATTGATGTCCGTTTATATGAAGTTTACAAAAAATCATGACAAATCACAAGGTAGGATCAATTATTATACATCATCACGGAGACCAAAAAAAAAAAAAAAAAAAAAAAAAAAAAAAAAAAAGACAATGGATATTAATGAATGCAATCATTTCAATTTATCTAGTTGATCAAGGAAAGTGCACCTATTCTTCAGGATTTTTACTGTGATCAAAAATGCAATCAGCGGTGGAAACGAACAGCAGTGATATACAGCGAAAAGGGAACACATGTAGTCATCAAGCATCACCAACGACAAGTAAAAGAAGAACCTGGACAAAAACTACATTACTTTTATGGAAAGGCGGGTCGTGGTAGAAACTCACGTATCGGTGGATTTTTAAGAAGAGGTCATGGACCCTTATTACAAGCTCTTGGTCAACATTCTTCTATCTTCCATACAGATGAATTTAGAACGACAAAACTTTGCTGCCGTTGTCATGAGCCTATCTATCATCCGAAGAAAGCTAATGGAAAATTAAATCTGGGAACTGTTATTTGTCAAAACCCTGATTGCAAAGGACGTCAAGCTGGAATGATTGCTGAATCACGAGACACAAATGCAAGTATGAATATGATCATCACTGGATTATGGCAACAAGTTACTGGCAAACTTCCTCCATCCTTCCGGCGGTCAATCTCATCAACAGAAAACGATAACAACAATATTGATAAGATATTCCAAACTTTGATCTCTTCTCATCCTGGACTGGTTGAAGACGGATACATCATGCCTCTGTGCTGAAGGCAAAACTTAAATTGTACCCTAAAATTCAAGTTTTGCCTCCCTCCCCTTCTTAATCATGTAACCATGATCGATTTATTATGCTCTTAATAAAAACTATTACAAGTAGCCTTTCATTTTATGAAATATGAACCCTATATACTATTTTATGACATATAATGATTGGATGATTGATTTGATTTAATAGAATCAAGGCTTTTATCAATACCTTAATGAGGAATATTGGTATCAATCAATACTAGTTATCAATACTTTATCAATACCAAGTATTGAGAACTTTTTTTTCCTCGATACTTCAGTTGGGACGGTACCAAGTTAAGAACGTTCATCAAGTCCTTTTTATTTTAATCATCTTTTTGAGACAACGACAGAACAAAAGTGAACATGAGACAAGAGAAACTAAAAAAGCCGACATCTGTTTTTTTGCAAAGTACAACATCATTTTATTGAAATAAGAAAGGCATAATTTAGGAACACGATCACTAATTGTTTGATTCATCTTTGAACACCGAACTGTGCCGAAACGATTTGTGGCTGGTTTTGATTAGAAAAAGCGGTCGTGAGGTTTTGTTCAGGCGACAAAAAAAAAATTCTTTTCTTTTTCCCTTTTTTTTTTTTTTTTTTTTAACACAGTATACGATAATGGCCAAGGACAAGAAAGATAAAAAGGAAAAGAAGGTCAAATCTGAAGAAGGATCTACTATTATTCGTTTTAATTCTCCCATTGCTCATCCTATGGCTGATGATAAACTTTCTAAAAAGGTATTCAAGACTATTAAGAAAGGTAAAAAAAAAAAAAAAAGATATTCTTTATACATTATTACTCACTATATATATATATACAGCTAGCAAAGCAAAACACGTTCGTCGTGGTGTTAAGGAAGTTGGAAAGGCTCTTAGAAAGGGAGAAAAAGGATTGGTTGTGATTGCTGGTGATATCTCTCCTGTCGATGTGATTGCTCATATTCCTGTATTGTGTGAAGACTCCAATGTTCCTTATGTGTTTGTTCCATCCAAAGAACAATTAGGTGAAGCTTCTTCAACAAAGCGTCCTACTTCTGTATCTATGGTTGTATTGGGCGGTCAAAAGAAGGATCTCAAGAGTGCCGAAGACTACAAGGAAATTTACGAAGAATGTTTCTCTCAAGCCAAAAAGTTGGTAAGTTATAAAATAATATAATTGTGAATATTGTAGTTCTCATATTTTATTATTATCATTATTATTATATTAGGATGAAGCTTTAGTCTATTAGATTTTATTATCATATATTCAATTTTTTCCCCCTTTTGCATCATACAAACAATTTCATTACCTTATTCTCATTTTTTTTGTCCTTTTGTATCTCTTTCGCTCTCTCTGTCTCTTTCTTTCTAACCCATTTTTGTTCATATAACAACGTACAATCTTATTTTATTTTACTATACACGCATTATCTCTTTTTTTTTTTTTCACCCAACGGTCTTTCAATCAATAAACTGTAGAATGACTCCTTGTTTTTTATATTCTCCTTTTTTCACTTATTCTCTCTCTCTCTCTCTCTCTCTCTCTCTCTCTCTCTCTCTCTCTCTCTCTCTGTCTCTCTCTCTCTCTCTCTCTCTCTCTCTCTCTCTCTCTCTCTCTCTCTCTCTCTTTCTCTCTTCCTTTTTTTTTTTTTTTTTTTTTATATCTATATAGTAGTCCTCTTCATACTCAATTACCATGCCTGATTCTATATTATTTGATGTCAACTCTCCAACAACTGCAACTGGGAACTATTATGCAAGCTCACAAAAGGACGATCTACGGTTTTATAATGGTGCTTCGACTTATCATCAACAATCATCCTATGAACCTTCATCATATTATACTCCACCACAGGCGTCAGGTGATATGACAGGATATATGGAACCTCCTACAAGCTTTTGGAATGCTTTTGGAACAGCAGGTTTACCTGGTGAACCTTCTCTTATGGAAGAATTAGACGTGAATCTGTCACACATCAAAGATAAGGTGAAACAAGAAAAAAAAAAAAAGATATATATTACTGTATACTTGATTTATTTGATATTCACAACACGCATGTATCTTTTTTTTTTTTATTATTATTATTATTGTAGAGTTTAACAGTACTGATTCCTTTCCGTTCTATTCCACCATCTATCATGGATGACACTGATCTAGCAGGACCACTTTTGTATCTCTTTTTATATGGTTTAGGGCTTATGTTATCAGGTAAAGTACATTTTGGTTATATTTATGGTGTAGGCATGTTAGGAGTAGGTTCTCTGTATGTACTTCTCAATCTCATGTCACAAGAACAAGGTGTTGATTGGGCTCTTACTGCTAGTGTACTTGGTTATTGTCTCTTACCCATGGTGATGCTCAGCGGAGTCACTATTGTGTTCCAAACAGGTGGTAACACAGGTTGGGCATTGGCTGTCCTTAGCTTTTTTTGGTGTACCTTGTCCAGTGCTGCCATGTTCACTAGTGTTTTACATATGCAAGATCAAAGACTTTTGGTCACTTATCCCGTGGGTTTATTTTATGCCTGTTTTGCTTTGATGACCATCTTTTAGATTATTTTATTATTATTATTTTATTATCAAATAAAAAATCACTATTATCTTTATTATTATTATTATTTCTTTTTTATCAAACTTCGACATGGGTGGGGTAGTAGAATAGAGAGAAACAACGGTTTCAGTGACATATTAAGGTTGATGGATGGGTAATGCAATAGTGATTGTTGATGATATAATAAAAGGTAACAGATAGACTAAAGATAGGTGATGGTTGGTATTGATTTTATACATATCAACTAGAATTGAACAAAAGACATTGGATGATTTCAAATAAAAGACATAGAACAAAAAAAAAGGTTTATTAATTTTCTTTTTTTTTTTCAAATAGAGAGATGTAAGGATAAAAAAAAATGTACAATATGCAACTAAAGTAAACATGAATTGGTTTCAATTATAACAGGCGAAGAGAGTAGACTTAATTCTTGGAAGCCACATATTTCAAAAGGTCGACAACACGGCAAGAATACCCATATTCATTGTCATACCATGAGATTAACTAATAATAAAAAAAAAAAAAAAGGAAATAAAGTTATTTTCCATATATATCCTGATCAGTTTGCCCCATCATCTTTTTCTCTCTTTTTTTTTTTAAAAAAAAAAAATAGTAATAATTTAGTTTTACCTTGACAAAGTTTGGATTCAAAGAAATACCAGCCTTGGCATCAAAGATGGAGGAATGAGAATCACCAATAAAATCAGTAGAAACAACTTCATCTTCAGTATAGGCCAAAATACCCTTGAGTGGACCTTCAGAAGCCTTCTTCATTACTGCCTTGATGTCATCATAAGAAGCAGCTTTTTGGATACGAGCTGTCAAGTCCACTACGGAAACATCAGGATTGGGAACACGGAAAGACATACCAGTCAACTTGCCATTCAAATGGGGGATCACTTTACCGACAGCCTTAGCAGCACCCGTAGTAGCAGGAATGATATTGGCTCCAGCACCTCGTCCAGCACGCCAATCCTTGTGAGATGGACCATCCACTGTCTTTTGAGTAGCAGTAGTAGCATGCACAGTGGTCATCAAACCTTCCACAATACCAAAGTTATCATCTAATACCTTTGCAAGAGGAGCCAAACAATTGGTAGTACAAGAGGCATTAGAGATGATATCATATTCAGGTTTGTAAGCTTCGAGGTTCACACCACAGACAAACATAGGAGCATCAGCAGAAGGAGCAGAGATAATCACTTTTTTAGCACCACCAACAAGATGAGCCTTGGCCTTGTCAATAGTAGTAAAAACACCAGTAGATTCAACAATATGAGTAGCACCATCCTTAGCCCAAGGGATTTGTGCAGGATCCTTTTCATTATAAACAGTAATAGGTTTACCATTCACAATAAGTTTACCGTTCTTGGCTTCAACAGTACCCTTGAATTGACCATGAGTGGAGTCATATTTGAGCATATAAACCATATAGTCCAAAGGAATAAAAGGATCATTAACTGCTACAATATTTAAGTTGCCATCATCAATAGCACAACGAAGGACAATACGACCAATACGACCAAATCTATTCAACAAAAAGAGAGAAGAAAAAAAAAAAAAAAAAAGAAAAAGAAAAAGAAAAGAAAGGAATTTAAGTATCCGATCCATTTTTTTTTTTTTTTTTCATATATAGTTTTACCCGTTAATACCAACACCAGTCATCTCGATATATAAAAATATATAGTTTACTTAAAAGAAATTTTCTTTTTTAAAAAAAAAGATTTCAAATGAAAAAAGAAATAAATTAAAAAATAAAAATGTTTTGGTCTTTATATATATTATAAACCCTTGTTTCTTTTTCGATCACGCCAAACACTATTTTATGCCCAGTGGAGAAACATGCGAGTTGAGATTCAATAAAATCAGCCGATTATGTCTTTTCTTTATAATTGTTTGGTTTCATTAATCATTTTACTATTTTGTTAATATTGACTTATCTATCTTTTCTTTGATTGATGATTTCTTTATCGTCATTACTGATCTTCAAAGTTAAAAAAAGAAAAGAAAAAATCATTATAGGATGATTTTCAAACCCATTTCTCATATCATCATGTCTTAAACCATATGTTGATCGATTTACTCTTACAGGTTTTATACATTTTTCGATAGATCATCCACCATATCCAACGGAGATCAAAATGGCCTATATATTTTTTCTTTTTTAGGTTCTGCCAATGGAAATGCCCAAATCGTTAAGAATTTTTTTTCCTTCTCTCTTTTTTTTTTGCCATTTCCTGATTTTTTTTGCCACTTTTCCCCTTTCCCTTCTTTTTTTATTATTATTATCATGTCTTCATCTCCACCATATTCATCTGATTCTTCAGTCAATGATGAGGAATCTCACAAGGTACGCGACAAACTACGATATGAAAAAGAAGAACGAGATGTAAGTCAAGATCGTTATAAACGTTCTCATAGTGATAGACGTTCACGGTCTCCATCTATAGGTAAAACATCTTCCTTTCATCTCTCTCTTTTTTTTTTTTTTTTTTTTTTGAACCTAACTTAACATCTATTTATTTTATTTTTATTTTATTTTATTAGAGAGAAAGAAACATCGTCACTCAAAACGTCGCTATTCTGATGCTTCATCACAAGAGGAAGACGATTATTCCAAGTCGAAATCTCATCATGGTAACTATATTCTATTGACTGATACTGTTAAAAATATATATTTATACTAATAGTTAACTCTTTTTTTTTTTTTTTAATCATAGATAGATACGAAAGCCGAAGACTGACACCTCAAAGGTACCTTCCGAAGGAAACAAAACAATACTAGTCAAGGAATGGATCAATATAAATTGTTGACCCATTCTCTTTTTCTTTACGACGTGTTACATACAGTAGGGGAACGATGGAACCAATGAATCCAGATCAATTTGACTATATTATTCCATATAAACAATATTGCGACTATCTACGATATACCCACCCTTCCAAACGTTTTGATGATTCTAGCCTTCGACGAAGATACGATGAATATAAAGAAAGTTTCCAAGCAAAGCAATTGGCCAATTTCTTCGACACCAACAAGGATAAACAATGGTTTTTGGAAAAGTATCATCCTGTTTTATCGATACCTCGCAAACAAGAACTTAAACAACGCCGATTACGATACTTTAATCAATTTATGGATGATTTAAATCGTGGATTATTAGATAATGTAGAATTGGATGAAGGGAAAACTTATACTATCAATAACAAAGCAAAAAAGCAATCACAACAAATGGAAGGTGATGATGATCAAAATACCAATGAAGATAACCAAGATATATATGAAAATCGATTAGTGATCAAGACTGTTCTTCCTACTATCTCTCGCGAAAACATCTTAAAGGTATAAAAATAGCTAATTTTGAATACTCATTTTTTACTCAATTGCTACTTTTTATAGTTGTGTGAAACAGTGGATGGATTTGATTATTTAGCATTATCGGAGCCTGGACCCAATCGACGATTTCATCGTATTGGATGGATTAATTTTAAGGAAGGAACAGATATGCAACAAGCATTTGATCAATTAGATAACAAAACGGTAAAATCAAAAAAAAAAAAAAAAAAACTATCATGAACTCATCTTCTTTTATTTATTTTTTTTATTATTAGGTGGATGATTTTGTATTCCATTTGGCAATGAATCGAAAAAATCAGGAACCTCTACCTCGAACACCCAGATTGGCATTGGAAATTAGCAATACAGAAGAACGATTGAAGCATGATATGGAACAGTCTTATACTCTGGCAAAAGCAATGGATACATTTTTGGATGTCAAAGGAGCAAAACAGGTGGTGGAACGTGCCAACGAAATTGGTGACATTACAGATCTAGAATCAGAAATGATCAGCAAACAAGATGACAATGATAATGATGATGATATTGACCATAAATCATCATCCATGATATATATCAAAAAGAAATTGGATCTTATGATTACGTATCTTCGTCGTGTACACATGATGTGTTACTACTGTGGATTGGAATGTGACTCTATAGAAGATCTGGACCGAAAATGTATGGAACCTCACTGCCGGAAAATAATTGACAAGTCTACTCAAGGTGTATCTTCAAGTGGTAGTGAAAAAGGAGGTAAGTTGAGATAATATTGAATTTGTACCAATTTTTTAATTCTTTATACTCTCTTCATTTTTAGGTATTGCTTGGGCTAAAAACCTGGATTCAAAACTCGCTTTGAAGTTTGAAAAACCTCGACAGCGAACATTAGAGAGGATGGGTGGCAAACTTTTAGATGAGTAAGATTGATCTATTATATAATAAAAATTACGAATGGATAACTCACTTTTTTTTTTCTTTTTTTTTTTTTTTTTTTTTTTTTTTTGGTATTCAAGTGAGCTTGATAAGTTTTATGATGATCATATCCAGAGGGAACATTCTTCAAAATATCGGTGCAAGGTGGATGATTGCAACAAGGCTTTTAGAGGAATTGAGTTTGCGGAAAAACATATCACGTCCAAGCATCCAGAACATATCAATCGCATTAAAGAACAAACGACTTTTTACAACAACTATATCTGCGATCCCAATCATTTGACACCGCAAACGAATCATGTTAGGAACAATACAAACCTTATGAACAACGTGATCGGAACAATGACAATGACATCAACCAATTTGGGTGGATCTCCTGTACCAATGGTGCGATCAGCAACCTCGTCCTCTTATCCTTTTACTGTTTTCCAACAGAATCATCCGAACATGATGATGCGTGGTGTTCATCCTGCAACTACTACTCAACCTTTCAATCGACCACCACCAGCAACAACAAGGTAAAAAGATGATATGCTAAAAAAAAAAATTACTTCCCTTCTGTTTCTTTTTGATTCTCATTGATTTTTTTTTTTTTTGGTATATATGTGTGGAACAGCTTATTGGATAGTATGATGCCAAGAGATCCACGACAAGTGACTTCCTATGTAGATTTGGATGCTCCTGCTCAAGGTGACAATAATGGGCCTGTGTTTTATTGATGATTATTTATATTATTTTTTTTTCCCTTGTACCAATCCCTTTCTTTCTTCTGTTGTTGTCTTTTATGCCCTACTTAGTATAGTTTGTTATTCCACCTTGAGTTTACATGATATCATAAAAAATATATTATTTATATTTATATTTGACCTTGGATATTCAATCTACATACGTTATCGCTATATATGTCCTTTTTTTTCACAAAGAGATATTTTGAAACATATATTTGATACTATATTCTCAATGGATTATTGTATATTTTCTCAAATAATCCTGTATGTCATCATCACAGAGTCAAGAAAACGCTGCGTTTTTCTCTTGCTCAACCATTATCCAAATAAGGCAATGAGCATTGAATTTGATTTATGTAATTGCTGTATTCAAATGATTGCATATGCGTACGGATGATATATTGATATAAAGGTTTTTTGTCGGGTCACAAGAAAATGCTTTTCGTGATGTTATCAAATAAAATATCGTACTTTCCCAAAATGAATGGCGCATTACCACTTTTTCAGATATCGCTCCAGAGATGTCGGTAGAGTACATTAAAAACACACAACACATTGATGATAACTTGTTTATTAAAAATAAAAGACACAAAATAAAAGTAACATGGACTTATCATATTTTTAGCAGCTTTGGGTGTTGCCCATTCTTTTTTAGGTATCAATTGATTGATGATTGATGATTGATGATATGTGATAATGGATGATTGTATATTGGATGATTACAGGATGGATGATGGATGACTGTATGATGGATGATATGTGATAATGGATGATTATATGTTGGATGATTGTACGATTGTATGATGGATGATGAAACATTGTCGTCAATCACTGTACAAATTTCTGCTAAAATACAAAATACTTCATTCTAGTTATCTTCTGACAGAATAACATTTTCTTTTTTTTCTTTTCTTTTTTTCTTTGAAAAATGTCAAAACACTCTTTTATCAGCCAACATGATAAATCAATATAATAATGATGATACATCACATCAATGGAAATTAAAAAATACAATAATAAATGTGCTGTACACAATCATACTACCATTTAAAATAGAACAACTAAAAAAAAAAAAAAAAATCTAGTCATTAAACTAAAACACGGCAAAAACAAGTCAGTACCATGTATCACTTAGTACATAAATATTGTAATAATAGAATTTAATGTAGAACATCTATGTAATTAACTTTATTATAAAGAGAGAAATGTTGCTAATACTAAAAAAAAGAAAAAAAATGATGAAGTAGATACTAAAAATAATAAAGTAGATGATAAATTAAATACAATAGAAAGAGAGAAATGTTGTTAATACTAAAAAAAACGATGAAGTAGATACTAAAAATAATAAAGTAGATGATAAATTAGATACAATATAAAGAGAGAAATGTTGCTAATACCAAAAAAAAAAAAAAAAAAATGATGAAGTAGATACTAAAAATAATAAAGTAGATACTAAAAAAGACAAATGATAAATTAAATACAATAGAAAGAGAGAAATGTTGTTAATACTAAAAAAAAAAAATGATGATGAATTAGATACAATATAAAGATAGAAATGTTGCTAATATTTTTTAAAAAAAGATGATAAAACTCGCTTACATCTTGTCTCATCATTTTATCAACTAAAATTAGCTCATAATTGCAGGGGTGATTCATTTTCTTATAAAAGGATCTCTTTGATTTAACTTTTTTTTTTTTTATTTCTTTACATTATATTCATCTTACCTGCTTCCTTTTTGGCCTACCTGCCTGCTTTTTTGTCTGCCTTCTTTTTTTTTGATCTATCTTCTTCTTTACAAGTATCCTTTAATCGTTGCACCATCTTTATCCTTGATCTGCTTTTATTTTGTTTTTGGGCTTGACCGTGGTCGCTAATGCGCATCTGCGTGGTTACGGTCTGCCTTTTCTTTTTTTTTTTTTCAACAATTTCCGGGTTGGTTATCGCCAAGTTACCTACTTTCACCGTAGCGGTACGGTGATCTCATTACACTTAAATGGTAAGCTAGTGAAATATTTTTATCTGGATAAGTATTACTCATTTTTTATTTTATTTTTTTTTTATATGTTAACTTGGTAAACTCAATTGGTGGATTTCTTTTTTTTTTTTTGATTACTCTTTTTTTTTCATGATATCTATTTTCTTATATTCTCTATTTGATTATGCGACAATTATATTTTTTTTCTTCTGTCATTTATTTTCTATCCTTACGATATTTTATTTCCTATTTTTGCGCCATCTTATTCTTTGAATTCCGTCATTTATTATTGAATAAAGTGTATTGATATAAATATATATATATATTCTTAGATTTCCAATCAATTACTGGTCTTCAAGATACTTCTCTTCTTTACTCATTATCACGTCCTTTATGATGAAAACAATTTGAGGTTCGATCATCTACAAAAACTTATCTACCGTATGTGTTATAGCTATGACCATGCTATATCCCTGATTATTATTATGCTGATTTGATGGTTGCCCGATTCAATCGCAAGGAAAAAAAAAAATTGGGAAAAGATAACGATGAGTGAATTTGCGGATGGTGATATACTCAAATGCTCAACTTTACTGTTCCAAAAGACTAAACTACTGAATAAAACTAATTTCCATGATCAAGAGTTGAATAGGAGAGGCCTAAATCAGAAGAGAGGTTAGTTTTGCTGTCATTTGACTTGTCATGTTTAGTCCAATAGAGAAAATGTTAGCCATATTGACTATTCCTTCATATATCTGTCTACTATAAAAAGAGTAAGAAGCAAAAAAAAAAAAAAAAAAAAAAAAAAAAAAAAAAAAAAAAAAAAAAAAAAAAAAAAAAAAAAAAAAAAAAAAAAAAAACAAATGTAATTAGTCTTGTTTTCCAAAAGAAAAACTACCAGCGTGCCATCACGTTTTGTTTTGAAAAATTCTAATCACTTATGTCAATTCTATTCAGACTTGATTATCACCATCCTTCTCATTTCCATACATAAATAATCAAGAAAGAGGTCAATTGGAAATCATAATAAAAATAATAAAAATAAACTATCTATCTCAAATACGACGACATTTCTTTTATTGACGTATGTAATATATATATATATATATAAAAGCAAGAAGAGAATGGAATGATGAACATTCAAAAAATAAAAGGATAAAAAAAAATGTATAAAAGATACATATAAACATAAAAAAAAAAAAATACACAAATGATAGCTACTATTACTATCAGTACACTAAAAATAATCATCCACTACTAACTCTAACGACCACTATAGTTCATCCGCATCACTATCGTCTTCAGCATCGTAATCATCCAAAAGTACATCAGTATCATCTTGATCGAGAGCACTATAACGGACACCACTATGTCGGCCACGAAGGAAAGAAGGTACTGATAAATGCCGGAAGATGTTCCAATCTGCCAGAGAACGAGGCATAGGGATTCTTGAAATGAGTCCAACCAAAGCGACAGGAACAATAACCACAGCCGATAGAATCTTGGTCAATATGGGATGAGAAATAAAGTCATTGGTAGCATTCGTAGCCGCATCGGGTAAGCGGATGGTTCTATAGATATAATCAAAAATGTTAATTCCCATTATTTTTTTTTTTTATTTTATTTTTTCATTTTACCCAAATCGTCCTTGATGAGGGAAAGCATGACGGAATCGAAGACATCCAAAAATAATAGCAGCACCAAAGACGGGTGCAAATAAATATACAAGCCAATGTGTTCCTCCTCCACCACGACCAGGGCATCGGATCTTTTCACCAAGTTTATCCAATTCTCGACCTCCTTGACAAGTAGATGCTGCAATCTTACGATATCTATTATGATAAAAAAAAAAAAAGCGAATAGATGAGCATCTCTATAATTTTCATTCTTTCTTTGGTGACTTACCCTGTAGGATAATAAACAAAATCTGTCGTGCCATCACATTCAGGTACAACGGGTTTGAATCCTTCTACCAAAGTACATTCACCTTTTTCATTGCGAACAAAGTTAAAGTCACTATAAAGCAAGATGGATGAATTAAAAAAGATCGATCTTGTCTCAACTATTTTTTTTTTCTTAGTTGCCTTTACCATTCATAATCTTCTGCTGCACAAGTACAATTTCGAACAATTTCTTTGGGTTGAATCAGTTTTTCGCCAATATAACAATCACGATCTTGAATACGACGGTAGTATTTCGTCTATATATATATATAAATGAAGAGGCATTAATTATAAAGGTGGATGTAATTTTTTTTATCACACTTACTTCACGACCAAATAGACACTTCTCACCACGGGTATCTTCAGGACTCCATAATTCGAAATCATCATCATCTTCATTGGCAATGTCCAACTTGCATTGAGTAGGGTGAATGGCACTGAAATCGATATGATAGGCTACCGTCTTGCTGTTTCCGCGTTCCGATCCAAATACAACGTATTTTTGACTGGTACCATCTGGTTGGGTAATAATATCATTCACCTTGATACGATCTTTTTTCCTTGCAAATTCATATGTCTTCCATGTCAAACCCTGATCAGAGGTATATCTAAAAGAGAGAAATGATATAAAAAGTTTGAATTTTTTTTTTCCATTATTAAGATAATGAACTGTGCTTACCTGACTTCATTGGTTTCTTCTTCATCATCTACAAGCATCAACAGTCCACCTTGATCAGCAAATTCCCAAATATGAGCACCTTTGTAAACTTCAGTCCAAGTTTTTCCTGCATCTCTTGTCAAAAACATATCACCATCACGATAAGCAGAGAGAGAGTTACCAACATTGCCGACCCCCACCATCAGTCCAACTGCGCTAGATGTGCTGAATAAATCGCGTGTGTTTCGTCGTTCTGAATAGCTGTGTAAATGTAAACTGCATTCTTCACCATTACAGTTGTTGTAATATTCTTTTTTGCTATCCACAGAAGGAGGTGTCAGTTTCTTCCAGCTTCGACCAGCATCCACTGTGATCCTAGTCACCAATTTCTTTGGATCTCCCATGTTGGCTTGATTAGTGTTGCTGACTTGATTGGCTAGCGCAATACCTTCGATACCTTGCATTTTTTCAAAATCAACAATACCCATTTCGTTACGGTTGGCATCTGGTAGTGATTGTACAAAATATGTACCGTTGGAATTGGAGGTAAAGATGGTGCCATATTCAGATCCTTTGTGGGTGTTGGTCGTAACATGGATCCACATACTGTTTGCTGATTCCATAATAGTAAATGCTTCAGTGGCTACATTGAATGATTCAGGGAACGATGCCAATGCAAAGGTTTTTCCATCCAAGCTGACATGAAGTTTGAGATTGTTATTGCTACCACCGGATTGAGGGACAGCTACCACCATAAACTTGCCAAATACAGCTACTCCCACGATATCATCAAATAAGTATCGCTTGGATTCAAAGTAATTGTCGGATGAAACGAATTGTAATTGATTGGTGAAAAAGTTGCGTTGATTGCCGGATTTATCATGATATTCTTCACAAAAAATAGATGAATGCTCTGCAAGTTCGATAGATCCATCCCGTCCCCAAATACATCCACGAATATACTTGCCAATAGGTTGCCATGTTTTACCGCTGTTGTGAGAGTAAAATGCTTCAGAATGACAATCAGATGACATATAAGTATCACATTTATCCTCGCCAATAAAGATCACATATTCCGGTTCATCACGATGGAAGCTGAGAATTGTACCAACAAGATTATTGATGGGTTCCAGATGAGTAGTAATTTGCATAAAATTGCTGCCACGATCTTGAGTCACAAAATGAGTACGGCCTTTAGTGATAAAATACGCGTTTTGTTCATGATGAGGATTCTGATACATAGCAATCACTTGATGATCAACAAAGATTTGAATCCATTTATAACCATCATCGTCGCTTCGCCAGATCTTGTTATCCATGGTTCGCACAATCACACGGTTCGTACCACCAAAATAAATATAATCCACCACTCGTTCAGAGAATTCCATTTTGGCACTTTGTACTTGTCCATCTTCACCACAATCCCATTCTTTTTCGGTCTCCAGATTCACACCACCAGTACATGTACTCTTGGAGTTTTTCTTGTATCCAGATCGGCCACGGAATTTTTGATGAGGTTGACAAATAGTAGGTCGATCAGGGTGTCGGTTGCTATACTCACATTCACCATTTTCATTTCTCCAAAAGCCAAAGTCACTATGATATATGATTATCAAGTAATTAGTCAACCAGTCGTTCTTTTTTTTTTTTTTTTTATTACTTACCATTCATAATCACTATCACGACATTGACAATTATTTTCTATCACTTCAGGAGCTTTAAATTTGTTTCCAACCTTGCATATACGATCCTTCTTGCGACGCCAGTACACTGTTTTCTTGCCCAATAAACAAGCATCATCCCCATCATCATCCTTAGCAATCCATTTTTCAAAGTCGGATTTCTCATCATCGCCAGTATCCAAATTACAGGGTTGAACATCGGTACCAGCAAAGTCCACGACAATAATCAAAGGAGATCGTTGATTGTCACGTGTATGACCCATGATCACAAACTTGAGTGTCGATGACAAAGGATCTGTTGTCAAGGCAGATACTCGAATTGGTTCTTCTGCAAACGTATAACCATGCCACGTAGTTCCTTGATCCCAAGAGTATAACATTTCATTAGTAGGGCCTTCGTCATTAATTAATGCCAAAATTGAGCCTTGATCACCAAATTCGTATAAATGTTCACCATCTTGCACCCTAATCCAAGTATGCCCCGCATCACGTGTTAGAAAAGTATCACTTTGTTCATATGGTAAAAGAGTAGGTCCAACATTTCCGACGCCCATCGCCAAACCAGGCACACCACTTGCAGTAAAAATCGCTCCAGGTCCATGAATATCTGTTCGACTATGTAAATTCAAAGTGCAATCCTTTCCACTACAATCAAACTTGCTAGGAGGAGAGAGTGGTTGCCAATGTCCACCGTCGTCCCAACTAATCATCGTTCGTATCTTCTTGGTGACATCATGTGTTCCACCGACCAATTCGTCAGGGTTCATCACTTGATTAGCTAAAATAATACCATCAATACCTTGCATTTTTTCAAAATCGACATAACCCATTGAGTTTCCATTTGTATTGTCAAGAGAGAGATGATAAAAGGTACCATTGTCATTGGATTTGTATAAAGCACCATGTGCCTTTCCTTGAGTCACCGATTTAAAGATGTTCATGATGATGGAATGAGTGGTTGACTGAAGTACCGTAAAAGTCTATAAAAATCAAATCAGTAAAAGCGTTTTTTTTTTTTTTTTTTTTTTTTTTTTTTTTTTTTTTTTTGGTATAAAGAATAGATCATATCTAACAAGACAGAAAGAATAACAATATACTTACATCACGATCAATATATTGTCCAGGAGGGAATTGAGCTTCTGTAAAAGTGTCACCATTGATACTGACGTAGACATTAAGATCGCCTTTTGTATTTGCTGCTACAGCCATAAAATCTTCGATCACAAAGAATTCCACCACATTGTCAAATAAGATTTCCTTGGAATTACCCCAGTCCACAGTTCGAATGAGTTGTAATTGTTTTGTCTGTTGTTGAGGAGTAGAAGATACTGAGCAATAAACAGTTTCCTTGCGTATGTTGAATTTAGAATCACGGCCAAAGATACATTTTTCCACATGCTGTAAACCATCACCACCAAAGATATCCCAATGAGCACCATGATTACGAGAAATATAGGCAGCCGTTAGTCGTGTCGTAGGATCATCAGCTAAAAGTAAAAGCCAATCATGTTCTTCAAAATGGAAATCAAGTACTTGAGATACATGATGACTTGGAGGACCAGGAGTAACGATAGGCTTCCAATTGGCACCTTGATCTTCCGTTACATACAAAGTAGTTTCCATAACAGCATATGCACGCTGATCGTTGAATTCATGCATAATAAATTGATTCACTCGACCTTGATCCTTCAATACTTGTTTCCACGTCATACCATGTTCTTCAGAGTACCAAAGTTCACCATTCCTTAGTCGCATCAACACTCGGGGACTGTTTGCAAAATAGGTGAACTGTTCGAATTCATCATCAAAGATAGTCTGATATTTCATAATCCCTTTTTCGGAAGGTTGTTGAGGTACAAATCCATTGTTGTTGCCTACATCGTGAGAGGGAGGATAGATAATCTTGTCATTATCACTACATAATCGATCTACAGGTGTATCCAAGGGAGAAGATGAAGGTATACATGTGTTTCCAGGAATCAGTCGGTAACCACTTGAAGCTAAATAAGTACCTGTTTTCGATTTGCATTGATTTGATATCAGTTTATCGTTTCTATCACGTTTGCATTTTCCATCCTTGTCTCGGCTAAAATTAAAGTCGCATTCATAATCAGCTTCAGTACAAGGACAATTCTTCATTTCCAATTCAGGATCATTGAAATCACGACCCACATAGCAATCACGATCTGCCTTGCGTCGATAATACATTTGTTCGTGTCCCATCAAACAATCAGGACCATCTGTCAAGTCACGAGCATACCATCGTTCATAATCGTTCTTGTCATCGTGATCAGGATCAAATACGCATTGTCGTTGTTGTAATTTTGTAAAGTCCAGATGAATAGCTTGAACACGATCAGAGGTATCAGAAGAATGTGCTGACCCAGCTGTCAAGATAAAGTGTCGAGAGGTAGATTCAGGATCAGTAGTCAATGATCGTGCACGTACAGTCATTCCAAGGTCGTATTTTTCCCAGTTGGCACCACGGTCTTTGCTCCACCAAATATAATTTGTTTCTTTTTCATCATCCACCATGACAAGAAGACCACCCATATCACCGAATTCGTATTTATGAGCACCTTCTCTGACCATTTTCCAATTCAATCCACCATCCGTAGATAAGTAAGTATCGCATTCGTCATATTCCAATAGATGATCACCATAGTTGCCAACACCCATGACCACACCAACAGCACTAGCAGAGGAGAAAACTTGACCAACATTGGGCGTAGACGTAACTGAATGTAAATGAAGACCACAACCATCTTCACTACATTTCATATCCTGACTATTGATATCAACGACTTTCTTGATAGGTGACCAAGTAGATCCATCATCAAAACTGATTCGGCTTTGAATCTTCTTGTTGTTGGTACTTCCAATTGAGATATCTTTGGGATTAGCTACTATATTAGCCAGCATGACTCCTTCCACACCTTGTATACGTTCAAAATCAATAATTCCCAAAGGATTGCGGTTTGTATTGTCCAAGCTTTTGATGAAAAAAGTGCCATTTGAGTTTGATTTGTATAGAGATCCATAACCAGCTTCACTTCCGAGCATATCCACCAATAAAGAAACACCAGTTGATTCCACAATAGTATATGCCTTTTCATGAATATCCGTACCAGGAGGAAATACTGCCTCGTGCCAATTTTCGCCATCCAATGATATATAAAGATCCATATCTGATTTGGTTGTAGAAGGTTTGACAGCTGCTACCATATATCGATTAACAGCACTGACAGCGACCACACCAGTAACTTTGGAACCAGTACTAAAGTCTACCACTTGTTCGGTATGGAAGAAATTTTCGGATTGCACCAGTCGTAAATCGTTGGAATTCATCATGACACCACCACGTTTGGATGATGATTCTACACACATGACTTCATTAGCAGGAGCGTTATTAAAATGAGGGGAGGAATCACTCCAAATACAAGAAGCCGTATGAGTACGTAATAACCTTAAGTCTTTGAAGTTGTTGGTGGTATAATAAGTCTATATCAAAAGAAAAAAAAAAGATGAATACATATATATGTATCTATTTAGATATTATCCTCCTTACCTCTTCACGACAATCCATATTTTGCCATCCTTTCATATTGCATTGAAATCCAGTGAATAAAACATTATTGACACGTTGAGCATGGAAAGCCAATTGTTGAGCGGAAGTAGCAGGTGGCACAGGAGTTCCAAAGGATTGCCAAGAATCACCTCTATCTTCAGTTTTCCAATGTTGTTTGTCTTTACCTAGAACGTAAGCCTATTATTTCATTCGACAAAAGAATAAAAAAAAATTAATCATAAATTATTTCTCACATCATATAAATATATAAATATATATATATATCAAAATATTTGTTACCTTTTCTGAATCAAAAGGATGATCATATAAAAAGTGTGCCTGACCTTCAACTTCTGAAATCTTATTCCAATCTTTGCCATGATTTTCCGATCGATAAAGGGAATGTGAATTAGCATCTAACCATAGTACAACCTAAAGGATAAATCAAAGTAATTAATATTGTTCCCTATTCAACCTATTCAGTTTTCATCATGAAGGAAAAAAAAAAATACTTACTTGAGAATCCTTAAAATAGAACATTTTTTCCGGTAGAGCATCAAATCCAGTTTTTTGCATATCGATGTCTTGTGCCAGAATAGGTGTAGTCCACCAAGAAAATAGAGTCAAAGATACCAAAACCAATTTCATGATGAAACCAAAGTTGGATTTATATATTTTTGTTGTTGTACCATATAGACCTTGAGTAGGACGCCACAAGTTTTCCATGGCCTTCTTTTTGTTGTTTCAATCACCCGAATGGTATGTATGAGAGTGAGTTTTTGTGTATGTATATATAAGTATGTATATGCGTTGAATATTTCAATTACTAGACTATCGTTGTTGTATAGTTCAACCCAATCAAGTGTCACCAAATTGAAGTACAAATTCAATGAAAATAAAAAATAAAAAGAATAAAAAAGAGTATATATATATATATGAAGAACTATATAGAAAAGTAAAGGAGAAATTATATTCATTAGTTTCAATAAAAAAAAAAAGACCAAGTCTTCCCTTAAAATAAAAGAGAGAAATATTTGCTTTAGATATCATTCTTTTCGTTATTACCTTTTTACTTTTTCTAAACCTAAATAGTAAAAGTTGTAAATTGATATAGAAAGGAAAGAGAGAAGAAAGAAAAAAAAAATAGACGTGTTCTGCCAAGGGAAATAGTTTGAGTGTTGAGTCATCGGCATTTCAAAAAAAGATGAAATAATAAAACCAAAGAGAAATATAAAAATGCTTTTTTTATTATAGATAAAGTATAAACTACAAAAAAAAAAAAAAAAAAAAAAGGAGAAATGAGAGGTTTGAATGTATAATATATATATATATGTATATAAGTAAATCTATTCTATTCTATATATGATTAGGATAACTAATGATAAGTAATCATTGCTTAGTCAAAGGAGCCGATGATAAAGGAGGAGACGTTGCTAACCATGATAATCGAGCATCATTCCAACTTTGCATTTCACGTTGACTGAGTCTATAAGGAGCATTTGGATGTTGTTGTCGATTCATTATTGTATTTCTTGGACTTGTTCCTGTTGTTATTCTACTGATAGTACTCGAATCATCTATACTACCACCTGTACCAAATCCACTAATGCTGGAGATTGTTGTTGTACTTTGTCGAGGATTCATGACTGCCAAATGTCGTGATGATACATTTGCTGAAAAGTCCATATCGTTATTAAATTCCACCCATTGAAGTGATGCTACTGATTTAGATCCCAATGAAGTTCTTGCGTCAGGTAATAGATGATTGTGTTGGTATAGTTGTTGTTGTTGCTCCGATGGATCAGAATTTGTCGCATCCAATTTAGATGAATGATCATCTCCATTGGAATCACCTAAATTCAAGAATCTTGATAATCCGAACATACTTGATCGACGTTTGGTATTGGTAATAGGAGTGGTAGTAGTGCGATCATCCAGAGTAGTTGACATCCCAGGTATAGTGGCGGATTGTGTACGAGATGTCGATATAAGATGTGGCAAAGAATAAGTGGATGATGATACCTCGTTGTGTTTATCTGTGATGGATGACATCGTTTCCAAAGGTTTGAATATACTATGTCGTAGTCGTTTCAATGCTCTGCTTGAACGTTTTTTCCCACTATCATTATCATCCTCTTCGTCATCATCATGATCTAATCCATTGGGTGATATTGATTGGTTAATGTACATAGATGTATGTCGAGGATCCACAGAGGTTTTGTTGTTATTGTTGTTGATCATTTCCGAGTTGAAGGCAGCAAGACCAGCAGACGGTATGGGTGTTTCACAAATCCAATTCGTATATAATTGACGGCTAGGACTATCGAGTAATAAATCTGTGTGATTATTGATTGTTGGCGAAGCTGATGTTGTTTTTGATCTTGATGGTAATGATACTGATGATCTTGAACCGTTAGGACTAAGGGCGACATTGAACTCGGATCCAAATGACATGTGACTTAGGCGTGTTTTGGCTGCTTCAGGTTGTTTTAGGATGATACTTCGTCGTTGTTGTTGTTGTTGTCCTTCGGTATTACTTTCACTAGGTCGTGGTGGTGTAGATAAGCTGAATCGTGCGGCTCGAGAATGTAAATCATAGCTACGTTGTCGTCGTTGTCGTCGTTGATAAACAATAAAAAGTGTAATACTGATAGCGAACGTAAAGATAACTGCAACAATAATACCAGCAATAGCACCTCCACCAAGTCCACCACTATCAGTAGAACTGTTGTTTGTATTTGTCTTTTGAATTTGGTTCTCTATTGATGATGGATCTTCTAATTGTCGCTTGCTGTAGTAGTTGTGTAAAGATGTCGAAACAGTCTGGTCCTTCAGTGTTGTTAGGTCCAATATCATAGTGTCGTTTTCAGTTGAGTCCAAAAGACCACCATCCACCAACATGAGGGAATCTGAAATCATCAAAGCAACATGACCAGCACGAGGTAACCAAGATGTCAATGGAGTAAAAGTGATAGTCGTGTCGGAAGAAGAAGAAGAAAAATTGATATGAATCCACCAAATATCATTTAGGAGAGTTGATGTTTCAGAAAGACCACCGTATAGAATAGCATGAGTGTCGTTTGTCGATACCATGGAAGTAAAAATGCGAGGAATCAATGATACTTGTGATGATGATGATGATGGAAAATCGATTTTTTTCCAAGAGAGACGTTCAGTATCAAAGGTTGTACAGTGATTGTAAAAGATATGTCGATGAGGATCGGCTCCAAAACAGGTCAAAAGATTATCCGGCTGCTGATGATGACGAAAGGAGATAGTAGAATGACCCATTAGACCCAGATGATAAGCATTCATATGCACAACGACTTTATACCAATATTTTGTATCCCAATCTAGTTTCCATATATCAGCTTGTACTGTTTGATTTTCGATAATAGAGGCACCGCCAATGAGGAAGAGCTGAGTAGAATTATTAGTTTTGGAGCGGACTAAAGTAGAAGTATGAGCATAACGTTTTGAAGGTGATGAAGATGAATGTACTGATAAGGAGGATGTATGATGATGAATAGTATCAATGATGGTAATAGATGGTTGGTTAGGTTTTCCAAAAATAGAGATTAGTGCATTGTCGATCCAATGTGTAGTGTGTCCAGTTGTTGGTAACAAAGTTGAAATATGTTTTTTTGGTAATAGCTGCACGGATGTTGTTGTTGTTGTATGTTGACGATGATGCATAGAAGGGGTAGAAAAATAAGTTAATTTTTGATTCCCAATAAAGAATAAATCATTGTCGTTTGATATTGCTGCAGAATGATATTGACGACATGATTGTTGAATATTCAGTGAATATGCAAGTTGCTGCGTTGGATACATAACATAAATCGATGAACAATAAAGAATCAAAAAATAAGAAAAAGGAAAGGAAGGGGTTAAAGCGTGGATAAATAGAATGGTTAAAAAAAAAAAAAAAAAAAAAAAAAAGAGGAGAAGGAAGGGATATATATATATATATGTATGTATAATTATATATAGAAATGAAATAAAAAAGAAAATGAAGAGGAGAGAAAAGGAGAAAAAAGAAAATTGCACACTCAAAAAAAAAGATAATTTTTTTTTTCTTCTGATGTGATACAAATGAGTGTGACTGACTCCGAAATTATTTTTTGTTAATAACATAAAGTCGATTATTATATTACCAGCGGACTATAAATATGATCAATGCATATAAAAGGGAACTACTTATTTTTTTCTTTTTTTTTTTTTTTCTTATTCTTTTTTCTTATTATTTTTTTTTTTATATATTATATACCAAATGTCATCTAATTGTAATTATCATCAATCTATTGATGTTACATATCATATACCTACAGAGAATACCCCTTTACTAATACAATCCAATATTATAACAAAACATGAATGGTCTATTAAAAATCGTATGTAAATATGTTGAATTTTTTTTTTTTTTGATTCATTAAATTAATTCCTTTTTTTTTTTAATATAGCAATATCTACTTTGGCAAAAAGTAAATTTATATCACTATTACCTTCTCTATCTATTGGAATTGCTATATGGTTTGGTGTTTCTCCCAATCATGATCTTACTCCCACAGCTATTCACTTATTGGCCGTTTTTACCAGGTACAACTAATACTGTCCAAATGATTTCATTTATTTTCTAATCCTATTTAATAATATTATTATTATTATGTATTTTTAGTTGTATTATAGCTTTGATTACAACTTCTATAGATATATCAATGTTAGTTTTGTCGGGTTTGATTCTACTTGCAGCAACACAATCATTCGAATGTACTGATACTGCCTCAGGATTATCAGTTGAATGTAGATTATGTGGTCACATCAATCCTCATACCAAAGATATTTATGAATGTCATGCATCATCTGACGCGTTCAAGCAATCTCTCGAAGGATTTTCAAGTTCGGTAGTTTGGCTTATCTTTGCTGCTTTTCATTTGGGAAAAGCTGTACAAGTGACTAAATTGGGAAGAAGACTCTCACTATGGATGATCGCTCTTTTTGGAACTCATATTTTAGGTTTGGCCTATGCAATCGTTCTATCAGGTAAGTAGATCTAATCTTCTTTTATTATTATTATTATTATTATTAAAGTTTTCGATTCAAAATGGATGATGATTCTTGGCAACTAACCTTCTCCTTTTCTTTTTTCTTCTTCTACGATTTCCATTCTCCCCAACCTCCTCCTGCTCTTCTTTTTTTTTTTTTTTCTTCCTCTCTCCTTTATTTTGACTTTTTTTTTTTCTAGAATTACTACTAGCACCCTTTGTACCTAGCAATACAGCTCGTGGTGGCGGTATCATCTTACCTGTTGTTCAATCCATTGCAACTACTCTTGGATCAACTCCTTCTTCAAACCCTGCTCTTGGAGGATTTTTGCTTTTGGTTGGTTCACATGCAAATTTACTATCAGGTAATCCTATTTTATGAAGATTAAAAAAAAAAAAAAAAGAAGTAGATAAAGTGAATGATGATGATATGTCAATAATGCTGAAGATCCTTTTTATATTTATTTACATTTTATTGGTTCTTCTTATATTGGTGTGCATGGTTGGAACCAAAAGCTTCAATGTATCTTACTGGTAAAAAAAAAAAAATTATAAAGGGGAAAGGCAAAGCTGATTGGCTGATTATAACTTTATTTTATTCATCATCCATTCATTAGGTATGGCTCCTAACCCTATTGTAATCGCTAAAGCAAATCAGCTATTTCCAGACTTGAATTTTGGGTTTATGACGTGGTTAACTGGAAGTATAGTTCCTGGACTGATATGTGCTGCATGTTTACCTTATCTACTTTACCGTTTTTGTGGAATTCATGCTCAAGAAAAACAAGATTCATGTGGGACTGACAATATCACTAAACATGCTCGTATGGAACTAGAATCCATTGGCGCTATGACTGTGAAAGAATGGGTAAACTTATAAAAATACATATGCATGATAGATTGATTTTTTTCTAATGTATGTTTATTTATAGCAACTTTGTATTGTCCTATTATCTTGTCTTGGTTTATGGGTGACTTCATCATATACAAAACTGGATTCTACATTGGTAGCTTTAATGGGCATTGTTACTTTGTTACATATGGGTACAATTCAATGGAAGGATATTTCAACAAATACAAATGCAGTAAGTAATCAATATGTAATATGAATAATATATATATAATCATCATTAAATAATATTCTTTTTTTTTTTTTTAAATATATATATATATATATATAGTGGGATACATTATTTTGGCTTGGAGGATTTGTAACTATTGCTCAACAATTATCTGAAGCGGGTGCATCTTCCTTTTTAGGCAACAAGATATCGGACACTATTGAACATCTCTCTTTACCTCCTGTACCATGCTTAGCTGTTGCCTACTTTTTAACTACTTTTATGTTTTCTTCCTTGAGTGCTCATACTGTTGCGTTCGTTGCCACATTTTTGGATGCAGGTGCCTCCCTTGGAACTCAACCTCAAGTTTTGACAGCGTTTTTGGCTTACTTTGGCTCATTAGGCGGATGCATGGTAAAAATCATAACAATCATAATAATAATAAAAAAGAAATTCCTTATATTATACAATGTACTGATTTATCGTTTTATATTAGACCAATTTTTCAACAGGAAGTGCTGCAATGTATTATGCACCTGGTTACGTATCAAGGTCAAAGTGGTTTAGTGTTGGAATCAAGATGGCTGGATTTTATTTATTCATTTATTTCACTATTGGATTGGGTTGGTGGAAACTTTTAGGATGGCATTGATCGATTTTTTTTTTTAATAACAATAGATTTACATGATTATATATATAATAAAACTATTTATTATTTTCGATTATTACATATTCTATTTGATCTTTTCACATGAATGTTTTTATGTCATGAACTGATGAAACGGATTGGGTTTTTTTTACTCCGATATCTATTTTTTCGTTCGCTTTTGATAGTACCTCTCTTTTTTTCTTCTTTTTCGTCTTTCTTTTCTCTGTTTACTTTTCTTTTTGCATTTCCTTTACAATCACTTACTTTTTTTTTTTGACAAGATGGCTGCACAATTATACAAAACAAAAAGTGGACGACTTTTTCATGCTGGTGCAGTGGCTATTATTACTGTTGGGTAAAAAAAAAAAAAAAAAAACACTTTGAAAGATGAAAGATAACGATAGATGCACTTTTTACTATTTACTGACTTGTTATTATATTCTTATCATATAAACTTTAGTGTTCCAGCAAGAGGGAAAACTCATATATCTCGGTCATTATGTCGATATATGCGTTGGTTAGGTGTATCAGCTAAAGTTTTTAGTGTTGGCAATTATCGTCGCGATCGTATGGGTTCCATTCCAAACGAATACTTTGATCCAAGTAATATTAAATGAATATATATATAATAAAGAAAGAAAAAGAAAAAAAACAAGCATTAATTAACTGATATTAATTCATTTTTTTCTTTTAGGCAATCAAGAAGCAGCTGCTGCTAGACTTCAAATAGCAAATGAATGTTTAGATGATATGATCACTTGGCTTCAAATAGGAGGTGGACAAGTAGGGATCTATGATGGCAATAATGTGACGGAAGATAGACGTCGTGATATTCGTGATCGACTAGTAGCTCAAGATATTCATGTAAGTCTATATCCATAAAAAAAAGAAAAATATGGGAAATAACTAAGAAAAACTCATCCAATGTTGATATAGCCACTCTTTATAGGTACACAATGAAAAGAAAAAGATGAAGATTTAAAATAAGAATCTTTTCTTTATTCATCATTCCTTTATATATATATATATAGAATCAATTTGTAACAAACCTGAAATTGTCCTGGCAAACATACGAAGCGTCAAAATATCATCACCAGATGTATGTATATGAAATATAATAGACTATTGATTTTAAACTTCTTTATATTATTTTTATGCTATCATAGTATATTGGTTGGGATCCAGAAGATGCAGTCAAGGATTATACTGTAAGTAATCTTCTTTTTTTTTTTCTTCTTATTCTTATTTATTTTGTTTTGACTCATTTTATACAATTGGTTATTAATAGCATCGAATTGAACAACATATCGCCAATTATGAAACTATTGAAGATATGTCATTTCCTTTTGTCAAACTAATGAATGTTGGTGAACAACTTATAGTCAACAACGTACATGGTTATCTGCAAGTAAGACTTTGAAATGAAAAGAATATTATCGTCTTCAATTAGTTATTTAACCTTTATTCATGATGTTATTCGATAGTCTAGAGTGGTTTACTACCTGATGAATTTACATAATCGTCCAAGAACTATATACTTTGCAAGAGTAAGTCATTCCCTTTAAAACATCATGATCGAATGTTAGAATTGATGAATTACCGTTTTATACTTTTGATACATATAGGCTGGTGAATGTTATAATCCTAAATCATATCGTGTTGATGCCGATCTATCTCCCGAAGGTGAAAAATATGCTCAACGACTTAAGAACTTTGTACTACATTATAGAAAAGAGAAATCTCAGTTGTCCTCAACATCATCCAACAAGTCTGAACATCAAGAACGACCATTGACTGTAAGGGATAAAAAAAAAAAAAACAGTGAATATTTTGAATTTTCTATTGATCTTTTTATTTGATTAGGTATGGACATCTACAAGGAAGAAGGCAAGACAAACGGCTATTCCATTTGCTGCCGAAGGTATCCCAGTACGACAACATTCTGTTTTGAATCAAATAAACCCAGGTGAAGTAGATGGTTTGACTTTGGAAGAAATTAAGGTATGGCAAAAACAACATAAAAAAAAAAAACCTTTTTAGTGTAACAAAACAACAAACATATATTCTTTTTTTTTTTTTTTTTTATTTGTTGTTTCTATCGATTGGCAGGCTAAATTCCCAGAAGAGGTGATTCGTGCACAAGAAGACCCCTATCGACATCGATTCCCAAGAGCGGAGGTATGATTAGAAAAAGAAGGAAAGAAAGTGGGAATAGTTAACAGAACATTCGAGACTCATACTTTGTATGATTCTTCCTTTTTTTGTTTTGTTTTGTTTTCAAGTCTTATCATGATTTAGCCATTCGACTGGAATCTGTTATTATGGAGTTGGAAAGGGAGAAGAGTGATGTGTTGATCATTGCACATGATAGCGTACTGCGGTGTCTGTATGCTTATCTATTTGATCGGCCTGAAACGGTAATATATTAGGAATAGAAAGATGAATCAGAAAGATTGTCAAAGTTGAAAATGACTAACTGATCATTTTTATATTCTTTTTTTTTCATTTTAGGAAATCCCGACGATTTCGATTCCTAGACCTTGTTTGATTGAAATCACACCAACTGCGTATGGATGCAAGGAATCAAGAACTGAAATCATGGATTACAATGAATAGTTAGTGGCAACAGACTAGTTTAATTTTTATTTTTATTATTTTTTTTTTTCAATAAAAAAAAATGAAGTTAATTTGCCTACACACAGACTGTTTATGCTTATTATTGTTATTGTTATTGTTATTATTGTTATTGTTATGGTTGTTTAGCGTAATAAGGATGCGTCATGATATTAGGTTATTATTATTTTTTTTTTTTTTTGAAGAAATCACTTGGGCACCACCCGACATTTTTTTTTCTTTTGTAGAAGTGACAAGAGACGTCAATTTGGTTATTGTACGACTACCCCCCCCATTTTATCCACATTCAGGTCTAGTCCTTTTTTATGAAGTTACTTTAAATAAATATATTTTTATGTATAAAAGCAATGTAAGGTTAAGGTTTTATGCAACAACACCATCATCGGAAAGCGAGGCAAGGTTTCCATGACAATCGGAGACGAGACTCGTTTCGCAACAACTTTTCTATTTTTTTTTTTTTTTTTTTTTTGAATCAAAATGTATAAACTTTGTCGTCACCATTGGTATGACCATCTATCTTTATTAGATATAGAGAGTATCATTATCCTCCTCAGGTATAATCATATCTATAGGAAATCAGATTTAAGTGAAAATACTATCATCGGTAACCTTACCTATCAAAAACTTTTTTTTTTTTTTTTTTTTTCAACGAGACCAAAAAGGCTTTTGTTTTTATGACAAACAATCATCAACATTAAGGGGATACAATATACGGCGTATTCAAAGATATTTGGAATACAAAACTAAAATGACTTTAAACTTTTATTAAGAAACACTATTCCCCATTTTTTGGTAGTGATTGGGATGACAGCTATTTTTTGATGGTGAAAAAAAAAAGGATAAAAATTGATGATAGAATGATAGAATGATAATATTTAAACATGATTTTCTTTTTTTGTTTTTTTGTTTAGTAGTGAATGTTGATGATAATGATAATGATAAAATAAAAGAATGATGATATGAATATGATATGAAATGAAATAAAGATAATATATGTATAAATAGAGAACCAATATGGCACACAAAGAAGATGATTCATCGCAAATAAGGGCAAAGGAGTTGTTTATGTCCATATTGACCGCACCAAGTACTACAAGTAGAAAAGAAAATAAAAATACTTATTAAACTGATTCGTCATATATATATGAATGATATGCTTTTGGTTGATGTTTTTACCATTGACCACCAGAAGTGTTGATATCTGGTACGTTCCCAAAGTTTTTACCGCGACTAGAAGATGTATGATGTCTGTGCAACTGTTGATGGTGGTGACAAGCAGCTGTCATTGTCAAAAGGATATAAAGAGAGAAAATAGGAAATTGGATAAAAAAAAAAGTGAACGGAATGAAGAAAATAAAAAAAAAAAAAAAAAAAGAAAGGACAAGTGATGTCTTATTTATATGTCGTGAGATTATGATCCCGTTTTTATATTTTATTTATACTAATGTGTGGTCAAATCCAATAGCTTATTTGTTTGAATTTTGTCTGTCTGTCAACCTAAAACAATTGATGGGAAAGGATCAGACCAAACAAAGCAATTTTTTTTGTTATAGAGAATCAAGAGTGGCAAAAAAAAAAAAAAAAAAAAAAAAAAATAGTGTTTCTTATTTTGGTTGCACATAAACATTGTTTTTTTTTCTTGCATTTTAGAAAAAAAAAAAAAAAAAAAAAAAAGGAAAGCGCCCCACCTCCATCATTAACCTAACCAGTCAAGGTATAAAAAAAGATTCTTGCACACAGACAACACTAAATACAACCCAATTTCCGCCTTCCCCTTGATTTCTTCTATGTACTCGTTTCATCATCCATCATCATATCTGCTAAGACGAATCCATATAAAAGACATAACTGCAGAAACATATACATGGAATCAAAAATAATATTACATTTAAAAAGTTTATCATAAAAAAAAAAAAAAATAGAAAGAATAAAAACTATCCTACTAACAACATAAAAAAAAAATAAAATAAGGTATCTATCAATCATCCATAGGATGAAACTAAAATTCTACAACCACAGATAATCTTGAATATCAACGTCTTTCTGTAACAATAACAATAAACATAGCTAGTAGTACAGCTAAAACGCATATCGAACCGAGTAAAACTGCCCCCCTACTTGCTGGAAATTGTCCTTGAGTTAAAGCAAATTGAGCATGGAAATATCTTGCATTGGCAAAGTATAAAAACACAATACTCAATGCTACAAAAGTTCCACCTAAAGCACGTCCTGTTATATCATTACTACTAGGTGATGGATTCAAATGATATAGTTGAGTGATGGCTATATACAATATAAAAATAAAAAAAAAAAGTATATCAGGTTCTGATCATCAATAGTATCACAAAAAAAAAAAAAAAAAAAAAAAAACTTCTCATCCTCCCATCTTTTTTTTTTTTTTTCCCAGACCTATCAATATTCCTTGTACACAATACAGCACGCCAACATAAACATATACATCACAAAACACAACGCGTATACAAAATGGATATCACATAGTACATACCTACGCCAACAGTAATCAAAGCAAGAGATGTTCGTAACCAAGCTAAAAATGTTCTTTCATTTGCTAGATGTATCACCGAAGAAAAATAAAGTTAATCATTTCATCAAACAATTTTATCCCCCTTTTTTTTTCTCCCTTGTCCCCCACGTTGATTTTACCTAAATGGTCTCTTGCCACACTTGCTTTATTTTCCAACAAAATAGAAGTGGAAAGTTTACGATAACCTCGGATGATCCAGCCAATGATAGGTCGCTTTTCCCATTTTTGTAATGATCCCCCGGTGGGTAAACGTGATAGAGAGGGTTGACCTTCTTGTTGTCGTTGTTGTAGTTGTAAATGATATTCTGACCTAATTTGATCCTTTTCTTGATTTGTTTTAGTACGCACGAGGAATGGAAGGGTATAGTCATGAATACGTTCTTCTCCCATTGAATGAGACGTTCTTGCATCATTACCATCCTTGTTTTCATTATTGTAGTTGCTGGAATGGCTGGTTGGGTGTATATTTGGTGCAGATACGACGGAAGCTGCAGTGTTGGGTTGAGTCATTGTTGCTGCATCATCACCACTTTGGTCATCATTAGCTTGTGCCATGGAGGGAATTTGATAATAATAATAATAAAAAAAAAAATAGTGAGAAAGGGAGAGAGGAAGGAAGAAAAAAAAAAAGTCCGTTGTTGAATCGTCTTTGTGTGGTCGGAAAGCGTCACATTCTGTTAAATGTATATCCGAAAATGGTTTGTAGTAGATACTTCTTTAACCCATGTTTTTATGAGAGAGATATAAAAGAAATAAAGAAAAGGGAAAAAGAAAAAGTAAAAGATGTTAAAAAGAATTCATGCAACTATTTTTTTTTTTTTGCGGCATTCCACCACAATAATAACAACAACAATGGCACCATCATCCCCTTATCTTATTGGTGTTCTTATCGAGCCAACAAAGTCCTGCAACATTTTCATAAGCCGCTTTTCCCATCATTCATCCTGATCATCATTATCATCTAATACGATCGAAAGTTTCTTTATTATAACAGTTTGTTTAGATCATTTACAAAAAAAAAATGTTAGAAGGGGGTGAAGAGATTATACAAAATAAAATAAAAAATAGCTAGACTAGTAAATAATAAACTATAAAATCAACACCATAGAATAGAAAGTATACAAATGAACCATCATCACCGTATTGACCGGATTACTTGTTTCCCCATTTCTTCCTCTACACAACATTATCAGTTCCAGTACCACCCAAAATTCTGTATATATATAAAAAAAAAAAAGAAATAAAAGTATAAATATAAGATTTCATTTTATGGAAATATCACGTTAATTATATTGTTCTTACTTTGAGCTTGCAAATGATTGACCCATGACAGCAGCAGCAACTAATGTAGTAAAATAAAAAGAAATTTCATTAGAGGTCATCATCAGCTGAAATGAACACGTTTATAAAGTCATCATGTAATAAACTTACGATATGAGATAGCACCAAACAATAAAGTTACAGCGGCTGCAATCAGAGGAGTGGCACCACTAAGAAGATTAGAAAGGAACATGATGACAGCAAACCTATTCCGAAATCAAGTCAATTATATATATTCATTCAAATCACTTTTTTTTTTTCTTATTCACTTACACCAAGTACATGGCGGCGCGGAAGTAACTGTTTTCAAAGTAAGAAATGAATCCATCCCTATATAAAAGAAAGAAATCAAATACAGTTATTAGTAAATATTTCTCTCTTTTTTTTTTTTTTTTTTTTTTTTTTTTTTTTTTGGTTCATTTTACTTACAACTTAGGACTTGTAGGGCAGAGCTAACAAATAAAATGAAACAATCATAATGAGAATCATCATTACAAACAAACATAATCTATATATGTATTCATATCATCCTTCTCTTTTTACCTTGAGACATAAAGGAATCTCAACTAAGACCAAAAGAAATGCAATCACCCTAGTTCAAAAAAAGGAAAAAAAAAAAAAGGTCAGCCATCAAGACAAACATCAGATGAGTTGTGTCAACTGCCAAACTCCATTTTTTTTTTTTTGATCCACTTTTACCATCCAACAATACTAAATACAACGTGACCTAGGAAGCCAACAATACCCAAAGCAATCAATACTAAAATAAAGACAAAAGAAAAAAAAATATATAGATTAATGAATAATTTATCCTTTTGATCAATAAACGAGGTTTTACAAATAATAGAGATAATGCCAAGCCTAAACAATAAAAAAAAAAATAAGGAAGTTAGCTACGCCGAATAGTTTACCAAGCACAATTATTCTACTCTTTCGAACCAAGTTTCTTTCAGAATGTATTGAACACAATGAACTCTGCTCTCACTAGAAGAATAGCTTGCCACACGTTCTTAATTTCTCTTTTATTCTATTATTTCTTACCATTGTCCATAGAGAGAAAAGTTCATAGATTTAGCTTCGTCAAGACAACCCATTTTTTTTTTTTGCACAAGAATGTATAAAGAAGAGAGATAGAGAGAGAGAAAGTGTATATACGTTTGTAAAAGAAGTAAAGAAAAAAAGAATATAAAGAAAAAGAAAGAAAGAAAGAAAGAAAGAAAGAAAGAAAAAAAAAACAACAAACCATAAAACGGGAAAAATGGAAGAGGCTATAAACACCGCCAAGACGCACAGCACTCGGGAGATGAATTAGTACTTTTTGTGTTCATTTCATCCAAAAAAGTAGTAACCTATGACTTGATCATAATGAAAAAAAAAAAAAAAGGAGTAGAGATTATGGGTATACTTTTGAATAGTGAACAATATTTTATCTACTCATTCTGTTACTTCTTCTTTTACAAATTTAAACCCTGATCTGTCATTGTTATTTTGTAAAATGTTTGAATGAGCCAAATCATTGGATACTGACATATGTACGGTATATATATATATGTATGTATGTATGTATTCACTGAGCGAAGATGAATGATGAAACGATCATTAATACAATGTTCATTATAAATCCGGATTTTCCTTTTTCGGACGCAGATTCGGTAAACTCGACAGTTTTAATATGCAAAAGGCTCTTACAACATTTTTTTTTTTTTTTTTTTTTTTGCCGATGATGTCTGTACCTTCCTTTTTTTTATTAAAAAAAAAAAGGATCAAGAAAGAAATATATATATATACATATATTTGTTGTTGTCTTTTTATTTTAGTTTTCAAGTTTGGATGACATAAAATATATACTGCATTATTGACAATTATCTAATTTTATTGAATACTACTATTGATGGAATACAAAAAAGAAAAGTCTCAATATGAGACCAAATTACAATCATCAAAACAAAAATCTATCACTATCTATCGTCTATTTCGATTTGCTTCTAAAAAAGATATTCTAATGATTACTGTTGCCATACTATGTTCTATCGTTATTGGTGCCATTCAACCATTAGGTATCCTAATCTTTGGGAAAGCCATCGATACATTCGCGCTTGAAGCAGATACTTCTTCAAACTTGGTAGAAACCGTCCGTCCGATCATCTATTGGTTTATCATCATGGGTATTGTAGCGTTTGTTGCCGCCTATGTATCTAATTGTTGTTGGGTACTATCTGGAGAAAATCAAACGAGAAGAATAAGGTTAGCCTACGTGCATGCCGTACTTCGACAAGACATGTCATGGTTTGATATTGCAGGAGAAGGTTCACTTACAACAAGATTGGTTGCCGATACGCAGATGATCCAAGATGGCATATCAGATAAATGTGGTGCTTTTGTTATGTCAATGGCCCGATTCATTACTGGCTTTCTTGTCGCTTTCATCATCAACTGGCGCCTTGCTATTGTCATCTTGACCATCGTACCGCTTCTTGCTGGATTTGGTGCTGTCATGTCTTTCTTGATTACGCGATATACCATACGAATACAAAACGCTTACGCCGATGCTGGAACCGTTGCTGAACAAGCATTGGGTGGTATCAGGACTGTTCATGCTTATTCACTACAAAATAGATTTACTCGCTTGTATGATGATAAACTACAAGTTGTGTTGAGTATTGGCGTTCGTCGTGCTGTTGTCGTAGCCGTTGGATATAGCGGATTAATGTTCATCATGTTCGGTACGTATGCTTTATCGCTTTGGTATGGATCTCAGCTAATGTATCAAAGGATATTGGACGGTCAAACTGTGGTAACGGTGATTATTGTCATGCTGATGAGTGCCATATCCTTGATGCAATTGCCTGCCTACTTTTCCACTATCATCAAGGGTCGTGCTGCCGCTACTAAACTTTTTTCCATCATAGATCATATTCCAAATATCGACTCTGACCATCGTCATAAGGAGAGAGACACAATCCAAGGTCATATCCAGTTTCGTAATGTCCATTTTGCCTATCCAACAAGACCAGATATACCAGTTTTACAGGGTTTTGATCTCACTATACATCCAGGAATGACTGTAGCATTTGTTGGATCGTCAGGTTCAGGTAAATCCACTTCCATACAACTGTTACAACGTTTCTACGATCCAGTGCAAGGAAACATTCTTGTAGATGGTGAAGATATCAAAGAGTCGTGGGACGTTCAAGCACTAAGACAACATATTGGTGTCGTGGGACAAGAACCTGTATTGTTCAACATGACTGTGAGAGAAAATATTTGTATGGGTGCGAAACAATCTATAGAAAATAATAGCAAAAAGGATCCTGTTAGTACTGTCTCTGAAGATCAAATTATAGCAGCTTGTCGTCAAGCTAATTGTCACGTATTTATTACCGAACTGCCACAAGGGTATGATACAATGATCAAAGAAGGTATGCTATCAGGTGGTCAAAAACAAAGAATAGCTATTGCCAGAGCTATTTTAAAGAATCCATCCATTCTTTTACTTGATGAAGTAAGGTCAAAAGTTAACAAAAAAAAAAAAAATAAAAAAAATAAAAAATAAAAGAAATAAAAAAATAAAAAAAAAGGAAAAAAAAAAATCTCGTGGAAATCAAATATACAGCCAAATTAAATAACCGACTTTTTTTTTTTTTTTCTCTCTTTCTTTTTCCTTTCAATTACTTTATTTCAAAAAGGCTACATCGGCTTTAGATACCACGTCTGAAAAAATAGTACAACATGCTATTGACTCTGCTTCTCGAAACCGAACCACTATCATTGTTGCGCATCGTTTATCAACAGTACGCCATGCTGATCTTATTGTCGTCATGGATAAAGGTCGTTTAGCCGAACAAGGTACTCATATAGAATTACTATCTCATGGAGGAATATATGCCGAACTAGTATCCAAACAAGCCATTGCAACTAAATGCATTAGTGACGATCATATTTCAAGTACTTTATCAAAAGACTCACAATATCTCGAGGAAGATACAATAATTGTAAACACAGCAGAAAATACTGATATCTCACTGGATCACCGCGCAAACTCACCAACTATGAAACAACGACAATACAGATCGTTGCCAATGAATAACCAATATCAACACTCGTTACAGCAACAAAGACAGCGTCCTACATCCATGCTCACATGTTACAATCAAACTTTCAATCAGCAGCTTCGGCTTTCTTCACAAATATATTCTTCCTCAACAGTCACGACGATAGACGATCGCAAAGGACAAACTCAACAAAGCAGTAGCAATGATACAGTATCGATCTCATCAGGAATGAATATTACATCTATTCCCCATTCTATGATGATATATCCCAAAAAGCTCATCACCAGTACAGCTACCAACAACAAAGACCTACATCAGAGGTTATCGTCTTCGGAAATCACCAAATCAACCACCTTACCACTATCTTTATCATCATCGTCAACAGTATCATCGCACTTACAGTCATCGTCATACAGGACCACCATATATGTTTTGTTTGAAATAGTACGACAAATGCGACCAGAATGGCATTTATTATTGATGGGTAGTGTTTGTGCATGTGCTAGCGGTATCATCTTTCCGGTCTATGCGACGATTGTAGCCAATGTTATCATTATTATCTCTCAACCTGACTTTACGCAACATCAACAAGGTCCATTTCAAAGCACCAACTTGTACTCCATCTTATTTCTTATTATTGGCATTTGGGCTTTCCTTAGTATCGGTGGTCGACGATTTGCTTTTGAATTGGCTGGGGAACGCTACATGCGGCGATTACGATACCAATTATTCTCTCGTTTATTGGCTCAAGAGATTGGCTTTTTTGATCAAGAAGAAAATTCGGTTGGTGCTTTATCCTCACGTTTGGCAATGGATGTAAAAAATGTGACTGAAATGGTGATCACAGTATGGGGTGAATTTATCCAACTTTTATTTACAGCTTGTGCAGGTATTAGAAAAAAAAAAAAAAGGAAACAATCAACAAATGAATTAACTTGTTTTGGGTATTGATAGGATTGGCCATTGCTTTCGCTCATAGTTGGGTTCTCACTTTGATTATGCAGTGCATGATTCCGTGTCTGGTGTTATCGACGGCATATGAATCGGTCATTAACAGAAGGTTCCACGACAAGACAAAAAAGGCATACGAACAAAGCAGCCAAGTCGCAAATGAAGCTATTCGAGAAATTCGTACTGTCGCCTCCTTGACTCGCCAAGCATACTTTGAACAACGCTACGCAGACGCTACCTTACCATCACATGCTCTTGCTCAGCGGAAAGCATATTTGACTTCCTTGGGTTACGCCTTTAGTCAAGCCACGAATATCTTTACCAATGCTGTTGCTTTTTATGCTGGTGCGATTATGATCTCTCATGGTTCTATCAACATGCAACAAATGTTTGTCACACTCATGACAGTCCTTATCACTGCTGAAGGTATTGGTCATGTTAGTACATTTACTGGAGTCTATGCAAAAGCAAAACAATCGACCTTGACAACTTTTGAAGTGTTATTTCGAAAACCTGCTATCGATCCTGATTTGGAAGGCAACGAACCTAAAACTGTAGATGGACAAGTGGATTTCTCTAATATTGCTTTTCGATACCCTGCAAGACCTCAAGTACCCATTTTCAATGGTGATTTTCATTTACCTATCAAGGCTGGTCGTACGATTGCTTTGGTTGGTCATAGTGGTTGTGGTAAGTGAGTTTTCCAATATCTATTGTTGGATGTATGTACTGATTGCCTTTTTTTTTTTTTTCGTCTTTGGTATTTCAGGGAAATCGACTACGATTGGTTTACTTCAACGCTGGTATGATCCTATTTCTGGTGTGGTATCTTTGGATGAAAAAAATGTACAATCATTTACTTTGAACAATTTACGAAGCCATATGGCCTTGGTTGGGCAAGAACCAATGTAAGATTCACAAGAGATAAAAAAAAAAAATTAAAGGCAGTGATCACTAATTGTTGTTTCCTCTTTTTTTTTTTTTTTTTTTTTTTTTTTTTTTGGATTACCATTATTAGGTTATTCGATTTGACAATCCGGGAAAACATTTTATTTGGCGTAGAGGAATCAAATCATATCACTCAACAAGACATCGAAAATACTTGTCGTACTTCCAACATTCATACATTTATCATGAACTTGCCTGATGGTTATGATACTCGCGTAGGGGATAAAGGGTAATGTAAAAAAAAAAAAAAAAAAAAAAAAAAAAAATTGGTTATATATCATTACATGATAATTGTTCTGATTATTTTTTCATTTTTTTATCTAGTTCTCAATTATCAGGAGGTCAAAAACAAAGGATTGCCATTGCCCGTGCTTTGATTCGACAACCTAAAGTTCTATTATTGGATGAAGCCACGTCTGCCCTGGATAGCGATTCAGAAAAATTAGTGCAAGATGCTATTGACAGGATTTTGGAACAAAAGAATCGGACTACAATCACCATTGCTCATCGACTAAGCACCATCCAGGTAAATCGATTAGGAGATAAATTAGATAGACTGACAACCTTTTTTTTTTTTTGTTTATGATGGACAGAAAGCAGATGTGATATGCGTCGTGAAGGATGGCAGAATCATAGAACATGGAAGCCACTGGGAACTATTGGACTTGAAAGGTGTTTATGCAACTTTGGTTCATCAACAATCGTTAAGTGTAAACTGAATCATCTACGGATCCCCTTTATTTTTTTATTTTATTTCTTTTTTTTTTGATATTACTCTCTTTGTCTTGATCCTTTTAACTTTTATTTTAGTGTGTCTCTATATCGTTTTTTTTTTATATAGTTTTTATTATATATTATTGACTCTTTTTTTCTTTTGCAAAAATAAAACTACCATCCTTTGAATGATTTGATTATATTTACAGAACGTTGTTAATTCTATCCTCAATGTCGTCATTATTATTATGATGGTGATGATAATATCATAGTATGGTAGGGAATCTGTTCTCGTAGTCAGTATTGTAAAATAATAATATTTTTTTTTTTATTTCGATGAAGTCAAAAGTATAAGAATGGTAATAATAAAAAAAAGTAGTTTCTATATATATATGTATATCAAAAAGAGGAAGAATATAAACGAATGTTTTAAGGATAGTAAAATAAATAAAAAAAGAAAAAAAAAAAGAAATTAAGGAAATCTATCGTCTAGGTCTTGGTTTCACCACGAATTGATTTGGAGTCTTTCTTGTCTTGCCACCCTTTGCTAGTACACCCCATGGAGAACGTGGATCCTTGTTACCCTTGGATTTACCTCTACCACCACCATGAGGATGGTCACAAGCGTTCATAGCCATACCACGCACGGTAGGACGAATACCCATCCATCTTGAGCGACCAGCCTTACCTAACATTTCGTGTTGATGATCAGGATTACTAACAGAACCAATAGTAGCACATGCATCTACAGGGACCAAACGAACTTCACCACTAGATAATCTGACTTGAGCATAACCAGTTTCACCTGTTTGAATCAATTGAGCATAAGCACCAGCAGAACGAGCCATAATAGCAGGACCATTGCGTTTCAGACCAATATTGTGAATAATAGTTCCTACAGGCATCATTCTCAATGGCATACAATTTCCAATATCGATAGCAGCTGTGCGAGTGATACCATGTTCACTTTCTTCAGATTCTTGTTTTTGTTGTTCAATAGCTTCACTTCTATAACTAATCACAGTATCACCAGGCTTAATACCTTGTGGAGCGACGATATAAGATAATTGACCAGTTTCAGCATGTCGTAACAAAGCAATCCAAGCAGTTCGTCCTGGATCATGTTCTAATCGCACTACATGTTGTTCACCAGATTCCATACGTTGCCAATCAATCACGCGAATACGACGTTTGTGACCACCACCACGATGCCGAATAGTGATACGACCTGTATTGTTACGACCACCAGTTCCACGTTTGGCGATTGTCAAGGAACGTACTGCTTTACCTTTGTACAAATGATCACGAGGAATACGTTTCAACCAACGTTTACCAGGTGTTGTAGGTTTTTTGGTCTTGAATTGTGTTGAAGGAGCTGAAAGAGTTTGAGCATTACCCAATACATTGCCTTGTGTACTGAATCCACTGATAAAAGAAGGTTGAGAAAGAGTTTCTTCAGTTGACTTTTTGGTAGACATGGATCTAAATGGTGTCCATTGTTGAAAGGATTGTGTTAACGAACTGGTGTTTGAAGTACGAATAGCTGCATATCGACCTGATGATAGTAACCGACTATTGTTTTGGATATTTGTTTGAAATAAACGGGTAATACCCAAACGCAACATGATATATATATTGAAGAAAGAATGAAACACAGGTTCAAAAAAAAAAAAAAATAAACTGACAGCACAAAAAAAAAAAAAAAAAAAAAAATTCAACCCCCTCGCTATAGATAAAATCGTCACAAATATAAGTGAAGAAAGATGTACTCTCCCATGGCGGAAAATGAATCATTCTTACTTTTTCTTTTTTCCTTTTTTTTTTCTCCTCAGTTATTGACGCGACCCATTAATATCATGGTGGAATTAATCGATATGCAAACTCAAGTTACTTCACAAATACGTAGGAAAAGGTTAAAGGTATTTCAACGTGAATGAAAAGTGAAAGATAATGATAAAACTAAGGTTTTTATTATTTAGTTTTATCGCAATTCAGCTCAGGTGTTCCGATTATTGCACGGTATCTATTCAACAGAGGAGGAGGAAACTTTGGACAAACTACGGTAAAATGTTATTCAAAATATAATAAAATAATGTATTGACTTTTTTATTTTTTGTAATTAGGAATTTGAACTCATCTTCAAGTTTGGATGCCTTTGTCGACGTTTATACAACTCTTTTACACGACTACTGTGATGATATTAAATATGTAAGAAATATCTATCATAGTTTCAGTTTCCTTGTGAGAAAAAGAAACAAATACTTATTTAATATTCTTGGGGAAAATAGGACAAAGGTGAAGAAGCAAAGAAAGAACGTCTTGTTTATCAACAAATGACTGTGATATGGCAACTGTTACAAATTCTCTTCTTTTCTCAAGTCAGTAGAAGTAGAAGCTGTTGTTATGGTGCTAAACTTATGACATGGTTGAATAACCTTGATAGACGTAAGTCATTTATCTTGATTATCTTTTTCAGTCCATTCATTTTCTTTTTTTTTTCTTTTTTCTTTTTTTTTTGTGAACAATAGGTTCATTATTACAATTCGACATTCAAGGTGTTTTCAATTCCTCTATACCCTCACATCACTCTTCTTTTTGGTCAATGGTTTACAAGTAAGCGACATTTGATCCATGTCAGTCACTCTTATATACTTATGACTTATCTGATAGGTTGACATTACGTGGACAAGTAGACATTTTACAACAACTATTTGGTGTGGCTATTCAAAAAGTCGATGATCCTTATGAAAAATCCATTCTACAAAATCTAAACAGACTTATGCAAACATTTCCATTGATAACGACAAATAACGAACTAGACAAGTACCTATCAATTGGACAGTGGCGTGACAATGCGACTAATAGTATTCGGGAATTAGGCGTTTTTGCGAAATTACGACCAACACCAGTTTCTCATGCAATAACAGTTTTACGTATCATGTCAGGCGATACCACTTCCATTTACCAACAATCAAATAGTGTGATCGAAGCTATTGTGTCTAACATTTACTATTATAATTCAGACGACGATCAAGGATCAATTACAATTGAAACAATCAAGACATTGACTCAGCAAATGATTGAACTTGGATATAAAAACAATAATCTGGATCAACATGTGGCATTATTGGCACTTTTAAAAGGGAATATGTACGAAGCTTTGGAACAATGCGCTCAATTAGATTGGTGGTTACTTGCTCATATGACAGATATACTTGATATATATTCATTACAAAGGCAACAAGATGGATTAGCAGGCGATATGTTTGGTGGGGAACCATTGTATCTACATCTCGGTGGTGAACGTCAAATGACTAAAATGGAAACAAGAGTCTTCTTTATATTGACTTTTGCCAACAAATTAGTGATGGAAGAAGATATGTGGAAATTAGCTTTTGATTATATGGGTACATGTGGAATGATAGGAAGATCAGATATCAGCAAGGTAAGACAAAGAGATAATCTCTTTCCTCCATTTTTTTTTTTTTTATGTCAACTGATTTTTTTTATAGGCCATTGACAAAATACCATTGACGAATGATCATACTACGTTACAAATAGCTGAATATTGTACAAGAAATGGTCTCCTTGAAAAGCGACAATGTATTTATCAGGTAAATAGAAAAAAAAAAAGTAAAAGGATAATGCGATATTGATTTATATAAAATATTCTACTTATAGACGATGGCAGATCAATTAGTTAAAAATCATTCTTATCTTGCAGCAATTCGATATTATTGTTTAGCTGGGAAATATGATTGTATTGAAGATATGTTCAAGACACTTTTATGGCGATATGGACAAACACGACAATTAATATGTTTTGATGAATTGGATCCCTTATACTTGAATCGTTGCAATGGACCTCAAGCTCGTTTTTACTTTGAACTTTGTAAAATCAACTCTTTATTCAAGGTAAGAACAAAATTAGGAAGAAGAAAAAGAAAAAGAAAATATAATGAATATTAACTATTACTATTATTATTATTATTATTATTTATAGAATGACAAATTGGAAAAAGCTAGGGATGTCATTGTTCATTTACTTCTTTCTGAAGAATCACCGATGTATTTTTTACCTATTTTATTTGCAGAAAGTATCACAGTAATGGAACAATGTTGTATTGAAATATCAACTCAAGTGATCAATGAATTGGATGTTCGACTTTCTCAGGTGGTGACCTTAGATAATCAAGAAGGTATTTTACTGTTACGAAGTTACCTTGGACGAACAGAAGATGATGTCAACATCAACAAAGATCTTGTAGATAGTTTACTTGAAATTTATAGATTGGTACTTTATAGATCATTATCATCTTAGGATGTCAATAAAAAGAAAATGATTATTTTTGTTTTATATGTAATGATTTGCATTAATGTATTGGTTTAGTTAAAAAGAGAATATGTGAGTTGAATAGCCGCAATAACAGAGACTTAATTTTCAGTGTAACCAAGTTGTTCCACGAGTTGGACATCAAAAATTAGAAAATAAGCTCTTGCTTTCTTTTTTTCTCTCACTCTTTTTCTTTCCTTTCCCGCTATTTTCACATTTCACCATGGCAACTGAACGTATCTCACAAATTATTCCATTTGTAAAGTGTTCTGACTGTGGTGCCAATGTCAGTTTACGCAATCTAGGAACACATATCTGTTCCAATATGCCTCCTATACCGGCTTTACCTATTCTTCCACAACAAAAAAAGGGTATACGTTATAAAAAAAAAAAGTTGAATATATTCTTATTTTTATTCTTTATTATTATATAGAACGCTCTAATCCAACTCCAACTTCCTCACCTTATAACACCAATAATAGTTATTATAATATAGATTCACCTTCCTCTACATCTTCACTTCGAAATCAATATAGTGATCCTGTTCTAGATAGATACCCACCATCTCCTACAAAAAATACATCATCGTCAAGATCAGATCGTTATGGCTCTCCTACAAAAAACAACTATAATCATTCTGAATATGATAAAAGGTAAACATGAATCAAATTTGGATTCTATAAATGCTAATCAACCAAATCTTTTTTTATAATATATTGTAGACCATCACCGAAGAACGCAACCAGTGGATTTGGAAATACATACAAAAATGGTAAAAATCAATGTTACGCATGTGGAGAAAAAAAAAAAAAGGGTTGACCCTAATCACGTTTCATAATTATGATTAGGTGCAAGTGGATCACTTGACTCTTTAATGGCCGATCTTATGGATAGTATGAATGAAGCTATTGATCAATGTACAGATCCTAGACCTGCTCCACCAGCTAATGGTTGTGCTTCATGTTATGAAACTTTTAATAGACATGATGATCCCCTTATGTATGAAAGCAAGGTAGGAACCAAAAAAAAAAAGAATGTTTTGTCTCCTTGCTCCTTTTTATAATTATTCTTAATTCGAACATATTGGTTTACAGCTTTATCATGAACGCTGTTTTACTTGTACTGTTTGCAGAATACCATTGGATTTACGACGTGCACACGAACATCAAAACAATTTATATTGTCAACGTGATTTTGCCTTAGTCAAGAAAAAAATTCATTGTGCTTCTTGGTAAGTTTTTTTTTAATAAAAAAAAAACATCAGATTACTAACAATTTATCTTATAGTGATCAAGCAATAGAAAGTCATCAAACTCCACTCAAAGCATTAGGAAAATACTATCATCCTGGTCATATTCAATGTTATCAATGTCAAGAACCTTTGGATGAAAAATCAAGTTATCGAGAACATCAAGGTAGAGTTTATTGTCGACGTGACTACCGAAAGATGACTTTACCAAAATGCCGTGGTTGTGGAAAACCTGTAGAAAAAGAAGCGGTTTCTTCCAAAGAACTTCAGGGAAAATGGCATGTGTCTTGTTTTGGTTGTCAGGTAATATATTTTTTATTATTTATTTTATTAATAAATCTGATACTATATTTATTATTATTAGACATGTCATCAATCTTTTCCAGATAGTACTTTTTACGTATATGATAATTCTCCATATTGTCGACGCCATTATCATCAATTGAATAATTCATTATGTCGATCATGTGATGAACCGATTGAAGGACCCTGTGCACAAACATCAGAAGGTTGGCGATTTCATCCACCTTGTTTCACTTGCAACGTATGTGATTGTGCTTTGACTGATACTTATTATATGTTCGAGCATCGGATTTACTGTGAACCTCATATTATGGAATTACAACGACGAAGAAAAGTACGTGCTGAAAAACGGAAGACTCATTTTGGTCAGGTTTGATTGGATTCCCCCTTTTTACTGTAGTGTCCTTTTTTTTTTTTTTTGATCTTTGTTGAACCCCAATTTCCGCCAATAAACTGAAACCACATTTTCAAAATTTCGTCCTGTTATTTTATTTATTTTTATTTTATTTTATTTTATTTTCTCTATCTTCCCTCTTTCTTTTTCCTTTATAGATTATATCCTTTCTTATTGAGATATTGGTATTCCAATGTTACTGAAATCTAGTCTTTTATTATGTGTGAATGTAGCACTTGCAGCAGCCATGTATAGTAGTCGTGATGCTGTTGTGGAATTAACGACAGACAATTTTAAACAACAAGTCCTGGACAACGATGTAAAGTTATATCCTACTCAAGAAACTGCTATGACTAACTTTTTTTTTCTTTTTCTTTCTTTCTCTCTTTTCTTTTTTGTTGTTGTTGTAGAAACTGGTGGCTGTTGAATTTTACGCGCCTTGGTGTGGTCACTGTCAAAAGTAAGTCATCCCCTTCTTTTTTCAGAATTGATATTTATTATTATTATTATTATTATTGTTTATAGGCTTGCTCCCGAATGGAAAAAGGCAGCAAACAATTTAAAAGGATTAGTAGATGTAGCAGCTATTGATTGTGATCAAGATGCAAATAAACCAATTTGTGGACAATATGGTATTCAAGGTTTCCCCACCATCAAAATCTTCCGTCCAAGTGTAAACAAGAAAGGTGTTCGTACAAAGAGTCCCTCTGGTAAGTTATTAATATTCATGATATTAAATGATGACTATGAGTATGTTATTTATATTTTATTTCATTGATGATCATAGACTACCAAGGACCCCGTGAAGCCAAACCTATTGTGGATCATCTTTTATCACTTCAACCTTCTCAAGTTCGACTTATTAAAGGTGATCCTAACAAGGTCAAATCAAAAGCAAGTATCTCATTGGACGACTTTTTGGCAACTGATGTAAGTGATTCTATAGATGATATATTTTAGAATAACATTCTGATATTGATGATTTCTTTATACATACATATATATATATATTAGAACACAACATTAACCAAAGTGATTCTTTTCACTGACAAACCTACGACAACACCTCTATACAAAGCACTTTCAGTAGATTTTGGTAATGGACGATTGTTAATGGGTGAAGTTAAGAAAAATGAAAAACTAGTGTTGGACCAATTTGGTATTGATACATTCCCTACTTTACTTGTGATACCTCCTGGACAAGATGCATTGGTTTATTCTGGCAAACTTAAATATCAACCACTTTATGATTACTTGTCAACTTATACTTCGGAATCCGTTAATCAAAAAGACAGGACAAAATCATCCAAAAAATCTACGACTTCTCCTCTTACTGCTGCTGAACCCATTGTCAAACCAAAAGGTATATATCATTATAGTTTTCTCACCTCAATCATTTTTTTCCTAATCACTCTCCTTTTTTTTTTTTTTTTTTTTTTTTGTTTGTTTGTATGGTATCTTCCCCATAATTTTAGTCGTGGAATTAGGAACAAATGAAGCTTTAAAGGAACACTGTTTGGCATCCGGAAACATCATTTGTGCCATCACCATTGTATCACCGGAAGAAAAGGATGAAGGTATTACAGTATTGAATGACATCAATGAACAAAACACCAATACATTGTTCAGATTCGGTTGGATGACCAGTGATAAAGCATCAGATATCATACAACAACTTGATTTGGTACAAGATTATCCTGGCCTCTTCATCCTCCATGCAAGTAAACAACTTTATCGTCCTTACATTGGAGCATGGGAAAATAAGAGCATTACTCGTTGGTTGAATCAAATTAGCTCTGGTCGTGTCCAAGCTTGGCCATACTCTGGAGATTTGAAGGTTACTGATACTACGGAACAACAACAAGTAGAACAAGAAGATCAACAAAAGGAAGAAGAAGGGCAATCAATGGAACAAGAAAATCAACAAGCGGAAGATCAATCAGAAGACCAACAACGTGTCCGTGATGAATTGTAGTATTTGGGAATATTAACCTCGCTCCAACTTTTTTTTTTTTGTTATATCAGAATAATGATATTATTTGTATCAATTTTGATCATTGTTTGTTTATTTGTCTATACCTTTTTTTCTTTTTTTCTTTTTTTTCTTCACTCCTCGAATATACTCTTCTTACTTTTTATCACATCTCTTTTCTATAAATTATATTATATTACCTCAATAAAACAAATTATTCAAATGAAAAACGTGTTCATCATTCTTTGTTCTCTTTGGTTGTCCTTTGTAGCTGGTATCATATAAATTATGATTGGTCTTTTTTTAAGGTTTCAATCTGATCTAATATACTTTTTTTTTTATGCAGGCGCGTTGATCTTACCGCAAGATCATGAACAATGGAAAATAGGACAAAAGCATACTGTATCTTGGGATCATTCCTTGTACACTGATGCGGATACTGTGAATGTATTTGTGGATGAAGATCGGTCCATTTCGTTGGGACGTAAGTGAAATGTTGATCTCTAGCTACCCTCCTTATCTTACTTTCTCTTTTATGAACAGATGGTTCGGCTTTAGTAGGAAGACTAGATGTTGAATTACCTTCGCAACTTGCTTCATTCAATGGTCAATTGATTCATATCGTTGCCGTTTTTCGTCGCGATCTTCATCTGTACAATGTTGAAAACGTTGCCGTTCAATTGTCACAATGATCAATTCTGCCAATTCATTTTTTTCTCTCTTTAGTTAATGTTTTGCTTGCTTCCGCACCTCAGTTGTCTTTCAATGTTCTCGATTGAAATAAAACACACCATTTTTTTTTTTAAAAAAAAAGAAGGCAACAAATTTGTATTGACATTCAAGGCTTCCCTTTTTTGGAAGCTGATGTGTCAAATAGATGTCAACTGCTTTGTTTGTCCTACATTGACATTGTTTCTTAAGTTTCTACCAATATCATAAGTATGATAATTATTAAAAAAAAAGATATAAACATTTTATTTTTATATGTAAAAAAAAAAAAAAAAAAAAAAAAAAATAATGTCACAACGAAGATAAAATAAACAAAATAATACTAATCAACATTCATAAACTAATCAGCATCCACCATAATAGCGTCGGCTACTTCATTCATGTGTTGATCCTCTTCTTCCACAGCATCTCTGATTTTGTTGTCAGTTTCTTCCTTGAGTTTTGCATCCTTCATTTCACGAGTAGGTGGTAATCTTTCATTTTCAATATCGGATTTTTTGGCATCTTCAAAACTGGTAATGGCTAAAAAAAAAAATATTATCATTAGAAATAAGTGTCATTCTTTAAAAAAAATATATATATGCCAATTTTACCTGATTTGATTCCTTCCACACCCAAAGCAAGAGTTCCCAAAGGTAGTTTTCCAGTAGGCGATAACGACTTGAGTTCCATCACACGTTCAGAGTTTTCACGCAAAACAGAGAATACTCTAGACATCTTACCAACGGCCAAAATCTTACTCCGAATCACTGTTCGTCTTTGATCTATATCGTCATTGCTAAGATTCGCGGTATTTATAGGTTGTTGTTGTAATGATAATCGATGTTCTCCATCTGCCAATTCCTTTTCACTACAAATATTGAGGATTGCAATAAGCATATCCGTAACTATTTGTACAAAAAAAAAAAAATAAGTCCTCTCCAAAAAACCCTCATTCCATTTTTTTTCTTTTTTTTCTTTTTTTCTTTTTTTTACTTTTTTCGCCAACAAAAGGTAAACTCCAACTAAAAACATCCATAAAATTGGGTAACCAGTAAGGGTGTGGAGTAGCATTGAATTGTCGAATATTCATTACATTATTTTCGTATTTCAAAACAGCAGCCTTGTTATTGTAAATATCAAGATAGTTGGGTGCCGAAAATATGGTCATGACTGCTGGAAAGGATGTCGACCGACTTCGTTTGTACATACGATAACTACCCAAAAAAAAAAAAAAAAAAATGAATCATGACTATCGAGGACTCTTGCCTGTTTTTATTTTTCTTACCCAGCATCTTGAGCTTCATGTCCTCTAATGATGGATAAGAGGCCGTTTCTTTCCAAAAAAGCACATGAGGCAGAATAACTATTTTAATAAATAAATAAATAGGTAAGCTTAGTTCATGCTTCTAAAGTTCTTTTCTTACCTGAAAAAGTAAGAACAGCCTCTCACATGATTGTGTGTAAACATTTCATTTGTTGTTTCTTCTCCAAAATCTTCATGTGGATCAGCCCATAGTAAATCGCACATTAATCCTTGAGTGGGAGGTTCATGGAATCGATCAATCTAGCAATAACAATAAAAAAAAAATTAAGACAAGTTCTTCTTTTTTTTTATATCTTATATTTGTATATACTTGATTAAAATCGTCCAAAGTCTGTAATCGAGGAGATAAACCACCATGGATACATAGAAATTGTCTATTCATTATAGCACCAAGAGGGAGCGAGCAAAAAGATTCCATACATGCATTATAGACTTTTTCCGTATATTTATGACGACCTAAGAATAATAGAGGAAAAGATAAGTATGGTGATGATAATGATTTAAATTGGATTAGAAAGAAGTTGATTTACATTCAATCTTAAAAGTAAAGTAATCAGTCAAGTGTCTACATTCATGATTTCCACGTAATAGAAATAATGTATTCGGATACCACATTTTCAGACTCCATAAATAAAGGACGCACTATATAAAATATCTTTGAAAAGTTAACCAACAAACATAGATGATAATTAATTTTTCTTTTTCTTTTTACCTCAATAGAAAAATATCCTCGATCGACGTAATCACCTAAAAAGAGATATCGCGTATTTGCTGGATCACCACCCACTTCAAATAATTTCATCAAATCATAGTATTGACCATGTATATCACCACAAACTACGAAAAACAAAAAATTTGATAAATAATTTAATTTATACTCTTCTATATATATATATAATACCTGTAATAGGAGCATCCACATCTAGTAAGTTTGGTTCTTTGGATAATAATTCAGTGCCTTTTTCAATAATATAGAGAGCTTGTTCTTCTGTCAGTCTGCCTTCACGATAAAAATGGTCTTTAAGAAAATCAGTATTTGGTAAGTCAGGAAGTTCAGGATGCCAAAAGTCTTCGTCAGTAGGAATGTTCACAGCAGGTGCAGGGACATCTAAAGTTTAGATGAAAAATAAAATAAAATAAAATAAAAGGTGATTAGTTAATATATATATGTTTATCCTTTTTTTCTTTTACCTTGAACTACGCGGTCTCTAGTACTGACAATAGTACCATCTTCCATAGTATATTCAGTAAAATGAATAGTAGGTACAGGTTTCTTATTATTAAGTCTTTGAATAGCAGGACTAATAGGACGAATTGGAGGGTCAATATCCATGTCAGTAGAAGTATCCATGATAATAATAAAAGTAAAAAAGAAAGAAAGACAAAAAGGAAAAGACGGGCTTTGAACATTTTTATGGAGTGGTTTGCGTGTGTAACTTATTTGAAATATATATATATATAAAACCAATAGGTATGTATATATATATTAAAACAAAAGGATAATTTCTCGTTTCAGTATTTAGTGTCAAAACAGTTTCAACTTTTTTTTATTTTTTTTTATTTTTACATTATTCATACTATTTTTTTTTTTTGTCAAACTGTATAGTTTTTATTCTATATTGCTTGTTTTTCGTCCCTGTATACAATTTCAATCTCCTCCCTCCCTTTTTTTCTACTTTTTTTTTTCCTTCTTCTTTAACACTTTTCTTCTTTTTTTTTTTTATTTCTTTCTTTCTTTCTTTCTTTCTTCTTTTCTTTGAATCCTATTTTTACTTTTACTTCTTTGATTGCTATACTATAAAGTCATTCAATTGAAGAAATCAATAAATTCATCACGTCTTTTTGTTATTTACTTTCTTTATCTTGGGTCCTTCTATAAAATATACACATCATCCTTTATACTCAGTCTTCATCTATTTGTAAGTAACTATGAAAAGAAACCAAAATGTAACTCAATTTATGGAACACATACACTAATCAACACGTATTATTATTATTATTATTGTTATTAGTGCTGACACGACTGGATAATGAGCGGAGGTGGTAATATTAAAGTCGTTGTTCGGTGTCGTCCCTTGAACTCACGAGGTAAAATTAAAATAAAATAAAAAAAAAAAAAAAGGTCAGGAACAAGACTAATAATGAATTAACATTATACAATAATAACAACAACAAATTTATTTGAATAGAACTGGCACGTGGCGCAACTGGACTTATTCGTATGGATGGAAACCAAACGATTATCTCAAAACCACCGGATCAGAGAACTGGAAAAGAAAGCGAAGATATCAAAGCATTTACTTTTGACAAGTCATATTGGTCTGCTGACAAAAATGATCCAAGTTATGCTGATCAACAAACTGTATACGATGACCTTGGTGAGGATTTATTGAATCATGCTTTTGATGGTTACAATTGTTGTATTTTTGCATGTAAGTATTTATATATATCATAATCAATTCAATTCTTATTCATTTTTCCTTCCCTTTTTTTTTAGATGGTCAAACTGGTTCTGGTAAGAGATTAAATTAAAAAAATAACGCGTTTTTTTTTATCTAATAGTAGTTCATTCTTTTATTCGATCTGTTCTTTAGGCAAAAGTTATTCTATGGTAAGATATATTTTTTCCTTTTTTTTTTTTGCATCTTTTCAATCTGTTTAATCAAAATACTGATTATATTTTTTTGTTCTTTTTTTGCTTTTCATTAGATGGGTTATGGTGAAGACAAAGGGGTTATACCTCGAACTTGCTCTGAGCTTTTCAATCGTATCAATCGTATAGCTGAAACAAAGGATGAAAAATTGACACATCGTGTCGAAGTCTCTTATATGTAAGTAAAAATACATTTATATAATATATATATATTTTTTACTTATTATTTTTTTCTAAAAAAAAAAGTGAAATCTACAATGAAAAGGTGCGCGATTTACTCAATCCAAAGAATAAGGGAAATCTCAAAGTTCGTGAACATCCAAGTACTGGTCCTTATGTGGAAGATCTTTCTAGATTAGTTGTCACTTCTTTTGATGATATCAATCATTTGATGGACGAAGGAAACAAGGTATCCTTCTTTATTTTGGAAACCAATACAGTATTCTTATCGTTTTCTTTTATACTTATAATAGGCTCGAACAGTGGCAGCAACCAATATGAATGAAACATCTTCTCGATCACATGCAGTATTTACTTTATTCCTGACACAAAAGCGTATTGATGATTTGACCAATTTGGAAACTGAAAAAGTGGCTAGAATCAGGTATGTAAATCCACTTATTTTTATTATTATTCATTTGGAAATTATACTTGAGTGAATTGATGATCTATATATTTTTTTTTTCTTTTCTTAGTTTAGTAGATTTGGCAGGTAGTGAACGCGCAAATAGTACTGGTGCAACAGGTACACGATTAAAAGAAGGTGCAAATATCAATCGGTCTCTTACAACTCTTGGGAAAGTTATTGCTGGTCTGGCTGAACAATCTCTCGCTGAAGGCAAAAAAGGAAGAAAATCAAAAGAAGTTTTTGTACCATATCGTGATTCAGTGAGTATTAAAACAAGAAATTGGAAAATAAAATATTTGAGCTAAATTCAATTTGTTATTTATATCATTAGATCCTTACTTGGTTGTTGAAAGACTCATTAGGTGGCAACTCGAAGACGGCAATGATTGCTGCTATTTCACCTGCAGATTACGATGAAACACTCAGTACATTACGATATGCTGATCAAGCAAAGAAGATTAAGAACAAGGCGGTTGTTAACGAAGATCCAAATGCAAAGATGATTCGGGAACTCAAGGATGAATTGGAAGTACTACGTGATCGATTACGAACTTACGCTCCTGAAGAAGTAGAACAGCTCACGGCTTCAAGTGCATATAAGAAATCTGGTGGCCCTACTTCTCCATTGGCTACACGGTTTCCTGCCAATCCTCTCCAGTCCAAGACGAATCAAGAATTTGAAATTACTGATAGTCAAGGCAAAAAGAAAAAGATGACCAAACAAGAAATCATTGATCAACTACAAAGTTCTGAAAAGCTTTTGGCCAACTTGCATGAAACATGGGAAGAAAAATTGAAGAAGACGGAAGAAATACAAGTGGAACGAGAAAAAGCTCTGGCGGAATTAGGGATTGCTGTACATAAGAACAACGTTGGTGTCTATGCTCCAAAGCGAATGCCTCATCTCGTAAATCTCAATGAAGATCCTCTCATGTCCGAATGCCTTATGTATCAACTCAAACTTGGCGTTACTCTGGTGGGTCGTAGTGAAAGTCAAGTTCAAGCTGATATTCGTCTTAGTGGCTCCAATATTCAAGAAGAACATTGCTCCTTTGAAAACAACAATGGTACAGTCACTCTTCATCCTGGTAATGACTCTCTTACAATGGTCAATGGTCGACGATTAGAATCTCCACAACGATTGAAAAGCGGTTACCGAATTATTCTAGGCGACTACCATATTTTTCGATTCAATCATCCGGAAGAAGTACGACGTGAAAGGGATTTGCAAAAACTCGTAGTGGAAAAGGGAATGAGCAAAGATGGATCAAATACTACGATTCTTGATGATGATGCTGATCGACCTGAATCTCCAACCGAAAACTCAAGTATGATGGGATCTGAAATTATGGACTGGAACTATGCTCGACGAGAGGCAGTGCTCAACTATTACTCAACAGAATCGAACTTCGGTGGTCTCAAGGATGAGGAACTAGAAAAGATCTATGATGATATTACACGGGTACGAAAGTCACGACGAACACGATCAGAAAGCCGAACCGACAATGACGATGATGACTCATCAAGAGGATCAGTACGAAATTCATCTACACCTACTATGATTGAAGATGGAACTGAAAGTGTCTCTACGGAACTCACTTTTGCTCATAGCGAACTGGAAGAAAAATTCAAAGTGGAAAAAGAACGGATGTTACGTGAACTGGATGATCAAAAACGACACTTTGAAGCCAAGATCAATCGAATGTCTCGACAATTTTCTCAACAAACAATGACGGCAGCAACAACAATGAATAATAATAACTTGTCTTCAGCAGACTCAACAACGTATACCCCTGCTCAACAACGACTTGTTACTAAAGTAGCAAACCATTGGAAACGACTTCGAAATGTAGCTATGGCGGAGATGGTATTGACAAATGCAATGGTGCTCAAAGAAGCCAACATCATATCACGAGAATTACGGAAAGATGTTGTTTATCAATTCACAGTGATCGATGATGGTCCATTCTCCAATCCAATGTCTTCTTGGGAACCTACTTCTGCTTTACACCAATTTGAAACTGACGAAGATACATCCTTTATTCCATCAACAAAACCTTGTGTTGGTGTCCGAGTGATTGATCGCAAAAATCAAGTCATCTATACCTGGTCATTGGAAAAACTCAAACTACGTCTTCAGAAAATGCGAAATTTATATAACTTTATCGATCGTCCACTCTATTCTAAACACTTCAATTGGGAAGATCCATTTTTTGAAAATCCATGTCCAAAGTATACATTTATTGGTGGTGCCACAGTATGTTTACGCAATTTGATTCTACAACAATCTTATCAAAGTCAGGTTCCTGTGATGGATCGTTCTACTGGCCAAATCAAGGGTTTACTTCGAGTACTTATTGCTCCTATTGCAAGATCGGTGGCTATCAAAGGTCCTGAAGCTCGGTTTTTACCTTTTTCCGATACCGAATCTGAATATACCTTGGACATCAATAATGGTGACAAAATCAACAACAATAACAACAACAGCAACAACAACAACAACAACAACAACAATGATAATAATAACGATATTGATGACGATGGCAATAACAACAATAATGATATATCAACAACGCAACAGGTTCAAACTGATCAACAACTTTTATTTGAAATACGACTTTGTGATCTATCTGGTCTATCTGAAGCTGAATATACACAAGTGCATGTACAATACAAATTATCTTCTTTTGGTGGTATTCCTCCTGATTCCATCTCTGAAAAAATATATACCACGTCTCCAGCTGAAGGATTTGGAAATGGTGATCCTATTCAATTGAATCATTCTCAAACAATCTCTCTTGTGGTGACAAACAGTGTATTGGAAGTACTATCAAACGGAACGTTGGCTTTTGAAGTATATGGATTAGCTCAACCCAAGGCTCTTTCTCAATTCGAACGATGGGATGATCAACGGGAAAAGGACAGATTGGCCAAAACTCATCCAGGATATCATGATCAAACCAACAACAATAACAACAACGACAACGCTGAGAGTAACAGAACGAACGAACCTCCTTCCCCTATACCATCATCGCTGGCTGTGACAGAACGACGTCCTGAAGAAGAATTACTAATGGCAGAACGACATGACGTAGTAGCATGGATTCAAATATCTGAACTTTTACCGAACGGCGATTATCAACCAGTAGAAACAATCTCAGAGCATGCGCTAGATCGTGGTGTATTTACATTACGACAAGGATTACAACGACGAATTCATATTACATTATATCATACATCTGGGCGTCAGTTTGAATGGCAACGAATATCCAAGGCAACCATCGGCAGAGTACGACAATTAACATCAAAAGGACGAATGATTGATTCGACATCTTATGAGGCGATACCGATCAAATTATTGGGACATCCAACCCCTTCTGGCGTAACATACAACAGTGATGGAACAAGTCAACTCTCTATACAAGGCGCATGGGATAGCTCACAACATGATTGTTTATTTTTGAATCAATTGACACCATCACGTACCAGGATTATTCTTCATCTTGCTTGGGAAGTCGAAGCTAGCAAATGTGCCAAGCCAATTTCATTTGGAATGGATATTGCTGTCCGAGTCACTGGAAGAGACAGATCATCAAGTTACGCGACATCTAGATTCAAAAAATTACTGCTTGGTGCTGGAAGTGGAAAATATCACAAACAAATGTCGAAAGCCAGTGGCGTTTTTTTGGTACTTTTGAAACCTCCTATGACAAGACGTGTGGATCAACTTTGGCGACTAAATACGGCATCCAAGTATATTCGTGGAGAAGAACTTTTTTTGGGATCATGGAGACCACGTGGTGTCTCGTTGATCAATGATTACAAGATCATCCGTCGGAACATTCAGATGAAAGAAGATTTACAGAAAACTAATCAAGTTTTGACATTACAGCATCCACATCATCATCATCCTACTTCCTCTACCATAGTAGCAACAAATTCAGCAAAATCAATGGATTTGATATCGTCACCTATACCATTATCATCATTACCACCATCACCACCTCCATCGTCTACGACAACTTTTATCAAAACTACCTCAGAAATGACTGAAGATCAAAAGCTTGCCTTATTAAGAAAAGTGATTGATTTATGGAAAATGAAATTTGGATCAAGACAAGATGTAAGTTGAATATTAATGAAAGTATGAATGTTCATCCTATTTTTTTTTTTTAATTAGATACAATTATGTCAAGATCCACCTATACCAGGAAATCAAGAGACTGCACATCAGCAACAATATCAACAACTACAAAAACCATTAGATAGGTTGGAAACAAATACCAATTTATTAGCAGATGTCAAACTTATATCTCAGTCGTAAGTAAATATATATTTTTATCATACGGAAATGAATGAATATTGATTATTATCATTTTGATAGACCAAATATAACGAAAAAGGGATATCTTGTATACCAAGAAGATGCATTGGAAGATATTTGGATCAAGCGTTGGTTTGTGATGAGAAGGTAAGACAACAAAAAAAAAAAAAAAAAAAAAAAAAAAAGAATAACCACAGGTAACTCAAATTATTTATCTATTGTAGACCTTATATTACCATTTACATTGACGACAGTGAAAAAGATGAAACAGGTATCATCAATGTTACCTCTGTACGTGTTGATTACAATCGGGATTTGGAAAAACTGATACAGGTAATAAAAAGAATTGGGAAATATATATATATGTATATCTGTTTACGAAATGATTTTTTTTAATAGCGTACCAATGTCTTTGCTCTATATACCAGCAATAATGCATATACAATTCAAACCAGTACGAAATCGGATATGATGGATTGGATTTCCAAAATTGATCAAAAATTCCCAATGGACCGACTTTTGGATGACAGTGATTATTCTACTTGTTGAAAATATGGATTGCTTTATTTTTTTTTATTTATATATTTATATATTGTTATTATTATTGTTATTTTTTTTTGACACTCTATTTCCACCGTCCACAATCACTTCATATATTATAAATAAATGATGACTTGAACTTTTTTTTTTATATATATTAAATATCATACCGTAATAGACCTGTCCTTTACATTATATCATAGATTATTGACTGTAATTCCCTGAATGGATAAATAATGTACAATGATGAATTCTTTTAATATATGTGATGAACATGAATGATAATGACGTTATTGGTGATAAAAAAAAAGGCCGAGTATTGGGTTACAAATAAAGTGTAAATTTTGGAAGTTTTCTATCAGTGAGAAGAGGCTGATGTATTCCATAAACGGCAAGTGTGTGCATAAGAGGTGAGCCCCGCCAGCTCACTGTGACGCGAGTTTTCCCTTTTGTCTCACCTTTTCTTTTTCGCTCCTTTTTTTTTTTTTTTTTTTTTCTCTCTCTTTCTTTCTACTACTTTTTTCAATATATAATATTCTACACTTATATATATATATATATATTATAAACAATTTTATACAAACAAAGGGAAAAAGATTTACTGTAAGCCAACTTTGAAATTGTTGTTATGAACAAACAAAAAAAAAAAGCAACATCTAATATAATTCCCTCATTATTCTTTCTCTCTCTGTTATATCTTTTTCCATAGTGAACATGGGTCAAACTCTCTCGGAACCGATTGTGGATAAAAAGTCTCATTCTGACTCTAATTCTAAATATATATATGGTGTTTCTTGTATGCAAGGTTGGCGACTCAGTATCCTTTTTATATATTTATATTATATATATAACCTTCATTTTTATGTCGTATATGTCCTTCACTTTTTTTTTCCTTCTTTTTTTTTTGAATAATAGCAATGGAAGATGCTCATGCTACTATATTAAAGTTGGATGATACTGAAGCCTCTTTTTTCGGTGTATACGATGGTCATGGAGGTAAATCCTACAATCAAATTACTTAGGGCGAATGATATGTCACTTCATCTAATCTGATTCTATCCCATCTATTCAAGGTTCTACTGTGGCAGAATATACTGGTGACGTTTTACATCAGAAAGTTAGAGAAAGTCCATTTTTCGACAAGAAGGATTATCGATCAGCGTTGAAGGATGCCTTTTTGACTATTGATAAAGATTTGAAAGAAGGTATAATAATGATGTAAGGCCGTCCCTTTACTAATTATCGCTTTAACTTTACTATTTGTAGATCAAAACTTTGCCTATGATCCATCTGGTTGTACTGCTGTTACTGTTCTTTTGACACCTGAAAACAAAGTATTTGTGGTAATGTACTCTCTTTTGAATATAAAAAATATATAAGAATTGCTTGGATTTTATTCATCTGTTTTACATATATATATATATATATATATATATATATATATATATATATTTCTAGGCCAATGCCGGTGACTCCCGTTCTGTCATGAGTATAGATGGACATAGCAAGGCATTATCATACGATCACAAGCCTGTAGACCGTTTGGAATCACAGCGTATCGTAGCTGCTGGTGGATTCGTTGAATTTGGTCGTGTGAATGGTAATAAACTATCGGATATTATCCTAACATCAAATAGGACTAACGAAAAAGAATCTTTTCTTTTTATTATTTTTGTCATGATTGATATTCATTGATTATTATGTATTAGGTAATTTGGCCTTATCTCGTGCTATCGGTGATTTCGAATTCAAGCAAAATGATCATTTACCTGCTGAAGAACAAGTGGTGACCTGTAAGTGACATGAAGAGGAGGTATATGTGTAATGACGGCTCACCCTGAATATATATATCAATAGGTAATCCTGATATTATGGAACATCAATTGACCAATGGAGACGAATTCATTGTATTGGCATGCGATGGTATTTGGGACTGTATGACGAATCAAGAAGTGGTGGATTATATCCGGGCACGAGTGGCTGATAAACAACCTTTGGAAGAAATATGTGAACAAATCATGGATCATTGTTTGGCCCCAGATAGTGAAGTAGGTGGTGTAGGTTGTGATAACATGTCCATTGTTATTGTGGGTCTTTTGCAAGGTAGATCCAAGGAAGAATGGTATGAATGGATGGCTTCTCGTGTTCCAAAGGTGGTAAAACAAGATGCTCTTGGTAATGATTTGGAACCAACAAAGATCAACGAACAACCTATGAACGATATCATTGAACCTTCTGTAGATGAAAAAATCAGTCTGACTTCTTCTGATACTGGTCCTGTTCCTGCTGATCCCATTGCTGCTGCTGCTGCTGCTGTTACTGCTACTACTGCTACTACTGCTACTACTGATGTCAAGAATGATTGCACTGATCTATGAATATGTATTATTTTATCATCATCATCATCATATCAACAACAACAACAACAATGTCAACATTCCCTTTATCCAATAGTTTACTTGTTTTTATTTTCTTCTCACTCCTTCATTTATGTTGTATTTAATTTCATTGCCTCTTTTTTATTTTATTTTATTTTTTTTATCTCATCATCATTCTCACCGTTATCATTATATTATCCTTGTTTTCATTTTATTTTATACAATCCTAGTTCTTGTAGTACATTCTACCGAACTATTTTCCCCTTCTCTATTGTGATGAACAATAAAAACAACCATATCTATTTGTACCGTTTTGTTATGTTACTAATCAAAATGATATCATAAAATCTCAAATTGGAAATTCATGCAACTGATCAAGAGGGGGAAGTGATTTGTTATTTCGCTTAACCAGCAAAGCCAATCTCTCCATTTTAAACAATCGAAAATCAAAAACATCTATTCAAATTCCTTTTTTTTTTTTAAATAACGTCCAGGAGAGTCTATTGAATATACAAAATAATAATAATAATAAATAGATGTGTCTAAGATGATTTAATGAATAAAGTGTACAAGAAGTCTATAATACTATGTTGATGATGATGATGATGATGATGATGAAGGTTGTGAAATAGTGGGGGTAGATATATTCGAGAGATGGGGAGATATCATAGGTACATCCGTCTTCAAGATTCGATTAGCCTTTTTCTTGGGAACAGGAGCTAAAAAAAAAAAAAAAAAAAAATTATATACAATAATCATAAAAGATAAAGGGACGAGCTCAAATATATATATCGCCGCAACGGTCATTATGCGTGCCTTACCATTTGTGTTTTCTCGTACATAAAATTTGCGAAGTAATAAAACAGCCTCTTCATATAGGAACCCGCCTTGAGATGGATATGAACTTGATTCATTCGTCAATAACCTTGAACTTAAAAACAAAAAAAAAAAAAAAGAATAGAGTTTTAGTGAAATTGAAGCAGAAAAAAAAAAAGAAGGTAAATTGACTTTTGTCATATCCTTTACTCTGAATGAATATTGAAGACAGAACCATTGCCACCAAACTTGTCATTACCACATCCAAAATATACTTGTCGAATTCCTAATAGTAGTAAATAATAACGTATCAGCAGTCCAGCTAAGAATTGAGTTATCATCATTACCCATTTGTCGCAATGCAGATGCACACATGATACAAGGTTCCACTGTGACATAAAGATCTGTTGTTGCAAAGACAGATTTATCGTGATGAGCTAATATATAATCAATGGCTTCTATTTCTGCATGTCGTGTCGCCTAGTAAAGGAAGATCAATAAAGATTATAGCATATATCTATTTGTTTTCTTACATTACAAGTTTCATTGGGTTTATTTCTTCCACGAGCAATAATATCCTTGTTATCCTTGACAAATACACAACCTACAGGCACTTCCTTCTGATCATAGGCTTCCTGAGCTACATTCAATGCTTCTCGCATGTACTGTTCGTTGTAGATTGACATAAGATAACACAATGTAAGATCGATGTGAATGAAAAGAATGAAAAGAAAAAAAATGACACAAAACTCTTTTTCAATTTTTTTTTTTTTTTTTTTTTGGACTTTTACAGCCAAAATTTTCGAACTCCTCAGCCAAATTTTGGCTGTAAGAATAAATCGTCGAGGGGTCATCAGGCAATTTTTCGAAAAATCGATGGAATTCTTTTTAATGCATATTATTATTTAAAGTAATCAATAAAATGGATATGGATTACTTTTTTTTTTCAATAGGAATCTAATGGTAGTAGTTTTATTGGATGATGATCAATAAATGAGGGATGATAAAATGTTTTATTTTACTCTATAAACAAACGGTGATTCATAGGAGTGATCTATGTTCGAGTCCAAATTTGATAAATAGAAAGGATTTTTTTTTTTCAAAAAAAAAAAAAAAAAGATAAGAAGAGAAAAAGAAAAAGGATGACAAAAATATATTCAAAGGAGTGAGAGAGGGCGGCATCATGATGTCCATCCATTGGATGGTATTGAAGGTATTGGTGGTAAGGGTTTAACAAGGATAGGCGAAGAAGAAAGACGTTCCTCGATAAATGTTTTATTAGTCGGATGATATTTTTCATACAGACCGGTTTCTATTAACTCGTCTGTTTTCTGTCGAGGCTGCATACAAACAAGATATCTGCCAAGACAACCACGGAGCGTTCCAAATTGAAGACCAAGACAGAGACAAATGATCAAAGTCACCACAATGCCGATCAATAATCCACCTCCTGTATTGGTAGGGACTTGACTCGTGTTCACATAAACCGATGTATCGTCTATGTTTTTATCATGATGTTTACCCATTCCACTTTAAAATTAAAAAAAAAAAGGATGAAAATAGGGAAAAGAAAAGGAAGGAAGGGAATTGATTATATATCGAACAGATGAACGTAAACAATTCTGTATCATCAACAATAAAACAAAAACAAATTAGTTCCCATTTTATAAAAATATATGCATTATCAAGGGCATGATCATCCTCCACCCATTGGAGGTAAGAAAAACAAAACAACATTTATTTGCACTATTCGAGAAAACGAACGGTAGTCAGCCTCCGATCATTGCCATATATGGTCTGACAAAAAAAAAAACCAACCCATAAAATGGACATAAATGTTTATTGAAATAAAAGTAAAGAGTATAATAATATATATATATATAACATGTAAAAAATAAGTAAATATAGTTTCTAAGGGTATAATCTAATCCTTTGTCCATCCAAGATAACCAATCATTTTTTGCCAATAGTGTTTGAAAAAATTGCCCATGATAAAGATAGTAGTTAGAGATTGTTGATCATCACGCATTTTCTTCTCTAGCATTTCAAGTTTGCTATAAAATCCAGCCACATTTTCTTCTCGTTCCATCAGATTGTCATTGAGTACATTCAATTCATAGTGAAGCTTAGCACTGTCGTCTTCCACTCGTCTTAGTTGTTTTTCCATATCGACCTGATCATCCACAACGAGTTTAAATTGTCTTTCTATTTGTTCGAATTCTGCTGATCGTCGAGTATAGGTACTTCGTAATTGTTTAGCCATTTCTTCATAACCTTTCGCTAATACTTGTAATTGTCGATATTTGTATTCAAGTTCCGAATGTTGTTGCCTTAATCGTTCATATAATAAATATGTTTCCACATCCATATGTGATGTCAAAAGAATATCATCCAACCGATTTTCTAGTCCAATACGTAAATGTTCCTTGGAATGCCATCGTCCTTTTTGAATATTTGAGATCCTCGATTTTGGTCGTCGCCATACTATTTTGCTGTGATCGGGTGCTGACATGACGGAAAGCCGATCGTCATCATCATCATCATCATCATCATCATCGTCATCATCATCATCATCATCATCGCTGATTTGGTGATTATTTTCAAATTCCTCGTGATCATCGTACCAAAAATCATTGTTATGATCATCATCGATATCATCAAAAGTTGTCTGGGATCGAATGGTTGCAGTATCTTTGAATGAGACATGATGCCGAGGGAGTCTTCGTCGAAAAGAAAGCAGCGAATTTTCGTCCACAGATCGAGATCGTTCAAGTCGTAAGATGGGTGGCGTTTCTTCATATTTGATAAAATCCCCTCCACCAATCTGTTCAGGTTTAGTGTCATCCTCTTGCCGTGTCTGGGTAATAGGTGGTGTCGGTATCGTTATTGACGGCGTAGTTGCATTAGTGGTTGGGTAGATATCTGGTGATGGAGATGGTGATATCATATGTTGTTGTTCAATATTATTTTCTTTTGCAGCTGCTGGGACATCATTGCCTATGATATATCAATGAAAACAGAGGTGAGAAACCATGTCTTATATATAAATAAATTGTATGCGTAGATAGTTCGTACCATCACCTTCATTCGATGTTGTATTTCCTTGTATCCATATATCATTTTGTTTCGAAGGACTACAATAAGAAAAAAAAAAGGTATTGATACATATATATAGATATATATATAGATACGCATCCATCATTTATCATTATTATCATATTACCTTTCAGAGAATTTGAGCGCATTCGATCCATCCATGTCTGAGTATTCCACGTCTTTCTTTCCAAGTACTGATCCTTTTCCATATATTTCTTTGGAAGATCGTCCCACTATGAGATCATCTGCCGTTCCAGCAGAACTTGACACACCACTTGCCATTTCACCATTGATAGCCGAAGAAGGTAAGCGAATACTAGAAGTAGGTGATCGATGATGAGTTGTTGGAGCAGAAAATGAGGATCCATTATTGTAATTGTTATTGACATTGCTATTATTTTTGATGGAGGTGGTACCAGATTTATCGGCAGATGAATGATTTGAACCCCATGAAAGTGATCTAAACAAAGCATAAAAAAAATAATGGTTAAGATTATTTTCACATTATTAAATACAAGTCATGATATCTTACCCAGCTACTTTGGATAGTATTTCAGCTGCAGCACCACTGGTTTTTGTCTATTTGGAATATAAAATAATAATAATAAAATGAGAAGATATTTAAAAATAATTTATCATCTTCTTACCGTTCGAGCAGAGACTTCCTTAATAAGATGAAGTAATTCATGAGGTTGTTTATCATGATCATTACCAATACTATTTTTGAGACGAGGACGCCAGATAGCACGTAAAGAATCAATGGTGGCATGATCACGAAATACTTCAGGGTTACAATCTTCACCAAAGAGAGGATAATTATTGATTCCAGAAATGTCGTCTAATTTTGATTTGATTGCCTTTCGCATACGAAGAGGCCCAATATGATGTTCATCTAGTTTCTTCAAAGTTTCCAAGTCAATGACTTTGATTTGTCGTAAACCTTTCATTCGTTGATACGTTCCAATATCTTCGGAAAATTCCTCCCAATCGGCAAATGGATCTTTGACAGTCTAGATAATCAAATTGATTAAACTTTTTTTTTTTAATTATTGTTTTTCTTTTATTGGATTTTTACCGTAACGTTGTAAGAATGAAGTTTATTTCGACAAACCACTAATTTGGTAATAAGAGAAGTCAAAAGATGTGGTTCCATCCAAGGTTCTTTTAAGGTATACTATAATATTAAAAGGTTTTAAGTGATTTTTTCATATTTATTATTATTATTATTATTATTTTACCGTTGATCCTTTGTATGGTTGATATTTTCGATAATATTCACCAAAAGCAGCATTTGTTTCATCACAAATCAGACCATCCACACAATCACGCCTTAATAAATTGAATAGATAAAGAGCAGTTTGAGCTAAAGTCACCAGATTGATCACGGCATCTTCAAAATCCACAGCATCAGCAATCTTGTAAAGGGATCGAAATTTTTCTTCAGAAGCTGGACTATTATATATAAAATCGAGTCTTAGTATTTCAATACTTACCACCCCCCCTTTTTTTTAAAACTTACTTTGGTTTCCGGAGATTAAACGCACTACGACCAGTACAATTTGTTCTTTTCAAATTGATATTGACACATGCTTGTCGGATCCACTTGTCATAATCTCCATCAGGTATCAAAACCATATCCATATCATAAGGTAATTCACTAGGATCAGTTAATAAAATTTGTCCTTTGGGTGTCTATCATAAAAAAAAAAAAAGAAAAAGAAAAAAAAGAGAAAAGAAAACAATAATAAATACTTTGATAATAATAATAATAAAAAGAAAAAGAAAACTTACTGATTTGTATTTAAGAGGTGTCAAGTTACTAAAAAGACGTTTCACATCAGGTCTTGCATGTTGAAGATCTGCAGTTGTAATACCAATGACACATACTTTGATCTAAAAAAAAAAAAATAAAAAAAATAAAATAAAATAAAATAAATAAAATAAAAAGATGTAAGTAAAATATTTTTTATATTTACCTTATGAGACTTATCACCAGTAAACACTTTAACAGTATTTGAATGTGTTTTTCTGTCACATATCCTAATCATGATATAAAAAAGTCATTTGTTAGATATAAAAGCTCTCTCTATCATATATAAATTGTTACCATTGTTCCACAACATAGATACGATAACCTTCTAATTCAGTTTCTTCTTCAAGGATACCCAAACCACAAAGACTAGCTACGTCAAGTGCTTTTTTTCTTTCTGAAAATACAAACTTTTTTATGTCGGACATCGAGTCATGATTTAGTTATATATAAAAAGAAAAACAGAAAAGGAGAAAGAAAGAAAATGAAAGAAAATCATTATTTGGATTGACTCCGGAGTTTCAACAACTATAGTTGACTCGTGATAAACCTTTTGACCAAAAAGTTCATTCATATTTCATTTTTTTAAAAAAAAGAAACATGTGAAAGAACAAAAAATATATAATAATGAACATATAAAATGAGAATAATTTGTTTGATTTTATTTGAATAACAGATATATAAAACAAAATAAAAATAAAAATAAAAAAATTTAAAAAAAGATCTACTTAACTCGTACTATATATCGACTAAGACCAGCTGCAACTAAAGCCATCAATCCACCAAAAGTCAAGACCATAGCCACACTAGAAGGATTGGTTTCATTTTGTTCTTCATCCAATGAGTCACTTGCTGCAAAAATAAAAGCAGAAATGACCGCCACTGCAAATTGAGGGAATACTATATACATATTATGTACACCAAGTATAAGTCCTGCATCAAATTCTTCATCACTATCTTGTTGTTCTAAAAGACGTTCTGATGATGATGATGATGATCCATAATAAATTTCTTGTTGTTGTTGTTCTTGTTCACCATGTCTAATATCATCTACATAACTAACATATTCACCTACCAAACAAAATGGAACCCATAATACAACGGCCCAAGATATCCCCATAATAGAAAGAATGATCACAGCTCCAGTTACAGAACGAATAAACCAAGTCGATAGTAAACAAGTAGCAGATATCAAATGAGATGTAGTATAAATATTAGTCAATGATACACATTCAAACGAACTGAGATTGTTGGATATCAATGGAATAAGAAAGCCTGCCACTACTGAGACAATTGAATAACATAATAAAGCAAATGATCCCATTCTTGATCCTTCTGCCCAATTGCCAGGTATTTTCTGTCCATGATGTGTCTGTGCTGCAAAATATAATTCAGATACCCATTGTGTGCTTTCAAAAATATATATAATTAGAAATAAGTTTAAATTAATATATCAATAAAAATTACCTGTAGAATAAAAATGGAAACCATCCCATCCAAGCAAAGAATTGAGTATTACATAATGTTTGAATTGGTGTAGGGAGTTGTCGAAGAGCTTTCCAAATATATAGAAAAGTATGATGCCAACGTCTAATATCACACAATATAAATATTAAAGAAAAAAAAAATCTTATTTTTTTTCATTTCATTCATCACTTACAAATTGATATCTTGATTTGTTCGATCATTTTTCTTTTCAGTAGTGGAAAAACATGTTACTGCCAAAGTAGTACAAAATACAAGGATGGATAAGAGACAAAAGACCTTCATTTGAGAATTTCCTAACCATGACATATGTTTGACTAAATCCAACGATCCAACAAGGTATCCCATCACCATTGCTGAATTGGACATCCTAGCACTCCAAGCATTTGCTTCATCTTGTTGCCAAAGAGGTGGAATATCAAGTATCAAAGCACGACATATTGCTTGAGCTGCATTGAGTGTAAAATCCAAAAAATAAAATGATGCCACAGCCACTAAAATGATACAGATACGATCCTATGAGAAAGATAAAAAAAAAAATAAATCTATCAATACTCTACCTTTTTTTTTTTTTTTTTTTTTTTTTTTTTTTTTTTTTTTACATCAGAGTGAAATTTCCCAGCCAAATAAAGTCCAATTTCTTTTGCATAAGCAACCCCAAGCATAGATAAACATGTCAAAATACCAGAAGCTACAATAAATGGTCGGCGTTTTCCAAATCGGGAAGTAGACTTATCACTGAAAGCGCCTATAATCTGATGAACAGTAATAATAATTAATTATAATAATACAATATTAAAATCTATCTTCTATTTTTTTTTCTTACAGGGTGTACAATAAGACCTGAAAGAGGTCCAGCAAGCCAAACTGATGCAGTAAGTTCTCTAGATAAATGAAGTGATAATAGATAAGGTGTACCATATCTATAAAACAGATATAAAATAAATTTTCTTTCTTTATCACCATGATTATTTTTTTTTATTTCTTACGATAATTCTACAGTCCCTATACAAAAAAAAAAAAAAAAAAAAAAAAAGAAATCAATGATGGATATCTTTTTTTTTTTGTAGACTTACAAGTGAATTGAACACCTGCCATACATAGACTTAAACAAACAAGTTGAATTGTGGAAAGTCCAGGAAGAGGTTCAAGATGTTCAGGACTTGATTTGATATACCTCATACCTTGAGCTGTTGTTCCATTGTAAATAGATGCTTCAAACGATGAACTTCGTCGGTGATAACTAGGTCTTCGTACAGGAGGTTTCTTCGGTAATAAAGGTGATGCATTTCCAGGTGTTGGTGTTTTCATTTTTGAGAAATGGTTCAATCTGGTACATTTACAAAAAAAGAAAAATATATACAATACATTCAAAAGAATAAAAAAAAAAGTGGGAAAAAAAAAGTGGGAATGAAAAAAAAGGAATCTCGGTCATCACCCGCTTTTTATGCGACGAGTACTTTTTGGCAAATCCGGGCGGGTGTTCAATGTGACATGAAAGCTTTTGTCTCATATCATGCATCGAGACGAAAAAAAAAAAAAAAAGCAAACTAAGAATATCATATATCATTGGTCAGAATTTTGTCCTATTGTTTGGTAAGCCAATGGGATAAGAAGACAAAAAGAAAAGAACTTTTTTTTATTGAGTGGGAAACATTAGTGTGATATAGAATATAAAATAAGGATGATGATGAATGAATAAATTAGAATGATAACAGAAGGTAAAAATAAAAAAAGATATAGACTAACAATACTAAACAAAACAAAATAATAATAATAATAATAATAATAATAATAATAATAATAGAATGATCAATCCATTTGACAGTGATATTTACATGATAGGTCGTTTGTTGACAGTCATAAAATGAAAGTTGGCATAGGTATGATATTGTTCCATTTCCCGAGAAGCAATAGAGGTGTTAGAAACAAATAGTTTGTCATCCTTTGGTCTTGAATAAAATTGACATATCCTAGTTTGACACTTGCGAAATATATCCAAAAAATCATCTCTACAAAGTACACCCAAACGACCGCCCCAAAGGCCCATAGGCAAAGATCGGTATTTTTGTATCAGATTGAGACAATCATCACTAGGAGCATAAGAAGCCAATTTAGTAGCCACATCCGTTCGAAATCCATGGTGAGCTGCTACTGAAATAACTTCTTGATTCATACTTCTTGTTACTGGTCCTACTGAGCACATCTTGATGTCCACTTCCAATAATTCCAAAGTAGCTCCAGGTTTTAGTAATTTCCAGCAATAACGTGTCGCTAATTCATATTGAGCTGCAGTAAACACCAAAGCCATAAATCTAATATGGATGAAATCAAAACTACAAAGATCCAGCTCAGATTGTAGTTCATTCAAAATGTTGCATTGTATAAGTCGACAATTGGAAGGAAGACAATTCACATCAGAAAGCCAATCCACGTTATCGATACCAATCACTTCAATATTTGGATATTTTTGAGCCATCTCGATACACCAGGCACCAGATCCACATCCAACATCAAGTATTCGTCCTTGTTTGAGTTTTCGAAAATCTACCGTTGATCGAAATTCCCTATACATAAAAAAAAAAAAAAAAAGGTCAATACAATCTAAATAGCAGAATAGTTTACTCTTTAACTTACTCTGTAAAAGCAAGGTTCATAAAATCGTTCTTTAGTTGAGATTTGTCAGCTTCATATTCATCAACATCAAGTAATTGTACAGGTGCATGCAAGTCAGGATCCTCTGGTGTTATCGTAGTACTAGCAGAATTTAAAGAGACAGAACGTCTGGGACGTCGTTTGGCCTTGTAAAGAATATTTGCTAATGTCGAAGATTTCTTGGGTGAATGTTGCTGCGGTCCAGAGGTTGGAAGTTGTACATTAGGTAATTTTTGATCCTTTGTTTTTTGATAAACATGGTGAGAGCGTATAGGAGGAGCTGAAGAGGCACGATCCATAGTTAAAGAGCTTTGTCGTATTGAAGTAGTTGGATGGTGATTAGATTCTTTAAGAGAATGTGACCTTTGACAGGTTCGTTTTGTTGTTGTTGTTGATGGTGGTGAAGAGAAAAGAGAGGTAAATAGAGGTGATCCCGACATCCAAGATTGTCGCCGTTGATTGTCTTCATTTTCCAAGACTTGTGTACGTCCCATTGCAACACTAAGAAAAGAATGGAAAGGGAAATGAAGAAAGGGCAAAAAAAAAAAAAAAAAAAAGGTGGATGGAACTAAATAAGCGGAGTCCTACGGAGGGTAAAAAAAAAATAAAAAAAAAGGGCCGTTTTTCCTACCCGAAAACCTGAAAATCATTAAACTTTCAAAAAGGGTCCTTTAGATTCATCATTATAATTTTCAATATTCATATTCATTTTTCTCCAAATAATATAAATCTCATGTATTCTTTAAAATCATAATCATAATCATAATATTAGATAGTTCTAATTTGTATTGTGATATTTTCTTAATCAGTTAATCAGTCGTTTAGTTCAATAGATTGACACGTATTCTATCATATACACCGCTCAAAGAATTTAAGACAGTAAACCATGGAATGACACTTATAACGCAGCAAAAGGTATCACTTGAACCTTAATTTTTGAAACAAAGCCAAGATATCATTGATGATCCTATTAAATAAATAAATAAAAAAGGTTTTTTTTATTCAAAAAGTAAAATAATAATAATAACAATAATATTATACAAATGCAGTGGAATCAAATATAAAGAGAAGATGCGAGATTGTTTCTTAATGTAAATATGATGTAATATAAGTGTGTGTATGTAAGTTTATCTTAGTCTATCGACGGCGGACCTTTTTCAATGGATTCTCCTGCTTTCGTTTCTGTATATAAAAATAGAAAAAAAAACATTTGTTATTGTCTTGGTTTCATCACTTTTTTTTTTATTACCTTTCCAAATTTCTTTTTTCGTTTCTTATCGCCGTGAAAAGTAACGTCATTGCCATAAACTGTTGTAGGATCATCCATCATTTGTTGTTGTGTATTCACTTTGGGCATTAAATAAGAAGGTACATTCTTGAGGTGATGTTGAATCAATGCAGGTTGTAAAGCTTTGTCATGACGTAAGAATTCCAAATCTTTTGGTTTATCTTCAAAATGAGTCTTGAGTTTTTCAGAATTCAAAATTTCACGTTTGATTTCCTTAATACGAGCTTCCTTGATGGCCACCTTGTTGATCACCTTGATAGCGTCCTGTACTCGATATTTAAATCCATCTACACTTTTCCTTTCAAATGAATATGGTTTAATAGTCATATTTTCCTTTTGTTGTTGCTTTTCCACTCTATCAAAGATGATTTCATCTCTATTCATTTTCCTTGCAATATCCAGGTTGTTTGGTTTATCATCGACAGGTACCACAAAACTGAATGCCATTCCTTGTTTACCACCTCTTGCTGTACGTCCAATACGATGAGTGTATGCCTTTGCTGAATATGGGAAGTCAAAGTTGATTACAGCTGCCACATCCTTGAAATCCACACCACGAGATACACCATATTCTTTATCCTTTTTGACTTGAGATTTCTTTTTGGATTTCTTTATAGAACCTATTTTTTTTTTTTAAAAAAAAAAAGAAGATGAAATGAGACACTATTTGTCCGTAGACATGAACTAAATTTTTATTCATTACCTTGTTCTTCACCTTGACTTTCATCATCATCATCATCATCATCATCATTATTGCTGCTGTTGTCATCATCTTCTTCTTCATCTTCGCTATCCATTTCCCCTTTGAGTTCAGATTCGTCAGTAGCAATCAAATAATTGTATTTTCCACGATTGAATTCTTCAACAATATGATATCTTGAGTTTAATGGTAATTCAGAGTTGAGTACACATGAATGAATGGCGAATTGTTCTAGGAAAAGTTTCAGACGATAACAACGATCGATATCATTAACAAAGAAGATCACTTTGCCACGAAGTAACCGTAATTTCAACATCACAAAGGTAAACAAAAATTTGTCGAATTCAGAGCATCTAATATTACATATATATATATATATATATAATAATGAATAATCAGTCAGTTAATCTCTCCTTTTTTTTTTGTTCCTTCATACTTACTTGATCACATATTGAGTAAGTTGACTTGAAGTTTCTTTTTCTTCTTCCAATTTGAGAATCGCTGGTTTTCGTAATACCAATTGTTTCAATTCATCGATATCCTATTATAATGAAAAAAAAATAATATAAATATTTGATTTCATTCAATAATAATTATAATAATAATAATAATAATTTACCTTTGTAAACGTTGCAGACATGAGAAAGCTTTGGTATATCTTGGGTAAAAATGGAAGAATCTTTCGTAAATCATCTTCGTAGCCAAAAGATAAAATCAAATCAGCTTCATCGATCACTAAATTTTGTAGCGTGTCATTAATCATCATATTCTATTAAAAAAAAAAAAAAAGAATAAAATGAGTATTCACTATTCAATCAAAATTTTATGACTTACTTGAGCTTGCAAATGAACCAAGGCTCTACTGGGAGTGGCGACAACAATATCTGGATTTTCTGCCAACATAGGTCTAAAATCAAAATCAAAAATAGTAAGGATCAGTAACATTTATAAAAAAAAAAAAAATACAAAATAAATATTAATATTACTTTTGTAGTTGAGGAGGAACTTGACCGGCAAGATTTGCCACCTTGATCAAATCATTCATGTATACCAAAAGTCTTTCAATGTGACTAGTTACTTGTTCTGCAAGTTCTCGAGTAGGTACCAAGATCAAAGCTTTGATCGTTTCTTCACTAGTAGACTATATATTTTAATGATATATGATTAGTAAAAATATTATTTGGTTAATTTAGATATACTTACTTCTTTTGTGGACAATATTTTTTGAATAATAGGTAAAGTATACGCAGCAGTTTTTCCAGATCCAGTTCGTGCACGAGCAAGAATATCTTTTCCAGCCATAGCCAAAGGAATAGCTTTAGCTTGAATTAAAGTTGGATGCACAAATTCAAGTTGAGCAATGGCTCGAGATAAACGAGGATCAAAATCAAACGATTCAAATGTTTTGCTTTCTTCCAAAAGATGTTGATCAGCCATTTCCTTAACTGAAAAAAAAGAGTGAAAAAAAAAAAAAAAATAAGCTGTTGTAAATGTCGAACACCAATTTTTTTTTTTTTTTTTTTTTTTTTTTAGACTGAGAGTGGCTTACTGAATTGAAGCAATATGCTTGGATGCCCGGGTATTGAATTTTTTTTTTTTTTCTAAATATCAAGTCTGCTTTTTTTGGCAAAAATTTTCTCTTTGTCCCTTTCTCTCTCTTTTTTTTTTTTTTTTTTTTTAATTCAGATCTATATATAAAATGTTAAGTCGTATATTCTTTCCTTCTCTTATACGTCAAGGACAACAAACTACTAAACTTGTTTCAAGAAGACTTCCTCAACTTGCTTTAAGAAGTAGTCTTGGTAAGATAAAAAAAAAAAGAATTTATCAAAACGGATCTCTCATTAAGGGTTTTTATTTGAACATTTAGGTATTAAACTCGATGCTCCTTTACTCAAGTTACAACAACAACAATCTGAACGCTATGGAGTTGCCATGTTCTCTACTCAAGCCGTTCGATATTCTCCTCCTTCTTCTTCTTCTGCAGCTATTATGACAGATCAACAGGACTCAACTGAAAGCAATGAAACTCCTCAGGATAAAGTTACTAAACGATTTGATCAATTGGAAGCTATTCATCCTTACACTCAAAAAGCTATTGCAAGAGTATTCAAGTACGAAGAAATGTCTGTTGTACAAGATGCTGTTCTGTCTCGACTTCCTAATGGAAATGATATGTTCGTCAAGGCAAAGACAGGAACTGGCAAGACCCTGGCATTTTTGATAGCGGCATTAGAAACTGCGTTGGACGGTAAATCAAGAAAGGATCTTCAAAATTGTGATGGTACATCTATTCTAGTTATTTCTCCTACTCGTGAATTAGCCTATCAGATTGCTGAAGAAGCCAAAAAATTAACAAGATTTTTTCCATTTGGTGTTCACTGTTTGGTGGGTGGTGACTCGAAACGAAGACAAATTCATAATTTGGAACGTGGACGGTGTGATATTGTGGTGGCTACTCCTGGACGTTTAAATGATATGTTATCATCCGTACGACATTTGAAAAACGCCTGTGAAAATCTCAAAGTGCTTGTTTTGGATGAAGCTGATCAATTGTTGGATATGGGATTCAAGCAAGAATTGAAACAAATCTTGGCTCAGTTACCTGATGAACGTCAAACCATGTTATTCTCTGCTACCATCTCTAAAGATATTCGTAAAAATCTCGGTGATTTTGCTCTTTCTTCTCAACATGATCTTATCGACACTGTTGGAAAGGATGAAGTCAATACACATTTACATGTCAAACAATCTGCTTTGGTCACTCCCTATCAAGGACAATTACAACTGTTACAACACCTACTCTCCAACTATGAAGCTGCTAACGCTGGAAAAGTCATTGTCTTCTTACCTACCACCAAACAAACCATGGTTTATGCTCAACTTTTCAAATACCTTTTACCCAATCGTGTTGTCCATGAAATCCATTCCCGCAAGTCTCAAGATCAACGTTCCCGTATTGCCAATAAATTCCGCAATAGTAAAGGTGGTATTTTATTTACATCTGATGTATCTGCTCGTGGTGTAGATTATCCTGGTGTCAGTCTTGTCGTTCAAGTTGGTATCCCTTCCACAAGAGAACAATATATTCATCGTTTAGGTCGTACTGGTCGTGCTGGTCGTGAAGGCGAAGGTATCATTGTTGTTGCTCCATTTGAAAAAGAATTTTTGAAAAAGGACATTGGTGATTTACCTATTCAAAAATTGGAACCTCCTGCTTTGGATGAAAAACAAGTGACCGTTAATGAACGTGCTATCGACTATGCTTTGAAATCATTGGATGATGAAATGATTCGTGAAGTATATACTGGTTATCTCGGATACTGTAAGTTTTTTTTTTTTTTTCTTTTTTTGGTCCATCGTTGTAGTAAAAAAAAAAAAAAAGTATACGGATGACTTACAGTATTGTCTTTTTTTTTTTTTTTGATAGACTCTAGCCGTATGCCTCAACTTGGAAAGTATCGTGCTGAAGCTCTTGATGAAGCCAAGCTTTTCTTAGAAGGTATAGGCATCACTGATATTCCTCATCTCTCACAAAGATTCTTACAACAACTTGGACTGGACGATCGTGCTCCTCGCTCTCCATTTACTGATCGACGAAAGCGATTTGGTGATCAACGAAATCGATTCGATGACCGACGAAATAGATTTGATGATCAACGCAATCGTTTTGGTGATAGACGAAGCAATGATAGATTCGATGACCGTCGACGCCCTGATAGATTTGATGATCGTCGAAATGACAGATTCAATGATAGACGCAATGATAGATTTGGTGATAGACGACAAAGAGAAGACAGTTTTGGTGACCGAAGATATCGATCAAGCAACAAAAAAGATAATGACGACTTCTTTTAGATTAATAGTGTAGACCTTGTTTATCATTCATTTACCCTTGATTGCATTTTTTTTTCCCTTTTTTTTAGTATATAGTTTCATTCTGTTTTATATATATACATATTTATTATTTTTATCAATAAACATATCTCTGAATTACCTTGGTTTTTTTTTTTTTTTTTTTTTTTTTGGTCTTGATGAGCAAGTCAATACCATTAGTTATTTTAGAAGGTAAAGTAAATAGATGTAATAGAGGTCGATTGTTTTTTATTTTATATAAAATAAACCAAAGAAAGGGAAAGAGAGAGAGAATATAATACAGTATGATAATAATCTAATGGGAGGGAGTTCTAACATGATCAAGTTGCTTTCCGTTGTAAAAATTCGGCCACTTTTTGATGGTTGAGATTCCGTAAGAATTGTTGCTGAAGTTCTGGAGTCAGTTTTTGATATTGTTCAGCAAACTCCTTGTTCTGCATCAATGCATGTAAAGTTTGTGCATATTTGACATCTAAAAAGTTTGATGAATAATATATAAGAATAAGTATAAAAATTTTTTCAATGTATTTATTTTACCTAAAGGTTGTTCATAAGCCTGAGGAGACTGTTCAGATGATGATTGTTGCTGTTGTAGCTGTTGTTGTTGCTGTTGCTGAAGAAACATTTGCTGTTGTTGAAGTAACATTTGTTGTTGTTGTAGCTGTTGTTCTTGTAATAATCGAGCTTTCTCTGCCTCTGCTTGTGCTCGTTCTTTTTCAGCTTGTATCCGTAAAGCCTGCTGTTGTGCCCTTTGTTCTTCGTTCACTCTTGTTTGTTCTTCACTGATACTTTGTCGTATGTCTGAGGCTACTTGTTTTTCCAGCATAATTTGATACGCAGCATTTTTCTTTTCCTATGGAAACAATCATGATATAAGATTGGGAATTCACTTTTTGATTTGTTTGTTCTTACGTTCAATGACTTGTTGACAAGTTCTCCATGTTTCTTGAATACATCCACTTGTGCTTTGTATATATCTAGCATTGCTTGATCTATATATAAATTTGATATCATGAGTACATATAAAAAAAAAAAAAAAAAAAAAAAAAACATTAGTTACCTTGGCGTTCCAAAGGTACTTTGTTGGCATCTAGATCAGCGGTTGGGTATTGGTATATGTGATAAGGAAGTAACCGATCCATGGCATCTTCAATTGATTTGAAAGGAGTAAGATAATCCGGACGTGATACCTTTTCATGATCTTTGATGAGGGCTTCAATATATCGTTTCTTTACTTGAGTGTGTTGTTCATCAACCTGACTACTTCGTTTCTTGCCGTCCATTGCTAAGATTCGCATCATAGGATCATTTACTAAAGCTATGGGAGGTGTGATTGTTGCTGGCAGAATATTTGTATTGTTGACGACTCGTTCTGAAGGCTGTAGAGCTACTGCTGAAGAAGATGATTGTTGTTGTTGTTGATCTTGTTGTGGCAAAGAGGCAGTTGTAGAGGAATCAAGTGAAGCAAGATGTTGAGAAGTAGCTTGAGTTCGCATACCTGTTATTCCCAGTGGCGATTGAGTTCCAGAGGGTGTATTTGATATGCCACTCATAGCAGCAGCTTGTAAAGATTGCTGTAAAACCAAGATCTGTTGTGGTGTCAAAGGTTGTTGCCGTTGTTGGATCGTAGCTTGGATTTGTTGCTGTATGGCGGCCTGGATTTGCTGTTGTTGTTGTTGTTGCTTTTTCTTTGAATATTTACCAGTTTTGACATATTTTCTAGTGGATTTATTTTCAGAATAGGCAATGGACTGAGGAGAAGAATTATCTGACTGCATTGATTCTCAAAAAAAAAAAAAAAAAAAAAAAAAAATCGTTAAAAGAGATAGGCGACGGAGTCTAAGTAGCAAGAAGTCGAATTGAAAAGAAAAAAAAAAAAATAAAGCGAAAATTTTGAGGCAGAGTAGACAAAATGGCTGTGACTTTATCAATAATGCTGAACACTCGCTGGTTCGCTAGTGTCGGTGATTGAAACGAACAAAAACTACTTTTCTCTTTTTGGACCTTTCCCCTCTTTCTTTCTTGAATATTTCTTTATGACCAAACATCACGAATCCATCTCGCTTCCTCGGTCAACTGTTTCACAAAGTTTGATTTATACAGTTCTACCAAAGACATATTGTGAAAACCGTACTTCTTCTGAACGAGATTGGGCTGATGATCTTGTACAAACTATATGGCGACCAGTCACTGTTGGATTGTTCATAGGTATTCCTGTAGCTTATATGATTTATTCAAAAGTCATTGGCAAACGATATCCTACTGTTGGTCATATACCTCCCGAAGTGTTTTCGAAACGGACAGTGATACGTGGCAAAGTGACATCTGTAGGTGATAGTGACAACTTTAGAATATACCATACTCCTGGAATAGGTTGGGGTTGGCTTCGTACGGTACCAACCACTCGCAAAGGTAATTTTTTTTTTGATTTTAATCTTTTATAATGATTACTCATTTTTTTTTTTTTAATTTTATTTTTGGGACTAGAATTGAAAGATCAAACTATTCCTATTCGTATTGCTGGTGTAGATGCTCCAGAGGTAATATAAAAAAAAAAAAAAAAAAAAAAGGAAATCAAGAGACTCACATTTATTAATATTAAGGGTGCTCATTTTGGTATGCCAGCTCAACCATATTATACTGAATCAAAAGCTTTTTTGACATCCATGATTTTGGGTCGATTTGTTAAGGTGGAACTTCTCTCTCGGGATCAATATAATCGTGCAGTTGCTATGGCTTATTATCGTAAACCGCCTTTCTTTCGAAGAAAAAATGTATCTGAAGAAATGTTGAAAAATGGATATGCAAGCATGTATGTAGCTAAAGGTGCTCAATATAGTGATCAACTTCAGAAATTAGAAAAAGCAGAATCAAGAGCAAAGTAAGTTAAAATATTATGCATTGATCATAATAGAGAATTATTCACTGACAGTTTCTCTGTTTCTATTATTATTATTATTTCTCATTTTTGACATGTCAACAACCTTAGATTATTGAAAAAGGGAATCTGGTCATTGAAACATTATATTTCTCCTGGTGATCACAAGGCAAAGTAAGTATAGTTATTATATAATAAGTTATCAAACTCATCATTTTCTCTCTATCCTTTTTTTTTTTCTTATTAGTCATTTACGTGGTGAAGGTGGCAAATAGATACCTAATTAGACAATTCATTATACAATAAATCTCAATGGTGTGTATGTTATGCACAAAAAAAAAAAAAAACCTAGTCTCTTTACATAGATATTCAACTACTAATTGATTGATCTGACTGATTTCATTTTTCCAATGACAGATTAGTCAAACAAGTGACTTGATGGCATTTTTTTATATATCTATCTATCTCGAACGTGCTACTGTTCTTTTATTTTTGGTATCAGTGGTATGAAATCATCCTTTCAATAAGCTGACTATGAATTTAGTTTTTTTTAAATATCTTTCTTTGACCAAGACCTTTTTTTTTCCTTTTTTTTTTTTTTTTGGTCTCATCTGAATCACCATTATTACTTTTTCTTATCACATTTATCAACTTCACTATAAATCAATCATCATTGATATTATTATTTTAATAATATCATCCACCTAATCAATAAATCAAACAACTACCAGGTAACAAAAAAAAAAAATCCGTAACAGTGGAAATCTTACTATTGTTCTAGTCTGTCTTTTAATTAGATGTCAATGTGGATCAAGCCGAGGTCAAACAAAAAAAAAAATGTGGATGATGTCAAGGTAAGGGAAAAACAAACACAAGATTGAAACAATGGTTATTTTTTTGGACATAAACGAGATAAGAAGCGAAATGGGGTTTTTTTTTTCTGTTTGTTTGTTTTTGATTTGTTACTCACAAACAATCTTTTTTTTTATTTTCTATTTTTTTTTTTTTTTTATAGAACAAACTAACAAATCGAACAAACAATGTTATATCTGACAGCTGATTTTTTCCCCATATTCGTTCCACTTGGTGTGATTGGCTTTTATCGATATCTTTTATTTTTGATCAAGCTTTGTGGATGGTTTGTGTATAGACCTATTAGACCTATTGCCAACCCTTTGTATCAAGCTAAAGACGATGTGACCATTGTTGTACCGACCATTGATGCTGGTGAAGAATTCTGTGAAGCTGCTCGATCATGGTTAGCCTGTAATCCCAAAGAAATCCTAGTGGTGACCGAAGCATGTATGATGGAACCTATGATTACCTTGGCCAATTCCATTGATCCTGATAGAATCCGAGTACTCTCTGTGCCACGTGCAAGTAAACGTGTACAAATGGTGGAAGGTGTGATACATACTAAGACGGATATATTGGTTTTTGCTGATGATGATGCCATTTGGCCGCCTACAATGCTGGATTATATTTTGGCTTGTTTTGAAGATGAATCAGTGGGTGGAGTTGGAACATCACAAACAGTGAAATCGATTGGCAAACATCAATCTATTTGGGAAATCTTAGCTGGCTTTCGACTGACGGTGCGTAATATTGAAGTGGCTGCTTCTACTCATATTGATGGTGGTGTATGTTGTATCTCTGGTCGAACAGGTGCATATCGTACAGTGATTTTGAAGGATCCTGGATTTCAAGATGCTTTTATCAACGATTATTGGTGTAACCGGCATTTATTAAATTCGGGAGATGATAAATTCTTAACGAGGTGGATGGTATCTCATGGATGGTCTACATATATGCAAGTATGCAAGGAAGCATTGTTGTTATCGACATTTAAGAACAATTGGCGATTTTTGAAGCAGGTGCTTCGTTGGACAAGAAATACTTGGCGATCTGACTTCCGATCTTTATGTATAGAACGCTTCATCTGGCATCGACATCCTTTTGTAGCCTACACCATGGTGGATAAATGTCTCAATCCATTGACACTACTTAGTGGTCCTGTTTCTGTCTTGATCTTGTGCAACTTGGATTATCATTTACCCAATTGGAATATTATTGCCTCTTATCTTGCTTGGTTACTCATCACACGTTTTGTCAAATTGATTCCTCATTTATTCAAACGTCCACAAGATGTTTGGGCCATCCCTGCTTTCTTGGTCTTCAATTTTTATTTTGCTATCATGAAACTGTATGCTCTCTTTACTCTTCATAAAACTGGTTGGGGTACACGTCAAGAAGCCGTTATTGAAGAAAATCATTACTGATCAATCAAAACTCTGGATGGGAACAAATCAAATCTAGTTTAGTTTGGTTATCATTACGTAGTTTAGTATTCTATATATATATATATATGCTTTGGTGATGCAATGCATATGTAGATTGATTATTTATATACTTTTATTATTTATTCATTTATTTATTTATTTCATTGGATGATGATCATCGATCAATCAAGAAATAATATAATAAATATACAATAAAATGATTGGATTTTTTTTTTTTTTTTGTGATATCGTATTACACTCAAAAAGCTTTAATACAACCATAGTATTGATTAGTTTTTCTTCGTCTTTTTATTGAATTCACGATGAATTAATACAACAGGGAAAAAAATGCGTTTTATTTATTTGGTAATCATAATAATCAATAATGTCGATCATGCTAATCAAAGGAAATTATGTATAATACAGAAAATAATAAAATAAGTAGATCATCAATATACTAGGAAAACTATTCTAAAGAGGAGGGCCATAATTCTGATTTAAGACGGGTCCATTCCAAACTTGGTTTTGCATAATGACTTTGGACAAGACGTAGTGGTATATCCAAGCGCATCAGATTAACTTTGTTGATATGAGTAGGTAATTCATCCGCTGGTAATGTTGATAAAAAATGACAAAAGATGAAGGCTGTCATATAGGCGTCAAAATGTGCCGAGTGATCACGTCGAGGTGTCCATTCCTGCATTGAAGATGACATGACATCTTGATTATCATTGTCTTTGTTAGTTTGCGTTGTTGTTGCACTTGTTGCTGATAAGGGCTTTACATCAGTGTTGTCGTCCAAACTATTCCCCAATAAATCAGGTCCATTTTTATCTATTTTGCTATCATCATCATTATCCTTGTTCTTGTTGTCCATCTGTATACCTAGATCGTAATCCAAAATCAAAGTCAAGTCGTGTGAAAGAGGACAATCCTTTCCATATTTGCACCATCCATGTTGCTAGAGAGAAAAAAAAAGATATGTATGCGTGTGAGTAAAAAGATAAAAGTTATATGAGGTTCCAATCTTACTGAGTAAGGACCACATATTCCAGTCTTTGATTCCTTTTTGCTAGTCATTTTTCTTGCACGTTTTCTTCGTTTTGATGCAGGTGAGTCTGTTGAGTCATGTCTATTAGATCCATCAGTATTCACGACAGATTCTGTAGAAGTTGTACAAAGAGGTGAATTTTCTATTGGCGACGAGTGAGATGATGATGATATTGACATTAAAGGTGGCAGGACTTGTACGCTCCAAGATTGATCCCTATTTTTCTGTTGTTGTTCCTGTTGTTGTCGATGATACTTGCAATACAAATAAGCCAAGAAGGATTTAGATTCACCCACTACAGAAGTAGATAAATACTTTGTGTCGTAAACACCAGCAGGAAACATTTCAACAAGATCCGCTACAAAACTTGACCAATTTTCTGGGAGTGAAGCAAAGAAACTTTGATACAAGTACATGATATCCAATAACCCATTATGTACAACAATTGGTATACTATTTTCTCGAATGATCTGTAGTATACGATACCATAAATGTCGAATGACTTTTGTTGCATTATCTATATTTGAATCGTTTGTTGATGAGTTGCCACCAACAAAGGGAATACCATATTGGAATACACGACCAAAATCTAATCCATTTTCTGCCAAAAACTTGATATTGTTTGGATCTACTTCAAAGGTACGCTGATTTCGAGTCAAGAATTCAAGATTGGTGAATTGATATTGTGTTTCATCCTGTTGTTGTTTAGATATAATAGTAAGCCCAAAGGAAAAAAGAGTATGTGTACGTATAATTTTGCTGATCGCCTGGTAACGTTGCTCCATATGCTTTGTAATGGTAGGACAGTGACCAGAGAATTCCGTGTCGAGAGCAATATATTGAGCTTGACCAATAGCTTTAAGAATAGGTTCAGTAAGTCCCAAGACGTTTTCACTGGTCACTTCGGTGAAGGCCATTGGAATGGTATTCTTATATGCCATGATAAAAAAGGAATCCAAAAGAAAGATCGTACAGAAAAAAAAAAAGAAAAGAAAAAAAAAAAGGAAAGGGATCAAATTTCGGTTCGAGCGGAATATTTTTTTTTTGTTAAGCTCAATTTTATACCTTTTCTTTTTTTTTTTTCTTGCTTTTCTCACTTACTTAACATTTTTGATTGAATACTGTTCAGAAAAAAAAAATACCTTTGGTAATAGTTCAATATCTTATTGTAAAAAAAAAAAGAAAACTGAATTTGTTTCACGATCTAAATAAACCACTCACTTTGATTTATACTGAAAAATAGAACCTGACGAAACGATACTGTTCAAAACTAATAACATAAATTGTAGGTATATACAGTTCTGGTTTATTTATTTATTTTTTTAACTAATTCAATAATATCCTTTATTTTTATTAGATGTCATCAAACAAACGTCCAAGGAATTCTAATCATTCTACTGAAAACGCTACCACCCCGTAAGCACTTGAATCAATATATATAGAAAAAAAAAACAACCAATTGACAAGATTATTCTTTTTTTTTTTCCTTGTTCTCTTTAGCATAGAGGTAGTGTCAAACGGAAACTTGGTATCACATTCTTCCAAACGAATTCGATTTGATGATTCACTGAGTTTTGGAGAAACACATCGACCAAGGTCACCACAAACGCCCATCACCGAATCAAGAGACCCCATTGTGAAAACCGAAGATATAGAACAAAAACAGCAAGGACCCAATCGATTACAAGACCATGTTGAAACTTACCTCAAACATCCTATTCAAGATTCATCAGCAGAAATAACAACAATTAACTACAACACGGATACTATAAAGCATGAATTATCACCACCACAAACAGCAGCAACGACAGACCTAAAAGAGGATACAACAATAAAGTCGGAGAACAAGTTAGAAATGCCATCAATAGATGTGGAACAGAGGAGACTAGCTCATAAAGAAGTAGAAAGACGACGACGTGAAACAATAACCCATTATATCAACCAACTAGCGGAAATTGTTAATACCACCAGGCGACAAAAAGGGGAAATCTTACGCGACGCTATTGATTACATCAAGACTCTAAAGGAAGAACACAATGCTGCGGTGCAAAAATGGACATTGGAGAAGATACTGACAGAACAAACAATACGACAATTACAGGATGAAATGGAAGATTATAAACGACAATATGAAGAATTACGTGATATCAATAAGGCTATGTGTATCGAACGAGGAAATCCTTAAATATCGCCTCCAGAATCATTTTTGAACTATTGTAATACCAGCATCTGAAGCAATCTTGGTATGGATTTTTTTTTTTATTTTTTTCTTTTATTGGAAATAAATAATTTATCCTTTTTTTTTCCTTCTCTTTATCGTTTATCTTTTTTTTTTCTACTTTATACAAACTATTCTTCGTTGTCGTCGTTGTTGTTTTATCCCATAGGCAATATCAGAAATTTACTTGTACTCTCAGCAACACTATCATCAACATTGACAGTAACAACAACCACAGTCCTGATGACATTGATGAGGTTCTCTATTCAAAATTACATAATGAAATCAAAGAATGGATTACTGGTAAAGTGGATAAACATATGAATTATACACGTTTCCTTTGTCACTCCTTGTCAAAAACCAAGATGTCAAGAATATTATTCATCAAAAGCTAAGCATGGGAAAAGAATTTGAAATAAAAGGTAATAAAATATATTGTAAAAATAATCCATCACTCTACTCTATGTGTAACTTACTTCATTACATAGATCAAAGGGGACGACAAGTAGGAAAATCGTTTTCTTTTCTATCGAAAGGTATTACCTTCTTCATCGATTTTATAACAACAACACTTGTGGATCATCAAATGCTATGAACCGTTTTACGATTGGATTAATAGATATTTTGTTTAGTGATTTTGAATATATCATCATAGCTAGCATACAGTGCCCTCTCCCCTTATTTTAGTATAGCTATTCTTAAAATTTTATACATCCCTGTATTTTCAATAAAAATAAAAAAGTTTGCTTTTCAACTTGTACCCTTTCGATTGTTCTTTATGTAGTTGAAATTTACATAGTATCGTCTCCTTTTTTTTTTTACTGAGGAATTCACGTCTCAAATCTATTTTTATCAAAAGGGATAGAAGCATTTTATTGTTTTAGTTTGTTAGTGATGAACGGATGGTATTTGAATTCAACCCAGATAAATCCATACTCACTATTTCTATATTTGTATGTGCTTCGAATGCTATGTTGTTTACAAATCATTTGATGAGCTTCAAACATGTGAATTCATCCAATTACAAAAAGAAATGAAGGATTCATCCAAGCTTGGATGAGATATGTCTGAGATGATGCACGCGAAATCGATGCTTCCATCTTCTATAAACAAAAAGGCAAAACATCAACAATAATAGCGGCATCATAGATGACATAAGAATCAGAAAGGAAATCGTCATCATTCATCATCCATTCAATCAGAGTTATACATAAAAAGTTATAAAAAACATGTAACGTCAGAAACAAATTATTGTTTTATTTCATCAACACAACCAAAAATAATAAAATAATAAAATAATAAAATAAAAATGAGTAATAAGTACTATTATCCTAACAAGGGATGATAACTATGTATATGTAATAAGCTATGATACAAAAAAAAAAAAAAAAAAAAAAAAAAGGAGGGAATTAACTCAATATCAAACTAGAACCCACCAATTGGTAACAACAAACATCACAAACACGAGACCATTGAATAATATCCGGCTTTCCTTTTTCAAATAATGGTAATCGATTGGAGCTATGAGTTTTACAAAAGATATTTCCACATCTACATATATTGAATTAAGTCGTTAGTTCAGTATTGAATTTTTTTTGAGTGTCATACCTTCTACAATGATGGCGTCGATTCATCCAGTCAAATTCACATTCACAACGCGTTGATTTCGTCTTGAATTGGCAATGAGTGACTTGATCGTCAGGTATCCAAGCATCAGCATTGGTCACGATAAAGGTATACATCCGTTCTTCCTTTCCTAACTGTAGAGAGTACCGATGTTGGAAAAGATGTTTCGTAGCCGTATCTATAGTGGATGCATTTGGCTTTAAAGGATCATCCAATGTTGAGAAAGAAAAAAAAAAAAAAAAAAAAAAAAAAAGGACGTAAGTTTTCATTTTTTTTTTTTTCTGGTAAAACTTACCAAGTGGGAGAATAATGAGGCCTCCAAAGTAATAGCATATCCAGTGATAGTCATAGTGGTAATAGTCCCATCTTGATCAACTTCATAACGATCCATTTGGCCATGGCTCAAATCTGCAAACCAACAATTGAGAGTAAATCGCACTCTGGCTGTCCATTGTTCCAGGTCAGATAACACAGAGGATGTAGGTTTTTCTTTCTGATTTTCGGTTGTCTTTGGTATATGATCACTTTCCAAGGACAAAGAGGATGGTGATGTACATACTGCTCTATGATGCTTGTCGCTTGATGAGTAAATGGATATATCTGATGATGAGTATCTTTCTTCTTCTTCTTCTTCTTCTTCGTTGTTGCTGTTGTTGTTGCTGTCCATCGTTGGTGTAGAAGGCGCTGTACTTGCCAAAAATTGTTGTAATTGTTGTAATGCACAAATTTCCTTTTTTATCAGTCCACCACATTGTTGCTTATCATTAATCTCTGTTGGTAAAGGTGAAGTTTGTTGCCAAGGTGGCAATTCGTCCAATGAGGTGATTTTTTCCGTGGATGCAGATCGAGTCAATGTCTTGAGATATTTTGGTTCCATCAGCTGAGATAATAGAATGTTTAGCTCGGCCGGAGCTGAGCCGTGTTTCATAACATAAGTGTTGATGGCTGATGATGACGAATCATTTGTTGGTGGGGAATCGGCATTCGAGCTGGTTGCAGAAGAACAGGATGGTGATGGTGTTGTAGAGGATTTATCCGAAGATAACGTTGAGGGTGATTTTACCTTTGCTATATCATGAGGCGTGTCAAATGAATCTTTCCTTGTCTTTTTAGTTGGTGTCATGGCTGCTTTTTTGCGAAGTGGTTGTTGCTTGATAATATTAGGTCGAGAGGAAACATCCATCACCGTCTTTGTCGAGGTAGGTACTGGTCTATCAATAGATAATCGCTTGTCAGGTATATTTCTTTTAGGTGATCTTGTATAAGAATAATCTGTAGATCCCAAATTAGGTGATGATAACCGTCTTGTTTGTTGTATTTGAGATATATTGTCAACCATAGATGTTTTGCTGTTGTGTCTTCCATTGTTGTCAACTGAATCTAGAGATGATGAATATCCATAAACATGTGTATGATCGTTTTTGCTATTCTTTTCATGTAATTGACTACATCTTGATGAGGAACGCTGGGTAGATGGATGTTTTGTAACCACGGAAGTATCAAGAGGAGGTCCAAAAGTAGGAACGCCAATACCATTAGGAGGAGAGATTACCCGGGTAGGAGAAGGTGGGGATGGATTGCAAGCAGAACATTTTGATCGACGCATGAATCCAGCTGAATCTAACCAAGATGGATGACGGAGACGAGATTGATTCTGCTTATGGTGGTGATCATGATGCGATGGTGTAGAAGGAGGAACTACTGATTTGCTGGATACATCTGCGAATGAACGACGCCGTGTCAGAGATGATGTTGATGCTGAAGAATAGGTAATAGGATTGGTGATTGCAATACTTGTTCGACGTTGTTGTTGACCAATGATTGATTGATGATGACAGTGTAATAGTCTTGATTGTTCTTTTGTTTGATGATCCATTGATAAGATAGTGCCCTCATCTGGATCGGAATCTGAATCAAGAGTAGGTGTTCTTGGGGAGGTGACAAGTGTAGCAGCGCGACGAAGGGGCTTTCTTGAGTTTTGTAACCGTGGCATCTGAGACGAAGATGGTGTTTCAGTTTTGTTTTGCTTGACTCTATTTGTTGACAAAGAGGATGAAGGTCGACGATGCTGCGGGATGTGTTCATTTCCTGATATATCACGAGAGAGACGTCGGTAGGGAAGTGTTTGCTTAGATAAAGTTGCTGATGTGGATGGTGGTACCGTTGTGTTCAAAACGTATCCGTTCTTGTTTTGGTGTGTATATCTTGCATTGTTGTTGTTGTTTCTTCTCCCATAATGTTGAGAAGAGCATGCCGGAGTATAGATTTCGTTTCTGGTAGCGGTTTCATATTGTGAAGATGAAGGACAAATCGAAGAAGATCCATTATGATGTCGATATGAGACATATTCAGTCGAGTAAGTTTGTTGTTGATTGGCATCAATAATAGACTTATTTGTTGAATATGTTGATACTAATGATGTGACACCATTAACACTACTATATCGCCGTTGACGGTTATTGGTTGATGAATCGATTCTAGAGTGCTGATCTTGTTGTAGAGTATCGCGCTGTTCTTTCTTGTCAGTTATTTTCTTGGATAAAGAAGGTACCACTTTGGCAAGACTAGATGTGGTGGATTTTGCCAACGATTGTCTACGAGATTGTTTCGATGGTGATACAGAAACCTTTTTACTAGAGAATGTCAAAAAAAAAAAAAAAAAAAAAAAGAGGATGAATGAATGAAATTTTGACCTTTTTTTTTTTTTAAAAAAAAAATACATACTTTGAAGTCAGAGATAATGATGGTCGTATAATATTGTTGGAAAATAAGGATATATGTGAAGCCAATGTATGATTGTCGGTAGTGGCAGATTTACTACAAGTCATAACAGGTTTTGTTTTCAAGGGCTTGGATGAAGGAGAAGAACAATTCTTTGTACGATAATTGGAGAAATAGGTATCAGATTTGAAAGACATAATCAGAATATTGGTATCAAAAAAAAAAAAATAAGTAACGAAAGAAAATAAGGGGGTATCCAAAAAGTGAAAAAGAAAAAAAGTGAAAGAAAGAGGTGAGAAAGCAAAAAGGGAATTCGAGCGACGTTTTAAAATGTAAAATGCAGGCAAAAAAAGGTTTGCTGCACTATGATTGGTCGGAGAACCAAAAAGGAAGTAAGGAGCCTTTTTTTGTACTTTTAAGTGTAAATCTGTTTGATATAAGAACACAAATAATGGAAATCAATTGAAATAGATGAATCATTCTTTTTTTTTTTACTATGCTGTCCCCCATATTTTCAACAAATATCATCATCTAAAAAAGAAAATATATATCTTTTTTTTTTTGAATCAAAAAAGAGAAGGATAAAAACACATGACGTCAATTTTTTTATTATTGGATAAAACACTTGTTCGAACTCCTTGATTTTTTAAACTTCTTTTTTTGTTTCTTTTTTATTTTTATTATTATTATTATTTTCTATATATGCACAAGCTATTATAACCAAACAATTTATTAGTATAGACTATAATGAACCGACAACATTCAACACAAAAGGATGTTTACCAATATAATTGTCCTTGGCCAATGTATGCTTTAGACTGGTGTAAAACTAGAGATGAACGCAACTCTTTTCGATTAGCTGTAGGTAGCTTTATTGAAGACAATAACAACAAGGTAAATAAATAAATAAAATAAAAAAAAGAAAGTCAACCGATATTGATTCATATTTTAAAAGCTTCAAATCATAGCCAGAACAGATCTTTTACATGAACAACAACAACGACAACAACAATCAAACTCGGACTTTACAGCTGTAGCAGAAGCAGATTCTTATTATCCTATTACTAAAGTATTATGGGAACCATCACAGGTAATAAAAATAGTTTTAATCAAAATAATAATAAAAGTAATAATAAAAAAAAGAAAAAATTACTAAAAACGTTTTATTCTATATAGACAGAAGCAAAGAATACAGATTTGATAGCAACAGCAGGAGATATTCTTCGGATATGGGAATTAGTAGATAATCCGCATTATGGAACAAGTAGTAACTCTATTAATGGTAACAATGGTGATCGGAAGAGTCCAACATACTTTACTCAGCGTCTTATAAAGAAAGCAGAATTGGTCAATGTAAGAAAAAAAAATAAATAATAAAAAAGCAAACAAATGAGTATATATTGATAATCCTTTTCTTTCTATTAGATGAAACAGACTGATTTTTGTGCTCCGTTGACATCATTTGATTGGAATGAAACAGATCCTTCTCTTGTGGTTACATCAAGTATTGATACAACGTGCACGGTATGGAATGTGGAAACGAATCAAGCAAAAACTCAGCTTATTGCACATGATAGTGATGTATATGATGTTGGGTTTATGCATGGATCTGCAGACATATTTGCAAGTGTAGGTGCAGATGGATCTGTACGCTTGTTTGATTTAAGGTAAGCCAAAAAAAAAAAAAAGTAAGATTTAAACATGTTTATTTCACTTCCTTATTTAGATCTTTAGAACACTCTACCATTCTTTATGAATCTCCTATACCTTCTTCAACAACAAGATCTTCCAATTTACAAACTGGTTCATGTCCTTTATTACGACTTCAATTCAATAGAATGAATCCCAATTTACTGGCTACATTCCATATGGATTCCACATCAGTACAAATTCTTGATATTCGTCATCCAAGTGCCCCTGTTGCTGAATTAGTCAAGTGTCATCAAAGTAATGTCAATTGTTTGAATTGGTCTCCTACTCAATCAGGTCAAATCGCCACTGGAGGTAAATAATAAAAGATAATATTAGATTCTATTGTTCTTTTGTGATACAACATATTCTATTTTTTTTTTTTTTTTTTTTTGAAACACAGGAGATGACACACAAGTATTGATTTGGAATATCCATGACTCGGATCAAACTTCACCTTCTTATCAATCACAACAATCATTATCCAAAAATCAACCTCCTCTTCGAACAATACAAGATCCAATATTGGCATACACAGCAGAATCTGGTATCAATTCGTTATCTTGGAGCAAATCATCACCACAATGGGTTGGCATCGGATTTGGAAAAACGATACAAGCACTTCATGTATAGGATATTTAGAATTAGATTAGACGAACTAGAATAAGTTGTTGATCACTTGTTTGTGTTTTATTTGTACTTCAATAAATAAATATATGTATGTTTTTTTTTTCTTCATAGAATAGACAGTAATGATATGATAAGAATAATAGCAACTATCACTACGTAAAAACTAATGTCCCAAAATACTCTGGTATATCTATCTAATTTTTCAATACGTTCATGAGCTGTCAAAATGAATGATAATTGTTGCATAGGATCCCGTTCCCCTTTCCATTTATCAATTCTTCCATCTAATTTCCTTTGTTTGATCCTAGCTGTCTTGACTATATTGCTTCCCACAGTTAATGCTTCCAGTTGTTGATTCATACTTGATTGTCGTTCAGAATAAGATGCTGTTTTGATATTCATATCCTTTCAAACCAATAAAAAAACAATATGAGAGATCATCTGTTATGTAAAAAGGAAGTATATATATTATATGGTATACCTTGATCTTGTTATCTAACGCTTGTAACTGTTCCAAAGTATCTTCAATATCGCTTTCATAATCCTTCATCGTTTTCTCAGCGTCATCAAGTAAATATGTATATCGCTCCATTTCTTCCTTTAGTTTGTTCACTACATCGTTCATCGTACTAAAAAAAAAAAAAAAAAAAAAAAAAAAAAAGGTGAATTGCTGATAGAAAATAATTATTATTATTATTATTTTTACTTCTACATCTTTACATTATTGTTGGCGAATGATACTCTTTCAAGCTATGTCGTTTTCGAGGAAGTCTTGACCATGTCATTGGCGGTTTAAAATTTTCGAGATCTTGTTTGATGGTTGCACAAGATTGGTGGCGGTTGGAATTGGAACGATGGTTGAAGTAGATATCGTGCTTTGTCCTTTTGGCGAACCTGTTCTGCGTCAGGAACCTTGTCTGTTGTTGTGAGGAACGATAAGAAGGTGTAACCACGTTAGGCGTATATCTATGGTGCATTTGTTGAACAGTATTCTTTGGTCGTTGACTATTAGGTGGTGAGGGAATATATTGGGTTTCCTTGGATTCTATATATCATGAAACCATTAACTATCGAGGTAGAAAAAGTATTCTATTTTTGTCTTTATTATAATTACCATCAGAAGCCCTATGATAAATGTACATATCATTTTGTAAATCAGGAGTAGAAGTTGGACTTTTCGTATATCGTAATTTGACACCAGATGCAAGATCAAATACAACGTTCATGGCGATAGAGGTTAAAGATTTCGGTAAATGACGATCATTCTCCGTACGATATGTATTTTGCCTTGTAGTAGATGTTGTCGTCATATGTAATGGTATTGTCAGGTTTGTATTGCTATTGTCAATGTTGTCCCTTCTTCTTGTATGGTTGATCTTTGTAGGATAATCGTAAAAGTTGTTGCCCGCAGAATGGTAAGCTACACGACCTGAATAAAGTTGCATGACATCGTTTGCATCACCCATGATGGAATAATAAGTATTGGTATAAGTATATAATGGTATAATGTGCGAAGAAAAAAAAAAAGGAAGTGTAAGAAAAAAAAAACAGTATCAAGAAGAAGGCAAAAAGGGAAAGAAATCGAAGGAGAACAAATATGATGAGAATATCACAGGTGTGTATTTTTGAGGGTCCGCGATATACAGTACCCGTTCTGTCTTCCCCCTTGATAATAATTCATGCAGTATGAGATACAAAGATGATAATGTCTCCGAGGTAAAACAGATGAAAATTCGTTTATTCACCTAGGATAAATAGATATAATGATGATTGAAAGAAAACAAACAAAAAAAAAAAGGAGCTCTTGATTTTTCTTCTTTTTTTTTTTTTTTCTTTTTATGTCATTTGTTACAAACAAACAAATATAAATTTTTAGCTGACAATGGTGAGCAAAACTAAACAGAAAAATCATGATATCACACCACCAAACCAAGCCTATACAAGACATCAGGCTTATGATACTGATACAAATAGTTTAGACAGCAGTGTATGGTCACCAACGAACACAGTGGTAGAAAACATGTCATCAGCTGCCACTTTATCAAGTAAAGATGAAAAAACCTCTTTGGACAAAGCATCCTCCTCCTTGGCAACGACACCAGTCACTTCTGGTTGGTTATATCAACGCCAAAGAAATAGCAAATGGAATCGAGCTATGCTTAGTTGTGTAGGTCTTGTTGTCTTCCTAGTGCTGATGGGTACAGTAGTTTTATGGGTAGGTAGTGCTTTCATCTTACCCCAAAATAAGTACTCAGCAACCTTGGCTCAAGTTCCTCGTTCATCATCCTATTCTTTTGGTCATCATTCAGCAACTATTCATCCTACAAAAACTAAACCAACCTCCGCTGTTACCACTCATCCATCTTCTTCTTCTTCAACAACAACAACAAAAAGAAGTCGCCAACGTCATCATCATCATAAGTATGACGATGATGGTGATGATGATGATTGAAGCAATGTAAAACTATTTTTTATTTCGATAAAGACAATGTAAACTTGTTTTTTTTTTTTTATTTCGATAAAAAGATTGTTCAATTGTTTCATTTTTGTGCATCATAATTATACTATATATGTATATAATAATAAACTACAAAATTATCTATGATATATGTAAAGGAAGGAGGGGGGGTAATAAGTTACTAAAAACGAAGTTGATTCACATATATGTCACCTTGGTACCCATCTTTGCAGTTTGCCATAACTTTGTCAGTATAGTTCGTAAAGCACGTGTCAATTGTCCCCGAGGTCCTTTCAATAATCCAAGTATAGCAAAGAATATCACTAGTAACGCCACAGAAGCTGCTGATCCTGTAGCCCTCATTTGCTGAACCCAAGTTTTGATGAGTGTGAGGCTTTGATCTGATAATGTTTTTGATTTTTGTTTTTTAGTCATTTGTGATGTTGGAGATGGTGAATGGAGTGATGAGATCGACGGAGATGTTTCATTCATCTGGGATTGTTGTCCTTGTTTTTTTTGTTTTAGTTGCTGTTGTCGTTGTTGTTGCTGTTTTGCGATCGCTGCTTCCTTTTTCTTTTTTTCTTGTAATTCTCGTTCAGCTTGTTGTTGTCGTTCCTTTTCTAAAGCGACTTGTTTGGCTGCTGCTGCTGCTTCTTTTTGTTGTTGTTCCAATTGTTTCTTCTTTTCAAGTTGTTGTTGTTGAAGATCTTTTATGCTTTGAATATGGTTCATTAATGACTATAAAAATAAAGTTAAAATCAGAATGCGAAATCGTTTCCTTTTTTTTTTATAAATTTTCCTCTTTCTTCATCTTTTTTTTTTTTTTTTTTTTTTTACCTCTTTCTTTTCATCTGTCAAAAATGAATTATATTCCACAAATGATTGAGCAGAATCCAAATCATCAGATCGAGGTAAAATTTGAGTGGTATATACATCCACTAATTCCAAGTAAGATGTCCAAATAGTATCCTTTTCCCAATCGACTTGATCTTGAATATTTGACAAATGATCTGCAATCTGTTCTGATAAAGTAGCAAACCATTGTTCAGCTGCCTGTCGTCCCACAGTAGGTATAGATAATTTGAGTGTCATGATAAGACTAAGTTGTAATAAGAGTAGGAAAAAAAAAAAAGTTAAGGAAATAGTGATCTGAGTTTCTATAGTTGGTAATCCACACTTACTAAGCGCAAACTAATCGAGAATCGCAATAACCAGGAATACCTTGACCAGCATCTTTTACAAGTTGATTCCAAATAGCTAAACAAAAGTGTTCCATTGAATTACTTGAAGTTGAAGGTAAACCAAATTGTTTAATAAGTCTTGGTGTAAGAGTATTGGAAGTTGTAAAAGTAGTAGAAACAATATTAAGATAAAGCAACCATAATTGTAAACGTAAAGTAGAGAGAGTATCGTCTGGTTGTTCTATTGATTGTATTGGTAATTGACTTAATGCTTTTACACAAGTAGTTGCTGCTTGAGTATATTTTGTTAATAAAAAGTATCTTAAAGCTTTGTTATATTGGATATGAATAGTATTAATGTTGGTCATTATTGTTGAAAAATAACAAAAAAAAAAAATAAATAAAATAAAAAATAAAAAGAAAACTGTGGGGTGGAAAAAAAAAAAGGGAATTCAACGATTGATTTTAAAATCCCTTTCCGTATGATTTGATTGGACCAATCAGATCCTCCGAGTCACTCTATAAACTGGGCGTGAAAAAACATTTATATATGTGCATCTCCTGACAAAAGAAAAAAGTTTTTGCTCCTTTTTTTTTTTTTACTTTTTTTTTTTTTCTCGGTCGAGGACATGGTTTAAAATGACTCGATTGAATTCTACTCAGTCTACTATTATTACTTTATATGATGCTATTACTGACTCACCTGTTTATCGAGCCTCTACTCTTCAGTTTGATAAACAGTTAGAGCTCTTCACTGTTTGGGTTAAGAATCTAGCTAAAGAAACAAAGTCATATGCTGAAAAACTCAAGGGTAAGAAATACATATATATATATATTTAACAATAGGGTGTATTTAAATTATTTATATATTTTTATATATTATAGAACTCAATGAACTTACTCTCTCCTTGACTAGTAAACTTGACCTTACTATGTACCATTATTTACTAGGTAACACAAACAATGAACACAAAAAGCACATCACACCACACCACATGAATAATTAAATCATCCTTATATATATATTAGGTTCTGAAATGACTTTTACTGCTGCCAGCAGTTTTACTGATGCACTTAAAACGAACTTGATTTTTAAGACAAAAATGGTAAAGAAAACAAGGAAAACAGGAATGGACAGTGGAATGAAGTGGCGAATTATTATTTTAACTCACTAATTGTAATCTATTCTTTTCCTTATAGGTATCTGACCTCGAGGCTAATCTCATTCTTCCTATACAACAATTTGTTGATACGCATCTCCGCGATTTCAAGGTACCGTTACGAAAAAATAAAAATAAAAAAAAAAATAAAAATAAAAATAAAACTAACATTCTCTATATATATACGGCTTCAATTGGTAGAATTTTCGACATCAACATCAAAAGGCATTGGAGAAATATGAAAATACTTTAAAAAATGACAGTGATCATAGCTCAACATATATTCAACAATTGGAAACATCAAGAAAACAATATATTTTGCTGTCAAGTGAGCATGTTATACGAATAACTAAACTTCGGTCTGCTTTAGAACATTGTTTGGTCTCCCAGTTTTCTGCTACAACCATTTCAAGAAAGGATTTTTATAATGATGCTCAAGTTTGGAAAGAACTTAATGCAATGTTATACTCATGGTCTCAATGGCTTGCTGACGTAAGTGATAATATACAATGATATTCCTTGAACTGATTTTTTTTTTGTTTGTTTGTTTTAAGGATGATCGTACATGCCAAATTGAATTACGAAGTCAACAACTTGCTCAACAAATTCTAGAAAAAGAATTTATGGAAACTTTACAACATATTGATGATATACAAGTCAAATCCAACCTTTCAACAACTAAATCTGGTTACCTGTTATTCAAATCTACAGAAAGTTCAATATGGGAACGACAATGGTTCTTTGCACATAATGGGTATTTTGGATTCTGCAAAGTAAATGAATTTGACACTGGTGCCACTGTTACTCTAGAATTATGTATACCATTATCCTTTTGCCAAGTAAATTCTTTGGATGATACTGATCGACATTTCCAACTGATGACTAAACAAACTTCCTCAAAGTAAGTAAGATTATGATGTTCACAAGATAAATTACTAATTATGTTTGCAAATTTTGTTATTCTTTTTTTTTTTTTTTTTAGGGTGTACCTTATATTACAAGCTGAGACAGAACAAGAAAAACAAGACTGGATAACAATTTTGCTACAAAAAGGAACAATAGCATCATCATCATCATCATCATCATCATCGTCAAACACTACCACCAAAAATCGTCCATCTTCCATTATTCTTGGTAATTATGACCCTACGAATCATGATCCTTCTCATCCACGATCCCCAGCGCTATTGATTCCCAAATCAAAATCCACTACTGTTGTTTCCACGCCAACTGCTATCCCTGTCACTCTCAGCACAAATACGTCCTCGAATGTTTCTGGTTACTCAAATCTCTCTAATCTAAGTACATCACCTGGTGGAACAGTTCGATCAACTCTGTCTGGTTCACATTCAACAACTACGACATATTCTTCTAATTCTTCAAAACAACGTGGTATTATCCCTTCTATCAAGCTACTCAGTACATCCAAAAATGAATTACATCTATCCAATGCACCATCAATGACACCTTTACTATTATTTAGCATCTCGAATCAATTACTACAAAACGATGTATCAACCACGCAAAGTAAACCTTATGATATATTATCTGGTAATTCCAAAATGTGGGGAAACCCTCAATCGATCATACCACGAGGTATTACCTTGGATTGGACTCATAAGCAATTGGATGTTACCAGGGCAAGCGATACCTATCAATCCATACAAAGGAAAACCATTTGGCCACCCTCACCAATGATTACTCAGCTATGTATTCCTGATCTTCCTGGTTACACAACTTACTTGAGCAACAAGAACAACGAGCTTCGAAATTTATTCTTTGGTGTTTCTTCTGATGAAGTAGTATTAGATGGTAAGGAATACAAAAAAAAAAAAAAAAAAAAAAAAGAATCAATAATGTCACAAGATGATCTAAGTTTTAACTTTATTTCTTCATATAGTCTTCTCCGGATCCCTTCACAAAAAGCATCATTCTTCATCAGCAACGAACTTGAATGACCATCAAAAATTATCAGACTTTGGATATTGTTATAACGGCTCTGGATATATGACGCAACATACTTTCTGGTTTTACAGTAATATTTCTGCTAACTGCATCAATACGGTAAGTAATCATCCAAAAAAGAAAGAAATAGTAAAAATGAAAAGCAAAACATAGCATCACTCATTACTCTAATCTCATCACAAATATATATATATAGGTTGCTTTGAAATGGAAGGACGTTGAAGATATTCAAGTGATAGAAAACTCTAGGCTAATGATACATGTTACTGGAAGTACAGATGCAACGAATCAAGATTTTACTACACCTCTTGTATTTTCTACTCGACTGGATGACATTGATACCTTAGTGGAGAAATTACGATTCTTTGTTTACAGTGCCAAGCTTGCCAATCCCATGCAACTTCGCAACATGTATAGGAAAATCTTGAATATATCATCAACATCTTCCAGTTTATCCTACTCTCCCACGCAACAAAGTATGACGGAAATGTCAGCTAGTGAATCGTCGTCTGCATGTATCAGCCCTACACCACCTGTATTATCTGATAGGATGGCATCCTCAGAGACAACTGCTACACTGGATACAACTACAACTCTTGTCTCTTCGGATGAAAACGGATCACGTACAGCAACACCTATTATCCACAAGAAACCTGCCAAAAAGACGAAAAAAAAGAATATCACTCAATCTTTTGTTGATCGTAAGTACAATGAATCAATAGTCTTGCTATATTATTCACTGACACCATTTCTATTTTTATTATTGCTATTATTATTAGCTGATTCACTTCCTAAGGAAATCCAACAGCCTTCTGGTCCCGTTTCATGCGATTGTGATGATCATCTTGATCGACGTGATGCCGAGTTGGTTCTACCTATTTCTGCCAAGCGATTATTTGAACTGATGTTCTCAGATGAATCAACTGCTCCTCCATCGAATGGTGGTGTCTGGAATGCTAAGACAGAAGGCATTGAAGGTCATGATCTACGTGTGTCCCACTGGGAATCCCTTTCAACTGATGAACCTCAACAAGGCCTGATGAAGCGAACTTTGAAGTACTGGATGCCTGTTGCCAATCCCGTGGTGCGAATGAAAGAAGCTGAAGTAGTGGAAACGCAAATTCTATTGAAAAAGCAAGACTATATGTAAGTAAACTCATTTAATTTACTGATAATTTTTCATTCATGTATCTGATATAAATCGTTCTTATTTTTTTTTTTTAAAAAAAAAAATTCATAGATGCTATGTAGTACAAATCTCTACGAAAACGGAAGCCTTACCTTTTGCTGATGCTTTTGTGCCCTCTGTACGATATTGTATCACCTATGTGGATGATTCCCAATGCAAGCTTTCCTGTCATTTGGGTGTCAAATGGTTAAAGTGGGTCATGGCAAAATGTAAGGATGCATAAATCAAAATAGTATCAGAGCGAAAGAAGAATTTGTTCATTTTCATCATTCACTTTTTATCTTTTTTATTCTAGTGATTGTGACCAAAGCTGCCCTTGCTGGAATGTCGGACAGTGTAGGGGTCTTTGTGCCTATTTTGAAAGAAGCAGCTGCCACTATTCAATCTACTGTAGAAGAAACCCGACAATTACGACAAGCTTCAAGCAATGATGTGGAAGTCAGTGAATATGAAGATGAAGAAGAAGATAATGATGATGGTGGTAGGTGGGATACAAGTAGTATTGTGGAATTAGACAATAAAAAACTTGAAGCAACGACGACAACAACAAAGCCAATAGCGGACATGATCACAAATACAGGTATGACAATGCAGACGATTACAACATCAAACAGTCATCGAAGCTCTAGCACGGCTCAACAAACCGATACAACTGCCAATACATCGTCATCCACTATCAATGATGCAAGCTCGAAATGGAAATCCACATCTTCAAACATTTCAAATACGAATAAGACAATCCCATCTACCTCAACCGCCGCTTACTCAAAATCAACCACAAAAACGACAGTATCACCTAGGTTGATTAAGGAAAAACTGACAGATGAATCAGGTGAAGAAGTACCTTCTATGGTAAAAGCCGCCGTTGATTCTATTTGGCCACCTAGTGAATGGACGATTGGAATTATATTGATTGGATGTCTTCTATATGCATTTTGGTTTGTTTCCCCATCGCGGATGAATGGTATCACTACAGAACAAATGTGTGGTGCAAAAAATGGTCAGTTGGTGTCACATGCCATTTATCTTCGTGATCTGGATGAAGGCTTTTTACAAAAATCATTACAACCTCCGTATGCTGGTTCCCAAAGGTATAAAGGAATGGATGTATTTGTATTTTTTTTTTTTTTTATACTGAATTCTCTCTTTTTTCTCATTATTATTATTAATGAAATAGCTACGAGTTATTTATACAAACAAAACGGGATGAACGACAACATGTATGGTACGATGGACAACACTATCGATTGGCAATGGAATATGGAAATAGTCGAGCGCAACTTGGTGTATTACGGCATGATGTGATCAGTATGTTCCAGGCTTTGAACATGGCAGATTCATATTTATTGGAGAATGAATATTTGAACTGGCTTTTGGATTATCGACAACGATGTCGTGGAGAAAAAGATTTGATGAATGATCAAGCATTAGAATTCAATGATACCATGATATGTGATCAAGTCAAAATACATATTGGAACTTACTTTTAGAAATATCATCATATCATTCTTTTATTACATAATTTGATTCCTACTACTATTACTACTACTATTACTATTAATTAATACTTTTTTTGAACAATAAACTTTCTTTAATATCTATCTATCTTTTTTTTTTTTGTTCTTTTGTTGAAATGAATTTTTGTCAATCGTTCGTAACAAAAAAAAAAAAAAAAAAAAAAGAAGTCCGCCCTATTTTTCCAACTTTCTCATCAAATTTTACTTATTATATATACTTTTTCTTTTCTTTTTCTTTCTCTATTCTTTTTTTTTTTTTTTATCATCAAATGGAACATTTGACACTAGGCCAGCTTTTTTCCAAAGGACAAACACAACTTACATTTTTAGAAGACACTTCTTTGGCAAGTAAGGATCCTGCATATCAAGCCGCAGTCCAAGAAGCCATTGCAGCACTCACTCGTGCACAAGATCTTATTGAACGATCGGCTATGTTTAGTTCCAATGAACTTATTGATGATATTAATGCTTCTGACCTCAAGTTTTTATTAACAAGTGTTTATCTTGGTCATGCTGTATTGAAGAATATTACTGATGACAGAGCTACTGTTTTAAAAAGATCCAAGGTAAAAAAAAAAAAAAAAAAAAAAAGAAGACACGCGAAACGAAAGGGGGACTCACTATTCTTTCTTATGTTTTTATAGGCCCATTTTGAACATTTTTTATCATTATGTCAAGACCATCAACTGATGAAACAACAAGATGCCGAAATGTACGAAAAACAAATGCATGGTCTTCAAGGGTCAGCAGCGCAGCAACGACAGGACAAGATTGCAAGGTACAAACGTGAAAAAGTACTCAAGGAGACGATTCAGCAGTTACGAGAACAATTAGATGAAGAACAACAGCAAAAAACTGCTTTGGACAAAGAAACAGAACGGGACTATGTGGTGGCATTGATTGATTTGGAAATTTTACGGGCGATAGAACAATTACATAGTATTGAACAAGAAGTCGTTATGGTAGCAGAAATGGAGAAAATGCGACAACATATGGCTTCTTCTGATGATGATCAACGATTGGCCTCTCGAGAACAACAACAAGATGGATCATCCAAGTTAGACGCATTACGTCGAACCGGTGGACCTCTTTTATCAAACGAAGGAAAACCTTTACAACCATTTATTATCACTAACAAACGACAACAAATCAAGAATCAAGTGTTTCAACCTGGATACAATTTACCTACCATGACTATTGATGAATACTTGCAACAAGAAATGGATCGTGGGAATATTATTAAAGGGTAAGAAAGGAAAAAAAAATCATTCAGATATTAGACTATTTTTTTGGTTATTCATTCGTTTTTTTTTTATTATATAGTGGTGAAGAACCAAAGAAAGAAGAAATTGATGATAATGATTATGATGCCTTGGATGCAGAAACAATGAAACAAAGAGATTGGGATGAGTTCAAAGAAGCAAATCCTAGAGGATGGGGCAATCGTGGCAACAAAGGATAGATTTTTTGATAATTAGATTGATAGTATACATCTATTTATATCTTTTTATTGTATATTGATTTACATAGCATTAATAAAGAAAACAAAAGATTATATATATTTGGACATTGTTACATGAGTGAAAGTACACTTTATTCAATAAAAAATGACGGAATTCAAAGAATAAGATGGCGCAAAAATAGGAAATAAAATATCGTAAGGATAGAAAATAAATGACAGAAAAAAAAATATAATTGTCGCATAATCAAATAGAGAATATAAGAAAATAGATATCATGAAAAAAAAAAGAGCAATCAAAAAAAAAAAAAAAGAAATCCACCAATTGAGTTCACCAAGTTAACATATAAAAAAAAAAAAATAAAAAATGAGTAATACTTATCCAGATAAAAATATTTCACTAGCTTACCATTTAAGTGTAACGTGATCGCCGTAGCGAAAGTAGGATGGCGATAACCATCCCGGAATTTGTTGAATTGTTAAGTTGTTAAATTGATTGAACCAACAGTGTTTAAACCATTAAAGAAAACTTGTAAATAAAAAGATAGACAAAAAAAAGAGTGATTGAGACAACGGTGATTAAACCATTAAAGAAAACTTGTAAATAAAAAGATAGACAAAAAAAAAGAGTGATTGAGACAACGGTGATTAAACCATTAAAGAATACTTGTAAATAAAAAGATAGGCAAAAAAAAAAAAAAGAAGGCAGACCAAAAAGCAGGCAGGTAAGCCAAAAGGCAGACCCGTAAGATGAATGTAATGTAAAGAAATAAAAAAAAGTTAAATCAAAGAGATCCTTTTATAAGAAAATGAATCACCCCTGCAATTATGAGCTAATTTTAGTAGATAAAATGATGAGACAAGATGTAAGCAAGTTTTATCATCTTTTTTTAAAAAATATTAGCAACATTTCTATCTTTATATTGTATCTAATTCATCATCATTTTTTTTTTAGTATTAACAACATTTCTCTCTTTCTATTGTATTTAATTTATCATTTGTCTTTTTTAGTATCTACTTTATTATTTTTAGTATCTACTTCATCATTTTTTTTTAGTATTAGCAACATTTCTCTCTTTATATTGTATCTAATTTATCATCTACTTTATTATTTTTAGTATCTACTTCATCGTTTTTTTTAGTATTAACAACATTTCTCTCTTTCTATTGTATTTAATTTATCATCTACTTTATTATTTTTAGTATCTACTTCATCATTTTTTTCTTTTTTTTAGTATTAGCAACATTTCTCTCTTTATAATAAAGTTAATTACATAGATGTTCTACATTAAATTCTATTATTACAATATTTATGTACTAAGTGATACATGGTACTGACTTGTTTTTGTCGTGTTTTAGTTTAATGACTAGATTCCTTTTTTTTTTTAGTTGTTCTATTTTAAATGGTAGTATGATTGTGTACAGCACATTTATTATTGTATTTTTTAATTTCCATTGATGTGATGAATCATTATTATTATATTGATTTATCATGTTGGCTGATAAAAGAGTGTTTTGGCATTTTTCAAAGAAAAAAAGAAAAGAAAAAGAAAATGTTGTTCTGTCAGAAGGTAACTAGAATGAAGTGTTTTGTATTTTATCAGAAATTTGTACAGTGATTGACGACAATGTTTCATCATCCATCATACAATCGTACAATCATCCAACATATAATCATCCATTATCACATATCATCCATCATACAGTCATCCATCATCCATCCTGTAATCATCCAATATACAATCATCCGTTATCACATATCATCAATCATGAATCATCGATCATGAATCATCAATCAATTGATACCTAAAAAAGAATGGTCAACACCCAAAGCTGCTAAAAATATGAAAAGCTTATGTTACTTTTCTTTTCTGTCTTTTATTATTAATAAACAAGTTATCATCAATGTGTTGTGTGTTTTTAATGTACTCTTCCGACATCTCTAGAGCGATATCTGAAAAAGTGATAATGCGACATTCATTTTGGGAAAGTACGATATTTTATTTGATAACATCACGAAAAGCATTTTCTTGTGACCCGACAAAAAACTTTGAAAAGACTGTATAATCAGAATACCCAAAACATCATTTCACAACTTAAAAATTGATGCATGAGAGGGAGGGAAAATCTTGGAAAAAAGAGATGAAGATCCGCGGACAATGAATCTAAGTTCAAAATAGCAAGCAAATTTTTTTTTCATCCTTTTCCTTCCCTTTTTTTTTTTCATTACACATTTTTTTTTTTTTTTCACCAACATGCCTAACTACGATATTGAACGCATCAAGAACTTACTTGGTACTCATGAAGACTTTCCCAAGAAGGGTATTGTGTTCAAGGACATGTTCCCAGTTTTCCAAGATCCCACTGCTGTTGAAGCCTTGATCTCCAATATTGTTCAACATATCAATTCTACTTATCCTGAAAAGATTGATACTGTTGTGGGTAAGTTAATAACATAGGATGTTCTGTTTTATTATTATTATTTATCTGACCCCTTTTTTTTTAAAAAAAAAAATATATATGATAAAAAGGTTTGGATGCTCGTGGTTTCTTGTTTGGTCCTTTGGTTGCTCTTCGTCTTGGTGCTGCCTTTGTACCTGTTCGTAAACAAGGCAAATTACCTGGTGAATGTGTCAGTGCTGTCTATGAAAAGGAATACGGTCAGGTAAATGATAGAAATAAGAGAAGAAATCATAAATAATGTTATTCATTTTTTTTTTTTTTTGTAGGATATCTTTGAATTACAAAAAAATGCAGTCAAGGCTGGATCCCGTGTGATTATCATTGATGATTTGATTGCTACTGGTGGTTCTGCTAGTGCTGCTGGTGAATTGGTGAAAAAGTGTGGAGCCACCACTGTGGAATACGTCTTTGTCATGGAATTGGACTTTTTGAATGGTGCCAAGAAATTGGATGCTCCTGTTTATTCTCTGATTCATTTGTAGATTAGTTTATTTGTTATTTATGTATACTTTTGAATAAAATCCAATGTCTTTTTTTTTTTTTAAAAAAATTAGATTGTTATCATAATAGCGTATAAAATAAGTTCATCACGGTCCAATCATCTCTTTCTATTTCATCCAATCATTTCCATGCAATTCTTGAAGATGCAATATCAACTAGAAATAAAAGGATCGCCAAAACCAGAAAGAACGAACCAACCAGAAGAAAACCATCAAAAAGATATTTTCGCTCATTTGTATCTCACAAAGTAAAAAAAAAAAAAAAAAAAAAAAAAAAAAAAAAAAAGGAAAAAGTGGATGATCTCTAGTTTTTGCTCTAGAGCATGATGAGATCTTTCTGCAGACTAAGGGAAATCAACCAGTCAGTTTTCTTAAAGGCTTTGGAATTCAGAGGATGGGATGACTGAAATAGATACCATTGAATGGTTTCCATGACGATATAAGGTGTCATGATGGGTGAAAATCAACATGTATGAAAATCTAATATATTGATACAAGAAGGATGAATGGTTATTAAAAAAATAGCATGGATAACAGATAATAACAATGAAAAGAATGATGATCATGATGATAGATATCTTTTTTTTTTAATTATACTGTAATGATTAACGATGACATACGATGATTATTTGATGATACTTTGTATGATGACTTTTATTACTTTATGTAAAGACATTACGGATTCGAATTTCTCGCTATGGAGCTAACCAATGAAAAACCATTTATCTATGCTTAGACTAGGCGAAGAGATGAATAGGATGTGACAGTGGTGCAGAAAATGGTTCGAATTTTTTAAATGACTTTTTCTCGCTATGGAGCAGACTAACCAATGAAAAACTATTTATCTATGCTTATGCTACTTTTTAGTAGTACAGAATGGGAAAGAGAGTTTGCAGGGATAAAAAAAAAAAGTGGAATCGATTTTTTTTGATTTTTACAGCCAAAATTTTCAAAGTCCTCAGCCAAATTTTAGCAGTAAAAATAAATCGTCGAGGGGTCATCAGGCGAATTTTGGAAAAAATAGATGAAATGGATAGGTATTTATTGTGGATGAAGTGCCAAGGTAAGTGATCAAATGATATTAGATGATATTAGATTATTTTTTGAGAGGAATCCAATGGTGGTAGTTTGATGGGATGATGATGACTATTGAATGAGGAATGACGATATTAGCATTTCGTTTTTAATTTTACTTTACAAATTGGGAAGTAAGATAGAAATGATGATTAAGCTAATTAAAAGAGAATGGTCTCATCTACGTTCAGTCGAAATTTGGTACGGTGATGATGACTTTTGAGTGATATACAAAAAAAAAAAAAAAAGGTATATGTCATGTAATATTTACGGTGGAAAGATATTGAATCGTATTTCTCACTATGGTAACCAAACGGATGACACTATTATAATTGTATCAAATGTTCTTTGACGTTGAAATGATCCTATAGAATAATAATGATGATGATATAATAACGATATATCATGATACGATACATTAAAGAAATGATAGACGAGACAATTCAGTCACCGCTGCCAGGGGGTGTATGTGGATGTGGGGATGATGATGATTGAGGGGGAATGAAACTGTTGTCATGTTTTTTTTTTTCTCAGGTACACTCCGGTAATATCAAGGGGACCCTCATTTAAACAAAAAAAAAAGACCAACATCAAACTTTAAATAATATTTATGACGTGAGGATGAAGAAGACATTCCGATGATTGATCTTTTGTATCATTCATCATCATTACTTTTTTGACATATGATTGCAAAAATGAAAAAAAAAATAGTTCATTTTTTATCGTATCTACAAGTATTCTAAACCTGCTAAAACTATTTCTACATCGTTATGCTTCGGAGCGGGGTAAATGTTACCGATGTTGATGATTCCCCTTTTGGATCACAAGAGTGGTAAGATGACAAGTTTTAATGATTATTCACAAGCGTGTCAGTACGGAATAAAACGGTGAGGATGGAATGTTTCGGAAGCTTGAGGGTACACGTGAAAGAAGCAGTTTTATGCCGATCTAACAAAAAAAAAAGTGGAGAAAAGAGGAAGAGTAACGACTTTTAAAGGTACATAAGTATTGGATCGGAGAAGTAACCTTGCCTCATTTCGTGAGAAGAAACGAGAATAGAATATTTATTCTATTTTTTTTAGACATCAAAAATAGGAGACAAAAAAGCTTTATTCACTTTTTTCATAGAAAAACACATAGGTGAAGGAATAATCTAATGGTTTTTTTTTTCATAATGGGGATCAAAAATGTACAAGATAAAAAGAGTAAAGTAGATTCATTTCATATACAACAGGGGGTGACTATACTATTCAATTTAGTTCTTGCCAGCAATGTAGACGAGGAGATCAACGACACGGGTAGAGTAACCTGTAAAATTGTATAACAAAAATTAGTTATCATACCAAATCATTGTTTTGAAAAAAAAAAAAAAAGATAATAGTTGTGGATTCACTTACCGAATTCGTTGTCATACCAAGAGACAAGCTAATAAAAAAAAAACAGCAAGTTAATAAAACATACCATATTTCATGTCCAAAACATAATTCCATTCACTTCCCGTAAACACCCTTATTTGATCCCGAGTTTTTTTTTTCTTTACCTTGACAAAGTTGGGGTTCAAAGAGATACCAGCCTTAGCGTCGAAGATGGAAGAGCGAGAATCACCAATGAAGTCAGTAGAGACAACTTCATCTTCAGTATAACCCAAGATACCCTTGAGTTCGTTTTCAGAGGCCTTCTTGATAGCAGCCTTGATGTCGTCATAGGAAGCAGGCTTTTCAATACGAACAGTCAAATCAACAACGGAAACATCAGGGTTGGGAACACGGAAAGACATACCAGTCAACTTGCCATTCAAGTGAGGGATAACCTTACCGACAGCCTTGGCAGCACCAGTGCTAGCCTATGAAATAAGAAGAAGAAAAAAAAAGGTAAGTAAATTAAAAACCATCATTTAATTTTTCTTCACAAAAAAAAAGAATAAAAAAAAAACTTACAGGGATAATGTTAGCACCAGCACCACGACCAGCACGCCAGTCCTTGCCAGAGGGACCATCAACAGTCTTTTGAGTAGCAGTGGTAGCGTGGACAGTAGTCATCAAACCTTCAACAATACCAAAGTTATCATCAACAACCTTAGCAAGAGGAGCCAAACAGTTGGTAGTGCAAGAGGCATTGGAGATAATATCGTATTCAGGCTTGTAAGCATCGAGATTCACACCACAGACAAACATGGGAGCATCAGCAGAGGGAGCAGAGATGATAACCTTCTTGGCACCACCAGCAATATGAGCCTTAGCCTTTTCGATAGTAGTGAAGACACCAGTGGATTCAACAACGTGAGTGGCACCATCCTTACCCCAAGGAATTTGAGAAGGATCACGTTCAGCGTGGACAGTGATAGGCTTGCCATTGACAACGAGCTTACCATCCTTGGCTTCAACAGTACCCTTGAATTGACCGTGAGTGGAGTCATACTTGAACATGTAGACCATGTAGTCCAATTCAATGAAAGGATCGTTGATGGAAACAACTTGGACTTCAGGGTTTTCAATAGAAGCACGAAGGACAATACGACCAATACGACCGAAACTATTTTTTTTTTAAAAAAAAAAAAAAAAAGACAGTAGGTAAATAAACAGGAGTCCCCAACAAAATAAAACTAGTCCACACTTTTTTTTTTATTCTTTTCATCTGACGCGTATTCCCATCAACATTATATGCTTACCCGTTAATACCAACTTGGACAACCATTATATTTTGTAAGAAGAATAGGGAAAATTAGTTTAAAAATAAACAAAAAGAAATAAGAAAAGAAAAGAAAAAGAAGAAAAAGAAAGGAAATTGAAAAGTATACCTTTTTATAATGTTTTTCCTTACGCAGTCGAAAGACAAAAAAAAAAAAATTTCAGGCCCATCCGTTACTCGGAACCCATACCCAACTAACAAACACTTCTAGGCGGCAAATGAATATTCATTGGTCATTGATTCTTGATTGGCTGATCCTCAACACACCTATATCATTATCTTCAGTCCCCAACAAAAAAAAAAAAAAGGTGGTAGTAGAAAAAATAAAAATTTGAGTGGATGGATTAGGCCAATCAGCTTAATTATTGATCATTGTCCTTTCTATTACAGGCATGTTAGCAAACGACCGTGCACTCCCAAAAGAAATGTTAATCTCCTTTTTGCTTTTGTCTTCCCCCGTGATTATTCTTATACAGATCTAGGTGAGAAAAAATCGTCATCATCTTCATCATCATCGTCATTATTTCTTGGTTTTTCTGTGATGTTCCTTTCTTTCTCTTTTTCTCTTTTCTTTTCTCTTTACAACTTTCTTTTTTCTTTTTCTTTCTTTTTCTATTACTACTTCTTTTGAGGTTTACCTCATTCCCTTTCCTGGGTTTTCTTTTTTTTTAAAAAAAAAAAAAAAAACAAATCACAATAACTCTTATCTCTCTTTCCATGAATATGCCAATTATTAATCATCAACATTCTTTTGTAAGCAGTTGTGGCGCATCAGTGGATCCCTCAACAGGTGCAACTAACTATTGTCTGCTGCATAAAATTTATTTCTCAACTTCTTGGTGTCCTTATTGCAAGTGACAATTGGTTCTCCGATGTAAGTGAATTTAAATGAAAAAAAGGAACCGTACTTTCCTATTGCCCTGTCCATCAAAAAGGCACGAAAGGAAAATGAAAGAAAATGTATATATTAAAAAGTAATCATAAGGATCATGTTGATGGTAACAAGACATATGAACTGACAAAAAAAAAAAACTTGATGTTTTTTGTTATGAACCTTTTAGGGCAATTCAAAACTCAATATACAAAAACTTTAATTTTTTTTCTTAAAAAAAAAACTTGACCTTTCCTCCCCTATTCTCCCACATCTTATTTGCCTTGTTTATATCAATATCCATATATAAAAAGTATGTCTTTGACTTCCCTTTCTCCTGCCAATATCGTTTATCAAGTACTACCAAAAATGAAGAAAAATGAATCAAGATACTCTTAACAAAACAGAAAGAACAAAAAATATACGTCTATCCAATTATAAAAGGCACATGTTTACGATCACCCATATCTTGTTTACATAAATAAATAAAAAAAAGAATGAGATAAAAAAAAATTTGCCGACAAATCCAGTTTCTATTTACTATCCCATGGTCTCTGCACCCATGAACCAAAATAACATGTGGTTTCCACAGAGAATAATAATAAAAAATAACCCTAACATCACATTTTTCCCAAAGTCCTGAAAGTAAAAGAGGAATCATTAAAAAGTTTTATTTTTTTTAAAAAAAAAGATCTAAATAATAATAAAAAAAGAAGAAGAAGACTATACCACCAAACTATTTTCCATTGTTTCAAACAATTCCTCTATCTTGGTTGTCCAATTAGAATCTTCCAGTCTATCTATTGATTCAATCATTGTACTTATATGTTGCTTCCATTCATTCATGTCATCCACAGTTATTCCAGCCGCGTTGTTGCTTTGATCAATGGTCACTACTTTAGTTGTTGTTGTTGATGATGATGATGATAATGTGTCGTATCGATGACTTGTTACATATATGTAAGCCATCCATTGCTGCATCACCAAACTACAATGTGTATATATAGATTTCATTGTCCATTTTCCACGAGGTCTTGTCTTCATCACAAATTTGGTCAATTTCTCCACCTTGAATTGGCCACTGATTCTTTTGTAATGTTGATGTATAGTGGGGACACAAGTAGAATCCGAATCTCGGAAGTATAGATCACATACGTAGAAAACGAATACCGGGTTCTGAATAGACTTTTCCCACCCAAGATAAAGAAGAATCAATTAATCACTTGTTATCACTAAGTTGCCTAAAATTTCCTTTCTATTTTTTTCCTTCTTAGTTCACTTACCCGTAATATATGTAACATTGTATCTATCTCTAATGTCATCAGTCTTGGATATGTTTGGCCAGCCAAATGTGCAGACGGAAGTAACATTGTGAGCTAAGTTATTTTCAAAAAAAAAAAAAAAAAAATAGAGAGAAATAAGGTTAATATGATATAAGGATGACAGACTGACTCCTCGCATGATATGATTACCAAATTCAGTAGTTTTGATGCATATTGAATGTTTCCCGCATATCCATTGTAGCAAGATCTTTGCTGTAATGTTGCTAATGAAGCCGGTGTTGGTAATGATGACAACGCCAGTCGTGGAGATGATGATGGTGAGAATGACGGTGAGAGTGATGGAGACGATAATGGTGAAGGTGATGATGATGCTACTGGCGATGATGCCGATGATGATGGTGAAGATGATATTTGCTTCATTGTTGCTGTTGATAACGATATTTCTTTTTCTGCCGTTCCTGGGTTTAATCCTGATAATATTGTATCTATTTGCCGATCAAATTGTGTTCTTTCGTTATATGCATTCTTTGGTATTGTTTTCAGAAGCAAGCATTCGTCCAGTGAATCCTGTTGGTCTGCTTGTTCAATAAAAAATAAATAGATAGAATCAGTATATGAAGTCCTAACCTTTCTTTCTTTTATATATATATCCATCCAAATTAATCTTACCTCTTTTTAATTGTATATCTTCAGATATCATCCGTACCAATATATCCAATAATAAACGGCATCCCTATTAATATAAATTCAACAAAAATATCAACATCATATTCTATGCAGTCTATCATGTGTTGCTTATACACATATATATATATATATGCCACTATCACTTTCTTACCAATGTATCCAAAGAAAGTTCATGAAGTGGAGCAGTAAAACAATATAAAGCCAGGTGCCAGAAATCATCAAATCGCGAAAGTTTCGTACCATGTTGGATTTCATCATCGTGATCTTCGATATTCGTGTCGGTAAAGAAATTAATACTATGATGATTATATCGTTGTCGCTTATGTCGATGATCTGCATAATAAGCTACACTACGCCGCGGTTGTAGTCGTTTTTGATCACTATGTTCACCAAATTTTGACCAAATTGGTAATAGTATATTGGGTCCAAAAAGTTCCAAGATATTCAATAGAAGACTATGTATCTTGTAATGTTGTTGTAATATTTCCTTTAATTGCCGTTTACTTGTTACTACAACATGTTTAAGTAGTAAATCCACTAGGATCAATATAACTGTCCTAATAAGAAGAGCGATGATCAGTATGCGATATAACAAGACAAAACAAAAAAAAAAAAAATTCAAGACTTTACTCACGTTGAAGGGGGAGAGTTAGAAGTCATACAGGATTCGATAAGTTCAAGAGCTGCTTGCACTATAGAAAAAGATAACAGAATAAGAAGAGGATTATTATACGAAATACAGTTTATATATATATATATATATATATATATATATATATATATTCATTACCATGATCCACATCTATATAATCTAATACCATACTGTCAAGTGCCTTTGGAGGGAGTTCATTTTGATTTTTTGATGGTCGACGAATGTGTCTATAAAAATATTGGTATATTGGTATTTGTGAAGGTTGTGATTTTAGTACTTGTTGAATTGTCAGAGGGTCAATCCATTGATGCTTGTGAGACTTGACAAGAAATTTGAGACGTCCTTGCTATCAAAAAAAAAAAAAAAAAAAAGAAAAGAAATATTAATAAAAATCGAATGTACATAACTTGAAAAATCCATTACCTCATCAATATCATGACCAACAATAGGCATGATGGATGTAAATGTAACTAGAAGAAAAAAAGAAAAAGAAAAAAAAGAGTAAGAAAAGTGGAATTATATGTTTTGGAAGCAACAAAGAAAAAAAAATCATGCGGAGTTGAACTTCTCGTACCTATTAAAAATTTACCAACTTTGGACGTGTCATTTTTTTTTTTTATTGTTCCCTCAGTTGACTGACATTTTCTAAATGACACCATATACTCTTATTGTCGCTGCAACCAAAGAATCCGGAATTGGTATTAAAGGTGGTTTACCTTGGCGAATTCCTAAAGATATGGTCTTCTTCAAACATGTCACAACCTTGATCCCCAAGACTTCACCACAGCATCTTCAAAATGTAGTTATCATGGGTCGGGTCACTTGGGAATCTATACCACCAAAGTTTAGACCATTGACTGATCGATTCAATATTGTTATTTCTAGAAATCCTCTTTATGATTTGTAAGTTCTCTTGACACATTGTATTTTTGAAAAAAAAAAAAAAAAAAAAAGAGGAAAGGTATCATTGTTGAATTACCAAAAACTAATGTTTATTACTTTTTTTTTTTTTTACATTATAGACAAGACGCTCCAAATACTGTATTAGCAGATTCTTTCGAAAAGGCTCTCTCTTTAGTCGACCCTAAACTTCATGGACGAGTATTTGTTGTTGGTGGTGCACACATGTATCAATTAGCCATTAAAGAACGTCACTGTTCTCATATCTTATTGACCCGTATTAATTCCGATATTGAATGTGATACCTTTTTCCCAAATATTGATGAAAAAGATTTCCGCTTGGCCAACCATCAAGAATTAGAAGAATACGTTGAACAAGTCGTGCCTTCTGGGAAACAATCACACAAGGATATAGATTATGAATTTTTACTTTACATTAGAAAATAATCCCATCTCTTCTGTTTATCTTATCCTTCTCCTTCTATCTATTAATTTATTATTTCTTCTCTATCCCACCGTTATTTAAACAAAGCTTTAAAAGTATTAATTCAAATAAAAATAAAATTATAAAATTAAAAACATATCATTATTTTTTTTATGACTTTATTGACTTGGAGATAATATTATTGAATAAAGGTACACTATAATGTCTAATTGCTACTATAAAACTTGCAAATAAAGCAGGAGGACCAATATATTCTAGTAACCAGGTAGTTGTACTTGGAGTAATCTTCTTGATGAGATTTTTAACTTGAATACTGAGTTGAGACAGATCACTAGAATTATCAATCACTATATCTGCCAGTTCCACCTTTTCTGATAAGGGTGTTTGAGCACGCATCCTTTGAGTCGCCAATTCTTCATCTAATCCATCCCTTTTGACCAAACGTTGTAATTGAAGTATTTCAGAACTATGGATAAAAAAAAAAAAGAAATTATCAATAAAAAGCATAAAATTGTCATCTATATAAATAAATTACCAATATACTACTACAGTAGTTCCTACAAATCTATCCAGTTTGCTTTCAAATAAAAGAGGTACATCTAATATCACCACTTTGGCACCAGTTATCCAATGATATACCACTTGTTTGAACATTTCTAATCGTATTGCAGGATGAGTACAACTATTCAATACCTTGCGTTTGGCAGGATCGGCAAATACAACTTCACCCAACTTGGCTCGATTCAAGTTGCCATCAGGAAGAAACACTTCATCACCAAAGTGTTTTCGTATCAGTTTATTTGCCCAACGTCCAGGTTCCACTACTTGCCGAGCTATTTTATCTGCATCAATGATGGGAATATGTTGTTCTTGTAATAACTTGGAGACAGTTGATTTACCTACAAAAAAAAAATATGAAGAAGTATAATATGAACTTTCCATTTCTTTTACTATTTATTATATTGTATACCAGAGGCAATACCGCCCGTCAGACCGACTAATTTCATAGTTGGAGAAAGAAAAAAAAAAAAAAGAAAGAAATAGGGATTGAAAAGGTTTCCCACTTTTGAATAGAGTTTTAAAACACCGAATGCACTTTCTCTTTCTTTCTTTCCCTTCTTTTCTCTTCTCATTTCCCTTTGTCTCTTACTTTTTACTTTATATCATCTCTATCATTTTTATTGTGAACCTCAATTCATCATATTCATGTCAGCCGAACTATCAGAAGCAGAGAAGGTATAAGAAACTATTTTATGTTATATCAAGTTTCCACTTTTGGACTCATATATTACGTATGATATTGGAATGACTAATAAAAGTTGTCTTTTTGAATAGATTCGTTTGAAACGCGCCGCCAAATTAGAACAGCAAGCTGAAGAACAAAAGAAACGTCAAGAGGAACAACAAAGATCAACTGGTCAGGATCAACAACAACAACAACAAGCAAGAAAACTTAAACCTTTACCTATTCTCGATGAAACAAACCCAGTAAGTTGATAATATTTCAAATAGAAAGGAAGGCAATTCAAGTGTTATTCCCTAACAAATGTGAAATTCATATGTATTTCATTTGATAGACACCTGCAGTTAAGCCAAAATTTAGGTCAACGGTAACATCTTCTACTAGTCCACAAAACACGTCCACTGTAACCACGTCAACAAGTCCAGCAGAAACTAAAAACCGCATTACTTCAACTCCTACTGTTCAAGCACCAGCAAAATCATTTGAAGAATGGCAAAATGATGCTTACTCTCGTATACTTCAAGTCACCTTAGATGTAAGTGAGAAAAAAAAATGATATACAAACACCTTATGAATGAAATTATTTGATCATGAATTGATCTTTTTTTCTTCTTATTTTATCTATTTTTTTTTTTTTTACACCTTGAACACTTCAAGCCTAATGCTGTTTATAAACGTGGTATCTGTGTCTATCTATATAGCTTGGTACAAGAATTAGAAGAAGAGAATGGTAATAATATACTTTATAAAATACTAGGCAATTAATGAATATGACATACTCACCTTTATCTTTGTTTATTCTTTTACTTTATTCTAATGTAGAATCGAAACCATATTTGTTGAAGATGGATTTATTAGATCGTGTTTTGATTGCTCGTATGTCATTGGATCCAAATGAACCACATGCTGAATTACCTGCTGATGTACAAGCATCATTGAAAATTCGTCCCTTTGATTATCTTCTGAAATGCTGGAAACAAGCGCAGGACATCAGACGCAATACTTTGATTAGAAGCAAGGTAAAAAAAAAAAAAAAAAAAAAAAAAAAAAAAAAAAAAAAAAAAAAAACTTAATCGAAACAATATGATGATTTGGGTATGCTAACTTTTTCTTTTATTAACAGAACCTGGAACAATCTGTACTCAATCAAAGAATCAATGCTTTAGACTTGGTCAAGAATCTACTCATATCTTATTCTGGACTTATTATCCAAATTCCTGATATGTTCCCTCAAAGCGATTCGTAAGTTATAAATGTAGGATATGATTGATGAAGATTATCTAATATCATTATTGTCATCACTGTATTATCTTTCTCGTCTAGGATATTGGAACAGGGTCCTGCTCAACTTGTCCCTAAGTTATTGGCTGATCCTGATTCATCGGATGGGCTACCAAGGAGTTACATTGCTGATCTAGTATCTCGTTTTGCTGATGAAGGACTAGATACGGTAAGGAATATATGTTAAGAATACTGAGGTGATATTTATATTTGGACTTTATACATATATATATATATTCTATTTAGATCTTGGGTCCTGCTTTATCAATGATTTCGGCTCAAGTTCGACAATTCAGTATTATTAGTAACTTTACTCCTCATCTTCAGGTATATAAAGCGATATAAAGCTTGTCTTTGTCCTTTACTAACATTATTTATATTATCTTTCTTGTATCATTTAGTCTCTTTTAATACTTTGTGAAAACAAGACTGTTGCAGCCTCGGTACGACATGTTTTTAAATTATGGATCATAAACTACAAACTCATATACCTTCTTTCATTCTAATAGTTGACTACTTTCCCGGATTTTGATCCTCAAAATGCACTTGCTTCCAATATTGAACAATTATCACTTCTTGGACCATTTTTCTCCTTGTCTGCTTATCCAGATAGTGCTGTAAGTAATATATGAAATATTCACATTTTGATTATGTTATGTTCATTGATTCTTTTTTTTTTTTTTTTTTTTTTTTGGTAGCCTGATGTAGGTGAAAAGTATTTTCAACATTCTGAAGATAGAAATCAAGCAGACTTGAACTCGGCAATGAATGGGTTACGTGGTACCATGCGAAACTTGGAGGTAAAGCCGAAATAAAAAGAAATACTTAACCTAATTTTCACAAATGTTTACTTATACGATTTGTCATAATAGCGTTCACTATTCACTCTATCCAACAGTATTGTTCGATCTGGTACTGAACCACGAGAATTACTTTTGAATTACTTTGGTCATATTCTCAAACTAAATGAAAAGCGTGCTCAAATGCAAGTGGATCCGCGTACTGTAGCTTCTGGTGGATTTATGCGAAATGTATGTACTACATTATTAGCGTTTTGTGAACCGTTTTTGGATATTAGAGCTTCAAAGGTAAAAAAAAAAAAAAAAAAAAAAAAAAAAAAAAAAAAAAAAAAGTGAATAACTTGATGCATTTTTCTCATTTTTGGTTTATTTATTTATTAGATTGACAAGATCGACACCACCTACTTTAGAACTTCTAATCGAATTGATGTGAAAAAGGATACCAAGATTAACGCAGATGAATTACAGTCAGATGCTTATTACAATGCAGTACAGCCAACAACAAGTAAGTGATAAAAAAAAAAAAAAAGAGAACGAAATGTGAAATGTATTTTGTACATTGATAATAAAAAATGTATCATTTTTTTTTCTTTTAATAGATCATAATTTTATTACCGAAATCTTTTACTTGACATTGACTTTCCTTCACTGTGGTCCTATTCGATCATTTGTCAACTTTAACCATTTTATTCGCGAATATGGGGAACTCAAAAAACAATGTGACAAGGCTCAAGAGGATGCAGCACAATCAGCAAACGTAAATGAATATTTGATACTATGTAAAGCATATGATACTAAGTTTTTAATATTTAATTTATTTTTTTTTTTTTGTATAGTCACCTCAAGGAGTGATACAAGATTATGTGGCCAAACAATTGAAGGTAGAAATAGAAAAAAAAAATACCAGTAGGAGAAGAGATACTAACTTTTTTTTTATTATTACTATTATGAAGAAAAACTTTGAAAAGATGACTCAACAAAAACTGGCTTACGAAACGATGCTATTGGACCCTGAATTCCTTAGTCAAGTGATGCAATTCTATAATTTAGTGATGGCTTGGCTTATTCGAATGGTAGACCAAAAACATCGTCATCCTTGGGATACAGTTCAACTTCCTCTACCACATGATATTCCTGAAAACTTTTCAATGTTACCAGAATGGATTATTGAAGATATTGTGGAATATTTCATTTTCCTCGGAAAGTAAAGTGAATATATAATTATAGATGGATTAACAGTTATCTCATATACCCTTTTATGACTCTATTTTAGATATGGTTATGAAACTCAAGTTATCAAAAGTCATCCTCAAGAAGAACTTGTTACTTTTATCATCACGTTTTTACGCAACATGAAATATATCAAGAATCCTTATCTCAAAGCCAAGTTTGTCGAGGTAAGCACTTTCAAGAATTTTATAGAGTTGGAGTAGACAAAAGTAATGTCATCTAATATTGTTTTATCTTTACGTCTAGATTCTTTTCTTCTTCACTCATCCATTGGGCAATGGCATTCCTGGAGAGTTGGAAGCTATGTTGAACTCCAATCCTTTGGCGCTCAAACATCTTGTACCATCTTTGATGGCTTTTTATGTCGGTAAATACTTTAGTATATAATTTGAACTGTAACCTATTTTTTTTTCTCATTTGTCTCTTTTTTTTATTATTATGATTATTTGACAGATGTCGAACAAACTGGTGCAAGCTCACAATTTTATGACAAATTCAACATTAGATACAATATCAGTCATGTCATGAAAAGAATATGGAATCATCCTATGCATCGCGAACAACTTCGGGAAGAGAGCAAGTAAGTTGGATGGAAATTGTCTGTCAAAATAATTCATCTTTACTCATTCAAAAACTCATTGATTTTATAGAAATCAAGAATTATTTACTCGATTCATCAACATGTTGATGAGTGATATTACTTATCTTATGGATGAAAGTGTCAGCAAATTAATAGAAATCCACCAAATACAAACTGACATGGAGGATATAGCATCTTGGCAAGCTCAACCAATGGTAAGAAGACAAAAAAAAAAAAAGGCAAAAAGATGATATACATGATACTGATATAATGAATTTTTGAATAGGAAACAAGACAAGAACGGGAAGCCAATTTACAATCATTGGAAAGACAAGCACAATCCTATATAGCTTTAGGCAACGAAACTATTCATATGCTAGGATATATGTCAGGCGAAGTAGTAGAACCTTTCATGGTGAATGAAATTGTGGATCGACTTGCAGCCATGCTTGATTATAATCTCTCTCAATTGGTTGGACCCAAATGTACAGAACTCAAGGTCAAGAATCCTCAAAAGTATCATTTTCAGCCACGAAAACTCCTCTCTGAATTCATTGATATTTACTTGAATCTCAATACACCTACGTTTGTACAAGCGGTTGCTCGAGATGAAAGATCATTTAGAAAGGAATATTTTTCCAAGGCAGCATCCATCTTATTGAAATATCGATTGAAATCCAATGATGATATCATGGCTTTGGAACAATTTGTGAATCAAGTGGCCAAGGCTGTACAAAGTGGCGCAGATGAAGAAGACGAATTAGGTGAAGCTCCGGATGAATTCCTAGGTAAGGCAATAGAAATAAAAAAGAAAAAAAAAGGAAAAGACTCAACTTTATTGTTCTCTATTTAGATCCGATCTTCTTCTCATTGATGGAAGACCCTGTATTACTTCCTACCTCTGGTATCATTGTGGATCGTAGTACTATCAGGGCACATTTGTTGAGTGACAGTCGTGATCCTTTTAATCGAGCACCTTTACAAATGGATATGATTCAACCGGGTAGGACATAAATGAAATAATTTGTTTGGTTGTACTTATCATTTTTTTTTTTTTTTTTGGGTTATACCAGCTACTGAACTTCGTGATAGAATCTTGGCATGGAAAACACAACAAAAACAAAGCAAGATGGATACAAGCCTTTAGTTTTTAGGATATTCCCCCCTTCCCCATCACAGCGTAGCAATGATCTTAGTTTACACATTCAAACTATTTATTACACACTATTTTATCGTTGCTTTGATATATTTGATTGGTTTTTTTTTTTTTTTTTGATGGAATAAAAAAAATAAATAAATAAATACACTATGAATAAAAAAAAAAAGTAAAAAAAAAAAAAAAAAAAAAAATGAAGACATATAGCTATGACTGAAGACAATAAATATGGAGATAAAAGTATAGATAATCAAAGAATGACACATGATGATTTCTTGTTCAAAGTAGCCTGTACCGCAGACAAAAACACAGCTTCAATGCCTGTACCTGTTTTGGCACTTGTCTCCAAATAGGTAGTCCCTAATCTTGTTGCCAGTTCAAATCCCTGAATATGGTAATACATTATTTTTTTTTTTAATGAGTACTACATAACAAAAAGCATTATGAGGTGGATGACCAAAAATGTATTTACCTGTTTATAAGTTACTGGTTTTTGATTTTCTTTTGCCAGAGAATTCAAGATTTTTTCGTCCGTGCGTAAATCAGATTTGCAACCAACCAATAAAAAAGGTAATCCACGACAATATTTATTGACTTCAGGTATCCACTAAAAAAAAAAAAGAAAAGTCATTTCATGATAATAATAATAATAATAATAATAATAATAATAATAATAATAATTTACCAGTTCGGTAACATTTTCTAAAGATTCAGGAGAATCTACAGAAAAAGCAATCAATATGACATCGGCATCAGGGTAAGATAGAGTCCGTAATCGATTGAATTCTTCTTGTCCAGCTGTATCCCAAAGTGTGAGTTCCACATACTTGTTTTGACATTTGATATCCTTAACATATGAATCAAAAATAGTTGGAATGTGTTCACTATGCTATATATAAAAAAGGAAAAAGAAAATTGAATGGCGGGGTTAGTTTGTGTCCCTGAAAAAGATAAAATTGACTAGAAACTTACACCTGCAAAGTCGTCATTGGCATAACAACATAATAGACATGTTTTTCTAATAGAAAAAGAAAAGAAAAAGAAAAAAAGAAGTTAATACAAGTAAACAATGTATAGAAAGAATCTTGTTAGTTTTTCTTTTACCCAACACCACCATCGCCAACAATGACCAGTTTACGTCTAATGGGATTGGAGATACTACCACCACTAGATTCAATGCAAAACATATTGTGATATATAAAGAGAATATATATAAAGAAGAAAGAAAAAAAAGAAAAAAAAGAAAGAAGAAAGAAAGAAAAGAAAGAAAAAAAGAAAAAGAAAAGAAAGAAAAAGAAAAAGTTGTGCGAGTCCATTGCTGTGTTTCAAATTTCATGCAAAAACTTGAAAAAGGGCTCAGCGATGAAAGAGGAAAAAGAACCACATGATGCGGTTTGGTCTACACAGCAACAACAACAACAACAACAACAACACTTTTTATCCTTTATTGATAAAAACTTTATTGAATCATAATATAAAAAGGAGAAAAGGGAATGACAATGCTAAGTAAAAAAAAAAAAAAAATGTTATACACAAATGAAACTAAACTAATCGCATCTTCTTGGCAGGTGTTTCTCCAGTGGATGGTGATGATGATGATGATGCTACTTTAGCTGGTGATGTTGGTACTGGTGATGATGATTTTGATTTGATTGTAGACGATCTTCGTACTTCAGCCTATAAAATCAATAAAACAACATATCAATCTTTCCTGTGTTACATTTTCTCTTTTTTTTTTGGATTACTTTGAGTTTCGATACACGATCCGCTGGTAGTAATAAAGCCATATCTTTGATTTGGTTTCGAACCATTTTCAATTGTCGTTTTAACTTTTTGATGTCCTTGTTCTTTTCTTTTATCATTTTGGCAGTCTATACACAAAATAAAAAAAATACGATTTAATATTTGTATGATTCCATTTCTTTTTCTTTGATTTTTTTTTTACCTCTGCCGCACTAAAGATTTGAATATTTTCCCATACTTCCTTGGGCAATTCGTACCTATTATTATAAAATAAACAATCAGAAAACATATAAAAAATATATACTGAATGTCCTTACATTTCTCTATTCTTGATCACACGTTGTTTCAATTCTTCTCTTGATAGTTTTCCTCCAGTGTTAACAATAGTATTGTTCTTCCGTTTGATGTCTGGTCCTTGAATCTTGGAGTTTCGTGCACCAATCACTTTGGGATCGATATGTAAACCAGCAAATTCTATTCAAGTTGTCAAATAAAATTAAAAAAAAGAAAAGGACAATGAACAAGAAAGAATATCATAGTATATATATATATATGACACTTTACCTGCAGTACTTTGTTGACCAAGTAAACGTTGTAACTGAAGATTCATTTGAGCATTAGTCTTTCCAGGAAGGTAACCACTATCAATGATCTTTGCCCAATTGCCAATACCGAATTTCATAAGAGCCTTTCTTAATACTTCTGATTCATTTTCGGTCCAACCAGGTGATAAGGTACAATTCCATAAACTTGCTGAATCATTCGAACGTAAAACGTTACGAGCACCAGCTTTCATGCTTCGTGGTTTAGGTGTAGATGGTGAAGGCATAGTATATAAATAAAAAAGAGTGATTAGAAAGAAAACAAGTAGGAAAAATAAAAGAAAAAAAAAAAAGAAAAAAACGCGCTGGCGCTGTTTTTTTATGTTGAAAAAAAAACACTCGCGTCTAGCGGATATTCAAATTGCAGGAGAAGAAGAAGAGGGGAAAAGCAAAAAAAAAGGTTTCACCTTTGTTTCCATTACTTTTTTTTTCTCTCATGACCTCTTACCTCCATACATTCCCTCTTATTGCTCCTGCTGATGAAAAAGGATTTATTTATCGTGGTTTTATTGAAATAAACGTAAGTTACCAATAGGTCCTTTTTCTAAAAAAAAAAAAAAAAAGAAGGAATCCCAATATTAACTATTTTATTATATTTATATATTCTGTTCCTTTTTTCCTTATCACTTATTGGAGTATAGCAAGTAGAACATTATATCGAACTCCATCTACCTCGTCCTCATTCAAACACCTCTGCCAATATTTATGGAAGTCATGAACTTCGAACTATCATATCTCCTTTTCAGTCTATCATACAATCTAGACTTGATCAATGTCAAGATGTCGGTATGTTCCTTAGCGATCTAAAAGATACCTTGGTAAGTTATCTTTTTTTTTTTTTTTTTTTTTACATGGAGAAATACACCTATTCTCATATGTCACCTTTTATCATTATTATTATTATTATTATTTTATTTCAATAGGAAAACATTTCCTCTCCTTCAGTGACTCATCATACACGTGTGAAACCTTCCTGGGAACGCTATGCTCTTATTTATGCTGAACTCAACACGATAGGCTATGATAAACTTGATTCGATGGACGATACGATGGATGAATTTATTTTTAAGTGTAAAGATCTTGGTGGACGACTACACACAATCAAAGCATATATCCCCCCACAATATCCCTTACAATCACCTGTCATCAAGGCTGAACTTCCTAGTGAAAAACATCATATTGGATATATGGATGATTCAAAAAGGGATATCACAACATCGACAATCACAACAACAACCTCTCATTCAACAACAAATCATCAGTCCTTATCAGCACTTTTAGATCGTACACTCCAGGCATTGGACAATTACCAGTTATTTTTCTCTACAATGGATCAATTGGACCAGCAAACTCGTGTGATTGATCCTGATCACCCATCAAGGGCTGATACCTGGCGACGCATTGCATTAGGAAATCACTGTTCACTACAAATAACCATTCAAGATCCATCCCAACCTACAAAGTATATACCCATCGTACGATTTTTTGGTAATGAAAAGAAGGTATTGCCTTTCCAGCAAGCATGGCATCAATTCATCAACGCACAACAATGGCAGCCAGATATATCTTTGGTGGAGAATTTGACACGCGCCCTGCCTTCCGTATTACGATCAAAGTACACTACATCGTCCGATAGGATAATGGACACGGCCACAAAAGAGCAAGATGATGATATGGCTTGTGCTATTTGTTATGCTTACAAATTGGTTCAATCTACCGGTGATGATGGAAGCACTGACAAGAAGCACCAAGAGACTCCTGATACCATTTGTACTAATCAACAATGCAACCGTGGATTCCATCCCTCTTGTCTTTTTGAAGTATGTTTTTCCAAAAAGAAGAAAAAAGCAAATGTTATTCATCTATTGATCACTATTTTTTTTTTTTTTTTTGCTCTTCGTAGTGGCTTCGATCCAATCCCACAACAACAAGAAGCTTCAATGTATTGTTTGGTTCATGTCCTTACTGCAACAATGTAAGTGATTGTAAAGGCAAAAAAAAAAAAAAAGAGTTTATTTATTTATAACTGATAACTATTGTTTACATGCACAATAGAAAATCACAATCAAGGCGATTCTATAAAAAAGAAAAATTATACAAAATGAAAGAAAAGGTGAACTTTATCATACTTAAGGTGGTGATGGCATGACAGCTACAGATGACTACGTGACATCATGACCAAGGGAAATGTCTACAAAAGAACGTATTGGCGAACTTGACATCATGATACTATTTTATTATCGAGCGTGGATGATCATAGGCAGGCAGACACATGAAATCATCGGACATAGACTCAGCCATACATGGATGCAATAGATCAAAATCACATTGAAAGGTCACCACACGTTTTGCACGACGTACAATACCATCATGCGAAAGACATGGAAATGTTAATGCTAGATGTACCAACAAAAGATGTTCGACTTTGATGTTGGCGATTGGACTAGTTTCAATGGATGGAACAAGACATCCTCCTGATGATGATGATGATGTGGTATCTGGTATTTTGTATTGGAATTCACCTTCATAGAGTGTACCACCAGCATGCATGGATGATGGAAATGGGGTAGACTGATAATGACATGACAATGGAATGGTGCGCGAAAACGATTGGGATGATGTATTATTTTTGATGGTGAAACGCTGAACAATATGCATGGATACCAAACCAAGTTTCAATCCTCGAATCATTGGGGCAAGACGGATAGACAAATTGAGGGTGGATGTCATCGCGGCAAAACGTTTATCAATGATCACTCGGTATTGACACCAACGATTAGTATGTTTCCGGGAATCTATACTGGCAAGCATATTGTCACTACTGAACAGATTACCTTGGGTCGGTAGCTGTACAATGATGACTGGTTGCGCAAATGATGTCAAGGTCTCTGTTTTCTTTCTCTTTTTGGTATAGTCGTTCTGTTGCTGATATTCTAAAACAGCCTTAACTTGGTATTTGACTTGGAACTCCGGGCATTGTAACGTTGGTATCCATGATGATGATTCAGTATCTAATGGCATTTCAAACATAAATCTAGTCTGGTCGTTTTCTCCTTGAACAAACAATGGTATGGATGGATCATGACTGCCAGAATATGAAGGTGGAGATGGGAATATAGGTAAGGAACGATGGGCAAATTCTTTTTGACATGAAGCATCTAATAGGTGGATTGTTATTATGGATGAGAAAAAAAAATCATGATCTTCACCTTTTTTTTTTTTTTTACTATTATTATTAGATAGTGGTCCTTACTTGAATGATCAAGATGATAGTTTAGCCTGCCATTGAAATCAAGACGCAAAGATGAAAGGATACTGGGTTTTTTAAACTTGATTTCGACAACTCCACGAAGGACTGGATGATGACCATGATGCGTATATAGAACGGATTCTAATAATTGGATAGAAATACACGGTTGTTGCTGGCATTGCTGATATTGTTGTTGTCGACTTGTGTTGATGATTTTTGGCCAGAATTTGGATACCATATCTAGTATAGTGACCTTTTTTTTTACAAAAGAAAATGAATGATCTTGATTTATATATTGTAGATACAAAAGAATTGGATGATGATGATAATAATAAAATGATTTTTTTTTTGGAATATACACTGTTTTTTTATTATGAATACAAAGAAAAACAAGGAAATAGATGGATAAATATATACAGGAACAGAGTAAAAGAAAAAAAAATTCAAAACAAAAGGGTCTAAATAAATAAGCTAATGGCGGGGAAGAACGAGGGGGGGACAAGTAGCGGCAAGGAGATCTGAATATCAATCTAAGGCACCCATTTTCGCAGTTCACCCAATCAATACACATGACAGAAGATTAAATGATTACCCCTTCCGAACCAAGCAAAGAAGCCAATTGATCTTGTCTATGCAGGGCTTCGATTTCCGCCGCACCACCAATCGATTTACCATTCAAGAATATATTAGGGAATGTGTATCGTTCCGATAGTTCACCAAGGGCTTGTTTCAACGCACTAGCATCCTCTATCATATCCAAAATAAAATGAAGTTAATGGATTGGTCAACACAATGCAAAAGAAAAAAAAAAGATAATATTTACCTCGTAGATCCACTTCCACAATTTGATATGGAGTTTTGTATGTAAAGCTGTTCAAGATGGCTTTGGCTTTTTTCGAATATCTTTTTCATGATAAGGAAGACGAAAAAAAAAAAAAAAAAAAACGTAAACTAAATGATACCATCCTTTTTTTTTTATTAGGGTATTCGTTCACTTACGGACAATATGTTTTGGAGAAAACGACAAGTGGATGAGAACGGATCAAGGCTTCCACTCTGGTTTTGACTGGATCAGCTAATGGAGTAGGTGAATGTATGATTGTTGTTGTGATAGTAGTGGTCATAATAATAGTATCACTGTTGTTGCTGTTGATATCTTTACTAGATAGTTTGTAGTTAAACCAAGATGGATTGCTTGCCTTGTACCCTAACCAACCTAGAATGGCAAAACATGATAGGAACAATAATATCAACACCATAGATTTCCGACGTCGACCACTCACACGTAGTCTGGCTGCTTTTCCTTGTCCATATTTTTCAATATCTTGTACATTGTAAGGTAAGATCATGATTAGGAAAAAGAAAGAATAAAAAAAAATCAGTGTAGAAGAAGGAAAAGAAATAAAAAAAAGTGGGCTGAGAATAAAAGTGCAAGTGTTAGCTATTGTCCTTTTTTGGAGATCCTCTATCCTCTTTTTATTTTTATTTTTATTTTTTTACGAATATAATCTAGTATGTCTAATAATATCATTCTGTTGGATAAGAACGACCCTTGTTTGTCTATGTATTAAATAAAAGAGAATTTCTGCATATTTTGTGAAATATATATATAAAGATTAGAGATACTATACTATTGACAAGACATAACAATCATTGTTCAATGGATGACATATTCAAGGGATCTTTTCTACTAAGATGATGAAGTGTCAAGAATGTAAAAGATTTAGTATACTATTGTCCTATTCAAAGTGTACATGTAAAAAAAAAAAAAAAAAGGATGATATATCTTTGGTTTATTGAAGAAGATAATAGATACTATATCATAAACTATATCTACATATATCCCCCATTTAAGCATTATCCTTCATTTGACGTAATCGGCCCAAAACATCAATGTCCGTGAGTTTAGCCGCATCTTCATGATGTTTGATCACAGCTTCTCTTACCGTTGATTCATGTACACGCAAAAATGGATTCTAAATAATAATAATAATAATTAGATATATATAAAAGAGGATGATAAAATAAAATCAAAATGATAGATTAATTACCGTCAAAGATTCATTCAAAATAGTAGAAGGAGTAGTGCAACCGACACGTTTTGCCCAGTTGAGCTTTTGTTGTAAATGAGAATTGTTGGGTTCGACTTTGGAAGCAAAATTGCAATTGGCGACGGTGTATTCATGACCAAAGTAGACATTCGTTTGTTCCGGTAAATTTTTAAGTTTTGAGAAAGCTTGATCCATATCTTTAGGGGTTCCTTCAAAGAATCGTCCGCAACCAGAAGAGAACAAGCAATCTCCTGTGAATACAGCTTTCTCGTCTTCATCCTGTACGTAATAACACACATGATCCATGGTATGTCCCCTTGTCAAAAAAGGTTGAATCTTCAAATCACCTATTTTGATCAAATGCTTGTCACTTTCAATCACTTCTGTTACCCCTTGTACTTGTTTTGAACCACCGTATACTGTCAATCCAGGTCGTTTCTTCAATAATTTTGTATTTCCACCTGCATGATCCCAATGATGATGTGTTGTCAATACTCTATCCATATAATAATGATAAGTGAGTACCAATACACACACACACATATATATATATATATATATATATATATAGTCGTCCTATTTTCTTACATACGTTGTCAATTTGTAATCAGGATAGTCCTCCAAGGCAGTTAGGACGTTATCAGGTTCTACAGGATCGACCACACCAGCTAGTAAAGTAAAATAAGGAATGAAAAAAAAAACTCATATTTATATCAGTTGAAATAACTTGTCAATGCTTGATATTACCTGTTTTTGTTTTTTCATCGAGTAAAAGATATGAATAACTAAAAGCCAACTTGGGTTAGTCATCACATAATACTAGTAAAAAAAAAAAAGGTTGGATGGTGAGAATAAAAACTTACTTATCTTTAAGACAAGGTACGGGTTTGACAATCATATTGTAAACAAGAGAAGTATGGAATGTACGTGTTGAGAAAGATAGAATACGTTTGTGACCTGTTGTATTAGAAAAATATCTCATTAGAGAGAGAAGAAAAGAAAAAAAAGAAACAACGCGCGTAAAATAAAAAATAAAAATGCCGCTAACTCGAAATCTGCTGTTTCACACCAAGTAAAGAAAAAAAAAAGGCATCTGGGCTGCGACTATTGATCACCAAAATTTGAAATTATCATTTTAAAGTTTTTTAAGAGTTCGATTATCTTTCCAACTACTACGCATTTGTATAAGATGATCGGACATATAAAAAAAACCATAAAATACTCACGGTGTGCTGAAACATGGTGAGAAAAAAAAAAAAAGTAAAAAGAGGAGGGGATTTTTTTTATTAATATTTTGGAATATAAGAAAAATAATTCTAGGGGATCAGGTACAAAAAAATAATAATAATAATATATAAAAATAATGATGATGTATTGTATCTACAAAAGAGATTCACCAAGACAACATCTTGCTAAAGAACAACCAACTTGTACAGTGTTAAATGCAGATTCTTCAGATTCCAGAGCAGGATTCACTTCCATAATATCAGCTGCAACAAGTAATCCAGTTTCTGCCAAAGCTTCACAAATATAATGACCTTCTCGGAAAGTTAATCCACCACGTACAGGAGTACCCTAAAAAAAAAAAAAAGAATAAGTAAAGAGAAAAGAGTTCAATCTGAAAATACATACAGTGCTAGGGGCCACAGAAGGATCCAAAGCATCAACATCAAAGGAAAGATGAATAGGAAGGTCTCGATTAGGATTGATATGATCCAAACAAATTTCCACACACTTTCCAATACCCCACTTATCAACATGATGCATAGATAAAGCCTTGATGTTGTTTTCCTTTAAAATCTTCTTTTCAGCATCATCCACATCACGTAAGCCAATGTAAGCCAATCGTCCAGTTTGTAAAACAGGTTTTACCCAAGCAAAATCAGGATGATCTGTAGAAAGACCAGTCAAGAAGGATAAGGGACAACCATGGATGTTACCAGAGTCAGTTGATTCAGGTGTATTAATATCCTATAGGGTACAAAAAATAATAATAATAATAAAAACACAAAGATCTAATAAGTACAACATGACCCTATTCATCCCCCCTCTTTTTTTTTAATTTTTTTTATTTATTTATTTTATTTACTGTTTACATAATCTTAACTTACAGCATGAGCATCCACCCAAATCAAACAGGCATTAGGATAAGCAGCGAAAACACCAGAGACTGTAGCCAAAGCAGCAGAATGATCACCACCCAAAGTCAAGACGAAGTTATCTTGTTTAGCACGTTGTTCAATTTGTCCAGCCACCTTCTGGGTCACTCTAGATACAAACTTTGGATTCTTGAGGTTTTGCACAACAGGATCTTCAGCAGGTTTCAAAGAATCTAAATCTTCATTTGCTTCATAATCAACATGGTAACCCATTTCTTCCAATTGATTAGCCAAACCAAATTCAACAAGACGGATAGGTCCAGTTTCTACTCCCAAATTGGGTTGTCCACCAGAAAAAGGAATGCCAACAATAGATACCTTTTTGCTAGTTAAGAATTTGTTTTCAATAGTCATTTTGGATGTGAGTATAAATATATAAAAAGAGAAGAGAGAGAGAAAAAAGGGACAAAAAAGGACGCTTGAGCTTTTTTCTTTTTTATACCTCTTTTTGCTAGGCATTTCATTGGCAGATTGAAACAACGCTGGTCAACCATATTCTAGTGGTATGCATGACGCATTTGGTAACTGTTCCTAGCCAATCATTCTACCGTGAGAAAAAAAAACGGATTGGATCTCAAAGACACCGCCAAAAATACCAAAGACCACCAATCCGGGTTCAGAATTTATTTTATCTATCTATGATTGGCATCAAGTAAAAAAAAAAGTCAGTGAGTAAATCTTCTAGTTAAATCAAAACGTTTCAAATTTTCTTAAAATGAAAGATGAAAACGGAAGGATGGATGGTTGAATAATGGATGATATATGATGATGATGGAACGATGAATGATATAAATGATAAATGATATGTGATATTGGATGATATTGTGATGATGGACAATGTTTACCATATAACGTAAAAAAGCTGATAACTAAAAAAAAAAAAAATGATGCTTTTCAGACTGTTGCGAATCTTTTTAACATGTTTATAAATGTCTTGTACGTTGAACCTATATGATATTTGTATGATGATAATGAGACAATGAATATAGAGAAGGAAGATAAAAAAATAAAATAAAATAAAAAAAGAATGGATTCACTATGTCACCCAAATTTTTTTTATTCATTTGTATTCAAATAAGTTACAAGTAATGAGAAAGAGAAAGAGGTCATATAAAAAATAAAGTATAACTACAAGATCAAATAAAAAAAAAATATAAAAAAAAGCCTAGCCAGCTTAAGCCCGTTTCTTCAAATAGACAAGGAATAAGAAGATCAAGATAAGAATAGTCTTAATAGGACCACGGTTTCGTTTAAGATACACAATATAAGGATGGGTCACCATAAAGTTGCGAAGAATAGCATCCCGAGAAGAGTTGTAAGGAGGATAACGAACCTTGTTGATAAATTCAAGTTTTTGTTTCTTTTGCAAGATGGCACGTTCATGAGTAAAGGTATTGAAAGAACGATGACCATGGTAGTTGCCTACACCAGAGTTACCAACACCACCAAATGGTAATGCGTATTCTAAATAATAAATAAATAGAACAGGTTAATAAAAAGAAGTCATCATTCTTTGTATGCACTTTACCAGCTTGATGCATCAATGTATCGTTAACACAGACACCTCCAGATTGAGTGTTTTGTAAGACTAAACCAAAAATAGAAAACAGTATAGAATCAATTATCGTGTAACGTTGATAGCACACCATATATTAAAACCTTACCTTGTTCAATAAGCTTTTGTTTCTTGCTAAAAATATATAACACAAGAGGAGGAGGACTATGGTAAAAAAAAAAAAAATATATCATTGATCAATATTACTGAACAAATAAGATAAATCAAATGAATGGACTTACTTTTTCTTGATCAGAGTGATGGCTTCATCCAAATTATTATAGGTAATAACAGGAAGTACAGGACCAAAGATTTCTTCACCCATCAAAACATCATCATTAAATTTGACATCCGTGATTAAAGTAGGAGCAATATACCGGGAATCACGATCAACATCACCACCAAAAACAATACCTCCAGATTTTCGATTTTCAATAATACCAGCAATACGATCCACGTGACGCACAGACACAAGTCGAGCATAATCCTTGGAGTTTTTGGGATTTTCACCGAACCATTCCTTGATTGTCTTTCGGAAAGCATTAGTAAATTCATCCAGACGAGCGGCAGGACAAAGAACATAATCAACAGCAATACAAATTTGACCACAGTTGTAGAATTTACCAAAAGCAATACGATTGGCTACCAGTTGTATATCAGCATCTTCAGTAATGACCGCAGGACTAGAATATAGCAGTAAAAAGAAATATCAATATAAAATAAACATTAAGCTTCCCTTTTTTTTTTTTTTTTTTGAAGGCATCAAAAAAACTTACGATTTTCCCCCCAATTCCAAGGTAACGCCAGTTAAATGTTTAGAAGCAGCAGCCATAACGATTTTACCCACATTAGGACTACCAGTATAAAATATATGATCAAATTTTTGAGTCAACAAAAAAGTAGTTTCTTCCACAGCACCATTAACCACACGATAAAGAGCATTGTTGAGATAACGAGGGATCAATTCAGTAAGTAAAGCAGCAGTATAGGAAGATATTTCAGATAACTTGAGTACAACAGCGTTACCAGCAGCAATAGCACCCACTAGTAGAAAAAAAAAAGGAAAAGAAAAGAAAAGGAAACGCGTATTTTTAAATATATAAGTGATTCATTTAGATAATATACAGATGATATATTATTTTCTTATCTTACCTAATGGAACAAGGGATAATTGAACAGGATAATTCCAGCAGCCAATAATAAGTACCACACCAAGAGGATCTCTACGCACCTTGACAGTGTCCATAGCATGCATGCCAAGACGAGGTTTGACTTTTTCTTCTTTAGCTAAACGATCAAGATTCTATAATTCAAAACAAAGAAGTTAATATTCTAAATATATATATATATATATATATATATATAAATAAAATATATTCTTCTTAAGTTTACGTCTAAAAAGTATAAACATTCTTCGAGAACAGGAGCAATATCACCACTAAGAGCTTCACTACGAGGTTTATTCATATCCTTTGCCAAGGCTTCATAAATGCGTTCTTCATTATCTTTAACAAGATCATAAAGTTGTTGAATTTGCAATTTTCGGAAAGACAGAGGTCGTGCTTTACCTAGATAACATTAAAGAAATATAGATCAATTTTAAGTTTTTGTTTGATATATTTTTTTTTCTTACCAGTGTCAAAGTTTACACGAAGATATGAAACAGAGTCTTGAATACTATCAAAAGTAGAATAAGTAAGAGGAGAAGACATTATAATGATGACAAGAAAAAAAAAAGAGTGGAGAAAAGAAAAAGAAAGAAAAAAAAAATTGAAAATAAGATTATATGATGGGGTCAGTCGTACATGTGAAAAAGTCCAAAGTCATCGAAAATTGAACTGATTTGGAAAGTCAGTGAGACTGAATCCCGGAAATCTTTCAAAAAAGAAAAACATAAAAAATAAATAAAAAAATAAAATTGAATAAAGTGTATAAGTTAAATTGATTTATTATATACAAAAAGGCAAACTATAAATTTGGGAACATAAAGTGGTCTATATAGACCATATATATAAAACTATCATAAAAGGAATGATGGAAGAAGAAAGGATGCATGAAGGGAATAATTAAGTATAGCTAACAAATGAAAACCTAGTGTAGTAAAGATGATGATGATGATGCAGAATGACAAAAAAAAAAAAAAAAAAGGGAGAACAAAGCGGATGATAATGACACAAATACACACAAACAAAAGGAAAGTAAAAACTTGGATATTTCTATACTATAGAACAGAAGAAATTGTGAGTTGGCCAAATAGTTGTATCACTTAAAAGAAGAGTGCCTTTGTAAAAAAGCCTGTCGGAGAATGGCATTGGCATGATCATACAGATCGACTCGATCACACTCCATCCTATTTAAATCACTGGATCCTTGTTGAACATATCGTTCAAAATGTACTTCATGAAGGAGTTGATTGATATCGGTATATGAGGTGTTCAGTTTCTGTTGATCAAAATATTCTTTCTGTATCCGATGTTGATCTGGTTGTCTTGTACTAATAGTGAATCGTTTTAAAGTTGGTATTGTACTTGTTCCAGCATTTGATGTTGGTAATTGAGAGGAAGGCAAAGGACTGTCTACAGCAATCGGTGGACTGGGTGGAAACTGTGAATAATGTTCAAGATAAGATAAAGAGTGAGGAGGTGATCTAAATAAGAGAAATTAAAAAAAAAAAGGAACCATAAATAAAACAATCAAGTAAAATACAAAACCAAAAATCAAAATAAAAAAATACAAGGACGCTTACGGAGTAGTGCTAAGAGGGATGTTTTTGAAGCGTTTGCTGTTGTGAATGGTATCAGTCAGGTCATCGATTGAGGATTGACGTTTCAAAGAATTGTACATAGCAGATAGTCCATAAATACTTGGTATATATAACAGAAAGGTAGATATAAAGAAAGAATGGAAGGAAGGAAAGTTGGAAAAAGAGAAAAAAAAAAAAAAGTTGAATGCGTGGACTTTTTTTTTCACCACCCGCTTGGAGTAGGAAAGGTGCCATATCTATTTTTCAGGCTTTGTCCATTTTTTTTTTTTTTTTTTTTTGGATTGTGATAGCAATCTAATAAATTATTTGCTTGTTGTCATCAATCATCATTGATATTTTACCGTTATTCTCATAGGATTATCTTTTATTCATCGTACCATCTCATCATTATCTCTTATTGTCCATCATTGTCACATTTTGTTGTAAAAATGGAGAAATCTATCCTATTTGTTCATCATGCATTTAAGCGGGAGAGTAAAGTTTGTCTTTTCGTTTGTCGCTCATCGTCATCGTATCAATTTTGGATTGAACGTGGATGAAATTATTTTCTTTCACTTAATAACAATTTATACGTTACCTTCAAGTTTATAGAGTAAATTAAAAATGACAAATATTATCATCTCACATCCAATATTGATCATCCTTTAATAAGACTACCCACTATTTACCTCTCTAAAAAATAGTCTAACATCATCTAATCTTACTTTATCGCTTATCCTAATGCACAATAATCACCAAAAAAAATGTCATCGGTTTTTCGAAAAATTGCCTGATGATCCTTCTGATGATTGATTTTTACAGTCAAGTTTGTGTTGAGGAATTGGAAATTTTTGGCTGTAGAATCTAAAAATTTTCAAAAAAAAAAAAAAGGATGAATCCACAGTCCTAAATAGTCCTAATCATCAATCAAGCCCTTTTTTTTTTTTTTTTTTTTTTTTTGGAAAGAATGGTTGAAAATCATGTTTGGCATTCCGTGATTTTTCGGCTTATGAGTGATGATGTCTGTCAAAAGATGACAAAAGCGGTTTTTGGTAGATTTGTGTGATATAATAAATTAGCATATGTTCCGGTGATTACTCGATATGGTAAATACCCTTTTGTTACTAAACGATTTGGTTCATCGATAAACGATCATAACTAAAAGATCAATGTTTGATATTTCAAGCTGTTTGACCATGTATGGATTAGCATAATTAAAAAAAAAAAAAAAAGAAGGGGCGCACATTTATTACTTTTTGTTATCATCGATCAAATAGAACGGTGCAGCTTCAAATCCGAAAGACCCGATAAAGACATGACGTCAATGTCTTTGTTAAAGATACATTTCTCCACGTATACTTTTTTTGATAGGGGGTTTTTTTTTTTATCTCAGAAAAAGACGCTAATCCCTCCCCCTTTCTATCACTCATTCCCCCAGTCAATTTAGCGGAAATAAGAGAAACGTCATGATGAACGAGATCATTCGTCGCATCTCAACAAAAAAAAAAAAATATTAGTTGGGTAGAATCTAAAAGCGGAGATGATTTTTTTTAGTCACTCTACAGGGTATCAAAGAACCCATATTTGGAAAACAAGAGAGAAAATGGTAGATAGTGATTCATACTATTGAAATAACACGATGATCACGTATACAACGTCCTCATATCTTTTTTTTTTTTTTTTTTTTTTTTTTTACTAGATGATCTATTCTTGATATTCAATATATTTTAATTTCATTTTTCCTGTTTTGACTTCAAATGATTATCATAGTTTTTTTGATAAATATCATAAAAGTGAATAAAAGGGCCCTGGATTTCTTTCTTATCGCGGAGAAACTAGCGGCGATATCAGTTGCGATTAAAAAGAAAAAAAAAATGGTGCTAGATTATCATCATTTTTGCAATCAAGGATCATATGGTAATTGTTGGAATGAATTGTCATAAGAGTATTAAAGTGATAAATAGAAAAAAGTGATGAAAAATAGGAAAAGAAGTAAAAAAGGGAAGAGAGGATGATTTTATCACTAATATGGTAAATGAACTGAGAGATTTTTTAAACCTTCAAGTGATTGGTAAGAAGAATTTATTTACCCATTTGACAATATTTCCAATTGAAAGAGGAAATGCGTGTGCGTCTTTAATAATTAAAGTTATTTTCAGGCACTCCCCGACAAGTGTTACTAGCCACTAAAATAAAGTGATTCTATGCTTTGACTCTCCGACTGCACCATTGATATAAAAAAAAAAAAAAAAAACTTTCTTTTTATAAAACGTTCCTTTTTTCTTTTTCTTACTTACATCAAAAGAATCTTTTTTTTTATTTACTTTATCTTTATAATTCTATATCAACACCATGCCTCTCGAAAAAGTTTGTATTATTGGATCCGGTAACTGGTAAAGTATCATATCATTCAAAACAAAAAAAGTGATTTAGAAAGCTTATCTGTTTTTATATATCGCAGGGGAAGTGCTGTTGCCAAATTAATCGGTATCAACACACAACGACATGGTGACTTGTTTGAAAAAACTGTACGTCAATGGGTCTTTGAAGAAAAAGTGAATGGTGAAAACTTGACTGATATTATCAACCGTGAACATGAAAATGTCAAGTATCTCGAAGGAATCAAGTTGCCTGAAAATGTAGTTGCCATTCCTAATGTGGTCGATGCCTGTAAGGATGCCACTCTTGTTGTTTTTGTTGTACCTCATCAATTCGTCCGTGGTGTTTGTGAACAAATGAAGGGTCACTTGGCTCCCAATGCTCGTGCTATTTCTCTTATCAAGGGTCTCGAAATTACTTCCTCTGGTACTCGTCTCTTTTCTGAAGAAATTGAACGTATTTTGAGTATTCCTTGTGCTGCTTTGTCTGGTGGTAAGTTTATTTTGTATATGATTTTATTGATTGTTTTATTAATCACTTTTTTTTTTTAAAAAAAAAAAATTAAAATAGCTAATATCGCTAATGAAGTGGCCTTAGAAAAGTATTGTGAATCTACTGTGGGTTGTCCTAATGTTGAAGATGGTCAAATTTTCTTCCGTCTTTTCGATACTGAATACTTCCGTATCAATGTTATTCAAGATCATGTTGGTGTCCAATTATGTGGTGCTTTGAAGAACGTTGTTGCTGGTAAGATAAGAATGAAAAACATGATTGGGAATGAATGGATATATTGATTATTTTTTTTTATTTTATTTACAATGATTGATCATCATAGTCGGTGCTGGTTTTTCTGATGGTTTGGGTTATGGAAGCAATACCAAGGCTGCTATTATTCGTCGTGGATTGATGGAAATGCGTAAGTTTGGACAAATGTTCTTCGGTGATATGGTGCAAACAGAAACCTTCTTTGAATCTTGTGGTGTTGCCGATTTGATTACTACTTGTTCTGGTGGACGAAACCGAAAGGTAGCTGAAGCTTTTGTTACTACTGGAAAACCTATTGATGTTTTGGAAAAGGAATTGTTGAATGGACAAAAGTTACAAGGTACTCTTACATCTATGGAAGTCAATGAATTCTTAACAGCTCGCAACATGACCGCCGAATTCCCATTCTTCACCACTGTCTATCGTATTGTTTATAAAAATGCTCCTGTCGAATCCATTGTCCGTGACATTTAGATGATCTGATTTATTATTTTTTAGATTTAGACTTTTTTTTTTTTGCATTAGACACTTATTATAGACTCTACTACTATATTTTACTTCATTTCATCCATTTATATTCATCCATTCCCATCCTCCTTTTTTTTTTTTATGCTTTTTGATTTCATCCTCTTTTCTTATTGATTATCATGGACTAGAGTTTGAGATCAAACAGAGTTTTTTTTTCCCCCTCTTCATTTTGTACCTGTACATAGTTTACCGCTCGATCATCACTGAAAATAAAAGTTTTTTTTTCAGAAACAAAAAAAAAAATATGAAAATGTGTCCATCTGTTGTTATTTTTTTCACAAAAAAAAAAAAAATACACAAATTCCCTTTATGACCATATGATGATTTCTAAAAACGATGTATTTATGCATCACGAAATGGTTTAAACAAAATTCCGATCTTTATGCTAGGGTATGATTGTTTCAATAGCACCGACTTTGGTTTCAAAACTTTCCAACTGGGTATAAAAAATACCTTTTTTTTCTTTATCTCTCTCTCTCTCTCTCTGTAATTAATCATCATCATGTCAACACAAATCATCAATGGATTTACTACTACTGAAATTCCTGGCAAGTTCAAAGTGGCAACCAGGAACCCTGAAAAATTGAATGAGAATGATATTTATATCGAAATCCAAGCCGCTGGGGTGTGTCATACTGATTGTCTATTTTTTGGCATGAAAGATAAAGTACTTGGTCATGAATCTGTTGGGCGTGTTGTTGCTACTGGATCCAATGTGACAGATTTTAAAAAAGGAGATCGAGTTGGGTAAAATTATTTTTATTAAAATGAATGGTGATATATTTTGTTTTTCCTTTTTTTTTTTTTTTTTTTTTTTTTTTTTTTTTTTTTTAGATGGTCCTACTTAAAGTCAAGTTGTATGCATTGTGATTATTGCGTCAGTGGACAAGATATCTATTGTCCAGAAAGAGTAATGTTCCCTGGTGATGATAATAACAATGGTTTTGCTGATGGAGTAGTAGTGGATGCTAGGTAAAATAAATATATAAAATATATATAAAAAAAAATAAAAAATAAAAAAAAGAGCTCATATCATTATTATATCCTTTTTAGATTTGCTTATCATATTCCATCTGAAATTGAATTCAAGTATGCTGCTTCTTTGATGTGTGCTGGTGCTACTGTTTTTAATGCACTTTATAGTTATCAAGTAAGTCCTACTCAATCCATTGGGGTAGTAGGTATTGGTGGTTTAGGTAAATCATTCATCTACATTATTATTTTTTTTTTTGGATGTATTTGAACATTTTTTTTTTTTTTGAAAAAGGTCATCTTGCTCTTCAATTTGCTAATAAATGGGGATGTAATGTCACTGCAATCTCTGGTAATCCTTCCAAGAAAGAAGAAGCTATCTCGTTTGGTGCACATCATTTCCTTGATTCAAAAGAATTTGGTAAAGAAGGATTCTTTGAAAAGGTTGAAAAGTTTGATATGATCTTGAACACTACTAGTGCAGATCTTCATTATGATGATTATTTAAAGCTATTGAAACCGTAAGTCTTAACTCGAAGTTAAATATTTTTAATTAATGAAATTTAATTTTAGGAAAGGCAAATTTTTGGTGATTGGTGTCCCTTCTAAACCTATTGAAATTAAAAACTTATTTGGAGTGATTCAAAATAGTTGGAGTTTAGCTGGTAATTTGGTAGGTGGTAGAGACACTCTCCGAGAAATGTTAAAATTTGCTGCTCGTCATCAAATTAAACCCAAGATCGAAGAGTACCCATTTGTAAGTTCTTTTCTTTAACTAGTATCATTTCTTTTTTTATAACTCAATTACTTTTTTATTTTTATTTTTTAATATTGTAGACAATTGAAGGATTGGAAGAAGCGTTTGATCGATGTGAAAGGAGTAAAGTAAGATATCGAGCAGTTCTTGTTAAAAAATAATAATAAAAAAATATATGCAAATTAGCATCGGTACTTCAAAAGAGATGCTTTGACATAATGTATATGCCTACTTTGTAAAGTGATGTGATACAAAAACTATGATTTTTGACTTTTTATTGTTTACGATCTGAAAACATCAAAGGGGGTGATAGAACACACTGTTTATAAAATAGTAGTAGTAGACCGATTTTGAATCCCGTGATCAAAAAAAAAAGGCACCTGGTTCGGTATTCCATTTCCTTCTCTTTCATTTTTTTTTTTTTTATATCAACTATATATTTTTTTTTTTTAGGACATGATACAAGAAATACAAATTCAACCTCGAGACGTTTATGAACACTTTATTCATGTCAAACAACCTGGTACAACTCTTCATTGGACTTTTACAACGAAAAAGAAGAATATCCATTTTGGTTTGTTTTATCGTCCAGGAACTCAAGTCATCACAACTACCTCTACTGGCTTATCAACAAGATACCAAGATCAATCTCAAACTTCTATAGATGAGAGAAATAATACATTAGAAAGTAAATCGAGTTTTGGTTCCATAACTACAACAAACAATGTTTCAGGTCTAGGCATTCTTCTTCACCCTACTGCTACATCACCAACAACTGCAACAACAACAACAACGCCAACAATAGGAACAGTCAAACTAGGAAACAATATCGGTGATAACACTTTATCAATAAACCATCGGACCAACAAACGCTTATCTCAAGCTTCTTCCCTTCACCAACAACGAAGAAAGTCAACTGCAACTTTACATTTGATTGGAAACCAGTTTCAAGAAATCATTCCTATCAGTCATACTCCTTCTTCTGAAGAAAAAATTCATGGCTCTTATACTGTACCTGAACCTGGTAATTGTGTTTTGATATTCGGTAAGTCCTACTTTTCTATTGATATTGGATATACATTGAATGGTATCAAGAGTAGGGAAAGAACAGGATTTATTCTTTGATCTCCTAGAACTGGGTGAGGGGCATATTGAATTTTTTTTTTAATTCACTTTTTATATTCTACTATGTAGATAACACATCATCTATCAATACACCTAAAATATTACAATTTACTGTGACAAGTGATGAACCTATGCAAGAAGAAGAAACTGCAACATTGGATGGATCGCATGAAATGGCAGGATTTTTATTGAAGAAACGGCGTAAACGAATGCAAGGTAAGATCAAAAAAAAAAAAAAAAAAAAAAAAAAAAAGGAGACGCAATGACAAGATGGGAAGAAAAAGGGATGAACATATTATTATCTCCTCTTTTCAAAATATTGATTCTTTTTTTTTTTTTTTTTTTTTTTTTGTTCACAATATTTTTCTTACTGTCATGAAATAGGATGGGCAAAAAGATGGTTCGAATTATTACCTGGTGGATCATTATCTTATTCAGTCAGTCCTGGGGGTATCAAACGAGGATCAATACACATCACTATGACCATGATTACTATTTATCCAAAACAACGCACTATTCATCTAGATACTGGCACCACGGTTTACCATCTCAAAGCATTGACCAAAGAAGATTTCGACAGGTGGGTGGAATTATTAAGACGACAAAGAGCTATATTTCATCGGGATAAGAATACAGGTATCCTCGTTGATGGAGCATGGCTTTTACCAGATAATCGATATCGACTCACACCGAATCCAACACAACAACATATAAAAAACCAACCAAATGGAATCGATATTGTTGATAATGATGACGATGAAGATTCTGATATTGAAATCGATAGTGACTCTTACTTTGAACAGCATCATCTAGAACAAGATTTCCATCAAATGACCCATTATTTGGAATCCATACAAACAGAATTAAAACAATGCAGAAAAGCGTCAGCAAATGGACCACAGCTTTCTTCTACGGACAATAATTATAGCATACCTTCATCAGCTTCTTCATCCACTTATGGCAGTCCACTGACATCACCTACAGCAACAAGTAGCAAGCGTAGATTTACCTTTCGACGTGGATCTAATCAACACCAACAACAGCTTTCAATCACTACCGGTAACAATGATAGCCATGCGATCACGACAACTAACAACAATTCGGATATATCATCATCACCACATCAACAAAACGCTATGATTACCAGTGCTATTTTAGATCAATGGATTCAATCCGTACAGCGAATTATGGAGATCCGTGACAGAATGGAAGTGGAATACAATAGACAACATCATCATTGGATTAAAATGGAAAAACAATTTCGATATGGATCCAGAGATTACCAGAACCAAGTTTCCGAATTCGGCACGCCACGATCACGTAGTTTTTACTCTTATCATTCAACTAGTCAGTCTGATTTGTATTATGATGCTGAAGAATTTGAATTGATTCTGGACGAAGATGACGATGCAGACTTGGTTCAAGAAAATGAAGATACGGATGATAGTAGCTCTATTGAAGGTAAGTCCAAAAAAAAAAAAAAAAAAGAAAAGATCAAAACGTCAAAAAAAAAAAAAAACGAATAGTGATGTATCTTTTTCTTTTTTTTCTTAAAAAAAAAATACCTAATAGGAACTGTGTTGGTAGCACCGGCTACTGATTCTTCGATATCAACAAGCACTACAATCAAACCAGTTGACATATCTTTCTCTACAACATCATCAGCAGCAGGAATCCCAACAATAACAACATCAACGTCGCAGCAGCAACATCCACCAGCTTCGCCGCTACCAGGACCAACAACAACAATCTCATCCGTTATCAAACGACGCAAGATCTTACCACATCCAGTGGCTGGTAAAAGTGTCAACCTCTTGGGTCTTTTACGCAAAAACATTGGCAAGGATTTGTCCACGATCACGATGCCTATCAGTCTTAACGAACCTTTGAATTTATTACAGCGATTATGCGAAGAATTGGAATATTCGGAATTATTAGATAAGGCCAATAGAATGGATGATCCATTAGATCGATTGATGTATGTATCTGCGTTTGCTATCTCGGGATATGCATCTAGTCAATATCGGATTGGTCGCAAGTTTTGGAATCCTCTCTTATTTGAAACATATGAATGTATACGACCCGACAAAGGTTTCAAGTTTATATCTGAAAAGGTATCTCATCGTCCTAATATCATGGCGGTAAGTTGTAGAAATTACAAAAAAAAAAAAAAAAAATCTTTATATATATTTTATATATAGGGAGTGTTGAATAGAATCTCATTTTAACTGATATTCTTTATTTTTAAACTTAGTGTCATGCGGAATCAGATAACTTTACATTTTGGCAATCTACAGAAGGCAGTACCAAATTCTGGGGTAGGTATAAAGATCAGATAGAAATATATATATATATATCAATTCACTGTTATTCTTACTTGATTAGGCAAGTCCATGGAATTCATCTCGGAAGGAACAATTCATGTCACTTTACCAACATCTGGCGATCATTTCACATATACCAAACCAAGTAGTCATATGCGGAATATGATTTTCGGCACAAGGTACCTAGAACATTTGGGACAAATCAAGGTAATAAATCATAAAACTGGTGACTATGCAGTGGTACATTTCAAGGAAGCTAGACGACAAGACGGTGGTGATGGTTACTATTACTTTGGTGGTGGTACACAGTGGGAAAGAAATGAAGTGGAAGTCCTTTTGTACAAAAACAACAAATCAATGATGCAACCAGTACGAAAAATAGTGGGTAAATGGAGTCAATCATTATCCCAAGACCTTGGTGATCAGCAATATAAATTACTTTGGCAAGCACAACCCCCTACGATCGATACTCCTTCGGATTATTATGGATTTACTCAGTTTTGTATGGAATTGAATGAAATAACCGCCATTGAACAGGATTCTTTGCCTGTTACCGATACTCGTTACAGACCCGATCAACGTTTATTTGAACAAGGTAAATGTCATTTCGATATACCAACTCCTACCTCTTACTATTTTTTTTTTTTTTTAAATTTTGTAGGTCATGTGGATCAAGCAGAAAAGGAAAAGGAAAGAGTCGAGATAGCCCAACGTGAACGAAGAAATCATTTTGAAGCTCAAGGTATCATGCCAACACCAATTTGGTTTCAACAGAATGAACAAGATCCAAGTCAATGGGAATATAAAGGTGGTTATTGGGAGGCAAGAGCGTCTGGACAATGGCCGATCAATATCCCCACTTTATGGTGAATTTTTTTTTTTTTTTTTTTTTTGTATATCATCTATTAGAAATCCTTTTTTTATATATATTATCTTTGTTCATCATATGTATGTTATTCTATTGATTTATTTATTTGCTACCTTTTTTATTTTACTCATATCATCTAATTGTCATAATAAAAACTATTATCTTTTTTTACTATTAAATACAAACTAGATATTGAAAAAAAAATCCTTTCTATTTTTTTTTTTATTTTTATTTTTATTTATATATAAAATCAGTTCAACCAGTGAAACAAAAAAAATAAAAAAAAAAAAATAAAAAAAAAAATAAAAAAAAAAAAGACTATTCTAGATTGATTTCTATTTCTAATGAGATAGTTCCAAATCGGGAATGGCCAAGTCGTGTTGAGATGAGGAAGATGAGGAGGAGGAGGAGGAGGAGGAGGAGGATGAAAGAATGGATCGAGTACCGGAAGAGAAGTAGAGAGAAGAGGCAGCATCATCATACTGAGTACTTGTGGTGGATAGTCGTCGTGAGGATATATGGGACAAGGCATCATCGTATTCCGTATACATCGAAGCAATAGATATGCTATCATCATTACCATGCAAAAGATGCTGATTGTTGGAACTGGTGGGTAAAAGACTGTATCGTCGTGTCACTGTGGAAACCGATCCATTGCTGATAGTGCTGTCATCATCATCATCATCCGAGTCTTCATCATAAGTGTTGTCCATTTTGTCCGATATAATGATGGTATCCTTCGTCACTTGTTTATTCAACATCATACTGCTAGGTTCTGCATCCTGGTGATCCGATCTATGAATGCTGCTCTCCGCTATTTGATGTTTACCCGAGTTGATAGTATTGCTATTCCGTTCCATTGATGGCTGTTCTTCATGTGCTGCATTATCACCGCTACCGTTGTTGTTCTTGGTCTTAGTTGCAAGATCCATCGATGCTGACATAGACGTCGAGCCTTCTTCATGCTGATGATATCCATTAGACAATACAACCTGATCATCCGTTTGCACACTTGTTGCTGCTTTCATAGCTGTCATACTTTCGCCTACATGATCAGTTTCTTTCACCTTTTTCTTGTTATCATTGCCGTTCGATATTATCTCTTCATCGCAAATACTGTCATTGGCCGTTGTAGAGGATGGTGGCGGAAGAATGACCGGATCATTGTCCATAGTGATAGTAGATGAATGTATTTCATTATACGATGATAAAGATGCTGATGATAATGATGTAGTATTGTTCAATGGTAACGTGTTGGACAAAGAAGAGATAACAGAAGAAGCGGAAGAGGTTGATATTTTCTGATGTTGGGTTGTTACCGAAGATACCAAAGAGTCCATGGAGTAAGTTTCTTCCAATTGAGACGGGTTGTTTTGTTGTTGAAGTGTACGGGCAGCCGTTGGGCGTTTTCTAGATGGTGGTTGTCGTAGGGGTAGCTGTCGAGTAGCCATATCGGATAGAATGCGACACCAGGATACCATTTCTTCGTTGTTGTTCGCCTTGATCACGTATACTTTTTTATGATGATGATGAGCATCCGATCCAGCAGATGATAGAGAGCTGTCATTATCTATTTTCTCAGTGGTACGTCGAGTTGAAGGTCGCCTGATTTCAAAAGTACAGTCATCCAGAGAAGAGATAGTTGCATCAGGAATGTAGATAGAACGTTCAGGTATCACTTTGTCATCCATACGAAATTGATGTAGGTAACCACCTTGAGAAAGCACATACAACCTTTCACTGAATTTCATGCGGACACCACCAATATATCGTTGCATAGTCCCTTTCTTCAAAGTTACCACCTTGTCATGTAATTTATTGGCATAATAGATGTTGAGATAATTCTTGATCACTTGTTGTTCGTCCACCAAATCTTTTTCTTCTCGTTGGTAAAAATGACGCCATTCACTTTCAGGTACAATTCGTTCCATTAACAACTGAAAGGGTGCTGTTTCATCATCCGCAGAACCATCCCATACACCAGGAGCTAAGAATTCACAACAGTATTGTACAGCTGGTTTGAGCACACCAAGTAATCTTCCTTCAAAGTCAGCTGTTTCCTTTTGTATAGGTACCATCAATTGTCGTAAACGATTTTCTTCATCCACTTCGCGCTTCAATTGACGTAAAACATCTAATGTATAGCAATAAAAAGTAAGTAATCATTGATTTTCATTTTGGTTTTTTTTTTTTTTTTTTTTTTTTTTTGATCTTCACTTTACAAAGGTTGGCAAGCCAAGGATCTATTGTTGATGATTTCCCATGACGTTGTTGTTGTTGATCTGCCATTTGACAAGCCTTGTTAAGTTGATCCATACACTTTTTTGTTTGTTCAGCACGGCGTAAGAGTTCATCCAAGAATAAGTGAGGATCGTTTCGAAGTACCTTGATCTTTTCCTTGCATTCACGCTTGAATTTCAATAACGCTGGAAGGTGAATACGTTGGAGCTGGGCAGCAAATAGATGATGATTATCAGCAACATTTGAGGTCAAAAGTCTCAGACCAGCGTAAAGTGTTGAGGCAGCAGGCGTTTGATCAGGTAACAGTTCCATTTGAAATAAAGGAAGGTGACGCTGAGAATATCCACGACTGATTTGGAGATGTAACTTGGAAGTTTCTTCTAACCATTGGATGATACACTTGATGAGTTGTAACCATTGTTCTAACCTAGTAATGATAACCGATGCACGATTCAATGAAAATAAAGTCGATAACTTGCCACCAGCAGAACGTGCTACGCTCATAGCCAAAGTGGAAGAAGGCCGGCGGTAGATACTTGTTGTACTAAGATTTCGTTTTGAAGATCGAGTTGTGTTAGAGGATAACGTTTTAGATGGTGGAGTAGAGAGAGAGTTGGTCAAGGATCGTCGTGAAGCTGTACTTAGTTTTCTTGATAAAGGACGTTGAAGTGGTGGGAAATAAACGTCGCCTTCAATAGGAGCCATAGTCGTGCTAGGAACTGCAGGAGGGGTCGTTGACCTAGATAGTAAGAACGTGTTTTCAGAAGTAGGAGCACTAACAGTACGTTGTCTATGTTTTCCTATTTTGTTTTCGGTACTCTCGTTCATAATATCCAAAAGTTCTTGAGGTGGTAATTGATCAAAGTGTTCCATGAAGCGTCCCTGTTTCCGGATACTGTTCGTAGCTTGAACCAATTTGTCAGTGGTCAGGGTTCTAAGATTGCTCTTTGCTGGCCTTGGAGGAGGAATAGAAGCAATAGAAGACCTTGTTGACTCTGTCATGATACAAAAAAAAAAAAAAAAAAAAAAAAAAATAATAAAGAAAAAGGAAAGAAGAGATGATCGATCAATCAATTGACCAATTTAAAAAAATTTAAGGTAAGTTCAATTGCCGCAAAGATATTTTTGTATTATAACATTGTTTTCCCTATTCCCCAAATTATTTTCAATACCTTTTTGCTAAATAGTCATGAGATTATAACATCATATACAATAGTTCCTGATTTTCTTGATGATTTGAAGCGGAGAGGGATGATTAATATCATACGCGAAATAAAAAGAAATTCGCATGATATTAAAAAAAAAAATAGATAATCACAAGGCATGATTATATATATATGATAGTTTGTGTTTATTCATTTAAGTATAGTTTTATGATGATGAATATATACATTAATGACCTTTTTTTTTTAAAGGGAGTGATGTCAACAATGGAAAATAGAATCAATGGATGGAAAATCGCTGAGATACAAACCGGATATTTGTCATTATCAAGATTTTTGATCCCTTGAGTTCCACAAAAAAAAAAAAAAAAAAAACGAATATTCGTTTTGAAAAAAGAAAAATATAGATTGCGTAAATATGTTTTGACTTAAAACAGATAATAAATTATGATGATCTCTTTTCATTGTTAAAAATCCAACAAATAAATATACAGATGTCAAATTCATCAACTTTTGAACAAAGATATTGGAATCACATGCCTTTAGAAATAAAATTTCATGATCAGAACATGTGTTGAATAAAAAGAAACGATATCATTTTGTTAGTATAAAAGATGATTCTATAACAAAATGGAAGAAATCTAATCGAAAAGGAATGTTGTAAAAAGTCAAAATAAAGTAAAAGCACCACGTTCAAAACGCACGGATACCCTATATCTTCATATGAAAAATGTACCACTTTTTTTTTCTTTTCTAATTTGAAAGGCCGTATACAGAACTATAAATGGGGTTTTACTTTTTTTTTTTTTTGTACCTCTTTCTTTTTTAACATCATTACATTATGGACTATTTACAATTACTAAAGAATGGTGAACGAATTACGTTAGATATACCAACTTATGCTATCACTTTTGCCATGCCTGCTGGTGCTTTGGCATTACTGGTTGTTATGCCTTCATTACCTGGTGTTGTCAAACAGATTCTTGCCATTCCTCTTTTAATCGCAAACCTCTTATATCCCATGTTATTTACAAGTCATCCTAGTAAGTCTTTTTTTTTTTTTTTTTTTTTTAAAAAAAAAAATGAATCCTATTATTAACACGTTTCTTTTATTAGTGCTTGACCTTGTCGGTAGTCCTTTTAATTTTACAGTCAATCTCCGGTTCCTGGAATTATTGTATGTTGGTCCTTGGTTACAAAATCGACCTGTTTATACCACGATTTATAGTCTTTGGGTTGATTTTTGGTCTTGCCTTCGTACTTTTCCTAAACCTGCTAAAGAAACTACAAAAGATATTAAGAAAGGTGAAATCAAAGTTTACAAAAAGGATAAGGTAAAATATTATATATATGTATATATAATGATTTATGCTTACTCTATATTACTACAATAGAAATTCTATCATATTCTTGTACGATTGATGTTTTGTCTTGTATGCGTGGATATACTGGGAGCTTGGTTTGCTACTTATTCTATGTACGATATCATCGCTTTACAACAAGATCGACCTGTATTCTTCTTCATCTTCTTCCTCTTGGCTGGTTTATTCATCACTGCTGGATTCAACGCGGGTGGTTATGGTCTACATTTATTCTATTGTATTGTTGTTGAAAATGGATCCTATTCTTCAGGTAAGATGATAAAATCTATTATGATCAAAAAGGAATAAATAGGAAATGAATGAACTCAATCATTTTTTTTTATTTAATAGAACAATATCGTATCTTAATGGATCATCCTATTCTATCACCTTCTTTGGATGAAGTTTGGTCTTACCGATGGCATCAATTATTTAAAAGCTCCTGGTTAGCCTTTCCATTCCGTCCTACCCGTTTATTGACTCAACGTATATTGGCTAAACGAACCAAAAATTATGTGGGTGTTTCTATTTTGATGGCATCCATCTCTGTGTTTATAATTTCTGGATTGATGCATGAATATATGATTCTCTGTAATGTTGGCTGGCCTGTCTATCGGGATGTCTTTGTTGGTCAACAAACATTCTTCTTTACTATTCATGGTATTGGTGTTATTTTTGAACGTGTGGTACGTACCATTGCCAAGAACACTTTGCCTTCTTCTATCTACAACTCAATGGCCATTCGTGTATTACAACATATCTGGGTCTTGACTTTTGGTGTAGCTTTCTTTACCTACTTTATGGAAGGTTTTTCTTACTGGGGAGTGTACAATGGTAAATATGGATGACCTGATAAGTTGGATAATATTAATAATAATAATTTTTTTTTTGTTTTGTTTATCTTAGGCCAACCTTTCCAATTCTCAAGACCCATCATCTATCAATATGTCAAATCACATCCTGCTCTCCAACCTTACTTTGGAAGTGTTTATTAAAAAAAATTAATCTTTTGATCAGTTAGACATTTCTCCTCCATTTCTCTATTTCTTTCATCCATTTTTTTCCCCTTATATATCATGATTTTATTTTTATTTATATTATTATCCTCATTTACCACTATTCTAGTTTCCTTTTTTTAACCATCTGATTAATTTAAATAAAGACTCATACAAAAAAAAAAAGTCTTATTATACTATTGTGTCTCATGGTCATCATCCATCTCCCTTTTTTTTTTTTTTTATCAAGGAAAGCATGAAGTATTAGTTTCAATCCATCTAAATATAAAAAGGAATCCATAATCACATCTATATGTATACCTTCTATTCGAATTCAACAGTTTATTTCGTCTTCTTTTTTCTTTTCTACTACTGATGATAAATAATAAGTTGTATATGGGAAGAATGGAATGAAGCGACTAATAAGAAGATAAGAGGGTGGTGGGAAAAAAAAGAATATATGTATATAAGAGACAAAAATAAAAATAAAAGACTAACTATCTACTGCTACTACTACTACTAAAAAGAGAAACGATTTAGAATCTGTTGTAAGACATGAAACCACGAACACGGTTGTAATCAGTCAAGCATTCTACAGGACCAACACCGGTAACAACAACTTCTTGATCCCAGAGATACTTGTTACCAGCATTACGAACATCAGCCAAGGAGACCTTTTGAACGGCTTGCTTGATTTCATCAGCAGACAAACGCTTACCAGTGGTCAAGACTTGAGAACCAATATCTTGGGCAATAGCTTGGTTGGAATCCAATTGAAGTAAGAGAGAAGCTTGGAGTTGTTGCTTGGCACGTTCGACTTCGGATTCAGTGACGGTGGTGGAGAGACGGATCCATTCCTTTTGAGCGAAATGCACAAAGTCATCCAATTGCAATTTGTTGTCACTGGTAAAGTAGAGACCCCATAAACCAGTATCCTTGTAACCCTTATTGAAAGAAGTGAAAGAGTTAGCCAAATGATTGTCATGAACGATGGTGGACAAACGAGAAGACAAGTTGGCGGCAGCACCCAAGTTTTGATCCCAAGAACCAATCAATGTAGACATCACAGCCAAAGAAAAGTAATCAGCAGACAAATAAGAGGCACCTTCAACAGCCAAAGCAATATGAGCTTGAGGAAGAACATCATCACGTAAACGGATTTCAGAACCAGTGAAAGCAGGCTTGGAAGAAGAGGAAGTAACACCGGTGTTGGTCAATTGACCAAAAGTCTTTTCTGCCAAACGCACCAAAGCATCATGATCAACGTTACCAGCACCCACAAGTACCATACGATCAGCAGCATAGTTTTCCTTCTTGAAAGCAGACAAATCTTCCTTGGTCAAAGCTTCAACAGTTTCCTTGACACCTACAACAGGACGACCCAAAGATTCACCTTGATAAGCCATGGCGTGCAAATGATCAAAAGTCACTTGTTCCAAGTTGTTATCATTTTCCACTTGTTGCTTCAAAACAGAACCTCGAACACTGTCGATGTTGGCGATATCTCCAGAAACAAGTTCAGACAAACCAGCAACAGTAGCATCGAGATTACCAGCATTGGCTTGACTGGCATAGTAGGTTTGTTCACGAGAAGTATTAGCATTCAATCCACCGCCCAATTTTTCAAAAGTAGAAGCATTGTTCTAAGGATAAAGAATATCAATGGTCAGTCAAATATAAAAAAAAAAATACCTTCTCTTAATATAATATATACCTTGAGAGCAGCAGCTTGAATGAAGTTAGCAGCACCATTGGTAGAAGCAGTTTCAGCTCGAGAACCAGCATTGATCCATACACCAACAGTGGCAGTACCAGTGGAACCATGTTCTTCAGTGGCAACAGTAAAACCGTTAGGAAGAACAGTGGTACGAGTAGTTTGAGAAGCAGCAGTGGCTAAAGGACGAACAAACTATGATGACATTTTGTTTTTTTTTTTTTAAAAAAAAAAAAAAGAAAAGTAATTAGTATTTTATTTGTTGGTGTATGATTGATTCGCGTTAAAAAGGTTGATGGAGTCAAAATAGTTTCTAATTCAATTACCTTGTTGCTAAAGGCAGCACGAGGGAGGGTATTGGAAAGAAGTTTGGATGCCATGGTTTTCTTTTTTTTTTTCCTTTAAATGAAAAAGAAGGTAGTGAAGAAAAAAAAAAGAGTGGGGAGAGAGTATTAAAAAAAAAAAAAAGGTTCAAAAAGAAAAGAGAAGAGGGAAAAAAAAAAGGCTTACAATGAAAACAAAAAAAAAAAAAAAGACCACCCAGAAAAAAACAAGGGCCGCTCAATTTTTTTTTTTTTTTTGTTAGCTACCCTAGATAATTTGAAGGAAAAAAAGAAAGAAATTACCATTTGGCACATAAAAGAGCCCGCCACTTGAAAGTCACGAAATGACAAAATCAAAAAAAAATTCATTCTCCCTCCCTTTCCACCTTGTTTCGCATATAAAATAATTTCATCACATATTATTTCTAAATAGCAAAAATAAAGAATATTATTTAGTTCTATTATTATTCTATTTACATGTTAGCAGTCTATTTTAAGTGATTGATGGATTAATATAGAATGATATGGATGATGATAGAATAAGATGATAGGATAAGATGATAATAAGAAGGATAATATGATAGGATGGTAAAAGAATACGATGACTGGAGAGAATACGATGACTGGAGAGAATACGATGACTGGAGAGAATACGATGACTGAGAGAATAGAATAATGAACGAATGGATATATATATATATATATATATATATAATAAATATGATCAATGATTGATGATATATATGATGATGGGTTTGATCATCGATTATAAATGTACTTAATGATGTTAAATATAAAATGATTGACTAGCTCCAACTCTTTTTCCAATTATGGTGATGATTCCAGAAAACACAATCGATTGCCCATTTTCATCAACTGATTTCTAATTATATTATCACACCATCAAGTTATCTACCAGAAACACCAATCGACTCTAACTGATTTCCAATTACTATGGTGATGACCCCAGTATATCGGTATTTCAATGAACAATAGATTCGAGATTTGTCTGTTTCATTTCCAAAAAAAAAAAAAATATGCATCTTAGCATATCGATGTTCAAAGTATAGAACGTGTAGTTTTCAATTTGGCAAGTGTGATGATGTTTTACTTTTTTTTTTTTTTTATGTAGGAGAGCGGAAAGTGATCCGTCATTTAGATATAAAAGTAAGCAAACATCTTCCATTTTCTTTTTTTTTCTTTTCTCTTTTTTTATATTATTTTCTATGTACTATCCATATATTTTATAATGAAGTTGAACACTGTTTTACTTGGTATTGTAGCTGCAGCTGTTGTAGCAGTACAAGCCGAAGCAAATTTGAAAAATCATCAAAGTAAACAAGACGTTAGTAACTGGACTAATAAGCGTGTGAGTCGAAGCTCCTTCCCTCACTTGTTCCGTCGTGGAGATGATGATGATGATGATGACGGTCATGATGACAGAGTCAAGCGATCCCTCTTCCGTCGTGGAGATGATGATGATGATGATCATGATGACAAAGTCAAGCGATCCTTCTTCCGTCGTGGAGATGATGATGATGACGGTCATGATGACAAAGTGAAGCGATCCTTCTTCCGTCGTGGAGATGATGATGATGATGATCACGATCATGATGATGATGATCACGGTCATGATGACAAAGTGAAGCGATCCTTCTTCCGTCGTGGAGATGATGATGATGATGATGATCACGGTCATGATGACAAAGTCAAGCGATCCTTCTTCCGTCGTGGAGATGATGATGATGGTGATGATGATCACGGTCATGATGACAAAGTCAAGCGATCCTTCTTCCGTCGTGGAGATGATGATGATGGTGATGATGATCACGGTCATGATGACAAAGTCAAGCGATCCTTCTTCCGTCGTGGAGATGATGATGATGGTGATGATGATGATCACGGTCATGATGACAAAGTCAAGCGATCCCTCTTCCGTCGTGGAGATGATGATGATGACGGACATGATGACAAAGTGAAGCGATCCTTCTTCCGTCGTGGAGATGATGATGATGATGATCACGATCATGATGATGATGATGACGGACATGATGACAAAGTCAAGCGATCCTTCTTCCGTCGTGGAGATGATGATGATGATGGTGATGATGATCACGGTCATGATGACAAAGTCAAGCGCTCCTTCTTCCGTCGTGGAGATGATGATGATGATGGTGATGATGATCACGGTCATGATGACAAAGTCAAGCGATCCTTCTTCCGTCGTGGAGATGATGATGATGATGATGATGATGATCATGGTCATGATGACAAAGTCAAGCGATCCTTCTTCCGTCGTGGAGATGATGATGATGATGGTGATGATGATCACGGTCATGATGACAAAGTCAAGCGCTCCTTCTTCCGTCGTGGAGATGATGATGATGACGGACATGATGACAAAGTGAAGCGCTCCTTCTTCCGTCGTGGAGATGATGATGATGATGATGATGATGATGATGATCACGGTCATGATGACAAAGTCAAGCGATCCTTCTTCCGTCGTGGAGATGATGATGATGATGATGATGATGATGATCACGGTCATGATGACAAAGTCAAGCGATCCTTCTTCCGTCGTGGAGATGATGATGATGATGATGATGATGATGATCACGGTCATGATGACAAAGTCAAGCGATCCTTCTTCCGTCGTGGAGATGATGATGATGATGATGATGATGATGATCACGGTCATGATGACAAAGTCAAGCGATCCTTCTTCCGTCGTGGAGATGATGATGATGATGGACATGATGACAAAGTGAAGCGATCCTTCTTCCGTCGTGGAGATGATGATGATGACGGCCATGATGGCAAAGTGAAGCGATCCTTCTTCCGTCGTGGAGATGACGATGATGATGATGATCACGATCATGACAATTGAAGCACATAGTAATCTCGTCCTTATACTGACAAGGAAGATGATGAAAATGGTCACATCAATAATTAAATTTAAAAAAAGCGTCAACAACACTCACAAAAAAAAAAAAAAAAAGCTCTTCGTCTATATTTATCAAAAAGGAGTACTAGTAATAAAAGTTTGTTTTTCCTCACAGTCCTGCTATAGTTGTTTTTTTTTTTTTTTTCTCGTTGATTATGATTGCTGAAAGCTAGTATGATGATGATGATACTGGAAACCACAGAATATTTATAATATAAAAAAGAAGTAAAAAAAGATCAAGTGACTTTATTGGGCAAAAAAAAAAAAAAAAAAGAGAGAGAAAAAGAAAAGGGAGAAATGAAGATATACAGAATGGATAGATTTTTTTTTTCATTTGGTTATTTCTTTTTTCTTTCTTCTGAGACTGGGGTTCAATGGATATAAAAATACAAAAGGGTCATAAAAAAAAAAAAAAAAAGGAGGGAAAGGACTAACTAAATCAAGTAAATCAATCTAATTTGTATCTGTGGCCACCTTGGCTAAACGCTGAGCAAGTACTGCCTTGAATTCATCATTGTTGGGAGTTGAAGTTTGTTGAGATGATACTGATCTTGTCATATTGGGAGGTCGTGGAGGTACAACGGGAGCCGGGGCCTGAATGATATTTGATGCTGATGTTGATGTTGAAAGAAGAGATGATGACGGTGTTGGTGAAGGTTGATATGATCCTGTTGGTTCGTGAGGTGTTGCTGGTCGAGTTTGATCCATACTTCGTCGGAAAGGCCAAAAAGTGCTATTGTTGTTGCTACCCGAACTGTATCTTGTGTATTCTTCTGATGCACGATACTGTTGTTCATCATCCACACTAATAGGTCGACTACCACTGAGATCACCACTATGTTCACGTCCACCACTACCACCACTACTATTGGTATTGAGTGAAATGTTACCATTACTGTTCCGCATCATTGAAGAACTTGAGTTGCTAAGCACTGAACTGGTTTGACCACCGCCACTACTTCGATGACCACTGGACATGGTATTGGTTTTTTGTCGAGGGGGTTCACGTAGAAGGCTGAGTTGATCCACTGTATCTTGATTTACCCAAGGTCGCATCAGGACATACTGAGTCACCATTTCTTGTTGCTCTTCCATATTGCCATCTTCAGATTCATCACTTTCCTTATCATCATCATCCGCACCAAATCCATTGAGAATGCTGTTATTCGTTCCACTACTATCCCTTCCACTTCCATTACTGTTGCTGTTGCTGTTACTACCGAAACCAAATAAACCATTACTACTGATCCTTCCAATTCCCGAAGCGCCACGATGTAATGCATTGGAAATAGCAGGTCGGAAATGGTGCTTTTGATGAGCTTTGTTGTAAGTTCCTGGTAAAGCAGTAGGGTATCTTGGACCTTGTTGGAATCGTCGCATGGTTTCTAGTACTTCATGAATTCTTGGTTCATCTTGAGGAGCTGTTGTGGTAGATGAAGATTTGAAGGCTGCCAATAAATATGTGATATCATGAATAAAGGTTCCTAAAAATGGTACGGTTGGTTTGGTGAAATGCTCAGCACGAATTTGAGCAACAGATTTGCCATTGACTACAGTGGTATTGACCATACCCATATGTTCACGGTATCGTCCATAATTGTCGGATTCTGACATGAGTTCACTAAGAGTATCCAGTTTGGTCACACTTTTCTTTGGTATATACGCCCAGGTTCGTCGAAGTCGTTCCACTGGTGGAGTACCTAATGCTGATACAATAGCCTTCAAAGTTTGATAATTGTTCAATTCCAAGCAACGGGAAGCAACCTTGATCCAGTAATGTATAAGTTGAGCACGAGCTGAAGCTTCTTGAGGAAACAAGATGGAATGTTCAATGGCGCGAGTGATATAATTAAAAAAATCAGTTGAGGCAACAATCCTAGGATGAGGGTGTTTTGCAGAATGGGACAACAGAGCTGAAGGTGGAATAGCATTGAAGATGGCAGCTTCTATTTGAGTGACTTGATAAGCAGTGATGTGGGCCTTGAAATGGATGATGGTTGGAATAGTAGCAGCACTCATATAAATAGTTCGAACACGATTCAAAGTTTGTTTGGTATCAGCGACTTGACGAGAATATTGTAAGATTCGGTGATTAATGTCATCTTCTGTCATTGGATCAAGCGTATGATGTTCTCCTAATAGTTGTTGTTTTCGAGCTTTTGTTTCCTTCAATGATAATTCCAAATCATCCAATTTTGTTTGTAAGATACGATGTGTAATCAATAGAGGAGGTGCTGGGATCAAAGGAACATGATCGGAAGAAGTTTGGCCAGATATGGAAGAATTAAGACCATCTACATTGGTTTGAGCTGGTACTAAATGTGTTGGATCTACTTCACCTTCAGATACAATAGTAATGTCATCGTCTTGAGATTGTCGTAATTCGGTAAAAGGGCGATGCTTTTGTAAAGACCGATTATCAGGAGAAGGAACACTATAAGGTCTTGCCGTATTGGGAGTAGGAGGTCTTTGTCTAAGGATTGGTGCAGAATCCCCAGGTTGTTGCAAATTGGATTGATGTGATTGTTCAGAAGATTTGTCTAGGAAAAAAAAAAATAAGACGACATGTGATTTAGTAATTGTGGCTACATAATCAAGAAGGGTTCATTGTTCTACAAAATATATATATATATATATATATATAGATATATTTACCCTGCAAATAATCGTCATTGGTCGGAGAAGAGGGCCTTGATACTACCCCACGAACAGGTTTGGGTGGCAACACTGGTTTATGAATTCGAGAGGGTTTGGGAGGTAAAGGTGGTTTTGGGAATTTTTGAGAATCGCCAGTATGTTGAGGTTGTAATCTTGCTGGTGTTCCTGGTGTATGTGTTTCGATTATATGTTCCATATGTGATAAACAAGTTCTCATAGCAGTGATCAAGGAACTGTATTGTTTTGGTTGGGATATAATGGCTATTGCAAAGAAGAACAAAAAAAAAAAAGATATGATAAGTTATATTAATCCAAAATATTGATAAAATAAAATAAATAAATAGAAAAAAAGAGTATTATTGTTTAGTACTTACAAGATTGAATAAACTTGATATCTTTAAGAAAGGTTAAAGAATCTTGAGCCAAAGAAAGATAGGCGAAGTATGCATCCTATATATATATATATATATATATATATATATAAAGAGGACATATTTAACAGTTAAAATATTGAAATAAGAGAATATATTCTTCACATTACCTTTACTTGACCTTTTTCTTCCATCTGATTGGCAAGTGTGAGAGAAGATTGAACTTCTTCCATGATGGTTCAGGGATGAAGTGTAAAGGGTTAATATAATGAGATAGATAGAAAAAAAAGAAAGAAAGAAAGAAAGAAAGAAAGAAAGAGAGTAAGTGTGAGTGTATCTATGAGTAAGTATGAATACAGAGGTAAGACAGATTGAATGAAAGAGAAGAAATGAGGAATAAGTGAGTGAATAAACAATAAAAAGTGAATATGAAATAGAAAAAGAGAAGAAAGAAGAACAAGAAGAAAAGGAAAAAAGGAATTCGGGAGATAAAAAAAAATTGAATGAAAGGCGGATATTTGCACTCAAACAGTGCCAAGCAAAAAAAAAAAAAAAAAAAAAAAAAAAAAAAAAAATTATAATATAAAAATATTTTCTGGGACAAAGTAAAGAAAATACATCCTTTCATACCAATGACATAATAAAGCAGAGAGTAGAAAATATAATCATGCAGCAAACTTTATTTTATATATAAATTATTATTAGAATACACTTCACTCTTCATTGCTATAAAAGTAAAATTTAGTGGTTTTCTTTATTTCATAATTCAAAATAGTAATGGTAATGAAGACAATGGATAATGCGACAAATGATGAGAATGAATAATGATAATAATTAATAAACTAAAAAAAAAAGTATATAGAATAATAATAATAATAATAATAATAAATATAAATGATGATGGTTAAAAAGGAAAAAAAAGAAAGACAGAGGAGGGAGGAGACTAAACTATACAATGGATACTATTTACAAAAAGGCTTGAGGATTCAATGTAGATTGATGTGCTACTGATTGTTGTTGTTGTTGTTGCGGATGATGTGGATGATGTGGATGTTGTATATGTGGATGTAAATGTTGTGATTGTTGTTGTGGATGTTGTTGAAGCTGCCAAGGAGTAGCCATCCAAGGTGGTAAAGCAGCTTGCATTTTCTTGATATGAGAATGTTCAATATGGTATTTCAATCCATTCATATTCTTGTATCGTTTCCTACAACCCATCACTGTACATTGATATGGTTTTTGAAGGGCATCTGCTTCATTATCAGAGTCTGTTGATTCACAATGTCCATGCATCCGATGATATTTCAATCCATTGGGATTCTTATATGCTTTATCACAACCAGGTACATCACAACGATAAGGTTTATCCGCATCTAATTAAAACAAAATAAAAAAAAAAGTTTAAAAATGATCATATTGTATAGAATATATATATATATTAATAAGTATTACCTGGATGCATCAAACCTGCACCAAAATGACTAAAATCCATATTTTCTAAACCAAGAGTACTACCGTTAGTCATACCTTCATGTTCCAAAGCTGACATATCTTGACTAGATAATAATATAGGTAAATTGCCATGTGTATCGTCTTCATCTTCTTCCATTTCTTCATCATCATCATCTTCTTCTTCTTCTGTACGTTTAGGACTAGCAGTATCAGGATGAATTTCAACATGTTGTTCTTCATAATGTTGTAAAAGTTCATGTAGATCAGCAATAGGTTGGTTACAACAAACTAAATCTCGACAAAATTGAGATTCTAATTCTCTTTGGTGAACATAACTATCTCGATGACGTAAAGCGAATGGTGACGGAGTGGCGAAAGAAGAAGGTGATGAAGCAAGCATATTGAGGGTTGGAGAACTAGATAAAAAAAAAAAAAAAGATAAATAAATAATGATAAATGAATAATAATAACAATAATAAACATACAAGGACATCATGTTAAAAATGGAATTCTTTCGTTGAGGAGACGTCATGATGTTTTTCTTTATATTATTCAACTGAAAGAAAAAGAGAACGACGGAAAAAAAAAGATAATAATAAATGAAAAAAGAGAAAGAGTTGAAAAATCTGCCAAACCAAAAATTGATCGTTCGTAACCGGAGTTGGAAATATGTTTCACAGTGAACGTAATGTATGTATGTAATAGTAATTTTGAAACTAGATAAAAAAAAACAAAAAAGAAACCAATATAAACGTTTATATAAACGTTTTTTTTTCATTTAATATAATATATTTCTTATTATTATTTTTTCTTTGTTCATCAATCAATAAATCATCATCATCATCTACATATATATATAGATTGTATAATAATACAATTTTTTTTTCTCATCACCCGGGAATGACAGGATGCTTTCTTATTTCACACGCCGGTCGAAAGTTTCCTTGTGCCAATCAGAATGAATTAAAGCAACAGCAGGGCCTTAGCCAATCCTTTTTATTCCAACTGTTTTTTTTCGCACGCTTAAAAAAAAAAAAAAAAAATAACTAACTAGTATAAAAAAATGATGAATGATCAATCATCTTATTGTTTTGTTTTTTAAATTATATAGATTAAGTTAAAGAAGAAGAATAATAATAATAATATACCACGACTTCGATATTCTAATGTGAACCGAAAGATAAAAAAGTAAACTTCAAGCCACTTTTGGGTTCAATTTCTTCCAGGCGTTTCCACCACTGTGCGGCGATTCAAAGTCAGTTTTTTTTTTTTGTTTTTCCTACAACTATTAAATGTCGCCCCCTGTTAATAATTTCCCATTTTTTTACTCTTTCTTCTCCACATTTTTTTTTCTTTTCTTTTCTTACACCATGAACCGATTGATTTCCAATACTCTTCAAAAGTCTCGTAGCACCACTGGTGTTTTGAACCGTCTTTATTCTACTCACAAAGAAATCAAGTTTGGTGTTGAAGGTCGCGCTGCTTTACTTCGTGGTGTTGACATTCTTGCCAAGTCTGTTGCTGTCACTTTGGGTCCTAAAGGTCGTAATGTTTTGATTGACCAACCTTATGGTTCTCCTAAGATTACAAAGGATGGTGTTACTGTTGCCAAGTCTATTACTTTGGAAGATAAGTTTGAAAACTTGGGTGCTAGGTAACGTAAAATCATTATATTATTATTATTATTCAAAAAAAAAAGAAAACTAATCTATTTGAATATAATAGACTCGTTCAAGATGTCGCCAACAAGACAAATGAAGTTGCTGGTGATGGTACTACTACTGCTACTGTTTTGGCTCGCGCTATTTTCACTGAAGGTGTCAAGAATGTAGCTGCTGGTTGTAATCCTATGGATCTCCGTCGTGGTGTTACCATGGCTGTTGATGCTGTTGTTGATTATTTGAAGGCAAATACCAAGGTTATCACCACTTCTGCTGAAATTGCTCAAGTAAGTTCATTAAAAAAAAAAAAGAAGAGAAAAAAGAGAGGAATCAGTTTTTTTTTTTGATTTTATTTTACTAAATATGAATCTTTTTTTTTTTTTAAAAAAAAAAATAGGTAGCCACTATCTCTGCTAATGGTGATAAGCATGTTGGTGCTATGCTCGCTCAAGCTATGGAACGCGTTGGAAAGGAAGGTGTCATTACTATCAAGGCTGGCAAGACTATTGAAGATGAATTGGAAGTCACTGAAGGTATGAGATTTGATCGTGGTTTTACTTCTCCTTACTTTATCACTGATACCAAGACTCAAAAGGTCGAATTCGAAAAACCTTTGATCTTGTTGTCTGAAAAGAAGATCTCTCTCTTGTCTGATGTCTTACCTGCTATGGAAGCTGCTGCTACTCAACGTCGTCCTCTCTTGGTCATTGCTGAAGATGTTGATGGAGAAGCTCTTGCTGCTTGTATCTTGAATAAGCTCCGTGGTCAATTGCAAGTTGCCTGTGTCAAGGCTCCTGGTTTTGGTGATAATCGCAAATCTATCTTGGGTGATATCGGTATCTTGACTAACAGTGTCGTCTTCAATGATGAATTGGATGTTAAATTGGAAAAGGCCACTCCTGATTTGTTCGGTACCACTGGTTCCGTTACTATCACCAAAGAAGATACTATTATTTTGAATGGTGCTGGTTCTAAGGATGCTATTACTCAACGTTGTGAACAAATCCGTGGTGCTATGGCTGATGTTGGTACTTCTGAATATGAAAAAGAAAAGTTACAAGAACGATTGGCCAAGTTGTCTGGTGGTGTTGCTGTGATCAAGGTTGGTGGTGTCTCTGAAGTCGAAGTTGGTGAAAAGAAGGATCGTTTCGATGATGCTTTGTGTGCTACTCGTGCCGCTGCTTCCGAAGGTGTCTTGCCTGGTGGTGGTAGCAGTTTGATCAAGGCTGCCAAGTCTCTTGATTCTTTGAAGGGTGCCAACTTTGATCAACAACTTGGTATCAACATCATCCGTCAAGCTATTCAACGTCCTTGCCGTACCATTGTTGACAATGCTGGTGGTGAAGGTTCTGTCGTGGCTGGCAAGTTGATGGATGAATTCCATGACAAACCTAACTGGGGTTACGATGCTTCTACTAATGAATATGCTGATATGATTGAACGTGGTATTATTGATCCTACCAAGGTTGTTCGTACTGCTCTTGTGGATGCTGCCGGTGTTGCAAGCTTGCTTACTACTGCTGAATGTATGATTTGTGATGGTCCTGCTCCTCCTGCTCCTGCTATGCCAATGGGTGGTATGGGTGGTATGGGCGGTATGGGTGGTATGATGTAAAGAAAGAAAGAAAAAAAAACGAAACCAAAAGGGAATCTCTGTGACGTAAGTAGAAAAAAAAAAGAAAAAGTAATAGACTGGTAAAATGCGTTGATGATTAACAGCCTCCTTTCTTCCTTTCTTTTTTATATATATATATATATATAATTAGAATACGAAAGGCCAATTAGACGATCAGATCAAACATTTTTAGTTAGTTTTATTACTGTTATTACACTCCATTTTTATTATTGTTATTATTATTATTATACAAACATGTCTATTTTCACAACATTATAAAAATAAAGATTCATTCATTTTAGTTCCCATATATCAATTGTGTCTGTGATTATTATTATTATTGTGTATGAAGAATGTATTCTATTTTAAACGATCATGATCTTGTAATCCAATAGAATAAAATGTGTGATCAATCAATCTGGTGTAACAAAAGAAAAGAAAAGTGGGGCATGTCATTACCGTATATTATTTGATTGCATGAACATTGACCAAAACTCAGCAAGAAAAAAAAGACAATGGCCTTCTACCGTCATCCCATTATTGAATCATTATTATTATTTCATCATTATTGATTTTAAAAGGTTTAAAGACTTACTGAAGCATTTATCCTGCGGTACAAAAAGATCATTAAAGAAAAAGAGAAAAAAAAATGCAATTATGGCAGTAAAAAAAAAAATGGAAAAGAATAAGGTTGCAGGAACAAAGCAAAACGTTGTTTGATAATCTGCATTGAATAAGTATGATACGCACAGATGTTATTGACAAGACAGAGTTGCGTAAAAAAAAAAGATTCAGGGGATTTTTTTTTTTTTTAAAAAAAAGGACATGATAGAAAAGTATCCCAAAAAAAGAATTGCCTATTTTAGTTCTTTTTCTGTGACAATAGTAAATACTTGTTTTTTTTTTTCTTCTTTCATTTATTCATTTTTTTTTATCTATTAAAACGTAACATATTGACACTGAAAAAAAAAACTTTCATTCTATTCGATGATCCATTCCATTTGTTTTAGTAAATCATCTTATTTTTTTTTTTTAAAAAAAAAATGCTTCCATTGAAGAAAGTGTTAGAGTGTAATTAAGTATGAATAAAACTCCTATAGTGATGTGTACCTTTCTTTATAGAATACAACGTCATAATACTAAAAACACTATTCCAAATAATAAATTTGTTGCGCTATTACACATCTCAAAGCCCGTTCATTTTCAATGGGTGTAATATAGACTAACTAACATCAGGTGGGTTGAAATTATCCAATCAAAAATAGAATAGACAACTAATAACCAAGTGTGATAATCTGAAAAGTCTTGATTTATTTTGACATTTATGAGAAAAATATGAATTGACCAATAATAATAATAATAAATAAAAAAAAAAAGACTCTTTTCCCGGACTAATTAGGAAATAATAGATGAGATCCTGGAATTGGGAACAAGGAGAGGTCGCGGCAATTTGTACTAGTAACGCCGATGAAACTTTTATGTAAAAGTATTGGGTAGATGGGGTAAGATTAGGATTCCGCTTGAAAAAAAACAATACCATTTTTCTCACAAGATAAACAAGAGTGAGGGGGAATATTTTTTTTTTGATTCGAGTGACAAAAAAGAGACAGAACCATTTGAAAAAAAAAAAAAAGAGTTGTACACATAAGGAATTTAACGTCCGTCCAGGCTTTCTTTTTTTTTGACTCCAAAGATTGGATTTTCCCTTTTTACTTTTTCCGTCTTTTCCTTTCCCCCGTTTTTTTTTTTTCTTTCCTTTTTCCCTTTTTCTTTTTTCTTTTTTTCTTTTTATATACCTTTATTAGTACATTATCATTTTTAATCTCTTACATTATTATTATTATTATTATTTGATATTTCTTACTTTTCTTTGTCTTATTCATTTTTGACAAGAAAACGTTCTTAGAGAAAAAAAAAACAACCCTTTTTATTTTTTCTTTTCTCTTTCTTTATTCAAAGAAAACTCTTTGCCACTTTCACAAAACTTTTCTTTTTTTTATTTATTTTATTATTTTTTTTTTTTATATTCAATTTTTTTTTTTATCAAAGAATAATGTTGGTGACTGAATCATTTCATGGATTTATTGAAACTACTCAAGATGTCTTGCTTATCTTTGAAGGTTGTCGTCGTGGTCTTTTGCCAAGAATATGTCGACGTTTACAAGAAAGAGAACGAAAAATGATACGATCTGGTTCTGTATTTGTATTTGATCAACGTGAATCAGGTAAAAAAAAAATATTTATATTTTATTGTTATTATTATTATTATAATAATACTATTTTTATTAATATGATTATTATTATATATAAGGCATCAAACGATGGACGGATGGTCGTGTATGGAGTCCTTCAAGAATATTGGGTAATTTTCTCATCTATCGTGAATTAGACAAACGGAATACTGGGGATAAAAAGATGTCTATATCTTCTACATCATCAGTTGGATCTTTGGATGAACGACGACTTAGTTATAGTATGGAAAATACAACAACATCATCAACTACTACTACTACAGCTGGTTCTGTGGATCGAAATAGGGATCGACAATTAGTGGGAAGCCTCTCTGATACATACAAATTTCGTCAAGATGGTTTAATCAAAAAAACAATGTCAATTGTGGTCAATGGAGTATCTCAACATTTGATTTCTTATTATGATCCTCGTGATGTTCTTCAACAAAAGTTACGTACACCTTCTTCTGTCCCTGAACTGGCTAGTTTGGAAATATCTCCTGAATTATTAGTCAAACAAAATTTCAGGATTCCTCCCATGGTAGAGCCCACTTTTGATCATAATGATGGTCTTTCTTCAACTGCTAATGGTCCTCTTACTCCTCCTGATTCTCTTTCTGGCTCTTTGGGTAAGCACATTTTTTATTGGTTTAAACTATTTATCTCCGTTTATTATGGGGTATATTTTTTTTATTAACGCTCCTATTTTTTTTTTTCTTTCTATTCGTTTCAGACCGACGTATGCACCCCTTGCGTAGTATGTCTTTAGGATCCGTGCGCCCTGAACATCCTTTAGCCACATCTCATGGATTATATTCTACTTCTTATCAACAACAACAGCAACAACAACAACAACAACAACAACAACAACATATGGAAGTTAAACAAGAACGTATGGATACAATCAAAACAGATCAATCTCCTACGATGTCTACTTTTGTTCAACCTCCATTACCTGTACCTACAAGTATTTATAATACTTTTTCAGCTGTTCCATCTCCTTCAAGTATGTCGTCATCACCAAGTACGCCCATGTTATCACCAGCAAGAGCATCTTTCCAACATCAACGTCATTATTCAACATCATCCGCTTCATCATTATCTTCTTCAGTTCCTCGTTATGACCCTCGTCATTATAGTACAGATTATTCAACATCTCCTTCTGGTTCAGAACGTATGCAACAATTGCACCAACATCATCATCACCATCAACAACAACAACATGTAGGACAAATTCAGTTGATGTCAGATGGATATGATCAACATGATCAAAATTCACAACATCAACATTATCAATCCCAACAACACCAACAACAACAACAACATCATCATCATCATCATGCGGCAAATTTGGGACAATTATTGAATCCAGTACATCCACTACAAAATGATTCAACACAACAACAACAACAACAACAGCAACAACAACCAACTACAATGTTACATTCAATGGCCATACCACATCCTTCTTCTCAAACTACAACATTTACTGATTATACGCCAGGTTATCATGACAAGGAAGCTTTTGCAATATCTCCACAAGATGGAGGTAATGGATCTGGCAGTAGCGGATTTATACCTACACAAAGGTATCCTATGACCAATCAACATACTTCGTCTCCTATGAATTCTCTTTATACACAAGATATCTCTGGTGCTGGACTTCATTCATCCTTTTGATTTAAATCTCTTCACTTTTATCTTTTCTTTTATGTTTTCTTAGTATCTCTCTATTATATGTACCACTTACATATTTCTTCCGTTTCCTTCTATTATTGACTTTTTTTTCTTGTTTTATTCTCCGTGTTCCCTAGTTTTTTTTTTATTTTTTATTTTTATTTATTATTTTTTTTTCTTTTGTCAATTTTTGATACAATGTATACTATAAGAAAACTACTCCCCTTTTGTCTATCGTTATTCTTCCTTCTCACCTTTTTTTTTTTTTTTTTACATAAAAATATAAATATATATATATATACAACTACCCTAGTTAGCAGACATATTAAACTTCAATGTAATCATAATAATAAAGGGATTTTTTTTTCTATTATTCAATGCAGGAATCAATCACTATGTGGAGGTGACTCAATTCATTATGACTGGTTTGACAGCTATCATTTTAAAGTTGAGTCAGTTACAGTTTACGGAAATAGATTTTATTCTTCCGGATTTCCTTTCTTCTTCTTTTTCTTCTTCTTTCTTTCCTTTGTCTTTTCCCTCTTTTTTTTTTTTTTTTTTTGTTACACAGTCAGTTCGTCTCCTTTTCTTTTCTTGGTGTTTTGTATTCAATGTCACGAAATGATAACACTTGGTTCATTGGTCTTAAACTATTATCTGTCTTCAGTATCGGTTGTATAGGTTCCTCCATGCTCTATTTGCCTACCTTTTATAAAAATGTTCTCAATTTAAGTACTGACAAGATTGGATTTCTTTACTCTATCAGTAAGTATGTTCATATACATATTTTTTTTTCCTGTTTTCTTGGTTTATTCATTTCTTCTTTTTCTTTATTATAGCACCTTTTGTATCATGTTTATCATTTCCTTTTTGGACCTCTTATTTGGATCGTACTCAAGCTTACAAGACTGTCATGATTACGAACATGGCTGTGTCCACTGTTGTAAGTTTTATCGAAAATACATAAAAAAAAAAAAAGAGAAATATACCATATCTCGTGACTTTTATACCTACCTTATCTATTTAGTCAGTTTTGTTTATAGCAATTGTACCATATTTGACCAATGAAATGGGTATGACGATGATGTTGGTGACACTAGGATGCTTTGGATTTAGTTGGTTTGGATATCCAGTGATTGCTGCTATGGTTGATTCTGGTAAATACCTTTGAAACAAAAAAAAAAAAAAAAGGAATGATCTATTTCATATTCCTTTATTATTATTATTATTATTTATTTTACTTTAGTGACCTTCCTTGTTCTTGGTGATTATAAAGAACTATATGGACAACAAAAGACCGGATGCCCTGTCGGTTATGGATTATCTGTTTTTCTGACGGGATTATTGATGGAATCTATTGGTCCTTATGCTATGTTTCCTGTCTATACCTTCTTTTCTTTATCGTTTATCATTACTGTGGCACTGTTGGATTTTACTCCTCGAAAGAAATCACCTTGTTTATATGATGATATTGATTCCTCATCACCAACATTACTGACATCGACAACACAAATCAACAATACTCCCAAGAATAGCAGTATCAGTAGTAGTGATAGTAGTACTAATGGTTATGGATCAGTAGATACAATCAACAACGATATGGATGTTGATATAGAGGACGATGATGATGATGATGAAGTGGACAGAAAACAACAAACCTTATCATCAGTATCGATGTGGAGTTTATTGGCCAATCCCGAGTCCTGTCTCTTCTTTTTGGTGACCATCTTGATGGGATTTTCAATTGCAGTAATTCAAGCCTTTTTGTTTTTATTTATGCGGAACGACTTGCACGCTTCACCTTCTATGATTGGATTACTGGGACCTTTGGGTAGTAGTACAGAAATTGTTTGCTTTTACTTCTCAAAACAGGTAACACGGACAAATAAAAAAAAAATTATCATTCATTACAGTAACTCATTCGTTTCTTTATATCTTGTTCCTGAGTTATTATCATAGATCTTCACTCGTATTGGTCCAAATCGAATGTTGATGGTGGCACAATGGATCACTATTTTTCGTTGTTTTATTTATATTTTGACTATGGGACTTGAAAACCAAGGTGCTTGGGTAGCTACAATTACTCAATTATTACATGGTAAAAAAAAAAAAAAGAGAAAAGAAGAAAAAGGATAGTGTAAAAGTGATGGGAGAGAATGGAATGCTATTTAAGAATCACTCTAATCATATGATTACGTTTTTTTTTTTTTTGTTAGGTATTGGATTCTCTATGATGTGGAGCGCAGCAGCATTACAAGCTGAAAGGATTGCACCTGATCATTTGAAAAATAGTGCTCAAGGATTATTGAATATGTGCTTTAATGGTATTGGAGGCGGTCTTGGAGCTATTTGTGGTGGACTGATCTATGATACTCTTGGAGCAAAGATTATGTGGTTATCAGTTATTTGTCTTATGTTATTTAGTTTTTTTATTTATACTTCATCTTGGGTCAAAAGAACTTTTTTACTTACAAATTCTAGTTTTAGACGTTTTTGAATAAAATCTTTTTTTTTTTTTTACTCTTCCCTTATTTGGTGTAGGTGAATCCCCCCCCCCTCTTTATTGATACGATGATGATGACTTCTGAGCGACAAACGAAAAGACAAACTTTACTCTCCTGCTTAAATGCATGATGAACAAATAGGACAGATTTCTCCATTTTTACAACAAAATGTGACAATGATGAACAGTATGAGATAATGATGAGATGGTACGATGAATAAAAGATAATCCTATGAGAATGATGGTAAAATATCAATGATGATTGATGATAACAAGCAAATAATTTATTAGATTGCTATCACAATCCAAAAAAAAAAAATGCATCTATAGCACATTAACATAAATTCATGCGCGTTTTCAATAACGGATCGTCTTGTTGCCATTTGGATTTGTAAATTATGTGTTAATTGATTATAGGTGAAAGGTGGGCTACCAATCTAACAACGATCATTGAATGGTGATGACGAAAATGATTTATTGTAATTTAGAGTTGATAAAATACAACAGCCAACTAAGCATTATTGATGCATCAGAAATATGTTGCACTATTTCATCATTAAAACCCCGTTGGCTCAAATTTTTTTTTTCTTGACACTGGGTGCAATCTTGAATATTTCTTTCTTTCTTTTTCTTTTTATATATCAACTAGTAGCATTTTAGTATTGATACTTTTTATTTAATAAACCTTTTTATTTTTATTCCAACCAATTCGTTACCGGTCAATGTATTTGATTCCATCCTCTTCCGATATGACACTTTACCGTTATTTTTTTATTTTTTTTTTGAATGCATTCTTTTTACTTTACGCACATCTCTATAGTAAAGGAATACGTTTATACGACACTTGACAACAAAATGATACATTGTGACCTCTACGCAAATTTTTTTTTCTTATTTACGAAGCTTACGTGTCGTCCTCTTTTTCAACTCACTCTTTACGTTATTTTTCTTTTTTTATTGTACTCCATGGAATCTCTACAATTTGACCCATGTTTACTTTGGAATAATCAGAAAGGAAATTATTCTTTATAAAAAGCAGAAGAAAGCTGCTGCTCTTGGTAAGTAGACTTCTCCATGGAAGCAAGGTCCAATAGATATATTTATTGATCTTTTTTTTTTTTTTTTTTTTTTTTTAATATAGGTCTGCCCATTCACACTGGCTCGTCATGGACTACCTACCAATGCGGCGATGTTTACGGTTTTTGTAAGTATATTTTTTTTTTAAAAAAAAAGACACAACTTGATCGTACTGAAATTAATCATATCTTTTTTTATCTGTCAGTGTTCCCAATTTGATTTATATTTTATACGTTGTCGTGATATTTTGAAGAGAGCAGAACGCCGAGATCGCCTTAGACATAAATGAATATAAGACAAGCCAGGTGTATTCAAGATGTGGTGAAAAAGCTTTAGAAAATGTTGAACCCAGCTTTGGCATCCGGCTGCACAGTGTGCTTAAGTGTCAATCTTGTAGTACACTATGGCAACGCGATGTCAACGCTAGCAGAAACATCCATGGCATCGTTATGTCGTCCATTCTTGGTGCTGGTCGCCCTGAAGTCTTCTGTCATCCTGTCACTCCTTCCGAATACTGAAAATGCGTTGATGTTTACGGTTTTTGTACGTATATTTTTTTTTTTTTAAAAAAAAGACACAACTTGATCGTACTGAAATTAATCATATCTTTTTATATTTATCACAAATTCAAGTGGAAAAAACTGTATCATGTAGTCGCAATTTCCAAACTAAAATATCTGTTGTCTTTTTTTTTTTTGAATAAAAATATATATTTTTATTATGATATAAAGAGGGAGGGCAAGATATAAACGGGAAGAATGAATAAAATAAAGATAAGTGATGATAAATGGAGATAAGAGAGGGAGAAAGGCTATTCTTGGGATTCTTCTTCAGGTTTTGACTTGTCGGTCTTGTCGCTTTCTATAAAATATAAAACAAATTAGATCATAAAAAAAATATCCCCAGTAAATAATATATATCACATCCAACCATTCCTTATTCTATTGTTCACTTACCTTCTTGAAGATCAGAAGTCCAAAGAGTCAAGTTATCCCGTAATAATTGCATGATCAAAGTAGAGTCCTTGTAAGATTCTTCACTAAGAGTATCCAATTCAGCAATAGCGTCATCAAAGGCTTGCTTGGCAAGTTGACAAGCACGACTAGGAGAATTTAAGATTTCATAATAAAACACCGAGAAGTTCAAGGCAAGACCAAGACGAATAGGATGAGTAGAGGCAAGGGCACTTTCTGCAATCCTAGTAGCCTCCTTATAAGCGTCATTAGCAGAAGTAGCAGCTTTCTCACGATCTTCACCAGTGGCATATTCAGCAACATACCGATAGTAATCACCTTTCCTATAAATATGAAAAATCAAATTAGTAAAGCTTTTTTTTTTTTTTTTCTATTCCATAACCTACTTACATTTTAAAGTAAAATACTTTGGCTTCATCTTCTTGGGCAGCAGGAATCAATTGGACAGATAACAAGTCCAAAATATCATGACAGACACCATATAATTCAGATTCAATCTTCTTTCGATATTCCTTGACTTGAGCGAGATTTTCTTTATGATTCTTGCTTTCTTCCTTTTGTTCAATAGAAGATACAATTCTCCAGGAAGCACGACGAGCACCAATCATATTCTTGTAAGCCACAGATAATAGATTACGTTCTTCAACAGTCAAGTCTACTCCCAACTAGATGATGTAAACAAACAAGTGTGTAAATAACATTGTAAAAATTCGTCATCATTTTCTTCCTATCCCCTGATTTTTTTTCTATAGTTGATATATTACCTTCGCAACTTCTATCATATATTTCACCATCTCTAATCATTAATAATCATAGAAATAATAATAATAATAAGTAAATAAATAATCGATTAGTAAACCCATTATCCTCGTCAAAGGTACTCCATTTTCAAAAAGTATCAAAAACACAAACACACACGCACACATACAGAGATAGAGAATAAATACAAAAGGCCAATCGATATCATTCCACTATCAATATCTTTCCCCACACATATATACACACACTAATTGGTTTTTTTTTTTAAATTTGATAGGAAGCTTACCGTCATACCGTTCGGCTTGTTCAGCAATCTTGGCCATGTAGACCTAAAGGATAATAATAAAATAGAGATAGTGATTAATAAAAAGAAATAGTTCCAAAATAATGTTTTTCGTTTGATAAATGACTTCATCTATAGTAAAAATAAGAACTTGTTCTTACGTTATCTTCGCGTTCCTATCAGTAGATACAAAAAAAAAAAGAAAAAAATAAGCTTATCAATAAAACAAAAAAGTTGATACTAAGATTGTGTCATATCAATTAAAGAGGTATTCTTTAAGGAGATAAGCAAATAAAAAAAAAGGGTAACTTACAGTAGACATTATAAAAAGTATAACTTAATAAAAGAGATATATAAAAAAAGAATGAGTTTAATGAATACAGAAAAAGGGAAGAAAAGAAAAGAAAGGAAACGAAAAAGAGTGGGAAAGAAAGAGAGAAAAAAAAGGTAAGGGAATTGAAACTCATCCAATGAAGGTTCAGTGATGGTGGAAGGGACTTCATTCATTACGCATGACACGAAAAAAAAAAGTATCACTTCTTTCCTTTTTTTTATTTTTATTTGATAGTGAAGAACTTTACAACTTTCATATTAATTCTCATAATATACTTTGCTTTGATCTAGAAAGTAAGATAATGCATGTTTTCGACTTTTTATTAAAAAATATTGATTTCCTAGTTACAGTTCATTTTCATACAATTGTAGACATTGTGACTGAAGGGAAATCTCACGTTTCCAGCTCCGCCTAACTTCTGTGAACTGCTGCTGGTCCGTATCTTTCTTTCTCTTTTTAATTATATTCTTATAAAATTTAAACCTGTTAATTTATTTATTATTATTGTTTTTTTTTTTTTTTACTGTCCTTTTTCAATGATACCCAATGGAGCTTGAAAAAGAACCCGAAAATATAGGTTCTCTAGGCTCTGATCCTGACGACATGCGGAAGACTTCGGATGTTTCCAACAAGAACAATAATAATAATAATGTGACACATCAAATACAAGCAGCGAACAATGTCAACGGTCATCCTATCAACAGTGACCATTCACAAGATTCTCGTAGTCCTTCACCTCATTATGAAGATAGCCATACTTCGTTACTTTCAACGACAACAACTAATAATTATCTGCCTTCTATTACGTCTACACGGGCAAATTCTATTATACAGCCTGCTACCAATATCACCTCTACAAATGATAATATCACTACGACCACAGCACCTCCACCTTCTATAACTACGACATTGACACAATCTCAAGAAAATACGTTTTATCAATCCTTGCAAATCCGACTACACCATTCTGTTGGAAGTATGAGTATTAGTCCTACTTGTCGTGATGTGGTTTTGGCTGGGTAACCCATTGGGAATAAACAAAACTCTCTCGACTTTTTGTATAATTTTTTAATTGATCTTTTTTTTTTTTTTTTTTTTTTTTTTTTTTTAATTCTTGTCTTTTTATTAAATAGTCGACAAGGTCTGGTTATCATCGATTTGGAGAATCCTTGGTTGATACCTCGTATCTTACCACATATGTCAAAATGGGAAGTAGCTGATGTTCAATGGAGTCCTTATGTATCTCGCGAATCATGGGTGGCATCCACAGTAAGTATAAATCCTATGATAGTGGCAATGAAAATCGATAAAAATCATGACCTTTTTTTTTTCCTTTTTTACTTTTCTTAGTCAAATCAAAAACTGGTTATATGGAATTTGAATTCAAGTTCTCAAGTGATTGAACATACTTTACATGCTCATGCTCGGGCAATCTCTGATATCAATTGGTCACCACATCATCCAGATATTGTTGCTACTTGTTCGGTTGATACTTATGTTTGTGTTTGGGATTTGCGTTGTGCTGGACAAAGTCATCAATCTCGTGGAGATGATTATTATTATCGACCTGTCAATTCTTTTACACCTTGGAATGGTAAAAACAAGCAAACAAAATAATCAATCATAATAATTAATCTTTTCTTTTTGGTTTATTATCTATATGCGTATAGCTGCTGCTACTCAAGTTAAATTCAACTTTAAAAATGAATATTTAGTCGCTTCTGCCCATGACAAGGATGTGAAAATCTGGGATATGCGAGTAAGTCGATTTTTTTTTTTTAAAAAAAGGATCTCGATATGTCATTCGTTACTTTATCTCATTGTTATTTTATTTTTCTCTATTTCTTTGTATATATGATAGAAAGGAGCTGTGCCAATGACAAGTATTACAGCTCACTCGAAAAAGATTTATGGTATTGACTGGAGTAGACAAAATGATCATGACATCGTTACGTGTAGTTTGGACAAATTAGTCAAGGTAAAGAGTGGTGCCCAAATAGAATATTTAAAAAATCTAACTCTATTATATTTAGTATTGGAACATTCACTCTGCAGATGAACCAGAAGAAACTATCATTACCAATTCTCCTGTTTGGCGGGCAAGAAATACTCCTTTTGGAAATGGTGTCCTGACTATGCCTCAACGAACGGAATCTACGCTTTATCTCTATGGTAGGGATACACCAAATGAACCTGTACATCTATTTGAAGGTCACACAGACACTGTCAAGGAATTTGTCTGGCGATGGAAAGGTGGTCAGAATAGCAGTGATGGAGGTAAATATTAAGAAAAAAGAAAAGGAGAGAGAGAATCGTCTTGTCATTTACAAGTGAAATGGAACTGAGGAATAATTCTCTTGATAGATGATCGTGAATTCCAATTGGTGACTTGGTCAAAAGATCAAAACTTGCGGTTATGGCCAGTACCTGAAGATATTACAAAGGTAAGAAAAATTTTATGAATTTGAAGTAGGATATACAGTGATCACATTTATAATATATATATATTTCTTCCTTTCTTTTTTTTTTTTTATTCAGTCTGTGGGTCACAAACCAAGTTCTCAAAAAACTCGCTATCCAGTTCCGTCAAATGCTATTGGAGCAGATGGAACCTACCATTCTCACTCGTTTCAAGAAACTCCTGTGGAGGATGAAGCAACAGATGAAAGATCTCGTTCAATTGCTGCTTCTGTTGCTCCAATTCGATTGATGGCTACCAATACTTTATCCTTCCATGGCACCGGTCCTCATGGTAATGTCAAATACTCTACAAGTTATAATTTCCCATCCAATACCTATCGTGAACAAAAATACACCATCAACCCTTTATTATGGATGCAAAACGTCAAAACAATAGCGCCAAACAACGAACTCAGAAAGGATACATCAGTTGGAAGTACTTACTCATCCTTAGCCGAAGAATTATCTAGTGTTCTCAATAAGTATGCTAGTGTTGGTGTCAAAACTGAAAAGGTAAAAAAAAAAAAAAAAAAAAAAAAAAAAAAAAAAAAAAAAAAAAAAAAAAAAAAAAAAAAAACGGTTCTAACAAAATACAACGTCTATGATTTTATGTAGATCAATGCTGCTGCTCGAACATGTACTATCTCTTTACATGGACCATGGCTAGAAACTGGAACTGCCTTCTTACGTATCACTATCCGATTCAGTCAACAATATCCTGACAACAGTCCTCCTGAATTTGACATTCAAAAGAACAGTATGATATCCATCTATTACCGTACCCACATGGCACAAGATCTCAACGCATTAGCTGCGAATTATACATCACAAAAGTTATGGTGTTTAGAGCCGTGTATTCGATACCTTCTTGGTGAAACAATGCAAGAAGACGAACCTCGTTTTGGAAATGACAGTGCTTCCATGATATCATCATTATCATCCACGACAACAGCAACTTCAGCAGTACCTTCCAAGAAATTATCTTCCACTACGGCAACAGCTTCTTCTTTTCCAACGACATTAGATACATCAGTCAATGGTATATCAAAGCCAACAACATTTAACAAAAATGACGAATCGATCCATCAACCTACTACAAACTATGTTAGCAATTGGAATGGGACTACAGCAGGTGAAGCTGATTCTGATGATGAAATATTTGTAGGACCTTCATTTATGGGTGGCTATGGTATGTCTAATGGAAAGCGTGGTAGTTTACAAAGTGAGAAAGGTATTGTTCTGGATCTCTCATCAAGACATTCTGCGGATGAAAAGGTACCTTTTCCTCGTCTCTGTGGTGGTGTATTTTCCGGAAGTGGTAATAAAATTAATATTTTGATTTTCAAATGGTTATTGACTTACTCCTTTTTTTTTTTTTTAAGGTCAATTGGTATGTTTCTTCTCAACATTACGTGTACGTGATCCTAATCGTACAACCAACAAAACTGATAAGAATAAACAAGATACAAGTCCAGCAAGCAATACTAGCAATGGGGAATACTTTGAACATACTTATCAAGATTTTTACAAACATCCAAAGTCATATGAACAATTTGAAGAATACAAGGAAATTGCCGCGATGTCTCGTCAAGGTCGAAATGCTACAGTGATGGTTGGTTCTAGTGGTGCCTTCGGAGAATATAGTTATGATGATGATCCTGATGATATTGATGATGGTTTGACCAATATGGCTTCGATCTACTTTAAACCGGACGTATGTATTTTCTAAAATACGATAGAAATGAAAGATAAATCATAATGATTCATGGATTATACTTTTCTTCGTTCTTTCTTTTTTTGTTATAATAGGGGCTGGCTCTGGATAATTCTATGAAGAGTGAAGACAATCTACTCTACCATGGCTCTAAATCTGATAGGACAACAAGAAACATCGTAATTGCCGATTTCTCTGATATGATGCCTTTTAGCCCATGGCTTGCTAAAGAATATATGTAAGTAGACTTATTTATTTATGTTTGTAATGGAATGATCCAAATCCTCAATCTTTTTTTTTTTTTTTTTTTTTGTTTAGGTTATCACCGAATGAACCCATGAAAGCATGTCTTCATAATGCTCAAGCTGCCAAGACACATGACCGCGATGATCTGGCTCAAATATGGAAAATATCTTTGGAAATTATACGAGAATGTGTTCCTTTAGATATTCCAGAACAACAGGATCTTGTGGATGACTTACTTTTGAATAGACGCCCAGATTTGCAACCTTTACCTACTGATCCACTTTGGTTACAAGATTCAAAACTGGCTGAAATCAATTCTATTTTGGGACATCAAGCATTTACTCGTCTATTGTTAGATGTGACTGAAACAAATGGCAAGTTGTCTACTGAAGAAACTACTATGCAAACAATAGATGATCTACCAAAACGTCGCGTAAGATGGGGTGCTCATCCTTTAGGTCAACGATTAGTAGATAATATGTAAGTCAAAAGACTCTTTCATTTATGATATTGTCAATCTCACTTTTCTTTGGCTCTTAATGTGATCATATTAGGTTGAAGCATTTTATTCGGGCGGGTGATATTCAAATGGGTGCTTTATTATCATGTGTGTTCCATGATGTTTATATGCCTATACAAAAAATCTCTCGATATGATATCAAGAAAGCAAGGTCTTGGGGAAGTATAGCAAGAAATCAACAACGCACTGGTGCGAATGAGTCTGGCAACAAAGCGTCTTCTGTGGACTACTTCTCGATGAAGAAAACTAAACAAGTAATGCATCGAACCAGCTCTGGACCCAGTTTGAATGGTGCTACCGTATCCAACCGCAATAGTAATCATGTACAACTCAGCCAATCCTATGGAACAAAAGGTGTCAACTTTTTGTCTTACTTTTGGGATAGTGACAGGCGTACACCACCACCTATGGAAAAATCACCACTGACAGAAACACCAACTGAAATGGGAAATGATACTTTGACAGCATCAGCAGCATCACCTATCCGCACTCCTAAAATTTCCAATCGAATGACGAATCGTATGCAACCCTGGACAACTATGTATTCTGGAGCGAAAATACCAAGTAACACAGCACCTGGATTAAGATCTTTGACAATGACTGGTAGTGTCAGCTCTCATGGAACATCGTTTACATCTACACCCTCAAGTCCTGTTGTGATGGGATCTCGTGTCAGTACTCCTCTTTTACCTCCTGGATCATTACCTCTCTCAACACCCAATGTGATACCTCTTGGTCCAGTGACGATTGCAAATAAAGAAGGCGAGATGCTTTCAACTGATGACCTCTCGATTGAATTCAATAATGTAGAATGGTTTGATGGTGAAAAAATGTTTGTATACAATCAAATCCCTCTTCTACCTGCCAGCAAAAGTGGACAATATGATGTTACACGATGGCAATATGCAGATTTATTGTTTCGGAACGATCTATTGGCTCAACGTGCAGAAGTACTCAAGTATATCAACAACCGACCAGCGCCGACTTTAACTGGATCAACAATGACAAGCAAGGAGCGAACAATGGAAATTCAAGTACGATGTTATATATGTGGATCTGAAGTGGCTGGTCCTGATCGTATGTGTTATCAATGTCGTAAAATACGAACACAAATCAAGTGCACTATCTGTCATCAATTGGTCAAAGGTTTATTGAATTTTTGTGTAAAATGTCGACATGGTGGACATAGTCATCATATCAAAGAATGGTACCAAAAGGAAGATGTTTGTCCAACTGGTTGTGGATGTCGTTGTTTAATAGAAACTCAGGAATATGGCACGCTTGTATTATAGTATCTTGATTGTTTTTTTTTTATCTTTTAGTTATGTAAATATATTTCTTTTTTTTTTTTTTTATCTCCTATTACTATTTTTTTTTTTTTGTTTACTAATAAAGAATCTTTTTACTTTTACTATGGTTTTTTGATTTTCAGGGCAAACCTTCTTTTTGAATAAGGGGTCAAAATACAATTTTAAATTACAGCTTCTTCCTTTTTTTTTTTTTTTTTTTCCTTATTTCTGCGTCTTCTTTTTTTTCTTTCTTTCCTTTTTTTTTTTTTTTTTTTTTTTTTTCCTTATTTCTGCGTCTTCTTTTTTTTCTTTCTTTCCTTTTTTTTTTTTTTTTTTTTTTTTTTTTTTTTTTTTTTTTTTTTTTTACGTCCCTTTTATCATCATGAACTTGATTCTTAGTTCGTTATTATTCTTTGGATACCTCATTTGTGCGATCACTGGCTACCGCGTTTTATCCAATGATTCCTTAAAGAAAATCGCGGAACTCTCACAACCTGATACATTAGATATCAATAATGGACGTTTATTGAAACCCTTCCTTGTCGAACGAGTCTCTGGTACCGAATCCAATGCCAAGGTGCGTGATTTTATTATACAGCATTTTGAACGACTTGGATGGCATATTGAATTGGATTCCTTTACAGCAATGACACCATTGGGCGACAAGAACTTTACAAACATTGTGGTGACAAAGGAACCGGAAGCACAACATCGACTTGTCCTAGCAGCTCATTATGATTCGATGAACAGTCCTAATTTTGAATTCATTGGTGCCACGGATTCAGCAGTGCCATGTGCAGTGTTACTTTCATTGGCAGAGACGTTGAACGATCAATTATCAAGTACTTCGGCCTGGTCTGGTGGACGCAGAAAAAGGAAATCTTGGCAAGACACAACTACACTGGAACTTATCTTTTTTGATGGTGAAGAGGCCTTTGTGAAGTGGACAGCAGACGATTCTATCTATGGGGCTAGGCATCTTGCTGAGATTTGGGAACAAACTGTAGTGGCCAATCCACAACAACAACAACAAGGACGACAAGGTAATAGGCTTGAACTTATTGACGTCTTGGTGTTACTCGATTTGATGGGCACTCCCAATCTGACCTTTCACAATTATTTCCGCTCAACAAGTTGGCTTTTCCATCATTTGGCAAATTTAGAACGTCGTCTTTCCGCTTATGATGATGATACCCTTTGGCAACCTTTTGATCGATTTCAACAACCTCTTCAATATATGTTTCCTACTGAACCTACTCAGCTGACGTTTAATAGTCATGCCATGAGTGATGATCATTTGCCCTTTATGTATCGTGGTGTCAATATTCTCCATTTGATTCCTTATCCTTTTCCAAAAGAATGGCATCTTGCTTCGGTAAGTTCACAAAAAAAAAAAAAAGAGAACAGTAGATATCACTCATTGATTTTTTTTTTTTATCTAGGATAATGCTGATTGTCTTGATCCTCCTTCAATTTATAATTTGGACGTATTATTTAGGGTATTTGTATGTGAATATTTGGAATTGGATCCTGTCCCTCATAGTGAATTGTAGTTTAGATATCAATTCTTTTTAGATGAAATAAAAAAAACCTTATTTTTGATATTTTCTCACACCAATCGTCTTTTGATCTTCCGAGCACAAAAATGCAGGAACTCTTTTTTTTTTTCTTTTTTCTCTTTTCTTTCCTTTCCTTATCACTTTTATATTTATCTCAGCAATGACTGTAGCTACTCTTCTCGATGGCAAAACATTAGCACAGTAAGTATTTATTTTTTTTTTTATGGGAAGGAGGAAGGGTTGAAAACTGGTCACTACCAAAAAAAAAAAAAATATGTTGGTTATCATTAGTGTCATTCCCATCGTTTCGGATTCATCTTTTTTTTTTATTACATAGAAATGTACGTGACAAAATCAAGAAGGATATTGAAGCTACGAAAGTGAAATATCCAGAATATTGTCCTCATGTGGCCGTGGTTCAAGTTGGTCGTAGAGAAGATTCATCAGTTTATGTTCGTATGAAGCAAAAAGCTGCTGAAGAAGTAAAGTTAAAAAAAAAAAAATGAAAACAAATATATACGAAAATTAACTAACTAAACATGATTTTAATGATATATACAGGCAGGCATTCAATTCACTCATGAAAAACTACCTGATAGTATCACTCAACAAGAACTATTGGAACGCGTAAAACAACTGAATGAAGATTATCGTGTACATGGAATCTTGGTACAAATGCCTTTACCGTCTCATATTAATGAAGCAACTATTATTGAAGCAATTGATTATCAAAAGGATGTGGATGGATTTCATGGGCTCAATATTGGTAATATGGTCAAGAAACAAGCGCAACCTCTGTTTTTACCTTGTACACCTAAAGGCGTGATGGAATTACTCAAATCTACCGGTATATCTATTCAAGGCAAATCGGCTGTTGTGGTGGGAAGAAGTGATATTGTGGTATGACATCTAACATTTCATTGGACGCACCTTTTTGTCTCTTATTTTTTAACTTATTAGTTTCCTTTTTTGTATCTTTTTTTTTTTTTTTTTTTTTATAGGGTGTACCTGTGGCACATTTATTAGTCGCGGCCAATGCAACAGTGACTATTTGTCATTCCAAAACTCAAGATATGGATCAAATTGTGAAAACAGCGGATATCCTGGTGGTGGCCATTGGTAATCCTCAATTTATCAAAGGTGAATGGATCAAACCTGGAGCTATTGTCATCGATGTTGGTACAAATCCTATTCCTGATCCATCAAAGAAATCAGGTACAAGATTGGTTGGTGATGTTGATTTTGATCAAGCAAAAGAAGTAGCAGGTATCTTGACTCCTGTTCCTGGTGGTGTTGGTCCGATGACGGTAATCTTTTTTTTTTTTTAAAAAAAAGGATCATTCATTTATAGCTGTCTTCTTTTACATGTATATATTAGGTTGCTATGTTAATGGAAAATGTGAATATCAGCGCCAAAAGGTTTTTACAACAAGATCAAGATCGAAAAGTGATACCACTATCATTGGACCTCAAGATGCCTGTACCTTCTGATATTGATATTGCCATGGCACAGAAACCAAAGAACATACAATCACTCTGTCATGAGATTGGACTCAAGCCAGACGAAGTAAGTTGTTCGATATAAATAAAAAGCGTTTTGTGAACTAATATATCGTTTACGTTGTGAATATAGTATGAACTTTATGGAACAACAAAAGCAAAAATTGGCTTGAATGTATTGGATAGACTGAAACATCGTAAAAACGGTCGTTATGTGGTTGTCACTGGGTAAATATATATATATCTTAGCTGGTATTGATGGCTAATAATATTCCAATTTTTGTCTGGATAGAATCACTCCAACCCCTCTTGGTGAAGGCAAATCTACTACAACTATTGGCCTAGTACAAGCTCTTGGTGCCCATCTAAATAAATCTGCTTTTGCATGTGTTCGTCAACCATCTCAAGGACCTACATTTGGTATCAAGGGTGGAGCCGCTGGTGGTGGATACTCTCAGGTTAGTAGCCATCTAAAGCAGTAATGCAAGTACTTATCTTTTTTTTTTTTTTTTTTATAACAGGTGATACCCATGGATGAATTCAACCTTCATATGACTGGTGATCTGCATGCTGTGACAGCAGCCAATAACTTACTTGCAGCAGCCATTGATGCTCGTATGTTTCATGAAGCTACACAAAGCAACAAAGCTCTATTCAACCGATTATGTCCCGCCAAAAAAGGAATCCGCACCTTTGCTCCCGTGATGTTGAAACGATTAGAAAAGCTTGGCATTGATACATCAAAACAACCCAACGATTTGACGGAAGATGAGATAGCCGCATTTGCAAGACTCGATATTGATCCTTCCACCATCACTTGGCAACGTGTGACCGATACCAACGACCGATTCCTTCGCAAAGTGACTGTAGGTGAAAGTGCAACTGAAAAAGGACAAACAAGAACAACCGGATTTGATATTACAGTGGCAAGTGAAATCATGGCTGTGTTGGCTTTGACAACGGATTTACAAGATATGCGAAAACGATTAGGTAATATGGTGGTGGCCAATTCCAAGACAGGTCAACCTATTACAGCTGATGATATTGGTATTGGTGGTGCTCTTACTGTGCTAATGAAGGATACAATCAAGCCCAATTTAATGCAAACTTTGGAAGGTACTCCTGTTCTTGTTCATGCTGGTCCTTTTGCAAACATTGGTAAGAAGAGATAAGTGAGAAAGTTAGTTTTTGATTCAATTGTTTACTCTTTCTTTTTTTTTTTTTTTTTTTATGATAGCTCATGGAAACTCATCTGTTCTAGCTGACAAGGTGGCACTTAAGCTAACTGGTACTGATGGCAATGATGATGGAAAAGAACCGGGATACTGTGTGACTGAAGCAGGATTCGGCGCTGATGTAAGGCCAATATTAATAATAAAAACCATCTAGTATTGTGTCATCTAACTTTTTTTTTTTTTAATGTAGATGGGAATGGAAAAGTTCTTCAATATCAAATGTCGTACATCAGAATTGGTACCAGATTGTGTTGTATTAGTGGCTACTATTCGAGCTTTGAAGATGCATGGTGGTGGACCAAATGTTGTGGCTGGCAAACCTCTCCCTGATGCCTACACTGAAGAGAATCTAGACTATTTGGAAAAAGGATGTAGCAACCTAGTACGACATATTGAAAATGCTCACAAGTTTGGTCTTCCTGTAGTGGTTGCCTTGAATCGATTCACATCCGATACCTCAGCTGAATTGGCATTGGTGCGAAAACTCTCGTTAGAAGCAGGAGCCGAAGATGCAGTTGTATGTGAACATTGGGCATATGGTGGACGTGGTGCGATTGATTTAGGTCAAGCGGTAATCAAGGCATGTCAAGAAAAGACAAAACAATTCCAGTTTTTGTATCCTTTGGCCAATACAATTATTGTGGACAAGATAACAACGATTTGCAAGGAAATCTATCGTGCGGATGGCATCGAGCTCAGTCCAGAAGCACAACATAAAGTAGATACCTATACCCGACAAGGCTATGCTGATCTCCCTATATGTATGGCCAAGACTCAATACTCTTTTTCTCATGATGCTTCGCTTAAAGGCGCACCTGTTGGTTTTACTGTACCTATTCGTGACTTGAGACTCTCAGCTGGTGCTCGCTTTATCTATCCTCTCTGTGACACTATTCAAACCATGCCTGGTTTACCTACCCGACCTTGTTTCTTTGATGTGGATTTGGATGACAATGGTCAAGTCGTTGGTCTTTTTTAGTCATAGTCTTTTTTTTCTATTATTGTTATTGTATCGATCATGTCTTTTTTTTTTATCATTGTTTTTGAAAGAAATAAAGAAATGTGATGTTTTATTGATATGATGGTTAATGGATGACACGGTAATCAAGGGATGGAAATTATTATAGTTAGAGAACAAATAGAATAGGGATACTATGCTCTTCTACTTACCGTTTGCTTCTCATTTTTTTTTTTTTTCATAATTTAGAGTTCGATATGAACCGGATGCCGTGTATCATTTTTCGACAAACATCACAAGAACCGCAATAGAAAGTAGTATGCTACAAAATACAGGAATTCTTTCATATATATTAATATACATATTGCTAATATTGAGAAGTCGATACTAATATTAATTTTTCAATTTTTTTTTTTTACCGTGTTATTTGTTTCAACGAGTACTCCACTGACAACTAATCAACTTTTCGCAAATAAGCCCAAAAAGTAACAAATTTTGGAATGTTATCAATTTTGGTTACACACATCTATGCTGAGAACAACAAAAGATAAAACTCGTATACAAGACTGAAGATGACTCAAAATTTTATTATGGATTGTTGAAGAAGATACAAAAAAAAAAAAAAAAGTATGTAATATATGAGTGAGTACTAACTAGATCAATCTAAGTAATGACAGTAGGAGCCTTGCGTCCGGTATAATGTTCCAATTGACATAAATCCAGGGCGACATCGATCAAAGGTTTCAAAGCATCTTGAGTGGCATGAGAATATTCAGATGGATTATTAGAGTATTTTTCCACATAGAGACGGACAGTAGCACCTTGAGAACCAGTACCAGAAAGACGGATGATAACACGAGAAGTATCTTCAAAAATAATACGAACACCTTGATTTTTTGAAACGCTACCATCAATAGGATCGTGATAAGAAAAGTTATCCATAGTTTTGACCTTGAATGCACCAAATGTCTTTCCAACCCATTCACCACTTTCAATTTTTTCACCAAGTCTTGCTACCATATCATCAGCACCCTGTCCTTCTACATCTTCATAATCGTATCTAAAAAAAAAAAAAAGGTCAGACAATTTTTTTTTTTTTGAAAGTTTACCTTGAGAAAAAGTTGCGACCATAAGTTTTGTAATGAGATTGAAGAATATCATGTACACTAGAACCTGGTTGCTGTTTGTTGACATAAGCAATGACACTGATCCATGCCATGATAGCCCATACACCATCCTTTTCACGAATATGATCCGAGCCTGTACCAAATGATTCTTCACCACAAATAGAACAACGTTGAGCATCCATCAAGTTACCAAAAAACTTCCATCCAGTGGGGACTTCAAAATGTTCCAATCCTTGTTTTTCTGCCACACGATCCAAAGCCAATGATGTTGGCATACTACGAGCAAGACCATGTACACCATGTTTCTTGAAATAAGGAATAGCATCCTTAGCATAATGAGCAATAATAGCTACACTATCACTGGGAGTCACGAATGCATTGTTACCACCAATAATCATATTTCGATCACCATCACCATCTGAAGCAGCGCCAAAATCATAACCTTCCTTGTTCACACGTTCTACCAAATCATGAGCATAGGTTAAATTGGGATCAGGATGAGCTCCACCAAAATCAGGTAAGGGTTTATATCGCATCACACTTGATTCTGGAAGTCCAAGTTCCTCAACAAATAATCTATAACCATAAGGTCCAGTCACTATCCAAAAAAAAAAAAAAAATTAAAAAAAAAAACCTATTTCCGCATGAATAATCACTTACCACCATTCATGCCATCGAATAATACTTTATAATTTTTGTTGTTTTTGAAAAAATCCTTGATAGCATCAAAATCAAAAATGGTTTTCAGCATATCAATATAATCAGAGACTCCATCAATGATTTCAATTGTCATATCACCAGCTTGTTGTGTTCCTAGTTGAGAAAAGTCCACCTAAGATAATTTCATTATTAGTTAATTAATAGTGATGGATAGTTTCTTCATTGCTTACCTTTGGAACATCTGCAAACTTGTATTCTTTAATCGTTTTTGTGAATTCATAAATTCGGTTTGTCACGTTTTCAGGAGCGGGACCGCCATTGGACATATTGTACTTGATACCAAAATCATTGTCTGGACCTCCAGGGTTGTGAGAAGCAGTCAATAGAATACCTCCAGTTGCTTTTCTTTGACGAATCAAATGAGATACAGCAGGAGTAGATACAATACCATTTTGACCTACAATCAGTTTGCTTACCTAAATATATATATATATAATATGTATCAAGTGTGAGTAGAACAATTTCCTTCTGTTTTTTTTTAAAAAAATAATAATAATAATAATAAAATACTTTACACCAGCAGCAGCACTAAGCTTAACAATAATTTGAAGTACTTGGTCCAAATAATATCGACCATCACCACCAACAACCAAAGTAGCACCTTTTGCTCCACCTTCACTTTGAGGAATAGAATTTAAGATGGCCTGGATGAAGTTTTCAGTATAATGAGGTTGTTGAAAAATCTTGACGCGTTTACGTAAACCAGAAGTACCCGGTTTTTGTCCTTCAAAAGGTTGAGTTTGGATAGTTTTGATAGAAGTAGTCATAATGTGAATGAAGTCAATGGAAAAAAAAAGAAAGAAAGAAAAGGAAAGAAAAGTAAAAATAACCTAGTCGTGTTTCCAAAAGCAAACAAACCGATTCGGCTGTTGAAATAGAGTTTATTCATAGTGTTTTGACCTTGATTTTTTTTTTTTTTTTCGTTTCGATGTTTTATGCAAAGAACTAAAAAAAAAAGAAAGTTTCCTCTGGAACGTTTTATCTTTTTCGTTTTCATTGGTTATAAAATGATAAAGTATTTCAATAGACAAACAAAATATATTACAAGAATATATTCAAGTTTAACTATAGAGAGAGATCTGAAAGAAATTTCATGCTTATATAATGCCCCAACAAATCATTGATACGGATGGCTCTCTATCTCTTTATTTATTTTTGTGCAATCAAAAGGGGAACAATAAAAAGGAAAAAAAAAAAAGTAATTCTCACACTCTCTAGATAAAAATTAGCCAATAGAATTACCTTTTTTTTTTTTTTTGCTTTCGATAGATTGATACTTTTACAACTTACTCAAAAATGATCATCACTGTACCAAACTTGGATTGAACATAGATGAGATCATTCTCTTTCATTATAATCATTTATACTATAAAGTAAAAAATTAAAAAAAAATAAAAGTAGATTCATCCAATAATGACCATCATCCAATAAAATTACCATCACTGGATTCCTCTCAAAAAAAGTAACCTAATATCATTTAATCTCATTTTATTACCTTACCTTGCCAACTAATGTGTAATGAACATCGAAAAGATTTTATCGATTTTTTGAAAAATTGCCTGGTGAACCCTCGACAATTTATTTTTACAGCCAACATTTGGCTGAGGAGTTTGAAATTTTTAGCTGTAAAATTCCAAAAGTTCAAAAAAAAAAAAAAAAAAAAAGAAAAAGAAAAAAAAAAATTGAATCCACAGCATCTTTCAAATCCCATTTTTATGATTAAATCTATCGTCATACCGTATAAGCATCATTAACAAAAGATGTATATATTATCTATGATTATTTCTTTGTTAATGAACCAAAAAAGGATAGCATATCGATAATGTGTAAAAAATCCCAGAAAAAGACTATCTAACATCTCATCTCATTCTAAAAAAGAAATATTCGAAATCCCCATTTTAAGATTTAAACCTGCCATCATACTGTAATATCATCTGTGTCTATCTTTTTTTTTTTTTTATTGATGTATCAAAGACACATTTACCACTAAAAAAAAAAAAAAAAAAAAAGATCGCGTTAAATTCTAAACTATGTTTTCGAGTCTCAAGCACGGCTAAAAATTCTTAATGAGATGCCAATCTGTAAACTGGGACAAGTAAATACACTCACATATCCTCACAATATTTTTTGGTACAACGTTTTCAATCAAGAGGCAAAAAAAAAAGAGAAATAAAGGCAGCGGATTCTGAATGTTTATGTGGGTCTCCTGACTTGCCACATTGGTACCCAAAAGAAAAAAAAGCATGATTCAGGCGCAGCTCCCTTTCTCTCTCTCTTTCCTTTTTATTTTATCATCGTTATGGCTCAAGATTTATATAATAATATCTATTCTCGATTTCACTCTGTACGTGAATATCTTGCTCCTATACTCAAGGATTCCAAATTCAAAGAAACCGGTTGCTTGACTCCAGAAGAAGTAAATTATAGTTTTTTATTTTTATAAAACAAATTATAACTTACACTTTTCTTTTCCCATTATAGTTCGTTGCCGCTGGAGAGTTTTTAGTTTATAAATGTCCAACTTGGTCATGGTAAGAAAAAAAAGAAAAAAAGAGACAACATTATGAAGATGAATTGACTTTTTTTTTTTAAAAAAAAAAAAATGGAAAGGGAATCTGGATTGAAAGAGAAACAAAGGGACTACTTACCTAGTGATAAACAGTTTTTGGTCACTCGAAACGGTAAAACCTTATATATATATATATATATATATATACATATAAATCGACTAATATTATTTCTATCCTTTATTATTTTTATTTAGTACCTTGTCTTCGAAGAGCAAAGCAAATGGAATTCACAGACAATGACGATCAGGATACCAAGATGATACAAACAGAAGATGAGGGTGAAGAAGATGCTTGGACTTACACACATAGTTCTAGAGGTATTTTGAAATAATATATATATATATAGAGTTCAATAGAATATTCATATAAAATGTTATTTTCTTTTAGTGACACAAACTATGGATGAAATGGCACAGCATATTCTTGATGACGAGGAGTTGGAAGAAGAAGCAAGAAGACATATGGCTTCTTTGAAGGTAGACGATAATAATGCACAGCAACCAGCATTGGAAGATATTCCTGATATAGATGATATTCCGGATATGGAGGATGATCAAGTGGAAGAAGAAGAAGATCCTGTAAGCTCTCGTTATTATCATAATAGATGGATAAAGATTACTTACTTTGTTTTCTATATAGGCTATAGCTACTCAAGCTCATGATGATACCAACAAGTAAGGATATAAACGCGGAAATAAAATATTAAATATTTTTGATTTATTAACTTAGTGACAAGATCTTACAAGTACGAACATACGATGTATTTATTACTTATGATAAATATTACCAAACTCCACGTATATGGATATTTGGCTATGATGAAGTAAAAAAAAAAAAAGTGAAATATATATATATATATTTGAAGGGAAAACAAAGGAGTGATTAACTTTTTATTTTCTGATAGCAACGACGACCATTGACTTCACAACAAGTCTTTGAAGATGTCAATCAAGATTACGTCAAGAAAACAGTGACCATTGAACCACATCCTCATCTTAATTTGAATTTAGCATCCATCCATCCATGTAAACATGCTGAAGTGATGAAAAAGATCATTGAACGATTGGGGAATGGTGTTTCTGCTGGATTGACGGAACAAGGCGAAGAAATTCGTGTAGACCAGTAAGTTATCATGGCATAAAATAAGAAACGAATATTGATATTTTTATTTTTTTTTTTTTTTATAGATATCTAGTCATCTTTTTGAAATTCATCAGTTCTGTTGTGCCCACCATTGATTATGATCATACCATTAGTGCTTAGTTATACATATATATATATATATACTGGTTTTTTTCCTTGATAATAAACCTTTATTTTTTTTTCTTTTCTGCGCTGTGATTAGAGACTTATTTGCATTGGCATTCGAGCATAGTGATTCTTTTTTTATCTTATGGAAATAAATGACCGTTGATTGATGTTGGATGATCGAAAAAAAAAAGGATGTGGATCTCGGATGTTACATGTTTTGCAGGTGATTGATCCATGGATTCGTATCTACCATCATCATCCATTTCTTTTTCTATTTACTACTTTTAAAATGACCACCCTCATAAATCACGAAATTATCATATATATTAAGGAACATGTTGCCAATGATATCAATTATAGATCCCCTTTTTGTTTTTTCTAAATAAAAAAAAAATAGATCTGGGATATATAAAAACTGATTTTACTTTCTTTTTTTTTTATTTCTTCCTCAGATACTACTCTCAACTACTCTGCTGTGCAAAAGAAGCAATATTACTCTCTCTTCATGGTCACTTGGTCGATGATGTTTTCATCAAACGTACACTAGTTTGAAGGGACAGTACTCAACGGCGTTTGTGTTTAGTTCAAGTAGGTTCAATAAGCAATCAATATCCAATTCTCTACTTCTTTGATTTTCCAGACTGGTTCATCGCTACTCTTACCCTGAATGCTGTTCCTCAGGGTTCTGATAAGTCATTATCATTTAATGATTCTTTCTTTTTTCGAATAGGAAACTAACCTTTTTTTTTTGATAGTAGTTTTGATTGGTTACATGTTTAAAGTGCACAATATGATCGGACTCACAAAAAAAAAATAGGAGATACTCTTTATTGATTTGATTTTGATTGAATGATTTATTTGATTGATTGATTGATATGAGCGTTCAAACGGGGGTAAATAAAATAATAATAATAATAATAATAAGAGGAAAAATATATACAAGGGAAAAGAAAACTAAGGTAATAAATAAAAATGATAAAAAAAGAAAAGTGTAAAATGGTATAGTATACAAAAATAAACAGAAGAAAAAAAATATAGGATATGATATAAATAAACATCATGATGGTGAGTAATCCCAACAAGATCCATAGGTAAGTACTTGAGTCAATGATTCCCTGAGAACAAAAGGTGAAATAGGTTTCGGAAGGCAACCATTCTAACCCAAAAAAAAAAAAAAAAAAAAAAAAGAAAAAAAAATTAGGTTCATTATCTCACCTATTTGTTATTATTATCAACCTACCATGCCAACCTTCAAATAAGCTTTTTTCCATTCCATAGACATATTAGTGGTGACGGCAACAATAGGTATATATCTATTTTGAGTTAAAACAAATGCCAACTGTTGTTGTTGTTGTTCTTGTTGTTGTTGATGTCCTCTTCGAATCCAAGAAGCAGCATCAATCCCATTTAATCCAGGCATATCAATATCCATCAGGATCATATCATAAAACTGTTGTCGTAATTTTTCAATAGCGTCTTCACCACTGGAAGCCATATCCATATGTTGGAAAATATCCGCCATATGTAATTTCAATGCCTTGGCCAGGACTTGTAAATTGACTTGATTATCATCCACCAAAAGAACACGTAATCGCTTATTATTATTATTATTATTATTTATAGGTAGCGGTAATGAATGCTGTCTTTTCCAAAAGGTCGGTGAACTTGGTGACTTGGGTAATAACATGGTGCGTAAAAGTTGAGACTGTGTACTAAAAGGACTACTGGTATCAGAAGGTGAATCCATGATAGGTGTTGTGGTGTCTATAGGACCGAGATTGGGTGTGAGAGGTGAACAAGTATTGGGAGACGAAGAATGGTTCCGTAGTAAAGGTCCTGGTGATTGAATATCGGTATCGATGGGGTACATGTAAATAGAATGTCGTGGAAGGGAGGGTCGTCGTGTGTATCGATAGCAGTACTGTAAAGATGATCGTCGTCGTTGATAGAGCTTTGAAGGTAGTGCTGGTGCTTTAAAGTTAATATCTTCTGGAAAGGTCATTCTAGTTGGTGATGATGAAGGAGAGGAAAGTGGTGACCCTCCTGTTGTTGTAGAGCATTGTCGATGTTGAGAATTGAAATAATCCAGTTTGAAGAAAGATACATATATATATATATAATATAATATATATATATATAAAGAAAAAAGAAAAAAAAAGTGAAAAAGAAAGAAAGAAAAAGAAGGGAAAACGGACGGTAAATTTTAGAAAAAGCAAGAGCCAAGAACCATCAAAAGGCTCGTCACCCGTTTTTTTTTTTTTTTTTTTTGTCACACAAAAAGCACATACACACACAGACAATCATAAAAATCTAGACCCATAGATTGAAAAGTAATCAAAACATAAACATAGTAAGGCCAAAAGAAAAAAGAGGGGAGAGAACAAGGGCTTTCTTTTTTTTCTTTTTGTTTATTTTTATTTGAAATAGTTTAGAATGGTATTTAAAAACATAATAAAGAAGATATAATGAAATAATCCATGTTCAGCATACACGGTAAATTTTGCTTGTACAGGGCCTGGAATCTATTAAAAGTAACAAAACAAAAAAAAAAAAGTCAGTCATCAAGAGTTCCTATTTGCGTCCCGTTCGTCCGAAGATATTTCTATTTCTATTGCGTAGTCCACAATTTTAGTTTTTATTTACCAGTTCAATCAATCCATTATTGTCATGCCATCCAGTAGGGTAAAGATACTTTGATGCTTGAGGAGATAACACAGTCTACATTTCCACGCACAAAAAAAAAAAAAGAAATACATTCAATGAATCTTGTCATCTCCCTCTCTCTCTCTCTTTTTTTTTTTTTATTTTATACCAAAGAACGGGTCATATGGTCGATCGGTATCTATGGACCTAAGAAGAGGTTATCCGGTATCAGATAAAAAAATATCAAGTTGACAAAAAAAAAAAAAAAAAAAAAAAAGGAAAAGAAGTAGCGCGCCACTAACACCAAAAAAGAACAAAGAAAAAAAAAAAAAGTTCAAGCCCAGCGTGTGGAGTTCCTCCCTTGCTACTTTCAGGTACACGAGATATTCTCTGATTCATTTTTTGAGTTATATGAAAGATATGAGGGTACATTTTTTTTTAAACTAAACAAGAGAGGGATCATCCATTCCATTTATTATCAACAATCAAGTATCTTGATTGACTCGTGCCTTTCCCCTAACTGAAATGCATGATTTATTCCTACTTTTCTTTTCTTGATGCAACTACCTCCTTTGCCTTTCTTTTTTTTTTTTTTAATCACATTCTTTTATGGTAAAAAAAAAAAAAAAAAAGTGTTCAAGATACCTTTCTTTATTGCAATGATGATGATGATGATGATGAATAAAAGATGATTTACCAAGCAAAACAAGATAAGGTGACATGGTCTAGTCTTCTCCATTTCCCATGGATAGCGGCCTGCAAATCTTTATCAGAAGCCAATAAAAGAACTCTTCCTTTTGGATCCTCTAAACGATGATGATGATTGTATTTCCATTGACGGGGTACACATCTTGAAGTGAATGAAGATGATGGTAAAAGAGGTAACGTGGAGGCAAAAAAGGCAATCTGGTGCGACAAGGCCAACGTCATGACATGATCATACTCCACCCAAGGTTCCTTTTGATTCAACGTTAAAGTTTCCAATGCCCCTTGTCTATCGCTAGATGCAATATGGTTGTACGCCAGTACCGATGTGGTGGGAAGACACTCTAACCCATGATCATGCAAACGCTCATTCAGTTGCCGACGTAACGTGTCAAAATGAAATTGTCGTGTTACAAATGTTGTTGAGATGAATGATCCTGGTCCAAGATAGAGAGAAATCGTGATACCTTTGGTCGAAAGTGACGTTAATGATGATGATGATGATGGTTTGGGCGAGACATAAAATTCATTGCAAAGACGTGGTGACATTACTACTGTTGATGATGATGATGATGATGATGTTGCCATGGCAGCAAGTTGAGTCGGAGTCGAGTGTGATGAGGGTAAAAAAAAAGGTGGTGATACAGGTACTCCATCATCTTTTTTTTTAACACGCTCCTTTTCTGGTTGGTGTGGTTGTACAGAGATGGATGATGTTGCCTTGTCATCATCTAGTAGTGGGATAGGTGGTAACGCCTTAGAATAGCGACGAGGAAAAAGAGGACAAGATAGAGATGGTCGAGTGATGATGGGTGTTGAAGATGATACCAATGGTAATGGTGAGATTGGTGATGATGTTGATTCTAATGATGATATTAGTGATGATGATGATGATGATGATAGTCGAAAAGGTTGATAATTTAAAAATTCAAACATGTAACGTGATTGATGGACCTCAGCTGGCATTCTGAACACATCGTACAAGTAACGATCTAACAGTTTTTGTTTTTTTTTACGATTGGCAAGTAGTTGCAAAGGAGATGATGATGATGATGATGAGAAGGATGCCATTGATGATGATGATAATCGTGGTAAATACTTTAACGTTGGTTGTTGCTGATGAACAGGTCCAAATGATGTACGATGAAGATGAAATGATAAAGGAGGTAATGGTGGTGGTGGTGCTGTTGCTAACAATGCATCGGAATTTGAAGACGATGATGATGATGATGGTTGACAGGGGAAACAAGAGGGATGTTGTTTTTTCTTGGGTGTGTAATGAGGAAAAGAACAATTCAATTGATGAGAGAGTCGAACAAAGTCTTGATATCGTCGATGAATCGTATAACACGGTTCATTCTTTGTTGTAATCAAAATTTGATACCATGTCTCTTTTCCTCGTTGCTCGTAAGAAACAACAGATGCACTACAAATAAACAATTCATGACCTGAACTCATTTTTTCACTGATGATATGGAAAATAAAATAAGGGTTTGTATAAAAGATAAAAAAAAAAAAAAATACAATTTAGAGGAATATAAAGTCTTTTTTTTTTCAATTGGTAAATCACATATTTTATGCATCAAAAGTAAAAAAAAAAAAAAAAAAAAAAATTGTTATCCATAGTGATTGCATGAATAAATTGCATTCCTTGTCATTTCCATTTCAAATTTTCCATTCCTGTGATCCATCTCGTTCATCTTTTGGTTATAAAACAAACGAATCCACATTATACTTTATTTTCAAGCATCACAAAAAAAAAAAAAAAAAAAAAAAAAGGCTACACGTACACAATCTATACTAAGGTACTACTATAGTAAGCTTCATTCCAAATCCACACTACCACACGTACCTTGTCGAGAACTCCATTCGGTCAGCATATCTACAGTTGATTTCTAATCCACGCGTCTTCACTTTTGTTTCTTCAGATCGTTGTTTCCAATCTTCATCTGTATATGTTGTCCATTGATCAAATGATTTTGCCGATTCCCTAATGCTGAGTGTAGAAACAAGTTCCAAGTCGTCGTTGTCCTCACCACAAATCGTATAATGGATACGGCCAATGGAGAGTTGTGAAAAAATACGTCCAGGAATGTCAATCTTGATCGGTGTTTCCATGATTGCTTCTGTGTTGTCGCTCTGCTGCTTGCAAACAACGATAGAGTTGGACCATAAAAATTTCGTCACCAAAGGACATCGTTGTAATAAATCAGAGAGATAATCCATGTTGGTTATAGCCAGTTCTTGAATAAAAAGAGACACGAGCGCACTGTGAGTATTCGTTGGTTTGTTATCGCCATCATCATTGATTTCAGGATATAATCCTTTAACAGCCAAAGTCTTCAAATTCGGGCATGAATCCAATATATTATCCAAATTGATTTTTTTCCAAGCTTTCCAGTTGAGACTAAAAGAGAACTCGAGTTTCAAGTGTGTCATATTATGTAGAGTCATTTTCCCAAGAGATAAATCCAATATACCACCTTCCAATTGTTCAGGTACGTCGTATGAAAGTTCTTTCAGTAAATTCAAATTGCCTAGTGGTCGAATAGAGCTAAGTCCACTTCGGAATGCATCAAGTTCACGCGGGCTAAATCCTATTTCCCAAAGGGAGCCGAGAAACCAATCCAAACACTGTATCTTGTTTCCTTTCGAGCTAAGCCAATCCGCCAGATCACGCCATGGAAAATAGTCCAAGTAAGAAGACCATTTTGTTTGTGACTTGATTCGGAGTTTTGTCAAATGTGAATAGCTGGTAATCATATCGAGAATAAGTCGTCTGTACGAAGCCGGTCCAAGATGTCGTTCTTGTGTCAAATTTGTTGAAGGATCATCCGTAAAGTCCTCGTCGAATTCATCTTCGTTGCCAATACTGATGGATAGATCATATACATTAGGATACTTTCGAGATAGATATTTATACCATACTGGATCAATATAATTATCGATATGCCATTTGAGTATGCCTAACCGTTCAGCGGGTTTCCAATTGTTGAGAGATCCACTTCCTATTTCTGATGATATATAATCCAGTTCCAGAGAGGTTAATAAAGGTGCATGACAGTGTAGTGCTTCCATCCATTCTATACTAATGGGAGTACTCGAGAAGGAGACGTCCAGGAATAAATGTACCAAGTTAGCAAAGAGAGGTTGATCAATAGAGTTTCCAGGAGAGTGTAGGAACGACAGTTCGTCATAATAAGCTGAGATGGTGGTAAGTCGTTTGCCAATCCGATTGACCCATATGTTTCCCTCATCTTCATGCCATATAGGAAGTTCTTCAAGGTTTGACCAACCAGGTGTGAATTCGCACAAATATTCGTCAGTAAGAAAGATGTCTTTCCGATAGTCAAATAAGGTAATCATAGGGCATAGTTCTTTGAGCTCGGCGAGTTCAACGTTGTCCAACATAATGTTTGCAGAGTATAAAATAATTCGTCGTACATGATATCCATTGTATTCTTTATCACTGACTCGTTCTTGATTTGCTTGTAGACCAAATAGAAGCGACGTATATTGTTTTACACTATAAATATTAATAGATTGATAAAGAAGTCGAGAAATAAGTGGTGTCCAAGCTCGGCATACAACGGAAGCAATGACCAGTTCACGTAACGAGAGGTTATTCAATATGATTTCAATGATTTCAGGTGGTAATGAACGTGTCATATTGTCATATAAGAATAATATATAATAATAATAAAAAAAAAAAAAAAAAGAAAAAAAAATAAAAGAAAAGAGAAAAATATAAAATCTAGGGAAGACAAAAAAAAAGGTAAAATTGATTTGGAAGGCCGCGCTTTGTTCAGTCAGGACGTACTTCTGTATGCTTTTTATTCAATCGGCAAAAAAATCATCAACAGATAAAATATTTGTATTGTAACTAGATTTTGAAGGGGTATTCATAAATAAAGATTCTTCTTCGTCATTGTTATCATCCAGATCATTATTAGTAGTCATTGATTTTTCATTTGTAGTTGGTAGTAAATTAGAACGGTCATCAGGAAGATCAGTTAGAGTATCGTGTCGAGTTGCCTTGTTGTGATCATCTTCACTTTCAGATGATGATGATGATGATGATGATGATTCGTCGTCACTATCACTAATAAGGTCATAAAAAGAAAAATGATTCATTCATTAATATAATATCCTTTCCATATAAATGTTGATGATATACCTGTGATGTCTATTTTGTTGATCTTCATCCTCCAAGGTCATGCCTGATAATTCACCAGTAACACGTTCATGAGATACCTTTTCACTTCCAGCTTCATCAGGACTGTTCTTGAATATATATTCTTCCCTCCATTGATCCAATTTCATCTAATAATACAAATATATAGAATATATATTTATTTATTTATAATTATTATCACGGTTTACCCAAGAGAGAGGAAAAAAAAAAAGGACAATTAAGGTTGGTTTTACCTTGCAATTTTTGTTGGCACTGGCTTTCATAACACGGGATGCAAAATCAGTAAAGTTATATCTTGGATAAATCTTGTAAGCCCACATCCTATAGTATCGCATAAGTTTCAATAGATCTTCGTCCTATAGAGTGAGATCAAGAATAAGTAATCGTTCATATCTTCTTTCTATACTCATTTGCTCTCTTTTTTTTATTATTATTATTATATCATTTACTTCATGTCCTTTCCCACCAAATTTGAGCCAAGGTGTTTCGTTTCGTAATCGAGTCAATCCCTCTGCAGAGCATAATCTAAAAGAGAGTAAAAAAAAAAAAAAAAAAAAAAAAAGGTACACAAGTCAGTTTAGTGAAAGTAAAAGATATGATACACTTACATTTCATGATCTAGTTTCTTCAATTTTCGTCTTTGTTTCTTTATTGTTTTGGTACTTTCTTCATCGCCTTCAACTGGATCATCTCGGGTACTTCGTTTCTTATTGTGCTTGTTGGTGTTCGCTGGAGCTAACGGATCAATTTGCGCATCCTTTGTATTGTTGTTGTCGCTATCATTATTGAAAGGATCATAGTCATCTAAAACAATGTCATCAAAGTCGTCCATCGAAAAATCATATATATATGTACAGATATAAATGTATGCAAGAGGTAAGAAAAAAAAAAAGAAAAGGGAAAAAGAAAGACGCGGTCGCCAAAAAAAAAAAAAAAAAAAAAAAAAAAAAAAACGAGGGAAACTCTCTTTGACCTCCGCAAAGGGGCAGGAGTGCGTTCTGATTCGTTGAGATAGCTAGGGGCAATTATTTGAACCGTGCTCTGGTTGTATGTATGCTGTAAATAAAATGTGTGATCATTAATTCTGTATACAAAAACAAGGGGAAGGTAGAAACCCAGAGTGTTCTGCATCATTTTTTTTTTTTTTCAAAAAGATAATAGACACGCACAATACGAAATATTCCATTTTTAACAGAGATAATAAAGGTATAAATTTTTATTAAAGAGTGATATATTTTGTACTAATAAAAGAAGGAGCATTGAGGACGATGATTGAGATAATGAAATTGTTGTCATAACAGTAAGGATGATGTTAACAATTTGACAATATTAAGTAATAGCTTTGGTAGACGAATTATTGGGTCCTTGCGTACGTAAATGTTCAATAGCATTTTGATATTCCAATTGTAGTTGTTCTGTATCTTTAAGTGAGACAGGTCTCGTTTGCCAGAAGTCATCGGTTGCAGTATGTTGGCTAATTGCACTAGTATCGGTGAAGACAAAAGCATCAGTTGATTTGTTGGTAAAATCATCAGTATTGCTGGAAGAGTTGTTGTTGGCATTATCGGATGAAGCCTTGAGCCCCAGAAAATTTGACATATGTTGCGGATTTGCACTATAACAAAATAAAATCAGAATGATTCCTTAATAGAGTAGAGTGTGATGCTATTTTTTTTATTACCTGAATATCATGGTAATTTCTACAACTGCAGTAGCAATGGGGCCAGTCAGATTCCAAATCAATGATAAAGTCAAACCGCCACCTTCTGTACTCAAGATACCTTGTCGAAGAGCAGCAAACAGAAGCATGGAGACACCATAAATGATAGATCCAAAGAAGCCAACGCCCACCATTGCTTTAATCTGTATATCGATGTAAAGTACGAGTCAATGATTACCAATCAGTAGTAGTGGTTTTACCTTAATGATGCCTGTTTTGATACTGTTGATACGATGTTGTGGCATAGAAAAGTTTTCCAAGTGAGTTTCCAGAATAAAGATGAGACGCGCCCCACAATATAAAATGCCCACAGCCAAGATAGCGCAATAAATGAACCAAAGGTAGTAGAGAGCGAGGATGAATGATGTTGCCAATGGTATATTGGATTCTCCGTATACTCCAGCGACAAACGTACATGTTTCATTGGTAACCACCACAGATACTAGCAATGTTGTAATCAATCTATCTATAGTTTTGGCACTTGGTAACCATCCAGTGGATACCGCTTTATGACTCTAGATAATAATAATATAAACATGAGCGATGATGATGATGATGATATGTATTTTTTTTTTTTACTTGAGTACTTTACGTCACGTAGAGTTTGAGCAACACCCAATACATAGAGCACAAAACCAGCATATAAGAATTCCCAAGAGAATTCCCAAAAGAACTATTTATAGGGATGATGTTGATGATTTTTTTTTTTTTAAAAAAAAAGGTAAGCGTCAATGAAAAAAAAAAAAAAAGGATGTTATCTTCTTCTCTTATTTTTTGTTTTTTACAGATCGTAAAATAGGATGATTGGCACCATCGGTCACAAGCAAAATATTATCAAGAGTTCGAACTAAAAATAATAATAATAATAGTAATAATAATCAAAAGAATGAAATGAGATGATTTTTTTTAAACGTACGTATATTAAATATCAAACAAAACAATAATAAACAATCCATAGGATGAGGTCTTAAACAACCTAGTGCTGATCTTTTGTCAATAAATCTATGTCCTTGAATACATACACGTTTGAATAATAAAAAGAGACCTAATAAAAAAATAAAAAAAAAAAAGAATATGAGTATATAAAATAACTTTTGTAATCATCCGATTTACCAAATAGTATCACAGGGGCTGTGATCCCCAGGGTAATATAATAATTTAATTTCATTACATTTTCATCTACACAACCTGTAACTGATATTCTAAAATCACAATAACATTTTCCATCCAAACAAATACGATAAATGGATTTAGAAGTATTCATCAAAAAAAAAAAAAAAAAAAAGAGAGAGAAAAGAAAAGAATGAAAAAGAGAGGTTTGAGAAAAAAATGTCAAAAAAAAAGAAAGTAGAAGAAAAAAATTGTTTTTGTGGCGCACGCTCCGAAGCGTACCCCACTATGATACACAAATAAAATGGTGATACTGGATTATTTCAATCAAATTCGTGTTCAAGATGTACTTGTAAAATCAGAAAATTCAAAATAAAAAGTCATTACTTATTTTTATATGAAAAATTAACTATTTCTATCCTTTTTTTTTTTTTAAACAAATAAACCAAAAACCTGGGAAGAAAGATCTCAAAAAAAGGAAATTGTTTATCCATAAAATAAATAAATAAATAATAAGAACTACATGAATTTTATAAACTATAATTTACAAAGTAATTATTGGTATCTATACTATTTGACTAGTTAATAATAACAACTATAAAACCATCATAATAAAAATATTCAATGACCTTCTGAAGCCTTTCGTATAACATCATATCCAAAAGCAAATAGAGGTGTAGGATATTCGCTATACATGTCGATGATATTGGCACTAAGATCATTTACAGATGTTGGTAACCCTAATGTAGATGAACCAGGAGGATTCTTTTCTAAAAATAATAATGGCGAAAAGGAAGGTGGTACCAAGTTGCCTACCATATATGGAGCTTGTCGAAGTAAATGTAAGGCTTCTACCAATCGATCTTTGGCTCGATCTTTGACAGATATACTTGATGATGTCGCAAGTTTACAAAGTAAATCAGATGCAGTAATCAGTAAATCCGAACTAACTATAAACTCCAAAAAAAAAAAAAAAAAGATTAGTAATATATCACTTGATACTGTTTTCAAAACTTACACACACATAAATTCTTTTTGATCATTTCAAATTGTTTTATCGCCACAATCAAACTTTCAATACATTCATATGCTTCAATAAGGGCTCGTTCTTGAATAGCACGGGCGAGTTCATAGCTACCACCTTGAGAAATCGTTGATTGATTGGAAGGTTTCGTAAGTGCAAGATTTATCTCCGTCTTGTGGATGACAGTAATAATAAACACAATCAGCTGGACTTGATCGTTGCACTTTTCTACAAAAGGTCGAGAAGAAGTATCCACTGGATATTGATCACATAGACGAAAACAGCTAGGGAGAGAATGCCACCATTCCTTGTATATTTGATCGAGTCGTAAAATTTGTTCCAATGATACTTTGGCCACTTCACCCAAGTGCATACGATGTATTTGTTCCTAAATGATCAAATTAATAAAAAAAAACAACTTTAGAATACATCTTTTTTTTTATTATTATTTATTTCTTATTTTCTTACTGTTAGATCCAAAGTCACTGGATGACACATGAGTTTTAGAGTTTTGTTATAAATAGCAATAAAGGTATACGACATATCATCTTCGTCCACTACGTATTCCAAAGGTTTTGAGTTGAGGAATTCCATAATTTTGGGATCATGATCCACTACAAAATCCAAGAATTTTTGATTGTGTAAAGCCATAATATAATGTCGTTGGAGAAGAGCACGATCAACATCCGTTGTTGTTGGGACCAAGTCTTCTAAAGATGTAAACTGGGCAGTTGTATGAGATGATGATGATGATGTTGATGATGATGGCGATGATGCTGATGGTTTAGGTGTTGATGGTGATAATGGTGTTGATGATGAGGATGGTGATGACGCAGATGATGAAAATAATGGCGAAGACGGTGATGACGACTTCTTAGAATATTGATGATGAAGATTGTATTCCTGTTGAAGATCCATTGCAATCATATGAGCGATAGAGCACCATTTTCGTCCTTCCGCAACACGCATTGTTATAAGTTGATATTGAGAGATAAGATTAATGATCATCAAGGTTTCTAATCGTCTTTCAGGTTCGTCAAATGTATCACAAAGTCGATCAATAGCACGTTGGTAAAAATAATCTGCAAGAGCTCGTCGTTCAAAATTATTATATTTGATATGATTACATGTAGAGGAACACAGACAGGATAACATCGCCATGGTCAATGCGTGTTGAAATGGATCAGGTCGTACCATTGTTTCATATTCAGCCAGATAAGAAGGACCATGGATCAAGGGCAGAGAAGGATTGATACAAGTGAAATAAATACTGATCAGTTCGTCAATAACAGAGATAGGAGGATCTTTGCCTGCAGTTACCAAGAGGATTTCTGGAAGTTGTTGTTTCAGCATAAAATGATGCCTTTTCGTCATACTGAGTCCATTGCGTTGCTGTTGTTGCATTGCACTACCTTGTACTGAATGAGGAGTTCGTGCGACTACTTGCACCATCATTGGTATCAAACTTGCAGGTTGGATTGATTCGAATAAAAAGGCGGTGTTGTCGAATATACCAGCAAATGGTGAAAGGTAACGTTGGAGAGCATGCCCATAAGAAATCAGTTCATCAAAAGTGCGAATAGGTGATTCCAATCGAAGTTTTCCATCCACTACAGTCAGTTCCCAGCGGTATTCATCATCATCATTATCTATTATTGATGATCCTCTCGTTGTTGACGATGTATTGATAACTGATGAATTAGATGATAAGGAAGGGGTCAAGGGTAGTAGTTGTAGACCAGTAGTTGATTGAGGATCTTGATTAATATAAACAGAGTAAGTTGATGATACCTCTAAAGCTGTAATTGGTGTTGTATAGGGATGATAGTCCATATTCGTTCTATCGTTAGATGCCTTCATAATTGAGCTTGTCGATGTACGCATCACTGCTGCTTCTCGTTCTTGCTGAAGTAAGGATTCCATGCGATGCAAGTCTTGTTGGAGACTAGTCACTTGCAGTGCAAAATGTTGAAGATCAGAATTACCATCAATAGAGTCATCTTCCATTTCCAAAGTACCATCGTCATTGACACATTCACGATTACTTTTGATACATCGAAAACAAGCAACTGATTCAGAAGGTCTATCACATTTGCGCCTTTGTGTTTTACATCCTACAACATTATAAATATAAATTAGTAAACAAGATAGTTCATTCAATACAATAACACTATGTTAACTGAAGTTTCTTTTCACTTACGGTAACATGGCTTCAATCGTTTGTTCGGCTTTGTAGTAGCATTCTTAGACATTTCATAAAATTGGTATACAACGAAACAAAAATAGAGAGTAGTTAAAAAAAAAAAAAAAAAAAAGAAAAGAAAAGGAAAAAAGTAAAAAAAAAAAAAAAAAAAAAAAAAAAAAAAAAAAGAAAGAAAAGAAAAAGAAAAAAAAAGGGTCAGAAGTTGCCAAGGTTGATTGATCTGCCTCCCTTGATCGAAAAAAAAAAAAAAAATTGGCAGTCAGCCAAGCAGGTGTTCTGCTGCGAATATTAAACTGTAAATCTTTATTAAAAAAAAAAAGGTATAACGTAAAAGAGAAGTAGAATAAAGTATACAATAGGTATAATACAAAAATAAAATGTTCGTATCTAAACTAATGTGGAATATAACGAAAGTCTTGTTGTTTGTTGAATAAAAGAATCTAGCTCCCAGAGTGACCATTGTTCTATATTCTCTACAACATCCCTGGAAAACGCATATAGATTCCGATAAGGTAAGCCTTGATGTTTCAATTTTTGATCCAATATCTTGATCCAATGACATATCGATATTTCTTTTTTTGTTCCAGTCTTTGATACCATTCCAGAATAAGGGGGAATCCCAGCTAGTGCCAGTCGTGAAGACAAAAAACATTCTAATGCCAAAGCCCAAGCTTTCCAAGCACTACCATCGTCATGTTGATGATGATCATCTCGAACTAATCCAGTTGTATCATCATCATCGTTTGTCGTCATATAGCACCAGTGACCAGAAGATCTAGTAAGAGATACCAAACTTGCTATCCATCGATTGAGTGATGTTTCTTTTCCCTTGTTGTTTGACAATAATCTTGCAAAACGTTGTACTAGATCAGCCATTTTTCTTGCATTATTCAAATCCTGCCAATTTGTGCCGTCCAAATACATCAAAGATAAGATAGCTGCTATTTCCTCTGCCGCATGATGATCCTTGTCGATGATACGTTCGTCTTTGTTGTCCCTGTCCATAGTAGTATACGCTAGTTGAAGTTTCACCCGACAAAAAATATTCACCAACAATAGACAAGAAAGATCCATACTGTATTGAATGTATCCACTTAAGCAATGTTCTATATCATCAATCATAGCTGTTCCTATATTATCGTTGTCGTGATTATTGTTGTTGTAGATAATAACATTGCACACTAGAGTAACTGCACGAAGCCAAACGTCTTCATCATGATGTACTTTGAAGCAGTGTTCCAGAGAATATTCCATCACCATAAGTTTGTTTTTGACCAGTTCTTCTTCAGATTTTTCGGATTGTATTTTCGAGTGTTGCTTTAATGGGAAAAATGATTGTCTTGGAGAGGGTGTACATGCTGTAAACATAGCCAGTGCTGTGTTATAATCGCTAGTTGAGATAACATCTTGTATAACTGCAATAACATCCATATTCGATGATGATGATTGTTTGTTGTTTGCCCTATCTTCATGTATCAACTGATGCTGCTGTTGTTGGGTCAATAAAGTAGTCGTCAATAGTTGAAACCATTCAGCGCAAAGTTCAAAGTTGTTTGTCGTGTCACGTTTCGTCATCAATTCATCTGCATAATCAAAGAGTACCTTGAACCAATCCAACCAAATTAATATATTTTCAACAACTGCCAAATGGGAAAGAATAAATCGACCAAAACACATAATTAAGTCCATATCGCAATCGTCTTTCACTTGAATCGTCAAATAGCGTAACCATTGGATGCATGTATTTAAACCATTATCTTGATCCATATTGTCGTTCCCATCGTTGTTGTAAGAATATCGATTTTCAAGAGAACCTTGCCAGTTGGATGGTAAATCAATTCCAGTGGTTGTCATAATAGCATCTATATCCTGTGCATTAAGCTTTCCAGAGAGATCGGTTTTGATAATAGACATCCATAATTGTTGAAGTTTGTCATGACGATCACTTTTGCTTGTCCAAGTCAAGTCTGCATTCATCAAAAGCACAAAAACCAGTTTCACATAAGCCATAAATTGATCATGATCTAATATTGCAGGTGGATGTTGTTGGAGATATTCGTTGCTATCGTTGTTGATCATAATTTGTTGTAACATGGTATATAGAAATGTTGAATAGATTCTATATCTATGCCGATCTTCATATTTGCATAAATTTTGAGCCGTGTTGATCATGCTGTTGATATCGGAGTGCGAAGGTGAAAAACACCACCAAGACAGGGTCGCCAAGGCCTTGTACAACCTATCCAGTGAGCCAAGATTCATTTGATCGATAGTATTGTGACAATAATCCAGTAATTTTTCAAATATTGTCCCAATCGCTTTTGTATCATTTTTGTTTTCATATATCCAAAGTTCCATCACTAATCCAAATGTATCCATAATCGTTTGTTCTGTAGATACCATGTGTTCAGATTGATTTTCTTCTTCTTGGTACAATTGATATCCACCATCCTTACTGTTGCTGGCAGTTGTTTCTACTGGTAGTTTCCAATGTAATTCAAAGCTTCGGATCAAGAGATCAAAATTCCAGTCAATACGTGGATCAAGTAATAAAACAAACACTAAACGATTCACCATTTTCGACGTCGAAGGACCATAAACTTGCATCAAGTTGTCATGATAAGTAATACAGTGCTGTGACAATATCGTAAGTAATATATCCAATGTGTGACTAGGATCATCCAATAGTGTCAGTGTTGAACGCATGTTTGGTTGTGATTCTTCTCGCCAACGGCTTTGCGTAAAGATGGTAAGTGCTGTTGTTTGTTGGTAGAGAATCGTCTGAGTAAATAAGTCCAGTAGACCCGTAAATATATCGCTCAAATATGATCCGTCGCCAATATCACCATCATCATCTTTGTTGTTGTTATTGTCGTTGTTGAATGTAGTCGCAATGGTGTCCAATAACAGATGTAAGATATACAAGTGTTCGCCTTGATTATGTCCTCGTTGTTTTTGAATCATGATAGACATCATCGTCATCATATGAGCGCTATATATTTTTTCCAAATGGCCAGTGATGTCACCAGTACCTTCGTTGTTCAGTCGCAAAAGAGATAATTGCCGGATAGTGTCACAAATATGAATGTAAAAAGTTTGCCGAACGGATTCATCTGTTCCTGTAGCTTCTTTTGATGTCCAGGTGTTCAAATCAAATGATCGAATCAAATATTCCAGTGCTGATAATGGAGGCGTTTCCAAAGAGATTATCGTTGATATGATAATACGAGATATTTGCTGTAATCGTTGTAAAAAGATACCTGATTCATCTTCTTTATTGGGATCAAAGGTAATATAGAGGTAATTGATGGACGAAGAATCAGATTCAAAAAGTTTCAGTAGCCGATCCATGGTTGCAGTGTTGCCAGATATAACCGGAGATAGTTTTTCAGCTACTTGTTGTAGAAAAAGTTGGACAGGAGGATACATAGTGATAGATTTGAGTTGTTGCCAGAGGTACTCCAAACAAGACCAAGCCAAGTCGATAAGAGAATCATTATGGTGAAGTTCAAGATGTTGTACTATGGTATTGATTTTCGATATAGCAAGAGCAATTTGAGTACATACACGGGAATCCACCATGGTGAAAAAGTAACTAGACGCCTTTCTACGAATATCCTCTGCTTCTAGTTCTAAAGTTGTGTTGATGTCCATTCGAGTAGATTGTACCTTGAAGATGGCTGGAGATTTGCAAGAGGTTTGTTTGTTGCAAGGTTTTGTCACTGTTTCCATTGTTGATATAAGAGTTTGACTTTTTGCCATTGTTGTCACATATGTTGAGTATAATAATTGTTGTTCTTCCAGATGATCATGGTACCAGATTGAATGATCCTGCAAAGTAGTAATAACTCCTTTCAGAAGAATGTCGTTTGTAGTAGTAAGCAAGATATCCAAGGGTATCTGCTGAATAGGTCGCTTCAGTTGGTAAGTTGGAGGAGACCGCCTTGTTGAATGAATACCATCCATCATACTTTTGACCAGGACATAGAGTGATAAATAATAATAATAACAATAATAAATCAGACAAAAAAAAAAAAAAAAAAAAAAGGAGGGGGGAAGAGGAAGAAAAAAAAAAATCTAGATAAAATTTTTATTGGAAAAAGGAGTTCTAAATCTAACTGTCCAAGAAGCTCTTTTCCGAGTCCACCCAACAATAAGTGTCAAAGTCTGATTTCATCTTGTTGTGTTCTATAAGATCGTACCATAATGCTTCGTGCTTCATCCAAGGCTGATGTTGTTCCCATTGATCCATTTTTGTACTTTTCCGGCATTCAGCTAGTCGATCAGGACAAAAATGATCAGCAAATTCGATAGTATCTTTTCTTTCATCATCTGTGAGGATCAGTTTGTCGTTCCCAAGCCATAACCACATTGCATAATAAACTTGACGTAGTTGTTCATGATGTTTCTGCTGCTGTTGATGGTGATGATTATGTTGTTCGTCATGTTGTGCAGTTATCAAATGTCTATCTTCCTTTACCGCTGATGGTGGTGATTTTGCTGGTGATGTCAACCCCATTTGACCGTGATATGTTTGTAAGGTAGCAATACGATCGCGTAGTTTAGCTAATTGATCTTGCTTCTTAATAAAAAAGATGGCACCATAGAATAGATTCCTTGATATTCCATTATCGTCCACGATACAAACGTTTGCAAAATAAAGACAAAAGAAGAGCTGGAGCAAGAGAGGTGTCAACGGATGATCCAAAGGTGCTACTAGTATATGCTGAAGAGTCCGATATATACAATAAAATTCAATTGGTTTCTTGCTCTGAGATATGAAGCTTTTGAATTCATTGTCGAGGTTTGATGATTTAAATTGTGAAGATAAAGTTGTTGTAGTTGCTGATGATAATGTTGTTGAAGTTGAGGTTGATGGGTGTCTTGAAATAGATGTAAAAGTTGCTGCCGATGCTGATACTGATGCTGATGATGTTACTAATGTTGACGTTGATGATGATGATGTTGATGATGACGACGATGACGATAAAGATGGTGAAAGAGGTTTCGATAAAAGCTGTGCAAGATGATAACGTCCATCTTTCTCCATTTCAGCTTCTAATAGTAAAACATCAAAAGCAAACCAAAGTGAATTGGGTTCAACACCAGGCGTCTTGAAAATATTGCTTGTCGTCAGGGAAATCATTGACCATTCTCCAGTAAGAAGAGTTGGATAAGTGGTATCAGGAAGCATATTCTTAAAGCATTTGAAGGCATTTCGTGGATTGCTAGCAAACGGTGTCATCTTTGGAGAACTAGTTATTGATAAAGGAGAAGAAGATCTCAGTTGTTCCAGTCTTTCCATTTGTTTTCGCAGCATTTCAAATATCAAAGATTGTCGATCCAAACAATAACCAATATGACAAATATCATCAACAATATCCACATACTGTTCATTCCACATCCAATCTTCTTTGCGGAATATTGTATTGAGCCATGAATGTAATATAAGAGTCAGGTAGGAGAAACCATCCAGATCGCTAATTGTATCAATAAATTGACAGTGCCAGGCATGAGATCCGATAATCATTGCAATACCACTTGGTCGTTGTTTTGGATACCAAAAGTCGTTTGTCCACTTCATCATTTTCCCATTGATCATTGTCCTCTTACTTGATAAAAAGCTGTTCTTCTGTGCTATAAGATGATCTTGAGCAGCCAACCGGAGCATTGGATCCTTCTTGTGTTCTACCATGTTTTGCAAATAATCCACCAGACTATTATCACCTGTAAAAAAGTCATCACCATGAAGATAAACAAAAGCTGGTACGATTTCACTAAGAATATCAATGGCAGCAGTACACCGTCCACGTCGTAATATAAAGAGTAGTTTCATCCATCCATGATTAGATTCAAATCGCAAAAAATGTCGACTAGTAGGAGAAAGTAAAAACGCCACATAGGTAAATAACGCTCCATGAGAAGCAGTAATATCAGATGGATGGTTCAATAGTTCACGTAAAAAAGGAAGATTGATGCATTTGTCGATATCAGATGCCCTGGAAGATAATGGACCATGATAGAGTTGTAATCGTTGTATAATGAGCCAACACCAATCAAGGAACTCCAAATGTGATAGCGTTTTCGTATTTTCTGGACCTGGTGAAGATATCATTGATGGTGATGCTGATCCAAATAATGGCAAACTTCCCTTTTTTTCCGTTGATTGAAATACTGTAGTGTTTCCTTCCGCCATATACTTGTCGAATTCATGTATTGGTTGATATTTTTGACAAGCATCCAATAAGATGAAGGCCAATTCTTCGTGAGTAGCAAAAGATAGAAATGGTTGTTTTGATTTGCGACACCAAGGATGTGAAGTATGAAAAGTATCCCAAGAAGTTGTTGATTCAGGTTGACGGTAGCCGAGATTGAGATGACCAATAACGTATTGTGCAAATGTAATCCATGTTGATAGTTCAGATTGTCGTAATAATTGATGTAATAGTACCAAGTCTTCCTTGAGGATTTCCCATTCACTAATAGGTAGAGACCGAAAAAGGTAGAGGGCCATATTTTCCATAGTAGCATGATAATCACATGTCCAACGAAGAAGTAGAGAAATCACAAAAGGATGAACTGAACATATCGTGCCAAAATTGTCTCGAACATCTTTATAATAAATTTGACCCAAATCTTGATCCACAAAAGCTATCGTAAAAAGTGCATAACCAATAATAGAAACCAAGGAAGTTCCAAGCGTAGACCAATTTGAATTTGTTGGAGATAGAATATTGACACCAGCTGGTATAGATATCGCCATGTTGGTAAGACAGCTAATCATAAAAACACCTTGAGTTTGATTTTCTTTCAATTGTTGAATGAATGAGTCGATAGTAGGAGGTTGATTGATCACCGATCTGATGTTGGATGGTTCTGCATAATCTGTAATTCTAAGTATCTTGATAACGATTTCCCATAGAGTCGGAATGGAGACTACTTCAAAAGGTAATGATGGTAAAAAATGCCAAACATGTGGGTCTGGGACAGCAAGAAGACCAGAGACAATTTGGAGAACAAAATCATCACGTTCTGAATGACATTGTTGAGACCAAGATTCATTCTTTTTCAGTTCTGTCGTCAATATAATAGAGATCTGAGATACTTGTTGAGTCAAACGTTTCGTCAAGCTGGAATATTTTTTGCTGGAAGCTGTTTGTATGCCAAATATAAGTGTATCAACCAATCTACTGGATAAATCAAAACATTCGGTCGAGCAAGTAATAAAGGTATCGTCCAAAGGATGATTTTGTTGAAATATAGACTTCACAAATGTCATATATACAAAAGGTATATCTAATTGTTCCAAACAGTTGATGTAGTCGTCCTCCATCCAGGATGATGTTGTAAAATTGGAGAAAATATGTTGGAGAGCCGCAACGAATTCGACCATAAACACCAATATATTTTTCGTATCAGGAATATATTGAATCATTGTCACTCCCCATTCTGTTGAGTTCGTTGATTGCATAAGATGTAATAAGAGATACTTGTAATCTTGTAAATCAGCGTACTTCAAATAAACAGAGGCCACATTGAGTATCCAAGTATGTAGTTGATCCAGAAACATACTATCATCTTCCAACATACCTTCAGTCACATTGTTATTGTTTCCATCGTCAAGTTGAACCACAGATATATCATTATTTTCCAAAGACCGTTCAGCTGAGAAGAGTGTGTTCAGAACTCGTGATAAAGTTGTCATATCATTCTTGTAAGATTCAGTCATTCTATCCTTCGAGACCAATATAGATATATCTGACCCTTGTTGTTGCTTTTGACTTGACATAATATTCGTTCGCATATTCAGAGACCATAATCTATCATCCAACCAAGCCTGAATATCCATTTTCGCCATTTTGCTTGTGTATAAATATTTGTAAAGAAGAGAATTGATATCACCAGAGAGTCGACATAGAGAGCGTTCAAGCCTACTAACATCTTCTTCAATATGTTGTTGTCGTAGTATTTCGTGATCAAGAGTAACAGTAGTACCATCACCACATGTTTGTTGAATTGTTTCGATGATAGGAGAGCCAACTGACAAGTGTTCAAATACCAAAGAAGTAGAGTCTTCAATATTGGATGCAGAATGTTGTATATTGTGAAGTTGTCTTAATGATGAACGATACTTTTGTAAAAGACTACCAAGCTCAGGATATTGTGTGGTATGATCCATAGTCTCTATCAGGTAGTTTGATGTAGTCCGATCAAGATCATCTGAAGCAAAACGAACTATTTTATACAAAATAAAGAATTGTTTTAGTTTATCATTTAACATATTTTTCTTTCTTGAATTATACCTTTTTTTCTAAAAGAAATATTGCTATTTGATATTGAATTGCTTTTTGTTGAAAACAGTGTTGAATGTAGGAAAAAAGAAAAAAAAAAAAAAAAAAAAGGAGAGAGATAGAGAGAGAAAAAAAGAAAAGGACTTGGGAGAAAAAGAGAATGATCAAAAAGTTCCCTTTTTCCGGAAGACATTCAAAAAATGGTAAACGGAGTTGAAAATAAAAAATCACATAAATTTGTCGCGCGCAATATTCATAAAATAAAAAAACCACTTCTTTTCTTTAAACTTTTAATCAATTAATTGAAAGTGACATTCTATTTTATTTATTTATTTATTGTATATTAGTATGAATACCCTTACAGTTTATTCATACTGTATAACAGTTCCTGACTTTTCATACAACGATACAACTTTACTGCGGAAACAACAACACTTCCTCCGACGGCATAATGATCTATCACAACTAACATTTCAACTTGATCCTTCTAAGAATCAACTCAACATCATTATTTTTGGCCCAACTTCTTCTGTTTTCAAAGCAAGAAGCGATATATTTCAATCCAATATTATTCAAGTAAGTAAATGAAAAGAAAAAAAAAATATGAATAAACTGTTGTTTTTTTATATTCTTTTTTTTTTTTTATTTGTCATTGTTAGGTACGCGCAACTATCCAATCGATTCATCCACATATTATATTCAACGAAATCAATCGATTGAAACTTACAACACGATTAGAAACTATTGCTATGGATTTGTTAGTTCATATCAAAGTTAATATTGCACATGAATCAAGTATCATTATACAAGGACCTATGACAATAGTGGAGACAGCGCGAACACAAATCCTTATTTATCTTGATCAAATGGTAAGTACTCAATTACTTTAATCTAATTTATTTTCTTATTTTACTCTTTTTTTTTTTTTTTTTGGTCTTAGTTGGGTTTATGCATAGACTCAGTGAAGCTCCCTATTCTAGTTCATAATTTATTAGGTGGTAAACGGCATTATCAGCTACAATCAGTCATGGAAGAAACAGCAACCAATATTTATCTTGGATCACCTTATGTTATTGGAAATATGGATATTCATGAACAACAAGAAGCTGTCTATATATCGGGTGATATAGCTGAAACCGAAAGAGCAACATGCTTAGTCAAGAAGCTATCAGAACAAAAGGTATGTTAATTATATTATGATAATATGATCTCTTCTCATACTCCTTCCTTTTTGGATGATTATAGCTTAATTCATTGTATCACAAAGAAGTAACATTGGATCCTCGCAAACTGGATTGGATACTACTTCATCAGCAAGACAAATTGAAAAAGCTCCTTTATGACAATGGTAAGAAAATGATTAGTAAATAATAGATATTAAGTCTCACTTTCTCTCATTATTATTAGGTTCCTTCATTCACTTTCCTCACATTGGCGCAGGTATTGGTACCATTCAAATCTATGCGGAGAACAAAATCAACGTTGAACGTACGCTGTGGTTATTGAATCATATGGTAAGTCGGTACAATAGCATTAAAAGGAAATTAACCTTTAAAGGAATATTTCTGATCTAATCGCATTCTTTTTTTTTTTCCTTTTTTTTTTTTTTACATGCAATAGACATACAAGATATGTAGAGCAACAATCAATGTCAAACAACGTCAAAGATCTATAAGAAAAAATATATCAAGTTTTATATACAAGATGGCCAATATCTCTGGGGCAGAAATCATGTACCATGAAGATCAAGATAGACTGGATATTTATGGCTCTGAACCATCTCTACGTCTCATTTATCAATACTTCAAGGATTCTCCATTTACGGTAAAGAATTGAAAATTTTCTTTTTATTGTTGCCTCTTGTATCAAGATAATAATCATATATTTATTTTTCCATAGGACTATCATCTATCGACCAGTATATCCATTGAATTGCAAGCTGAAAATCGTATATTCATCCAGGGAAAGAAATATGGAAAAATCAACAAAATCATCAAAAGCAGTGGAACGAACATCAAGTTTCTACCATCATACAACAATTCCAATTGTCTAGTGCAAGTACAAAGCAACGATATTGATAAAGTCTTTCATGGATTGGAGCTACTTTCGCAAGAACTACCTGAAGAGCGTTCCTTCTATGTCTCCGAAATTTATCATCGAAGAATCATTGGTGTTGGTGGCAAAAATATTCAGAGAATTATGAAGAAATATGGTGTCTACGTTAAGTTTTCAAGTACAGAAGAATTCATTGACCATGGTGGATATTTTGAAAATGAACATAATGTCTTTGCAAGAACTCCAAGGAAATACTCTGGTAACTTGAATCAACTTTATGATGAAATCATGGAACTTATCACCTCCGAAAACGATCAGAACTGGGTTTCATACACTATAATGATACCATTCTATTTACATCGAGTGATTCCAAATCAATACAGTGATTCTTTACGTGATTATGGTCGTCTCCACAATACAAGACTATGGTGGCCTCCTAGGTCTGGTATCGCTGATGTTACTGTTATTGGACCCATTGCACATGTCCATCGAATTCAAATTGCCTTGTCGAATTTAATTCTCCATCATGACTATCTTGCTATACCAGCCTCCATTACTCTGACAAATCATCTTGGTTCAGCAATTACAATGGGACAACTCAAACAATCTATCAAATTGAATTGGTGTGTGAACATTATAGAATTAGATCCTCAACTTTCAGAGATAAAATCAACAACACGTGTTAAGTGGGAAACTATTCAACTATTCAAGAACGCAACGATATTCCTGTTAACAACAACTATCGATTCTTCTGGACACCTTCCTTTCAGTATCAATGATGATCCTAATTTCGCTTACGATTGCAAGTACAGATTGAAAATGGCAAAAAAAGCTCTCTTGGACCAGCTTTCAACTCATCCTCTCTTAGAAACAAGCAAATCCACCCCTCCCTCCTCATATGTGAACAGATCAGCCTTAGGTAATCTCAGACTAATACCAAATAGTAATTGAAATGGAGTGTAATACGCATGAGTACTAACAATCTTTCTCTGTAGATGTTGCGATTCCTGACACTTTAGATATGAGTTACGACTGGATGAAACAAAAAACTTATACTTCATCAAAGAAAAACCAGCAAACTCAGAAGACTTTATCATCCCTGGATACTGTAGTCAATTCGAATGTTGCTGGTTTGCAATCTTCGTTTTATCATCAGTCTCACTCTATAACAAAAGAAATACCTGGTATCACAAAATCTATTTGGTCAGCAAATCAATCACCCAATACTGTAAGTTAGTAACAAAAAAAAAAAAAAGGATTCCTTGTGTTAGAGCTAATTATGATTTTTTTTTACAAACTAGTTTTGGTGTCTAACATCAAACAATGCTCCACCGTTACCAGAAGTAGAACAAGGATTATTTGATAATATAACAAAAAACGCTGATGATAGTTGGCAGCAAGAAGATGAACAACTCAAAACTCATTACTATTTTTCTACACCGACTTCACCCATCAACATGATAGATTATAGATTTGATCAACACCTCCAGCAACGACAACATTATGATCATCCATCTACGAACAACAACGATTTGTACACAAAACAGAATTTATTTTCCAGATACCAAACTCAATACCGTAACGACACCAAACCAAATTTATCTTCTCGAGCAGTATCTTTGATTGGATCATTGACACCATCTTACTCTTCAACAACCTATAAAAAGCATTCCTCTGCGAGGACTTTGAATCCATTATTTTGTAAGTCTGAACAATCTATCATACAGGCATAAGCAAACAGTAAATCAATCTAACTTTTTTTTTCACTTTTTATTCTGTATAGATGAAACAACAATAGAAACATCGTCAAGTTCACCTTATCCTCTCTAGATACTAGACATATATTCTCTTGTATTCATTTTAGTTATTATCAGTTTCCTTATTTAGACTCTATAACCGATATTTTTTTTTTATCCCATCGATATTATCTATTATACAGTTTTATATTTATACCCAATGACAATGATCTTTTTAAGCCTTCTTTTTATTACACCTATACCAACTATATTGTTCTTCTATATTTCTCTATTGACACAATGACGACGCAGAGGGCATCAGCTCATTTTGTATGATATGTTCTTCTTTCCTTCATCAATAAAAGACTTAGTTATGATTATTATATGATACCATTATCTTCAGCCATGATGATCTTTTTGTAACCTCTTTCTTGAAGCAAAAATTCTTTCACATTGGCAAGATGAATGAATTTTTCATTTCCAATACAGTAGAATCATGGTTTGATTTTACCTTCGCTCCCAAATTTATTTTCCCTCGCTCTCAAATTTATTTTTTCTTTCTAATTTTTTTTTTTTTTTCACTTTCTCAAATTAAGGTGAATATATTGTAATCCGTCTACAATAAATAAACCAGTGGTTGTACTTTTCATGAAAGCTATTTACCCATTTTATATCTGTATGAAAAATAGTCTGAACCATATAATGCTAAACCATCATGCCCTTGTGCATAATGAGTCCCTGTATAATATAGATTTTTCTTGATGCATAACGGCCGATTGGATGGTGGTAGAGAATTCGTATTATTCCTATGACAACGATGAAAACAATCTTTGAATAAAAACTTACATATATAACATAAAGTGTACACACAATCAATGGAAAAGATGTAGTATAAATATGTATCACAATTTTATTGACAAGTGAAGTAAAATTTCTTTAAAAAAAAGAAACGAGGACTAGACTATGACAAAAGATCTATCATAAATTGGTGTAATGAAGAATATACAATAAAGGGAAAAATGAAGAAAGGGAGGAAATATCGCTATTTCTATAACAAAAGTGTTGTATATAATAGAGATAAAGAGCGAGCAGGAAGATAAGGAAGTCTAAAAGAATCTTTTGATTTGATCGATGGCGAATGGAGCTACAATAAAAATGTGAATGGATTAGTAACAATTCATATTTCTTATTTAACATTTTTATCTCTTTCTCTCTCTTTCTCTCTCTTTCTATTCCCTTTTTTCTTATCTATTCACTTACCAGCACGGAGAGCACATACAACAATAACAAAGTTGGCAAGAGTACCAACAGTACGTTGGCGCAACATCATTTTTTGTTCAGGTGTAAGAGTAGGTTGCTATCATAGCATAATACAAAAAAAAAAAAAAGAAAAGATTAGTTCCCAAATTCAAATAACTATACAACGATATGATTGACTTGGTTATGGAAACTTACTTGAGGCATAAACATGTTGTTATGTTATTTTTGTTGATTGAAAAAAAGAAAATGTTCACGAAGAAAATGGCCTAAAAGTAAAAAAAAAAAAAAAAAAGTTTGACTGTTTCCAATCCTCCCCCCCCTTCAATTTTTTTTTTGACACATTCAACTCCCGCTTAATATTGATGTATAATTCGGATATGCTGATAGCGTATCTACTTTGTTTCTACAATAGTAAGAGAACAATAGATTTATAGATTGACTAATAAACCAGAATTCCTTTTATATATATATTTATATATATTGAAATGATCATGATAGAGAGCTTCAAGGTGATAAGGAAAATATATATATATATTGATGATTCTTAGTGATATGACTTTTATCATTCCTTCTCATTCATATCCTATATTTTTTTTTTTCATTCTTGCCTTTTCTATTATATTAAAAACCTGTATTGAACAGGTAATAAAAAGATTGTGGACATATCTGGTCCTTTTTCCATTTTCTTTTTTTTCTTTTTCACATGATTGAATTCCGCTCTGCTATTATTTTTCTATTTCTTTTTACCCCACACACAAGAGAATATTGACTAAAAAACATGTAGTAAGCAGCGGAAGTAGAATTTTCTTATATTTTTTCCTCTTAACAGAACTCTCTTTTTCTTTCTCTCTTTGTTCCTTCTTTCTTCTATTTTTTTTACTCTATTTTATTTTATAATTCCAAATATAATATGGCTTTTACAAATATGGCAGCTGGTGGTGCTGACTGTTCATCAGGTGCGAATCCAATGAGTCAAATGTTGAAACAATTTAATCAGGATCGGTCTTTACAAAGGGTAACTAAGCGAAAGAAAGGAAATGTCATTGAATATTAACACTTTTCTTCTTCTTCTTTTATTTTTATTTTTATTATTATTTAGGATCGTTTTGATCCTTCTGGAGGTCCATCAGGTCAACAACAAGGAGTAAGTATTCTTTTTTTTTTAAAAGAAAGCGATATATCTTACTAATGTAATTTTCTTTTTCTCAATGTAGATACGAACACAAAATGGAAGACCAGGCTTTCTTTCTGATGATAATATGGTAAATGAATTTTTTGGTCAAGAACAAGGTGGCAATACGGCAGGACCGACTATGGCACCCAACCCTTTCCAGTTTTCTGAACTTCAACGAGAACTAGAAAATGTGCGTCAACATTCTCATCTTCAACAAGGCCCTGCTAGTGGTGATTGGTCAGCGGAATTTGGTCATCAAGGTCCTCGTATTTGGGAATTGAAACCAGAAGAAGAAGCTGCAATGGAAAAAGCATTTGAAGAAAGTCGTATTGCTGCAGGACATAATCCATCAGGTATAAAACAAAAAAAAAGAATAGATACGGGGACGATGAAATAAGGATGTTGGGAAACTGATTATGGATCTTTTTTTTTTTTTTTGTCTTTCTGTGTAGCCTGGCGGGAAGAATTTATGAATCATCCCGAAGTAGCTCATATGAACCCTCATCAGGTGGCTGAATTTGAACAAGCTTTCCAACGACACTTTGACTGGTCTGCTGAATTCTCAGCGGTAGAAAATGGTGGAAAAGGCAAAGAACGAATGATTCAATTAGATAACAATGCTGGATGGGAAGAACAATTTGCGGCATTTGATAATCCACAACAACAACAACATGAAGAAGGGGAAACGGATGAAGAAATAGCAAGAAAGGTGGAAGAAGCTGCTGCTGCTCAGGATCCTAATGACTTTGGCCAATTCGAAGATCTTTGGGAAAATGTACGAGAGTCCATGTTTAAAGACAACGATAACTGGGAAGAGGATTTCAACAATTTTAGTACTACCATCAATGGTCAATCCATCTATAAGCCTGATCTTGGTGAATATGTGTTTGAAGTGGTGAATCATTTTCTTGATCATCCTGATCCTATGGCAGAAGGTTTACGACTCTTAGAACACGGCACTAATCTCAACGAAACAGCTTTGGCATTTGAAGCAGTGGTACAAAAGGATCCTCTCAACTCGGAGGCATGGATGCATCTTGGTAATATTCAAGCTCAAAATGAAAAAGAAGAACCTGCTATTCGTGCATTGGAAAAGGCTGTTGAAACAAATGCTGCCAATTTCCCTGCCCTCATGTCACTTGCCGTCAGTTATACCAACGAATCTTACGATCAAGCTGCTTATCAAACTTTGGAAAGATGGATTACTCATCGCTATCCTGAACTGGTTGGTAACAAGACATCTCCTGCTACTGCCAATCCATTTGAATTACATGATCATGTGACAAATCTCTTTTTGGATGCAGCTCGACAAGCTCCTGAACAGGGTATGGATCCTGATGTTCAAGTTGGTTTAGGTGTCTTATTCTATGGTAGTGGTGATTTGGAAAAGGCAGTAGATTGTTTTGTCTCTGCACTCAATGGTCGTCCCAATGTAAGTCCTAAAGCAAAAAAAAAAAAAAAAAAGGTGAATGATTAATATTAATATTTTGATGGATAGGATTATTTGTTATGGAATAGATTGGGTGCAACATTGGCGAATAGTGGTCGATCAGAAGAAGCTATTGATGCATATCACAAGGCATTAGAACTTCGACCTTCATTTGTTCGTGCAAGATATAATCTAGGTGTTAGTTGCATCAATATTGGTTGTTACAAGGAAGCGGCGGAACACTTACTGACAGGATTATCAATGCACAAGAGATTAGATATGAATGCTGAAGAAGGAGTCAATGTTTCAAGTAACCTATGGGAAATGTTAAGGAAAACTTTTGTGATGATGGTAAATATGAAAATTAAAAGAGATATCAATGATATACTGATATTTTTTTTTTCCTTTTGTATAGGACCGACGAGATTTGGCTGACAAGGCTGTTGCTGGTGCTGACATTAATCAGTTTAGAAATGAATTTGAATTTTAGTCATTAGAATACTTTGTCCCAACCTCTCTTTATTATTATATTATTATTATTATTGAATGTATCATAGTTTATACATACCCTCTCTAATTTTATTTATTTTGTCATTTTATTCTTAAAGTTGCTTTTATTCTTGAATACCTTCTATTGACTTGAATAAACATTTTGGCACTTCGATGGACCTTTTTTTTTTTTTTTGAAATGAAGATGAATCAATGATAGATGAACGGGTTGTAGGTTGCATGTCAAATTCAGATGTGTATGCAGTGTCCTCAAAGATTTCTGCCCCTTTCGGAGAAATCAAATACCGAATGAACTGAAAGATAAACAAAATTGTAATTCCTGTACTCTTTTTATTTTTTTTTTTTTATTCTTTTACTATTATTATTCTTTTAACTAACACATGAAGGAGGACCCATTATATATTTCTTCTGAACCTATTGACTCCTCTTCCAAATCCATCGCCGCAGTATGTTCAAGTTCATTCTCTCGTATAGTGACCATTTGTTTACTGACCTGAGCTTCTGTTTTCTTTTATTGTAGATATCAGCAAAATATGTTCCATATATCCATACAATCCTGGCATATAGTAAGTCTACTTACTTCTCAATAAATACAAAACATATTATCCTATTCAATCGTATATTCAACTACTGTATATTGAATATCAATTTTAGGTGCATTCTTGATAGCTCTCTTTATCGGATGCGTTACTCATTATGAAAAGATTGTACAGAATGAATATTATGGTTATCCCCAGGTAAAAAAAAAAAAAAAAAAAAAAAAAAAAAAAAAAAAAAAAAAAAAAAAAAAAAAAAAAAAAAAAAAAAAAAGAAAGGAAAAAGAAAACACAAACATACACACACGCATATATATGTTGACTACAACTGTCTACCATCTTTTTCTTGTAGGAATATATTCCTAGTGTTAGTGCTACTACGGGTGATCGATATCCAGCACGTGCTTATTTCCAAATCCTGATAGCATTGACATCTGGACCAAGGTTTTTATTAGTGTATTTGTGGTACGTATATACAACAAAGACCATCCGTACAAGCACGACATCTTTCGGTAAAGGTTTACTGATAGTGGGACTCATACGAACAATATCTTGTGGTGGTTGGACTTATATTACATCTACAGATGATCACGATCTGCATGACTTGGCTATGGGACTTTATTTGGTATGTACTTTGCCGTGGCAATTAGGCGTTCTTTCTACAAGTTCACGTCAACTTCCTCATTTATTGAAATGGCGTCGACTTTTGGTCACAGCTTTCTTTGGTACTACTCCCTTTATGATCTATTACTTTATTCAACACAAAGTACATCACGTACCTGGAGGTAAACAAAAAAAAAAGATCAAATATCATATTTCTATATACAAATTTTTAATCTCTTCTCTCTCTCTCTCTCACTTTTGTAGCTTATTCAATGTATGCGATATTTGAATGGAGTCTTATTCTTTATGATGTTGGGTTTGATGCAATCTCGATGATGGATTTCCAGTCTTTAGACTTGGTTATTATAGATAAATCCCCTTTTATTTGTAAAAAAGAAATTGTTTGAAATAAAGTGTATAAATACATCCATATTTTGTCTTTTCTTTTTTCTTTTTTTTTTGTGGAGATTGAAATTGTCTGGGCTGTGAGCACAGTTGACAAAAGTATCAACTTTTTTTTTTCCACGTTCTCTCTCTCTGTCTTTTTTTTTTTTTCCTCCTTTTGACCTTTTGATTCTTTTTACGTACGATTAATTACAACGTTCAACAATACAATATCCAATTGTAGTAGACCTTCTTTGATCTTACGCTCATGTCTTCTCATTCACCGTCCTCTTCTTCGAATTCCGTTGAAGTGTGGGTGCTTATGGCGCTCATCTACAAAGACATTGACGATTTTGATTATAAGAATGCAGTTGTCCTGGCTGAACGATTGTACGCTGTCGACAAGATTAATCAAGAATACCAATTAATATATGCCAAATGTTTATATTTACTCCACGATTATAATGGCACTTATGACGTTTTGAAAAACACTACCTCCATTCCGTGTCGCCACCTCTTTGCTCGCAGTTGTCTGGAACTTGGTAATCTTGCTGATAAAACAGACAGAAAATCCTATTTTTGGCAAGCTGGTGTTGAAGCTCTCAAAAGAGCCATGCAAGATTATCCAAACTTGGAAGCAAAACACAACTGGGCTGATGGTAATAAATAATTAAGAATTCATTGATTAGTTCTAACTTCTTTTTATTCATATCAAATAGATCTCACAAGTGTAGCCCAACGAAGTCATATGCCAAGTCAATCCACTATTACTAACTTGCTAGGTGAACTATATATCAAACTCGATCAAGTTAGTGCATCCGCCAAACAACTTAAAAGGTCCATTGTACACAATCCCTTCAAACTGACAGCTTTTACGAAACTATGCGACATTGCTCCTGACGTGGTTGATTTCAACAAAGCTGTATCACCAAACGAGATCTTTAAGGAATTCAACCTTCATACCACCAATCTTGACCGATCTGCCAAAGTCAATCTACCATCATTACCGTTTGAATCAACCGTTTCTGATAAAAAATGTACATATCAACACACTGACACAACATCATTACCATCAACAGCAGCAGCAGCAGCAGCAACAGCAGCATCCACAATTTCTACAATATTCGCATCTTCGTCGGCTCCAGATGATTCACCTTTTCTTACAACTTCTAATGGTACAACTCCTCATATCACCTCAACAAATGACACGATACCTACCTCAATGGAATCTTATATGCCCATGTTACGATCAAATTATGCTGAAGTCACTTTGGATCATTTACGATCCCTTGTTCGTATGTCTATTCAACCTCAACCTCCAACAATGATATGGGATGAAAATATTGAAAGGTAAGAAAAGAGGAAGAAGAATTTCATAAGTTATGACTATATCCTATATATTTTTTGATACTTTTAGGAGTGAAACCGAAATACACAAGGATGAAATATTTCAAGAGATGAACAACAATATTGAAAAACAAAGATTAGATGAAGCTTTCAAGAACAAACATGGATTACACAAGAAACCTCCAGCTGAAACAACTCAAGATCTCAAAGTGGAACTCATGGACGATATTAATGAAACTTCAGATTCATTCATCGATTCAAATAGTTGGAGTTTATCTCATCCAGCGCCACGGCTAACAAGGTAAATGATGTTAGAGATAATTAATAAAAAAAAAAGTTTATCTAAAAATATATTTTATATATTTTATTATTGTAGTGATGTCTCTTCATCCCCTCCAGTTCACAGCATTAAGACAAGATTACGAAATGTAGGTGATCAGAAAGTACTACGTGTGATAATATACTCATCAACTATTTTAATTATCATATTGTATGTTAGAAACGAACAACCTCTCCTAGCAATGAAAGAACAACGAAAAAGCGATCTACATATCCTTTTGGTGTTGTAGGCAACACGACGCATCAATCAAGTTTAGAATCACTAACCCATTACTTTGTACCTTGGTCTTCTCCTCCATCACATCCCATTACAGCGGGAACATCAACTCATAATACCAAACCATCACTGGGTAATACTACGACTGGCACCACAGCATCTGCATTAACAACGAAGTCAGCTAAGGATAGTACAGACCAAATGATCATTGACGCCATGAATAATGTGATTCGTGTTATCGGTATCATTGCCAAAGGATATATGTATCAATCGTCCTATCGATGTAGAGAAACGGCTTTAGAACTACAAAAATTGGATGATCAACAATATGATACTGCATCTGTACTTAGTCTTTTAGGTCAAGCTTATTATGATTCTGGAAATCATCAAATTGTAAGTGTATATTAAAAAAAAAAGAAAACGATTATGTATGACTGATCTTCTAATTATTTCTTATTCTAGGCGAGAGTGTTTTATCGAAGATCCTTTTATATTGCTCCATGGTATTGCAAAGGGGTCCCAATTTATTCAACATGTTTATGGTATTTGGAAAGGGAACAAGAATTGAATCTATTGGCTTATAGAATGAAAGATAATCATACTCATCGATATGAAGGTTGTATTGCTGCAGGCAATTGGACGAAATGTTTGAAACGTGGAAATGAAGCCATCCGATGGTTTCAAAAGGCAGTGGAGTTGGATCCAAGTCGATCTTATGGACATGCTCTTTTAGGTTATGAAGAATGGGAGAAGGGAAATTGTCTTGGTGCAAAACAACATTTTGCTCAATGTATGATGGCAAATAAACGATCCTATTTTGGATGGTAATTAAAAAAAAAAAATCATATGGATTTCTCTTTTTTTTCCTTTTACTCATTTTTTTTTTTTTATATATATACAATAGGTATGGTGGTGCAACAGCGTATCAAGGCATGCATGAATTTGTACAAGCAAGAACTTTAATGGAAGAAGCAATACGGTTACATCCTCGACATCCGGTGTTATTGGGTACCATGGCCGAAATTTTATTTTCATTGAAGGAATACAGGTTGGCGTATGATTATGTATGTCAATCCTTAGCAATGCGTGAAAATATATCCATGGAGCTCCTGAAACGGAAAATCAAGCAGAAATTAGAAAGTGTCATGGATGAAGATGATGAAGATGATATCGTTTCTCTAAATAGTATTCATGTATAGTTTAGCATTGTTATTAGTATTTATTCTTCTCTTGTTTGTTTGTTTGTTTGTTAATAAAAGCCATATCTTATATATTTTTATGTCTTCTCAACGAAATATATTCAATCAATCTTAAAATAAAAAGACTTTATAATAACACCATAGCAACAATAAAGATTTATTATATGTGATATGATAATTTAAGTCTTACTGTCATGTTGATCAAATAGTCAACAAGGAGGTGAAAATAAATTCTTTATTGGCGAGGTTATAAAATAAAAAGGATAAAATGACAACATATGTATAAAAAAAAAGTAGGCGGGGATATCAGGTATGTAAATAACATTTATATAAAAAAAAAGCACTAGATAAATAGATAGATAGATATATATATATATAAAGAAGAGGGGGGGGGGAAATATTGTAGTATAAAGAGAAAGGAAAAAAAAAATAAGAATCGTGAGCTGACGATCATCAACATTGGTCAAATAATAAGCATGACGAATAATGAAAGATGATCTAACAAGCACATCCGCTGGCTTCCGTTCCGCTATTGGTAAGATTGATTTTTTGCACTATTAAAATAAAAAGAGATATAAGTGATCTTTTCTCTTTTGGAAGACTAGATGATGAACTTACTTTGATCTTTTTCAGGAGAATTTCCATCAATGCCAGGTAAAGCTTGAGCAATTCTTCTAAAGAGATTCTTTACCTACATAGAGAAAAGGAGAAACAAAAAGTTGAATTGATTTCCTTTTTTGTCTTTTTATACTTTACATTTTGACCAGCCTTTGCACTTGTTTCGGTGAACATGACATTCAATTCCTTTGCACGTTTTTCTCCTTCATCTGTTGTCACTTCCCTATTTTTTTTTAAAAAAAAAAAAGGTTAATAAAGGAGAAAGGAAAAGGAGATGCCGGTTTTTTTTTTCTTTTATTTTAACCTTTTTTCATTCAGATCGGTCTTGTTGCCTACTAGGACTACAATAGCCTCACTACCTCTTTCAGCACGTACATCATCAATCCATTTACTGGTGTTCATAAAAGAGTCGCGATCTAATCAACAAATAGGATGAGTATTTCTAGTGAAGGATGACGAATGATGTATACTTACTAGAGATATCATAAACAATGACAGCAACAGAGGAATCCCTAATATAGCTTGGAATCAAACTACGGAATCGTTCCTAACAAAAAAAAAAAAAATTCTACTCAGTTCCATTCCCGCCTTTAGTACGCCTTCCAAAAAAAGTTTGTTATTCTCAAACTTATGTACCCCTCTCAAATAGACACACACACATATATATATCTATATGACCCCTTTATCCCTGAACTTGCTTTGTTTCTTTTTTTTTTTTGAAACTTACTTGACCAGCAGTGTCCCATATTTGTAATCGCACTGTTCTATCGGATAAATACCTAGAAGGATAATGAAAATTGATCGATGAATGAATGATCGATCATTTGTTGACATTATGATTGATGGATGATGAATGAATGATAGATCATTGTTAATATCGTGATTAATGATGGATGATGAACAAAAAAAAAAAAAAATGACGATAGATGATGATAAAAAAAAAAAAGAGGGTTGAGCATGCATGCAAGGTACCATGTCTTTGTCTTTATACTTTACATTGTCTTTGATAAAAAATCGATACCAATAGTAGCCTGTATACAGTCAAAAGGGAACGAGATAAAGTTAGAGATGTCTTTTTTTTTTGTAATACAAAGTAAAAGTTGTTTCTTTTTTCTTTTGTTACCTGATAGGCGTTGTCAAAGGTGTCATACATAAAACGAGTGATTAAGGAAGTTTTACCAACTATACAAGAAAAAAAAAAGTTCATTTCAATGAGACGAAGTTTTCGCTTTTTTTTTTTTTTTTTTTTTCTTACCACTTTGTTCTCCAAGAAAGACAAGTTTGTATTTGCGTAAAGGACTACTAAAGTCAGGGCTAGCCATACTATTCTAAAGTAAATAAAAGAAAAGAAAAACGAAAGAAAGAAAGAAAGAAAAAAATAAAGAAAGAAAAAAAAAAAGAGAGAGAAAAAGTTTTGATAAACAAGGTTTTTTTTTTTTTTTGTTGTGCAAGTGAGCGCTTGTGTTTGTGTGTCACTACCTAACCCAAACTCACGTATTTGGATGGGTTGAGTTCTGAGTTTCCTCGTCTTGTACACAAATATGCTTGTAGATGCATACTTGTCATTCTAAAGTGAGGATCCAAATTTGATATGTACATCATCATTTCAAAATAATAACAAAACAAAGAATTATAATCATCTTGATGGGTCAATAGATTAGTTGAACATGTTTCTTTTTTTTTTTTTTTATTGAGAAAAAAAAAAACATAACACATATATATAAAAAAAAAAAAAAAGAAAAGAGCGTATATTTATAAAATAAGAAGACAAAAAGTAAATGGATAATGAAAGGATGAAGCAAAAAGTGATAGAGATGATAAAAAAAAAAGTATAACTAAGAAGGGGAAAGATGTCGATTATTGTAAGCTTGTGTTGCCCATGATTCCATATCTACATCCACATCGTGATACTTTTGAATGAAAGGATGTTGTAATAATTCCGCATAAGAAGGTCGTTTGCTTGGTTCTTTGTGTAAACTGTAGTAAAACAGAAAAGTTAAATAGGTTATCCATCATGTAAATAATAAAAAAAAAAGAATCTTACCATGCAGATATAAAATCTCTTGCTTCATCTGAATAATGATCCGGTAAAGTAGGAGGTTCTTCTTCAACAATGGCTCGTAATTGTGCAAACATATTGTCATAAGTATAAGGATATTTTCCACCTGCCACTTCAACCAATGACAATCCAAGTGACCAAACATCTGATGATACCGTATATGTATCTACAGCTTTAATTCGTTCAGGCTAAAAAAAAAAAAAAAAAAAAAAAAAAAAAAAATAGAAAGATTGTCAGGTCACCGGGCCATTATTTCCCTTTTTCTCAACCCATATTTGATTCTTTTACCGCCATATAACTTTGACATCCAATATTCGTTTTGGCTAAAGATTTGTTCAATTGACCAGATACACCGAAATCACATAATTTGACTTGACCTTTCATATTCACTAATACATTCGTAGGTTTAACATCTAACAAAAAAAAAAAATTAAAAATTAATAATAGATGAATTAATATTTACATAAAATAGGGACCATCTTACCTCGATGAATAATCGACAATTCATCCTTTAAAAACTTTAGTCCCTTCACCATCTAAAAATAAAATAAATAAAAAATAAATAAAAAATAAAAAATAACAATATATTGTTGTATATTTCCAACAATAATGCACGCGTGGCTTTTTTTTTTTAATTTTCGCTCTAATCCTTTTTTTTCCATTACCGAAATAGCAAGTTTGGCCAATACATCTTCAGGTACACCATCACCATAAAGTTTATCAAGAGACCCAGCATCCATGTATTCCATACAATAGTATACACATGATTCGATAAAAAAAGCACCATAAAATTCCACAATATCTTCACTAGTACTTTTATGAAGAACATCCAATTCCATCAAGATTTGTTGTAATTTAGTTTCATCCAATTCCAATCGAATTTCCTAAACCAAAAGAATAATTTTATTTTATCTTTTTTGTTTACCTATGACTTTTCCCACCCGTTTTTATTATTATTATTATTACCTTCATAGCCATGACTACATTAGTGACTTGATGTGATACTTTTTTAACAGTACCATATTGACCTTTACCAAGTTCTTCTTGAAGTAATAAATCATCCATTTTGATAGCAAAACTACTACCATTACTGAAATCTACCCCATCAGCATGAATGATAGCTTTGCCTGCGAAATTCAATTTACCCGATGGATCACTATTAAAACAAGAAAAAAAAATGATCATTATCTTGGTTTATTTATATCTTTTTTTTTTTTTTTGTAAATGACTTACACGTATTTAGAAAAATTGGAAAAAGGAGTTTCTTCTTTTAAACCAAGTTTTAAGCCAGGACCTTTTCGCATTATAGGACCACGATGAGGTAAAGGTAATTGACCAGGACCATTTGCGCGAATAGGTGTAGTTGTCATAGTAGGATGGGAAGGATGATTCATAGGTGGTTTAAAAGCCGTAGTACCATTGGGAGGTAGAATAGGTCGACTCATAGGAGGTAAAACTGATCTTTTCAACATGGGTGGAACTGTTGCAGTAGGTGTTGATTGATTAGAAGGTTGAGATGTATCTGCGTCAAATGACATTGTATCCTTGAAGGTAATGAAGATTTGGAATAGAATCTAACAAAAAGGGTAGATAATAATAAAAAAAAAAATAGGGTAACTGAAATAAATCAAAAAAAAAGGGGGGATATGAAATGAAGATAAGAGGAAATGAAGTTTGAAAGGTATGAATATATAAAAAAAAAAAAGAAACTTATTGTATACTATCAAAAAGATATAAATGATAATAAAAAGATAAAGAAAAAAAAAAGAAAGAAAAAGAAAAGCAAAAGGAGAGAAAAGGGCAAAAAACAAAAAGGGTTTTTCTTTTGGAGGAAAACCGGAATTCATCATCCGACACAAAAGGTATATGCGGAATTGGAATCATCAGCGAATCAAAAAGAACCAATATCGTAAAGAACAAAATCATATATATATATATATATATATAAATGTCATTGTAATATAAAACAATATTAAATATAATAATAATAATAATGATAACTATAACTATAATAAGATGTATAAGTTAATATTATTGTTGTTTGAAAATATATTAATCATGACAATTCCCTCTCTTTCTTTTTTTTTTTTTTTTTTTTTTTTTTTTAGTATTCATTAGATCAATTTGTTTAAACTTCATCAAAGTGGGTCAGCTTTTTTTTTTGACTTACCAAGTGATTATAAAAGGTTATTGATGATATTTCTTTGATACTTACAAATGGATAAAAAGGGAAATCCATTGATTAAATAATTAATAAAAAAGAGATAGAGAAGTATACTTCTGTTTTATTCACTCAATGAACTTCCATTACTCCGATGATTTTGGTGATCATCACTGGAAAATTGCTGTGATAATCTTGTTCATATTCATCAACGTTCGTAATGACTGATTGGCGAGATCTAAACATAACAAGCTCAAAAATAGAACAGTACGAGAGTATGATTGACATCGTATTATCATGATGATGGCATGATTGACAGATCAGATTATGCAAATTAGATATAACATCGTTATCAATCTAACAAAAGGAAGAAGTAAAGGAACAAAGGAAAAAAAAAAAAGAAGAGACAACAGAAAGAGAGGGAATCGAAAAGTATTATACATTCTTTTTATTAATTTCAAACAAAGTCAATCACAGGATGAGGTAATGTTTCATTCTAATTTAGACGAGCATCGTGATTTTTTTTAATATCTTTGAACAGTAAAGTGATCATCACTTCCCTTTTTTTTTTTTTTTATGAATGGTCTCGCTTTTTGATCATATATATTAATCTGATTTAATTTTATAAACTCTTCTTAGTTCCAAAAGTCCTTGTTTGTATCTACCCATTACTTTCTTCTCTCCAAATAGTATTGCATAGATGGTTTAAAAAAAAAATAGTTTATTTCAATTTTGATTGGTTAAAAAGTATCTTATCCAAGTATTCCATATAGAATACTTAAAATAAAAGAATGCATTCAACAAACAAACAAAAGGTACTCCAGATGATGATCCACCTAAAAAAAAAAGAATGATAATGATAATAACAGTAATATTAATGTATATGAGTTTATATTGCAGCTAATTTGATCCTGTTATATATTCATCTGGTTGATCTTGTTGTATAATCTACTTGGCTAACTCCATATGATCAAGAGAAAGACATAGGAAATAGAACTTGCAGAAGACACCACCATAATTATAAAGAATCATCAAAAGCCCTTGCATACAATCAACTCGTACTTGCTACTCACCAATCATATATAATATATAAAGTATAAAAAAAGAAAAAGGATATCAAACGATTAGTTACACAGTCTTTCCTATTTTTCACTATGCTTTACCTTCATTTAAATACAAGTTATTCTATTCAGTTCATAACCAAGTAAATCCAGAATAAAGAACCAATTCTAGAAATAAAGAAAAAGAAGAAAAAAAAAAGGTTGGCCCATTTTCGCGAGCTTGATCCATTTTTCTCTCGGAGTTGACCAATCAAATTTTCGTTCGATCTATGTCCATTTTCGGTGATGCATTCTAATTTTTCATTGACTGTGTAACAACTAATATATACTGTGTATGATGATGGTATTTTTCATTATCAGTGTACAATTCCTTGTAAAAGAAAATAATCATGTAGTAAGAATTTTTTTTTTAAAAAAAAAATATCTTTTTAATAGATGAGTCTGAGAGAAAAATATTATGCTTATACTCAAAATCCTGAAATAAAAGGGAATTTTATAAAAAAAATAAAAAAAAAAAGTGACTGCGGGGATTCTTTCTCTCATTCAAAATTTCATTGTAATGCTCTCTTTCTCTCTTGTGAATTGAGCCAAAAAGTTTTTTTTTTTTTCTTTCTCCTATTCTTTACTCACTTACTTTGAAGGTTTACTTGTTTATTATTATATTTATTTTATTTGATTGTTATTCAAGAAAATGTCGAAAACCTCTTCCTTTGTACGTGAATACAAATTAGTCATGGTTGGTGGCGGTGGTAAGTAAATTTATATATATTGATTAATTCATTCATTCATCATCTTATTATTCAATTTTTTTTTTTATTTATTTATTTAATAATTGATATCTAGGTGTTGGTAAATCAGCATTAACTATACAATTTATTCAATCTCACTTTGTTGATGAATACGATCCAACCATTGAAGGTAATTAAATATATTCTTATATATTTTTTCATATTCAAACTTTTTTTTTTCTTTTTTTACTCTGAAATAGACTCTTACCGCAAACAATGTGTTATTGATGGAGAAACTGCTTTATTAGATGTGCTTGATACTGCAGGTCAAGAAGAATATAGGTAAACTAAAAAAAAAAATCATAGAAAGGATTATTCAATAAACAATGTTCTTTTTTTTTGATAGTGCCATGCGTGAACAATATATGCGGAATGGTGAAGGATTCCTTTTGGTATATTCTATCACTTCTCGAATGTCATTTGAAGAAATTACAACATTTTATCAACAAATCTGTCGTGTTAAAGATCGTGATTATTTCCCGATGGTATTGGTGGCCAATAAGAGTGATTTGGAATCAGATCGACAAGTTTCAACTCAAGGTATTCTTTTTTTTTTTTTTTAATAAAAAATAAGATTATTTTCATACTAACATTTTTTTTTCTTATTCAATAGAGGGACGTGATCTCGCAAAGGAATTTGGATGTCAGTTCATTGAGACATCAGCCAAACAACGAATCAATGTCGACGAAGCTTTCCATGATGTGGTACGCGATATTCGGAAATACAACAAGGAACAAGAAACCCGTGGAAAACATGATCAATTTGGTGTTCAAGATGCCCCTGATGCTTCTGCTGACAAGTGTTGTGTTTTGATGTAGATTTTTTTTTCTTCTTCTATGGATTGTAGTTTATATTCCCTTCTAATATCATTTTGATACTTTCCCTTTCCTCATATTATTATTATTATTTTTTACTATTTATTTTACTCCATTTTTCTGTCGTCTTCCCCTTTACATCCTCCTTCCCTCTCCATTCTCCTTCTCTTTTTTCGATTCTTCTATATATCTCACCCGTTTTTTTTTTTTTTTCTTATCATAGTCTTTCTTTATATTTGTCACACTCCTTTTCACTCCGTACTTTTCCCCTCTTTTTTTTTTTCTCTTCTTCTTTTATCTTACTTTATTATAATCATAATACAAAATAAAAACGTTCTCTTATATACTTAGAATTGGATCTTTTTCTCTAGGTGTAAGCATGGATGATCCCAGTATGTGTGTATTTGTGACGTAAGGTTAGAACACCGCATATGATGATCAAATCCAAAGTCTCGGATACCAAAATCAAATCATGTTGAACAATTTCAACTGAATTATATTATTAATACGATAAATCTAAAGCTCTATATAATTATGAATGATTCATTGGATGAATGGATAATGGGATGGTGGGACGATAGGATGACTATGACAATATGATTGTATGATGATTGTATGATGAAGATTGTATAACAATGATGATGATGATGATGATTCTATCACGATGACTGTATGATGGTTTCCAGATTAAGGAAAGGAATGGTGGTGTGTGTATATCGGATTATGAAACACATCCAATCAAACTCGGTATTTATGCGATGAGAATATAGTGCTTTTTTTTTTTCTGCCTCCCAGATTGATGTTGAACATGCAGAAATCTACCATCACATATCTATAAACTAAAAACATATTCAAAGAACATGGAGTATATCAAGGGATAAAGGAGATGATGATGATGATGATGATGATGATGATGATGATGACCTTTAGTTTCCTTTTTTTTTTTTTTCTTAAGGAGAAATCACATAAATAAGATATCACTTTTTTTTCAAGGAGTAAGTAATAAATGATTGTTGAATATGAGCAAGTACATCAAGTTATTTGGGTAATCCATATCTTATTGGCAAGGAGAAAATAACATTGATATATACCTAATAGTACTACAATATGTCTGTACCTTTCTTTTCCCCTTTTTCTTTTTCATTCCATTTCATATAAATAAGAACTTTAAAATCAAAGGAATTTTTATCTTTTTTTTCTTTTCTTTATATTTATTTTCTTTTAATCACACTCCTTTTTTTTTTTTTTCTCATCATGTATCTGAAGTTTTTGGCTATTAGTTCTGCAATCATTTTGATGAGTGCAAGCAGCATCAGCGCACAATCATCGTCAGATGGATCATCGGTAGGAGAAACAGGAAAAGGGCTTCTAAGTGACATCCTAGGCAAACGTCAATATAGTCATGTACATGATAAACGATTAGCTGATGAAGTTTTGAAATTACTCTCTCTTAATGGCCATTCTGATACAACTAGTGGTTCTACTCAAGGCACTACTCAAGGCGCTACTCAAGGCACCCATCAAGTTGGAGGAAAGAATGGTGGTAACAAAGGTGACGATAGACAGGACCGTGATAAGATTGATGAAGGTGATGACTTGGCTAATGATCGATCTGAAGGAAGTAGTGCCAAGAGACGGCGATCCATTCTTGGTTTACTTACTCAAACCCCTAAAAAGACAGCTGATAATGGATCATCATCCAATGCTGTCCGTGAAGCTGGTGAAGATAATGGTGAAGAAGAAGAAGGCCCTGATGAGGAAGAAGGTGGTGGTAATGAAGCCAAGAAACGTGAATATATCCCTTATTCTAAACAATGGCGACGTGCCTTAATCAAGCGAGAGTTGAAAACTGCTGTGTTCAGATCTCAACTTGGTCTCAATTCGATGGTGAGTCAGGCTGAAAAAGCTGTGAATGGTGAAATGAGTACCAGTGAAAAACTGGCAGATGGTTTGGCTGAATCTCTCTTGGCTGCTGGAGGAAAATCCAAATCTGGTAATGGTTCTTCTTCACCTGCCAATGACAAGCCTACCACCCCTACTTCCAATGAAAGTACTGATACCACCAATTCTTCTAATACTACTACTTCTGATGAAAAAGAAAAAGGTACGGATTCAACTTCTAAGGCACCTGAAAACGATAACACTTCCACTAAGTCTCAGGGCGGAGACACAGCTACACCTACACAAGGGGACTCTGATAATGTAGAATCCACTCAAGAATAAACTTCTAATTATTATTATGATATTAAAAAAAAAGGTATATCATATCATATTGGGTATTTTTATTTATTCATAGATGATCATCGCCTTTTCCTCTCTTTTATCGATTGTTATTATTTAATATCATATTATCTATCCTATATATATATAATAATAATAAAGGTTTTTTTTTTAATTACTTTGTTCAAGTGAATATATAAAAAGAGAACGACTTCCTATTTCAGTAGCTGTGACTTTTTTGTAATGGGTGGAAGATGAAAATCTTTTTTTTTTTTTTAAAAAAAAAAAAAAGGACAACATTTTTTTTTTCACTTCTTTCTCTTTTTTCATTTCTTCATTAAACCCGACACGATGGCTACTATTTTACGTTTGAATGAAAAGTCTTCTAAAGACATTCTCCTTGTTCACAAATATACAAAGTCCACCATTCCTGTAGAAACTGCCAAAGAATTAAGTTTGGAGGTGAGAGCATAGGTTTATTGACAATATCTCTTTATATACTTACATATACATCTTTTTTTTTTTTTATATATCTATTTTAGGTCGATAATAAACATATTGATACTGCTATCACTATTATCAATTATATTGTATCTCAAACCTCTCCTGAATTGTTGGGTAAAGACAAGTTGGAACAAACTCAGGTAAAAATAAAATAAAAAATATTTTGGGTGATACTTGTCAGATTGAGTCATAGATATTCACTCCTTTTTTATTTTATTTTTTATAAGGTGGAAGACTGGTTATCCTTTATTGTTTCTTCTCTTCGTTCTGCTGCCAAGAAGGATGTGATTGCTCATATGGAAGTAAGTTACTTATATATATATATATATATATATATCAAGAGAATACTGACTCATTCCACATATGTACTTTTATTTCAATTTAGAACAAACTTAACTCTCATTTGAATTTTGCCACTTTCTTCGTCGCCAACCGTTTGACTGTTGTGGATATTGTTATCTTTGGTATTCTTCATGCATACACTGTAAGTACAGTCAAATTGTTGTTATTTGTTTTTATTATAGATCATTCATTCATTCTTTTATGGTGAATTTAGAGAAATATGAAGGTGGCTTCTGTACCCAACGTCATGCGATGGTTTGATCTCGTACAACATTTGATTATCGAAAATAACAGTAATTTGGCCGAAGTTTTCCCCTTGGTATCTATTGATCTCAACGATGTACCCGAACCTGCTCCTCCCGTGAGTAAAAAAAAAAAAAAAAAAAAAAGTTGAAATGTACTGATAAAATTACTATTTGAATGGTATAGAAAAAGGATGATAAGAAGGGTGATAAGAAGGATGAAAAGAAGGACAACAAGAAAGACAACAAGAAGGATGACAAGAAGAATGACAAGAAGGAAAAGAAGGATGCTACTGCTGATGGTGATAAAAAGGGTGAAGCCAAGGATGGCAAAAAGAAAGAAAAGAAGGAAAAGAAGGAAAAGAAACCTGCTGGTAAGCACACTTTAGAGAACTGTCAAAACAACATCTAGCTGACTTTTTATTATTATATTAGCTGCTCCTGTAGAAAGTGATCAACCTACTGTGTCACGTTTGGATATCCGTGTTGGTTATATTCGCTCTTGTAAAAAACATGAAGGAGCTGATTCTTTGTATGTGGAAGAAATTGATCTTGGTGATGGTGAAGGTGAATATCGTACTATTGTGTCTGGTCTTGTTAAATGGTATCCTTTGGAAGAAATGCAAGTAAGTGTTAAAAAAGAAGAAGGATGATGTTATTTATTTCTTTCTTTTTTTTTTTTTTTTTTTTTTAGAACCGATGGGTTATTTGTTTGGCCAATTTGAAACCTGCTAGTATGCGTGGTATTAAGTCTCAAGGCATGGTATTATGTGCTTCTGATCCTGATGGAACCAAGGTAGAACTGCTTTCACCTGTTGATACAAGCAAGGTCAAGCCTGGTGATCGAGTATACTTTGAAGGCATGGAAGGTGAACCCGAAAAGGTATTGAATCCCAAGAAGAAGTACTGGGAAACTGTCCAACCTGATTTCAAGACAAAGGATGACAAGTTGGCTTACTTCCAAGATAAACCTTTCCTTATCAAGACTGCTAGTGGTGAACCAATCAAATGTCAAGTGGCTACTGTCCAAGGTGGTGGTATCAAATAAGTTTTTAGTGATTAGAAATAGTAGTATTTTTTTTTTCTCGTTGTATTTCTTAGGGTATTTAGGTTAGAATATACTTGATTCCTTTTTTTATTAGTTTATTATGATATATACATATTTTTGTTGGGTTAACAAATCTTGAAATAAAGGAAGAAAAAAAGTCAAATTCGATTCTCACGCATAATTCAATCCTGTGATGTAATCATAATCTACACTTTATTCAATAAAAAATGATGGAATTCAAAGAATAAGATGTTGCAAAAATAGGAAATAAAATATAGTAGGGATAGAAAATAAATGACGGGAAAGAAAAGAGAGAGTTGTCGCATAATCAAATAGAGAATACAAGAAGTAAAAGAACAAGAAGAAAAGGAGTGATAGTAGTTCCATTGAGTATTTTGAATAACAGAAAATAAAATATTATTTAGTCAACGTATCCATTTTTTTTTTTATATTTATTTATTTTAACTTACCTGTAGAGAAGCATTAAATACGTCCTCAAAAGAGGCGATAACATATTTTAATATGTTGCTGTTACAGGTTTGATATTCACTTTGAATTGGAAACACCAAGAGAGATTTCAAAAAGAAAAAAAAAAAAGAGAATGATTAATATACTGCATCATTATTATTATTATTATTATTAAAAGAAACTTACTATTAAGCAAGGTACAGAAAAAAAAAAAGTCCAATAAGTATATAAAAAGAAAAGCAAATAGACCTAAAGGTCCGTCTTGGTTATTGTAAGGTTGTAGTTCAGAGAAAAAAGCTTGTATTGGTATGGATGTATATGAAGGTCTTGTAGTTTGTAAATTGGTTTAAAAATTGATATCAAAATAGATAAAGAAATTAAAAGAAAAAGAAAAAAAGAGAAAAAGAAACAGAAAAAAAAAAAAAAAAGAAAAATAAAATAGCACTTTTTTATATCTCTTACTTGATCAATGAATAAAATAAACCCGGTAAAAATATCTCAGAAGAAAAAAAAAGAGAACTATTATGCAAATTTACATTTGTCAACTATACAAAAGGTGATCGATCGAATGCCTCAGTTAATGAAAATAAACAAAGAAAACCCGAGTAAATGTATTTTTTTTTTTTTAAAAAAAAAAAAAAGAGAGGAACTATTATGCAAATTCACATCAACATCGCAAGATATGAATATTACATTAGTATACCCCTGTCTTATATGATACAATATAAAAAATATAGTTCTTTTTTTTTCCAGATATGGCCTGTTGAAAAGATTCAGCTAACAATCAGTCATCAATCATCAATCATCAATCAATGACATACTCTACCGACATCTCTGGAGCGATATCTGAAAAAGTGGTAATGCAACATTCATTTTGGGAAAGTACGATTTTTTATTTTATAACATCACGAAAAACATTTTCTTGTGACCCGACAAAAAAACTTTGAAAACACTGTATCTATTTCTCCCTTTTTTTTTTTTTTTTTCTCGGGTACAATGTTCTTTTCGGTTTTGAATGATGAATGATGAATGATGTTTTTTATAGGAATGTATACAATGTTTATACACTCTTATATATGTGATGAATGCATTAGGTACCAAAGTAAGAATTGGTGAAAGAAGTTTTACTTTTATTGGTTGGAAAAAGTGTAACCTGAGGAGCTTGAAAAGAATTACTACTATTTTATTTGTCTCAATTTTCCTTTTCTTCTTTCATTCATTCATTCATTCTTTCTTTCTTTCTTTCCTTCCCAGCTCCATGTCACATAACTTTGATACTTGTCCCTTGCGATTCTATTCTCTCTTAATTATAGATAGCAAAACACAAAAAATCATTTTGGCCACAAAAGAAATATGCACCTTATTAGGATATCTTCCATTTCAATTGATCGGTCACCATCTTGCTATACTGAATTTACAACCACTCGGTGAACAACTCTATGCAACTCGACATGAATGTTCTCAAAGCCGTATCTTGTTACAAGTTTGTATTCACAAAGAAAAATCTCTAGGTTTAGATTATTGGTGCTTTCATCCAACATCTACGTCTCTACTACCAATTGTTAACTCCAATATGACAGTATTACGACTCGATCCTTATGGTTGCATAGAATATACTTCTTTGGCTAACCAAAATATTCTTCTTGGTAAATCACTCAAAACATTAATACACAACGATGATAGAAAACGACTATCTGATGGATTAAATGAACGGCAAACAACATATCAAGTATTACATTTACGATGTCAACAACTTATTGATAATGACGATGCATACGAATGGATCAGTTTGACAATGATTACTGTACCACGAAGACGATCATATGGAGCTCAACATGAAGATATGACACGACAACTAATGATTATACGGCCAGCAAGCAATCCTGACCTTCTTACGTCTACAGTAGCAAGAACAACAAACCAGGATCGATCTACGTTTATTACTTGGTCTCATGGATGTCTTGAGGTGATGCGGTTTGTTTTTGGATTTTGGATTGGTTTAGTAGTGGAAGCTTGGTGGACGATGTGTGACACAGTATATCAAGGACAACGTTATTTGGTTGAATTTTTGGCTCATCTGTTGATCAGTTTATTGGATTTTTTGGCAGATTGTATCGACCCAGCACCATCATCTACTTCATCTGTACGCGTGGTACAAGCTCAAGAAAAATGGAGGGAACCAAAATTACAGCAATTGGATGACAATAATACAACCGAAGTACCTTGGGTTCGTCCTTTACATCGAAAACGTTGGGCTACTGCAGTACGAACATTACGGAAACGCGTCCAGTCAAGTACCGTGGCACAAAAATCGCTTGGCGTTCTTGAATCTATTGGTGTAGTGCAATCTGCTACTATGTTTGATTATTTGGAGAAAGTCACTAGTGAACATTATTATCATTCTTCTCGTCCTTCTCCTCCTCCTCCTACTATTAAAGATAAAACCATTTGATTTTTTTTTTTTTTTTGAAATAAAGAAACTAATTTTTTTGATACCCTTTTGATATTATATGGTTCAATGATGATGATTCTCATTTTAAATATATGTAAAGATATGTACAATATTTGTCTGTTTATGTCTTCTTTTCAGCCCTATGATTAGAGGCCTGTTTGCATCCATATTTCAAACATATTTTCGGTGATCCTTTTTTTTTTTTTTTTATGGATGATGTAAAATAGACAGATTGATGATTGATTTATTATTCAAAATCAATACAAGTTATGGTAAACACAGTAATAGTAATATAATGACAATGCTTTGTTCGACTTTGGTACTACGATCGTGTCTTTTGGTGGGACCAGTAAGTGTTTTGGAAACATGTGATCAATGTTTGGTTGATGCTTTTTCTTTTTTTTTTTTTTTTTTTTTTTCAAAAAAATCTCCCCTGACTTTTATATATATATATTTTATCTTCCTCCGGTTTTTTCGTTTTCTCTTCTTTTTTCTTTTTTTTTTTTATTATATATTTTTTATTTTTATTTTTTAAAACTCAATGACTGAATTGACTGATCAACAAAAACTTGAAAGACGTCGCTTGAAACGCCAACAACGTATCTTACAATCAGCTGGTGATCGCCTGGAAAGAATCACAGGTACCGCCTTTCGTAAGTAACAAAGAAAAAAAAAAAGAAAGATAATAACGTGTATACCTAGTTATATTTATTTATTTTTTATTCTAATGATTTATATTTTGTTTTTCTTTTTTGATTTGTATTATCATTAGCTGACCGTGTATCGCCAAGTCCATCCCCATCTAATTCAGCTACTTCCTTGAGACCTGTCAGTTCATGTTCAAGTAATAGAATGACAAACTCTCATCGACCTTTACGCGCAGTGTCCTCGGTACCATCTTTGCAACAGAAACAACAAGATTTTTCTATGGATAACATAAACAATACTAACTCCATGGACGTGGCTGAACACTTTCCAGCATCGAATGACCTTCGCCGTCGAACCTACGATACTTATAGCAAACCGATCATGGAGGATATTAAATCGGCAGAAAACATACCTTCTATCTTGACAGAATCGCCTCTTGATGAAACGACACCAAGTTTTTTATCACCAATAAATCAAAAGCAGCCAATATCATTATTAAATACATTATTGATGCGAAAGTTATACCGGCAACGACATCATCATAGTTTGGATCCTTCTTTGAAGTATTGGAACGCTTTGCATTTTGCATCTATGATATGGCTTACATTTTGTGGACTATATACCGAATGGCAAGAAATTGGAAATTTGGATCGTTTTGCGGGACTTTTGCTTGATCAAGGACAATCCATCACTCAATTTGTAGGTCGATCACCTTTTTAATATTATACCCAACTTTTTAATTTTTTTTTTTTTTTTTTTTGTTCATAGCCATTGTTTCGAAATTTTATCATGTTGGAACTTCTGTTACTGGCCGCTTTCAGTCTTTATCATCCGGAAGTAATAAAAAAAAAAAAACGAAAAAGATCTTTATGCACTTTAAGGTTTCTATTTCAAACTTACTGATGAACTTGTTTTTTTCTTATTGTCACTTTTATAGAACCAATATCCGAGCATTCAAGATGATTTCACTCTTGTGGCAACACAACTTCCTTCTCCTTTTGATCAAATCATGACATCCGTTTTAGGCTATCGTCGTACATTATTTTGTTTGATTCAAGATCTATCCATTATCGTTTTCATTATTGGTTTTACTCAAGTACTTGCCTATATATTCTGATTTCACTGTAAGATTTGTATATTAGTATATTGTGTCTGTTCTCTATTCCTCTTTTATTCCATTTATTCTCTAAATATAGAACCATCCATCCATATCACAGCGTAGTTTTTACCAACATATAAATAACAATAATAATAAAAAGAAATGTGCATATGTATTGTCAAGAATGTTTTATTTGTTGATTGATTTTCTTTCTGTACATCATATATATCCATACATATATATATATATATCACACTGCAATCATTCTATTCTAACCATCTAAACTAAAATTATATCTATGGTTTGGCATCCATGACCTTTTCGCATATCGTATCAGAGTGTAAACGAGGAATATCGATTGTAGAAGATTTTTCACCTACATTCACCAATATAAATAAGAGTTAGTTACCATTTAACCATAAGAAACATTCAGACAAACACCAATTGGATAATATTTACCAAAATGTACGGTAACAACTGGTTTTGTGGTAGGATCGGCTGATTTGTTAAGTTCAAATAAAACAGAAGGATTATTATATTGCATACGTGGTAAAGTTTCATGAAGAAAATGCCTAAACATAAAAAGGAATGAAAAGTGAGCAATAAAAGTCGCAATGTTGCTCTTTCTTACTTTGCGCCAGCACTTTCATTCTTTCCTTTAAAAGCGTATGTCAATGATATTTTTGTAATAGAGGATGGGAGTTTGCTGGACCCAACACCTGAGGATAATTGAGAAATAAGTTCACGAGTTGATTTTATGGATCTTAATGACATGATGTGTATGCAAGAAAAAAAAAAAAAGTAAAATGAATAAAGAAAAAAAAAAAAGAGGATTGTATTTTTTAACTTTCCTTCTCTGGAGCACCCCCTTCCTTCCATATTTCGATCTCCACCAAGCCACCTTCAAATTCACTTTCCAATGATAATTTAATTAGACAGTCCTTTAACGCGATCTTTTTTTTTTTAGTTGTAAATGTGTGTCTTTGATACATTAATAAAAAAAAAAAAGATAGACATAGATGATATTATAGTATGATTGCAGGTTTAAGTCTTAAAATGGGGATTTCGAATATTTTTTTTTTTTTTAGAATGAGATGAGATGTCAGATAGTCTTTTTCTGAGATTTTTTACACGTTATCGATATGCTATCCTTTTTTGGTTCATTAACAAAAGAAGTAATCATAGATAATATATACATCTTTTGTTAATGATGCTTATACGGTATGATGATAGATTTAATCATAAAAATGAGATTGGAAGGTTGGTTAGAGCTATTTTTTTTTTTTTTTTTTTTTGAAGATTTTGGATTTTTACAGCTAAAAATTTCGAACTCCTCAGCCAAATGTTGGCTGTAAAAGTAAATTGTCGAGGGTTCACCAGGCAATTTTTCAAAAAATCGATAAAATCTTTTCGATGATCATTACACATTAGTTGGCAAGGTAAGGTAATAAAATGAGATTAAATGATATTAGGTTACTTTTTTTGAGAGGAATCCAGTGATGGTAATTTTATTGGATGATGATCATTATTGGATGAATCTACCTTTATTTTTTTTTTAGTTTTTACTTTATAGTATAAACGATTATAGTGAAAGAGAATGATCTCATCTATGTTCAATCCAAGTTTGGTACAGTAATGATCATTTTTGGGTGAAAAATGAAAAGAAAAAAAAACAGATAAAACTAATACTGTAAAGCAAAAGAAAGAGATATTAGTTAAATAGCTCTTAATAGTGGTGATCGGATGTTGCGGTCGATTTTTTTTTTTCAGGGTCGTATCATGCGACTAATTCTTCTTTTATGGTCATTGATTATAAAATTAAAATTATACCCCTGAAGTGGTATGTGGGATGGAAATTCAAATGTTAAATATGAAGAAGGGGGATTATTTCTTTTCGGAATGGATTATAAAAAGATATAATTTAACTAACGATTCATTTCATTTACTCTATGTTCATGTACTTTATAATAGTATGATGATGACAGGTCCCTGTCAAAAAAAAAAAAAAAAAAAGAAAAAAGAAAAGAAAGTTTCGAAAAGTGCGCCGTCAGACGGAATTAGAAATGCATTGACTTTCGTACTAAAAAAAGTAAAAAACTTAAACTGACTTTTTCGAGGGCGAAATGAAGAACCCCTCGAGAAGACAGGGTCATCGGATAGACCTTTTATTTTTTTGTACGTGGTAGTTTTTTTTTTTTTTTGTCACGATATTTAACAATGCACCAATAACAATGCAAAAAAGAAATGGAGTAAAAAGCATGATAATTGCGTAACATCATTTGAAAACAAGGTATTGTTACTGTTTTTCAGACCTTTGAGAATGGCAAGAGGAAGCATTATCGGTATTTCAAAGTTTTGATAGAAGATTCCTGGACCTCCTTTTTTTTCTTTTAAATCCTTTTTTTGGAATTCATTTCCCTCGCTTTTCTTTCCTTTCTTTATTTTATAAAAGGTGAATACTCACGCACCTATTTACTTGTTATCGTATGTTCGATCAGCCTGCACATACTCTATTCTCGTCCTTAAAAAAAGTTGTTGACAATCCAAAAGAATATTTGGCTGACGTATGTTGTCGTTTCCAGGATGTTGAAATTTGGGCTCATACAGGTAATGGAAAATTTTGAAAAAAAAAAAAATTCCCTTTTTATTATTATTTATTATTCATTTACTTAATATCTTTTCCCTTTTCTTTTTTTTCTTTTTCTTTTTTTTTTTTTTTTTGCTAGGTATTTTGTTATTACGGTGTCCTTCCGCCTTTGGTCAACGTTTTTTACCTTATTTAGTCAACAAAGGCAGCTACGACCCTATAAACGACAGCATAGTCACTTTTGATGAATCTATCTCGTCATCATTATTCAAATTATTACTACTTTATTGGTATACAGCTCATGTGGACCCAGATTTACCTGAACATATTTGTCAGCAATTGAATGCTTTAGAAAAAGAACTCGATATTCAACTACTCCCACGCCCCGCTCCTGATAATTATGATACTTTTGAACAGCAACAACAACAACAGCTTGTACAAGATTTGAACCGGATGCGACTAGACGAAATAGGATGTGATATTAATCTTATCTTACCTTTGAACTCTTCTTCTTCGGATGCAATCACCTCCACCACTCTGTCTATTCCAGCACATCGATTTATTTTGGCCAGTCAGTCAACTTATTTTTACGCCATGTTTTGTACTGATTTTTGTGAAAGCCAAAATAAGGTAGTGCAGCTGACCGACCGTTTTTTTACACCTATGGTAATGCAAGTCATACTGAATTACCTATATTCGGATACTGTGTGCGTTCCTCCACCACCTCAATTGGCTTCTATATGCAATTTTACAACAATATCCTCTTCTTATCCACCTCTATCCAAAATCCAAAAATTAACCTTGAAAAAACATACCTTACGGACCCTTCAAATGACTTTTGCAGCTGCTGATTATCTTGGACAAATGAAAACACTTGGATATGCCCTCTTACACGCTATGACCAAAACTTGTGATGGATTTAGATGTCTATGTGATGATTGTGTTCTTCTCTTACCATCTATGCTTTCTCTAGCAGACAAGAAAAAAGAGGATCCTATTCTTTCTCCTCTTCGTGCTACTCTGGTGACTTTGTATTCTGATCCTACTCATGCTATACAACATCTCTGGTCTCAAAAACCATTCGCCATTCTGGTCCATTCTATGATTCCTTCTGCTGCCTCGATGATGAAGACTCTCGATTCCTCAATAGCTCTGGATGATGATCACAAACCCAAGTCAACATTAATTTTTGAAATTGCTGAATCCACTTATGCAAATGTCACAAAACACAATGCTATTCATGTCCTTCATGCATTACATTTATGCTTCTCCAAATTACGAAGTGCTGATCTCTTACCGACCTGGTCACTACCTACATTGGACTTGTTGGATCCTATCTTACAATTGACTGTTAGTATGGTATCACAAAATTTTGACTTTTATTGTGTGGAATACCCTATTCTTGTATCATGTGTGGATGGTATTGGATGTGGTTTCTCAATTGACTTTTTGGATTTTTTACTTAATCGTGTACTCGACCAAGGCATTCAAGATGCAAATGCTGGTATTATTTACCAAGGTATTGTCAAGGATTTGATTGGAAGACAAGAAACGGTGAAAAACATTGCTCTGGATGATGTCTTACTCAATGCTCGTGTTCGATGTACTGCCTATTTGGCTCGACGATGGTTAAGTGTCAAATCTCTTGGTGGTTTTCGATCTTTGGAGAAAGCAACGATGCGACAACTTTCTGACGGTATTTATAATAGATAGAACCTGAAAAGCAGTTTACTCATTTTTTTTTTTTAAAAAAATATTTTATGGTAGATATTGGTATTCCTTATCGTACATTGACAAAACCATTTGATACTGACTTGTTATCACTATTCAGCTTCAGACCAAAACCGTCCAAACATGCACTCAAGTTGAAATCAGAAAATGAAGCACCATATCCATCCACTTCTAAAGCCGTTGGTAATGGGTCAACAATCTCTTTTGGACGTCGAAGATCCTTTGGTAATCCACGCAATCACAATGCAGCATCATCGTCAAAAATAGTAGGAAAATCGATATCGTCCTCTACTGTTGGTTCTCGCCCACGTTCACATTCAGCAGGATCAGCTCCCCCTTTCCGATCAACACTTCACTCGACAAAAACAGACCCATCTTCTGGTTATGTGAATTACAACACTCTCAATGCATTATCGACTCAACCATTGATTCACCTACTTTCAATGGAAACTGAAGCACGAAGATACCAGCAGGAAATATCATCTATGACTGATAACGACGATGCTTATAGATATGATGATGATGAAACAAGTGAACGTTTACTGGATGCATTATTGCCTATGGAAAAAATTACACCTGTAGTAAATAACAAGAGTGCTGATCGATCAACAAAATTAAAATTCGAAATTCCATCTGGTGGACCAACACATGCAAAATCTCCTTTACATCCAAGTTTATACAATCAATTACTATCCCCAATGGATGCTATGATGGATTCATCGGCGTGTAGATCAAACAAGAAAATGAAGATGAAGAAACGTGGTCTTTCACCAAAACGATCAAAATGGAATCTTGGATCAACAAGCGGCAGCGATATCAGTGAAGATGAAGAATTAGGAATGAAGACTATGCAACCATCTTCGATGATTACACCTATGATTGGCGCCAGAGTAGAACTTCGTCGTCGACCTTTGCCTACGTTTGGAACTATTCAATATATTGGCCCTGTCTCTTTTGCAAAAGGCACCTGGATTGGTTTAGAATTAGAATCAAGACGTAAGTAAAAAAAAAAAAAAAAAAAAAAAAAAAAAAGCGGTTGAATGTTTTTTTTATTGATATCCTCTTTTTTCATAGTTGGCAAAAACAATGGATGTGTTGCCGGTGTAACCTATTTCCGTACTGACCCTCAACGTGGACTATTTGTAAAACAAGATGACTTCATCATCATCTCTATTCCATCTATGACAATGTAGTTTTATTCCCTTTCTTTTCTTTTTTTTTAGTACCCTTCTTTTATATTCATTCTTATTACCATTATTCTTATTTTTATTCTTACTATTGTCATTATTATTCCGTGAGTTATCATCCTCTTTGATTACCTTAGGCTATGAGGTCTTTTTTTTTTTCCCTTTGATACCCTTATCCAGTGGAGCAATATATGTATTACTACTTCCTTCGTTTCTTTTTTTACATCATATATCATTACTGCCCTTTTTTTTGGAAATAAAAGAAAGTTTTATATTCAACGTTTATAATCATCTAATCTTGTACCACACTAAATATTATGCACCGTCAATATATGATTCTCTTCCAATATCCATTCTTTTGATTAAAAAAAAAAAAAAAAGTAACAAAGTTTAAGAGAAGGAGATTTTTTTTTATAGTAGTATGATACAATGTGGAATTTAGAAAACATCCATATCATACATGTTACCTTGGTAACTGTGATGATCAGAGAAAAAGAATTCATCCGGTTACGTGCCATATAAAATCATTTTATTTCCTATTTTCTTTTTGGTAGATTCTTTCTTTCTTCTTTAAAACCCCCGTTTTTATTAATAAAGTATCATGAAATTCAATCTTGTAGCTTTGACAGTGGCAGTTTTTCTTTGTCATCAAGCATGTGCCATTACAGAACGGCAATTACAAAATCAAGATGAATCATCACAACAAACAGAAGACCCTCAGCCAATGATGGCAGAAGTTCCAGTGATGGATGCACCTAAAATGGTCAGTCCGTCTACAGCGGAAAAGGTGAATGATCTTGTGGATTTGGCAGTGGAAGTCGAACAACCTGATATCTCTGAACACATCCCAGAGGATGATCATTTGACTGACAATGAAAAGACCATGGTCTTTAGTTTATTGGAAGCCTTGGATGCCATGGCAGAACATGCTGATGTGGAAGATCAAGATAAACCCACTGCCGATGCACTCAAAGGATTACAAGCCGATGCCAATCAACGTCTATTGAATGCTGGTTATGTATATCGTACCATGGGTAATAAACGTGTCTTATCGCGTATCGCTAATAATAATAATAACAATAATGGTAATCCTGGTATGCCAAATGGAAGAACTCAAAATACGACTGAATTGGTCCGTGGTATGTTTGATATTGTCCAAACTGCAGCTCGCTTAGGTCCTTTATTCAGTACTACCACTTCATTCGGTCGTTATGGTCGACTTCTCGCCACCGCTGCTCATATCGTCGAAGGTATGCTTGCTCCTAGACAACCTGCTGCTACTCGTGTTTTCCCTCATTTGCCTAGACTTGGTCACCATTAAATAAATATACAAATCATCCTATTTTATATATCATATATATATCAATATAGAATAATAATAAAAAATACAAACTAATTTTATTCCATTTCGAATAAACAAATTCATGAACTAATATAAATCATATCTAGTCTATTCCAATATAATCTAGTCATCGGGTAATACCTTGCCAGGATTCATGATTCCTTTTGGATCCAAAGCATATTTTATCGTTGCCATCATATCCACTGTCGTGTCACCAAGTTCTGATCGTAGATAACCCTTTTTTCCAATGCCACAACCATGTTCACCACTGACACTACCTTCCATACCAATGGCTCTTTCTAATAACTTTTTGTTGAGTCGCTTGGCTTCTTCATATTCTTCAGGTTTGGTTTCATCAAATAACAAAAATGCATGAAAGTTGCCTATAAATAAGAGATTGAGCATCCTTGCAAAAAAAAAAAAAAAAAAAAAAAAAAAAAAAAAAAAGAATCCACATCCATAAACCAAAAACCAAAAACCGCTATTTTTTTTCCTTTCCTTTTTTCTTTTTTTTATTATTATCCAACTTACCATCACCAACATGTCCAACAATTGCGCCTATAGTGAATTCGAAAAAGAATAAGAAAAAAACATGAATAATCAACATAATATATATATGTATATAGGACGTAACGTACCTTCGATCATCGACTCTTTAAGATCTTTCTTGGTTTCATCAATGATATCAGGAAGTCGAGAAAGAGGTACTACTACATCGGTTGTCCAAACAGATGCATTTTGCTTGAGTAAAGATGCACTCCATAAACAAATTTTGCGAGCTTCCCAGAGTTCTTTTCGTTCACTTTCATCTTTAGCATATTTGAATGGTCCACCCTTATGTTGCCGAGTAATTTCCGATACGACTTGAAAGAATAAGAATCATTATTTATCAATAACCCGGTACGGAGGCGATATATATATATAAAAAAAAAAAAGAAAAGAGTAATTAGTACACACAATTTACTTTTCAACCAATAAAAATCATTTATAAAGAGCTTTTTTCTTTTATTATTATTATTATTATTATTATTCATAGCTCTTACCTTTGATTTCATGATCTATTTGTGCTTGACTACCAGAAAACTTGAAAAATAAAGTGGGTTTGATTGCGTGACCCAATTGTGGGCTCGACATCATCACTGCTCGCATCATTTCATCATCCAAGAGTTCCACAGCATTGATCTGAACACCAGCACGGACTAATTCTGGTACCACATCAGCAGCATCACGGATTGTAGGGAAATTACATACAGCCACTATACAGAAATTTTCAATCAGTAAAGAAAAAAAAATTGAAGGCAAATAGTCAATAATATTTCTTTTTCCATCGTTTTACCTGCTTCTTTTTCGGGTAGAACTGCCAATTTCAATGTGATTTCAGTAACAATACCCAAAGTCCCTTCGGATCCAATAAAAAGTCGAGTAAGATCATATCCAGCAGATGATTTTCTACGAATAAACAAATAAATATCATACAAATAATAGTTAGTTCCTAGATGATCATTTCTATAATACAATCATCTTTTTTTTTTCTCCTCATCTTTACCTTGGTCTTTGTCGTGTTTTGATCACTTTTCCATCTGCAGTCACTACAGTCAAATTGATCACCCATTCTTTCATTGTGCCATACCTAACAGCATTTGTTCCACTACATGAAGTGCCAACCATTCCTCCAATACATGCACCTAAACACCAAAAAGAAAGAAATAAAAACAAGTGTTACTGAAATCCAATTTGTAGTTTTCGATCAACATATGTATGATATATTACTATATAAATGACATACCTGGACCTGGATCAACGGGAAAGAATAATCCATATTCACGAAGTACTTTGTTTAAATCTTCAAAGCCAACACCAGGTTTCACCACCACATCCATATCTTCCAAATGTAAAGCTATAATGTCATCCATATGTTCTCGAAAAGATATAGATATACCACCTAGAGGAGCAGCAAAATGACCTTCCAAACTTGTACCTCCAGAAAAGGGAATAATTGGTATACTTAAAAAAAAAAGAAAGAAAGAAAGGAACGATAGACAAACTGTCAAGTTAGTCATCCAATGAATATCTTTCTATTCGTATATCCACGTTACCTAAATTCATTGGCAATCTTGACGAGTTCTACAACTTCTTCTGTATTCCTTGGAAACACCACAATGTTGGGAGAACCTTCATTATGATAACTATTACTGGAATAACCATGATTTTGTAAGATTTCCTCGTCCACAGTGACATGTTCAGGAGGTAAAACTTGCTGTAATCGATGGAACGCTTGCTGTATGGTAGTTTGACTTGGTTTCTTTTTATCCAACTTGTTAGAATCTTTGACGGTCGATGGATGGATAATCATGTATTCAAGTCCGGCACCAGCGAGAGCGGCCATCGCGAGAGAAGGTAAAAGACGATTAGAAGGACGAGGTGGTGCACTATAATGTCGACGTCCTGTTTGAAGACTGGCTTGACGACCTATCGAAAAAAGAGACAATGTTTTTGCTTTTGTATTCGATATCACGCTACGACGAAACAGACTTGAATACATTGTACTGGAATAGGTAGTGATGAAAACGAGAAAGAAAACCAGAAAAAAGGAAAAAAGGAAAAAAAGCGAAATAGGCATATTTTCTATTCTTTTTTGAAATGCCGCATACTGTTTTTTTTCATTGGTGGAGAGGAATAATATGGTTTGCAGGTGAGAAAAGGGGTGGTTTGCATTGTATTGGTTGTACCAAAAAAGAGAATATAGAGAAATGAATAGAAAGAGAAATATGGTAAGTGAAGTCTTTTTTTTTTTTTTTGGTTACTTACAACCGAAGTTTAAACGTCGCAGGTTTTTGCTACCTGAATTAAGCATATAGCTCAGGCATAGAAAGAATGAAATGATACTAAGAATAAAAAGAGGTGGTAAATTCTTTCTTTTATTTTTTTTTTATCAATAGCCGGATGATGATGATTATTTTCCATTGATGATAGAAAAAGAGAAACAATGAAAAAAAGGAGCTTACTTTTTCTACCATAGTTTGGTTCTTTTTCATAGGGATGCTAAGAATAAAAGGGGATGTTCTTTTTATCACTCATCGGATGATGATTGCTTTTTATTTATTATAGAAAAGAGTCATAATGACAAAGATCAATATAGAAAAATTCATCAGGAATAGACATACACAAAATCATCAAATGATTTTTTGTTCAACTTTCTGCTACCAATGTCTTTAAAGAATGGATGATATGTAATAAAATAAAACTTACTAACGGTTGATTTTAATATACTGGAACTTGAAAGTTTATTTAATAAAAATATCTATCTATTCTTTTCTAATCTAAAGTTTTGAATCACCAATATTATCCTGGTTTGCTTTGTTTCGTAATTTTTCTTGTTCAGTTTTTGTCAATCGAATCAATCCTTCTTGACTTGTTGTTGCAGCAAGAACACCATCCTTGGTATAAATTCGACCAAAGGAGACACCACGTCCATCGCCAGATCTAGGACTATGCATATCGTATAAAAACCTAAATAAAAAAAAAAAGATGAATGATAAAGCCAATTTTTTTTTTATAAATACAATTATTTGTTCTATATATTACCATTCATCAGCACGCATGTTCTTGTGGAAGTAAATACTATGATCCAATGAAGCCATCATACCAAATCCTCTTCTGCCAATCCCCGTAGCTCTTGCAGCCGTCAAAAGGAACCCACTATCACTGATATAAGCAATCACACAAGCATGAAGTTGAGGATCATCACTTAATTTACCACGAGTCACACACCATCTTGCCGAACGACTAAGATTTTGATTATCAGAAACCCAACGATCATTGTCATCAATATCTTTAGGATCCACTTCACGATAATCCACAGGACGATCTTCATCTAATCGTTTTTGTAAATAATCACGATATTTTGCTGACAAATTATTGTTGGCCAATTCTTGTTCCATGAGTTCTTCAGCTCTAATCATCAACATCCAATAAAATAAGAAATAAGCTCTAGTTATCCTATTCCAATTATTTTTATTATAGATTCCAACTTACGATTTCAAATTCTCAGGTGCTGGTACTTTTGGCATAGTAGATTGATGTTCAACAGTTGGTACGTCATAATCTTTGGTGAAACTACAACTACAAACAAAGATAGCTTTTCCTCGTTGCTTGGCACGAACAAAACGAGTAGCAAACGACCGTCCATCACGTAAAGGAATCACTTCATATAACACAGGCATCGATACGTCCCCAGGTAGGATAAAATAACTATGTAATGACTAAAAAAGGAAGGACGCATTTAATATTAGTCATGGTATATATCACATATCTATATTACTTACATGCACTTGGAAGGTCTTGCCAACTGTATGAAAAGCAGCACGTAAAGCTTGAGCAACAATCTAAAAAAAAAAAAAAAAAAAAAAGAGGGCATATATTGCTTTAATAATATAATTTCTATTTTATATATTATTAACATTGTACCTGACCACCAAAAGCTCCACGTGCACCTAAAGGTAACCAAAGTTCTTTCGACATGTATAAATTAACATCGATTTCTTGAACGTCAACAGCATTGGCAAGATGTTCTCCATAGTTCGCAAATTCGTCTGGAGGAGTTGTAACAGGTTCTCTCTGGTTAGAGAATGATATAACAGAAGGAAATGTGGAACGAGGCATGTTGATAAAAAAAAAAAAAAAAAAGATGGAGAAAAAACGACTCAGCGTCAGTCAAAATTCTCATCAGTTGTCAGCAGGAATACAATTTCATCTCCACCTTCCCCCACAGCCCTGAAGGGCATTTGCTTCCCGCTTTCCTATTTTGGATGTTAAAAAACTATCCTATCAATATGTTGTTTCTTTTGCATGCTTCATTTCAATTTTCGGCCAATAAACGAAAAGTTGTCTTAATCCATTTGAAACAAAGAAAAAAAAATAACCCATGCGATATCAACATTTGATTTATGCAAGAATCCTCTTTTTTTTTTTTTCTTTTTTTTTTTCTTTTCTTTTTTTTTCACTTGATAAACATTTGACATCACTTTATATAAACTATGTCTGTCCTTGATCAAATCAAGAAATTTACAACGATTGTTGCTGATTCTGGTGACTTTGAATGTAAGTTAAGTTCAAATAATAAAAGAAAATGAAAGTTAAATTCATTCATTATATAATCATCATAGCCATCGCAGAATATAAACCCCAAGATTCTACTACCAATCCTTCATTGATTTTGGCTGCTACAGCGAAACCACAATATGCAAAACTAGTGGATGATGCTATTGAATATGCAAAGAAAAAATCAAGGTAGAAAAAAAAGAACGTTCATCATCACTTTTATTATTAGTATTGATAACAAAATAATTTATTTTCTAGTGATCAAGCAGGATGGGCAGTGGATAAACTACTGGTCAATTTTGGCACTGAAATTCTAAAGATTGTTCCTGGAAGAGTATCAACTGAAGTAGATGCACGATTATCATTTGATAAAGAAGGCACCATCAACAAGGCGTTGAGATTGATTGATCTATACAAAGAAGAAGGTATCGATAAGGAAAGAATCTTGATCAAAATTGCATCTACCTGGGAAGGAATCCATGCTGCATCAGTATTGGAAAAAGAACATGGTATTCATTGTAATTTGACCTTGTTATTTGGTTTTCCTCAAGCTGTTGCTTGTGCTGAAGCTGGAGTTACCTTGGTAAACACGAAAAAGAAAAAAAAAAAGATAAGTGGGGTATATATTCATCTTTTTTTTTTTTTTTTTTGAATAGATATCACCTTTTGTTGGTCGTATCATGGATTGGTATAAGAATAGTACTGGAGAAACATATGATGATGCCACAAAAGATCCTGGAGTATTATCTGTCACCAAAATCTATAACTACTACAAGCAAAACAACTACAAAACCATCGTCATGGGTGCTTCCTTCCGAAACGTTGGCGAAATCAAACAACTAGCAGGATGTGACTTTTTGACCATCTCACCCAACTTGTTAGCTGAGTTGCAGAATGAGAAGACATCATTGGATCGAGTTTTGAGTCCAGAAAAGGCATGTAAAGAACCAATGACTAAAGTGTCATTCTTCAATGATGAAAAGGCTTTCCGTTGGGAAATGAATCAAGATCCTATGGCTACTGAAAAATTGTCTGAAGGTATCCGTAAATTTGCGATTGATGGTATCAAACTAGAAGATAGCTTGAAGAAGAAACTTTCAGCATGAATCATATTAATAAATAAAAGACCCTTTTAACAACATTCATTGGTTAAAAAAAAAACAACTATTTCATCTTTTTTTTTTTTTTACGTTCCGCGTTTATAACCCCTTTAGGTGGCCAAATAATTTTTCTTTTTCTTTGTTTCCTTTTTTTTTTTTTTTTGTTCCATATTTTTACTTTTATATTTTTTTTATTGGTCTTATCTTCATTTGAGAGAAAGGATCATACTTGACAACATTTGTTTTACTTCGATCCATGACTGATCAATCAACTACAAGAAGCAAGGATGCAACGAACTTGTCTCAACCTGTCTTTGATCAAAATACAACATATCAACCTATCCAACGATCGCCTTATGTTCCTCCACCACCACCTACTCCAATAAACGAAGTACAAAATTACTATAATGCGGTATATAATACTGATCACCGTCCACCAGATTTGATCTTCTCCTCTTCCTCTTCCTCCTCCTCCTCTTCCTCTTCTTCTCCTGGTGTTATGTCAACAAACAAAGCAGCTGTCAGTCAAAATGTATCAAGCAGCAATTCTCGACTGGCAGTTTCAGATAAGGGAACAAAGCGAGTACTTTTTGATTCAAGATCTCCATCACCAACTCATAGTTACTCGGATGTTCATGACCATTCCAAACGAGCAAGACATTATTCATCTTCTAATGGATCAACAATGAATGACATTTCTCGACGAACTGACAGGCATAAAATAATTGATGTATGGACTGGTATTTCATATAAAGAAATGGGTTCAAGTTTTCAAGTGGGTGTGGGTATACAATTTGAAGAAAAGGTGAACAAGTCTGCAGCTTGTGCTTTGACATACGATTATCAGCCGTCCCGTCATGGTGAAATGGTGGTAAGGATAAAAAAAAAAAAAAAAGAATAGTTAACTAGATCAAACCATTGATTTTTTTTTTTTTTTTTTTTTTTGTAGAGTATTCTGCTAGCTTTGGTGACAGCAAAAAAATTGGATTTGGATCATACTACTCTTCGTATTCATACAACAACAATGGACCAATGTAAGTGGAAAAAAAAAAGATAATAGACGTATTGACTGCTCATTCTTAAATATACAATAATTCAAATATTTTTTTATTATAGATTTTTCACCACCGCCTACAGGATCATTACATCTCCATTCACACGAAAAACGATTTTATGAAGGCATATTGGACATTATAAGCCGACGAAAAGGACAAGTCATAATAGTAAGTAGACAATCGAATGAAACCAAAAAAAAAAAAAAAAAGATTTCATATAATAAATCTCAATATTTTATAATTATAGGTATCAAACAAGGGTAATTCTCGATCTAGAGAAAGTGAAATAGCAAGCAGGGGTTCAAAGGAAAAAGCTATCAAGGCACGAAGAGATGCGTAAGTTTAGAAGAAAGAGATATTGATTATTTTTTTTTTTTGAATATGCTTATTATAACTTATTATTATTGTTATTATTATAGGGGAAGATCTGATTTGTTTTGGATTCCTAATAAATTATTGACTAGCGATTATGGTCGTATGATATTATCACGACTAGCACAAAATTCAAACTATTCCCAGAAGCAAACGGAAGATATCACAAACAGTATATTGTCAGCAAAGTCAAGGACCAGTGAGACTCAACAACCAATAGTACAGGTGAAATCAGAACCACAGTCATCATCACCATTACCAACGCGTAAAGCCTTCAATGCACATTCAGAAGTACCTTTATTATCTCCACCTTCAGGCTGGCCATCTGGTATTCCTTTTCCTATACCAGTTCATATTTCAGCAAAACTTATATCGCAAATTATTTCATTGACGATCAAACCGACCTCTAGTGAAATAGCCAATTTGGATCCATTTACAAGATCGATATTCTCTCAAATTTTACGACAAAATGATTATATTCCTGAAGTGGATCTCTCTCATCAACAAGAACAATAGCCTTAGTATCCCTATTGTCATTTATTATTATAATCAGTAATCAACTTCCTCTGGATCTGTATATAGTAGTATCTTTGTTTTATTTTATGCAATATTGCAATAAATAAATAAAAGAAAAAAAGACAAAGAACAAATCCTTTTAGATTCTTTTTTCACTGTTTCCTTTTATAGGTATCTAAAAAAAAAAAGGTCCTAAAACAAGTTGGTCTATTTTTGGGTCTGAGCAGTCCACCAAAAACAAAATGGGTTTTTCCTCCGTGTTACCTTTTTTTTTTTTCTTCCTCAATCACTATTATTGTCTGATTGTCTTAATTTTTTTTTTTATATTTACATTGTACCCTTTTGACATTTCCTTTGAATGATCTTGGGGATTGGTGTTGATATCATTCATTTACCTAGAATTGTAAAAGTGGTCAAACATAGTCGTGAACGTTTTGCTCGTAGGATTTTAAGCCCCACAGAATATCAAGAATTCTTTCAACGTTTTCCTAAGCCAACAGATGCTATACAACAACAACAAGAAATTCTTTATCTTGGATCGAGGTAATATATATATATATATAAAAGAAAAAAAAATTCATATGACTTATTTTGGCTTATTTTTATTTTATTACTATATAAAGATGGTGTATTAAAGAAGCAGTTTATAAAGCACTTTATCCAATTCATAAATTAGAATGGAAACAAGTAACTGTCACTAAGGAAAAAGGTAACCAAAAAAAAAAAAAAGATATTAAAAGCTGATAATATGATTTTTATATATATATTATTAGGTAAACCAGGTCTTCATATTATTAATGGGTCTAAACATGGTATTCATCGTTCCCATGTCAGTTTATCGCATGATGGTGAATATGCTATAGCTCAAGTTATCCTGGAATCAAAAGATTAACACTCCGTCTTGGGTACAACTGTCGCACCTGCTTACCGTCTTAAATGGGCCTTTTTTTTGCTGTTATTTTCATCGAAAATTTTTATTACTTTTTTTTTTTTCTCTCTCTTCTTTTTATTTATTCTTTTTATTTTTTATTTTTTCTTCTTCTTCTTTTTCTTCTTTATACCATTTATCCTTATATCATTTAGGACATAATAAAATAATATTATATTAGTATAGATACAAGAATATACCTCTTCTTCTTTTTTTTTTTTTTTGACCTGTTATTCTTTTTTTGGGTCATTCATCTTTTTTTTTTTTTCTTTTTTCTTTTTACCCCTCCTCCCTCCTCTTTCTCTCACTCTCCTTGAATTCCATCTTTTTTTTTTATTTTTTTATTCTTCTTTTATTTTACCAACTTTGTTTTTTTTTTTTCTACTTTTTACTTACTATGTCCACTTCTCCATCCAATACGAATCAAGTCATACCCAGTCATATTCCCGCTTGTTCACGCTGTCACCAACCATTGGGAGACCAACTTGTTAGAGCACTTGATGGTACCTTTCATCCTGAATGTTTTACGTGTCTGGTAACTTAAATAATAATAACATCTTCCATCTTTTATTTTTTGTTTTTTTTTGTTTTAACTTTATATACGTTGAACAGGATTGTCAAGCACCAGTAGCTGCCATGTTTTTTCCATTTGAAACACCTGAAGGACAAACTTTACCACTATGCGAACGGGATTATTTTCGAAGATTGGAACTTGTCTGTGGTACCTGTCATGAACCTTTGAAAGGTGCTTATATTATTGCTTTGGATCAAAAATATCATACCGATCATTTTATGTGTAGTGTTTGCTCAACTTCTTTTGGACCTGATGATTCTTATTATGAACATGATGGTAAAGTCTATTGTCATTATCATTATTCTACTCAATTCGCTGTGATGTGTGCTGGTTGTGATATGGCTATTTTGAAACAATATGTGGAAATCGATCGAAATGAATCTGTAGAACATTGGCACCCTGAATGTTATATGATTCATAAGGTAACCTTTTTTTTCTGTCAAAATAAAAATAAAAATAAAAAAATTAAAAAAATAAATAAAAATATAAATAAGCGGAATGAAAACTCATCCTTCCAACTTTGATCATTGTGGTTATTTACCATTTATAGTTTTGGAGTGTCAAGGTTCGACCAACTCATACAAAATCTCATCATGGTAAAACAAAATAATATATGTAATGATTTGATATGGATATTGATATATTTCTCTTTGAAAGGTGCAATTCAAAATGCATCTCAATTACTAGATCAACAACATGAAATGGAAAGCAAAATCTTTCGTATTTGGCAAGTCTTGTCCGCTTTTGAAGGTAAAAAAATATATATATATTTCTTTTTTTTTTTGCATTGAAACTCATTCCATCTTTTATTTTATATATGATGATAGAATCATCTGCCATGTGTATCTCTGAAATGCTACTGAATGTATCCAATGGTGCTTTTCTCGAAGGTATTTGTCTCTCTGAACGATTTTTAGTTCATGTGGAAGCTCTCTTTGCTGGCGTGGATGAACTCTGTAGAATTCAATCTGAATATAAACTTCCAGGTAAATGAACTAAAAAATTAGGCGTTAAATCGGCGCACCAAACCAGTAAACTCAAAATATTCGTTTTTGTGTAGAATTCAAATATACTCGGGAAGCCAAAATGTTATGCAAAAAGATCATCAACTTCTTTTCTTTGCTATCAAAGGTACAAGATTTGGAATCAAAAAAACTTGGAATGACTCAAGAATTACTATCTTTGGTAACTGGATTGGCACATTATCTCAAAATATTGATTCGTGTTGCGTTGACTGCTGCATTAGACTTGGTAAGTAATAAAAATAAATCTATTGGAATTTGGATGATTTTTACCTTTTTTTTTTTTTTTTTAGGAACAAGCCACTATAGCATCTAGCGCTGTATCCCGATTATTGGCAAAACTCATGGAGGTAGCTGGAAAGGAAAGACATAGTCGCGACAGTCAACGATTTTTCAAAGCTAATAACACATCGGACATTTGCCAGTATTGTCATACAACTATTGAAGATGAATGCATCAAATACACCGAACACCGTTGGCACGTGCCTTGCTTCCATTGTCGCCAATGTAAACGTGCTTTATCCAACGATTTCCCCAACGCTGTCTTCAACAATGCATCCCAATCCATCGTATGTATATCATGTGCCCAAATCCCTCCCAACAGTAATGATTTTCAACTCTTTCAATATGTCTCCCGGTTATCTCAATATGCATTCCTTCTTCGTGTTGCCCTTAGTCGTCTTTGTAGTCTTCTCCAAATTACAGGTAAATGGGTTAAGATATACTTAATAGATTAGTTTGATGTTCATGCCCTTCTTTCTTTTTTCCTCAATAGATCAGCAATTATCATCAGTGGAATATTCCAGTAAAACGAAGCCATATATTAAGGATGTAGTGAAGGATGGTGGTGTATTTATGAATGAAAAGCAACATCAAGTACCCAGCGCAACCATAGAAGAGAAGACAAACTATTATCCAACTCACATCACAGATGTCAAGAGTACAGTGTCATTAGATCGTAAGATGTCAAGATCATTCAAATCTGCCAAACGATCTACAATCTTAGGAAATGTGAATGCCAAACCTCCTCCTATTGATGAAATGGACTATCCAAATGAAGAGGATGATGAAGAAGATGTTCAAAGACAAATTACAGCAACAACCAGTCGCCAAGCACCTGCAAGATTGGACAGTCTTATTCGACGTATGGATCAACACAAGGATTTACCACCATTACCTGAATCTCGTCAACAACAATTATTGCAACAACAGCAACAACAACAACAACAACAACAGCAACAACAACAGCAGTTAAAAAGTAATAGTGATGATCATGATAATGAAACAACAAGTCGACAACGACGTGTTAGTGTTGGACTTGATGATATACCCATGGTTGGTAAACAATTTATTCAACAACAATCGAAAACATCCATCAAGACTCCTTTGACTCAGCCCAACTCACCATTTGTCCCTGGTACTGGCCTTGTATCGAAATGTGTGATTAGCTCAACTACTGGCAAACCTCGTGTCTATCTCTCTGAACTCTCTGCATTACAATATATGATTATGCGTCATGTTGCTGTGGTACATATTGAGCCTTATGTATCCGAATTTTTTAGTCATGATGAACTTTTACAATTGATACAACTTAAGAAAGCATCTATATGGGGCAAATTCTTTACGTCTTTCAAGAAACCTGGTGGTGTGGCCAAGAAACAATACAAGGCAAAAGAAGAGGGAACGTTTGGTGTACCTTTGGAAATATTGACAGAGAGAACGGGTGTAGAATCCAATCTTGGCGCTGGTGCTTCTCCTATTCGAATTGCTGCTTTTATTGACGATGCAATCACTGCTATGCGACAAATGGGTAAGTCCTTTTTTTTTTTTATTGGATGATGATGTTCCTGTCTCTAATTTTTTTTTTGTTTTCTATTGTATACAGATATGTCCGTTGAAGGTGTATTTAGAAAAAATGGTAACATCCGAAGATTGAAACAAGTTAGTGAACAATTAGATAAGAATCCGAACGATGTAGACTTTTCTTCTGAAAATGCCATTCAAATTGCAGCTTTACTCAAGAAATGGTTAAGAGAACTTCCTGATCCATTATTGACTTATCGTCTTCATCGATTATTTATTTGTGCACAACGTAAAGATTTGAAGATAGAAATAAGTTAGAAAAGTAATTTTGGTATACTGACTCTTCTTTGATATTATTTTAGGGATTGACAACCCTGCTACTAGAAAACGAGTTCTTCATTTGGCTTGTTGTATGTTACCAAGATGTAATCGTGACACAATGGAAGTCTTATTTTTGTTCTTGCGATGGGTGGCTCTCTTCTCTCATGTCACCACTGACGTTGGTAGCCGTATGGATATTCCTAATTTGGCGCGTGTTATTGCTCCCAACATTCTACTCAGTACATCAAAAGATCCACTCAAAGATGAATCTTTCTTGGCAATTAATTCGGTAGAAATGTTACTGGAATCCTATGAAGAATTTTGCATGGTAAAAAAAAAAAAAAAAAAAAAAAAATGTTGACGGATCAGCTGATAGATCTGTATTTTAGGTACCTGAAGATTTGGAACCCTTTTTACAAGACAGTCAATTCCAAGAAGTGAAAGGCGATATGTCATCCAAGGATTTCTTGAAACGAGTGGAAGTATTGATGAAGAAGAAAAGTAATCATACATCAGCAGCACCTTCTACCACCGATCTACGACTGGCAACAAATGATTTACGGATTACCACCGATCATCCATATCATCAAGAAGAACCAATGGCTACTCCTGTGGCTGGAGCACGACCTCATATCAATCAACATCAGCAATCACATTATCCTCAGCATCATCTTCAGCATCATGCACATCAAAATACCTCATCTACTTCCATTTATGCTCAACAACAGTACTTGCCTTATCCTAATCGACATCCACAATCTGATTTTGTTCCAAGTCCTATTGCAACCACACGTCATTCAAGTTTACATAACCATTCATCCAATTCTGGTATGAATGCAAGCACGACAAATTCTCCCACATCTCCAGTTGGCAACAAACCTTCTCAGCTCCATCATCAACATTATCCCCAACATCATTCGCTCAATGATCCCTCATCACCGTCTGAATATTCTCCTTCTCCGCTACGACCTCCTCCTCAAGAGCTTCATTCTTGATTTACTTTAGATTCAACATTATTAGTTTTTCTATTTCCCTCTTATCTCTCTTTTTTTATTTTATTTTTTTTTTTTATTATTACTATTTTTTTTTTTTTTTGTCATTGTACATGTTTCATTCCCTTTTTCTTTATTTCGCTCCACTGTGTTTGTTTGATCTATATTTATATATATATATATATATATATCTTTTCTTATCTCTTGTTTTCAATGTACGATTTTATTTTATTTATCTCTTTAAAGTATTCATTCAATCAATAAAGAAAATAAAAATCAATCAACTATATCCAACTAGACATGATATTTTTTTACTTTTATTCATGATTAGGATAATGATTTGTCCATATAGAAAAAGTAGATTGATTGAGAAGTGTCTTGTATCTACCTAAACTGGAAAAGATCTACTTTTATTTAGTTTTGGATGCATTTTCTATGGCTGAAAAACTATCATGCAACCAAAAAAAAAAAAAAAAAGGAGGCGATCGTTATTTTTGGAAAGGCAGCAATGTACAGTTTATTCAGTTGAGACAAAAAATATATAGAAAAAATAAAGTGATGGAAAATAAATTTGAGAGTGAATCAAATTGAGAATCAATGCAAATAAGGGAGGGAAGATTAAATCATCCATCATCGATATATCCATCATCAAAGTTCAAAAATCAAATCATCAACGATATTTATTTCCATCTAAAAAGGATCATCGCAAATATGTTTGAATACTGGTGCAAATAGGTTTACTGATCTCAGCTCAAAAAAGAAGAAAAAAAAATCCACAAGGGAAAATCTAGTAGTCAATAGGATGATCACTTTTTTTTTTTCCTTTATTTGTTTTATTCAGTCATTCTTCATGATCGAAATAAAGTAGTATGAAGGAAGCAGTCTACAATAAACTTTACTCTGATTCTATGATTCAGTGGCACGTGTTAACTCTTTATGATGATCGATAGATAATAAAATAATATTTTATTTCTATCAAAAAATAAAAATATATATATATATAAATACATAAAAATAATAAGGGGGGAAAATGTGATCAAGAATATGGATAGGAAGAATACAGAGATATAAAATGGAAGAGAGAGAGAGAAAGTAATGAGGTGGACGTATATGTATATAGAGAGGCGGTAGAAGCTTGAAACTATATTTGTTTCAACTGAGAATAGGAAGGAACTAATAAAAATTAAGTTTAGTATACTACTAGCTCTTTAAGAATGATCACTTACATTGCCTACAATGACACTTGGTAAATCAAAGATATCACGTTTGATGGTGAAACAAAATGTACAAGGCACCACCCGCTTGGTCGGACTGAGTAATATACAAGAGCTATAAACGGCTGAGTCAGTATTGTCGAATGCATGTGAGCTGTACTTTTCCCAATATTCTATTGCTGAAGGATTGCTCATAAGCTTTTTTATTTTTAGTTTTGGGTAGTGATAGAAGTATCGATTAGTAAATATTTACCTACTATTTCATATCCTTACCTCATATATATAAGTTTTCTTTCCAAGAAGAGCATCACGGGACCATTGAGTCAGTAATGAAAATTCTTTGCCAACAAGAGTGATTTCACCTGTACGTCGCCATACCACAGTAGGGGTGCCAGAATAACTGATCAGTTTTTCATATTCCTATATAATGATAAAGAGATAAAAAAAAAAAAAAAAAGGTAAGAATCTTGTTTTCTAATCGATAAATCAGTGTCACAGTCCCGGATCCCGGTTTCCTACCAACAATGTCCTTTGTAAACATTTTTCCGTAAATACAAGATCATCTTCCGTCAAATTCATCATAGAGGCCAGAACAGAAGGTCGAAATAGCGCCAGCGCCCGACTGATTCGCATCAAATCCTTACGACTCATCCTAATAGATCAACAAAAAATTATATATATATATATATATATATCAGTTAATTCTCTACATGTATTTTTTTTTAATATACACTTACTTTTGTCGTACGTAGTTGATCAAATAATGATAACCATCCGCGTAACTAAAAGGTTTTGTCGCTCTTGCATAGACCATTTCCGGTGTTACCAATTGATTTCGACGTTTGACCTGTGCAAGTGCAGTGTTGGGACTATCTACCTTGGCGACGACTGCACCTTCTCCATAAGCAGAAAGAGAAGATATCCGTACATTGTTACTAGTTTGTGATGTTGGAGTGGAAGGATTGTAAGGTGATCCAATTGTATTTTGATCAGGTGAGTATAATACTGTATCTAAGCCAGATGCTGATGGTGATGATGCTGATGTTGATGGGTGTTGAATCGAAGGACGAGTCTCCATACCATGATTAGTTGTATTATTGAAAGGTAATGATTTCATGTTTTGCTGATTGTCAGGTTGAATTATAGATGAAGAGAGACCAGCTGCTGTAGCACTTGCCTGCCATAAATTTGATAACGAAGTGGGTGTAGTAGGCGTTCCTGTAGACTCTAAAAGTTGGCTCATCGGTGACCCTAACATACTAGACAAGATGGAATACTCCAAGTTCGTTGCAGTAGATCCAAATCCATAATTGTAGTTATGCAAATCCAACAATTGACTAGCATCAATTCCTAAGTGAAAATGAAGAGAAACAGTCATTAGTATCCATAAAACATTTATAAATATAGATATTTATTTTTGATCCTCACCATTAGTGGAGGCAAAAGCATCTAAAGTTGATTCAGGCGGTAAAGTTGATATTGATTGAAGAGATGCAGCTTGTTGAGAAATGGCAGAAGGTAAAGATGGAGGAATTGTTGCTGAAGATGGAGGAGTACCAGCAGATGAAGGAGTAGAAGGTGGAATATATCTTGATTGAGTATCGTTATCTAATATAATACAACAGATAGAAAAAGAATGAGTTCTGAGAAGTCAATCTGTAGTTGTTTGGTACCAGTCCAAATATAAATAGAAAAAAATAAGTTTTACCTTCTGTATCCTGTAAATACTTTGCCTTTTTCCTTGCACCATCGGTACAGGTACTAGCCAATCCACGTTTCGTACAGCGTTGACAAGGTCGTGCTATTGTTCAAATAAGAAGAAGAAGAAGAAGAAGAGTTAGCCTAAAATAAAGTAAACCCACTATTATTCTTACCATCATCGCAAGTCAAATGTGCCTATAAATATATACATAAAATAGTTAGGTAAAGATCACTTTTTGATAATCTTTTAAGTTGCTTTTTTCCATTGTTTCTTTTTTTTTAACCTTTTGACAATGGATACAGGCTCGAGCAGCTTTCTTCTTTCTAGAGGTTGGTTTTCGAGTAGGTGAAGAAGCAGCAGATGTAGGTACAGATGTGGTGTTATTGGTGTTATTTGTGGTCATTATATAAATATATTTGTATATTGTATATGAATAGGTTAAAATGGAAGAAGAATCCAAACAAGAGAAGAAAAGAATGAAGCGTCAACGAAGGAAAAGAAAAAAAAAAAAGGAAAGAGAAAAAGGTAGTAGTAAACTAGAAAGTTTACATACAAAATAGATTGAAATGTGTAAAAGAGATAGAAAGAAAAAAAAAAAAAAAAAAAAAAAAAAGGTGGGGAAAACAAAAAGGAGTCAAAAAGCCAACCAAATTGGTTGACAGGTTTTAATTGCTTCAATAAATTTCTATGCGGTATTTCAATTATCGATATGATGATAGATCAGTGAGAACCAGGATGACTATGATGATCAGCTGTATCTTGTTCATGTTTTTCAGCTGTATCGGGTGAATGAACAGGAGAACCATTTCTTGAATTATGATGAGAAGAAGGATGAGAATCTGTTGCCTCCGTTGCTACTTCGGCAGCTACAGGAGCTTTGATATCTTCATGATGCGTGTAACGAATACCAAAATAACGACCACGATTCATCAATGCCTGCCAACCAAAAGAGATCAAAAACAAAACAATGGTAAAGGAGAGTAAAAGATAGACATCCCGGCTAAGTACGTATTGGACCGAGTGCAAAGGATTATGATCCACAATCGTACGAATACCAGCCACATAACCTGTGCGTGCAAGTACATCCACCCCAACGAAAAACAGATAGGCACCCAAAAAGCTGGTAGAGAAGAGGATCACATAGCGCTCCAAGAAAAAAGTCAACCCTGCAAAACCAACAGTCATCGCAGCAAGGAAACATGCTCTAGCCACTAAGGATTGAATCACCAGATCCTCTCGCCAACAACAGATATATAATGCCAAGGCTAATCCACCCACAGCTCCAATTAGATAAAACCCAATATTCCAAAATATAAAAAAGAGAATCGCACCAAATAATCCAAGTCCTGCAGGAACTACAATAGTTGTCACCTTATCATTGATGTAACCTGATGATGGTTGATAATTAGTCATGCCTACCCAAGTAACAAAACCTATCATCCAAAAAAAAAAAAAAAAAAAATTCATTAAACATTCTTTTTTTTTTTTTTTTTTTTTTTGTATTTTTTACCGAAGGCAAGAAAACCAAAAACAGCAAGAGTGATACGAAAACCTCTGAAACCAAAAGTTACTAAATAAAGTCCCAAGACGATAAACACAGAACCAAGAACGCCCATCTGAATGGTGATGATATGATTGTCTCCATAAATCGGGTCTATTTTTTATAAAAAAAAAAAAAAGTAAGTTGCCAATAATATCATGGATGAACCTACTCTAATGATAATTCTTATTTTATGTTTACATCCACTGCTCTGATCAGATGAACTTGATGATGAAGATGATGATGGTAATGTTGATGATGATGATATAGTTGGATGTAGATTATTTGATGTTGAAGGAGATGATGATAATGATTCGGTTGACGTAATAGTCAGTGTATTCCAACTTCCAACATCTAGGATGATATCGTCAAAGACTGGGTATGCATAAATATAAAAAGTGTTCAATAACATCCACCATAGCGTAGCTATTGGTAACACTTTCATCCTGTATATAACAGTACAACTTCGTTCAAAAAAGAAGAAAAGAGATATGAGCTGATAAAATAAAGGAAAAATTAGAAAAAAGAAAAAAGAGAGAACAAGAAAGGATTTCTCCATTGATATCTCACTGACAACATCTAGGCGACACCAAATAGGGAAATCCAGGGTTTGGTTCTCCGCATTGCTTCATCACCTTACTCCAATTTTGGTATATTGTTTTTTTTTTCGTGCAAAGACAATTTATGCTTAGAACATTTTCATAAAAAAGGTCACCATTGGGATTTTCTTTTTTTTTTTTTTATTTGCATGTGATAAAAAAGCAAAACAAAACAAAAAAAAAACAGCTGGTTGCATAATATTAAGAAGATCTAGTTTTAAAAAAAATCGGATATGATATAATTTTTTCTTGTTTTTGTTGTTACTTTATTGAGTGGGATGTTAACCGTTGAAGAAATGAAGAAATAGTGTACATAAAAATATAAATAAAAAAAAAAAAACAAGGGAGGATATAAAATCAAAGAAAAATAAAAGTAATAGTGGATACAAAAAAAAAAAAAAAAAGCAGAAAGAGAATGATGGAATAATGACAAGCTAAACTATATATATATAAATGGGGAAGTGAAAAAAAAATATGTGTATATGAGGAATATTATCTAAAGTCCATAAAGATAAGTAGCATAGATGACAAGCGCTGTTCCAAAGATAAAAGTGCCAGATAGAGTAAAGTTAAAGAGCCAAACACTGACTAAACTTGATAAAATGATACTAATAGAAGTAGCAAATCCCTTGAGAATATTATCCGCATATTTGACCACCAATGCAACTACCAAACCACCAAATGCTTGAATAGCAATGACCAACCAAGTTAAACTATTGTAATTGACAAAGAAACCCTTCTGTACAATGGTAGCACCATCTTGTAACATCACCACAAATACCAATCCCAATAGAATAGAGAAGAATGACATTTGAAGATTACGAATCCATAGTTGATTTTGTTGCTGTGTTTGTTGCATTACATCTTCACGTCGTCCATGTATATCGCGTAATCCAATACCACCTTCTTCATCATCAGGTTCACCATGATCCACTACTACAACACGTTTTGCTGTTCCACGTCCATCATTATCATCATCGATATTCTTGTTATTATCATTGTCATCATTGTCATCATCCATACGAGTGTTGACCATTTCTGGCATAGGTTTGGTAGCTGGAGCCTTGAGAATCTTTTCAAAATAAACACCTGCCAAACCAGAGAGAATACAAGCCATTAATACTGCAAAGAATCCTTTGGCATTGGATTGATTTCCAAGGTTGCTGGTATCGATGGTAGCTTCTTCTAAATTGTCTTGATAATTTCCAGTCAAATAAGCCATTGCTGCTGCTGATGCATCCCTGGGAAGAACTACTAACGCAATCCCAAACGTCAATAATCCAAGTGCAATCCATTTCAATCGTACCAAAGTTCTTTTCAAAATCACCACACTAAAGAAGGCTGTTGTTAAGATCTTGAGTTGATAAGTCACTTGAAAAGTTGCTGCATCTAAATTCGTTGCTGCCACATATTGTAAATTATTCTAATAAAATAATAATTATATATATATAAAAGAAGAACGTATGAAGTTAATCTATATCACTTGACTTTTTTTTTTCTTTGTTCGTTGATGAACTGTTTCTTATTTATTACCTGAATTAAATATAAAGTAGCAGGGACAGCCAATTTTGCAGTTTCGCGCCAGTTGGAGATAAGTTCTCGGTGAAGCAAAGAAGTTAAACGTTGCCAAGTGCGTTGATGAAGTGGACCACTAAAATGTAATAATGCTACACAAGCCAACCCCTTGATAACTTCGCTCATGACAACAGCTGTTGATGCCAAATAGAGTTGATCATCTGGAACACTAGCTCTAGTATATCGCATGACCAGAATCAAAGCACTATTTTGAACCACCAAGACAATCAAGGACAAGTATTTTAGTGGAATATTACTGAATGTTGAAAAGCCTATATAAAAGAAGATGAATATTTATTAGTTAGACAGCATATAGGTATATATTTATAGACATACCCATCTTTTTATGATTATTATTATTAATATTAGTATTTGGGAGTGGAGAGAGAGAGAGATTCTAGTGTTGAGTGTTCAATGAACAGATAACAAAAGGAGAAAGAAGGAGAATAATAAAAAGGGGAAGTAGGAGATGGATATAATAACAAGATAAAAAAAAAAGAGGCTGAAGAAAGAAAGAAAGAAAGAAAGAAAGAAAGAAAAGGGGATTGATTCAAAAAGATTATTTTGAACAAACTATAGGTGATAAAAATAGCATTTTGATTGGCCGATAGGTCCAAACAAACTTTTTTTTTTTTTACTTAGCCCAAACAGCAGAAGGATCAAAACAAAATAATAATAATAATAATAGACATTTAAATTGAACAAATATATAAATATATAACAAAAGAAAATATCAACTATCATCATTTATAACTTTTATATTATTATTATTTTTTTTTTTTTTTTTTGGTTTATTCTATTAAATGACATTCAAACAAGCTATTCTAAAATTGGTACTTCAAATAAAAAAAGAAGAGTGGTGAAACAATCCGGAGACCAAAATAAATAGAAGTGAGGTCAAAAAAAAAAAAAAGTGTCAATGATTTTGTATTGTAACGATGGTAACATATGTAAATAAAAACAATAAAAATATAAAATATAAAATAAAAAACTATACAAAAAAAAAAAACAAGATCAATCATACTAATAATAATAATAATAATAATAATAAGAATCATCATGGATCAAAATCACCCAAAAGTTCTGGTACCCTAATATGTCCTTGAGCAATATCATCCGCAGTTCTGACAATATCATAAGTGATGGAAGGTGATACCACTGAATCATGTTGATAATCTGGATGTCGTTTCACCAATTGTCGTAAATAAGTTGCACCAGTCATCAATTCACCACTTGCTCGCTTGCTAATCAAATCCAAATATTTTGTCAATTTGCATCGAGTTTCAATATCAATATTGGTACTGTTAAGATAACTATGTATCAAAGGAATAAAACCAGGAAATCCATCTTCTTCATTTTGTCCATTCACTATTTCATTCATTGTCATCAATTCAAACGCGTCATTATCTTCTTCATTTTTGTTATTATTGGCTAGAAATAAAAAAAAAAAGTTAATTTCCATTACATATCTATATTTGGAACTTACATTCAAATACATTTTTTCTAAAATAAAACTTGTCCTTAGTAACTGCACCTCGTCGATGAGCTGTTCGCATATTTTCATCCACCTATCATAAACATAAAAGTTTAAATATATTTATATAAAATATCAATTCTTACCTTTGTGATTGGGATATAAAAATTCAAACCAAAACTGAGGATAGCTCTTGTTAATAATACAATAAATACGGAAAACGCTGCGTTTTCAAAGTCAGTGAGCTGCACTTCCATACTTCTAAATTCAACACGCCATCCTATGTTGGAATGTGGTGGTGGAGGTTTGAATCGTACAGTTTGCCAGTTGGTCGATTGAATATTCTAATAATAATATATGATAATAAGTATAAACCTCTATGAATATATATATATAATTACTTACTTCAAAATGATCAGAAGATTGTTCATCGTCAAGGTTCAATAGTTCTTCAAAGATAACCAAAGGATCACGAATAAAAAGATGAGCTAAATGTTTCGCCAAAAGATCATCCACACCATTATCCATTAACTTTTTATAAATATCTTCATCATATAGTAAATCCAAATCGTTGTATTTGTCCTTGTATGTGTCATCCGTAGAAATATAGGCATCAATGGAATCATATCGAGATTTATTGATCACTCTTCGATTATTCTTCAGTGGCTATTCATCATAGAAAAAAATAATAATAAAAAATAAAGGTCATCAGTTTTTTTGCCATCTTTTTTTTTTACACGATTTTTCCTACTAACCTCCAGTCCACGTTCTTCTTTGGTTCGATCATCTACACTTGCAGCAATCACATTCCAGCGGCTATCAACATCAGCTAGATAACCACGGAAAATTGGAGTTGCCGCCGTCAAAGCCAACTAAACAAAAAAAAAAGATAAATGAATATAGTATTCACAATGAACCTTCCTTTTATTTATTTTTCTCTTTGTTTTTTTTTTTTTTTGTCGTTTTCTTACCATGATAGGAGCTACCGGAGCAAGTTGATCATATAATCTTCTAGCTTCATCAATATTGCATGCTTGAAAAGTGATTTGGAGACAACAACAACCCATACCAAAAGCCATGGCGTCCATATAGATATGATCTGGTTTGGCTGCACCTTCTTTTGCTTCTTTATCATGATCAAATAATTCACGATCCCATGGAATGGTTGGATCAACAAAAGGTTTTGGTGTATTTTTATCATGATAGATAGGCATATTAATTTCTACCTTAGCACCACGACGACGTCTAATATTGGCTGTCAATGTACTATATGATAAATAAAAAAATAATAATAATCCATTAATACATATGTATATATATTTATAAAAAGATCAATTGATAACTTACGGAAATCTTGCATGAGGATTGATAATTTCATCAGGAACAAACATACTTTGACAAGCTTGTCCATTGGGTTCATGATCAGGAAGCAATTCATTAGGACATCCAAGACGAGGGTAGTTTACAAGAGTCACAGGGATATCGCCAGGATGCATAACAGATTTGGCCAACTGTCTTCTTCGTTTCATGTTGTTTTCCACTTGCACTAAATCTTTAAAAGTAGCTCCATAAGGTACACCTGGTGTACTTTCCAACATATATCGTCCATATTCAGGTCGCCATAAAGCTTCAGGTTCTTGTCTATAATATAAAACATAGAATTAGAAAAAAAAAAAAAGGAAAGAATGATGATGTGTAAATATATGACCACATTCAAAACTTTCACTTACTTTGATTTTCCAGCGTTATAATCAAGTTCAGGTTGTTGTAAGCCAGGAAGAATGTCAAATACGCGTAATGATAATTTGGTCTTCTGCTTTTCTTTATCCACATTCACAACCACATATTCTATCTATGCCATATATATATATATATATATAAAAAGAAAGAGTATGTCAATAAACAAACATATAAATACCTTTTTTTGTTGGTTACCTCATCACCCCATAAGAGATTATCCTTTTGTTGATCCTTTCGAGCTCGGTAGATAGATAAGAATTGGTCAATACCATGAGACCTAATATGGTCGGCATATTTTTGAGCATCATTCCAATGAAGTGGTGTACCAAGTGATAAAAGACCCATGGCTTATATTGGTGTTTCTTTTTTCTTTTTTTAAAAAAAAAAGAAGGTAAGAAAGAAAGAAAGCAAGATAGAAAAGGTTTTTTTTTTTTATACCATCGGCACTTGAACCTATTTTCTTGATGCTCTTTCCACCAATAAAAAGCCACCTGCGTTACCAGACCAACCAGCTTAATAATCAATCTGATGTTTTTCAATCTCACTCATGCAAACAAGGGAGGGTCAAAAATGTGCGCAGGTAAAATAAATATGGACCTGGTTTTTTCGTAATTTCTTTATTTGGAAAATGTTCGTCATGGATGATGTTGTATTCGTCATCACTATGATGATTTCCATCAATTGATCAAAAAGAATACACACATAAAGGAGATGAATTATCGTATGATATGCATATTCTTTTGTACACATCCTATTCTTTAACATCTTTTCTTTATCTCTCTTTGTCACAATAAAAATGAATTCACCTATATTACTACACTTTTTTGTATTTTTATTCTGGTTGTCATGCATGATGGTATTTGGAGATACTCAGAAGATTCGAACTTTGGTTGTGTTGATGATGGAAAATCATAGTTTTGACCATTTGTTGTAATCTAATCAAAATGTCTTTTTTTTTTCTCACTCACTGTTTTTATGAATTTACCTACACTCATTACTTTTTTTTTTTTTTTTTTTTTTGGAAGAGGTCAATTTCAACAGATCAATCCCATTATAGATGGATCGAATGGAACAATGTGCAATTCCATTAAAGGACAACATCCTATTTGTGTTTCTCATGATGGACTTTTTCAGTAAGTTTAAAAGGATGACAAATCTATCAAAAAAAAAAAAAAGTTCATTGGGATGTTACACACGTCCATTGATCGCTTCAATTATAGCACGCAGGAACCAGAGAATTTTATTTACGATAATAACCAACATATTTATGATGTTCCATATGGATCATCACCATCATCCTCATCGAAACCTACAATGAAAGGATTTTTGAATAACTTTGTTCGTTACCGAGAGTCTCAACATGCTCCTGAAATCATGCGTGGATTAAATGAATCTACATTACCCGTTTTATATACTTTGGCAAAAGAATATGCTATTTCTGATGTAAGTTAAATGGTTTCTTTAGTAAAAAAAAAAAAAAAAAGGCTGGTGATGATACATTGACAGTATATGATAATGATATGTGATGATGATATGTGATGATGATATGTGATGATGATATGTGATGATGATATGTGATGATGATATGTGATGATGATATGTGATGATGATATGTGATGATGATATATGATGATGATGATATATGATGATTTTTTTCTCTTTTATGCAGAGATGGTTTAGTTCAGTGCCAGGTAAAAAAAAAAAAAAAAAAAAAAATGCAGATGATTAAATAAGCTAGCAAGATATTTTGGTGCCTGAATAAGACTAAGCGGATCCTGAAACACTTTTTTTTTTTTATTATTTTAGGATCTACTTTTCCAAATCGAAATTTTCTTCATGCAGCTACTTCTGGAGGTGTAGTGAACAATGATATACCTAAACTAGGATACAACATGACGACACTATTTGAAGTGATGGATCAACAATCGATTTCTTATGGCATTTACACTGCATCACCTGTTCCTTATACAATGATGTTCCGTTACTTTCGAACACCCAAAGCGATTCAAGCCAAAAAGTACTACGACATGGAAACCTTTTATGATCATTGTGCTAAAGGACAACTTCCTTATTATGTATATGTGGAACCGGCTATGTTTGGATTGGATGAAAGATTACGAAATGATATGCATCCACGAGCAGGAGCATATTATGATCTTCGACGTGGTGAACTTTTTTATAAACAAGTATATGAAGCTCTAAGATCAAGTCCTCAATGGGAATCAATGTTATTTCTATTAACTTGGGATGAACATGGAGGGTAAATCTTTTTTTTTTTTAATATATATCGATGATGTTTATTGGATTAACACAAATAATAATAATAATAATAGATGTTATGATCATGTTGCTCCACCTATTAATGTACCTAATCCAGATAATATTATTCATCCAACATTTGATTTTACTCGACTTGGTGTAAGAGTTCCTGCGATTCTAATTAGTCCTTGGATTCAACGTGGATTCGTATTGCCTCAAGATCATATTTTGGAACATGCTTCTGTTAGTAGTACAATACATGCTTTATATGGAACTCCTTTTTTGACAAGACGTGATCAACAAGCCAATTCATTTCATCAGTTTGCCAACCTATCAGTACCTCGACAAGATTGTCTCCTTACTTTACCTGAACCTGCATGGCAATATGATAAAGAATGAATAAAATTTATATATATATATTAATATTGTAATGATGATGATGATGATGAAAAAAAGATTCTACTTCTTCCCCCCCTTGATTCATTGTGAAACAATATGAAATATATAAAGTGTATCAGCGAGGACCATTATTCGTTTTCCGACTGAATCTATTCCCTAGTGGAAAATTTTTTTTTTTTTTTTTTTTTTGTTCTTTTCCTTCTGTCATTTGGTCCGACTTTAAACAAACAAAAAACCTTCATCACCTTTTTTTAATATTATTCCATCTATGAAGCAAACAATCAAGAAAACGAAGAAAATACGTACTTTGAAAGATATGACCAATCATTTGGCTCAACATCAAATTGGTAAAATGACAACTTCCCCCCTTTTTTTATATTAACAAAATTCTTTTTTTTTCTTAATTTAGCCATTCCTCTTCGAGTGATTGCTGTTGTCATAGCTGGTTACTTTTTACGACTTCCATATTTTGACCATTTCCTCTTTATAAGCAATGAACGTCTTGATGGTCGTTTTGAAAAAAGTTATTGGGACTTGACCTTTTTATTTTTTTATATTTGTATATTTACTGCTGCTCGGGCTTCGTTTATGAAATATATCTTGTTACCTTTGGCTAAATGGTGTAATGTTTCTCCCAAGAAGTATGATAGGTTTTGTGAACAAGCTTGGTCTTTTGTTTATTATACTTGTAGTTTCAGTGCTGGTATTGTAAGTATATATAATATATAAATAATATTTACGTGTGGATGAAAAAAAAAAAAAAAAACATTATTAATAATAATGTTTATTTGTTTTATTTAGGCAGTAATGTATGGTACGAAATGGTGGTTTAATACAGCATACTTTTGGATTGATTATCCCGTAACTGATTATACCAAGGCATTCAAGTATTACTATTTGGTTCAATTTGCATTTTGGTTACAACAAATATTTGTTCTTCAAATCGAAGCCCCTCGCAAGGATTATCGTGAATTGGTCATGCATCATATCAATACTTTACTATTGATCTTTGCTAGTTATCTATGTAACTTTACTCGGGTTGGTAATGCTGTTTTTGTCTGTATGGATTTACCTGATGCTGTTCTTGCCGTAAGTATTTTTGAGAATTTATTATAATAATTTACTAATTTTTTTAATTTGATTATAGCTCGCCAAAACCTTAAATTATACTTGTCCAGGGATTGTTTGCAATTTTACTTTTGTATTGATGTTGATCTCTTGGATGTATACTCGTGTTTATCTTTATGGATGTATCATGTTATCTACCTGGACCGAACCTGATCTTTATGTTGATTTTCGTTTGGCGCCTTTGGAAGGTTGGTGGTTCCCTCATTTTGTGGTTTATATCATTTTTGGTTTGATGCTTGGTCTTTACTGTTTGATTCTCTTTTGGACTGCTATGATCTTCAAGGTGCTATACAAGATTGTATTTACAGATAACGCTAAGGATGTACGATCAGATGATGAAGATGAAGAAGTAGTGACATTAGAAAAGGATGATCTTAACCAAAGGTAAAAAAAGAAAATATAGATTGATTTCCATCATAGAAGAACAGGTATTGATTATTATTATTATTATTATTATTATTATTTTTTATGTGTATATCTAGTTCGGCAATCAATTCAAATGGTGTTACTCATGTTACTCGTCGATCTAAGGTGAATGGTGGTAATTGATCATATATATCTCTCCTCGGTTATTGTTATCCTTTTTTTTTTCTTTTTTTCCTTTTCTATCCCACCTCTCTATATAGTTTTATTAATTTACATTTATTCCTTTTTTTTTCTCCATTAATTACTTGTCATTTTATTATTTGATAGTCCTGTTTATTTACTTTTCTGTGAATAGTTTATTCCTCATTATCCATTATAGTTCCTCGCCATCACATATTCTTACCCAGTTTCTCTCTCTCCCCGTATTTTGTAATATGTGATTATCCCCTTCTTCTTTTACTTCACGCTTATTTGTTCAATACAAATAAATAACATACATACCTTATTGACACATTCTTGTATATTTTCCCATTGGTTGTGGTGTAAATAAATCTACCATTTATGGAATGAATTTGATCCGTCTATTTTGACATCTTTGTTTGTATCATTCATTGCCCTTTTTTCTTTTATCTATATAAACTTGAGATATTTTTTTTCTTTTTTAACTTTCCTTTTTTCAATTTCTAATCAACCTGATATATTTTTTTTTATACGATACATTGTCTTCAGTCTGATCATCTAACAACAACAACATAACAATTTAAAACTACTCAAGCGAGCAACCATGTATTGTTCAAGAAAATATTTACTTGTAACGGTACTGTTGGTCCTCCTCTTTCTCCAAGTGGTCCAAGCTACTAAGCACAAATATCATCGTCGTGATGACGATGATGACGACGATGATGATCACGACCATCACCATGACGACGATGACGATGATGATCATCATCGCAACCATGATGATGACGACGATGATGATGATCATGGTCATCATAAACCTAAGAAACCAGGTCAGAACATATATACCTGTTAATTCCTATCCTGATCATCAATTATTCACTCACACATATTTCTATTTTTTTTTTTTTAATAAATACAAGACATCATCACGCCTCGGGATGAAGCATGGCTTTCGACTGTAGATCAAGGCAGCGTACCACCTATTCCTATCCGAGCAATAGGTAGTGGAATTTGCAAGGATGCGAAATGTGATGGTAGCGACAATGATGAATGTTTTGAATCCTGTGGCAATAAAGCCACTGATGATGATGTGTATGGATGTAAAGCCGCCAATCAATGGGCACTGACATTTGATGATGGACCTGGGGAACACACCGAAGATCTCTTGGACATTCTCCAAGAAGAAAACGTGAAAGCGACCTTTTGTGTGACAGGTGCCCAAGCAGAAAAGTATCCTGAAGTCGTTCGTCGAGCTTACAAGGAAGGCCATCAGATCGCTTTACATACTTATTCGCATTCTCACCTCATGAGTCTGTCTAATGAAGAAATCATCTATGAACTCAAGGCAACCGAACGTGCCATTGTTCGTGCCATCGGTGTACGCCCTCGCTATCTTCGTCCTCCCTTTGGGGAAGCCGATGCTCGTGTCAAGGCTCTAGCCAAAGCCATGGATTATAAAATCCTGATGTGGAACGTTGATCCTAGAGACTATGATGTCTTTTTCCAAGAAAAGAGTGGAAAGTTGATTTCTAAGCATCTCAAAAAAGTAATGGATACTAAAGTCACTAATCTCAATGCTCATAATGATCCTGGTTTCATTAGTCTTCAACATGGTAAAAAAAAAAAAAAAAAAAAAAAAAAGAAAAAAAAAAAAAGAAAAAGAAAAAAAAACAAATCTTAACTCCTTTTCCTTCTCTTTTTTTTTTTTTTTTTTTTTTTTTTTGGTTCTTTCGGATGATGCTTAGATCTTTATGAAATTTCTATCAATGAAGTACCAGGTATTATCAAGGCTCTTCGTAATCATGGATATGATATGACAACAGTAGCTGAATGTATTGGTGATGATGAACCATTTTCCAAAGAAAAATCCATGTTCCGTGACGAGTATCAATATGCTGGTGAGGATGAAGAGGATGATCACAAGAAGAAGGATAAGAATGATAAGAAGGATGATGAACACAATGAAGAAGATGAGGATATCGAATCCAATGCATTAAATGGTGTAATCAAGCAAGATAGCATGCCTATTAACATCAAGGAAGAAGGTTCAGACCAACAAACAAAGGCAGCACGACCTTTGGATTCATCTGACGCCAATTCTTCTGATAAATCATCATCTACCTCGCCCACTTCTTCTGCCACTGCTACTACTGCCATCACTTTGTTTTCTTCCATGATTGCTCTTGGTTTGGTCATCCTTTCCATTCTTTCTTAATGGGTAATGATTCTTTTTTTTTTTTTTAGTCCTATTATCTTAATTCTATCATCTTTGATTTTTCAACTTTTATTACAATGATAATAAACAATTTACTTAAAAACCTTAATCTATCCATTCAATACATAGTAACGCCATCATTCTCATGTTAAAAAAAAAAAAATTGCAGGATTATTTAGACCGCGGAATTTATTTTTTCTTATATTTCCCTTTTCTTCTCGCTTAGCATCACTTTTTTTTTCTTTTTCTTAAAATACCTGACTTGTTTGGAACTTCTCTCATCTTCATTTGTTTCCCAAGGAATGGTTAGATGGCAAATGGACAACACCCTTGTTAATTGTCAAAGAAGAAAGGGATGCTTGGGGTCTTATTGTTGTTTTAACTGTGTTTTTGGTAAGTTATGCTTTGTCCTTCCCCTGATTTTTTTTTTTTTTTTTACTTCTATCTTCTTATTCTCCAATTTCTTTTCTTCCGTACTTCTTTTTACTTTCCATCATTTCTTCATATCCTCATTTACTTCCTTTCGACTAATCTCGTTTGTCTTGTTATCTTTTTTTTTTATCTATATATAAGTATAATAAAGGACGACTAGGTGACTATAACACTGGATCAACGAATTGGAAAAACACATGATAGACTATACGGATATATATATTGGATCAATTTAATATGGATGCATGTACTGGATCAAGTGGATGGATGCAAAACAGAGCGAACAGAATGCATATACTACAGGATCAAAAGAATGGGTGTTCAACAGGGTTTGGTTGGACAAGAAAAGTAAGTCAATGGGTGATGAAATATCTATGTGATTGCCTTATTCTCTCTCTCTTTCTGTCTCTCGGATTTGGTTGGATCTCTCTCTTTTAACTGCTTCTTATCACCGTAATTTTTTTATTGATATACGTTAGTTTTAGTTGGTGTTTATATTACATATTGTAGATCTTTTGTTTTATGTTTTTCTTTAATAAAACCATATACATGTTTATAGAACCACAATTATCATTGTCATGATCATTGTCATCTCAAAGTTATCAGTAATCATCGACTAGTCACCAACATAGGTATCATCGTTCGTCGTCAATATGAATGTCTTATAAATTATCGATCGTCTATCTTTATCGCTAAAGAAGTCAATACAAATTTGCCCACACATATCATTGATTTCGGAAAAAAAAAGGTTTCACCCAGCTTTTAAGCCAGAGTCTTTATTTGTATGTATCAAACAAAATAATAATAATAATAATAATAATAATAATAATAAAGGTATACTATAGGTACTACTATGATCATCGCTATCACTAATATTCATAATTAAAAAGAAGAGAGAGAGATAAAAATGAAAATCAAAAAAAGGAATTTACACTAATGTTGATAAATTTCTTCAAACCAGATCATCCTATTGATTTTCCAATATATTTCTAATTTTGTTGTTATTGCTGTTTAGTTGCCAGGGATACATCGACTGATAGGAGCCTCGTCACCGCCTTGAGACCAAAGCACGATGGTGATACCAGTAGTATAAGTCATGGAAAGAATACCAAAGATCAAGATGGAGATATCGATAACCTTTTGGCGCCAGGTGTTTGCAATTGCCTTGAGATGGAATAAGGGAGGGAACAAGAAGCATAGCGGTACACAACAGAGAGAGCCTACCAAAGAGACAAATTTATCCAGATCACCAGAACCAATGATAGCAATAGAGGCGCATGCTAGGACAGCAGCAAATCGGAACACATTCTTTTGCCATTTCACTACCGGGTTGTTCTTTCCAGATTTTGAGAACAGAGCGTTTTCAGTAATACGAATTGCTGGGAATAGTTGGAGAGGGATCGAAAGACAGATGGCTAATGCATATAGTGCTTGCACAGTGTTGACGGCCGCCGTTCCAGGTAAATTCAACAAGATCACTGTTTGTACATTGTTGCCGAATGCCAAATAAGAAAAGAAGCCAACTGATAAGAAGATCGTCGTAATGCCAATCATAGTATAAGAAAGTACCTTGGGGAACTTTTCTGGTTCCTTCATAGATTCAGTAATAGGGATCACTACATTGGAATAAAAAAAAAAAAAAAAAAAAAAAAAAAAAGAAAAAGAGCATGATTTGTTAATCCCTCCGATTTTCTTCTAACAAAGATGTTTCTCTCCGTTCCTTTTTTTTTTTTTTTATTGTTACCTAAACCAACACCTTCATAAGTAAAGACAGCTGTACCGATGAACATTGGAAAAGATTTTGCATTGATAATCCATTCTACATTTCCAATACCCAGAGTCATCAAAGTGGAGAAATCATAGTAATAAAGACAGATCAAACCAAGTAAAATGAATAAATCAGCAATCAAAGCAAAGGCAGACAACTTTTGAATCTTGCGGATCATCGCCAAAGGTACAAAGATAGCAATTTGACCAAGGATTAAATAAGATAACGGTACACGAATTTCACAGTTTGATAATGCTTCAACTAATGCTTGCATGTTTTGAGCAACAAATACCATATAAGCACATACAAAACCAATCTAATGCAAAAAAAAAAAAAAGATTATTCCATATATTATATATATATATATATATATATATTTATTTTGATTTACCTGAGAAAATGTGATTGCAATCAAGACAGCCATCCTCATCCGTTTTCCATATAGAATACCACCAATATCACCAAATGAGACAGGTACTTTATTTCTTGTTTCCACCAAAAGTAAAAATGTATAAAGAGACACTGCAGCAATAGTGGTTAATAATGCCGTGGAAAAAAATAAACCACCATTGTAGAAACTAGAAATGAAACAAAAAAAAAAAAAAAAAAAAACTGTGTGTGAATAAATGCAATATTTCGTTTTTTTTTTTTTTTTTTTTTTTTTTTTTTTTTTTTTTTTTTTTCTTGTAGACTTACGCTTTGGGTAAAAACATCACACCTAAGAAAGGAAATCATGATATCATTAGTCAGTCAATGTTACATTCTATATGCCCCTTTCTTTTTTATTTTCCTACATCCTCTTTCATCATATGTCTCTCTTTTTTTTTTTCTTTCTTACCAGTGCCAACAAATGATTTGAGTAAAAGAAATACCGCCTTTGCAGGAGTTGCTGTTCCTTGAACTGCATTTGCTTGTGCTTTTCGAATCAAAGGAGAAGTTTCATCATCCTCATCCTCTTCTCTTTGTCGTCGTCGTCGTCGTATACCAGTAGAACCTTCTTCTTCTATTGAAAGTCGATCCTCGAATTCATCCTCTTCACCTTCATCATCACTGAGATCTTCACCACCAAAATGTCCATAGAGAGCCAAAAAGTCAACAAAAGTACGAGTCATCCAATGAGGAGGTTCTTTTCCTTCGCGAGCAGCTTTATCCACGACAAAATGACGACGGAAACCACCAGGATCCTTTAAATGAGCCAATGCTGGATCAGTATGCTCTTGACGAGGAATATACATGGATTGGGACCGTTGGCGTTTGCATTGTTCAAGTTCTTGATCCTCGGCCCATTTGTAAATATCGTGCGTGATTGCGCCGCCGGGTAACTGATGTGCATTGATCACTAAAGAAGAAGACCCACCACCATTCCAATCCTCTGTCCAATCAAAGAGACTACCAGTTTGACTTGATGATCCATAATGATCCATTCTATTGTTGCCAACCGAATTATGTGTATTGACACGAGAAAGATTATTATTGGGAGAAGCACTTCGAGCTGAGCCAGTTGGAGAGGAAGCACCAGCCAAATGCCTTTTGACGACTCTAGCAATCCGATCATCAGTCATATCAGCAGATACTGTATTATCTTCATAGTTATAAGTAGGTGTAGACATTGGACGAAACAATCCAGTACCAGTGGTAAATAATTGTTCTAAATCGGTATGACTTCCTAAAGACCTTTGGGATAATCCATCACTTCCATCACCTGAAGGAGGGGAATGTCGAGAACCAGAAAAATTGGGAGGAACTGGAGAAGATGTTAATCTTGCAGTGGCCATGTTTCGATCATATGAACTTGAGAGAATACCAGTATTATCACCGCCAACACCAGAATGAGAGGGTTGAGTTGATTCTTCATCTATATTGTTAGCCCAGTATTGTTTGGCATTGACAGGTAAAGGAGACGACATTGTTTAGTATTTGGTTTGCGTAATTGTAAGTTACAGGAAGACTAATGGATGAATAAATAGAATAAACTTGGAGGGTATCTTATTGTTTTGTATTATAATTAAAAGTAGTGAGTTTTATTGGATACGTGGAATGGTATAAAATAAGTTGTTAAAAAAAAAAAAAAACAAAGAAGCGAAAGAAAAACGTCTTTTTTTTTTTTCCCTTTCTCCCTTTTTTATGTATTTGGTCTAGCGCAAAATGAAAAGGAATTTGGGTCTTGTTCAATTTTAACCAAAAAAAGATAAAAACAGTTTAAAAAAAAACTATATATCATCATTTACCATAATTTTTTTTTCTGATTTATTAAAGCACTTATTTGAAACATAAAAGTCATTTTTATTCATAAACAATCAAGAAAAAAAAAACCAATAATAATGATGATAGTGATATTCGAATGATGTTACTCTTTTCATTCATTTCTTATAGCGTGAGAATCCATAGTAATAAGCAATGAATCAGTTTTCTGATGAATCTTGTGATACCAAACCCAAGTTTTGTACTGACATCATCTTCAATCATGCAAATTACCTTATACAAGTATTTTTGAAGCTCCTCCAAAACAATTGTGTTCAATCTTCAGTTTGTAAAAGGTAAAAAACTCAGCTGATGTGAGTGTAGCATACATATACATTGCTTATGACTTGATCCGTGGTTCTGTTTCTTATCTTTTGTCCTTGTGATAAACATTTTTACATATATAATAATAATCAGTCTCTTTTTATTGATAAATACAAATTATAATTTGGAAGATTGTTCAAATAAATAATGTCTAGAAGAATGATCCACTAAAAAGGGTTCAGGGAAATAACTATCTAAAGATTGATCAGATAACAATTGAGCTAAACCACGACCACAGAGGAAAGTACGAGGCATACCTATTTAATCAAAATAAAAAAAAAAGGAGAAATCGAATCATTCATCTGAGCTTTTTTTTTTTTTTTTTTTAAAAAAAAAAAAAATTCTTACCATGACCAGAGAAACCAGCAGCAATATATTGACCTGAACCTTTTTCTTTACCTAACAAACGAGTCAAATCACCAACAAAAGGTAAACCATCTTGAATAGAAAAACCCATGGTACCAACCCATTCACGTTCAGGAAAATGAGGAAAACCATAATCTTCAAGTTGACCACGCAGATGACAGGATACTGTTTGATTCAAAGTAGAATCATCATCTTCATATACCATCCAACCCGCAGTAGTATTACGACATCCACCAAAAATTAAGGTTTGATCATAGGGTCGATACGACAGGTATTGGAACCCACGATTGGCACTGAGTACATAATCCATTTTGGCAGCGTCATTTTCAGTCTTGGAAACAGGAGGAACAGGCACACTAACGACTTGATTGCGAATTGGTACAAGATGACGTTGAAAAGTAGGTAATAAATACTTTGTCCATGCATTAGTACAATAAGCTACTTTTTTTGCTTCAATGATGCCACGATTGGTGATGATCTGGTGACGGTATTCCTTGGATTGTTGTCGTACTTCCTGCACACTGGTAAATGTAGCTAGATGAACCTTATCTTCCACTGCTCTTGCTAGACAGTATACAATCCGTGCCGCCCATGCAATCGCTGTATGCTTGATTTGGAGTCCACCATATTTGAATACCTTTTGTCCAGTGATTTCTTGTACTCTTTCAGGACTGAGAATTTCAATATCATCTTCATGAGGTCGTAATTGTTTTAATTTGATGGCACCAGGAAGGGCTTCATAGGCTTCTTGTTCTGATGTCCAAGCACAAACCTACAATAAAAAATTAAGTTTTAGATAGTTGACTCCATTTATATATTTTTTTTTTTGATATTCTTACTGTTCCATGCTTTAACCATGTGATTTGGGGATCAAAAGATCCATTATCCTTATCACCATGTTCTTCTAAAAATTGAGCCAACATGTCTACGTTCCTATAATCAAAATCCACCAGTCTTTCTGCTTCCTTTTCACCATACTTTTGTACTATATGATCAAAATTGTCGTTCAAACCAGGACATATGATACCACCTGAAAAGAAAAAAAAAAAAGGAGTCAATAACATGTGGTGAATGAGATTCAAAATGGTATGACTAAAAAAAAAAAAAAAGGTAAAATGAAAAGAAGTACATACCATTTCTACCAGTCGCCCCACTAGATAATCCTCTTGCTTCCAAAACGACGACAGATTGAGTTGGGTTAAGTTTAGTTAACCAGTAGGCAGTGCTAAGACCAGTAATTCCACCTAAAGGTGATTGAACAATGAGTCATAAAAAAAAAAAAAAAAAGGAAGGAGAATGAAACCTCCTCAAAAAGATAAAAAAAAAAAAAAGGAAGACTTACCACCAATAATGACTATATCCGCTTTGGTTGGTAAAGGGGTTGTTGTTGGTTGTTGATAAGGGGCATTATGAAGCCAATGAGAATGAGTATTACAGGAAGGATTAAGGTGAACCATTTAAAAATAAAGGAGAAAGAAAAAAAAAAAAAAAAAAAAGAAAAAAGAAAAAAAAAAGACAGAGATTAAAAAAGGAAATCCAGAAGAGATTGTGGGAAATACGTTTTTGAATTTCCTACGATCTCTTTTTTAGATAAACAACTCAGAATTTTTGTTTAATTCATTTAAGGTTGAATTTTTTTTTTTATTGAATCACATTGCATTGGGTTTATAAGTTTGGCCCGCAGTACCGGGTTTATAATAGGGATCATGATAATAAGGCACCGATGGAGGGGAACCATCTACGACTGTGGGAGTACTGTAACCATCATACTCTGATTGTTGTTGAGTATAATAATAACCACCATCCGATGTCATAATACCTTCTTGTTGATGCATTGGTACAGAATCCATCATCATCATTCCTTGATCATGATGTACCTGTTGTTGCTGTTGGTGTTGAAAATCCTGTTGATAGTCCTGTTGATAATCTTGTTGTTCATACTGCTGTTCATATTGTTGTTGATGATCCATATATGCCATAGAATTATTGGCGTTTGGCATCATTCCAGGTGCCACAAATCGCCTAGAGTAGTCAAAGGGGGATGCAGGTGTCATTTCCATCATACCTGGATTTGTTGTAACTGTTGATGGTTGCATACCAGGGGATGGTGAAGAATGAGGTGTAATATCGATAGAGTAATCATCAGTCTGTTTAAACCCATCATCCCTTCCCCCACGTTGTCGTTTAGTACATCCACCCTGTCGATTAAACCATGTCACTATCCCTCCAATCATGGCAAGACCAACTAGTATATGATCATACATACATATATATAAAGAGAGAGAGAGAGAATATCATTATCATCTATCATCATATCAATAGTACTCTTTTTTTTTTTTTTTTTTTTTTTTTTTTTTTTTATACCTAGACCACCCACCACGGCACCAGCTATTGTACCCGTGCTACTATGAGGAGAGGAATCCGCTGATGGAGAAGCATCATCCGGATTTGTAAATGTAGATGCAGGAGAATTATTATCAGTAGAAGAGGTAATGGTTGTACTAGGATGAGATGATCCATTATTACCATTACTAGGGCGATGCTTATTCTCACTGGACTCAGTACTAGTAGATGAGACGGGAGGTGTGACTTTGTTGGGTTGAGGAGTGGTATTATTAGTATTATCACCTGTGTTGACCGAAGAAGATGAAGAGACTGGAGATGTAGGGGGAGGAAGGGGTAATGATGAAGAAGGGGAAGAAGAGGAAGAAGAAGGAGGAGGAGGACTGGTAGGTGATGATTGATTGGGTGATGGCTGTTTATTTCCATTTGATTTATTATTATCATTATTAGATGGTGGACTTGGTTGCGCTGATGATGGTGGTGTGTTTCCAGGTAAAGGAGGACCATTATTAGGTGATGGTGGGTTATCGTTTTTATCTGATCCATTTATTCCAAGTAATCCTCCTATTATATCAGCTTGGATAAAATGAACACTAATGAAGATACAAAAGAAAAATAGAAAACATCGGTTGACCTTCATTGAAAAGAGGATGATATGATAAAACAAAATGGAAAGAAATGAAGGTAAAAGAAAAAGAAAAAGAAAAAGGAAAAGAAAAAAAAAAGAAAGAAAGAGAGAGAGAAAAAAAATTAAGGGGATGTCGAATTAGGCACAAAAGAAAGAAAGATTCTTTTTTAGGTTTAAATCTATATATACTTATATGCTTACAGATAAGTGTCAATCTATTTGAATATAATAATATTCTTTTCGTTTTAAGAGAATATATGATTGGTTTCCTGTCTCCTTGATTTTTCTTTTTATTAATTTACTAATGATGTTTTTGTAGTTAGTATTTATATATTTCATACCTTGACTTTGTTTATCCTAGTTTATACAATAACCACGTCAAAGTTGATTTCCCCTATCACGATACTCAAAAGAGTATACATTCCATTCCTTATTTTCATTGTTTCTTTTTAAGTATTCGATAAAGATGGTAGTAATCTGATGATATTGTCTTATGCAAATAGTGTATGATAATTGATTAATATTTGTTCGATAAATAAAATGAGAGTGATGTTAATAACAAGGTGACTTTATTGAATATAAAATAAAATAAAATCATTCTAAACACTAAAGTACCAATAAAAGAGAATCACCATAGCAAAAGAGGAGAGAGAGAAAAGTCAACCAAAAAAAAAAGGATCAACAAAATGATACTTGTGCATAATCCAGTTGTCTATGAGTTCCATTTGGATCCAACTGTATATATCCTAACCTAAAATATATCCTATTGAATCATCGGCCTTGATCTTGTGGTATGTCTATCCTGTTGCATATCTATCCTGTTATGTCCATTCTGCTGAATATTCTTGCTATTATAACCTATTCACACCTATACAAAAAGTAAAATAATAATAAAAAAAAAGATAAAAAAAGAAAAGAAGAAAGAATGTGAAAAATAGAAAAAGATCTTTTTTGTCAGGCTATTTTAAACAGTGGAGTTTGAATATTTTTGGTTTTGTAAGATCCAGAAGTTGAGAGCATTTCAGATGAATCAGGTACAAAAAAGAAAATTTTTATGCAAGCAGATGAAAGTGAATATTGGTTAGTTGTATTGATACCAATTTGTATTATAATGAGATCTTTCAATTTAAAACAATATCCTTACTTTTATTAAAAATATAATAAGAAATATACTTCTCATTTTTGCTTGTTCAGGTATGAATGAATATACAGTAATGCAGGTCAGAAGTTAGTTAGTTACTGTATATTTGTAAAGATATATACTTTTTCTTTTCTTTTCTTTTTTTTTTTTTTGTTATAAATAAATGATGATGATGATGATGGGGTGGGGTTTTCATATGAGAGTTACACGATTATCATCCATTTCCCTCTCGTTTCCATTGTTAGTAAGGGTGTGTGACACAATCTATTTTTTTTTTTAAAATAGTTCTGGCCATCAAAAAAAAAAAAAGTGTTTATATCTTTTTTCATTCTTTTTTTTTTTTTTTTTCCCCACCTTTCTTTCACTAGTTCATCTTTTTTTTTTCACTTCCTTTCCTTTTACCCTCCCTATCCATTCGTTACTATATTCTTTTTTCTTATATATCCCTGTGTTTTAACAATGGGGAACTTGTTTGCCACTTTATTCCTTATTGCCTTCTCTTTACCTTCTATTTTAGCACAATGCACAACACCAGCTCCTTCAGACCGGTATTATTATGATTTGGCCAGTGTGGACGATAAAAAGTTATATGTGTTTGGTGGAACTTTGGTAAATCATTATTCAAATTTTATTTTTTTTTTCTTTTTGGTTAATTCGGTTTTCCTTCAATAGAATAAAACATATATGGATACATGGGCTCTCGATCTTAGTCAACAGGTAGATACATCTTGTCCTCCTTGGTCTCAATCTCCACCTCTTGCTACTACACAATCCATCAGCTCATATATCTATGGTGTTGCCTTTAGTCCTAACAACAAGAATAATTATATCTATCTTCAAGGAGGTGATGCTGAAACTACTGGTATTCAACGTACTCCTGTTATTTATGATACTCTTCAAGGAAACTGGTTACTCTCAAGCAGTAAGCATTTAAAGAAAACAAGAAAAGAATGATGGGTATACATTTATATCAATCGTTGTCATCCTTTTTTTTTTTTAGTTTCTGGTTCTATGACACCTCGATCTCAAATGACGGCTACAGTAGATAAAATCAACAACAAAGTATGGATATTCGGTGGAAGAGTACCTTTTGAATTTGGCATGGTAAACGAATCATACAAAAAAAAAAAAAGAAAAAGAGAATAAATAAATGTACAATGGTTAATAGACCATCAACTCACCCATTGTTATTAATCATCTTCATTTGATATGTTAGAGTGGTAATATCAATACTTTCAATGATTTGTACTATTATCAAGTGAGTGAAAGTGGAACTGCTTTAACCATCACTCAAGCCTCTATCACGTCATATTATGGATCTCCCGCTGCTCGATTTGGTCATACAACAACGCTAGTGTAAGTTCAATTCAAAAGTCTAGCTTTTTTCTTAATACTAGGTTTATGATTTGATAGGAACAATCGATTGATCACTTTGGGTGGTTATGTTAAAGTCAATGATACAACAAAGATGATTACTGATTTTGCTAGTGCCTTTGGTAATAGAAAAAATATATAAATCAAAACAAGTGGATGGAATCATTCTGATTTATATTTATTTATATAATTTAGTCTATGATATCAATACTGGGGTTGGAGTGGCTATGGAAACATTGGGTGATATTCCTTCCGCACGAACAGAGTAAGTTTTAGATATAATATTGATGATGATTATTTTATAGTGATAGAAACTAAACCAAGATATTATATATATATATATATATTTGTATATAGATTCTCTGCTGTGGCAGGTAAATAAATATTGGATGGGATAATAACGATGTGATAACTCATTATATATATATATTTGTTCTTCTTCTTCTTCTTAGCTCAAGATGGTCAATCAATTATTATTTTTGGCGGTGTGACAGCAGACGATCTTCAGAATGTGACAAATGATGTTTATATTTTGGATACCTGTACATTGACGTGGAGAAAGCAGGAAATCAGTGGACATGCTGATGGTAGGGCATTACATCAAGCATATATGCACGGACAATTCATGATCACCATGCTGGGCATCAGTGGTCATAATCAAGGTGAACCTATTCCCAACAACAATCTTTCGATTTTGGATACCAATCTGTGGTCATGGACATCTTCTATTCCTTCTGGATATTCACCTGCCGGTATCAATTCATCCCCAAGTTGTAGTTTTACATTCCCAGCACCACCAGCACAACCTCAGACTCATGGCAATGCTCCCAAAATATACGACACCACAGTGATCAGTAATCCCAATGCTCCCAGTACACAACTGACTAGCTCTGAAAAGGGAGGGATTGGTGTAGGCGTACCACTCTTCATCATTCTATGCCTTGGTGCAGCTTTCTTCTTTTACCGTCGTCATCAACGCAACAAGACACGACAATTGAATCCTCGATGGATGCCTGGTGCTCTTTCCACGAAATCAGAACAAGAAGGAAACAATTATCCTATGTTTAATTACAATGATCAACCAAGTACTGGATTACGAACCTATACTGCTTCCGATCATGATCAATGGGAAAGACAATTGATTCAAGATGAACAACGACCTCAGGATGATACACCCATGGCTCGACACGAAGAAATTTGGTCAAGAATGCGCGGATTACATGCCCCTGCTGATGAAGAACGTCGTTAATCTTTTTTTTTTTTTTCAGTCCACATCATCAGTTTAGTTCTTTTGTATTCCCTAATATTAATAAAGAAAAATCATTATTTTTTTGAAGTCATCACCAAAAGAAGTAAAAGTCTATTCTATATTGATCCATTTATTCCGCAGTAATCCATCAAATTCATTTACGCATTTTCTTTCCTAATCCAAAAAAGGGTATTTTGTTTCATATGGTAGTTTTTTAATTTTTTTTTTTATTGTCATCATAAAAAAAAAAAGTTTTGAAGTAATTCAAATCAACATGAAGGGAAGATTGTGAGTGTGTATGCTAAGCGTACTTGTCTTGTGAAAAAGAAAGGATGAGATAAAATAAACATGATAAGATCAAAGGGAAGGAGAGGGAGGATCATTGAATCTAGTAAGTGGTATTTTCCATAGGTTGAGGCAATTTTCTACCCACCGTAGCCATTTCTCTATTATCAAAATAAAAGAATGAATCATATATTACATCTAATTCATTGATATTTTTACCTTCTCAATTCAGTCAAAACAGTTTCCAAAGAGAATGATCGTTTCCAGTGAGCAAGGCATGGCAAAGCTTGATTAATGACCTAAAAGTAAATAGAATGATATAGAAAGAGAAATCAAGTGAGTCAAAGTGACACAAATAACATGTTAAGTCAGCAAAAAAAAAAAAAAAAGGAAGACTTACCATGCCATTATCAGGATGAACACTAGGTAAGTTGATTTTTGATACGAATTGTACTTGAGGAGGTTGATCAGGGTAATTATCACCACAATAAATCTTCAGACTGTAAATACGATTTTCATGTACGGACTATAGGATAATAATAATAATAAAAAATAATGATGAATATTTATCTTTTTGATGAAAACAAACAAAGATATGGAATAAAATACTTCTTTTAACCATATATTTTATTATTTAACTTACGTGAGGAGCACCAAGAATAGTAGCATGCCAATGGTGCATGAGGACATCATCATCAGATAAACCATAACTACAGGTACCATCACCAATACCTTTTTCACCCTTTTCTAATTCTTCTAATAGTCGGAAATTGCGAGGAACTACAAAAAAAAAAAAAAAAAAAAAAAAAAAAGGTCCAAAATTAGTATCCCTGTTTAATGTTTATTTTTTTTTCCCTCCATCATCCAACAACAACAATAATAATAATAATAAAAGGAGAATCATAAAATCAATCTATTGTCAAGTTTTTTTTTTATTCTTCCTACCTGTGGCCATGGTATAAATTGAGTAAAGAGGTTAATATGTATGTTGTATGTATATATAGACTTGAGACTTGTCTATTTTGTTAAGATAAAGAAATGAAAGGATTAACATCTTAAAATGAAAAAAGAGGATAATTTATATCTATACAAAGGACTTACTCTGTTCAACCAAATCAACAATCAAAAAGAAGAGAGGGTGTAAGGAACAAGGTGTTGGGATAATGTAAAATAATGAAAACAGAAGGGAAAAAAAAAAAAAAGAAAAGAGGACGAGAAAAAAAAAAAAAAAGGTGGAAGACACCTCGAAAAAAACATCCCCATTTTTAGTTCCCGCCTATGAATAATTTGCAAAACGAGAATTTTAGGGTACAATTCAAATTTACTTCTATTTCTTCCTTTTTTTTTTATACTTGCTTATCATATCACCTTATTTTATATCTAATATATTATTATACCATTTCATTTGATTCTTCTAAGAATGCACAATTATTCACCTTGTTTTACATTTATTATATCGCCATGTCATTTGATTCTTACCGAAAAGCACAACTACATCTACAAGAAACAAGAAAGACAATTACTATACCACAGTTAGACAAAGATACCTGTATATCATATTTCAACAAAGTATTCCAAGTATTAGTACGCGAAGATTTACATAAGCTTTGGACAAACAAAAAGAAGAAAACCGAATCCGAGATTCTATCAAACTATTGTCAACAACAAGAAAGAAAGCGAACAATACCAAACCTTTACAAAAAGACTGTTGAACTGTATAACCAAGGTAGTATACATATACATATATACATCTATTCCAATATTAATCTAACTTTTATTTAGAAAACTCAACCGACTTTTCCAAAGATACAGTTAGAGCAACTGTAGACTCGAAAGCTATACCCTATGTTCGCCTTTATAAAGAATTTGTGAATAAGAACGCTGCCAATATATTAGAGGAATTAAAAAACAACGATAACAACAACAACAACGACAACAACAACAACAACAATAATAATCAAGATAATGAGGATAATTTTATTCACAATACAATTACTTCTCAATTGAAGACAATCTTACGACCAGATTTGTCCGTCCTGGAGAAAAACATCATCCATCAATCACTTCTGAAGTCACAGAAGATAATTACCAATATAATGGCGGATATCTCAACTTTGGTTTTGTTAGACCTTTTGAAACGAACCACGTAAGTAAATAGTGATCATGAAATACTAGTCATATACTCATATGCTCTTTTTTTTTTCTTAGTGGTCCACCTGTAGAAATAACTAGTATTCTACCTGAATGCAAGATTACCAAGGTCCTTCCACCACCACTGATCTCTCCTCCTTCTTATGATGTCAAGAAACTCATGGCCAGTCACAACAATGCCACCAAAGCTGAACGACGTCTATTTGAACTGTATACTGGCGGCCATTTGATGCATCTGTTGACCTCAACTCATAACTCTCAAGAAACCTTTCTTACTGACATTGCTGGTCCTTCTACTTCTTCAAGTCATGATTCGAACAAGGACGGTATACTGAACTGGAATTTGGACTTACCGGACATCACCAACCTAAACCTTACTGATATGCCACCTGGATTATCTACCATTATTCAGCCTTATTTAAATACGTACGCCACCAATTTAAAGAATATATATCAAGGTGATATAGTGGATCGTCTGCTATCAAGAACTATTATGACTGTTCTTCGGTGTCGGCTTATTCTTCCAAAAAAGGACCAAAATAAGAATGAATTGAAAGAAAGGTAATGCATATTGATGATTTAATGATGATGATGATGGATGGTTCACATTATTAACCTATCTATATATAATTAGAAAATCACAACCAAAGAGTCCAAAGAATTCTTTTACATTCAAGTGCCAAATCAGACGCCACAGCAAAAGAATAAATCGGTTGCAACAGTTTGATAATATAAATAGACCAGACGTTCTTCAGAAGGAGCAACAAATTCTCGAACACTTGATGCAATCCTCTATTCTCAATTCAAGTACTACTGCACAGGTTAACGTGGAGATTCCTTTGGTGGACGATACTAATGCTCAAATGAATTTGGATGTTACTTTGGTGGATGATACTAGTGCTCCGATGGAAGTGGATGCCCCTGAAACCATTCATGTTAACCCCTCCTACAATCGACTGAAGAAAATTGCAAATTTTGTGAAGTCAATTCTATTCAAAAAGAACATCGATCAACCGTTAACTGTCGAGGATCTTAAGATGCATGCGCCAGATATGGAATTTAACGATGACGAAGCCAATTCAGTACTCCTTTTGTATCAATTTTTCTCACCATATCTGTTACCCAAGGTATATGATGACGATGTAGATCGGCATCCCCTTCTCAATTTCCCTCTTGTTACGGTATGCAATCATATTCTTCGCTCAACTGGAAACGAGAAATTTGTAAGACGATCTGTACCAGTTGTAAAACATTCCAAGACCTATTCCATTACTTTGGATCCAACAAGATTGTATTTGACTCTGTGCTCGTTGAAAGGACGTGTTGGCGGAACAAAAGGTGGAACTGTGCAACCTCTACATTCGTATGGATTCGATGTTTTTCTTCCCAACGGTGACATAATAAGCAATATTACCAAGTCAATCAAATTCCAGGATGAACTATTTGGTGCTTTTTTTGATCTTCCAACCAGGCGAAGACTCTGTGCGAAAAAGACTGGCTTTATCTTCTCCAATCGAATCACAATCACTAACTATGGTGCGGTGCGGCTACATTCCAAAAAAGAAAAACCAATTGACACTGATATCAAGCCATCAGCAACCAACGTACGACGAAAAAGAAAGTTATCTGAAGAGATTACAATGCAAGAAAAGATAAAGTCACTGGACGCTTCCTTATCAACACCAGCTGAAGAATTGCGCAAGTTGAATAAAGAAATAGATGAAACGAAGATGAATATTATGAATATCAACAAACAAATTGAATCTATTGCCGACACAACACATGATGATCTGGAAGATCTCCCAACGAAAGATTTTTTAATTAAACAGCGGGCAGAAAAGAAGCGACAGCGTGACGATCTACTTCGACGGAAGCTTGTTGTGTTACGGAAGATATCAGCCCTCAAGACAGAGAAGAAGGACCTCTTTGACGAGTTTTATTCAACTGACACGACAGATATTAGCCTATCCTCATCATCTACTGGTAACGAATGGGAAAATGGAAGTATTTTTGTTGGATGTGATCCGGGTCTGGCAACCATGGTCCAAGCTACAAGTGCTGATATCAAGAAAGTACTGTACTATTTGGCAATCAACAATCGTTATCAACCATTGGAAACATTAGTAGAAAAGGTGGATAGTGATGGCGATGAAAAGGAAATGCTTACTTTGAAGAAATACTCAATTACCAGTAAACATCTCGACGATCAAACTTTCTCCAAACGCCATCGCAAGGGAATAGAATTTAGAAAGAGACGTGATCATAACAAAGTAAGTGATTCCAAAAAAAAAAAAATAAGGATGTCAATAACCTATTTTTTTTTAATTACTAGTCTCAAACTCAAGGTGTGCTTTCCGTCAAGCAAGTAGAAGAAAAGTTGGCTGGATCAATTGATGTCCGTTTATATGAAACAAGTCTACAAAAAATCATGACAAATCATAAGGTAGGATCAATTATTATACATCATCACGGAGACCAAAAAAAAAAAAAAAAAAAAAAGACAATGAATATTAATGAATGCAATCATTTCAATTTATCTAGTTGGTCAAGGACAGCTCACCTATTCTCCAGGATTTCTATTGTGATCAAAAATACAATCAGCGGTGGAAACGAACTGCAACGATATACAGCGAAAAGGGAACACATGTAGTCATCAAACATCACCAACGACAAGTAAAAGAAGAACCTGGACAAAAATTACATTACTTTTATGGAAAGGCGGGCCGTGGTAGAAACTCACGTATCGGTGGATTTTTAAGAAGAGGTCATGGACCCTTATTACAAGCTCTTGGTCAACATTCTTCTATCTTCCATACAGATGAATTTAGAACGACAAAACTCTGCTGCCGTTGTCATGAGCCTATCTATCATCCGAAGAAAGCTAATGGAAAATTAAATCTGGGAACTGTTATTTGTCAAAACCCTGATTGCAAAGGACGTCAAGCTGGAATGATTGCTGAATCACGAGACACAAATGCAAGTATGAATATGATCATCACTGGATTATGGCAACAAGTTACTGGCAAACTTCCTCCATCCTTCCGGCGGTCAATCTCATCAACAGAAAACGATAACAACAATATTGATAAGATATTCCAAACTTTGATCTCTTCTCATCCTGGACTGGTTGAAGACGGATACATCATGCCTCTGTGCTGAACACAAAACTTGAATTGTACCCTAAAATTCAAGTTTTGCGAATAATTTTTGCTGGAAGAATCATACAGCCTGATAGAAAAGATATTTTTATTTTATTCAAATCACTATAGAAAAGAATATAAATATATAATAATAAAGCGAAAATCTATATAACAAATATGAAAACAGCAAATGAAGAAAAAAAAAAGATAAAGAGCGTATGTGCGTGAAGAAAAAAAAAATATACATGATAAAGAGTGAAAAAAAAAAAAAAACTGTGGAACTACATATTGAATGATGGAGACAAAGTAATAGTAAAATAATAATAGTAATTTAGGATTCAGTGACTGCTGCTATAGTATGTTTATTTTGACGACCATGATGAGGAAGTTTGATATTGGTAGCCACCGCCTCTGGAGCCTTTGCATTCTTGAAATCATTGGCTGAAGTATAAGAGTTCAATAATAAAGACAATCGTTCTGTAGGCTTGATTTCTCGTTTCTTCTTGTCCTTCCGATAATAAAGATATGCCCAGAATTTTTCTAATCCATATAGATGTCCAGTATCATAATCTGCCAATGTCAAATCTTGGAAATCTTCAAAGACTTCGCGACGATATCGTTTTTCCAATCCATAAGAGTAAAATCGAAACAAACATTCCAATCCATATCTATATCCCCCCCCCCAAAAAAAAAGATCAGATATATTTATCCAACAAAATAATAATTATTTTTTTTTCATTACCGATAGTCATGATTAGCATCATCCACAGCTAACTTCTTGAATTCATTATACATGCGTTTATTGAAATGATCCCGTAAGAAATGTGACCAGAATCGAAACAATGTATTCATTTCTTGAGATTGACCCACACCTAGACGCTTTCGTTCCTTAAGTGCCTTGGCATGATACTTGTAATACTTTTGTTGTACAAAACCTTTTTCGCGTAATAAGGAATGACTTGGATGTTGGAAGCTAGGAATTGAATGTGCCATTGTGTCCAAAGAAGAAGGTGTGTACAATGATCCACCAGTTGCATCAGTTCCAGCAGTAGGCATACTAGCATTTGTCATAGCTGTAAAAGAAGTTGATAATGGTGATTTTCCTAGACTTGACGAATAAATATCATTTGGATTGTAATGATAAGCTTGATCACCAATTACCCAACCAACGTGACCATGTTCGTTCCCAACCATTGAAGTATTATTGTTATTGTGGTCATCAGGGAGTTTCAACATTGTAATATCAGATAATCCTCCTCTGTATAAAGGTAATGATTCCCGTCGAACCGGATAGAATCTTGTTTTCATGTTGTCGTTTTGAATACTTGATAAATAATAATAATGATAATAATAGAAATAAAAAAAAAAAAGATGATGATCAATTTGATATCCTTTTTTTTTTTTTTTTTTTTTTTTTTTTTTTTTTTGTTTCTTACTTTTTTGCCACCACAATCTTGCTAGATGAAATCTGGCTACCAACTTGTTCACCATTACTATGTTGTTTTTGAGATGCTGAAAGTTGTTCAAAATGTTCTTGATCCATGGTATTTACTTTAGAATAGTCTTGATGATTGTGTCGATGTAATCCAGTTTCATATTCATGTAAGCCTTCGTTGATCATATCATAGAGATCATCATTTACCTTGGCCCTGTCGTAGGATGTATGTGATCGATCACCTCTATTGTTGCGTTGAGTGACAATCATAATACGAGCAACCGTGTCTTCATCAATTTCTTGATCTTCGTCCGAGTCGTCATCCGAGATATAATATTTCTTCAATGTATTTGGTCGCCGATCATCGTGCCATTCTTCGTCGTCATCAAAATCGAACAAATCATTTTCAAAATCATCTTTCACATCTTTGGACTTGTCATTAGGGTTCGGACTATTATTGAGAGATCTGATGGTTGATGATGTCGCAGCTGGTGATGACTTTTGTCGTGGCGATGAATGAGGAATAGGAGGATGTGGTAAAGTAGCATTCATGGTTCTTTCAGTAGTTATTGTATTGTCATTGATGTTGTGTTTGACAATATCAGCCGCAGTGGTACTTGGATGCTGAGGTTCCGGATGAGCAGGTGGCACAGCAACAGGAGGAGGAATCACCCAATTTTCCCAACCTTCACTTTTTCGAATCTTGTCGCCTTTTATTTGCAATAGTTGACTATCCTTCATTGCTTCCTTGATCAAGTCCAAATCAGTCGTCAGTCCTTTGACACGGTTAAAATTGGCTAATAGTTGGATATTAACATATCCTTCTGAATCCATCTAAATCAATAAAAATATAAATAAATCATTCATTTTTTCCTTTTCTCTATTTCTTATTTTTCCATTACTTTGTTGCGTAAAAAGAGATCTTTGCATAAATTATCAATACTGAAATAATATTCACTATACAATTCAAAACAAAGTGTCAGAAATTATTCTTTTGACTTTGTAACAATTAACTTACATTTGCTGAATAATATAAGATTTCAAAGTTTCAGCATCCACGTTGACATAAACAGGTAAAGAGGTATCGGAATACGGTGAAGAGTAATTTTGACGACGTCTTTCATGATGATTATTATCGCTAGTCGAGTTTCCCGTTGTGCGTGATGAATCTCCATGATTTTTCTTTTGTTGTCGTTGACTATTTTCTCCACGGGCATTTCCTTTTGAACGTTGTTGTTGACCATCTTTTTGTTTTCCCTTTTTCCCACGGCCATCGCCGGTATTACCCTTTTCATTTGTTGGTTTCGGTGAAATAGTTGTTGAAGCCTTGTCAGCGGAAGATGTCGTTGTTGAAGTTGTTTTCTTTTCACCATCCTTTTTTTGTTGTTTATGTCGAGATTTTGATGATTTCTTTTCCTTGTTACGATTATGACTACTACTTTCACGACCTGCACCTGATGATGATGATGATCGACCTGGAGTTGGTGTTGTATGAGTAATAGTAGGTGTCAGATGTTTCCACTGGCTTCGCCCTAACAAGGTTCATCAATAAAAGTAAGAGCATATTTTAATTTTTGTGTAATTCCCTAACCGCAGACTGTGAAACTTGAAGGAAAGATGTTGTGTGATGATGATAATAATGATAATGCAGGTTCCATGTGAGAGTATTTTTTTTTTTTTGTTACCTTTGGTTGTAAACTTTTCTTTCTTGGCTTCACTTGGATGATTTTCTTCTTCAATAGTAATTTCATTAGGAGCAGGCCAGGATTTGGTGTCTAAGGTTTTTTAAAAAGATAGTAATAAATACCTATATATAAAACGAAAAGTGGTGTTTTTTTTTTCTTATTTACCTTGTCCTTGAGATACTTCGGATATTTTCACTGTAGAATCGTTACCATGCATTCGTAAGTTCCATGCATTAGTAACAGGAATAGGAGCAGGGACAAGAGGTTTGTTTTCCTTATTACTAGTTTCCATTGTCATTTGATCTTGAGAAATAGAATTGTTCTTTGACGTTGTACTTGTTGTAGTAGTAGTAGTTGTAGTAACAGTGCCAGTATTTGTTGTAGATGCTTTTGAAGTCACTTGTTTGGTAGTATTCTTGAATGTCGTTTCAAGTAGGTTATCGGTCATGAAGTTGTTTCCGCTTATTGAAGTAAGTAAAACGAGTAATGAAAATATATATTAGACAAATAGGAACAAGTAATGAAGAATTCAACCAAACGATATAAAAAGGTAATAGGTGTCTTTTTTTTTTTTTTTGTATGTTATAGAGAAAATAAAAAAAAAAAAAAAAAAGAGGTGAATAGAGATATACAAAGGTTGGTTGAAATATACAAATATAATAAAATATAATATAAGTAATGTTTCCTTTATAAAAAAGAAAAATAAAGAAAAGAAAACAAGTGAAAAAATTGAAAATGAAAAAAAGTAAAAAAGCAAAAGGAAGAAAAACGACAAAAATAAAAAAAAGATATTTTTTCTTTTTTGTCTCCACTCAATAACCAAATTGGGGGTGTACGTTCTATCGGAAATCGAAAGCTTTTGTTGTTTCGAAAATTCTCAACCTGTCTTTTTCACAGTTTCACCATTTCCCTACCGACAAAAAGGTAATCATCATCAATTCATCTGAGCTCATTATTATCATTCTCATGAATATCGTTCATCCAGTCCCCCCTATGAGAATGTTTTAACTCAAAAAAGTAAACTTCAAACATATAAAACGGAGTTGTATCTATCAGCATGAATGTTGAACAAAATCCCTTTTTTTTTTTTGATGGGCCAAAAGTAAATTTGATAATTCTCCATATCTTTCTTTCTTTCTTTCCTTTTTTTTTTTTTTTTTTTTTTGCAAACAAAAGTCTATATTAATGAAATCAAGGTAAAAGAATCACTACTAAACTATTGGAAAAACAGAAAGATAAAAAGATTTATTCTTTTTTTTTTTTTAAATAAATATTATGACCCTTAAAAAAAAAAAAGTAATATAATGATGATTGCATTTCATGCCTTTTCCGGCGGCGTTTCGGTGGGCATTTTGATCTCAGTGATCTTGGCCAATTATCAACAGTTTCAAGCAGCTTATTTGTTACCGCCAAACCTACTAAAGGGTATCGGTATACTTGCATTGTTACTTGTCTTTATGTCTGTCATTGGTCTTATTAGTCTTTTTTATAAAGTAACATCTATGCGTTCCATTCATCTTATTTATATAGTAGGAATGGCTTTGGTTATGATTTATCATATTGCTTTGATCTTTCTTTCTTATGATTATTCTTCTCATCTTTATTCTATATTAACTAAGATATGGGCAAATGCTCCAACTGATTATCGTCTTTATGTTCAAAATAAGGTAAGAAAATTCCATTCTATATCATTATATGTTTTTTTTTTTTTATTATTAACCTTTCTTTTTTTTTTTCCATTTTACGGAGTTTTCTTGTTGTGGTTACACTAGTCGAAGAGATCATCCGGTGAAACCATGTCCAATAACTTCTTCCATGAGCCCTTGCTCTATTCCTTTAACTAGTCATATTCAAGATCAATTGAACGTGATTGTCTGTGTACTTATAGCTACTTTGTGTATAGAATGGTTCGCAATTAATACTGGTGTCATATCCTTGTGTTTTCCAAATAACAAAAAATCAAGAGTAGCTTCAACCCAGGTTATCGTCTAGAATCATCTACATCATCATCCAACCCCTCCTTTTTTTTTTATTGATACAATTCAAATCTAACTGATGATACCATATTATATACTATACTACAAAACTATTACTATTCTAAAGGTCATTATAAAGAGGTATCTTGCGATGCGTTCCAAAATACACAGTTTTGTTTCAGTCGTTCCATCCCAGTTGTTGGTAAATTCACAGCTTCATCCATTGTACGTAATCCAGGTTCACCAAGTAAAGATAGTGTAGCAATACCCATATATGAGTGAAGAACATCTAGTATATAAATCAAAAAGATTAAACATTCATAAATAAGTCGACTAGCGAATAAATCCTTTAAAACGAAACACTCCTTACCTGGAAATGATTTATCATCTTTACCAAATCCACCCATTTTTGTTTGTGTTGTCATCAGGAATCCTCGTAAATTTTCATGATTGATCCATTGAAAAGCATTGAGCATCTATTAAAAAAAAATAAAAATTATAATTAAATTACAGTTTATACGAATGAAGTGTTACCTTCAAACTTGCTCCAATCCAAAAACAATAACAAGTATCAGGCTGTTTGTTAGGTCTTCCTTGGAAACCGGTAGATTGTCGATCAAGACACCATTTCACCATTTGATCTTTATCCAGTAATCCTTCATCTTGTTTGCCCATCAAAGTCAAAGCAGCAACACCACAAAAGGTCGATCCACCATGAGCTTCTTCCCCAGGGCATTGTCCAATACTATATTCATAAGACTATAAAATAAAAAGCATAAAATAAATATAATGTCACCTATTCTTTTTTTTTTTTGTACCTGTAATGACTTGATATGTTCCACTGTTCTTTCAATATTCAACCCACTCCAATCATTCAATATGTAAGATATCGCTGCTGCGCAAAAAATGAAACGTACATCCCTTTCCAAGCTGTCAAATGTAGGCGCTATACTATAAAGAAGATGTTCTTGTGATATAGTTCTTTCCGTTTTCGAATAATTAATAATTACCTTCCATCTTCTTGTTGTAAGCATCGAATAGTATTCACAATAGCCTTTCGGTTGACACGAGATAAATCATCACCTAAAAGTAGCAAATTCAATAATGCAGTATACGTATTGGCAATATGACTGGAATCGTAATAGTGGTATTCACTAATGGTCTATATATAAAAAGTTAGGAAGAAAAAAAAAAGATATTAGTTCCACCGTGAAGGAGAAAACAAGATTATACTTACCTTGTTAGGGGTAAAACATTCACCAGACCAAGGAGCACCACGAAAACCACAATGAGGATCATCTATAAGGAATCAATGCAACAAGTCATATATAGTCTATAAGTACCTTTTTTTTTTCTCGCTTAAATATCCGTGTATGTCCTTACTTTTGCCATCTTCACTTGGTAATATCTGTTGAGCATAAATCCATTCTATCCAATCTTTTTTATTATGGTCCGATACTACTGTTTCCAAGGCACCTAAAAGTTCGAGTCCACCCAAACAAAAGTAGGCCAAAGTCATTCTATAGAGCAAACAAAAGTGTTTATATACTTCTACAAAAAAAAAAAAAAAAAGAATTCATAGTGTATCTTACCTGTTCGTTTCTGTTTCCGTATATGGACTTGGTAACATTCTAAGATTAGACAAAAAATATTGAATGTGTTTTTCTCTTTCGAAATCAGTCATGATAAATAACGGTCGATCAATGTCTGTATAATGAAAAAGATGAAGGGATAGAAAAGATCAGAGAAGAAAAAAAAAAAAAAAAGACGACCAGAAGGAATGAAAGGAAATTTCAACCCCGCTGGTAATGTATGAATGAAAAGCATGTGCCTGTGTATTTGAAATGCAAAGCTTCTCCAAGTTTACTGATATCAACTATATCATTATCATCATGATAGAAATCTTGTAAATTATTTGAAGGTATATAACAAAAAGTGATAAATTGTATTGTACACGACCATTTTTATTTTTAATTGTTTTAAAACAACAAGTAATTGTATCAAACTATATAAAAAAAAAACTACACTATAGGAATCTTATTCTACAACACCTTGGCTTCGTTCTTCAACTTATCCAATAATTCATCTACATTTTCCACAGTACGACCACCTTGACGCTTAGCGGGTTCTTCCACCTTGAGAGTTTCAATACGAGGAGAGATATCAACACCCAAATCTTCAGGGGTAATTTTGGTCAAAGGTTTTTTCTTAGCCTTCATAATGTTGGGTAAAGAGGCATAACGAGGTTCATTCAATCTATATTAAAATAAAACATGAGTATCATGATTCAAAATACAATTAGATGAGAATATTACCGAAGATCAGTGGTGATAATAGCAGGCATCTTGGTTTGTAAAGTTTCTAAACCACCATCAATTTCACGAGTCACCTTGAGAGATTCACCTTCGATTTCCACCTTGGAAGCAAAAGTAGTCTAAAATAAAAAAAAAAAAATCGATATGTCAATGAACCGTGGGAAAAAAAGATATACAACCAAAACAACAATTGACACTCATTCCTCTTCAAGATCATATATATATATATGTATTTTTTTTTTTTTTACCTGAGACCAATTCAATAAACCAGCTAACATTTGACCAGTTTGATTAGCATCGTCATCGATAGCTTGTTTACCAAGAATGAACAAATCAGGTTTCTTTTCTTGTTTGTCAGCGTAAGCCTTGAGTAACTTGGCAACAGCCAAAGGTTGTAAAGTAGCATCATCCTTGACTTCCACATGTACAGCACTATCAGCACCCATGGCCAAAGCAGTACGTAAAGTTTCTTGAGCCTTGGCAGAACCGCAGGAAATAGCAACCACTTCAGTAGCCTTGTTCTTTTCTTTAATACGAACAGCTTCCTCAACAGCAATTTCATCAAAAGGATTCATACTGTGTTTAACGCTACGATCAACATCGGTTTTGGCAGGATTCACACGAACCTTGACAGCTACAAATAATATAAGGTACAAGTATGTTATAATGATATTTTTTTTTTTAAAAAAAAAATGAGTCATCTGATATAAATGCTAGATTGTTCTTATAATAAAACAAAAAAAAACTATTTGTCAATTATTTTGTCACTTACCAAAGTCAATGACACGTTTAACAGGAACAAAGATACGTAAAGGGTTGGACATGATTATAGAAAGTAGAAAGAAATAAAAAAAACAACGAAGAGAAAAAGAAAAAAAAAAAAGGAAGAGAGAAAAGAAAAAAGATCAAGATTGAAGTAGGCATCGACAAAGATTGGTGGAGTTTCAAATGCTCCCCGGATTTCAACACCATCTTCGTTTAGTTTGCACGTCATCACACTTGAGCAAGGTACATGGACCTTATTTTTTTTTTCACAAGCAGAAGTATGTCTAACTTCAACCATCATCCTTTTTAAAAACTTCTTATTTTAATCCTCTATATAGAAAAAAGAATATAAATATGAAGAGTATGATATATATATAAATCACTTACTTTATTCCTGTTCCCTTGATCTACTTTTGACACCCTCACAATATTTTTTTTTTTTTTCGTCGTACAGGCCAAAAGAAAAAAAAAAATACTAATGCAAAATACTTCAGAGATATCTATCCTATTTATTAAGCATTCTAGCAGGAGAGCAAATTTTGTTTTTTCATTTCTCGTTCAAAAGTGATCATCATCGTACCAAATTTGGACTGAACATAGATGAAGACATTCTCTTTCATTTATCTTAATAACAATGTATATGATACATCCCAAATGGTAGAGTAAAATGAAAAACCAAATGCCAATATCGTCATTCCTCATTCAATAATGATCATCATCCAATGAAACTACCACCATTAGATTCCTTTAAAAAAAGTAGTTTAATATCATCTAATTTCATTTTATCGCTTATCTTGCCACCTGATCCGCAATGAGCACAAAAGCATTTTGTTCATTTTTCGAAAAATTGCCTGACAACCCCTCGACGATTTATTTTTACAGCCAAAATTTGGCTGAGGAGTTTGAAAATTTTGGCTGTAAAATGGAGAACATCGATCCGTTTTTTTTTTTTTTTTTTTTTTTTCAGATGGCTTTTTTTCTCAATGAGCAAAAAGAGTTTGAGATTGGAAGGGATGAAAAATTCGAACCATTTCTACATCATCCTATAAAATATTGTCATTTATTCCCATTGGCTGCACTGCTAAAATGGTTACCTTGTTTCATAGCGAGAAATTCGATTCATAACATCTTTGCATTAAGCTGTAATGTCACATGTGATAAACATGTTACCACTTTATACCTTTGTAGTTCACTCAAAAGTCATCATCATTGCTCCAAATTTGGATCGAAGATACATAAGCATACTCTCTTTCATTTGTATTAATAATGATCTATATCTTAACTTCCAATTTATAGAATAAATTAAAAAATAAGAGTCAATATCATCATCTTTCATGCAATAATGATCATCATCCAACACAATGATCATCATTGAATTCTGATCAAAAAAAAAAAAAAAAAAAATAGTTTAACATCATCTAATTCTATTTTATGATTTTTATGTTGTAATATACAATGATCACCAAAATTATTTCATTGATTTTTCCAGATCTAATGAATCTCAAACCTCGATATCATTTATTCAAGAAAAAAAAAGCACTTTTATTGGTTAATTTTTTACATAGGAGGTATCACAAAAGGCTTCAGAGCAATTGAAGCAAATTCATTTTGGTTGCACGAAACCCCTCTTATTTCCTGATTCAGTCAATTTTTTATGGAATTGAAAATTTGTCCGCTTTCCAGGTGTTCTATTTTTACACCTTTTGTTTTCCTTTTTTTTTTAATTCAAGTTTCTTTTGTTACTTACTTGTTCATGACTTTTCTTAAATGATGACTTTCCGCTATGCTGTCATCTTCATAGTTGTATTAGTTTCGTTAATGACTCTTCACTTGATCAACCATACAAGTACTATTAGTTCATATTCACCATCACTTGCGTTTGAATCTACTAGCAACACAACAACAACAACAACAAATCAATTGAGTACAGGTTGGAATAGTACTTTAACCATGTCCGCTATTGAAAAATCACCTTGGCTTTGCGATTGTTTTCATTATGGATCACCTATACCCCAACTATTACGAGACACACCTATTCCTGATCCTGATCCTATAACTGATGGTCAAGTAATACCACTTATTGAAATGACGAAATTGACGATACCCGACGATGATGTGATGAAGATCATCAACAACAACCTTCATTGGCCACGTACTTTAATTATCACAGTTGCAAACTACGGCATTCGACATTACGTATATAACTGGATCCGATCACTGGAAAGGACACACGAAGAACGATATGTGATAGTATGTTTGGACAAGGCATTATACGATCATCTATACAAAGCAGGCTATGGTAATCATGCATTTGTGATTCCGTCAACGTGGATGCACTATTCTGTTTCAAGTAATCTTGCCTCTTATCCTACACAGGACTATCGATTGATCACTTTTACCAAAAGCGTGGTAGTACAGCATATTCTTCATCTGGATATTTCGGCACTTTACTCTGATGTGGATGTGGTATGGATACGACCAAGAACAAGGGATTATATACGTGCATTGATGGATGTACGCGGTGGAGGAACTCATGTCCTTTTCCAACAAGATGATATGCAACAACATAGAATCAACTCTGGGTTCTTTTTGATGAGACCAACACCCATCATGAGAAGATTAATGGCTGATACAATATATATACAAGAACAACGCGAATTGGCATTATGGGACAATACAATAAAACATGAATATCAAACGACACAACAAATAGCCATGAATGAAGCTTTATCAAGATTAAAATTGGAATTACGAACATCTCGTGTGGTACTTTTGGATCTCTTTTTATTTCCTAATGGTGATACCTATTTTTATAAACGACTTCATGATATGTTGGGGACGAATCCTTATATTGTACATGCAAATTATTTGGTAAGAAAATAATAATATATATTTGGAACCTGAAATTAAAATAATCTACTTTTGATCTTTACTAATATATTTTTTTTTCTTGTTCCAGACCGGAGATGAAAAACTGGCAAAACTAAAGGAAAATGGACTTTGGTACGTGGATGATACTTGGTTAACCTCAATAGATGATAGTATTTTTTTATAATTTAGTTAGTTATTATTTTTTTTTTCTTTAATTGTCTCCGCATGAAATATGTGATGGCTCTCATTTATTGTTTATCATAAATAAAAATAGATTTTATAGTAATGTCTCACTGAACAGCCAATGATGTCTCCTCCGTGGAGCGGATGTATAATGTTAAAAATAAAAAAGTAGGATTTCAAATTTCCCAATTTATCTTTTTTTTTTTTTTTTTTTTTTTCCTTCTTCTTCTTCTCTTCATCTTTTTGTTATTCCATACCATTGATATATTTACATCAGTATGACTATTTCCACATCTTTACCTATTAGTGAAAATGAATTTCAAGCTATCAAGGCTCGTTACCAAGCTGCTGGACAAGATCATTTATTTACCTTTTTTGAAGAATTAGGTCCTACTGAACAACAGTCTTTATACCAACAATTACTTGAGTTTGATGTGGAACGTATCAATCAAATTTATCACAAAGCTATTGAAGGTGCTGCTAAACAAGAAGAATGTAATGTGGAACCTCTTTCTGAACAAGTCTTTGATTCTGTCTTGACGGCTTCTCCACAATCCTTGAAAACTTGGGAAACTTTGGGTTTAACAATGATTGCACAAGGCAAGGTCGCGGTCATCCTTATGGCAGGTGGTCAAGGTACTCGTCTAGGTTCCAGTGATCCTAAGGGCTGTTATGATATCAACCTTCCTTCCAAGAAGTCCTTATTCCAATTACAAGCTGAACGTATTCTTCGTTTACAAACTTTGGCTCGTCAATACAAGAAACCAACTGATCCTGCCGAGTCCATCATTCCTTGGTATATTATGACATCTGGTCCTACTCATCAACCTACTGTGGATTACTTTAAGAAGCATAACTTTTTTGGTCTCAAGGAGGAAAACATCTATTTCTTTGAACAAGGTACTTTACCTTGTTTGACTATGGATGGAAAAATTATTTTGGAATCAAAGAGCAAGGTAAAAAGTGATAGAAGTGAAACAGGAGTATTACGTGGATATACAAAGTGGCACAACAAGGGGGGGGGGATATAAAAACAAAAAAAAAAAAAAACAATTCTAACTTCTTATTTATGATTAGGTTGCTATTGCTCCTGATGGAAATGGTGGTATCTATGCTGCAGTTCAAAACAAAGGTGTGATTGCTGATCTCAAGAAACGTGGTATTCTCTATTCTCATTGTTATTGTGTGGATAACTGTTTAGCCAAGGTAGCGGATCCTGTTTTTATTGGTTACTGTGTATCCAAACAAACGGATTGTGGTGTCAAGGTTGTTGGAAAAGCTGCTCCTGAAGAACCCGTGGGTGTGGTATGTCGTCGCAATGGAAATTATGGTGTGGTGGAATATTCAGAAATCTCTAAAGAAGTCTCGGAACGACGAAAAGCAGATGGATCATTAGCATTTGGTGCTGCCAATATTGCCAATCATTTCTTCAGTACTGAATTTTTGGAACGTGTACCAACCTTTGCCTCTCAACTCGAATATCACATCGCAAAAAAGAAGATCAAGTATGTGGATTTACAAACGGGTGAAGTAGTGGCTCCTACTAGCAATAGTGGTATGAAATTGGAATGCTTTGTATTTGATGTATTCCCCTATGCCAAGAGCTTGTCAGTGTTGGAAGTGGATCGCAAGGAAGAATTTTCACCTTTGAAGAATGCTCCTGGTTCTGGTGCTGATTGTCCCGAAACATCAAGACGTGATATCATTGCTCAACATGCTCGCTTCATCATCAATGCTGGTGGCCATATCAATGGTGACTTGAATGATCCTTTGGTCCAATTCGAACTATCTCCCTGGGTGTCTTATGGTGGTGAAGGTCTTCAAGATATTGTGCAAAACAAAACAATCACGCTCCCTGCTATCATTGAAACTAAACAAGATTTGATTAGATTAGCTCTTTGATGACATATAATCATATTTCCTTTTCTACCTTTTTTTTTTTTTTTATTTCCATCTTTATACTCTTCTTATTATATTATTATTATCTTGTGTTGTTGTTGTTTTTTTTTTATATATATTATTCTTATTATCACAATAGTATACTTTGATTCTCGTTTCTGGATACCAATTAGAGTAGATTTTCTTTTTAATGACTGGAAAAATAAAATAAAATAAAAGAATAATCATATCCTACAACAATAGAAAAGAAAGATAAGACTTTTCACTTTTTGCCATGCATCATACTACTACATACATCATCCCCATTATAATACCCATTCGTCCATTCAATACATACTGTAGCATCACGCTGTAGCATATAATACATTGATCCGTACCTATACAGAAAGATTCTATTGATTTATTGAGATAAAAAAAAATTGCCAATAATTAGGCTTAAAAAAAAAGGGAACCGAAATACATATAAAATGGATGAGACTAACTAATGATTAATCAAAGGATGTAATGGATGATGTTGTGGGGATAATCGTATTTTGTTCCATATCAATGTTGAATAAACGTTCCCATTCTTCTGAAGGTATAAGGGATCCGAATAATTGTGTCATGGTATCACCAAGCTATATATAATACAAAGGGATCAATATCATGCATATTTTTTTTATTCCCTCTTTTAATCTTACCTTATCCAATTCACGAATGATATCTTCCATCATGGTAACATAAGCATAATAATAGATATAGACATGATCCTTTTCCAATAAATGTTGATGTTCCACGGTTGGTAGGTGACGCAAATGAGATAGTAGATCTTTCCAGGCTTGTCGAGCAGGAGGGAAGTATGGAGGAAGAGGTGTTTTCAATCGTAAAGCAGAAGCTAATAGATAAAAATATAACAAGACATTACCCACCAATTGACGACGTTCATGACTGACTGGGATAACGAAATCACGCTGCACTTCATCAAACCAGGCATCCTTGAGTATCAATGTCCGCATTGATAAGAATTTATCCACAATATTTTGACATGAATCGAGCATGGTACGATAAGTGGTTACCGGAAATTTGCCTTTGAGACGTGGTTCATTAGGTGTTTGTAATAAAAGTGCTTGCAAATCAATCAATGTGCGTTGTAGTTCCAATTCAAAATTCATAAAGTTTTTCGTCAACAGTTTCCGTTGCATATTGGGTGTCAGATGATAGACTCTTGTATTCGGTGATCCTTCACTGCTGTTGTTGTTGTTGTCACTGCCGTCGTCATCATCTTCATCACTGATATCTGCCTTGGCACCCCGTATCACAATCATTTTATCCGTAGGTTGTTGAGAATAAACAGATACCAATTTTTGATATAACCAAGCCAACCGTAGTAAAAAATCAGACATACCTTTTCGTAATTCCACACGAGCTTCATAAGGCCATATATAAGCTGTCACCAGTAAACCTGCGACAACACCCACCAAGATAGCAACACACCGTTGGAATGCCAAAAACCATACTTCAATTGTATCTGTTTCACGATCATTGTATTTGTTGAGCATCACCAAGTTATATGCCAAAAGTGTGAATTGACCGAATTTACCATGCTTGTGGTTCAGAATCAACCAGAAATTTGGAATGGAAAATAACCAAGTGAGAATTGGAAGTGCATACATGTTGCCAGGGAACAACAAATAGAATATCACCGCGGAATAACAACCAAGAATCGTTGAGAATATACGGTAAATGGCTACTAAGTTTGTTCCACCCACTGTAGGAGTCATCACCACCATTAACTAACCAAAAAAAAAAAAATGAATATTGAATATACTCAATATTCATATATTTTGTTTCCCAATCAAGTAATCATAACTCTCTTACCGTAATCAAAGCCCATTCCATTCTCCATTCACGGAACCAGGGACCAGTTCTTTCCAAAAATGCTGGAGTGGCCATTAATGTTGCTGCTAAAGAAGCCTTAATAGCGTACCGAATTTTTTGTTCCTTGAAGAGAGAAAACGTTTTCCATAATCGAATGAAGAATCTTCGCCATTTTGTCCTTGCCAAAGGAGTATGTAAAGTATTAGTCATATTGCGTTCATTAGGAATGAAGTCTTGATAGGATGAACTAAAAGCAGATTCTACCAATAAGAAAACAATTAGATCATCATCATTTTTTTTTTATCAAATACACACACTCGTTCCTTTTCATTTTTTTTTCTTAAAAAAAAAATAAAAAATAAAAAATAAAAAAATCTCTTACCAGGATTTATCTTGTGATGATATTTTTTCTTTGTAAATAACCCCCTTAACCATCCTAGTCGAGTTTCTTTAGATTCAGCCAATCTTCCTACAGATTCCACCAAAGGTATGAGTTGTCGTGCAAATTCTACCATATTGAAGACGAAAAAGTATACCAAAAACACTTCTTCCCCAGGAGCATTGTCTATCTCTTTGCCATTACATAGTTGTTGGATTCGTCGTTTGTGTAGTTTGTGTAGCGCTTGTCGTTGTGCCACTTCAAAAAGTGCAATTGCCTTGACCAAATTATCGTTGAGTACTTGAGCAGTTGGAATTGATTTCCTTGTTCGAGGAGATACAAGAATACCTGAATAAAAGTGAGATTGAAGATGCAGAAGTGTTTGTTTGCAGGTATATGCCAAAGACTTGAGTGGATGTTTGATAGTTGAGATATAATCAATCAAAATACTATATTCATCTTCCGGAATATCCATGTTTCTATCTGTATGATGATGATGATGATGATGCATTGTTTCTGTGGTCATTGACGAACGAGGAAGATCAGTGCTATGAGATCGGCGAGGTACTGTTGTTGTTCTCTGTCTTTTCAATTCATCCTGCATTTTTCGACGTCGATATCCAGCACGTACATTCCATGTTTCTGTAGGATTAGATGTTTCTGGTGTGCCCACTATAGTTTTGGATCGTTGAGGTTTTCTTTTTCCTTGAGTTGATGGTCGATTGATGAGTTCAAATTGCAATCCACAACTACTTCGTAATCCGCCTATGTACTGCGCCAGTCGTTCCATGTTTCCCACTACTTGTTCGTATTCCTTTTCATGACCACGTATATCAGAGCTCCATACTCTTTCCAATTTAGCTTCCTTGAGTGATTTCTGTAATGAAGTGAAACTGGATCGATGTGCCTCAATAGCAGATTGTAAAGTGCGGTTGGCTTTGAATTCAGGTAGATCATCATCCAATAAGAAGGTTTTGGTCAACAGCTTCAAGAGTACACGATAGGAAGATAGTGTAACATTAATATCCTTGCTATTAATAAATAAATAAATAAATAAAAATTTTTACAATAGGAAGTAGATCTTTTTTTTTTGTCTTACCAAAGTTTCTTTGTAGCAGATACTGGCCAAAATAGAATACAACTTGTAACAGTAATCAGAGTACCAGTTGCCACAGCCGAAGTGATTTGTTCAATTCTTGTGGTATCAAAGTCCCCTAAATTTGCAGATCCTTCTCTTACAACGATAATAAAGATGATAATAAAACAAAGACTAGATGCTATCAAAATCAAACTGATTAGTTAACAAAAAAAAGATAAAAAAGGTTACGAATTTACCAGTAGCAACAGGAGGTTTATTCCAATGAGCCTTGAGAAAAGCGACAATAAAAGTAGATCCAGCCAACCAAAAGATCAAAGAAATAGCATGTGCGACATCAAAATAACCAAGATCCACAAAATAGTCAGTAGTGATCATTGAACCTATACAAATGATAAGAGCAAATAAAGTATAACCCCAACCATAGGCAGCAGCCTCCACCATACCACCTAGAGTTTTCGCAGGATTGAAGAAGACAGTTGCTGTGGCGACCAAATGACTTGAAGTTCGATTATGACCAATAAACGCGTTGAGTACAGGTACAAAAGTAAATAAGGACGCTAAAAAGTAAGCAAAGCTGCATTTGAGGACCATTTTGCTTTGAGGTGTGAGAGTAATCATTTGTAAACATCTTCTAAGGGTAAGACCCGGGTACTGATACCAAACAGGATGTTGTCGAAATGCTGTTTCGTCCACAACATGATATTGTCTTCGCCTTCGTCTACGTTGTTCTTGCTGTTGTTTAAGTGGATGACTAGGTGGAAAAAAAGGATCATCAGAATCGGAATCACTAGAGGTATCGGAAGTGTCAGTACAGGAGCTGTCTTGTTCGTCAGAGGAGCTATCATTGTTGTGAGTACTTTGATAATGTTGGTTTCTACTATTGAATAGTAATGGTGTAGTTTCCAAATTCCCATCTCTAATAATAATAAAAATAAAACATTTAGTTCGATCTTTTTTTTTTTTTTTTTTTACCTAGAGTTATTGGAGGTATGTTCAGAAGGTTCATCTTGATCGGGTAAAGTAGATAAAGATACTGATCTTTTTTGGATCGTTCCATCATCCATGATAACTTCGACTTCACTTGACGTTGGAGAGCGCGGACCCGAAGACTGACTGAAGGACTGGAAAGAAGTTGTTGGGAAAGACTGGGGAGAGCATGATAGGTGTTGAAGATCAGTTTGAAGTATATATTCTGGAAGAGTAGGAGTAGCATTTTTAGGAAGTCTCTTTTGATCCGGTGGATCAGTCATGATAAGAAAGTATGGAAAGAACCAAGTGAAGAAAAAAAAAAAAAAAAAAAAAGAAAGGAAAAAGCACAAAAAAAAAAAAAACAAACTCTTCTTCTGCAAAAAGAGAAAAGCATGACCACGAATTTTATATTCCGCTATCTTTTATTTTTTTTTTTTTTTCATTGATATTGAGAAAAAAAAAACCTTGTTTCTCTTTTTCCTTTTCTTCCCTTTTTGAAAAACCAAAACTATAATAACAATATGACTGAATATCATCAAAAGACAAAGATTGCTATGATCTTATGTTCCTGTTTCTTTGCCTTTGGTGTAAGTTGTTTAATTATCATGAAAAGAAAATAATATTAAACTTTTTTTTTTTTTATTTATATCTTTAGTCATACTGGTCAGATTGGGCCTTTGACTATTACTTATTATGGGCCAATCCTGCTGAACACCCTACTGCTGTTTCTCGTGCTGCTGTAAGTTCCTTTCATCATCTCGACTTTATTGTTTTTTATGTTATATTTATTATTATTATTTTATTTTAGCTCTATTATACTACTCAATCAGAAGTACCTAATATTTTGAAATATATTCCTTTGGTGAACTTGTTGATAGCTGCTGCTGGATTCTCGGCTGGTTTAGCGAATATGACCGATGGAAATATGCTTTTTGATGGTGCGTCTATTGGTAAGTGAATAAATTATTTGAAGACGTGTTTTTTTTTACGAGATATATATTTATATTTGTTTTTATGATTTAAAAAAAAAAAAATAGTATTGCTCTTATTTGGAATATCCACTTATGCCTCCTCTGTTAAACCAGGTAATGGATTGAATGAATTACATGAAAAGGGAGCGTGACGGATCATATATTATTTGATTCGATTCGCTTACGTAATATTTTTTGATTTGATATATAGCTCTAGTTGTGATTACTGAATCCAAGGATGATGCAGAAGTATTAGCATCTTTGAAGAATATTGCTGCTGCTCATTTTATCATCGTTTTGGCTGTTACTGGTAATTAAAAAAAAAAAACCTTAATTTAAAGTGGAAACGAATCACATACTCACACATTAACTTTCCCACCATTATAGGCATCGTTGGACTTCAACTTGCTCATCTTTTTGTTATGAAAAAGACCGAAAAGAGTGAACGCTTGGAAAAGGCTCAAGAACCTGTGGATGCATCTGCCTCTAACAAAAAGAAGGATTGAAGAATGATTAGGCATGATTACTTTTAATACTTCTTTTTTTTCGTTTTTGTATTTTATGGTGATTTTGAAAAAATAAAAAGATTATCGGTATCTCAATTTTTTTTTCTTTTTCTTCCTTCTTCTATATTTGTTTGTTGTGTTGTAGTTTAGTTTTATATATTTTTATACTCTTTTGTTCTTTTTTTTTTGATGATAATGACAACCACAACTTCAACAATGTGTGAGCAAGATCCATTGAATGGTGTGTGCAAAGAATTAGATCGATTAACTCTATCCTATCTCACAATACTCAACCAATATACCCAAGATAGAGCAGCAATCAGCAGTGAACTACAAAAAGTAAGTCAACCTCTATCTTTAGTACTTTTCTGCTTTAACATACACATACACACAGACACATATACTCACTGAAAAAAAAATAGGGATTCCTTGACTTGGCTCATGCGAAATATACTATGGGTGCCAAAACCATATCACACTTCTCCTATGATGAACGAATGAAAGCACAAATACAAATGTAAGTTTGAATCAGTAAGACAAGGAAAAAAAATATATAACATCTTTTATTCCTTGGTATGATATAGAGATGTAGACTATAAACAAACACTACCCTACACCATATCGCGCGTACAGTCTGAAGATGAGAACAATTCGGAAGCAACCAAGACAACTAACAAAACTGATACAACATCAATAACAACTGGATCAAAAAAATCCACGACAAAGAAAAATACCGAGCTACGACAGAGAAAGGATAACGACACTGAATGGATGCAAAAGAACCCTGATGATGTAACAGAAAAGGAAGAATACGAAATGGATGAAAAGAAACCAACCAACAAGAAGAAAGGAAACAAGGTTAATAAAGTGAATGGAAATCCTCTACATTGGTTTGGTGTGTTGGTCTCACCTTCTTTGCGTACATCTCAGGAACATTTTCAAACAGGTAGGATGACCATTTGTGTATGCAATCACACGCGTGTGTGTAGGCGTAGGGTGATGATCATTCAAACTAACTATTTATATGTATATAATTTATCACTTTTTAAAATTTAGCTCTCACCCACTTGATTGATATGGCCAACCTTGTTCATGATATAGAAAACTTGGAACAACAATACAAGGCATTAAAAAAAGATAAACAAGCTCGGATACAAGAAGCGAATACTACGACTCTGGTGGATGATGACTGATACAGTAGTTTTATCGGCTAGTTAGATACATAATTATTTTTGGTAGTGTACTAGTTAGATACATATATTTGATACAACACTTGATATCATTTTGTTACATTGTATATATATAATAAAAAACCGGTTTTGTTTACTGATTTCTTTATTTTTGAATCGTTATGATAGCAAGGGCAATTTGTACGAACTATATATTGAAAACGGAAATGTAACAAAGATAAAAAAAAAAAAAAAAAAGCTAAAAAAGTAACTACAAGAAGAAGAGGAATTGAATGCTATAAGGAAGAAGGGGAAAATAGACAAGGTAGATAAAAGGAAACAGATGCATACCAATGATCATCAGTGTATGTTTCAAATATTTTGTTCAGGTTGGCGTAAGGACTCAAATGTTTCTTGATCAACAAGCTATATACATATATATATCGAGTCATTATTTACTGTGGAAGACGTGTCTAGTTTTTTTATTTTATTTTATTTTATTTATGTTTCCTTACCTGTAATTTGCGTCCACTATCGCGTATAACTTCATTTTGATCTCTAGGAGTGCTAGAATAAAAAAAAAAAAAAAAGAAGAAGATATTTTGTCAGTAATAGTCAAAGAACGGAATAAAGACCATATATGTAAAACTTACTCGTCCACATTGGCAATTTCATCGGTCAAGTTTCCCCAATTTCCGTAGCCTCCACCCGACTTTTTAACTGGACTACGAATATCAGTCAAACCATTTCTATATAATAGAGAAATAAAAAAAAAATATTGAATACTTAAAAAAAAAACAGAGAATAGCATTCCTTTTCTATACCTTGCTACATGTCGTTCATGCTTGTTGTTATAAACAGATTGCTTGCTTCTAGTCATATTTTATACGTAAGGGGAATTTTAAGTAATTTTTTTATAGGACGTGAGAGAGTATTTGAATATATATAGTGTGTGTGAAAAAAAAGTATAGAAAAGAGAAACAACAAAAAAAAAAGTGTCAAATGAGGTGATTTTATACCAAAAGTCGGGTGGGAAAAAAATCATGCGCCTTCTGCTTGCAATTAAGATACCGCATGGTAATAGAATAGTGGACTTTCCCTTTTTTTTTCACTATATTAGATATAATATAATGATGAAATGACCAATGACTGATTTTTATGTATTAGTAGGACAATATGGTGCTAATGGAATAATACTAGGTAAGCGAAATGTACTAATGGTTACATAAAGTGTATAAATCATTATGCCGACCCCCCACAACACCAGTATAGAGTCGAGCAGAATATCTAGCCTTTTCTCCGCGATCCTAATATGGAAGATCCCTAAATAAAACGAAACAACAGTTTAATCATCCGTTGTCTTTCCTTGTTCTTTTTCTTTCAAACCTGGAAAAATGTAACACAATGGTATGCAAGCAATTGATCCAACTAGAATTAAAAAAAAAAAAAAAAAAGTGTTGCATTAGTGTGAGCTTCCTTTTTTGGACTGAGTCTTCCCATTGTCATTTCCTTTATCCACATATATATCAATCATCATCATCCATCAAAGACATACTTACCAAAAGCTACAAATTTATCCAAATTGTCACCACCAATCAAATAGGCCATCGTTGCACAGCCAGTGGTCAATACACATCGAAATATATTTTTTAACCATCGAATACGAATATCCTGTGATCCTGATGGGCACTTTTGAAAGACACCATTTTCGATGATTTTGATAGCAGGGAAGAGCATTAGTGGAATACTATAAAAATAGACATATTAGGAGTCAAATCTTTCCACTCTTTTTTTTTTTTTTTTTTTTTTTAAAAAAAAAAAAAAAAAAAAGAATAAATGAGGATGGCTACTTGCGATAAGACAATAGCAATGGAATACAACAATTGAACAGTGATGGTCAAACCACTGGCAGGAGGGAAATTATAAACGACGGCAGCTTGAATTTGATCACCATATGCTAAATAAGACATGGAGCCGACAAGGATATAGATAACACAGATGATGATGGTTCCTAAAGAGACTACAAGAGGGAATTTATCAGGTTGTTCCATGGATTCAGCAATAGGGATGACTAAGCCAATGCCTTCAAAAGAAAAAGTAGCAGTACCGATCATCAGAGCAAAATTGGATGGATTAACAGCTTGGATATGTTTGCCAACACCATGATGAATCAGTTGAGAAGATGTAAAATAAAGCACACAGATCAGACCGAATACGATGAACATATCAGCGAGGATGACAGCCAAGGACAATTTGGCAATATGTCGTACAAGGATCAAAGGGATGACAATCAGCAATGGCATCCAAATATAGGATGCTTGAGGGATCAATACAGAACACTGAGAAAGTACATGCATCACACTCACCAGATTACCAGAGATAAAAATGAAATACGAACATACAAATCCTACTTGCGAGATGATGATGAAAAATAAAACAGTATATCGTACTCCTTGCCCATACAACCTATGACCCATGTCACCATAGGATCCACCAATCACTTGTTGTGTTTTGACTAGTCGTAAAAATGAAAATAAACAGATCGATGCAATCAACACCATCAATGCAATCGATAAGGCCAATCCTCCATTTTCGAATCTTTATATATAATATATAAAAAGGAGGGATATTAATTATCTTTTTTTTTTTTTTTAATTATAGTTTCTATTTCAATTACCCTTTTGGTAAAAATAGAACACCAGATCCAATGAAAGCCTTTAAAAACATAAACATGGCTTTTTTTGCTGATGATGTAGGATGATTTGTGTCATTGATGGATGGATCGTCCACTTGATCGATTTTTTCTTTATTATTCTCGATGGTATTGTTTTTTTTATTAGAAGATAATTTCAGTTCAGAATGATGACGACGATGATGATGATGATGATGATGATGATCCCATCTTTCACTGGCAAAATGACAATTGTACAAGGAATACGATGACACTGAATGAGTGAATGATTTTGTGCTTAAAAGGGAAGGACGTTCTTGTGGCCACTTATTGTTAGTATGATGATTTTTTTTTGATGCCAATGGAATAGTTAGATGCTCTCGACAAGATGTAGCAGAGGATGATTGCTCTGATTCAAGTGTTATTTTTTTCTTTTTTGATGAATGATCAGCAGGTGTACTGGATAAATCATCATCATCACTTGTTGTCATGATACATCAATGGTATTATGTAAAGGTTTAAAAAAAGAAAAAAAAAAAAGACAGGGAATGCAGTAAGGAAAGTAGAAAACAAAAGGTTAGGTATAGGAATTTTTTTTTCTCTCCCCTTCCCTCTTTTTCAACATATCGAAACTACCGAGCTTAATACAACTAAGATTTTTTCGGTTTTCTTTAGTCTTAAAAGTCGTGATTTCGTTAGTATATTTGAAAAGACAGGGACAATAGGATGATAATTACCCGACCTGTCAGATAGTTATCCAGAATAAGTGTCTATGCGCGGCGTTCTAAAAGGACGTGATTTGCCACTGTGTCAGATTTATCCATCAATATTTTTTTTTTTATTTTTTTTTTCCTTTTTCTTTTCCTTCCTTCTTCTTTCTTTATTTTGTACCTTACTTATAGAGCATGCTCAAACCCAACCTACATATCTTATTCCATGTTCCCGAAGGTAATAGATAACTTGACCAATGCCATTATCATATGGCTTTATGAACTCAATTTTTTTTTTTTTTGGTGATTATTCGTTTTACTCTTTAGGTTTGGAACAAATCGCGATTGTTGATCTAAAAGAGACAATTTTACCCTTTGAACTTGCTGATCCTTTGGCCACTATCTTTATTGCTGAAGAACGTACAGGGAGAGTTCATTTATTTACCAAACTCCAACAACAACATGATACAAAACTATGGCTCCAGTTTCTGATTCACGTTCCTCTACTTAGTGTTTACCATATGACGATCATCACCTCTACTACTGTTGTACCTTTTGATATTTATCACGATACTCATGCCGATGCACTTGGACAATTTGTGTTTGATGCCACCAAAGAAATACCTTGGTCTGACTACATTCCCAACATGATCAAACGAAACAATGACAGTGTATCTTCAACTACACCTACTTTTCGAGCAACATTTTATAAGGATCAATTACAGCATAGTACCAAGTCGCAAGCACTTTCGGGATGGATGGGATATGCCTACAGCCAACTTTTCCCAGACTGGAAGGTCAATTTGACAAAATATGATTACGATGTAGTGGCAGTATGGGGTCGAAGTCGTGATACAGCACTTTTGGGTCATTTTGGTATATTTGATATAGATGATAATGATGATGGTGACGACAAGAATGAACAACAGTTACAACAATTGGGACCTATTCTACTTTATATTGGATTCGATATTCCTATTCCCGACACCAAATATAGAAATCGTGTACTTTTGGGTAGAACAAGTTTGAATCCTCCTATAGCTTTTTGTTTGGTCCGTCTTGCTTGTCCTTTACCTGGTCAGATCATCCTAGATATGTGTTGTGGCACAGGTATGTATAAATGATCTATTAATGGATGTTTATTGAACTGACTGTCTTTGTTTCTTTATTATGTAGCAACTATTCCTATTGAAGGTAAAAAAAAAAAAAAAAAAAAAAAAAAAGAAAAGGAACTCTTATCAGGATGATTATTAAGTTTTATTATTTTTATTCTTCTTTTTATTATTATAACTGGACGACGATTTTTATATGAATAGGTGCATCCAAATATCCAGATACGCTTTGGATCGGTGGTGAAGGTAAATACATAAAAGAGAAAAAAAAATGATATCAAAAGAATTGTTGATTCAATATCTTTTATATATATATTTAGTCGTTCCGAAAACACTTTGTATCAAGGCCAAAGAAAATAGGCAACACGCTGGTGTCCAGAATGTGGAATTGATACTCAGTGATAGTCGAAGGCTGAATTTTAGACCCGAATGCATTGATACCGTGATCTCAGGTACATCATACTTGTTTTCTTTTCCCCCCTTGAAAATTATATATATATATTTCTAATTTTATTTTTATAATAGATTGGCCATGGGGTGTTCGGGAAGGATCTTATTCTACCATCACAAAGGTAACAATCCGGGAAAATGTATATATAGAAATGATTCTAATAAAAAACTTTATTATATATATATAGTTATATCCCAAGTTTATGCGTCAACTAGGAAAGGTGTTACGTCAAGGTGGAAAGGCATATATAGTATCACAAGGGAATAAACTGATGCAAAGGACACTAGATTACGATTGGGTACAAAAGATGTTTAGTATAGAAGAAAGTTTACCTATAGCTATTGGTGGATTAGGTGTTTGTGTTTATATTTTGAAAAAGAAATAAAAATCCTTGTTTATCTCATGTTCTCAAATGATGTCTGAATGAATAAAATTGATTGGTGGGGGTGAATGTTGAAAGTTTATATATATGATGATGAACAGAGTTTCGGGTCCACGTGATGGCACTCTTTTGTCTTATTTTTACCAATGATTTGACAGCATGTGCTGGTAAATAAAAAGTAGATCTTTTTTTTTTTTTTCTTATCGTCATTTTCTCTCCAATCATTTTGCATTTTTAACTGACTATTGATCATTATGTGGTGGTGTGAGGGTTCTCCGCATGAGGGGGGTAAGGCGGGAGAAACAACAAAAAAAAAAAAAAAAAGAAAAAAAAAAAGAGGAAGAGCCAAGCATCGGACTCTTAATCCTCGGATGACCCAATCAGGACCACACGTGTCAAAAATACTTCAACATGATTGGCAGTTGAACTTGTTTTGAATGCCTTAACACGCTTGATCTTTCTTTTTTTCCATTGGAAGATACATAAAACGAGATATGATTTTCCTCTATTCTTTTTTTTTTCTTTCTTTCTTTCTTTCTTTCTTTCTTTTTTCTTTTTTTTTTTTATTATTATTTTTCTTCATCATGTCATCACCAATTGCCTCCTCTCCTTTAAAGAAACGGCGTCGATCCTCCTCGTCCTGTGATGAATCATCGAATAAACGACCATCCATTAGTCAATCAAGCTCAGCATTGGCACCTTTACCGCCACCTATGCTTTCAACCAACCATCCAGCATCACCATCATCGTTAACTCCAGGTATTGCTTATTATCCTGTTTATACTACACATACTGGTCATTTTTATATTGCATCACCACCATTACATCCTTCGTCACCATCACACCCTACCAAGATTTTACCTAAACTCCCTACCTTACCACCCTCTCCTACTCCTTATACATTTTATCATCCATATCCATCATCATCATCATCATCATCTGATTATCCCATCACGACGGCCGATCAACGAGAACAAGCAAGAAAAGTATCACATAGTGCAATTGAAAGACGACGACGAGAAAGAATCAATGACAAGATCATGCAATTGAAAAAATTGATCCCCACCTGTGCCGATCAAGATAATCTACACAAGATGTCCATTTTACAAAGTGCCATTGATTATATCACCTATCTTAAACAAGTCGTACCTGCTACCCATCCAACGCCTCTGCCTGTCCAACGTCGCTCCATGTTACCAAAGGAAGTCGAGCCTTATACCAATCAATTCAGTACAAGACCTGTCTCGCCTCCCTTATCCAATGATGATGATGATGACCATCATTCTTCTTTGAAACCAAGTGATCTCTTATTATCCACTCCTTCTTCCACCAAAAATATGAGCTTAAAAAACATTTTATGTTAGTTCTCTTTTTTTTTTTTTTTTTTTTTTTTTGTTTGTTCATAGTACCTATTTATCTATCTATTGATTCAATAAAGCTATCTGTTATTTTGATGTATATACATATGTTGAATGTCCAAAAATGGAGTGTGTGTACAATAAGTTTATTATGATGATTTCTTTGTAAAATATAATTAAAACTGACTAATTAAATTAATATCTACTTTTGATGCGAGAGATACAAAGGAGAGGGGAATAGAATGAATATAAAAAAAGGGTGAATCATAAGATCTACATGTTCAAAGTACGTTTTGTCTAGGCCGAATCCAAAAGAAAATAGGTGATGAAGAAGTGTCCCAAACAAATCGATTCCGTCCTCGCGAATGATCAACCTTCTCATTGGTACTATCTGTCGTCAAGTGATTGCGTTGACGTATCTGAGGAAGAGATAAAGACGAAGCATTCACCATGCCTGATGGTGTCATATCAGAACGGAGGGAAGAAGAAGAAGAATGATGATGTGGTGAGACGGCAGATGACGAGTTCAGGGGAAATGCTGATGTTGGGAGTGTTTTGCGATGTTGATTTTGGTGCTGCCACGGTCGAGAATCCAATCCTATTCTAACTACAGGTCCAACTTCCTTTGTCATGCTTGGTGGATGATATTTCAATAACTTTGTCAATCGCCGATGATTCGTCATATTTTGCTTATCCTTGTCGTTTTGTTCGAGATTCATGGTCGGCGACGCCATCGGAGGAGTATCAATCAATAAGTATTTCAATGACTTGAACCAATCTGAATATGCTCCATCATCTGTACACTGAATCTTGAGACCACGGTGAGACGTTTGGATATAGAAACTTGGGATTTTTTCATTACGAATGATCACAAAAGATTCAATCATCACTAAATAAAAGTCATCAACAAAAAAAAAAAAAAAAAAGATGAGTAGCTTGTTTATTTTTCAAGGATAAAATAATAATAATAATAACAATAACTTGCCACATTTTGTACTATATTCGCATCCATCTAGACCGGGTTCTTGATTGCTCCAGTATAAAGTCTTTGAATAAGGATGTAACCAAAAGAATCGCTTATGTTTCTTTTCAGAGATACCACTCCCTACCACCTTTCTTGTATATTTCCAAATCCAATCACCAATCATCGTTCTTGTCAACGCCCGTATACATCTTTTATTATCATCTTGACCAGTAAAATGTGGTTGTGGTGTTACACTATTTCCAGTATCCGTCTTTTTACTGCCATCATCATTGTCATGAATGATCCCTAGTTGTTGTGATGGTGAATCCTTCTTCCTTGCTGATTGATAAATATAACTTTCTGTGGCTAAAAGTGATCCATAGTTAACTTGCTCTTTCTTGTCTTCCTCCGAATTGATATGTTGAACTTGTACCACTTTTGATAGCGATGTATCGTCACCTAACTGATGATCATTGTTATTGTTATCATTGATACTGCGTGGGGGTTGCGTAGTAGACTTCATTTCCATGATTTCATTAAGATTGGTTTGAGTCGGAAGCGTAGTGCATGACCATTTCCTTGCTATTACTCGTGGAACAACAGATAATGAATCATAATTGTTTCTGTAGCTGTTACTTATAGTATGTTCGTTATTGCCGCTATCTCGCTGATGAATGGTATTGCTGCTGTCATTATCATCACTACCTTCGCCATTTGTGGTATTGTAGTCATCCCTATCATTACCATTATCGTTGTTGTTGTTGTTGTTGTTGTTGTTGTTGTTGTTGTTGTTGTTGTTGTTGTTGTTGCTGCTGCTGCTGCTGCTGCTGTTGCTGTCATGACAATCGCCATCGTTTATTCTTTTGATGCTTTGACCATTTTCATTCTTGTTTGGATACAGTTTGGAGAAAATATCGTTCACGTCATTGGAGCCAGCCAAAGAGAGTTCATCACCAAGTGATAGACAATTCTTTCGATAGGTACGAGCTTCTTGCGTCATAACACGACCACGTTTTTGAGAATTTGGGGCACAAGCAGGAGTGGATGTTGAGGTTGTCATTTTGGAAAGAGAGTGATGTACAGAAGAGGATGTTGAAAGTGACGGTAGTAGAGTTGATGTTGTGACGTCCGAAGAAGAAGAAGAAGAATAAGGTAATAAATGATCATCGTCATCCTTTTCATTCTCTTCAATGGTTTCTTGAGCTTGACGCCATAAGGTTTCCATTTCAGTCCGTTTTTTTCGCTCATCTTCCAAAGAGTGCTGTAAGGATTGTATAGTGTCATTAGCGCGCTGTAAAGAGGCTTGAAGTTCCATATTGGCATTGATGAATTCATCTTGTTGTTGTCGATACCGAGTATTTCTGATGATGGGTGCTGAGAGTGGTGGAAGTGAAGTGGATGATGGTGATGGAACAGATTGAGATGGTATCAATAGAGGTGGATGCGGTAAATTTGAGAAGTCTAGTTGAGGGTCAGCAGGTAGACTATAACGATAGAGAGCAGAGGATGAGTCCGTTTGAATGGATGAACGTGGACGATCAATGAAGGATACATGGGAAGTATTGGTCATGGTTTTATTGCTAGACACCTGACGTTGTAATGCTGCGAGTTTTCTGCGAGTGATAGCCAAATCCAGTTTATCTTGCTCTGCACTTTGAATCGTTTCTTGCCAAGTGGTTTGTTGTAGTTTGAGTTGTTCTAGTTCATGTTTGAGTTCATATTCTTGATCGGCGAGTCGCGCATGATCAGTCAAAGTACGTTGTATTTGTTGTTGTAGATCATTGATAACCTGATTCAGTTCTTGCTTTTCCAATTCTAAATTCCAAATTTCTTCTTTGCCGCGTTCTATATCATCCACATCATCATCGTTCAAAAAAAAAAGAAAGAATGCATGAATAAAGGAGATAAAAAAAAAAGAGAGAGAAAAAAAAAAACAAAAGAGAAAGATGAACTTTTTCTATTGTGGCAATATCAAGTCAAAAAAAAAAAGGGGGGAAGAAATTTCATAAAGGAGAAGGAAACTTACCCAATTGGTCTGAACGTTGTTTTAATTGATTTCTGAGCTGGTCGATTTCTTGATAACAATCTGCTTTTTCCAATGTAAGACTAGTCAGGGAGTCATTCTTTTCTTGAAGGAGGCCTTGCAGTTTCTGTACTTCTACCAATAAACCGTGTCCAATTTCAGTAGCCAATTCAATATCCCCTTGAGGACGATTCTGCGCCAAGAGTGAGCAATATGTATTGGACTTCATCACCCGTCGATTATGTGAAATATTGTTATAACCTGTGGATAATGTTGGTAATGGGTTGGCCTATTGTATTTTTTTTTTTTTAAAAAAAAAAAAGAAATCATTTCAATTTATGTTCGGGATCATGCAATTTTTCCTTTTTTTGTACTACAGCTTACTTTGAATACTGTACTATTTTCTTGAGAGGATTCAACTACGAGATCATCTTGAAAGGATATTGACTATTTGAAGAAGAAGAAGTCTCTTATTTAGTTTTTTTTTTTTGTTTTCTTTCAAAAAAGTTTCATGCTACTTTTTTTTTTTTTTTTTTTTACCGATGTTACAGGAGAAGAGGAAGTTGAGCGCGTCATGGGGAATCAAAAGGAATTCAAAACGCCACTAAAACAGTAATAAATAGTAATTACTGTGTTATGAAGGTAAAGAAAAGTAAAAATAAAACTACTTGATAGGGTAGTTAAAATCCACCCCTGAATAGTTGTAGAATGAAAAGGAGAAAAGAAAGAAAAATAGAACAAAACTTGACCTTATTAATTGACCTTACCGGAGAATTAAATCCCACACAAACTGATAGTCGCCCTGTTTTTGTCATTCCACGGTGAAAAAAAAAGATTTTTTATTTTTATTATTATTGTTATTATTATTATTATTTTTATTATTTTTATTATCATTGAAAAAAAAAATGAAATAGCTAAAAGTAAAAATGATGGACAAAGTAGAAATGAACTACCAGAGTAAATATGTATATATTTATAATAAGAATAATCAAAGAAAGTGAATCTAAATAAATGTATATATATATATATATATACTGTGTTTTCAAATTATTTTTTTTTTTTTTTTTGCCAGATCACGAGAAATAGTTTCGTGATGTTATAAAAGTATCGGTCTTTCCCAAAATGGATGTCGCATTACTACTTTTTCAGATATAAATATGTCACAAACGTATTGATTGATGATTGATGATTGATGATGATATAGTATATTAATCATTCTCTTCTCTTTTTTTTTTTTTTTTTTTGAAATCTCTCTTGGTGTTCCGAATTCAAAGTAAATAATTAACCCGTATACAGCGACATACATAAATATGTTATCACCTCTTAGGAGAATGTATTTAATACAGAGAAGTCAAAATAAATATATAAAAAAAAATGGATATGTTGACTAAGTATATATATATTTTTTTTTCTGTTATTCAAAAATATCTTATACTCAATGGAACTACTACCAGTCCTTTTCTTCTTTCTTCTTGTATTCAATTTGGATTATGCAACAATTATCTTTTTTTGTTCTATCCTTACAATATTTTATTTCCTATTTTCGCAACACCTTATTTTTGAATTTCGTCATTTATTATTGAATAAAGTGTAACAATGCATGAGAGTAAAAAAAAAGAGAAAAAAAGGATCAAAATATAAAAAAGATAAAAAAACATAACTAAACAATATACATTTAAAGATCTATCCTAACCCCTAATAGTCAAACCACGTTCAGTTCCATTCCTATTTGCCCGACCAGTCTTATCCACATGATCCAGACCCAAAGCATCTTCAAACGTAAATTGATGTTCGCTTAACTTATATGAATCTATAAAAAATATATATATTATTATTATTCATTCTATTTCCCCCCTAAAATAATCATTTCTTACCATCTTCTAATGGAGTTGCAGAGTAAGTAGATACAATGCAAACCTTGACTTTGTTCCAATCCTTATCGTTCATACCAGTACGAAGTTGAAGTCGTTTCTTGGTTTGTTCCAAAGGTTCATCCTTGATAATCAAAAACTTGAAGGGCACCGAGTGTGTACGAGAGATATCACGTTGATAATGATATACAGTGGTCAGAACATCTTCTTCACCTTTTAATAATTCTTCATCAGGAATTTCTTCAGCATAGAGTTGACCAGTTTCAGAAATGGTGGAGATCGGGTCTGTCATACCGAATTCACGATGGAATCGATGATTGATTGCTTCAAATACTCGTACTTGTCGTGTTCCTTGATTCGATTTGAATTTAGCATTGCGTGCTTCCAGTTGATGTAATATATCACTAATTCGGCTTTGCTTGGGTAGGAGGAATTCTTCATATGTACCGTCACTGAGTGTTGGGGAGAACCATGTAATCTTGATCAATCGATTATTTTCTAGTTCTGTCAGACTGATGTCTAGTACTTCATAGGTCAGTTTGCATAAAGTGGATTCCATATGGTAATTGGATTTCTCAATATCAGCCAGAGTGCCATTGGGATACCTTCTTGTTTTTCTATCATCTTTGCCACCAGGAAGATGAAGCATGATTTTATCTGGATCTGCGTTTAATTTTTCCGCCACCTTGGCCACCACTTGTTCATATGTCATTGTTGTCTGTAAAACCAGGTCAAATTCCATATCAGGGTTACTTTCAGCAGGATAGAATCGTACAATCCTCTTATGGTAAAGGAAATTCATATAATCAGGAACAGATGCACAGAGATCGCGACTTTGTAAATCGTGGATTCTAATTCAATAGTATATATATCAAAAAACAAATTAATCTTCGCCTGTTCTTTTTTTTTTTTTTTTTTTAAATATCACCATCGATCCTACTTACTCAGCTTCACTAAGACCCTTTTGGATACAAATAATATCACCATCTTGGATTTCCGATTGTGAGAATGTCTTGTCCGTATCCATAAGTTCAATCATTTCAGGTTTGATTTCTTCATAGAGAACTAATTCAGTATCAGGAGCAAATCCAGCCATTTCATTCAAACTTTCAATGATAGAAGCCACCTTTGCGAGCTTAGTCACATACATTTTTCCAATACCACTAAATAAAGTTTAAAGAAATAAAGGATTTAATAATTTTTAATCAGTAAGTAATACCTTTTTTTTTTTCTAAAAATCATACCAAACATCTTGAGTGAAAGGATCGAATAATTTGATAAATACCAGAATTTTGGTTGCTACCTTAGAAGGAAGAGGAGGGAACGCGGGTTGGCCATATGGATCAAAAATGGTTGGTGTTTCAATATACAGACGTAAATTGATTTGATTTGCCAGGTGTCTTTGACGTACATCATCTAGAGCTGTTATTGCATGACAAGCAAAAAAAAAAGGTTCTTTTTTAATAAATGACATTAATACTGTCAAACGAATTCGTTCTTTATCTTTTGACTGAACTTACTGCTATTCATTTCTTCATCAGGGATTGGAGTATCAGGTCGTATGGTTCGATTCTGACGATTCACCAAAAACCAAGGACGGAAATGTGTTATGGGTAATCCAAGTTCAGTAGCCAAATCTTGTTTGAATTCACCATATGTTTGATCTTTTCGTACATGAAGTCTGCGACAGAATCGTTCATCCATAGTCTTGTCTTCAGCAAAGCTTACAAAATCGAGTCCATGATTATTTTCAAAAGATTTGTCCGATACAATCTACACATATCAATAATAATAATAATAATAATAAATATTCATCAGTCAGTTTCTTATCTTGTATTATTTTTATAAAGTACTATCCTTACCATCACAGGCATAAATAAGTGTTGTTGTTCTTTTTCACGTCGTCTGCGTTCTAAAACCTTTTGTTCTTCTTCTAAACGTTGAGCTAAAATGAAGAATCATAATCAATACATATTATCACTTTCTAATTTTGATTATTATTACCTAAATGTTGAGGAATATCATTTTCTGTCACCGATGCCAAAATTTCGTTCATCATAGATCTGCGAATGTACACCAACATGTAAGCATTTGTCCATCGTTTGAATGTTCGTCCGTTGTTCTTTACATTCAGAGCTCCAGCAGCTTCACCACCATAGTTTTCTTCCAGAACTTCTTTGATCGTTGAAGGCACCACACGATCATCATCAAATTTCAGCCATTTGCCATCAGCAGTTGGTTTAACAAAAGCAAAGTAGTGACCACCACTAAGATCACCACTATGAACCAAGACACTATAACAAAAACACAAAACAAGCATTAGATCATTTGATAAAAATGATAATAATAATGATAAAAGATTGAATTCATTCATTTTACCCGTGTAAAGCATATTCATGAGAAATAGATTTATCAGCTGATTCATCCAGGTAAGGTTCCAAATCTATTGAAAGTGGGAATTCATGACGATCATTGATCTAAAACACACACAAATGTATATATATATGTTAGTCAGAGGAAAAGTTTGACAGCTATCACTTTTCTATTTCTTACCTTAACCATGGTATCACGCATAATATCATATTCAAAACGCTTTAGTTGCAAATGTAACACAGGAGGAAAGCTTTCAAAGATTACACCCTTCTTTGCGTCTTGTAGACCATAACCTTCAGCGTGATATTTGTTGTCCCCTTCCAATGTTTCTTCAGCAATGTAATCTTTAAAAGAATGTTCGAGATCCTTGCATCCTTTCACGTTCAATTGAATATCTATATGATAAAAGAGATGTTAGATCTATGATCAATCAGTAGAAAGTAATCATTTTACCATAATAATCTTCAGATCGAGAAGATTCATAATCCACATTGATACATTTGATATAACTTTTCATTTTTCCAAGAAACAATTTCTTGATCGCACCGTCAGCAGGAGTATTCTATAAATGATTGTCATTAGCGCTCTTTTTTTTTTTTCTTGATAAACATATTTGTTTTAATTTACCTTCATTTTGGCTTCCAAATTATCTTGCAAAACACGATTGAATTCTTGTACGTCATGTTGCATAAAGGCATCCAAGGAATCCCATCCAAAAGATCGAGTCAGTTCCGTCGTGCCTATAATATATATATATATATAAAGAAGATAAATGAATATATATATATATATATAATATGTGACAATAGACGCAAATTAACTTACCCACAGATGAGTTATTGAATTGTAAGTTATAAAATACCCGTTGTAATGCCAAGGCCACACTTTTTGTAGGTTCATCGTTTTCAGTTGGAATTTGATAAACAGCCTTCCGGAAATAATTCGTACAATACAAAGATTGGAATAAAGAGTTCATATAGCAAGTAGCGCCTTGATTTTTCAATCCTACATAGCCTGTCATTTTCTTGGAATCATAACTATTATTAAATACATTGTAATTTTAGTAAAAGATGATCTATACATATGTGTATAAAACTTACTTTTGGAAGTTGTGCCATAATACACCGGTGGGATCCTTAAATACTCGTACAATTGAAGTGATACGTAAAGCATTGTTTTCGATATAACTGTTGTTGGTGAAATTTGCCAATTGTTTAAATTCCATAAATTTTGTAAATCCCCAGTCAGATTCGTCAGCATGGAATCGATGTTGTGCACCTAATAAAAACAAATGATAATATCCATTAATATCTGTATGAATCATGTAAAGTAAAATACTTACTGTGTACAGAATAAAATGTTGGATCTGAAGGTTTGGAAATACATATAACGAATTGAGCACAGGCATAGTTATCAGGATTTCCACTTTTTGCGTCCGAAAATTCCAAATAAACTGAGACAGCTTCTCGCTGGTTGTTGCCTCTGGGGAATAGTAGTACGTTCCTATGTTTGTTTCAAGCACAACATTAAAAAAAAAAGATGGTACCAAGAATGGGATGAGAAAAAAAAAACAAAGAAATACGTCAGTACATTAACGTCATGTCATAATATATTATTATATATCTTACCAACGATAACCACCCACTGTAAAAATAGGACCTTGTACGCGTTCTGGTAAACCAGCCCAATCTGTAATTTCCCATTGTTGACAATTGGTTTCGATGACTTCTTCGTCGACTTGAGCTAATACTTTATTGGCAATGGTTTCAACTTTTTTCAAAAAAGGAAGAATAATATAGAGTGAGTTCAAATAAGTGAAAAAAAAAGGTAGGTCTAAAAAACAAGACTTTATTTTCGATACTTACAGTCAGTTACAACTGATACTTTTTGGTCCATAGAAGCTTCAACTTGTTCAAGATCGGTTGATACTTCATTGGGTTCATAAGGAGGAACTTGTTCTTGGGTCATCTCTTGGTCTTCCTATAGGATGGCAAAGTAATTAAAAGAGAGGAACAAGTTAATATATTTATTTGTTTTTTTGTGTTTTTTTTTTTCTTTTTTGTTTTTAATTCACTTACGTCTGTAGGTTGCATGACAGATGTTGGTGTACTAGTTTAAATTATATTAACAAAAGTAAATATATATATATATTATACTATATTATATATATATATAAATACTATATATATATAAGATAAAGAATGAAATGGAAAAAAAGAGAAAGGAAAGAAAGAAAAAGAAACTTTGCCAAGTCTCACTGTCGCGAATGACAAAAAAAAAATAAAATTAAAACACCGTCTATTTTTTTTTTCCTTCTTCTCTCTCTCTTTTATGATATCCACTACGACCAAAACGGCAACGGAAACTCTTGATTGTAAGTAAATGACCTTGTTTCAATTACTTGATATTAACAATTAATTTTATTCATTAGTATGTTCTGATTATCTATGTGGTTTCTGTCCTTATGACCTTTACAAGTAAGTTAAGCTTATATATCGAAATATATAATTATTGACTTTTTTTTTTTTGTCTGATAGAGATACAGTATGTTTTATTTTGTATATGCAAAAAAAAGTTTCATTGATCACTTTTTCTTCTTGAATATATATATATAGAAAATAATTCCAGCCACTTGTCCAAGGACTCATTCTGACGAAGCTAAGCAAGTATACTATGAAAGTGTCAGTAGCAACCCAGAAATATCACTCTTGAATGAACATTTAAGAAGCTTGGAAAATCACCTAGAAGAAAAAGACAAACGAATAGAACAAGGACGGATATGGATGGCAACACAAACTGGGGATAATTTGGAGGCATTAGTAAGTTTTTTGGATTAAGCTTTGTTTGATCAGTAACAAATATTCACTCTCTTTTTAATTGATAGGAAAATGAGATCATACAAATTGAATTGGATACCGCTAAATATGAAAAGCAAATACATACAAACGACTTTACTCCCAATCAAAGGATACAAAATCAACTAATAGAAAATCAAAAACGACTTCAGGTAAAAGCTTTTATTTTTATTTTTATTTTGTCTTATTATTTTTTTTTTTAAAAAAAAAAAAGATGAATTGTTAACTAATCCTTTTCTTTTATGAACAGGAACAATTGCGACAACTATCAGTACCACCTACAGAAAATAACGAACAAGAATTGAATATTTGTGATACTGATGGTTGTTTTCTGAAATCAAACATGACAGATAAAGAAATGGCTCAACATGTATCATCACCAGTAAGTTGGAAAAATAAAAAATATATAGTTAAATTCAGCGAGTATATGTATTCGTAGGTTCATCAAGCATACATCAAAATACAATCAAAGACAGAAGCAATAAGGCAACAATTGACCAACAGACCTACTATCAAGTTTTGATCCAATTCTTCGTAGTTTGAATGTAATTTTTATTTTTATTTTTATTTTTTATTTTTCTCTTTTTTTTTTTAATACTTCCTCTTTTGTTTTCTTTTTATATATATATATATATAATAAATTCATTCTTTGATATTCATGGTATTATATATATATATATTCCATTATTTATTATCATCATTAACTCTTTTGTTCATTTATATATAGGCTGACGAAAGTAGAGAAAACTTACTTGCTGGAGCGGCTACTATATCTGCAGATACAGACCTTGAAAGTGGACAAACGCGACCTCTACCTCAACAACAACAACAACAACAACCTACTACCAATGCTGTTAGAGATTATTTTGAACAATCAAGGTATTATTTGAAGAAGAATTATCAAATTACCTGAAAGTTATTATTTTGTAACTGACTTTTTCCTTCCTTCATAGTCATCCTATAGCTGCCTTTTTTTTCCTGGTGTTTCGATTAGGTGCACTTCTCATGTATTTACTAGGTTCCATTTTTACAGACAACTTTACTTTGGTTTTTGTTATTACCATTCTACTACTTGCTTTTGACTTTTGGACAGTAAAAAATGTCTCTGGGCGTTTACTTGTGGGTCTTCGTTGGTGGAACGAGATTCAAGAAGATGGTTCTAACAAGTGGGTATTTGAAAGTGCCAATGTAAGTTAGCATCCTACTATCATACTTTTGTAACTATATCGTTTTTTTTTTTTCTATAGCCGAATCGACATATCAATGCTGCGGATTCTCGTTTATTCTGGACAGTATTGTATGGTACACCTGTTCTATGGGTTTTGTTTGCGTTAACTTGTATATTCACTTTCAAGGTGTCTTGGTTAGTTATTGTGGTAGTAGCTATCATCTTGAATATGGCCAATGTTGTAGGTTATACTCAATGTGACAAGGATGCAAAACGAAAATGGGCAACTGGTATGGCTGCTCAATCTGCTCTTGGTACTTTGACTGGTAGTGCTGGATTCGTTGGAAAAGCTGTTACTTCAGGTCTTGGCAAGTTCTTGTCTTCTCGATAAAAAAAAAAAAAAATAGAATCACTAGCTTGTCCTGTTACATTATTATTCCTCTCGATCTCTACTTTCCCTCCATGTCTCTCATACTTTATTCTTTGTATAGTTTTCCTTTCCTTTCCTTTATTCCCCCCTCCCTACTTTTACTCACCCACTTACCTTCAAATTTTTATCTTATGTAGTCTCCTTCCCTTATTTTTATTTTTATCAATAAACCTTTGGGAAATTAAGGATGTATTAAGTATCTAATTTATTTGGATAATGTAGAAGATTGACTTTGTTGGAACATGATCTGGTTGATCTACGTGGTCAAAGTGCTTTTCACCTTTGGCTATTGTAGAAGGATGACGTTGGATGATGTAATGATGAGTAATGATGTTATATGATTTGATGAGTACTGAATATGATAATCTGTTGATGATATGATTGATGGATATGACTGATGAATACCATAGATAGATATTAATATGAAAGGATGATATATGACGGTAGTTGTTTACTTGAAGATGATGATAACAATAATAACGCTAGTGTTAGTGGAGCATGACTTATTGATGTAAAGAATATAAAGGGATAATATATTAGAATCACTACAAATAATCTACACTATGGAAGAGAAAGCAACCATCATCGCAAGAAAAAGATCATCAACAAATTTTATAGATACTAAACAAAGTAAATTTATTTTCAAAAACGAAAGGTTTCAACTATAAAAAAAAAAAGAAGGGGAGTTGGTATACACACAGATAAAATAAATCTCTAAAAGAGAAAAGGAAATAAAGAAGTATACTATGGGGGGAAAAGGATGGAGGGAATTGAGGAGAAAAACAAGACTATATAAACCAACAGATATTGAAAAAAAAAATATAAAAACACAAAAAAAAAAAAAAAAAAAAAAAACAGATATGTATATAATATGTAGATATGTAAAATGTATGTATGTCAACTATATATGTATGTTCTAACAACATCCACCTTGTTTTTGATCTGAGGAAGGTTGAGTAACAGAGATCGTTTCACCAGCAGTAGGACGTACAACATCATTGGAGGATTCAAGGGCTTTGTTGGAAACAATACGATAGATTTCTAAACAGAAAAAAGAAAAATGAAAAGAGAGTGAATAATAAAATAAAGTTATTATATTTATTATTATTATTACCAGTTAAAATACGTTGAAAAGCCAATTCAACGTTGCTAGAATCCAAAGCAGAGGTTTCGATAAAAGAAAGACCATTATCAGCAGCAAATTGTTTGGCTTCTTCAGTAGATACAGCACGTAAATGTCGCAAATCACTCTTGTTTCCAACCAACATGACAACAATATTAGAATCAGCATGATCACGAAGTTCCTTGAGCCATCGATTCACATTTTCATAGGTAGCATATTTAGCAATATCATAGACTAGCAAAGCACCTACTGCACCTCGATAGTATCTATAAATTATAATATTGTGAGATACATTCTTAATAATAATAATAATATATAAACTTACGCACTAGTGATGGCACGATAACGTTCCTGTCCAGCTATATATAATAAATATATGTCAGATCTAACCCCTTCTACCCCTGATTCCCCTCTTTTTTTTTTTTTTCTTGATTATTCTTTTGTTTTCCAAATATTTTTTTTTTTACCTGTATCCCAAATCTGAGCTTTGACAGTCTTGTTATCTACTTGAACACTTCTAGTAGCAAATTCTACACCAATAGTACTTTTGGATTCCAAATTGAATTCATTTCTAGTGAACCGAGCCAAAAGATTGGTTTTACCTTTTTTTTTAAAAAAAAGAAAAATAAAATAAAAATAAAAATAAATAAAGAAGAGTCAAAAAAAAATAATATAAATGGTTTTCCTTACCAGTGCCGGAATCCCCAATCAACACAACTTAGAAATGATGAAGAAAAAAAAAAATAGAAAAAGAAAAGAAAGAGAAAGGTTAGAGAATATGATAATTATCAAATAAACATATTATTATTTTATAACTTACCTTTAAAAAGATAGTCATATTCATCATCTCTACTCATGATGATAACAAGAAATAAATAAAAAAAAAGAAAGAAATAAAAATAAAAAAGAAAAAGTGAAAGAGAAGGAGTGACCCAAGTTTCGCGATTTTTGAGTTTTTTTTTTTTTTTTTTTTTTCTGGTCTACACTGTATTATACTCCGCTCCAGATGATGAAAGGCAACAAGAATAATCTTTACAATAAAACAGACAACATTCATATCAAAATCAAAAGGAGACTTTTTTTTTATTTTTATTTGAAAATCATAATGAAAATTAAGTATATGATGATAGTAGAAAAGGAGGAGGTATAAATGTCAGATTTCATATGTTTTGCAAAGGAGAAAAAGAGAAAAAAAAAAAAAAATAGTGGGACGGGGTTGAATTCACCGCCGATTTGTAAACCTTTTTTCCAAAAGAAAAACAATACTATTTTTTTTTCTTCTTCTTTTCTTCTTGTTTATTTTTTTTTTCTTTTCTTCTTCTATTTGATACATTCTATTAGATATAATATAAACTATGTATGATTCTACTAATCAACGAAACAAAGCAATTTGGGCTGGTTCACTAGCTTTACTGACCGTTGGTAGTCTTGTTTATTTTACTATGCTCCGAAAATCTGAAGGTAAACGAGAAGGAAAACTTATACTTTCATGAAGATATGTATATATGACTCGGTTTATATATATATATATCATATATATATATACATATGGATGTATGGGCATATATATGTATATATGCGTTATGTGTGGGTGGGTTGGATGTTTTGCATAGACGTGCCATGTTATATTGAAAAACAAAAAAAAAAATCTTTTGACTAAGTATATACTTTTCTTTTATATTTCTTTAGATTCTTCCAAACCTACTAAAGATTCCAAGTCTCGTGAAATCAACAAAGAAAGATCAATCAAGACTTCTGACAGCAAAGGTAAATAAGAATGGAACTAGGTCAAAAAGAAAAAAAAATAAAAGAGGAACTAGGGAGAGGGAAAAAAAAAAAGAAGAATATAGATCATGAATAAAATAAGAGATTTGACAGGGGGTGTAAAACGTTACTTTTTTTTTGATTTTCTATTCATATTACTTTTTTTTTTTTTGAACTTAACTCTGGAAACAGTGAAGGATGATGTTCCGCAACAAGGTGACGTTCCACAAGCCAAAGCCACTGTTACATTGAGAGAAGAAATCACGGAAACCGTTGACATCTCATCCGAACCTTGTAAAATAGATGAAGAAAAGGAAACTTTGATCACTTCTATTACTACTGCTGCTGCTACCATCACTGACGATGTTACTTCAGATCAACAAGACGAACAACTAGAAGAAAAATCACCACTTTTAACGGCTGCACCATCTACCTCTACTTCATCCGATATTAGTACGTCTCTTTTGAATGAACAACCTACCGAACTTACTACTCCTGTATCAACAAATGACAACATGACTACTTATGATAACAGTAACTTAAATGGAAATGATGTAAATGGTTATTGGCAACCTCCTGCCACAAACGGTACCTTTCAACATAGTATGGGTTGGCCAGAATTGTTCCCTTTGCAACAACAACAACAACAACAACAACAAGAAGTAGAAGAAAGTAAACAACATACCAGTGCTAATGACATCAATGACAAGGATACCGCCAATGATACTACTACTACTACTACTACTACTACTACTGCCACTGGTGCTACTGATGCCATTGCTACTGATACTACTTCTGCTACTGCTACTGTCTCTAATGGGGAAAAGAAACGACATACTAAGAAGCGCATGACTCGTTTGGAACAAATCGATCAACAACGTCAAAATTATGTACCTACTATGAAATCTAGATGTAACTGGTGGCCTAACTGTACCAACAAGAATTGCAAATATCATCATCCTCATCAACCTTGCAGGTAATTTCAATCAATAAGAGAAATATCATATGAATTAACTTTAATATTCCAATAGATATGGTGATATGTGTCTTTACAATGAACGATGTATGTTCTTACATCCATGGGATTATGAAGAACCTGTTCGACATTCCAAACAGCAACAACAACAACAACAACAACAATATCAACAATATCAATATCAACAATTATCTCAATATACAAGCAACCAAGAATAATGAATGATTCCTATCGTTTCCCCCTTTTCTTTTTATATATTGTTGTTTATTGATTTCATTTTATACACCTGTTATTATTTGTTTCTTTTTACTATCTTGTTTTATTTAGCTCCCTCCCCTTTACATCTTTTGTGAATATATTTCTCTCATGTGAATAAGTTCATCCGACTGGTACACCTTCTCATCCTGTCATCCTATCACTCTCATACAAAAAAAAAATCCCATCCTTGTCCAGCCACCTCCCAAAATAAACACATCATATACATCTTACGCCATTCTTTACAGTATAGTATAGTATTACTTTTTTTTTTTTTTACTCGAAATAAAGAAATAGATTTTTAAAAGAAAAACAAACAAAAAAAAAGACATCCTATATATCCAAATATTTTATGTCCAAGTACAAAGGAATCAAATCATGGTTTATTCAATAAATATCAAAAAAAAAAAAAAATCGCTTAAGTTTGATTCAAACTTCCTGTTGCTTTTTCATCACTAGAAGAAATAGGAGTACTTGATTCATGTGGATGTGTGTCCGATGGTGATGATGGTTGTTGTTGTTGTTGTTGTTGTTGTCGTTGTTGTACTCTTTCCGCTAATTGTTGTTGATGAGATTGTTGTTCCAAAGCTGCTTCTTCAAACAGATCATGAATCTTCAACCATAAATTTTGTCCAAATGATTTCCATGCCACCGTTGCACAGAGCAATTCGATCAACATGAATAGGATAATGAATGTAATAGCAGTAGGAATACGACGGTGATACATATAATACCTATATAATAACAAATAAAAGTTGGTTTATCAGTATGAACAATATAAAAGATTATTATTTATTCCCCTTTCCTCTTTTTTTTTTTTCCTCTCCATCATTATGTATATTTACCGTAATCCTCTGAAATCTGCACGAACACTCAACTGAGCATCATAAATTTGAAGAGTGGGACTAGAGATTGTAACAGCAGCTTGAACCACAGGTTTTGACTAGATGGGAAAAAAAAAACGACACGGATGAATGATTATATATATCCAATTATTATTATTATAACGATCTTACCTTTTGTTCTACATAGCCTTCGATCAATGGGACGGTAATGATTTGACTTTCTTCTGTAAATCCAATAAGTAAAGGCACAGCCTTCGCAAGTACATGTAAAATGCGTTGTGTATGTGATTGGTATCGAAGAATGGCCTAATGGAAATGGGAAAAAAAAATCATACATATATATATAATGCATATGTCCAGTATATCACCCAAATACCCACTCTTGTATATACCATTCTTATTTCAAAACTTACCGGACGACTTGATTCAGATACCATTGTTCCATCTTGAGTCAAAAGTTCAGCATGCACCATAAAGTTTCCCAAATCAAAATTGATATCAGAAGTTGGCACGTGAAGTTGTACAAAAACGTCGTATGCTTGTTCATGACGAAGGGGCTAATTAATATAATATAAAAAGGACAAATGAGTATTAAAATAAAAAAAAAACTATTCATTTAGAGGATATTCATTCTTTTCTAATAGTTATTGAATAATACTTACCGCATTTTGATATCCATCCGTCAGATCAATAATCGCTTTGGGTTCTACAGAAAGACGTTGATCGACATGACCATATTGGAAAAAGATGGGTTCGCTATGTAAGGTGCGAGGAACATATTGTTGATAAAAAGTGAGGTAGGCAGTGATACTTGTCAAAAGAATCCATACAAATACAACCATAAAGATAGCTGACTTGATCATAGTACGTTGTGCTTTTGGAGCAAAAATCACACGAAGAATAGGTGTCGCTAGTTTCTTGGCTACTCGACCTAATGCAAGAGCAGCTGGATGCCATTCGAAAGGAGGTAGTTCGTCGTCGCTGGATGATTCTGTATTGGCCGGATTATCATCATCATTATGCCGATGTATTGAAGAATGTTCTTGTACATCCGGGGAATGAGAAGCTTGACTATCAATAGAGCTGTGGTCATCAAGAAACGCATCGTTTTCGTCATAGGAAGGGACTACTTGGAATCCATTGTCACGCTATATAAATAAATATAAAAAAAAAGAGTTAAGGAGCTGTTTAGTTAAACTAGTTAAAATGTAACTTACTCCTTGCCGTGCTGGTAATGATTGACTCATGGTATGATGTTGGAATTAGAAAAGTACAAAAAAAGAAAGAAAGAAAGAAAGAAAGAAATAAAATAAAATAAAAAATAAATTATGAACTTGAAACGAGAAAGACGATCCACGTGAAAAAAAAAAAAGTAAACACCCCGACGACCCTCACCACTCCCAGTAATTCAAAGCATCCCCATTATCTTGACCCTGAGTATTATTTCAAATATTTTTTGTCGTACAGGCCAAACAAAGTACTTCCAGTATTTGACAATAAAAATGGAGAGAACTATCGTGTTTCTTCATCCTTCGTTCAAGCAGGAGAGCAAGCTTTGTATTTTCATTTCTCGTTCAAAAATCATCATCATCACACCGTATAGGCACCATTAACAAAAGATATGTATATTATCTATGATTACTTCTTTTGTTAGTGGATCAAAAAGATAGCTTGTCGACAAGGCGTAGAAAACCGCAGAAAGGGCTCATCAGATAAGAAATCTTTAAATTCCATTTTGAGATTTAACTCCAATCAGATCATAAAACCACTACTAGTAAAACATATGTAATATCATCTATAACTACCTTTTTTTTTATTAATGTCAAAGCTCAGATACCACTGAGATGTCGCGTTAAACTATAAAATTTGAAAAAATGGGAATTTCTTCTGGTTTCAGGAACTATATCATCAAATGTATTTCATATAAAATACCCTATTTATTGTCGACATAAAAAAATGAAAATAAAACTATAATATAACCCTAAAAGTCTTTACTACTACTATAGGAAGGAAGATAGTGCCGTCGCCAATATTCATAATCCCAATCATGATCTTCCAGTTGTCTCTTATCTGCTATCCAAACATAAACTTGACATGATACTTGCTTCTTATCATCAGGTTCTTCTTTATCCAGTTTTTCAGATAACATTACTGTTGTAGTATATCGTTGATATTCCTAACAAAAAAAAAAAAAAAAAAAAAAGTTAGGTTGTCAGCTATAAAGTCATATTTCATCATTACTACTTACGTCACCTTCATAGTTATCCAAAGCATCCACATCCTTCAAACTGAGTCCTTTGCAGAGTATCCCTTGAACTTGATCATTCTTATTTTCAGATGCCAATATTCCAGGATAAGTAGCGTGTTTCACAGCATAACGTCGATATCCCTATCACCAGATAACAGTACAAAATATGAGGAAAACAGTAATATTTCAGTTTTATATATATTCGCATTCAGGATAGTCATTGTTGTCGATAGATATAGGTTGTCATGATGTTGTTTGTTGAATTCTAGTTCACTCTTCACTATCCATATACCTTCAGCACAGCTGGCTCGAGTTGTAACGTGTTGAGTTTGTTTTTCTTGATAACCGCATCAGCCTTTCTGCCACAAAGGACTAAAGAAATCAAATTAGTGTCTAATTCAACACATCCCTTTTTATTTTATTACCGTCACCAATGACTTCTTCTGCCATCAAAGTACCATAAAAATAACAAGCTTCTGTCATGAAACGAGATATCTCCAACGAAAAAAAAAAAAAAAAAAAAAAAGAGGGAATAAAAAGAAGATGCCTCCTTCCAGTAACGGACGAAAAAGAAAAAAAAATGCGGGTCCTGAAATCAGAACATTTGTGGAACAATATATTCCCTAATTGTGGACGCCTTCAAGCCGATGAAAACTTATGGTTGCTGACATACAATCATGTAGGTGGCAACAAATTAGCAAACGTACAGGATGACATGGATTTGTTTTATAGGAAGATCATTGCAATAAATTTACGTTTAGTCAAGATCATTGTCGTCATTTCAAGTTGAATTGTAGTTATGAGATATCATCATCATCATCATCATGATCAATGGAGAAACTGCATCATCAGCTGCATAAAAATGTGAATAATAAAAATACAGCGGTTTTTCAAACGAATGAGGTAATTTGGAGGCATACAGGAGCGATATCAAAGAGGTGGATTGCGTTATTTTATTTTATTTGTTCATGATTCTGCAATAGATGGGATAAATGGAAATTAGTTTTCGTTGAATGGTTACCGTGAGAAATGAGGAAGGATTCTGGATCTTTGGTAACTGAAATGAGTTTCATGTGATCCCTCCTAAATGTTTTCCATACTATAAATGTAGACCATGACTTCTAAAAGGAACCGAAACAAACTAAAAGTTTTTTTTTTTTGTTATATCATATACCTTTTACTTTTTTTTTTCATGACTTGATCCTTTTGGTATGTGAATATGAAAGAAACAATAATATTAACAGAATGGATCACATTTCTTATCAAGTGGATCTGAGTTGTCAAAATAGAGGAATAATATGATATTACAAATAAAGTGGTCAGCGTGTACAGTTAAAATCGTATACATGAAGAGAGATTCATCCCTGATTGCCTAAAAATAGGAAATACATTTCCCAGGCTACTGACCAATCACGCTATTCATTATGACACCCCCCTCTTTTTTTTCACAGCATCTTTCATAAGGCCGCGTTTTTTTTTATTTCCTTTTTTTTCTTTTCTTTTTTTTCTTTTTTTTCTTTTTTTTTCTTCTTCTTTTTTGTTATCAATACTTTTACAAATCTTTTTTTATTATTTTACTTATATCACACATCATGACGGCTGATACCACTTTGGTGCCACCTTCTAGCAATGGCATCTCTCTCAAGAAACACAATACTACTGATGATATTCAAGGATATAATGCCAACGTGTTCCCTGCCAAAAAAGAACAAATGGTTCAAGTATGTGCCCATCTGGAAACTACTGGTTTTATCCCTGAATCTTTTTTACAAAATGAAGTGAATTGGTTTTACAAGTAAGTCTAAAAAAAAAGAATAAATGGAAAATAGAGTGGTTGATTTTCTTTGTTCATTTAGTAACCTTGGGATTGATGACGACTACTTCCGTCTGGAATCTGTTGAAACCATTGCAAACCATATTATGGCTCTTTATGGTGCCAAGATTGATGCGTTTACCAAACAAAATAGTGGCCTAGATATTCAACTTGAAAAAGAAAATGAAAATTCATCTGTATATATTCATTCTTCTAAACCTGGTATCTCACAATTGGCAGGACCTCAATATGAAAAAAAGTAAGTACGGAACAATAGGAAAGATGAGGATGATATTTTTTTTATTTAATAATGTTTTTTTTTTTTTATAATTTAGAATTGATGATAAATTCCTTGATTCATCAGTGGCTAATCATGCTTATCGGGTGGAATCCTATCGTTCCAATGGTACTGTTGCTTCTGATATTTCCTCCCAACTCCGGTGTTATTTTGTTACCAAATGTCAATTTGTGAATCCTAATCCTACTCCTGAACAAGAAACTGATATTAATCAAGTGGCAGATAAGAGTTTCCTTTTGAAAGCTACTGAATATACTCGTGAAACTTATCAAGAAGTCATGCGTAGTGTCTTGCAACGTACTGGTCCTGTCATTGAAGTATTTGAAGTCCAAGGTACACGCGAACATCGACTTGTTATTGGTTATCGTCAACGCAGCACACAAGGTTTCTTCTCTGCCATGTCTGATCTCTACCATTTTTATGACCTGTATTCCTCAAGAAAATATGTGGGTAAGTTATCAAAAGGAAATATCTAATGACAAAAAAGGAAGGGAGAGTACTGATTGGCGTCATCTTTCTTTCTTTTTTTTTTTTTTAATAGAACAATTTTCCAATGGTGTTACTATTATGGGTCTTTATCTCAAACAATTGCCTTCATCTAAAGCTTTACCTTTGGAACACTCAATACATCAAGTGATGAAGGAAACATCTTTGTTGTATTGTTTACCTTCGACACCTCTTCAAGGATTTTTTAAATCCAACAAGCTATCGGTACAAGAAACTGTCTATGGTTATGTCACTTGGATCTTTGCTCAACACTTTTTGAATCGGCTCGGCAAGGAATATCTTAGTCTCACCAATATCCTGGACAATTCAAATCCTATCCATGAAGAAGTTCTTGCCAAAATGAAAAAGCGTCTTCGTCAAGATACCTTTACCCGTGAATATATATTGGACATCATCAAAAGATACCCAGAACTCATCAAGTTACTTTATGCTAATTTTGCTACTGTCCATTATGTCAATCAACGTGAACAAACGCTTCAACCAACCATCTCTTATCAACGATTGACTGTTTTGGAAAACTTATCAAATGATCAATTACGAAAGAAAATCTCAACCATCACCTCCAACGCTCATGAACAACTTGTCTTTGATGCTATTCTTACTTTCAATCAACATGTGCTCAAAACCAATTTTTATCAATCCACAAAGGTAGCTCTGTCATTCCGTTTGGATCCCAATTTTCTACCTGAAATCGAATATCCCAATAAATTATATGGTATGTTCTTGGTGGTTGGCTCTGAATTCCGTGGATTCCATTTACGATTCCGTGATGTCGCTCGTGGTGGTATTCGTATCATCCGATCTCGTAACCGTGAAGCCTACTCTATCAATCAACGTACGTTATTTGATGAAAACTATGCTTTGGCAGCTACTCAACAACGCAAGAACAAGGATATTCCTGAAGGTGGTTCCAAAGGCACCATTTTATTGGACATTGATCAGCAGGATAAACCCCTCGTTGCATTTGAAAAGTATGTAGACTCTATTCTGGATCTTTTAATCGATGGCCAAACACCTGGTATCAAGGAAAAATTGGTTGATCTCACTGGCAAGCAAGAAATCCTATTCTTTGGTCCTGATGAAGGTACTGCTGATTATATGGATTGGGCTTCACAACATGCTCGACGTCGACAAGCTAGTTTTTGGAAGGCATTTACCACTGGAAAAAGTCAAAGTCTTGGTGGCATTCCTCATGACACCTATGGTATGACCACTCGATCGGTACATCAGTATGTTCTTGGTATCTATCGTACTTTCGGATTGAAAGAAGAAGAATGTACGAAGCTTCAAACAGGTGGACCTGATGGTGATTTGGGCTCGAATGAAATCAAGATCTCAAAGGACAAGACATTGGCTATTGTAGATGGATCTGGCGTACTTTATGATGCTCAAGGGATTGATAGGGAAGAACTTTTACGTTTGGCAAACCATCGTTTGATGATCAGTAACTTCAATATTGATAAACTTTCTTCTCAAGGTTTCCGTGTATTGGTGGATGAAAATAATGTCAAGTTACCTAACGGTGAATTAATTGAAAATGGTCTTTCTTTCCGCAACACTTTCCATACCAATCCATTGGCCTCTGCTACTGTATTTGTTCCTTGTGGTGGTCGTCCTGAATCCGTTGATCTGTATAACGTCAAGAAACTTGTGGACAAGGACGGCGTTCCTCTTTTCAAATATATTGTGGAAGGTGCAAATCTCTTCTTTACTCAAGATTCTCGTTTGCGATTGGAAAAACAAGGTGTAGTTATCTTCAAGGATGCATCTGCCAACAAAGGGGGTGTGACCTCATCTTCTCTGGAAGTTCTTGCTGCTTTGGCATTCAACGATACTGAATTTGAAGAACACATGTGCGTCAAGGATGATCAAGTACCGGAATTTTATAAAAATTATGTCAAGGAAGTGCAACAAATCATCGAACGTAACGCGGCTGTAGAATTCGAAGCGTTATGGCGTGAACATCTCAAGACAAAGACTCCTATCTCATTGCTATCGGATGATCTGTCTACCGCCATTGTACAACTAAATGAACAACTACAAAATACTGGACTATGGGACAATAAGAACCTTCGACATGCTGTCCTACGCAAAGCATTCCCTAATCTACTATTGGAAAAAATTGGTTTGGAAACTCTTTTGAAACGTGTACCCGAAAACTATGTCAAGGCTATCTTTGGTGCCTCTTTGGCTTCTCAATTTGTTTACAAGTATGGTCCTCATCCTGATCACTTTGCCTTTTTTGAATTCATGCGTGAAAACTATTATAATGAATTTGATGATTAATAGATATCATAGCTGTTAAATCATTCTTTTATATATTCGTATGTCTTAGTTTAGTTGATTTAGATACATACTTCTTTTTTTTTTTATACATATATATTATGATTATTTTTATTTTTATTCTACTTGAAATCAATAAAATCTTTCCAAAGTTTGAGTATATTTGAACTATATAATGATGATGATGATGATGATATTATATAAATCAATATCATACTTTATTGTGTATGTTTTCTTGACTTTATATTTTTTTTTTCGTTTCTCTGCAAACACATAATATATCCACACAAGGTTACGGATGCACCGCAGAAAACGACCTAAAAAGGTATTCGGGAATGAAAAACGACAAGCCCGCAGCAAAAGGAAGAATAACAATAAAAAGAATTTCCTTTTCTTTTTCTTTTTTTTTTTTTTTTTTTTTTTCTCTCTCATTCTCTTTTTGTCTCCTATTCAACATATACCATGGATCCAGCTTCTATTGAAAAGATACGACAAGAGAAAAAGGCGCTCAAGGAAGAAAAAAGAAGGTTGAAAAAACAACAAAATCCATCAGGTCCTCCTTCTCCTCCTCCTCCTTCACCTTTCAAGCGTACGTGGCGATCCACTTCAGCGCGATCTATCTCTGGTCGTGCTACCATTACTATCATGTCTTACAATGTAAGTGATCCATATTTGTAGTTAGGCCTCATATTGATATTCTTTCTATATTACTTTCTTATATGATATGCTTGACTTTTTTCTTTTTTTTATCTTTTGTGATGTTATAACCGGTTCTTTTTTTTTTTTTTTTTTTTTAGATTCTGGCACAAACACTCTGTCAAAGATGGATTCATCCTACTGCTGGAGATATGCTCAAATGGGTAAGAGGGAAAGTAAAAGGGAGAGTAAAAATAGGATAAACTGATTCACTGTCTCTTTTTATTTTTGGATTTGTTGTATAATAAATTTAGAAAACTCGTCGTCGAATGATTATGGAAGAAATAGCACTTTATCAACCTGACTTGATGTGTTTACAAGGTAAAGAGAGGATGGATGATGATTATGCATAATATCATTATAAATATTTGACTAATATGACTTTGTTTTTTTTGTTGGTAGAGGTGGATAACTATGAGGAATTTTACAAAGAGTCGCTGAAGAAGTTAGGGTAAGTTAGAAACGATGGGGAATGTCATATATGTATGTCTTGAAAAGAATAGGAGTGAAGAGTAACAAGATGGGATCAGCTATATTGATGTTTGTCTTTTTTTTTTTTTTTAAAGATATGAAACGATCTTCCACAAACATGAAACAAAACGACATGGGTGCCTGATTGGATATCAAAGCAAAACATGGAAACCTATGACATATCGTACTATAGACTATGATACCGATACATCAAGCAAACCAACGCAAATTACTGGGAATATTGGACAACTATTGGCATTGGCTTTCCGAAACGAGAATGACGATTCTAATGGAATGACATATTCTTCTACTTTGGGAGTAGTGGTGGGCAATACACATTTTTATTGGCGACCTCCATCCTCGTATGAACGATGTCGTCAAGGCTTGATCTATAGACATCATTTGATGGCATTGCAAAAGGAACTCAAAAGCAGCCACTCGGGTGAATGGGTGCCTCTTATGTTAGGTGGTAAGAATTTACAAAATATAATAATACAAAAAATGAATCAACACTTTAACACATACCAAACTTTATGTATAGACTTCAATACTCAACCATGTGATCCCTTCTATTCTATCGTGACTGGCCGAGCACTGACAGATGAACATCGATTTGTACTGAAAGCGACACAACGAGCATTTGATGATGATGATCATGATTATGAACCACAACCCAGTAGCAAGGATGATATTGATGCGACTATTTCGGCAGCATCAGAGACAACCTTAGAGGAAGATGGATTAATGGATATGGATGATTTAATGAGAATGATTGGACCCAAGGAGGATGAAGCAATGCAAAGTGTCTATAGTCTACACAAACAACTCTGGGATCAACAGCAAGAACAAGAAGGAATCAAGACAAATTGTGAAGAACATAATCGTTATGGGGTGGGTGAACCCGATTATACAAATGCTGCACACGTATTCAAGGGTACGTTGGATTATCTTTTTATACCTCCCCATATCACCATCATGGATGTATTGCTTTTGCCACCCAAGGACAAGATTCAACCTGCTTTACCCAACGAACATTTTGGAAGTGATCATGTTAGTCTAGTGGCCAAGATCTTATTACCTTAAAAAGAATAGATAGAATAGTAGACAAAATTGATTTTTATTATTATTATCATTGTTTGTTTTGTATACATTGACTTTCAAATAAATAGATATGATAGCAATAAATAAAGTATGATTGAATGACAAAAAAAAAAAAAGAAAAAGAAAAAAAAAACTTTAAGAGGGTAAGGATAAAAAAAAGAAGGGGAATCGGATTGAGGTATGTTTGTGTCATCTATTCCATATCTTTCGAGGGAGGAGGAGTACCAGTAGGAGAATGATGTCGAGAAGAGAACGATTGCTGTAACCATTTTTTCAAAGGGATCCACCAAGCAAATAAACAACCAGTTGGAGCATCTGATTTTGTAGTATCATGATGTGATATATGTACTTGTTTTGAAGTTTTATTGACAGCAGTTGTTTTTGATTTTGAATCTGAAGATGATGGTGATCGAGTTGTCGGTCTTGGATGTAAAAAAAAAAAAAAAAAAAAAAAAAAAAAAAAGTCAAAAAAGTGTTTTTCTTTAAAAAAAAAAAAAAGATATGTCCACTTACAAATCATCATCTTCTTCATCATGAGCATATAACATAGCAATAAGAGCACCACCAATTCCAGCACCATCTCTAGCTACTTCCAGTCGAATACGATCAGTTATTTCGGGACCAAACCAATCAGATAAAGATGTTAGAATCCTATCAGGCATTTGTGGGTACAATTCAAAGGTGGATCCATTGATACCAATCACAATGGGTTCTTTTGGATCTTGAAATAAGTCATATTGTTGTTCAATAAGTGAAGCCAAAGCTGCACCAGCCAATTTCGCGCCACGGGTAGCCACTGATCTGCACAATTCAGTCATTGTTGTCAAGTCTTTTTCTGTAGGTTGATAATGAATAGGAGTATCAAAAGTAAACATGGAGGCAAAATGCTGTAGTCGAACTTCCAATGCATCAGCCGATCGACTATATTTAGAAAAAAAAAAAAAAAAAAAAAAAACTTAAAATGGTTTTTCACTTTTTTTTTTTTTTTTTTTTTTTTACCTTTCCAAATCACTGAGTTGAGAAGATTCAAAACTATACATATCCTTGAATTCAAGTGGAATATGACCATCAAATAAATATTTTTCCTTGACCAATTCCAAAGCAGCCAATCGGACTAGTTCTCCTAAGTAAGCACCACTCATCATTTTTTCATATAATTGAAATTCAGGTTGATTGTGATTGGCATCCAATAGACGATCAAACCGATTCAAAGGCAAATAAGCATCACTTCCAAATATATCGATTTCTGTATTGACCAACATTTCGGCATCATCTTGATAAAGCGAATGATCTTTGTTCAATTTCACCATTTTCGATACCTTTTCTGGATAAGCAGCATTGGTTCCAGTTCCATAAATAAATCCAATACGAGCTTTGGGATCGTTATATGCATGAGCCACAAGGACACCAACAGTATCATTGATCAAAGCCGTCACCTTGACTTTGACATTCTAACTCCAGGAGGAAGGAAAAAATGACTTTTAATATATTTCATTATATCATTCAAAAAAAAAAAAATGAGACTTACCTTTCTTTGGAAAGCTTCCATAAATAACGTTTTCAAATCTTGACCTTCAATTCCTTTCAAGTCAAATCCTTTACCCATACGAAGAATCTTGCCATCAGATACACTGGTTTGACTATTTCAGAGAAAAAAAAAGAGAGAGAGAGAGAAAAAAGAAAGTAATGTCAATTAGTCTTATGAGGAAACAGTAATGTCATTATGCACCCCTCTCTTCAAACATGCGCACACACACACATATATAATATATACCAATTTAGATCATGCATCAATGAATATACCTATTTCTCCCTGTTTGTGTTGCTCCACACTGATTGTTTCCTTTTTTTTCTTCCCCCCTTATTTCCATTTTTGACTTACTCAATAGGGAAACTCCAAGACACGCCCATAGATAAACTTGAAGTGGTAGTATCCAAATGATATTCTTTGAGTAATAAATCTACAGTATCCACCATCCAATCAAAGAAAGGTTCAATTTCACCAGTACGAAGAGGATCTGTCATGGGAATAGATCTTTTGACTTCATTGACCTTGACTTGACCTTGACCCAAAAGTTCAACAGCACATACACGTAAAGTACTTCCACCTATATCCAATGCTAAAAACGTACCTTTTTCTTGTCCAGTTGGTAATCGTGTGACATAAGAAGGAATCATAGTAGCCAACCCTTTGGCTTCAGCAGTATTGAGACCCTGTTCATATTCTTGTTTGAATCCATTAACAATGGCCTGAAACTGATCTTTGGTGAGATTGAAACTTGACTTGATGGCATCCAATGATGACATGATGGGAGAAGAATAAATAAATAAATAAAAGAATAAAGGAAGTAAAGAAAAAAAGAGTGTGTATGTGTGTGTTAACTTTACGTAATAAACTTGGGTGAGAAAAACAAAAATAAAGGAAAGGAAAGAAAAGAAAAGAAAGAATATATATATATATATATATATATATAAAAAGAACAAAAAAAAAAATTGGAAAAGTGGAGAACAAGAAAAAGGATGATTTTTATATTATTTGAAGAACGGACTTTTTCAATTTATTCTATAATAGTAAGAATGATACAAAAAATCAATCAATATATATATATAGGAGGAGGAAGAGGAGGAAGAGGAGAAGAAAGCCACTGATTTGTCAGATGAGTAGGATGAGAGAAAAATAGTAGTACAAAGTAACCAGAAACAGGTTGAGTAATCAATAGGGTCCCTTTTTGTCCTACATTTCATTGTGGCAAAAGATAGATATAGATTTGTATACAATTAAGAGAAACCCTGTCATATTGAAACGTAATGTTTCTATTTTTTTGTGTGTGAGAAAAAAATAATCATTTTTTTTTATTATGTAACAAATAGGATGTGACAAAAAGTATAAGGGATAACTACAAAATAGGGTTCAACTGATAAAAAAAAAAAAACAAATAATCCTTATTATAATCTAATCTATTTTATTCATGAGGAGCATTCATAGGGGTCTTTGGGCGACTACTACTACTACTAGTAGAAGTTGATTTCAATTTTTTGACTCCACCTAAAAGAAAGAAACAAAAAATTTATATTTTTATTATCTATTTTTTTTTTTTTAAATATACATATAATATTATTATTTGTTTACCTTGTAATCCAAGATTTTCACTACCAATCAATACTTGATGAACATGTTCAATGGATTTGAAATATTTCACTGTCTAATTACAATCAATAAAAAAAAAAAAAGAAATTCATATTATTAGGAGATGACCAATAACATGATACTTAGTGTCACCTAGTCCCGTCCTTTTCCCTCCCTTCTTTTTTTTTTCCCTATCCAAGACCCTTATGTAACTTACTTTGACATGAAGTTCAAGGGTCGAATCTTCATCACAAACAATCAACCCCTTGGGATGAAGTTGGATAGAACTGACAGTCCCCATATGATTCACTCCGTCTTCAATACATTTGGCTAACGCAATAGACTTAAAAAAAAAAAATAGGAGTATATATAGTCAATAACATCGTCATCATATATATTATATATTATAACTATTATTATTATTACCTTGTGAGCACCAGTGATGATCACTACTACTTCTCGGGCATCCATCACAGTACTATCATAATTTAAGTATGAATACAAACAATCATCATCCATATATATATATCTATAGACTTACGCTACACCGACAGTCAAAGCTAATTTGGGTACCTTATTGACATCACCATCAAAGAATCGAGCATTGGCAATAATAGTTTCATAAGCGAGTGTCTTGACACGAGTACGAGAAGTTAAAGAAGAACCAGGTTCATTGAAAGCAATATGACCATCAGGACCAATACCACCCAAAAACAATTCAATACCACCCACAGCAGCAATATCAGCTTCATACTTTTTACATTCTTCATCCAAATCAGGAGCATTACCATCCAAGATATGAACATTATCAGGCTTGATATCCACATGCATAAATAAATTTTTCCACATAAAAGAATGATAAGATTCAGGATGATCTCGAGGTAATCCTACATATTCATCCATATTGAATGTCACCACATGTTTAAAACTGATTTCCCCAGTCTTGTATAATTCCACTAGTTTTTTATATACTCCAATAGGTGATGATCCAGTCGGTAATCCCAATACAAATGGTCGTTCTTCAGTAGGCTTAAATTGATTGATACGTTCTTTGATATAGTTGGCTATATAAAAATTAAAAAAAAAAAAAAAGATGTATGAGCCTAATTTTTCTTTTTCGTTCGTTGATCCTCGTATTTCTTTTTTTTTTTTAAAAAAAAAAAAAACAAAACAAAATAATAATAATAATAATAATAATCAAATAATAATAATACTAATAATAATCTTACCGATATAATCGCTCACTTCAGTATGGTCTTCACGAATAATTAGTCTCATAGTGATGTACGTTTATTGTAATAATAATAATGATAAAAAAAAAAAGGTAAAAAGATAGTTGGAGAAAGAAAGAAAAAAAAAAAAAAGAAAGAAGGAAGAAAAGAAAAAAAAATGTAAAACCAAAAGAAATACCTTTTTTTCTCTCTCAACCTGATCTTTTCATCTCCGTCACTTTTTTTTTCATTTTCTGTATCAATAGTAGGAAACTGGTCATTCTTTCACTTTTGACTTTGTTCATTTTTATTCTAGTACACTATGAATCTTATATTCCCACACATACATTTATTATTATCATAAGTTTTTTTTTTTGTTTTTGTTTTTTTTATTTAAATATTTCATAATCAAGTAGCATAAAATGATTGGCTTTCGCTGATTACATAAACATTTTGGAAGACCCTGTCAAGTTTTTGATCAGATTGCTGCTCTTCAATATAAAAAAAAAAACTCATGATTTCTCTTTCACACTCACTCCTTAAACTGAGACGGGTCCTTGAAGCGGCAAAAAAAAAAAAAAAATATTAAGACAACCGGAAAAAAAACATTCCGGTACGTTGTAGGAAAATAAAACGAAGGGGAAACTCTTTTTAATGCATAGGATAATGATCAATGTTTGAAACACCGCTTTGAGTTTTAGATCAACAAGGTAGATCCTTTTTTTTATTGTATTGTTACATACCCCTCCTTAGCTGTTGATATCATTTTTTGATTTTTCAAAATCAAACTGTGATTTTTTTTAGACTGTAATATCAGTGTAACACTGGCAATTTTATTTTGTCTGGACCGCGCAAAAATGAAAAAAGTCCTTTTTTTTTTTACTCTTTCTTTTTTTTTTTTTTTTCTTCTTCTTCTTCTCTCTCTTTATATACCCTCTTTCCTAACTTAATCCTCCACCTATCCCCCCTCCTCTCCCTTATTTCTCCTTTATACGTGCAATTATTTTGTATTCTTGATTTCATATATTTCCCGTCATCTTTTCAACTTGGCTCAGTGAGTTCATTCTGTACCCTCTTTCCTTTTTTTTTAAAAAAAAAAAAATATACATATATACCATGGTATCTTCACAAAACGAAGATATTAATCTTCATACGGTACACGGAACTCGTAAAGTACATCTCATGATAAATAAAGTCATTACATTACTAATAGGGGTAACCCTCATTCTTTACTTAGGAGAAGAACAACCTTTAAGTGGTCTACAGCCCGTCTATCAAACGCCACTTGATATTCATCACTCTTCATTCTCACTTTTACCTACTCACCAAACTCATCTATTTGAATATGAAAATGAATCTACAGAAATGTTAGAACGATCTTTTAGTCGCAATAAACACGATAGTCAACCTTCTTATGATGACGATAAAACGATCATTGATAATACTCATTCAACTTCACAAGTTCAAAAAACAACTTCTTCTCGATACTCATTTTATCAACAATGGATGCGACGAAATACAAATGACTCTTCACCACGACATATTTATATTCATAAAAAATCGCCTCAACAACAACCACCTTTTTTACACAACAGTGTTTCTACTGCTAAATATAATATCTTGACATTTTTACCTAAATTCTTCTCGGTGGAATTCAGCAAATCTGCGAATCTTTTCTTTTTATTTATATCGGGAGTTCAGGTAATAAGGGATGATGACAAGGATGATGAAAACCATAAAAAAAAAGGGGTGATGGGTATCGTTTTTACGTGTTACTGTTTATATATATATACTGATTGATCTCTTTTTTTTTTTTATGATTAAAAATAGCAAATTCCAAATATCTCACCTACTTCTCGTTGGACAACACTAGTACCATTGGTGATTGTTTTATTTATCACTGCAATCAAAGAAATCTTGGAAGATTATGCAAGTAGAAAATAAATCCCCTTTCACCCCCTTTTCCTTCTCCTGTTTCTATCTAATATCCCCTTTCTTCTTTTTTTTTTTTTTTTGGTATTTTATCTTTTTTTTTAGGGTGTGCACAAATCAGATCATGAATTGAATGGACGAAAATGCAAAGTACATGAGGGTGATCGATTTGTGGAAAAAAGATGGAGTGATGTCAAAGTAGGTGATATTTGTCGTGTGGAAAGTGGTGATTTTTTCCCAGCAGATTTGATTCTTATCAGTAGTTCTGAACCTGAAGGACTTTGTTATATTGAAACAAGCAATTTGGATGGGTAACTTTATATATATATTACTAAAACAAGTTGGACTCTAATTTTTTTTTTTTTTTTTTTTTTTTTTAGTGAAGTCAATCTTAAAATCAAACAAGCTTTACCTGAAACAGCAAAGTTCATTTCTCCAAAATCATTACTTGAATTCTCTGGTGTCATACAATCTGAACATCCCAACAATCGACTTTACAATTATGATGGTACTCTTACTTTAACTTTAGATAATGGCAAAGAAAAGGATTTTCCTTTGGATCCTAGCAAACTTCTCTTACGTGGTGCTCAGTTAAGAAATACAAGTTGGATCTATGGATTAGTGATATTTACTGGTCATGAAACAAAGTTGATGTTAAACTCAAGGTAAAATACATGTGATAAAATCAAAAAAAAAAAAGAAAGTATTCATTCTTGTCTTATTTTCTATTCCAGCAAAAAACCAACAAAAGCTTCCAATGTCACTCATATTACCAATCGAAATATTTTGTATCTCTTCACTATGCTTGTTCTCATGAGTATTCTGTGCTCTGTTGGAAATTATGTGACTATGGTAAGGATTAAATAAGATCTTTTTTTTTTTTATCATTCACTAGATATTTTTCTTTTTATTTATAGAATAAACTTGGTCGAAAATTGGATTATGTAGAAATTCCTGATACGTTGAACAAGGCAAGTGAATTTGGGTTTACTATCTTGACATTTATGATCTTATTCAATAGTTTTATTCCTATAAGGTAGTAAAAAAAAAAAAAAAATGAATCAAACAAATTCAAATAAATCAACTCATCTATTTTATCAATTTAGTTTGATGGTCACCATGGAAATCGTCAAATTTGTACAATCAACGATGATAGATAATGATTTGGATATTTATCATGAAAAGACGAATACACCAGCTGTAGCACGCAGTAGCAGCTTGATTGAAGAACTTGGTCAAATCGAATATATATTCTCAGATAAGACTGGTACACTCACATGCAATGAAATGGAATTCAGAGAATGTTCAATAGCAGGACTTACTTATGCAAATCAACCCGACCCAGACAGGCGACCTACTTCAGAATATAATGACAGCAATGCACAATACTCATTCAAAGAAATGGAAGGTCATTTACGAACAGCTCCTCAAGCACCAGTAATTCATGATTTTCTGACAGCATTGATGACTTGTCATACTGTGATTCCCGAAATGAACAAGGTAGCAACAAAAGAAGAAATCATCTATCAAGCATCCTCTCCTGATGAAGCCGCTCTTGTTAAAGGTGCTAGTACTTTATTTGGATACCACTTTTATGCACGACGACCTCATTCCATTCATTGCACTATTGGTGGTGTGGAACATGAATATCAAATCCTCAACGTATGTGATTTCAATTCAACAAGAAAACGTATGTCCGTGGTACTCAAGGATCCTCAAGGTCGAATCAAACTCTATTGCAAAGGTGCAGATACAATGATTATGGAACGCTTAGCTTTGAACAATCCATATGTCAATTCAACATTATCCCATTTGGAGGTAAGACCCTTCAAAAAAAAAAAAAAAAAAAAAAAAAAAAAACAATTATGATATTTTACTGACTTTTTTTTTTTTGGTTTGGAATAAACTAGGATTTTGCTTCTGAAGGATTACGAACACTTTGTTATGCAATGAGGGAAATCAACAAGGATGAATATACACAATGGGCGCAGATTTACGAAAAAGCAGCAACTACATTGACCAATCGAGCTGAAGCATTGGATAATGCGGCAGAAATGATCGAACAAAACATGTCACTGGTAGGTGCAACAGCCATTGAAGATAAATTACAAGAAGGTGTTCCTGATACCATCCACACCTTACAAGAAGCTGGGATCAAGGTCTGGGTACTCACGGGTGACCGTCAAGAAACAGCCATTAATATTGGATTCAGTTGCAAGTTACTATCTGAAGAAATGGATTTGATGGTATGTTCAGCTGATGATCATGCTACCACTAGAAATATCTTGGAACAGAAAAAGGTGGAATTAGAGACTCAGAAATCAAATCACCATCAAGAAGTAAGTTAAAAAAAAAAAAAAAAAAAGACTGAAATTTAATTTATCTTTATTGTTTCATTCATTTAACCAATTCCCTTTGTTTAGCCTATGGCATTGATCATTGATGGCAAGGCGTTGACATATGCATTGGAAAAGGATTTGGAAAAGACTTTCTACGACATTGCAATCCAGTGTAAAGCGGTGATCTGTTGCCGAGTGTCTCCGTTACAGAAAGCACTTGTGGTCAAACTGGTGAAAAAGTACACAAAATCTATCCTACTTGCGATTGGTGATGGGGCGAACGATGTATCAATGATCCAGGCAGCACATGTGGGTGTGGGTATCAGTGGTGTGGAAGGACTTCAGGCTGCGCGCAGTGCAGATTTTGCCATTTCACAATTCCGGTTTCTCAAAAAACTACTTTTGGTCCATGGTGCATGGGCATATCAACGACTATCCAAAATGATCTTTTTTTATTTTTACAAGAATGTGACCCTGTATCTGACACAGTTTTGGTATGCCATCTTCAATGGTTTCTCAGGTCAAACCCTTTACGAATCTTGGACCATGTCTTGCTTCAATGTGCTTTTTACCATCTTGCCTCCCTTGGCCATAGGCATCTTTGATCAATTCACTTCTGCTCGGTTGTTGGCCAAATACCCTCAAATGTACTCTCTTGGTCAAGCCAATGAATTCTTTAATCAAAAACGATTTTGGGGTTGGATCTTGAATGCTGTCTACCACTCGGCGGTAAAGTTGTTTTTTAAAAAAAAAAAAAAAAAAAAAAAATCTGGTAGTTATCCTCTTTTTTTTTGTTATTAGGTTCTCTTTTTCTTTGGAATGGCTGCCTTCAATAATGATCAGGTATTTGTAGCTGGTTATGCTGGTGGACAATGGTGGGTGGGAACAACTATATTCAGTTCAACATTGGCCACTTTATTATGGAAAGCTGCTTTGATTACAGAGTAAGTGATATTTTTAAAATGGGGAAAAATGATAGGATGAATGAATGGATTTTTTTTTTTTTTTGGATGATAAACTAGTGTTTGGACAAAATGGACATGGATAGCTATTCCAGGATCAATGGTTATTTGGTTTATTTTCCTTCCTGTGGTATCGTATATTGGACCTTTATTACCATTTGGTATCTTTTTTGAATATCATGGGATTGTACCTGCCTTATGGGGAAATATCAATTATTGGTTATTTTTTCTTTTGATTCCATTGATTTGTGTTTTACGTGATTATCTTTGGAAATAGTAAGTGATTTTATTTTTTTTTTTTTTGTAATGTAACTAAAAAGATACTCTCTATTTTATAGTTACAAGCGAATGTATAGGGCCAAAAGTTATCATTATGTTCAAGAAATTCAAAAACTCAACTTGCCAGATTATCGACCTAGAATGGATCGGTTTCGGACAGCTGTCAACAAAGTACGCCATGTACAACGACTTAAACAATCCAGAGGTTATGCTTTCTCACAAAACGATACGGATCAAGGCAAACTTATTAGAATGTACGATACCACCCAACAAAAGCCCTCAGGATAGATCTTATACTTCTTTATATTACCACTTCTATTATCTATTTCCATTTATCATCTTTTTTTTTTTTTTACCATCATCTATTTCTTTTTGTTGTAGTTTTGCTTTATTGTATATATAGTGTACGGAAATAAAAACTATGGACTTTTTATCAATCCATATAAACTCTGCCACTTGTATTTTATGTAATGATAACGTATGAATGATGAATAAAAGTATTTATTGAATGAAAGAATATAAATTTAAAAAAAAAAATTATAAAAAAAGATATACAATGAAGAGAGAAGGGGGGGGGGGAAAGTCCTTGGAACAAGATGTATGATAAAAAAAAAAAAAAAAGAAAAGAGTAATGATGATAATATATATGTATAAACAAAAAAAAAAAGTAATAATCAAAACAATAAAAGATGAAGAGAAAGGGAAATATACTATTATGATCTATCTATCCACTACAACTGATACAAGCATCCTTGTTATCCAAAGAACAAACCATATCAGCTTCGTTTTCTTCCCTTTGTTTGAGAGCTTTGTAATCTTTGAGAGAAAGTTGATCGACAGTAAATTTGATGGCATCCACAGCAGGTCGAGTACGGAGATAATACATACCAGTCTTGAGTCCCTTCTTCCAACCATAAAAGTGCATACTTGTCAATTTGCCAAAGTTAGGTTCACCAATAAATACATTCAAACTTTGACTTTGATCAATGAAAGCACCACGATCTGCCGCCATATCAATCAAAGTTCGTTGCGAAATTTCCCATACTGTTTTGTACATTGCCTTGAGATGAGTAGGAATCTTGTGGATGTTTTGTACCGAGCCACTATCTGACATGATTTGATTCTTAACTTCTTCGTCCCAAATACCGAGTTCTACTAGATCCTTCAATAACCAAGGATTTACAATTTGGAATTCACCAGCAAGTACTCGACGAGTGTATAAATTGGATGTGTATGGTTCAAAACATTCGTTGAAACCTAGAATTTGAGATGTAGATGCTGTTGGCATGGGGGCCACCAATAAAGAATTTCGAATACCATGTTGACTAATTTTTTCCTTCAAAGCTGCCCAATCCCATAAAGACGAAGGTGTCACTCCCCACATATCGTATTGCAATTGACCCTTAGACACTGGACTTCCTTCATAAGTTTCATAAGGACCTTCTACTTGAGCCAATTCCATAGATGCTTCTAAAGCAGCATAGTAGATCGTTTCAAAGATTTGTTTATTAAGTTTCTTGGCCTCATCTGATTCAAAAGGATAACGCATCAGCATAAATGTATCCGCCAAACCTTGTACACCCAAACCAATAGGACGATGACGTTTGTTGGATCGCTCAGCTTCCACCACAGGATAATAGTTGATATCAATGATTTTGTTCAAGTTCTTGGCAATTACCTTGGTAACTTGGTGTAATTTCTTGAAATCATAATATTCACGGTTTACCACAAATGAAGGTAAAGCAATACTGGCTAGATTGCATACGGCTACTTCATCAGGACTTGAATATTCCACAATTTCGGTACAGAGATTGCTGCATTTGATTGTTCCCAAATTTTGCTGATTTGACTTACGATTGCAAGCATCCTTGTAAAGCATGAAGGGGTTACCAGTTTCCGTTTGAGCTTCCAAAATAGCATACCATAATTTTTGTGCCTTCAATGTACGACGAGCACGACCTTCACTTTCATATTTTGCATAAAGAGCTTCGAATTCTTCACCCCAGACATCTTGCAAGCCAGGAGCTTCACTAGGACAAAATAATGACCAATCACCATTTTCTTCCACACGCTTCATAAAAAGATCGGGAATCCAGAGAGCATAAAAGAGATCACGAGCACGAATTTCATCCTTTCCAACATTCTTACGAAGATCCAGAAAGGTAAAGATATCAGGATGCCAAGGTTCAAGATACATGGCAAAGGCACCAGGACGTTTATTACCACCTTGATCGACATAACGAGCAGTATTATTGAACACACGAAGCATAGGGAGAATACCATTGGAATAACCATTTGTACCAGCAATGTAAGAATCAGTTGCACGGATGTTGTGAATGTTAAGACCAATACCACCAGCAGTTTTGGAAATTTGAGCACAAACCTTGAGAGTTTCATAAATACCTTCAATAGAATCTTCCTTCATGGTGAGCAAGAAACATGAGGACATTTGTGGACGAGGAGTACCAGCATTGAATAAGGTAGGACTAGCATGAGTAAAGTATTTTTCGGACATCAAGTTGTAGGTTTCGATAGCAGAATCGATATCTTCGCCATGGATGCCAACAGCGACACGCATAATCAAATGTTGAGGACGTTCAGCCACTTTGCCATTGATTTTCAAAAGGTAAGAACGTTCCAGAGTCTTGAAGCCAAAAAAGTTATAACCAAAATCACGATCGTAGATAATAGCAGAGTTTAGACGGTCAGCATTCTTCATAACAATTTGATATGTCTTTTCGGAAATCATAGGAGATAATTTATTAGTTTTGGGATTCACATAGGTATAGAGATCTTCGACCACTTGAGAAAAGACCTTCTTGGTTTCCTTGTGTAAATTGGAAACAGCGATTCGAGCAGCCAAGATAGCATAATCAGGATGAGTTGTAGTCATATAAGCAGCAGTTTCAGCAGCAAGGTTATCCAGTTCAACAGTAGTGACACCTTGATAGACACCAGAAATGACCTAATATTAAAAAAAAAAAAAAAAAAAAAAAAAAAAAAAAAAAAAGACGAATCAATGAAACCAGTATTTTTTTTATTATTATTATTTGCTTATTCTTGAATGATTTACCTTTTGAGTAATGGCCACAGGATCAACAAAGTTGGTATCCAATCCATAGCAAAGTTTGTTGATTCTTGCAGTGATCTAAACATGAAAAGTAATGGAATTTGTTAATTAGTATAAAAGTTATGTCAAATGAACTTATTTTTACCTTATCAAAAGCGACTTGTTCTTGTCGACCGTCTATGATAAATAAAGAAAGCAAATTAGCGATATTGTGAATAATCAACCAAAAGATATTTTACATACCTCTTTTATAGACAAACATAGGCATGGTAAAGAAGAGAAAGAAGTGTATAAAATAATGTGAAACAGAACCAGTGGGATATAAAACAGAGTAACAGTAAAAAAAGAAGAATGAATAAATACACTGCTCCAAAAAAAAAAAAAAAAAAAAAAAAAAAAAAAAGATATAAAGAAATCAAAAAAAGATAGAATAAAATAGTAAAAGGAAAGGAAAAAAAAAAAAAAGAAAAAAAAATTGATTTTTATAAAAAATTCCTCTTACGCGACGACGCGAATTTTTTCAAGGTGCGATAAAAACAAGACTGCGCATCACTCATTCATTATTAATTATTAAAAAAAAAAAAAGAACACGATAAACACGACACGAACATATCATCAATACCTCCTATTCAACGATTTCTTTCTCTTTTTTTCCCAATATACATATAAAATTGCTTTTTATTAAATCATGAAACAAAGAAGATATAAAAACTAAACTAAACTATCATCATCATCATTATAGTTGTTGTTGTTGTTGTTGTTGTTGTCGTATAATCGCCATCATTTGTTCAATTTTTTGTGCAAAGGACTTTTCAGCTTCAGGAGTGATAGTGAGATGATGTTTTGCACCAAATTCACGTACTAATATTCTATAATCATTGGTTTCATAAACTGGAAGAATCGCACTAACACCAGGATGTAATTCAATGTTGAGTTGGAAAAGAGCTTTGACAACAGGCTTGACAGGTTCAGGATCAGATAGTGAGATGGTACCATGAACCGTTGTTGATGATGGAGCTGGAGTAGCAATGGGAGCTGGAGCTGGAGCTGGAGCTGGAGCAGAAGCAGGAGATGGAATAGCATATTTGGAAGCGGCAGTTCCACCACGAGAAGAAAAAAGTGAAGTTGATGATGATTGAGTTTGAGGAGCTGGTGGATTTTCTTGAAGAGGTTGAGAAGCCCACTTGGAGACTTGTTGTGATGATTGAGTTTGAGGAGCTGGTGGATTTTCTTGAAGAGGTTGAGAAGCCCATTTGGAGACTGGTTGTGATGGTTGTTTTTGAGCAGGTACTACAGGATTTTCTTGAAGAGGTTGAGATGCCCATTTGGAGACTGGTGTCGTAGGTTGTGATGGTTGCATTTGTTGTTTCTGAGGAGGTACCACAGGATTTTCTTGCAAAGGTTGAGTACCCCATCGTGAAATTGGTTTTGAAGGTGGTGGTCGACCTCCAGGAGTAGTGATTTGTCGTTGTTGTTGTTGTTGTTGAGAAGGTGCTTGAGGTGTCGAAGGTTTTGGTGCATACTTGGAAGCACCGGAGCCACCTTGTTCCCAGAATGGTGTTGATTGTAACTCGGATGAACCCCAGGCAGAATTCGTAATAGGAGGTCGTCGTGGTGCAGTTAATGGTTTACCAGTAGGTCGAAGAGCAATGTCATTGGGAAATGCTGGAGGAGGAGGAGCACTGGAAGCCTTTTTCTTCTTACCACCCCTTTTCTTCTTGCCACCACCAATAGGAGGACCGATTTTTAGTCGTTGGTTCAAGATTTGTTGTTCGTCCACAGGTTTATAATTGGCACCTTTTCGATGTAGATTTCCAGAGCCAAGACCATTTTTTGCAACCACTACATTAGGATCCAAAAGTTTTCGCCAGTCGCTAGCTTCAAAAGTCATTACTGCAGGTCCTTCGGCAGGTCTATCGTTCCAATTTGGCATACGGATCACGTCTTCTTCAGCTTCAGAACCAGTAGGTTGAGCACCCCAACTATTCATTTGTAATGGAAGATAGTCGTCGTCATCACTTTCGTCTGAACCATAGGATCCTTCAGAAGAATAGTCATCTTCGTCTTGTTCACTTGATCGACTTTGTACACTTTCGGGTATAGGAGCACCCCATCCATTTTGTGCAAGAGTAGTTTGATCCATCTATAACTTTAACAATATTGTCAAAAAAGAAAGGAAAAAAAAAAATAAAGGCACAAAATGTGTGATATAAGAAAGAAACAAAGAAGGAAGAAGAGAGAGGAAAAAAAAAAAAAAAAAAAAAGAAAAACAGAAATTTTAGTCTGACGTTCAAAAGGTCAAAAAAAAAAGTTTAAATCCAGTCTTGGGGTTATTGGATGAATTGCAATGGAAATTATTCATTGGCCTTTTTTTTTTTTTTTTTCTTCCCTTTTCCTTCCAGTTTTTTCTTTTTTTTTATGACTTTTGTTACTATACTTTACCAAACCTTCTATTGATGTATTGGAAATTCATTGTGGTTTTATATATTTTTATCTTTTTCAAGTCATGTGTAACACTCTCAACACAACTACAATGTATCAATCAATTAAACCCCTTTATAACAACTTGTCCTGCAATGGTTGTACCAACAGATCAATCTTCCATACTCTTCCCACAAGTATCCGATCTCGACTTGGTTAGTATATCAAAAAATGAACTCTTGGATTCAGTTATTATAGCTGTAGATCATGAATATCAACACCATCAGTATGATGAACAATCTCCTTTATCAACAATGTCATTTCATGGACCAACAATAAATGTACGTACAACCACGACGACAACTATTCCTTCTTCTTCCCAAACAGGATCTTCAAATGGAAATAGAAGAGTCACCATTCCGTCGTTTGAAGAATGGAAAAAACAAATACGACATAGTGAAGAAACGAATGATAACAATAAAAAACCCAAAAGAAAATCGACACGTGGCGCACCAAATCGAGGACAAGAAATGATTGATAGCGTGGATGGTGGTTTTTCCGATGATGTTGGATCAGTATTCGATAATGGAGATCCCAATGGACCTGTTTCGACTGCAGAAAATACGTACGAAGAAGGGGAATATATTGCACCTCAGAAACGACAACAAGATCAACAACAATCTAACAAGAAACAATTTGCCAAGGTACCTCTCAAATCTCTCAAGGAACGATTCAACTATGCCTGGACTATCTGTGCTGCCACTGTGCGTGATGTGAACAAGGAAGCCAGAGGTGCACAATCTATCTTATTTGAATCTAAGGATCAATATCTTTTGAACAAATGCTCAGCAGATAAGTTCGTCATCATCAATCTCTGTGAAGAAATCCTGATTGATACAATTGTTTTGGCCAACTTTGAATTCTTCTCAAGTACTTTTAAGGATTTCCGTGTCTATGTTTCCAATACTTATCCCACCAAGGATTGGCAGTTATTAGGTCAATGGCAAGCTAGAAATACTCGTGATTTACAGGTATACTCTTAGAAAAAACAAAAAAAAAAAAAAAAGAAGACGAGGTAGAGTTCTCTATCAAATGATGGTTATCAAAACAAGAGATTAACAATATCTTCTTTATTTTTTTTTAAAAAAAAAAAAGGTATTTAAAGTACAAGATAGTATTGGATGGTTCGAATATATGAAGATTGAATTCTTGACGCACTATGGTAATGAATACTACTGTCCTTTATCTTTGGTGCGTGTCCATGGAATGCCGATGATGGAATACTATAATGCTGTGGAAAGTCAAGGATTATTTGGTAATGGAGAAATCGAAAGTGTCAGTGATCAACATCTATGGCCAGCAGACGTACGCGAAGATATTATTCATCCTCAAATTGTTACCAACACTTCTGAATGGTTTCCTTCCAAAGAAGATATGGATTTCGATGATGATGTTGATACCGAAGACAATGGGACCAACGACAAGAATATAACAACTGCATTATCAGTGGATGGCGATATACATAGTTCAGAAATGACAATGGAATCAATTATAGTCACTGAGCCAGTGGACGACACAAACAAGAAATCACAACAACAAATAGCAGAATTAAACGATATGAATCAACCAGAAAACGATAACAACAGGACAACAGAGACTGAACGATCTAATTCCAATACAACAACCACAAACAACAATGATCTCTTTGAAAACAAAGATCACCATAATACTACGAATGGATTTGACTTGGAAAATGATAAAGAAATGGAATCACATGTTACATCAACAACGACATCAACTCCTGTATGGCATGACCCTGGCACGATGGATGATACTACGACTAAAATAAACAATGTTATTGATCATATTACGGTATCACATGACAGCAACCAAACTTTATCCAACAACTCCTCTTTGAATGACGACCATTTAGAATCCAAACAACAAGAAGACGATGGAACAACAATAACAGCAACAACAGCAACAACAACGACAACGATACTACCAACAACGGATGTGACAGACGCTATACCCTCTTTCTCAAATGATACTCGTATGTTACCTGACAATATCAGCAATTCAACAGATCAAAAAAATGGTGCAAATACCATCTATCCTTCAATAGTATCCCCATCTACCGTAACAGCAACAGCAACCAGCATCAACAACATGGATGACAACCGACCCAAAAACGTCCCCAATATACACAACAAAGAACCATCTACTCAAGAATCTATATACAAGATCATCATGAAACGCTTAAATGCTTTGGAAGCCAATGCCACACTATCACAACGCTACATGGATGAACAAAACAATATGCTCAATGATGTATTTACTGAAATGGAAAAAAGACATCAAGATCAACTTATTTATGTTTTGGATCGATTGAATGAAACAGCTAGTAATCGAATTGATGGAATGGTAAGAACAATATTATCAAATTTAAAAATAGATTCACTCAACCCATTTTTTTTATATATATAGAAAAGACGTTACGAGCAATCTTACGAAGAATTGAAGCATCAAATGGAATCAGATATGCGTGATATGACAGCTAAAATCAGTATTTTGACGGATCAGGTATATATTTAAGAAAACAACAATATGACTTATATACTCATCTCTTTTTTTTTTTTTTCTATTGATACTTGAACTTGTGATAGATCTCCTTTGAAAAACGGGTATCAATGGCGCAGTTGGCTGTGATCATTACTCTCTTTGTCTTCTTGGCTCTTTCTCGAGGTACACTCAGCACGTTATCACCTATCATGATTGCTCAAGCAGAAGAACGAAAACGGCGTGAATCAGATGCAACAACGACAAAATCTTCAGTGGATGGAAATTATGGATCAAAGCGATATCAGACCAGTAGTCATCGTCGGGATGGCCAATCATCATCTTCTTCTTCGACATCATTATCAACTGCAGCATCTGTCGCGGCCATGACAAGAAAAAAATTAGACTCATCAAGTTTATCATTATCATTGCCCACTAAAATCAAACTAGATATGGATGGTAGAAAAGCAGCTTCTTTAGATGCACTGAAACTTCATCTTGCTCAACAAACTGACTTGTTACCCAAACATATATCACAATCTACCTCTCAGCCTCCACCATCTTCAACGCAGCAATCAGAGCAACCAGGATCTTTATCATCAACTGTTCCATTAGCAACAACTACATTGGCTACACCATTACTTGCGGAGGATCGACAAACGACGTCAAAACCCCAGCGGTCTATTTCATTACAAGATATCACGAAGTGTACAGATACAATAGATGCGAAAGTCAACACAGAACAAGATGATTCTAATGGAAAAATGAATGAAAATAATACCGGCTATTACCAACAGCGCCAAGTACAGCAGCATACGATACAGGATAAGGATATAGATGATGATGATAACAGGAAGCGGGATGGGCGTTTACGACCTCACAATACGAATATTGAAAATAGTGGACTTGAAAACGAAAGTATAGGATCCAAATCTATTCGATCACCATTAACAGAGTCATCTTTGGTATTTGACAACCCATCTGAACGTCTACGGCAACAACAACCAAACGAACAAGCTATCTCCTCCTCATTGACTCAAAACAAATGATACCCTTTGTGATGGAATATTTATTTAGGATTATATAGTTTTTTTTTTTTTTTTTTTTTTTTGAATAGTATATTAGTTGCATGACTGATTAATTATTGTTGTTTTGTTTTTACCATACACGCTAATAAAAACGACTCAAAAAAGATCAAGGTCGCGGCGTTTCAAACATACTTTGTACTTTTTTTTTTTAGTATATCTCTTTCCTTCGACACCTTTTTTTTTCACTTTTATCATTACTTTGTCACAACTTATCTATTACCCAAATGGAAAACAGTAAGCTGCAAAAAAAAATTATAATGACATATAATGATGCCATTTTTTCAGTTTCTTCTTGCACTTTATTGACTATCCGTTAAATACAATTGTAATAATTAGGACAAGTACAGCCAACTCCACCTGTAGGTCATCGACCAAGTTCATATGATATGCCTACTGTTATAGTTGTTGTAAGTAAACAAAATGACCAAAAAAAAAAGACTTCCTCTTCCTTTTCTTTTTTTTTTTTTTTTTTTGTTTGTTTTTGTCTTTTCTCTCATGATGAATATTCTGCATAGTATACTTTGGTGATTATTCTAGGCATTGGGTTATGCTTCTGTCTTCGAAAAGCAAACCGACTAGTACCTAATAAGTACAGCTTCCCAATGATGTTACGAAGCAGTGGCAACCGAGCACAACAATGGACTGAAAGGGATGAGCTAGAAGATGAAGAGTCACGACAAGGCTTATTAAATGATTTTGAAGACCAAGACGATATGGAAGATGACGAACAAGGTAAAAGAACAAATTATATATATATATATATCTATTATATATTATATACACAAATGGGTAAATGCATTGACTTAATTTATATATATATATATATATTACTATTAGTATATGCTCAAAGGCACAACCCAGTCATAACAACTAATATCAAGACCAGTAATAGGCCGGATGACAATGACGACAGTGATGGTTTTGGTGATTTGCAGACTGTATCAAACAAGACATCAAATGCATTCGTGGTATCAATGGACGATGATGAAATGGATGATGACGACAATGTTAACGGACAATCAATTAATACTCAAGTAAAGAAATCAGTATGATATGATACTTGATTTATTACTGCAGACATTAATTCATAGTTGTAGTTGTAGTTTTATATGATATTTCATTCATTCTTTTTCTCTTTGTTATATAAATACAATAAAAAAGAAAAATAGTTTCATTGGATTCGATTGGATAGTTGATGTATGCAAGTGTTGATGTCTATATCATGCATGGAGAACATATAAGCGACGGTGATTGAAAAAATCAACCTTTTGGCGAATCACCTGCTCCTTTTTTTTTGTTTTCTTGATTTATGTTTGTCTTTTTTTTCCTCACACGATTCTTTTTCTTTTGTTTTTTTTTCTTTTATATACAAATTTACTAACAATAACGAAAAAGAAAGAGTATGTCCATACCATTATCACCATCTACTGACTTCTCTTTTGGACAATGGTTCACTACTCTTTTTGAGAAAAGAATTCAATCTTCGTCTACCAGCACTACAAGCAACACCAAAAGTCAATCAGTACAACCTAAAAGTAGGTAAGTGGGTAAATAGACAATCTTTTTATTGTGCTTTTATTAACTCTTTTTTTTTTTTAGTAGTGGTAGCGGTGCAACTGTTAATCATGATATTACCACTAATGACCATCCTACAATATATTGGGTTGATTGGTTTATTAGTTTGAAAGGAAATGATTATTTTTGTAAAGTGGATGATAGTTTTATTGCGGATCGATTTAATTTAGTCAAATTGGAAGAATGTATTCCTCGTTATTACCTTGAAGCTTTGGATATGATGACTGACAATTTTGGTAAGTTTCAAGTGGGAAAAATTCACAACATCTGCTGATATTTTGTTACTCCTCTCTCTCTCTCTCTCTCTCTTGTCATATTTTGCCATTCAAGATCCGACAGCATATTAATCTTTTTTTTGTTTTTTTGATTAGATTATCGCGAATATGATCAAACGACAAGAATTGAAATTGAAAAGATGGCTATGCATTTATATGGGTTGATTCATGCAAGATTTATTCTTACCAATACGGGAATGGCAAAGATGGTAAAAAAAAAAAATAAATAAAACCATTTATCATTATCCTTATTTTTCTCATCCATTTCAATAATGATAGATGATCAAATATAAACAAGCAATTTATGGCACATGTCCTCGATATTATTGTAAACATCAAGCTCTTTTACCTATTGGATTATCGGATCAACCTTTTACGCATACCATCAAATTATATTGTCCACAATGTGAAGATGTTTACAATATATATTCCTCTCAACATGCCTCTATGGATGGTGCTTATTTTGGTACAACTTTTGCTCATCTTTTTTTACAAACACATCCTTCCTTATTACCAATGAAATCCAGTGATCATTATGTACCACGAATATTTGGATTCAAAATCATGAACAACAAAAAAAATAATACCTCTTATATTCCCAACTCTCGTTTAGTACCCAGTTGATTATACTATTTTAATAAAAATACCCGTCTCTTGATGATCTTCATATTTGTTTTACTTGTTTTGGCTTTTTACGGATTACTTTATATAGATCATTGAATAGTAAATAGATTGACCACAAATCTGATTGTGTCCCCTATGACGATATTATCTTGTTCTTGGAATTCTTTTTGTTATCATTCATAATATATATTAAAGTGAGGTTATTATCAACTGAGCCCTTTTTTTTTTTTTTTTACTTCTTTTTTGGGCAGTTTATTTACTGAATGATGTACCTGAAGCATTTGAAATCCGCTGCTCCGTTGAGTTTTATGATGAATAGCCACATGATGATAAAGTTTATAGTACCCTTGATTATTTTCTGTAAATGACAGGTTGAAAACTACTCCCTTCTCTCATTATATTTTCCTTCTCCCTGTTTTTTTTAAAAAAAAAAAACAAAAGATTATACTTCTATTGAAAAAGAACAAAGAGATACATACAGTAAGATGATGATGATGACCAATTGTGATTGAAAAAAAAAAAAAAAAGCTGCAGGTTGATTATATCAATTTGATAAAAGGGAGCAAAATGGACACCATAGCCACTCTGGTACTACCCTTTCATTTTACGTGGTACCATTCAGCCAAAAACGAACAACTCCGCCCAATTACCTACTTCATTTAGTAATGTCATTTAGAGTTTTTTATTTTTCTAATATACATTTCAAATACTTGATCTTTTTTTTTTTTCCTACTTCTCTTATATAAAAAGAGAAATTTTTTTTTCATCAAAAAAATCATTTTAGCGTTGATCGTGTCTTTTTTTTTTTTCTCCTTCTTGTACTTTCTACCTTTTTCTCTTTTTTTTTTTTTTTTTTTGGAGCTGGCCCTCTCATTCACCCCCCTTCCTCTCTTTATTTATAACAAAGAATCATCCATCATTACCACTATCATGAAACAAGCTCTTTTATTGACAATTCTTTTTGCCATGACTTTATTGGCATTGACATCAGCTGCACCTCTTGAAAAGCGATTGAAAAGCTGTTATAAACATGCCACTTTAACTCAGTGAGTATTCCAAAAGAAAAACGGGAGCACTCCGATTTCCCATCATGCTAATTCCTTTCTTTCTTTTTTTTTAATCATCATCGTTGAATTATCTTTCAATTCATCATTATTTTAGATATTGGATTCCAAAACAAGGTGATAAGGATATGCTGAACAATGGGAAAACAGTGACTCTTTCTGGACCCAAGAACAAAGCACTGAAAACCAAAAAAGGAAAAACCATTGCAAAGGTTTCAAAGACAACATATGAAGTATGTATCAATCATCCCCCCCTTTTTTTTTTATGATCATGATACTTATACCTTTTTTTTTTGTTTTATTAGAAATTTCAAATGGAAGGTACTGGCTTACTTGAGAATGGAATCATGGTCAATTTAGATTCTGGAAAGGATACATTTCTTGAAGTCAATCGAAAAAAAGCACCTTATGGATTAGGTAAAAATCCATTTCCTTTTTTTTTTTTTTCTGTAAATTGAACCTCCTCCTTTTATTATTATATCAATTATCATAGGTTCCGATGATGATAATGCTTTAGTACCTTGGGTTAGTGTTGCTTCCAATGATCTCAAGATAGGCACTACTTTATATATCAAACAATTAGATGGTCTTCGACTTCCTGATGGTAAAAGACATAATGGATGTGTCCGTGTAGATGATGAAGGTTGGAGCTTTGATGATTGTCAATTGGATTTCTATGTCTTACAATTCTCAGCTTATCAAAAATTGGATCATACTATTCCTGATAAGGTCTCTGTTCAACAAAAGAAATGCAAGGTCTTGTCTTATGTTACAACAAAAGTCAAATCTTGGGCTGAATTGAACAAATGAAAAATGATGTCTCCACCCCCCTTTCTTTTTTGTATATTTGCTGTATCACTAGTTTAAGTCATTGAACAAAATAAAAAAAAAAATTCATTTCTCCTTTCTCTTTCTCCTTTTCAACTTTATGTATTTCAACTGCTGATCTGCAGGTTAGCAGATGAGTTGATTAGTATCATCTTTGCCAAGAATCTCGATAATGATGATGTAAATGATGATATATGAATGAATGATGGTATCATGATATTGACATATTGATGCATTTTCTGGATGGTGGATGATGATGGATGAATTTTATCGGGAAAAATGCAATTTCATTGGTTAATTTTTTTTTGTTACCTAGGTTTAAAAATAAAAAAAAAAAAAAATACCAAAAAAAGTTTGAGAGCTCTGTTATTTCTTCCTCTTTCTCTCTATTCTTTTATATATGACTCAATTTGAATCTTTCTCTTCACAATTAATAAATACATTGGATATACTTCAAAAACAACTTGATGACATAAGGCAAGTGTATGCAAAAAGAATAGACTTCTAGTTATCACTTACTCTTTTCAATCTTTAATAATATAGTCTGAAACAAGTCGACTTACATAACCAGATCACTAGTGCGCGTTCTGACTCTATTACAGAAGAAGAATATGCCGATGTTAAAGCCATGGTAAGTAAGACTCTATTATATATACATATTGATATATATTGGACAATTGACTTTGGTACAAATCTCATAAACTTTGTCTTTCGTTAGATGGACACCACATTAGCTTACAAGTCAAAACTATTATCATTGCGAACAACTATGGTCAATATGTCATTAAAGTCGAAACAACTTTTGAAACGGTCTGACAAACTAAAAGCAACAAAGATGGATTATTTATCCAAGGTAGAAGATATTCGAAAACGAGAACAGGAACGAGATCAATCCATCGCCGCCATTGTTTTAGAACCTTCAACAAGTATACATACTACCCAACCAAATACACCCACAAGGTCTTCTTCACCTATGATACCAAGCTCCTTACTAGAAAAAAGTGTGGATGATGATAATAAGAATAACAAAGCTGAAAATGAACAACAACAGGTACTAAGTCCTGCACCCGTAACTACAACAACGACAACAGATAGTATACTTGGTTTGAATGATAACAAGGGATCACCAGTAATATCACCGATCGGTCGAACATCATCAACATCCTCTTTGTCAACAACAACGGCAACAACACCAGTAGTAGCATCTGATTCTTCCTCTAAAGTAATTGGTTTGGCGAAAACGAAGAAAAAGAAGAAACCCAAAGCGCGTGAAGTGGAAATTGGTGGTGATGATGATAATCGTGCTTGGACACCTAAACGAACACTCTCTAGTAGTATTGGTAAGAAATCATAATTTTTTTTTTTGGATGTTGTTTAGTTAAGTTAGTTGGTTATGATTATAGTAGCATAGTAGTCTACTTTTACATATATACGCTTTCGTCCAATAAAATAAATAAATAATTTTTCGATTTGGATAGATGTTTAATCTCAGTTGTTTTCTTTTCTCTTTTTTTTCTTTTTTTCTTTTTTTTTTTTTCTTCGTTTATAATTTTCCTTTTTATTTATCTATTTATTTATTTATTTTGAATCAATGACATCACGCCAAGTTCAGGTAAACAATTCAAGTGCTATCATTATCAGTAGTGAATTGGATGGACATGAGTCTATGTGATTCTCTCTCTCTCTCTGTTTTTTTTTCGTATACTACCCTTCTTTATTTTATTTGTCTGGATGTCACCATATATAGCAACAACGAATGTTCGATCGTTACCATTCAACAACACAAATGACGTCAAATGTACGATCTAGGGATCAGATGGATAAAGATGATGACAATGAACATGACCTAGATACGGAATTCTCACTACCTCGCCATCTTGATCCTACTGGCTATGTTGATTTTGATAGAATACAACAAACAAGTATGGAAGAACATTTACCGGTGCATAATGTTGGTTATCGACTATTACAAAAGATGGGATGGAAGCAAGGACAAGGGTTAGGTAGTCTTGGTCAAGGTAAAAAAAAAAAAAAAAAAAAAAAAAAAAAAAAAAAAAAAGGAAAGGAAAGGAAATAGAGTATAGGAAATAGACATGGTTATTTTGTGTTTGTTAAAGGTGATTGATATTTTTACTGATCCTCTTCTTTTTTATTATGATGATAATTAAAAAAAAAAAGGTCGAAAGGAACCTATTCGAATAGATATGAAACAAGATGGATTGGGGATAGGCAAAGCAGAACAAGATCAAGAATACAATGAATCTTCGACAGCGCAAAGAAAAGCTATGGATAGTGAAAAACAATTGGAGGAAACCATGGAGGAGCGTCAACTACGGGAATCCAAAGTAATCAAGATTCAAGAAATTCAACAAGAACTCTTACAAGTCAAACGGGCTTTTTATTGTGAACTTTGTGACAAACAATATAACAAGGTCAGTGAATATGATCAGCATTTACAAAGTTATGATCATCATCATAAGAAGGTAAGTAAAAAAAAAAATTATAATATGGTCAAATCAAAATACTTATTTTATTCTTCTATCTAGCGATTCAAGGATATGAAGGAACAAACCAAACGATCAGTCATAGGACAATCGGACAAGGAAAGGAAACGTGAAAGAGAAAAACGACGTGAAGAAAAGGAAATGAAACGAATGCAAGATGCTATTATGAAGAAACATGCCCCTAGTAATCCACCACCTCCACCACCTCCACCTCCTTCTGATATGGATCAAGATATACCTCCTCCTCCACCTCCATCTGATAACTCTGAATTTGGCACTCCTTCTCCTCCACCACCACCACCACCTCCTCCTACAACAACAACAGCAACAACGTCATCATCATCCATTGGTTTACAAATGAATAGAAATAATATATTATCACCATCGACCCCTTCAACGAGTGCGAACAAGGTATCTTTTGGTTTTGGTGTCAAGAAAAAGGCGTCTGGGATTCGATTTGGCTTGCAGAAGAAGGAATGATTCTATCGTATAGGATCTAAAAGTTATAGTATAGTGTATTTAGTGCAGTCGTAGAAAATCAATAAATTAAAAAAAAAAAAGTAAACGACTTTATCTTATTATTCCAAATTTAGCAACGTTGTCATTTTCATTCATAAGAGTCAGAGAAGTGAGTCATGAAGAATCACAGCAAAGAGAAGTTATCCCAAACAGGTAGCCGCGTTTTTTTCATGCCCCGAATCCTTTTTTTTATAACGGGAAAGCGGTGGTTGGATTTTTTTTTTTTTGTTGTTGTTGTTTTTGTTGTTTTCTTTCATTCTTCCTTGTCTTTATTTTTGAGGAATGATCATGGAACCTCGTAAACTCTTATATTGTGGCAGTAAGTAAAATAGTATATGGAGAGGAAGGTAGAAGATCAATTTGACTAAACCATCACGTCATAATACCTATTCTCACCTTTTTTTTTCTATTTCTTTCTCGTTTGTGTTTGAATCGTGTTGTTGTCTTTTTATAAAGTTTGCACCATGCCTCCTGAAGTAAGTCTAGATACAAAAAAAAAAAAAAAAAAAAAAAAGGAAAAATAGGATCGTGAATAGAAATACTCATTACTTCTTTTTTTTCTTCTTTTGAATATAGTATTGTGAATTCAGTGGCACTCAAGAAAAATGTAAAGAATGGCTTCAAGATCACCATCCAGATATTTATAATACCGTATATGGTGAAAAGGGTAAGTATATATCTATATAGTTAAGGCAAAAAGAAAGAAAAAAAATCTTGAATACTCAAGAATTTTATATTGATTCTCTTTCCCTTTTATATAGATTTAGTACAGGGAATGGAACAAGTGACAGTGACAGATGATAATGAAGGCAAATCAGATCGTACTTTTGTCAAAGACAAATCTGCAAAATTGGAAGCCAAATTGGAACGTGAAAACAAAAAGAAGATGGTATAATGATTTGATCTGGATGATTTATGATGAAACTTAACCTTTATTTTGGATAGTCTTCCCGTGTTACAATTAAAAGAGTAGAACGAACGAAACGAAAGCGAATCACCACCATTCATGGATTAGATATTTTTGGTAAATTAAAAAAAGAAAGAGGGAACATGAAGGATATATGAAGTGAAACTAATTCTTTTTTTTTTTTTTTTTGTAGGTGTTGATTTAAAAAAAGCAGCCAAATTATTTGCTAACAAGTTTGCTTGTGGATCATCAGTGGCTAAGAATAATCAGAATCAAGATGAAATTGTGGTGCAAGGTGATTTTTCAGACGAATTAATTGAATTGATCATTGCTAATTGGCCACATGTAAGAAAAAAAACAAACAAAAAAAGGATGAATTGATCTTATATTATGTTTATAGGTACCTGAAGATAATATTGATTATATTGAAGAACAAAAGAAAAAGAAGGCACCACAATAGTAAATCTAGTCTCTTTTTAATATAATGAAGAAATAAATAAATAAAAATACCATGAAATGTTTTCTCGATTGTGTTACACTCACTTGTATTCCAAATCTAGAGGCACAGAGCGTGAATATTGGGCAGATCTGTTCAAATTTGCAATATGTTCCTGTGTTACTTTCATTTTTCATAAAAATAGTTTTTTTTGATTTCCCGCGGTAAAAATAATATCATAGTCCAACAGGTCATTTTTTTTTCACTTTCTTTTCACTTTCTTTCTTTTCTCTTCATCTTTCCGTTCCTTCATTTTAATCCTTTTTTTTACCCATCCCATTCCTTTTATTTTATATAAACTAGTATGGCCAACTCACGCTTTACTATGAGTCGCGATCGTTTGGCTGAATTACGTGTAAAAAAAGAAAAACTATCTTAAAAATGATAATAATAAATATATTCACTTTTCTTTTTTCTTGTTATAATAGGGTTCCAATACAAATGAAAAGAAATACGAGTAAGTAAATATATATATATGTATTATTATTGTTATTTTCATTATTGAAAAAAAAAGATATATACTTATTACTCACCATATTTTCTTCCTATTAACTCCAAATTGACGTACTGATTCTTATTGTGATTATTTACTAGTCGTTTAAGGTAATTGGTTGGATAGGAAAAAAAAAAAAGGAGAACAAAAGTTTATTAGACAAGGAGAAGCAGTAATAGTTACATCATCTTTTTCTTTTTTCTTTTTTTTAGTGATGATCATGATATGCCTCCTCCTTTACCTTCTACTGGTCAGCGAAGTGGTCCTAGATATGATGATGATTATGCTTATAATCCACCTTCCAATCCTCCTCCTTCTTATACAAAAACAAATCATCGACATCAAGATCAATATGAAATGATGGAACGGAAAAATATTAATTCTGTGCCTGATGCAAATGGTTTGGTTTCTATTGAGGCATTCTTTGCTGAGGTAAATCTATTAGGAAAAAAAAAAAACTTGTTTGGGATGGGAAAAATTAATCTTTCTTTTTTTTTGTAGGTGGAAGAAGTCAAGGAATTAAATCGATTAATTCATACTAATATATCTGAAATTGAAGAAATGCATGGTGCAGCTTTGGTCAATATTAGTGAAGAACAAATGTCACAGAATGCTCGTCGATTAGATACCATGGTGAAGGAAACTGCAAAACTTAATAATGAAACAAAGAATAGGATAAAAGGTAAATACAAAAAAAAATAGTGAGGGGAATAAATCATCCTCACCTTTTTTTGATTTTAATTTAGCTATTGAACTTGCCAATGCTCGTATGCCTGCCAATAGTGGTGATTTACCAATGCGAAAAACACAACATGCCGCTTTAAAAAAGAAATTTATTGAATCTATTCAACGTTATCAAGATATCGAACGAACTTATCAACAAAAGTATAGACAAAGAGTGGAACGACAAATTCGTATTGGTAAGATTCTATTTTAATTTTTTTTTTTTTTTTGTCTTCAGTGATTTAATCATTTTTGATTTTATATAGTACAACCTGATGCAACATCGGATGAAATTGAACGGGTATTGGATTCTGACGAAGCATCTCAAATCTTTACACAATCATTGATGCAAGCCAATCGATCAGGACAAGCAAGAGCTGTATTAAGTGAAGTACAATCAAGACATGATGATATCAAGAAGATCGAAAAAACAATTCTGGAATTACATCAATTGTTTATGGACATGCAAATGATGATTGAAGAACAAGGTGAAGTATTGGGTCAAATCGAAGTTCATGCTGAAACCACTGCACATGATTTGGAACAAGGCAATAAGGATATAGCAAGAGCTATTGTTAGTGCGAAATCCACTCGTGCCGTAAGTGAATTTTTATATTTGATTCTTGGTTTATACTCATCTCTTCTTTATATATATATATAGAAAAAATGGTGTTGTTTCTTTATCTTTATTATTATCTTAATTGTAGTCGCTATTTTAGTATGGTGGTTTGCTTTTGATCATCCTGGTGTGAAATAGACTATCTCCTCCTCTACTTTTTTTTTTATATATTTCCATCTTCTTTTCCCATTATTTTATTTTACCTCTCTATTTCTATACATTTATTTATATATATATATATCTAACCTTGACACCCTCTCACTTAGCATTAGTATATTCTCCATGTTTTTTTATTAGTATTAGTATTTCTTCCCATATTTTATTTGATAATCAATAAACTATAAAATATTCAAAACACAAAAAAAAAAAAAAAAAAACAGCGATGATGATAGTAGTAATGGGATGATGGACATTCTCTAACATAAATATCATGACAAACTAGCCAAAAGCTTCATCATGCAAGATTAAAGTCATCCAGGTGAATTCACGCCAGCATAATCTAAATGATTGCCAGCTTTATAAAAAAAAAAAAAAATTGGGTTGATTTTTTTTTCTGCTATTACTCCTTCTATTTTTTTTTTCTTCTTTGTTATTTCTTTGTTATGACTAAATCAGGGTCTGTTGACGTTTATCGGTAATGAATGAGATAGCGTTCCCCTTCCTCACCGCGTGTTGTAAACTCCCCTATGATTTGTCCAATTCATATGTTCAACTCAACGCCTACAAAATGCACATGTCATCTAGTGATCCTATTCTCTTTAGCCAACAGCAGATGAGTGAATGGATTCCCATGAAGATGAGGTGAATGGATGCAATGATGATGGTATCATGACAAGATAATGACATGGACGAAGAAGATGATGATCAATAATCAATGAATTTGATTGGATTTGATGCAGAGGTCAATGAATTCAACTGTGTTACAATACATTTGAGTTAAGCGTGATATGAATGACAAAAAGTTAGAAAAAAAAAAAAAAGGTCAAAGCTTTATTCATGAAGTAAAAAAGGGGGAATTTGTATAATGAAAGGATGGGTAGAGAGGCAGAATGCTGCAATGATGGGTAATAAAATTGATAATACAAAAAAAAAAAATAAGAACTAAACACTAAGTAAATAAGATGTAAGAAATTAAAATTAAAAAAGAGGGATCAGATACGACCAAATTGAGTTCGTCGTTTTTCAGCTCGAACATTGCGTTGTTTTTGTAACTGTTGAATATGGGTTTCACAATAGATACGTCGTTCATACATATAATAGATATCAGTAATTGCACAGCGACATACCTAATTATATACAACAAAAAAAAGGGTGAATTAAAAAAAAAATGCAATGTAGTATCTAACGTAGATTCATACGTGTAAACCTTTTAACAAACTTACATTGCATTTGAAACAAGCAGGATGGAATCTCCAACCTTCAATTGTTTGAGCACAGGGTCCTTCGATAGGTTCATCACAAGTTCGACATAAAGAATTGTTCAATTGATGATAATGGCGTCGACAATAAGGAAGATTTTCAAAAACATAAAAGGTATTATCAGGAAATGGTCGATGACAGGTCTATAGAAAATAATTAAATAAATAAAAAGATGATACCAAAAAAAAAAAAACTTACATGACAACCAAAACAGTCTAAATGCCATTTGCCTTGTAATTTCCCATCTACAGCAGAAACAGCTTCTTTTTCAACTGGAAGATGACAGGCACGACATTTTGGTAAAAATAATTCTTTATAATCTTTGCGACAGTATACCCTTTGTTGACGTTCCTTGGCACCAGTTTTTTCTGTCAAAGGACAATAACAATGATAACACTTGATATGACCAGGGTGATAAGTACGACCTAAAGCCTTGATCGGAGTCACGTTGGAAGCAATAGGGCGATCACTAATTTGAAGAAAGAAATGTAACGCGACACAATAAAAATGTTATGATGAGTAAATCCTTCATTTTTCCCTTTTTTTTTTTTTTTTACCATGCAGCACAAGAAATACGATTTTTCACCACATTATAATCCCGTTCACAATATAAGTGGTTTTCATATTCGAAATACCGACGAGGATCCAAAGGTGTTCGACATAAACGGCAAGTGAGGCAGGCTCTATGGTAACACTATAAAAACAAAATTGGATTATAAAAAGACACCAAAAAAGAAAAAAAAAACTTTATTTTTATGTATTACCTTTTTCCCAGTATTTGTAACATCATCCCGATAATCGAATTCATCTCCACAAGCAGCACAATGATTCTTATCCATAGGACGGGTTTCATTAACATCATTCATACTATTCATTAAATCTTCCATCAATGTATCCAAGGCTCCATGAGGTGATTTTGGTGTATGTATATTATTGAGAGAATCATTACGAGGATAAATGGATCCTATGTACGTAATAATCGCGGCAATAAATCAAAAGGAAAAAAAGGGGAAATGCATGATGAGTTACTATTTTGGGTATTTTTGAATTTGGTTACTTTTTTTTTTTTTTTGCTTTTGGCGGGTTTCCTTTTTACCTCCATTTCGGTCTTCATTCCATTCGGTACTATAAAAGATCATGTGTTGAAAAGAAAAGAAAAAAAAAAGTTAAGCTATATATCAATGGTCTTTTTTTTTTTTTTTTGGTGGTCTTACTTAAAATAAGGACTTTTAGGCGAAGGTGATTCTGGTGGAGCAGGAGAAGTTGAATTTTTTCTTGGAAGGTATTCATTCGAAGAATTCAAATAGGTTGGTGTTTTTGGTGAATAATAATCATCATTGTATCTGTTAGATGTTTGAGGTGGCGATGGTTGTTGTCGTTGATATGTTGTAGAAGGAGAATAATCATTATCATCGTTACGATAGCGGTCATATGGTGATGATGATTTGGCATAAATCAGGTTGTTTGATAATGGAGATGAATGATCATAATAAGGAGATGTTTTGTTGTTGTTGTTGTTGTATTTATTGTTGTCAGTTCTTGCACTATAATATCCATCAGGACTACGTGGTGAGATAGGTAATACATTTGTTTTTGTGGTTGTAGAAGGTTTCTTGCCATATTTTTCTATATAAATAAATAAAGTGTAAATAAAAATACCTATTTTAAACTATATTACCTGGTGGTAAAATAGGAAGTGCTGGAACAGGAGGCATATTAGAACAAATGTGGTTTCCCAATTGACGTAATTGAACATCACGACCACAATCTGAGCATTTCACTGTAGGAAGTATTTGTGAAATACGTTCGTTCCCTATGACTTTGCTCATCTTGACTTGGAACAAGAGAAAAAAAGAAGAAGAAAAAGAAAGAAAGAAAGAAAGAAAGAAGTGGAAAAAAAAGGGGGGAAGGAAAGAAAGAGAAAGGAATGGGAGTTTAAAATATTTTAACGCTTGTTTGTCTGTTTGGCGCTGGTCTTTTTTTTTTTTTTTTTGACCAATCAACGTTATAAGTAGAATAAAAACGCGCATCTATGAAAAAGAAACTAATTCTCCTTTTTTTTTTCTTTCTCTTTTCTATTTCTTATCAAAAAAAAAAAAAAAAAGTTGTAAACAACAAAATGTCACAATACAAAGCTATCATTCTTGTAGGTGGCCCATCCAGGGCAACACGTTTCAGACCTCTTTCTTTGGATGTCCCTAAACCTTTATTCCCTGTTGCTGGTGCTCCCATCATCTCTCACCATCTTGCTGCTTTATCTAAAGTCGAAGGTTTACAAGAAGTCTTGATCATTGGCTTTTTTGAAGATAATGTTTTTGCAAGGTTTTTAGATGAAGCTGCCTCCGAATTCCCCAAGTTACATATCAGGTATATGATATATAAATAATGAATATAAAAGAATACTCATCCTTTACCTTTCCCCCCTTCTTTTTTCTCTCCTTTTGTTTTTTAGATATCTTCGAGAATATCAATCTTTAGGTACAGCAGGTGGACTTTATCATTTTCGTGATGAAATCTTACGTGGTAACCCTCAACAATTCTTTGTGATGCATGTCGATATTGCTTGTGCATTCCCTTTGAATGAAATGTTGAAAGCTCATATGTCACATCGTGGACTTTGTACTATGCTTGGAACTAAGGTAAAGATAACAAGAAAAAATGTCGGTCAATAAGGGGATAGGAGGAGAAAGAGAAGGGGGGGAGGTTAAGAAATTGGATTGACATTCTTTGTAAACTCACAACACGTTTCTTTATCCTTTGTATGATGATTTATAGGTACCTCGTGAACAAGCTACCAAGTATGGATGTCTCGTGGCAAAAGCCGATACGAATGAAGTACTACATTATGTGGAAAAGCCTGAAACCTTCATTTCCGACTTGATTTCATGTGGTGTTTATTTGTTTGACACGGCTGTATTTGTTGAAATGAAAAAAGCTATTGATCGGAAAAAGGATGTCAATCATGAAGAAAGTGATTACCTTTGGACTGCTTCAGATGATAGGTTGCGATTGGAACAAGACCTTTTACGTCCATTGTCTGAAAATCGAAAATTGTATGTGTATGTTACTGAAGAACCATGGCGACAAATCAAAACTGCAGGGTAAGTCAACAAAGTGAAAAGAAAGAAAATAAAGATATTGATTGTTTTTTTTTTTTTTGATATAATATATATAGATCTGCCATTGCTGCTAATGCCACTTATCTTGAACAACAGGCCAAGGAAAATCCTGACCGTTTAGTGAACAAATCTGCTAATGGACCAGAAATTATTGGTGCTGTTTATATTCATCCTTCAGCTCAAGTAGATCCAACTGCTAAGGTAAAAAAAAAAAAAAAAAAAAAAAAAAAAAAAAAGATGATAATGCTTTGTATATTTCAATCAAATTCATCATTTTTTTTTGTTGTTGTTAGATTGGTCCTAACGTATCTATTGGCCCTCGTGTACATATTGGAAAAGGTGTACGTATCAAGGATGCCATTATTTTGGATAGTGTACAAATTGGGGTAAGTCATGTTTTATTTCTTCTTCGGTTGATTGGTTAATAATTTGACACTAATATTTTTTTAAAAAAAAAAAAAAAAAAAAAAAAAACGCGCGTATTTAGGCCGGCAGTTGTGTTCTTCATTCTGTCATTGGTTGGAATAGTAAGATTGGTGCTTGGGCTCGTGTTGAAGGAAGTCCTATTACAGATCATAATATCGCTATGATGGAAAATGGTATAAAGAGTCAAAGTATCACCATTTTAGGTAAGAGAAAAAAAGAACAAAAGGTTGAAATGACCGATATTTGACATTTTTTTATTTTATTTTTCTAGGGAAGGAAGTATCTGTCTTGGATGAAACCATTATTCGAAACTGTATAGTTTTACCTCACAAAGAACTCAAATCATCCTTCCATAGTGAAATCTTGATGTAGATTTGACCAAAGTCTTTTTGTTTAGTTAGCTTGTTATTAGTTAGTGTTTTATTGTTATTACCTTATTGGAGAAGATATGCGGGCAATAAAATAGATGCATTTTGAAATTGGAATACCGTTATTGATCTTTCGATGGTTTTTTTTTTTTTATATACATAGCCACCTGCATTGATTTTTTTTTCTTTTTACTTAGTATCGAAAAGAAACAAAGGGTTACACGCACGCACGGTCATTTTTAAATCTTTTTATAGATATTTTTAGATGATGATGATAATAAGAATAGAATGAAAGTGATAAGAAATAAAAAAAAAAAAGATAGGAATGACAAAAATGTTTTTTTTGGTACCTGACACAATAGTAAAGCAAAGAAGATCTCCAAAATAACTTTTTTATAATGATGCAAATGAACAATAAGTTTTAACTACAAAGAGAAAAGATTGGTAGTACATAAGGTTTTGTCTCTAAATTAAAGTAATATTTGTCTAGCAGAAAATAAATAAATAAGAGGTTTTAGATAGTCAAGAGAAAATTTATTTCATCATTCGTACAACGTAACACAGAACTCATTCTACAAAAGGAGAAAACATCAAAAAAGCTTGAAATTGAAAAGGGAGTAATATAAAGAAAAGGCGCGCAAAAAAAAAAAAAAGAGGGTTGTCATAGTAATTAGAATGATGATGTAGATCTTATAGACTAACGAGTGGCAAGTTTGAAAAATAAAAGAAAGAAAGAATATCATTATAACACGTGATACGAAGTATATGAAAACGAGAGTTGGATGGTTTGGTGTATTCCAATTGGACGGGGATTGAACAGTGTGTAACTATTGACATTTTTTCCTCCTATTTCTCTTTTTGACCATAAGAAAAAAAAAAAAAAAGCTCCCATCTTTCCTTTTTTTTTTTAACTTCTTTATTCTTCTTCCATTTCTTTTTTTTTTTCCTTCTCTTTCTTTTCTTGATTATACCAGCTTATTATTAATGCCCTTATTTTGACATTCACATATTAAAATATAATTCAACAGAAAAAAAAGAAACAAATCAAATTATTTTTCTTTTGTATATACCCTTCCTTTTTGTATAAAAAAAAAAGACTCTTTCTTCCCCTCTTTGTCACTCGTTTTTTTTTTTTATTTTCTTTTATTGTAAACTTCTTTCCCTTTCTTATTCTCTCATTCACCTTTTTTTTTTTATTATTATTCTTATTATTACATTCACTTATTCTGCATTATGGCCGCTATGCTCTCACAATCACCCGTTGTTCTTCGTACACAACAACAACAAAAAGAAGATCAAGACATACCTAATTACGTTCATGGCAAGATGCGACAGGTAATAAATAAATAATAAAAAAGATCACTTTGAGAGAGAGAGAATATGTCCTCCTTACTTGTGTGTCACCTCTCTTTTGATACGTTCTTTTCATTGTGAGCCCACCTTCCTTTTATAGGATGTTGGGTTTATTTTTACATTATTATCGTTACTCAATTTTTTTTTTTTTATCATCATTTTATTAGGCACAAGAAGTATGGTCTTATCCTCAAGAATGGCAACCACAGCCTTATATCAATAATCCTTGTTATTATTCTTATCAACATTATCCACCTCATATGTATCAACAACAACAATCACGTTCACATCGACCTCGTACTCAAAGTACTCCTTCCAATACAAATATTCAACCTCAAAAATCATCTTCTACTCCTACTTCTCAACAACAACAACAACATTTATATCAACAAAGACAAAGAAAAAACCGTTCTAATGATCCTCGTAGACCAAAATCAATGATGATGATGCAAACACCACCTTCTTCTCGTCCTATTCCTATCACTCCTGTCTCTTCATCTGATTCTGGTAGAAGATCTTCTATTACTTCTACATCCTCTACAGTTAGTCAATCCGTTTCTATTCGATCAGAAATGTCTCTTGGTACCAAATTATCTTTATCCAAACGTTTACGAAAGGTTTTTAGTGTGGGCAATTTAAGATCATCATCCTCATCAAAAAGTTTGGGTTCTCTGGGTGGAGCTAGCTCATCCAATGTATCCGTTGCTACTGTTGATATGATTCCTGAAGAAACCAGTGATTCTCCTATTACACCTTCTACTCCTCCTCAACGATCTCTTCGAAGAAGATCTTTAGCTTCCTTATCTACTTTATTCCAAAAATCATCTCCATCACCATCTTCACCACAACCTTCAACTCGTCGTCCTTCCACTACTACTACAACAACAACAACAACATCTAATTCTTCTTCTGACAAGAAAGATCGTCCTTCTTTACGTGTTGACACTACTCAACCTTCAATGACATCATCATCATCAACTCCAACATCATCAGCAGCAAGAAAACCTGCCTTTAAAGGTAAAAAAAAAAAAAAAAAACATAAATAACAAGGAGAAATAAACAAAGAAAGTATATAACTTATTATTATTATTATTTAATAGGACGATCTCCTGTAATTGCCCCTGATTCACCCAATTCCAGTGTTTCTACACGATCTCCAGTCACACGAGCACCAACACCTGGACCTCATCGATTAGCTTCTGGATTACCAAGTCCTACACCTTCAGCAACTTCATCATCATCATCTTCATCATCATCTCAACAAAAACAACGAGTTCCATCATTAACTCATGATGATGATGATGATCATCCTTCTGATTTGGCAATGGCACCTCCTCCTGTGATTGGATTACATTATGGTTTACCGATGCATGGATCACCTAAACTCAAACCTGCATCTTCATCATCCAGTTCGTTGATTGACCAAGTGACTCCTTTACCTTCCAGTAAGCGTCGGTTACAATTCTGTCCTACTGTTCAAGTCCATGAAACTTTTGCTTCTTCTGTATATGATCGTCGATGTGATGTCAATTCCACTTGTCAAAAACTTACCATGGTTATGGCTTTACAAATCAAACAAGAACTAAATGAATACAAACTCACTGAAATGGATGTCCACGTAGATAGTCGCAAATATACTCAATTCTTTTTGTAATTCCCCCTTTTTCTCTACCTCATATACTCTTTTCTTCTTCTTTTTTTTTTTTTTTGTTTGAATTGTTTTTTTTTCTCCTCCTCCCAGCTCTGTTTTCTTTTTCTTTTTTTTTTTCTTTTTTTTTTTTTCTCCTTTGTTTTACCATACATTTTGATAGTTTTACAACCTGCTAATAATAAAAAAAAAACATACATAACAGTTTGACGATAAGCCACTTGGATGGTATTGGATTATTTCAATTACTCTCCATTTCCTGTTTAACACTCCGAGGCTTTCCTTTTTTTTTTTTTTGACCCCTTCTCTCTCTGTTTGAATATTGTTTTTTTTTTTTTTTCCTTCCTTCATCGCCATGCTCCGTACAACGAATAAACGATTGACGACTATTTTTAATCAATATCGTAGTATTAAGGTAGTTTCGTTTATTTTATTGTACAACTGTTATTTATCTTTTATTTTGAATTCATTAGGTACAACGTTGGGCTTCTACTGAAACGAAAAATGTTGCTTATGAAGAAGCTCTTAAATTGATACAAGCTGACAAGGCGGAACGTTTAGAAATGTTATCTCGTGTTGAAAAGGAATTAGCTCGTGTTAAAGGTATAGGAAGAGAATCTTTTTATTGACAGACATGGTCATTCATTCTTTTTTTTTTTTTTTTGGTAGATACTTCTTCACCTACACAATCGGCACAACTTGCAGCTTTGAATACTCTAAAATATGATCTACAAGTCAAGGCTGAATTGAATGATCCTGAAGTACGAGCCAATTTTGAAAACAACCAGAACAGTAAAGTCTACCAACAAAACAAAGAAAGAAAAACAGTAGACGACATTTATTAATACCTTTTTTTTTTGTAATATATAGTTGATATGTCACGACCTGTTTATCGATATCTTACTCAACGACAATTTGAAAAACAACCTCGTGCTAAACTTTTGGAACGTATTACTCAAATGAATGTGGCTCCTGATGTGGTGGATATCGATGTCAATCCAACCGTGGAAATCAAGTTACAATTGGATGATTCATCCATCATAGAACCCGGTGTATTCACTACTCCTGAACAAAGTATCTCTCGTCCTCACATCCAGGTCACCAATTTCCATACTGAACGTCGACTTTATACCATGATGCTTGTGGATCCTGGTAAGGAAAAAGACATACATATAGGGGAATAATAAAGTATTCCTTTTTTTCTTTTTTAATACTCAATTTACCTTTTTTTTTTTTTATGTATCTAAATAAATTAGATTCACCTGATGTGGCCAATAAAACATATCAACAACATTGTCATTGGTTAATGTAAGTGGATTGGAAACTAAGTTATAAAAAAAAAAAAAAAGATGAGGTATTGATGATTATTTTTGTATAGAACCAATGTACCCTTATCTGCCACTCAACCTACAGTTCAAGATGGTAATACGATTCTTGATTACATCCCACCTCATCCTCAAAAAGGTACCAAAGCTCATCGATATACACTCATTGCTTATGAACAAGGAAATCAAGGACAAGATACATTGGATTCTGTCACTGTGAATCAACGAGATGGATTTGATGCCAAGACATTTGCAAAGGAACATGGTTTAACCGTTCGAGGAGTTACCTTCTTCCGTCAAAAATGGAATGAATCTGTCAGCAAGATTTATAGTGATATCTTAGGTAAGGAGATAAAAAAAAGAGGGGAAAAATAATAGAAATCACTGACTTATCTTTTTTTTTATATATATAGGTATCAAGGAACCAATTTATGGTAAACCACCAAAACCAGAACGTATTATTCAACGCACTATGTATATCTAGTAGATTTAGTTATAATTTTTAGTATTTCTTTTTTTTTTTGCCATCATCATTTCATCTTGTCATATTATTTTTTTTATCACGTTCTTTTTTTTTTCCACACAACATAGATTATTCTATTTATATATATATTTACATTATCAAAAAGAATAAAACGAAATTTCATTTTATCTTTGTTAGTTTAGTTGAAATCTCCTGAAATGATTTTTTTTTTTTTTGCGAAACCCAAAGGAGGTCTATAGAAAACAACAAGAAAAAGGAGGGAGATGATAGAATTGTTTATTTCTGTTTTAAATGATAGGAGATATGGAATCAATTATAACTAACTAGGGTACAGTGGCGGCAGTAGAGGAGGCGGGCATGGTTTTTCGTCGACCTTTTTTGATAGCATCCCAATCGATGCCCGAGGTGGCCTGTTGTTTGAGTCGTAAACTGGTACGTGAAGTCAATGAGGCTGCTTGTTTCCGTTTCTCTTCTTCCAATTGTAGTTGACGTTGTTTGGCGGCTTCGGCTCTTGCACGGACAGTAGCTGTTTGACCAGGGCGGTATGTGGATGCCGTGGATGATGTTGTTCTTGTGGAACTAGATCTGGACAATGCGGTAGGTGGTGGGGAGGAAGTAACCGAGGATGATGATGACTTGATCGAAGGTGTACGACTCATTTTTTGACCAGTAGGTGAGACTGATGATTTGATGACTTGTTTGGATGGTGTCACGGTAATAGGTGATTCACATCGAGGTGGGACAGGTGCTATATCATCAAATAAAAAAAAAAAGAAATGTGAAAAAAAAAGGTTCTTTTCTATAAATATATCACCTTTGTCATGTATGTACCTGACATGCGTCTTGTTGCCTTTGCTGAATCTTTGGTCTGTTGTACTTGTGATTTCTTGCCTTTGCTAGAGTCCAAGTATGATCTTAAATCTGGAATCGTAGGATTATGAACACTAGTAAAAAGAAAAAATCATGTGGATGAGTCAGTATATATATATATAGTAGAAAATGAAAGATAGATTTTTTGAAAGCATTTACCTGGTTGGTCTTGATGAGTTTCTATTTGATTTTGGAGTATCATCAAGTTCAACTAGATAAAAAAAAATGAACGTCAGTATAAATAAAATCATCAGTAAAGTAAAGTATTTTCAAAGATTGTACCTGGTATCCAAGTTGTAATATTCATTTCCTTAGTGGTTGACTTGCGTTCTGAAACACTAAGTTGATCATTGGAAGTAGTTTTGGTGTTATTATTGTTGTCGTTGTTGTTACCTTTGGTGATATTGTCAGTATCATGATGTCCCCACCATTCAGGAAAAGTATAAGGCATTGTTGATTTTTCTGATGGTTTGCCAGCTACTGGAGGAGAAGAAGAAGAAGGCATTGAATGTTGAGTTGGTTCCTGAGTTGGAGAACCTAAAGCTGGCCTTCCTAATGATGCACTGTACATGTCGTCTTCTTCCATAATGGGTTTGCATTCAAGGTGCGGTTGGTCTTCTTGTTGTTTCAGAATGGAAGGCATTGTCTTGTTAATGATATCAGAAGGTACCAATTGTTGAGAGGTTTGTACAGGAGAAGCTAACATGGGAGTGGAAGCTAAGGATGATAATGAAGACGAATAATAAGGTTTGTGAGCTATGGCTTCATCAGCACCCTTTTGTAACAAGTCAACAGATAAAAGGTTGATACGTTCGCGGTCATTGGAATATAAGACAGCAAAACAGATGAGTTCTTTCAACACAGTAAAACATTCAGTAGGTGGATATTTATTAATATATTGATGTACATAAGGTGGTAATGTAGATAAAAACGACTCCATAGAATTAATAAGGGGAAATAAATAAAAAGTGAAAAAGAAGGCAATATAGAAAAGAGAGAAAAAAAAGAAAAAAAAAAAGAAGGTCAGCTGGATTTGAAAACATGTAAAGAAGTGATTTTTTCCTTTTCACTCTTCCCACTTTTTGACATTCCCAAAAAGATAAAACTGGTAATAGAAGGGATGAATGATCACTACTTTTTTTGAAATACCGATGTCAAAAAGAATAACAAACAGAGATAAAAAGATGCATAAATTTTTGTCTAGTAGTATTTTTTTTTACAAATTGTCAACTAGTTTATATCAAATATCATTTTTTAATGTAAAATCATCATTCGACTTTTGTTACTGATCGATTAACTTTAGAAGATCAGCATGATTCTCTTTTTGCATGGATAAAAAACAAAACCATTCGCTGAAAAACAACGCCAGGATTTTCTATTATTTCAAAGCTGTTCATTTTTAACTCCGTCGCATCAACAAAATGACTCACCTAAGATCTTTCTTTTCGTCTTTTTCTTTCTTTTTTTTTTTTTTTTTTTTTATCATTCTTTATGTTTCTTCGCCGGATAAATTCACAACATCGTTTATCTATTACTTTGATTAGACAACGACGATTCTACCAAATTGGTTCTCCAGCCAGAGCAGCTATTTTACCTGATAAAGTAGATGTTGCTTTGACACCTGATGTACACGAACATGGTAAACTTGATCCATTCACTCTTCTATTCGTTTACTTACTATTCTGACTTGTAATAGCTTCCCTTCATAGTGATACGGAACGGTTACCTTTTATGACACCTCGACATGCCAATGATATAGTGCAAGTACCAGGAAGTACCTTTGGGTAAGGAATGTATATAATAGCATTTGGGCTTTCTTTATTGACTTTGAATGATCTATATATATATATATATAGAGGACAATTCAGATTGGAATGGAAACAATTACCTCGAAATATTTTGATTGTTAAAAAGCCTAACGATGTGAATACAGAGAAAGCTTTGGTAGATATTGCAAAGTAAGGAAGTTTTTCTTTTTTTTTTTTTTTCTTAAACCTTTTTTTTTTTTTTAATAGTTGGCTGAACGACAATTATCCTGGTGTCAATATCATTGTGGAACCTGAGGTAGCAGATCATTTCAAACACGATATTCCTTTTGCCAATGTAATACCCAAGGAACAACAACATGAATATACAAGAATGGTGGATTTTGCTATCTCTCTTGGTGGTGATGGTACGATGCTTCATTTGTCTTCTTTATTTCCCAAGGCTGTTCCTCCTGTGGTATGTTTCTCTATGGGTACCCTTGGTTTTCTAATGTCCTTTAGTAAGTAATAGATCAAATGATATTTTTATATCATTTTTATTACTGATAATAATTCATTATTTTTTCTTTTTTATGAAATTAGAATTCTCTCATTATGCAAAAGTGTTGGAAGATATGATGTATGGTCGATTTGCTTTGATGCTCAGGATGCGATTATTTTGTTCACTTCATCAGTATGATGGTCGAAGGATTACAGTGGATGGAATGGAAGTAGGTAAGATTTATTTATATAATTGAGAATTAAAATATATGTACATATGATTTTTAGGATAATGATTCTTTTTTTTTGTTTAAAGGTGATCGTCAGGTGATGAATGAAGTGACTTTACATAGAGGTAGATACCCTCATTTGACTTCTATTGACTGTTATGTAGACAATCATCATTTAACTGAATGTGTGGTAAGATACTTACAAGAGAAAAAAAATGATCACGGTGACTAATAGATCATTTTATTCTTTTCATTATATATCCATAAATTATTATTGCAGGCCGATGGGTAAGAAAGATTAGATTTACCAAATTCTATTTCTTCTTACCAACTTTTTTTTTATTATTATTACTATTTTCTTTTTCCTTAGATTGATTGTATCAACACCAACGGGATCAACTGCTTACTCTTTATCAGCAGGCAAGTCATCAAACGATGTACTTATATGTATTCATCTCATTCTTATATTGTATTTAGGTGGACCTATTGTACATCCAAGTGTTCAAAGCTTGGTCTTGACTCCTATTTGTCCTCGATCTCTTTCATTTCGGACAGTCTTGTTACCTCCAAGTGCTGCCATCCAACTCAAAGTAAACATGATTTTAAGAGAAAGAAGAATAACATTAATGACATGTTTCATCATTTATATATTAGATTGGGGAATCAAGCAAAAGTCAAATAGAAGTATCCATGGATGGACAGGAAATATTCATGTTGGACAAGGGTGAATACTTACAAGTAAGTAAATCAATGAGAACGAAATGATTTTTATATTCATTTTTTTTTTTTTTTTTTTTTTGGTAAAAACCATACATAGGTCAGGATGTCCAAATACCCAGTACCTTGTGTCACTCGTACCAGCGAAGGAAATGATTGGGCTCAGGATATCAACGAACTATTGAAATGGAATCATCAATTCAAACGTGCTATGTGATGTGGATCCTTTAGTGATAATATTTCCTTTTTGTACATATTATATATATATATATATTTCATTATTAGATAGAATATACTACATTTTTGTACACTCATAAACTGCTCTCCACATCGATCTGATTTTGACTACTTTAAGCTTATGACTGTATCCACTATGTACATAGATATTCAATAAAAAAAAATTTTAATAATAAAATCGTTTTACTTAACATTAATATCAATATCGTTATTCGTCACCTCCATTATTTTTTCATATCCATCGACAGTCGATCACCACCATCAAGATATCCTCTACCTGATCCCAAGAACCCTTGCATTATCAAAAGTAGTTTCTTTTTTTTTTCTCCTCAATTTCTTCGTTGATAAAAATGAAAACCAAGTTTCCATAACATTCAAACCTTTATATAAAATCATTCCTTTCAAATTCAATTTTGCCACTAAATATAAAAAATGTTTAAAAAACGTTCCAGAGGTGCGTTTATTTCTTTATTCAATCAATGTATAATACAGAATTCAATAAAAAAAAAAAAAAGGACGTGATAAAATTAAACTATGGTAGAATAAACGACTAAAGGAAAAATGTACAAGAGATAAGAGATGAATGTGTGTGTATATATGTATACGTATGCATAAAAAAAAAAAAAAAAAAAAAAAAAAAAAAAAGGGTAGTTCATATAACATAATGGGGAATCACAAAGTAGACTGTTGGGCCAATAGTTGCAATGTAGTTTCTTCAATACAATTGTTAATAGTTTCTTGTAAACTGTCCAATCGAGTACGATCACCAAGAACAGTAGCTAAATGTTCCTTGACTTGCGCTCGTGTGGTAGAGTCCAAATCCGCACTAGATAGATAGGATCGTATTTCCATCTGAATCAATTCGATAAACGTTGTTGCATTATGCTGAGAGGTATCACTTGTATTTCGTTGATGTTGAATAGATGAGCTTCTGGAAACAGATCTTTGTTGTTGTTGCTGCTGTTGTTGATGATGATGATGAAGTCGTCGTTGTTGTTGAGGTCTCATTGTCCCAATATTGATATCGTTCTTGTTGTTCACATAAGATGCTTGTCGTTGCCTGTACGCTGCCGCTGTCATAGCCGCTGCTGATCGTTCCGGTATCTTGAGACCAACTCGACCATGAATGGCCATGCTTCGTCCTTCTTCATCTTCTCTATCACGGTATTCCCTACATTCCAATGTTGTTTCTGGATCGAGACTAAGGCAAGAATTGGTGATTGATGTTTGTGAAGTGACTGATTGACGATCCAATGGCAAAGGCATCGCTGATTCTGCTGAATAAGATCGATAATGACCCATTGTATCTCTTCCTGCACCATCCCCTGATGATGATGATATCGTTTCTTCCATGGGTATAAACATGTCAGGTGCATTGTTGTAATAATCGTAACTTCGGCTAGATTGATGACTAAAGTAGGATGATTGAGAATGACTTGCTTTATGTTGTTTGTACTGTTGTCGTTGTTGCTGATGTGAAGATAATGATGGTTGATATTGATGATGATGATGATGATGATGATGTGTAACAACTTCTGCCATTGGATATATAGATGATGACGTTGAATCAATATTATTATTGCTGTTGTTGTTGTTATTATTATTCATATTATTATTGTTGTTGATGATGATGTTGTTATTGATTGCATATCCATCGTCAAAGGGGTTGTCATAATTGTCAGCAAAAGGATTTGTTGCTAAACTGTCAGTGGGTGAAGACGTAGTTCTACCATCTGTTAATCGTGATCGAGGTAATAAATCGGTATCTATATCGCCATCATTGATTTCCATATTATCACCTAGTCGCTTGGTATGCATTGTTCCATAAATATCTCCAACAGATGTCACTGGTCGATAACCACTGGTCGTTCCACGGAAACTTGCATATTCATCCTTCATCTGTGCCAATGGTGGAGGAGAAGGTGAGATCACATCCACGCCACTTGCTGCTGAATTGATATTAGAAAGAGATTGATTTTGACCAAAAACTGTAAATCCAGTGAATTTCGCATCCAGAGCAGCAGTCTCTTCAGTAGCACGTTCATAAGCCCTTTGAGCTTCGATGGTTTCGTATTCACCTAGTTGCATTCGTACCACAGCATCTGTTTCTTCATCATCGCCACCATTGCCTTCATTGTTGCTATTCTTTTGTTCACCTTCCATCACGACGCCATTTCCTGAACGTTGTCGCCTTTTTTCATGTAGTTGTTCCACCCGTCTTGAATATTCATCATCCACGCACCCATGTAATCGATCATTCCAACGCCAACCACCTGCCGTAGGCCACACATCATACCACCGTTCAGCATGATCACTACACCATACCGCTACTAATGGAAACCAAATGGCAAAAAGAGGCACCGAGAACAGACAATAAAGGAAAAACCAAATCACATACTTGAATTGTCGTCGGATCAAAAAGTACACAATATGGAGGATGAATAGAGCACTGAAGCTTATCGCAATGATATAATAAGCTTGACCTTTTCGTAAGAAGCACCGAATGAAGACACCATAGAGATAGATAATGATAGGCATCGATAAGATCATATCCAATATTTTTGTGAATGACAAGAACCAGGAAGCAAATCCAATGTGTCTCGCTGCTCGTGTCATTTCGACTTGATTGTGGAAGGCAGCACGAAGATTTCTACTTTGTAAAGCTTGTAGAGCCCAGTAATTGGTTGGAATAGTTGCATAGCCTACAGCATCAGGTTCAAATCCAAGATGATGATGAGGATGAGATCGAAGTAGGACAACACCAAAATATTGATCTTCACCAAGTAAAAGGACATTTTTCATATGTAGTGTATCCGGTTGTGGGGTTGCAAAACTTCGTAAAACGGTGGGATGAATACAACATGGTCGAGTGTTTGTGTTGGGTGATAGCGATAGTTGTGATTCTCTACCAGTGACAATGGAAGGTCGATCAGAAGATGAATACCAAGTTGGCTGAGGTAGCGTAGTATCACGTGGTAAAGTTGCAAAAGGATCTTCGTCGTCGTTATTATCGAATTCAATTTCATCACTGACTTTGGGCCACTTGCTACGTATTGATTCTTGTGAAGTTGATTGACTTTTGCTGATTCGTTTTTGTCGCATCCTCCAACGTAGTTGATTCTTACCACTGCTGTCGTTATTATTATTGATATTGTTGTTGTGATCCATGCCAAGAGAAGGAGAAGGTGTATTTTCTGTCCATATTTTGTACATCACCAAACCACCATTGATTGTCAGTACATTTCCTAAACAAGCCTCATAAGCCAAACCAGTGAAAAATGTCATATACAGAGGGAAGATTTGTAACATAGTGATAACGTTTTGTTCAGGATTAGCAGGACGAATATGACCACTGACTGCAAGCATTCTACGATCTCGTTCGAGTCTTGCCACAAGTTTGTGTACCACATCATTTTGAACTTGAGTATCAGCATCAGTCACCATCATATACTTGAATCGCCGAGGATCAATACCAAGAACATTGTAACATTGATTGAATAATTCATATTCCAAAGGAGTCATTCGATTTGAAGCCAAATTCGTACATCGCTCCAAAAAGCCTAAAACCAAAAGCATTGAATCCCGTTTGCCTCTATTACCAGGAGCACGTCCAACAGAAATTTCACCTGGAGCGCCAACTTTGACGATGACCATAAAAGGAACACGATTTCGACCAGTTTCATAAAATCCAGAGTAGACTTTTGCAAAGTTGATTTTTCGACGATGTTGACCTAAAGATACATAAGCATGAGGTGTTGTTGCTTGAGCGGTCGAGCATCCCAAAGCTTCCAATACACAGGTATATGTCTCCTTTGTATCTTGAGAACTTTGTACCACACCATCACAGACAAACATGAGCATTTTTCTAGAATCATCATAATTTGTTCTTGCCAAAGAATTCAGGGTATCACGGATAGTTTCGGCATTTTCGGCATAACAAGGGATCATTAGTATAGTCATAGGCCACACACGGGAATTTCCACCAGTTGAGAATTCGGGATTGGATTTAAATAGAGAACGTTGTACCCATTTCAGACGAGAGAGATTAGCTAGATTCATCTTGATCAAGAAATAAAGAAGACCACAACCCATAGTAGCCCATAAAGCAGGATTTATTCGTAAACATTCTTCCACTTTTCCATTACTTGTAATACCAACTTGAAACATATCCCTGAGGCATCCACGATATGTCTCCGAGTCAGAAGTTATATTGCCAGCTTCAAAATAAGGAGTAATATCAGAGCCAAGTTTGAGATAGAGCAACGTAGTCAAGTCGAGAGGAAGAAACATTCGGTCAATAGCAAAAGCCCGAGAGTGAACACCATTGGCGACAAGAACAATGTTGGTTGCTGATTCCAAATAAGAAGTGACATCCAATACATCATTGTCTAATATGACAAAACCTTTACCAAGAGTAGAAGCCGTTGATAGTGTTGTATAATTCAATTCGATATCAGTGATGTCGTATACAATATCTATGATGAAGAAGAATGTCCTCAAGTTAGTTTTCTTTTTTATTATTATTATTATTATTATTATTTCTCTTCATATTTTTCTTTTTCACTTACTTCCTTTAGTACCAAGTGATTTTTCTTCTTGAATATCTTGAGGTAAATAATAACAAGGAGCACCAGTAACATTGGGTTGTGTTGGGTAAGGACAAGAAACAAGTTGATTGTCCTTAAAAAGATAGCCTTGATCGTTGTTTAACTTGAATTCTAACCATTGATCAGCCTTGGAGGACATACCAAAGTTACCAATACATCGTTGAAAAACAGGATTATCGTAAGGAGGATCTGCACCAAAAGAAGTATTGCGTTGTAAACCCATAAAAGTTGGAAACATGGGTGAAACATCGTAACCAGAATATTGATTAACTTGTTTTGCCATTTCAGTTGTTGAGCCATGCCAGTCGATAGCATTTTGTCGAAGACCTGCCATGCGAGAACCTTTGGAAAAAACGGCGGAAGAAGAGTAATACTTATTTTGATCACAAAAAAGAGTTGATATATATTCCAACCAAAAACAAAAAAACGCTGCGCAAAATAAAAAGATGCCCATCATAGTGATCTTTTCACGCCATGCTTGTCGAACAGCTATATAACAAAAACAAAAATAAGGTGAGTTTTTTTTTTTTTTTTTTTTTTTTTTTTTTCTATGATATTCAAGTATTCGCTTACATGGTGAGTTGAGGTTGAAGACATAATGTAAGATGAAGTCAGGTAAAAAGAATGTACATAATCGTGATAAAGTAACCCAAACAATCCTCCTAACTGTAGGTACATGCATACGGGAGGGATGACGGACTCTCATATGCACCAAAAACAGATAGAATAAGGAACCATAGACAAAGGGAAAAAAGAAAAAGAAAAAAAAGGAAGGAAGAAAAAAAAAATTGGGAGGTCCTTCATTTCTGAATGGAAAACAAAAGGCATTTTATTGTCCGCTGAGAGAGAGAGAGAGATTGCTGTTTGATTTGAATAACAATGAAGGAAAGGGGGAGATATTGTTACAAAGGATAAAAAAATAAAAAATAAAAGTGAGGTATGATATGTACGTGGATAAAATAAAATAAAAAAAAAGTGTTATATAAATAGTGACAAAAGTGAAAGAAAAAGAGAAAAGGAACGGGGGGAAGAAAGCATGACCATCAAACAAGTATAATGATATAAGAATAAACTATAAAATAAAATCATATAAGGAATAAGAAATAAGAAAAAGGAATAGCTATAATAATAAGAATAAATAATATAATAATAAGGAAAAAAAAAAAAAAAGGAAGGGTAGTGGGAGAAAAAAAAAACGATAGATAAAAGGGGAAATAAGAAAAAAAAAGGAATGATCATTGAGAGAGAAGGTTTTCTTGCTGCTACTGTTGTTGTTATTGTTGTTATTTCTTGAATTGATCATCCATGTCTTTGATTCCATTGTCTTGTTTGTTGATGAGGAATAAAATAATCATTATCCAATTTCCTTTTCTTGGGTGAGACTGGTTTCCAAAGCTGACATCGAATAGGTGATATTTGAGTAGGCGTTTGTAAAGGTGATGAGTGATTCGAACTTGGTAATGATATCGTTAGTACTGGCATTGGTGTTGAAGAAGGTGAGGATGAGAGTGATGGTGAAGTTGTATCAGATGATGTACGTTGCCGTTTACGTCTTGAAGTAGATTGTTCATAATAAGGTGATTGATGAACAAAATGAGATTGTTGTTGTTGTTGAGAAAAGAGATGATGATGATGATGATGATGAATAGAAGGAAAGTTAATTGGTGAAGTAATTGGACTTGTAGTAGATGATTGTTGTGAAGATGATAATGAAGAAGATGATAATGTAGGTGTTGTTGGTGTTGATGTTGTTGTTGGCATATTATAAGATAATAATACCATGGGATGATTTTGAGTTTTCGCTTCTACGTGCATATGAAGTAAATGATGCCATTGTTCAAATGTAGGTTGAGAAATGTATAATCGATAATCGACCAAATCCAAAAAGATACGTTCAGCAGCATTGATTTCAGCAACAGGAAGTCCAGCAATTTTTGCCCAAGCCGAGTTTCGATAGGTTTTATCTTGTACAAACTTTGAGGCTACCACCAAACTTGCAAGAAACATACGTCGACCACAACTAATATATGCACCTTCCCATTTATCTTGTTGACATTGTCGTAAATGAGCCATAATTGCTGGGCGAGACCGAAATAGATAAAACAGAGCTGTTTGAAGAGTTGAATATGTTGTACGTGATCGTTTTAATACTTCTTGAATAAATGTACGTAAAGGAACTACAGATGCTTGTCGATTGGATGGTATAGTTGAACACCACATGGTTTCGATGACGAGGGCGTTGGTGTCTAAGGTTTAAAAAATAATAATAGTAAAAAAAAAAAGTGGAGATAAATGATTAAATGGAAATAAAATGATTTCGGAGATGAAACATCATATGTATAATTATCTTTTGAATATTATTGTTCTGTGATGATCATTACCTACTAGGGCTTCCACATATGCCAATCGATTATTTAAGGTGCTGTTCTTCGTTCCGTTACAAGTACGCCGTCCAGAATAAGGTAAGGTCCGATGAGCTGATAACATGGCTCTTAAAGCATACATTTCGGGATCAGTTTGATGGCTGGGTTCAGTAAAACGTACACTTGATAATGTTTGTGTCACTGGCGCAGGTGGATGGTAGTAACAATGTAAAGTTGATGCATAGTAATGACCAGTAGTAGATAATAAAGAAGTCATCAAAATAAAAAGAAATGTAGATAAGTGAGAGAATAAAGGGAATGAAGAGAGAGAGGGACAGATAGAAAAGGAGGAAAGAAATACAATATGAAAGAATAAAAACAAAAAAAAAACAATGGGCTAAGTAACAAAATGCAACAAGGATGAACGTACAAAGAAAGAAAGAAAAAAAGAGGAAGAAGAGAGTGAGAGTGGAAAAAGGAATAAAAAGGAATCAGATCCTTTTTAGGAGAAGTACGAATATAAGAAAAAGAAGAAGGAAAAAGAAGAAGAAGAAAAAAGGAGACGGAGAGAAAGAAAGAAAGGAAGAAAGAAAAAGGGAGAAAATAAGGGGAAGAGAGAGAGAGAGAGCAGAAAGGAATAGACAAAAAGATGTTAAGCAATCAGCAAGACGGAGATAGAAATCAGAACAATGATGGAATACAAAAGATGACTGAAAAGGTAACTAGGCTATCTATTTTATATAGTATCATCCTATTAAAGCTCCATATGAGGAATCTTCCCTTGTGTTGACTTTTTTTATCTCGTGTTTTATTTGGTAGTGGCAAAAAAAAATAAAAAAAAAATAAAAAATAAACATTTGAAAACTATATATTGTGTGATAGATCAAATGGGTAAACTTAACTACCTAACTACCGAACTAACTAACTAACTAACTAACTAACTGACTGACTGATTGACTGACTAACTGACTAACTAATCAGTTATAACTAAATAAATAAAACAAAAAAAAAGATAAAAATAAAAAAAAAAATATCTAACTAAAAAATCAAATAACTAACAAACTAGAATCCAAATAGCTAATAAGGTCGGTCCCTGCGCTCGTGCCTATCCTTTCTATAAGAATTATCATCACGACCTCCACCCACATGACGGCTGTAATCATCTCGGCGCTTTCGCCCACCTCCGCGATCATCGTGTCCATTTCCCCTTTCACTGCTTCCTCGTGTTGATTCTGGACGAGTACGGCATTTGAAGCATTCGATACGTCTTGCAAAGTTGTTTGATCCACAGCTAAAAAAACACAATCAATATATCAAAATCAACTTATAATCAATATATCTAAAACCTCCTTCCCCTTTTTCTCTCTTTTTCTTTCTTTACCTTTTACACATCCAATCACCTTCATTTGTAGGAGTAAAGTTCGATCCATTGGTACCACCTCCTCGACTACCTCTATCACGGTATCCGCCTCCTCGGCCACCAGTTCTGCCACTATTAGAGCGTCCACCAGATGATCCAACTAAAAAAATCATAACATTTAATTATTATTATTATTATTATTATTATTTTGTTTTGTTTGTATTATATATATATCTTACATGAAGTAGTAGGTAATTTTCGTTCAGCCTTGGTAACTTGAATCACTTTTCCCATAAATTCTTTACCACTAAACCATTCAATCGCCGCATCAGCTGAAGGAGGATCATCATATGTCAATGTTGCTATAAAAATAAAAATAATAATAATGAAAATTATTGCCTTGATTAAGAAAAATAATCAAATTACAAAAGAAAAAAAAAATCTTACCATCACCCTTTGGTTTTCCTGTGCTTTTGTCGTAGTAAATCCAAACTAGAAGTAAATAAATAAATAAAAATATGTTACAATACTTGATTTCTTTTTCTATTTTTTTTTTTTTGTACACCCTCTACCAATAAATCTAACTACAAAGTTTTCTTACTTTTTGGTTTCCTTGTTTTTCGATCAGTTTTCAATATACCAATAGATCCAAAATGAGTAGCCAACTTTTCTTCAGTCACATCTTCAGGTAAATTGTTGATATATATAGTATCTTGGATCTTTTGGACTCCATCTAAGCCAAAAAAAAAAAAAAAAATAACTTAAAATAAATAACTCTTTTTTTTCATAATCATTACATTACCTTTAGGTTCTTCCCTATGATAGGAACGGTCTTCTCTATAAGATCGACCACGATCACTTCCACCATAAGATTGTTCTTCATTACGGTCCCCATAGTATTGAGAGGTCTGCTGCTGATCGTATCCATAGTAATTGTCATAAGAAGTTGACTCTTGTTGATATCCAGAGTAATCATATTGACCTTGATCGGAATAATCATCTGAAGCGGAAGGAGAGAGAGAGAGAGAGTATATGTCCCAAAAAGATGATCAATAAAAAACATGATATACTTTATATGCAGTATATGTTATACAAGTATATATAGAATATATACATATATAACATATACATCAATAATGTTTAACTAATGATAGGTTCTTTTTTCCTTTCTTTACATTGCTGATCCGAGTAGTATTGATTTTCTTCAGAGTATTGTTCTGCTGGTGGTTGTTCTGACATTGTATAGAAATATAAAAAAAGAAAGGAAAAAGAAGAAAAAAATTGAAGCCTGGTTGCGTCGATACTCTATGACTGGATTTTTTTCAAATACCGCGTTTCACTTGTGTTCGCGGTCTGGTACATCTCTCTTTCTTTTCTTTGACCTTTTTTTTTTTTTTCTTATGCTAACCTCATGTTCAGACACAGATCTTGAACAACTTTATCATGAAATACTTGAAACGTCTTTATCACAACAATCATCTTCTCAATGGACCTCCCAACAACGATCCCTTATATTGAAGATTGCCAATTTGAAACGTTTCCTTGTTACTGATGGTTGCAAACTTGTCAAGGTAAAATCACTAGTCAATAGAAAAGTAAGTTCCTTGAACTTATTCTCTCTCTCTGTCTTTTTTTTTTCTTTTCTTTTCCTTGGGTATGTTACAAATTATAGTGGTCATTCTCGGTTCTACTTGCGAAATCATCTACAGGTAAAACAAAAAAAAAAAAAGAAAAAAAAAACGAAAAAAGAAAAAAAAAGAAACACGTAAATTAAGTAATATCAATTTTACACATTTCCTCGTTTAGATGATGAAACATTGAAGGATCCTGTCATCAAGCATATCCTTGACTTTTTGACCAGCTGTATCTCGTTTCTGGAAATGATTAACAAAAGGTAAATGAAAATGATACTGAATGACTTCAAAATATTTATACCTTTTATATTTTTTTAATATTTTAGTACGTTAGGGGCTCTCTTTGAAGTAAGTTTTAGATTCATGCAAGTAGATAATCAAACTTATTGATTTCAAAAAAACCTTATTTCTATACAGATGACCAAGGAAAACATATTACAAGCGCGTGAAAGAACTGTCTATGCGTTTTGCCTTGTTGCCGACAACCTGCCTCAATTCTTTATTCCAAAACTCCACCGGTATCTGATGACTCAACTCGCCGATATTGGCAATCCTATCACCTTAGCAATTAATAATAGCAACAACATGGATGAAGATGATCTGGGAACAGTGATTATACTAGGACACGATTTATGGGAACACTTACTCAACAAACATATTACTCTTGTGCGCGAATCAGTGATGGATTTGTTGGATTCTTATTTACGCATTGTAAATAATTCCTCTCCCGTGCAATTGAATGATGGAATGAAGTCTAATATGGATCAAGGAAGCTCTCACGATTGGGAAAGATACATACTGGGTTATATAATGGCAATACCTTTGATATCTTCTCAACTTACGAATGGTAAATGAAGATGATATATACCAAATACATATACTTTTACTTACCTTATCTTTAATATTATTATTATTATTATAATTATAGAATGCTGGTCCGCAGTTTTCAACAAACTATATCACAACAATACGATTAGTAACTTAATCTTATTTGAAAATCAAACAGGCTATTCATTATTACGCAGGACTTCAAAAGAGTAAGTTTTAAATAACATCAAAAGAAAAGGGGGGAAAAAGTTGTTATTTTGATATTAACTTATACATGTATTTATTTAAGTGAATTTACCAATATATCCAGCATCTTTGGTTTGTGGCTTTCCAATGTTGCCTTTGTTCCTCAACAAGTTATCATGAAACATGCCTTTGATGTAGCTATAATGCTAGACACAGTCGTATATGATCCAAGATTGCATCTTCAACATTTGGCGCCATCTGACGGCAATTCGACCTTGGACAATTTTCTGCCATCTTTGGACAAAAGCGATATATCTTCATCTTCTATTGATCTTGTGGATGATTGGGTGGTTCCAATATTAGATCCAATACGATGTCAACAACGACAATACGATCAGCCTCGCCAACCCCATCAATTGAAAATCCCCATCTTTTTCTTGCAATTCACCATACTCAACAACAATACCTTGGAAAATGCGGTGGATTTGTGTATCAAACTTATGACTCTTTTACCGATCGCATCAATGGACCATTCTGAAACAAAGATGAGCACCAATCGGCATCTTCTACGGAACGTTACTGGAACTGCAGAGAACAAGTGGCCAGATTTTTTTAGGTAAGAGCGAAATCCCATACTTATATAGTATATACTTTTATCATGATCTCATTTTTTTTTTTTGATTTCTAACCAGAATCATGTTGGAACAATTATTCTCAAAGGCCATGGCTTTCAGCATTACGGGCGACGATAAGGACAGTACAAAAGTCGAAAACATTTTTGGAAATTTAGCCATCATCTTTGACGATCTTCACAATAACGACGTGGATTCATCAACACCGGAAGTGACACCATCTACTGGATTCCAAATATTCGCATCGTACATCGCATCCCATTGGCGGCAAGTAATGCTTCTCTTTATGAGTCATCCATCCAGAGTTTGTCGAGCAATGGGCTATCGTGTTATGATCAACTCCAAGTTCTGGCTTCAAGAGGATCAACTTCAACCTTCTGACCCTCCAGCAATTGCAAAGGCGCTTGTGGAATCATGGTTTACGCAACTAAAAAGCAGGTACTCTATGGTAGTAGAAAATGATGAAGATCGTCTTGGTGACAGTAACGGTACATTAGATATATGTCTATTGGAACTACAGCAGCTTAGTAAGATGAATATAATAAAAAGGGGGGGGGGGTGGGATACTAATCATTCTTTTTATATATATACACGTTACTAGTGTCTCAGTGCTGTCTTCGAGAACCAATCGCAGCTATACTTATTTCGACAATATTGGAGTCGGTTTTAAACGGTGAATTGGAGACATTTCCTCGATCGGACGCTTCCTCGTGGTCATCAAGTACTGCAACATCTTTTTTGGATAGAATTGTCAATAGCCGACATACCACCAATTCAAAATATGGATCATATACACTTGATATTCCTCGATATATACCCACTATTGAAGTTCTGAAATCGGATTGGTAAATGAACTGGAAAATAACAGGAAGGACAAAATAGTAACCGAGATTCTATTTTTTTTTTTTTTTGTTTTCACCTTTTTTTTTAATTTTATTCTTTACTATTTAGGAAAACCAAGGACAAAATCTACATGAGTAACATTGACCATACAGCAAATATATTGCGTCAGACATCTAGTGAAGGTAAGATCTTCCCAAGTGATACGTGCAACATATACTAATATCATACATATATGTATCATTGTCATTAGCTGTAGCACGACAGCTTATGATCAGTATCAACGGCAAATTACCGACACTATCAACCGTATCGCAAGATATATACGACGATGCTTTACCGTACAAAATACCATATGCAACCGATATTACCAATGGCAATGCATTCAAAGATCATCCCATATTGTTCTTGATGTTGGATCAATGTTTTGAAGTGGATCAAAATTCATGCAAAGCTCTCTTACGTAGTGTATTTATCTATTTTGTTACTTTTTGGAATCTTCAAGAAGTCGCCAACAAACCCATGTCGTTATACTTTGCCACTCAATTACAAGAAACCATATATCTATTATCTCGAATGGAAATGGTAAGTAAGAAGTGAATATTAATCTATATTTACTAAACTTACCTCTTTCCTTTTTTTTTTTTTTTTTTTTTTTTTTTGGACGCAACTCTTAATTGACTAGATGATCCCAACGAATCTGTCACATATTGGTGAACTCCTACCATATCTCTCTAGTCATGATATTGGTGTAATTCTTCATAAAGTGATATGGCCATGTATTCGTCATTTTTATGACCCTTCTACAGTAGCTATTCCTGGTTTTACATCCTCTTCCAGTCATCAAGTATTATCTACTTCTAGCTCTAGTTCGACAGACCCTCAACTAGTGAATCAGTGCATGGAACAACTCAAAAAGATATACCAACAACGAAAACTTGTATTTAGCGAATCTCAAGATTGGACAACAGCTTTAGAAACAGTAGGAAATAGATTAGGAATAGATCAACAGATTAACAATAGTGATGATGCTGATTTATAGTTTGTAGCAATAAAACTAATACACTTTTTGACATGATCGTGACTTACCTGAGTTTGAATTATCCTTACCTCCCTCAATTATTTATCCACCAGTGATAGAAGCAAGAAGATTCTTCTTTTTTTTTCTTTCTTTTCTTTTTCTTCAATACATAAAGAACATGTTTGGTGTCATCCGATCTATTCCTCGAGGAGCTAAGCGAATTCAGCTTACTGCTAAACAAGGTCACAACTACTACAAAGGTAATTAAATGAAAGAAATAAAGCAAACAAATGATTAGATCACCCGAGGTTAAATCTTTCCCTCTGTTACTTTATTTTTACTATAAGGTACTGGAAGTGGTGCTATGGGTCGTCATACTAAAAACGGTGGTTACAAGGTTGACTGGAACAAAGTACGAACATTTGTTGTTCCTGATCTTGAAGGATTCTCAGTAAGTGAACCAAAAAAAAGAAAAAAAGAAGTTCAAACATCTTATTATTCTTTCACCATTGTAGCTCTCACCTTACGTATCACGAAAAACAACACCAGTACCCAAGAACTAAGGAAACGATTATTAGTATTACTTGACGGACATTTACAATGTACGATTCTTCTTCTTTTTCTACCTTTACTTCTTTTTTGACTAGAATTTTTTTTGTTTCATTTTACCGATATATCTCATTTGCCATCTTCACTCGATTTTGCTTTCTTTACTTTATCTTCATCCCCATTTACACTCATGTCTTTATTACCTCTTATGTACATTATTTGAAATACAAATAAATATGTCTTTTTTTTTTTTTTTCTCTTTTCTCTTTTTTTGATATATGTTATCTCTTTATTAGTAAATCTGCTATCTCAGCCACAGAGATGGAACAATATTCCAAACTGACAGCGGTAGTTGAATCAATTCAAAATGCAAATGAAAAGGTTTTTTTCTTTCTTTCTTTCTCTTTTCTATAGATCTTTTCAATGACAAGATATGCAAAACTCGGTGGAAAAGCCAAATACGTCAAGACAAATGAAAATTTCCATGTGACACCTTTGATTCCCAACAAGAAAACACAACAAGAATCCTCAAATACTGACAATAACAAGAGAGAAAACGACACTAAGGATAACCAACAACATAACAAAAAAAGAAAAGGTAAAGAAAGGATCAAAGATATGGATGGCAATTTATCATTTGAATGTTGTTTTTATAGTGGATGAAGGTCGTAAGGAACGAAGAAATAGAAATAAAGAGAGGAACACAATTTGCTTTGGTTGTCGAAAAAAAGGTCATTCAGTTGAAAACTGTCCTGAAGGCAAACAATCTATTCAAGGTATATGTTATAACTGTGGATCTACTGAACATACTTTGAAACAGTGCAAGAAACCAAGGAAAGCAAGTAAGTTTAAAAAAAAAATATTATATTAGATAAATATGAGAACTCAATTTTATTATTATTATTATTATTATTATTATAGATATATTACCTTATGCCAAATGTTTTATTTGTCAAGGGAAAGGACATCTTGCTGGTCAATGCCCTGAAAATACGAAAGGTTTATATCCCAATGGTGGTGGATGTCGATTTTGCGGTCAAGTAGATCATTTAGCTAAGGATTGTAAGATGACAAAAGAACAAGCTGGAACTACTGTCGTTGGCAAGATTGATTTAGATCAAGGAGCTGATGATGATGATTATCATATCTTCGTTACCGAACAACAAAAACATACCGAAGAAGTCGCTGTCGAAAAAAAGATTGCTCCTATTATAGCAAGAAAGCCTTTGAAAAAGAAGATTGTCAAGTTTTAATGGAATAGTGATAAATCATTTGTAATATATATATATAGTATAGTATTTTTAGTTATAGTCATTTTCAATGGGTCAATTAAAATAAAAGGATGTTTGTATTGTTATTATTATATTTATTCATAGATGATTGTATAATATATATGTATATATAGGATGGAAGGACAATATAAGTAATAGGAATAGACAATAAAGAGTACAACTTTCTAGATATAAAAAATATACATAATGGGGAATGATGAAGAGATTGATGTACAAAAAAAAAAAAAATAAAGTTGATCAAAGTTGTATCATCGTTGGTTGTTGTCGTAATCATCTTGTACGTATTCTTCATCCTGGATAGAACTATCATCTTCTTCGTAAGCACTATCTAGTCCAAAATCATTGTCACTATTTTCATCCTCATCGCTTCCTTCATCATCATCTGTATTGTCATCGGCAGGTCGGTATACACGTGGTGTAGAATCAAGTTGTAATCTATTCATTGTAGTACTATGTATAGAAGAAAAAGAGGTTGGATGCATATCTACCGTAAACATAAGAAATTCTTTTCTTTACCTAATATCATCTGTGATACTTCTATCCTGATGTATTGATTTATTCAATTTTTCCAATTGTTTCCGGTATCCTTCTTCCTAACGACCATGGAAAACAATCCGAAAAAAAAAAAAAAAAAAATGCGTTGTTAGTGACGTTAACTACCTTTCATCAATAGTATTCCCAGTTCCTTTTACCTTGAGTCGATCCCGTTGATAATTTTGAAGTCGAACAGATTCTTCCAAACTAATCATCCGCACCTTGGCCTATATATTGCAAGGAAAAAAAAAAAAAAAAAAAGAGAGAGAAAGGAAGATACTATGAGTATCCTAGAAACTAACCATATTACTTGCTTTTTTTTTTTGTATTTACCTGTTGCCCATCATCATATTCTTTAACGCTAGAGGTACCTGTATCTTTTTCACCTGTATTGGAATCATTCTGATGACTAGTACCACCGACATGAGCTCGTAACATGTTACTTGATAGATTTATGCGACAAGCTTCCAGATTCGCATCTGCAACTGATTTCTTCCGAATGTTAGGTCGATTGTTGTTTTCTAGAGATAGTTTTGAGACTTTTTCTGTCACTGTGTCAGGTGTATCCTTTCTGGAAGCCAACAGGTTGTCGATTGTATTGATCTTTTCCTTGAGTTTCGATCCTTTATCAGGTAAGGTAGCCACGATCGTTCTAGTCCACAAAGAAGAATAAACAAAAAAAAAAAAAAGTACAAGAATGAATAACGATAATAATAGTAATAATATATCTTCGCCAATTCATCTTTTTTTTTTCTTTTTTTTTTCTTTTTTTTTATTTCTGTATACTTACGAATTGTCGAGCATGGACTTGGTTTTTGAACGAAGGTCCAACAAATCGGATTCACTCAAAGTGTCAATTGGTCGCGTCCTGTTAGTTGAAAAACCGTCCAAGAGTCTACTGGATTCACGTTGCGCTTTCGATAATCTTCGTTTCGGTGGTAGGGAAGTTGGAATAAAGGATTGCATTATTTGTTATATTAGATGCTAGAGAAATAAAAAAAAAAAAAAAAAAAAAAAAAAAAAATAAAAAGAAAGAGAGAAAGGTAAAAGAAAAGATTAGTTTAAATAGTTTTTATTCGAAGACCGCATACACTTTATTGATGAAACGCAATCAACCAACAATTGACGATACAACTCATCCTATGGAAGTTTTTTTTTTTTTTTTTTTTTTTTTTTTCCGTCACGCATAAAAACTGAACATTTATATTTTTTCATTTTCATTGACAACGTAATCATCATCATGACTATTTTCAACACTACTGTCTCAATGTAGTAAACATACTAGGCATATTCGACATTTTTACAATATACGCATCCCAAACAGAAAATAAAAATAAAAGTATATTGAATAGAAATATGATCATCATCCAAAAAGATAGAAACCAAAATGAATGTGGTTTGATCAGTTGATTTTTTTTTTTTTTTTTTTTTTTTTTTTTGTTGCAAGGGTTACGGCATCACTATATAAGGAGATATTAGGATTCCGCTGTCATAGCCCAATCGTCATCCAGGAGCACATGACAATTCCAACAAGAATCGAGATACTGTAACACCAAATTACAAATACTCGATCGTGATTGGCTGAAATTTGGATGAGGTTCATAATGGAGTTTTCGTTTCGAACGAAAAAATGGTCGCTTGGTGTAGTTGGTTATCACGTCTGTCTAACACACAGACGGTCGGCGGTTCGAATCCGCCAGCAACCATTTCTTTTTCTTTTTTTAAATTTTTCTATATGTTACACAAGAAAACTAAGTGTTATGTTAAGCGTTGTTAAGTGATTTTTTGGTTGTTAAGGCTTGTAGGGTGATTTTTTGGTTTATAGGTTCAAAATTGAAAAAGTAAAACGGATGATTGAAAGTTGATAATGTTTATAGTGAGCACCAGTACTTGATTACGCAAGCACACGTATAAGAAAAGAGATAAAATAAAAAAGGAAAGTAAAGTAAAGAAAAATAAAGTCTTGTTCCAAATTTGGAAAGTAGAAGTAGAGTAAAAGATAAAGATTTTTTTTTTGATTTTTTTTTTTTCTTTTTTCTCTTTTTTTTTTTTTTTTTTTTTTTCTCAACAAGGCCAAAATTGAAAAAGTAATTCAGATGTGTTAAAGATTTTTTTTGTTAATGGGTAGATGATTGATTTATATACTGTAATTGGTGGATGATATTATTAAAATAATAATATCGACGATATTTGATGAGTAGTGAGCACCAGTTCTTTTATATAAAAAGAACAAACGTAAAAAAAAAAAAATGTAAACCAAAAAGGAAATAGATGTCTTGATGATTTGATCACAGATGATGATGATCAACTAAATAATCTTGAATAAAATGCTTGATGATTGCTTGAAGATAAAAAAAAAAAAATAAAGATAAAACTTAGGATGATTTATTCCTTAAGAGTGGCCAATGTGATTTTGGTTAAAAAAAAAAAAACTTTTTATTGAATAAAAAAATATAAAAATTGACAATGTAAAAAAAAAAAAACTAAGAAAAGATGGTTATTTATACTAAAAAATAAAAAGAATAGATAAATAAAAATAAGAAAAAAAATGTAATGTTTGACATTTTTCAAACATTGGGAAAATAGATCCAATGTTTGAAAAACTTCAAAAAAAAAAAAAAAAAAAGAAAAAAGTTGACAATGAAAAAAAAAATTTAAAGGCTGTGTGCCTGTCCTAGCTCTACAGATGATTGAGTGATAATAAGTTAAATAGTGAGCACCAGTACTTGATTACGCAAGCACACGTATAAGAAGAGATAAAATAAAACAAAAAAGTAAAGTAAACAAAGTGAGCCAATCAAAAATAATAATCCACAAATACAATTGAAATGGGATAAGAAGGATGTTTTTTATTATTAAAATAAATTGACTAAAGAAAAAGAAAAATAAAGGAAAAAGGTGGGGTATTTATAATAAAATGAAATAAAGTTAAAAAAAATGAAAACGAAAACGAAAACGAAAATAAAAATGAAAATGAAAATAAAAAAATAAAAATGAAGATAAAAATGGAAAATGAAAATGAAAATAAAAATAGAAGTTTTTTTTTTTCTTACATCCCTTCGCCCTAAGAAAAGATGGTCTCCATCTTAGAACCTTGACCAGGTATCGTTTTTTCGGATTCTCTTCAGAAATGACCTCAAGATATTGTATGGCATGCTATGTCGTAGTAGCTGCCTAATCCATTCATCTCTTTCCTTTACATAGATGTATCTTGCCTTTCTATCAGTTCAAATAGCCAAAATTAAAAAAAAAAGTAATTCGGATGATTGAAAGATAATAAGTTAAATAGTGAGCACCAGTAATTGATTACGGAAGCACGCGTATAAAAAAAAGAGATAAAATAAAAAAGAAAAGTAAAGTAAAGAAAAGTAAAGTAAAGAAAAGTAAAGAAAAATAAAGGTCAAAGGTAGGAGTTTAATAAAATTGTTCTGACTTGATATAGAGAACAAAATGAGCCAATCAAAATGAATAATCCACAATACAATCGAGTAGGGATGTAAAGAAAAGTTTTTTATTTGAAAAATATATAAAATATTGACTGAACTCAGGAAAAAAAAAAGGAAAAGAAGAAAAAGGATGAAATATTTATACTAAAATTTTAAACAACATAAGACTAAATATAATTTTTTTTCCTAGACACTTTTTCTTCTGCAATTTGAAGTTGGATGATGTTTTGTAAAAAGGCTTGATGATACTATTATAATAATAGTATATCTTTTGTAATAAAGTCGAAAAAGCTTTTTTTTATTGATTGATGTTAGTAATAAAGAATTGAGAAAAGAAATATATATAAAACTATGAACGTATTTATATAAAAAGTAAAGATAAAACTATTGTTGGATGATTGTTATTAATTATCAAAAAGAAAAAAAGGGAGTGAAAAGGAAAAACCTATCCAAAGATGATTGTATCAACTTGTTGTGATGATGATTGATGGATAGACTTGATGATATCATTAAGTAAGTAATACCGAAGATGGGTATCCATGAGAATGGGTTGATTCTTTTTTTTTTTTTTTTTTTTAAAAAAAAAACAATCTTTGATTGATAATATAAAAAAAAAAGGTATTCTATATAAAAAGAAAAAAAAAAGATCAGTAAAATGATCAAACTTCATTTCCATTTCTAAAAAATCAGATAAGATGTCACTTTTTTTTATTTATTTATTAGAATATATAATAGAATTAAAGAGAGGAAAAAGGGGGGAAATAGTAGAGGTGAAAAAATGAATGAGTAAAACAAAATAAATCATATTCTATAAACAGGGACAAGAAAAAAAAAAAAAAGATATGATACAAAAGAAGAAGAATAAAAAAAAAGTAGGGAGATACTAATTCTGATGAATCATTAAATGGGTAGGTTGAAACAAAGAAGAGAAAAAATGAGATAAACGAGCCTTGTTATGTAACCAAAAGGATTTAACACGTTCCAAAGAAGACCGATGAGTCTCATCCACCATATCGAGCATTTCCAACCAAGCCAATTGCAAATCATGATCCAGATCGATAAAAATCAATTCCCATTGATTGATCAATTGTTCATTGTTCTTGTCCATTTTCCGCTGAGCGCTTGTCCAAATCAACTCGATTGATTCCGCATATACATTGTTTGTCCTATTGTCGTCCTTTTTGCGTTGTAACCAGATCAAATCATCCGCCACAGAGTTTGCCATATCCAAAGTATTCGCCATCATTGCCGTCCATGATAGAATCAACTGGTTCAAGTATTTGTCATAGGTCGATTTGTTCATCGCTGAAACGTTTTCACGAAGCCGATTGTAAATAGAATGCATCGGTTGGTGTTTTCGCGGTGGAGTTGCGGCAAAGAATTGACGATGTAATTCCTTATCCAATCGTGCAAATCGTCTCATCATTGTTTTCTTCAAATTGGCTAGCATATCTATGGAGAGTTGTCGATGCGTTGTATGATTTTCCTGGTATTGTTGTTCATCTTGTTGTTGTTGTTGTTGTCGTTGTTGTTGTTGTTGTTGAGGGTGGTTTTGTTTGTATTTAATGATATGAGGGGTTGAAGATTTGCTAAAAGGAGAGGATGATGGATGAAAGGTTTGATCACTGTGCTGGTGGTGGTTGCTAGGACAGATACATTCAATAGTAATCTCCAATTCCTGGTAAATTTGTTCCAGTTCAAATATCCATTCATATCGCTGACGTGTAGTAGAAGTGGTACTTTGTATTTGTCGTGATGATGTTGATGATGAACCTGTAGAATCAGTTGTCAGTATAGATGAAGTAGCCGAAGAAGGAGGTGAAAGGAGTAACAAAGCTTGACGCCGAATTTTGGGAGAACAGTCGATTGTGGTCATCAAGGAGTCGGGTGGTGGAAGAGAGAGACAATCCAACATGGATTCCATATCATGATAGAGCGACTGCATAAGTTGAATCCAATCTTGTTGTGTTTGCACGACAAAGTTATGTGTTTGTGAAGCACCGTCTTTAACCCATTGTGTAAAATCACGCTTTGAATATAGTACTTGAGTTTGTTCTTGAGGAGACATTTGTTGATAGTATCGAGCCATTTGCTGCTTATAGAATTTTCCATGATAATCCGTTTCTAACATATCCTTGAAGAGATCATCCAGATTCGAGAATGGCGGCGAAGAATTGCTGCTATTGATCCTTGTAGAAAACAAACTATTTGACAGCAATCGTAAGAGTTGTTGATGTATGTGTTGTAAAAAGGAATCCATTCCCAAGTGTCGCATGAATAACCTTAATTGACCAGTCAACTTTGATGAGAAGATATGCCATTCTAGAGCTGGATGAGTATAAATGTCTTCCAAAAATTGTACCATGTCTTCTTTCCTGTCGTTCAATCCATACATCAATGGCCAGAGTTTATGGCGTATTTCATACATTGTCGGCTGTAAATGAGTACGTATCATGTAACCAGTAGATTGATAAAAGCGCACTACAGTGCCTGTAATGAATCTGTCATATTCTACTTGATGTAATCTTTGTTGGACTACATTCAAAAGGTGATGCATTTGCTGAGCGGCGGTAGCGAGTTTTTGTTTGGTTGAGACTTGTAGACGATGGATCATTTCCAATATAAACTTGGAAGATGGCATATGTAATCTTGATCGTGCTTTTGCTGTTGTGGTATGGGCATAAATAGGTTGTTGTCGGGAAGTTGGCGGTGGCAAGTCATCAATGGAACAATATAGGTGAATGTCGATGGTCTTATTGTCAACAGTGGACGGTTGTGTAGTGGTCAAGAAGTTATATTCGTAATCGACGTTACAACATAAAACAGAAGATGTGAGATAAAGAAAAAGAAGAAGGGATAAAATATTATGTATTGACATAAGAGTAGGTTAATAAAAGTAAAATACAAAAAAAAAAAAAAAAAAAAAAAAAGAAAAGAGAAAAGAAATTGTTTTTTTTTAGTATCCAGGAAAAAAAAACTACAAGCGGATATTTAAATGATTTGCCAGTTTACGGACAATTTTTATTATTATATTGGGACAAAAAAAAAAATAAAAAAAAATACTAAAGAACTATCATATTCAATGATGATGACGCTGAGCATATTGAGGATGTTGTTGTTGGTGTTGAGGAGGAGGAGGATGATGATGATGATGTGATTGTGGTGGATAAGATGGGTAAGGGGGGTAAGGATGTTGTTGTTGATGATGATGATGTGGAGGAGGATAAACTTGCTGTTGTGGATGATGATGATGATGATGCGCTAATTGCTCTGGATGATGCGGTTGATGATGATAGTGAACTTGTTGTTGTTGTTGTTGTTGCTGTTGTTGTTTCTGTTGCATTCCTTTTCGTTTTCGTGCCTCTGAAGCTTGTAATCGCTTGAACCCATTGATCAAATCATCAACGTTGGGGTAATTGGTGTCCCGTAAACGATATCCATCAGGTAAAACTTTGATGACCTGAAACAAAATTAAAATAGATAGAATAAAGTAGTGAGTATAATAAGTTTCTACAAGAGGAGGTTTTTTTTTTTTTTTTTTTTTTTTTTTTTTTTTTTTTTTTTTTTTTTTTTTTTTTTTTTTTTTTTTTTTACCCATCGAGACAAGTTTGATTTTTGATTCAATTTGAAGCCAAGATCAAAATAACCAGCCTTTTCGTTCAAACAAAATCCATAAGCAGACATTTTGGGATTAGCTCTTGTTGTCGAATCCAAATAATCACCTATATAATATAAAAGAAAGTAAATTCTCTCATGCATTTTTTTTTATTTCCTATATATGTATTTAATTTACTTAAAGCTTGCGATCCACCGGCTTGGAATTTGGGATGGACCATTAACTCATCCACCTTGTGAGCAATGGCTTCCACATATGTAACAATCAGTTCATCCAAATCTTCAAATATCAATTTGCCAATTGTTAAATGAGTAGGAGCACTATATGCGTTTGGTTTTTCTTCAGTAACATCAATATGTTGATAGACATCTTCAGCCACTTTCCATGTAATCGCCATATGACTATTACCACGAGAAGACGGTCGAATCACCAAATCACCGGGTTGTCGTGTTTCTAGATATTGTTCTGCTTCACTATGACTGAAAGGTCGGAAAAGAGGATGGTTGATAACTCGGTTACTTCGTGCCTTCTTTTGTTGTTGTTGTTTTTTGCGGTCCACAAATGTCTTTTCGCCAATTTTGTCATAATATTCATCTTCCCGAGATCGTCGTATATCCAAATCACTTTGGGGTTTTGTATCTGAAGCCTTAGAGCTAAGTTCCACCATGAATTTTTCCCTATCGATCCGAAGTACCTTGCAATTGAGTGTTTGACCCACAGTAAGCACATCCCCTACATTCATCACACGATCATCAGATACATTGTCAAGATAGATAATGCCTTCCAAGCCAGAGTCCAATACACAATTTGCCACACGACCACGTAATGATACCACCTTGGTAGGAACAATAAAACCTTCCCGTAAAGTATCTCGAGTTTCTCCTGTTACCATCGAAAAAGTTTCATCCATACTTGGGCGTGAATAACGTTGTCGTCTGTCATGATAAGGGCCTTGTAATTCTAACTTGATATGTTCCAAAATTTGCCGCTTAGGAGCATTATATTGTTGTCGTAGTACCACCGCATAATCATCCAAAATCAAATCGTTAAGTTTTTCAGGGTATTCTTTAATCACACGAGTCACAATTGCTACTTTGGAATCATAATCATCCATTTCATCTTCATCAATTTCAAGTGCATCACCTGCCATTTTGCGTGCTAGTTCATAATCTTGAGGATGAATTCGTGTATCGTCCAAAATATCCGCACCATCTATGTCCCGAATACGCAAATAGCTTGCACAATTAATAAATGTATTGGTAGCAGTCAATTTGTGTAATACGAGAGAAGATCTTGCATCGAGTTCACCCTACAAAAAAAAAAAAAAAAAAGGTCAAACACCATACTAACTGATTCTTTTTTTTCTTCTCTCATTTTTATTATACACTTACAATGGCTTCAATTCTTTTCAAAATACTTTGAGCTTTTCTTGGACCAAAACCACAAACGTATTGTAAAGAGGCAGCAATATAAGGTGAATGAATAGCAGCATTGATATCAACACCCAAATCATTCACAACAGTAATAAGTGAGCGTTCCAAGTAAAATAAGAGAACATCATCGGGTACCAGATGTTGAGATGGATGGAAGCGAATGGCCAATAGATCACGACCCAAGCCAGTATATTCATAGACAGGATTTTGCAGTCGGCGAGCCAGTGCAATACAGTAACGCATCACTTCAGGATAATCTGGGAATTCATCTCGAGCACGTTTAGAGTTCTTGTATAATCGAGCTGCTTCATCATCCACTACTACTAGATCGATAGGACCAGTTCCACTTTCCCTTGTTTGATTGATTTCGCTAATCATACCTTGTAAATGTTTGATAAGACGTCTAGTTTCAGCATTGTAACCTGCCACACCAACAACATGGGGTTTACGTGATCGGATGAATTGATCTAATTGGGAGACATAGCGTCCATCCTTCAAATGAGGTACTTGAATTTGATCCAGCACTTTACCACGTTGATTAAGCATGACAGCCATTGTTGGAGACTTGAGATCACCATTACCATGAGAAACAGCAATAACACGAGGAAGACTATTTCGGTGACGGTCAGTATCAGGGCCACGATAAGGTCCTACATTGATTTTGGCGAGGAGGTTTTTAGAGGCTTGCTTGCAAACAGATTCTTGAGACTCCACACGTAACTTTTCACGAATATACTTGTCCATCAATGGCACTAAATAATCCCTAAGACATTGTTCCAATACTTCCTTTCGTTGTAAATTCCATTGTTCCACTGATTCGCTGTACCCATCAGACAAGTAGTATTCAGTAATTCCAGCAAGCCATGATTCATAATTGGCAATTGTCACTTGTAATATTAAGAGACCGTCCGATTCACCTTTGAGTAGCTCCAAAAAGTCGCCATTCTTGAATGTTCCAATAGGTTTGTTTCGCAAATATTTGAATCGATGTAGAGGGTGTAAATCATCAATGACATTGAATCCTTTGTCGGTCGGTTTGACTATTACCACAGCTTTTTCTTCCCAATCTCTTCGGATTGCCTTACGGACTTGAGGATCGAATGCCATTTCTTGGGCCAAAACGGTTCTTGCAGCTTTAAGTACCTTGGTACCATCGGTAAAAGTATCATCCACATTGGCTTCACCCTCAACCATAGGATCCACCAAACTATCTTCAGGATAATAACGTCGATTTTTTTCCAAATAATTGGCACCAAATTCTTTTGCAGTAATACCAAACAACTAATGATGACAAAAAAAAAAAAAAAAAAAGAGTCATATAAGATAGAATAAGGTAAGTTATTTGAAAATTAAAATACTTACAGGTAAGACATTGACAACCATTGTCTTATTCATTGTATCATATAAGGATTTGCTAAGAGGACGTTTGGGACCTTTATTTTGAGCTTGTACTTTGTTGATGACTTCACTGAATTTGAGGTTGACAAGATCCAAAACATCATTGACTTCTTCCATTTTTTCCACCTTTGATTCAGCATCACGGACATAGGCATCATCAATATTGTATTTAGTTAAAAAGTCATGTAAGGTTTTCTTGCGTTCCATAAAACTATGATACTTGAAATCTAAATCATATATTTCCCAAAGATCATCTTCCGTCAATATTTCCGTAGTAGCACCAGTGACCTTGTTAACCTCGGTAAAGAAGTCTCTTCGATGATCCTTGATATGAGGTACTTCTAAAAGTTCCCGTGCAAAGAAGCCAACCACATATGTTACCGCTGTTTGGAATTTTTCAGGTACTGGTTCCAATCCACGAAGTCCAGCCAATTGTTTTGCAACCCAAATACCTTCTTGTTGGATTTCTTCAGGTGTTGATTCCACAAACTTTTTCGACAGTCCTTCATATCGCATTTGTAATCGTTCTGGTACATCGATGTTTCGAATTTTATCATCTTCTTCTGTCAACATTCGTTCAGCAAGTTCACTTGGTTCAAAGATATCTGCTAACTGAGGCTCACGCTGTTCATTTTCCATGTCCAATTGCTATGAAATAATTACATATAATAATAAAATATTAAATGACCTTTCCTTTCCTTTTCCTTTTTTTTTTTTTTTTTTTTTTTTACTTACGTCTTCAGGATATAAAGCATATTCGTAATCACCACCATCTCCGAAAATATCATACATATCCACCAAAACACTAAAAGAAAAGAAAAGACAACAACCAAAATATGAGCACACCCATCCTATCTATTCTTGTTTTAAAATAATGCTTGACTTACTCTTCACTGATGCCTTCAGGTAACATATCCATAATGCCTTTTCCAGGTTGCGTATGACCATGATCATCATAATAACCAGTAGCAGCACCATCATCACGTTGACCAAAATGACGCTCACCCAATACTTGATCCAAATCATCTTCATCTTCATCAGCAATAAAATCGCCCATATCGTCATAAGCATCTCTGTGTCGATATACCGGTTCATTATATTGTTCTTCTTCATCTTGACCATAACGATTATTGCCACCAGTAGAAAGTAAACCTTGTTCTTCCTCTTCTTCTTCATCAGAAAAGATATTCTCAACACCGCTTGTGATTTTGGAGGACATGCGTTCAGTATCTTCACGACCCCTTTTCAATCGTTTCAATTGAGGCTATAAAACAGTAATGATGATATTTGAGTATGATATTTGATACTGCAGATTTTTCTGTTATATTACTTACTCCAGATGACCTTCCCAATTTTATGCCTGTGTTTTCTTCAAGGAGTTCCAGATCTTCTTCATCCAGTTCTTCATCGTCTATAATACAGAAGCTATGAGTATCGATAGTAATAAAAAAAATAGTATAGTCTAAACTTACAATCTTCAATACGTCTCTTTTTCTTTCGTCGAGCGGCAACTTTGGTATCGGCATCTTGTTCTTCTTCTTCATCATCAACAATAAAGCCATCAGCAACCTATATAAAAATATAAAAGTAATAATATTCATGGTAAGTTTATTCGTTCTTTTCGTTGATACTGATTAAAAATGGATATCAGCAGCATAATATGATATCTTTCTTCTTCTTCTTCTTCTGTTGTTTTACCTTTCTAGCTTCTTCTTCATCTTCCTCTTCTTCTTCCTCTTCTTCATCGTCATCATCGTCTTCTTCGTCTGGAAGGCCATACCCTAAGTCTTCCCCTTCTTCGTCCGAGTTTTCTTCATCTTCGTGGTGTTGATTTAAACGTTGTTGTCGTTGTTGTTGATAAAGACTGGGTTCATCATCACTGTCTTGCATCGACATTGTATAATATAGATGTATATATATTTGTTGTTATTGTTGTTGTTTACTGTTGTATGTTTATCTGTTTGATGAATGAACTATTGATTAAATCGAAAAGCAAACATTAGATAAAAAAAATATTAAGTAAGACTTTAGTAGAAAAAAGTACTAGATCGTTTTGTTATGTTAAAAAAAAAGGACAGCTTACCAAATAACAGAAAAGCAATACAGAAACGGTTTTTGATAAAGAAACAATGAGAAGACTAAGTTGCACTCTGAGACAAGAAAAAAGAAAATCGACAGCTCATTGCTCAAAAAAAAAAAAAAAAAATTCAGTCCCAGTCACGATTTTTTTTTTTTTTTACTCTTGTCTTATGAGAATGACAAGCTGATTTTTTTTTTTTTTTTGACTCTTATGCTTATCTTTTTTTTTATGCAATCTTCTTTAAAAAAAAAAAACACTTGAATACGCATCTCTTATGAAAACTTCCCACGTTTGACTGTATATACTGATAAGAAACATCATTCTTTCTCTACTAATACAACTTTTGTATTCATTCTGATATATTATTCAACTATGATAGTGATGACTTTATTGAACTTTCTTTTGAAGTGGTCTTGACAACTGGTAAGATGCTTTATCTTTATCTATTTAAGAAAAAAAACGTGAATAACTACTGGTTTGGACTGAATGAACTTAACAATAGTATATTTAACATGGACTTCTTCTTTTTTGAATACTTCAGGGAGAAGACTCAAAAATCGGTTGCTGGTGTGAAGAAAACCTGTTGGAAGGGAACGTCTTTCTATATATATATATATATGGGTAGATAGATTTTTAGGATAGGGGAAGTGTAAGTTAGATATATCATAGAATAGATCATAGTTAGTATTATTTGAATGAAAAATAAAAAAAGAAGTTGGACTTGTATTATTGTTATTTTTGAAGTTGGCTTCGTAACTTGTTTCCTTTTCTTTTTTTGGGACAAAAAGGGAACCCTTTCAAACTGTTGTACTACAAAAAGGGAAAGGGAAGGAAAGGGAGACATAAATCTTACTATTGGTAATAGGAGAAAAGTAAAATTAAGGGTCTCTTTTGTTACAAGTTCTTGATTCTAATAGTGCTGCAATTTCCCTTAAAACACATACAACCTACACAAGTACTTAAAGGGAAGGAGATAACAAAAAAGTAAGTAAAATATAGGACAGATGATTGTTTGTAAAAAAAAAAAAAAAAAAAAAAAAAAAAAGAAAGCCTATTGATGTTCCCCCTTTTTTTTTTCTCCATTATATGCACAATAATTGAAAAAAAAATGAATAACTTTATTATATACAAAACAAAACAAATATTAACATGAAGGCAGGAGATATTAAAAAAAAAAAGAATATGAGAATAGGAGAAGATGAATAATACGGTATATCTAAAAAATAATAGTGGTGATAGTGATGATAAATGAATAACAAGGGACCTTAATCAAATGGCAAAATCGGGAGTGACGCTAAGCCGAACGGTTCTTTCAGGATAATCCAAGATCAATTGTTCAATTTCCATTTGTTTGGGAGACATTGGTTCATCATATACAACTGTACTTGTAGAACTTGAAGGTGATAAGGCAGGCAAAGAGAATCGTGTGAATGAAGATGATCTTCGTCGACTGAATAAAGATGATAACCTTAATGATTGTCTTAAAGTTCCAAACTGTGATGATGTTCGTCTTGTTGTTGATGTTGATGATGTTGACGAGTATGATGATGAAGAAGGACGTCGTTCATAATCATCTTGATGGAAGTAATAGGATAGAATATCATTGTCTTCTTCATAATTATTCATCATCATGTTGGTATTATTGTTGATATATTTCATATTTGATTAAGTATTAGTTTTTTTTTTTTTTAAATAAAAGAGAAAAGTAAAGAAGGAAAGAAAAAAAAAAAGAAAGGCTTTGCATTTTATATATTCCATTTTGTTTAAACTCAGTCCAACTTTAAAAAGAAGGTATATTCACTTTCTTATGAGAAGGCTTATAGAGAAAGTCTGTGCGTTTTCAAATATCAATATATCAAAACCCTCCTTTTATTTTACTACAATGATGATATTGTCCCTATTTCTCTTTCTTGTTCCTTGTTCTTTTATCAATAAAAAAAAGGGAGTTTTCCATAAAACTATTGTGTAATTTTGGGAGTCCATTCATATAAAACCAAAACAAAACAATGCACGTTCTTTTATCCGATTACACCATTTATGATCTTTTATTAGACAGACTGGGAGATGAAGAAAAAATAAATAAGTATGGGATGATTGATTCAGATGAAAGGAACCTTTTTTTTTTATTATTAGGATGATCTATATTACAGTGACATGTTGTAACAAAAAAAAAATAATGTTTTTGTTTACTATTTGCTTTGCATAAGGAATTTCCATGTGGATAAAACATCAAAGAAAAAAAAAATAAATAAGGTACACATTCGTTGTTGTAGCATAGAAAAAAAAAAAGAGAGAGAGAGAGAAAAAGAGAAAAAAAAAAAGATTGTTTGTATGTATGTGTGCAAGCTTCCTAAAAAGGAGGTAACTCAAAACACTTGATGTAGACGGAGTTTGTTTATCGCATGAAAAAAGAACATCCTAAGGGAAAAGAGGATGATGGTAACTACTAATCCCTTCAACGACTGCAATAACCATTATAACAATAAACACCACTTCCTAAATGAAAAAAAAAAATAAAAAAACAAAAAAAAAATTAACATCAACCTGCATAATCAGCATCTATTTTTTTTTTTTTTTTTTTTTTTTAGTTTTCCCTCCTTTTTTTTTTTTTTAATGTCTAAATCATACCGTATTGATTATAACAATCATTGTTGGTACGACTAAGGAGGATCATTATCAATAAGATGAAATAATAATAATAAAAAGGTATTAGTGTGAACATCCAATTCAATATAAATCATATATTACCAGTAAGAAGAACCATTTGTACCGTAAGAGCTGTATGATCTCGTGGTTAATCCAGCCGCTAACCCAACGATCACCGCAATCAATAGGATGCAACAACACATAGAGAGAATTTTCCGTTTTATCCCTAATCGATTGTTTTGTGGAGGATTATAAAAATTCACAAACCTACTTTGCAGATTACTGGGTGGAACATGTGGAGGATAATACTGTTGTTGAGCACCACCTGCATTCGGCGGAGGTTGATAATACGTTTGTCCTGGTCGATCTCCTTGTTGTTGATAAGTAGGTGGTGGGACTCCAGGAGCATCTACAAAGGTGATCATCATCATCATCGGGTTTAATATTTTTTTTTTTTATCTCTTTCAAACCTATATCCCTTTTTTTTTTATATGCAACCAAAGGTAATGCTTGAAGATCACCCTCCCCTCATTTTTTTTTTTAATTATTGTACTTACAAGGTTGACTCATAGGTTTTTGTTGATCCATTCTAAGAAACTTGATGATGATGATACCCAGTAATTCAAAGAAAGAAAGAAAAAATAGATACCACTTTTTTTTTTTTTTTTTTAAAAAAAAAAAAAAGATAAAGGTTTTTAAACCCGGGTCTATGAAACCTTCATGGCTTTATTGTCCGGTTGACCCTCCACCATGCCTGTCAAAATAAACCCTGCTGTTTGATTTTTTCTGTGAACCAACTTTCCTTTTTTGTATATGTGCACTATTTGGAGGCGTTTTTTTTTTTTTTTTTTTTTTTTTTTTTTTTTCATCATGATGATGATGATGATGATGATGATGATGAATGATGATAATGATAATGATGATGATGTTGATGATGATGATCATCATCATTACAATCATAGAATGAATTGCAATCAGGCATTTAATTTGATTCAAACTATAGCAGGATTTTTTTTTTTTTGATATAAAGAACACTAAGAAAAAGTTCTCGCGGTCGCTGCGGATCAGATGGCAAGATAAGCGATAAAATGGGATTAGATGATATTAAACTACTTTTTTTTTAGAGGAACCTAATGGTAGTATTTTCATTGGATGATGATCATTATTGAATGAGGAATGATGATATCGACATTTCGTTTTTAAATTTACTCTATAATTTGGGACGTATGGTATAAATTCTTATAACTCAAATGAAAGAGAATGTCTTCATCTATGTTCAGTCCAAATTTGGTACGATGATGATCACTTTTGAACGAGAAATAAAAAAAAAAAAAAACAAAATTTGTTCCCTCCCTTGGATGCTAGTTAAGAAATCATCATCCTCTTTAAACTAGGAAGGAAGTATATACGAGAGATGGATCCGGAGATTGAAAGCGCATGACTGTCTGAGGCTTTGATACGATAAATTTTTTTTCTTTTTCTTTTTGCCACTTTTTGTCCGAAAAACTATAAAGGTTGATCTTTTCCGCCACTTTTTTTTCTTGTTTCTTTTCCTTTGTTATTTGATACTATGTGTTAGAATTTGATATATTTGGTAAGTCTTTTTTAATAATATATACTACTGTGATTGTTTTTTTCTTCTTCTTTGGTTTGCAAGGATGATACTGGCATTTGGCTTTAGCCGTTATGGCGCTGATGAAAAAACCCTAGCTACCTTATAAATTAACCACTGAGCCCAAAGAAAAAAAAAGCAAAACAATTACAGTTAGAAAAAAGAAAGCTTGAAAAAGAACCTTTTTTTTTTATTGACCATTGTTGTTTTATTCTTTTTAGGATATCAAGAAAAGACTGACCTAGTGGATAAGATAGATTTAGTATAGCTTGTGCATTATTATATGATAATAAAAAAAATATTTATAAATATCATCATGTTTTTTTTGGTGTTTAATGATGATTCTTTTATGATGATACCTGATTTCTTACGTGATCCTGACCAAGTGATTGGCGGGGTTCAACAATAAATTTTTAAATACATTTTTTTTTTTTTTTCAATGGATCATATTTCTTTCTCTTCTTTATATTATGCATATACCTGAAAAGTTGAAAAAAGTGATATCAGAAAGGAAACGACATTTTGTTTTACACTATCATGATATCATGTTGGAAGAAGCTGTAAGACCATTAAACCAAAAAAAAAAAGAAATAAATCTAATCTTCTCCTCTTTTTCAATGATAGGATATTGAAACACTTGATGAACAACAATGGTTGAATGATAATGTGATGACCTTTTATATGGAATATACAGAAAGACAAGTGATACCAAGAAATATAAAAGATATATTATTGTTACGTCCAACCATGACTCACCTTTTAACTTATTCCCCAGGTAACAAAAAAAAAGAAAGTTTTAATACAAATTATGCAAAATATTAAACAAGCCAACTATTCTTCATCTTTTTATTTCTCAAGGGAAACCGTCTGATCTTATTGGTGCCTTACCTCCTCATTTTGAAGAAAAACGAGTCATTTTTGCACCTATTAACAATGGTACACCAGAAGCAGCAAACAATGGAACCCACTGGTAATAACAATAAAAAAAAAATAGAACTTTTTATATAAATGTTTAGTTATATGAAGGAATGAATTGAAATACCTTTTTTTTTTTTCTTTAGGTCACTTTTAGTGTATTTTCGGCCTACAAATTCATTCTATTACTATGATAGTTTAAACTTTACCAATATCAAGGATGCTAAACAAACTGCCAAACGTATGACTCCTTTACTTGGATCCAAACGGAAACCACGATTTATACCTTCATCAACACCTCAACAAACCAATGGAGCTGACTGCGGATGTAAGTGTGTTTTATTATCATGGGGTTAATAATAGAGAGGAATTCAGATGAGTAAAACATGTATGTATGTGGCTGCTTGTGACTCCCTGCTATCTTCTTTTCATCTTTTAACCAACCAATTCGACATTATCTTTTTTATTTTTTTAGTGATGGTGATCAGTACCATAGAATACCTGTTACATCAAATCTTCAATCACCCTGGGAACAACAATGGAAAGACTCTTTTTAGTATGGATAAATCAAGCTCTATGCTCTCGCCCAATGATATTCGCATCATGCTGAAATCACTGGTTTACCATTTGCGACAGAACGACAAATGATCATTTCACTAAGAAATTTTTATCATACCCTTCTTCATGTGATTAGATAGAATATTTGGTTTACACTTTATTCAATAAAAAATGACGGAATTCAAAGAATAAGATGGCGCAAAAATAGGAAATAAAATATAGTAAGGATAGAAAATAAATGACAGAAAAAAAAATATAATTGTCGCATAATCAAATAGAGAATATAAGAAAATAGATATCATGAAAAAAAAAGAGTAATCAAAAAAAAAAAAAAAAGAAATCCACCAATTGAGTTCACCAAGTTAACATATAAAAAAAAATAAAATAAAAAATGAGTAATACTTATCCAGATAAAAATATTTCACTAGCTTACCATTTAAGTGTAATGAGATCACCGTACCGCTACGGTGAAAGTAGGTAACTTGGCGATAACCAACCCGGAAATTGTTGAAAAAAAAAAAAAAAGAAAAGGCAGACCGTAACCACGCAGATGCGCATTAGCGACCACGGTCAAGCCCAAAAACAAAATAAAAGCAGATCAAGGATAAAGATGGTGCAACGATTAAAGGATACTTGTAAAGAAGAAGATAGATCAAAAAAAAAAGAAGGCAGACAAAAAAGCAGGCAGGTAGGCCAAAAAGGAAGCAGGTAAGATGAATATAATGTAAAGAAATAAAAAAAAAAAGTTAAATCAAAGAGATCCTTTTATAAGAAAATGAATCACCCCTGCAATTATGAGCTAATTTTAGTTGATAAAATGATGAGACAAGATGTAAGCGAGTTTTATCATCTTTTTTTAAATATTAGCAACATTTCTATCTTTATATTCTATCTAATTCATCATCATTTTTTTTTTTTAGTATTAACAACATTTCTTTCTTTATATTGTATCTAATTTATCATTTGTCTTTTTTAGTATCTACTTCATCATTTTTTTTTAGAATTAGCAACATTTCTCTCTTTATATTGTATTTAATTTATCATTTACTTTATTATTTTTAGTATCTACTTCATCATTTTTTTTTAGTATTAGCAACATCTCTCTTTTATAATAAAGTTAATTACATAAATGTTCTACATTAAATTCTATTATTACAATATCCATGTACTAACTGATACATGGTACTGACTTGTTTTTGCCGTGTTTTAGTTTAATGACTAGATTTTTTTTTTTTTTTTTTTTTTTAGTTGTTCTATTTTAAATGATAGTATGATTGTGTACAGCACATTTATTATTGTATTTTTTAATTTCCATAGATGTTTGATGAATCATCGTTATTATATTGATTTATCATGTTGGGTGATAAAAGAGTGTTTTGACATTTTTCAAAGAAAAAAAGAAAAGAAAAAGAAAATGTTGTTCTGTCAGAAGGTAACTAGAATGAAGTATTTTGTATTTTAGCAGAAATTTGTACAGTGACTGACTACGATGTTCCATCATCCATCATCAATCATCAATCATCAATCATCAATCATCAATCATCAATCATCAATCAATTGATACCTAAAAAAGAATGGGCAACACCCAAAGCTGCTAAAAATATGATAAGTCCATGTTACTTTTATTTCGTGTCTTTTATTTTTAATAAACAAGTTATCATCAATATGTTATGTGTTTTTAATGTACTCTACCGCCATCTCTGGAGCGATATCTGAGAAAGTGGTAATGCGCCATTCATTTTGGGAAAGTACGATATTTTATTTTATAACATTACGAAAAGCATTTTCTTGTGACACGACAAAAAACTTTGAAAACACTGTATAAGTAGTTTTTTAATTTTAGTTTTCTACTTTCCTTGATGAATAAAGTGAAAAAAAAAAATGTGAATGTTCTATGCGTGTGGACAATTGATTTTTATTGCCTAATGTAGATGATACTAATGATGGTTGAATGATGATGATGGATAGTGTGATCATAGAAGACTTTTATGATGATGATTTTGATGGATATTTGAAATGATTATGGATAATGGAAGTGACAGCAACAATGATCATAGTATGGAAAAAGTATGTCGAAAGTGGAATCTAATAGAAAGCGACTTTATAGAAAATTGATCGATCTTTTTTTTTTTTTAATACAAAAAGTCAAATGATACACGCATACACAAAGAAAAGATGAATATAATATTTTCTTTTATTGATTTTATTTCAGTATGATAGCAAAAACAAAAAAAAAAAAAGGAAGAATAGATGATAACAACAACGATGACGAATGAAATCAAGGTGGAAGAATTCTAAAACAAAACAAAACAAACAAAGATATAAAGAGAGAAAAAAAGAAATACGTGTGTAAAAGGGTAGAGTAATAATTTACAAATCCTTCTTGGTTTCTTGTTCAGGTACAGCAATGGGTTTGTCAGAAGTAGGTTCGACACCAAGTTGATTAAGACGTTCAGTCAAGGTAGGATGAGAATTATTCCAAGCAGAATACCAGGGATCCATATTGAAGCCACCCAAATTCTTAGTGCTCAACTTGATCAAGGCACTACGTAATTTGGAAGCAAATCCAAGTTTGAGAGCAAAGGCATCTAAAAAAAAAAAAAAAAAAAAAAAAAGAGTGAGAACATATGATTTCTTCTTTTTCCTTTTTTTTTTTTTCTTTTAACTTACCGGCTTCATATTCATTCTTACGTTGATACATATGCATGAGGAAACTAATAGCACTATCAACAGGAGCATAGACACTTTGGAATAAAACAAAACCAATCAAAGCGGGAGTGGTATGGAAACCAAAGTCCTGATAAAACTTGACATTGTGAATAAAGAAAGAGAAGAACCAGAACATAGTGACAGCATAGATTTGAGTGACACCAAGTAATTTCAATGTATGTCCCATTTTCCAATGTCCCAATTCGTGAGCCAGCACTGCACAGATTTCATCATTGTCAGAATGATCAATCAATGTATCATATAATACAATATGTTTATTTTTGCCAAATCCATAAAAGTAAGCATTGGAATGTCCTGATCGTTTGCTTCCATCAATCACATAAAGCTTTTTCAAAGGGAAAGCGATACGTGCAGCTAAGGCTTCAATTTGACTACGAAGATCACCTTCTTCCATAGGAGTTAATTTGTTGAATAAAGGTTGAATCACAGTAGGATAAATCATAATGATGAATAATTGAAATACCATCCTAATGAAAATCAATCAATTAAAAAAAAAGAAATATTTACGTTTTTTTTTTTTTTTTTTGTACTTACAAAAGAATCCAAATATATAAAAAGAATTTATCACCAGTGGATTGCATCACCCATAAACAAGCAGATAATAAGGGGCACATCAATACGAGCATAATCAGTTGGCTCTTCAAAAGGTCAGTGAAAAATAAACCAATAGTTTGTTTGTTGAATCCATGTTTTTCTTCAATCACAAAGGTAGAATAGAGAGAGAATGGAATAGAAGTTATAGTAGAAAACCAACTAAATAAAATGGAAAATACCAAGGATTGTAAAATCTATTTAAAGTAAAGAAAAAAAAAATGCGGCTTGTTATTAAAACAAAAAAAAATAAAAAAATAAAAAATATATTATTAATATTATACCTGATATTCAGATCCATAACCAGCATATGTTTCCAAAAGATGACCGGAAGTATACCAAAGCCATGCCATACCATCATAATTCAAAATAAGTAAAGTTTCTAGTTGTTTGACAAGATCGTGTACAAATCCAAATTGAGATTTATCCAAATTATAACTTTGTGCTTTTTTAAAGTCTTCTTCAGTAACAATATCAGCTAATTCCTTGGGTCGATCACGCATCAGATATCTTCTATACTGACGATAACTATATTAAAAAAAACAAAAAAGAAATATAAAGTTAGTTCATCTTCAATTAAACACGTATTTTACTTACTTCAAGTATTGTTCAAAAGTAAATATAATACTAGCAAATCCTATGACATATTGTTTGTAATCCACATAATCCATGGCATCCACTATTTTTTGAATGTCCATCATGATCAAATAATAGTGAACCAATAATAAAATAATAAAAATAAAAGGAAATAAAAAAGAAAAGAAAAAAGTAAAATACCTCCTTTTTTTTTGTGAATGCTATTGCAAAGAAAAAAAAAAAAAAACCACATGTATTTTCATCTCCGACTGGTGTTTTTATTTTCTTTTGAAAACAGGTGGAGCACTCTTCTCTTTCACTTCTTTGTATTCTTCTTCTTTTATGATAATTCTTGTGTTTATGGTTATCAAATAAAAAAAATAATAATATTATCATTATTATCATTACTAACCTTATTCACATCAAAGTGTAAGCAAGTTCGAACAGTAGACACACGATAAGTATTCAAGATAAATGTGATTTTTTTTTTTACTAGAAGGACAATGATGAAACCCATTTCACCTACTTTATTTGAACATCTTGACCAATTTTAGTACCTTTTTCCTATTCAAAATTTCCAGGTAAATGATATTAGAACAAGAGGGAAAAAAGACGATTCTATAGACAACAAAATAAAACGAAAATTACCAGTAGATTTGGAACATTCTGCATAACGGTTAAGTTTGGATTGTTATTTTTAGACTTTTTCTTTTTTTTTGGGACAACAAAGACGCGTTCTCATGTTTTAAACTTTTTTTTTGATTCAAGGATTTTCCACATTTACAGATGAAAAATTCCAAGATCTTGGGTGTTTAGCTTGCGTTAATACATGTTCTTTTTTAAATATAATACTTTTTTTTTTTTGATAAAATAAAACTAATGATTTTAATAAGAAAGATCGATTTTCATTTTCATTTCAGAATAAAATAAATGAAAGAGTAGACTCCAGCTATCGTAGCCAAAAGAGAATCCACTCTATAATACAAAAATTATGCGTTCGATATGTCTTGATATCCATACCGCAAGAATAACATTGATTCTTGTCACATTTGAAACAACCAAAAAAAAAAAAAAAAGAAAAAAAGAAAATAGAAAGCGGACTTTTTATTTTCTCTCTTCTTTCTTTTTTGTTTGGCTGTTGTGACACGCCCTTTTTTTGAAGTTATCAAAAAAATCTATTGGTTATCTTTTTTTCTTTTCTTTTTCTATTCTTTTCAACTTGTGGTTGATGCTTTTATTGACCCATCAACATATACATGATTGGTCTTATTTGGCAGAAGGAAACGCTCACTTGATTCTTACTTATGTAGGACATGATATCAATCTGGTAATGTATATAAAGAAAAAAAAGAAGAAAACAATATATAAACTCATACTCTCTCTTTTTTTTTTTTTTTTTTTTAAAAAAAAATAGAAAGGTCATGTTTTAAGATTGGTCAAAAACCATGGCAAAGACTCTTATTCTAGCCACTTTACAATCGATTTTAGTCAACACGTTATAGGCGCTTTATTAGGATCTAGTTACATTGATGCTATGGTAAAGTCAATAGTATTATATTTTCTTTACTTGAAAAATAATGTTTTTATTTGTTTTTTTCTCTCTCTCTTGTTTAGGTGACAGTGGAAGTGACAGTCGAGTTTATGGAAGCTTTGTATGAAAAGGTGCTTCCAGATCGTTTATCAAACAATCGTCTAGATCCTATTTGTACTTCTCCCTCCTCTGGTTTTTTGTTGAAAAATTGGACTCGTTCCTTTGGACCTCATGATACTTGGACTTTTGAAATAAAGGTAACAAAAAAAAAACAACTAATATAAATAAATCAATCAAATTTATTGAGTGAAAAGATCTTTTTTTTTTTTGTTTTTAATTAACTTTAGCCTAAATGGGGATTTCTTCCGGATTCGCACTTGATTGATCAAAAACATCGATATTTGAAGAAACGACGTTGTCGATTTTGTATGCATCAACGTTTACGGAATTATCAACATAGAACATCAACCACTATGGAAAAACGATATTGTCCTTTGGATTTATATTCTGGAGATCCTCAACGTATGCGACAAGCATTGATGATTTCCTTAACACAACCACATGGATATCTGAAGTTATTTCATAATGGTCACCTGATGCCACATGAACAATGGTCTGCCTTACTTTCTGCATTATTTGACGGTATGGATGGTGATGATCGTAGTACATCTACTTCAAGCAAGCGTGATGATTGGATAGGCAAGGTAGCGGATTTACTCGTTAATATTCTCATGGAGGATCCTATTTTGGCAATCTTGAAGGAACGACAACAAACGTTGGATACATTTGATATTGAAGGCATTTATCCCTTGTATGAAAAATATGGACAACAACCCACACACGATATTGATCATTGGAAGACTATTGTACAACAATACCTCAAACGACAACAATCAAACTCTTATACTGGTAAATGAATATAAAAAAAAAAGAAAAAGATTATTTTGACTATGTACTTATATAAACAACTCCTTTTTTTTTCTTCTTCTTTTATTTTAATTAACGGTTCTTATCATGATGATTAGAAAATTTGGATATACAAGACTTTGATGACGATCAAGAAGAAATTCGAAGGATATACGAATATGTGCTATCTATGATTCTCAAAGACTGTTCCGTTATGATTTGTTTGACGAAAGATTACGAAAGCAAGAAAGGCGATGGTGTTACGACAAACTCGGCGACAGCAGCACCAATGACGATGAAGACAAAATCGGATCCGCTTCTCACGACATCAACAAGCAGGCTGATTACATCCTCGACTCATTCATTTCGATATCACATCAAGGTGGTGGATTTGGATTTGAAAAAATGGGATAAGATACCATATTGGTTCGAATTGGATAAACAGATTATACAACACAATCTATGGCGCGAATATCAAGATCAAGAACATGACTGGACATGTTTGGAGTAGTTTAGCTTTATTATTATGTATACCTTTGTTTTCTAGTTAGTTAGAGTAGTACGCATTTTATTGTACCACAATTGTATCGTCTCCTATTAAAATCATGCTTCCCTTTTTTTTTTTTCCTTTTATTTTGCTAGTTGATGATTTTACAGTGTTTCCAATTGGATCATGATGATAAAAATAAAAAAAAAAAAATGCTTGGATCAGAAACAACGTTTTTTTTTTTTTTTTTTATTACTTTTTTTGACGATTTGTGTGACATGGCTTACTGCAATCGACTTGATCAGTAAAGTTAGCATAGACGATCATCAATGATGCATATCCTTCATAATTATTGATGTTGGTTTTTTTTAAAGATGATGTGAAAAATAGTTGTTCATATTAAGGTCATCTGTGCCAAAAAGCGCATACACATTGAACTCGAATTGACAGATCCTGGAAAAATTTTTCAATAGTAATCAATTGTTGATTATCATCATTCTACTATCATCACAGCAGTGATTAAAAAGAGGATGATAAGAATAGAAGGAAGAGCTGCATACAAAGTGCATACTATGATTGAAATTTTCTAATGGTTAGTTTACGTAACACGGTACTCTTAAAAGGGAAGTATAGGTTGGGAAAACTTGGGATGTTGTACAATTATACAATGGTAAAAAAAAAAAAAAAGTGCTTCGCTCCTGCTTTGCATATAAGTATAAAAAATATCTCTTTTTGTAAACATCATCATATATAATAATGATGATGATCAGGGAAGAAAAACATTTACCCATTTAGGCGGGAATGCAAAGAATGACGCGTGTTCTATCATATGCTCAATTCCATGCAGAAAGAAAGAAACCAAAGAAAAAAAAATCTCATTTTAAGAGGATGAAAATAAAAAAAAAAAAAGAGAGAAAGAGATTGTACTTCCATCTTATGATACAGAAGAAACCTAATCATCATGAAAGAAAGCATCAAAAGCTTAAAAGGTAATTCGTGCCTGGTTTGACGAAAGGTTTACCAGTTGATTTATGATTCTTGTCTAAAGCAAAAAAAAAAAAAAAAACCTGAGGGAATAAAAGAAATCACAAGATAAAAAAAAAAAAATGATAAAGTTATTTTCGTCAACCTAAAAATTGAATATGAATTTATTTTTAAAACTCATTAGACAACTTGCCTTATCAAGCACTCTACTATGACAAGAGTTAGAACATCCTACTTTTAGATTACTGTCATTCTAAAAGCCCGGAGAAAAAAAAGAGATGGAAATTTTTTTTTTTGATGTACCTGAAAAATTTTCTTTATACTACAAAAATTTTTTTTCATCCAATGATCATCATCATCCAAAAAAAAAAAAAACTGAGATATGATTTGTCATAAAAAAAGATGATGATTGATTAGATCAAAGAGAAGGAGACAAAAAAAAACTAACCTACCATCATCAACGAACCATCAGGTCACGTTTTCCTTCTGATGTAGAATTTCTATCGCGGATAAAAAGGAAACGCGGGCAAACCGGTATCGGTCATTGAAGTCCGCTAACGAAAGAGAAAATCACACTTGTATGATGATCCTTCTTGATTGGGTAGAATGGCACAAGGACTAGTTAAATGAACCAGCGATCCATCGAAGCGGGTTGGATATGTTTCTTTTTCATGATGATGAAAGAGAGCAGCTGAAACCGCTGATCCTTTCTTTTTTTTTTATCATTTGAATTATAAATTAAAAATTATGTATGTTTTGCATATCGGAGGCTTTCATCTTCTTTTTATAGAAAAGAAAGTAGATAGATGAACATCTAAGGAGGGAAATCAATCTTATTGTTTGATCATCATTCTTTTTTTTTTTTTTTTTTTTTTTTTTTTTTTTTTTTTTTTTTTTTTACTTTTTAGCAAAATAGCCTAACTTTGTAGTAAGCAGGAAAACTTTAAAAAAAAAAAAAAAACACTTGATCCCAGTCTCTATTTTCATTGGGTTCCCCCGCTCAGAAAATCAAGGGGCGTGGTCCATTACCTTTTATAGATGATTTCGTCCTACCATTGGATTCTTTTGCGTGCGAAAAATAACCTGTTTGCTATTTCGATAAACCGCACGTTCCCTTTCCAACTATTCGTTTATATAATATGATATGACGACTTTTTATTTTTTTTTATATATATTATGAAAAGAGTGTTATCATTAAAAAAAAATAGGTTTGATTTATAATATGGGATGATCATCATCACAGAGTCATCATTATATATATATATATATAGATTGATCAAATCGATTACAATTCATAATAAAACATTCAATGGATTATCAAGGAGAGAGAATAATATCCTAGTTGACGGAAAAAAAGCAACATGCGGACCTGATTTTTTTATTGAAGACACTAAACCAAATTCAATATGTTTGAGAACCGCCACGCAATGAAAAAGCAGAATGGGAAAAAAAAAATGGTGAAAAATCGAGCGAGCGAGCGAAAGAGATCCCATATCTATGGGTACAAAAATCAAAAGAATATCCGATTCAAACTCCCTGTTTTCCTTTTGGTATTAGCTAGTTTCTGCTAAAAAAAAAAAAAAAAAAAAAAAAAAAAAGGTTCTCCAGACTTTTTTTATACTTTTTTATCTTTTTCTTTCTCGTGTTCAACACTTTTTTTTTTTTCTCTCTTCTTCTTCTTCTTCTTTTACCTCTCCTTTAGGTTTCATCAAACCGTATAACCTTTCCTTTAATTTTTTCCCTTCTCCCCTTCCTCCTCCTTTTTTCTTTCATTCTTTCTCTCTCTCTCAAACAAAAGACCTTTACTACTTTCATATCATTCCTTTGCAACAAAATTTTTATTTTTGAACATACGCTCTCTTTCTTTCTTCATTCTTTCCTTCTACAATGTCTTTGGTTGAATCAACAAATACTACTTCCCCTACACCTGAACCTTCTAACAACAACTTGGATGCACCCACAACAGCAGTAAGAAAAAGAACTCGTGCTACAGCCGAACAACTTTCAGTTTTGGAAGATACTTTCTCAGCTAATGTCAGTCCCAACAGTAAACTTCGAAAGGAGTTATCAGAACGTCTCCAAATGAGTGAACGCTCTATTCAAATTTGGTTTCAGAATCGAAGAGCAAAGGTGAAGCATATGCAAAAACGTGCTCAAATGCAAATGCAACAAGCCTCCATTCGTGCTCAACTGTATCATTATCATCAACAACAATATGGAATGCAACCTTATGGTGGAACACCTATCATGCCTTTACCTCAACATCATCAACAAATGTATCCTCGTGTGCCATTACCAAGATCATCTAGTGTTGATAGTAGTTCAATACATCATCCATCTTCTTCTTTATCATCCATGTCTACTCCTCCAGCATCTTCTACATCATCGACCACTTCATCATCTTCACCCAGTGCTTCTTTGGATTCTTTGACATCATCTGCCAACATACCCCCATCTCATCATCTTTCATACCCATTACAAGATAATGTTGATTTTCCAGATTATTTACATGGTAATCCTTTATCTCCTTCTCCTAGTCCTCATCATCATGATTACTCTTCTACTTGTTTGTCATACCCTTCTGTTTCCGCTGCTTCTCCTACTTCCTCCATACCTACATTGGTTGCTGTTCCTGATGCTGGTCCTACTGCTATGTTGACTACCTCTTCATCTACTTCTTCTTCTTCTTCTTCTATATCTACCACTTCTTCCGCTATTACACCTCCTGATCAATTGGATCAAGCTACTGTTAGTCCTCAAGATATTTGGCCTTCTTCTGCTCATCGTAAGTATCTTTAATATTATTGATGATAATGACTATTTTACTTATCTTTTTTTTTTTTTTTTTTAAATGTAGATGCTACACGATCACAATCTGTATCTGTGTTGTATGCCAAAAATGGAACTTGTTCAGATTTACCAACACCTCATCCTGTAGAACGATCTCTTAGTAATCCTCCTGTTACCATTGATCCTTCCAATTTGATGATGAACAAAAACAATAATGACAATACTATACCAACATCACCTCATATCTCACCATCCGACATTACTACTACTACTACTACTACTACTACCATCGAAAATAATGGATTATCTGACATGATATCAATGGATGCTTCTTCGGATGTATATTTGAATTGTACCACATTAACCATTGGGACATGGCATCGACTCAAGTTACGTGTATCTGATTTACTCTGTGTGTTCAAGAACAATGTGTTTGAATGGCAAATAGAAGATGCTGGATGTCATTTCAAGATGGAAATCCCATTATCCTCTGTAGCCGGTATTGAATTTGTGGAAGACAACAATGTGTTGGCAGATGTGCATTTTGATATCAGTGAAAGTCCTCTTTTTTATATGGAAACTGGATCATCAGAGAATACTTCTTGGGTACAATGTAGTGACTTTACTGAAGGAAAACAAGCCTCTCGCTTCTTCCGACATTCTTTGAAAGGCGTCTCTCAACATTTGAAACAAGATTTGATGACATTGATTGAAAAATGCCCTGAAACTCGTCGTTGGGTTCGATTTGTTGAACCTACTCAACATTATCCATCATCAAATTATTATCAACCATCTTCACATTATATTGGTCATCCTTTACAAGATCCAATGATGATGTCTTCATCTAGTCCCACCAATATGGCCTTTGCATCTTATATCCCTCCTCCAAACCCTTCCTCTTATTGGTCATCCATGTATCCTTCCACACCAATCATGATGGGTGTTTCCAATTATCTTGTTTGATTTTTTTTTTTTTATTTTTTATATCTTTACCCCTCCCTTCTCTTTTGCTTCCCATATCATACATATATATATATATACATTAACCACCCCGTTTTTTTTTTTTTTTTTTTTGTCATTAGTTATTCTGTACCTTTTTTTTTTGTGTTATGTTCTTCCCCACCTTATTGTATTATAATAATAAAAATTGTTTTTTTGATTCCAAATAGATAGAAAAAAATGTATAATTTATTGATGACGATGGATACGAATAATAAAAGACTATGGAAACTACTTTTCTATGAATTTGAGTTGAAACACTAATTCATTGCCACTCACTCCATCCTCCATCACACAATGAATAGCATCCAAAGGATCAGGTTTCAAACAACGGATATTATTGCCAGGTATGATTTGCACAATATGGCCCTTAAAAAAAAAAAAATTAAGGATGATATAAAAATAAAAAATTCATTTTACTTACGGTATCAATATGTCGAATTTCAACAAAACTAGAATCAAAGGCCACAATGTATGGGTATCGGAACGCAAACGCTGTAGGATGACCTTCCCATCGCATCATCCAATCTTGTCGTACACGTCTTCCTTTCTTATCAATATAAAACGCCAGATCTAATTCATTATAAAAAAAAGATAAGCCCATATTCATTCATTAAAGATATTTACCATTATAACATAATAAGATGTTGCCATTGGGATGTCGAAACATGGAAATAGGTCGCAAATCATATCTTGAGGCAAGCACATTATGACTTTCATCACTTGGATCCAATACACCTAAAATAAAAAAAAAAGGTCAGTTTCTATATATATATATATATATATATATATATATATTTGTCGTCAACTTACTTAAAACACCTGCCGAACCAACATCTACCATTTGGAATCCTTTGGCACTGCCTATACACAAAACATTCTTGAAATACTGAATAGATGTAGCTTCACCTGGAATATAGAGATCCTTGAATACTCGTAGTCCTTCATGTTGATGCCGCAGTAAAGTACCCAGTTGTTTTGTCTTTCGTCGAATACTTTGCTGCTTTTTCTTCTTGTTCTTGGCCGTTGTGCTATCATGAACTTCCAAAGCACGGATGGTGGATGTCATTGCATTGTATCGTACATAACATACCAAGGATCTTTCTACTCCAGCCTGACCTTCAGATTTATCCATCACCTTGCCCACTTTGAAAAACGATACATGGCTGCTGATCTTGCGTCCTCGTCGTGCTGTTGTATTGTCATCGGATGATTCATCTTTGGTTGTTGGTTTTCGATCAAGAACATCGTCATCCATACCATCATCATTATTATTTTCCTTGTTTAATAATGATTCCATCGAATACGTGTATAATGTTTTATCTGCCAGAACGAGAATAAATTTGTTTTCCAAAATGTCGATCTGTGATACTTTATCCATGGCTAATAGACGAACCACCTTTTTGTTATTTTTGCCACCAGTCGTTAAGTATACCCCTTGATCACCACCAATAATAATACTATCCCCTAATGACAAAAAAAAAAAAAAAAAGATCAACATTCATACCTTTTTTTTTTTTTTTATCAAATTTTACCATAGGTAGAGGCACAATTGACTTTGTTAAATCCATTGAAGAAATCATTATTGATAGGTACTACTTGAAACACTTTTTGTTTTTCCATCACTGCATATCGATAAGATTCAATCTTATCTACCCATTGTCGTCTACTTGTGAATGTACTGGCATATAATGTGATCGGACTAGCACCATGACGTCCAAGATGTACAAAACTGATAGGATATCCACTTTTTGCTCCTCCAGTCGCAGTTGTTGAAACGCCACCATTATTATTGGATGTATTGGCAAGGGCTGATAAATCAATGGATGAGATTGAATCACTGGTTTTATGTTGACCATAAGGAAGTATTACACTAGCACGTTTGGTTTGATCTGGTAATGAAATGGCAAGTAAACCAATAGGTATAGGCTATCATATTAAAATAAAAAAAAAAATAAAAATGAGTTTATCTATCAATTATCTATTATTTTTACTTACCTTTCTATATAACTTGAATTGTTCAACATCACCTACAAACTTTTGTTTGGTGATAATCAAGCAATGATCCAGTAGATAGACTTGTAATGCCAATGATTCTGATCCAGTACCTTTTCTTTTCAACGGTCCTTTCATAACAATTTGTCTATTTTCATTCAAAAGATCCAAATCCTGAAAAAAAGTAAAAAGATATCAATATACATATTCTTTTCTTTGAATATCTAGCTTTTTTTTTTTCTCTCTCTCTATCTTTCAATCTTACCATATCTGCCAAGTAAGAGGAATCTTGAAGTTTTTCAGCCAATAATTGTAAATTAAATCGATTTTCAGTTTTCCCAGTTTCATGATTCACATTGGAGAGATGCTCAGCAATAATTTTCATAGCCTTTGGAATGGTTTCTTGATCCGGATGATCTTTTGGTGTATGTTTCAATATTTCCCTTAACAATAAGGAGTATCTACCTGTATAAAATAAAATCAATAAATATAAATTTAGTAAATCAGATTCTTTTTTTTTAATGTTCCTATCTTCCATTTCTCTTTTTATCATCATCATACCTAATCGAGTGGTAGGTTTAGTCAAGTAGCCATTCAATTCTAATTTTCGAGACACTGGTAATCGTTCTGTTGCCTGTATAATAACAATAATAAAATTTTAAATTATAGTTCACAATGTTGATCATTCGCCTATCATCATCATCATGCATTATTCCTAACCCCCCTTCTGTCTCTCCTTGTTTTTCCTATTTTGTTTAATTACCTGAACAAAAGCAGCAAATTCTGGATTTGTCGATTTTTCAGTTTCAAATATAGATTTGCCAATGATTTGATGTGCACCATATTGGACAAATGGAGTAAAATGGGCGACATATTGTAAAATAATATCACCTACTTGATAGACCACAGGACTTGCTTTTTGTCGTTGTTGAAGGGCTTCCACAAATTGTTTATTGGCGTCATATACTTCCATGATATTCCAGAAAATATCACGAACCAAGGATTCCCTTCGATCAGCTGGTTGAATTATATCATCAGTCAAGAGTGGTTGAATCCAATGCTATATTATAATAAATTTCAAGGATGAATAAGATTGTTTCTCAATCAATAACTTTAAACTTACAGTCTTCACATAGGCCAAATCATCAACAAAATCTTTTTCCGTATAAATGAATTCAAATATGTTTTCTTGGCGTTTTCGGTCTTCCTTGCTGAGCTTATCTACAACAAATTTTGACACTGTGCTGGCCCACAAACGATCCTTCTATAAAGCGATGTAAGAACAATTGAGTTTAACTTTCCATGCTTTTTTTTTTTTTTTTTTTTTTTTTTTTTTTTTTACATCTCTCTTCTTTGTTTTACCTTTTCAATAAGTGATGACTTGCTGCTTGTACGATGTACAGTTTTTCGGTTCGAATTTCTAGCTTGCTATTGAATTTTACAATCATATTATAATGAGTATATAAACTTTGAAATCTTTTCTTTTTTTTTTTTTTAGTTACCTGTTCCAATCGACGAGGACAAAATACACTATAACAAAGTTTTTCTCGAGTACATGTTGGAGAGTAACAATTTGTCAAAAGAGTGAAGACGCCGTTAGGATGATGATCATCGGTTGTTTGTTGTAATGCAGGATAATTGACTTCGGAGATATCGTCCTCTTCGCCATTTGTTACAGAGTCGGGCTTGAAGGATGTGGATATACCTTCATCGGTCATAGATGGAAGTTGAGAATGTCGTACATTGATACGTTCAGTAAATCGATATAATTCTTGTCGTGAATCGCGTAATCGATGTTCATAGTTAACGTCGTGGAAGAATTTCTGTGCATCCAAAGCTCGACCAAGTAGTAAAGCCAAATTGCGGTCTTTGGTTTTTGTCAAAAAGGCCAATTTGTCCTACCAAAACAAAACAAACTATAAATCAATGTCTTATTTTTATAATTACATATATATACATTTGCACCACATGAAATCAAACTTACCACTGCTTCTACTCCATCAAAAGTGTCCTTGTATTTGATACTATCCTTTATCTTTGTTCCTACCGTTACACGTTCCTTGAAAGCTGTTGCAACTTCTGATAAGAGAGCGGCGTAAACGAGTGACGTACTGTCTTTGCTACTGGATGATGTTGAATGATTGGAAGATGAAGTAATCATTTCCCTAGAAGGCCGGACTGATTTTTCAAAAGAGAATGATTGAGCTCTTTCGCCTTGAGATCGTCGACCAGTAATTCGTAGTGCTGCCGTTGTTGGTAAATTGTAAACACTTTCTGCTGATCGTCGCAATGGTATAGATAAGGATGCCACCATTTCTGATTTCAGATAATCTAAAGAAGAATAAAAAGAAGAAAAAAAAAGATATGAGAATAAGGTATTTATGATTTTTATTTTATCATCCACTTACTGCTTGTTCTAGACATTGCTGATAATCTTGCTCGCATAGGAGCTGTTGTTTTGGATAATCGTGACAATAAACTCACTTTTTCGTTAGATGAGGATTTTTGCCAAGAAGGTTTTGTATTGCCTTTATGATCCATTGTTGAAGAAGGTACACATAGAGTTTGACTACTTTGTTGACGTTGTAAAAGGTTTCGAGATTGTTGAGTATTGACAGAATGAGGAGAAGGACCAAAGCCAGAAGAAGTAGAAGGAAGAGTGCTATGACCACTATCGTTGTTTCCAATACGTAAACTATCCATAGTTTGTAAACTAATGATGGAACGAGTTGCAGCATCGTCGTCTTCTGTATCATATTCAGTATGTCGAGATAGTAAAGATATTTCATCCGTGTTGATAGAAGGAAAGTCAGGTAGTTTCAAGGGAGCAAATGCAATGGCACCTTCTGGTCGATAGTCAAATTCATTATCGTCTTCTTCTACTTCGTCACGTAATGGATAGTTCAGATGTTCAGTTGGTGAGTTGGTATTACCATGAGATCTTTGTTGTATGCCGTGTTTTCGATAATATTGTTCGCGTATAGATGCTGAAGGTGTAAGTCTTGTTTGAGTGGTCATTTTAAATATGAAATAAATAAAGAAGGAGAAGTCCTATAAATATATAAATAATATAAATTTTTTTTTAAAGGAAAGGGAGCATCACAATAGTTCCAATTGTAAAAAAAAAAAAAGTGATAGTAAAATGTATATATGAGAGATAAAGGACAAGAGACTATAGAGATACAAGAGACTCGTCTAAAAATATATATACATAAAAAAAATATTTATATATATTTATATATATATATATATAAAAGGAGAAAGGGCAAAAAAGAAAACGAAAGAAAGAAAGAAAGAGAAAAAAAAAAAAAAAGAGACCAAAAATAAACTTGAAATATAAAAAAGGAGACTGTGAGTGCGAGGGGAAGCAAAAAAAAAAAAAAAGAGGGAACACGAAAATTTATCTTTTCTGCCCCGATCATCATTTTAACCTATTACTTTCGCCCTGTCATTTCTTTCTCCAGTTTTGGATAATGGGAATACATTTACTTCCCCAGTCTTTTGGTTTACTTAAAAAAAATGATATACGCGATTACTTATTTCTTTTTTGATCATCATACTTGTTTTTATTATCTATATTATATTATTGATATATCAATTCAATCATCATTTATTATGTACCTTTTTTTTTTTTTCTTTCTCTTTCATTTCTTTTTACTTGGTATACTTAAAAAGGGAATCGGATTTTTAATCATTATCAAACCTTAAATTGAAAATGTCTCGACCTTCGATTCTATTTTTTTTTTTCTTTCTCTTTCTTTCTTTTCATTCCCAAAAATGAAATGGATTGGAGGCACGAAGTAATAATACTTGATTGAATATTTTCTGCATAAAAAGATAATGCATAATAACCATTCTTGTCATTGATACTTACGTTTTCTTTCCTTTTTTTTTAGATTCACATTGCATAACAAATCAACTCAACAACGTATTCATCAACAATCAAAGGCTTTTAAATTGGCTCGTTTTCGTAAGTCATGTTATCTACTTTTTTTTTTTTTTTATCTTCCATTGATTCATTCTTATTTTATTTTGAGAAGGATATGCTCGTTATGCTTTGAGGCATCATCATCAAGTACGTGATCTGTCTTCAATTATCACACGAATGAAGAACACAAGTCATCCTTTACATCAATTATCCATCGATGTGCGTATATTCCAATATCTATATAATTAGGATAGTTTACCTTTTATACATGATTATTTTATAAGCTGAATGTCACAGAATTAAAGTTTCTATTTTATTATTATACATACTGTTGTCAATAAAAATAATTTTATTCCTTTTTGATTTGAATTGGTTCTGACAATGAGATACTCAAAACACAATATTACTATATATATATATATATATATCTTTTTATTTCTTTGTTATTCTCTTCTAATACAAATGAGTAACAATTGTTCCATTTTCTTCAAGAATTACCTTTTTAGAGTCTGACATATACTTTTTTTTTTTTTTTTTTTTTGTTGTTGTTGTTATAAAGTCAACACACAGTCGTTGATCCACCATCTATCATCTTCATCCAAAAAAAAGGGCTTGTTGAACAGACTATCCATCTTTGGTCATTGAACGCATGAATCGGGGTTGGAATGGATTTTGTTTTTATTCAGAACAGAAGTATAAGGATAAAAAAGGATAACTATGCTGCTATAAAATAATACCTTCTAATGCTAACCAATACTATAACACTGGTATAATGATATATATATATTTGTATATAAAATCAAGTTTTTTGTAAAAAAAAAAAAAAAGAAAAAAAAAGATCTAATCGTCTTCATCAGTGGTATAGACTATAAAAATAAAATAATAAAAAAGTAATACAGTTAGTCATTTATCCATTTTACTCTATTCTTTCTTTCTTTTTTTTTAAGATGCTTACCTTCTTCACCCCTAATGATTTTAAACACAAAGGAAAAAAGAAAAGTGAGATGAGATTAATAGAATGTTCATCCAATAATATTGTAAATTTTTTTTTCCTTTTACCTCTTTCGGCGTTCCATACGTTCCTTCTTCTTCTTTCGAAGTTCCTTGGAAGTAAGTTTGACTTTCTTCTTATTAGCTTTGACAGTATTTCCTTGAGCATCAACTTGATCTTCGTCTTCTTTTTCATCAATTTTGGTAGTGCCGTTACCAGAGACCCAATTGTGACCAGAAGCGACTAGTTCACCATTATCTACCTTCCAAACTTCACTACATAAGGCTTCAGAGAATTCACGGTTGTGAGTGACAATGACCACACCTCCGCCATAGTTCTTGATTGCTGTTGCCAAAGCACCTAGAGATTCACGATCCAGGTAATTAGTAGGTTCATCCAACACCAACATGTGTGGTTTATTCCACATAGCAGCACCGATGACCAATTTGACCTTTTGTCCACCAGAAAGACCACGAATACGAGAATGAGTAGCGAATTCAGGTTCCAATCCAATTTCAGTTAAATGCTTTTCAATTTCTTTGGATGTCAGTGGTCGATTCAATCCCAACTTGGCCGCTTCCAATGCATCCACTTCGGCAATCTTTTTTGCAAATCCCATGTTTTCTAATTTTTGTCGTGAAAGCCATGTATTGTCCACAGAAGATCGACCTTTCCAGGATACTTCATATTCATACGACTGTTTCAGTTTTCGACGTCCAACGAGATCTTCCACCACGCGTTTTTCTCCATCAATAACAAAGGTTTGATTCATTTGTTTTTCTTCATCTTCATTGATCACACGATCTACTTTTTCTAGTTCTTCCCGATCTTCTCCAGTTGCATATCTCCATTGAATATATTCATTTGGTGTGCTATCCAAGTGCTTTTCAATATGGTGGAAAGCATGTTGTGCCACATAAGCGATACGAAGGTTGGGATGTTTCCATACTGTTCCAATATCAGATTCAATTTCTCCAGTCAATAACTTGATCAAAGTGGATTTACCTGTTAATAGACGATGTACAAAAAAAAAAAAAAAAAAAGGTAAGAAATAAGATTTTATATATAATTATCGTTTAGATTCACTTACCAGCACCATTGGGACCAATGACAGCAACACGAGAAGCTAAAGAACACTGCATGCTAATGTTGATCAATTGCTTGCGATTTGTACCAGGGTATTGGAAATCAACATTCTTCATTTTCAAGATAGCACGTTCCTTTGTTTTGATGCCTTCTAAGTAACCAGGTTCAGGAAAAGCAAAATGAATTTGAGAAGCTTCCAAAGAATAATAAGATGCAGCCTTGGGGACTTTCTTGACGAATTCTGATAGATTTCCACGGTAACGTTTGAGTTTGTAATTGGCTTCATAATGAATGATATCAGAACATACATGATCTAAGAAACCAGAATCATGAGAAACAATCATGGAGGTTACAGTCTTGAGTCCAAGAAGATAGTTTTCCAACCAAGCCACATTTACCACATCCAAGTGATTAGTAGGTTCATCCAATAACAAAATATCAGCATTCATTAACATAGCACGAGCTAAAGCCAGTTTCATCTTCCATCCACCAGAAAGAGCACCAATAGGCATAGAAGTAACCATTTCTTCAGTGAATCCATATTCACGCAAAATCTTGTGAACTTGATCACGATCCTTTGTCTCTACACCTTGAGAAGATATAATAAAGTCAATCAATGGAGTATCTGCTTCAGAACCATCAATATCGTGTTCCACATAAACTGTCTTGAGTTCTGATTTGGGTGGAAATCCATCTACTTGTTCATTTGCAATAGCACGCATCAAAGTCGACTTGCCTAATATGACATTCATCCAAAAAAAAAAAAAAAGGTTGAATAAAATGGATTTTAAAAGACAAATAAATACATACCACAACCATTAGCACCACAAAGACCATATCTACGACCACGTTTGAGATGTAAGGAAGTACGATTCAATAAGATTTTGGCACCATAAGCAAGTGAGAATTCACATTTACACAAATCTTCACCTTCGTCATCATCTTCTTCAGTATCCTTGGGAGTCACTGCTTCTTCACATTTGTCTAAAGCCATGGAAGCAAGACCTTCAGCATCAGTTTTATTAGTATTAGGAAGCATCAAAAGATAAGGGACCAAAGAATCAATCCAGACTTGCTTGAAAAAGTTTTTGGCAATACATAAATTCAATGCAATATCCTTGATATAGCGTACCACTACTTCCAAAGAGCCATCCACCTTGCTGGGTAAAAGAGCCTTGAATGCTGTATCGACTTTGGCAGATTTTTCTTGCTTGGAAAGAATAATAGCAGATTGTTGTTTTTGTTCTGTAGAAGAATTACCACCAGCACTCTTCAAAGTCACTAATGCTTTTTGAACTACACCACGACATTCAGGATCAGCCACCATATCTTGTACTTTTTCAAGGGCAGGTAAGAGAAGAGGTAAAAAAGGAGCAGCCACTTCAGGGTCATCCACTAGTTTGCACATATTGTCAATGATCAATGCTGACTTGCGTTTGATAGGGGTAGCTCTTTCTTGAAGACCACGACTGAGTAAAGGAACCATGATAGATAAAGTAGCAGTATCAACTTCATGAACAAAAGTAGTAGCACCAAGAAGATGAATTGTTTCAGGTACATTTTCAGGATGATTAATACAACCAATGACAGCAGGAATAAAACGTTCAATATCCTTGTTTTCTATTAATGCACAAATGACACCCATAGTAGTAGTGGCTTGTTTCTTGACATCAGCTTTTGTATCCCACATACAACCAGATACAACAGGAATCACTTCAGGGATAGTAATATAAAAGGGTTCAGGATGAGTCTTGACCAATAATTCCAAAAGACGTAATGAGAGCATCTTGGTTTGCCACTTGGAGGAATTTTCCAAACCTTTCAAAAGATAAGGGACAATGATGGCAGTTGCATGGGGATTCACCTTGATACATAACTTGTTGGCAATTTCTTCTGCTTTTTGTTTGACTATAGCTTGTTTATCTGCTTGAAGTTCCAAAAAAGTAGAGAGAAAAGGAACTAGATAAGGTTCAGTAATAGGACCAGATAATAACATTGTATGAATAGTTTCAATGGCATTCAACCGAGCAACTTGATTCTTTTTGGATTGGAGATCTTTTTCTAATACTTCAATAATCTTGGTTTGATCTAAACATTTTGCACCACCATGACTTTCAATATATGAAACCAAAGACTTGGCAACTGCGGAACGTTCATCTTCTCCACCAGTAATAGAAGATAATTTTTCGAGAAGTTTCTTAACATCTTGATTTAAAACCTTTTTGTTCTGAATACTTGTTGCTGTCATACCGTCGGACTTGGTAGTTATCGGCATAGTTGATTGAGAATAAAGAGAAAAGATAAAAAAAAAAGAAAAGAAAGAAAGAAAAGAAAAGAAATTGAAAAAAAACGGAAGCTATTTTTATTTTATTTTATTTTATTTTTTTTGAACTAAAAAGAAAAAAAAAATAAGGGGCAAAAACAAAAAAAAAAAAAACCAGAGAAAGAGACAAAGAGAAGAGTTTTCCTTAAAAAAAAAAAAGGGAGAAAATATCTGAAAAACCAACCATTAGGAGCTATTATGAACACACAGTCGATTTTGGGGGGGAAATAACTTTGACAAATCGATCGGACCCCCGTTTACTTTTGAAAATGACATTTATTTTCTATTGACTGTATGATAAAATGGATTTCATCGATTTGATTCATTCTTATAAATATAAACATTCAGGAGCAAAATTATATATATATATATAAACAATAGTGCGAATCAGTTGAAAAAACAATATCGAACGATCTTCTTATCGGTTGATTTTTTTATCAATACAACCCCCCCTAATTAAAAAAAGGGATAGTGTTTCCATTTATGTTAAATCGCCTATCTATATATTATATAAAAAAAAAAATGAGGGGATGAGCCTTCTTACTTTTGATGAGCCCTTTTTGAATAAACAGTATAATTCATCCAATAATAATAGTAGCATCTTCTTTTACTTCCTCAGTTTCACATTCCGTCAGATGGGCAGCCTCATATAGGGCTTCAATATTTTTCTTTCTTTTTTTTTCTTTATTCTTACTTTCTTTTTTACTCTTTTATTTATTTATTATTCTTATTATTATTTTACTGTGCCTCTTATAATCGACATTAGGTTATGCTGAAGGTAATTTTTTTATATTTATTTATCATATCATTAGTTTTATTAATTTATTGTATTTATTATTATTATTATTATTATTTATATTTAGGGGAAATCAAAAGATATTACCTTTGAACAGCTGATGCAACAGGCAGCTGAAGTAGCCAAGGCTCAAGATGCAGTATTAGAGGAAAAAGCCAAGGAAAGACGAAGATTAGAAGATGAACGACGACAAAAAGATGAACGAGCTCTTTTGGAAAGGCAAAAAAAGGAACGTATGCTGAAGGCTAAGGAAGAAGAAATCGAAAGACGACAACGAATGCTAGTACAACAAAAACAACAATCCTCTCCTCTACGTAAACCTATCACCTCTTCAACGCAACAGCATCGACAAAGATCTATAGACTCAAAGTCTCAGCCATCATCGAAGTCAACCAAATCTAAAAATAATTCAGTTTCTTCACTACCTTTAGTCGAAAAAAAGGTATTCGTCGTTTTCCTTTTTATTATGTATTATATATATTCTATGGTTACTAACGTATCTTTATTATTATTATTATTAGAAACCTGTACACATGTCATATGAACAACTTTTAGAAAAAGCTAAAGAAGTGTCTATACCAAAAAAATCGACATCTCTTCCTCCTTCTTCATCATCAATATCTTCAAAGAACGATGAAAAAGCATCAGTAATAAAGTCAACAGCAAATCCAACGAAAGACAACAAACCATCATACTCAACAAATCACAGATTGCCAAAGGATGGTACAAAATTAGCAACAAATCCGAAGAAAGATAGCAAACCATCATCCTCAACAAATCATCATAGACTTCCAAAGGAATTATATGGTAAACACGAAAAAAATAAAAAGATTGAATACTAGTACTATACTTACCCCTTTTTTGTTTTTCTCTTTTCATCTTTGTTTATAGAAACACCTACTAATATAGCCACAGCATCGGCTTCATCGACATCACTGTATGTCAAACGATCCGCTATGGCCAAGTCGAAATCACAGCAACAAGAATCAATGACTACGCCATCGAACATACCAGCACGCGATCGGCTTAGATTGTTATACAATACCCCAGCTCAGAAGGTGGTACGAGCTAAACGAGACCGACAATCCATAGAAGAAATTCAAAGAGATATCCGTCATTCAAAAGGGAAATATTCTGATGATGACAGTGATAACGATAGATCACGACCTCGAAAACGACAAGAAACGCAATTATCATCATCTCGACATTCATCATCAGCTTATATGTCAAGAAAACCACAATCTCCTCCTTCAACAAATCATCGCCAACCTATTCGAATGCCATTTAGACGTCCTATGGATCCAGAACGATTTGCTAGAAGACATCGACCACGGGATGATTATATTGACGAAGATGATGATGATCTTGAAGAATTCATTGTCGATGATGATGAGGAAGATGACTACAGGACTTCTGACTATTCCTCGGAAATTGGCAAGATCTTCCGTTACGATCGAAACAGGTAAAAAAAAAAAAAAAAAAAAAAAAAAAAAAAAAAAAAAAAAAAAAAAAAAAAAAAAAAAAAAAAAGGGAGAAGAAGGGTTGAAATGAAATGAAATTAATTTTTTTTTCGTTTGGTTAGATATATCAATGAAAGTGTTTATTCAGATGATGATATGGAAGCAAATCCCATGGATGTTATACGTGAAGAAAAACAAAGGTAATAACAAAGAAAATGGGAAGGAAATAAGAGTTTTGATTTAATGATAATTCTTTTTCTGGATGATTTAGTGAACGACTGGCACGACGAGAAGATCAATTAGAAGAACAACGAGAAATAGAACGACGCAAGAAACGATTGGGCAAATCAAAATGGAAATAGCAAGATTTCAATATATCAATATATACAACATACTTAATGATGATGAACATTTAGAATAGTTTCTAGTAGATATAATTTTTTTTTTTTGTGAATATTTGATTTATTGATCAACTGAATAAAATGATCCTTTGTATAATAGAACAATATATATTACGCTTTTATATGAGATGATGGATGATTGATAATGAGTAGTACTCACATTTGAGAAGAATATAAAAAACTAAAAAAGGGAATATCCAGTTGAATCCCGCAGCAAGAGAGATCCTCCAAGTAATCAGCCGGGCTAAGATTGCCATTTCCGGATTTCGACCGAGAAGACATCAGTTGTTGCCATATTTGAAAATATCATTTTAGATTTCTTTTTCATTGATGTTTAATATATATATATATGAAGAAAAAGAATAAGTGAAGGTAAATGTTTATACAGTTTATTCATGATTCAATATTCAAGTAGCAATAAAAGAACTAAACTACACAATATTATACTACACTATATATTATATATGAATTTCCTATACGGTCCAGCTACCATCCTAAATCGACAAAGAAAAAAAAAAAAAGAGAAAATCAGTAACATGTAACCAAAATAATCAGATCAGCAAAGATATATATATATATATCTGTCTGACCTTTCAACTTACCACCATGATGACCGTGTCCGTGATGCCCATGATGTCCGTGATGTCCATGATGACCGTGATGCCCATGATGACCGTGGTGACCATGATGACCATATTCTTGATGGGATCCATAACCGTAGATACCGCCGTAACTATCATAGCCTTGAGGTGGAGGTGGAGGAGGAGGATAATGCCCCTGTTACACAAACATATTCAAAGATGATAAAAGGTGAATATCAATTCATACTCGATCTCCTCTATTTCCACTTTTTTTTTTTATTATTTTATCTTACTTGTTGATGACCGCCACCCATTAAATTGCCAAGTAAGCCACCACCGCCACTATGTTGTTTCCCACTCAGTTTCCCTGCGGCCAATCTAAAAATAAAATGAATCATACAATAAAGATTATCATGATTATTCATTTGATCTACGATCTTGGCATTCTTTTTTTTTTTTTCCTTTTTTAATTACTTACGTCAGTAAAGTACCAGCCAGAGCACCTCCTGCTGCATTCATTGGGAATCCACTACCACTGTTGTTACTGCTACTACCATGCTGAGGCTTCATAAAACCGCCAAGCATAGATCCCAAGCCTCGATCGCCTTCTTGTGTTGCAGTTACACCAGGTGCTGATGTTGATCCAGATACATTACCATAACTAGGAGGTTGACCAGAAGGATAACCTGTATTGTTACCAGATGACATATAGCTTCCAGCCTCACCATTTGGCATGCCATTGTTGGGCGAATAGTTTGATGTTGATGAGTAGCCTCCATATTGTTGTTGTCCTGATTGCTGTTGTGGCATACTTGATGTTGAAGAAGGATGTTCCCATTGTGTTACACCGGTGCTTTGGTCAACATAATAATAACGTTGAGCAGTTTCGTCCCAGAGTGCTAACCTTCAAAAAAAAAAAGGTATTTTAAAAACGTGTTGCCTGGGTTAATTTACATACTTTTGTAAGATACTTACCATCCAGTAGGAACTTGAGGTGGAGGAGGAGGATATTGTGAATTGGAAGACATTACTAGATATAAAAATTCGAGATAATAATAATAAAATAAAAAAAAAAGAAAAAAAAAAAGAAAAAAAAAAAGAAAGAAAATAAAAAAAGGGAATAAAAGGAAAAAAAAAACAACTTTTATTGTACATAAAATTAGAATTCCGGTATCGTTTCATCTACGCATCAACAGGAGACACTGAAGTCAAAGAGTCTATCCTATCCTTTCTAATATAAACCAAAAAGTATGGGTTTGCTTTTTGCCCTGATGTATTCTTGAAGATTTCGGATTCTGCAACCTAATAAACGATAATAAAAAAAAAAATAAGAATAACCATATGCTGTCCTTTTTTTTTTTTTTCTTCTTATTGTTACCTTTGTGACTTTAGAGTCATTGAATTGCCACCAATGATCTTTTTCATGATCAAGAATATACAACCAATAGTGTCCATATTCAGCTTCACCTATAATTTAGAAATAAAAGATTCAGTACGTGATAAAGTTTTGTTATTTTTTTTTTTTGTTTACCTTGATGAATAAATACAGCATGCAGTACGTATGCACAATCTGTCAAATCATCATATTCGTGTTTTATTTTCAATTCATACTCTTTGGCCTTCTTCATGGTTTCTAAATACAAATATATATATATATGTATGTTAATAATTAGATATTAGTAAAAATCGCACCAAGTTGGTTTCAGCTTTTTTTTTTTCTCTTTACCTTCAAGTCTGATACTAGCTGATAATGCTTCCTTCTTTAAACCAATGATAGCATCTTCATATCGACTGGAGTCATTATAAGGAGTATCAAATTTGTATCCTTTCAAAATATCGGCAGTAATATCAAGCATAGCAGGAATAGGTAACTTGGTAGACTAGAAGAAGGAAAAATTAATAAGTATTCTTTTTTTTTTCTTCTTCTTTCTTTCTCTTCAATACTTACCTTTTCTTCAGCTAGAATTTCAATAGTTCGACGACATTGCATCAATTTCTTTTGCCAATGGACCACATTTGCACGACGAGAAGCCAAAGTTTCAAAATTGCTATCAAGATACCTGTCCAAATAGATTGTCTTGTCAAATTGTACAAAGGCATGGGATTTGTAAACTTGAGAAGTAACCCTATTGAATTGTACCCTTTGAACCTGAATTTGTAACACTGGAGGAAATGATCGAACAGATACTTCCCGTACAGCTTCTTGTCCACCTTGGAAATTTTCCACTTGAGCCGCAAAAAAGTATTCATTCAGTCCATCATAAAGATTCTTGCCTGCTGCTGCATCTACAATCACATGAGAGAATTCTTCTTCTTGGATTTTTTGAATAATCTTCGTAGTCTTGGTGTCCTTGTAAGATAAAATCTGTCGTGCCTTGCCATAAAAAAGATCACGGATCATGTCCCTTGTTTGCTCCATATTTTCCGTTTCTTCTGGTTTTAGTGCCGCTTCTACCAAATACATCACATTACCCATGCATTCTGTCACATCTTGTTGCGTCCCTAACATCATCATATTCATATCGTTAGTCTTCTTTGGAGGTACTGGTGGTGGAGGTAGTGGTGATTGTTGAAGAGTAGATTTTATCGTAGACGTTGGTTGTTGTGTTTTTTCATCATTGGAAACGGTTTCACATGTTGATACTGGGTTGTTACCATGTAAATTGCCTTCGTCATCAGATTCCTTTTTGCTTTCTACAAGAGTACTAACCGATTCTTCCATGGATGAGTTACTATCTTTGACTTCAGTATTGTAAGATCCAGTTTTTTCAACAGTTGAGCTTTCTTCCTTTTCGTTAAGTAGTGCCATCTTCGCCAATTCCATATCCGGTGCTATTTCAGTAGCATTTGTGTTCCCAAGTTGCATAAACAAGTCCCTAAGAAGACCAACAACTATATATAATATGATTAGGAAGAGTTAGACGGTACTGATATTTCTGGTGTATTATTCTACTTACATTTTTTGGCTCTTCTGACTTCTTTTTGATCCACTTCAATACCACCAATTTTCTTGATTTGCCAATCAATCTTATCCTCGTTTTCCACATAATCATCCTTGTTGATGATTGTATTCCTGAAAGGAAGAAGAGTGTAATAATACTAGGCAAAGTAAAAAAAAAAAAAAAAAAATTCATAACGAAGATTCCCGAAAAAAAGTATTTTTTTTTTCTTATACCTGTAATAAACTGTTCAGATAGCAAGTATTTCCAATGTTCGTCAATCCCACAGGTCTAAATAATATGCGAATCTAATTAGTAGTCTATTTATTCTTCTTGTATCATGTATAAAAGACTTACGAGGTTTTAATCAAATCGTTTACATTAAGTTCTAGAAGTAAAGGAAGAGGATAGAATAAATTACTTATGATTCTATAATAATGTAATCTTACCATTGTTATTGCCTAATATTTGTTGTGTATTGGGTGATCCATTTTTCTCCAGATACTGTAATAACTTGGTACTTTTCCTTGATTCACCGATAATACGTAGTTTTTCGTCATGAATGACCTTTTGTTGAGGATAATCTTGTGTCTAAACCAAAAGAACAAAAGATGAATTACTAATTCTCCTCATACCGGTGTTTCTCTTTTTTGTTACCTTGTATTGATGAGCAGCTAAAAGAGTTTCATCTTCAATATCCTTTTGAGCACCAAAATGTTGATAAGCATTGTTGACATCGTTGTCACTAAAATACCCTTTACTGCGTTCAATTGTCACTCCAAGTTGTAAAACGTCACCACCCTTGATATCAGTAATATGACTCAAAGCACCTAGCAATTCGTACAAATTATCAGGTTGTTCTTGTACCAATTGATGATAAGCCCAAACGATCAGTTCATCCGAAGCCAAACTAGTAACACCTAATGTTTTACAATAGTCATCTAATCCGTGGTTATTACTACTTCGATTCCCATGTTCAACACTGTCTTGACATCCCAAAAAGTCATTTAATATCACAGGCGCCGCAATAGGACAATTTTTTTCGGATACATTCATACGTTGATTGGTAGTTGATGCAATTTCAAGAAGAGATGCTGTTAATTCTTCTTGTATCATATATAATCGTTCGTTATCCACTTGGGCAGGTGCCATAAAGTATCCATTTTCATATCTAAATCCAATAATGCTCAATAATCGAGTTCTATGGTTTGTAGTAAAAAAAAAAAAAAATGCAAACGAATTATTTTTTTTTTCCTTTTAGCCAATTCTATTCTAATATATCTATCTTACGTTGTTTTATCCAATCCAATCCGTTCCATAAAATGATAATTTTGTGTATTAATATTGCGACGAGTGTTTTCGAGTAAATCCTTGATATATATTTGACATGTTGACAGTGTACTTGATACGGTAGGTTTGAGAGCTTTTTGTTCAGTAGTATCTAGATATGTTCGTATCATAGGACGGTTCGACGACAGTTCTTGTAAGAGATCATCAGGTAAGATGGGCTTCTGGAGAGTAAATTTGACCTGAGTATTGCATCCGCAACATTGGTATACTTGAGTGGAAATGTTGGGCAAAGAAAAGGTATGATAGTGATGAGTCATATAACCAGGTTCTGGACAAGTATATCGATAGTGAGATGTAGAAATATGAAACCAATAATGGCAGATATGACAAATGAATCTGGATGACTGACTTGATGCTTGAGTTGTTGTAGATATTTGGTTTTCTTTGTCTAAGGTCGAATCAAGTATTAGATCACTAGTATTCTTATTATTTATAAGACTGGGTGTGTTGATAGTAAAAGCTGCACATTGACGAAGGTCGTGTATATGTGTTGAAGGAGGAGCTTGGTATTTATTCAGTAATGCAGCTGGTGTCCAAACAGTTCGTTGCGAATTGTTTCTGTCGTCCTGAGAGTCGTTCATATTTCGATAAGGATTGTTGCTTCGAGGAGGTAAAGAGGGAAGTGATTGTTGTTCAACCATGATATTATCCTTTATAGTTAAAAAAAAGAAAAAGAAAAGAAAACCAAAACAATAATAACAATAACAACAATAATAAAGAAAAGAAGGTGACAAAAAACGAAAGAAAGGAACAAAGTGAATAACAATAAAAAAAAAAAAATTACGTTAGCCAACTTCCGGAGCGTGAAATTCGATTCCTGCTCACAAACCACTATATTAAAAAAAAACAAAAAAATTTCTCTTCAGAAGTAGAAAATGAATTGATTTGGAAATGTAACCTATGCTAATAGTCATATATGTATATATTTTATTTTTCAAAACATTGGTAACTACACTAAAACTGAAAAGTGAAAAAAAGACCAGGCAAATCCCCCCCTCTAACTAAATCATTTATCGACTTTGGACCTATTGGAAAAGAGAAAAAAAAAATATAAATAAAATAATCAGTATAAAAAACGAAACATATATTACATTTTTTTTCTTTCTTTTTTTTTTTTTGTTATTACCAAATCATCAATTTTCAAAATCATTTTGACAGTTTCAGAAGACAACTCAAGAGCACTGGTACTAACAAGTAAAGGTTGAATAACATTTTCTTCGAGGATATTACTGATAGTTCCTTTCTTGACATTGATACCAGCAGTCTTATCACCACAAGCATGTTTGTTTCGCAATTCAGTCACAATAGAGATAGGGTTCAAACCAGCATTTTCGGCTAATGTAGTAGGGATTACTTCTAGAGCTTCAGCAAATGCTTGGAAACAATATTGTTCCATACCATGAAGAGTTTTTGCATAATCCATGAGTTTTTGAGATACTTCAATTTCAGGAGCACCACCACCAGCAATCAAATATCTAATAATAATAATAATAATAATAATAATAATAATAAATATATATATGAAGAATTCCATTTCAAATCATCATCTTTTTTTTTTTTTTTTTTTTGAAAACTTACTTTTTCTTTACAAGACAGCGTACTACACAGAGAGCATCATGGAGAGAACGATGTGATTCTTCCAATACCAAAGAGTTTGCACCACGGCATAAAACAGATACAGTTTTACCAGTATTCTTCATTCCAGTGACCTTAACAACACGAGCTCCAGCAGAGTCCACTTCTTCAATCAAATCAGCATAACCAAGTTTATCTTCGGTAAATGATTCTACATCAGCCACAGGTTTACATCCAAGAGACTAAATAATATAATAATAATAATATATATCAATATGATAACAACTTATATCAATATTTTACACTGAATTACCTTGGCAATGAATTCAATTTCATCACGTTCTACATCCTTAACAACCATAATCTTCAATTTGGCTAAAAAGTGCAAAGAAAGTTCATTGACAGCATCACGAAGAATCGATTTTTGAATCAATAATACATTGCATCCACTTTTTTTAATCTTCTTGCACATATTCAAAAGGTATTGTCTTTCTTCTTTCAAGATCTTATCCATTTGTCGATAATCATTGACAACGATTTGATTTTCCATCTACCAAACAAAGTAAAAAAAAAAAATAGTTAGTACAACGAACAAAAAGTTTCCTTATTATTTACATCAGGTTTAGGTGCAGACAATTGGAATTGAACTAAACCAATCTTGGCTTTTTCAATACGAGTAGGACCACCAGCACTTTTGACCACATTTTGATTTAAAACCAATCCATCCACAAGTTCGGTATCATCAATAGTTCCACCAACCTTCTTGACCACACGAACATCATTCAAATTGACATTATTACTGACAGTGGGATCAATGACACGTAACACAGCATCAACAGCAATAGGTGCAAGTAATGATGAATATTGAGATACAATCTATTAATAAAAGAAACAAAAAAAAGAAAAAAAAAAGAAAAAGTGAATTCTCTTATTCATGATTATAGAATTTTTCAAATGATTTTTTTTTTTTTTTTTACCTTCGAGTTGAGAGAAGTAGAAGCAGCACGTAATAAGGATTCACGATCAGACAAATCAACAGGTGTAGCCATTTCAGTAAGGAAATCTACTGATTTTTGTGCAGCGCGTTGGAAAGATTCAGCAATAGTAGTAGGATGAATACCTAATGAATATAAATATAATATATTAATAATCATAAAAATCTTTCTTTATCCTATCATTATTTGTATTTACCTTTGCTAAGCATCTTTTCAGCAGCAGAAAGTAGAGAACTACATAAAACAACCACTGAAGTTGTACCATCACCAGCTTCAACATCTTGTGCAGCAGATAAATCAACAAGCTATATAATAAAAAAAAATAAGAAAAGAATTCAAGATAGGTAGTTCACTTTTATAAGACTTACCATCTTTGCAGCAGGATGTAATACGGCCATATGTTTCAAGATCGTAGCCCCATCGTTTGTAATAACTACTTCTCCTGTACCAGTTTGAATCTATTATAAAAAAATAAAAATAAATAAATAAATTATCAGGTACGTTTTTAAATGAGATGGAAGTAGATCTAATTTACCATCTTATCCATTCCACGAGGACCTAAAGAAGTACGGATGGCATCACCAACAGCTATATAAAAAAAAATTAGATGAGTCGCGTGTTTTGTTAGGAAGCCCGACTTTTTTTTTTTTCATCACATACCTTTAGCAGCAATAATATTACTCAATCGTACTTCTGTAGGCTTTTCCTTATCTTGAAAACTTGTGTTAGCTTTGGGAGTAGCCTTTGCTGGAGTTGCCACTTGAGCCATGGTAAATTATATAGAGTAATCTAAAATGAAAGGAGGAAGAGAGAAAGATGAAAGAAATAAAAGACGTAACAGAGCTGTCAAAAAAGAAATTGGGAGAAAGAAAAAAAAAATTACCACTTGAGACGTCACTCAACCCACTCCGACACCAACAAAACGGAAAATGAGAGAGGAGTGAGTGAGAAAGAGAGAGAGAGAAAAAAGTTGGAAGTCAAAAAAATAATTACTGTTTGGGTCTCCTTCTCTTTTCTTTTCTTTTCTTTTCTTTTTTTTTTTTTTTGTTCATTCTCAATCATACCATGGCCACCAATATTGATCCTAATTCTGCTGTTTATGCTACTGATGAATATGGTCGTCCTTTTATCATTCTTCGTGAAGGTCAAAAGAAGGCTCGAGTTAGTGGTATTGAAGCCATTCGTGTAAGTTCCAAACGAGATGACGCGTTTTTGATCCAACGAAATAAAAAAGATGATGATAATAACTTACCTTTATTTTTATTTTTTTTTAACTATTTAGTCTCATATTTTAGCTGCAAAAACAGTGGCTAATATCATCAAAACCTCTCTTGGTCCACGAGGTAATATATATATATATATATATATATAGATGGGTTGGATTGTCATTTGACAGCTGATCTTTATTTTTATTATATTAGGTTTGGATAAGATCTTGATCTCTCCTGATGGCGAAATTACTGTTACCAACGATGGCGCTACTATTTTGGATCAAATGGAAGTAGAACATCAAATTGCAAAGTTACTTGTTCAATTGTCAAAATCTCAAGATGATGAAATCGGTGATGGTACCACTGGTGTTGTTGGTAAAGTCTAAAAAAAAAAAAAAATTGAAAAATGGTCAAATAATTAACGCATTCTTAAATATGTATATATAGTACTTGCTGGATCTCTCTTAGAACAATGTGAAGAATTGTTGGACAGAGGTATTCATCCTATTCGTATTGCTGATGGGTTTGAACGTGCCTGTAAGGTAGCTGTGGAACATTTGGACAAGATATCCGATACCATTGAATTTGACAAACAAAATGTAGTCAACCTCAAAAAGACTGCCAAGACCAGTCTTGGTAGTAAAATGTAAGTATATATATATATATAAAAGGATATTCGGAATGAGAAGGTTTTAATAGGATTATTATTATATTATTATTATAGTGTCTCCAAATGTCATGATCAATTTGCTGATATTGCTGTCAATGCTGTTTTATCTGTGGCTGATTTGGAACGCAAAGATGTTGATTTCGAATTAATCAAAGTGGATGGCAAAGTAGGTGGATCATTACAAGATACATTATTGGTACAAGGTGTTGTTGTGGATAAAGATATGTCACATCCTCAAATGCCTCGTGAAATCAAGGATGCCAAACTCGCCATTTTAACCTGTGCCTTTGAACCTCCTCGACCCAAGACTAAACACAAGTTGGATATTACTTCAGTTGAAGAATATGAAAAATTACAAGCTTATGAAAAGGAGAAGTTCCAAGATATGATTCAAAAAGTCAAGAACTCTGGTGCTAATTTGGTTATTTGTCAATGGGGCTTTGATGATGAAGCTAATCACTTGTTATTACAAAATCAATTACCTGCTGTTCGATGGGTTGGTGGTCCTGAAATTGAATTGATTGCTATTGCTACCAATGGTCGTATTGTCCCTCGATTTGAAGATTTATCTCCTGAAAAGTTGGGTAATGCTGGTGTCGTTCGTGAATTGGCTTTTGGTACAACAAAGGATCGTATGTTGGTAATTGAAGATTGCGCAAATAGTCGTGCTGTTACTGTCTTTGTCCGTGGTGGTAATAAGATGATCATTGATGAAGCCAAACGTTCTCTTCATGATGCTATTTGTGCTGTTCGCAATTTGGTTCGTGATAACCGTGTGGTTTATGGTGGTGGTGCTGCTGAAATCAGTTGCTCTCTTGCTGTCTCTAAAGTGGCTGATGAGGTAACAAAAAAAAAGATGTATTTTAATAGTAGTATTTGCAATTTATATATATTCACTCTTTTTTTTTTATTTTCTTTTAGATTTCTTCTATTGAACAATATGCTATGCGTGCATTTGCTAATGCATTGGATGCTACTCCTTTAGCTTTAGCAGAAAACTCTGGTCTTTCTCCTATTGAAACTTTGGCATCTGTCAAGGCTCAACAAGCTACTACTGGAAATCCTCGTCTTGGTGTTGACTGTTTGTACAAGGGCTCTAATGATATGAAAGAACAACATGTTTATGATCCTCTTATCTCAAAGCGACAACAATTCCTTCTTGCTACACAACTGGTCAAGATGATTCTCAAGATAGATGATGTGATTATGTCTGGTCCTGAACAATAGATTACCAATCACAAATTTCCTCAATACATACATAATCACAAGATATAGTTTTACATTCTTTTTCCTTTTTTCTTTCTTTCTTTATTTCTGTGTCTTATTCTTTTTGTTCATACTGATGTTTTTTTTTTTATACTGATTACAAGTCAAATAAAGAAAAAAAAAATTGATCTTCTACTGGTTGTCCTTATTTGAAAAAAATATGAAAGTGACGGGGTTTGAAAGCATGAAAATTTTCCAATCTGTTACAATTGCAAAGCGCAAAATCTGCGAATAGTATTTTTTTTTTTCTTCCATTTTTTTTTGTCTTCAAAACTTTATTTCTGGTTTATCTTTGTGTGAAGATCTTTATTGAAACAATTCTTATAAACACCACAAACTTTTGGTAAAGAAGCCTATTTGAAATATTTAAAACTATCTATTTACAAGATTAACCATTATCTTTTTTTCTTTCTTTCTTATATTGACAACGTCATTCTCACAATTCAGTCCGTTTATCTCCTCACGAAAGCTCCTGTCAGTATTCCACTAAACAAATATAGCTTGCTATTGGTCAATGGAAGGAATAACTACTTCACCAACATCAATAAAGGACACTGAAAGATCTAAAAAGGATACCAGTCACCGGTCAAGAGTCTCAACTAGTCCCAAATCTGAACGAAAAAGTACATCCTCCAAGCGAAGGCGAGACGACCACGACAATATAGACGATTATGACGACGAAGACAACGATTATCACCATAGCTCCAAGCGTCGATATCGGGGTCATGATGACCATGGAAAGAATAAAAGTCATTATCAAGATGAAAGGCGATCAACGCATCATAGGGATCGACGTTATGATTCAAGCAGACGACATGAACGAAGCAGCAGACATAGACACCATTCAAGTCGCGACAAACGAAGTAGTAGTAGGGGAAGGACAAGCAGTAGAAAAGATAGACATTCGAGCGATCGAGACAGGCGTCACAATTCAAAATCATCGACACATGATAGTAGAAGGTCAACTGGAAATCATACAAATGTCAATTCTACAACAGTATCATCATCATTATCATCATCAACATCAACAGTACCTGTATCAACAATGACTTCATCATCATCTATATCCGCTTCATCTTTACCGCCACCTCCTCCACCACCACCTTTAGCTCCACCTTCTCCTCCGCCTCCTCCACCTGCATCGAATTCCATTATCTCAGGAAAAAACGCCGGCGTAGCATCATTTTTTCCTGAGAAACCAGAAACAGAAGTGTCAATGAAACAAGATATATCAACAGATCCATATTATCAATATTCATCAAGGCAGCCGCAAGTAACTCAACATCACCTATATCCTCAACAACAACAGCAACAACATCAACAATTGTCACATACTCAAGATGAATGGAGTTACTATGGCGACTCGGCTACAGCATGGGATTATACAGCACAACAACAATATAATCAATACCAAGCATCCTACTACAACCAGCAAGCAGCTGTCTCAAATCAATCACTATATTACGGTCAACATTATTATAATGGAAATCAACAAGACACGTCTTCATCATCCTATTATTCTTCATTACCACCACCACCACCTCCACCGCCAACACAACCATCACTAGCAGATGATTCATCATCATCATCACCACCGCCACCACCACCACCACCACCTCCACCATTGACGTCTTCTATGCCCATGTCTATTAATGAACAAGAATCTATCGCGATATCTTACAAACCCTTGGAGGAAATAGGTTATCCCTATCCTACTTTTGAAGATCCAGCAACATTATATGAAAAAGTTGGTCAAGTTGGGGAAGGAACTTATGGGTAATAAACAAACAAAATTTGATATGATATATGTAATCAACGTCACTGACTTTTTTCTTATTTTTTATAGAAAGGTATACAAGGCACGAAATTGTAAGACTGGACAATTGATGGCATTAAAACGAATAAGAATGAAAACTGAAAAAGAAGGAGTAAGTGGTGTAGATCTAATAATTGATGATTCTAATCTTTCATCTTCTTTAGTTTCCAATTACAGCGATGCGGGAGATCAAATTATTACAAAAGTTGAAGCATGAACGTATCGTTCGATTACAAGAAATTCTGGTTTCCAAAGGATCAGTATATATGGTACTGGAATATATGGATCATGATTTATCTGGAATATTAGGTCATCCTGAATTTAGATTTGAACCTGCTCATACCAAGTCATTGACAAAACAGATATTACAAGGATTAGCCTATCTTCATCAAATGGGTATTCTTCATCGTGATATGAAAGGTAAAAAAAAAAAAAATAGAAGAAAGAGTAGTTATATTGATGATGATAGAAAATTAACATGGTAATTATTGTAATAGGATCCAATTTACTTGTAAATAATAAAGGTGAATTGAAAATTGCAGATTTTGGACTAGCAAGAATATTTCAGAAGAATCGAGCTGGAGATTATACCAATCGCGTCATCACTCTTTGGTACCGACCTCCTGAATTATTACTTGGGGCAACATCATATGATACTTCAGTAGATATCTGGGGAGTAGGATGTATCATGATGGAGTTTTTTATCGGAAAACCAATCTTCAACGGTACAGACGAAATCTCTCAATTAGATACTATTTATCAAGTCATGGGAACTCCAACAAAAGATATTTGGCCATCCATTGAGGAATTACCTTGGTATGAACTGGTACGACCAAAGGAACATTATGAAAATGTATTTCGTGATACATACAAAAAGTAAGTATTGAAAAAAAAAGAAAGAATCAATATAATTTATTTTTTTTTTTTTTTTGTTGTAGTACACTCACACCTGGAGCTTTAATATTAGCTGAAGCCCTTTTATCTATGGATCCAAAGAATAGACCTACAGCTGCAGAGGCATTGGAATTTGATTATTTTAAAACGGAAGAACCTGAAGCTCTTTTACCAGCAAAGTAAGTAGATGCAAAAAAAAAAAAAATCATCGGATCTTAATTGCTCATTATATAATAAATTTCATTAGTTTATTGAATATAGCTGACGATTGGCATGATTTTGAATCAAAACAGCGTAGACGGTTGCAAGCTATTTGATGGATCAAACATTTTATCATCTCCGCAGCTGATCCGTTTTTGGTAATCTTTTTTTGATCATCCATCTCTTTCTGCCTGTCATCACAGACATTACATTTTTTTATCTTGATTCTTTTTTTTTCCCGCTTTTCTCCCTTTATTCCTACTTTTTATTTATTTTGCTTACCTTTCCCTTCTCTCTCTCTCTCCCCTTGTCCTTTCTTCCAATCTTTTCCTTACATTATACAAAAGAAATAAAAATATGGTCTCTGCATTCTTATCTTGTACTACTAGAAAGGTAATATTTTCTCCACGTCAAAAGTTACTCTCTATCTTACCCCATTTATAACTCTTATTATATATAGACTGGATTGACTTTGAAGCAACAAGTGGCTTTACATAGTGTACGCACTTTTGCTAGTTTTACTAATCCTGTTGTTGAAAAGGATTGTCGATCTATCACTCCTCCTTATACCAAGTTGAACAATAATCTCAACAAGGTGAGACGTATCTTGAGCAATCGTCCCTTGACTCTTGCTGAAAAGATCGTGTATTCTCATTTGACCAATCCTGAAGAAACTGTACCTGTACGTGGTGAAACTTATTTGAAATTATCTCCTGGTAAAGTATATATATCTATGAATGATATTTATAAAACTAGATGCTGATATCTTTTTTTTTTTTTTTTCGTTAGATCGTGTTGCTATGCAAGGTAAAAAAAAAAAATAAATAAACTATTTAATATATAAACTTCCTTTATCATACATGTATTGAATGGATTATTTATTACGTTATATATAAATATAGATGCTTCTGCACAAATGGCCTTGTTACAATTCATGTTATCTGGCATGTCCACCACAGCTGTACCTTCCTCGATTCATTGTGATCATTTGATTGAAGCCTTTGCTGGAGCTGACAAGGATGTAGAAACCTCAATCAAGAATAACAAAGAAATATTTGACTTTTTGGAATCAGCAGCGAAAAAGTATGGTATTGCTTTTTGGAAACCTGGAAGTGGGATTATTCATCAAATTGTCTTGGAAAATTATGCTGCTCCTGGTGGTTTGATGCTTGGTACAGATAGTCATACTCCAAATGCAGGTAAATGAGATTTTTTTTTTTTTAAAAAAAAAGGGAAAGAACAAAAGAGAAAAAAAAAAAAAAAAAAGAAGGAAACTAATGAGTATTCTATAGGTGGTTTGGGTATGATTGCTATTGGTGTTGGAGGTGCTGATGCTGTAGATGCTATGGCTGCTATTTCTTGGGAATTGAAGGCTCCTAAAATTATTGGTGTTAGATTGACTGGTCAATTACAACCCTGGGCAAGTCCAAAGGATGTTATTTTGAAGCTGGCTGGTGATTTAACTGTTCGTGTAAGTTGATAAAAAAAAAAAAAGAAAAATATCATTAAAATAGATTTATATATATTTATTAGGGTGGTACTGGACATATTATTGAATATTTTGGACAAGGTGTTGAAACATTATCTTGTACTGGTATGGCTACTATTTGTAATATGGGAGCTGAAGTGGGTGCTACTACTTCATTATTCCCTTATACTCATCGTATGCGATCTTATCTCAAGGCTACTGGACGATCTCAAGTTGCTCAAGCTGCTGATGCTAATGCTCACTTTTTATGTGCTGATGAAGAATCTTCTTATGATAAAGTAATAGATATCAATCTCTCCGAAGTAGAACCTCACATCAATGGACCTTTTACACCTGATCTCAGTACGCCTCTCAGCAAATTCAAAGATTTTATTAAACAAAACAACTGGAAGGACGAATTATCGGCTGGTCTGATTGGTAGCTGTACCAATTCTTCTTATCAAGATATGTCTCGTTCTGCTTCCATTGCTCAACAAGCCGCTGATGCTGGTATTTCCGTCAAATCAAATTTTTTGGTGACTCCTGGATCTGAACAAATCCGTGCTACTATTGAACGTGATGGTCAACAAGCTGTATTTGAACAAGCTGGAGCTCAAGTCTTGGCCAATGCTTGTGGTCCTTGTATTGGTCAATGGAATCGTACTGAAGAACAAGGTGAAGAAAATGCCATTATGACCTCTTTCAATCGAAATTTCAAAAGTCGTAATGATGGTAATCCCAAAACCATGAACTTTTTAGCTGCCCCTGAAGTAAGTGTTAGTTTTTTTTTTTTTTTTTTTTTTTTTTTTTTTTTTTTTACTGATTTTTTTTTTCGAAATATATATGATAGATTGTCACTGCCATGTCTTTTGCTGGAAAACTTTCTTTCAATCCAATGACTGATAGTTTGATAGATAAGAATGGTAAGCCTTTCCAATTTCAACCTCCTATTGGTGATGATCTTCCTGGACAAGGTTTTGAAGCTGGTCGAGCAACCTATGAACCACCCTCCCCTACACCTACTCCAGATAACTCTGTGAACATTGTGGTCAATCCTACTTCTAATCGTTTACAAGTCTTGGATGCCTTTGAGCCCTGGAATGGTGAAGAATTCAAGGATATCCGTGTACTTGTCAAAGTCCAAGGCAAATGTACCACTGATCACATCTCAGCTGCTGGTCCTTGGTTGAAATACAAGGGTCATTTACAAAATATTGCTGAAAATACCCTGATTGGTGCACAAAATGCTGATAATGGCAAGGTCAATTTGGTTCGTGATATTACAAAGAATACAGATGGTACTATTCCCGAAGTGGCCAAGAGTTATAAGGATCAACACATTGCTTGGACAGTGATTGCTGATGTAAGTAATTTCTTTTTTTTAAAAAAAAAAAAATTTCACTGTTTAATTCTTTTTTTTTTTTTTTTTTTTTTTGGAAGCATAACTATGGTGAAGGTTCTGCTCGTGAACATGCTGCTCTTCAAGTACGATACTTGGGATGTCCCCTCATCATCTCTCGTTCATTTGCTCGTATCCATGAAACCAATTTGAAGAAACAGGGGGTACTTCCATTGACATTTGCAAATGAAAAAGATTGGGAATTGATCTCAGGTGGGGATGTGATTGAAACATCGGGTGTCAAGGATATTGCTCCTGGAAAACCTGTACAATTATTGGTGACCAAGATGGATGGATCAAAACTGACCATTGATGCTAAACATACCATGAGTGCCGATCAAATCGAATGGTTCCAAAAGGGTAGTGCTTTGAACTTGATCAAGGAAAAGGTCGGATCTGCTTAGACCTTATTACAATTGTTTTAATTTAGTTGACATTTTTTGTTGTAGATTAGTCATACCCTCTCTGTTGTGAATACTAGACATGAGGTGATCTTTTTTTTTTTGTTATTTTTGTTTTAATGATTTCTTGAAATAAATACTTTTACATATTATGATAATTCATTATGATAGTTAAAAAAAAAGAGAGTAACCATCTTTTTTTATTATATATATAATACATAAAAGAGAAGAGAAGAAGGAAAAAAAAATACAATTGGAAAGAGTAATTAGAGACTAAAAACTACAGTGGGATACATAATTAGATAAATAACAAACGATAAATAGTAATAATAATAATAATAACAATAATAATAATAATAATAAACAAAAAAAAAAAAAAAAAAAAAAAAGGAGGAGAAATCTGAAAAGCCATCGATATAAATAAACCAATATCTATCTATTCAATCACCAGAGTCCCTATCAGTATATCATTGACCATATCCATGATTGATCTGCCTTGAAAATGATGTTGATAAGCCTGCCACTGTAACGTCAACGATAACCTGAGTTCCTGCTCAAGCTGAAGTTGTAAATCAGAAGGAATGCCATATACCTTGTAAGCCAAATGATCCACCGCATATTGTAATAGGGACTGAACGATCAATAGGCGAATCAGTTGATCAGCCAAATTGCCACCACCACCTTTTAGTTTTGATTCCATACTTGATTCTACTGGTGACATCGTCCTTGGTTTTGTTGTTGATTCAAAGTAGAAAGGTGATACTTGCTCTAAAAGCTGTCGATCAGCCGGTGCCAAATCCCATATACAGTTTCGAACCTTTTCCATCACTGATCGTAGTTGCTGCTTTGTTCCAAACCGCTGCGTTGGTTCGTCAAGATAAGAATTCATTTCATGACTATCCATGGTTGTCATGCCAAAATCATCGACATATCGTATCATAGCGTATATTAGAGTCCTAGCTGCTATCAGTTGTTGTACATAGATATTCATTGTATCGACTTGAGAAGATGTTGGAGGTGCATGAGGGATTTTGGCCATATGTTTTCCAAAAAAGCGAGTACGTCCTTGTTGATCATAATAACAATGAGCTCTAATAAAGAATTGTACAATGCTGGAGTTGAGAATGCCAAGATAATAGTGTTCCAAAGGAGTTGGGGTCGAAGTTGAATGTGGAGAACAAGATGGTGATAATAACAATGATGATGATGATGATGATAAACCGGTATCATCCGTATGTTCACTGTCTTCTTGATGTTTGACAGTGAAATACATACATTGATTGGTGACACATCGTTGTTGCTGATCCATAAAAAACCTTTGCCGTGGCTGTGTTCTACTAAAGTAACCAAAGTTGATCGGATGTACAAGTTTCACTCCAATGTTCATTCCACATTTGTTGAAATGACACCATGCCAATTCCTTATCCATTTGTCCAGGTTGCAATGCCAGTCGTGCTTCATGTAAATATTGATAGAGAGCCGAAGATTTATCCAAACGACTAGCACCTTCTTTGTCCACCAGAATCATAGAGTAAAAAGAGTCGTCAATGTTATTGTTGTCCCGCCCATCGAATGGCACATAGGCTTCAGCTGGTGAGTTTTCCTTTTTTGTCAGTCGCAGAGGATCCCTAGGTGACCAAAATTGTACTTCCTTACAACTTGTTGCCAATGGTGATGACGATAAAGAGGATGAAGATGAGGATGACGGTGATAATGCTGAAGGTGTAGAAGAAGTAGACAAAGTAGACGATATTGGGTTGGGATCAACGATGCTGTCGATACTAGGGTTTACACTATCACTACGATTTGACGACGCAGTAGAGGAAGAAGATCGTGAAGACGGAGTAGAAGATTTGCCATTCCAATAAAAGACGGGTCGAAGCCATTCATCACAACATGCTTTTCCAAAAGTATCTAGAGCCCATTGCGTACGTACCACTAGTGCATAAACAGGATTTGTATTTGGACCACGATGCCACACGAGAGGAGTTTGTGAACCCTTGACACCACGTTCACCATCACAGATCCGAGGATAATCACGAGTCAATGCCATAAGTTGATCAGAAACAGCAGATGTGGGAGATAAATAAGCAAAAGATCCATGCATTGTTGTCATAAGTAATTCGATATCGTCAGTCATTGTGAATTTGTATTTGATCAAAGGGTTTTGAGATTCTAAATGATGTCGATCGAAATGCTGATAATCATATAAAATTTCTGTCAATGTTGATTTCCTTGATAAGTGCCGTAGAAACATTACTTGTCCACTTTGATGATGATTCTTCGATATTATTTTTCCATTCATATTGCCAATCATATGAGATTGTTGTTGTCGTTTACACAATCGAAAGATAAGAGAATCCGTTTGTACTTTGGGCCATACTTTGTAAGGTTCAAATTGAAAAAAGTCCAATAATTGACAATGTGTCCATATCCATTTTCTATTAAAAAAAAAAAAAAAAAAAGAAGAAGGTTAATTTGCCTATTCCATTGATTGACATAGTCATATATATATATATATACTTACCTAAGATTTTCAGCAAATTCTAATACAGTCCACTGACTTGGAGTAATAAAGCATAACTGACCACATAGAGGATCACAACGTTGAAGACAGAGCCACATAAAGTACATATATGCTTGAGTACCTTTGCCAGCTAGATATCGATCATCATAGAGAGCTTTGTCAGGATCATTGACAAATCCAGTTTTTCGAATCATATATGGGGGATTGGTGACAACATAATCAAAGACAAGCTGAGATGGATCACGTAATCGTAAAAGTTGTCGTCTTTCCCAAGCCTTGTCTTTGGTAGTGTATGGGTTGGCATCCAAGTCGAGTCGTAATGTATCGTTCCGAAATAATGATAATCGGCCAATAGAAAAGTTTTGGAAAGAGGTACCAAGCGAGAGACCTTGTTGATAAAATGGGAACATATGTACCATAATGTTGAGTTTTCCAAGTTTGTAAGCAAATGGGTCAATTTCAACTCCCCAAATGGTTTCTGGTAGTTGAGCAAGAATGTATTTCAGAGAATCACCATTGTTCCATAGATTATCATGTCTTTTTGTTGCTTCAATCATTCTTGTCAAATATTCGCATAAAAAGGCACCAATACCCATACATGGATCAAATACACGAGGAAGAAATGGAGTAGATGGAAGAAAATCAGTATCAAAGATAGAATCCTGTTGTTTCTTTGTATAAAAGTTGTGATTATTGAGACAAAGAGACCACATGAACCGTACGACACTTTGAGGTGTATAAAATTGTCCGTGATCTTTTTGATGCTGAATAGCCACAGGTTGTAAAAGATGAGTAGTATAGAATTGAGTCAAAACAGTGTCGATAAGATCCAAAGTTTTGAATTGTTGAAATCCATTAGATATCAATCGTTGTCGAAGATCAATAACAATGTGATCACGGTATTGCCAATGATACCAAGTAAAAAGATCATCTGCAGAACTAGCAACATCATCACCGCAAGCAAACAATCCCATATAATCATCAAAAGGATTTTCTTGATAATGTTTTGTAGTAGTATTCTTGATCAAATCATGAAAGACAAGTTCTATCAAACCAAGATAAATGGCCATAAAACCAGTCATCAAGCAGTAAATATCAGCAGCTATAAAGTCGGTAGGTGTTTTGATATTATCTTGCACTTGATATAAAAATGTATTGACAGCCAATAAAGGAACACTGGGTATATCATTCACTATGTATATATCAAATAAGGTTAGTATCCCAGTCGAAATGTTTATATTTTAATTTTAATTACCAGATTTTTGTTGTTGATGCAATAATTTATACCAAACATCCATTTTGACATTTGTCAGCATAGTACCGAGAATATCAATGACTATTTGAGCACAAGCATCAGTCATTCCTCCAATTGTAAGATTATCAATAGTAGATTCCGTTGAAGTATTTATAGGTAATAATAAGTCAGGTTTATCCAGCATAGCTTCATGATCTCGTTTGATACTTCTTGAAGGACTAGGCATAGGTGAATGTAATAAAGGTATGGACACATTAGAAATAAGTGGCGGTGAAGGAGAAGATTGAGGAGATTGTGGCGCAAGAGATCTCAGTGAAGAAAGAGTAGATTGAGTAGACAAGTTGAGGTCGAGCATTACAACATGGTCAAAATAAAAATAAAATAAAAATAATTTAAAGATCTCGAAGGAAAGAAAAAAAAAGAAAAAGGAAGGAAAGAAAAGGAGTGAAGATAAAGTATATCAATAATGAGTGAATAACGAGAAAAAAAAAAAAAAAAAAAGAATGAAAGAAAAAAAAAATCACCAGAACACATGGGTTCAAAAAAAAAAAAATCATCACCATGAATGAATTCGATCCCAGCGTGTCAATGAAAAAGAAATAAGAGAATTATAAAAAGAACATTTAAAATGATAATTCATCCAATACTGTATTTTGACAGCAGTTGATTTACTATTTTATTTATTGGCCCTGAAATTTTTTATTTATATTTGTTTGTTTATACTAATTGAACATATTATGTCATTTGACCCTGATTATATTATAATAATAATATTTACCTAGGTGATTTGATAGGTTTGAAAAATCAAAAAGAAACCCATTTCTTATATTATTCATATGATTAATAATTTAAAAAGTTAGAATACAGTAAATAATAATATTATATATATATATAATAAAGAAAGGATTTTGACATAAAAGTAATAAAACTCACAATATTCTGCATTATCTTACCAAGAAAGGAATTATTTACGAAATATTCATTCTCAGCTTTTTTTTTTGTATCCCCCAACAAAAAAAAATTTTCATCTTTTTTTATATGTATATATATTTCAAGGATGTCAAAGAAATCAGTCAAAAAACAAATAACAATGGATGAAGAACCTTCTGAAAAGTCTACTATTCTATTAATGAATGAAAAACCAAAGAAAAAGTGGCAAAATATGTGGATACGAACTCTTTATACTATTTTGATGATCGCTTCTTTCTTTTTTGTTCTTGCTTCTGGTTATATTTGGTCTATTATTGGTGTCCTCTTTATTACAGTTATGGTTTATAATGAAGTAGTTCAAATTGCTTGTCTTGGTGCACAGGAACAAAGTATTCGTTGGTTTAAAACTATGAGCTGGTAAACTTTTATATCTATATTCTATAACACCTTTTTTAAAAAAAATTTATCATATTCTTCTTATTTTAGGTACTTTTTAATAACTACAGAATATTTTTTATATGGTGAATCTATTATTTATTATTTTAATGAAATCATTATGGTTGATTCCTTTTTGATTCCATTCGCAACACATCACCGTTTTATTAGTTTTATGTTATATGTTATTGGTAAGTTTTATTTATCATTTGATAAATAATATTCATTTTTTTTTTTTTTTTTTTTTGTGATAGGATTTGTATTCTTTGTAGTGAATTTACGGAAAGGACAATATAGAGTACAAATGTCTCAATTTGGTTGGACTCATATGGCTTTATTCTTGATTGTGGTTCAAAGTCATTTCATTGTAGATAACATATTGGAAGGATTAATATGGTAATCAACAAAAAAAAAAAAAAAAAGGTATCATTTGAAACATAAAAATAATGACTTACCATTTATATTCATCAGGTTTGTTTTACCGGTTGCTCTTGTTGTTTGTAATGATGTATTTGCCTATCTTTGTGGTTTCTTCTTTGGTCGAACCCCTCTTATTCAATTAAGTCCAAAGAAAACAGTAGAAGGCTTTGTGGGTGCACTATTTTGTACTTTAGCACTTGGCTTTGGTGCTTCTACATTCCTCAAACAATTTGATTACATGATATGTCCAGTACAGGTAATATATATATATATAAAAGGAAGCATTGATTAACAATAATTATTGATTGATAGGATTTGGGTGCTTCTGCTTGGTCTGATATATCTTGTGATCCCAAAAATCCTGTTTTTAGATCTGTCCCTTGGGTATTACCAGATGCTATTCAATATGCTATCAAGTATCTCACTCATCATGATATTCGTCAAATATGGATTGCTCCTATTCAACTTCATGCTATCGTCATGGCCTGTTTTGCTTCATTGATTGCTCCTTTTGGTGGATTCTTTGCAAGTGCTGTCAAACGTGCTTTCAAAATCAAGGACTTCGGAACTATGTAAAAAAAAAAAAAAAAAAAAAAAAAAAAGGTAATCAAAGAAAACAGTACTCATTAGTAAAATCGATTTTGTATTAGTATACCAGGACATGGTGGTTGGACCGATCGTATGGATTGTCAATTCTTGATGGGTTTCTTTTCTTATATGTATTATCATAGTTTTATCAAGGTGAAAAAACAATTTAATTTGAAAAGTACGACATGTTATTCATTCTTTTTTTTTTTTTTTTCCTGTAGAAATATTATATGACGGTGGGTAGTGTGCTGACACTGGTGATCAACAATATGACAAACAAGGAAAAAGTAGAACTACTAGAACGTCTACAATTATATTTGATAAATCAAAACATTTTGGAATCAAGTCAAACTCCTCCAACGTTATTGGAAAAAGTGCAACAGTATTTTGGTAGTTAATTGATTTTTTTTTATATTATTATTATTATTTTATTTATTAACGCAAAACAGTCGATATCTCTTTGTTTTACATCGTATTTTATTTACTATATTATCCATTGTCAAGCTATCGATCGTCCTTGCCATTTTTTATTTTATTTTAATATACATACCTATCTATCCTATAAAAGATTATTTTATTATACCATCCATTATTAAAATAAAATCATACTTTTTATTATCATTTGTTATTGTCATCCACTATTATCCATATCATTCATCTATTCATCCCATCGCCATAAAAGAGGTATCATCATCAAAAGTAAGGAAGAAAGAAAGTATTATTATTTTTGTTTTCATTGAAAAATAAAAATTATCTGCTATAAGTATAAACTATCTTCTTTTTTTTTTTTTTGATTTGATATTAATATATTAGAATGGTTGCATTCTTTGTATGCGGGTGGGGTAAGGGTTTTTCGCCTACTCTTTTTTTTTTTATTCGTTTATGTTATCTTCGACTAGTTTATTATTATTATCATTTAATAATAGTTTAATCCATATCATCATTATGATCTTATTATTATTATTATTTATTCATCTATTCAACTTTATTAAAATCATAAGTGTTTCCATAAATGGTATAACTTCAAAGTCCGGTCTCAATGTGGGGTGTGTTTGGATCAAAAAAAAAAAAAAAGGTCTGGAGGTTCCAATCTCAAAAAAAAAAGTTGGTCGAGATCAAAAAAAAAGTCTGGGAGATTGAAAAAAAAAATTGTTGGAGACAATGGAAAAAAAGTTGGACCAAGCTCTGACAAGAAAAAAAAAGTTCGCGCACTTCACCTTTTTTTTTTCTTTTGCATTTTTTTACTTTTTTTTTTTACTTCTCTTTTTTTAATCAATGACTCTTTTGAACATTATAAGTTACCATTATACATTACTTTATTAATCTATATTATATATTTAAAAGTCACTCTTTATATATATTATACTTACTCTATACTTATTCTTTCTTCTTCTTCCTCTTACTCTTTCATATTATGAACTAATCTATTTTTGTTTTATTTTTTTTTTCTGTTTTACTCTTTATATAAAGATACAGTAGATAGATATATGAAGAAATATACAATAGGATTAACTGGACATATAACAAGTTTTCTATTGGACAAAAGAATAGCAAGTTAGAGAAAAAGTATCCAACTCTTTGTAATGGAAATTACTTTATTTAATAGTTTAGTCTTTTAGTTATAGTGTTTTATATTATATTTTCATTTAAATAAAATCATATTTTTATTATCATTTGTTTATTATATTGTCATTTCACTATTACTTATCTATTTGTCCTCGATCATCATCATTATCAAAAGGAGTAATAAGAAAGAATGATATATTATTATTGTATTTTCACTAAATAATAATAATAATAATAAAACTATTGTAGAAACAAGATTCATATACACATCAGTATCTACTATTTCATTTCATACGTTACGTTCATCATTTTAAGCATATATATTCTCTTATTATCAATCATCATCATGACAATAGCAACTTATACCTGTATACTGTTGATTGTTCGTCTTTTCTCTTAACGAAAATAACGATGTCATTGATCAATTGCTTGGATTCAGCTGTCATTTAATTTATTTAAGGAACCAGGTACAGAAATGCATTGATGACTCTTCGAGAAAAATAATAATTATGATTTTATTAAAGAAAACGAGTATAAATATATACAATTGATGTACTAAGTACCATTCTAAACTACAATTAAAAAGAATCACTAACGATTCATAAGCCAGAATAAGAGAAAAAGATACTTCTAATTGATTGTATAATCCAATCCAGTTGAATCCTATAAAATATTCTGCTCATCCATGTTGTCCACACCTTATGACAATAGCATGTATTCATTTCGTTTCATTCTGTGATTCTATTGTATATCTATCCATTCCACTGATTCAGATGTGTAGCCACTTCGCGTAATTATCCTATTGATACTATATTTAAATGATCAAGTCTTCGTATATCCAGATTTCTTTCTTACTTTTAGACATATATTCAGTGATGATGATTGTCAAGGATACCAAGTATGAAGTATGAGAAGAAGAAAGAACGGTAATTCTAGGTAGATGGATGTTGTAGTAAAAAGATCAAGGTCAGAAGAACGTATATAATAAAAAAAAGGAGGGAGGTTAGAGAGAAAAAGAAGAAAGGCACTTGTTTTTGAAGCTTACCTTTAATAAGAGTAAATATTTGTAAAAACCACATAGATAAAATGAGTAGGATATAGTAACGAAGTTGGAATGAATAAAAGAAAGAAAGAAAGAAAGAAAAAAGAAAAAGAATTATTTTATATGTCTACCTGATCGGAGCCAGTTTAAAAAATCATGCAAATCAAATCTACCAATCATAAGGAATCACATAGGTTTAAGTTTCTTTTTTTTTGAATTGATTTTTTTATTATTGATTATAGTAACATCATAATGATGATGATGATATATTAGAATAAATACTTTCAAATGAATGATTTTATCACTTATTTCATATTCCTTGTATTCATTGAAAATTGAATAATCATGATAGTTGAAGAAAGATCGCAAAAGAAAAAGGAATATCAAACCTATAGGTTAAATCAATTTGAACAACTTTTTTATTAATCTGATGGAACATCAATTACATTCATTTAGAATAATAAATCAGTTTAAATATCACAAATTGATTATCTGATAATAACAAAATAATAAAGTAATGAATATAAATTATGAAAAGCGGTAGTTGAACATCCAAAAAAGGAAAGGCTCAATTCATGAGGTTATATAAAATAGACCTCACATTTTTTTATTTTCTCACACTTTCTTCTTCTTCTTCTTTATCACTATTGTTATAAACTTCTTTTTTTTTTTATTTTGTATAAAAAATAAGTAAAGATATAATAAAAGGAACTTTATATACTTGTTAACTAAACTCTCTCTCTTTTTATCTTGCTATAGAAATACCATTTCTTGACGCTTCTTTACAAACTGAATCCTCGATATATATTCAACAGATCATGAAACTATAATAATGGGACTATAACTATCAAAGGTACTACTATAAATCCAAAAGAAAAAAAAAGAAATAGTAAAATAGTAAGTGATTTAGGTATCGCTGCGATTCTCATTCTTTCCTTTTTTTTTTTTCTCAGTGGTATTCCTGTATCATGCCAATGGAAAGGCTATTGAACATATCTATCAATTATGGTTATCAAGCACAAACAAAACAAAATCAAGGGTATTATCTTTGAAGGTAAAGCCTAAAATATGATAATGAAGGATCTGTCAATCAAGGTATCTCATTTTTTTTTTGTTGATGGGTAGTGTTACAAATACAAGTTTAGCTGCTTATATGTTACTCTATTTTCTATAAAGGCATCCTTCTTATCAAGATGGTTTGAATTCACATCAGTTAGTTATCCTCGTGGAAATTGATATCGTTATCATTACTATCGTTGTCGTCCTTCAAATATTATCGGTATAAGTTCCAATTGCAGTGGAATATATATTATACACATCAATCATTAAATATTTATTTATTAAATAGATAGGTTGTTATGATACATCGTCCATCAGTCTTATTATGTTACTATCATTCAAGTGTTATGATCATTTTCAAGTATGGTCAATTACTGTATTCAAAGTAAGATATAAAAAAAAAAGAAAAAGAATATTTAAAATATGATTCTCATTCTCATTTTCTTTTTCTTCTTTCTTTTTTTATTGATTTCATGCATCATTATCCTATATATACCGATCACAGAACCAAATGAAAATTGGATACATAAAAAGGATGAATAACTAATGTAACTATATTATTAACAACAACTGGAAAGGAAAATCAATTTGTGTACAAATAGATGACATTTTTTCTATAGTTTCTTTTATTGATAGTTTTAGTCTTATTATATTCTTTTTATATTCTTCTTCTTAGTCTTTAATAAAGTTTATCTTTATATCATCATCATCATACTATTATTATTATTATTTATTCACCTTATTCAACTTTATTAAAATCATAAGTGTTTCCATAAATAGTATAACTTCAAAGTCCGTTCTCAATGTGGGGGTGTGTTGGATCAAAAAAAAAAAAAAGGTCTGGAGGTTCCAATCTCAAAAAAAAAAAAAAGTTGGTCGAGATCAAAAAAAAAAAAAAGTTGGGAGATTGAAAAAAAAAAAATTTGTTGGAGACAATGGAAAAAAGTTGGACCAAAGCTCTGACAAAAGAAAAATTTGGCGCACTTTCACTTTTTTTTTTTTTTTTACTTTTGCATTTTTTTTTTACTTTTGAATTTTTTTTTACTTTTTTTTTTTTAATCAATGACTCTTTTGAACATTGTAAGTTACCATTATACATTATTTTACTAATCTATATTATATATTTAAAAATCACTCTTTATATATATATTATGCTTACTCTATACTTATTCTTTCTTCTTCTTCCTCTTACTCTTTCATATTATGAACTAATCTATTTTTAGTTGGTTTTTTTTTTTTCTTTTTTACTCTTTTTATGAACATATAGTAGATAGATATATGAATAAAATATATAATATGATTAATTGGTTTATAAGTTTTCTATCGGATAAAAGAATAAGCAAACCAGGGAAAAGTATCCAACTCTTTATCATGGAAATTAGTTTATTGAATAATTTAGTCTTTTAGTCATAGTGTTTTATATTTTATAATCTTTTAAATAAAATCATATTTTATTATTGTCATTTCACTATTACTTATCTATTTGTCCTCGATCATCGACATTATCAAAAGGAATAATAAGAAAGAATGATATATTATCATTGTATTTTCACTAAAAAATAATAATAATAATAAAAAACTATTGTAGAAACAAGATTCATATACACATCAGTATCTACTATTTCATTTCATACATTACGTTCATCATTTTAAGCATACATATTCTCTTATTATCAACCATCATCACCACTCATGATAATAGCAAGCTGTACCTGTATACTGTTAATTGTACGTCTTCTCTCTTACGAAAATAACGATGTCATTGATGACACCGTAGGATAGACCATGTACTTTATCACATAATACACTCAAAGAAACATTTTTATTAAATCATCACAGCAATAGATAGTAGCAATGGGTACATACACAAAACATCATAGCAGGATAATTTAAATAATCAAACATTTTATTTAAATAAAAGAGTATTTTTACAGGAGAAAAGAAAGGGAATAAAGAAAAAAAGTAACTAAATACCAACAATATAAATAATATATACAATACTGGTGATAATAATGACAATGATAATAATAATAATAATACTAATGGAGACAGAGATGCCAAACAAGTAGAAAAACATAATGAGACCATCAAACATGGGAGAGACCAACCAAATAAGAAGAACCAAAAAAAAAGATAAGGACTAACCACGTAGTAAAGGGTTCTTGAAGAAAATACCATGACAACGAAAGACAGATGAAGGAAACGGAAAGAGAGAGAGACAAACCAGATAGAAAAAGACGAAGAGACCACGCAAACACGAGAGAGAACAACAAGAGAATAAGAGAGACACCATACCACTAGAGAAAATAACCAACCAAGTAGGAAGGAAAAAAAAAGACCTTCAAAAGTATCTACCTGTACTTACAAGTTGACTTGCATTTGCTGTTCAATCCAGAGTCCAACCGTAAAAAAGATAAAAAAAAATAAACGATTAGTTCCTTAATCTATGTCTTACCATCATAATTGTCATTCCATCCACTTCCAAACCATTAGAAGAGCCATAACCAGCTAAAACTAGAGAAAATAAAAAAAAATAAAAAGGAAAGAAAGATGAGAGAAATGAGATAGATAAAATAAGAAAGGAAAAAGAAAAGAAATGAAAACTCAGTTAGATAGGAAAAATAAGAAATGAATTTATAAGTTGGCTGAATTAAAGTATCTCTCAAAGCAATCACGTATCTTTTCTTTTCTTTTCTTTTCAATAAAGAAGATTTAGACTATATAGACAATAATATCTAAAAGATCAATAAAATAAAAGAAGAAATACATTAGTATCATTCTCTTTTTTCATCTATTATTTTTTTTAGACTTATCATTTTGCACCATTGATCGTTTTATATCACCGTTTTGTTTGACTAAAGGTTAATATAAAGTAATGATGATCATTCGAGATTTGATTACATAAACAACAATCATTGTATCTACAGATAAAATCAACCAAAAAACAGTACTCCATCACTGTTATTCTTATATATGTCAATGTTACCTTGCGTATATCATCTGACAGCGATACCGTATCAATCCCCATACAATAAAAGGAAGGATCTAAAAAAAAAAAAGAGAGAGAGAAAGAAACAAGTGATTGTATGTAATATTGATTGATCATCTTTTTCTTTCCTGACAACTTACTAATTTGATTGTATAGGCGACAATCATAGTATCTACAAATAAAAATAAACCAACTGAGTAGCAATCTGGTACTCTTTTTTTTATTTTATACATGTTACCTTGTCAACATCAGTGAAGATGTTTTGTATCATATTGCAATTGAATGTCATCATCATCATGGGTTCGAAGAGAAAGAAGGGTTGCCACTAGCAGTACATCTGACATTTTAAGACCATCAAGGAAGGTAGCTTGTTCCGGTTTTAATAGATACGCTCCACTGACCAGTTATGATATTATCCCCTAATTCTTTCCAAACCATACCGCAAATGGCAGGACTTCCAAGGACTCCAGCATGAAACAACACGACCTACAGGCGATATACTGTATTCCCTGCATGTTGCCTTCTAGCCTCCACCTACTTGAGCACCAGATCCAGCCTCTAGATTCATAAATGATCCTAGACACCAGTCATCCTCGACCAAGTCCAATGCCTGTTAGATAAACAAAAGTCATCCCGCCATGATCTTTGAATATCACCAAAAGCTAAGTACAAAATGATGATGATCATTCGACATTTGACTGTGTAGACAACAATCATGATACCTACAGCAAAAAAAAAAAAAAAAAACCAAATGAGTAGCAATCTGGCACTCTTTTTTCCTTTTTTTTTTTTATATACATGTTACCTTGTCAACACCAGCGGATGTTTTGTATCATCTTGCAATTGAATGTCATCATCATCATGGGTTCGAAGAGAAAGAAGGGTTGCCACTAGCAGTATATCTGACATTTTAAGACCATCAAGGTAGGTAGCTTGTTCCGGTTTTAATAGATACGCTCCACTGACCAGTTATGATATTATCCCCTAATTCTTTCCAAACCATACCGCAAATGGCAGGACTTCCAAGGACTCCAGCATGAAACAACACGACCTACAGGCGATATACTGTACTCCCTGCATGTTGCCTTCTAGTCTCCACCTACTTGAGCACCAGATCCAGCCCCTAGATTCATAAATGATCCTAGACACCAGTCATCCTCGACCAAGTCCAATGCCTGTTAGATAAACAAAGGTCATCCCGCCATGATCTTTGAATACCACCAAAAGCTAAGTATTAAACGATGATGACCATTCGACAATTGATTGTATAGACGACAATCATGATACCTACAAATTAAAAAAAAACCAAATGAGTAGCAATCTGGTACTCTTTTTTTCTTTTTTTTTTTTATATACATGTTACCTTATCAATAACAATGAATGTTTTATATCATATTGCAATTGAATGTTATCATCATCATGAGTTCGGAGAGAAAGAAGGGTTGCCACTAGCAGTATATCTGACATTTTAAGACCATCAAGGTAGGTAGCTTGTTCCGGTTTTAATAGATACGCTCCACTGACCAATTATGATATTATCCCCTAATTCTTTCCAAACCATACCGCAAATGGCAGGACTTCCAAGGACTCCAGCATGAAACAACACGACCTACAGGCGATATACTGTATTCCCTGCATGTTGCCTTCTAGTCTCCACCTACCTGAGCACTAGATCCAGCCCCTAGATTCATAAATGATCCTAGACACCAGTCATCCTCGACCAAGTCCAATGCCTGTCAGATAAACAAAGATCATCCCGCCATGATCTTTGAATACCACCAAAAGCTAAGTATAAAACGATGATGACCATTCGACAATTGATTGTGTAGACGACAATCATGGTACCTACAAATAAAAATAAATCAAATGAATAGCAATCCGTTATTTTTTTTTTCAATACATGTTACCTTGTCAACACCAGTGGATGTTTTATATCATATTACAATTGAATGTCATCATCATCATGATGGGTTCGAAGAGAAAGAAGGGTTGCCACTAGCAGTATATCTGACATTTTAAGACCATCAAGGTAGGTAGCTTGTTCCGGTTTTAATAGATACGCTCCACTGACCAGTTATGATATTATCCCCTAATTCTTTCCAAACCATACCGCAATTGGCAGGACTTCCAAGGACTCCAGCATGAAACAACATGACCTACAGGCGATATACTGTATTCCCTGCATGTTGCCTTCTAGTCTCCACCTACTTGAGCACCAGATCCAGCCCCTAGATTCATAAATGATCCTAGACACCAGTCATCCTCGACCAAGTCCAATGCCTGTCAGATAAACAAAGATCATCCCGCCATGATCTTTGAATACCACCAAAAGCTAAGTATAAAGTGATGATGACCATTCGACATTTGATTGTATAGACGACAATCATGATACCTACAAATTAAAAAAAAAAAACCAAATGAGTAGCAATCTGGTACTCTTTTTTTTCTTTTATACATGTTACCTTGTCAATAACCAGTGGATGTTTTGCATCATCTTGATTGTATAGGCGACAATTGTGGCATCTACAAATAGAATCAGTAAAACGAGTACTAGTTCATCACTGTTATTCTCTCTCTTTTCTTTTTTTTTTTTAATGTATGGATTACCTTAGTTACATGATTCACCAGTGTTGATGTATCAATCATAAAAGTGAAACCAAAGGAAGAACCAAGGACAATTTACAAACAGTATAGGCGAAACCGAAGCTATTGATTTTTGTTGAAAGGAATGGAGAGTACCACAAGACGAAAGGATAATAGTCCAAGTTCACGGGAGAAAACAATAAGTGGAAGACATCATACCAAGTGGGAGGGACAAAAAAAAAGAAAGACAAGGACCAACCACGTAGAAAAGAGATCTCGAAGAAAACACCATGACAATGAGAGACAGATAAGGGAAAGGGAAAGAGAGAGAGAGAGACCAACCAAGTAAAAAAGAGAAGAAGAGGACACACAAACTCGAGAGAGAACAACAAGAGAGTGAGAGACACACCATACTGGTAGAGAAATGATCTTGAAGAAACCAACATCATAGGAGAGAATAACCAACCAAGTAGAAAGAAAAAAAAAAGATCTTCAAAAGTACTTGTAACACAGGTTGACTTGCATTTGGTGCTCCGTCCAGGGTCTAACGGTAAAAAAGATAAAAAAAAAAAAAAAAAAGAAAAACGATTAGTTCCTTAATCTATGACTTACCTCCATTCTTGTCATCCCAACCAGTTGCAAACCATTAGAAGAGCCATAACCAGGTAAAGCTAGAGGAAAAAAAAAAAAAAAAAAGAAGGAAAGAAAGACGAGAGAAGAAAGGAAAAAGAAAAGAAAAGATACGTGATTGCTTTGAAAGATACCTCAATTCAGCCAACTCATAAACTCATTTCAATAAAGAAGATTTGACATTTATTATTATTTTTTTTAGACTTATCTTTTTACACCATTGTCTTGTTTTGTATCATCGTTTCGTTTAACCAAAACGAGAAGAAAAGAGATCTTGCAATTGGAAAAACCAGAAGAGTCATTAATTAACATAAAACAAGTAAGTAATTATATTTTATACTGTCTTTTTATTATTTTATTTTATTTTTTTTTTAAATTGGCAATAATAGAATAAGAATCCATTACTGTCATTGTATTTTATATGTTACCTGTCATTAGCCAATATGGAGACACGAACGAAGTGCGGAGAGTGAATAAAAAAGTGTGGAGAAATGGAAAGAGAAAGAAAGAAAAGAAAAATGTGGAGAAACGAAATAAATAAAAAAAAAATGAAAGCAGAAGTCCGAATAGAGAAAAGTGACGTACCAAAGTAGCAAAATAAAGAGAAAGAATATATTGTAATGTGATAATGAATGTACAATTAAAAAAAGTAGATTAGTTTTTTGACATTGAAAGGAAAATGTCAAGAACTAACCTACTTTTCCTTTCACTGTTGATAATACATTTAGATCGAGTCGCGAATACAATATATGGCAAAAAAAAAAAAAAAAAAAAGACAAAATATATGAAAAAGAGAATTAATATGATTCCATGTTGTTTCTTGTTTTTCATATTATTGTTAGAAAGTCTCTAAACTCTGATTCTCTTTGCCTGGATTCAGCTGTCATTTAATTTATTTAAGGAACCAGGTACAGAAATGCATTGATGACTGTTCGAGAAAAATAATAATTATGATTTTATTAAAGAAAAAGAATATAAATACATATAATTGATATACTAAGTACCATTCTAAACTACAAGTAAAACGAATCACTAACGATTCATAAGCCAGAATAATAAAAAAAGGATAAAGATGATACTTCTAATTGATTGTATAATCCAGTCCAGTTGAATCCTATAATATATCCTGTTCATCCATGTTGTCCACACCTTATGACAATAACAAGTATTCATTTCGTTTAATTCTGTGATCCTGTTGTATGTATATCTATCTATTCCGCTGATTCAGATGTATAGCCACTTCGCGTAATTATCCTATTGATACTATATTTAAATGATTAAGTCTTCGTGTATCTAGATTTCTTTCTTTCTTTCAGACATATATTCAGTGATGACGATTGTCAAGGATACCAATTATGAAGTATGAGAAGAAGAAAGAACGGTAATTCTAGATAGATGGATGTTGTAGTAAAAGGATCAAGGTCAGAAGAACGTAGATAAAAAAAATAAAAAATAAAAAGAGGTCAGAAAGAAAAAAAAAGAAAAGAAATTGCTTTGTTTTGAAGCTTACCACTAATAAAGGTAGATATTTGTAAAAATACATAGACAAAATGAGCAGGATATAGTAAAGAAGTTGGAATATGGAAAAATAAAAATAAAAAAAAAAAAGAAAAGAAAAGAAAAGGAAAAAAGATTATTTTATGTCTACTTGATCGGAGCCTATTTAAAAATCCTGCAAATCAAATCAACCAATCATAAGGAATCACACAAATCTAGTTCCCTTTTTTTATATATATTCTTGAATCGATGTTTATTGATTAACATCATAATGATGATGATGATATATTAGGACAAACACTTCCAAGTGAATGTCTTTATCATTTACTTCATATTCCTTGTATTAATTGAACTTTGAATAATTGTGATAGTAAAGAAGAACTAAAAAAAAAGGAATATCATCCATCATCATCCCATCATTCCATATCATCCATGTCTACTGCCTTTTTTGTTTAATGTACAACATTTATTATTATGTTTCCTGTTCTAACAATTGAATTTTCCATGAATAAGAGGGGGATGACCATTTTCTGTAATGATACTAAAGTAAAAAGATGGGGAGTGATAAAATAAACAAATAAATCAATCAATCAATAAATAAATAATAATAATAAAAAAAAAAAACTATATGTAAAGGGATCTAAGCAATGAAAGACTTGGTGTGAGTATCACAAATATCACGGAGCTTGCCTTCCAAATCCTTGGACAAAACACCTTGAGAACGGATTTCTTCGAGGACATCCTTGTGTTCAGTAGAGATGTAAGAGATGAAATCCTTTTCCCATTCAACCACCTTTTGGACAGGGATCTTGTCGAGGAAACCATTGACACCAGCAAACACAATGGGGACTTGAACTTGGATAGACAAGGGAGTGTATTGAGGTTGCTTCAACAATTCAGTCAAACGAGCACCACGGTTCAACAAGAATTGAGTGGAGGCATCCAAATCAGAACCGAATTGAGCAAAGGCAGCAACTTCACGATATTGAGCCAAGAAGAGCTTGAGAGAACCAGCAACTTGCTTCATAGCCTTCGTTTGGGCAGCAGAACCGACACGGGACACAGAGAGACCGACGTTGATGGAAGGACGGATACCCTTGAAGAAAAGTTCAGCTTCCAAGAAAATTTGACCATCAGTAATAGAAATGACGTTGGTAGGAATATAAGCAGATACATCACCACCTTGAGTTTCAATGATGGGCAAAGCAGTCATGGAACCATAACCAAAGTCTTTGTTCATCTTGGCAGCACGTTCCAACAAACGGGAGTGGAGGTAGAACACATCACCAGGGTAAGCTTCACGACCAGGAGGACGACGGAGCAAAAGAGACATTTGACGATAAGCAACAGCTTGTTTAGACAAATCATCATAGATGATCAAAGAGTGACGACCATTGTCACGGAACCATTCACCAAAGGCAGCACCAGAGAAAGGAGCAAGGTATTGAAGGGGAGCAGCTTCAGAAGCAGTAGCAGCAACAACAATAGTGTACTTCATAGCATCATTTTCTTCCAAAGTACGGACCAATTGAGCAACAGTGGAACGCTTTTGACCGACAGCAACGTAGATACAGTACAACTTCTTGGCTTCATCAGAACCATTGTTCCAGTTCTTTTGGTTAAGAATGGTGTCAAGAGCAACAGCAGTCTTACCAGTTTGACGATCACCAATAATCAATTCACGTTGACCACGACCAATGGGGACCATAGAATCAACAGACTTGATACCAGTTTGCATAGGTTCGTTAACAGAGTGACGAGGTAAAATACCAGGAGCCTTGACTTGCACACGAGAACGACCAGTGGTTTCCAAAGGACCTTTACCATCAATAGGGTTACCAAGAGCATCAACAACACGACCCAAAATACCAGGACCAACGGGCACATCGACAATAGCACCAGTACGCTTGACAGTATCACCTTCCTTAATCAAACGATCGTTACCAAACACCACAATACCGACATTATCAGCTTCCAAGTTGAGAGCCATACCCTAATATACATATATATAAAAAAAAATGAGAAGACGTGAGTCACGATGTTCTACAGAAAAAAAAAAAAAAGAGTTTCTCTCTCTCTTCCTCCTTATTTTTTCCAATTGTTGTTGTTTTAATGTCTTCATTTTTTTTTATTATCATTCTTTACCTTGAGACCACTAGAGAATTCAACCATTTCTTCAGCTTGAACATTCTTCAAACCATAGACACGAGCAATACCATCACCAATGGACAAGACACGACCAGTTTCTTGAAGGTTAGCTTCAGAAGAAGAACCCAAGATACGTTCTTCAAGAATGGAAGATACTTCAGAAGTAGAAGGCTTGGCAGTAGCGTAAGTACGAGCAGCAGTAGCGACAGCACCAAGGTTGAGACGAGTCTAAGTAAAAAAAAAAAAAAAAAAGTTGTGAGTGAATATATTCCTTTTTTTTTTAGATGTTGAAGGGGGAAAAGGTGATATTGATTGATAATATATATTTGTAATAGAATACTAAATGACTTTCTCAAGTTTTTCTTTGATCTTTTCTTTGTTGATATCCAAACAGAATAGAACAAGAAAAAAAAAAAAAAAAAACAGAGAAAAACAAAAGAAAAAAGGTTGATAGGACGGGAGGTAGAAAGGAAATGGGTTGAATATGAAGAGGGTAAATGTTGCTTACGGCTGACAAGACGCTACGTTGAATAGATAGAGGTCGGGCAAGACGAGTGACGTTTCGAAGCATGGTTATAATATGTTCAAAAAAGAAAGAAAAGAAAAGAAAAAGTGAGAATAGGTAGAAAGGAAAAAAAAAAATATAGAAAATTTCAATCTCCTTCAAAAGAAAGGAGGGGTTGGTGACAAAACATGGAAAAGTGACAGCCAGCCACCCAAAGTAAAAAGAAACTGACTTGCCCCAAGCGTCATCAAAACGCGGAGTTCAATGGAACTATCAATCAAAAAGAGACAATAAAAAAAAAAGGAATTCATTTATTATTAAAAGAGAATGATGAATTGAAATATGCCTAAGAAGTATGTAAATGGAAATAGATATAATGATAAAAAGAAAGGGAATCATAAAAATAGGTAATAATAAAACTATGTATCAGAATCTGAATCACCATCATGATGAAGAGTAATAGAACTAAAGTTTTCAAAAGGATTATGATGATAAGATTGAATTTTAGTATTATCTTGAGTAGATGATGATAAAGTAACATTGACCAAAACGTGATCCAAATCTAAGTCTAAACTGATACTTTCAGCAGCCATTTTCCGAAAGTTTAAAGCGTCGATCCCATCAGGACTTTGAATCAAAGGTAAAATAGGTGGTTCCAAATGTCGAAGTAAGGCAAAATTGATAGATTTGAAAAAAGGATGAGACTAATCATACAAGAAATAAATAAATTATTATTTTATTTTTTATTTTCATTCTTGAAAACTTACTTTGATATCCGAAGCACCTGCTCTTGATCCAAGTCTTTTCTGTTCATCTTTTTGTAATAACATTCGTATTAGGTGACGACAATGTGTTGAGAGAGTAGATAAATAGGGTATTGGTTGTTCAGTAAACGTGATATCATGATCCATAATACTTGCAAAAGTGTCATTTCGATTTGATCCTTTGAAAGGAGTAATACCATACTAGAAATAGATGAATAAATATATATATATATATTTGTTATTGTAAATAATATAAATGATTACCAACATTTCATAGATCAAAATACCAAGTGTCCACCAATCAACAGCGCTAGTATGTCCACAACCTTTGATCACTTCAGGGGCAATATATTCTAAAAATAACATCAAAACAAATAATAACAATGGTCATCTATCTATCTATCTTTTTTTTTTGTCAACAAGATACCTTCAGTACCAACAAAACTATTTGTACGTAAATGATGTACACAACTTTTCGTATCAATGGAAGGAGGCTAAATAAACAAGATGTTGATGAGTAACACAAAAAAAAAAAAAGAAAATAATTGAAATAGAAATAAAAAGTCAGCTTACCATGTGAGGTAATTGAGACTTGACCACTCCAGGTTGACCAGGAGGACTTGAACCTTTACTAAGATCAAAATCAGTTAACATAATATGCCCAGTTTGATGAAGCAATATGTCTAAAATAGGAATGGACCAAAAAAAAAAAAAAAGAAATAATGAAAAAGTTAAGGTTGTAAAAAATACAATAACAATGAGTTTTTCTTTTTCTTTTTTTTTTTCTTTTTTTTTACTTTCAGGTTTGAGATCACGATAAATAAATCCATGTAAATGTAGATATTCCAATGCAGCGGTAACCTCAGCAGCATAAAATTTTGCTCCTTCTTCATTCAAACATTTTCCAGGGCGTAGTTGTAAGGCTAAAATCAAAATGAAAAAAAAAAAAAAAAATGAAAAAAAAAATAACAAATAATGAATTAGGACGATCTTTTTTTTTTTTTTTTTTTTTTTTAAATCTACACTAGATATTTCTTACCTCGGAAGAATTCACCACCAGTACAATATTCCATTACAAAATAAAGATAATCTTGACTTTGAAAAGAATGATATAAAGTGACAATAAATGGATGATTGGATGTAGTAAGAATTTCTTGTTCAGCCAAAGCACGTTTGATTTTATTTCGTTTCACCATTTCCCGTTTGGAAAGTACTATTATAAATAAGCAAAAAAAAAAAAAGAAAATTAGTTTTTAATAATAATAATAATAATAATAATAATAATAATAGAAATAAAAATAAAAAATTTTAAATCATTTACCTTTCATAGCATAAAGTTTACCAGTATCTTTTTGTTTGACCATATAAACCTTGCCAACATCACCTTTTCCTAACATTCTTACCTTTGTAAAACTAGATGGTCCAACTTGGACAGACTTAACCTTGACACTACTACTACTATAAGTACGTCTGCAGCTTCGGAAACGTTGAGAAGATAAAGAATGAACTGATCCAAAAGTTGTACCAAGGGGTTTATTGTTATTGTTGTGCATATAACCAATGGGTTGTTGTCTAGTCATATTCAAAAGTTTATCGTTGGGAGTAGAAGCTATACGTCGTATTATTTTAGTAGAATCATCTTTTGAATGGGTTGAAGAGAACCAAGAGTTACTTTTGAATCCTTTTTGATGTGAAAGTGAGGAAAAGTCGTTGGATACTGAGAATAAACTAGTAGTTGCTGATCCAGTAAAGAAGGCTTTACATTTAGAGAATCGATCAGGTGAATGATAAGACGGTGGAGGTACTTTTACTTTTGAATCCATATGAAAAAGTATAAATATTATAAGAAAGAAAAAGAAGAAGAAAACAAAAAAAAAAAAAGGAAAAAGAAAAAGAAAAAAAAAAAGGAAAGAAAAATTCAAAAGGAAAGAAAAGTTTAAAAAAAAAGCAAACAATTAACAAAAAAAAAAAAAAAAAACACTCCGAGGAAGTCAAAAAATAATAAAAAAAAATCAGGCCAAACTGAAGAAAGTTTATTTGATATATATAATAAACTAAAAAACCGTAGTTGTCATTGATTTCTTCTTACGTCTATCCTTCATATGTGGTAAAATAGTTGATTTGCATAGACGATACAAGTTGAGAGTTTCATCAAAATCCACACCTGTCACTTTTTTACGCCATTGTTCAGGAGGTATCAAATCCACAGAGAAAACACGATTCGCTTGTTCCATGAAAGTATCTTGAGCTGCTTGATTTCTTACTTCAGAAAGACAAATAATGATTGTATCAGGTCCTGCCAATTTATCCATTGTCATTACTAAACCTACCGCACTTGCTTCAGAATAAATACAATCACACGCTACAATATAATCAATAGGTCCTGCCGATTTGACATGTCCAATAGCATCATCATCATTCCATAATAATGGTTCCACCACCACTGCCATGTTCGAATAATCTTCCATTGATTTTTCATTCTTACGTCGTCCAGTGATAGATTGTACTAAAATACCATTGGCTTCTACATTACGTTCCAAAGTAGGCACCAGTTCTGCTATATCCGTCACCATCACATGTTCAATACCAAGTCGATGAAGCATCAAACCAATCAATCCTACACCTGAGCCCAGTTCCACCCATCGTTTGCCATGGTCCATATGTATCCATTCATGACGTTGACCACGTCCTTTGTGCATCCCTGCATGTAAAGCAGAAAGGTATGTACAAAACACAATTGAACTAAGCCAAACATATCCACCAAGATGATTAGAATGAGGATCTTGTACAAGTACAATGTCAGTGTCGTCAATATGAATAGTTAGTTTATCCGCTGACTGGAGTTCCCATCTATCTAACTTGGTCAGAGGTCGTTGATAATGTTGTCCATCTTCCCAACCTTCTACTGTTGCAATGGGTTTTTCTTCACTAACACTTGACCGCTTTCCCATACATACAAAAAAATAATATATATATATATATAAAAGAAGAGCTACTAAGAAAAGAAGAGAAGAATATGGAAAAAGGAAGAAGAAAAAAATATATAGAAAATGGAATAAAGTTGCACCGAAACTCCGGTTAACATAATCCAGAAATGATTATTTTTTTTTTAAAAAAAAAAAAAAGATGAAAAACATACACTATTCTTCTTTATTAAACACTAGATGATATAAAATAATATAAGTAAATAAATAAATTAAAACTAACTAGTACGATTAGTAGGCTTGAATTTGGAATTGACATGATTCTTATTTTGTTCCACCCAATCATCTACATGACATTTCCAAATACATTCATAACGACCAAACCAACCAATTTTATTCTTTTTGACCAATTGGAATCCATGACGTTTCTGTAAGATTTGTTCAGCAGCCATTTGTACTTCATTTGTAATAGCATAGATATCAGTCAATTCATTTTCTTGAGCCCATGTCATGACACGATGAATCAAAAGAGAAGATAATCCACATTGTTGATAATCATTAGCAATGGCCCATCGAGCAATAGTAGCAGTATGTTGAGGTTGAGCAGGAATGATGACAGGTCGATCCACAGAAGAAGAAGAAGAAGAAAAAGGAATAGGTAAATGAAGGGACTTGATGACTTGTTTCCATATGGGAAGAATATGAGGACGTTGATCAAGTAATGGATGATCGGATGCAGGAGCAAGACCTACCATACCACATACTTCTTCATTGGCTAATAAAACCCAAAAATGACCTGGCATCACTTCATCCAATTCAGTAGAAACTTTTCGTCGACGCACCTTGGCATTATCATCTTGTTCATAGTGAAGATATACCGAATCAGGATCATTGAGATCATTGGCCAATGCTTGTTCTACTTTATCTGTGATTTCAAATCGTTCTGTGATAATAAACATGGCACTAAAACCAACCATGGCCCAGACAAAAGTTAACACCAACTTGAGTAGTTTGATCCAATAACTTGTTTCAATGTCCACTCCAGGAAATACCATCTTGACTAAATAATTGGGCACTACCGTGAGAAGTATAGAATAACCCAAAAACCAGATGATCCACGTCGATGCACTCCACAACTTGCGTCGTACTCCTTCCGGCACAAGAGCGAATAACGTAGAAGTATAAAGGGCACGCACTGCTTCATAATCTGTAGGTCGATAAGTACGAAGCATCAATTTAGGTGTAGCAGAATGTTGAGCTTTTCCTTCATTAGTTTTTGTATCGTTATCATTGATTGTTGACATTTTCTTTGGGGATAACAAATAAAAAGAAAGAAAGAAAGGAAATAAAAAAAAAATGAGAGAGACGAAAAAAAAAAAAAGGTAAAGCGTCGGTTTCTGAACAAACCGGATAAACTCAATTTCCTAAGATATTTTCACTGTACTCCCCCCCCCCCAGCATACTGATAGTTTCAATTGACAAAAAAAAAAAAAAAAAAAGCGACCACTTACTCACCATATTCAATTTTTGTATATTCTCTTTTTTGGTACACACTTTTTTTTCACCTGTAACCCATATTATTCAATTACGCAAACTATTTATTCCTCTCCGTCAATTCTTATGAAAAAAAAACAGTATTACTCTTTGTCTCAATTTAAAGTGAATAAACTATATAATGGATCCACAATAAAAAATGATCATCATAATTATATATAAAATAAAAATGAAATAGATAAAGTGATTGGTTGATAATAAAACAAAATAGATGGAGTTAAAACATCATTTTTTTTATTGAAATAAGTAGTGTAAAACAATAAACAAATAAGAGGAAGAGTGCGTGTATTTCGTATACTGTATATGTAAAAAAAAAGAAAAAAAGAGAGAGAGAAAATACGAAACGAGGGGATTCTACTGATATAATAAAAGAAAACAAAGATAAAATAAGTATCCAGTAAGAATATTTCTTCCAAAAATAAAAAAAGAAAAAAAAATAAAAAAAAATACCTTGTGAATATAAATACAACTTGTATCCCTTATAAAGGTCATTGGAAAGTGATTGTGAATATGATAAGTGTAGATGAGATTGTTGTCTTTAATGGTGTTTCTTGTCCTTGAGGAAGAAGTGTTCATAAGTACAGTAAACAGCAAAGGCAACAGTTGCATAACCTAAACCGGGGAAAAGAGTTCTAAAGTTGTTGGACTTTGAGAAAATTTGGTGAGATCTCCAAGCTTCTCGTCTCTTCCAAGGATCGTTATAAATAGGTCGACGAGCTTGAGATTCAGTATGGCTTCTCAACATTGTATAGGATAAAGAAGATAATGTAACAAGGGAAAGGAGAAAAAGAAAATGAGAAGAAAAAAATAATAAAAACAAAAAAAAACAATTCACAGTCAGACTGGGTTCAAATTTGTACCCCTTTTCCCAATGAGAGAGAGAAACAAAAGATGATGGCAAATCATCCTTATTCTTTTTCGTCACCAACATTGATTCAAGTACCGCAAAAAAGGTAATGTATGTAAAAGATGTTTTTATTATTTAATGAAGAAGAATAATATATACAAAATAAAGAATAAGTAAAATAATAATAATAATAATAGTATCTAATTTTAACTAGAATTAATATAAGTATCAATAATCTTTGTTCTCTAACCAAGAAGCAGAAAGACCATCTGAGCAAGTCCAATACCATTCCCTATCCAAAGAAGAAGAGCCAATCATGGATGATCGCCTTAATTCGTCCAGAATCAAAGAGATAGATGGCCAAAATGGATGATGTCTTCCACCTTTAATATTGCTATTATTGTCCAAAGGATATGAAGTATGCGGATAATGATGATGATGATTGGTATGAATGTTCTTTTTATCTGGATGTCTTTCAGTTTGTTGAGACGTAGTAGTGGTTGGATGTAAATGTCCTGATGAATGATGAGAAAGTAGTGTCACATAGTCAGTTGTTGTTGTTGTTGTTGTTGTCGTTGATGTGTTGACATTGTTGCTAGTGAATAAGGAGGCTAGCCAATGAATGGGTGTAGATGATAGATGAGATGGTGCAGATGATTCAATAGATGGATTTGTTGCTGGTAAAAGAGATGACGTGGTATCGTTACTGGAGGTTTGTTGTTGACTAGTAATCTGTTGATATTTTTCCATCACTTCTTGTTGCACGCGTATTTCATTTTCTTCCACTTTTTTCACATAAGCTACTTGGAGATGATTGATAGTGATGGACAGTTGACCAATTTCTTGTAAAAGTTCTTGTAACAGTTGTACCATACAGAAAAATTCATTCACCAAGAAAGAAAAAGTATATGACTGTCGTCCATCAGATGCCTTTTCATTGATCATGCTGGGATCATCATTGTTACCGTTATTGTTTTCATCCGGAGCCAGCCAGATAAATCTTGCATCCATAGTATCCACGTCAGTCACGATATTTTGTAAAATAGCGTTACTCATATTGCTAAGTTCCGTGATATCAAAAGCACGCTGTAGTCGACGATTCAAGGTTCGAGTATCTGTTGATTGAAGACGTTGTAATACTGCACGAGCTTGATTCAAAAGTGTAGTGTAAGGGGTGAATGATGAAGGCGTTTCTGGTAAGGTGGTCAGTGGTGGTGATTGAGATAGTGGTATTGTTTGTTGATGAAGATCGGTTATAATAACAGGTCTTTCAGTTGTCGATACAGGGGCAGAAGAGCTTGGAGAGAGAACAAAGGTATCATCCAGAGTATTGATCTGTTGTATTTCTTCCGCGTCTTGATGATGGTAATGGTTATGAGTTTTGTCGATATTACTGAGAGTGATGGGTGATATCATTCCAAAATTAGATTCATCTTTTGCTGTTGATTTGGTATGCATAGAGGAAGGAAAAGGCGTAGGTAATTTTAGATCATCACAGTGTTGATCGCGACATAAAGTTGGTACAATATCCTGATTGGGTTCTTCATCAAGGGTATCACTTTGTTTGCGTTGTCGTAAATAATAATGATAATGATGATGTACTACAGGTGTAGATGTTGTTGTTTGAGGTATGGGAGAAGTGGAAGATCGCATAGAAGAAGAGGAAGAAGATTTGAGACCATCTCGAACTGATTTTGATCTAGGCATTCGAGTTGAAGTTGAGCGATGTCGTCTTGATCGAGAGTCATTATTGATGATAGTAGTGCTAGAAGTAGTTTGATTGTTTGTAAAGGTGGAGTGTCGTACATTTGAATTTGACTTATTGTTGGCTTTTTTTGTAGATTTGGTGATACCTTTCCCCATGTTCATATCTTGATCTTGAAGAGAAGCAGCTTCATTCCTTGCATCTTCTAGTCGTGCTGTAGTATTTAATAATTCATTTTTGAGACTTGTATTTGTTGATAAAAGTTCATTGATAAAAGCATGTAATTCATCAGTTGTAGCACGTTGAATATCAGCTACAGTTGGAGTGGTAATAGTAGATAATGACTAAAAAAAAAAAAAAAAAGAAAGAGAAGAGATTAGTATAAAAGTATTCAAAAAGAAATAAAAAAATAGTACCTTGATATTGAATTTTGTTTTCAAAGTTGGTTTATTCGTATCTTGAGAAGAATAGGATAAGGATTCTAATAAAAATAAAGAAAAAAAAATTAGAATTTATATGTTGTATTCATTGTAGTACTAATAATAATAAGAATCATAATTATTTACCATAACGAGCCATAAGTTTTTTGTATTTAGATTCCAAAACCATTTCGTTTTTTCTTGAAATAATTAATTCTTGAGTTGTATCTTCAAGCTAAAAATATATATATATATATATATATATATATATATAAATAAAAGAAAGAATTATTTGATATATGAATATTATTATTATTTATTTATTTACCTTTGATTGTAAAGTATCTTCACGAGAATCAAATTGATGAGATTTGACTTTAAAGAGTTGTAATTTTTCTAGTTCAGATTTTGTACGTTCTAGTTCTTCAGTCAATGCAGCACATTTATTGTTTGTATTTTCCAAATCCGCTACTGATTCATTCAATATCTATTTAAAAGCATATTATTTAAGTAAGTAAAAAAAAAAAAAAAAACAATATAATATATATTAAATATAAACCTTTTCTGATTTTTCATATTGCCACATCCATTTATCTTTTTCTCGATGTAATTGTTGTGCAAATCTTTCAGTTTCATCCAAAGATATTTCTAATTCTTGTTTTCTTTCTTGACATTGTTCAAACTACAAAAGAATAAATAATAAAAAAAAACGGTTACACATAAACCTATCTCTCTCTCCCCCCCCCACCATTCCTACCTCCCCATTCCTCCTATTTCATTTTTATTTTTTTTTATTATTTTTTTTGTTTTATTTTTTTTTACCCGTTCTTTTAGTTGATTAGATTCCATTAAATAAACATCGTTCTTTTGTAGCAAAGATTGTCCAATTTCTATAAAAATATAAATAATAGATCAGTATTATTGTACAACTATATAGAAACAATAAAGGAGTACCTGCTGCTAATCGAGTTTCGGTTTCCAATTTTCGAATCATTTTACGTATATTTCTCCAAGAATCACATTGTATTGATTGACAACAAGGACAATTGGTTGTGGTAATAGTAGAAGTAGTACTAGTAATTGAAGCACCATCGTTTAAGGTTTCTGTTGATTGACTACTGTTGCTTCTACTAAACCATTCATCTAGAGAGTGTTCTAATGATGTAACGTTATTGTCATTGTTAATTGATGTTGTAATTGGTCGATGTAATGAACGAGGTTTATTTGATGAAAGAAAGAGTGACATGAAGAGTGTGTTATATATATAAAGAAATAAAAAAGGGAATAAATAATATAAAAATTAATATAATTTTTTTTCACATTGACAAAAAAGGGAAAAAAAAGATAAAGAAAGAAAGAAAGAGAAAGAAAATATAATGCAGGCCAAAAAGAAAAAAAAGAACTAAGGGAGTTTTTTTTTTTTTTTTTTTTTATATATACCTAAAAAAAATAAAAAGTCATCAGACCTTGAAAACAAAAAAGGGCCATTTTTTCGTATCACCAAACGGTTTCCTTTTTTAGATTTCAACCGGTGCCTTTTCAATGATAATAAAAGAAGAGAGATTTTTTTCTTTATTCATAATGAAAAAAAAAAAAATAAATATCAAATACTTGAAATATCGCGACCAAATAATCCAGTTTTAGTCCAATCAATACTTAAATTGAGACGAGTTCTAAGACTAACTTGTTCACTCCAATAGACACTACGCCATAAATAAAGAGCCCATAATCCACCAAGCATTTTGAATCCACCAGGTGTACCAGTATTAAATTCACCAACTGCCGTATTGCCCAAATATGCTAATGCACCCAAATGCTTGTAATCAAAAGGATTTACTTGTGCATTTGTCTTATCTTCATCCCCTTTTTCTTTAGCCAAGACATTGAGATAATGACCTAAATGATTACCTTGTTGTGATGCTACTTGAGCCGTCTATAATATAATATATATATTCATAAAATAAATTAATTTCTTTATATATATATATAATATAAATCAAACAAAACTTACTGCAGGTAAATGAGTCATTTTACTATCAACGTCTTGAAGTAAAGTTCGCATTTCATCCATATCCAAAAGTCCATTTTTATCCTTGTCATAAGTATCAAACATTTCCACCAATTGTCCCAAATGTTGTTTTGTCAAAGGATAACGTCGAGAGATATATTTAACAACATGAGCAAATTCTTCCATTGTTAACATACCATCATGATTTCTAATAAATAATTATAAAATGTCAGTAAAGCAAAGTATGTTTTTTTTTTTCTTTCTTACTTACTTATCAGCTCGTTCGAAGAGTTCAATAATACGATTCACTAGTTTAGGATTTTGAATACTTGCACAATCACCAAGAGCAAAAATAGAATGATCTGGAATACCCTTGACACGTAAATATTCATCAGTCCATAATACACGTTGATGACGTTGAGCATCCAATTGTTCAGCTAAATTCTTTGTAAACGATGTCATTGCTAATCATTCATATATATACATATATTAGTATCAAAACATACACATGCATATACATTTATTATATATTCTTTTTTTTATTTTCCTCTTCATACCAATGCCAGTAGCCCATAAACAAAGACCAAAAGGTATTTCAACAAGTTCGGAGGAATCAGAATCAGGACTTTTGCGTCTATATATCACTTTGCCATCTTCAATACGTTCCACCCGAGAATTTGTCACCACATTAATTTTCTTGCGTTTGAATCGATTTTCTGCATAATTACTAATTTCATGATCAAATGTATTCAGAATATGATCCCTTGATTGAATAATCGTCACTGACACATCTGGTCGCATTGATTTGGGGAACTACAATATAAACATATATTTGTAAAAAAAAACATTTGTATAACAACACAAGTATTTTTTTTTCCTTTTCTTACCCATTTCACAAAATCTTCTTCAATCCAATCCGATAGCTCAGCAGCGACTTCCACATTAGTGGGACCCCCACCTACTGCTACGAATGACAATAATCTTTTACGTTCTTCAGGTGTTGTTGTTGGTAAAGCAGCTTGTTCAACATTGTTCATGATTTTTCGTCGGATGTTGATAGCATCTACAATAGTTTTAAGTGGCAATGTATGTTCCAATCCTTCTACACCATGAGAGATACTAGTTGCTCCTACAGCTATCACCAATTTGTCGTAAGGTACATAGTATCGTTCATTCTCCAATGGTACTCCATTATGTTTCACCCTTTCCACTTCCACTAACTTGTTGTCAATATCTACATCCACAGCTTTGCCTTCTAGGAAATGACCTTGTACACGTGCCGCTATTTTTCGAATGGGTTCCAATAATGACCTATATATAAATAATAATAGTGATTAGTATCAATTGTTCCAATAAAAAAAAAAAAGAAATTTATAATGAACTTACCGAAGTTCTAAGGTTCCAACTGTGGCACTTGGTAGTAATGGAGTGAATAAGAAGTAGTTGTTTTCACTAATCACTGTAACATTGTATTTGTCTTTGTCCAAGGACTTGAGCACTGAGACTGCACCCCATCCACTTCCAACAATGACCAACCTAGGTTTGTCTTCTTCTAACGGATTGTCATCCAATTGATGAGATACCACAGGTAAATTCTTCTTTCCACCAGTATCAGGATGAAGTGCAAGAGGAGGTACATTATCATGAGCTTGTTGTATTGCACTTTCGAGATATTCCTTATCCTGTTGCAAAATATACGCAAGAGTCCCTACACCAACTATGGCAGAAGCAAGTAAACCGCGTCGAATCCATTTGCCTTTTTGAAATAGTTTCTTCTTGGGAGCTGAAGTCACATTATCTTGTTGTTGTTGTGTAGTATATTCACGTAGAGAAAAGGTAGTTGTATTCCAAGTTCTTCTTACTGTTGAGGTTGCTGTTGATTCGGAAGATACGCGTCCCAAGATAAAGTTTCGAGAACGATAGACTTTCGTTGGAAAAGTTTGCATTGTTTGCTTGTTACCAAGAGACATGGCAAAACGTTGACCGTACATTTCTAATAGATAGTAGCAATACCAAAAAAAAAAAAAAAAAAAATAATAAATAAATAAATAAAAAGAAGAAGAAGAAAAAAGAAAAAGAAAAGAAAAACTTGAAAATAAGGGAAAGGGCAAGTGAAACGTTTAACACTTCTCACTAGGCGGATCTTAAAATATAATAGCGTAAAAAGCATAATTTCTCATTGCCATGAGAGCTTGATAGTGTAAAATCAATCACCATCATCTATTAACAACTAGAGAAATTTACCATCCTAATGATATACTTATCATTATTTATATATTTTTATATTTACATTAATTCAGTACCTTTTATTTTTTTTTATTTCTATATTGGTACCTCGGATTTCCATCAAAGTTTGGAAAAATCTTTAGGGAAAAAGGTTTAAGATCATTCGGGAGATTATTTTCCCTTGAAGATCTAATGATAAATCGTCAAGTTCAATTGTAGAAAATGGTGGGAAATTGATACCAATCAAAAAGAAATGATATTAACTATCATCATCCATAGATACTATTAGCTATTCATTTACCATCATACATAAGAATGAATGTAGACCTATAATCAACCATGAAAATAAAGAATTTTTTCATCTATCTGTATCTAATAGCTACACAATATAGCTTTTCATTGGCATGTTTTTGATATCAAAAAGATTAAAGTAAAGACAAAATTTCCTAGGATGATTCAATGATGACGGATTTATAATGATAATGAGTTCTATGGATGACATACAGTAAATGCTCTGTAAAAATAGAAAGCCTCATAATACCATACAAAGTAATCATCTATTTTGTTTTGAGGGGATTGATTTGTATATATATATATATAATAATGATTGATATATATATTTATTCAACATATTTTTTTTATTATACGTTTTATTTTATTTTTTTGCCCTTTGCTTTTTTTCGATAATGAGCGTCTGCATGATTTTCATATTTCGTATTGAAGTCTTGAGCCCAAGCCACATTACATCTCACTAATTTTGCTTCCAAGTCTGGCACTCCCCCTTCTTGTCGGTGTGTAAAAATATATCCCTCTCCAAAAAAAAAAAAAACAGGAATTATATATTTTTTTTTTTCTTTTCTCTCTACTTTTTTTTTTTATATCTATCGATTGATCATGTCATTGAAGTTATTCACACAATCTTTATTAGGTAAATGGACTAGTCCTTTATTACCTGGACGACAAGTAGCTGCTGCTTTTCATACTAGTTTGATACATCAACAAGCTGCTACTTCTACCACCACTACTGAACCAACTTGGTCTCCCAATTCTATACGAACTGGTGTTATTGCAAAGAAGAAGGGTATGACATCTACTTGGACTGCCGAAGGTGTACGTATTCCCGTTACTATTTTACAGGTATGTATAACATTAGAAAGATTGAATCGTAAAAAAAAAAAAAAAAAGGATCATCTCACATTCTTTTTGTTTATTCTATTTTATTTTATATTCAATATGGACAACGATAATGATAATAGCTGGAAGATGTGATTGTGACTGACGTACGTAATGACAACAAACATGGTTATACTGCTTTACAAGTAGGTTGCAGTCCTTTGAAAGAAAAAAGTGCTAGTAAACCTATGAAAGAACATTTCAACAAACTCGGTGTTCCTTTACGACAAAAACTCTTGGAATTTCGTGTATCTAATGATGCTGTTTTGCCCATTGGTACTCCTCTGAAAGCCAACCATTATATTGTCGGTCAATATGTAGATGTTACTGCTCCTTCGTAAGTTTAGAAAAGAAGAAAAATGGTAATATAAGGGGAAAAAAAGTGATTGATTTTTTATTATTATTATATTATATAGTATTGGTAAAGGGTTTGCTGGTGTGATGAAACGATGGAATTTTGGTGGTTTACCTGCTTCTCATGGTCATTCCTTGTCACATCGTTCTGCTGGTTCTACTGGTCAACGCAAGGTAAGTTAAAATAATATATATATATATTTAAAAACTAATATACGGATGTTTTTTGTTTTAATAGTGGCCTAGTAAAGTGTTCAAAGGAAAGAAAATGGCTGGTCGATTGGGTGGTGAAAGTGTAACGGTACAAAACTTGGAAGTGATCAAGGTAGATACTGAATTGGATCTATTATATATCAAGGGTTCTGTACCTGGTTTTGATGATCAATTTGTCAAAATCAAGGATGCTGTCAAGAAGAAAGGCGATAAATTATTCCCCAAGGATTCTGCCCCTCCTCCTTTCCCTACTGCCATTCAACAATAGAATTTACCTCCCTATCTCTTTCTCCAATTTTGTGTCATAGATTTTTTTTTTATTCTTTTTATATTATTATTATCTTACATATCTTTTTTATACATATATAATAAAAAAAAAAATACATACAGTGTTTTCAAAGTTTTTTGTCGGGTCACAAGAAAATGCTTTTCGTGATGTTATCAAAATAAAAAATCGTACTTTCCCAAAATGGATGTCGCATTACCACTTTTTCAGATATCGCTCTAGAGATGTCGGTAGAGCATGTCATTGATTGATGATTGATGATTGATGACTGATTGTTAGCTGATTCTTTTCAACAGGCCATATTTAAAAACGAAAGAACTATATTTTTTATATTCAGTTAAGACAGGGGTATACTAATGTAATATTCATATCTTGTGATGTTGATGTGAATTTGCATAATAGTTCCTTTCTTTTTTTTAAAAAAAAAAAATACATTTACTCGGGTCTTCTTTGTTTATTTTCATCAACTGATACATTCGATCGATCGATAACGAATGTAAATTTGCATAATAGTTCTTTTTTTTTCTTCTGAGATATTTTTGCCTGGTTTATTTTATTCCTTGATCAAGTGAGAGATATAAAAAAGTGCTATTTTATTTTTCTTTTTTTTTCTGTTTCTTTTTTCTCTTTTTTTTTCCTTTTTCTTTTTTTTTCTTTTTCTTTTAATTTCTTTATCTATTTTGATATCAACTTTTAAACCAATTTACAAGCACACAAGACCTTTATATACATCCATACCAAATACAAGTTTTTTTTTCTGGACTACAACTTCACAAGCATCAAGACGGGCCTTTAGGTCCATTTGCTTTTTTTTATATATATACTTATTGGACTTCCTTCTTTTCTTTGCTTGCATCAATAGTAAGTTTCTTTTAATGATGATGATGATGATGATGATACAGTATATTAATCATTCTCTTTTTCTCTTTTTCTTTTTGAAATCTCTCTTGGTGTTTCCAATTCAAAGTGAATATCAACCTGTAACAGCAACATATTAAACTATGTTATCGCCTCTTCGGAGGACGCATTTAATGCTTCTCTACAGGTAATTTGAAATAAATATAAAAAAAATGGATATGTTGACTAAATAATATTTCATTTTCTGTTATTCAAAATACTCAATGGAACTACTATCACTCCTTTTCTTCTTGTTCTTTTTCTTAATCTACCCTCAATTTGGATTATGCGACAACCCTCTCTTTTCTACCCCGTCATTTATTTTCTATCCTTACGATATTTTATTTCCTATTTTTGCGACATCTTATTCTTTGAATTCCATCATTTTTTACTGGTTTTTTCCGTTCGCTTGGCGGGTGGCAGGATTTTTTTAACGTGCAAATAAAAAAAGTTGACGTGCAAATGAATTGTGGCACACGTGAATCATTTTTCTACCTCACGCCAAATGGTTTTTTAATACACGCCAAATGGTTTTCTGGCACACGCCAACCGTTTTCATGGTGCACGCAGATGATTTCTAGTACACGCATGTGTGTAACTGTTTTGCGACAAATGTAAATGGATTTATGAGACAACTTTGATTTTTGGATGATTTTTGGATGCCAGTAAAAAAAAAAAAAAAAAAAAAAAAAAAGAGGCATCGTTGTGTCAAAAACGACAAATTGAGCGACAACTTTGATTTTTGGATGATTTTTGGATGATTTTTGGATGCCAGTAAAAAAAAAAAAAAAAAAAAAAAAAAAAAGAGGCATCGTTGTGTCAAAAACGACAAATTGAGCGACAATTTTGATTTCTGGATGATTTCTGGATGATTTTTGGATGATTTTTGGATGATTCTTGGATGCCAGGCATCGTTGTGTCAAAAACGACAAATTGAGCGACAAACTTGATCTTTTTGCTGGCATCCAAGAATCATCCAAAAATCATCCAAAAATCATCCAAAAATCATCCAGAAATCATCCAGAAATCAAAATTGTCGCTCAATTTGTCGTTTTTGACACAACGATGCCTCTTTTTTTTTTTTTTTTTTTTTTTTTTTTTACTGGCATCCAAAAATCATCCAAAAATCATCCAAAAATCAAAGTTGTCGCTCAATTTGTCGTTTTTGACACAACGATGCCTCTTTTTTTTTTTTTTTTTTTTTTTTTTTGCTGGCATCCAAAAATCATCCAAAAATCAAAGTTGTCTCATAAATCCATTTACATTTGTCGCAAAACAGTTACACACATGCGTGTACTAGAAATCATCTGCGTGCACCATGAAAACGGTTGGCGTGTGCCAGAAAACCATTTGGCGTGTATTAAAAAACCATTTGGCGTGAGGTAGAAAAATGATTCACGTGTGCCACAATTCATTTGCACGTCAACTTTTTTTATTTGCACGTTAAAAAAATCCTGCCACCCGCCAAGCGAACGGAAAAAACCAGTATTGAATAAAGTGTACACACCTAACTCTATATTGACTCTTTTAGGAAGAACTTTTTTGTTTTGGAACACCGCTTACACCTTCATTGGGCAACAGCCACCAATAAAATATTTTTATTTCTTTTTTTTTTTTTTTTCTATTCTTCTTTGTTTTCTTTTGACAGTGATCGATCAACATTTTAATTCATGTCTACCACCAAAAAACGAACTTATTCCCAGGAGGAAAATGATACGCCACCAACAAAAAAACAACTTTTGGACACTAAATCGACCTTGACTTCTCTCCTAAGTAAATCTATTGAAAAAGCAGAAGGCGACGAAGATTTTCGTATCATTACAGGCACTTATGAACGTATTCTTTATGGTATCAATTGTTATTGGACTGAAACCAAAACAGATAAGGTAAAAAAAAAAAAAAAGAATGATTATTTGTTACTGTTTCTATAGATCTCATTGTTTCCTTGCTTATTTTTTATAACTATATAGAAACGACGTTCATTGACATTGGCACCTATTTTTATTGTACCAGCACATACAGGTTTGATTCGCACAGTTGGGATCGGTGGTCACTTTCTTGCATCAGGAAGCACAGACGAAATCATTCGATTGTATGATATTAAGAAACGAAAGGAATATGGATCATTGGGTGGACATCACCAAGGTGATATTACTGATATCAAGTTTTATGGAAAATTCATGTTAACAGCAAGTGAAGATCATTCTATTTGTCTGTGGCGAACAAAAGATTGGGAATATTTGAAAACACTCAAAGGTCACAAAGGTCGTGTCAATTCTTTGGCGATTCATCCAACTGGAAAGATTGCATTATCTGTATCAGTTGATCGTACAGTCATTGTTTGGAATCTTATGACGGCAAAAAAAGCAAGTGTGAACAAATTACATGGTAAACCAATTTAAATGACAAGAAATATCAAAAAAAAAAAAAAAAAAAACTTGAATAGTCTCTCATTATTATTATTATTGTTGTTGTTGTTGTTCTCAGGTGAAGGGATGAAAGTATTATGGAATGAAAAAGGTGATCAATATGCTATCATGTTTGATCGGAATCTCAAGGTTTACAACGTTTCGGTAAGTTGAAGTTTATATTAAAAAAGAAAAAGAAAAAGGAATTTTATACTAATATGATTTTTATATAGGATGCTGAAGTAAAACAATCTATGGAACATCGATCTAAATTTCATGATGCGTGCTATTGTACCGTGGATGACAAGGAATATCTTATTTCTGGACATGAAGATAAGACAATCCGAATGTGGGATGTGACAACTGGTGATTGTATATCTGAAATAGTCAAAGCACATGACTACCGAGTCAAGACAGTAGCTATAGTTGAAAATGAAGGAACAATTGTATTGGTATCTACATCATCAGAAGGTTGGATCAAATGTTGGGATATCAAGGAAATGGTAGCGTCCAAAGGCAAGGATTTACAAGTATTAGGTCAATATAATACCAAAAGTAGAATCACATGTTGCGCCGTACATCAAGGTTTTGCCAAGTCAGAAGATCATTAGTATAGAACATCATATTGTGTATATATATATATCATTCATTCAAATAAAAAGATTGTGGAAGTATAGAGTTTTCTTTTTTTTTTTATTGTCCGCATGTTATTTTTTTTTCTTTCTTCCCTGGTTTGACTTTTTTTTTTCTTTCTTTCTTTCTTTCTTTCTTTCTTTACCCCTTCCATTCTCTATAATCTTATTGATTCTTTATATATAGTCTTTTTCCTCTTTTTTTCTTTTTTCCTTCTCTTTATATCTACTTGTTCTTTTTGACTTCTTCCTTCAACATACTGAGGCATCGCAGTATGTCAGCATGGAGAACGACGGCAACACTCTTCTCAATGAATCATCAATTGTAGCAACAACCAAGTCTCGAAAACAAAGACAACGACAACAACAGCAAACTGGTGGTTCATCTGAAAAACGACCTAAAGCCAATCACGCCTGTGATTATTGTAAAAAGAAAAAGGTAAAGGCGGCATAAAGTTATTTTGGTTAAGCTTATATTCTTACTTTGACTCGTCAAGTTTCAGTATTGGATTTAATTCTACCCACAATATATTATATACTTTTTTAACTCAGATAAGTGCAACAATCAAAATTTTATTAACTTTTTTTTTTCTTTTTTATTCTAGCTCAAGTGTAATGGTGAAAATCCTTGTGCTCGTTGTCAGAAGCTCTCCATTGTATGTACTTATTTAAAACCTTATACAAGTTCCGTAGAGCAACGATTACGTGCTTTAGAGAAGGTGGTGGATTTCTTATCAGCTGAACCTATCGTGGATCAACGTTGTCGTCAACAAGTGAACAATATCCCAATACCGTTATTGAAACCAATAGGTAACTTAAAAAAAAAAAAAGAGCTTTATTTATTTGTTTGTTTAATGTTTTGTTTTGTTGACTAGAAAAATTTAGTTGCAGCTCAATAGGACAACCATATTATACCAATGATTGGAATGCACGCCTTGATCGAATCCCTGCTACGTTTGACAAGATGACTACCTTGGACAATGAACCCAGAAAACCGGATGCAGCTATTTTACCAGATACATTCATCAATCCACACTTACTTTCAGTCTATTTTACTCATGTACATCCTTACTTTCCTATGATTCATCGTGAATCCTTCCTCTTGCATCTATCCGATACAAGTCCATTACTATTGAAGGCCATGTATGCTGTTGCTGAACAATGGGTTGATATGGATCGTGTTTCTACTTTGATCTCTGATTCTCCTTTATCTACAGACCAAGTCTCTCCTGGATTCAAATACTATAAAGATGCTATCTCCTTGGTGGAACTTTATACGGATGCTCCTCGACTATCGACAATTCAAGCACTTTTATTGATCATCAAATATCAAGAATTGGTTCAACGTCCTGGTTTCTTTTTTCGTACTCGACTTTATTTTGATTTGGTGGTTCGCATGTGCAAAGATCTGGGTCTATCTCGTCCACTTTCTCCTAATTGTCAAGTCCATCCTATCTTAGCCGAACAAAGAAGACGTATCTTTTGGACCGCCTATATTTATGATCTTTTGATGAGGTAATAATTATAATATATATATATATATATATATATAATGTTGACATCAATTTTATATGATTTTATTATTTTTGTAGTACGGAACATGGAACACCTGTTAATTTTCCAGTAGATGAAAGCACTGTGGAATTACCAAATCTTTTGGATGATGAAAAAAACTCAAAGGAACAACATGATACAACTCTTTACTTCCATTGGATGATCCTGGTGATGAAAGGTCAAGGTGCGGTATTACAGTATCTACAACGAAAATATAATGGTCGATCAAGTCAACAACATCAACAGAGTATGGATGATCACTTGCAACAATTACAACAGCATATGAAATCTTTAGGAACAGAATTACAGTTATGGAAGGAACCTGCTCGTGGTCGGGTCAACTTTTTATTCTTAGCTTATCATTTCAGTAATATTTTATTGTATCGATCAATTGCTTTGGATCTCATCTACAACAACGACAGCAATGTCAATGGAAATATTATCCCTGTCAGCAAAAAAGAAATATTGAAAATGGATAAGGATCATGTCAAGGAGGTCTTGTTACAGGAAGCCAATGCTATTGTCAATATAGTGGAAATGCTACTTCGGGACCATACGGTGGCTTGTTTACATTATTCTTTCCGTGGAATTCAACAGATTATTCATTATTTGACTGCATCTTGGACAGTTCAACTCATGTATCAACAAACAAACGATAACAAGGTGAAGAAAATGATACAGCAATTGATTACAAGGACTCCCGCCATTGAACTCCATATTACTGAAAATGCGTCACTACTGAAAGCAGACTCCACACTTATGAAATCGACTGGATCAGAAATAAGATCTTCATCAGGAAAAGCGAAACAAAGAGTTGAACGTCAAGACCAGCCACCAAGATTCCAACAAAAATCATCACAGCCGACGTCGTCACCGTTTTCATCATCATCAGTTTCGTTAGAACAACTTGATCCATCGAGTTCTATACCCATCGATCCAAATAAAATCCAAACGTTTGGTTATGCTCCTCCAACCTCTTTACCAACTCAATTTTTATTTCAGCAACCTGGGAACTTGCATCAAACGAATCATCTCAATTTGGACAGTTCATCTCAACTTCAATATGTACCACCATCGACATCATCGCCCATACCCTCATCCCATATCCGTCATACAATACGCCCATCACTTATTCTGGATACCACAATGCCATCAACAATATATCAATCTTCTTCTGATACTTCACCCATGATACCAACTCCTCCTCTTGGATCATCTTCTTCGGCTTCATCCTTATCAACAAATGCTTCTATTATTGCTGATACTTCTTCTCCAGGTGGTGCACAACGTTCATTACGATTACGACGCTCCCATCAGCAACTTCGAAACACATCACATCATCGTTTATCATTATCGGGTTCAAATACCATGGATGCAAGATCTAGTGGATTATCTTTACATCATCCTTATATGACGTCCTCTCATTCTCCTTCATCTACAACCTCCTCCAGCACAAATGCAACTACTACTCTTCGTCAAACACATCGTCGACACACAGTATCTTCTAGACCATCATCCCCATCATCTTTGTCTTTGCCTTCATCACCATTACATCGAATGACACTATCAGATGATCCTTGGATTCAGTCACCTCCTATTATTATTCCATCAGATCAATCATCATCACCGTCCTATTATTGTTCATCTTCTTTGTCTCCTCATTCGGTCACAGCTCCTCCATCTTCTATCAATGAACAACAACAACAACAACAACAACAACAACAAAATCATCCATTCTACCAACATCAGGAACAACAGGAAATATATGGTATGACTACCTTGGAAGTATCTTGTTTACCAGGTGCATCTTTGGGTCTATCAATGGATGAACATTCAACCATGGATTTGTTATCAAATCAAACTTCAATGATGGGTACATTATGGGATCAAGTACCAACAACAACATCATCAGCAATATATTCGCCGTCTACCATCTTTCCTTCTCAATTGTATCAAGACCAACCATAAGTTAGATTATAGTTAGTTCTGTTATGCAAAAAGTTATCTTCCTCTTCTTTTTATTTTTTTTATTACTTTTGTTTTGTTATATTGTTCTTATCTTGCTTTGATTTCCTTACGTTATCCAATAAAAAAAAAAGTTCCTGTTTACACAATGTCTTCGACAATAATAATAAAACATCAAAGAACTGTAATTGATTAATATATTATACACTTTTATTTGTTTGTTCAAATTCTCATGTTTTGACTATAATATATCTATATCATAATAGAACCATCTATCTATATCTATATCTATATCTAAATCCTTAAACTTTTAAAATTTCATTGGGAATGTATATGATATTCGAAGAATCATGAAAGAAACGTTGAGTATTAAAATATTGGCTGCGGATGAAGATAGATTCTACTGTGTCTTTATTTCGTATCAGCAATGGAATTGATTGGATGAATAATTCAGCGGATTGAAAACTAGGTTCTTGTCCAATAAGAAATTCTAGGCCCTATGAATGAAATCCACTTCCTTACAAAGAAAAGGAAATGAGTGTATTGATATTTAAACATAGTTCTTTTTTATATATACTTTATGGGAAATCAATGAGAGTATATATATATGTCAGAGATGTGTGATAAGATTGACATATAAACAGTTTTGTTATTTCTTCGCTTGCCTAATATGGATTTCGGCCACACCTATAAAAATTCATATACAGCCAACTTAAGTTCACCTCCTTTTTCTTGTTTCTCTTTCTTCCTTTTTTTTTTTTTTTTTTTCCTTTTTTTCCTTTTTTTTTTTTCTTTCTGCTACTGTTTCTGGTCAGCATCCTTCTTTTCCTTTTTTTTTCTTTTCTTCTTTTAACTTCTATTTTATTATATTAAAGTAAAATAATAAAAATGGGTGCAAACGGGTCAAAAGATGCTTCCTCAAGATCTAGTAGTTTACAATCCATTCATTTCAAAAATAAACCTCAAGAACAAGTTGACTTTGGTACTGTATTCCCAAATGGCCTTTATTCCACCACTCCACAAGACTTTGACTCTAGAATCCTACGACAACTCATTTTATCCAAAAAATTATCTCCTTTTTATAAAGGTAAATATATTATTATTAGTATTATTGTATTGAACTCTCTCTCTTATTATTATTTTATTATTGACAAAATAAAGGTCTACCTGATGCCCCGGAACAAGTAACAGCAATTTCTCATTTACCCCAATTACAACCTTCTACTTCATTATCAACATTATCAACACCGCATGTTACAAAAGGACGACCTCGTAGTGCTTCTAACCGAAGTGAAAAGATGCAACGAACAGTAGAAAAGGAACCTTCTTATGCCGACAAGATGAAAGCACAAAAGGCCATGTTATACAATGATGCTGTAGAATGTCCTATTTGTTTTTTGGTAAGGGATGAAAATGATGTTTTATAAAATAATGTATTCATTTTTTTTTAAATATAGTATTATCCACCAAATATCAATTATTCTCGTTGTTGTGATCAACCCATATGTACTGAATGTTTTATCCAAATTCATCGACCCACAGATGATCCCTCAAGTCCTGCCACATGCCCTTTTTGTTTGGAATCAAATTATGGTATAACTTATACTGCACCTGCTTGGAGCGAAAAACCAAAACGACTTCGATCCTTTTCTTCTTCTTCTTCCTTATCAACATCCTCATCTCCTGTCATTTCCACTGGTGCTCGTCATACTACTTCTGGTGTTAGTGATGGTGTAAAACCTCGTAGAAAAAGTATCAGTCATAAACATCCGGATGTCGTTTTGATAGGTATAAAATGAAAAAAAAAAATAGTGATAATAAGGAAAATGAATCTTAATCCTTTTTTTTCATCTTCGTATGAATTAGATCATATTCGACCTCATTGGAATAAACCTTCAACAACATCATCAACAAGATCTTCACGACGTAATTCTCTTACAACATCCAATTCACCTGGACGTCACTTACTTCGGGCAGTAACACGACCTGGACGTTCAGCTTCATCAGCAGCATCTACAGAATACAATCAATACTTGGCCAATGTGCGTGATATGAATATGGATTTAGAAGAATGGATGGTGATGGAAGCTATCCGATTATCTCTCGCAGAACATGAGGAACAAGCACGAAATGGACAACAACAACAGGAAGAAGTTGAAACACCATCCACCACCACATCTTCATCCATGTCATCATCTTCATCATCATTACAATCACCATCCATTCGACCTCAAGATCCATCACCATCAACTGTTCATGTTCCTGGCACCTCAACTGACCAACTGGATGACGACGATGAACAACCATTAGCAGTTCGTGTGCAACAATACCAGCAACAAACAGCTCAGGAACAGAATAGGCTTCTTTCATCTTCGCCTTCTGCGGTTTCATCAACTTCAACATCATCAACAAATCAAAATTTATTAGATGAAGAAGAATGTTCAGTGGATAAAAAATCATCAACCGAACATGATCCAACTTCACCAACCACCGATATTATTTGTTGATCATCCCCCCTTTCTGTTACCCATATTGTAGTGTTATAGCTCTTTCCTTTTTTTTTCATTACCACTTTTCATTTATGTATATCTTTTTTTTTTGGGTCCTTTGTGTAATCAACCCGTCCTCATTTTGGAAAATGTCAATAAAATGATCCATTGGTTTATTCTTTTTATTTTTATGATCTATACGTTTCATTGTATCCAACGATATTAGCGTCATGTGTGTATCATATCTATTTCGATAAGGTCAGGAATTCCAATATCACGTTGTGTACGAATCCCAAGTTGTAGGAACATAAGGATGAACTTTCCTTCTCTTTTTTTTTCTGACTGATATGTACTCATCTCAAAATAAAGATATTTGTCCATGTCATCTTTGAGTTGTTGTTGTTTTTTTTTTTTTTTTTTTTTTTTTTTTTTTTTATTCTTGTTTGGTTATTATTCCTCATGACACTGTCATCCACATCTATCATATTACGGATTTTTTTTTCTCTTTAGCTCGTACTTGCCCTTTCTGATCCTATAAAAACAAAACAGGTACAAATGTCTATATTTTTTATTAATTCCTATATATACATACCATACACAACTCATCCTGACACTATCTGCCTATCTATCTATCTACATATATATATACAATCTATTCTATCTATATACCATTCATATTTTATCTAGCTGCCTAACTTTCTATATACTATATATCCATTTATTCTATGTATTCATTCCAATCAATATATCCTGTTGTCCTTTGTGGCTCCATGGCTTCAGAGAAAATATTGTTGATGTTTGTAGTCATAGTCCCATATTGTTCTGAAGTAAAATATGATTAATAAGGATGACAATCGATAGCAAATTAAATATCTATCATATACATAACTTACCATATAAATGACAGATATTTGCAGGAGACCAATTTAGTCCATGTGATATTGAAATTGAATCAAATCATTTATCTATAAAAGAAATATAAAAAAAAAAAAATTGAGAGAAAAAGAAATCAATGAATACATGAAAAATAGTTCGTTTCTTTCTACACTTTCCAGAGAATGACAGAGAGTCGCATACTACGTATCTTGTCAACCAAAAAAAAAAAGAGTATCCTTTGTTCTTGTCCGTATCATATGTTGCTTCTTGTACCTTGTTTGATATATATATCTATATAAACCAATCCTCTATTGATAAAGAAGTTCCTGAAATGAAAACTTGAGCTAATGGGAAGATAAAAAAAGAAAAACAAGTTGATTGATATTTGAATGAGGATTGACTTTTGATACTTATCCTATCTCCACGACTTGGTACCAAGACAAAAAAAAAAAGGAAGAGATAGACTGTCTTGCTTTGAATCATTCAATATATAAGAGGAGAGAAGAGGAAAGACGAAGACTGATTGCATTCACCAACATTCTATTAAAAAAAAAAAAAAAAGGTCGGACATAATAGACAGATAAAAAAAAAAAAAAAAGTGAGATAAAGACGAAAGAGAAGTGATGAAATAAAATAAAATAAAATAAAAAAGAAATTTTTATACACAACATCGATATTTGAAATCCTCATTTCTCAAATATCGTCCAAACTATATAAATCTTTCCATTCTATTATGAGACAAGTTTTTTTTTTTTTTATTTATACAATCACAATAATAAAAAAAGGGAGGGTATCATTGCCTATGAATATGGAAAGGAGCTTTACCTATAACAGCTCTCAATATATCCCATAAAGCACGCATGTAGACAAAGGAAGTGAAAGGATCATGAGAAGCATCACGAGTAGAACGATGTGGACAACCACGACGAGGAGGAATACCAGCAAATCGTCTTTCCAAGTAAAGAATGGCATCAGCGGCACCCCCAAGAATCAGTCTACTATGATCTAGTGTTTGATCCGTCAATAATTCGATGCGAGCGCCCTGTTGACACCACTTTTTATAGACGGCGGCGGTGAGTTCAAAGGGAGCGATGGGATCATGCTCAGCATGGTAGGCGAAAATAGGGATGGTGGGAGTATCTATATTACCCATATCACTTTTGGCCAACATGTTTTTCACCACAGAAGCCTGAGCAAAATCAGGATGGGCAAAATACGTGGTGATGTCTTGCATAGTATAGTTCCCTACCAGATCACCATAGCATAATTCACGTACCTTGTAAAAAGCTTGCTTTTTTTCAGGCACCAACATAGCATCAACGTAGGCAGCGAAATCATCATACTGGGCTGCCACACCCAAGATGCCAGAAAATCCCAAACCAGAAAAAAACGCTTGATTGACGGAATATAGCGTAGCATTCAAGTCCACAGGTGTGCCTCCCAAGACAGCACTCATGATGTTGAGTTCTGGAGCATACCTAGGCTGTAACTGGGCCGCCCATCCTGTCGCCAATGCACCCCCAGAATAACCCCACATCTGAATCTTCGCATCTGGTCGGATCCCTGTCTCAACATGACTGGCTAAGACGGCCCGGATGCTATCCAACAACCCATTGCCTGCCATTTCGCCCACGGTAAACATCGATTTGGGCCCTTGATAATCAGGCATGCTCACGTACCATCCACGCGCCAACATCGTATCCATGAACAAGACCTCTGATTGTGGTAAAATATCGCGTGAGTTAAATTCCTTTTGTAGAATGTAGGATGGTGCACAATCAGCCGATACATTGTCCTGAATCACCGCATAGGTCACCAGTTTTCTAGGATTGGCATTGAATGGGATCATCAGTGTCGTTACCGTGGCTGTCGGTTGCCCAAGTGCATCGGTGGTGCGATACAATAATTGATACGCTCCTCTGATGTTTTGTGGAAAGGCTGGAAGCGTTTGCTCGGGATGTCGTGGTAATTTACGTGATCGTAAAATCGTACCTGGCTTGGTACGTTCGTACCCTGAAGGTAATATGTAAAAAGGATCCATGGACGGTAGTATCAACCCAGCATGGAATGAATCTCCCTTCACCATCCGTATTGTTTGTAAACAATAGATGGCTATTAAACCCATGATGTATTGTTTTAACAGCTTGATCATTAAAAAAAAAAAAGATCATTACATTCAAATCATCTAGTCTCTTTTTTTTTTTTTTTTTTTTTTTTTTTTTTACCATGTTAAAGAGTAATCAATCCAGCTAGAAAGAAATAGATAAAAATAAAAAAAAAAATGAAAAGGAAAAAGAAGATAAAAATATTTATACATAAAATAGAACGGATGATTAAAATATCCTTTTTCGATAAGATTGCCTATATCACTCCTCAAACAATCCATCAACTTGGGCAATCTATTTTTCATTCATCAGAAGACTAACGATTGATGAAGAGGGGGCTAGGCATAATGATGATATATAATAAGGAATGAATTCTATTATACGGAAAAGAAAAAAAAATAATAAATAGTAGTTGCTATAGAAATCATAATAATGTCCGGTATGTACCTTTTAGGAAGGAAAGGTACTTTAGGAAGGAAAGAAACATTTTGATATAAAATAGAGGATTCTTTTATTGAAGGATATATAAATATAAAAACAAAACTATGTATACAGTATAAAGAGAAAAAAAGTATATAAACAAAAAAAAAAAAGAATATAATAATATTAATAAAGTAATAAAGTACAACTATATGAGGAATAGGATATGATATGTATAAATATATATATATATATATATAATAATAATAAAAATAATAATAATAATAATAACAAAAAAAAGATAATCCATCAGAATTCATTTTGTAGACTACGAAGGAGATCTTCCGCAGATAAAGGTACCACCATGTCATTATCTTGATCAGTCAAAGGAGTATCAGATGAAGAAGAAGTTGTAGCTGAATTAGAAGCTCTTAAACTTGTCATGGATGTCTTGACATTCAGTTCTCGTCTTCTTGCCCGTCGTTGTTGTCTTGTACGATGTAAACTTTCCCCAGATCGTAGTCTATCCAAAAGATCATCCATCATTCGTCGATTGTCCTTTTGATCTCCACTATCAAGCATCGTATTTTCATCCGATTCTTCAGGTGTTTGTGGTCCAGCAGATTCTTCATCATCATCTTCTTCTTCTTCATCATCATCATTGTCATTGTTGCCATCCGCTTTTTTACCCTTTGTATCTTTCATCTTTGCTTGTTCTTGATGTTTTCTTTCTTCTCGTTCTTTTCGTTCACTATATTTTTGCTCTTGAATGGCTGCCACCTATATACAGTATATAAGTTTCTATTCAACGGTAGTATTTTTTTTTTTTTTTTTTACCTTCCAATGATGAATAAATTGAGCAAAAATGGAGAAAAAGTCATCTGGTCGCATCACCTTGGGATTTTCACCATAAAAAATCATTGCATCCTTCCATTTGACATCCATATTGAGATAGAATGTTTCAAGTACTTCAAACCGGTCATTGGCTGCCTTATAGTGTTCTTTCATGACTTGTACAAAGAGATCATCTTTATCCAATGATTCAATCTTGTCTTCAGTCCAATATGTCATCAATTCCTGATCCAACTGTTTTAATGTTTGTCGCATGTCAGTATATTGTTGAATAATATCATTCATGTCAGCCATAACTAAAAGAAACGCGTCAATTATGTCAAGTTCATCACATCTTCCTTCTATATATCATCATGAACTTACTTCTTGCTGCACTTCCAACATCCTTAAGATCGTTGATAAATTCCAACACATGAGGGAATTCACGACGCACAGTACCAATCAGAACATGGAGTAGTGTCATAGACGCTGTATCAGAAGCTCTTGTATCCATTAACTAAATAAATAAATAAAAAAAAAGTAAGTACTCATCATCATCAATCTTAAAAATAAAAAATAAAAAAGAAATTACCTTATTTAAACCAGAGATACGTATACCAAAAGCGCCACCTTGCAAACTTGAACCATTCATATAATTACCCATCAAAAGAATGATCTATTATAAAGATGATTAAGAAATAAAGATATGGCTATTCATTTTTTCTTTTTTTTCATTTCACTTACATGGAGTAATTCCTTCAAAGGTTTTGAATTTCGTAATGAGTCAGACACATCCACTATAGTTTCCATGCTCTACAATAACAAAAAAATATAAATATCATATGAATATGAAGGTACTATGATAACTTACTGTAGATAAGTGATCAAACTTTTCCCAAAATTGAATGCGGAATAACATGAAACGAAGACGTTCCGGGTATCGGTACAATTTTATCATCTAATGAAAAGGATACAATAGGTTATCATTCCATTTGCCTATTATTGATCATTCTTTTTTTTTTTTTTTACCTCAATAGTAAATTGTTCAGGTATATCCAAAACTTGTTGTTCTTCTGTGGTAGCATTGATGTATTTCTCCATAGTTTTCAAATCATCTTCTTGAGAAGGTGCATAGGTAAGCATATTTGTCAAAAGAGTTTCCGTACAAACATCGTCATCCAGTTGCATGATACTCTTCCTAACAGACTTAAAATCTTCAAAATGCTTGAATTTGGGTAAAACAGCAATATCTAAATATAACATTAAAGAAAAAGGTAAGTTCAATTATTTCCTATTTTTTTTCTATGTATCAATTTGCTTACTTAAGTTTCGACTTTTGTTTGCTGATAGGAATTTGATAGCATTTTTCTTGCCATCGGTTATGGATTTCAGTTTGCGATCAAAAGAGATATTGGTTTTCGCTGGGAACATGACATCAATGTGCTGAAAGATACCAGCATTGGATAGTTTGGATTCAAGTTCGTCATCATCATCATCATTTTTCAAACACCAGACTGTCTTTTCCACATGTTTCAAGTCAAGCTTTTGCCATTGGAGATTCTTGAGTTTCAATTCTGGTTGATTTTTCATTTCTTTTCGTAGTGGACCGCTCGGTACAGGTGGTATAATGGATGGAGGTAGCATTTGTTTTGAAATTGCTGATCCAGTAGCAGGAGGAGGAGGTGGTGGTGGTGGCGGTGGCGGTGGTGATGGAGAAGAATTTCCATTAACAGATGAACCTAGTAAAAAAAAAAGAGGACAAGTAAATATGATGATATCATTTTTGCCTTTCTCACTATTTTCGGTTCCACTACCTTGCACAGCGGCATCATCAACAACAGTAGGAGGAGGAGGAGGTGGTGGTGGTGGTGGTATACCTGAATCAGAAAAAGTTAAATCAAATTAGATCTTTTGTCCTCGTTGATATTTCAATTTTCTTTGTCATACCTGGCACAAATGGAGGTGGTGGTGGCGGTGGTGGCGGAGGAGGAGGAGGAGATGTATCAGATAATGATCCTAAAACATAAAAAAGAAATAGATGAGTATCAAACCTATCTATATTTATATTTTGCCTATTTATTATTGTACCTTCAGAGTTGGAAGTCATGACACTTGAAGATTTGTGAGCTTGATTGAGGTAAGAAGATTTGCGAATAGTTGTAGTTCCTTGTTCCATATCACCGTTATCTAGATTTGCTGGTGACGATGACGATAAAGTAGAGCCACCGGCAGCTTGTCGTCTTGTCATTTTCCATTCCGATCCAACTATTATACGTGCAGGTCCGTTTCCAGTACTATCAGCATCACTATTCTCCTTGTCCATCATTTCAGTCAGTTCTGATACTCTTTTCTCCAGCATAAACATGGTGTTCTTTGATGTCCTAACCAAGGTTCGTAAAGATTCGTTTTCCTTTTCCAAATCCAGCGACCCTAATAGAAAAAAAAAAGTAATATAAAGTCGTCATGAATATAATGTGTTGTTGTTGTTTTTTTTTTTTAGAAAAAAAAAAGATAGTATAGACTTACTTCGACGTGGTTGTTGTTTCACTTGTCCATCCTTAAAAAGTTGTTTCAATTGTTGAATTTCCAGTTTGAGTTCCAGATTTTCATTCATCAGTCGAGAAGTCTTGGCTTCATGATGGAGGGCTTCTTTTTCTAATCGTTCAAGTCGATCCAAATCACTAAAGCGTTGAATCAAATTACCCACCGAAACTCCAAATGTAGTTGTAAAGTCTTGATCATCCACAGTAATCCGACGATTCATCACAATTTGTCCAACTAAAACATGTATGATTTGATAATAATGTGCCCTAAAATAAGTAATACGGAAAGGTTAATTACTCTCCCTTTTTCCTAACTTGGTGAATACTAAGCTTACATTGTTTCCGGATGACCCCTGATCAGTAACATACTTCTAAGTATACCCAAAAGATGCTCCATTGACTTTGGCGAGATGGTAGTATGGCTAACAAGTTGTTCTAAAAGCTTGTTAGGATCGTTGATGTTGGCATAAAGTTGAATTTCATCTCCAAATGCAGCATCCAAATCGTTTTCAGCAGCATCTTCATACGACTCCACTTGATACTTGAGATGATCGAAATCCATAGAGTGAAGTTTCGGTAGGATCTTGGTTTCCATACCAGACGCATTCAATTGGTTTCGAAGTAGAATACGTTGAGATGGTATTTTGGGTACTTTTGTAAGAGCATTGATCAATAACATATTTGACACCTACAATACAATAATCTCATAAGTAAAAAAATAATCACTTTTTCTCTTCTTTTTTCTTTTTTTTTTTTTTTAAAAAAAAAAAAAAAGAAAATTACCGCATATTCCATTAAATGTTTATCAGGACCATTCGAAACACCTAGTTTTTTCAGATCATCATGGGCACCAACCAAAGATCCCATACGACCTCGACCATCTAAAGTGGATTCAAATTGCTTGAGCCAAGTATCGAAAAGTCCCATGTCCTTTGTATGCTGCTTAAGTAGTTCAAACCCTTTCATCACCTGTTGATGACCATCATGGGAGTTTTCATCTGTTCCACTATCGTTATCACCATTAGAGTAGTAACATATAAAAGCCAGGATTTCACATACGAGTTTTCGAGTTTGCCAATGAGGACATAATAATGAGAATACAATGGTATGTATATATTTTGGATGACTAGTTGTTTCTTTCCCACCGAGCTAGTAGATAATGAATAATTAACCATCAGTTTTCTATCATTCTACTGTATTCTTCTTTTATAAATCATACCTTTGTATTGACGAGAGCTTTGATACATTTGATGATTTCAATTTCAATATCTAATGCTTTTTTGTCAGGTCTACATATAAATAAAATGTATATAAGTACCCAGTATCAAAGTACATTTCTTATGTTGAGCTTACCTATCAGTCTGATGATTGATTTGACCAAGGCATGTGATCAGCACGTGTAAACCTTTCAGATCGATGAACTTGACAAGCCAGCTACAAGTTGTATAAAAAAAATTAGTCAGAAATCAATAGAAATTTGTTTCAGTTCGTAACTTACGTAATTGGTCGAGTACGAAGACTAACTTCAAGATTACTTGCATCCGATACAGTAACACCACGGAGGTGAGTTTCCATGAATTTTCGAATAAAATGTTCAGGTGAATTGTGATCTTCAAAGTGATCTTGTTGCATAGATAAGGAAAAGGATGAACTACCCAAACTAGTTGTTGTATTACTACTGGTAGAAGGACAAAGAGAGATAGCACCACTTTTGCTTGTATTGGATGATAACGTTTGTTGTAAAGATGGCAAGTGTTTCGACGGTTGATGTTGTTGATGTCGATTTCCAGTAGATTTATCTAAAGTTGACCGAACCTTTTCCGCTTTTTCGGCCAATATGCTGATGAAATAAGATTGTTGTTGTTGTGTATGATCAGAATCGTTTTCAATGATAGTAGCAATGTTGTTAAGTGTTGTTGATGAAGCGATAGGTTGAAGATGATTGGCAGCTAATAATTCAGCTTGGGTATCTTGATTGACCATTAACCATTTCTTTTCACTAGACCAACCTTTCATAGTTTGTAATATTCGTTCATCATGTATTCCTCTTCGTTCCTAATGAATAAAAAAAAAAATGTTCAATTGCCGTGACCAAAAAGTCAGTTAGTACTACTCTCAGGATCTATTGTTCATCACTACGCATTGTTTCTTGTCCTACATACCAGCATTTGGTCAAAAAGTTCATCGATTTCGATTTCCGAAGGTAGTACCCGGATAGTAGGGTCAGTTAAACTGGATGTCTTATTATTGTTGTTAGTTTCGGTTGAAGTACGGCGTGTACGGTTATTGGATTGTTTAGAGTTTGGAAGATAGTTCACTTGTAAGAAAGTATAATAAAAAAAAATAAAAAGTTAGTTTCTTTACAGGACATTCATTTGTTCTCTTTTTTTTTTTTTTTTATGTATTACTTGTTTGAGATCTTGGCATAGAAAGTAGTTTCGAAGTAGAGGATCTTTGTTTCGTAAAAGTGGCAGCATGAGGAATATCTCGCGTATTAGAAGACGGAGGAGGTTCAGATAGTTTAAGGTTTTTCCTTCCAAGACGATTGAAGAAATCCGTCATGGTAAAGGCTTTCTAAGATAGACGTAAAGAAAAGAAAGAAAAGAAAAGAAAAGAAAGGGAAACAGTGCTATTTTCAATTTTTTTTTTTTGATTCTAAAAAAAGAATTTTTTGGCTCTCAGCTCATCACTTGAATTTCGCAGTAGATGTCAAAATAAACAATACATTATATGTGTGTCATGCTTCCCCCTTTTTTTTTGTGTGTGTGTGTGTTGAACTAGATTGATCAAAGAGCTCAGTACATGATGTTGAATGATATTTGTTTATTAAAAAAATGTTAATATCGAACATGCCATCAGATAGGAGATGTTTCAATAATGGGAAACCTTACTTTTATTAATATTTGATTTTCAGGCACTCAATTCAGTTTGAGCAAGCACTAGTCGGTCATTCAATTCCATTTTTTTTTTTTGGGCCGTGTTTTTTTTTGGGCGTGTCTGCTCCTTTCTTTTTTTTTTCAATGTCTTCTTTTGATATACGAAACTTAGCTCCTGAATTATCCTTTGATAGTACTAATGATACCTCTCTTTATGCACATATTACTGACTCCAACGATGATAGTGTCACTATCCTGACACGTGTTTGGATGAACGAACGTAATGCACCTGAACTACTCCCTTACCAAAAACATCTTATAGACAATCTCATCGATTCGCTTGAAGAGCAGGTATTATTAAAAAAAAAAATATATCAATTTTAAATGTTAGTTTACTCATTTTTCTTTTTTTTTTCTTTGAAAGTCTGGCCTAGTAACAGATGAAATGGCTTCAAGTATAGAAAACAAATTTATGTCCATGTTATATCAAACTGAAATGGAACGAATACGGTATTTGGTGAAAAGTTACTTACGGACACGTTTATTCAAAGTAAATAAGAATATTATATACAAATCATATTAAAAATTACTAATGCTGGTCTTCTTTTGATATAGATTGAAAAATATACCTTGGAACTATTACGAAACCCTGATTATACAGAAATCATGTCCTCACAAGAAATTGTTTATGCGCGAAGGTAAAAAAAAAAATCATACTTGGTATATATTGATCCTTTCATTTATAATCTATTTTTCTATAGGTACCAAGAACTAGTAGAATCACATAATCACGAATCATTTTTACATCATCTTCCCGTGGCACAGCATAAACAAGACGAAAAGACAGCAGAATTAGATATGGGTAAATATTTATATTATTCATTATTTATATATTATATTGATTGATATATCAATTTCTTAGTTGTCTCGGCGAATCTTGAAGCACCTGTGTTTTGCAAAGTATTAGATGACATTGGCGAAATTCATTGGAATGTGTAAGTGAATAAAAAAAAAAAAAGAAAAGAAAAGAAGATCAGAAAAAGTTAGAGAGAAACTAAAGATTAGATTATTTAGAAATGATTCAACCGAGACTACTGAACTTGAAAAGGGTGGGACCTATATTATTCGATATCAAGCCATTCAACAATATCTCAAAGAGGATCGTGTACAACTGATTTAGATTTAGTAGGATTAGAATAGCTATGGTTAGAATCGGTAAACAATAAAAAAAAAATTCAAACTTGTTTGTTGATGGTATAAGGTTGATCTTGACAAAGGGATTATCGATGGGCGGAAAAAAAAGGGACCAGGGGCAGAAAAAGTCAGGGGCAAAAAAAAGGAATAATGAAAATTGAGATTTTATATAGTGTTTTCAAGGTTTTTTGTCGGGTCACAAGAAAATGCTTTTCGTGATGTTATCAAATAAAATATCGTACTTTCCCAAAATGAATGGCGCATTACCACTTTTTCAGATATCGCTCCAGAGATGGCGGTAGAGTACATTAAAAACACATAACATATTGATGATAACTTGTTTATTAAAAATAAAAGACACAAAATAAAAGTAACATAGGCTTTTCATATTTTTAGCAGCTTTGGGTGTTGTCCATTCTTTTTTAGGTATCAATTGATTGATGATTCATGATCGATGATTCATGATTGATGATATGTGATAACGGATGATTGTATATTGGATGATTACAGGATGGATAATGGATGACTGTATGATGGATGATATGTGATAATGGATGATTATATGTTGGATGATTGTATGATTGTATGATGGATGATGAAACATTGTCGTCAATCACTGTACAAATTTCTGATAAAATACAAAATACTTCATTCTAGCTACCTTCTGACAGAACAACATTTTCTTTTTCTTTTCTTTTTTTCTTTGAAAAATGTCAAAACACTCTTTTATCAGCCAACATGATAAATCAATATAATAATGATGATTCATCACATCAAGGGAAATTAAAAAATGGCAATAATAAGTATGCTGTGCACAATCATACTATCATTTAAAATAGAACAACTAAGAAAAAGAAATCTGGTCATTAAACTAAAACACGACAAAAACAAGTCAGTATCACGTATCACTTAGTACATGGATATTGTAATAATAGAACTTAATGTGAACATTTATATAATTAACTTTATTATAAAGAGAGAAATGTTGCTAACACTAAAAAAAAAATGATGAAGTAGATACTAAAAATAATAAAATAGATGATAAATTAAATACAATAGAAAGAGAGAAATGTTGCTAACACTAAAAAAAATGATGAAGTAGATACTAAAAATAATAAAGTAGATACTAAAAAAGACAAATGATAAATTAAATACAATAGAAAGAGAGAAATGTTGTTAATACTAAAAAAAAAAATGATGAAGTAGATACTAAAAATAATAAAGTAGATGATAAATTACATACAATAGAAAGAGAGAAATGTTGTTAATACTAAAAAAAAGATGATGAATTAGATACAATATAAAGATAGAAATGTTGCTAATATTTTAAAAAAGAAAGATGATAAAACTCGCTTACATCTTGTCTCATAATTTTATTAACTAAAATTAGCTCATAATTACACGGATGATTCATTTTCTTATAAATGGATCCCTTTGATTTAACTTTTTTTTTTTATTTCTTTACATTATATTCATCTTTTTGGCCTACCTGCTTCCTTTTTTGTCTGTCTTCCTTTTTCTTTGATCTGCCTTTTTCTATACAAGTACTCTTTAATAGTTCAAGCATCTTTGTCTGTTTCTCCATTGATCTACCTCTTTTTTGTTTTTGGGCTTGACCGTGGTCGCTAATGCGCATCTGCGTGGTTACGGTCTGCCTTTTCTTTTTTTTTTATTCAACAAATTCCGGGTTGGTTATCGCCAAGTTACCCACTTTCACCGTAGCGGTACGGTGATCACGTTACACTTAAATGGTAAGCTAGTGAAATATTTTTATCTGGATAAGTATTACTCATTTTTTATTTTTTTTTTCTATATGTTAACTTGGTGAACTCAATTGGTGGATTTCCTTTTTTTCTTTTTTTTGATTATTCTTTTTTTCATGATATCTATTTTCTTATATTCTCTATTTGATTAATGCGACAATTATATTTTTTTTTTTCTGTCATTTATTTTCTATCCTTACGATATTTTATTTCCTATTTTTGCGCAATCTTATTCTTTGAATTCCGTCAATTATTATTGAATAAAGTGTAGAAAAGATCATCTTCCTCTTTTCCTTTTCTCATCTTTTTTTTTTTTTTTTTTTACTCGACTATTTTTTTTTTCCCATGATTTATCTTGTATTTCTTTTTACTATCATTGTGGCTATCTTTGGAAAACTATGGATTTGGTTATCACATTACTCAATTGCTCTCAACACTAGGGCTATATTCCAATCTACAGAATTTTCAAATACACCTGAAGTCAATCATCCTGTCTGGTTACCAATTCAAGGTACATTACCCAACTGGCTCAATGGAATACTTTATCGAATCGGTAAGTGTAATAAAAATAAATAAATGTATAATGAATATCTATAACTCATATTATTCCTATTTAGGACCTGGTCGATTTATTCTAAAGGACCAAAATGACAACTCAACTACTGGAGATATCACCATTATTCGTCATGCTTTTGATGGTATGCCATTTCTTCATCGATTTCAAATATCAGCAACAACTCAAAGAGTACGTTATAACTCACGTCATTTGTCATCAAAAGCGGAAGAGCTGATTCGTCAAGGGAAAACAACTGCCTTCTTTGGACATGTGTCTTTTACATCATCTACCTGGACACTATTTAAAAGCTTTTTTCGACGCTTCATCTTATTTACTCTTCAATCTCAGACAACAACTATGATGGGTCATCGGCTAGATCCTTCCTCAGCCATGGTTGGTGTTACGCCTACTCCTAATTACTCGTTACCTAAATCAATATCGATGTCTAATCCTACTTTGGTCACGAAAACAGATGCCAATTTATTACAAAAGATTCATGCTGACAGTCTAGGTAAACTATTTCTATATTACATAGCATCTTGATTGATTGTTTTTTTTTTTTTTTTTGTATTTTTTCTTTTTATCCAATTAGAACCTGAACTTCTTTATAAGTATACTGAAATTCATCCACAATTGAAAGGTGAACTTTCCGCAGCACATCATCAACATGATCCAGAAACAAAAGAAATTTTTAATTTTACTTTGAAAATCGCTCCAACGCCAACACTTACAGTATTTTGTACAACACCATCTTCTCAAGTTACTATCCTTGCAAAAATCACACATCGTCTGGATCCCAAACGAACTCCTATTCGACCTTGTTATATCCATTCTTTTTGGTTAACAAAGAACTATATCATCATACCTGAAGCACCTCTCTATTTTCGAAACTATGGATTGGATTTTATAGTTAGTGGATCTGTACTTAGTGGATTGGAATGGAATTCATCATCTCCAACTTATCTTCATGTCATCAGTCGACGTCCAGGTCTTGGTCATATTGCTAGTCTTCCTGTTGACTCATTTTTTACTTTTCATGTAAGCAATGGTTGGGAAGAAATGGATGATAATGGTACCGTATTGAATCTGGATTGTACAGCGTTTCCTGATGGTGATATTATGCATCAACTACACACCTTTGGACACCCTCTTCCTTCTGACATTCATCAATCATCTTACAATAATCATTCTATTTATCCACCAACACCTCCGACATCATATGACGTTCTTCAAAGTAATCTATGGAAAGATGGCGCACAGAAACAACGTCAAGACAAATGTAATGCATACACCAAACTAAAGCAAACAAAACATCATGGATTTAACCTTCCTCCTTTACGACAATCATCGTTTGGAGAATTACGACGATACAGAGTGGATCTTCAGTCAATGGATTCGGTCTCATATACCACGTTGTTGACCAATGTGGAATTCTTACGATTCAATCAAGCATACATCACCAAACCTTATCGCTACGTATATGGAAATCAATTAATATCTGCCACACATGAAGAAGGGGAACGGTACAACTTGGTCAAGATGGATCTGGAGACAAAACAAACATGGATTTTTCAAGGCATGGATTATATCTGTTCAGAACCTATCTTTGTCCCTCGACCACATGACAACCATCAACGATCAGAAGATGATGGAGTCTTACTTAGTTTTGTGAATGTCATCAATACTGATCGGCGGACGAAATATTGTTTTTTATTGGTATTGGATGCCTCTACAATGAAGGAATTGGCTCGCTGTCATATTGGTGATTTTACTGCTACTACCTTCCATGGTTCCTTTGTTGATCATGAATTCAAATCGATCTCTATTAATTAGTTTTAATTTTTTATTTATGTAGATAGTTTGAACCTTTTTCATATATTGAATAAACGCTTTTTTGGAATCTGCTGGATTGTTCTGATAAAGATGATCTTCTTTTTTTTTTTTTTTTGTTAGAATGTTTTATGGATGATTTTGATTGATTTTATATTACAACATTTGATTTCATTCGTAAATATGAAAAAAGGTCGATTTTATGGATGACTATAAAAGCTTGATATCTTATATTTTATATATATAAAAACAGAAAGAACAAAGAATTGGCTTTGTTTGTTATCTGGCTGATGTTTGGAATTATTTCTTGGAGTGGTTGACGATGCGCATATGTTTGATGAACGATACAACAATGCATAAATAATGAGTGATGAAAATTTGTGTACTGATGACAGTCGTACAATATTTATAGATCTATAATGTCAGGTGGAGGAATAACAATAGCTAGTAGTAATGACGGTGATGGTTAGAATGGGAAAATTAAAAGACGAATGTAAAGACATTTTCTAGTATTAACTTGGGTGAACTAATATCCAGTACTTATTGCGACATCATTCAATCACCATCGCGTATCATCACAGCACATTGATTCAAAAAAAAAAAAAAAAAAAAAAAAGATTATAACAAAAAAATATATTTTTTATTGAATCATCAATATCGACAAAAGAAGGGACATATATCGACAGAGAGAGAAATATAATAAATCATAAGGAGCTAAGCTAATAGTCTTCGTCGTTTTCGATTTCAGAATCACCCAAAGAGTCAGATCCAACTTCTTCGTAATCCTTTTCAAGGGCAGCCAAATCTTCACGGGCTTCAGAGAATTCACCTTCTTCCATACCTTCACCGACATACCAGTGGACAAAGGCACGCTTGGCATACATAAGATCGAACTTGTGGTCAAGACGGCTCCAGGCATCAGCGATGGCAGTGGTGTTGGACAACATACCTATTATAATCAACAAAAATTAAAAATAATTAATTACCCATAACAATGAGAGATCCAAAAAAAAAGAAGGGAGAATGGTTAGATTATACTTACAGCTATAAGGTTAAGAAAACAAGTAGGGTCCAGATAGAGATAGAAAAAAAAAAAGGGGGGTAAAATGATAAAAGTGAGTAAAAAGGATTCGACAGATAAACGAATAAAAAAAAAATATAATAGTAACAACTTACAGCTAAGAATGAAGATAAAGAAGATAGACAGAGAGAGAAAAGAAATGACAAAAGTAAAATAATTGGGTTAGTAATGACACTATAAGGGATGACAGATAAAAAAAACTTACAGCTATAAAAATAGAAAGAAAGAATAAAAGAAAAATGAGTAAATACCCCCATCAAATGCACGTTGACATAAACAAACAAACAAAAAAAAAAAAACAAGAAATCAAACTTACCTCGGTTGACCTTGGCAAGATCACCACCATTGACAGAGGTAGGGGCCTTGCAGTTGATACCAACCTTGAAACCAGTAGGACACCTTAGAAAGAGAAAGTATGAAAAAAAAATTAGTATATACAGAAGAAATAGAAAATAGAAAGGAGTCTCACCAGTCAACGAATTGGATGGTACGCTTGGTCTTGATGGTAGAGATAGCAACATTGGTATCCTTAGGGACAACATCACCACGATACAACAAACAGCAGGACATGTACTTGCCGTGACGAGGATCACACTTAACCATTTGGTTGTTTGGTTCGAAACAAGCAGAAGTGATTTCTTGAACAGAGAGTTGTTCATGATAAGCCTTGGCAGCAGAGATGATAGGGGCATAAGTGACCAAGGGGAAATGGATACGGGGGTAAGGGACCAAGTTGGTTTGGAATTCGTTAAGATCAACATTGAGGGAACCATCGAAACGAAGAGAAGCAGTGATAGAGGACACGACTTGAGCAATCAATCGGTTGAGATTGGAGTAAGTGGGACGTTCAATATCCAAGTTACGACGACAAATATCATAGATAGCTTCATTGTCAACCATGAAAGAGACATCAGAGTGTTCCAAAGTAGTATGAGTGGTCAAGATAGAGTTGTAAGGTTCAACAACAGCAGTGGAAACTTGAGGAGCAGGGTAGACAGAGAATTCAAGCTTGGACTTCTTGCCATAGTCAACAGAAAGACGTTCCAAAAGCAAAGCACCAAAACCAGAACCAGTACCACCACCGAAGGAGTGGAAAACGAGGAAACCTTGAAGACCAGTACAGTTGTCGGCAAGTTTGCGAACGCGGTCCAAAACAGAGTCAACCAATTCCTTACCCACAGTGTAATGACCACGAGCATAGTTGTTAGCAGCATCTTCCTTACCAGTGATAAGTTGTTCTACACAAAAAAAAAAAAAAAAAAAAGTAACAATAAGTATGATAAGAATTAAGGAGAAGATGAAGAGAAAAAAAAAAAGGAGTAAAAAGCTTACCAGGATGGAAAAGTTGTCTATAACCACCAGTACGAACTTCATCAACAACGGTAGGTTCCAAATCAACCATGACGGTACGAGGAACATGCTTTCCAGAGCTAGTTTCACTGAAGAAGGTATCAAAAGAGTTGTCATCGGCACTTTGAGCTTCAGGAATATGACCATCAGGTTGAATACCGTGTTCCAAACAGTAGAGTTCCCAACAGGCGTTACCAATTTGGACACCAGCTTGACCAACGTGAATAGAAATGACTTCTCTCATTGTAATAAAGGAATAAAAAGTAAAAGGTATGTATTTGCTAAATAAGAAGAGGGGGTTAAATGAGTCGTTCTATTCAAAAGTTAGGGTAGAATAAACGATGGATGTGAAAGATGATGAATAAGAAAAAGAAAAAGAAAAAAAAAAGAAAAGAGTAGACTTTTTTTTTTTATTTACTTTTGAGAAAAAACACGTTTACGCGGAGTGGTAAAGCTACATGCACTGAGATTCAAATATAGTTTATTGGAACGAATTGGATTGGTGGAAAGATATGAAGGAGGTGAAAAGGTACAACTTTCTAAGATGTCGCAAAAAATAGGAAATAAAAATATTGTAAGGATAGATGACAGAAGAAAAAAATAAATACGAGTTGATGCATAATCAAATAGAGAATATAAGAAGAAGAAAAAGAAAAAGAAAAGTAGTGATAGTAGTTCCATTGTGTATAAGAGATTTTTGAATAATAGAAAAAGAGTATATATATATTTAGTCAACATATCCATTTTTTTTATATATTTATTTACTCTAACTTACACTGTAGAAAAGTATTAAATACATCCTCATGAAGAGGTAATAACATATTTATATATGTTGTTGTACAGGTTGATTATTCACTTTGAATTGGAAACACCAAAGGAGATTTCAAAAAGAAAAAAAAGAGAAGAGAATGATTAATATACCGTATCATCAATCAATGTGTTTTGACATATTCTATCGACATCTCTGAAAAAGTGGTAATGCGATGTCCATTTTGGGAAAGACCGATATTTTATTTTTATAATATCACGAAATTGTTTTCTTGTGACCCGATAAAAAAAAAAAACTTTGAAAACACTATGCTAAAACCAAAAGAGTTTCCATTGAGAAAAGAATATAAAACTAAATAAGAATAAAATATCATCAATAAGTTCGGTTTTCTTGATCTAAACCCCTTGAAAAAGTAATAAATCTTGAGAGTTATCTTGGTCATCCTTGATTTGATCCTTTTCCATAAGAGACAGCATCGACTGATTATCTTCTTTCATGACCATCATCACATCGGCTGGTGTAACTTGACGAGAGGGTGTTGAATTGCTTAACATCGATTGACCATGAGGACCATGAGCTGTATGATACACATGAGATGTTGGAGGCACCATATTATTTTGTACTAGATCGTGTAACTGTTTATCTTGAGCAACCAAACGCATCCATTCAGCACGGAGAGCTAAAGCAGGTCCATCAATATAATGTGTTTGTACTGTTGTTGCTTGTCTATCTTGGGTAAAGTCGCGACATTGCGTCCAATGATCATTTGCTGTACCAAAAGCTTGAGTACCACTTTCTTCCATATAAAAGGATATTGTTTCTGGGTGAACCACAGTCAAAGAGAGCCTTGCCCAACCCAATCGTTCAAGTAAAGGATCTAACTGCATTTTCTCAATTGAATCCAACTTGATATGCATCTTGAAACGTTGTTGACCATCCTGAATACGCCATACCATGCATCGAAGTTGTCGATCAAAGAAACATTCTAAATCTTGAGGTTGTAGACTCATTCGTTTCCAAGTCCCAATTTGTAGAGCTTCAGCCGAAATACGATATTGATGATTTTCTTCTTCTTCACCAGTATTGAAATCATCCAATGACATAGGTGTTCCTAAACGATCATCTAATAATATAAAAATAAGTATAAACTTTTTTTTTTCATGACGATCCTTTTTTTTTTTTTTTTTTTTACTTTGAGTATGGCCAGGATCAAGAGATAAAGAAAGAGGAAGCATGGATTGATCTGCGGGAGTAGAAGACCAAGAGGGATCATAACCAGTAGATAGATCAAGTTGATTTAATGATAATGTTTGAGTTGTCATGGCTTGAGATGTAGCAGAAGTTGCATCTTCTTCTGGAATCATAGGATTATTACCCATCATAAAAGAGGAAGAACCAGACCACATGTTCATTGGAGGAGGAGGAGGAGGAGCTTGAGGTGCAGGAGATGCTGATGATGAATAAGGACGACGTTGTGGATAAATACCATTAGCAGGTTCACTTGATCCATGACGGTTTGTATGACGTTGATAAGGATTATAAGGATAATGACCAACAGAATGAGCTCGAACACGACCACCAGCAGTTTCAGGAGCACTCATACCAGATGATGCAGACGTTGATGATGTACTTCCAGCTCGTTGATGATGATGACGTTGTTGTTGTTGTTGTTGTTGTTGTTGATGATGATGATATGCAGAGATTGGAGTAGATATGGAAGGAGATATTGATGAAGGTGGTGGAGTAGATAAAGAAGTCCAAGGTTTTTGATTTGTTGTTGGCATAGGGGGAGGAGGAGGAGGAGTAGATTGATTTGATTTCAAAGGTGAAGGAGAAATCATGGAAGAGCCATCTGTACCATAATAAGCTTGTTGTTGTTGCTGTTGTAATTGTTGTTGTTGATTGTAGTAATAATAGTAATAGTAATAATACAGATCAGGATTGGAAACTGGAGTACCGTCAGGTGAAGTATGTTGTTGATGTAAACTAGCAGCTTGACAAGCAGCAGCAGCAGCAGTAGCAGCATAATATTGCATCCGTAAGGTTTCATCATGGAGTAAAGAAGAACGTTTTGCCATATTCTTAACTTTTGCACGTCTATTTTGAAACCAGATTTGAATAGACCTTTCTGTCATGCCAAGTTCCCTAGAGAGTTGCTCACGTACACGGTTGTTGGGTGATGGATTGACACTAAAAGTTTTTTCCAATATAGCTAATTGTTCAGGTGATGCACGCGTCCGTTTACGAGGTTGACTAGCTTCTTGTTGTTGACGTTGTTGTTGTTGTTGTTGTTGTTGTTGTTGTTGTTGTTGTTGCTGTTGTTGTTGTTGTTGTTGTTGGTGATGATGGTGTTGAATATTTGGATTCATATAGTTCGTCGGTCGTTGTTGTTGTTGTTGTTGTTGCTGTTGTTGTTGTGATGGTGGTAAAGGTTGTAATTCAGTTGAAGTAGAAACAGTGGGTTTTGTAGTAGTAGGTATATAACAATTGTAGTTTGGAAGCATCGTCATGCCGGCATGGGGATGATTCCGTTCATTTGAAGATTCCATGGTTGATATAAAGGAAAGTGATGTTAAATGAAAGGCTGGGGTTCAATAAAGAGTTGGACTTGTAAAGTCCCTTTTCAAGAAAAAAAAAAAAGAAAAAAGTAAAAAAAAAAGTAATGAAAGAAAAATAAAAAAGAAAAGAAAAGAAAAAGAAAAAAAAAGGAAGAAAGAAAGAAAGAAAAGAAAAAAATATAATAAAGGGAAAGAGAGGAACTTGAAAAATGGGAAGATTTCAAGTATTTGTGCAACGAAGATCCATTCAATTCTTTCTTTTTTTTTTTAATGTCATTTCATGTCACTTGTTGTAAGATACTCTCAGTTTTAAATTGACAAGTATGAAATATTCTTTTATTTTCATTATACATCTTTTCAATAATAATAATAATATAATAATAATAAAGCTTACAACAGGAAAAGATCATCATTTCCTTTATATTCCGCTTTTACTATAGAAATCGCGGAATTGTCAAAACGATCTACAATACATCTTATATTATTCTATTTGGTTTAGTGGTGAAAATAAAATAAACCATGCGTTCTTCCCATAAGATCATCATACCATTGCTGTTGTTGTTATAACAAGTACAACAAACAAAAAAGGGACATATAGACATAGAAAGGGGGGACCTGAGACACGTGTGCCAATCGGGGATTGAAGCTTAAATATACTTAGAGAATTTGCTCAGGTTTAAGTAGTACACATTGTCCAAAAGTATAATAATAACACATGGCTTACATTGAACTTTTGAAGGCTATGACTTGATTTAAATCATCATAGTAATCATCATAGAAATCATCATTAATCATATGAATTGTAGAAATCGACATTATTTATATAAGTGATTCATATCATCATCATGCATTAGAATTTGACATTTGACATTTACTTTTTCTGTTTTCTTTTTTTTTTTTTTTGATTCTCTTGTTAACCCAGGTTTTTGCCCCATCCATTTTTTTTTTTTTTTAATCATTAATCTGTCAATTGGATCTCCGGATTCATCGAAAAAACGAATGATACAGAAACTGCGTCCCCTCTTCTCCTGTTTTTTTTTTTTTTTTTATTATTTTATTTCTAATCCCGTAACAGGCTAAAAGAATATGTAGAAAGCCTAGAACAATGTTAACATATATAGTTATTTTTTATGAAAATCAGATAAATCATTATTATTAAAGTTGACATATATGTTAATAATGAATTTACAATAGTTTTAAATATTGTTAATCCATCAATCTTCAATCATAAAAAAAAAAAAGAGAGAGAGAGGACTGTTAACATATTCTTTCCATGTAGCCTAAAGAGAAGGAAGGAATGTTGCTAATGGTTACATTGATCAACATGATCAAGGTTCAATGTTTTTCTCTCCGGACGATAAATGATTCTCACCAACTCAAAAATGGGAACCAACATTAAATCTGGCCATTTCAAAGTAAGATATTCAATATCAATGCACGATTGTTATTTGTTTAATTTTTTTTTTCCCATTCGATAAATGAAGATTAATATTCCACATAGAGTCAAATGTTTTTGTATTACATTGATTCATCTATTCTGTCTAACCTTCCAAACAACGCAGTAAATGATGATAAATGATCGATTTTTCTTTTATTCTTTTTATATATATACACAATTCTAAATAAAACATTCTAATAATAAATAAATATATCATACTATTCTATATAATAATCCGGGGGCGGAATGGAAGGTATCTTGTCCAAGGTTGATGCTATTTCCATGGTTTGACAGAATTCATAATAGCATTTACAGAGGTATGCGTGATGTTGTCGTTCGTCAGTCGTTATTGTGCTTGTATGTCCCATTTGCTCATCATCATTTACTTTGTTGAATCTTGTTTCCTTTTTGTTTGACAGATGATGACCCTGTTTCTGTCGGCATGATAGTTGTAAATCGTGGTTTCACCAGTCCAGTTTCAAAATAAGAAGGTAAGCTACCATAGTCCTCTTTGAGCCTGCAATCGAACACATGGATTGGAGTCGATACCACCACTTTTTCATATTGTCGACCATGCTGATCTTCGTCATATTTTCCCGGTCTTCCCTTTCGTAACTTGAGTAAAACATTTTGCCATGCTTGCGCTGATGATGTAGGTGATGATGACACTATTGCTCCTGATGATGTAATGGTACTGGATGTCGTTGTTGGTGATGATGATGATACTGTTGGTGAGTTTAAATCGATGTGCACCCGTTCTCCACTCTCCTCCAAATAAGAAACTGTGAGTCGAATATCCAAACGATGTCGAAATGAAATATCATCATAATGAGTGGTATGATGAATGTTACTTTTACAAGTTGGTGTTGCAAAGGTAACCCGGTAACTGAACGTATCCATTAGATCCAAACCAGAACCTTGTCTGTCAAAGATCATCGCCAAATCGGTATTAGAACTTGAAGAAGTAGAGGAATAGGATGATGATGTTGATGAAGGAAGGTCGGTGAGAGACGTTGCATCAAGATATCGTAGTAAAAAAGTATCTGAGGTAGTACGCCATGCTTTCAATTCTGAGACTGCATACCGTCTTGATTCTGTCACTGTTGCTTCGATATGTTCTAATCGTACGTGTTTTTGATGAGGCTGGATCGTAAAGAGGAGAGTAAATAAATCACCAGGAGAAAAGACAGCTACATCTACCATAATAGTCACATCTGCTGCTGTCAAATGCCGATCAAATGTTTGTGAGAGATCTTGTACAGTATGATTCAGTAATAATGAATTGGATAAAAATGTTCGAAGGACCAACACCGGTTTCGAAAGTTTCCATTGATTCAATATCGATTTTTTGTTTTTTCGATTCACCGTCACTTCCACTACATGTCGTACCCGTCCAAATTCATCTTCAATCGTATCCACTAATGACTAAATAAATAAATAAATACGGTTAAGAAATGATAGCGTTAACATTGTTTTCATATACTTACATTGGGAACAATAAATGTGAAAGGAAATCTATGTTCACCTATGGAAAATTCTGTTTTTTGTTCCAAAAGAGTCAAAGATTGTTTGTTGAGAGTCTTTTCAAATGTAGTTCGAGACGCACGAGCACCAATGCCTTTGATATTAAAAAAAAAAAAAAAAAAAGTTAGTAAACTATAGTTATATTCTCTCTTAGAAGACCTGCCTTCTGGAAAGTACACTAAACTAATCGACCTTAGAGTGACTATGATACTTGATAGTTTTTCAGGTTTCGCAAGTGTCAGAGTAACATGACTTGTAAAGACAGTGGAAGCATCTTCTTCTGGAGATCCTCGCAGTACAATAGGTTTGAAAGGACCAAATGAGAGCCGGTCGTTTGACAATAAGCCCATGACTTTATAAGAAATACAGAAAGTCTTCTATTGATGCGTGAAAACACCTAATAATATTTAAATGATTAATACAGATATTTATTGGAATACAGAAAAGAGGAGAGGAAAAAAGCCAAAAAAAAAAAAAAAAAAAAAAAAAAAAAAAGATAAGAAAAAAATAAGGTTCGGCAGTTGAATAATGTTCAAAAGGGATCACCCCAATGATAGGGCAACTTAAGCACTGGAAAAAAAAAAGGGAATATGATTATGATATGAAATAAAGGTTGAGACTATTCTATGAATTCTTCCTTCTTCTTTGGAGGACCTTCTAACTGACTAATCCGATGTTCCATGGTAGATAAGACATCATCCCAGGCGATAAAAATTTCAGATAATGTATTGATCTATAAAATATAAAAATACTATCATTAAGGATAATCATATGGTTAGTTCTAAATATTTTAAAAGTAGAATGATAGAAAAAAAAAAAGGATACGGTGCCATTATAATTATCCATAGCTTGAGAAATCCGACTAGTCAAATCGGCTAATTGCTTTGCTTGTTGTTCATGATCTAATTCTAGTGGTGAGAGTTGATTTCCAAGTTTATCCACTATTAAGTATCATTAAAAAGAACAAATTTAAAAAAGGGTAAATTATATAATATATGCATTATTTTTCTAACTTTTTTTTTTTTTTTACCTTTCAAATCGGAGCCATCCACTACATGTTCCAATGATTTTACTTGCTTGACTTCATTAGCCAATCGTTCCAAATCATCATAAGCTGCTAGTACAAGTTCTAATTTTGTTTCTGGTTGTAACAATTCACGTTCCATATCGTAAGTCGAGTTGGTTGGATTCAGTACTTTGGCATATGGATCATCTAAAAAAAGTCAATCATCATGAGTCCTCTATCAGACATATAAAACATGGATGCTATTATTTATCAAAGAAGAAGAAAAGATAACTTACATTTTGTAGCAAAATCTTGTAAACTCTTGTTGTTCTTGTAGAGAATGTTTAGTTCCTTTGCCAACTGAGAACAGCGTAAGGTCAAAGAGCCTTGTACTGACCGAGAAAGATGTTCTATCTGATCACCAGCAATTATATGTTCAAGATGTCGCAGTCGAGTTTCAAAACCATATTCATCCATTGATAAAGTGATAATGATTGTTCAAAAAGAGTAGGATTAAAGTTGAACGAGAAAGAGAGACAAGAGAGAAAAAAAAAAAGGAGATCCTCTTTCTATACGAAATAGCCTTTCAAATCCCGCGCGTTTTCATTTTCTTATTCTTTTACGTCTTTTTTTTTTTTTGTTGAATTGGAAACCAACTTTTTTTTTTTGTTCCTTTATACGCAACGTAAATCACTTTTTTATCACCTGCAAACCATTTTATTCACTACCGTGCAAATTATTTATTTTTACCCGCTAACTATTATGACAAATGGTGAAAGTCACATATGGTATTCGATTCACTAAACAGTCTCCTTTGGCACAGGAGATCAAGGCTCGAAAACGAAGATTGAAACTATATATGGAACAAGACGATACAACAAAAGCATGCAAAATAGCCTTGGATATTGCTGATCTACTCTTATCTCAAATCGACTATATTGATACTGATCTACCTGCTACAGACCAAGAACGCGACAAGATCGATTATGCAACTGAAGCTCTCAAGTTTTGTACAAAAGCCAATGGTGTATTTATCAAGCAAAATGATTATAGGCGGCTTGCACAGTAAGTTATAGAACAAAATTTTGAAATACAAGGGCAAACAACTAATGACTTTTGATATATTTTAATAGGTCTTATCTTCTCATGATCCGTTCCTATCAAAGGTACAAAAAAAAAAAAAAAAAAAAAAAAAAGACTATTATTCATTTCTTTTTCCTCTCTCTCTCTCTTTCTCTCTCTTTTTCTTTCTCTCTCTTATTCTCTTTCAAGGTTGGGCAACTATGACGAAGCCATTCAACGAAACACGAAACTGTTGGAATTCTTTAAACAACCTCATCCCAAAATCAAAGACAAGCAACTTTTACAACAATCTTATAAGCTAATGGGCGACACATACTTTACTCATGGTCATCTTGGTGATCGTATCAGTAACCATACAGATCTTCCTATGGCTTGCAAATATTATGAACAGGAACGTAAGGTACTTTCTGTTATGACTGTCAAGGATGTGGATGGTGATCATTCAACGCTTACAGATTTAATGCGATCGTCCGACTTCAACATGGGTGTTATCAAAGGGAAACTTGCCATTTATCAGCATGATCAGACTGTGGAACAACATTTACAGGATGCCATCAAAGCTGCTGCTAATCTGGACGACGTGGATAATGAACGACGATCTTGGTGGGAACTTGGTAACATATATGTTCGGCGTGGACAGTGGGATAAGGCTTTGGAATGTCAGAAAAAGGAACTCAAATTGGTCAAGAAACATGGACTGGATGATATATTGGCAAGTACTGTTGAAATGGTCAAGACCTTACTGGAATTGAATGATTACTCTGGCTGTTTGGCACTCTGCCGAGATATGGAAACCTCAGTCATCCAAATATACAAAGGAGAAGGATTAGAAGCAGCCAAAGCTATGGCACAGGAAACAAAAGATATTGTACTCACCATTCAATCAAGACGAATAGAACTCGATCAACTTGTAGCCAATGCGGATCAAGAATGCATCAACTACAACAGGAGTAAAAATATTGATATCTACACCACTTACAATAACTATAATAACACAACACTTCGGAATACTATCATTGGAAGAAAGTTACGTCGTCAAATAGCTACGGTATGCGAATCTCTAGGACAACTATTGTACAACTACAGCATGTTTCTTTCAGCAGCATCAGTAGTGGAAATGGGTCTGACTTATGTAGTAGATGATGACAATGTAGATTCCACAATAGCGCTTCCTCTCATGCTCCTTCGCATCCAACTCCTGCAACTCAAGGCTTCAATCCATTGGGCAAGACATGATACTTCTTTGAATGAATTGGCTGCATTAAATCAAGATATCATCACATTGGCTACAAATCATACTCAAGATAGATTACAACAATTGGACATTATACTCACTGCACAGCAAAGAAATCACAGTCTTTATCATTACTACGGTCAAACTGAAAAAGCTGCGGAATGGCATCGAATGGCTAGGAAAACTGAAAATCAATATAATCGATTGGTAATTATAAAAGAAAAAAAAAAGAGAGAGACAAGGAGTTGGTAAATATTGAATAACTTGATCTAAATTATTTCTATAGGCTGGTATTACAAAAGATGAAGAAGATTTGGAAGCAACTACGGATGAAGATAATGATGACAACGGTGACGCTTTGATGGATAAAACAAGTTCACACAATCCTCAACCATTATTTGGACCTGCAGATAAAGCTTCAAGGATGGTATGTCGCTAATATAAAAAAAAAGTAAAGAAAATATAGGATAGCTCATGCAATCTTTATTTATAAAATAGACAATAACGGTATCTTTAAGTTTGAGGAATAAGATGGAGCACATGCTGGTACCATGCGAAGATGATATGGATACACTAGAATGGTTGGGAAAGGAAGTGACAAGAAGATCTTGGGAACTCTATGGAATTGAGGTAAAACAAAAATAAAAAAAAAAGTGATGATCTTTTATTTACTTAACCTTTTGAAAAAAAACTATCTTATGTATTTAGCCAATCATTAGTCACTTTCGATTGGATGATACTGATCTATTTCCAGATGATACCCTCAACATATTAGCACAACATCAAGAAAAAAAACTAGATGCGATTGTACAAGGTAATCACCAAACAAAATGATATGTTTGGAAAATGTTTCTTATATGAATATTTTATTGAACCTAGGTTATCAAGTGAAAACATTACTGGAGGTTTACAACAACGCATGTTCAAGAATCAAGAAATCACCATTACCGCAAATACAACGAGTACTGAAGGATAAATCATCAGACACTACAGTCTTATCTTTACGTGGTACAGGTATGAAAATAAAGGAAGAAGAAGAAAATATGAAAAGGGGGTATTCATATGATATTGAACCTTTTTTTTTTTTTTACTCTTACTTCTCTAGGATTATCATCTGAAGGCATTGATACAGTGATTGAATTGGTACATCTATTACCTTTCCCACTTACAGAAATAAATCTATCTGGTAATCTATTGTGTAAGTAAATCAAGTAAAAATAAAAACCTTACCTAATCAATAATTTTATTTTGACAACATTAGGTGATGACGATATTATTCGATTATTTGATGCTATCCCTTGTCCATCTATAGTGAATTTGAATAGTAATCTGCTTACCTTCAAGACATTGACATACTTTTCTAGTGGTAGAAAGCATGATACTGTCCTTGTATCTCTAGACCTGGCATACAACTTTCTTGGACCTATGATAATGGATCAATTAGATGATATTTATCAAGCTTGTACAAATCTCCAAAGTTTGAACGTAGAAGGTTGTCAGACCAATATATAGTTTTCCGGGTCCACTCAATTGAATCATCTCGATTCCGTCTTTTTTTTTTTTTTTTTGTATATATGTATTTGTAGTTATACCTTTTTGTTTTATATCATTCTTCATCGTTACACGAACTGCTTTTTTTTTTATATTTTTGGTTGAAATAAAAGTCTTTTTGTCTGTTTTGTCTATTTTATTTTTATTTTATTTTTTTTACCAATGAATTGGAGTTTCAATAAAGGAATAACCAACTGTGATTGGGGAGGCGTCAGTGATTACTCTCAGGAACCACTGTTTGATAGAAAAAAAAAGGTGTTCTTGTCATTCTGATTCAAAATAAAATTTTCTGAATAAAATCATATGAATACCAAAATGTCATCAAAATATATTAAAACATTATCGTATATAGATTTAGAATCCACTAAGCAGAGTTGCTTTCGTTCAATTGTAAAAAAAAAAAATGAAAATTTTTATTAGGTTTTTTTTTGTTCTGCGGGCATCGAAATGCTCTGTCAGCATTCCATTCCAAACTATTCAAGATGATGATTATTGTAGTTTTTACATATGAAAAACGATTGGCAAACAAGGCTTTAGTAAGCGTTTGAAACTCCGTAGAAATCCATAGAAAGGTCTATATTAGCCCTTCTCTTCTACTTTTAGATTTATTTTGTTTTCCGCAACTTAGTTAAATTTTTTTATATAAAAAAAAAAAATTAAAAAAGATACCCTTTTCTTCTCTCTTTTTTTTTTTTTTCCTTTTTCATTACCAATACTCTTTTAATTAATCAACATGGTTGCTCAAGTTCAAAAGCAAGCTCCTGCCTTCACTGCTCCTGCTGTTGTCGATGGTGACTTCAAGGATATCTCATTGTCTGACTACAAGGGTAAGTACGTTGTTTTGTTCTGGTACCCCATGGACTTCACCTTTGTGTGCCCTACTGAAATCTTGGCTTTCTCTGAACGCGTCAAGGAATTCGAAGCTTTGGACTGTGCTGTGATTGGTGCTTCTTGCGATAGTGAATTCTCTCATTTGGCTTGGATCAACACTCCCCGTAAGCAAGGTGGTCTTGGCGAAATGAACATTCCCTTGTTGGCTGATAAGACCAAGTCTATTGCTCGTGACTATGGTGTTCTTTTGGAAGATGCTGGTGTCACTCTTCGCGGTCTTTTCATCATCGATCCTAACGGTGTTGTTCGTCAAATCACCATCAACGATTTGCCTGTCGGTCGCTCTGTTGATGAAGTCCTTCGTCTCGTTGAAGCCTTCAAGTTCACTGATGAACACGGTGAAGTTTGCCCTGCTGGTTGGAACAAGGGTGATAAGACTATCAAGCCCAATGTCAAGGATTCCAAGGAATACTTCAGTGCTGCCAACTAGATAGTTTCTTTTAAGTTTTTTTTTCATTATACATATATATATATGACTTTTATTGACGTACACTCCCCACTTCTTTTATGGTTGTAAATAAAAAAAAAAGACAATAAAAATTTTAGTACATTTTTTTATATATATTATTGTTGATTGTTTGAATGAAAAGTATCTTTTATTTTTTATGACGATAAAGAGTGCCTGATGATGGATGATGATGATGATATATATATATATATATAAAGATAAGAATCACTTGGGATGTTCATGTGGATGGTATTATTGATAACGTTTTTTTTTTTTTTTTTGACGTGTAGGTTGACGGTGATTGAAAAAAAATCCCTTGTAGGTAAGGGGGTGCTCTGACGTTTTTCTTTTGACACTTGACGAATTCTACGTATAAGAAAGAGCAAGTAGTCTTTTTTCTCCCCAATCTCTTTGAAAAGCCGCTGAGAGGAAAAAGAAAAATCAAAATAAACAACCCTTTTGTTTTTTTTTTTCCTCTTTTTTCTTTCCAACTCCCCTCTCTTTTTTTTTTTTTCTTTTCATTCATTATACGCCATGCTTCGTACATCTACTTCACGATTGTTGAGCACACGTCTTATTCAACGACCTGTAGTCATGTCTGCTCGTGCTCAATCTACTTTGGATACTGGTGAAGTCATTCAAGATCCTCAAATTGGTGATTATCCCAACTTGCCTCGTAACAGTACTCAAGCTCGTGGTCCTTTCGGTTGGTGGGATCCTCAAGATAAACGTAACTTTGGCGAAACTGTAAGCTATTAAAAACTTAGTTTTACATTAACCAATCCAGTTGAAAATATATTAACATTCTATTTTTTTTTTTTCTAGCTTCACGAAGAAGATGAACTTTTGGGTGTTTGGGCTCCTGATCTTCATACTTATAGTCCTTACAAGGCTCTTGCTCAATTGGCTTTGGCTACTGGTGTGCTTACTGCCTTTGCTGGTCTTGTTTACTCCACTTATCCTGAAAGACCTGCTGTAAGTCCAAGTTAGATTTATGGATGAAAAAAAAAAAAAAAAAAAAAGATGCTTATTCTTTTTTTTTTTCTTTTCTTTTTTTTTTTTTTTTTTGTAGGTCCAACGCACTTACCCTAACGATGGTTTGAAGAAGGATTTGGGTTTCCGTGAAGGTGATGCTAGACCTCGTGGTGTAAGTGAGAAAAGAATATATTTGTAGGATTATACCTAATATTTGATGATGATGATTATTTCTTTGATATCATAGGCTCGTCCTGACGATTCAGAATAGATTATACATATATTTCCGCAATTGAACAACACCAACCACACAAACACCCTTACGCCGGATTACTTATATACACACATTATCTCTCTCTTTTTTTTTTTTCTTACATCACTGATGCACGAATACTCACATACGCACATATATATATCTACAACCCCCCTATATTAGTAGTTTGATGGTTTTTTTTATACAACAATATACAATTATTACAATACAGTACAAAATGGATTTTTTGATCATTGGGTTTTTATTATTAGTTATTGATTATTTGATTTAGAGAACATGATGAATATGAGGATTGATTCTATAAGGATGAATAATGTATACAATGGGAAGTATTGATCAAGGAGAATCAGTACGAGGCCTATGTTCGAATGGATTCAAAGGCTTGGTTTCGTCATCATTGTCGTCACTATCATCATGTTGATGCTGTTGTTGTTGATGTTGTTGTTGGTGATGTCTCGCCCATTCATGTGATGAAGATGTTTGTTGTTGATCATGTTGTTTGTTATCCCAAAGACCTAAATTATGTTTCGTATCATCTACGGGAAGACCTGCCCATGCTGATGGATGAGATAAAGAAAGTTTGCGATGACGCCTACTACTACGTCGTGAACGAGCAGCTTCAAAAACATCACTGTGTTGAGTCATATCCTCATGTTTATCGTCAAAAGCCACATGATGAGCTGAGAGGTGTCCTTCCACTGGAGCATCAAAAGGATGGATATGATAGAGATGGGAAAATCGGCCAGAATGTCGAGGGGAAGACACGGCGGATCCTGTACGACTTCTCTCTCTTCTTTTTTGTCGTTGCCGCTTGGTGATCTTTTCATATAATTTTTGTCGTTGGTTATGCTTTTCAAAGGCAATGGCTTTATTGGCTTCTTTTTCCTTTTGTGATGATTGCATCAAATTTGTTGGTAATTCATCCTTTCGGATGGGTTGTTTTTCTTCTTCATGAGCACGCAATGTTTCACTGTCCCATGATGCATCCACCATCTTATCAAGATCCGATCGTACATCCTTTTTTGATCGACGATAATACTTGATCATTAGAAGAAGACATAGCGTCTTTAAAAAAAAAAAAATAAATAAGGAAAGGCCTACCATAAAAAGTAATTTTTTTATTTTTTTTTTTTTTACCGCAATCAGAGCAAAGGTAAAACAACAAGCGACACGAACAGCAGAAAAACGGCCCCAATCACGTTCACAATGAAGAATCGATTGATGAATATCATCCATACTTTGATAACCAAAGGACCACCAAAATGCACCGGGAGGTTGACGACGAATACATGCTTCTACAAGTTGTGTTTGATATTTTTGATACAACAACCCAATATGAACCAAACCTGCTACAAATTGTACAATGCAAACTCCACAAAGCACCAACAATATATGATACATGCCGGATAATGATCTCTAGAAGAAGAATATATATATAGCATACCATATTATCTCTTTTTTTTTTTTTTTTTTTACCTTCCATATGGTGACTACAGCAATCATACTAAACATACTAACACAACCGGTAACAACAATATAGATATAAAAATCAGTCATGATTACGCCACTATGAACCCATTCTATAACAACAAAATAGAAATGAGTTGTTTTCTTAAGATGATGGATGATGAATGATCTTACGTGGAAGAAATAAAACCTCTAAAATGATTAATCCTATTCCTATTAACTAAAATAGTAGTCAATGATGATTAGTGATAACTAATTAAAAAAAAAAAATGAATATCCTTACACATAATAGAAAGCCCGACATCAATGCAAGATGACGGTTAGAAAAGATGGATCCACTTTGTTTCTTGGAAAATGGGATCATCTCTTGATGAAAATAAAAGGACAGTAGAAGATGATAGTAAAAAGAATATCTTTTTTTTTTGTTTTCTTTATTTACAAAATTACCCATGTTTTATAAAAAAGGAGACATCGGTTTCAAATGAATTTTTTTTTTTATTTTTCAATCTTCCATAGAACAATAGAAAAAAAAAAAAGGGATTAAACTAAATCAAATCAATCTACATCTACTTCTTCCTCTTCATGTTCAAGGGTTGTATAGCCTTCTCGACGTCGTTTCCACCATAACCATAGATAATATCCACCACCAACAATAAGAGCACTAATGGCCAACACAGATAAAACTACCAAAAGGAAAGACCACCAAGAAAGAGGATGATTATCATCTGAAGGTATGAGTACCCTATCGATTTCAATAACACCACCACCGTTCGTCACCCTACCAATAGTTACCACTTCCGCCTTGTCTTGCAAACTGCCTTTGACATGAACTGTGTAGATATCAGATGTCTTTTGATTGTTCTGTACCAAAGTGATCATCACCTTTTCATTATCATCCAGTGTATCGAATTCTGTTCCCAATGTCGTGATTTCCTGATGTTCATCCATATTTGTACTTCCATGATCTTTCTGTTTTTCTTGTTGATTGGATATATCAAACAATGTCATTTGAGGTATGGCCACTGGTAAAATATGAAGTCTTGCTACACGATTCAACAAATCTTGATCTTCAAGGAGTCGAGTAAGGTTCATCTTGGCAAAGGCACGATCACTAGGAGCCAGAATGGTGTATCTTCCTGAATAAGATTCACTTGTGTCTAAAAGATGCATCAGTTGCGCTTGTTCCATCAAATCCAAAAAAGCATTTTTCCCCGAACTTGTCAAAAGGTCATGATTTGTCACTTTCAATAAGGAAGGAAGTTGTACCCGATCCACTTTGTGCACTACACCATTCTTGATCAGCATATCATCTTCATCTTGTTCTTCCATCACCACTTTGCCAATCACACTACGATCATTACCATCTGCCGCACCAAACCCACGTAAAAAGAGTCCCTTGTCTGTCTTGTTCATATAAATGTTTTCTTCATTATGTTTTCCATCACCAAAAGAGAGTGTTGAGACGCTATATTCACCAGGTGCCATTTCGTCGTTTGTATAATAGATCCCTTGAATGGCATGGAAAAGAACTACTTGTGCCAGTTTTTTCTTGTTGTTAGGATGGAGTAAGTATTTTGTAAGCATGCCGAGTCGTTCAAAAGCATCATTGGTAGGTACAAATAAAGTGATGCCTTTTGCTGTCTGTATCACATTGTTGGATCCAGAGGCATATGCACTTGCTACAAACGTCGATAAATCAAGGTGGGTAGGGAGTTGATCCAATACATCACGAGGTAAAGTCACTGATTTCGATACTGGGTAAATATAATTTGCATTGGTTGCCACTAAAAAAAAAAAAAAATGAATCATCATGTAATATTTATTTATTTATTTATTTTTACCTGGTTCCCCTGTTACCACGGCGTCACCAAATTGAATCGATTGTTTCTTTTTTTCAGAATAAAAGGATTTATCTTGTACAGTGACATGGACTCGGATACGTTGTTGTTGATGTCTACCTAGTAATCCACCACCTGCCTTTGTTACCAAAAGGGCTCCATCTACTAGTTCTTCCGGAGCATACCGGTGCTCAATAATGTGATAACGTAGCCATTCATCAATATCATTTTGAGGTATCATTGTTTCATCTAAAGCTTCATTGGTAGGTACCAAGACTGTTAATTGTTGTTTGTCGTCATTATCTAGATAATCAGCAAGTCCATAGATATCGAAAAGGTCGACGAGTTTGGTTGCATTCATCCCCTTTAACACATGTCGCAGTGTAGAGTTTTCAATAGCATTGTAGTCGTTTGATATAGTTTGGTAAGAAGAAGTAATAGTAAATAAAGAAAACAATAAAATCAATAGAAAGTAATAAGGTAATACAACTGTGGTCGTCATAATAAAAAAAAAAAAAAAGACGAAAGAGAAAAGTAGTGAAACAAAAAAAAAAAGTAGCATAAATAAGACGGAGGATTTTTCAAAAGCCGAGATACATTTACATTTTTATTTTCACGTAGATAATAATACACTAAATTTAAAGAATATTAAGGACGGTATACGAAGGAGACATCTTCAACATCTGTTCTATCATCCACTTTTTTTGAATAATCAAACTGACCAGCAGCAGAAGGTTTGGCAGGAAAACCACGACGAAGGTTGGCACGAACAAGGGACCATCGAACATAACCATATAAGAAGAAAGCGATGATGTTGGCACCAGTAAATCCAAGCATAGCACCCAAATATGGAGATGATTGATTGTCCATCATTTGAGGTCCAACAAAATTACCAATGGTGTACCATACTAATTGACTTGATGTGTAGAATACCTTTTTAGAATAACCTATATAAATAAAAAGAAGAGAATGATGAGAGATCAATGATGATTTGATCATTTGGATAAATATGAATGGTTGATAATAGATGGAAGATCAAGATGGGCAATCAAAAAAAAAAAGGAGACGGGGAATAATCGTTTCATTATTTTTATTATTTATTTTACCTTTCACATTGTTTGAAATACTTGTTTGCATCAAAATATACATGGGAGTACATCCGTAAGCAAGATAGATACCTAGATCGAAAGAAAGAAAGAAGAAAAAGGTCAATATACTATGAAATCAGTGTCTCCTTTATATATATATACCTAATAATTTGACAGGACCATGACTGATCAATCCAAGTAATAAAACACCAGTCATAGAGATTAGGGTCATTCCCATTGCAACAAAGCAGATTTCATTATATCGTCTTGATAAATAAGTGGAAATGATGATAAGTAAGGCTCCACAGCAACCATTGGGTATATTGAGTAGAATCGATTGTAAATTCTAGAAAGTAGAATATTAGTATAATATATATATATAAGTGTAACCATGACTTACGGTGAAACCAATCTCTTGAATGATTTGTGTAGAAAATACAGTAAGACTTCCATTTTGGAGATTACAAAGACAAGACAGGGCACAATAGCAGTAATATTTTGGATCCTTAAGGGCTTCCCAGACATGATTGATATTGAAAGTAGTATCTTGAGCTGTTCCACTATCCAACATGCGTTCATCAACAATAAGAGATTCTTCAGGAGTGAGACGAAACCATCTTGATTTTGGATGATCAGGCAAGAAGAAGAAAAAGACAATACCAAGTGTAACAGTGACGGCACCCCAAATGATAAATCCTATTAATAAATAAGCATTAAACATTGTTATTGAGTACAAATCATTATTATAAATTTGTCTTACCATATTGCCAAGCAGATAAACCATTAAGACCTTGCATATTTCCAATACCATAACCAATCAAACCACCCAAAGCAGTAGCAACAGCATTTGCAATAAACATGGAAGATACATAAAAGATTTGTTCATGTCGTCGATAAAAGGAAGCAATCAAGATAAAAATACAAGGATAGGTGACAGCTTCAAAGAAACCAAGAATAACACGACAAGCAGCCAATCCACCAAAACCTTTTGACAGTGCAGTACAACCTAAACTGACACCCCAAAGAACCAAAATAAGTCCCATATATTTTGATATTGGTACTCTTTGAATTAAAAAGTTGTTGGGTATCTGAAAAGCCAAGTAACCGACATAGAATAAACTCCTATAATGTTATTCAATAAAAGATGTCAAAAAAAAAAAAAAAAAGAGAATGGGAATCTTACCCTACTAGAGCAAATTCGTTCTTTGTAATATGTGTATCTTCATATAAACCAAGTACAGCAGCCACATTCAATGTTGATTTATCAGCGAACTATTTAAAAGAATAAAATAAAGAAGAAAGACATGAATATAAATTTGTAAAAGGGAGAAATTAGATTCTTACCTGTACAAATAAAACAATACACACCAATGGAAGGAAACTCCGATCGATCTTACGTTTGAGTCTTTTTTCAGCAGGTGAGTAAATAAAAGGTGTAATAGTATCATCTACTTTCTCGATTTGTTCCAAGGAATCAATATCTTTAATACCAGTCATTTCGATCTTATGATCTGTTGTTGTATCATCTGTTTCCCTTTTATCAGACATAATTAGAGTGTGTGAAGAGAGATAAAAGGAAAGAAAGAAAAAAAAAAAAAAAAAAAGAGAGAGAAAAGTGAATGTTTCAATTTATATGCAGCAGATGGGAAATGCGGATCATGAAAAAGAAAATATCATCAATCATCATTCACAGTCATTCCTTTTTAAGGTTCCTATCCTTTTCTTTCCTTTCTTCCTTTCTTTCATTCATTAAATCAGTTTATAACTTCTCATCTTCAGATAACAAAGAATGATACGAATCAATATTCAGTTATCAATCATCAAAAAAAGTTAAGATTCCTTCATTTAGTGGTAGAATTTGTCTAGAGATAAAAAAAAAAAAAAAAAAAAAAAAAGAGGCTGATAGATATTAAGGTTTTACTTTCTGAAGTCCGAATGATCCAAAAACTTTAATGCTTAATACCTGTCATTATTCACACACTTTTTTTTTTTTGACTCATTCATCGTCTTGTTAGTCTTTGAGAACAAAAGGAAAAAAAAAGATCAAGATCAAGAAAATTGAAAATGAAAATGAAAAAAAAAAGAAAATGGATGATGACAAAGGAAAAAAAAGGTTATCTTTGTTCCTATCCAAGATAAGCGAGTTTATCTTAAAAAAAAAAGCTGATAGTTTCACTCTCCGGTTCCTTTAATATGCAATCTCATCATCCTTTAAAACAATAGCATCATCCAGTCTTAACATTCATATTGACAGTTTATGCAAATAAGCATAGTTTTATCGTTATTGTTTACAAACAAACTATGAACTTTGTTTTTTTTTTTTAAAAAAAAAATCAAGAAGTGGATGATGATTTCCCTTTTCCCCAGGTTCTATCTTCTTCATGTGCTCAGTTCTCACGCTATCAAAGAGGTTGGTATCTATTCAACATGATGATTATTTTTTTTTTTATTCGTGACACACACAGACTACTGGATTTTTTTTTGGTATTAGATCCTTCATTTCCCAGGATTTGTCTAAGAATGATTTATTTTCTATACGCACGCCACATTATGTACCTATATGTAGATATTTAATGAATCCATCAGAAAATTAATACACACACATATATTTCATTTTTTGATAAAAAAAAAAAAAAAAGAAGAAGACGCATATGATAGGTACGAACGATTGATATTCTTGTTTTGTATACTATTGAGAAAAGGGCAGAATTAAAAAAAAAAAAAATTACCCAAGAAAGGAAACAACCAAATATGGTTGATGTCACATGATCATTTTCCTCGATTTTCTATGCATTAACGACAGACTGTCTACTTGATCCACTAACAAAAGAAATAATCATAAATAATATACATGTCTTTTGTTAATGATGCTTATACGGTATGATAATGAATTTAAGCTTAAAAATAGGATTTGAAAGGTTGATTTGATCTATATATATATATATATTTTTTTTTTTTTTTTTTTGAAAATTTTGAATTCTACAGCCAAAAATTTCGAACTCCCCAGCCAAATTTTGGCTGTAGAATCCAATCGTCGAGGGTTCATCAGGCAATTTTTCAAAAAATCGATAAAATCTTCTTTGTGATTATTTCACATTACGTGGCAATGCAAGCAATAAAATGATATTAGATGATATTAGACTACTTTGAAGAGGAATCCAATGGTGGTAATTTCATTGGATGATGATCACTATTGGATGAGGGATGAGTGTTTCTATTTTTATTTTTTAATTTACTATATAAATTAGGAGGTAACATATAAACTGTCATTAATACAAGTAAAAGAGAATGATGTCAAGTATGTCTCTTCCAAATTTGAGTCAATGATGATCATTTATGAACGAGAAATGAAAAGATAAAATTTGCCTTGTCAGATTTTGGCTATAAAAATCCATCATCAAGGGGTTGCTAGATCGTTATATAAAGAAATACCTTTTTTTTTTTTTTCATCCTCTTTTAAGGCGACCGGTAGATGTGTACTGGTGCACTAATGAAATATTTTTATGCGTGCATTGAGGGAACACATTTTATGATATTATTAGTGAATAGTGGATGGATGACTTTTATAAAGTTGTTGAATTAGTTGATATTTGTATATAATAAAAGATGTATAAAAAGATAAACGAGATTCTTAAAAGGGTTTTTTATTTTAAAAGAGAATAACATGATAGATGTTTTGTAAAATAAAAACCAAGATGTATGTATTCTAAAAAAAAAACAAAAACAAAAAAACAGATAAATAAATAGGCAGAAAATATAAACGGAAATAAAATAGATATCTATGAATATTGAAGGATGATGATTGGATCAGTGAGGAGAATATAGTAAAAAAAAAAAAAAAAAAAAAAAAAAAAAAAAAAAAAAAAAAAAAAAAAAAAAAAAAAAAAAAGAAGGAACCCAATGTCATACTGGGGATCTCATTTAAAGCTAAAGTCCAAGTGACAAATAGAGTCCAATCAGCTGTACCGCATCGTCGAGAAGTAATAGCACGCACCAAAAAAAAACAGGGACCAATAGAGATAGGGAAAGCGCACTATTAGGTTGATTTCAATATCAAGTAACAGCAATGAGTATCATTTTGCAATATCCTTCTTTTTTATTTTGTATATACTTACGAATTTAGAGAGTTACTGATACACAATAGACATCCATATCCAAAAAGGTGGGTTCTTTCCATCATATACACGAAGTAAGCTACCTGTAGACTATCGATCAAGTATCATTCCAGTCTTCCACCTAGTTCCTAGCATGTCAACAATATCTTGGTATCTATTTCTGTGTTCATTGCCGTCCAAATCGAGTTCTTGAGACAAGAAAAAGAAAAAAAATTAATATTATAAGATAAAAAGTTAATATTATCAAAAAAGATTGTTGCTTACCCAGTTCAAAAAGAAAAAAAAAAGAAGCAACAAAGTTGATTGAGTAAGCTCTATTACCAGTAATGTTATACTTATAAGGCACTATGTTGATTTGTAGTCAAAATGTAGAAAGAGAAAAAAAGGTGAAGAAAAGGTAATAAAGAAGAGGAAACAAAGAACATTTTTTTTTAAAAAAAAAAGATCGAACGGCATTTTAAAAAAAAATTCAATCAACCTCCATTTCATTGTTCTCCCTTTCCTTTTTTTTTTTTTTTTTTTTTTTTTTTTTTTGGTTCCTCTATAATAACCTTATACCCTAATCAACCATGGAAGACACAAATAAACTCATTCTTAAAACGCTTTTACAATTATCCAACGAAATAAGAAGTTTATCTGCCTCGACCAAAAGAATGAATGAAAAACTGACAGCTATAGAAACCAAACTATCATTTTACGAACGTGTCAGACATTCACCTTCTCCTGCTATTAATACTTCAGATGAAACAATAATATCAACAGAGCCTATGACACGTATATTACCACCACATAAAAAGGAAAGTGTAACTCGAAAACTCAAGATGCTTATCAGTACATCATGGAACAAGAATAAGAATGGGATTGAACGGACTGAAGAGGAACAAGCACGCGCTTATGAAGCACTTTTGGATTTGGCAAAGGATACTCTAGAACAAGTGGATGACACTATGTTTTTACCAGGTCGAAACAAGACATTTTCCAATTTAGAACACACATATCAAGAAATATTAGTAGATCATTTTGAAAAGGCAGCTTCAGGTATTGGTTTACACTTGAAGGATTGTGCAAAACACTGGGCAGCAAGAAGACTTTTGACACGGGAAATGATCAACTCTAGTCGACAGAGCATCAAACGCAAAAAGAATGACAACAATGATGAAAAGAAAGAAGACAACGATGCTGACAATCACAATATCACCAGTGACAATAGTGACATCAAGGAGAATATCACTGACGATAGCGATAACAATGACATGAATGATTGTGATAATCACGATGATATAGATCACCAAGTGTAAGTGAATACTTGTGTATTGACATTCTAATTCATAAATGATTTTTTTTTTTTTTTTTTTTTTTTTGGATAGTGAATTTGTAGATAATTCTTCCTCACCTGCAGAACAAATCTCGTCACCTGATGGCATGATCATTGGTTCTCCTCATTCAGCACCCAGTCCCTCTCCAGCAAAACGACAACGGCAATTGAAGGAGGAAGATGATACCATTATTACTTAGTCATTAGAATAGCCATTACATTAGTTTAGTTTAGAACTTAAAAGATAAAATAAAATAAAAAATATCGTCTCACTTGATTCTTTTTTTTTTTTTTTTATGATTATACATTCCGAGAAGTTAACCTGGTTCTAATCATCAAGTCATGTCAATATTTCATGACAGTTTATGCTGACATACTTCCAATGCATCATATTCAACATTCCTTCTTTTATTTTATTTTTTATCGTTTTGATGGTTCTTTCTATGATTTCGTACACGGTTTATTATCGTATGGCCTTTTTTGTATATACTTTGCGTTAATTCTTCACACTGTTTTACACAATTCTTTACATTTAATAAAATTGTTTTATGTTTTCTCTTTATCTACAGCCGTTATTGTCGTTATCATATTCCATCTATAACTATTAACAATAAAAATAAAAAATAAAAAAAAAAAAATAAAATAAAAAAGAAAATTCAAGTCAACACACTTAGTAATGCAATATTCTACATGATCAACAAATCAATACGTTACATCAAGCATACGATATAAATGATCATACACATATTTGATTTCAAAAGACGCTAGGAGACTATGAAGGCGTTTATTTCCATCAAATCTAATACTAATCAGTAATATATATATATATATATATCAAGTGTTTCTAACGATGACTACTTTTCTATATAACTAATCTATGTATCTCGATGTCCAAATTTGTTTCAATAAGGTTGCAACTTCTATTGTCCATTTGTTGTCATTCATTCCATTCAAAAGCCAATATATTTACATCCATTCGCTCCAAGCAAGGACTGATCATTGTTAGATTGCCACTTCATTGTCTTTGTAGTTGGTCAAGGTGATCATCTATGAAAAGGAGAAACAGTAGTGTGAGTATATTATTGTACTATTTATTATATTCTACAAAGATTGTTCCTTCAATTCTCCTTGTTGTTCTATCTACATACCATAAAAATGAATAAAGCCATATCTAAAAATACAAAATAATGAATATTAATAAACGTGTTCAACATTTACAAAAAAAAAAAAAAAAAAAAAAAGGTTCTACCAATTCCTTTTCATTCTTACCATTCATATCCCATCAATCTACATTCCATTCACGTGAAATCTGTTGATCATGTCCACATAACTATATAAATTGATACATCGAAAAAGTGAAAGCATCATTCAAGTGAATTGATACAAGAAGTTTTCTTCTGATTTCATACCTGCGAGGTGATATTGTTTCCAATAATGAAGATAATACATTGAAGAGAAAACCATTCATAGGTATATGTGTGAGTTAAAAAAAAAAAAAAAGAATGATATACAATTTGTCGAAAGATCAGTATAAAAAGTCTAAAAAAAAAAAAAAAAAAAAAAAAAAAAAAAAAGGTAGTTCAAAATCACATTCTTTTGAATGAAAACCGGCAACATATCAACCAATAAGAATAGACCGGCATTTCATTGCCCAATCAAAATGCAAAATTTTTCAAATGAAAAATATATAGGAAATTTAAGCCCCGACGAAAGTTGTAGGGGCCGTAGTATAGTGGTATTACGCATGTTTCGCATACATGCAACCGGGGTTCGATTCCCCGCGACTCCAATTTTTATATAAAAACATGCTTTTTTTTTGTTTGTTTTTCTTTTGTTACGTCCAAAACGAATTGATAAAATAATATTAAATGTTTTTTTTTTTTTTTTTTTTTTGATTGATGATATTAATAAAATATTTGTTATCATCTGTGATTTGAATGATCATTCAATCATTGTGGGGACAAGTGACATCTGATTGGACGCGGTGATTAAAGTTTTTTTTTTTTTTTTTTTTTTTTTTGGAGGGTCATTATATCTTGAGCTTTTCCTATTTTTCTTTTCTTTTATCCAAACCATAAGTAGCAGTAATTGATAGTAATGACAAACCTAGAGGATTCACCTTCATACAGAGTGCTTAGTATTCAATCACATATGGTAATAATTAGTATATCTATTACAACATAATCTATAACTAACATATTCATTCATAGGTCTCTGGGTATTGTGGTAAAATGAACACCAAGAAACACCAACAGTAAAATAATTTGCCTAATAACTATATCTTTTTTTTTTTTTTTTTTTTTTTTTTTTTGTAACAGGCAACAAAGCTGCAGCCTTTCCATTACAAACTTTGGGATTTGATGTTGATATTCTTAACACTGTACAATTCTCCAATCATACAGGTAAATTCTACAAGTAGGAAACTTAGCTATTTATATAACTTTTGCATTTATAATAGGATATACATCTTGGACAGGAGGTCGTCTTACTGATGTAGATGTTCAGCAACTTTTCGATGGACTTGAAGCTAATGGGTTGATGGACCAGTACACTCATGTCTTGACAGGTAAAGAAAAAGCGATATGAAAACAGATTAAGTATTTTAATGTAATCCTTTCTGTTTGTTGAACTATTTAGGATATATTGGCAACTTTGACATACTACGAACGATTGAAAATAAGGTAAAACAGCTCAAGGAAAGAATTCCCTATTTGATTTACGGTAAGAACGGAAAACACAATGGTACTATATTTATATATCCTTTTTTTATTCTTCTTCTTCTTCTTTTTAGTCTGTGATCCTGTGTTGGGTGATGGTGGACGTTTGTATGTCGCTCCTGAAATTGTTCCCTTATATCGTGATGTTTTATCAGTTGCAGACGTTATTACTCCAAATCAATTTGAAGCCGAGTAAAGAATTATTAAAACAAATATAAATCTTAAACTTCTAATTTTTTTTTTTTTTTTTTGATGAATAGGGTTTTATCAGATATCAAGATTATCAATCTCAAAACAGCAAAAGAGGCGGCAAATCAGATCCATGCTTTTGGTGTTGACAATATTGTGATTACTTCCATGGTTCTTCCACCTGAAGATGTACCAAAAACTATTTTATTACCTCACAGCAAATCGACTGAATCTGCCAGCAATACTAATCATCAACCTCTGTATTGTATGACAAGTCAGCGACATCCTAATGGAGACGTTCAACAGCATCTGATTTCTTTCCCGACATATGAAGGCTACTTTACAGGAACAGGCGATTTATTTTCGGCATTAACAGTAGCAAGAATCCAGGATTATCCTCACTCATTGGCTCAAGCAATTTTTAAGGTGGTAGCGTCTGTGAATGCAGTGACTCGATTGACTTGGGAACATCAACGGAAACAACAACATGGGAATGATAAAATGATAGTGGACAAACCAAATGACCCTAAATTGGTACATGCCTGTGAATTACAAGTCATCAAAGGAAAGAAGGAAATAGAACATCCTGATCTCATTGGACACCAAATTTTGATGGTAGAATTGTAGTTTTAGAAATACCCCTTTTATCTTGGTAGTATTTACACTTTATTCCTAAATTTAATGTAGAACTATCATTATCATTATTACTACTGTACTCTTATATTTTTATTGAAAATAAAAACTTGTATTATGGTCTTTCATCATGTGGAAAATTGACTACCAAAAAAAAAAAAAAAAAAAAAAAAAAGTTGGTCGAATGGTGGGTTTGAAAATCTTGTTCAATTTTTCATTTGGCTTTTTTTTTTTTTTTTATATTTTCTTTCTTTCTTTCTTTCCTCACTTCATTCCATCGATTTACATTTAATGACTACTCGCAACAAAATATTGATAACAGGACTTCCAGGTATTGATACATTTCAAGTAGTTCAAGGTAAAAGCAAAATAAATCAAGTCAATTGTCAATTATTCCTAACCTCCGTTTAGGTATATTTACTTCTTCTGGACAAAAGATACCAACAAAGATCAGCACGACTGTCGAGGAACAACAGAAACAAAATGATCCTATAGCGGGAGTGATTGTACCATGGACAATCGACAACAAGTATTACACGGCATCCATCGACTTTTGGCTAGATGAACCTGATTTGGATTCACTGACAGAAACTATTGATGGTTATGGCAAGAAAGAGAATGGTGTCACTCAAGTCATCGATGCTTTCATTTATGTATTCAACAAATATCAAGTAAGAAAGAAAAGAAAAAAAAATGAGAAATGATTTCACAAGAGCTCATATCTAAACTTGGTGATCTCTTTTTTTTTTTTTTTTTTTTTTTTTATGATGCAATAGCAAAATAGTTTTGACCCTATCAAACAATGGATGTCCTTTTTAGAAGTATGTGATCCATCCATTCGTCTATGTATTGGAATGTCATCATCAATGGAAACAAAAGCAACTCAAACAACAACAACGGATAGTTCATCGACTGATGTATTTGAAGATTGGTGTCTGGAGAATCAATTCGATTATATAGATATGGATCAGCAACCAGAAATACCTATGGATAAAAAAGGATATGACCTGGTGGTGGATGCTTTACATACAAATATGTGGGATGGATTAGTACGCAAAAATGGACAGACAAGTAGAAAGCTCCCTGATGTGTTTGAAGCCGCTCTTTCTGATAATGATGATGATAATGACGACGACTTTGAACAATCATTGAAGAACATAGAAGATGATGGTGAAGAATGGATCAAAGGTATATATATATATATATAAACATGTGGTGGTTGGATGTGATATCTCATTCCTGTCTATTTTTATTATGGTAGAAATTGAAAAGCTGAAACTAGAGCATGATAAGCTAAGAAAGAAAGATGAAACAAGAACATTGACAGCAAGTGGCAAGGATATATTGGACTTTGACAATGATGATGATGATGATGATGATGATTTTGGTAGGTGACAGTCTACAAGAAATGGCATGCTTTGGAATTTTCCCTATTCTCATTCTTCTTATACCATTTATATTATTATTAGATATGCCATCAAAAGAAGAGATTGGTCGAATGCATGATCAATTATTTGGAGATATTGATCAAGATGATGGACTGGACAAGGCACTACAATCACTTCAAGCCATGCGAGGTAAATGTCATCAAAAAAAATATTATAACGATCGAATTCATTTTAAACATATCTATATTGTAGAAAAAGGAAAAGATTTACCAGATGAAGAACGAAGGAAGATGGCGGCTCAAGTAGCATTGTCATTTGCAGCTCAACTCGGACTCTAGGAAGGCAATGGAATTTTATATTGATGATGTATTTTAGATTGTTTTTATTTTATTATTTTTTATTTTGAATAAACATACCTTTTTTTTTTTTTTTTTTACGTCAAAGCATAGATGACAAATCATTTTCTCCTTATTTCATAGCTGACCCATGTGAAACGTGTTCATTTTTTCTTTTTCTGCGTTATGGTTAGAGATTTTTTATTGTATTGGGGTATATTTGCGGTGACCAGCATCGGATCATTACTTTACCTTGTTATTACCACCCAAAAACCCTACTTTTCTATAAAATGTTACTTTCTTGGTCTTTTTATTTCCTTCTCTTTCTTTATTACTTTTTTCTTTTATTTTATATTTCTTCACTATCATGACATTATCATTTAATTTTTTTCTATCTCCTCCACTAATTCTTATGAAAAAAAAAAAAGTACTTGAGGACAATCAATGAGGAGGATGATCAGCCAATGAAAATTCACAACAGCACAAATCGCTCACTTTTTTTTTTTTTTGTCATATAAAAAAGCACCTCACTGCTTTTTTTTTTTTCTTCTCCTTTTTTTTTTTTTCTGTAACATTCTCCAAATACCCTTACGATTACTAATATTTCTATAATGGCTGTAAGTATGAAGAATAGGTCATTATCTCTTTTTATTTTAGATGACGAATAGACTGATAACTTTTTTTATAGCAATATACTTTTACTGTTGAAATGGCTTGCAGTGGATGTTCTAATGCTGTGAAGCGTGCCTTGACTAAACTTGAAGGTAATAATAAAAGGAGGGTATGGGAAATATGTATTTACTTTTGCTTTTCATGAAACATTAGGTGTGGACAATATTGATATTGATTTGGAAAAACAAACTGTGGTTGTGGACACAAATCTACCTCGTGAATCTGTTTTGGAAACCATCAAGAAAACTGGCAAAACAGTCAAGGAATAAATTTTAGTTATCTACACTTTATTCAATAAACAAACAAGTTATATATATTATTTATTTTGATAGCACTTGAAGAAAATGGGATGAAGATAGATAGAATAAAATGATGATAGTTTGGGATAATACAAATGAAGGAATAATAATAAGAGAGAGAGACTAGTATCTAAGATTCAAGGAATGTGTTTGTATTTCAATGAGATGAAAAAGGTTGTTGACCACTCCAAAAGATGGTGATTTCACCATCACCCACGGTAGAACCTAAACTATGATTCGTCACAGGTCGAGAAGAAGGTTGTTCATCATCATCATTTTCCACCGTATATCGATCGTCTTGGAATGGATCTTGTTGACCATTTGATGATGGATTCTTCAATTCAAGTGTGTTGGATCGTGATAAGTCGTCAGATTTAGTCAAAATGGTACGTACTGAATCACCTCTTTTCAAATCACGTACAGTGTTGACACGTAAGATTTGCGGCTTTGCCCGAGTCACTTGTACTGCATGATGTGAAGCTGTTTGTGTTGTACTGATCATTGAATGGTGTTTGCTACTCATATCATCATCATCATCATCATCTATTGAATATTGAGAATGTCGAGGATCTTGGAATGGATTTTCTACTGCTGTATTGGAGGATGTGGCATGTGGAGTTGCTGTGGAGGAGGTTGTCCAAGGTTGATTTGATTTCATATAAGAGTTAGTTGAAGAAGAAGAAGAAGAAGAATGTGGCCGTTGTTGCTGTTGATAGTATGCTTCTTGTTGAATATGATAGGAAGGTGGGATGTAGGCAATTGGAATGACACCAGAAGTGATAGAATGACAAGTTGACTAAAAAAAAAAAAGTTATATAAGTATAATCCTATTTAAAAATACAAATAAGGACTTACATCTCTAGTATTTTCAGACATAGGACGTGGTATATCCGAAAAATCATTAAGTGAGTTGTGATGATTGTAATGTTGTTGTTGTTGTTGTTGTTTGTGAAGTCTTGTGGTTGTATGGAAAGCGATAGGTAAAGTAGTTTTTGATTTTTTCCTATATTGAAAGATACAATAGACCAAACCACCAACAAGAATACCACCACCTAAAAGACCACCTACAAGACCTCCTATCAAAGCACCATTGTCGTTGTTGTCATTGTTGTTATTGTCTTGACCATTGTTAGAGTTGGAATCAGATGGAGAGAGTCCAAGAGCTTCTTTACTCATACATTTAGAAGCAGGACATTGACCACAGTTGGACATGGTACCTAAAACACATACTTGGTCATCAGAACAACTAGGTTGACATTGGGCAATACAATTAGAAGGTGTACAAGAAGAAGCTATTGAAATAGATGAGAAGAAATGGTGAGTTATCATGATAATAAAAGTTTTTTTTTTTACATTGTGCTAAAGTTGATGTAGATAATAATAATAATAATAAAAGAGTGGAGATCAACCAGAAAGTGGCTATTCGTTGAAGAGAATGCATAGAAAGGAAAGGAATGATTATATGATCATGGATATATAAAAAAAAAAAAAAAAAAAAAAAAGGGAAAAGGGAAAAAAGGAAAAATGGAAGGGAACAATAATGAGAATAAAAAAATAAAGGTTACACAAATAGTTTATTGCTCTAAATTAGGAATCGATCAACAGATTGGTTAGTCAAGCAGTAACTATGATAAAAAAAGTAAAAATAATAAAATGTTTATTAAAATGGTATAAATAAAATAATAAAAAATAAAAAAAATAAAAACTATGACAAGACTAATAGGTAAAATAGTATTATATATATAATCCATAGGAGGGGGGGAATGTGTAACAAATACAAAAAAAAAAAAAAAAGATAAAAATACTATCCAAAGTTTTCCCAAATCAAAACATCACTTTCAAATCATCTGATCGTACAAAGACTCCTCTGTTGGGTGTTGAATCAAAATATCGTATGTTTTCATAAGATCCATCATTCTTGCCAACTAAAATATATTTAAAAAGAAAAAGAAAATCCCATTATTTATTTATAAAAATAGTAATAATAATTTTTTTTTTTTTTTTTTACCTCTACGATCCAATTCTACTCCAATCCATATACCATCTGCAAATGAAACAGGTCCAACATATTTTACAGTTCCCACAGTTAATACTGGACGTCGAGTTAATTGTACACGTTTTCCTACTACAATCATCGATGATTTTCGTTGAGCTTGTTTGGTCAAATCTGAATGTAATATACGTCGAAGCCATCCACGTTTCTTTTTTGGTGATCGTAAAGGTACTGTTGCCCATGAAAAAAGGGTTGATTTGGTAGTAGATGATGATGATGCTTTATTGTTCTCTTGTGAAATTGGATGTACATGTCGTCGTCGATGAGAATCTGGTTCCATGGATTCTAACCATCCTTTAATCCATCGTGTCAATGATTTTGAAGAATCATCTCGTCGATTGTTTGAATAAATAGAGGTTACATTGCTTTGTAAAGAATACGTTCGTTGTGTTGTTGTAGATGATCGTCGGGACATATTGATAGATGCTGCACTAGATGATGGATAAGATATTTTTGGTGGTGGAAATATAATAGTAAGAAGACTTTGTTGAACCAAACCTTGATGTTTTTCCAAGGATTTCACTAATGATCTTGCTGGTACATCAAGTTCTAAAAAAAAAAAAAAGAAATCTTAAATTTTGTCCATCTGATCTACTATGATTTGTAATACTATATATATATTTTCACTTTTTTTTTTTTTTTTTTTTTTTTTTTTTTTTACCAATAGCTAATGCTTTCAAAGTATTTGTATCCAAAATATCCAAAGCAGCCATTTTTATAAATTGATCCAATCTAGGAGACATATAAGAGAGTATAATATCTTTTGCTACACTGAGAATATGTTTGACTTGAGTATGATAAGATACAGCATGACGACACATAAGATCACGGACCAAACCTTGATAGAGTAAACCAGCATTCATAATATCCATTTGATCTTCCAAAACATGCATAAAGAGGTATTCCAAAAAGTCAAAAGAATAAGTAATCCCATCAATACAAGATAATAAGGCAGGATATTGAGAACAATAGTATTCAAAATGACGAGCAATGAGTTGAGTGGATTTTGCTTGTACCAAGGCCAAGGTAGCATGAAGAGAACGACTCCAACATAATAAAGGATCCATGGTAGATAACAAATTGGTGGCTAAAAAACAAGAATGAAGAGATTCCACAGCATTACATTTACTGACACGTTTGGATACAAGTTGTGATAACATCAATGAATGATCACTGGGAAGATGATCCAACATTCGAGCCATCATTCGGTGAGTCCAAAAGGTTGGCAAGCATTTTTCAGGGTCATGTGTCAAAGATAAAATAACCTTGATGTATAATTGATATAGAAGGTCATCCTCTTGTAGAGTGGTGTTTTTTGATTTTGATCTATTGTTTTTGGTGAGAATATGAAGAATGGTGTTATTGATAGTGGTGAAATCGTTGAATTGTTGTATATTTCCATTGATGAATTCAAAAAGTTGTGGCGTAAGGCAGGCACAATCATCGCAGTAACAAGTCCATTGATGTACAAGTTCCCCAAATAAATCTGCTACCTTGATGCATAAATCAGTCATTCCAAAGTAATCAGCCGCCAAATAAGTTTCCTGAAGCAAGTATAATTTTTCTTGTTCATCTATCTCGTGATCAAATAATAATAATGATTGATTTGGTTGTTGTTGTTGTTGATATTGTTGCTGAGTGCTATCCAACCATCCTGACATTGATGTTGAGTCACGCGAGTAATACATATAATGAATGACAGAACTGAGTCCCATTGAGCTTAATATAGTGGAAGGTAGACATATAATTGGTATTGATGATTCATAAAAATCATGTTCAAACATAGCTGCAAAATAAGGAGAGTGTTGAGAAAGTATAGATTTGTCAACTTTCCATTCATGTTCTGTTGTTCCATCGGTTTTATGTTTTCGTGAATAATGATAAGGAGAGTATTGCATATCTTCAATAGTTGTTAATGTTAAAAGGTCATTGTTGAATTCTATTGTCGTTTCTGAGAAAAAACCAGGATCGTCGGCTGTTTTTGTAATGAGGGTAAGTAAAACAGTTGTTGTATACTTGGTACCGTATTGTTGATAATCATTACAATACTTTTGTACCATCACTAATGAGAAATGAAGAGAGAGAAAGTTTAAAATAACGAAAAAAAGTAAAAGAAAAAGAAAGGAAAAAAAAAAAAAAAGAGAGAGAAAAAAAAAGGGGTGACAAAAAAAAAAAGTAAGAAGAGAAAGAGAGGGGTAGGGGATTCAAAAAGGTATTCTTTGTCAAGCGTGGGGTGATAAAAGCTTGGTTTCTTGAGATTTTATAAGTATTAACTTTACCAGGGATTTTATTATTATTTATTTATGGATAAATGACCTTTTTGTAGCACGTTTCAAAGAATTCTTTTTTTTTTTGTAAATATATAAAATCTAAAGATCTTCATCCCTTTTATCCACCACTACGCCACTTTTTTTATTGGATGTTTACCCTTGGTGGGAAATCAAAAGTACATTCGGAAATTCAAATCAGGTTCATGCAAACAGTCTACTGATATGGAAATCGCGTCTTATGACCTGTATATAATGATTAAAAAAGATATATAGAAAAATTATCATTTGAAATATGTTTAGTTGATATTATCATTTTTTATCAACTTTTTTTTTTTTTTTTTTTTTTGTTTTCGGCTAAATTATGCCAGTAAGAAAAAAAAAAAGGTATTAATTGATTTCCTCTTTGGTTGGGGGTAAGATACCGTCATCAAAGAGTAAATAACAAAGGTATAGAACTTTATTTGAAAAAAAAAAAAGACTCATCTTTTATTATATTATTTTGGATGAAAGCCCTTTTCTCACATTTTTATTCATTTCCCAGCTAAATATTTTTTTTTTTTCTTTGGTTCTCTTTCTTCCCCTTTCTTTTTTGGTTTCCGGCCTTTTCTTTGGCTGGCTGCATGTGAAATCATTTTTACACGTGAAGGAGGATGAATATAAAAAAGACAAAAACATAGGCATTCCTTTCGTTTTTTTTTTTTTCTTTTTTTTTTTTTTTCCCTTTCTTTCTTCATTACCTATATACCATGTCTGATATTAGAGTACCTGGATTCAAAAGTTCCGAAGTGATTGCTCTACTTGATAAACACTTCAATGCTTACTCTGCTGATGAGAAGGCTGCTTTGATCAAAAAGGTAAATAATATATATATATATATATGTTATATTAACAAACTTCTTTTTTTTCCTCTCTCTCTCTCTCTTTATTTAGGTGAATGGTGTCTTCCAATTTGTTATTAAAAACGCTCAAGGAAAAGAAGAAGTTTTTACAATTGATTGTAAGAAGGAAGGCAAAGTTGTACGTGGTAAAGGTGCTGTCAAGGCTGATGCTATTATTACCATGTAAGTTAATATAAAGGACGTGGGAATAAATAAATAAAAAAAAAATTCGAATAATCTAATGTAATATTTTCTTTATTTTTAGTGGAGATCAAGATTTTGTTGATTTGGCTGATGGTAAACTCAATGGACAAAAGGCTTACATGTCTGGTAAACTCAAAATAAAGGGTCAAATGATGCTTGCTATGGTAAGATTAATAAAGAAGAATGAATGATGAATTATGTAAACTAATTTATTTTCTTTTTCTATTAGAAACTTGATAACGTTTTCAAATCCATCAAACCAGAATCCAAGCTTTAAAGAAAATGTTGATATTTGTATATTCTTTGTAGTTGACTATTTTAGTTTGATTTTTTCTTTATTTAGTTGCTTTTTTCCCATAAGTTTTAAATAAAGATATATATAAAAAAAGGAATTCCTTAAAAATGCCGTGTTTTGATATCTTCTCTTGTTCTCCTCTCTCTCTACTTTCACTATACTAATTCTTGTATGCGTTTTTTTTTTTTTTGATTAATTTGATTTCCGCTGCATCTGCCATCTTCATCATCTCCCACCAGTCACGTAGTCATCAAAAAAAAAAAAAAAGACAAACCGAATTCATCTCCACTTTTTTTTTTTTATTCTTTCTTTTCTTTACTTTCCTTTTTTTTCTTTCCTCTTATCCCCCCACTCATTCCCTCTTTTTTTTTTTAATATAAAACCAATCTAATATGCGGAATCTTGTTGTTTTAGGAGGATCTTCTCATCCTGAATTAACCGAAGCAGTATGCCGTCGACTTGGCATTCCACCTGGTCAAGCAAAATTAGGGAAATTCAGTAATCATGAAACTTCAGTTGAAATCAAGGAATCGGTGCGTGAACGTGACGTTTATATTATTCAATCGGGTTGTGGTAATGTCAATGATAATCTTATTGAACTTCTTGTTATGATCAACGGTGCCAAGATCGCTTCTGCCAAACGTATTACTGCTGTCATTCCTCATTTCCCTTATTCTCGTCAACCTGATGTTCCCTACAAGTCCTCTGGTGCTCCTTTAACTTCTTTACCTCCTGCTACTCCAAAACAGTCAAAACATATCGATGAAGAAGACGTTGGAAAACAATTGATGCGAAAACTTGCCGTTACTTCTTCACAACAACAGGAAGATACTGTCGATGATCCTGCTCCTCTTGCTGCTTCGAAAAAGAATCCAGATTATCGTCCTTGGTTAGCTCGATCTGGTACCTTGATTGCTGATTTATTGACTTGTGCTGGTGCTGATCATATTATTACTATGGATCTTCATGATGCTCAAGTAAGTATATATTGTGATGATTAGCGGAGATGACTCATACTATTACCTTTTATATAAAAAGTTTCAAGGTTTTTTCGATTGTCCCGTTGATAATCTGGTTAGTCGTGCTTTGATGATGAAATATATTCGATTACATCTTCCAAATTATCAACAAGCTGTTATTGTTTCTCCTGATGCAGGCGGTGCCAAAAGGTAAAAAAAAAAAAAAATCCAGCAAAATAACCAAAATCATGATGAATAATGGAATCATATTATATTAAGAGCCACAGCCATTGCCGAAAAACTTTGTATGGATTTTGCTCTTGTACACAAAGAACGACGACAAAAAATCACACAAAAGACAGATTTGATGTTAGTGGGTGATGTTCGTGGAAAAGAATGCATTCTTGTGGACGATATTGCCGATACCTCTTATACTATCACCAAGGCAGCTAAGATGTTACGTGATCATGGAGCTCTCAAGATTTATGCCATTGTCAGTCATGCTTTACTTTCTGCCAATGCTTTGGAAAACATCGAACAAAGTGCCATTGATCAATTGATTGTTAGCAACTCGGTACCTCAAGCTCAACATTTACATAGTCCCAAAATCAAAGTTTTTGATGTTGCTCCTCTATTTGCTGAAGCTATTCGTCGTAGCCACTTTGGTGAATCCATGTCTTTACTTTTGAACCCTCGTTATGATTTAGATTAGTGTTTGCCTCATTCTATACATTCCCACACATACACATTCATCTATACACACAGTATATATATATATATATTTATTCTCACAAACACAGTTCCCAATATTTTTTATTATTATTATTATTATTTAGACATCTGTTTGTATTGTAGTCTTTTTCATGTTTCTCTTTCTTCAATATCAATAAACACACTAGTGCTTTTTGAAATCAGTGTACATTTCTTTCACTTCATTTAATTGTTATCTATTTCTTGGTGAATGATACTAGTTGACTAATAATGATGATGATGATGATTGAATAACAGTGAATAATATATATATAAAAGTTTTATTTTTTCAAAAAAAAAAAAAAAAAAGATTGGACTATAACTACAATTTGATTTTCAATGTCATGACTTGAAATGGTTTGATTTTGAGCAAAGCACCTTGAGCATGTTGTTTTTGTTGAGCTTCCAATCGCAAATCTACCATATCATCATCAAGCACACGAAGATTGGTACTAAATGTTCGATCCACCCTTTCAGCTGTACTTGTCATTTCATATACAGTTTCTAATTCATCTTCCAAGATATTACATTGTTGAATCGATTTCATAGGCAATGAACTATATACAACATAAATACAGTTAAAAAAAACAATGAATTTATATACTTTTTTTTTTTTTTTTTTTTTTTTTTTTTTTTTTTTTACCTATGGAATCTTGCAGTCGCATGCCCTCCATAGGCTTCATAAAGTCGTATAATCAAATCATCAGAGTCTTCTGCCTTTTTGATGGTATCCAACACAACATTTGGAGCTCCTTCAATACGGAATTGAGGTACTGATTTCGCTAGACTATTCACTTGATTGATAGACATGACACTAAAAAATAGGATTAATAGGTTGATTTGCCTATTTTTTTTTTTTTTTTTTTGATGCTTACCGTGTGATCAATGGGACATTGAAATTGAATCCTTCTCTCACAACATCTGATTGCATAAAATGATTTTCATGTGGATAGATGGCATACCTGAGAACATGATGACCTGATATGATTCATCATAAAAAAAAAATTAAAAACAATGTGTACACGTCATAGGATAAAAAAAAAAAAAAAACTTACCAATATCACAATTGGAATCAGGTGCTTTGGGTGATCGAATTAATGAAAGTCGTAAAACATTGCCGTAAGCAGAGTAACCATACTTGCAATCATTCAGTAAGGCAACACCACAACCATATTCAGACATGTCCGCAAATTTATGAGCAACAACTTCAAACTTGGCACCATCCCAGGAAGTGTTGTAATGTGTGGGGCGTTGCACTATACCATATTGAGTCTCGTAGAATACCTACAAAGAAAACAATCATCATTGAATATATATATAAAAAAAAAGAAACCAATATCATTCATTTTTTTTTTTCACTTACGTTGTCTGCCAAAATATCCCAAGCAAATTCCACTTTCTATCAAATGAAAAAAAAAAAAAAATTAATTTGATAGTCATCAACATATTCAAGTTCATACCAAAAATTGTCTATTTTCATTCCAATCCACTTCAGTTTCAAAATCAATACGTCGCGAAATGGCAGTTAGGATAACACATTGTCGAAGTCGGCTAGTATCAGATATCCGTTTTTCAATCAGTAAAGCTGCCCTTAATGGCCCATGTTCCAATATTTGCACTGAACCTTCTTCCGCAACAACACCTTTTTCCAAATGATATATCTCGACTAGACAATTATAACAAGAATATGGATTAAATCTTTAGCCAATACTGATGATTGATTGGTTCGACTTACCATCCCATGCTATGAAAAGGGCCAACAAGTGATATCATATAGTAAATATATAAAGTGGGAGAGAACAAAAAAAAAAAAAATGAATATAGTGATCTTCAGTATATTTTTTTTCTTCTATTTTGATCTTTACCATCCCAGAATAATGGCTATAGCAAAAAGCACAAGAAAAAAAAAAAAAAAAGAAAAAGAGAAAAAGCATCATGTTAAATTTTCATACTATGTAATAAAAACTAATTGTTAACCTACAATATCTTCATACATCTTGAATACGTTTCCTCGTTCGCCTTGCTTGATAAATTCGCGCCTATATCAAAAATGAATCAAGATGATATTGTGTTAGTATAAATACCAATGTAATCTTTTTTAATAATTTACATTAAAGATTTATCATATAATCCAATAAGGTGACCAGATTTGTCAAAGGTAACTTGAATATATTTGTTTTCCACCAAGATATTGTTGCTCTGATCCATATGTATTTTTACTGGTTCAAAATCCAAACAAGTCTTCAAATCATATCCTTTCGCACCTAAAGGAGGAATATCATCCACTAAGAAAAAAAAAGAAGTACAGTGTCATTAGTTTATATATGTATAATGTATGGTCTTATTTACCTAAAACATAACCAGTTCGACCAAATGCTGAATTCTGTGCCAAAGATGGTAAGCCTTCCACAAGTGGTATCTCCAAAATTTCTTGTCGTGGCCATGCCAATGTGTTGAATACACCAATAGCTATATTATGATATAAAAAAAAAGGAATATTAACCTCGAATCGATCTATAATAGTTTGATATTACCTTTCTCTTCGCTCATGATAGGATTTTCCCACCCTAGTAATTTGTCGACCAAGTCATCACGCATTTGTTTCCCATGCAAGTCGATTTTCGTATACATCTATGATATTCTCCAACGTCATGATAAATAATAATAATAATAATAAAAAAGGTGTGAGCATCATATGCAAACTTATGAATGCATTTGATATTTGGTTTTACCTGTAAACAATCATCATATACCATTTCAATGGAAGAACCAGCCATGACATCATGGAATTGTATCAAGCAAATCATCTTCCAAAACTGTTCGAATTCAGCCACCGGGTACCTATGTAAAAAGAGGACGATCAGTAAATTAACAGTCGTTGGATAATGCTATTACGTACTTGTAATTTTGATCTTTCATGATATGGGCAAATGAAGCCAGCATTTCCAAATCACGTAATAGTAGTTCACTACTTCTATTGAATTTCTTGCATAATGCATGTGTTGTATAAATTCCCCGATGTAATTCAAAATACTGATAAAAAAAAAGGAGTTAAGTAACAATACTTTATTCCTTTTTTTTTTTTTTTTATTCACTTACCAATTCCCCTTTCCAACTGCAAAGTGCATCTGTTGTTCGTTCAACGTTTTCGTAGAAATCGATTGGCGTACTGAATTCTACTTTTGGTAATCCATCCTAATAATAAAATAAAAAAAAAATAAAAGGATACATTACTAACATACTCACATACGAATAAATAAATTGATATTAGTCATATGACTTCTTTACCACATCTTTCATTCTTCTTAAACGTTCAATCATACTTGCCAAAGGTCCACCACCACCATCACCGTTTCCATAGACTAGCAAACTTGAGTTGGAATATTCCTTGTCTCGATGATTCTTCACACTAACGAAAAATGTACCAAAAAAAAAAAAGATCAATAAGGAAGTTGATTCGACTGGATTATTATTGATATCATGTCCCTTTATTTTTTTGTTCCTTTTCTTACCTTCGTATAAGTTCCTCCGGAGAACATTGTGCATTGTAAGTTTCAGAAGGGGCCATATGAGTCAAAGTTTTGGTTCCATCTAGGCCGATCCACCAAAATGTCGTCATTGGAAACTACAAAACGAAGATTGTATAATAATATTTATTTATTACACTAGTACTTTTTTTTTCTATTTGTGTGTGTGTTGTTCTATTTACCTTGTTGACATTATTCCAAGAAAGTTTCTGTGTAAAGAAATACTTCATATCTGCTAATTGTAAGAGTTGAGGTAACTGCTCAAGTAGAAAAATATATGAGTAAAACGAATGATCTGATAATCACGTTATTACCTGAGAAGAATAGCCAAAGGAATCAGGTAACCAAAACACTTTACATCGTTTACCAAAATTCTCTTCAAAAAAGCGTTGCCTATTCATATACAGGATACACAAGGGAGTGAGTATACTGATTCTATCTACTTTCACTATTTATATAAATACCCAAGTAGGAATTGTCGACATAAAGCCTCACCACTAGGCATATTTGTATCCATTTCTATCCAAGTCTATGCATAAATAAATAAATAAATAAATAAATAAAAAAAAAAAAAACCAGAAATCTGGAATAAATAACAAAAAGAATATCTCCAGTTTTGTTCTTCAACTTACTCCACCAGTTGGCAAAAATTGACCAATCGCAATCTTTTCTCGTATTCGTCCCCAAAGATGTGCATAATTCGTTTTAACCCATTCATATTGTTGTGCTTGAGAACATATAAATTTATATTCAGGATAACGATCCATCAAATCGATTTGTGTAGACCAACTTCTTGCTGCTTTTCGAATTGTTTCTTCAAATGGCCATAACCATCCCGTATCTAGCATATATATATAAAGTCAATAAAGAGTAATATATTAGAAAAAAAAAAAAAAAAAGAAAAGCTTACCAATATGACAGTGTCCAAGAGCATAAATTTCATGTTGTGCATCACCATTCTTGGATGCCAGGAACTCCGCTGCAATGACAAGGCATGTCATGATAGTAGAATCATCTCCAGGTACGAAAGTGTTGACGATACGATTAGCAGTATACATTGCTTGAGAAGATCGTAGTGAATCTGGTCCCAAATCCTTTGCCATCCCCAGAATGATTTGGAAATCATATAAGAGTTGCCATGCTGGTTTGTTTGGTACTGCTAAATCCTATAATAAAGTTAGTCATTTCATAAACGATATGATCTTATTTCTTTTTTGTTCTTACTAATTCACTCAGATTGAAGAAACGATTCGGATCAGGGGGACCAATCAATCCATTTCCGGCGCCAAACATTCCGTTGCAAGCCATTTCCACATAAAATTGTATAAAATCATCCCCTTGTGCTTGAGTAGTCAATATATAATCATGTCTTGCATCGCTTCCAGCTGATCATCAATAATAATAATATCTATCTAGTTAGAAACCATATTGTACTTTTCTCATCCAAACTTACCTCCACCTGTTAATCCTTGTAAAGGCATTCCATCCATACTCCAAATTAAAGCTTCATTATCAGCGTTCCAAATAAAATGTACTTCTTCACCAGCAAATTCCAAAGGAATACGTATTTGGACATGAAACCAATGTGTAGACTTTCAAAAGAAAAAAAGAAGAAGTTGGATCAATTGTCCCCATACTTTTTTTTCCCCCGCGTTGCCCCGCGTCAATTTCCATTATTTCCAACCTATTTTTTTTTTTTTCGTTTACCCAAGATGGACCAAACCATTCACCTAAATGAGTCGGTCGAAATTCTTGTTGCACAGCTTCTTCAAATGTAATTCGTTTCAAATCCGGTACACTGTACACCATTAATGAGATATGATCCTCTTTCAAAAATAAAAAAAAAAAAAAAAGAAAAAGAAAAAAGTAAAAGAAAAAAATGGTGAGAATTGGTTTCCAGAATTACCAAAAAGCCAATATGAAAAGATGGTATATACGTGTTTTTTTTTTCAAATTACCTGAGTTTGTACGTGCCTTATAAAGTTGTGAAAGAAGATTGATATCGTTTCCATTGGCGCCTCCACTAATGAAATTGCTGCATCTGTCAATCGTGATGCTGCGTATAAGTTTGGGACTTTCCATGACTGCCGGTTCTCGTTGTTTACAAGGTAAGTATCGCTGCATTCTATTCTTATGATATCGATATAAAAAAAAAAAGGAGAGAAGAAATGCAAATATATATGAAAGAAAGGGATTCAAAACAGAAAAGTAAAAGAAGAGAATAACGAGAGAAAAAAGCAGGGAAAAAGACCAATTTATATCTCCGCCAACGAAATTTGATGGATCATTGTGAATTGGGCTTTTATTTTAAGTGTGTATATAAGAATATTTATTTTTATTTTCAACTGAATTTCTATAACAAAAAAAGATAATAATACTATACTATAATAATATGACTACATCTACATCCAGTTTAGTCCAAATTTTCTTGAATAGGGAGACTTGAACTTTCAGCATAGGAATATGATTTGTCATTTGTTTCATCAAAAGCATAAAAATCGCCAACTGTCAAAGGTCTTAATTCCTTATCAATATTCTACATTAAAAAAAGAAAAAAATTAATAAATTTTGAAATCAAATATCTTTTTTTTTTTTTTTACCTTGATATCCAAATGCAGTAAATCTTGACTTGCATCTTCACTGTCCTTTGGTTGTTCTTTTCTGACTATTTCACGGATGGGTATCATGGCTGCATTTCGACAAAGTTCCTTGAGATCACTACCTGAACAACCAGCTGTACGTTGAACCAATTCCTTCATATCAAAATCATCTGCCAATTTGATATCTTTTAAAAGCTAATAAAAAAAAGAAAAGATGAATATAAAATATCATTTTTATCAAATATACTTACCAGTTCCAAAATACTTCTTCGTTGAGCTTCACTTGGTAGTCGCACAGCAAATCGTTTGGGCATACGACGAAGAATTGCAGAGTCAATATCATTTGGTCGATTGGTAGCTCCCAAAATGACAATACGTCGATCTTCACCAGTCGTCAAACCATCCCATAAACTCATGAATTCGGCTTTCATCATTCCAGTTGTTTCATGATCGTTACTACGTCGTTCACGTAAGAAGGAGTCGATTTCATCAATAAATACAATAGCAGGTTGTAATTTTCGTGCCAAAGAGAAGACTGCTGCCGCTAATTTATTGGATTCCCCATAGTACTTATCCGTCAATGTTGAGATATGAAGATTGATAAATGTCGCATTACTTTCCTTAGCAAGAGCCTTGGCCATCATTGTTTTACCACATCCAGGAGGTCCAAACAACAATACACCAGGAGGAGCACCGAGTAAACCAGAAGCTGATGTGAATAATTCAGGATAACATAATGGATAAATTACACTTTCACGTAAATCTTGAATAATATGATCCAATCCTCCAATTTCTATATATAAACAATTTGAGCCTTTTTCATCCAAATTCTTTACTTTTTTTTTTTTTTTTTTTTACTTACGCTTGAAATTAACACTGATTTCATCAGCATGAATCACTTCAGTAGCAATGATTTGTTCATATTCTGTCAACTTCAAATCCTTGATCTATTAATAATAATAATAATAATAATAATAATAATAAAAAAGATGAGTCATTATCAAATGAATACCTGTATAATCTTTCATTTCATAACCTACACCGAGCTTGCCAAGCACTTTATTGCTTTTTGTTTTGGCTTCTTGTCGTTTCGCTTTGGTAGGATCTAATGAACCAACAATCCATTTGAACGCAAAATAAAAAGCTACTTGAGATAAAGCAAAGACGGCAGCTATCAAAAAAAAAAAAAAAAAAAAAGAAGAGAATGAGTTAATCAATGAATGACCTTTTTCAAATATTTGAACAACGTACTCTATCACTATCCTTATTTTTTTCATGTTTTACCATCAGCAGCGTATTTCTTTGTCTCTGGTCTTTGTATCCATGATTTTAACATATTATATATATATATATATATAAAAGAATAAAATAAAAACTAAAGGAAAGAAAAAGAAGAAAAAAAAAAAAGATTGGAAAGCGAATGGGGGACCAACAAGATTCACATGCCCGTGACTTTTCTGACCCTATACCGCCTGCCATTTTTTTTTTCAATCACCGTTCCCCACATGAAGTGAGTATGTAGTTCGTAAATTAAACATTTATTCCAATTGGATTCAATCTACAACTAAATTAAAATATAAGTACATATTAGATTCTTGATATATATATATATATATATAAGAAAAGACCAACTTGTAATGGTAGTCAATAGTTGGATGATCATCTATCATTCTCTCTACCAATTATCATAAAGGGAGAGATCATGACAGGTGAAATCATTTAATTTAATTTGGTTCATATCTTGATGAAAAAATGAAATAAAATAAAGGATGAAAAAATAAAACGAGTTCTTAAATAGACTGTACCATCATCATCATCATTTGCTGATTCGAGAGTTTTTACCTGACTCTTTTGATGCATAACAAACATGTTTTTGCTCCTTAAGTACCTGAATCAAAGATCAGTACTACCTTTGAATCAGTTATTAATGTAATGTCATCTTTTTCAGAAACCCAAGATAAAACAGACACTATGTATCCCTCCATTTGATATCCATCCGGATCATATCGATACTTTTGTAGAGAAGTATAAAAAGTGACAGTAATGAGAGATTACCTATTCCCTCAGTTTTATCTAAACTTTGTGATAAAAAGAAAAAAAAAATACATCGGATTTGATGATTTTTATTAGCATATTGTAATTAAAAACAAACAAAAACAAAAAGGAAGAGGTATATAAATATCTAACGTATAAAATAAGTGATGTTGGATGATTAATTAAATGAAGAAGGATATTAACTAGCTTGACCTATTTTTTCTTCGTTGTTGTCGTTGTAGTAGAGCCAATACCCAATCTTTGTCTTGTCATCATGGTGCGTTGATCTTGTTGAGTTGGACGTTTTCGTTTTCCTGAATCTTCCATTGTTGCTGTTGTTGTTCTTACTACAAAGTCATTCATATCATCACCTACTGATTGCTTATTTGCTAAGCTAGCAGTTGCTATTGTTGAGGATTCAAGAAGTTCTGGTAAATTGTAAACGAATGACGGTGAGGATGCATTTGTTGCTGGAGACATGGGTGAACTCGAACGTTCTGTCCGTTGTTGTTGTTGTTGTTGTAATATACGATCTTGATATTCTTTTTGTAATTCATCAAGATCATCTACATCTCGTGTTGTAAGTTTCACAGCAGTAGAAGGGTATCGTAACATGATTCGACAATAACGTTCAAATAATGAATTTAGTGGAAAAAAAAAGAAAAGAAAAGAAAGAGTGAGAAAGGGACTTGCGAGCCACTGAAAGAAAAAAAAAATCTGACTTCAAAATAATTGAGGCGACAATGTGGATTTTCCAGCATGAATATCCTTACCTGTGAAAGTGTTTAACTAAAGATGTAAAACATATGACCTAGATTTCATCGTATATATATATATATATACATATTATTGTATTGATGTCATTCTCTTTTTCTGTTTTATGATTATTTCTTATTAAAATCACGAAGACTAGAGATCATATTGAAAAAAAAATATTATTCTTTTTTTTTTTTTTATAATTTTATTGGTATGATACAACTAATAAGGATCATCAACTAAAAATAATACAATGAATACAACGGATATAATAATACTAATGGGGGGGGATAAACTATAATATACTGATACTATAACATAAACCAATAGTAGAAGAGAAAAAAAAATCATCATCATACTTTTTTTCGCTTGTCCTTACCTTTTTTCTTGTTCTTTAATGTTGTAGAACCATTACATTCTTGCAAATGGAGATCCAGACACCGAGCACAGAAGCTAGAAGGATGAAGATCAGCATCAGTACTACCATCACCACAACGCGGGCAGATTTTTCGGCATTGATAACAGACGTTCCGTTTACTCATTCGAGATCCAACCATACCATGAATAATGATGCATTTGCAATGCCGTAAATCCATCTTGCTGACACAGGAATAACACCATTGACCATGACATCCACCACCACATTCAGATAAATCACAAAAAGGACAGACGACTAATCCACATCCTGTACATTGATTGGAGACCCATTTATTTTTGATCCTACATTGTGAATGAAATAATCCATGTTCTTCATTTGTTGTACACCAATGCCGTCCAAAGAACTGCTGTTGTTGTGATGTATCGGAACAACTTGATTGATTGCACATTGCTAAAGGTTGATGACATCTTCCACAATTATAAAGATTCAATTTGATATCCGATTTGACTTGACACATCATACCACCACATAGCCTGCCATGACATTGATCACACACTGGAGCACAAGCCTTGCATCTTCGTAATGAAATCACGCCACAATGTAGACAAGTTAAAGTATTTGTACAAGCATTCACCTGGCAATCATCACATACATAACAATCCATTTCAACTGGGTGTTGAGCTAACCTTTCCAGAGCAGAGTGAATTATCTTGATGTCCGTACCATGCATAGGAGTAGAAGTAACCTTGCTTATCATTTTGAAAACCTTCAGATCAGATTGACACACCGCGCCCTGATGATGACTAACGGGAGAAGTAGTAAGACCATCTAGTACAGTAGCAAGTTGATGATAGTCCATGGCAGGGCAGTGACGTAATGAAAGTGTTTGAATGGCAGGAAAGTATTGTAAAAGGTGACCAATAGAAAAAGCTGTTAGAAGAGTATGATCCAAAACCACACATCGAGGTGCATAATGAAGTTGAAACCGAAGTAAAAGAAAGGTAAGACCGCGAAATACCGAGTCGTTGATACGATCCACATCCATTCTTCTGAAGTCGAGATAAAACCATGCATCGCGATGCATCATCAAGGCATGTCCACGTCTACTCGTCCTAGATAGTTGAAGCCGAGATCGTACATCCAACCAATGTCCAATGTTGATGATAATATTGCTGGAAAGCTCCATCAAAGATCGCCTTCGGTGTTTTTGTTGTTTAGGTACTAATGGTGCAAAGTTGGGTTGATATTGTGGAGGACGGGAGGTTGATCTTTGTGAACGGCTTATCGTTTTCATGCTGTTGTCTATATTGTCATGATATTGTATAGGATGAGTTGAATGATACACTGGAGGAGCCGATCCAGAAATAGAATATGACGGTGAATCATCGATGATCGGCTGACAAGAAGAGGGAGAACTACTAGCAGTGAGTGAGTCTTGAGTAACAGAATTAGAAGACTGGATTGACAGAGCTGTCATTGTTTGATCCAAAGTTGTATTATTAATTGTGCCTGGAGTAGGTATTGTCGACAATGAGGAATTCAAAGAACTACCATTTGTGGAGATCATGGAACCATTGTTGTTCTTTTCTGTTGAAGAAGAAGTTGTTGTCAGTCTATGCCATTCGTCTATTCCAAAGAGAGATATAAGATAGTCAACATCTTGTGAAGAAATATAGTGAATTGGTATAGCAATTGAGGCACCACCTACTTTCCTAAGCTTTACTTTTGTTTTTTGGAATATGCTTACAAAAGTAGCTTCGACTTCAAACTTGCCATCTTTGCCTTTCCATAAACGAGTTTGAATAGATGCTTGGTTGTCTATCAGCATACAAATAAAAAGAGTGATTACAATGAGATATAAAATTATATGAAGAAGAAGAAGAAGAAGAAAAAAAAAAAAAAAAAAAAAGACGTGGAAAAAAAATTTGAAAGAGGTATTTTTATTTTTTCAGTTGTGTAACAGCTTTTGGCTACCGAAGTCCAAATATAGTAATTAAGCCAAGAAGACTTTGGTCTACTTCTTGGAAGTTTGAATAAGAAATAGCAAATTAATGATGATTCAGTAATGGTTATTATGATGGTATAATATATTATGTAATAGATGAAGAAGAAGAAGAAGAAAAAACAGCGTCAAGTAAAGATATATGGATTCGATTAAAGATCACTACTGTACATACATGCATGATATTGGTTATTTTTTCTGGAATGTTACTTAATTTCTAACCTATTTTTATATAGTTGAGTGTAAAATAAATGTGGTAGATAATTTGTCATTTTACAGAACGATATTCATTTTTGTAATTTGCCTTAATCTTCATTGATGCTTTGCTCGTCAGCATACTAAAAATGGGTTGAATTAAAAATCCGCTCTTTTCTCTTTTCTCTTTCATTCAAACAATCATACTATTTCGTTACCATTGAAATATACTCCATCAATGTTACTTGTAGGATCCAAATCTATGCATGGACAGCTGGTGCTATCTACCTTCCAAGTTAATTATTACACCGATGTACTATAGTTAAATCAAAGCACACAATCGTCTTCCATTCCCATTCTATATGCTAAGCAAATAACTAACATATATATATATATATATATATATTCTAGTGAAATCAATATATGTAGTGTTTCAACTTAAAAAAAGGTATAAACTCCTGGTAACATCCCATTTTAATTGTATGACCATCCAAGGACCTTATTCAACACCCCCCTTGAACAACTTGAAAGGTTAAGTAATAATTGAAATTTTTTATGATGAACCTCTTATGCTAAGTTTAACGAACTTCCCTTTTTTTTTTTTTTTTTTTTTTTTTAATAGATTCTCCTATGCACGGACAAATGGATGATGATTATTTTATTTCAGAACAGTAGGATGATGGAGTCACGGATGAATAGTATTGGGTTGAATAAAATGTACTTCAATATATTTATAGTTTAGTTTTTATCAAATTTAATTCTGCCCTTCCTTCTTTCTTTCTTTTTTTTTTTTTTAGAAAACTAAATAAAATGATACAATCGTGAAAATATGGATACTATTATTTTGAAGTTGAACTACGTTCTTACATGTGATGGTTGATTTTTTTTTTCTTTTTTTGAGGAAAGAATAGGAGAGAGCAACTAGCACAAACTGGTAATTCTCCCTTTATCATTATACTACTGTTTTCTATCCGATGTTTCTGGATAATAGTTTTTTTAGATAGTTTGCATGAACAATAGCCATATTTCTATATCGATGACGTTTTTTAAAAGGGTCATTCTTGGGATAGTAAACAGGCAATAAGAATAATATTTTTTTTTCTATTTCAACAGGAGATCGATAATGATATGATCACGATCATCATTATTATCGAAAATGAAAAAATAATAATAATAAAAAAAATATATATATACTCTGAGTTTATCATTGACTTTAGACTTATTTGTCATTGGTGGAACATAATATTTCCTAAAATCTTTGTGGAAATGGAACACCAACTTCTATCGTATAACAATCAAAAACTCAAAGTTTTATTAAAAAAGAAGATCCATCCTTTGCTGTTATTGAAGAGATTAAGGAGATAATCACTCTTTTTTTTTTATATATATATTGTTCTTATTATATATGGGATTATTATTTCCCAGCTTATGTAAAAAGCCGACTACAGCATCGTGATCTAATTTAGTAGGACCAAAAAAGAAAAGGAGTTCCTGAAATTCTGCATACCACTATAAAAAGGAATATAATATTATCATTTCCTTTTTTTTTTTTCTTCTATTTCTCCTTTCTCTTTCTCTTCATTTCTCTATTTTGTATAAATGAAGTATCTGACATTTTATTTTATCAGTTACTTCTTACTGTTTATTGACGTACAAGGTGAACAAAATGGAACAGATACATCAATATCGTCATCATCATCAAAATTGACGTGGGATCAAGCTTATGAAAAGGCAAAGGATATAGTAAATCGAATGACTGTGCAGCAAAAAACGGGAATCATGACCGGAAACGGTGGTATTACCGGTCCATGTGCTGGTAACACGTTTCCTGTTGAAGGATTATTTCCAAGTTTATGTTTACAAGATGGTCCATCGGCAGTAAGAAAAAAAAAAAAGGATAGAATCATCCAGGGAGATTTGTATTCATTTTAAAGTCAATTAGGTACGAGGAACAAAGGGAATTACAGCAGGTGTAGCAGGTATTAATGCAGCTGCCTCATTTGATAAAATTGCTCTTCGTCAAAGAGGTGAATATCTTGGTCAAGAATTCAGAGGTAAAGGTGTTAATGTGTATTTGGGACCTGATGTCAACATGGTCAGAACTCCTTATGCAGGAAGAAATTTCGAAACATTTGGTGAAGATCCTTATCTAAGTGGTGTGGCAGGAATGGAAACTATTCTTGGTGTTCAAAGTCAAGGAGTGGTAAAGCAAAAAAAAAAAAAAAAAAAAAAAGAAAAAAATCATCATCATCACTCTTTTTATATATTTATTTTCAAATATATTCTCTTTCCATTAGATTTCTCAAATAAAACATGCCATTGCTAACGAACAGGAAACTAATAGACGACTGGTAATTAGCATAAAATTGGATCATTTTTTAATCACCGTCTTCATTCACCTCCTTTTCCACCTTTTTTTTTTTTTTTTACTCCTCTTTTCAGTATTCCTCTAATCTAAATGACAAAGCACTCAATGAAGTTTATTTATGGCCTTTTGAAGAAGCTATCAATGTAAGTAAAATAAACATGATATAAAGTATCATTCTTACATTTTATTTTAGGCTGGTGTCGGTTCTATCATGTGCAGTTATAACAGAGTCAACGGAACGCATGCCTGTGAGAATAACTATATTCTTCGAGAGATTATTAAAGATCGACTTGGTTTCCGAGGCTTCATTACAAGTGACTGGGATGCAGCATATTCGACTGTAGATAATGCTAATCATGGTTTAGGCAAGTAATTCTTTTTTTTTTTTTTTTTTTTTTTTTTTTTTTGGTAAAGCGTTTCTCAGTAGTTGTCTTTTTTGTGATATTCACTTTTTATTATTGATTTGTAGATATGAGTATGCCTAATCCTGATATATATGGGAAAAGACTAGAACTTGCTATAAATCGTGGACAAGTATCGATTGAAGTGGTAAGGAAATATATTTATATATATATATATATATAGTTGCATACAAACTAACACATTTTCTTTTGATTATAGCTCAATGAAATGGCGACAAGAATTGTAGCAACTTGGTACAAGGTAATGTATATATATATATATATATATATATATATATATATATTGTATTTACTGATATAAAACTAATCTATATTTTTGATAAAGTTTGGTCAAGATAAAGGATACCCACCTGTCAATATGAATTCACTCCATCCGTTAAAAGATCAACATGTGAATGTTCAAGGCAATCACAAGACATATGCTCGATCCCTTGGTGCCGCTAGTGCTATCTTATTAAGGAATCTTGATGATATTCTACCTTTGAAAGCTGATAAGATCAAAAGTATTGCAGTGGTTGGCACTGATGCTGGCGACAGTCTTCTCCTGTAAGTAGGGGTTTATTATTTATTGTTATTATTATTTTTATTTTGAACTTAACACAACCTTGACTCATTTTATTTATTATTATTATTATTTGTTTTGTATAGGGGTGATAATATATGTGGTACATTCCCTTGTTTGACTGGTACTGTTGCTATGGGTGGTGGAAGTGGTTCTGCTGCCTATCCCTACTTAGTTTCAGTAAGTCTTCATTAAAAATTCAAAATTAAAATCTTTTTATCTAATATATAATATATATTTTTTTTTATCTATTTTATATTATGGAATATTGGGTTAGCCATTTGAAGGAATCAAGAAAAGGGCTGGTGACAAGATCAAAGTGACAGATATCAATTCTGATATCAGTCTTCTTGGTATCAACACTGCTTCTACCAAAAATTATGATGTCGCTATTGTTTTCTCCAACGTATTTACCACAGAATCCTTCGATCGTTTCAATTTGAATTTAGATAGAAATGGAAATAATCTGGTAAGAAATAAAAGGAAATCTATTTTATTTTTCTGATGATCATGTCTTTATATATATATATATATATATATAGATTAAACAAGTTGCCGACGCAAATAAGAATACAATTGTAGTCATTCATTCTCCAAGTGCGGCGACAATGCCTTGGATCGATCATCCAAATATCAAAGCTATTCTTTGGGCAGGTTATCCAGGTCAAGAAACAGGCAATTCTTTAGCTGATGTACTCTTTGGAGATGTGAACCCTTCTGGACGACTACCATATACCATTGCCAAGAAAGAAGAAGACTATCCTGTTAAAGTTGAACGAAATTCGAAAGAGGTAAATAATATATGAATGAATTATTTGTGGATGGATGATAAAGTGACTTTATATTTTCATCTTACTAAATACTTTTCCTTTTTTTTTTTTTTTTTTTGACTTAGATCGATTATACCGAGGGTGTATTTGTGGGTTATCGCTATTTTGATCAAAACAACATTGATCCACTCTTTGAATTTGGATATGGACTCTCTTACACCAACTTCTCTTACGCTGATCTCAAGTTGAAAACGTCCACCCGTAGGATGGATGATGATGAAAAACCAACCCATACTTGGTCAGCAGGATCAACCTCTTTAGTCAAGGCATCCATTACGGTGAAAAATACAGGTGGTATGGATGGAGCTGAAATTGTTCAAGCATATATCGGATTCCCTGCGTCGACTGGCGAACCACCCAAGGTATTACGTGGATTTGAAAAGGTGTTTATCAAGAAGACAGGCTCTACTACTGTACACTTTGAATTTGGCCAACGTGAACTCCGTGTATGGGACATTGACAAGAAAGGTTGGGTGCTGACTCGTGGCAATTATACACTTTATATTGGCGCTTCCAGTCGTGATATTCGTCAAACTACCTCCTTTATATTATGATTAGCATATATGATGACTTTTTTTTTTTTTTTTTGTTAGAATAGAATCCACGGGTTTATTATGTTCGAGTTTTTATATTTTCAATCAATAAAAAAAAGAGGGAATACAGGAATCGTTTGAACCAAGTTGAAAATAATATGTTGTTTTATTAGATAATGATATAATGGGAATATATATATTTATTGCCTTTGGTTCATCCATATTCTTTTATTGATATTTGTAAATAATAAAAAAAGCAAAAAAAAAAAAAAAAATCATGTCAATAATAGTAAAAACATAATAAAACTATACATAAACTACATACAAAATCACTCAACCAGTGATAAAAAAAAATCTATCCTATCTTATCCAAGTGTTTTCCTGATGGTGTCCTTTTGATCAGTTGTTAGAGAAGTAGGGAAAACAACATCATACTTGATCATCAAATCACCCTTTCTACCAGTTTTGGAATTTGGCATACCTTCATTCGCCACACGAGATACTTGTCCAGGTTGAACCACAGCACTTGCATTGGAAACCTTGAGTTTTCTTCCATCTAGAGTAGTGATTGTCTTTGTAAATCCCGTCAATGCCTCTACAAGAGATAGTTTGATATTCATTCGCAAATTGTCGCCTTCCCGTTTGAATAGATCATGAGGTTTTTCTTCCAATATAAATACAATATCTTGCGTTTGTCCATTTTCCATCATATCGCCTTCATTCTTGAATAAAATCTTGGTGCCTGCCTTCCATCCAGGTTTAATATCAATTGTTAATACTTTGTCTGTTGTTGTCATTCGGCCACTAGCATCTGGTTGTTTTCGTGTCACTTTGAGTCGTTTCGTTGTACCAGTGTATAAAGCTAATATTATTATCATTATTATCAAACATATTAAAAAAAAAAGAAAGAAAAGATTGTCAGTTACTCAAGTTAAAATAAGAAGAAGTTGAAAAAAAAGTAAGATATTTACCTTCCAATGTGACAGGTAAAGGTCGTTTAATAGCAGGAGGTTTTTGATTTGTTTGAGTTTGTCCAAATGAGTCAAAGTCGCCGAAGCCAGATTGTTGAGCAAATCTTGATGATGATTTTGGACGACCACCACCCATACTTTGGAATGAGAAACCAGGCATACCACCACCTAAATCTTCACCACCACCAAAGGCAGAAAAGAAATGTTTGAATATATCGTCAGCCGAGCTTGGATGATAGCCACCACCACCTGTACTGGTAAAAGTAAAACCACCAGGAAAAGCACCACCTTCAGTTGAAAAACCAGAAAAACCACCAGGTTCACCACCAGAAGGAGCAGGTCCTGCTTTCAAACCTTCTTCACCATATTGATCAAAAATAGCTCTTTTGTTCTTGTCTGATAATACTTCAAACGCTTCACCCACTTCTTGGAATTTTTCTTTTGCTTTTTCTGAATTGTCTTTGTTTCTATCAGGATGCCATTTCAAAGCTATCATATATATATATATCAAAATAAAGATAAATTAATACACGTTTTTTATTGTATAAGGTATAATATAATTTTCATTACTTTACCTTGTTTTCGATAGGCTTTTTTAATATCATCATCTGAAGCATCTTTAGAAACACCTAATATAGCGTAATAATCTCTTCCCATTATAATCAATTATTTATATATATATATCGCTTGTTTGTTTGTAAAATAAAAATAAAAAAAATAAAAAGAAGGAAAGGAAAAAAAAAGGTAAATTAAAAAAAATATGTAAGAAGAAGAAAGAAGAAGAAAAAAAAAATAGAATAAAAAGAAAAGAAAGTGAAAGAAAGACGAAGAAGATTCCGGAGGAAAAGGAAACAGTCGGATAATGAAACCCTGCATAAGAGCAGGGCTTTTTTTTTTTCTAAGCATATGTAACGATATCATGCAGAATCAAATAAAAATGATATTGACATTTTTATAACAATAATAAGATATTTTAAAATAATTATATTCATTGATTGATTGGTAATATATTGACATGGTTTTTTTGTATTGTGTGATTGACAATAAATGAGTAAAAAGAGATGAATATACAAAACAAGTGAAGAGGAGGATGAAAGAGGGAATAAAAATAATCATCTAAGATCTAGGCTTTTCCTTCTTTTCCTTGTACAAAGCAATAAGGGCAACACCAGCAACCTTGACCACCTTGAAACGAACACCAGGAATATCACCAATAGCACGACCTTTACGACCAAAACCAGCAATCAAGACTTCATCGTTTTCGTCAACATAGTTCAAACAACCATCATTGGGTACGAAAGCAGTAACCTTCTTACCATTCTTGATCAATTGGACACGAACACACTTACGAATAGCAGAGTTAGGTTGTTTGGCTTCAACACCACTATTGAGAAAAAGAGAAATATGAGTTTATAGTCTTTACTTATTTTATTTATTCACTTACATCTTTTCAAGAACAATACCCTTAGCATGAGAAGCACCACCAAAAGGATTGGAACGGAAAGCAGTACCCAAGGCACGTTTTTTATATTGTTTATCAGCCCATCGTTGTTCACGACGATGGTTACGTAACTTACGAGCAGCGTTCAAACCAGAAGGTTGACCTATTCATTAATTATAAAAACAGATGAATTATCAATATATAGATCCATTCATCCCAACTTTTGTTCATCCATCCATCCATCCATCCATCCATCCATCCGTTCTTATGATAATAAATAGATCGTTTTCTTCCATGTAATCGCCCGTAAATCGTTTCGTTATCTATATATCCTTTTTTTAAAAAAATGGTATGTGCACCTACCCATTGTATAAAGTGGAGAAAATATGAAAAAGAAAAAGATGCAATGGGGCTCGTTCTTCCTGACACAAATCATTCTATTCAATGTCCGCCGCCCCTTGGGATTTCTCATATAGAGATCCACTATCATTTATATGGTATCTTGATGATTTTGTTGAATTTTACCGTATTAATCTTTCTTTTTTTTAAAAAAAAAACAATTAGCAGGACAGAGTCATATAAAATGATTATAAAAAAAAAATCCCATTCATCCATGATCAATCATCTACTACAATATAGAAGTTTCATTAGGTGAATGGGTCAAAGCGGGGTTTTGCAGAAGCGGCATGATTTTGTGAATAGATACCCTATAAATGTATGATGTTGTCATTGTACAACCCTAGATGATGATGAATTTTAATCACTGTCGATCTAAAGAAACACCTTTTTTTTTTTTTTCTGACCGGAGGTTGATAAAAGTTACATAACCTTGTTTTTAAGAAAAAAAAAAAAAAAAAAAAGGGGGGGGGGATTTCTTCAAATTCCATTCCATAATCATCTAAATTCGGTAAAATGTGGTAAGTGTCACCAAATATAGGCGGAGGTGATAGTTTTGTAAGATGGTCAAGGTGAATCGGGATTATAAGGACAGTAATTTATTATTTTAATCATTTGGTATACAGAAAAAAGAAAAGATACAACGAGAGAATAAAGTAAAGGAATAAGTGTAAGGATAACAAGTATTAAAGTAAAAAAAAAAAATTTTTTTATAAATATAACATAAATAAACTAATAGCTACAAAGTAAATAGTAGATAACAAAGAAGTGAGAAGGATGATCATTGAGTCAACATGACAAATACAATAGCTAACAAGGTAAGTGCGGTGGTAGGATAAGAGATACCAGCGGCGTTCACAGATTGAGCAGAAACTTTACCAGAGTCATTCGCAGAAGAGGGGTTACCATTGGAAGAAGATGCTTGTGTATCAAGTTTGGAAGGAGAAGGAGAGGAAGAGGCAGAAGAAGAAGAGGCAGAGGAAGAAGAGGCAGAAGAGGAGGAAGAGGAGGAAGCAGAAGCAGATGAAGAAGAAATAGAAACAGAAACAGAAGGTTGAGTATTACCAGATCCTTTACCAGATCCGCTACCAGTCATAGGTCCACTATAATCACCAGGAATAACATGAGCACAACCCTTTTCGGAAATACCACGGTTACAGGTCACCTTGTCATTCTAATTATATATATATAAAAGATGAGAATCTAAATTACTATTATTATAATTATTTTAATTACTTACGCAACAACGCATACAATAAGTATTTCCAGTAGGTTCAATCATATTCACATAAAATTTCCATCCAGCACAGGAAGAACCCTTGGCTATAAAAAAAAAAAAAAGAAATCAATAAAACAAGATATATAAAAAAAAGAGTAATAATTTATACTTACGAGCAGCGATATCCATTTGACCACCATCATCAGTGACATTTAAATTAGCTTTAGCAGGATCAATTTGTCCTGTCACTTGAACGTATTCGTTTGTAGCGACAAAGTGAGCTGATTGAATGAAACCGTCAGGCATCTTGTTAGCTTTGGCAGCAAGAGGAGTACTTCCAAGACAATAAGCTTGAGCATTCCATTCAGTATCAGCAATGTTACGATTGGTTGAATCAGGTGGTGGTAAGTAAACACAAAAATTATTAGCGTCTACTACTTGAGATACTTGAGCTGATACTTGTAATGCCATAGTCATAACCATGGGTACAGTGGCTAAAATAGTTTTTAGTTGCATAATGAATGGAAAGGGGTGGCGATATAAAGGACAGTAAAATTAGAATATAATTATTATTATATAAGGTAAAAAGAAAAAATAAATAAATAAATAAATAAAAAAAATGGGGAAAAAAAAGAAAAGAAAAAAAAAATGAAAAAAGGAACAAAAAGAAAAAAAGTAAAAAAAAAGACTAGATTTATAAAATAAAAAGTTTTAAAGTTAGGCGGTTAATGTTACACGGTCAATCTTTTATAAAATCCGCCAACTCTATGAATGCCTGGTTCACCAAAATTTCATTTCAAATACAATTTTAGTAAAAGAATTCATTATATAAAGAAGTTTTTTTTTTTTTTCTTGATCGAAAATTAAGAGAGTACAAAATAGTTATTATATTATTTTTAGTTTGTTATAAAAATAAGTTAACTTTTTTTATATTTTCGGGATCAATCCATTGTCAATAAATCATTCATCAATAATAAACTTCTTTTTTTTTTTTCTCTATACCCCTTTACCCCTCCGTTTCTTTCTACTGATTTTTTTTCTCTCCTTCTTTCTTTTACTTCCTTACTTCTCCTTATATAAAAAAATAAAAAATAAAAAAAATAAAAAAAAAAGAAGTTGATTCTCTTTCAAGTAATGTCCGCTCGTGTAATAATATTCTCCAGTTATAAAAATAAACTCACACGTGTATCTTTGATATATTCAGTTATTTACATCAGAAATGTCACTTTTTCATGCAGTAAATTCATTCATCTATATCCTATACTAGGAATGGCCAAACTCATCCTCTGGATTTCCTGAAACTGCCAATGCAATGTAACCATAGCAACCTTGTTGTTTTCACTTCACGCTCCTCACCCCTAATGTTGTAGATAGATTATAGGTTAAAAAAAAAAAGAAACAAAATACACTGCTTCTATACTAAAAGTCTCGGCCATTCCCCCTACCAACTTGAACTCCTTTCAATCACTATACTGTCTACCCATTGATGTTCATATTCAACCAATCATATCGTCCACGTGGGTCGTTCAAAAACTACAAATATATATCTTTTTTTTTTATTTCATAAATCCTTCAATCATTTTCCTTTGTATGTCTAGTTGTAACTATACATTCTTCGGGTATCGTGCCTTCTGGATTCAAATACTTGAAATCATCGGTAAAACTATTGTCCACAGATGTCAAAAATGTATCAAATCTATTGAATAATAAAAAAAAAAAAAATCAGTATATCATTATCATACTACCTTTTTATGATTCTTTACCCTCGCTCTTCACGTTCAGCTTCAAATACTTTGGAATAGATAAAGGATTTCTTGAAATTGTCAATGGTGTCCTGGATAGAGAATATATCGAAAATTAAATCAAATTGAATACACCTTCTTATGTTTTTATTTACCTTGTGAATATCAAAATCAATGGGTTGATGAGCCTTTTGATTAACCTTGCCTTGCTGGATACGATTATTATAAGAATTGAATACGGGTTTTTCCAATAACAGGCCTAATGCAGGTGCTTTGGGAATATTGATCTTGGTAGGTTCAAAACTTTCTTCGATCAATGATAATGGAGTTCTACTACGTACAACAAGAACAGCCATAGCTATAACAACAAAAAAAAAAAATCCATTAATTAAAAACAATCTAATCCGCATATACATATCATTATGATTTTTTTTTTCATTTACTTACATATCATTTTTCGAATTTGATGTAACATAAAAGATTGTCCATGTAATTTCACACTAATCCATTCCACATTGTCGATATATAAAGGATCGGCTACCTATATATATATATATATTTGAAATACAAAAACCAAGTTAATTTGATAATCCATTAATAATGATCATTCAAACCTTTTCTTTTTTTTTTTTTTTTTTTTGCTTACCTTGATATCAATGATATATCGCTTACAACTATTGTCAACAGCAGATCTTCCCACGGTGTAATTGTGAAAGTTGTGAGTTCCAATATATTTCTGTAATGCTTCTTTGAATGTCTCCAGTTGATCAGCCGATATACGATAAGATTCCTTTTCCTTGATTTCTTCATCAGTACTTCGAGTAACATATTTGATCACGGAGCCATCATTACTCATGATTTTCATATCCGAGTCACTAGTGGGTTCGTCCATCAACATTTTAGCCACAGGAGCAGAGAAGGCATAAGAAGGTAAAAGATATTCATATACACGAGAATCACAGCTATTCTTGGCATGGAATGAACGCATAACATCGACAAAACCAAACACACGGATTTGGTCAGGTAATTGTTGATTGATGGCAGAAAGCATATCTTGATCGGATTGAGGAAACTGTAACTTGGCTGATACCACATTCCCAGCAGCATGAACACCTTTATCAGTACGAGCAGTACGCACCCAATGTACCTTTTTGGGATCATCAGAATTGTCTTTGGAGATAGCGTTTGCCTTGACAAGAGCTTCAAATAATACACTTTCAATCGTGGTTGCACCAGGATTACTATGACCAAATTAAATTACATTAAATAAATAAATAAAAGGAACTTTTCTTTTCTTTTTTTCCTTCTTTTCTATAGTATCACTTACAACTGCATGCCTTGATAACCTGTACCACAAAATCCAATTAATAAAGCTACTTTGCGTTTGGGATGTCTTGGTTCCTTATTGGGATTCGTATTAACAGGTCGAGTTTGTTCCACCTTTTTTTCCTTTTCTTCAGTATCATTTTTTCTTGCTCGTGTCTTTTCAAAATGTTCTTTTCTATCTTTGGCTGTCTTGTATCTCTTTTTGACAGTAGTCGTGGTTGTTGTAGAGATGGTTGATATAGTTTTGGTGTTTGTATTAGTTGGTTGTTCCTCTTCAATTTCTGATCGAGGTCGTTTGATACCAATATTAGATTCTGTTTTTGTTGCTTTAGATAATATAGACCCCATGATATAATATAATAATATTAAAAAAAAAGTCAATGTAATAAAAAAAGAAGTGCAAAGAAAAAGAAAAGGAAAAAAAAAGTTAAATTCATTCAAGTGTGATGGGTGGCTTATTTTTAAAGTCAGGTGGGACGCGCTCAAATTTTTGTAATGCATTGCCCCAACCATTCACTTTTAATAGTTTTTTTATTCTTTCTATCTCTAGTCATTCTTTTATTTCACCTCCTATACCATGAAGCAAAGAAGCAATATTGTATATGATTGCGTTTTATGGATATTTAATATCATGTTAGATATATTCTTCCGTGAAATTCGATCAAGAGCTTCTCATAAAGTACCATTACAAGGTCCCATTATTTTTGTTGCTGCTCGTAAGAATAAGAATAAACATGAATATACAAATACTAATCAACTCTTATTTTTTTTCTTCTTCTTCTTCTTTTTTAGCACATTCCAACCAATTTGTCGATCCTTTGATTGTTATGCGTGAATGTCATCGTCGTGTTTCATTTTTGATTGCAGAAAAGTCTATGCATCAAAAAGGTATTGGTTTTTTAGCTCGTTTGGTACATGCAAGTAAGTTATCATATATATATATATATATTCTATAATACATTATAATAACTTGTCAACTTATTTAAATAGTTCCAGTAGTTCGACCTCAAGATATGGCAGAATCAGGTGCAGGAAGAATCCATTTGTTAAATGCGAAAACCAATCCAACTCTGATATCTGGACTGGATACACGATTCTTATCTCAAATACGACCTCAGGATACAATTATCTTACCAAGAAATGCTGGTAAATTACAAGTGGTTCGCGTACTATCTGATACAGAATTAGAAGTCAAGAAATGGATGGATACAGCTGATCCTAGATATACAAGCAAACTTGTTTCCTTATTGACCAAATCTGATGGTACCGCCTACAAATGTGTTCCTCATGTTGAACAAGATTCTGTTTATGAACGTGTATATGATGAATTGAACAATGGTGAATGTATTACAATTTTTCCTGAAGGTGGTAGTCATGATCGTGCTGAAATGTTACCCTTCAAAGGTAAATTACTTTTTTTTTTTTTTAAAAAAAAAAAAAAAAAAAAAAAAAAAAAAAAAAGAGGAATACCCCACTTGATTTCATGACATTCTCTGATTTGATTGACTAAATCTTCTTTTTTTTGGGGGGAATATCTAAATGGAAATAGCTGGTGTTACAATTATGGCCTTAGGTGCTATGGCTAAATATCCTGGATTGAATGTCAAAATCGTCCCTTGTGGTTTGAATTATTTTCATGCTCATCGATTCCGAAGTCGTGCTGTCATCGAATTTGGAAATCCTATCACTGTACCTGCATCTTTAGTGGAAAAATTCAAAAAAGGTGGTGCTGAAAAACGTGATGCCTGTAGTAATCTTCTGGATACCATTTTTTATGCCCTGAAAAGTGTTACTGTCAATGCTTCCAATGATCAAACACTGATGGTAAAAAAAAAAATAAAATAAAATAAAATTAAAAATATAAAAATTCGATTCTGAGCCCCTTTGTTGATACTAAAATGCTCTTTTGTGTCTTTTATATATATATATAGATGATCCAAGCTGCTCGACGACTTTACAAACCAGCTGCCAATCGAAAACTTCATATTGCACAAGTGGTGGATCTTAATCGACGATTCGTAATTGGTTATAATCTTTACAAAGACAATCCAAAGGTCATTGAACTTCAGCAAAAGGTGATGGCGTACAATCAGCTATTAAAATACCATGGATTACAGGATCATCAAGTACCTGAAATCAACCTTCGTGAATGGCGCACTTTCTTTTTACTATTATATCGTCTATTGGTATTGATTGTCTGGGGTTTACTATCATTTCCAGGGTAATATAAAGAAATCGTCATGATATCATTAAAAATACTCATTCTTTTTTTTTTGATGCATCAAATCTAGTGCTATTCTCAACCTTCCTATTGCCGTCGTTGCCAAGGTCATTAGTACGAGAAAAGCACGAGGTAAAGAAAAACAAGGTTAAAAAAAGGAAGAGTAACTCACTTTTTATTATTATTATCACTTATGTAGAGGCACTTGCAGGTTCATCTGTGAAAATCTCAGGTCGTGATGTTTTGGCTACATGGAAATTCTTAGTAGGATTAGTATTGATCCCAACACTATATGGACTATACACGCTCATCGTTTTGGGTCTATGTTTACAAACTGATTGGTCATGGAAACTCAAACTGGGATTACCTTTGGCGACTTGGAATATGTTACCTTTCATCAGTTATGCTAGCATGCGATTTGGAGAAAATGGAATGGATGTTTACAAGTAAGTTTTAACATTTTATTTTAAGAAGAGGAATTTAACATGTGAATTTTTAGATCTTTGCGTCCATTATATTTAGCTTTGGCAGATCCTGATAGTACAGCCAACTTACGATATACTAGAGAGAAACTGTCACAAGACATCACACAACTGATCAACGAATATGGACCAAAACTCTTCAGCGACTTTGATCCCAACAGCGGTATATATGAAGGTGATCCTTCGGAAAACAAACAACAGGTATCGGAACTAGGTGAAGGTGGAAGGACATTCTCTCAGATAGCAAGTGAATTTGTGAACAATACAGCAATGGAATGGTTGGATGATAAGAACATTTTCAATTGGTCTCGGCAAGAAGAATCGGATTCATCAGACGAAACACTTTATTTTTTGGACAAACATGGGACCATCAGTGCATCCACGAGTGATGCAGAACCTTATTATCGTGCTGGCAGTTCCTTAGCATTCACCAAAAAACGAAACGAAAGACGAAAACGACGACAATCTGTTGAATGATGATGATCAGGCTTTTTTTTTTATTTTATTTTTATTTTATTTTTTTTTTTTTTTACTTTTTTTTTTTGTATTTACTATCTCCATTTTATATACACGCATCATATATACTATTAGTTTATTTATTTATTGGATTGAAATGATTGATTTCCCCCTACTTTTTATTTTGCGTTCTTCTCACTAACTACTTATGTAATAAATTTTGTGATGGGAAATCATACCTCTTTATTTTTAGAATTGTTTTCTCAATGTATATATGCTAAGGTTATTCATCCTAAGTAATAAATGCTTACTGATGACTATTATAATAGATCGACACTACTAAGATGAAGATAAAGAACATTTTGATCAGATGATGAATTGGATGATTCGAAAAAGAAAATGATTACCGAAACCTTATTTATTGAATAAATGATGATGGATAGCCATAATATGATGCATTGGACTTTTTTTTTGGCCTGTGATAATCTGGATTCTGTCAAAATCCAAGGTGTTAGGTCTTGAAGCCGAAGGGACTTTTTTTTTTTTTTTTTTTTTTTACTTCAAATACTGTCATGACGCCAATAGATCATGATGATAAGTATAAATACACTTTGTTATACTTTCAACATCCAACGTCTTTTTTTTTTTTTTTTTTTTTTTTTTGGTTCCATTGTTTGCTATTAATCAAGCCATCTTCCAATCATATTTTACTGGGATTTATACCGTTTGAATAAGAAAAGATGATCTATGTATGTTCAAATCAAGAACTTGATGGATGATAATGATAGATGATAATGGTGATGATGATGACAGTGATGATGATGATGATAGAAAACTCAATACTGACTCACTTTCTCTTTTTTTTTTTTTTTTTTTTTTTTTTTAAAAAAAAAAGTATGCTCTAGTTATTCGATTTTGTCTTCTTTTGCTGATTGGACTATATCTATTTGGATTAAGCATAGTATCAGCGAATGGGTCTCTACCACCATCAAAGGATCCTTTCTATATACCACCGATGGGATATGAAAAAGAATCGCCAGGTACCATTTTAAGATCTCGAACGTTATCAACGGGAACTGTCGATATTCTTTCCACTTTTCCTCTCAACATTTCAAAGATTGTACAACTCCTTTATCGCACAACCGATGGTCTAAATGAACCCATCACTGCTGTCACTACATTGTTGATTCCTTATGGTGCTGATTATGGTAAATTGGTATCATATCAAGTGGCAGAAGACAGTCCGTTTATAGATTGTGCTCCTTCTTACTCATTAACAAGAGGTGGAAGTACTTTCAATGATCTCTCTCAGGCGGAAATTTTACTGATGGATACTCTTCTTGCGCGTGGCTGGTGTGTAGCCGTACCAGACTATCAAGGTGCAAAATCTATGTTTATGGTTGGAGCAATGGCAGGTAATGGTGTGCTTGATGGGATACGAGCGGTGCTTTCCGGTGCAAATGGTTTTACAAGCACATCATCATCATCATCATCATCATCATCAAATTCATCAAAGACATTATTGAGTGTTAAAAATACAGCTGTGCAGCTCTGGGGGTATTCTGGAGGAGCTTTAGCGACAGGATGGGCAACACAATTACATGCAACGTATGCCCCTGAACTTAACATCATCGGTAGTGCTATGGGTGGAACACCTGCGGATATCAATGCAAGCTTTGCAAAGTTGGATAAGTCGTTTCAATCCTCTATCGGTGTGGCAGGTATCTTGGGGATGATGAATCAATACACTGAGATGAAGGATTACATTGAATCTATTTTGCGCCCGGAGACTAGGAACGAATTCTATAATATGGGTAAGTATTGTCTTCTTGAAATGCTTGTACGATACCCTTATCGCAACATGGAAAACTTTGTGAACCGTACCGATTACCTTGACAGTCCTGTGGCTCACAAGTGGGTGCCAGCCAGTGAACTAGGCAACTTGGGTACACCTTCCATGCCCCTTTTTTTATACCATGGCATCTATGATGAACTCACTCCTCATACATCCTTGCTCAATCTCTATGGTAAATGGTGTACCGGTGGTGCACGTATTGAATTTCTTCAGGAACTCATAGGTACTCACGTTAGTATTCAACTCTCAGCTGGATCCAATGCCATCCTCTTTTTGGAAAAACAATTCAACAACTATGATAAAGGTTTACCTCCTCCTCCACCTGGATGCTCTGCTAGAACTTCCGTCACTTCCTTAACAGATCCATTAGCGATGAAAACCTTAGGCAAACTTGTTCGAGATGGATTGAATGCCATCATGGGTAATCCTCTTGGAATTGGTCGTTTACTTTAACTCTTCCTCTTTTTTTTTTTCTTGATTTAATAATAGTTAATTTGATTTTACCTTTGTCATCCTATAGATAAACTTATTGATAATGGAAATAAAACATCAGTTATTTATACATCGTTGGAGTTGTATTATAAAAGATATCATCATCTTCTTCATTTCTATTTTATTTTAAATTAAAGTACAGAATATATATTCCAACTTTTTTCTTTTTCCTTTTTCTCCTTTCTCTTTCCGATTGTCAACACTTTTTTTTTTTTTTTTTTTTTTTGGGAGGGAGCCGCTGTGCTGGTTGGACTTTTATTATTATTATTATTCTGCTTTTTTTTCACAGCAGTTTATATGGACATATTGTTATTTAGGTACTTCTTTGGAAAGTTTGCAATTTTGGATGACTATTTGCCAAAGGTAAAATAGAAAAAGGACAAAGGAATTGTGGTATTGACAATGGTATTGTGATATTGAAAAAAGGAATGGTGATATTGATTTACTTTATGTACTTGTTCTTCTCTTTTTTGGAACAGGTCTTCTTATTTTTTTTTTCCCGTGGAATGGCTATGGTATATGATCTCTCACTATTATTTCTTTGGCAGTTCTTTTATTACTATCTTCGGTAGATTCTTCGGTTGGCCCATAGTTTTTTTTTTTTTTTTTTTTTTTTTTTCTTTTTTTTTTTTTTTTTTTTTTTGGCTCATTTTCATCTTCTTTTTAGATCATATCCCTCCTATTCACTTTTTTTTTCATTATTTCTTCCACCCTTCCCATCCTTTCCTCTCTGTCATTTTGCTCTTTACCTTTCTATCTCTCTACTACTAATTTCTTTTTTATTTTACCATGTTTTTGAATAGAATGCAACCGGATAGCTGTACTATAGGATTCAATTGGATGGATGGATGTAAAGCAAGGTCAGCGATGTGAATGACAGATAAAAGGATTAGCTGGGTGGGCGCAACAGGATCAACTGGATCGTAGAATCAACTGGATGGCTGCACGACTGGTTCGATTATGTGAATACACTGTATTAGTTAGTATCATTTGGATAGGCGATGTTTCTTTTTCCACTTCATATGTCATCTTGATGATTTGAAAAATAAAAATAAAAAGTAAAAATCTTTCCTTTTCTTTTGTCTTGTTTTTTTTTTTATTTTTTATTTTTATTTCTTTACCTTCTTTCGATCTCTTTTTCTTTTTTTTTATTCCATATACATATATACGTGATCGTGGATGATCAACAAATCCAACAAGACAATGATGTCCACACATTGATGAAGTATCAAAATGAAGCGACATTGACAAGAAATCGGGTACAACGTCCGATCAACAGGATTATAAACTATTTACCAAAACAAAAGGAATGGCAGATATGGTATCTCTCTTTTTTGATTTACAGTATGATGGACAACCGATGATGGATGATGATGGATGATGAATAGAATGGATGATGGATGATGGATGATGGATGATGGATGATGGATGATGGATGATGGATGATGGATGATGGATGATGGATGATGGATGATGGATGATGGATGATGGATGATGGATGATGGATGATGGATGATGGATGATGGATGATGGATGATGGATGATGGATGATGGATGATGGATGATGGATGATGGATGATGGATGATGGATGATGGATGATGGATGATGGATGATGGATGATGGATGATGGATGATGGATGATGGATGATGGATGATGGATGGATGATGGATGATGGATGATGGATGATGGATGATGGATGATGGATGATGGATGATGATTTTTTTTTTTTTGTAATCTTATCTTCATCTTTTTTTTTTTTTTGTACTTTTATGATTCTGTACTATTGAAGCAAATATATCCTGACGATTATCTTTGGTCAGGATGTGTTTTTTCCACAACTTTATATAAGTAATTCGAAGATCAAGTGCTAAAAGCACAACAGAATGATGAACGAGCTTTCACTTCAAGTTAAAAATCCAGTTAGCTTTACCTGAGTTATCTTCACGATTGACCAGTGGGTTTGAATCAATTACTGCAACAATCAAAGCTATGAATCATGATCATCAGTCAAATTTCCTGCCTCTTTATATTTCCGTAGTTCACTTGCAACCTATCATCATTGTATCAAATTTGGACTGAAGATGCGTGATGACATTCTCTTTCAGCTGTATTAATAGCAATATACATCTTGCCCCACAATTTATAAGGTAAACCAAGAATGAAAAAGTCAATTCAGTCATCTCTCATCCAGTTAATAATGATGATCATCATCAAAAAGAAAAAAAAGAGCCATGGAGAGTATATTGTTGTGTATCACAAAAAGCAATATAATTTTTATTTCAAAAAAAAAAAAATCCACATACTGACTAACTAAAACTATCACTACTGTATCTATTATAGTACCAACCAGAAGCATTCGTCCACCACCGAGATCCTAACAACAAGCTGCTCTTCCTAACCAAAAGAAGCTTGTCATCCAGTCAGTTTTTCGTTCACATTACTAGTAAAACAAAACCAGGCCAAGTAATTCATATTCTATTATAAAATATTTTTGCCATTACCTGTACTAAATCCTACATCCAAAATGAAAGGGTTTCCCCATGTATTTTGTAAATCCCTTTTTCAAAACGCTCCAAATCCAATAAAATCTACCTTGACAAGATCACACAGACAAAGAGGACACCCAATGTGGAAAAAAAAAGTGGATGGAGAAAAGAAAAAGAAAGAAAAAAATGAAAAAAAGCAAACCGCACTTAAAGGGCGTGATTAATTTTTGAAGCCCGTCCACTGATAACAGTTTGACATTTTTATTTTCTTTATTTTTCTTTTTTTCGCCCCAACCTTGCAAATTGATTTTTTTTTTTCTATAGTCGATAAATTTCAGCAAAACTTTTATATTCAGTCATCATCCATCGCCCATCATCAATCGCCCATCATCCATCGCCCATCGCCCATTACCCATCACCAATATATTACATATTTCGGAAAGAAAAAAAAGACTTCTTTATGCATCCTGGTAAGACTGTCCAAATTGACGTGGATGACTTTAAACAGCCACAATTTTGTGATTATTTCAGATATCAAACAAGTTTTTATTTTAAGTCTTTGGTTTCTAAAATAAATAAAAGCTCCATGAGGAAAGTATTTTATTTTTCTAAAAATAAAAACAAACATCAAAATAAAAAAAAATAGAAAATAAAAAGTAGGAGGCGAGAAATGACTAACTATGTATATAGATGAGTGTAGATAGATGCGATAGGTAAATTGATAAAAAAAAAAAATAAAGAAGTATATATCAATGTCAAAAAAAAAAAAAAGGAGGGGGAAAATACCAAGTAGGAATCCACTAGCAACAAGTAAAGTAAGGTAGCTTGCTTTTCACCAACTTGATAGTCTCCATGACAAATAAAACACGTTTTCTAACCGGTTCTTGTTGATCGTCCAAGGAATCAATGGATAAGTAATCATCTTCCATCATTTCTCCATCACTTCCAATATGTCGCAATGTCAAACGTCCACGACCCAAGTCCAATGATAACCGTTTCCGTACCCGGTCCTTCCAAGGCAAACTTTTTTTGTTGCTGCGATGAGTAGCTGAGGAGGATGGTGACAATATCGATGGCGAGTTGCTAGATGATCCGTCATAGGCGTTGAATGATGTAGATCGTTTCGGTCGTAATCTTCTTGTTCCATGCTTTGTTTTTTTCTGTTGTTGTTGAGTAGGAGAGGATGATGGTGAGAGTGAAATGGGAGATTGTAACAAAAGATCGTCTTGGTGGTGATTTGGCATGGATGAGGATATCGTTGTTTTTGTTGCTGTGATAGCTGATCCATTCATCGTTGTGGTAATTGGTACAGAGGATATGTTGCGACTTGAAGAGTCAGGTAATTCAGGTGATGGTGTCGATAATAATCCATGTGGTGATTGTGCAGATGATTGAGAAGGATGGTGTTGTTTTTGGCGAGACGGTAGTCGTTCCTCTAATCTTTTTTCATCATATTCAATGAATACTTCTTCCTGTTGCACCAAAATGCGTTCCATGGCTACCAAGTCCAAAGGTCCCGCATGACTGTCTTTCAATGCACGTGCTAGATTGTACCCCTGACCACGGAATACTGCCATTTGCCGCTGAAACATTCTTTCGTTAAAGTCAGGATCCACTTGAAAGAGTTGCCGCAGACGTTCCACTGTATTACGCCACCACACAGGATCAGATAGAATAGGAAGGAATTTGCGCCTTGTGCTTTTTGAAAATGGACGAGCTACCAAACTTGAAGGAAGAGCAAGCCAGCCATAAGGATATGAACGCCATTCATCCGGATGTTTGAAAGGGAAAGCCAATCCATTGTCAATAGCTGCAATGTGGATATGTGCTGCAGTGTTTCCATGTTTGCATGATGTTTTTCCTGTTCGCTCTTCATGATGATGATCAATAATAATGCTGGTATTGCTGCTGCTGTTGTTGGAGGAAGATGCATTTTTCAAATGACCTCGAGTTGTACCACCTTCACAGTATCTAATCATCCAATTATCCAATCCACGATCTATCCAAATAGAAAGTGTCAATACTGATGCATGAGTATACATGATGTATTTCCTTTGTCTAAAAAAAAAAAAAAAAAAAAAAAAAAAAAAAATTCAGTCCAACTTACCAGTATTGCGTATCAAGTAATCCAAAATGACTAATCGTTCGAATTCTTTTTTGAATTGAGACTGTAATTGAGGAGTCCATTGAAATGTAGGTTTTTGAATCTTGTTTCCGTAAAACGTAGTCCGGTTCCGTAAAGTATCCGAGTCATTTTCATCACCACTGCTATTGCTGCTGCCACCACCACCATCACTGCCCATATTCAAAGCAACATAGTCCTCAATAGTTGATTTTTGTTGGTGATTGTTGTTTTCCATACTAGATGCAATTCTTTGATATCCATTTTTGTCGTTTTTACTGTTGAAAGGATTGCCACGATTATCATCGTCATTATTATCGTCATCACGATTGCTGGTAACACCATCATCATCGGATTGTCCCAAGCAACTATTCCATACGGCAGAACCAGCATTGCCAACACCACCAAAACGAACAAGAGATAAGGAAGAAGACGTTTCTAAAGGCCAAGGATTGTCACGTAGGAATACATTAGCATCACGATAACCATGTAGGAAACATTGGAAACTGCCAATCTTGAGAGGTAAAGGATGTTGTTGAGGAGAAAGTCTGTATCGTCGACGATCCAAATAATCGTAATGGAAAGAGGGTGAAGTAAAATGATCCAAATTGGTGGAAGGAACAATACACGTGCCAAGTTCTTGATCAACCAAAGATGCCGCCGCTTCAGAGATATAACCTAAATTTGGAATCAAACAACTACGACCAAAACAACAAGGAAATAAATGTCGATGAATCCATTTGGCCCATTTAGGATTTAGTTGTCCATAAGGTTCTTCATTCTTTGGTTTGAATACACCAACAATTGTATTGTCTCGATCGCGACAAAAATAAGATCCACTCGATCCTTGACTGATTCGTGTTGGTTGAATATTATCATTGATAGCGAGTTGTACAGATTCTACGATTTGTAAGTATTGATCTTTGCTTACTGGTATAGGCTCACCTTCCCTCTTTTTTTTTTTTTTTTTTTTTTTTTTTTTGTATAAATAAATAACAAAAGAAAAATGTGAGTGATTCATATTGAATAGAAGCATCATCCATTATTTCCGTTTTACCTTGTTGTCATCAGAATGCAGAATTGTTGATCCAGAATCATATTCAGTTTTGATAAATATGGAGGCAGATAATTGGTTGGACGGTTGTAATGGAGAAGAATCTAAAAAAGGATCATGGATGTCATCATCAGTGGTATCACCCCCAGCAGAAGTAGTAGATACATGCATGGCAGAACCAATATTGGTATTCTTTCTTGATTTCTTCTTTTTCTTTGGTTTCTTGAGACGATAGCGACGACGATGAACAATAGTCCAACCACGAACATCCAATTCACGTAAAGTAGGATCAGTATGAGAAGGGATATTTCCTTGTTGAATATCAGATAGGATGACAGGAGGCATATTGGCTAAAGTTGCTTTGCTTGCTTTTGTTGGTAACCATTTATTGTGGAAATAATCACGGGTCGCCTGGGGCAATTTCGCCAAACTATCGTTCGGTAAAAAGGAAGACGAGTTTGTGTTGGAAGGATGAGAAAGAGAAGGACCTTGTGCTTGATGTTGGGGTATCATTGAAGAGGGTAACATACTACTACGACTATGAGGTTGAGGTAATACTATCGTAGCATTGCCATCACTGTTGAAGTTACTGGTGTTACTAAGTAGAATACTATTGGGATGTTGAGCAAGATCACTCCAGTCTTCATAGTCCAATTCGTCTTCACCATCATCTTGTTGCTGTAGTCGACTATATGTCTGATGATTGTATGTTGTTTCTTTGCGAGATTGGAACATACAATTTAAGCAAGTGATGTCTATATAGATATGATACAAAAAAGATGGAGAAAGAAAGAAAAGAACCAAAAAAAATCAAAAAATCAAAAAAAAAGATGTATATAAAAAAAAAAAATTAAAATGCCGCGTTTTTCCTTTTTGCTCTTTTTTTCTTTTTTATTATTATTATTATTCTTTGTTAACAATTCACTCCTGAATAATTGCTTTTTGATAAGTTGGAGGAGGTGGTAAAAGAGTAGTGATTGGATGGGTATGTTGGATTGAAATATAATGTAGAAAATAAAGATCATTTGGATATTCTCTGACTTGTGTTATTGCACGATGACGATATTGACGAATACCAGCTAACTGATATTGAACGTATTCTAACTTTAACCTACTTTGTTTATAGATAATATGAAGGAGAAGTAGTATGACAAAGTACAAGACCAATGGAAGCCATAGTAACATGACAAGTGGTGGAGCATGTGGAATGAATAAGGATATGATACCAACAAGAACAAAACATACCAACCAAAACACCAAAGCTGTTCCATAAAATTGACGTCGCCAAAATGGAACTTTCTTTTGAGTTTGAAGATAGGATATCAATTGGGTTTCCAAAGCATCAAGGTCAATCTGTGTATCTAACTTGTAGCTTGGTGGACGGGATAATGGGTGATGATCATATTCTAGTGGTACTGGTTGATTTGTGGTGATGGATGTTAGATGATTGGAAGATTGTGATAGATTAGTCATAGATTTTTATCTTCATGTAGATGATGATGATTTTTATTATTATTTTATTTACAAATAAAAAAAAAAAAGAAGATCTCTTATTGTTATTATTATTATTTTATTGATGCTCAAATAAAGAAACAATTATTCAATGAAACATTAGAAATTCTCCAATGGTGGAACATGTCATTGTTTGATTTTGTTCTTTCTTTCCTTTTTTTTTTTTTTTCATTGACTCACTCCAAAAGGGATGTAGTGACAGTTTCTAATTCTTTTTTTTTTTTTTTCTCTCTCTCTCTCTCTACCTCTTCGCTCAAGATGACGACTTTTGGGAAGTACCTATACCGATTAAGGAAAGTAGAGACGTATGGGTTCTAACCTTTTTTTCTCAACAGTATCGGTTAGGGTTCAACTAAGCCATACTAAAAAAGGGAAAGATCTATTCCAAACATTGATACACATTGAAGATAGATGATAATTTTTTTTTTATTGTTCGAGACCAGCTGTAAAAAAAGAAATAACATAACAAATGAGTTTTAAAATAAAAAATATTGATAATGTACAAATGAGGGAAAAAAAAAAAAGAAAAGAAGAATATACATAAATACACTAGGTGAAAAAAAAGAGGGTTCTATATACTATAATAATAACATTATAAAATAACAAAAAGATCAAGCGGAAGTAGCAGCAGATGTTGAGGGTGTTGAAGACGTAGTAGTAGTAGCAGTAGTGGTCGTGGTAGTGTTGTTGTTGGAAGTGGTGATACAAGAAAAAGGATGAGAAGTAGAGGATTGACAAGACATAAAATCAGTAACAGCATTCTTAAGCATTGAGGCAAAAATATCTAATTCCAAATCAGCATCCCAACGAGCTGATTGTCGACCAATAATAGCACGAACGAGATCCAAGAGAATAGTCATTTGAAATTGAATTTCATCCATCCATCCACGCCTAGAGAGAGAAGCCATCATGGACCTTAATTTATTTGAGTTTTCATCTTGCTGATGACATTGCTGTACAAGGAATAACGCCACAATTCGTTGATGAGTAAGAACACGTAAATCATTGGCTGTCAATAAATCAGTCTGTACAAGGGTACCAATAAATCGAACAAGAACAAGTACACTGTGTCGAACAGATCGATTCATCAGATGCCATGCCTTTTTATGTTTACAATCCAGTCGTCGTTTGTGATGATAATGATATCGATGGGTCAAGGCGTCTAAATGTCGATTGAGATGATTAATAAGAAGTCGATGATGAATGGATGCTGCATGATCATCAAACAATGCCATCAGAGTAGGATACAAGGTTGTCAAAAAATCAGTAATCAATTTACCCATACGTGTTGGAGAATAAGGACATTGTTTGATTTGTGGTATGGCGGATGTTAGCAGAGTAATGTCGGTGGTACCTGAAATATTAATATCGGGAATAGTATCTAAACATGTATCCAATAAAACATGATCGAGTAATATGCCAAGAGTTTTGTCGACCAAAAAATCCAAACAAGGTTCCCAATCACGTAATGGAGATCGATCGTATATTTCAACAGCAAGACGATTGGCAACACTTTGAAGTACAAGATGATTGGTAAAATCTGTTGATGATGATGATGATGATGATGGAAACAATGGTGATTTTGATGATGATAATGGAGGTGATGGTGAAGGTGATGGTAATGATGATACTGATGATGATGATGATAATGTTGAAGAGGTTGATGATGATGATGATGATAAATGACCATGTCGACATACATAGGCAACAGCAGCATGTACTAAATGGTTGAATGCATTAAGTCGTGGTTTATAGAGGTCAATTCCATACTTGTGCCATATAATGTGATGAGCTAATTTACGGCATGATCGTGAGGCAGTTGCAAGGTACCAGAGGTCAGCGAAATGAAGATAATCAGCTATTTTCAATAAAACTTCTAAAGGTAAAGATGATAATACTAATGTTTTTTGTCGACATGACATTTCTTTTGTACAAACAAACAAAAAACAAAAATAAAATAAAAAAAAAAATAAATAAAAAAAAAGAGGAAGAAAGAAGAGAAAGAAAGAAAGAAAGAAAAAAAAAAATCCAGACCACAAAAGGCTTACTCCTTTTCTAACCCATTTATTTTTATAGGCTACTGATTGAAACACAGCTTATCCACAACAAGGTCTAAACCTTAAGCGATCTTTTTTTTTTTTTTTTTATTTTTATGGGTCCAGACTCTCTCTCCCAATAAAAAGTGCTGCACATCTTTTTTTTTTTTTTTCTAGACTTTTATATATATTATTCTATTGATTATAAAAAAAAAAACAATGGATCATCTATCCAATCCTTTTTACATTTCTCTCTCTCTCCTTAATAATGATCTGTTCTCGAGACCCTTTTTTGATTATTATTATTATTATTGTCGGTGAGAGAAAAAAAAAATAACAAACAATAGAAAGTTTTAAAAATAGGAGAGAAAAACCTTCCAGACCCATAGGTTTCAAAAAAATAAAAAAAAAAGATCGTCACTCTGTTACTTATTCAATTCACATGAGACTAAATATCTAATAGTTTTGATGTTCTCAAGTTGTACAAACTGCGCCCAAGCCGTATGACTTTATCAATGTTAAGCCAAAATGCTAAATAAAATAAAAAAACTCCGGTATTTCCCTTTTCACCCTTTTCTTTTCTCTTTTTCTTTTTTCGATAATAATAATCAACATGACTATAATGTCAAATATGAAAAAGAAACATAACGAAACAAACCGAGTAGGTTTTCACTTTGTCTCATATTTTTTTTTTTTTACTCACATTTTTTTTTTATATATTATTATTATTATATATATTGTTTGTTTGTTTATTTTCTTTTTATTAGTTTTATATATACATATGAACCATGGTATTATATCTTATTATTACTTTAATAATAAGTAACTTCATTATATTGGTGAACACTTTGGAATCCTCCACTACTTGTGATTGTGGTTTTAAGGATGAAAACGGAAACATATGGTCAAACATTTGGCATTCTGATTATCAACAATCACTCAACAACAACAACAAACAAATTGTTCATCCTTTAGGGTTACAACATGATAAAAATTATATGGTGATGGATTATACTGTACGGAGAAACCTTTCTGGATTACCTCACGACTATTTACGCGTCTTCTCACCAGATAATATCAGACTCACTCCTTATTCTGTTCAACTCACAGTAGAAATTGATCATGATATATTGACTTCTGCTGCTTTTGGTACTCAACGCAACGATATATTATATGGTACTTTTAGAGCATCTATGAAACCTCCTGTCGCTCCTGGAACTGTATCTTCTTTTTATTACTTTGAAAGTAATAGTGCAGAAATTGATGTGGAAATCCTTGGACGATATACTGACCCAAGACAAGCTTTTTTTGTTGTTCATCCTCAAATATATAATCAAGATGGTTCTGCTTCCAATCTCACTCATCAACGAAAAAATCTACAATCTGATCCTACCTTAGTAAGTGAATTATTTTTTCCCTATAAATAATATATATACTCATTCTCTTTTTTTTTTTTTTTTTTTTTTTTTTTTTTTTTTTTTAATAAATAAATTTAGGATTTCCATGAATATCGATTTGATTGGTTACCTGGATTAGTGGATTATTTTGTGGATGGAAACTTATCAGCAACAATAAATACCAATGTTCCTTCGGTACCTGGTCGAATCATTGTGAATCATTGGAGTGATGGAAATCCAAATTTTAGTGGTCTCCCAGAAGAAGGTCAAAATATCGTACTGGATGTGGCCAATTTGACATTCTTTTTCAACTCTTCAAATGATATCTTTGGACCTCCTTGTGAATCTAGTAAAACTCCATGCGATGTAAAAGGTAATATATATACATATATATATATAAATACTATAAAAATTAGATCATTGACCTTTCTCTCTTTCTTAATTTCCTTTTCTACAACAGATATCATGTCCCGAAAACTTTTACCAGGCTCAAGTGCGACATCTCTTACTTCCTCCTCCTTACGTTCATTATTATCATTATTAATCATACCTATTGTATTGGTTTCTTTTATTATGTCATCGTAGTTTAATGTTGTGAATCTTCTTTTAATAAATAAATATAAATGTTTTTTTTTTTTTTTTTTTGGAATTTTGAATGTCGCTCAATGTCACGTATCACTATCATCCGTCACATACACATCCATACTTTACATATCATCACATCCACAACCATTCATTAATTGATCACATATCATCTGTGACAGACAGGAGAGCATATACTTTATATTAAATAGATAGAAGAAAAAGAAAAAGCAGTAAACAGAGTTGAAAGAGATAAATGAACTGATGTATTATAAAAAACAAGATGAATCGTTTTTAGCCAAAATAAAAGAGGATAATAAGTATTGTTTATTCCGTAAAAAAAAAAAAAAGAAAAAAAAAAAAGGGAGAACATTCTGACAATTGTTGGTATAATGTAAAAAGTAGAAGGAATGAGGGATGAAATGTTGTCCATGAGATAAACTAAACTAAGTAAAAAAAGGAATAATGATGCAAGCAAAATGTAATGTATATAGAAAAGAGAAAGAAAAGTAAAAAAAGAAAAGTTTAAAAAGAAATTTGGAAGAAACCCCTTTGAAGCCAAACTCCACCACGGCTATGTTGGACCAATAATAAAACGACGGAACATAAACCCGGCTAATTTCAGCCAATCAGAGCCGCGAATTTTAAAATTGACTTTATAATGAAGTTATCAAATTTTTGTTTTCGATTGGCCCATATAGCTCCAACGGCAGAGCGTCGCTCTCGTAAAGCGAAGGCTGAGAGTTCGAATCTCTCTGTGGGCATATATTTTTAATTAATATCGTTTTTTTTATGTTTATTTTTTTTTTATGTTGTTGGTTTATATCATGTTGATAAAGGATGGCTTTAAAGTGAAGGGGATTATTATTGTTAGGTGATTTTTTGGTTTATAGGTTCAAAATTGAAAAAGTAAAACGGATGATCGAAAGAGAATAAGTTGTTTAGTGAGCACCAGTACTTGATTACGCAAGCACACGTATAGGAAAAGAGATAAAATAAAAAAGAAAAGTAAAGTAAAGAAAAATAAAGTCTTGTTCCAAATTTGGAAAGTAAAAGTAGAGTAAAATTGTTCTGACTTTAAATATAGAACAAAGTGAGCCAATCAAAATAGATAATCCACAATACAATCAAGTAGGGATGAAAAGAAAAGATTTATTTAAAAAAAATATATTGATGATTAACTAACTATCAAAAAAAAAAGGAAAAGAAGGGGTATTTATACTATTTGAAATTAAGGTTAAAAAAATATAATATGAAAAAGAAAATGAATACGAAAGGAATAAGTGAAATAAAAAATAGGAAGGAAGGTAAAAAACGGAGGTATAAATGAAAATAATTTTTTTTTTTTTTTTTTTATATATTATTTTTTTTTCATTCAACATTATTCATGGACGATTAACTTGTTATATCATTGTTGAGATTCAAACAAACTATTGTTCTATTTTTGGAAAATAAAGTCAGCAGGCTTAACTTTTTTTTTTTTTTTTTTGTTTGTATACATTATTTATCGATTGTTTAATATCATGATGATTTTTATATTTCAGTTGTAGCATCCATCATTGTAATCATCCTAAGTCTGTCTCCTTTTTTTTTTTTCTAACGATTGAAAGAGAAACAAAAAGTAACTGATGATACCTTTTCTATTTTTATTTGTCATGTGCCATCATAGCAAACATATATTTTGTTTGTGTGATAAAGAGTCTTTTTTTTTTTTTTTTTTGTTGCTTCCTGAAAAGGTCACTAGGTCTAAAGGGAAAAAATAATAATAATAAACACCATAAAAGTTTAAGGTACAAATGGTCATCATTCAATATAATAGTCAATGTTTATTCCCTTTTTTTTCCAGATACAACATTATTCCAAAAAAAAAAAAGATGATTTTATTTATTTATTATTTTTTTTTTTTTAAAAAAAAGGACAATACTAATGTAAGATGATACCAGAAAAAAAAAACTATACTACAATGAAGACGATACTACACTAGAGAATAGTGATAATAGACGATCTGATTCATTCGACCAATGGGCACAACATAGGTGATAATGAACTGGTAAAAGAGTTTCATCTAAGCGTTGAATAATCCGGTATCGCGTCACATAATCTTGTACATAAGGTTTTCCACAAAATGAACACGGATGAGCTCTCATCATATAATCCCAGAGATGACTTGGTAGATTCAATATAGCTGATATATCCTTATTAAACGATCTTATTGTTGTTGGAGAAATTGATGATGATGATGATGATGATGATGTTGAGGTTGATGATGAATGTAATATTTGTCTTTTAGTTGTCAGGGGCAATGTAGTACGATTGAATTTCCTTTTGATGATTGATTTCCAATTTGCAAAAATGGTGTTTCCGTTTGAAGTCAAAACAAAAGTATTATGCTGTTCATGTTGTTGTGTTTGTCGTTGTAGATAAATCGTCAATGCTGTGTGATAAGTTGGTTGTGTCATCAATTGTCTTGAACACAGTTCTAATAAACTAGGAGGATCGTGGTGGAGTACATGAAGAAAGTTGGAATTATGAGAGATTAGACGAGGACAATGATCGATACGAATGGTAAGAAGACAGGCCAATTCCGCAGGTAGAGATTCAATATCTGTGTAAGAAACATCCAAAGTTGTCAACCTTACTGCATTGCTGAGCAAGGATGAGATATTGTTGAGTAATGTATTATGGGAGATATTCAACGTGGTGAGTTTGCCGAGATGGAATAACGCGGAAGGTACATGAGTAAAGTGATTATACGCTAGATTGAGATGACGAAGATGGATTAATTGGTTCAAAGTTGTAGGTAAGGTTGTTAAATGGTTGTGTGACAAATCGAGAGAAGTCAAATGAGAAAATTGATTGATTTGATTGGGAAGGAGATGAAGATTGTGGTTCTTCCTAAAAAAAAAAAAAAAAAAAAAAAAAAAAAAAAAAAAAAAAAGAAAGGAAAAAGAAAAAAAAAAAAAAAAAGAAAGGAAAAAAAAAAAAAAAAAAAAGAAAAGGTCGGTTAATGAACTTTTTATAAAAAGCACATTTTCAATTTTTACAAATCAAGCCGAGACATGGAAGCCAGTAAACTGATGGCACGATTGAATAAAGCAGAATTAAGAGATTGTTGAGAAACATCCAAAGATTTTCGACTCGAAGTTTGGGTCAATAAGACATGATCATTATCGGAATCATAGTAAGTTTTATCAACATAATGTAAATCACCTGTCAAACATGTTGGTGAGAATAAATGAAGCAAATGTTGATGATGATTATCTTGATACGTTGACAATGACAACTTTGACTTTGTCACAACAACGACCATTTGAGTGACAAAAGAAAAATATACACTAAATCAAACTATAAGAGTCTTAACGATGATATATTCGTATATATTTATATATATAAAGGGAATTTGTTAAAAAAAAAAAAAGAAGAGAGAGAGAGAAAAGAGGTAAAAAATAAAAGAGTAACCTGTACATAAACAAAAAAAAAAAAAAAAAAAAAAAAAAACTAAGGAATAAGAAAGATACCAAGTATGGGGAATACACAATATTCTATAAACAAATACTATGTAATCAAAGAATAGTAATAAAAAAAAAAAGTAACAAAACAACAATAAACTATTTCAGATAAAACCATCTAGCCTGTTTTTCCGTTGAGCTTGAGTAATGACCTTGATATCTTGTTGTCGGGCAAATTGAATTGCATTTTGAACCAAAGCCAGCTCGATTCGTGATCCTAAAGCGTTTACTTGGATTTGTCCTTCTTCCAAATGATTGTTGATTTCTTTACATCGAAGTATAGCCACACCTAATATACGACCTTTCCCAATGGACGATATCTTCTTGTCATTGTCAATCATCACCCATACATTACTTTTCGGTTGATCAAATACGCGTTCTATCTCATCAATGCATCGTGTTGTTCTTTGTTTCACCTGCGTGACGTACCTATGTGATAACCAAGCATACCAAGCCATTGTCCATCCCGCACTCCATAAAGTTAATTCCATTACAAGAGCTTGCGTTGTTGTCATTCTAGTGTTATGATTGATCACTAATGTTGGTGTATAGCGTTCCATAAGAGAAGAACAATAAGTCCAAAGTCCATGTCCTGCAACTGCATGAGCTACTATGGCCACCATCCCATATGACCACCATCGTTGACTTTGCTGTATCAATGTTTTCATCAATCGTCGTGTTTTATCCTTATTATAAAAATCATTATAAAATATTTCCAATCTTTTCCTTTGACCTGATTGATATTCATAAATAGTATTTGTCATTTAGTTTCTTTTAGATTTTCAAGAAAAAAAAAAAAAAGAAAAAAAAAGGCAAGAATGAAAAAAAAAAAAAAAAAAAAAACCTCAGCTTTAGTCTTTTCATTTATGATTTTCTCAACCCGCCAAGAAATTATGGTGTGTACGAGTTTGTTCTGTGTGTGTAACCTGTTCATTGATAGAAAATAGTCAAATAGAAAAAATACAATCTTTTGCATGATCTATTGTTATTTGTAAACTTTTTTTAATTTTATTTCAAATAGGTGAGGGGTGTACAACATATGAAGAGAGGGAAAAAGGGAGCAAAATAATAATAATAATAATAATAATAAAAGTAATGAATTAATAAAAAAAAATAAAAAAAAAGGAAAGAAAGACAAAGACATCAATATAAAAAGAAGAGAAAAATATGAAAGAATATATATATATATATATAATTAGACTAAAAAGAAATAAAAAAAAGATCAGGTAGAAAAGTAGAAAAAAGAAATCATGTATGAGAGTTCCAATCAACAGAAGTTTTGTCGGTCAAACCAAGGCAGAATTCCATATGAGAAGATATAGGATGAGGTAAAACACTTCGAATAGCTTGGCTAAGAGGAAATATACGTTCACTTGTTGGATCAGCAATGATGATTCGTTTGCCAGGTGGAGGAGGAGAACTAGTAATATCGGTTTCATCCAATAAATGACGGAAAGTGAAGGTATCAGTGATGGCCAGATTTCGAATAAAATAGATACAAGGTTCGTCTGACGGCATACTTTTCAATGACACTGTTTCAATTTGAATAGGTGGTGGATGCATAGGTGGTAATGGGGAAGTAGGTGAACTTTGTTGTTGTTGTTGCTGTGGTGAAGGTGGAAAATGAGATGAAAGTTGTAATGCTAATGATGATGATGTAGATGATGGATTTGCATTGTTGTTACTATGATGATGATGATGATGTTGTTGTTGTTCCAATTGTAGTTGATGATGACGTAAATTAAAAGAAGATGTTGGAGGAGGAGATGGTTGATGATGATGATGATGATGATGAAAGTGATATTTAGATGACGTGCCACTAGAAAGATGAAGTTGTTGTTGTAAAGAATAAGATAAAGAATTCAAAGAGGACGTATTTGATGATTGTTGTTGCTGTACATGTTGTTGTTGCTGTTGTTGAAGAGGGGGTAATTGAGGTACTAAATAAGAAGATGGTGGTGAAGATATCGAAGTTGGATGTTGTTGAAGTAAGGGACCAGTTCCATATAATGGAGTTGAGGCACTAGAATGTGGTGGTTTGATGGATGCTAATGGTGGTGATGACATTTTTGATGCAGTATTGTTGTTAGTTCGTTTCCTTTTATATGAAGTAGATGGACCCATCATAAAATCTGAAGGTAAAGGTGATGGTAATTGTTGAGGTGATAATCGTTGTTGTTGTTGTGATAATTCTTTGACTTTTGCTGCTAATCCACCACCTATTTCGATTTTTCTTCCAGGTTGCGATATAGTTGATGTTGGAGTTGTGGTACTACTACTATTATTACTACTACTACTTGGTGCTGTTAAATCCATTGGTGTATCAATATAATCCGGTGGTGAAGGAGGTGATGATGTATAATTGTCCCTTTCCCGCCTTTTCTTGGCCCTGTACAACGTTGAACTATGTGCCTTGCAAAGTCCTACTTCTGTTTGATTGGATAGACCCACGACCTTATTAGTATTATCTCGATAGATAGCGTGTGCATTTTCTTGAAGCCATTTCATAGTAAAATCATAATCATCTTTATCAGTTGGGTTGAGTTTTTTAGCTCTAGAATCCAATCCACCTTCTGGTAAGTTCTTTCCACGACGAGGTTGTACTTCTTCACAAATACAGTCGATAGCGTAATTCTATTTCAGTTTAAAGAAATAAAAATAAAAATAAAAAAATAGTTAGTTCATGGTAACTAAAAGATGAAGAAAATATATATAATATTCTTTTTTCTACCTTTGAACAAGTAAAACATATAGCACAAACAGCACAAGCATTCTACCAAAAAAAAAAAAAAAATATAGGAATTAGTTAAAAAAAAAAACGATATATTTATAATTACCTTTCTTAAAGGTAGAATACGTTGATCATGTCGTTGCTCTAATGGTGGAAGAGTCGGTGATGATCTTGGTGATAAATCGGAAATGACTTGAGCAAGTTGATACAAATGGTTATCTGTCATGAAATAATTGAGTATAAAAAAAAAAGGTTATGTATATAATAAAGTTGATATATTTTTATATATAAAAGTGGTATATAATAAGAAATGACAATAAAAAAAAAACAAAAAAAGAAAGAAAAAGGAAAGAAAAACAAGGAGTAAAAAAAAAAAAAAAAAAAAATAAGGGGAAACGGGGATGAAAATATTAAAAAGCAAGTTGTTGCGCAAAATGCCTCTTAGTAGCCACTTTTTGTTGGCACTGGGTGGGAAACCTTAATCAACCCCTTTCATCATCCTCTTTTGTTCATCAAAATCTAAACATTAAAAAGGGAAATTTGTTATTGTCACACATTTTGTTTATATTCAATATTGGGTGAGAAATCATCATCCTTCTTTCAAATTTTATTGTTTCACACAAATACACAAAACAAATCTATACTAATTCTACCATCCAAACGAATTCTGCTAATGCTACTGTATCTAATGTTCTATCTTTTACTATAACTTCAGTATGAATTTCATTCTTGCCATTAAGATCTTTTGGTAAACTATATTCTGATGTTGCTGTTAATAATCCACGAGCTTTCTTTTCATACTTTTTTTTGTAATCCAACAATAACAAGAAAAAACAGGATAAAGTGAGAACATGATAAAAACATATGCTTTTCTCTTATTACCTTGATATTCATTGATATTAAAATCGCACGATCTTTTGTTTTCAAATTCGTCATTAATGCTAATCCACCTACAGTTTCTGCAAATGTAGCTAAAGCAGTAGCATGAATACTATTAATATATATATATATTAGTAACTATCAAACTAAAATAATAATAATAATATGTGTTACCTTTTGAATGGATTTCGGTTTTTATGATGGTCCTAAAAAAAGAAGCAAAAATGAGATTTTTTTTTTGTTGTTATATATCTTTTTTGGGTCACTTACCCGCATGATAGCTGTACAAAACCCACGTGACAATGACTGAACGCGAAGTTCTAATATATAATAAAGAATCAAATCATTTTTTTTTTTTCATATAAATTTTTTTATCTTACCAATAGATTTAGCATATGGATCATTTTGACCTAATAAAAAACTAAATACCCTGGATCGTAGAGGTTTGATAATAGGTTTTCCAAGTTTTTCCCAAACAACTAGAGGTTGTCGAGCATTCCGGAGACTGAATATCAAATATAAAAGATAGATAAATGCCAACCCTAGTATACTAAAGGTCAAGCGTGAAAATACAGTCCATTCCAAAGTCAAAACTACTTGAGTCAAATGAAGTGTTGCTTGTACATGACTATAAAGTGCATCAACTAAAGGTGATATCGAATTAGTAGTTATCATGTTTGATAATAATAATATATATATAATATAAGAGAAGATAAATAATAAAAAAAAAAGAATAAAGACCTTTCAATAAATAAAAAAAAAAAAGGAAGAAACAAGGGAGTTGAACTCTTTGCCTTTTTAAAAAATTAAAGAGCGCCATTTGAAAAATCGAGTGCTCATGTCAAGCCGCACTCTATTTTTTTTTTCTCTTTCTCTTCTTTATTATTATTATTATTATTTTGATAGATGCATCGCCATTGTCGCCCCTGGTTATTACGTACAAGGAAACAATATCTACGTTCTTATTCCACTATTACTCCCGATTACGATGTTGTTGTTATAGGTGGTGGTCATGCTGGTACTGAAGCTTGTACTGCTGCTGCTCGAGTAGGTGCAAGAACCTTATTGATCACACAGAATCCAGATACCATTGGTAAAAAAAAAAAAAAAAAAAAAAAAAAATGAGGGTCTTTTGATTTATATATATATATATATATATATATTTTTCTGATTCAATTTATTATTACTTTCTAGGTGAAATGTCCTGCAATCCTTCATTTGGTGGTGTTGGTAAAGGTGTACTTGTTCGAGAAGTCGATGCTCTTGACGGTGTTTGTGGAAGGATCTCTGGTAAACTGTTATTATTGTCTTTATTTATTTATGTACTAATCTCTTGAATTCATCTTAACTCTTCAATAGATCTTTCTGGTATTCAATTCAAAGTGTTAAATCGATCAAAAGGACCTGCTGTTTATGTAAGTTGATATCATTTATCTAAGGATAATTTTCAGAGAAAATGAAATAGATCGACACTATGAAAATGGGAAATTAATCAATGGTCTATATATATTATCTATTTATGATGATGATGACAATGATGATAAATTAGGGACCAAGAGCACAAATTGATCGGGCCTTATACAAACAACATTTGCAAGCCTATTTGAAAGATTATCCGAATTTGACCATAAAATCTGGTAGTGTAGCCGACTTGGTTTTGGAAAACAATAATACTCATTCTACGAAAGGACAACAAACGGTACGAGGTGTACGATTAGGTAATATATCTATAGATAACGATATCGCATTCACATACTAAACAGACATATCAAAATTTGGATTAGAAAATGGTCAGGTAGTGCGAACTCCTAATGTAGTGATCACAACTGGAACCTTTTTGGGTGGGGAAATCCATTTGGGACTGAAAGTTTGGCCTGCAGGACGTATTAACGAAAATCCATCAATTGGTCTTTCAAAATCATTACACAAGGCTGGTTTTCAACTGTCAAGATTGAAAACAGGTATATAAAATAAAGGGAAAAAAAAAAGAGGATTATTGGTCTATACGGACTTACTTTTGTTTATTATAGGAACACCGGCAAGATTGGATGGTCGAACAATCAATTATGAAGGTCTTATTGTAGAAAAAGGAGATCATCCTCCGTCACCATTTTCATATTTACATAAAACAGTACCATACGCAGTAAGTACAAAATGTAAGGAAGATATGATACATGTATTGACTCATCATCATTTTTATATATTAGGATCAACAAGTTTTATGCCATCAAACTAGAACCAATCCGGCTGTACATGATTATATAGAAAAACATTTTGATCAGAGTATTCATATACGAGAAACGGTGCAAGGACCAAGGTAAGAAAAGAAGAAAAAAAAAATAAAGAAAGAGAAAATAAAGGTAAAGAATACTCCATATTTAAATACCTTTGTTTATAGGTATTGCCCATCATTAGAAAGCAAAATCAAACGATTCCGTCACAAGTCAAGTCATAATATCTGGTTGGAACCTGAAGGTATATATAATATATATATATAAAATAAAAGAAAGAATTTTTTTTTTCTGATTGACGATTTCTGTCAATTTCCGTAGGTTTGGACAGTCATCTGGTTTATCCGAATGGAATTTCAAATACCATGCCTGAAGATATTCAAATCAACTTTTTACGAATGATTCCTGGTTTAGAAAAGGTGGATATGGTTCGACCAGGTAAGGGAAATGAAAAAAGAAAAATATAATGATTGATTGATTGAAATATTCATATTTTTTTTTTAAAAAAAAAATTTTATAGCTTACGGTGTTGAATATGATCATGTTGATCCACGGGAATTACGATCTACTTTGGAAACCAAACGTATTGAAGGTTTATTCATGGCAGGACAAATCAATGGTACAACAGGATATGAAGAAGCAGCAGCACAAGGGATTATGGCAGGCATCAATGCTGGATTACGATCATTGGGTCGACCACCATTTATACTAGATAGATCAGATGCATATATTGGTGTTCTAATTGATGATTTGATTACCAAAGGTGTAAAAGAGCCTTACCGTGTCTTTACTGCAAGATCAGAATATCGATTATTATTACGTGCAGACAATGCAGATATGCGATTAACAAGAAAAGGTAAGATTTTGATTATGTACTATATGTGAAACTTTAAACTCGATTGATTCTACTCTTTTAGGTTATGAAGCAGGTGCCATTGGAAAAGATAGATGGTCTCAATTTATAGAAACGGAAACAAAATTGATGAATACAATGAATCTATTAGAAGAAACCAAGATGACAGCAAATAAATGGGCTACCTTTGGAATCAAGCCTAATAATGCGACAAAAACAAGGAATGATCATGGTTCATTAAGAAGGTATACAAGAAAGAACTGAGCTTCAAGCGGTATACTAATATGATGATGTTGTTCTTATTACAAATGTTTAAAATATTTGAAAAAGTGGTATCGATTTATTGTCATGGGCAGGTATTACATTGGCAGATTTTACTCAGGTATTACCATCCTTGAAAGACTTGGAACCCTCTTTGACAGAACGAATAATGATTGAAGGACGATATAAACCTTTTTTAAAACGTCAACAAGCTGAAGTCGAAGCATTAAAAAGGGATGAAAACTTATTATTGGACATTGATTTAGATTACAACAGGTAAAATATTTATAAAGTTTATTTTTCTTCCATTGATTCATTTTTTTTTTATATACGTAGTTTGAATCAATTATCTAACGAGATTCGGAATAAGCTTGCTATTGTGAAACCTGAAACGTTGGTAAGATTTTTTTCCCTTATTTTATTATCATAGTTATTTTGACTCATTTTTTTTTTCTTTTCTTTTCCTTTCGTATGAATCATAATATAGGGTGCTGCGAAACGAGTGGAAGGAATGACACCTGCTGGAATGATTGCTTTACTAAAATATGCTAGAAGGGGAAGATCCACTACTGTTACACCACTGGAACGACAAACAGTTGCATAGAATCGGTGTCCCTCATTGTCTTCTTTTTTAGTTTAGATAATAATACCTTATTATTTAAAAAATATTATATCACATTCATAGCATATATATATATATATATATATTAGAATAAAGTTATTAAAAATTTTGAAAAATGATAGAAATATATGGATGGATATAATATATATATATATATTGTTGTATATGTATGATGTATATTGATGTACAAGTAGTGTGTAAAAGTATGTGTGACGCAGTAAAGCAATAGATATGTGTTTGTGTGTATTTGTTACATTTTCCTCCCCCCTCCCCCCAAATTCTTTTCTTGCGCTGTTATAATATTTTTTTGTCAGTTTTTTACCATTTTCGCACTTCTTTCCTCTTCCCTTTTTTCCCTTATTCTCTCACCAGGCCTTATTTTATTACCTTTTTACAACCGTTTCCCCGATTATTTTTGATGGAAGTGGATCAATCGTCCCAGCAAGTTCGGCCTTTTGTCTATATACAATATCCTTCCGCCAGACCTATTCAACACTTTTCTTCTTCATCTCAATCCACTTTCTCCGTTCAACAACCAGTTACAGCTTCTACTTCCGCCCATACTACTAATCAGCAACAATCTCAACAACAACAACAACAACAACAACAACAACAACAACAGGATAATCCATCACCTCCAAAACGAAAAAGACAACAAATTGGTTATGCTTGTGATAGGTAAGTTGTATAAAAAAAAATATGAATGGTAAGTGTTGATAAAAAAACTAATCCAGTGTATTCTTTGATAAAATAGATGCCGGGAACGCAGAGTCCGTTGTGATAGGGGGAAACCAACTTGCGGACAATGTGACGGAAAGTATGATTGTATCTACAGCAATCATGCATTAAGATTAGATAATGTTTCTATGCGACAAAAAATGGATGATATGCAAGCAACTGTCAAAAGGATGTATGAAATACTTACACGAATGGAAGATGATTATAAAGAAACAATACCTCAAATACAACAACAACAACAACTACAGCAACAATTGAATCATCATGCTACGACAACCAACTGCATTGCAACAAACTCAACTTATTCATTACCGCTTTCACCAGATAGCTTTATGAAGGATAAAATATCATCATCGGATTTATCACTTTCTGTTCCTTTAGATGAACAAACATCATCAACAGCACCACCTGTCGTTCTTTATAATCAACATCCTACTATTGTTGATTGGGCTAGCGGAACTGGTTGGCATATCACTACAAACAATGGTCTTACTTCTATTCATACCAATATTACAAGCTATGAAGATTTACGTGATGCTGTTCGCCGAGCTCTTCAGATGACATATCACTTTCAAGGTCCTCCTTTATTTACCACTCCTACTTCTCCAAACATTCCTCTATTTGCAAGCGATCTACCCTCTTTTTCCGCCTTTGAAAGATTGGGTCGAATTTCATCACATTCATCTTCCTTCTCAAACACTAATGAGTCATCAACATCAGCATCAACAACATTAGCAGCATCAACAGCACCAGCATACTCATCACCGTCATCAGCATCTTCTTCATCACCAACACCAGCATCACCAGCATCAACTTCCTCATTTCCATCCTCGTCTTCCTCATCCATGGCCTCTTCTACTTCAACTTCCAACAACACCGATCATCTATTGGAAAAAGATGTCATGAGTCGATTGATCCATCAACATCATCAATGTGGGTTCCCTATCTTGGTCAATCCTGCCAGATTCGAACGACATTATCAACAAGGGGAATTGAAACCTGTTGTCCTTTCCTCCATCTTTTGCCATATTGCACCTCACGCTTGTATATACCATCCTTATCTTGTCCATCTTCAAGATTTTCGTACATTGGGCGAACGATTTTATGATCACTCACGAACTCAACTTGGTCTCTATGATCAATCCAATCTCTCCAATATTCACCAACGAACACTATTGATTGCATATGATTTGGACTTGGGTCGTGTACGTCGTGCCTTCATCCATCTTGGTGTGGCCATTCGGATGTGTTTTGCCTTGGATCTTCATCGACAAGAAGGTTATGTCCATTGTACCTCTCCCTTTGAACGTGAACAAGCCAAACGGGTATTTTGGACAGTATGGTTTTTTGACTCGATGGTACCTCACTTCTTTGCCCAACCTTCAACGATCCGTAGTGAAGATATCAAGATTGAAGTCCCTTGTGTACTTTCTAATTTTGATCCCAATGAAACCGACCAAACTCGCTTTGCCATCAGTATCATTCATATTCGTCGCCATGTCCATAACGCCAAATCCCTTCGCTCCTTTTACAAAAGTTTACCTGAATCCAGTCGTTGTCACCGTATGTCTTCTTCTTCCATTCAATCTGCTTCCCTTTGGGCTCGTCGTACCTTTTTCTGTGTCTTGTTGGATTATTGTCTCTCATGGATGAACTTGTACCGACCTCATCTTCCCAAACCCAAAGCCATCCGACGTACTTCTCAAGCTGCTTTTGCCATGTTATCTCTATTTGCTTGTTGGTTCCGTTCCAATGAACATTTTGATTGCTTCTTTCGACCTTATTTATTTCATTATATGAGTATCATTCAAGTATTCAAGGTAAAAAAAAAAAAAAAAAAAAAAAAAAAAAAAAAAAAAAAAAAAAGTATTTATTGTATATATATTTTACCCTTTTATAATTATAGGCAAATATTACTCAAGAAGATGGACCAAGATCACCCATGCTTGTGGCACAAAGTCAAGCAGCACTTGTAAAGTTATTCCATATGTATCGCACAACGCCAACTTACCGTTCATTTGAAGAAAGTCGACTGGAAAAGGATATGCTGGCATTTTTCCATCGACATGAAATCGTGACTTGGGCTCAGCTGCAGTATGGCGATCATCAAGAACCTGATCCTACATGTCTGGAGGAACTGATAGATGACCCAGAAGATTCGGATTACTGCGGATGGAGCATTTTTAGTGTACCAAAAGATGGATTTAACAATTCGGATTACCACCATTACAACAACAACAGTAAGAACAAGAATAATGGTAGTGAAGGTAGTATCAGTGGTGGATCAACCGTCTCCTCTTCCTCAAGTCAAGATATGATGATGGATTATTCAAATACAACAACTCAATTCGCACCTTTACAAATGGAAATGGATTATTTTTGAAAAAAAAAAAAAAGAATTTTTTTTGTTAGTTTATTCCTTCCCTTTTTATTTCTTTTCTCTTTTACCCATTTATTATTATCATCGTTATTAGTATTATCATTATTATTATTACTATTACTATTATTATTATTACTATATGTATCTTGTTGTATTTACTTTTCTCCCTTTACTCCCTACAAATAAAAAAAAATATGGTTGTTCATGGGTGCTTTTTATGATTCTACTAGACTAGGCTTTGATTATATGTATATATATATGTGTATGGGGTGTATAGGTAGATCTTACATGGATGATGGATAAAAAAAAAAAAAAAAAAGGATATTGAACAAGGGTTGGTGAAGGGGTATTGATAATATCCCTACAAGTAAAAAAAAAAAAAAAAAAAAAGATACATTCTTATTAATTTTGAAGTATACACAGGCTTTACATCAGCGGAGTCTTGTTGATGGATGATAGACCCCTTTCCTCTTCATCCCCCCATCACCCTAGTAACTTGCTTTATAGTCATATAAACATGGTTGTTTATTCAGTGAACCCATTCTATTTACAAGGATTCCAAATGTAACCCATCATCATCATTTCTTTTTTTCTTTTTTTTCACTTCTATTCATCATAGAAATTATTCCTTCTTTTTTTTTTTTTTTTTTTTTTTCCTTTTGTACTTACCCATATAAATTCTACCCAACTCCAAAAAAAAAAAAAAAAAAAGATAATGATGATCACACGATCCCTCATTCCTTTTTATATAATAATAATGATGATTGTTTTACTTGTTATTGAACCCGTTCAGGCAGGCACACGATCGATCACAGTGAAAAACAATTGTCCAGAGAAGATTTCGATTGGGGTACTGACAAATGGTAAAGCAAATCCAGATCAACGATTTGATTTGACACCACAAGGCACACGTACGATCAGTGAACCGGATACATGGGGAGGTCGTTTGTTTGGTCAACCGGAATGTGTAGGAGCAGGTAACAATGGACCTCATTGTGGGAATGCTGGTGCCAGTAATCCAGCTACCTTGGCTGAATTCTTTTTTAAGGGAGCTAATGGTGCTGATTACTACGATATCAGTCTGGTGGATGGATATAACATCCCTGCCTCCATCTCTCCACAAGGAAAAGGTGGTTCAGGAAAGGATTGTGGGACTTCTAATTGTCAAAAATTGCCCAATTGTCCTCCCAATCTGGCTATCAAGGATGGCTCTGGAAAAGTCATTGGTTGTCAATCCTCTTGCTCCAAAACAGGGAATCCTCAAGACTGTTGTGTTGGTCAATATGATGGTCCCGATAAATGTAAACCTGATAAACAAGCTGATAACGTTAAAAGTGCTTGTCCTGATAGTTATAGTTTTGCTTATGATGATCAAACGTAAGTTAAAAAAAAAAAAAAAGAAATATATTTTCCAAAAACAGGTGGCATGACCTTTTTTTTTTTTTTTTTTTTTTGTTCATTTCATAGATCAACTTTTAGTTGCAGTAATCCTACTGGATATACTCTCACTTTTTGTTAAACAGAAAATCATTCTCTATACAACTTGTAAATTTTTTTTTTTTAATACATACTATATAATATTAATAAAAACAATGGGATTGATAAAAAAGGAAAGGGTTTCATTCGGGGATTGCAAAGAGCTCTCATGATTGGATAAATGATTGGAAGTGAGGGCCAAGGGTGAAAAATTTCTCGGTAATATATGACCGAGATCATATCATTTATCATTATTATTATTATTATTCCATCTCCGAAGCTATGTTTGGTTTATCGAAGGTAAAAAAAAAAAAAGGAAGGATCATTATGATTAATAAGAAAAGAAGATAAATTTATTTTTGTTATTTGTCATTTCTTCTAGAAAAAAAAAAAGAAAAAAGAAAAAGAAAAAGAGAGATGAATGACAAAAGGATGACTGAGTGGATGGATAATCAAAAGTGGAAAAATTAACTTTGCATGATTTTGATTTGTGGCTGTTTTTGGCTGAATCATCTAAGTTAATGGATTGCTGACAAATTTCGAGAGAGAGAGGGGATATCAAAAAAAAAAAAAAAATTATGCGTATGGCGGCAATATATCTTCCCGCCTGCTTATATATTCAGACCTGTCACACGGTTCGCCCCCCTTTTTTTTTTAATTTTTTTTTTTTTTGTTATTTTCTCTTCTCATTTTTTTTCTTCCCTTCTTTTCTTTCTTTTCTCTTTCTTTTTCTTTTTCAAGTTTATGACTATAACGAAAACAACAGATCCTCTTCTCAACAACGAACCACATTCTCCTCTTACTAATTGTACTTCGTTGCCTCAAAAGCGACCACTCAATGACGACAGTCCTATGCTGACTAAAAAGAAACAATTATTCATTAAACGATCCCGAAACTGTACCAACTATACCCAAGCTTGCTTATTATTACACGCTATAGAAATCAATAGAAGACAAGTTCTAAACGCTCGTTGTATAGGTAATAACCACTAATATAAATATATGTTTACTCATTTTTTTTTTTAAATAGCTCATTTAGCAAACTTTGTTGTCAAAGCATGGGAAACAGATCCGAACGAAACCAAAGTACGACATTTATATCAATTGATGCAAAGTCTTTTATCCACTACAGGTATCAAACAAACCACATTGGAAACAGCTTTGGTTACTTTTTGTCGAAATACTGCTTCCACTCCTACGCCCTGTCCTAGTGTCACATTACTAATAGCCATCAGTTACATAGAAAGACTAAACAAGGTATTAAGAACAAAAACAACCTTATTAACGGTTGAACAAGATTGATTTCTTACCTTTTTTTTTTAATATTTATTTTAGAAATACGATATCATTCGAGGAACTGTTGGTTGTGGATCAAGATTGATCATGGTTGCTTATCTTATGGCTGCCAAATTCTTGCACGATAATTTACGACTCATTATCCATGTTCCAGCAACCAATCCATCACCATCGTCATCGTTATCAATACCATCAACAACAACAACGACATCAATACCATCAACGTCAATATCTTCGTCATCAACCTCACATCCAGTGACCGATTCTTTAGTAGAAAAGTCATCATCCACACTTCCAAGCTCTCCACCAACATCACCAAGTCAATCATCTGGCAATAATATCTTCATGAGCTCTTCTTCTTCGACTCAACAAACATCAAGCGAACCACCTCTTACACCTCCTCATCCCTCGACCAAGATAACCACTAGGACACCCAATGAACGCAATTTACGGATCATGCGATTGGAACTTGAATTCTTACACTTTTTGGATTATGATTTATCAACTCCAGATCCTGCTAGATTGGTACGATGGGCCCACACTTTTGATACCCCACCAGTTCCTGTAGATGATTGTACATCGGCTGATGAAGGAGATGATGAAATGGACGACGACGATGATACTTGTTCATTGGACTGATTCATAAACACTACCCTCTTTTTTTTTTCTTTTAGTATATATTTTTAGTTTGACTAATTCCTTTTAAATAAAAAAAAAGTTTCCTTTTTTTTTCTTCTTTAACTTTTTTTGTACATTCTTTATTTGACAATGATTATCTTTTTTTTCTTTTTTTTTTTTTTTTTTTTATTTGGAGGATGGACGGATGACTAATCAAAGAATTTGTTTTGGAGGATGAATGGCTGTGTTATTTTTTTTTTTTATAACTTCTTGACAAGGTGCTGTTTTAATTTTTTTTTTTTTTTTTTTTTTTTTTTGCCAAGATCCTGTTTTGTGTTGAAGAAAACGCGCTTATGATCCTGGTTATTGTAGCTTTTGTGAATGATTCCATTTCCTGATTTTTGTCATCATCGGATAAGCTACTTTTGGTTAAAAAAAAAAAATTGGGCGGAGACGACTTCATTGGTCCCTCACTATATTTTCTTTTTTTTTTTTTTCCAATCCGTTTGTGATCATGTTTCTTCTTTTGAAGTTCCTTTTTATTCTTCCCAATGTTAACGTTCTTTGGACTGATGATCTCCAATTATTAGTCATCACTGATTTTTTTCTTTGGAAATATTCTTGTCAATACTAATACAGTGGATGATGGCATTTGAAAAATAGAAAGGACAGTGGATTCATGTTTTTTTTTTCTTTTTTCTTTTTTTTCCGATCCATCAGCCAAACTTTAGCTGTAAAAACCAATTGTCGAGGAGATCATCAAGCAATTTTTGGGAAAATCGATGAATTTTTCTAGTTTTTATTGCACAAAGATAAACGATAAAATGGGATGAAATGATATTATACGTTTTTGAGGGGAATCTAATGCTAGTCATTTTATTGGATGATGATTGAATGAACGATATTGACCTTTATTTTTTTAATTTACGTTATACATTGATGAAGTATCAGTTATTATTAAGACAAGTGAAAGATTTCATCTATGTTCAGTCCTAATTTCGTACGATGATGATCTTTTTTCAGTGAATTGGAAAAGTAATGCAATCGGTGGATGACTCAATAAGGGCGAAAGACAATTTTTCATCTTTTTATTCTTCCATCACCGCTCCTTTTCTTTTCTTTTTTTTTTTTTTTTTTTTTTTTTTTTTTTTGTTTTTGTTTGAATTCAACAGACCGAGTATCATGGCTTCATACCCTACACAATGGACGACGATATCACAGGCCAATAGTTTCCATCCTCATCTTATTACCAACATTGACTTGACCGATGATTCTTTCTTAATGTCATTATTACCGGAATCACCAGAGCAATGGTCTTGTAGTTTAGATGTTATATACACGCTCCCACCCAGTGTGTTTGTCGATAGATATCAACTGAATGATACACTCGGAAGATCCTTCTTTGTGCATGGACTAGATGATTTGGAGTCACCTTTGGAACACGTGGATCATCAAGATACCTGGGTGATTGTTCGACCCTCACCAAATATACAGATAGATCTCCCTGTTCATCTACGATACCAAGCTCCTGACCGCTCATTGACCCATCGTCTTATACATATCCAACAACCACGCGTAGGATGGTCATGTCACCATGGTAACAAGAAACCAACACTTGATCAAACGTTCGACTTTTTCTTCTCACGATCTCAAAGTCTTACTTGGATTCAACTACCTTCTAATTCTTCTTCACATGATATCTCTCTACAAGTCCCTGTTGGCAACACAACCGATGCTTTTCTAGTTCAATGGGGAACTTTCTTTACCATCCTTCTCGGTACTGCTTGGATCTTACACGCTACTCTTTTTGCTGTCAAGAAACACCGTCGTCATGAAGCCAAAGGCAAGCGAAGGAAATCGGAATAATACTCTTATATAGTGTAGTAGAGAATCATCTTTTTATATCTTATTACTTTTTTTTTTGTAATCAATAAAACAGTATTCATCTATGTTGGATTATTTGAAAATTATTTTCGAGTAAAAAAAAAAAAAAAAAAAAAAGAAATTGATAAATGGAATAGATTTTATTGAAATAGATAATAGTGATAATAGTACTAAAAGGATGATGGCAAAGGATAAAAAAAAAAAAAAAAAAAAAAAAAACTAACAAAATAAATAAAGAAGTTGATTACAGCAAGAGGATCAAAGATCAATCAAAGGTGCTTCATAGGCAGGTTGTTGTTGTTGTTGCTGCTCCTGTTGTGTCGATTGCTGCTGCTGTTGTGGAATTTGAGAACCGGGATGATATTGTCTTGTAGTTGTTTCTTGGTATCCTTGTATAGGGGTTTGCTGGTAGTTTCCTGATCCATTCACAGTTATTTGTTGTGGTGGATATCCTGAAGGAGGTTGTGATGGTTGTTGTTGCTGTTGTATGGGTTGATAATACAGTTGTTGCTGTTGTTGTTGTTGTTGTTGTGGGAGCGAAGCGACAGGATGATACTGTTGTTGAATATTTTGAGTAGGACTAGAAATCGACGGATAAGATGATTGATAAGGCTGTTGATTGCTTGTAGTAGAACCAGAGACTGATGGATAAGATGGCTGATAAGGTTGTTGTTGTTGATATTGGTCTGATGAAGTATTGCCATATTGAGACAAGGATGGTGGTTGTACTGTAGGATATAAAGAATTGGATGTTGTAGGCGTCGTTGATGTGGTTGATGATGTATAGATTGTTGGAGCTGCTGATGATGAATAATACGTGGATGGAGGAATTCTATCAGTAGTACGAAAATGAGCCCCTGATACACGTTGTTCCAGTAACTGATCATATGCTTTGACCGCCATATTCATTTTTTCATGCAAGTCGACGAATATACCTAATAAATCATATATATAAATAACAAAATGAGTTCAATGATTTGCCATCAGAAATAATTACACATACGATGTTTCCGATCAGTTTCATCCAGGTTCTTCACCAATTTTGGTTGTAGAGTTCCAATTTGAGTGTATAATTTGTTGATTTGAGGGTCTCGAGAAATATCACCTGCTGCAGTGTGAACACGTTCCACCAATGTTGAGAAGAGTTGAATATTTTCGATTTCCACAGTAGAAAGTTCATCACGGTTTCGAGTTCTAGTATTGTAAGTTTCTTGCTGGCGTTGAGATACAGTGTTATTATTGATTTCCATATCACGTAGTGATGCCGCAATAGCTGCTGCCAAATCTGGATCATCCTCTTCTTCAGTTGTCTAATAGTAAATGAGATTTTGTTGAGTATATGATTTCTTCTATTTCCAAAGTTTTTTTTTTTTCTTTCTTTTTTTTTTTTTCTTTTTTTCAAAATTACCACTGGTTGTACTTCTTGTCTCTGTTCCTGTTTCAGTTGTTGAGAAGGTGTATATCCAGCGCCATAACTATTTTTGCGAGCTTCTTCTTCCTTAAGTGATAATTCGATAGCTTTTTTCATATCTTCATCAAAATCATCATCTGTTGCTTGCGCTGTTGTTGTTGTCGTTGTTGTTGTCGTTGCTGAAGTTCTTGGGATCGAGCGATTGGCAGTGACTGATTCAGGGGTATCCGAATATTGTTGCAAAAATGCCGGTATAGGTGCAGCTGCTGATCCAAAGGTAGAGGGTATAGTGTCCTTTTTAGCAACCTTGGCGAGTTTCAATTTGATATAACATCCATCACAGACACGTACCTCTTCAATGATGGCAAGATGAGGAAGCGACATATTTTTTGAAGAACATTGTTGACAAAAAGTTTTACCACATTGACGACAATGATGCTATAAGAAAAAACCACTTGGTAAGAATTCTCTTTTTTTTTTTTTTTTTTTTTTTTTTGAATACCTTTCGATTGGTCATGGTAAATGGAGTACGACATCGTTCACAAACATCCGAATCAGTCCATTCAGGGGCCTAGATAAAACGATAGAGAAAGAAAGAGTTTGTTGCCAAGAAAAATAAGTCAAAAATCCAATACCTTAGTTGATTTTCCTTTTATATCATCTTACCGCAGAAGTTTCCAAGAGAATAGCATCAACAGAATCAGTCATGGGAGGGAATACGTAACCTTCTGCTTGAAGGAGATAATAAGTGTCAGTCATATAACTAAGAGTTGGTTTTCCTTTTGCAGCTAATCCCCAGGTTTGCACGATAGATAATATCTTGTTTTTGACGTCTATATTGCAACCAGTCTATGAATATTGTTAAAAAAAAAGGTGAGTTCTTTTAATATTAATATTGTATTATTTAAGCTTACCGGACTTCGTAATAGTGAGACTAATTCATCTATGAATTCTCGGCTTGCAATTTCTCGTACAAAGGCATCACCACTATTCTTCACACAGGTATCCGTCAACTAAGTAAATAAATAAAGAAATAAGTTTCAATGGATCAGGAATAAAATGAAAATACATACGTTAAGAGTAGCCAAAACGACGTTTGGATTCTTGTGAGTGAGCCTTCGCTTTAGAGATCTCATAGCATCCTTACTATTGACCTTTTTACTTCGTATTTCATCACTGATTTCCAAATGAAGAGCCAAGTTTTCTTGTCCAATAGGAATATATTCGGAAGTAGCTTTATCTAGTTGAGTAATAAAATAAAATAAAATAAATCATGGTTAAACTTGTAAAACTAGAGAAGGAATTTCGATTTGGTAGGTATCTAGTTATATTAAACTTACCTATAAGTTCATCCAAAGGATTTGCACCCCACCATAAAGACATGTTCGTTGATAAATATATAAAATAATGTAACACGTAAAAGAAAGAAAGAAAGAAAGAAAGAAAGCGAGAATAAGGAAAATTGGCTTTGTCTTGGCGACTGAGATTGAATGTGATCATGAAAGAGAAGCTGCTCGTTTCATCCACAGCCACGCGCTCATAACTTTTTTTTTTTGGCGTTTTCGTTCCTTTCTTTCTTTCTTTCATTTATATGAGCATTGTCCTCTTATTATGAATCAGCTTGATGGCTTAAAGAAAAACAAACGTTTAAGCTTATCTCTGAATAGAAAACGTCACAATGCAACACAACCACTGGACTCATTACCTGCAGCTGAAGTTACCAAACACTCTCAGCATTCTTTGAACGAAAATTGTATCAACGACATTATCTCTAACGATCCGTCATATGATCAAAACAACACCTCCATGAAAGTTGAAGAAGCCAAGGAACATGATAATGACGGCTACGACGATGACGACGACTGGTTTTATTCTGATATAGATGAATCTTCATTGACACCCTACAAACCTACTCCACTTTCAACGACAACGGATACGGTATTCAATAATGTGCTTGATGAAACTGCTCGATTGGAATCTTTATCCGTCTCTGAGAATAATATGGATGATGATTTTGTTACTACTACGACTTCTACTGATACTGATTTGGTTACAACGAAGGAGTTTACTATCGCAACGGACAAAATAACTTCCAATTCAACTGAAGCAACTATAAAGAAACCAACTTTGAAAGGTGAAGATGTATTTACAGAAGCTTGTGTGAAAACTTGGCAAGGATCTCGTATCAAGGCATGGGAAGGTCGTTACTTGGTAGGGAATTGATGAATATACCGCATGATGGTATCCTTTTTTTTTTTTTAAGAAAAACTTATATTATTTTTACCTTGTTTTCTTTTGCATGATAGAACCCTGAAGGATATTATTACCGATTTGTTATTCCAGGTGAAGGACAACAAAATGGTGGATGGTCAAGTAAAGAACATACATTATTCATGAATCGTTATCAAGAGTGGATATCACATGGATGGAAAATTGGTGCTTCTTGGGGACTATTTAGTAAAGGTATTCCTCATCGTGTAAGTCTTGATGATTTCTTGTCCATTTTTATCCTTACGATATGATGACTTATTAACTATTTTACTAGGTCGGATATCAATGTATGAACTATTATCGAAAACTCTTGGAAAAGAAAACTTTAAAGGATGATTCCTATGAAATTGTGGATGGCAAATTGAAACAAACACGAAAAGACAAGGCTCCTCCAGGTGATGTGCCAGACACTGATCTTGGTCCTGAATGGGATCACGAAGATGTCAAGGAAGTCGAAAAGAATGTCAATTTATGGTTAAAACAATATCACCAACGATCCGGATGGTAAGTTAAAATGCATTATTATACCATCTCGATCAAGAACATACTCTGACGAGTAGCCTATTTCGTTTTATTTTTGTCATAGTGATGCAACAAGACCGACTCCAAAGCCAAAACCATTACCGAAACCACGAAGAATCACAACAAAGACACAACGAACGAATCGAATCGCAAGTATGGTAAGAAGTCAACATTTACACAAACGGCCTACTTTTGTTGATGATGATAACGATGATGATTTTGTCATGTTGGATACAATGGAACCGGAACAAGCATATTTAGCACCACGAGATTGGGATCAAGAATGGAAGGAACGTTTAGATACATACAAGACATTTTGCAAGTAAATCGAATTAAAAAAAAAAAAAAAAAGAGAAGGATGCATTGTTTTTGGGGATACTGAATTTTACCTCTTTATTTTTATTATTATTATTACTATTATTTCCATTTCCAAAGGCCATATCAAGACAAGGATGTCCGCTACAAATATTGGCTTGCGAAACAAGAATGGCGACGAGGACTCTCTACAACAGAAATGTAAGCATACCCAATGAAAAATAATAACAGTAATATATATATCGAGTCATGATACAATCTGTTAATCACATTATTTTTTCAGGATGATGAATAAAGAAATGCTAGCATTCCAACAAAAGAATTTGTCAACCGAAAACAATACACCAGCACCAGCACGACAACAATTATCGTTATCACGATTTTTTACTGGGGTCAAAAAGGTCAAAGTGGATACTCCTGATGAATTGATACATTTGACTCGTATACCAGTCGATTTATATAGTGGAGTTAAACAAATTCTACCTCTTATAGACAACTCAAATGGAAAACAAAAGGACGATGACAATGATTTGAAGGCACACTATTACGAAGTGGATGATATGATGGAATGTTCACAGTATTTGGAAAACTCACTTGGATCTGAACAAGTCGATAGTACGCAATCACAAATCGAAGGACTTTTGGTGGATCCCCCATGGGAATTCATTCTTGAAGATGGTAGAAATGATGGATCATGTCATTGGAACTTGCATCAAGTCGTAAGTTTTGGAAAATAATCTTACCATATTTTGTCTAACAAAATATTTAATCGACTATGATAGAGAGACCTCATGGAGAAAGTATTGCAACGGATGTCAGCGGGGCTCGTTTTCATGTGGACACATAAACTTATTCAAGCTGACGTGGTGCGGATGATGTATAGTTTGGGTAATATAAGGAAAAAAAATAGAAATCATACTTATTTACATAGAAACTAATATTCATTTATTATTCGTATAGGTTGCAAATATGTTGAAAATTTGGTATGGTTCAAAAAGTCTGTTAACAATGTACCTCTGGATCAACCTAGCCCATATTTCAGCTCTACCAAAGAAATCCTGTTAATGTTCAAGAAGGGTGATGGATTTGAATTACGACATCAACGGACAGCAGATGTGATTATTGATTTTGAACAACCAGCATGTCGTTGGATCCATGAAGGTACGTATAAATATAAATAAATAAATAAAAAATAATAAAAGATAAAATTCTTACTTATCTAATTCGATATATCATTTAGAATATACTGAACCCAAACCACAAGCTGTCTTCGATATGATTGAAACTTTACTACCCAAGGCAGGATATGATGAACAATTGAAACGTGGACGACTTGTTGAATTGTAAGCACGTTTCTTTTTTTTTTTATAGAATGATAACAGTGACGAATATTCTTACTTAATCGTTTTTTTTTTGTAGATGGGCCAAACGATCATCCAAACGTCGTGATGGTTGGATTGCATTTCATCAACGGAAAACTACAAGTATTACCTCGACTGATCCAATGGAAACTGGAATGGAATTAGATGATGAAAACAATACTGACACATTTTGTATATCCCCTTGATTACTTTAGTATATTCCTTTTGCACACATTCATACTTTTATATATACATGCATACATACAAACATATCACACATACATTGAATAAAAAAAAAAAAATAAACTTTATTTATTTTCTTTATATACACGATATGAGATGATAAATCTACATCTAATCAATTTGAATGAAGAATGTCGAGTAATGATCGGGTGACTTTTTGAATATTATCTATATCAAAAAAAAAGCAAGTCAATATCACATTTTATTCGAAGAGCAAACTCCATTATACCTTCCACATCCGCCAAAGAGACATCCTTTTTCGCTGCTACCAAATAGATTTCGCTGTAATCGGATGGATCAAAGGGAATATGTTCATCTACAGGTGATTCGTCAGGAGGTGCTTCATGATCATTATTCTGGTGAGTTTTATCTTGATCATCATCATGGTATTTCTTCCGGAGCGAGCTACGGGATGGTAAATGACTATAAATACGTTTGCCCACAATCCAATGATTAAGAGTCGATCGGGTATAGATTTCATCTGTCCGAGGAATAGCATCAAAGTCATCTTTCACATTTAATATTTGAAGTAACATCTCATTTGACAAGGGTAATCCGCCAAGAAATTGTTGTTGTTCTTGACCAGTGGTAGAGGTTGTCATTGTTCGTATCATCACACGCCCTTGTTGATCCACAATGGTTGATTTCATATTCAATGTTGTATTGTCATAATAAAAGCATTTGTAATGTTTTCCCAAATTGAGTCTATAATAAGAAGAATAAAAGTTATTATTATTATTATTATTATTTTTTAAAGAAATTGTTCTTACGTTCGTTTTTCTCCCTCTTCAATATTTTTCCAGATAGCAGATACAATTTGACTCATTCCTTGTTCCAACATAAATCGTTCCAAAGAATGATAAAAGTCAATGTCTCGTACCAAATCATCCACGTCTTGTTCATAGGAGGGTAATAGGAAAGACCATACAAGATTACTTTGATCCTACATTTTTTTTTCCCAATTTCCGAAAAGTTAATAAATCTATTTTTTTTAAAAAAAAATGATTTTCTTCTTAATACCTTGTAGATAATCAATATGTACTCTGACAATATATCAGGATCTGGTTTTGTTGTATCATCTTCTTCCACAATAGGATAACTATTCAGGTAAACGCGGACAATATCTTCCTTTGTAACATTGATATCGTCACCATTGAGATCATGCACAATAGAATCTACCATTCCAGTTAGAAAGACACCTTGACAATGATGAGTGTTTTGATCAAAAGATTCTGTAACAGGTGAAGATGGAGCAGTTGGGATATCAGTCGGTGGAGATAATAATGCATCACTTGTAACAGTAGTGGTAGTATCAGCAACAGGTAATGAGGTATCTGTTGTAGTAGAGGAAGAAGTCTTGCTGAAATAGTTAAATATATGTGCTTGAGATAACGATTTGGTCAATGCTTTGAGAGTGGTTGTTGTTCCCTATTCTCCAAAAAAAAAAAAAAAAAAAATTAGACAGGAAAATAGTCATAGCCATCTATTATTTATCCCATCTTTACCTTTTCCTTCTTTGTACTGCTTTCATTTTCCTTTTGTTTAGCTGAAATATTATCCTGTTGGATTTTGTATGCTTCGACACGTTTCAAGATATATTTCCGTAATGATCGTACATCTAAAGATTGAAGTGAGAGAGAACGATAGATCAAAGAGCCTTCATGATCAAGAACCAACATATGACTGATGAGAGAATTGAATTGTTTTTGAACTGAAAGATCAAGATGATGGATATCAAGATAATTGGATCTTACAATTGGTTGTGATGGTATCCCATTGAAAACAGCACCAAAAACCATAGAATCTAATCGATCAAAGTCCCAATGCCAAATCCAACTTGAGAAGAATTCTTCAATAGCATGCATCAAAGTTCTTGTTTGTTGTCGATTTGGTTTTGAATTTGAATCATCATCTCCATAGAGTATAGATGTCATTGTACCATTTAATAACTAAAACAAAAAAGAAGAAAAAAAAAAAAAGAAAAAGATAAGAGTTTATGCAGATTCTAACTAGTTTTGTATTACCTTGAACTGTTCATAACCAATTTGAAGAATAGAAGAAAGTGCACGATCATTAAGTTCAGTATCTAAATATTCAGTGACCAATTTTTCTTTTCCTTTAGGATCCTTGATTTGTCGTCGTAAGATACCAAGTTCAACACACATATGAATCCAAAAGCCAGGTTCAGGTTGTAAAAATACCATACGGTTTCTTTGTGAGTGAACATTTTCAGTAGAACGTGAGACTGAAAAAGCACTAAATAAAAAATGAGTTTTTGTTTTAGAAATATTATTTATTATTTTTACCTAGTGACATTAACCAAAGCTTGAGCAAGGCCTACTTGTTTCATTTTAACATCAGCAGGAACCACCTTTTTGGCTGTATAATAAAGTATTTGATCTTTTGTATTTTCTTCAGAATGACATAAAGATGGATTATATACACAAAAGTAAGAAAGCATAGGAGGAGTTCTTCCTAAAAGAGGTCCATCATCGGACTCGATCAAAGTAGAATCAAAATCTGGCATTTGAATGATAAGAAAGAAAAAAAAAAAAAAAAGGTTACAATTTCCCAGGCCCCATAAAATGGTATCCGCTGACTCTTTATTGCTCTCTATCTCAAAGCGGGCATCAAAAAAGCGCTAACAAACAAAAATATTATATTATATATCTTGGGCAGGAATACGATGAAACTCTTTTCTTCCTTTCCTTTTTCTTTTCTTTTTTTTTTTTTTTAGCCCTTATCTTCATCTATTTTTATTATATATATATATATATATTTTATATTTATTATTTAGAATGCTTATTAAAGAATACCGTATAGTTAATCCTTATACTCAAAGTGAATATCAAATAGGTAAATAAATAAATAAATAAAATATGGAAGATGACTTAAACTTATATTTATTATAGGTCAGTTATATGCTACAGCCATGGCTTCAAAAGAACAAACTGGTGGTGGTGAAGGTGTAGAAGTATTGAAAAATGAACCTTATGAAAAGGAAAATGGAGAAAAAGGTCAATACACATATAAAGTCTTCCACTTGGCGTCCAAAGTTCCTTCCTATGTTCGTGCTGTGATTCCTGCAAGTGCATTGGAAATATATGAAGAGGTAACAAATAAACATAACAAAAATTATAATATATTGAACATTTTATTATTATTAATTTAGGCTTGGAACGCGTATCCTTATTGTAAAACAGGTAAAGAAATATCGCTATTGCAAACTTTCAACCTTTTTTTTTTTTTTTTTACTGATATTGTTATCTATTTTTTTTTTCTTTATTCAATAAATTTTAGTTTTGACGGTACGAAAAACAACTTTTGACATATTTTGATATTTATTGATTGATTTGATTTTTATTTTATTATTATTGTTAGAATGGATACATGAAAGAAAGTTTTTCAATTACTTATGAAACACTTCATGTAGATGGATCTCGTGGGGAATTGGATAATGCTCTCAATATATCAAGTCAAGGTAATATAATAATAATAATAATAATAAATAAAGAGAAAACTAAAATGCAAGTTTATTTTTTTTTTTTAAATAGATCTTGCTAAGCGAGAAGTGATTCATATTGATATTGCCAATGATCCTATTGATACCTCCGAATACAAACCTGAAGAAGACCCCAAATATATTCATTCTTTTAAAGCTGAACGTGGTCCTTTGGTGGGTGATTGGATTAAAAATTGTGAACCTGTGATGACTTGCTATAAGTTAGTATATATTGAATTCAAATGGTTCGGTCTTCAAACAAGAGTGGAATCATATTTAGCTGGTGCAATTCGTGGTATGTTTACCAAATTTCATAGGTATGATATATATATAACATTATAAATGAAATTATTCATTGATTTTTTTTTTTAAAAAAAAAATAGACAATTGTTTTCTTGGTTGGATAAATGGTATGGCATGAAAATGGAGGATATTCGTGAATTAGAAAAACAAATTAAAGCAGAATTGGATATTAGACGAAATGCAGGTCTAGATGGTACCTCTGTCTCTTCTAAAAGTGGCAACCTATCAAGCAGCAAACAGTCTTCCTCTAGTTATTTATCAACTAAAGAATAATTTTTTTTAGAAATAGTATAGTTTAGTAGTTGTTTATTTTACATTTGATTTTTTCTTTTTTTTTTGATATATAATAAAGAATATACTTTTTTTTTTTTTACTTTTTCTTCTTTGGGATCTGAAAAATATACATATATATATATATATATATAAATGCGTGAGGTCTAGTTTGTAGCACGAGATTTATGGTGATACAACCGTAATTCAATTCTTATCGAAAATTTTGGTTTGGGGACTTTCATTTTCACGGCTTTTAGTTTTAGAGCTTGGATTCTATCGCCGCCATTTGAGCCTATTCGGCGCACCCACCTACAAAATGTCCCCTTCCTTTTTTCTAATTTCTTTCCTTTTTTTTTTTTTTTTTTTTTTTTTCTTTCTTTCTTTCCCTTTTTTATCTTTCCATTTATATTTTCATTATTAACCCCACTCTTTTTTATCTTATTATTATTATTATTTTTTTGTCAACAACAAGGAAGACAACAATCATACGACTGTCATCAAAAGGGAACAAGCAACTTTTTCTTTTTTCATGTCTGATGAATCCAAGGAACCAGCCATCAAAGAGAAGAAAGGAGAAGCCAACAATACTTCGAATCTAAATGCTGCTTGTTTTCGTTGTCGTGGTTTTAGGTAATATTATGATTTTCTTTTTTATTCTTATAAAACTCAACTTTTTTTTTTTTTTTTTTAAAAAATAGACATGCTTGTGACCGAAAACGACCTGCTTGTACACGATGTTCTCGGCGTGGATTGACTTGTACTTATCCTGAAGCTGCTCCTACTCTCAAGAAACTTCAAAAGGCAACAGAAACTTTAGGTGATCGCATCAAAAAGTTTAGTGATCGTCTCAAGACAGGTGAAGGTATGCCAACCATCTCTTTACAACGACTGGCTCGTGGAAATATGGACGACACAACAACAAATAACTTGGACCCTGATAATAGTAGTATTAATAGCAACAACAACAACAATAATAATAATAAGTCTTTGGGCCAATCACCAGATACAAGATCTATTCATTCTATACATTCCGATTCTGCTTCTGAAAAGACATTCAACACAGATCAAGATGAAGAAGATGACCGACACTTACAAAAGAAGAAACGAGTTGCTTCCACTAATCACTTCTCAGTCTATCCATGCAGCAAATGTTTTAAAGACTTACAACAATGTGACCTTACTTTACCTCAATGTAGTCGTTGTGAAGCCAATGGTTTTACCTGTGAATATTCCAAGACTGAACCTAAAGCAAATCATGTATCACAAGTTCTCAATACAATGAACAAAGTGATGGATCAATGGCAAGAATCGATTGACAAGATGGCTAAAGATTTTGCTCAAAAGACTCGGGATTTCTCAGCCAAGGCGAACAATTCTCTCAAGATCAAACCAATGCAACCTTTTGCCTGGAAAATCACATCGACAAACAAAGGTCTCTCAGTGGAAAGTAGTGTTAGTTCGTTCAACGATCTTTCGACTTTAGTGGATCAATTCAAACGCTCAATGAATATTTCATCTAAACCTGCATCTGATACTACACAAAGGGAAACTTCTCCATACTCTGAAATCTCGGAACCTACTTTGGAATTGGATGACACATCAAGTATTACAAGTTCTTCCTTTTCATTTGCTATCTGGAATTCTTGGGCTCATCCTACTCATGCTATACCTCAAGACTATCCTATTGATATATCTCAAGATTTAACAGACAATTTGGTTGAATTATTCTGTCGTACTCCATGCTGTTCAGCCATCCGTATTCCAACTATCGATACAGCGGAATTTTTATCAAGGTACAGGGATCCAGATCCAACTCAGCGTCCGGCAATGGTATTGGTCTACGCAGTATGTGCTATGGCGGCCCGAAATGCATTTCAATTACATGTATGGAGCAAACGTCCAGCTTTCGAAGCTCCGCAATACAATATGGGCAAGGCTCTCTCTATGGCGTACACACTTCGTGGTCGTGAACTCTTGGCAGAATGTTTTGATGAACCTTCATTGGATCATTGTCAGGCAGCTTGCATTTTGTCCTACAGTAATCACCAAAATGGTTTTCCTGGTGTCATCTATATTTATGAATGGATTGCTCATACTATGGCACAAGATCTTGGATTATATTCTTCTGAAAGGGAATTAACACAACGAGAAAGGATGTTGGTATGGAATCTTTATTATTACAATACTTGGCATCGCGTATTACAAGGTGGCTCATCAAGTATTTCTGGTGAAGGCTCTCAATTCTACCCTCGGTGTCCCCTCCCTGACCTTCCTGTACGACCATCGGCGGATCAACTTTTGGCTTCTACTCCCAATGTTCAAGTAGTGAATTATTATATCCAATCCTTGTGGGTTTATTTGATTCAATTACAGCTTTTACGTGAACGGGTAATGACGCGTCTTGTGGCAGCTCAAGAAACTGGCAAGTTAGATGGCAAACCGGACATGACTTTACCTCAAGATCTTTTGGCAATGCAATATCAACTAGAACAATTTTATCAACAACTTCCTCCTGATTGGCGAAATATCGACTTGGAATTAATCTTACAAACACAACAACAATCTTTACCTCATCATCATCATCAACCTCGAAATGATATATTTAATATAACATCATCATCATCATCATCATCATCATCATCATCATTATTTTCACCATCACCATCATCGAATGATTCTTCAGCTTCTTCTGGTACTCCTCCTTCTCAAATGGATTCACCTAATAGTACTACGGATGAACAACGACATTACTCAGTGGACGGACCGGCTTTCGCTCAATACTGTGTATTGTATGTACATGTGTTTTATTATATCAATCAAATCCTATTGTATCAATCCTTCTTCTCTTCCGATCATATACCCAACTCTGAATTTGCCATCCAGTGTCTTCATATTTGTATGCATGCCTGTGCCTCCATTACTCGTATATTGGAAATCATGACAAAACAGTGTGGCGAATGCAATGTTCCTCTTTTAGCCTTCATTTTTGCGAATGTGGTACATATCAAATTACTTGGTTATCATGATGACAAATCATATCAAGATTTTGCTGTATTTCATCTCCAGAAATCCATTGAAATCTCCAAAATGTCTAGCAATTACACCTATGATTTTGAATTGGCAAGAACCTTTGTTGGACTTATGGAACAAGATGTACAGCAACGATTAGCGACTTTTTACAATGACAGCAACTTCAACATCAATGATTTGGCTACTTTCAATACTTCTCCTTCTATGAACGGCACTGATCATTCATCAATCTCACCCTTTTTCTCAGCATCATCAGTATCATCATTATCTGCATCTCCTTATCTACCTTCGATAGTTTCCAATCCATCTCCTACCAACCATCACCTTTGAAACCTATATATATATACTGTGTATGTATCATCTTTCCCTCGTTCACTTCTTTTTTTTTTTTTATTATTATTTATATTTTTCCACCATTCTTTGGTTATTCCACCCTATTTTTGTTATTTATTAGTTTACTTCTATTCTTCGATCCACTAATCATCATTCCTTTAATGTCACCTTTTTTTTTTAACTTTAATTTATATCCTTACTACCTATTTACTTATTCGTTATTTTACTTTATATATATATAAATAAATTGTAATTGTCTTTTTTAATTTTTACCTGATCGTCCGAAAAAAAAAATTGACATGCGGGGATTCTTCTATTGTTGTGATTTTTTCTTTTTGTCTTATTTTCTTTTTTTCTTTTTTCTTTCAATAATTTTCAACCCAATCAACAATGTGTCGTCGAGTTTCTTGTTCGGAATGTGGGAAAGCCACTTGGGCAGGTAAATGGAGATTTGTATGATCAAAGTTTATTCTCATGGATTTTACTTGATCGTGTAGGTTGTGGTCGTCATATCAAGGAAGCTCTTGCTGGACTTGGTCAAGACGAAATATGTCATTGTAAACAGGACAACAAGGAAGAACAATAGGAGCAACAAGTCAAGAATCATTAATATTTAGATGTCCTATTCATTTTTTTTTATTTAGTAGATTAGTTGATATATATATATATATATATATATATGTATATTTGTTTGTTGTTAAGAGTATAAGGAATAAAAGACAAATCCTTATTACAAAAGATCAATCAATAATAATATAAAGACGATTATTTTTTATTGTATATCAAGATGTATATAGTTTTTATTTTATTGTTCAAGACTATGTAGAATAAATTGTATCAATATATATAAAAGAAGAAGTGTATGGAAAGGGGAGGAGGCATGTGTTTCATACAACAGTCAGGAAGAAGGAAAAAAAAATAAAAAAAAAAAGAGAGAGAGGTAGTAAAAACTGAAAAAAAAGAAAAGAAAGAGAAATATGGAGTAGGATGGGAGGAGAATAGATAACCTATTGAGTGTTGAGATTGTAAAGCATGTTGCTACCACCTTCTCTGTTGCTGGGCAAGTAAGTAACATTACGAGATTGAGACAAAGTTTGAGCAATATCCTTGGAAGCTTCAATACGACGGAAGGCAATAATACTATTCATAAAAAAAAAACAGTTGAATAATAAACTCTTTCCCTCCTTTTATTTGATTATATTCTTACCCTTCACCAGCCTTTTCAAGAGATGCGGAAATCAATTCAGCGGCTTGAGAGTCACCTTCAGCACGAATAATGGAGGCCAACTTTTCTTGTTCAGCACGTTCAACAATGAATTTGGCACGTTCAGCTTCTTGTTGAGCAATTTGTTTTTGTTCAACAGCATTGGTGAATTCCTTACCAAAAGTCATGTGGGTCTGATAAGAAAAAAAAAAAAAAAAGAAAGAACATTAATCGATATTTCTATTTTTTTTTAATGATATATACTTACAATAGATACATCTTCCAAAGCAATATTGAATTCTCTAGCACGCTTGTACAATTCTTCACGGATTTTGGCAGATACAACTTCACGTTGAGTAATAAGTTCAGAAGCATCGAATTGAGCAACAATGGACTTCAAGACTTCGTTACCAATGGAAGGCAACACACGTTCGTCGTAATCAAGACCCAAGTTTTGATAGATAGAAGGCAATTGCTTGATTTCAGGACGGTGCAACACACGCAAAGTCAAAGACACCATTTGCATATCTTTGGATCCGGTAGTGGTGGAAATATTACGAGGTTTGGTACGAACATCGAATTGAACAGCACGTTGTAACCAAGGTACTAAGAAGTGAGTACCTTCTCCAATGGAATCGACTTTAACACCTTGAATACGATCGAAAATAACGGCACGGTAACCACCTTGAACTATATAGATTGTAGTAAAAAAAAAAAAAAAAAAAAAAAAAGAGAAGAAAAGAAAATAATAATTAAAAAACGAGTTGTCAGTTAATTGTTGTGTTGTTTTTTTAAAGGAGTTTGACGCTAAGAAGAATCGTTAGAATGCTTACCATCGTACATGGCGGATTGAATACCACCAACGGCAAGACCAACAGGAATGGCCCATTTGGCAATAACTTGGAGAGCGGCAGCCATATTATATATATTAGAGTTAAAAAAGAATAAAAAAAAAAAGAAAAATATATCTTGCTGGACTTTTTTTTTTTTTTTTGAACAAACAACAACATTCATCAGCCACCCCCCCCGTTAACATTTCCGTGAACAAAAGTCGGAAGATCAAAATTAGCCTCGCAAAGAAAAGAAGCCAATCAGGTCCTACTTTCTCTTTTGAAGTTATTTGTGCTTTTTACATTTTGGTTGAAACGGCACAGGAGAGGGCGGGCGCTCAAAAGCACCAAACAACCACAGAAAAAAAAAAAAAATGAATTCGTCTTTCTTTCCTCTTTTTTTTTTTCTTTTGTATATCTTGGACATGAAGTTTACAACTGCAATTTTATTGGCTTCTTTAGTATCGAATGCTTTAGCATTTGAAAGCACTGTACCTTGTCTCTTGTGGTCGTCAAAAGAAAGGTATGTCATTGAACAACTCTAACAATACTATGATACGACACACACACACACACATATATATATATATATATATATATAAAACCTATTATCCATCCTTCCGTTTTATGACTAACTTTATTCTTCTTCTCGTCTTTCTTTTATTTTTTTTTTTTTGTAGCTATTTGAAAACTTCGACGAATGACCAACTCATCTTGAAAAATGCTGATGCTTCTAATGCCGTGTTGAATTTTCTGTCATCTGATATTTGTTCTAGTCAGTTGGTAGCTGTCATTGACCAACCAGGTGTAAGTTTTTCGGTTTGGGAAGAGTATGTTTATCTTGTTTTAGTTTTGAAATACTGATATTTTTTTTCTTTCCCCTTTTCCTATGTATCACTGCCTGTATAATAGCTTCATCGATCTGATTTAGCGTCTTTGAAATCGATCAAGGTATTTATATAGCTTTTTTTTTTTTTTTTTTTTTTTTTAGATTGATGTTGTAATGGGAAAGAACTAACTATCTTTTCATTTATTGGTATTTATCTTGATAGGATCATAGCCAATCTGCTTCCTCGTACACTCAGTTGGAATATATTGAAAATGGTATCGATATTAATGCTGTTGCTCAAGCCATTGGCAATCAATGTGGCAGTGATATCACCAACATTAAACAAGATGGTAAATAGAGTGGAATAGGATGACTTTTTAATAGGAAATAAATTCAACTCAACATTTTTTTCATTTGGATAGATACCATCAAACAATTGAATACCAAGATCATCACCGTGACTTTACCTGAAGATGCGGAAAACAATGGTAAAGAACAAATGAAAAGACAGGTTTAAGATCCATTGGAATTCGACAACTAAATCTCCTTCTATTTTCTTGATAGAACACAAGGTGGATCAATTGTTGACATTGATCCAAGAACAATCCAATGATGATTATGTTGTGATTTATACTTCAAGTATTCCAAAGGAAAGCGTAAGGAAGTTGAAAGAAAATTGGATAATATGATATGAACATTTTTTTTTTTTTTTTTTTTTTGTAGAAGCAATCTGGCTTGACTCGTCGTGCCCCTAGTGACAAACCTAATGTCCAATTACCCATCTTTGCCAAATACCAATTGTTCTCTCCTGCTATCTTTATGAGTCTTGGTGTGGTCTTACTCTTTGTGTTTATTGCTGGTACTGGCATCACTTGGTTGGTCGGTATTCAAACACCTCCTCGTTTTGAAGGCAAGCAAAAGAAGAACTGAAATCAATGATCTTTTTTTTTTTTTATTCCCCCACCCGCCTTTATACATTTTATTCTTGATTTCTTAGTATTCAATTTTATATACTTGTGTTTTTTTTTTTTATCATTGTGCCTTTATCTTTGTTAAACATATTTTACTTTAGTAAATAAAAATGAATTTTTTTTTTGGATTTTGATCTTTTTTTTTTTTTTTTTTTTTTTTTTTTTTTTTTTGAATTAAATCTTTCATGATTCAGATGAATGAACGACATGTAATTTAATGATCGGATGTTGATATTCGTTGGCTCTGATTATCCCTGAAAAGGAGAAATACTGACCTTACAAGCATCCTTTTCTTGGCATATTCCGATAGATTCTATTCTTAGTTTTGCGGATGATGCATTGGAAAAAGAACATACACATGTGCACAATAGTCACATCTATTGATCATAGATGAGACAGTACTAACATTGACATTTGAAGATCATGCAAGCAAATAGATCCCAAAAAAAAAAAAAATCGCAGTTCATCCATAGACGTTTATCATTGTACCTTTTTTATTTTATCGTTGGTAACATCCAATCGTGGTCTATACGTGAATGTTTCCACTCATTCGCTTTATATATATATATATATATATATATCAGAACCAGCTTCTTTAACAAGTCGATACTTTTCTTTCCTCATGAAGTATACTGTAAAAGATATCTCATAAATAGAATGCTATAAATATATGATTTTTTTGTTTATTGAAGGTGAATAGAACAATATAAATAAAATAAATATAATGATACTAATTCTAAAGACGTGATGATTGATCAATAAACCGATGAGGATGAAGCACATACGCACGACCAACATTTCCTTGAATAGAGACTTCAGTAAAATTGGCCACGCTCACTACTGTATTGTCGCAACTAGTAACAAAGAGTCCTACATAAATATCTTGAGCCAAGCTTAGATTTGGTATGATGGCCATCGTTTCCCATTCGTCACCAGCATGAGTGTTCAAATCTTCACTATTGTTGTTGTTGTTGTCGTTATCCACCAGATTTTTTCTTTTTGTTTGAGCAATAAATGCATGATCAGAGGTGCGTTCCAGTCTAATGCGATACGGAGGTGAAGCTCGAGATTTTTTTATCAATTGTGTATTGTTGAAATTGTAGTCCCTAGTTCGAATAAATAATCCATCTTCTGGTGAAAGTCCTATAGATACATAAGCTGATCCTAAAGCCAAATGTTCCCGCAGCATGATTCCCGCCTTTGCACACGAAGAAAATGTAGCATGTGATTGAATCGTTGCCTCGATTGCACCTTTTCCAGAAAGAGATTGATAGACAAAACGAAAAGCATCCAGATGGCCGTTTAAACTTGTTCCTGATCCCCAAAGTGTAAATGATGAGCCAGCATCAAATGTTACAGAGCCACGTAATCCTTGATTTCCAACATCCATGGTTTGCCAATCATCAGGTAGAGACGGATTCGGGAGCGGATCCGGTAGTGGTAATGGAGGAATTGCTAACTTGGCTTGAATCATAGGTGCCAATTTCTGTGCAAGTATCAATTGTTCGTCATTTCCAATCTATAAAAAAAAAGGAATAATAAAAGTCAACACATATATCTATATATATATCCACATTCTTGTTTACACTGTTATTGTAATGTAACCAGCCAGTTGTATCCACATAGAAAATTTGTTGATCGCCTTGATCGTTGCATTGATGAACAGCTGCCTGAGTAGATTGCACCATTTCTCCTAAAGGTTCAGACATGACAAGGATGGGTGCTACTTGATATTGTTGTCGAATTTTCCCCAAAAACCGTACTAGATCAATTCGATATTGAGATATATCTTCATCATAACGTCCTAGTAACAAAACGATGACTGAAGGGATATAAGATGTGAAATCGTAATGAGTTGAGGGTATTGATGATGATGATCTTGATGATATAAATGTTGCCGATGATGATGGTATTGTTGCTGATATTAATGATGATGTTGATACAAATGCTGATGCTGATGATGATAATGACGGGGATGATGCAAAAATGGACCAATCAAAATAACGTGTCTGCATGCCAAGCTTGCCATAAGTGTCATCATCTAGGAGAGTAGCACCTGAATAAGCTATATGAATATGATCTATTCCCAAAAGGTCTGAGACTAGCCAAGGAAAGCTATCAGTGATGGCAAATTGTTGGTCAGGTATCGTTTGATTCGTATCCCATTTTCTTGCAGTATTAAGCATAAGGTCATGCCCAATGAATTCTACAACGCGTGATGCAGAAGGTAAAAGTACTGATCCATTGTCCGCCAAAGCCAGGCCTACCAAGTGTAAAGGTGCTACTTCAGTAGAAACAATGGTAAGTTTATGAGGAAGAGTCCAGTCCACTTTGCTGTCGTCAAGGTTCAGTTCAATATATTGTTGTTGTTGTTGTTGTTGCAAAGATACATTGTATTGTACCCAAGAGAAGTGATCGATTTTTACAAGAAGACTAGTGGGTTGAGCTAATAAAAGTCGTAGTTGAGTACTATGAACGATCGTTTGTAGATAAGCACCAGGCCAACCGACTTGAATGCCTTGAGAAGTAACTTGCCAACGTCCAATATATTTTAATTCAGGACTGTTCACAGGGACAATAAAACTTGCCATAACTCGAGAGTAAACTAACTGAACCAAACATAGTATCAGTAACAACATGATGAAGAGAACATAAGAAAAAAAAAAAAAAAAAAAAAAGGAAAAGGACGAAAAGAAAAGAAAATAGAGAGAGAAAAAAGAAAAAAAGAAAGATTGGTGCAACGTCAAGACAGAAAATTTATTGGCGTTCTTTCAAAATGTCCCATTCCCAGTCATAGAACATTGTGCTCCAACCTCTTTCAAGTGACCCTTTTATATCATTATCATCATCCATTATAGGTTGTATATCATTGTTAGTATGATTAATAACTGTTGATCCTAATTCTTTACATTGTTTCTTGATGATCTTTTCCTATTCATACATAATATAAAGTCAAGTTTAATATCACAAAAGGAAAACAGTTCTTACATTGGATTCTTTATTCGTTATAGAAGATCTTTTTTTGGAGTTCATTAGAATATATATATAAAAAAAAAAAAAAAAGGAAAAGAAAAAAGAAAAAGAGAAATACTAAGAACTATATACCCAATTTATCAGTTTATCGACACGTGGAATTTACCCCCCTCATAAAAGATGATTCCGCGATGCAGTTTCGTTCATTATCAATTCCCTTTTTATTCCTTCTTTTGTAGATTGATAGGCGTTTTCAGGAGGGAAAGCATATATCATTGTCAGTGATGATTCGCTCTCCGCTTGCATGACAGAAGATATAAATCCCCCCCCCTTTTATACCTTTTTCTTTTCTTTTTCCCTTTTCTTTTTACTTTTTTTTTATACTTTTTATTTTATTTATTATTATTATTATATATATATGAATAACAAGATGGATTTAGATGCTCCAAGAGCTGCTTGGTTATTCAAAATGTCACAAACTAGTTTTGGCAGGTTAAAATGGGCACCTAGATATTTTATATTATTAGATACAGAACTACGTTATTATCGTGATGAGGTAAAAAAAAAAGAAAAAAAAAAGAAACAATAATTATATATCTATCCATATATAGTTATATATAAATATATAGTTAACTTAACCCCTTTTTCTTATTGTTCCTTCATATAGCATACTGAAACACCCTCTCAAGTATTACATCTATCGGACGTAGGACAAATCATACCCTTAATGGATCGACCCAACACGTTTCGTTTGGAACCATCTTTACGCCAATCTACCGGAACAATTAAACCATGGACAATAGAATGTTCATCACATCATGAAATGGAACTTTGGTATAAAAGTATTCAACATCGTCTTTCCTTGGCCCCTGTCTTTAGTCCACCTTCTTTTTTACCTAACAAAAGATTATCTCATTCTCATCATTTCTTTAAAAAAGCATTGAAACCATCATCATCCACTCCCATTATGCCTTCTCATATTTCTTATATTCCTGTACCTTCTCTCTCACAGCAACGTCGTGGTGTGATTATTCCTTATTCATCATCATCACCTGAACCTGAACCTTCTACTTCTTTACATCCATTAGATTTACCTAGTTCTTCTAAGACATCTACCCCTTATTTTTCTTTTTCCTAAAATAAAATAAACTCCATCTTTGTCATTTAGATCTTTTTTTTTTTATTCACCTTGCATGTACCTTTTTTTTTTTTTATTCGCCGCCTTTTTTCTTTTTTTTTTTTTTTTTTTCCTTTCTTTCTTTCTTTCTTTCTTTCTATTCTTTTCTTGTCTTTTTCTTTCTTTCTTTTTTTTTTTTTAAATCAATAGAGTCGGTCCTTTTTGTATCTATTATACATCTTTTTTTTTTATTATTATTATCTTCAAATGTCACACACCAAAACTAGATCTCAACAGAATCAGCTAACTGACTCTAATCAAAGTGATGCGCCAATTACTCGAAGATCAGGAAGACCATCATCATCAATACAGCCATCTTCCAATTTGATCAAACCGACGGATATAAAGAATAGGTCATCTGGATCAGCAGCAAAGTCTACTACGGCGAAGAAATCTCAAATGGTCAGTGATGGTGAGAAAACAGAGTCAAAGGATAATACTCTAGATCAACCACGACGCCGATCACGACGACGACGACAACAGCGTCAAACACAACAAGATGATGATGATGACGATGATGATGACGATGATGATGATGACAACGACGAGCAAATTTCTGAAACAACTGATTCGTCCACAAATCAAGATGATAGTCCAATGTTATCATCAAGAAAAGACACAAGGAAGGATATGATTGGTAAAAAGTAAATGTCACATCAAGGAACTTGTACGGCATAGATATTATTGATAAACAAATTCTTCTTTATATTTATATATTAGACTGGCTGATTTAGATAAACTGGAAAACTTGATCAAGGACCAATCACATACTCAATACAAGCATCTACTGGCTGCCCTGGAAGAAAAACGAAGTCAACAAAAGGCCAATGCTGAATGTCGACGAGCCCTATTACAATCCAATCTTCTCGAAGAGTTTATTGCTCTACAAAAGACGGCAAACGATGAATTTCAGGTAAATAAAAAAAAAAAGGAAAGAAAGATGGGATTCTAATGATGGATGAATAACTTAAATATATTCCTAGCTGACCAAATTAGCAACTCGAAAGGCAATGATGATGGAATTGCAACGGAAAATCGATGTCTTGGAATATGAACATAGTGTTCAAGTCAGTCAAGGTAAGATAACGCTATGTATATCCCTTTTTTTATAAATTTTTTTCATTCCTTTGATACTCTTTTTTTTATTCCATCATAATATTTTAGGCTCTCCAGAAGATGATCAACAACTACATTGGGTACCACCTGAAAGGCCATCTGTCATCAATATCTTTTTTTTTATTTTTATTTTTTATATATATACATATTCACTTATTTATTTATTTAAATCCTTAACCATTTTGATCCAATACGTTCATTAACTCTAGGTGCGACAGAAGATGACATTAACACAGATTTGGAACAACTTCGACCGCAATTGGATATATTGAAAACGAAAGAATCATCGTCATCGTCACCAACAATAAACGGTATCAGTGGAACGAAACGACCATGGATAGACTCACAACAATGAACGTGACTCAACAGCTAAGAAAAAGGTATGTATTATTGTACTTTTTCATCGCTTTGATTTCAACTCAACAAATATTACAATTTGATTATATCGAAGGGTCATTGTAGTTTACTATTATATTTTGGATACCTCACATACCTTCATCTAGTCATAGTTCTTTCATTTCTTCCTATTATTTCCATCTATGTCTATTTTTTTTTTTTATTTTTTATTTTAAAATATACTTCCCTGTATACCTGTCTCAAACAATAATTATGATCAATGCTATTTTATGTTTTATTTCCTCATTGTTTAATAATACCCTTTCTTTTATTGACAACAGAATAAAATAACTATACTATTTGGACCTCCGTGGTTTCCTAAGTTGTCGTACATACATATCTTCGGTACCGGTTTCATAGAACATATGATATGCTTGCTTACAGATCTTATACCGGAGATCTTGTTGCACCATGATATTACTTTTCGCTCTCTTTTGTTCGTCTTCCAAGTTTCTATTGTTGATCATATTAAATGTTGAGTTTCTATATATGCTACTTTTATTATTATCTTTACCGTTTAAGAAACACTTTACTGGTACGTTTCCTTTTCACACCCAATGTCTTCTTTTTTCGGTTTTGATATGTGGTCAAGTAAGCATGGTAATCATCATCTTGTTCATGCGGAAATACTGCTTCATTCATACCAAGGATTTGTAAACATAGTTGCTGATGAGCACCATCCTAAAAAAAAAAAAAAAAAAAAAAAAAGTCAAAGACCTGATCACTTTTTTTTTTTTTTTTTAATTCTTACCATGCTAATGATAAATTTGTTTTCCGTTGATCCAATAATATCTTCTACAGCATGTCGATACAAAGCAATCGGATCAATATCTTCCAATCGAATCGTTGGCGGTATAGTTTGAAATAGAGTGAACAGTTCCATACATTTTGAATTGTTGACAATTTGATGAACTTGACGAATTAAAGCCAGCATGGTTTTCTCAAAGTTGAATGTCACATATGCCTGTACACCAAAAAAGTATCGTATGCCTTCTTCAAAGTCCAGTTGTTCAATATTCCCAGTAATGAAATGCTTGATGATGTCAATGGCTGCTTGGTAATAACCCTGTTTGAGATCGATTTCGACTAACCAAATGACAATAGTTAGGCATTTTGTGATTTTCTCTTGTTTTCTTTCTTACCACTTGCTATTCCCTTGGTATCAAGTTTCAAATCGACTGCTGCTGTGATACTACGTTTTGTATCTTCTGGTGATTCTTTGTATCGGACTCCCCATGTCTTGAGAATCGACAAACATTCATATATCATCTAGAATAGATAGAGAAAAAAAAATCATCAGACATATTATAATTGTCTTTTCTACATATATATAATTATATATATATAATTATATATTTTTTTACCTGGAAGTATCGGATTACACAGTACCAATTGGTATTCCCAATAAATAATCGTCCATCAAAGTTGACAGTAATTTGCCTATGTACTTTGTTATCGGTCAAGTTCGAGGGTGTATGCTCTTGGCGTAATTGCTGTCGTTGTCGTTGTGATCGGGTTTGAATAGCATCTATCTTGGATTTTTCTGTAGAAGTAGCAGTAGATGGATCATGTTCGATAGCGATGTCAATATTTTCTGGTAATCCAAATATCTGAGGTAGTTGATGAGTAATGAAATAGTCTATGGATGAAGCGTCCTTGTTGCTGTACTGGATTTGATGACGGTTAGATGTTCGCATTAATTCAAAAATGTCATAAGCAATAGATGAATCATGCATTGTATATACAAGTTGTGGTGGTGATAGGTCTGATGATCGATGAGATGATGGTGTGGATGTTGAACTTGGAACGTTCCCATTTTCTTCCCGCACTGTTTTTTCTTCTTCTTCTTGTTGTTGTTGTTGTAATAATGCTAGTTGCGATCGATTTCTTTGTTTGTCAAGTAAGGAGAGTCGTTGTTGCTCATGCCATAATGCGTCAATTTCAGTGACCAAGCTTTGAATCGTAAGATTCTTTCGTCCTTCTGTTTTATGGTAATCCAGAGATTTATAGTAATTCTTGTCCACCGTTTCATTCCAGCTTTCTTCCTTTTCAGCCTACCAAGAAGGAAAACAAAAAAAAATTGAATGTTCAATTGTTTTCATTTGAAAAATTATCCAATTTTTTTTTTTTTTTTTTTTTTTTTACCTTTTGTTTTCGCAAGTCTACATCTCTTTGCTTCATTAATTTCAAAATATCAGGAAGAGTTTTAATTGGGTTGTTACGAATGGATTCCATAATATCTTGTTGGCGATCCCGGGTATATAGTTTCTTGACAGCTTGAGTAACGATATTGCTTGAACAAACATCACTTTGGTTAGTTGTCGATTTCGATTTGCCTTTTAAACTTTGAGATGGACGTTTGAGTCGACGAAGATATTTTTCCAGATGTGTTAGTACATCCCAGTTATTGCAGATTTCAATGTCCAAGCCATATCTAAATATAATTGTATGAATATCATCAAATTAATCAGTTTTTTTTTCTTATTTTTTTTTTTTTTTTTTTTTTTTTTTTTACCTTTCGTCCTCCACTCTATGGATCATATCTTCATATTTATTTTTCTTAGATGACAAGAATCCATTGTCTTCACTTGCCCAAGTTGGATGAGATACATATTCATCATTCAATACCTGCCAGCAGAGTTTATCACGACCTGAGCATTGTTCACTTCGCCGCTAAATGAAGTAATAAAAAGTAAAGTTAGATATCATTATTATTCAAAATTCTAGAACAAAAATCTATTGTGTATCTTTTTCTTTTAATATTAATTCTGAACTTACTGATTTTGGGATCCATCGATAACTTGAAGTATTATCTTTAAATTGATATAGTGGAGAACTAGATGATGAGTTGGTTGTACTTGAAGACGCCACAGAAATAGCAGGGGAATCACCTTCATTGTTGCAAGTTGTTCTCAATGAACTAGGAGGATACTCTAATAGATCATCATCATTGTGTGCTTGATCTGTATCCAATCTGTCTTCCAGAATGCCTTGATTGAATCGTTCAAGAAGAGCTTTATTACTTCCCAAGAAAGGAACCGCCCGTTGCATCAATTCATCGTAGTTGATAGTTTGTGAGTCATACAATGAGAGTAATTCGAGAAAGGACGTGAAAGTATCAGCATGATCGATATGTTGATAGATGTCGTCTATCAGGGATGGCTTGCCTTTTTGTAATAGTTGTTGTATTGAATCACCTTCTAAGGTCCTATGAGTAGTTGATCGTCGTACAGGTGATGGTCGCTGTGATCGGACATATGAGATGGTATATTCACCTATGAATGGTTCCATACCCTCCTTGCTGGTTCTAGTTTCCCCATTGTCTGTGCTTGTCAGGTTGTTCTTGTCAATTATAGTTCCATTACTGTTGTTCTTTGCCTTAATAGATCCATTGGTGATCTTGTGTGTCAGTCTCTTGTTCTTTTTTTTTTTTATTATTATTATTTATATCAACATCAGGTCAGCAGAGGACATAAATAGACAACGAAAATTTATAAAGTAAGAACCATCAGTATATGTTATCAATTACTCCAATATATTCCTGTATTCACTTCTTTTTTTTTTTTTTTTACCTTGGTATTTGTTTTATCTTTGTTAGATCTTGGACTCTTTGGTACTTTGTCTATCAAGATCAAACACAAATAGAAATTGAGTAACGAAATGTGGCGATTCTATTTTGTAGTCAAAGAAGAACATTGTGCTTTACCTTGAACTGATGGTATGAATTGAGATACTTCTTTCTTGAAGAATTCAGCTAATTCTGGTTGAGAGAGGCCAAGTAGTTGGTCGATGTTCTTGTATACCTACAAATAATATAAAAGTAACAAACAAACAGAGCTTAATCTCGATCCTAGTTCCTTTTTTCTTTTTATTTTGTAACATACGTCAGTGAGAGGTAGAGAGTCGTGCTTGCATTTCAACACTATTGCATAAAGTTCACCAAGAGTTGATTTGAGAATCCCTGGGTATATCGACTATGGAAAGTGTTTGACAGACAAAAAAAAAAAAAAAAGATAATAGTATTGAGTACAAAGTGAATCTATACATAAACCAATCGAGATCAAGTCAAGGTATTTTTTTTTTATTATTGTTATTATTAGTAAGATACCTTTATTTTGCGTAAAAGATCAGTTAAATGGGTTTCGACATTTGGTAGTAAACTTTGCTGGGTAGGAGAAGTAGGTGAAATGGATGACTCGGATGTAACAGCCATTGTCGTTGTATTACGGAATATCCGAGGTAATGGTAAGTACTTATATTGCGTTTAACCAAAATAGAAGCAGGATCAAAATAAGATAAAAAGAAAAAGAAGAGAGAACTGTTTAGTATATCAAGCCTCTCCAGTTATGTGGTATATAAAGGGAAAAAAAAAAGCGGAGAGAGAAGAAAAGAGAAGGGACGAAAAAATAAAAAATAAAAGTATATATAAAAAAAAAAAGTATCACTTTTATTATTATTATTATTATTATTTATGCAATCAGTAAAAAATATATATGTAAGCTAACTACCAAATCATCCATCTAAACACTTTGAACAACACGTGGCCATGTTTGTCGAATCTATATGGAATGAATATAACGAAACAAATCGTATCAGTATTCCCTCTTCCTCTTTTTTTTTTTTTTGTTGTTCCTACCTTTTCAAACAGTTCAGGTTGAGTGCGTTGTAATGCTTGAGGATCTTCTGCAAGACAAACAAATGTAGTAGAGACACCACTGCTAATCACCATAGCCACCGTAGAAAACATAGAGATACCAACAATAAAGCACATCATCACGACAACAGGCGTCATATTTCCATATTGATTGAAGGCTGGTTGTGATACCTTGAGATAGATGAAGCCAAGTAATGAACATAATACACCCACGACAAGTCCACCTATTCATATAATGATTAGCTATCTTTTATTCATTTCTGGTATCTTTTTTTATTTTTTTTATTTTTTTTTTTTACCTAAGAATAAAACATTGTTGATCAAATTATCATTGATAATTGCTTCAATACCGCGATCCTTAATTATAGTCCATGTTCTTTTGGCAGATTGAATATAGCTTTTCCCATAGATAGCAACACCACTAAACGCATAATTATTAAACCATTCCTAATAATAATAATAATAATAATAATAATAATAATAATAATAATAATAATAATAAATCAGGTAAGAAACACAATAAATCGATAAGTTATTTTCATATTTTAACTTACAAAGAATCCTTGAAAGCATCCGACCAAACAATCAACAATACATAATAAGAAACTAAAGATTGGATTGTCTGTAGAGCTCCGAGCAATCGAGATAAAGTAGCGTAAGAATTCCACAAGAGCAATTAACAAAGAACCAAAACAAATCGAACCAAAACTAGTAGTGACTGCCCGACGAAGACTAGGTAAAGATGGATGTGGTCCAGTATTGAAGTATACAGATGCATAAATCCCAGCAAGAGTCACGTAAGACACATAAGAAATCACTTGAGATGTCCAGTAATAAGAGAATACAAGAAATACCATGGCCAAATTCAAGCTTGCATTATTACTGGTTGTACTGTAATATCGTTCATAAATACCCACCACCGTCAAGATGAACCACATTGAGAAGGCTGTTTGAATAATTAATGTTACAATTCCAATAACAACAGTACTTGGATGACGTTTCATAACACCAATGGTACTTGCAAGCATAGCTAGTAAAAAAAAAAAATATGATTATTATCATTCTTTCTCTTTTTTGATTTTTTTTTTTAAGTAATACCTGTTGCAAAAGGAATCCGGCTTCTCCACCAAAAGAAGGTAAAAAGATATAAAACAGCGAAGATCAAGAAGACGATAGCAGCAGAGTAGTAGTGTTGTGTAAAGTAATAGATGGTCACACCAAAATAGATAATGATCGAAGCTATAAAAGTAATATAGATCATCTGTTTTGGAATCCTACAAGAAAGAAAGAAAAAAATTAAAAAATACAAATGTTAAAAGTATTATCCTTTCATCAGATATACATATATATCTACTTTACGCGTTCACTAAAACTAAATAGAGAAGACTAATACCAAAACCAACCACGGCAGCCAAACCAAATATTTTGAAAGTACTTGTGTCAAAGGTCAAACCACTATATTGAGTACTGGAGGCCACTCCCCCAGTTGTCACAGCATGATTCTGTCGGTACACTTGCAGCGCTAAAACGGAAACCCCAATAAACGCACCCAGGTTCAATATCCAAAGAATTAAAGCCCACAAGTCACGCCAAGCTCGGATACCTTGCTTTGGTTGGTCTGATTCCTTTTCAAATGGTAACATGTTATATTGTTGTTCTGCTTGGTTAACATTGTTTGCATATTGTCCATATGGTTGTTGTTGCTGTTGTTGTTGCGGCATGGCATTATTGTTATATTGATAATACGGTTGAGGTGGTGGTGGGTACATTGTTTGTTGAGGTTGATAACTTTGTGATTCTGGTGGTGGTCTATTATCCATATTGTCGCGTTTCAGAAAGAAAAAAAAAAGGAAAAGGAAAAGAAAGAAAAAAAAAAAAAAAGAAAGAAAAGAAAAAAAAGAAGGACCGGAAAAAATACTCTCAAAGATGAATCAAAAAAAAAAAAGTCTGGCTTTATTTTGGGTACATAAAGATTTCAAAACCAGCGAAATCATGCAGAGGACAAATTTGGTACAACAGAAAAATAAAAGATAAATATTACTAAAACTACAAAATGGATCAATACTAATATATATATATATTGGATATTCCTATGGTACAAGCCTTGTTGAATTATATTGGATAACGACAGGACGATTCTAATGTTGAGGCAGTAGCTGATGAAGGATGTATTTGATTCACCTGGAGTGTTGACACTGATTGACTATTAGCTGTATTGACAGTTGTATGTTGTGATTGAACAGTTGGAGTAGCAAATGTGTTGGGTATATTGTCTATAGACAGACTAGATGATGATGTTGTTGTTGTTGTTATTGTTGGAGAGAAGGTAAAAGGATTGATCATGTCGTTTGTGCTGGTGAAATTGTTGATGTCCTGTATCGTATTATCACAAAGCGTTCTATTGACAGGAAGAGAATTTGTCATAGGGTTCAACCATTCAGAGCAAGGATCAAAAAATGAAGCCCAAGCTAGATCATCATCCAATGTTGATTCAGAAGGAAAAAGAGATGAGTCAAAAAGATTGCTTAATATCGAAGAATCTAGTAGTCCATTTGATGAATCATCCATAGAGAGTTGTTGTTGTCTTCCATTCATACCATTGAATTGATTCAAGTAGAAATCTACCTTTTGTTGTAAAATAGTGATTGCTGTCCAATTGGTCCATATATTACTTTGAATCACACTCGACACCTTTTTCAAATAATCCAAAGTCAAGTCATCTTGTTGATTGATAGAATGTTTCAAGCATAGCAGAATACTGGAAGTTTCAAGAACAGATATAATGTGATGTCGTGGAAGGAAAGCTATTGGATTGTTGTCGTTGGAGAGAAATGCTTGCGTTGTGTCTATCAATCTATATATTCTTGGAATCGCCATTTGTACTCGTGCCATTGTACTTGGATCATTGATTGAAAGTTTTGTTTCCCGAAAGATATCGAATATCGAATTAGCATAGCTTGTACCTTCTTGAGCCGCTTCATAGTCATTGATGAAGAGAAGATGAATATCAAGTAACATCCACATTGATTCAATCGTATATATCTGACGTGTACTCCAAGTATGCCGAGTTTCTTGTATAAACACATTGAATTCTTGTAAAACAGTCATTAACCTTGGTACAAGATCATCTACAGTTGGAAGGCCCACTGGTGGTTTTGGTTCTTTATCATATCGAGGGTAAAGCACATTGTATTTCACTTCAGGGAACTCCAATAAAAGTTCGTTGATAAATTTACTGGTGACAGCTGCGACATAAAATGTTTCCACTAAATGTTGATAAGATTGATAGTGACGTTGATTACCGTTGGATATATCAAGTTGATACGAGAGTGATTTTTGAATACTGGTAGGTGGTAATGGTGGAGGTAAAATATTGTTGGTAAACTTAGCTGGATGGCCTACTATAGTAGATGAACCAAAAAAAAAAAAAAGGTAAGTAAAAGGAAATAATCGTTTTCTTCATAAAATTTTATTACCTTCGGTACAGAGATAAACCATAACAATGAAGTTTGCCCAGTAAACATTGATCATCAATTCCGCTTCCACATCACTTATTTCTGTCGAGAGAAGAGACCCATCCGTAAGACCAAGTTTTGATTCCATCATATGTGCCAAACCCAACATGGACATTCCTCGTTTTGGATAACCATGAGTACCTTCAAACCTACAGAGTAAGGAGACAGCTTGATACTTGGCCACATTAGGTTCATCCGATGATTTCTGTAGCAGATAATAAGCATAATCCAAAAACACGTTTCGAACGGTTCCATCTACAGCATCTCTGATTCCAATAGGTTTGCCTTCCATCGTCTTTCCAAAATAGATCGCAGTTCCATAAATTACGCACAATAATAAAGGATCCACTGCATCAGTCCAAAAAGCTTGTAATAGTAATGTCTTGTTGAGGAAATGTGAGCATGGATGAGCTGTAAAAAATAATTCGATAAGTCGTATGGCTTGTTGTGTTGAGAGAGTTAGAAGTGGATTGGTTAAAGGTGGTGTTGAAGGAGGTTCTATCAAGAACTTGAAGGCAAGGTCCTGAAATAATGCAGCCACAGTATGTTCATAATCGAAGGCACCTTCTATAGATATCGAACTGATTTTGCTGCAGAATCTATTGACAAATTCCACAGCAGTCCAAGTGTGTATGTCCAGAATATCGTAAATTTTGACGTCCACGACTAGGCAAGGATTATTGTTATATCGAACAATGGCTAATTCATTCACTGCGATCCCTATGGCTTGAGAGAAGTGGGAGTCCAAAAAGTAATGTAAGGTCCTTGTTTTGTCGCTTCGAATGAATCGAGTGCTGTTTGGAATCGTATATGTCACGTTTTCAATGATAAAGTCGTTATAAAGATGTTGTGTAAATTGCTTAGTCTGATTGAGAGTCAGTTTATTCACTACTGCATTCTTTGGAGGACGACCAAGAGGTCTTTGTTCGCCATAGGCACACTTATCACTACTATCTTTCTTGATACATCTTGCACATGGTAACTTGCCATCACATTTGAGTTTCTTTGATCGACAATATAAACAACTGACTTTTCGTTTTTTCTTGATAACACTAAGTTCCATATGTTGAATAAAGAGAAACAAAAAGGAGAAATAAAAATAGAAAATAAGGAATGGTCGATTGAGTTACCAAGAAAAAGAAAAAGAAAAAGAAAAAAAAAAAGAAAAAGAAAAAGAAAAAAAAAAAAAAAAAAAAAAAAAAAGGAGAAAAAAAAACTCGGCACCCGCCAAGCATTGGAGAAGTTGGGAAAAAGATCTTCTTCTGGTGACCCTCGGAAATGACAATCACCAAAAGTCCGCAAACCACTGTAAGGTAACCTTTTGGCAAAACTTCATTGATCTCCTTTTCATCCCTTCATCAAAGATTGAAACCATATTTCCTTATGTACCATCACATGATGTAGGCATGTACCACTTTATACCTTTGTAATTCACTCAAAAGTCATTATCATTGCATCAAATTTGGGTTGAAGATATATTAAATCATTCTTTTTCACTTGACTCGATGATGATTCATATCTTGCTTCCCAATTTATAGAGTAAATTAAAAAAAAAATAAGAGTCAATATCGTCATCTGGCATTCAATAATGATCATCATCCAATAAAACTACCACCACTAGATTCCTCTCAAAAAAAGTAGCTTATCATCATCTAATATTATTTTATTACTTACCTTGCTACCTAATGTGCAATGAACACGAAAAGAAATTATTCATTTTTCGAAAAATTGCCCTGATGACCCCTCGAGGATTTATTTTTACAGCCAAAATATGGCTGAGGAGTTTCAAATGTTTGGCTGTAAAATCCAAAAATTCATTTCATTTTGTTCATCCTGCATGTCACCCGTTCTCATCAACCATTGGTCCAAATCTCAAGCTCTTTCTTCGCCAAGCACTATTAAAAAGTAGTATAAGCATAGATAACGGATTTTCATTGATTATTTTGGTCCATAACGAGAAATTCGACGCGTAAATGTTTTTATGCTGTAATGAGATAAAAAGAGTCATTGAATACAAAAAAAAAAAAAAAAAAAAAGGAATACAAAAAAAGGAATTTTTATTTTGCATAACATGTCACATCTACGACATGTGCAAATGAGAGATGAATTAAAAATAAACTAAAAACTATACTCCATTTCTAAAACTACATATGTGAAAGATCATCGAATGAGATCTGCTGGATGTCGCTATGATACAAGGGTTTTGATGATGATGACGATTTGATGGTTTATTGTGATGATATGATTGTGATTAGTGTCGAAAAGACTAGATGATGACATTGATTGGCTATCCACAGGTAAGTTGCTATGACCATTAGATGAAAAAGAAATCTGTATACCGTGATTCTATAGATGGATTGGTGGAAGATGTACTGTCTGTTGATAGGATAGATGACGTTGTTGAACTTGTTGAAGAAAAACTAAAATGGTTGATCATGTTGTTTTTGCTGGTGAAATTGCTGATATCTACAGTAAGTTCCATCGTTGCATAATAATAATAATAATAATAATAATAAAAAAAACGAAGTGAGGAAAAAAAAAAAAAAAAGAAACAGAAAAGAAAAAAAAAAAAAAGAAAGAAAGAATGAAAAAATGTGGAATTTAGGCATCATGGAGGTTTGGGGCTGGAAAACGTATACAAAATTCCCAAAACAATAAATCACATCAAGGTACAAAGGAAGAATTAAATGATAGAGAGTTTTATTTTGGTACAATGTTTCAAAACAGATAATTGTCTGCAGAACACAAAGTGATGTAAAGAAATAAAGAAAATAAATACAAGAAAAGGATAATAAATTAAACTAAAAAACTATACTACATTTCTAAAACTATTTGAATGAAGGATCATCAAATAAAACCTGCTGAATATCGGTATGGTACAAAGATTCTTGCCGTTGATGTTGTTGCTGTTGTTGTTGTGGTGGTGATGGTTGCGGTGGAAGTGGTGAAGATAGATTGTTAAAAAAGGAGTGTGGTTGTGGTGATGTTACTGCAGGCTGTGGAACTTGACCAGTATTGAAAAGGTTGAATGAAGAAATAGATTGATTACCCAAAGGTGCATTACCATAATTACTAGTTGTGTTGATGTTCATATGAAGAGATTGCAAAGGTGACGACATGATGTTGTCAGGTATATTGTCTATTGGTAAAGTTGAAACAGTAGTAGATGATGATGATGATGATGTCAAGTTAGTGCTTGTTGCTGGAGAGGAAATAAAATTGTTGATAATGTCGTTTGTACTGGTGATGTTGCTGCTATTATTCTGTATTGAGTTGTCACCAGGCATATCCCAAAGTACCAGATTAGCCGGTAGAGTACCAACCAAAGGTGTCAGCCACTCGGCACAAGGATCAAAAAATGCCGCCAGAGCTAGATCATCATCCACTGTGGAATTCCTTGATGATGATGATGATGATGGACTAGAGATAATGTTGCTAAGTACAGAAGAGTCCAGTGGTCCACTAGTAGATTCATCCATCTTGAATTGTCGTTCATTGTCCATATGATTGAATTGATCCAAGTAATAATCCACTTTTTCTCGTACAGATTTAATCGTTGTCCAATCGGCCCATATACTACCTCGAGTCAATGTTGATATTTGTTTCAAATAATCCCAAGTTATATCGTCTTGTCGATCATTGTAATGTTTCAAGCATAATACAGTTGTAGCAGTTTCCAACACAGAGAGAAGAAGTGCTCTTGGTAGCAGTGATACTTGATTCTTGTAGTTCGATTTTTCAGATAGAAAAGCCTGCATTAGGTCCAACATCTTGTATACTTTCGGAACCCCCATTTGTACGCGAGCCATGGTTTTTGCATCATTGCTTGAGAGCACTGTGTCCCGGAAGATATCGAATATCGAATTGCCGTAGCCTGTACCTTCTGGAGCTGGTGCATAATCCTTGATAAAGAGAATATGAATATCAAATAGCATCCACATTGATTCAATTGTATATGCTTGTTGTGCAGTCCAAGTATGCCGAGTTGCCTGTATAAATTCGTCAAATTCTTGCAAAACCTTCATCAGCCTTGGTACAAGGTCATCAACTGTTGGATGGCCCACCGGTGGTTTTGATTTGGATTCATGGGTAGTAGTAGCATTGTATTTCACCTCTGGAAATTGAATTAAGAGCTTGTTGACATAGGTACTGATCACACAAACGATATAGAAGGTTTCCACTAAATAATGATAAGATCGATAAAGTCGTTGATCACCGCTGGAAAGTTCAAGTTGATAAGACAAAGATTTTTCAATATTGACTGGTGGTAATGGTGGTGGATTTTTTGCGCCCTTTGTAAAATGAGCAGCATGACCGACTATTTGACATAAATTTAACTATTAGTAACAATCATCACGATTTACACCTTTTTTTTTTTTTTTTTTTTTTGTACATACCGTCAACGCATCCACGAATAATATTGTTGAAGTTGGTCCAATAAGTATTTGTCAATAATTCCGCTTCTACATCACTGATTTCTGTTGAGAGAAGAGAACCATCTGTAATTCCAAGCTTTGATCCCATCATATAAGCCAAGCCAAGTAAAGACATACCCCGTTTTGGAAATCCATAAGATGTTTCGAACATGCCGAGCAAGATGACAGCCTGATATTTGACCACAGTAGCTTCTGTCGACGATTTTTGCAATAGAAAGTAAGCATAGTCCAAATAAGGATTTCTTTCATTACGATTCACGGCTTCCCAGAGTCCTACGGGTCTACCTTCCAACATCCTTGAAAAGTAGATTGCTGTTCCATAAACTGCACATAAAAGTAAAGGGTCCACTGAGTCAGTCCAAAAGCCTTGGAGTAATAACGTCTTGTTGAGAAGTTGCGAGAAGGGGTGAATACTGAAGAAACATTCAATGAGTCGTATCGCCTGTTGCGTTGAAAGCGTAGTAAGAGGATTGATCGAATAAGGGTCCACTGGAAGTTCGGCAAAGAACTTGAATGCCAGATCTTGAAATACACCTGATGCGATCGAATTATATTCATATGCTCCCTCCTGAGGTATGGTGCTGATACTACTGTTGAATATGTTAGTGAGCTCTATTGCTGTCCAAGTATGTGTTTCCAGGAGATCGTACATTTTGACTTCAGGCATAACAGAAGGAGCATTGCTCAAACGAATCATGGCTAATTGAGTTACGGCTGCTGCAAAAGTATCAGTGAAGTAAGAGTCAAGGAAATAATGTAAGTTCTTCGTCTTGTCATTATGGAGGAACTTGGTACCACTTGGGATTGTATATGCCAAGTTTTCAATGATAAAGTCTTTGCAAAATTCATATGATGTTTGTTGTCTTTTTCTATCGAGAACAAGTTTGTTGATCACTGCATTTTTGGGACGTCTGCCAAGAGGTCGTTGTTGAGCATAGCTACACTGATCACCAGTATTTTTATTGACACATCGTTGACAAGGTAATTCACCATCACATTTGACTTTCTTCGACCTACAAGGTAGACAACTGGTTTTCCGTTTTGTTTTAACAATGCTGACATTCATCGTTGAAACAAAAAAAAAAAAAAAAGGTAGAAAGAATGTAAGGGAGAGAAGAAAAAAAAAAAAGAAAAGAAAAGAAAAAGAAAAAAAGAAAAAAAAAATATGAATAAATGAGGGCTGCCAAGAAGCTGATGAAATCGATAGTATTGAACGTCGGGACTAGAAAAGAGCCATGAGATGATGCAGTGAGCACGAGCGCAGCAAGAGAGAAGAGACAGCAGCACGGTCTGTAAACCACTTTCCCTTGATTCCATACAACGGTTACACAGATCATCACAAGAAACTCAATAAAGTAATAATGCCCCGTTGAGACGGAAAAGATCAAAATTAAAAATCATATTCTAAAACTGAATGTATATATCATCAACAATCGAATGAGTAGTAGTATTAAGCAAGAATGGTTTGTCGTACTAATACTATGTTGTCAAAGGAGATGGGATGACTGATTTTTATTTTATTTTCTAAAGAAAAAAAAAAAGAATTCTTTTCACTATTTTTAAATGGTACTCATATGTTGATGATAATAATGGAGAGAGAAGGGTCATATTGGTTTTGATAGAAAAAAAAATAAAAGAGCCAAGAAAAGAAAAAGTCAACAAATAATAAGAATTAAAAAAAAAAGAGAGGCCTTGTACGACAGTAGGAAATCATGGATGAGTTACTGATTAGTTCCCGGTGAATCGTGTTTATGCTTTTTTTTTTCTTTGTATTAATGACCTGTTTGTATCACTGTCTTTCTGTATGATAGAAATTGGATGATGTAGAATGGACAAACTAATGAAGGATGATTTCTCAAAAAAAAAAAAAAAAAGTCTATAGTCACATACACACAACTTCTGATGAGGCCAATCAATAGTTCATACTATTTCAAGAGAAACAAAATAATAATATCTACATCAAATTTTAATTTTGCACAAATTCCAGTAAAGGCTGTTTATTAAAAGATACAAATAAATATATAAAAAAAAAGATGATGATGGTACAAACTAAACTACAAGGGAGATGTATATCTATCTACATGAAAGGATCTTGATCAAAAAGAGTTCCATAAACCATATTATCTGCAGTTGTGATTGGGACACCTACGGTAGAATTTTCTGACATATATAACGCGCTGTCGTTACCGTTGAAGCTATCAAAAGAAGAAGACTCTGTGCGTGATGATATGATGGAATTGTCGTTATAAACGTCAAAATGGTGATCAGATAAATAAGCCGGTTCCACAATAATGTTGGGTACTTCTTCGAAAAATGTCGTATTGTCGTTCGGTGATGGATGATTGTTTTTTTTATTCAATTTCTCATTACTGGTTAGTTGCGATATAGTTGAGAATCCATTGTTGTCCAAGAGTTTCAGATCCACCACAGTCATCGGGTCCAGCCATGTTGCACAAGGATCAAAGAAGGCCACCATTTTCATATCATTTTCTATACCAAGCTCTGTCTCCATCGAATGACCGTCGCAAGTGGATCCAACACTTGGTGATGAGGGTGTTCCAAAACTCGCCTTTAACAAAGAGTTACTACCGTCATCAAGATATATTGTCGGTGTCTCAGAGGAATCATTGGATTGGAAGTTGTAAGAACTAAGATATGCCTTGACCTTGTTTCGCACAGTATCAATCGTTGACCAATCAATCCATATATTCATTTCTGTAATTTGTTTCACCATTTCCATATAATCATAAATCACTTTGTCATTGGGATTCATAGTAAGCCCTAAAAACAATATTTCAAAACAGGTTTCCAGCACAGTAACAATAAGTCCACGAGGTATGAGTGATGTTTTCCGTCTATAATTGTCAGGATCTGATAAAAAGTCGTTAGTTTTGTCCAATACTTGATATATCCTTGGAAGAACTTGTTGCACACGAGTTTTTGACAATTCATCATCTGCCGTCAGTGGTATATCTTGGAAAATATCGTAAGTCGAGTTTGTAAAATTGACACCTTCTACAAATGGTCCAATTTTCTTCGTAAAGGTAAGATGAATATCATACAAAGACCATGCCATTTCAATTGTATAGATTTGTTGTATTGACCATGCTTTCTTGTTGTCTTCAATAAAATTGTAGAATTCCTGTAACACTTGTCGTAATCTTGGTACTAAATCAATTGGATCCGGAAGTCCTGTTTGTCTATTGATGGATCGACCCTTTTTATACAAGTTGAATTTGAGTTCAGGAAATTGACGTAACATCAAACATGTATATTTGCATAGCACCGATTGAATATAAAACGTTTCCACCACATGATAGTAACATCGTAGAGATCGAACATTCCCACTTGATTCTTCAAATTGGTAAGATGGTGACCGTTCAATGGTTGAAGGAGGAAGTGTAACAGAGAGTTCATCGTCAGAAAAATGAGGTACATGACCGACTATCAAATGAGTTCAAAAATATAGAAAGAGTTAAATTTGATTCCTATTTTTTTTTTTTTTTTTTTTGTTTGTTTGTTTGGAAAACTTACGATCAACACTTCCACGTGCAGAACTGACGAAAAGAGCCCAAAAAGTAACGTTTGCCAATTCAGTATCAATGTCACTATTTTCCGCTTGAAAGGAACCATTAGTAACACCAAGATTTCCTCCAAAGGCAAAGGCTAGCCCAAGAACCCTCATTCCACGCTTTGGATGACCAAACATTGATTCAAAAAGACCCAATAAAGTAGCGGCTTGAAATTTGGCAAACGACACAGTAGAAGATGATCTTTGTAACATAAAATAAGCATAATCCAAAAAGGGATTTCGGATATCTCGATTGGTAGCTTCCCAGAGTCGTACAGGTTGACCATCCAAAAGTCTTGTCAGGTAGGTAGTTGTTCCATATATCACACACAGTAACCACGGATCTAATGAGTCAGTCCAGTAACCTTGTAGTATTAGTGTTTTGTTGAGTAATATAGAATGTGGGCTTATGGAAAAGAAGGTATCGATCAGATGAATGGCTTGTTGAGAAGATAAAGTACTGAGAGGATTGCCTATAGGAATCTGAGGAGCAGGTTCGCTGAAGAACTTGAGAGCCATATCTTGAAAGACAGCTGCAGCAATAGAGTCAAAGTATCCAAAGTTCTCAAGAGTTACTATGCTTATCTTGCTTACAATGACATTAACTACTTCTGAGATAGCCCAACTGTAGAGTTCCAAAATGTCGTACATCACAATATCAGGCAAACAAGGAATAGCTTTTGTTAATCGTACAATGGCTAGTTGCATAATGGCTTCGTCCTTCATACGGAAAGAGTCGATAAAATTGTTGAGGTCCATGAATTTGTCATTGTCGAAAAACTTGATGTCCGTTGGTAAGCTGTACGCAATATTTTCAAAGATGAATTCTTTACAAAATGTTTTAGAATGTTGACGAGGACGGTTGAGAATAAGTTTGTTAACAACTGCATTCTTTGGAGGACGACCCACTTGACCTGTCTTGACATAAGTACATTGTTCACCCATATTTCGTCGTAGGCACCTTTGACATGGTTTTGGTTGTTCACCATCGCATTTGACTTTCTTTAATCGACAAGGAAGACAGCTAACTTTTCGTTTCGTTTTCACAACAGATAAAGATGTTGACATGTATTGTAAAGTCCAAGTATACAATGAAGTTGAATTGACCAAAACTGATGTATAGATATATAAAAGAAAGAAAAAAAAAAAGATAGAATAATAATAATAAAAAGTAACGAAGAAAAGAGAGAAAGAAAGAGAGAGAGAAAAAAAAAAAAAAAAAGAGAGAGAGGTACAGGAAAGAAGCTTGGCAAATCAAAAGTGAGAGAAGTTGGATGACCGACCGTACACCTTTTCTAGACAATCACCAATGGTCAATTTCAATTTTTTTTTAAATGAAAAATTAAAAGTAATAAATATCATAGAAACTCAAAATATTATATCTGATCCTAATAATTACCTTATTCCAAGTAAAGTAGAAGAAGCATATTACCAAGATTGATCTTTTGAATAAAAATGATTAACCGCGATACTTAATTGAACAATGATCTTACTTACGCAAACAATAATAATAATAATAATAATAATAATAATAATAATAATAATGATAATGATGATAATAATAATTGAATCATAGAACAAACAAAAAAAAAAGAATTCTCTATTCCATTCATCTCTCATTTACATCTTTCTACCTACTGAGTGTCAGTTGGCCTGTGCAACATAATCATCATTACCTTTCATTGTTTAGCTGGGTGTATTTATGGCAGATTTTTGTGATACCAAAAATGGAAAGACAGCAAGAAGTATTTGGCTTTTTTTTTGGGTCACATTTTGTTGTCGAAGGATGAAAAAGAAAAAAATACAAGCCCATTCAAAAATTGACTATATGCCATTCATATATGATGGATTAACGTCATCATTGACAATGCATATATATTATAAACGAATGATGGAATGGAAAAAGTATTCCATCTTTATGCTTGTTATGAACTAATCAGGGGAACCACCATTTTATTCCAATCTGTTACTACTTTCTATGATATTTTAATAACAGAAATATAGAAAAATAAAGTTATTCATACAAGTGATCCTTAGCATTAAAGTTTTCTTCAGCCTAGGATGAGAGAAATTTTATAAAACAAAGCATCAGCCGCATCAGAAAAAGTGTATATAAACGGTTTCTTTTTTTAATTTGGAGAATATCATCTTTTTTTTTTCTCTCTTTCTTCTTAGTTACAACCATAAAACCATCATCATAAAAAAAGGTATGAAGAAGCTATCATCTCTTATTGTATCTGTCATTTGTGCCACTTTAATGGTTCATGCAGCACCTATGGAAAGAAATAAAGCAGGAACAGTTATTGTACCCATCACTGCTAATCCTAATTATCATCGGAATATCCACACAGCACTTGATAGAATAAGAAAAAAACGATCGAAATGGATTTCTTCTAATCATCTGGTAAAAAAGGATGGTATCGTTCCTATGATTAACTATGAAAACTTGGAGTTCATTGGATCTGTCTACATTGGTACCCCGCCTGTAAAATACGATTTGGATTTTGACACGGTACTATTTTTCCCCACTTTTTCTTTCCGCTAGTTTACACTTTTTGCTTATACCTTTTTTTTTTTTTTGAATTGGTCTAGGGCTCTTCCGATCTATGGATTCGTAAGTTGAAGATAATAATATCAATAGAAAAGTTTTATAAGTAAACCTTTTATTTTTTTTTTGTGGGTAATAGCTTCAACTACTTGTACTACGTGTGTCAATAAGACTACCTATAATCCAAATCAATCTAGTTCTTATGTCAAAGAAGGAAAACCATTTCAACTCAGTTATTTGGACAAAAGTAATTCATCAGGCATCACTGGATTGGAAACGATAACTATAGGAGGATTGACCATCAAAAATCAACGATTTGGTATGGTAACTGAAGAATCAGCTGCATTCTCGAAATCACCAGACGATGGACTCTTGGGTTTGGCTTTCAACTCGTTATCTGTACTCAACGATACAAAGACTCCTTTGGATAACATGATATCTCAAGGTTTGATTTCAAAACCAGTCTTTGGTGTATATCTTGGTAGTCTTAGGAAAGAAGGAGGAGGCGGTAAGCAAAACGACAAGAAAAAAAAAAGAATGATTGAATGGTACGACTGATAGTTATATTTCTTTTTCTTTAGAATACGTGTTTGGAGGATACAATCAATCAAAAATCAGTGGTCCTCTCATCAATGTCAATGTAGACGTCAAGAGTGGTAAGAAAGAAAAAAGAAAACATAATTACAATAACTGATTTCATTTTTTTTTTTTTTTAGGAGGTTATGGAGTCAAATTGAAAAATTTGAATATTGGTAACACTACGATCCCTGGCTCATCTGCTGAATATCTCGTGGATACAGGAAGTACTCTTCTTATACTTGACAAATCTACTGCTGCTATTGTTGCAAAAGCTTATGGTACTGTGCTCAACAATGATGGTCAAACTTACAATATTTCTTGTGATCCTGCGTCAGTACCATCTTTGTCTCTCACTATCGATGGTTTTACAGCAATGATTCCATCAGAAGATGTTATCTATGCAAATGATCATGGTCGATGTGTGGCAGGATTTACATTAGGTTCATCATCAAAGTAAGTGAATGGAATGGTATTACTTTTTATTTAACGTGTGATTGATCTCTTTTTCTTGTAGTTACGGAATCCTTGGTGATCTCTTCCTACGTAATGTTTACACAGTTTTTGATCAAGGTACTCCTGCTCTTCAATTCGGTCATTTAGCTTAATTGTATGAAATAGTTCCCTTTATATATTAGTGTAATGTAATATATTATAGTGTAGTATATTCAATAAAAAAAAATATCTCTATTTCCGATGGAACCTTCTTTTTTGGAATCATATATTTGTTAAAAATTTGATGTATTTTACTTTGATAAATGCAAATAATACCGAATTAGCGTTATTACTGGGAACCTGAAGGATTCAAATTTGTTTTTGTAACGACATTTGTTTTAGAACAAACTGTAAATTGGTGTATTAAGGCACCGCTAAATTCAAATTTGCTGTAATTTCTATTTTTTTTTTTTTTCTTCGTTTTCTTTTTCTTCAGTGATTTTCTTTGTTCTTAAAATAACATGGACTGAATATAAAATGGTAAGAATAAAGTTGTTATACTTTAACAATGTATTTTACTCTTTTATTTTTTCTATAAATGAATTCTTTTTTTAGGTACCTTTGCTTTCTACATATATACATATTATAGTCGGAAATGACTGTCCCATTCTTTCCTTTGTCAAACCCGATACAAGGTAAGGTTATGGTTGTACTTTTGAACAGAATTAGGCGAAAGTGATGTACTATCTGCAAAGTGACACTAATATGTTGTTCTGCCATCGTATCTTCTCCCACTCTTTTATGTATGCAATAGACTTAACTCTTGTTGAAGTTTGCACTTGATATTGAACGACGTGGATACTTTCTTTTCTATTTGGCAACCTTAGTTTTTTTTTTAAACAATAACCAACGACCTTCAAAGTATCATAGCTTGGTGAAAATTTATCTGGATACAAGGAACAATATAGGATGAAATGATACTCTTCTCTTTTTACGTTGATGAAGTTATGAAAAACAATGAATCGGTATCTCTTCACTTGCTTTTGGATAGAAACGCGTTTCTTTTGGGATGATAATATAGATATGAAGGTATGAAAGTCAAAGAACATCTCATTGCTACAAAAAAAAAAAAACCTGGATTCTGTCATTTACCTAATTTGTCTTTTTTTCTCACACACGTTTGTACTTGGATCGACATCAAGTCAGCAGGGTTTTTTTTTCCCGTATACCTCGTACAAGGAACGGTGGAACGCGAATGAATTGAAGAAACAATCTGACTTGGAAATAAGGTAATACATTGAAATATGAATGAAAAGAAAGATGGGGTTTGGCGATAAAGGTATCAGTTGTATTGGGATTTAGCTCTCTTTTAATATTTGTATTGATAATTCTCTTCCTTTTTTTTTTTTTTTTGTTATTATAAATAGATTACTATACTACTTTATATGTTATCATATCTCGTGTGATCCATTTGGTCTTTTTACATTATTTATTACAATAAAATATGATTTGAATTATGACTCTTATTATTGATTGGATGACTTATGGATCATATGTGTAGCTTCGATGAATGAATGAATGAATGGATGGGTGATGATTATGGAAAGCGAGTTAGGGAATTCTTCTATGTAATTATTATCGCAGGTTTTGAAGTTACGCTGACCCTTCATTATCGATAAAACGAGAAGAAAGGACGGGTATATGAAATGTTACAAAGGCAAACGAAAGAGTAGTACACCAAGTTATCTTTATTATTATTACTATTATTATTATTATTATTATTATTATTATTATTCGTATGATTGTCAAGTAACCTTTGGTGTATGACGATTACATCATGCGCAACGGGTAGATACTCTGTCCTTGAAAACAGAACGAGGTATTTCTCTGCGTTACTACTTGAATCACAGAACTTTTAATGTTTTTAATAGTTTTTTCATTTATGATTCAATTCATTACAGAATCAAGGGTGTATGAAAGAGGTAACCATGGATACACTTTTTTCCCTTTCACTTTTTTTTTTTTAAAAAAAAAACGATTTGTTAAAATATTTTCCATAGTTGTTCTTTTTCAATATAAAAACTATATATGGTGATGTTACACATATCGATCATAGAGTCTCAATATTACCATAAGTAGAGAAAATGGTGTACACGCAATATGGAGATGACTTGGTTGGTTTGAATGCAATATGGAAAGGAGTGGATGATTCCTTCGGCATGTGAATATATGATTGATATATTTACAATAGTCATCATCCAGTATATTAAAGCCGAATCTTTTTTATAAAAAAAAAAAAACGACTATGATGCTCAAGAAATAACTCAATATAGATTGATCGACGAATGATGTATCATGTACATATACTTTCTTTTTTTAAATGTATAAATCAATATATGACTGTTCAAGAAATATCATTATCATCAATTTAACCATTAAATATACATATATAAAAAAAAAAAGGAAACTTGATCCATTTTTATCTTATTAATAGAATATAAGTGATGATAGAATGTATATGATGAAATATTTTAATAGTCATCACGACAGTTATGATCATGATTTGATGATGAATCATACCGTTGCATTTGCCTTTTTGACGTACCACTTACAAGCTGTCCATTAGAATAGATCACCCAAAATAAAACAGTAAAATCTGCTTATTTTAGTTAGCACAATATCTCGTATATTCGGATGATGAACACTAATACCGATTAAGGGTCATAAACTGACGTGCTTTTTGCCATGCTCACACAAAGAAAAGGAAATATCAAAGATAAAAAGGAAATGATACCTTAAACAGTAATGAAAAGAAACGGGAAAAAAAAAGTATGATTCTTAGCATTATGCACGATGAAGTGTATTACGCTTTGAACTTTTTTCCAGATTCAATCAACGTCCTATTACAACACACAAAGAAGGCGTGATGAAAATAATAATACTTAGATACCAAGAATAATTGTTGTACAGTGATATATTGATCACTTTTACCTTTAAGAAAAAAAAAAAAAGAGGATACATTCAGTCATCATGTCAATCGCATGATGATGTCGATAGATGATGGATGAATGAATGAATGATATTTTAAGAAACATCTAAAGGATTCAAGATTCCAGATTAATACAAATCATCCCAATAATCTGACCACAAATAACCAAACTATTACCTGTGCATGTTTCTTCATTGGATTTTAGGCTTGTCATACAACAGAGAAATAAAATATTATATTATGCAAATGGACTTTTACTCCATGGAGTATTCCTTGCCATATATAGACTATTTCTCCTAATCCAAAGTGTTTGATTACTGACTTTTATTTGCCCAACCCTATTTCTCAACATGGATGAAAAAAAAATATATACTTTGGTTATTTTCAAGTCTCGTTATCTAAATGAAGCGCATCGTTACACATAAGGGAGTTGGATATTTTATTATCTTATCGGAAATAGAAGGATTACCATCCAAATAACTGTTAACTCCAACCGAATAGCGGTTACTGAATCTTATCACTATGGGTTACACATAATAATAATAATTGACTAGTTCACTTTTGTTCATTTTCCCCAAATCATAAAAAAAAAAAAAAAAAAAAGTATACAAAATGATGATCCAAAGTTTTTCTCTTAATATTTGATATATGATTCTTTTCTTGAAAACAGGTCAAAACCGAGTAAAGAAACTTTGGATGAAAGAAGTTTAGACTCTATTTTTGGTTCCCCGCGCATGATGAAGAGGTAAATTTTTTTCTCTATAAATAATCCACAAATTGACATAATTCCTTTTTTTTTTTTTCTTCTTTATCTTAATAACAATCCCTTTCCTTTCTTTTATTATCAACAACAATGAAGATTTCTCTTTGCATTGCCCTTTTGGCTACTACTGCCACTTTGCTCAACGCTGCTCCTACTGAAAAGACTCACACTTTCCCTTTGACTACCAACCCTAACTTCAAGCCTAATGCTAAAGCCTCTATTGCCAAGGCTAGAGCAAAATACTATAAGCATCTCACTGGTGTTTCTGCTGATGGTAGTGGTACTGTTCCCATGACTGATGATGGTGGTGATCTTGAATACTATGGTAAGTGACGATGATGACAATGATGATGATGATGATGATGATGACGACGTTGTTAACTCAAATGATATTATGATCATATTAGGTACCGTCTCCATTGGTACTCCTCCTCAAGATTTGAAGCTCGATTTTGATACTGTAAGTTGGATGATGATGGATAGATGATGACGGTGGATGGATGATGATGACGGTGACAATAATCTTTATGACGATGATGGTTGTTATGGAAATGATGATGTACATAATTACTTACCATTTATATACTTTTTTTTTTATTATAATGTAAACAGGGTTCCAGTGATCTTTGGTTCGGTAAAAAAAAAAAAAAAAAAAAAGACACTTGAAACAATAAATAAAAAAAAAAAAACTCATTTCCTTTTTTTTTTTTTTTTTTTTATAGCTTCCACTCTTTGCAGTGGATGCGGTGGATCTCAAACCAAGTACGATCCTACCAAGTCTAGCACTTACAAGAAGGAAGGAAAGCCCTGGAGCATCAGCTACGGTGATGGATCTAACGCCAAGGGTATTACTGGTCTTGATACTGTCACTCTCGGTGGTCTTGCCATCAAACAACAACGTATTGAATTGGCTCAATCTGAATCTGGTCAATTCCAACAAGGTGCCACTGATGGTTTGCTCGGCTTAGGTTTCGATAGCATCTCTACTGTTTCTGGTACCAAGACTCCTGTGGACAGTCTCATCGCTCAAGGATTGATCTCTCAACCCATCTTCGGTGTGTTCCTCGGCAAGAAGAGCAGCGGTGGTGGCGGTGAATACGTCTTTGGTGGCTACAACAAGGCCAAGGTATCTGGTTCTTTCACTAAAGTACCTGTTGACAACTCTAACGGCTGGTACCAAATTGATGTCGATGGTGGATCTGCTGGCAAAGGCTCCAAGATTGACAAGTTCAATGGTATTGTTGACACTGGTACCACTCTCTTGTTGTTCACTGATTCCGTTGCTCAAGAAGTCGCTAGTGCTTATAGTGCTACTGACAATGGTGATGGTACCTATTCCATTTCTTGTGATGCTTCCTCTCTCTCTCCTTTGACTTTGACCATTGGTGGTACTGACTTTACTATCCCTGCTGAAGATCTTATCTACGATAAGGAAGGTAGCCAATGTATTGCTGGTTTCGGTAGCTCTGGTATGGAAATGGCCATTCTCGGTGATGTCTTTATCAAGAATGTCTACACTGTGTTTGATCAAGGTACTCCTTCTGTTCAATTTGCCAAGCTGGCTTAAAATGGATGATGATGTTTAGCGCCGTGCGACTAGTATATCTTTATCTGTCTCATTGTTTAGTTGTATTACTTTGACATCCTCTTCCTTTATCTTTTTTTTGTATTACTATCATTATCTTTTATGTAATAAATAAAGGAAGTTCTTTTTTTATTCAATATTATAACTAGTCTCTATATATATATCATGGGTACATAGTCTTATAATCAAAAGTCCCTGATTTATTAAAGAATGAAAATCATGCGGTCGGTATTACAACCTTTGGGTGGAGATTTATTAAATTGTGGAGGAAATGAGATTTTTCTTTTTTAGTCTTTCTTCTTTGTTTCTTTTATTTTTCTCTTTTTGGAATTAATAAAAAAAAAAAAAAACTACTCCTTCTTTGTTTGATCCATAATCTCCGCATGGAATTTCATGAAGTTCATCATTTTCTCAATCAAGAAAAGGATAGATTGAATTCATCCACGACAGCAACAACAGGAACAACAGAAAGAGCAGAAGCAACAGCATTTACAACAGCAACAGATATCAATCCACCTTATTTCATTGACGACGATTCTTTTGATAGTGACGATGATAAAACTATACTTCACAATGAACTATCTCGACCGCGTGAACTTTATCAGCTCTCACAGGATACTCCTTCATTATCTTTGTTACATCATAGACAGCGTCATTACTCAAGGATACCAATGGAACGCTTGCTATTACCAAAGCATAGATCGAATACCTCACTTTCAAGAGTTTTTGTTGCCAGTGTTCGACAATTGAAACGCAAGGTCATCTCATTATCGCCTTCCACTATCTCATCCTCAAGTGAAGATTCTTCTTATTCATCCTCTGACGAATACAAATCCTGGGACCTGTCCTCTTCTACGCATCCACATGATATCACTCATTCTCCAGGTACACCATCATTATCTAACAGTAGAAAACTAATACAACAAGAGCAATATCAGGAACAGGAAGAACAACAACAGGAGCAGCATGACTCATCGGTTCATCAACTGGATCCTCCTGCGTTATCGCCTATCCCTAAACCAGTATCACTAGTCCCATCTCAACAACAGATCTCTATCTCTCCTTCACCCACCCATCGATATCGTTCTCGTCGTCATCGACTTCGTCAACATCAACTATTTGTATCATCTTACCGTAATGATGCGGCGCTTGCGAAAATATCTGGTGTGCCTTCCAGCAATAGATTCATCCATACATCACCAACTTCATCATCATCTTCTCCCACTACAAAAAGATCAAGGGTGCGCTCACGTCTTGGCTCTATCTGGAACCGTCGATTCTTTCGCCCAACGACAGTAACGCCTACATCATTATTATTATCACAATCACCATCATATATAGGTACTGATCACCATAGAATATATTCTAGAGGAACAGATAGTTCTGATTCCTTCAATACAGTTATACCAAGTGGTCATTACGACAGGAACAGCAATGATACCCTGACAACATCCTTTGATCCATCACAAGACTTTTCCCTCTCATCATTAGAAGTTGCTAACAGAACTCCTGATTTGTCGACGCTTATAAGGTAAAAAAAAAAAAAAAAAAAAGGAAAAGAAAATTTGGAAGAATGATATATCCAAAATGGGTTTTCATTTTTTTTTTTTGTTATCTAGATCACCATCTATGTTATTGGCTCAAGTTTCTGAAAATATCCAAAAACTGCAATGCTTAATAGATATTGAAGTACAATTGGTAGAAGATCATCGACGTGACGTTTCTTTTTATACAAATCAACTGGAACAATTGGATCATGATGTACAGGTAAATCATTTTAAAAATGGACACGAGAGTGGGTTGGCAGGCATTTAGAAGACATGTGGTTACACGATCTGGGGACTCACATCTTTTTTTTTTTTTTTTTTTTTTTTTTTTTTGTATAGTTTTTGAATACGAAAGTATTGGATATTCTTGGTAAAGTGGATACTGAAATGATACCAGTGCAAGAGGAGATGCAACGTATGATACCCTTATTGGATCAAGCTCAAAAGGTACATCACATCATTATCAACAGATTCACCAAGAGAGTGTTTCAAATCAAGGCTAGAAATACATTCGAATTACTGCGGAAAAAAACAATATCAGCACAACAGCAGATCAAGCGATGGAATACATTTACTTATTGGGGTTATTTTGTGTCTTGTAAGTTACAAAAGAAAGAAAGAAAAAAAAAGGAAATTATATGTGATCAAAACATCTGATCTTATCTCTCTCTTTTTTTTTTTATTGTTTTAGTAATCTTATTATCTTGGACTTTTCTTTTATGGTCCATCTACTCTGTGGGATTTACCTTTACCTGTATATGTATTGTTATTTTGACTTTACTTTTTTATGATACTTCTTGATCATTTTCTTAGTCTTGTATATACTTTAATAAATACATCATTATTACTTTTTTTTTGTTTCTTTGGGGATTCATCACTGGAATGAAGGTTCACATCCAAGACGTTATAAAATTCTCATCTTGATAACGTGTAGTCATTCTTCTTTGAACATTATCCATTCACTCGATCGCCTCATTATGCTTCTTTATTATCATCTTCATGTATCATGGACAAGTCAACAAAAATAGAGATTATCATTCTTGTGAAGATATCCATTTATCATCCATGCAACAGCAAACATGATCAATGTCAGAAACTAGATCAATAAGCTTTTTAATTAGTTGCATTGGCAAGGAATCAAAACTAGATCATGTTTTATGTATGTTTTGCAGCGTCGATAATCTTCTAAATGGACATCATAGATGTCAACCTATTTTCTGCCGTCTACCTTAGTTACTAATTGAAAAATAATAATAATCCATTTATCAGATATAATTGACATAATAGTTCTTTATTCGTAAAAAAAAAAAAAAAAAAAAAAAAAAGAGTAGGAAAGAGATAACTGGAAACATATATAAGTGAATAGATGGATGGATGACAAGAAAAAAAAAAAAAAAAGAAAGAAAGTATAGAGAAGTGACTAATGTTGTACGGAGGCAGTGGCCACAGAAGAGATCATATCGGGAGTTTCTATCTTGTCCAAAGCCTGAGAGTGAGTACCTTGATCCTTTGCTTGATGATAATGTCGAAGCAAGACATCGACGTTTTCCAAACTAAGCGGACGAATATCGGCCAGTTCCTTGATCTTTTGTGTGACTTGTTTGGCATCATCATCGGTCAAACCCAAGTTCAGTTGTTCAATTCGGTTCTTGACAGCGTTCCAACCAGTAAGTCGATGACCAATAGAAACATATCGGTTCATACCAAAATCTTCAGGATTCAGAATTTCATAAGTAGAAGGATTGTTCAGAATCGCCTTGGCATGAATACCTGCCTTGTGAGTGAATGCGCAATATCCAGTGATGTAATTATTGAATGGTACCGTCACTTGTACTGATTCTGCCACAATATTTTCCACATCTCGAATCTTGGTCAAATCATATTTGTTCATCACATAATCTTTATCTGCTGTATACATTCTTGCCAACAATCCGCCTAAGGGTGTGATACCATTTCGTTCTCCAATACCCAAAACAGAAGTATCGATATGAGTGGCTCCAGCTTCCAGCGCTAACCAAAAAAAAAAAAAAAAAAAAAAAAATCAGTTAGTTGTCTACCTATATCATGGGTTTTTCAAAAAAAAAAAAAAAAAAAAAAAAAAAAAAACAACCCCTCATGTTGTCAGTATTTTTTTTTTTTTTTTGTTTTACCTGCATAAGCATTGGCAATAGCACAACCAGTATCATTATGAAAATGACATTCAATATCACAACTAACCACACTTCGTAAAGTTCGTACCAATTCATAGACTTGACGAGGATTAGCACAACCCACAGTATCAGCAATACCCACACGATCCACACCTACTTTTTCAACAGCCTTGTAAATAGACAACAAATCCACGAGATCAGAACGGAAAGAGTCTTCAGTGGAAAATCGCACCTCCAAACCTTTGCTTTTGATAAATGTAATAACTTCAATAGCCTTTTCAGTGATGTAATCCATATCCTTTCCATGAGAGAATTCACGTAGATAACTAGAAGTGCCAATGACCACATCCAAACCATCTACACCAGTGTCAATCGCCAATTTCGCATCATCCATATGGCATCGTGTATGAGTCAAGATCTTGGCCTTCAATCCCAAATTAGATATCACACGACAATCGTTCAGTGATTGTTCAGAAGCTGCAGGTGATGTCAATTCTAAATAATCTACACCAATTTCGTCCAATGCCTTTGCAATTTCTACCTTCTTTTCTGTATCAAAAAAAGCATTGGCAAATTGTTCACCCTCTAAATAATAATAATAATAAATAAATAAATAAATAAACATATATAAATATATCATTATTTTCGTTACCTCGTAAAGTAGATTCAATAATTTTGAAACGGGAGATATTTGACATTGGGTCAGGATATTTAGGCATGTAAGGAGAAGCAATGGGTTCTCTTGGTCTTGATGCATCGTTGGCCTCTAACTTTTTGGTGGGGTCTTTGGTGGTCATGGTTGTTATATATATATATATAATTGGAAGAAGATAAAAAAAAAAAAATAGAAAAAAAGAAAAAAGAGAAAAGAGAAAAAAAACTTCCCGTTTTTTAAAAATAATTGATTGATTGATTGATGCAAAAAAAATCCTAGATTATCTCTATGCACTGAGATTGAATGTTGGTCTTAGGTCTTTGCCAACTAGAAAGCCCAAAAAGAAAAAACAATGGAGAGATGAGATTGACTCATTCCCGCGCATGGCAATAGGAAGCTCGAACCTAACTGGTGGACGGAGATTGAACGATCCATCTTTTTCTTTTTTGTGAGCCAATATGTAGGAAACGAAAAGGTAAGCGCCTTTTCTTTTCTTTTCTTTTTTTTTCTTTGTTTTACTTTTTATTTAATTTATATCCCTTACATCTCTTTCTTTTATTATATCATGAAGGTTATTGATAAGATTCAAGCTGCAGAAAAAGAAGGTCGTATATTTTGGTCTTTTGAATACTTCCCTCCGAAAACAACTCAAGTAAGTTTTTTTTTTTTTCTGGTTGATGAAAAATAGGATTTCTCACACTTTTCAATTTATAGGGTGTACAAAATTTGTATGATCGTATGGAACGTATGCAACGTATGGGACCTGAATTCATCGATGTGACTTGGGGTGCAGGTGGTACTTCTGCTGAACTTACCACTGAAATAGTATCTACTGCTCAATCAGTTTATGGGTTAGAAACAATGATGCATTTGACATGTACAAATATGCCTGTTGAAAAAATTGATAATGCTTTAAAGGTATTAAAAAAAAAAAAAGAGAGAGAGAAAAATGAAAATGAGACTGACATATATATATATATAGGCTGCTAAAGAATGTGGATGTCAGAATATTTTGGCTTTACGTGGTGATCCTCCTAAAGGACAAACTAATTGGGAATCATGTGAAAATGGATTCGAACATGCTGTGGATTTGGTGAAATATATCCGGGAAAAATATGGTGATTACTTTTGTATTGGTGTTGCAGGTCATCCTGAAGGCCATATGGATTGTCCAGACAAGGAACAAGATCTTTTACATTTGAAGGAAAAAGTAGATGCTGGTGCTAATCTGATTGTCACACAATTATTCTTTGATGTCGATTGCTTTTTGGATTTTGTCAAACGCGCTCGTGCCATTGGTATCACTTGCCCTATTCTCCCGGGTGTCTTTCCAATTCAAAACTATTCTGGTTTGAAACGTGTCATATCCTTTAGTAACAATTATGTACCTCAAAAGATTTGGGATGATTTGGAACCTCTCAAGGAAGATGATGCTGCCGTCAAGGAATATGGTATCAATCTCACTATTGAATTCATTCATAAATTTAGAAAATCCGGTATCAATGGATTCCATATCTATACTTTCAATTTGGAACGTTCTACGCGTTTGATTTTAGAACGTTTGAATTTGGTGGCTCCTTTGGAAACGATCAAACCTTTACCTTGGCATCCAGTAAGTTTTTTTTTTTTTTTTTTTATTGAATCATACTTATTTTTTTTTTTTAATAGGCATTGACTCAAAAACGAGCCAAGGAAAATGTACGACCTATTTTCTGGAAAAACCGTACGAAAAGTTATCTTCAAAGAACAGAATTCTGGGACGAATTTCCTAATGGACGATGGGGTGATTCAAGATCTCCTGCATTTGGTGAATTGGATGGATGGGGTGTATCACTCAAATATTCTCAAGAACAATGTATAGAAATGTGGGGTCGTCCTGAAACTGTAGATGATGTAGCCATTGTGTTTGCCAAATATTGTAAAGGAAAAATTGCTGGTATTCCTTGGAGTGCACAACCTTTGGAAGCTGAAACTGAAACGATCCGACAACGTCTAGCTGGTATCAATCTTTTGGGTTATTTAACCATCAATTCACAACCTGCTGTGAATGGTGTCAAGAGTTCACATCCTACTTATGGCTGGGGTCCCAAAAATGGTTATGTTTATCAAAAGGCTTATTTGGAATTCTTTGTTTCTCCTGAAAAATTGGATGATCTGATTAAAAAGATTGGCAAGAATCCCGATGTTACTTATTATGCCGTCAACAAGCAGGTATAAAAAATTATAAATATATAATATATATATATATATATAATAGGATACTAAGTAATATTTTTTTTTATTAGGGTGATTTACGAGCCAATACACAAAGTGATCATCCCAACGCAGTGACATGGGGCGTGTTCCCAGGCAAGGAAGTGGTACAACCTACTATTGTGGAATCAACAGCATTTATGGCATGGAAGGATGAGGCGTTTGAATTATGGAATGAATGGGCAAGAATTTATGACCGCAAGACAACTTCTGCTGAACTGATTTTAGACATTGCCAATAATTGGTATCTAATCAATATCGTACACAATGACTTTCAAGATGAAAATGGTATTTGGCGTTTATTTGATTTGGAAATTGATGGAGAAATTTCTAGGAAGATTAGACAAAATGTTGTACACGAAGGTGATTATTAGATTTTTTTTTTTTTTTTTTTTTGCTCTCCAATTAAGTACTAGTGTTTGTCCTTTTTATACAAATATATCTTTTTTTGTCCTTTTATTATTATAATTATTATATTCATTTTACTGTCTTTTTTTTTTTTTTTTGGTCAGACCCTATTTTTAATAAAATAGAGATATGCATGTGACACTTGATGGATTTTTATTCTTGCTATTGTGATTACAGTATGTGGATCATATGAGTGTTTTTTTTTTTTTTTTTTTTTTTTTTTTTTTTTTTTTTTTTTTTTTTTGTTCAATGATGATTTTTTGGATACACGAAAACAATTATATGATCTACAGTAATGGGTTCTTCTAGGATACACCAAAAATGGAAATCATCTATTCCACAAATGATAACTCCCTTTTTTTTATATATATATATTCTAATGATAGTTACACTAAATAATCGATAAAATTGTCAACGGGCGAAGTGTATAAAAAGAAGATTCCAAAATAGTGATAAGTTTTTTTTTTTTATTTTGATATCAATACAATAAAAGTATACAAGAGAAAGATAATCCTAATAGTAAAAGCTAATCTAAGTAAATTTAATTAATTTAACATTTGGGGAAAGTGGCGTTGTTGACTTGGATAGTCAAAGGCACTACGATAGATTGTTGATTTTGATCGGAAGGAATATTGTAGGTAGGTGTGAAGACCATTTGAAAATTGTAGTTGGAAGGAGTATATCGAGAGAAGAAATGACAGTTGGGAATATTCCAAACACTAGTATAAGCTTTGTTTTGGATACCGGCAACATAGGGCTTGGTCACTAGACTGTTGCTGGCATTAAGAGAAAGAGGATTGTTGGTGGTGCCTTTTTGTAACCATTGAAATTCGGCAGTCATACCAGAGGGATAAGTGGCATTGGCAGGTGGGGGTGACACTATTGGAAGTTCATAAAAAGTGTGTCAAGTCATTATATATTATTATTATTATAATAGTACTTACTGGTTTGAGCACCAATCACGTTGTAACTAATAGTCAATTGAGATTTACTTGACACTGTTTGTCCATTAGTTGGTGAAGTGATCTGTATAAAGTCTTGAGCTGAACATGTCAATACAAAAACCAATAAAAATAAAGTGAAATAATGTGAAAGAAGAGTCATTACAAATAACAATAATAATAATAAAAAGTGAAAGAAAAGAAAGAAACAAAAAAAAAAAAAGAAAACAAAAAGAATTTAAAGTCGGTAAAATAAAAAAAATAAAAAGATGGTGTAACATTGTTGATTTTTTTTATTTTTAGCTATTGAAACTAATAAACTACATTGGCTTGTAATAAACAAAGTAAAGCAATAGATTCACCAAAGTAAGTATTGTCGGCCACCATATTATTCATATCACCAAGAATTTGTTGTAATTGATTTTGCCAACCCAAAACCCAAAACAAAAAGCTGACAGGAGCAACAAATGCCATATCTGTATAGTCAGCAATGCATTGGCCATTCAGTTTGTAACCCGCCTTGATACCGCATTCACCATGACCTCGAGCAAGTTGACCAGCAAAGAAATGAGCTTGAGTTTCCAATACACCTCTTATACGTTCATCTCTTGTCAGCATATAATAATGTCCAAGTCGCCAAGGTACACGACATGAATTCCAATTATAATCTCCATCATGCTTACTTTCTAGTACTTGACCTCTGGCTGGTAAATAGACTTGTTGTCGATCCAATTTCAAAAAGTCAGCAATCAGACCTGTTTGTGGATTAAGAGATAATTGTGTTTGTGTTGAAGAAATAATGGCATTAATCACTTGACCCCATTGTTGTTGTCTTGCTAGATCTTCTTGATAAAATACCAAATAACCACTAAGAATGAAATCACTAGGTCGAGTTAAATTGTAAGCATCATCACTAGGATCAGCCCAATCTCCCACCAATGGCATATATGTCGTGTGATTAATACAATGTTGCCAGATACATCCCGCCAATTCAGTGGCTGCCTGTCCATAATCAATTTCCCCTTGTGGTCCACCTCGTTTCCATACTCGTTTGGCTAAAAAGAGTGCTGTGGCAACATCTACATCCCCATCAGTGGCACAATTGGTTCCCCTGCATAATAAATATATCCGATCAGTCATCCTTCCTTTTATTATTATTATTATTATTATTATTATTATTATTTTACCCTTCATCGCCAGGAATAAATTGTCCTCCATGACCAGTTTTTTGTTGCCATTGCATCAATCCTTTTTGATTACGGAATCGCATAAAGTATCGATATAATCCTATAGAGTAATCATAATCATTACTTTTTGTTCTCTTGATTATTATTATTCTTGCTTTCTAACTTACCATCAAAGTCAGGTTGATTCCTCATCAATACAGATGCCAACATACCATAACCTATATCAGAAAAAAAAAACAAAGCATCGTGTATAAGTTTATGCGTACTTTTTTTTTTCTTTTTTGCCAAGCCAAACACAGACCAAACTTGGACCCGTTCCACGTTTCCTATCACTTTTATTGTTTGAGAGTTCCTTTTTTTTTTTTTTTTGTTTCCATACCATGAGCTTCTGAGCAAGTCATTTCCGGTAATTTTTCCTTTGCTTCCTTGTAATAAACATAAAAACCATCTTGATATGATCTTAGATATCTATCATACCATTATGGTATCCAAAAAAAGAAAGAAAAAGAAAAAAAAGGATTAGTGGACTTTTATAGTTAAGATCTGGTACAACCAACTTACTTGTTGCGCCATTCATTGTAAGCATTTTGAGCTGTTCCCATGTCGAATAGAAATTTGAATATTATGTAGTTAGAAAAAAAAAAAAAAAGGAAAAAAGAAAAAAAAAGAAAAAAAAAATAAGGATAAAAGGAAAAAAGGACCAAAAAAGAAATAAGGGAGGGGAGAGAAAAAAACAACAGCCTGACGTGAAGAAGGTAAGACGAGAGTTTTATATTCCGCATTTTCTGGCTCAATCCACACAATGAAAAAAAAATACACGTGTTGACTTTTTGCCAAGAGACTATACATTGTTATGATGATTTTTTTTATTTTTATTTTTATTTACAAACTGCAGATGAGAGAAAAAAACTGATACGATCTTTTTTTTCTAAATTGGGAATGTCCGTGCGTCCTGTGATATCTTTCTCATTATAATAAAAAGAAGAGACAAATATGAATTATTCCTATGAATAAGTACCAATACAGTTAAAATAAACGTTGATTATTGTAAATGTTATTGGCAAAATCATTCTCAATCATCAACACCAAGTCATAATAGATAAAAAAAAAAGAGTAACAAAAGAAAATATAAAATGTTGACTGACTGATCATGTTTATTTCTATATGATGATGATGGTAGAGGATAAAAAAAAAAAAGAAAAACAAGAACATGTCTTTTCTCTCTAGCATTATTTCATAAAACAAGGAGAAATTGGAGATGATTTCGTGTTCCGCCATCGGGCCGGCCGGATGAGCCCATCTTCTACACCAAATTAGCTGTGCTCTTTTGACTTTTTTTGATTCCTCCTTTTTCACTTTATCCTTCAAAGGTATGACTAGGAAAGAGATAAGGATGGATACTTTTCAAAAGAAAAGAAAAGGACATCAAATTAAATAGATAAGATGGATGGATGGATGGATGGATGGGTTAGAATGAAAAGAACCTTATCGATATTTGAACCCCTTTTTGAACAAATGACTCATTATCTTTATTAATAGGTTAACGAAACGCAATGGCCAAGTCCAAGAACCACACTAACCACAACCAAAGTAATATATAGTCGCGAGAAAAAAAAAAAAAGAAGAAATGAATCAATTGTTGATCTAACATCTATCCTTTTTTTGTTTTATTTGTTTTTAGACAAGAAGGCTCACCGTAACGGCATCAAGAAGCCTCGTCAACACAAGTACCCCTCTCTTAAGGGTGTATGTATTCATTCCAATCGATAAAAAAAATATAATATGCGTATACGATGATACGGACTCAACATGATACTCATCATACTTTCTTTTCTTTTGTGTGTCTAGGTGGATGCCAAGTTCCTCCGTAACCAACGTTTCGCCAAGAAGGGTACTCAAAAGGCTCTCCTCGCTGCTTCTCAAAAATAGATAATATGATACGAATACTTATGATGGATTTTAGTGATAGTCAACAGAAATTGGATCTATTATTACTCTTTTTGGATGATTTTTCTTTTTGTATTACTTTTTATCACTTATTTGACATCATAATAAAAAAATCGTTTTGTGAATATATTTGATCTTTATATTTATCGTTGTTTTATGATGATGTGTTTTAATTTTTGTAATATAAATGACATTCCAAAAAAAAAGAGTTGTGTCTATTGAATAAATATATTCAATAACTTTTATGATCTATGAAATACAGTGAAAACAAAAAGTTGCATTTGATGATGATGATGATGATGATAATAGGTTTTATTTGGAATGAGATAATCAAAACGAACCACGCGCATTTGTTCAATTGGATAATAAGCTAAAGACTATTATGGGCCACATTCAATGAAAAAAAAAAAAAGGAATGAAGAGATCAAGTGAATCAAAGGGACAATAAAAAAATGTGAGATAAAAGATGTTTTAAAAAAAAAAGAGTATATCATACTTCGTGCCGACTAGCGAACAGAAGATGAGACAATAAGATAAAATAGAAAAAAAAATGTCGAAATAGATAATAAAAAAAAAAGACGAAGAGATCCACCTTTCAAAGGCAGTTGATTGAGAATCCACTTGATGTGTGTCAATATTCGATATTCTAAAACAATAATAATAATAATAATATATCAATGAGTATGTTTTTTTCCCTAACAATATAACTATTTCTTACGTTTTCATCACAATGAGTTTTCACATTTTCGAAAACTTTGAGCATTTTGCGTCTGGCACCCAATGCAGCCACACCTTTGGCTTCCAAATCCGAATCTGTCAACTTTATAATATCTTGCCATTTCATTGGTTCAAAGATAGAATTATACTTGTGTAAACGAAGACTTCTAAACCAAGCAGGGACATCTAATCAAAATAATCAACAAGTGAATAATAAAGTTGTAAATCATAAATATATATATATATATATATATATATACCTTGTAACAAATCCATATCGATGATTTCCCCACTTTTCTTTTCTTTGCTGACAGCTGTATTGAGATTGCTACTAGGAGACATATTGCTTGAGGATGTTAAAGCACTTCCACGAGGATGAGTTGTTGTTGTTGTTGTTGTTGTTGTTGTAGAGACACGACGAGATGATACATTAGAAGCTTCGCTATGATCACTATGATAATCATGTTCATTTATACTATTGGGATCCAAGGAAGAACCAGACATCAAATGATCAGAAGGATTCAAGAATTGACCAAATTGTTTTTCCATGCCAGGAGGTACCAAATGTTTGCGATGATTGAAAGGTGTAGAAGAGGATGAAGCAGGACGCGGTGAAGTAGGTCGAGAGATAGTAGGTGGTTTAAGAGATTGTTGTTGTTCGTCTTTTTCCGATAATGTTCCAGGAATATTTCGCATTGCACTAGCTGAAGTAGTTGTACCAGCACCACCACGTACGTTACTAGTGTTGTTTCCACGTCGATAAGGTTGTAAAGTTAAAGCATTGAAATCAATATCCGAATCCAATCCCAAATTCCAAGGAGATGGGAAAGCACCATTCACATTACTACTAGTATTACCACTTGCACTCGTCACACGTTGTTGATCCACCATCGGTTCCATACCAGTAAAGGACCAGTTTGTCACATCAGCAGATTTAGGACGTTCTAGACCTAAACCACTACCATTTCGATCACCAATATTTCCAACTACCGACATAGGACGACGAGAGGATGAAGGAGCTGCGCTACTTGCCGGAGTAGACCAAGGAGTTGAGAACAAAGTAGATGTATCACCTTCAATCACCGATCGAGGACGACTACCACCAGTACCACCATGGAAAGGATTTGCACCAGGTGTCAAAAGAGTATTGGCACTAAAATTTTGACTTGTCGGACGTCCACCAGCACCAGTACCAGATCCGCCACTACTTCCACCACTTGAACCACCAAGTCTAGTAGCTTCATTAAATCGATTGTTACTACCATTTCCTACAAATTGTCTACTATAATCTTCAGTATCTCCCAAAGCAAATGAATGACGATCCACTTGTCGACGAGCAGTACTTGGAGGAGGCCGGCTAACCACTTGACCCGTCTTGTAAGGTAATACTGACATTAATCTTTGACTTGCTTCCATTTCTGCCTTGGCTAGAGCACCAGCAAATTGAGATTGCATATCGGCTTATAATATATATATATAAAATGTAAAATATTAGCCTTGAAGAATAGCAAAAAAAAAAAAAAAAAAAAAGTAAATGAATAAATAAATAAAAAAACACTTACATTGATCAGGATTAGGTGTCATCAATATAGAATGCATAGAATCTCGTTTGCCCATTTGTTGCAAGAGATTGATAAAAAATCTAACTTGTACTTGTGAAGAATGTTGAAGTAATGTATATATAGTTGCAGTACGTTCAGCCTCTGATAAGAAACGAAACCACTGGTCCACGTGTTGCATTTCTTCCTTGAAGTTCTATACAATATAACATAATAAAAAAAATAAGTAAGAATGATTATAAATATCTTTTTTTTCTCTTTTGTTTTGTTCTCTTACTTGATCCAAACTAGCAGCAGCCATTTCATCCAAGTTTCTTTCATATTGTTGCAAGTCTTCATACCAAAGATTCAAAGAATCATCTAGAATAATATAAAATGAAAAATATATGAATATTTTACTTTTTATTATATATATATATATTTAAAAAAAAACAAGGTGATTGACTTACTTTCGGAAGATGAGGTATAGTTCCCAGGCTTGAGAATTTCGGAGACAGGTCTCGAGTTTCGTGTATTGAAGTTGGGAGGCAACATAAAAGATCAAATATGAAGAAAAGTCACAAAAGACTATATGAGTGTATGTTGTGAGGAAGGTAAAAAAAAAAAAAAAAAAAAAAAAAGATTGATTGAAGAAGATAAAAGGAAAAAAAAAAGACACAACAACAACCAAATAAAAAAAAAATAAACTACGATTCACTAACAGAGATGACCCAAAAAAAGAAAAGTGTGCAGGATGAAGAGAGAAAGAATATGTATGTAAGTGTCAAGATGGGAGAATCAAACAAAGAAGTATGTGAATAAAAATAGTAAAGTATACAGAAAAAAAAAAAAAAAAGAGATGAAGAAAAAATAATTGAAATATGAATTGAGGGAGAAAGAGTGAAAGAAAGAGAAAAAGAGAAACAAGAGGAAAAAAAAAGAATACGCACAATTCAAATTTTGATTGGGTCAGGATCCTCCGGACGAGGTCCGTTGCCCTCGTTTCCGTCGGTAGATGAAAAAGATCCACATAATGACATTTTTTTTGTCTCAATGTGCTCAATGGCATACATCCCCTTATTTCAGTAAGATTGTTACTGTATTCCAATCAACATCAAAAATAAATCATCAGTTATTAGTCATCAATCATTAACTATAGCAAATATATACATACATACATATATATATATATATATATATATATATATATGATTCAATCATATCATCATCTTACAGTATCATCCCATTCTTATTCATCATATATCATCCACATCATATAACACAATACAAGTTTTTTTTTTATTATTATTTTTATTTTCCCAATTAAAATAATCCAATACTAAACTAAAAAAAATAAAAATAAAAATAACTAAACTAGTTCTATAATTTAGCCTTGTCTTTCAAGAATGCATCCCAATCCGGTTTCTTCTTGGACATGAACGCCATGATACCAAAAGCAGCTTCATCCGATTGCATCATATCCAGATAGGCTTGTTGTACATAGTGTTGAATGTTATGGGGACGATCGACTTGAGCTCCATTGGAGACAACATCCACCAGTTGTTTGATTTTGGCCATAGCATCAGGAGCCGAGTCCATCAAGGACTGAACATATTGATCCACGGTACTATCCAGAGCATCCTTGGTTTTTACTTTGGCACTGAGAAAGGAGGCTTCTTCCACTGTGACTTTTCGACCGGTCAACATATATTCCTTGGCACGTTGTACACCTAATTCAGGCACAATATATTGAGAGATGATGGCTGGAAGAATCCCACGTTTTACTTCTGTCAATGCAAAATACCCATCGTTGATCGCCACTCGGATATCTGCTGTAAATACTAAACCAACCCCACCACCAAATGCAGGTCCATTCACGCGTGCAATCACTGGTTTTGGGAACCGATATAGTTGGTCAAATACTTGTAATCCCTTTTGAAACCCTGTCTTGATCGCTTCAGGATCCACTCCCGATGATGACGCTGAGAGATCCATACCAGTGCAAAAGTACTTGCCAGCACCTGTTAGAATAAGAACTCGTACTTGTGGATCAGTTGCAAGTTTTGGTAAAATGGTTAAGAGTTGTTCATTCATAGCTACTGTGAGTGCATTTCCTTTCTTTGGTCTATTCAACGTGATGGTGGCTACGTGATCAGTGACATCGATAAGAATAGGTGACTCAGACATTGAGAAAGTGTGATATAAAGGAGGGAATAAAAAAAAAAAAATAGAAAAGAAATGGGAATAAAATATCAAAAGAAAAAGGGTGTGAAAAATATGAGTGATACTTTTTTTTTTATAAAAGAAAAAAAATTGTGTGGGGGAAGCGGACAAATGAGATCTCAACCATCATGTGATAAAAGAATTTTATGTAATGTAAAATAAAAAGCTTTCATACAATACAAAGATAAAGAGTAAACATTTTTTTTTCCTTTTTATTTGAAAGGGAGAAATAGGACAATAACTAAACTATTTTTTTATTTTATTTTATTTCAAGACGTACCAGCAACCGAGAGCCTAAAAAGAAATAAATCTTTGTTAATCATCCATACTAAATTTTTCCATTTTCATTGTCTTTTTTGAGCTTACTTTTTCAAATGTTCCATAAATACTTGTAGACTAACATCATCAGTGAAAATTGCAGCACCAGTAGGATCACCATAAGGACTACTAGATGCATGAGTAGTTGAAGGATTTAATTTAGATAAAAGGAATCGTGCTTGAGATCCACCTTGATCACATACAATATAACGAGGAATAGGGAATCGATCAATTAATAAATCTTGAGCATCATAAATAGGAGCTTCCAATAGTTGCTTAAAGTTTTCATAACCTTCTTGATCTTGATATCCTGCATGACGCCATTCTGCAATAGTACTACCATGGAAGATAAGGACATGGAAAAATGTATCCAAAAGTAATATAACATCTGGTTTGATTGAGATGGAATCCAATAAGACAGGTTGAGGTGATTCATCAAATGCATACGATGTCAATGTTGGTTGAATCATAATTAAAGAATTATCCACATTTTCACGATTTAATACATGACTAATAAAATAAAAAAAAACAAATTAGTTCCGTCCTTCCTTTTTTTATTATCTTTTTTTTCTTTACCGGTAAAAAGCTGTTTCATCAGGAGAATTATTGAAGACTTGTAAGAATTGACTTCGACGAAGATGGAACATAAATTGAGGATAGATAGAAAAGTTCTCGGATAGACGGAAACTATGAGGATCATCCTTACGATAATCAGCAAAACGTTGACAAAGACGAATAAGCATACGATCCAACCAACGAAGAACATCAGGACCATCATCAATTTCACCCTTGAATACAGCAATACGAGACATGAGTACAGCAGCAGTTTCTTGATCAAATGAATTGGCGATTTCAGGACTTTGACCATCAGCAAAATTGCGAGCAACCGTTGTAACACGTAATCGAAATTGACCACTGGAATGTTGATAATGGGTAACGAATTGAATCAGGCCTCTTGATCCAGGTTGTAGTTGTGCTGTTGGTTGATTCACAGCTTCAAAGTAAATCCCATTGGTCGTTTTAGACGTCACTGAACACATTTTCCATGATGATGTATTGCCAATACCGATTTCAGTTTCACCAACATAGGTTGATTTCTTGTTGCCAGACACAGCATGACCAATCAAACCACACACCTTGAGTTCACGAGTTGTCTACATACAAAAAAAAAAAAAAAAAAAAAAGAATCAATATAAATCTTCTTCCTTGAATTATCCACCTACCTGTACATCCAAAGTAGCATTGAAACCCATTTGTAAATGTCCTTGACTATCTTTTTGGAATACACGTTGGAAACTTTGTTTAAAAATAGCAGTGTTAAATGAGTCAGCCAAAATCATAAAACCACCAGTGTGATTGACCATTGATTTCATTTCCAGTAAACCAATTTGATCCAAACAACCCGCAAAAATATCGATGGTATGACCATTTGTAGCAGCACGCTTTGCAAGGCTTTCGTAAAACTATGGATAGATAACTGGTTGAATACAAAAAAAAAAGTCCTATTCCTTTTTTTTCTATATTTACCTTGATTGCTTTTTTATAATGTTTGGCGGTTTCCTTTTCAATATCATGATGAGAACGAATAGGTTCTCGTAATTCAGTGCTAACAACAATACCAGGACCTTCAGTTGCAGGACCACCACTAAATAGCATTATACGGGCACCAGTATTGGGGAATGTTGTCTTAAAAAAAAAAAAAAAGAGAAAGATAAATGTATAAATATATTATTTCAGTTTTTCCCCCAAGATATGAATTGTACTTACTTCAAGAAGACCAACAGCAACACTCATAGCAACACCAGTACATCGTTGAGCACGTTTGTCATTTGCTACTGGCCAAGGATCACGTTGTAGATTTTCCAAAATAGATGTCAAGACAAATTCACAATCGCTGGCTTTAAGTAGAAATCTACATAATCGTAATATTAGTTTTCATAAAAAATAAAAACAACAGCTATAACATATATTTGATAATTGAATTTACCTATTAGCTGACATGCTTGCCTGAGGAGGTTGTCCAAGTCTATGAGCAGGTTGACCTGGTCGAAAAGCATTACCACCAAGTCCCAACATTTCTTGAATTTGTTTTGCTGAATATTCTTTAGTTCCACGGAAGACAAATGATTTGGGACATTCTTGAAAGCCAAGTTCATGAACTTGAGTCTAAAAATAAAAATAAAAAAAAAAGGGATGATATTAGTATCCTTCACATTTTCCTTTGAGAAAGGTCAATTTTTTATTTTTATTTTACCATAGTGCCATAAGTAATCAAACCAACCCAAGCATTGTCTGGTAATAAACTTAGACTAACCACAAGAGCATCCTTCAAAGCTTTTAGGTCATCTTCGTCCAAACAGGTATCAACAACATAAAGAAAGATGGGAGGTATTTGTGCCACTCTATTCAAGTTGTATTCAATAGTGGTGTATTTTGGTAATAATTCAGGTGGTAGATTGGTGTTTGATATATCCTTGTATTGAGGTGGAAAGGCATTACGTTGAAGACAGAATGGGCAAATCCAAAGTTTTCCACGAACATCAATTTGACTATACAAGAATAATATTTTGATTAGTATGTCACCGTGTTATATATATATATATATATATATATATATATCTTTTTTTCTTACCAATATGGATTTAAAATAGCTCGACAAGGTGCTTTACAAGTAATTGGATCATAATAAATAGGATTTTGTACAAAGTCTTCACGTTCTTTCAAAGGTGTATAAAGACAAGCAATAGGAACCACAGCCTTGGTAGCTTCAATACGTGATGATGGCCAAGCATTCCAGGACCACCGAATACCATCCTGAAGAGAAGAATTAAAAAAGAGAAAGGAGGGTTATGTTGATATAAAGAAAATAAATGAATGGATATATGATATATTTACCTGTTCTTCTATTTCATCGAAATTCATATTGGATGAGAATTAAGGATGTATTATAAAGTATTTTTATTTTTTTAAAAAAAAAAAAAGAGAGAGAGAAAGAGAGAAAAGGGAAAAAAAGAAATAAAAAAGGCAAAATTCAGTCTCTTCTACGTGGCAATGTCGTTTCCGAGCGTGACTTGAAAAATAACACCAAACTTTTATGCCACTTGAGTCAAGTTTGCAGGACAGTGGAAGGAGAATACATGAAATCAAATATAAACTTTATTTCTTATTTTTTTTTTTTTTTTAAAAAAAAAACAAACTATTTCTACTTTTATTTCTAAACTATTGTTGATGAGATTTAACAGGGCGTAAATAACAAATGAAACCAATCCATACTAATTCATATTTTTGTTTTATCGTATCATCCAAGATCTTGCATATCCATTCAACATAGACAGTAAAGTAATAAACTCCAAGACTAGTACCAATATGCCACCAACCATGTAATTGAGATAAAGCACCAAGAGCATAAGGTACTGTTGTACGGAAATGTCTTAGATAAGAACAGAATTGATTATCAACATTCCATATACCAAAAGCCAAAATAAAACCAGCTGCTGCTAACTTTAATAGACGTACCAAACGAGGATGTTCATATTGATAAGTAGTACGATCAAGATGTCTAACAATATACACTGATCTAAATACAATCGTAATCACCAACAAAGCATAGGCCACTTGATGAAAAACTGGATCATTGATAATCAGGTATGAATATGTAACAAATGCTGAGTATCCCATGAGAAATAAAACCAATGATATTCCATACTTTGCTTTGCTATACACTTCTACACTAAGAAAAACGAAAGATGACAAGTTACATAATCATATCCAATTACAAAAAATCTCTATATGTTTTACCTGAAATAAACCATAATACATCCAACATAAATCACTATATTTTGACTCAAAAGATTAGTATATAATATAACATAATATAATCATGTTTTTTTTTTTTACTTGGTAGTTCATCCAGTAATTGCATTTCATATTGTAGAGTCATATGGAAACACCAAGATCCAAAGCCAACCAAAAGTACACCGAGATGAGCCAAAATAAAAGACTTGCTACAACCATTTTGAAGAGATTTATACATACCAAAAAGTGATAAAAAAGCTATGAGGAAGTTTGTTAATAGAGTGAGTTAGAATCATAATGAAAAGGAACTTACCAAAACTTAAGTTTGTGGTTGTATTGATGAATTCAGCCAAGTAAGGTGATAAGGCATAGTTTTCCTTTAAAAAATAAAAAAAAATTGTTAATACAAGAAAGAAAGAAAGAAAAAAAAAAAAGAATCAAATGTACCTCGCACCAATCAATAGTTGCTGTCCTGGAAACAATATATATATAAAGTATAAGTTTGTAGTATAAACTTATAGTTAGATTGAACTTACGCTGGACCCCAAAAATATTTATCTTGAGGTATAGAATCCATGTCAAAGAAATAAGAAAGTGAAGATAAAAAAGGAAGAAAGAAACAACACAAACGCGAAAGAAAAAAAAAATATTGCAGGCTTGATTGATTTTGCTATGAGCATGAGGATTGTATTTTAACATCCGCTATTATTTTTTTTGTCAGTGTGTTCAGGGGTGAAAGAAGAAATTGACAGTGGGACATACAAACAAAAGTGTATGTTGTCGTGATGATAGGAGTATTAGATTGCATTTACAATGGTAATTTTCTTTATTTAAAAAATAACTACCATATCAAGCTCATTCTTGTAATAGCATCTAGGCCAAAAAAAAAAAAAAAGAACACATGATCTATTCAAAGGAAAGGGAGACGATAAAAAAAAAAAAAAAAAAAAAAAAGGAAAAAAGTAGAGCTTTAATATTGTTTGTATCATTTATACTCACGTGGACATACCTTTTATTCCATTTTTTGTCCGTAGCAACGGCTCAGTGTAACAAAAAAAAAAATCTTTATCAACGCCAGCCCGGTTTTAAGGGGGCTTGCCAAAACAAGACGATGACTCATTTGCGGATCTCCGACTGAGAAAGAAAATGTGCACCAATCATCTTCAAATTTCTCATCTTATTATAAAAGGCTCCACAAAAAAAATTTTTATTGTTAATCTTCCTTTTTCCTTTTTTCTTTATCTTTTTTTTTTTTCTTTTACCTTACGAAACCCTTACCCCCCAAGTTATTAAAGCGCTCTCATATTATTATTGTCTTAGACATGTCTTTCTCTGCTTAAATTTATTAATCTCGTACCCACCCTGTACGATCTTCGCACTGTTACAATATTATTTATTTTTTACAAGTCTTTTACGTCTCGCCCATCATGGCCAACGACCACTCTTTACTAAGATGTCTTCTTAACAAGAAAATTTGCAAAACCCGAAATCCGGAACCTCCTTGTTGAAACTATATTTCTTTTTTTTTAAAAAATTCAAACAATGACTACTTCTACCGCTGTTACTCAAGAAAAATCTGATATCGCCAAAACTATGGACCAAGATCTCTTCCAATTCTTTGACTCTCTCTCTCAACCTTCTCCTGTGGGTGAATGGTTTACTTCTACTCAGGATATGACTGCTACTATGACCACTCCTGCAAGTACTCACTCTAGTCCAGAAATAGCTACTCCTTTGGATATTCATTTATCTCCTTCTGCTCCAAAGGCTGAACCCATGCCTGTTTCTGTTTATGGTACTACAGTATGTGGTGGTGTTGCTGGTGATCTCGACATGTCTGAAATTTTGAACTCGCCCATCTTTGATTCTCCTGCTTCTGCCATGACACCAACTATGACTCCTGCTACTCCTCATGTTGATATGTTTTCTGAACTGAGTCAAGACCTACCTTCTGCTTTGGCTGCTTTTGTTGCCGCTGTTTCTACTTCTGTACCTCCTTCTGGGCCCTCTGGTTCTTCTTCAATGCCATCATCATCCTCTTCTTCTTCCTTACCTATTGTTTCTTCTACTTCTTCCCCTGTTATTTCTTCTGTGGATACTGTCAAGTCCTCCTCTGTTTCTCGTAAGCGATCAACCCCCTCTACTGATGATGTGCCTATGGATGAAGCTGCTATCAAGCGACAAAAGAATACCGATGCTGCTAGACGATCTCGTCTGAAGAAGGTTATGAAGATGGAATCCTTGGAAAAGCGGGTACAAGAATTGGAACGAATGAATGCCCAGTTATTATTACGTGTTGCTGTGTTGGATTCTGAAAAGTCTCATTTACAGACCAAGGAAGCTACTCATGAATCACGTATCAAGACTTTGGAATCTCAACTGGCTGAAGCTCACAAAGCTCTTGCTTCTCGATCTTCATAGTTTTTTTTTTTCTATTTTTTTTTTTTTTTGACTATATTTCTTTTATATTATATATTTTTTGTCTTTAGTTTATTTTTGTTTTATAATCCAATTTTTTTTTCTTTATTATAATTACTATTTATCGTTTTACTCTTCAATAAATATTTTTACTGTTTCAAAAATCCATTTTTGACTTTGACTTCATAATATATTTCCTTGTTTCATCTTTGATTCTTGTAAGCTTGGATTCAGCAATCATCTAATTTATTTAAGGGACACAGGCACACAAACAGTTGTTTGAAAGGAAATGATAGATAACATTAAAAAAAAGTAATGATTGTAAATAGTGACAATGAATATAATTTTATTAAACAAAAAGAATGTAAATGTGTGTAATTGATATATTAAGTATGATAGTAAAAAGAATCACTACTGCTTTAATCGAGAATAAGATAAAAAGATCAAGAAGATATCTCTAATTGATTGTAAATCGAATCCAATTGAATCCTATAATACATCCTGTTCATCCATTTCGCTGATCCAGACGGATAGCCACTTCTCGTAGTATCCTATTGACATGAAACTATAATGACCAATCTTCGTGCATCTAGATTTCTTTCTTTCTTTCAGACGTATATTCAGTAATAGTCATTGCCCAGGATGCCAAGTAAGAAGGATAAGAAGAAGAAAGAACGATAATCCTAGATAGACAGATGTTGTAGTAAAAAACATCAAGGTCCAAAGAGCGTGTATAAAAGAAAAAACAAGAAAAGTAAAGTTAGAAATAAGAAGAGGAAAGGAACTTGTTTTTGAAACTTACAGTTAATAAGAGTGAGTGTCTGTAAAAGCACATAGAGAAAAGGATATAGCAAGGAGGTTGGAATGATTCATGTATAAAAAGAAGAAAAGGTTAGGAAAAAAACGGTATCATTATCTTTTTTTTTTTTTGTCTTACTTTAACCGTCATATTTGTATCTAGAATATAGATTCAAATAAAAAAAAAAAAAGAGAGATCAATATCATATAACGTTGGTGGCATAATGAAATGGATTTACCTTATTAAACATAAGTAATACAGCATATAAGAGGCTAAAGGTACTTGTGTTCGTTTGTTTTAACTAAAAGGTATAAACACACTACAAAAAAGAATGATTCAGTCAGTTCAGGAATACAATGAATATATGTATAAACAATCGTGTATTATTATTTCCATACCTTGCTTTGATTTGTCTTAAAAGGTAAACATATAACAGAAAGAAAAAAAAAAAAAAGAACAATAATGTGATAAAATTAAAAATAAGAAGAAGAAGAAGAAGAAGAGTAAAAATAAACAGATGTCCTTTTTTTATTTAGCAATGCATAATTTTCTCTCAGCGAGCCTGTGGGCAAAACATGCTCCTTCCAAATTAGGACTAGGAACCCAATATTTTATTCAACTCTACATAGAAACCCTAAATTCTACCTAGAAAACCAATTTTTATTCAACTCTGTATAGAAGTCCTAAATTCTACCTATTTGACCTAATAATTATGTTTATTACAAAAAAAAAAAGGTAAATCTACCTATTATATGCTTTCTAGCCTAGATAGGAGAAATGCGATCTGCGATGTGGGTGTGCAGTTTTACACTTTGTTCACTAATAGATGACACAGTTTCAAAATAATATGTAATATATTGATGATGGGTAATGGATGATGGGCGATGGATGATGACTGAATATAAAGGTTTTGCTGAAATTTATCGACTATAGGAAAAAAAAAATCAATTTGCAACGTTGGGGTTGGAGCGAAGAATAAAAAATCATGTCAAATTGTCGTCAGTGGACGGGCTTCAAAAACCCACCCCTTTGTGCATGTTTTGCTTTTTTTTAATTTTTTTCTTTCTTTTTTCTTTTCTTCATCCACTTTTTTTTTCCACATTGGGTGTCCTTTTTGTTTGTGCGATCTTTTCATGGTAGATTTTATTGGATTTGGAGGGTTTTGGAAAAGGGATTTACAAAATACATGGGGAAACCCTTTCATTTTGGATGTAGGATTTAGTACAGGTAAATGACAAAAATATTTTTATAATAGTATGTGAATTACTTTGCCTGGTTTTATTTTACTAACAATGTGAACGAAAAAATGACTGGATAACAAGCTTCTTTTGGTTAGGAAGGGCAGCTTCTTGTTAGGATCTCGGTGGTGAACGAAGGCTTCTGGTTGGTACTATAATAGATACAGTAGTGATAGTTTTAGTTAGTCAGTATGTGGATTTTTTTTTTTTGAAATAAAAATTATATTGCTTTTTATGATACACAACAGTAAACTTCCATGGCTCTTTTTTTTCTTTTTGATGATGATCATCATTATTAATTGGATGAGGGATGACTGAATTGACTTTTCATTCTTGGTTTACCTTATAAATTGGGAGGCAAGGTGTATATTGCTATTAATACAGCTGAAAGAGAATGTCATCACGCATCTTCAGTCCAAATTTCTTACAATGATGATAGGTTGCGAGTGAACTACAGAAATATAAAGAGGCAGGAAATTTGACTGATGATCATGATTCATAGCTTTGATTGTTGCAGTAATTGATTCAAATTCACTAGTCAATCGTGAAGATAACTCAGGTAAAGCTAACTGGATTTCTTGACTTGAAGTGAAAGCTCGTTCATCATTCTCTTGTGCTTTTAGCACTTGATCTTCGAATTGCTTATATAAAGTTGCGGAAAAAACACATCCTGACCAAAGATAATCGTCAGGATATATTTGCTTCGATAGTACAGAATCATAAAAGTACAAAAAAAAAAAAAAAAAAAAGATGAAGATAAGATTACAAAAAAAAATCATCATCCATCATCCATCATCCATCATCCATCATCCATCATCCATCATCCATCATCCATCATCCATCATCCATCATCCATCATCCATCATCCATCATCCATCATCCATCATCCATCATCCATCATCCATCATCCATCATCCATCATCCATCATCATCCATCATCCATCATCCATCATCCATCATCCATCATCCATCATCCATCATCCATCATCCATCATCCATCATCAATCATCAATCATCAGTCATCAATCATCAATCATCATCAATCATCATCCATCATCATCCATCATTATCCATCATTATCCATCATCCATCATCGGTTGTCCATCATACTGTAAATCAAAAAAGAGAGATGCCATATCTGCCATTCCTTTTGTTTTGGTAAACAGTTTATAATCGTGTTGATCGGACGTCGTGCCCGATTTCTTGTCAATGTCGCTTCATTTTGATACTTGATCAATGTGTGGATATAATTGTCTTGTTGGATTTGTTGATCATCCACGATGACGTATATATGTATATGGAATAAAAAAAAGAAAAAGAGATCGAAAGAAGGTAAAGAAATAAAAATAAAAAAAAAAATAAGACAAAAGAAAAGGAAAGATTTTTACTTTTTATTTTTATTTTTCAAATCATCAAGATGACATATGAAGTGGAAAAAGAAACATTGCCTAACCAAATAATACTAATCAATACAGAAGGAGTGGTGACCCATTGCTTGAGACTCAGATGAGAACGAGAGGTCAAAATACTGAAGTATTTGGCATCAGTATTTTTGCATTTTGGCCCTGTACAACACCAAAATACGGATTTTTTGGGACCTGACCCGCCAAATTTTTTTGAGACTGAGGGTGAGAGGGATGAGACTCAGTTTCTAGATACTAGGATGAAATCAACCTTTAAAGCTGACTATGAATTAGTTTTTTTTTTTTTTTTTTATCTTGCTATCTGTCAAAATCTTGACATTTGTCCAATTCACACACTTTTGACCATTCCTCGCCCTTTTGACCAAGACTTTCTTTTCTTTTTTATATTTTTGGTCTCATCTGAATCACTACTCTTACACGGTTTCATCCGTTTTATTTTCTCATTGTTTCTTACAATGATTCATCACCATCATCTAAGAATACAGTAATCTTTAGTTTTAGTATAAGTATATTTTTCTCTCTTTGTCAAAGTTTTATTATAACAAATTCAATAAAAGATTGTATAATCAAATCATCTTGGCCACTCTTAAGAAATAATCATCTTAAGTTTTAACTTTATTTTATTTAAACAACATCTATCTTATACAATCAATTACTATTATTATTTTTATTTGATCATCATCAAGTGTGATCAAATCATCAAGACATCTACTTCTATATTTGGAACCTAGATTTAAATATACTTTATTGTATTTTGTTCTTTTTATATAAAAGAACTGGTGCTCACTCTGAACAGATCAATAATATTATTATATTAATAATATTATCTATCAACTATATAAATCAATCATCCGCTCAGTAACAAAAAAAATCCTTAATAATTTATTTTTGCAAAAATTTTATAGGCGGTATATCTCTCCGTACTCTTTTTTTTTTTTTTTTTTTTTTTTTTTTTTTTTTTTTTGGTTTATTCCCAAATATGATTTTACGGTACTCTATCAACAAAAGACTTTATACAACTTTTCAGGTAAATGGACAGAAATACTGATCTTGTACTTCCTCAGCATGAGTTGAAGAAGGAAACTAAATGAACTTTCCTCTTTTTTTTTTTTCTTTTTTTTCTTTAGAGGTTAGGCATCTCTCAAAGTACAACAGATCACTTGAATTCTAAATTCGGTATCAACAAACCAACAGCTGCACAAACGAAATTCATCCCGGCTATCTTGACAGGAAATGATCTTTACTTACGTGATGCTACCGGTACTGGAAAATCGTTTGGGATGGCTCTCACATTGGCAAGTCAACCTTCTTGTCATTCACTTTACATTGCGCCGAATCAGGAACTAGCTTCACAAATCAATGATTGGTTACAACAACTTTCACCTTCTTGTGGTCATGTTGTTGTTGATACCCCTGCTCGTCTATTAGAACGTCTCGCTACAGAATATATGGACTATTTTGATCGTATCGTATTGGATGAGGCCGACCAAGCACTTCGATTACCAAAACGATATGCCACTTTACGACAACAACAACGACGTCAACTACATCCTAAACCAGCACAATTAGTCCTACAATCCTTACTTTCCCCATCAACAAGAAAAAAGCCACAACTGATTGCCACTTCTGCTACTCTTAATCGTCCGTTACGACATTGGTTGGTACAACAAGGATGGATGGTTGATCCAGTTTTCATCGATCTTTCAAACCAACAACCATGGGATTCAACTCAAGATGGACCTGTACAACATTATTGTCTTTTGATATCGGAGGATTCGATCCGCAACATTACTTTGCAGCCATCCATACCATCGTCAACAGTAGGATTTGAAGATGATGATGATCGAATGTTGGAAAGCGTTGCGATATTACACGATATGGAGCAAGTGGAAAACAGTGTGTTGTTTGTGGATACATCGATCAGTATTGTGGATGTTCAAGCACGCCTCAGTGCATGTGGGATTCATTGCAAGGATATTCGACAAGCAACAAGGACAGATCGAAACACACTTTGGATTGCTACGGAATTCACAGCAAGAGGGGTAGATCTTCCTTCCATATCACATGTCTTCATCCTTGGAAAACCCGCTTCAGTGGCAAGTTACCTTCATATGGCTGGACGTACTGGACGATTGGGCCCTGATGGTATAGGTCGTGGCAAGGTTATTAGTTTAGTACGTGATCAAGGTCGGTCAGAGGCAAAGATGCTCAATATGTACAAATTGTTGAACCTTCCTATCAAGTCATTGGAACATGTGGAATAGATAGATTTTGTAGAATAGAATTATTTTTTTTTATATTAATAAAACTTGTATTTTTATTATTTTGGTTTTTGTCTGTTTCATGTTGGTGACAACTGGATAAATAGAGGATAAGTATTCTAATGATGATGTTTTTTTAATAAATGTAGAGAATGGGAGATAATAACGATGTAAGTTAGCATTAGTATGAATAAGAAAGAATTAAACATCGTATAGGATATATTCTTTTTTTTTTTTATTTATTTATTGATATGGAAAATGATCACAGTGTATTTTTTTTTTTTTAAAAAGTCTATGATAAAACGTGCATAAAAAATAATTCTATTCTAAGTAAAAGGGATAATATCTTGAAATTGATCACGATGGTCTTCCATTGCTTGTTTGGGGCAATCACGTAAAACCTGAATAAACATCTTCTTAATTCTACCAGAATCTTCATCATCATTTTCAGATAATAGATCCACTAATTTCAGTACACGTCTGACAATCTAGTATCAAAAAAAAAAAAAAAAATGAGTCTCATTCTATGGTAGTAGACCTTCCTTCTTTTTCATCTCTATCATTTTCAATCAATCACACACACACATATATTATATATTCATTGTCATCACGATTTACCTGTCGTTGAGCATCTAGTCCTTTCGCCATGGAAATAGAATAGGCCAGTAAATAAGCAGTGTCTGCTAAAGCAATATCTTGTGCAAGTTGTAATGGATGTTCAACCAAAGAACGAGACCATAAAACGTCCAATGCCTGTCGAATGATGGTTTCAATAGCCAAAGCAGTGGCACGTACACTGATTTCCTTCTTCATCGTACCCGACACAATGACAATCAATACATCCAAAAGTCGAATCACCCAAGCAAACCGGTCGGACAATGCTGTTGTTGTTTTTGTCAAATCCATCAAAGTATCGCATAGAATATCCCAACATTGAGAAGCAGGTTGAGTGATTGAAGATTCTCCAAATAAAAGTAATAAATGTGTGATCACATCCGTCATCCATCTTGCTATCGGTAGAGCCGTACGTTGTAAATGACACACTTCCATTATCGCCTTGACCTTGAGGTAGGCTGTCGATGCATCATTCATCCAAGTTTTGAAGTCGGATCCCTGAAGTAAATCATCCATGTTGTTGATGCTTGTTTGTATACTTAAAGATATCATATCCAAAGTTGAGCTGTTGTCATCTAGGAGTCGGTATGTAATGTTGTATCGTAATGTGTCTTGTAACGATATGATATATTTCGCTTGGGCTTCATTGGTATTAGAAGTCGATAGTGGTAAATGATTCTTCACAGTTGACAAAAAGAGTTTCTAGAAAAAGAATAATAGACATGAGTTACTATTTTTATTTTATTTTATTTTATTTATTTCCCTCGTTCTTCCTCAAATGATATATGTATATATTTTACCTGACAATCCATTGGAAGTTGTTTGAATAACTTGCAATATGCTTCAAACAATTCGATCGCCCGAATATCAGATACTGTCATTTTCTTGGTAACAGCATCCATCCCACGTCGCCTGTGAGCTGTATCTAATACGACTGTTTGATCTGGTAATCCACTTAGTTCCAATAGTTTCCCAATACCGTCTTGACCGACCAGTACTAAAGTGATACCGTCAATGTAGTGTGTTGATGCTTGACCTAATTCAGACAGAATGTATTCGGATAGGGAAAGTGAAGTAGTAGCATGCATAGAAGCAAAACGTATACATTGCACACGAGTAGCTGTTGAGATCTTGGAGAGCTTGGATAAAAGGGTGTACCAGTTCACAGAAGGAAGAGGACCAATGGTATCGCGCAAGGCAGACAACAATACTTTTGTATAAGGTTCAATGTCATTTGGCTTGTGATCATGTTGATAGACAGTCGCCACTTGAGTTAAAGCGTCAAACACTGCACGTAAGTAACTTGTGTTATTGTTGAGTCGGCTATATGATTTAGGTTCAGCTGATGTCGCTGCCACAGCCCTTTGCGCAAATCCTGCTGATTGTATATCATGTTTGTCGTTCAAAGCATCTTGCAACTGTCTTGATTTCTGTACCAATTCACCACATATCACGGCAGCAATTCGTCCACTCTTTAGATTTCCTGCAGAAAGACCATCTGTCAATCCAGCCAAAGTTGTCATTACATCCAGTAAAGGTCGTCGTATATCCTTGTTGTATTGTTGCGCTTCCTTAAACAGTTGTTCTTGTTCCACCATTGAATGCAAGTAATCAGCTCCGAGAAGACTTCCAAGACAAAAGAGAGCAGGAATACGTAATGAACTTGAAGCATCATCGGTTTGAATCATTTCTACGTTGGCCAAAAATTGTTGACTGAAATTGGGTGATGATTCATTTTCACCATCGGCGATATGCTGTAATCGGAATAATCTTGATAGTGGGACATCAAAGTGGTACATTTGCTTGGCAAGCATACTCTAAAGTAAAAAAAAAAAAAAAAAAAAAAAAAAAAAAAAAAAAAAGATGAGATATAGAGAACAAATCAGTTTTTGTTACTAAGAGTTGATGGTCATCTTCTATTTTATACTCTACTTACATCATCACGAGCAATGTGTGCTGCTTTGCTCAATACATCGACGGTTTCTTGATCTAATACTCCATATTCATCGTAAGCACCATAAGCACAAATCCATGGGGCACCCAAGAGTAAGCCAACGTTCAATGATTTTCGATTAGTATAAAGTTCCAACTGTTTGCGAGCATGTATAATGACATCCCTCATATCGTTTTGATCCAACTTGGAAGCCCATCCCATCATGATACCAAGACAAGTACTTTCAGATAGCGAATCAGGGGAGCCATTGCAATAATCTAAAAGTTCGGATATACCACGACCGGCCAAAGTTTCTATTGTTGATGATTTCGTTGGCCAGGTTGCTAATACAGATGAAAAATGTCCTGCCGCATATCCACTTGAGAAATGAATCAAATCCACAGATGCATCCATGCTTCGTTTCGAAGGTCGACATTGTGTTGCCAATGTAAGAAGGGTATCCAATATCTGTGTTGTCATTTTATCATTGATGATAATACATTTTGCCACATGACCGAGACAATATCGTGCAGCATATTGGACTTCTTCACTCGTCACCAAAAGTGAATTCAGCTTGCTATCGCCGGATGTAATGTATCTTGAGGTAATAATGTCGATAAGTTGGGTAGTACATGTCGTCGCATGAGAGGGAAGGATTTCATATAATGTAGAAATCATACCTATTTAAATGAGAAGACAGATGGGATGTTTCAGTTAGTAAGAACAAAAAAAAAAAAAGATCTTACCAGTCAAAGCCAAAAAGATGTTGCAAGTCTGACCAGGAACAGTACTTTTTTCCAATCGTAATAGAAGATCCTCCAACAAGAATGTTGCCCTTTTTTCTATATCACTTTCGTTGCCAACCAAGATAGCACCGAAGAAGGATTCCCAGGCACCAGCAGACGAGATTCGTACCAGTAGGTGATCAGTCAATCCAATATCACCAAGAGATGTCACCATGCATCGGTACCATTTTGTCTTGACTAAGGTTTCCATTGTGTCAGCTTGTATGATTGGATCCAAATGATGTGCCACTCCTTGTAATACAGCAATAGTATAACCTGATCGTAACCCTGGTGAAATACGTGCATTTTCCCAAGCTGCCACAAATTCTGCGCCAATCTGGTGTTCTCTGCTATTCAATAGATCCTTGTTGTGTGAAGAGTTATTGTCATCATCATCATCATCATCATTGATGGTTGATTTTGATATATTGCCCTGTTCGTCTTGGAAAAATCCACGTCGCATATGATCCAGTTCATAGGTAATCAAATTCACTAAAATATCACTATGTCCATCATTGATGTAGTTGTCATTGATACTATCCACGTATTCTTTTGCTTTTTCAGGTAGTAATGTCAAGATATCGGATGTTGGGAACGATGATAATGCTTGAAGAGCTGATGTTTGAATAGATTTATCGGATGAACATATCAAAGTTGATAAATAGTCGTCTAATAAAACTTGTTTGAATTCTGTATACGGATCAGATACTAAACCAAAAAAAAAAAAAAAAAAAAAGAAATGGTTAATAACTCATTTTGATATAATCATTCTTCGAGTAGACTTACAGTCATCCTTTTTCCCCGCCAAGTTGAAAAATTCACATAATCTTCGTAAAAGGAGAGAAGCTTGGTCGGTAGGTAGATTCATAGCAAACTGAGCAATATAACTGATAGCCACTAACCACAAAGAACGAGGTTCAGCCATTCCAGCACGGATACAAGCACACATCGTTTGGACAATAATGGAGAGAGATGCCACATGCACATATTGACATGTTTGTAACAAAGATATCAACATGGGTAGAATATCCGGAGCGCAGTCTCGAGGATGAGTTTGACATAGATCACGCATTGTCGTCAAGATAGCAATTTCCATTTGTGTACTTCCAGTTTGGTCGATTTCGATAGAGCTTCCACGTCCATTGTTTGATTTTCGTCGAAGAATCCAATCCGATAATACCTTTCGAAGTTCTTGCCAAATTCGCGGTTGTTTGTCATGTAGTTTTACTAATACTTTGAGTCCGATGCTTGACATTGTAGTCTCTCTTGTTGTATGAGATAAGACATTGGCGAGGGTAGACGAATCGTTTGTTCCATGAGTTAGAGATAAAGCGACATGAAGTATTTTGGTAGTAGTAATGGGATCGTTTGTGCTGACTAAAGATGGAATTGAATGGTGTAATATATGTAGTAGAGTTTCTGTTGTTGCCACTGGATGACGCATAAGATAAATAAATACAAGCAACATTGGAAATTTGAGAGATGTTTGACCCGAAGTTCTGTTGACCAAGTCTACGATGTTGGATAAAGAGGTCAATCGAATACTTTCATCAATACTGAATAACAATGGTACATAAAACAGAATACTGTGAAAAGAGAATAAGGAATCTTGTGTTGAGAGTACTTGTATTGACTTTTGTTGACCGGAATACGTTCGATCTAAGTATTGACAAAGATAAGGTACCATATGAGCCATGCTTCCAGAGATTTCATACCACTCGATTTCACAATTGATCTACAAAAAAAAAAAAAAAAAAAAAAAAAAAAAAAAAAAAGGTCAGATTTTTTATTCGATAATGCTTCCTCCTCTTTCATTTTTCATAATGTATTTATACTTTTTCAATAATAAGATTATGATCATCTCCAGTAGACATACTAATGTGGTTAATCAAAGACACCAAATCAAGTATAGCAGCCCTAAGTTGTTGAGAAGTAGAGGTTCCATCAAAGTCTTGAAGTTCAGCCAATGTTTGAAAGAGTGGTAATAAAGCAATCAGCAGAATATCAGATTGACCATGCTCGGATCCAGCCAAAAGTTGTTGCAAGAGACCAACAATAACAAATTGATCATCCACTGTTGACGCAGTCAAAAGCAAATAAGAAAGAGAGCACCACACAAGGTAAAAGTTGGGCATGGCAATGTAGATTTTGTTTTCATCAGACGGGCATAATTCTTCAATCATCATAACACGTTGTACACGCTCTATATAGGATAAGGTTGATCGATGGTACATTGAAGCATCATAAGCGCGTTGTAAAAGTTTGTATATCAAGTCATTTGCCAGGAGAGTCAAATCATGAAATTCTTGGGATGAATGTAGTTTGGTGTTGAAGGTGAGAGTATTGATAAGAATGTCCACAATAGCGAGGTATCCATGCTGAGCGTATTGGGAAGGATATCGTCTGCAAATATCAAACAAATAATGTATAAGGACTAATAAGATATCGTCGGTACCCACCATGAGGAGATTGCTAAAGCGATGGAGGAGAGCAGCAGAATCGACGCCTTTCAAATTCATCAAGAAGACAGCATCGTAGAATGGAAGTAAAGCATTAAACATATCGTCGTTGTAATCAGTCCTACATTGTTCCAAACAATAGTCCACTTCCACTAACAAGTCATAATACAGTTCGGGTCTATGTCGAAGAATATATACAAAAGGATGTTTTCCGGGATCTCTATGACAGGTGTCAGGATCTTGTGTTGTTTGCCATAGAATGAGTTGAGTAAGAGATCGTAGGAAAATACTGGAACGTGATTCATCATTGCTGATGAGTATAAGGTTTTGAAACTGTTGTAAAGTAGAAACCAGTTCGAGTTTGGATGACTTGACACTTTTCACCACTTTGTCACAAGAAGTCGAGATGGCGATAGAAGACAAGTCAGAGTTACCAAGGATTTGCCACAATCTTTCTACCTTGTCAGGCGCGAGTGAAGAACTTTGTTGTATTTGAATAAAGCGATGCTGGACAATAGTTTCATCAGAATGTGCCATTACACCTGGAATGAAATGATTGAATGTTAAAAGAAAAAGACAAAGGAAGAGAGAGAAGGAGACGAAAAAAAAAAAAAAAAAAAAGAAAAAAAAAGAAAAGAAAAAGAAAAAATATCTACCGTATTATTTGACAGTCCGCTGATTCGCAAGTTTTTTATGCGACATACTGTATACAGTACCATCATTAGGCAATTATCAGAGACAACATGTCTCCAGTGTGTAGATCTTCCTTTTTTCTTATATAATAGATTTTCTTATTATATTTTCGATGCTTTATTAATCCTATTTTCCAAATAAATTCACTAATTTAATACTAAGTATAGTAAAAACGATACAAGTGTCAGTATAAAGTTTTTGTTTTATTAAACAAGATGATATATAAATACAAGAATGAGGGAAAAAGATGTACAAAAAAAAAAAGTAGCTAAATTAGATATGCTTTTCAATTGGGAGTAAACCCCTTTTCCTTGCGCGCTTTTCATGCATTTGGGCCTTGTCTTCCATATAATCATCCAAATGCGTTGATAGATTGTATCCACAGGCTTCCATATCATCCAAGGCCATCTGTAATCGAGGATCATTGCTGACTGCTAGTTTCTTGATCAATCTATAATAGGCTCCACGTAATGGTATCTGACCAGTTTTTTTGATTTGTTCCAAATAGACAAAGGCATCTTCAAAATTTTCTTGTGTACACATCAATGTTACCATCTTCGAAAGAGAGACCACTGTTGGTTGAATACCAGATTTTCTAAAGGAATTGAAGAAGGCTTTACCATGTGATGCACTACGCTGATGAATACAGGCATCCAAAAGAGCATCCAATGTGTCCACATTAGGAGTCACACCCAAATCTTGTGCTAAATCAAATGTCGCCAGAGATTCTTCGAATTGTCCGTTATACGCAAATGTATGAATGATCATGTTGAATGCTGCTACATCCACTAATCCCTTGTTATCGTTCTCCTTCCGTAATTCCACTAGCATTTGTCTTGCTTGAATAATTGCATTAACGTCCTTGCCTAATCTTAAAGCCACAGGTGTCAAAGTTGATTTGGATGGTGTGATACCGGCTTGTCGCATAGCTGTCAAAACTCGGAAGGTATTTTTCATATCAGAAGTAGAAGCGAATGATTCTAATAGGCAAGTAAAATGATGATCAGTGTAAGGGTATCCAAGATCGCCAGTTGTATAAAGTACATCGTATGCTAGTTGAGGATCGCTGAATCGAGCTGCCACAAGAAGTGCATGTTTGCAAAGGCCATCATCAGGTAATAAGTTTTTATCTTTAGTCAATGTTTTCCAATATCGTTTGACCATTTCATACTAATAAATAATATATATATACATAAAATGAGTTTCTCTTTTTATATATAAAAAAAAAAAAAAAAACTTACGTTGTCAGTCAATACAGCACAACGGAGAGCAGATAAATATAGATGTTTTTTTGTAATCGTTTCCACCTTTTCCATCTGTTCTAATAAATCAAAGGCAATCGAGGCTTCATTGAATAGTAGTGCAAAATCGATCATGGTCATAAAGATTACTGGTGTTGGTTTGATGTCTAATTGTTTCATTTCTTCCAATGTATCCAGTGCCCGTTCGAATTCTAGATTTTCCTTCATCGTTAATATCAGTAGTTTGTATGTTTGTGCTGTCCTTTTCACTCCATGTATCTCCATTCGTTCCAAAATCCTTGCTTGTAAAATCGTATCAACGTTATCTGAAGCAGCCTTAATAGATATATAGATAAAAAAAAAAAAAAAGGAATAAGTTTAACATCAATATATATATATATATATATATATTCATGAACTTACCTGCAGTGCCTTGTGGAAAAATTCAGCTGTAAGAGGAACTCCATTGGCTTCCATTTCTAATATAAGAGGCATCACCATTTGTCGTGCTTGTTTTGTGGAATATATATCAAGAAGCTTTTCATAGACTGAAGGACTAACAGGAATACCGTCTTGATAAAGTTCATTCACCATGTTCCGCATATGTTTTAATAGAGTTGGTCTTTTTAATGAATATTGCGATCCAGTTTCCAGTAACCTTTTCATGACCGATTCTGATTTGTCTATAGAAGAAGAACGTGTTATTGACGTTGTTTCTGTTGTATCTGATATCATTGAGTCCACTGAAGAGAGACTAGAGGTTGCAGTTTGTGTATAGAGTCGCCAAGAATTAAAACATGGACAGCCTTTTAAAATAATAGAAAAGATAAGGTTAAAGGTCATAAATAAAGTTATCTATTGATTAACTTACGTTGATCAATTATTAATTTGTTATTACGGAATCGGATCTTAGTTACTGTACATAATGTACGGGATATCATGTTCAGAGAGAGAGAGGAACAAAAAAAAAAAAAGGTGTCAAAAGTTTTTTTTTCTGGATGAAAGGAAATCATTTATCAGAGTATTTTTCAATTACCGCTTTTTTCTTTTTTCCTTTTTTTTTTTTTTTTTTTTTTTTAGTCTTTCTTTCTCATGTTCCAAAGTAAAAAATATATTGCTAGTCGTCATGGTCAATCCAGTCCTAACAGATATGAATATCTTCAACAACTTGCACATGAATACACATCAACAAATGATATTGGTAAGTTTAAATATATGAATTTTATGTAGTATTGACCATTTTCTTTGTTTGATAGAAGCCAAACAACAAGTGCTAGCCAACTTGGCCAACTTTGCATATGATCCTGGAAATTATGACTGGTTATGGGATATTAATGTAGTGGATCTCTTTTTAGGTAAAGCGTTATAAGAAGCATTTTATAGAAAAAGAAAAAAAAAAAAAAGAAGGTTTAGATTAACTAGTTCGCTTTACAAATTAGACGCGTTGGATAATGACGATATTCTATTGCAGGAATTTGGATTAGGTGGACTTGCCAATATTTGTTTAGGTAATATCTTTGTTGTACTTTTATGCGTTTTTATTTCTTATTCACTTTTTATTTTATTTTTATTTTTTATAGAACCACGGCATCAATATTATATTGTATCTGATCCCAAATATATCAAAGCAATCTCTAGGTATATTTGTAGTCGACCAAACAATGCAACCAACAACACGATACTCAATGCCCTTACTACTCTTTTACTGTTACTAAATTCTCAAACTCAAGAAGGTATAGATTTTCTTTTATTATTTATCTTGATATCAATATATTGATTCTATATGCTCATATATCATCGATGGGATACTTTTTTTTTTTAACTAGTGATATTGACAGAAGAATTAAAACAAGGATTGATCCAATTACGTACAGATGTCAAGTATACAACAATAAGTAGAATGGCTGGTTTATTTCTACATGATTACTATCAAGAATGATTTGTATGTCTCTTTTTACACTTGTTAGTTAGTTGCGCTTACTCCCTATATACCCTTATTATTAGCATTAGTTATCATTTAGACTTTAATACATATCCATTGAAATAAACTAAATTTATAGACAAAAAACGACTATGAGATCAAATAGGAACTCAACGGAGTAAAAGAAAGCCTTGATATACATTTATTTTTATTATTAAACACATGTGTGCTCGAGTATAAAAACGTAGGATCATACTGTAATAACACTTGATGTGGAATGATTTATCCATAATTCATAGAGAGAAAGGACCCTGAACGAGCCTATGTCATCCCTGCATACTCACACTTAGAAGAAAGGGATGTTCATATGATAATGATGTATTCCTTTTTCCTTGTTTCTTTTCATGTCTGCATATATATACACACATAATATTAACTAGCATTTAGAATATCCCTCAGAGAATTTTTTTTCCTTCTTTTTTTTCTAACATCATTTAAATAATAATATGTAGATAATTTTTATTTTCACAAATATATATATATAAATGAGTATATGACAAAGTAATATATAAAAAGAGAAGAGAGATAATGGAATATATATAGAGATAATAGAAAAAAAAAAGATGGTGACTATATACAAAGATAAACTAACGAACAAAAAAAAAAAAAAAAAAGAATGTTTCATACAAAACGAATACTAATTCTTGTTTTTCTTTCCACCACTTGATCAGGCCAGTTTTCCAATAACATTTCCAACCATTTTCTTCTTGTTGATTCCTTCAGTTGATTAACCCATTCTTCGACTTGAGTACCACGTTGAATGACAGCCCACCGTACTAAAATCTTATCCTTGAGAACTTCACCTGGAGCTAAAGGAGGCACTTGATTCAAAAATAGCATGATATCTGAATGTGTTTCACCTGAAATCATTCTTCCTGCACTAGGTCGAACAAAATATCTTTCTGTACTTGATGATAAGGATGATTTTGTTGTTGTTGTTGTTGATAATCCAGAAGCGGATGGATGTGTTGATGATGTACCAGAGATCAGGACTGATGGAGTAGACCAAGAAGAAGAAGAAGAGGAAGTAAGAGTGTCCTTTGTTGATGTTGCTGATGATGAATAACTATAACTGTTGCTGCTGTTATAACCTTTGTTACGAGTCCTAGGGAATAACTTGGTATTGCTGGTCAAAAATTTGTATACAATGATATGATCATCTGGAATGGCGTTTTGTAAAGAAAATGTGATAGTTTGTCCTCGATGTAAGGGAGATGTAAATACTAATCTAGGTCGTCTTTGTTCTTCCTCTTGTTGTTGTTGTCGTAAATCCAATCCATGATATAGTTGTTGTGGTAATGTGGTGAAGATAGTAGGAATATCACTATGTTCATTATCAGTGATCAAGCTATGCCTCCTTGTTGAAGATGCATTATCATTTTCATCTGTTTCTGCTGCTGAGTTGTTGTTGTTGTTGTTGATGTTAAAAGGTTGCACAATGACGTTTAAGTACGGTGGAGAAGGGGGTGGTGCGGGCGGTTCGTTGCGGAAACGTGGGACTGGACTGGGTTCCACAAACATTACTCGAGGAGCTGAATACCAAGATTGATCCATAGTTATTGCTGTATTTTCATCATCCACTACTACTAACTTGTCATCAATATCAAATCTTGTTGTATCATCAGGAGGTGTTGATAATAAAGTAGAAGATGATGATGAATCTACATTGTCACTGAATCCAACTTGTCGTTTACGTCCATTAGAATTGTTGACGGTGCTGCTATTGGAAGTGGCGTTTTCGGATGAAGCGATAGATGAGACGGATTGCCTATGAGAAGGAGGTTGCTGCATACGCATAAGATACAATCGACGTTGCCTTCTCCTTTTCTTTTGTTCAGCTATTTCTTCTGCAGAGCCACCACCATTCACTAGGATACCAATTGGATGAGATAGAAGAGGAGCAGGAGGATAACCAGTAGTACCTTTATCAGAAAAAGAAGCAGTATCTATAGAAGATGTTGTCAAATTTGCATCTGTATCTTGAAGTGATGAAACGGGCGATTTTTTATAAGATTTTTGTTGCACATATTGAGTTGGCGATATTAAGATCTTTTTCCATTTTCCAAAAGAGGATGAAGAAGAAGAAGAAATAGAACCAGAAGAAGACTTGATAGTAAAATTATCAGTATCGACTTTTTTTGTTGTTGATGGTATCCAATTTTTCAAATTTTTCCAAATTCCTTGTTTTGCTTCATTCAAGGAGTCAGGTGAGACATCTTGTTCTTTTGAATTTGAAAAGATGGGCCAGATGGTTGCACCTGTAGTGAAGGATAAGTAAGAACGTCCACTTTTAGCACTAGTAGCACTTTTCTGACTATACACGGAAGAAGCGTATTTTTTAGTCATAAAAAAAAAAAAGAAGAAACAAAAGAAAAGAGAGGGAAAAAAAGGTGAAAAAGGAGTAAGAAAGTTGGGGAATTAAAAAGAAGGGGGGGAGATAAACAAAAAAGAAATCGAAAATGGTTTTTTTAGGTAACTTTTTTTTTTTAGGGACCGCATTCTTCTGCTTATGCAGCCTTTTACTTCATAGTTTTTTTTTTTTTTCCTCTAGTTTATTCAAAATAAAATGTCAAGAAAAAAAAAAAGTAATCGGACCTTTGTGCAGCATTTTACATAGTTTCTATTATATCTGATGATCATTTTGTTGTGAATGATCACTTAACTTTTGCTTTTTTAACTAAAGGAAGTTTGATGGGGTACTGTGTCACTCATGTTTTCCAAATAAAGTAAGCCATCAGTTTTTATTTACATTTCGTGTTTCCATAACGTATATTTGTTTGTATGATATAAATATGATTTTTTTTTTTGAAACAATATATGACATCTTTTTATTACAATATAGAAAAGAAGTACTAGAAATAATCCAGTAAAAATAAAACAAAAAAACAAAAAAAAAAAAAACAATACTAATAATAATAATAATAACTGATTGTAATAACTAAAACTAATACTAATCTAAGGGAAAAGTTCCTTCAAAATGCGAATGGTATCATCAGGGCTAGTCACGGAATGGCCTGTCACGTCAGGATGAGTATAGATTTCATAGTCATTACCACCTTGGAATGTCTTGTCACCAAAGAAATGAATAGTTTTGAAACCTTCATCCTTCACTCGACCTAAACAATAAGTCTTATCCCAACCAGTAGGGAAAACATCGAATGAGATTTGTCCACCAATAGAATAAGTCAATGACAAATGAGAAAATTCCTTCTTCAATGCTGCAACAAACTTTTCCCGTAATTTGTGTTCCAAATCAAACTTTTCAAATTCATTTCTTTCTTCACGAGAGCAGTTACGACCTACTGGAGATACGTTGATCATACCATTACGGAATTCAATAAAGGTACCACTATATTTATTATATAAAAAATAAAAAAAAAATCATCATCATCAGTCACTATATATATATATAGTACTTTTGATACTTACCGTTTCTTCGGCAATTTCATATCAGCAATATATCGTAAACAAAAGTCTACTAATTTTGTATAATCTTCTTCACCAATCCAACCGATAAAGCTCTAAAAAAAAAGTCATACAATACAATGTTGTAAATACATTACTATGTCTAGTCCATATGATTTATTTCTCTTACTTGAGATTCCAATTTCTTGCCAAGTCGATAGGCAGACAATCCATTTTCAGGGAAACAATAGTCAAACAAGTCAAGAACTATTTTTTTTTATATATATACATAAAAGATGGAATCAATACAGTATAATAAAACTTGCCTTTTTTTTTATTATTCTTACCATTATTGCCAAGTTGTTCTTCTTGTTTGACAAGATCAGATCCACCAACGAAACCGATGACTACCTTTTGACGAAGTTCAGCAAGAACATTTAACATTTCAGGAGAAACATCCTATTATTAAAAAAAAAAAAAAAAAGATGATAAGTAAATAAATGTTGTTTTTTTTATTTTTTTTTTCTTACTTGACGAGCAGGAGTCAATGTACCATCAACATCAAAAAGAACAAGAGTATCAGGTTGTTGTCGTTCAGAGAAAGGAAGTACGGTCACCATATTGTTATATATATATATAATATCTAGTAGATAATAAAAAAAAGGAAAAAATAGAAAAAAAATTACTTTGACGTTTTTATATATAAAAATTTCTAGTCTTTTCCCAATTCATCAGCCAATAAAAAAAAGGTTCGTGGTAGTCTTGTAGATCACTTTTTTTTTTTTTTTTTTTTTTTAGTGAGAAAAAAAAAAACATACCAACGAAAAATAAGAATGAGATTCAATTCATTTCATTATCAGATATCGGTTTTCTTTTTTTATCTTTTATCCAGTTTGATGAAATGCTACAATATCAAAAAAGAGCTTAGTTTATAATATATTGGCTTTTTTTTTTTGTATTACAACACCCATAAGGAACCCAATGCGGTGTTTGAATCAATTTTGAAACTGTAAGGAACAAGAAAACTCATCTGTACTCAACTACTTTCTTTTTCTTTTCTTCTTTCTTTTTTTTTTTTTTTTCTTTAATTATATTATCAGCTTCAGTCTGGCTATGAGGCGTAACCAAGATCGACAACAAAATACTCCACCTTCGTCATCTTCTTCCCTCTATTTGAAACCTCAATATCTGCAGGACAGAGACAGTGGTTATACTGAAGCTGATTCTGACCTTGATTCACACTATCCTTCTACTATTGCACGTGGTGTTTACCCCTTTAGTGATGATGAAGAACCTTCCAAACAAAGCAGCTGGTCCATGACAACTTCAGCTATTACGAAACCAATTCAATCATTATCTTCAACTTCTTTTAACGCGCATTCATCCATGGCAGGTTCCTTGGTCAATTCTTCAAGTTATCACATGTATCAAGCTGATATGGCTATTGACTCTGTTCGACAATTAGCTCGTGAACACGAATGGAAAAAAGTACTAAAACATAAAAGCGGTGTTATCGTTTATATGATCCAAAAACAAGTCAATGGTGATAAAATGGCGGTCTTCAAAGGAGAATTGGTTATACATGGTTTTACTCCTCAATCAGTCTTTTATGTCATTGGTATGAGAAAGCTATGGGATGAACAGTAAGTATTAGAATCAAATATACTTTTCTTTTTAATCATATTTACTTGATTTTTATTTTAATAGGTTTGAAGATGGTAATTTGGTAGAAAATTTGAATGAAACGACATCGATCACATACGAAACTTACCGATCAAATGGAACATCAAGGTTAGAAAAGAAAAAAAAGAAGATAGAAAGAATAGAATTGATATTATTTTATTTTATGAATGAATGGAAAGATAACTTTTTCTTTTTCTTTTCCTGGGTTGATAGGGCATATGATTTGACATTGGTAGAAAAGATAGATTGTTCAAATGACGGTGTGATTATATTTGCATGTACAAGTGTAGATACTGATAAAGTACCAAAAGCATCTGGAAAAACAAGAAACGAAATCAAAGTAGGTAGAACATATGATATAAATGTCAAACATTTTATTCAATTATTCATCTTTTTTTTTTTTTCATTATTGATTTTTTAACTAGTTACACGGATGGATATTGAAGTTACTACCAACAACACCGCCATCAACCCATGTGACATTTATTACTGAAGAATACATACGAGGCTGGATCCCCGGATTGACAAAAAAATCACTTGCTAGAAAACCATTGGTGATTGCCTCTATTGATAATTATTTGCAAAACAAGGCACAAGGAAAGAAGGCTACCAATCAGGAACAACAACCAAAACCAACAAACAAATTACTCAGTCCATTATCAGCATATACTAAACGACGACCTTCAATCATGACTTCACAGACATCAGTCACGCCAACACGGTAAAGAATAATAATAATAATAATAAAAAAAGAACAAAAGGAAAAGGAAATCAATCCTTAATGATTTTTCTCTCTTTATATTTACATTCCAGTTCGTTATCCGTCAATTCATCTATCCTGACTAATCCTCCACCAAGATGTTCTTCATTGAATCCACCACAAACGACTTCACGATCTTCATCATTGACAAAGCGAATTACTTTTGCAGACGACGTTATTATACCTCCTTCAACAATGGAAGAGAAAAGTATACCTGCCACATCATCCGATGACAACAATCATATATCTAATCTGAAACTATCATCTCTGGAAACTGGTAAACTCTATCCACCAGCACGACATCGGTCGATTCGAAAAGAAAGCATCAACAACTACAAACGTTTATTTTCAAGCGATATGGATGAATGGAAAAATATTGGTGAAAGGGAAGGTGTCAAACTGTATTCAAAGGCGTCTCAAGGTTATGCTCTCCCGATTTTACGAGGCGATGGCTGGCTTGAAGGTTCATGGACGACAGAACAATTATGTTCAGTGGTTCAGTGTTTTGGTGCAAGGACAAAATGTGAGTTTTTTTTTTTTTTTTTTTTTTTTTTTTTTTGTCTTTGGATTACTTATATGTTGTATCTTTATAATAGGGGACGATTATTTTCAGGATGGACATGTAGTGGAAAGATTCTCTCAGAAGGAATATCTTGTATATACGCAAATGAGAAGTATCTTCCCTATTCACAGTCGAGATTTTTCAGTACTGACTCAAATTGAAAGCGATGCAAGATCCGGCGTTATTCATGTGATCTCAGCAAGTGTATCTGACAGTCTTACTCCTGAAACTGATGCTCATATACGTGGACAAATACTTATACATGGATGGACATTTCAAACTACCAAGAATGAACAAGGAAAACGAACGGGAGTGAATATCACTTTTATCTCTCATATGGATTTAGCAGGTGTTACACCATTACCATCGGCAATCATTCGACTTTTGACTACGGAAGTTCCATTATGTGTATTACGGGTGCAATCTTATATCACTACGTTTGGTTGTCCTCCTTATATCCGACGGGTGGCTGGAAAGATTGTGAATGAATATTATGATACGGATACCAAGGAATACAAGGTTTCTTATATTGCAAAACATCATCCTTCAAGACAGCATCTTCACAATAAACAAGCTTGGTGCACAGATATTCGAACGCACTCAAGTGTATACGGAAAGTCAATTACAGTATCAACTCAACCTCAACAGGATGTAAAGGTTGTTCTCCAACCAGATAATGCAGGCGTTCGCATCTACACGGAAAAAGACACTTTGGATGGTACTATTATTGAAGTTATTATTACTCCTTCATCAGCAAAGGATGGTGACACAAAATCATCAGCAAATGAAATAGACAACACACTATCATCAACTGTTAGAACTAAAACGGAGGCGACAGATATACTTACATCACCAACATCTTCACCTTTGATAAGTGATACCGTGCCTTCATCAAAGATACCATCTTCATCAAAATCATCATCATTAACATCATCATTATCTTCGTCATCAACGGCATTATCATCATCATTAGCATCAACAGCATCATCATCAGCTATTATGGCTTTACATGAAAAAAATCAAGATCTTTATGGGAGACTGGAATCATTAGTAACACCATCAGTCATCCACCCATTAAAACAAGAAAGTGATCAAGCATTTCAAGACACGAAACAAAATAATGAACAATGTAATAAAAAATATTAGAAAAAAAGGAGGAGATTCTAACTTGTCGATTTATTATTATATTCTAGTCATACCTAGTAATATACAACAACCGGAATTCTCACATGACTTTAGACAGGTACCGACAGCAAACAATCATGAAGCATAACAAAATATAATTCTAAACTAACGTTTTTTTTTTTTTTTTTTTTAATAGAAACAACGAAACAATAGTATCATTATTATTGGTGATCAATTATCATTCAATGGACCACAATTATCTGTCATATTTTTATTAATGGTGTTATGTTATTATATTGGAAAACTTTCTTGTCGTTGTGGATAATTCAATTATAGATTTTTAATAATAGATTATTCTTCATTTACTTTTTTGTTATTATTAGCGTAGCATTGTTATCAAAATAAAACATGATTTGTATTCATTGCCAAAATGAAGCCGAAAATCCATCAATTCTTTTTTTGTCGCTGTGCAACAAAAAGGTGCATAGCAGGTAATAAATTTTGGTTCTCTCCTCTTTTTTTTTTTTTTTTTTTTTCTCTTTTCTTTCCTTTTTTTTTTTTTTTTTTTTTTTTTTTTTTTTTTTTTTTTTTTTTTTTTGTTCCATATAAACCTTATTTATTTCTACATATAATGTCCTTTACGGAGCAAGTAATATGTACTCCTCCGGTCAATACCACCAGTAGTGGTCTCTCTTCTCACCTTCAAAACGAAGAAAGACAAAAGCAACACAAATCACAACAACTACATATTAGCAATTATGTCATTCAACACAAAACGATTGGGGAAGGCAGCATCGGTCGAGGTAAAGAGAAAAAAAGAACTTGGTAAAGAAGTTGACTCTTATACATATATCTATTCTATTTTTAACAGTCAAACTAGCCGAAAGATATACCGGTAACTCCGTTCAAAAGGTAAGGTACATTAAGTTTGACAATGTCATACTGACTGATTTAAGCATTCTCTTTTATATATATATATATTGTGTTATATTATAGTATGCTGTAAAGATCATACCAAGAAATGATTTAGTTTCTACTTGGACTTCAACAGGTTCTTCAACAACAACAAAGACAGAGCATAGGGATCCAAAAGATACACCACAAGAAAGAGAACAACGAACGCGACGAGAAATGGCTATTATGCATCTATTACAACACCCTAATATATGTCGATTAGTAGAATGGACTTGTGAAGGCAATGATTATTATATGTTTTTGGAATATGTGGATGGTGGTCAATTATTGGATTATATCATTCGTCATGGCAAACTCAAGGAAAAACAAGCTCGAAAATTCTCTAGACAAATTGTTAGTGCTCTTGGTAAATAATAATAATAATATATATACCCATTATGTTTTCTATTTATTCATTCTATTATTTATTTATTATTTAGATTACTGTCATCGAAATGCTATCGTTCATCGAGGTAACAGAAAAAAAAAAAAAAAGATCACATTCGTTTGAACGTGGAGCAGAAAGTATCATGATCTCATGTTTACATTATTTTATTTTTAGATCTCAAGATTGAAAACATTTTGATCACGAGGAATGAAGAAATCAAAATCATTGACTTTGGTCTTTCGAACTTTTATTCGTCCAAATCTTTACTCAATACTTTTTGTGGATCTCTTTATTTTGCTGCCCCCGAGTTGCTCCGTGCTCGTGATTATACTGGTCCAGAAGTCGATGTATGGAGTTTTGGTGTGGTTTTATTTGTTCTTGTCTGCGGTCGTGTTCCTTTTGATGATACAAGTTTGCCCATTCTTCATCAAAAAATTAAAGCTGGTATAGTAGATTATCCTGATCATCTTAGCAAAGGTAAATAACTAGGAAAAAAAAAAAAAAGAGATCTGTTTCGATGACTAACTTCACTGAATTATATTTGTTTCAAGACTGCGTGGATCTTCTTTCAAACATCCTACAAGTTGACCCAATGAAACGTGAAACTCTAAACTATATTGAAAATCATCCCTGGATGAACAAAGGTTACAATACACCAATCAACAATCATTTACAACAGCGCTCGCCTTTAACAACTATCGATGATGATGCCATTCAAATGATGTATGAATATGGATTTGGCGACATTCCTGATATACGTAATCGATTACAAGCCATTATAACGTCTCAAGAATACCAATCTGCTATTCATCCTACGGTTATATCAACACCAACATATGACCATCATCATGGTTCTCGATTACGATGGCGACGTTCACGACATGATTCTTCCGATGGACGTCCAGCGCTTTATAATACTACGACATTGAATGAAATCCAAGATCCACTTTTGTCTATTTACTATCTAGTCAAGGAACGGAAAGCTTTAGATGAAATACAATCACCGGATAAAACTTCACTAACATCTTCATCAACATTTGATACATCAGCTCCATCCTCACCTATACCCAATACTGTTTTACTTACACGATCAGGTAGTACAACGACACCCAGCAATCGTACAGGATGGCACACTTCATTATCAAGAAGCAAAACTGATCGATCACATACAAAGAAATCAACAACAACAACAACATTCGATTCTGATTATGCAGCCACCATCATTACTAACACATCAACAGCAAATTGGGGTAGTCGTTCTTTAGGACGATCGAACAGCTTGTTACAACGCAGCAAAAGTGCAGCCAAACGATTAGGATCGATACTTCAATCACACAATAACTTAGCGAATGCTCCTTTAGTAGATCAACAAATATCATCAATAAATTCAAAACAGTCAACGGTATCTAGATCTCAATCCATGCGGCAACAAATTCGACGTATTCCGTCTTTTGGAAGTTCTTTACGACGATCCAACAATTTACGACATGACGATTCCCATACAGCATTTGAAGATGAAATTGGTAAGATGCATATTTTTCTTGTCTTTTTCAAATGTTTTGGCTTACATCTTTTTTTTTTTTCTTTCTTTGATCATTAGTGACGGCTTTATTGACCACCATGAACAATAATAATAAGAATAACTGCAATGATACGCAATATCAAGATCAACCCAAGATAAGTGCTTATCCCAAAAGTCTATTCCGATTCAATCGTCGTCATTTATTCCGTGTACCACCACATCATCTTATGCATTACCTGATGCATCTCCTTATGATTTTGAATATTCAAGGTCAAGCTGTTTTAGAAGAACCCTATACTATTCAATGTTCTTGTCGATACTCACATTGGAAACGATGGATGGACGGAAACCGATATGATGTGGCTACAATATCTGATGATGATGATGAACATGACCCACAAGAACGGCTAGATGACAAGATGATACTCAACACAATTAACAACAACGATAATGATCAAGGTTATTGGCTTAGATTTACTATCCTTATCTATCAAGCTCGATGGGCAGGTGGTCGATTAGGGATCAAATTGACTGAAGCTGAAGAAGAAATTGGTGGTGATAGTGGCTATATTTATAGATCATTGTATTTTATGATACTCAGATGTCTTGGTAGTTTTATTGATCAGTATGTTGAACCAAAATAGAAATAAAAGGAAGAAAAAGTTTGATTTTTTTTTTTTTGTTTGATCCATTTTTATTAATTACTCATTGATCCATGTTTCATGATTGCATTTCCGCATGTTCCTTTTTTTTTGCCACTTACAGGTAGACACGCTACACACGCGCCTTGTCTATCAAACCAAACTTTTTTGTATGTTATTCCAAACCCCGTCAATTACCTTTTTTTTTTTTTTTTTTTTTTTTTTTTGGTCCCTCATTTTTTTTATAGATATATATATATATTACGTATTTTTTAACTTGAATAATGGTACCTACAATCAAAGGTGGACTACCAGATTGTAATTGTTGTCAAAGTGGTGACGATAAAGTGGTGCGTTTGATTGCACGATCTGCTGTTCAAGGAACGAAATATTGGCTTCATATACACCAACAAGAAGATCTCAATGGACTTTTATCACGCTTATGTTCACTTTATCCCAATGAATGGCAATCAAATGTCACTTACAATGTTTATGTCGATGTAGGTGGTATTTATTATCCTATTGAAAATGCTTTTTGGTTAAGAGGTAAAACAATCCCTTTTATGTTTTTTGTAACAGGCGCGCATCGTTCTTTGATCTTGCACTGACAGCTTTTTTTTACATATTCTTTTGCTTAACACCTTCTTTTTAATTATTATTATTATCATTATTATAGATAGAGATCATATTCTTGTGACAACTATGACTGATATTTCCGATATTCCAGATATTGATATGAATGCAGGTAAGTTTGTTTCCCTTTTATATTTCTCACCCCTTAGTGAAAAACATTTGTGCAACATTTTTTTTTGTCTTTATATATATATCACTGATCGATCATCAGATATACATATGTTTATAACCACTTGATTTGTTGGTCACTTTATACTAATATTCATTTATCTCTTTCTTTTTGATATAGTGCATGCAAGCCTTCGTGATGATATTGTACTTCAAGAACACCAGGAGGAAGGGATACGACAAATGATTCATATGGAACAAACTAGCCGTGGAGGTGTCTTGGCTGACGAAGTAAGTGACAAATGAACTAGGATATTACACTGATAATAGGGGGAGGAAACAATATATCACTAACTAATTGTCTTCCTACTTCTCGAATGATAAAAAAAAAAAAAACAAAGATGGGACTTGGAAAGGTAAGTTTGTCAGATACAATATAATACCACTTATAGGATGGGATTCATCTTTGTAATGCCAATATCTCATTATTCTTTATATATTTATATTTATAGACTTTACAGATCTTGGCTACGCTTTTACGACAACAACCAAAGTTAGATATTCAAGCACGAACGTTGATCATAGTGCCATCACATGGTGTAAGTGATAATATAGGATTCATTTGACAGGCAATTCATTTCCACATGTATGATTGATTTAATTTTATTCTCAATAATTAGATTGCTCACCAATGGACAGAAGAAATACGCACAAAATCAAAATATGGTAGTTTACCTTATTTTATTTATCAAGAGGAAACAATCTTTTTATTGGAACGTAGGTGAATGAGTTATTAAGTTGAATGAACGTGACATTGATTGTTCTTTTTTTTTTTTTTTATTTATTTATTTTATGTAGAACCATGCTTCAAGGTAGTGATTACAACTTATGACCGTGTGCGATCTGAGTACCAGCGACGATATCAACAAAACTTATCTGCTCCTTTATTTAATACCAATTGGTATCGTATTGTATTAGGTAATATCGATGATAATATTTTATCAATGCATTCACTTTTTATTTTAAACTTTTTTTTTTTTTAGATGAATGTAATAAACTACGCAACGTACGAACAAAACTATATGACGCCATTGTGGAATTGCGGGCAACTTATCGATGGTGTTTGACAGGAACTCCTCTTCAGGTAAGACATAAGAAAAAAAAGAAGAAGAAACATTCGAATCATGTTGTCTCACCCTTTGTATTATAGAATGATGTTTCCGAACTTTATCCTATTTTCAGATTCCTAGATATTGATTTACCTATAGCAAAACGAAGTGATATCAATTATATATCAGATCTTCTTGGAAAACACATGATACGACGGAAAAAGGAGGACCTTCAAAATGCATTGGCTATGGAACCCAGAAAGGAAATTCGAATTGAATTGGAATTTACACCACCTGAACGTGCACTCTATGACTATTTGGAACAAATTTTATACAAGCAACTTCAAACTATATCCCGTAGGAAGAATACAAAGGAAGAAGGTTTAAGGGCATCTTTACTTTATCTACGATTGAAACAAGGTAAAAAAAAAAAATGTTATTAATAGTCTGGAAAGAGGTTTATTTATTTATTTATATTGTTTTGTGAATGTTACTGATTGTAACCAGTATGTGCCCATCATCAACTCTTACTCAACAAGTTCCCAGATCTGATTCCTACTTCACTTACAAAATCAGATGAAGAAGTAGCAAAAATGTTGAACTCTGATACTGGTTGTAATTGGACTGCTGATCGACGAAAACTTGATTCTGAACTCAAGCATGTATGTGATACTATCAGAGACTTTTAGTAAGTATCCCCAAATGAAAGAAGAATTTCATCCAAAACTAACTACTTTTACATATGCATATACTTAGTGACCAATGTGGTGATGATGACCAAATTACTCAACCTGATATGGATGAACTAGAAAAATTACCTTTTATGATTCGATCTACTAAAGTCTCTTGGCTTATCAGTTTTTTACAAGAATCACTTGAAAAATCTCCAGAGGATAAGATTGTAGTGGTTTCTCAGGTAAATATAATTGTGATTAAACCAACAAAGAAACAATGTATCTAATAGTTTTTTTTTTTTATCTAGTTTGTTGATTTCTTATCTATTATATCTGATATTTTGAAAAGTGTCAACATTACACATGAAAGCTGTAAGTCGTTATATTATTAAATATATGTTGTAACAGGGTTTTCACTCAACTGTATTCCTTTTTTTTTTTTTTTTTTTTTTGTAGATGTCGGTGATATGCCAAACTCGGAACGAAGATTTTGTTTGGAACGATTCAATTTTCAACCTCGATGTCAAGTATTATTATTATCTTTGAAAGCAGGTGGTGTTGGATTGAACCTTCAATGTGCAAATCATATGGTACTTCTTGATCGATGGTGGAATCCAGGTAAGAAGAGTAACAGCAAAGAGACATAGAAAATGTTTGTATTCTAATATAAATCTATTTACTGATTTGAATTCTCTTTTTTCTCTTTTTCTCTTTTTTATGTCACTTTATAGCAACAATGGGTAATTGTCTTACTTTGGTCAAATGACTGGAGATATGAACAAAATTACTAATGGGAATTTATTGTATCAATAGATCAAGCGGTAGCAAGAATTCATCGAATGAATCAACTTAAACAAACCTATATCCATACAGTGATTATTAAGGATACTATTGAAGAAGGATTACTGGATGACGTTTTAAAGAAAAAGGTAAATGATATTTGTTTCTATAGCTAGTACATGAAGAAATATTTCTTTTTCTGATTTTTTTTTTTTGGTATACATACGTATATATATTCTTATTAGAGCAATTTATTTACGACGGTTGTAGATGGCATCAAATCCCGCGGCAATGACAAAGTAATTGAAATACCGGATGAAACGCCTATAGATGAACCATTTAATAATAGTATCGATTTGACGGAAATGGATGACATGATCAGCGATAGTGGACGATCCGATGATATAGAAATTAGCGAAGAATCAAACAATAGTCATTTCGATGACGATTTCGAAGATTACTCTGATATACGTAGTGGATCCAAACGATTGCGATCCAGTTCTATCACCAGCAACAAATCTGGAACTTACGGCAACAAACATCCTATTTTAGTGAAATACTAATCATCATCAACAATCCAATGTGATAAGTTTTTGATATTCTGGTAAAAATACATCTTGCATATAATTTAGTAATCTCTGTATTTACTTTTATTATTTTATTTTGTAGTTGATGATGATGATGTCTTTCGTAGATAGTTATAAATCTAGTTATTCTCATTCTATTTTTATCTTCTTTGAATACCCTTTTCTACTTGTACAATAAACATTTATTTTATGATAGAACATGACGATTATGATTATGATTTTGTTTATATTATATACTGTCTCCCTTTTATGATATAATGATATTGACATGGTTGAATTGGCGAATGACTGTGTCCCTCATCGAAAATACATAGTCAATCGGAATCGCTTCCGAAGTAGAATAATGATTGATGATAGATATTTACTCGACAATTTAAATAATTTAAAATAGCAAATAATTTGATTTTTAATGATAGAGAATAGCAAGAATCATTTTTTTTTAATTTTACCATAATGGATTGATGATCATTTTCCCCATATTGAGAAATGCTTCTTTTCCCTTCCCAATTTAGTCAAAGAGAAGTTTTTTCGTCCAGAAACTTCGAGAGCTCCCTCCAATGAGTTTCTGGGTATGAATTCCCATAAGCGGGGAGGGTTTTTTTTTTTCTTGTTGTTTTTCTTGACTTTTTTCTTTTTTTTATTAACTTTCTCACTGTCTTTTTTTTTTTTTTTTTTGACTTTCTTTATTTTCCATTATGGCAAAGTGTACTCATCAAGGATGTGGAAAAGAATTCAGTCTTGACAATAATGTCGATAATGGTAAGTGAAAGTGTTGACTATGAAAAAAAAAAAAATGCAAGCGATCGATGAACATTAACCGTGTTTTCTTTTTTGGTAACAGCTTGTCAATTCCACTCGGGTGCTCCTGTTTTCCACGAAGGTATGTATAATAACTATTTTTAAAATATATATATATATATATATATATATATTTGACTGACATGATTTTTTTTTTTAGGTTTAAAGGGATGGTCTTGCTGCAAGAAACGTGTGGATGATTTTGATGCCTTTTTAGAAATCCCTGGATGTACTTTTGGAAAACATAGTTTGGAAAAGCCGGAGGTGAAAGAAACAACTCCCAAACAACCCACTGTAGCCACCAAGGTAGAAAATGGAATTGAAACTTATGGAAACAAACCAGCGCCAACTGTAGCACCTATTACGGAAACACCAGCGGAAACAAAAGAAAAGGAAGTACAAAAAGAGGAAGAACAAGAGGATGATGAATCGATACCCGTCAAAGTTGGAACAACGTGTCGAAGACGTGGATGTGGAGTGACATTTGTGGATGAAGCAACTTCACGTGGTCCTGAATCGATTTGTCATTATCATCCTGGTGCACCCATTTTCCATGAAGGATCAAAAGGTTGGAGTTGTTGTTCTCGCAAGGTATTGGAATTTGATGAATTTCTCAAGATCAAGGGATGCAAGGAAAGACAAGGTCATTTGTTTGTAGGAAGCAAGAAAGAAGGACAAGAAGAACAATTGGTGGATTGCCGTATGGATTGGTATCAAACTCAAACAAATGTTATCATTAGTATTTTTGCAAAGAATAAGGAAGATACACAAGTCAAATTTACTAGTCGCGCTATTGATATTGATATCAAGATGAAGGATAATCAACGATATAAGAAACATTTACCTTTATTCCATGTATGTTAATTACATTTATATCGATTATATTATATTTATTATTATTATTTTTTATATATAGTTGATTGATTGTGAAGGATCCAAGTTTAATGCTCTTTCCACTAAAGTTGAAATCAATTTGAAAAAGACTAATGGTATTTCTTGGGCTGCTTTGGAACCTACCAAGGATGTCAAAACTTGGACGACTTTTGGTGTAACAGGGACTGGTGGTACTGTGGGATCAAAAGAGGTAAATGAATATTGAAGAAATTATTTTCAATAGACTAAACTTTTTTTTTGTTTTTTATTAGATTCATTATAGTGGTGATTCACCTTTACATTTGAAGGATTAGTATAGAGTATTTTTTTTTTTTTTTACTGATTCATCTTTGAATGGATTTAGTATAGATATAGTTTTGTTTTTAGTATCAATAAACATTATTAGTTTTATTTTTGTCCATTTTCTCTTTTCCAAAATATGAAAATAATAATAATAATAGTTATGATATTAATCAACTAAACTAGTTGATTCTTTATTTAGATATTTTTTTTATTATGGCAAAGTTTGATCATCATTATTATCATTATCTATAAAGTAAAGCTTGGTTTGTCGTACAAAATGATCTTTTATGTTTTATGTGGCTCAACTAATAACACTTTATCCCCACCTTTTTTTGTTTGTTTTTTTTTTTTTTTTTAGAAATAAATATAAAAAAAAAATGAAGATCAAATAAGGGACCTTTTTTGTCATAGTGAATCCTTGCAAATGACAATTGATTCTATCTAAAAATTATTATCTCAGGGTGATTCTCAGCTTTTTTTTTTTTTTCTGTCATTGTACAGTTTTTTGTCAAGTAGATAGTCCAGTTGATTTTTGAAGTCCAGACTATCCTATTTTTTTCTTTTTTTCTTTGTTTCTTTTTTGAAACCTTTTTTTTTCTTTTTGAACCTTTTTTTCTTTTTTCTCATTGAATAGCCTCCCTTTTTATTTGAACAACCAGTTTTTTTTTTTTTTTTTTGTTCTTATTCTTTTCGTTTTTATTGATCTCAGGTCCTCCTTCTTCCCCTCCTTTTTGATTTTTTTCTTCTTTCTTTATATTAGTATTGGGTCTTTTCATAAGGTCTATTTTTTTTTTCCATAGTCATCCTTTTCTACCATTTTTTTTTTGACTATCCCTTCTTTATCTCTTCCCTCACATACAATCACATTATATACGTATACAATCATATACATAATCTATGCGTCATCGTGGCAAAAATACCAAAACTATTGATATTCGACTTCATGAAGAAAAGTTTTATTTCCCTGGTGAAACCATAAAAGGTACAATAGATAACATGATAAAAAGATGAATAAACTAGAATTTTTTATTTTTGTTTCTATAGGTGCTGTTACTATCCATCCGAAAAGTCCAACTAAAACCAATCATATTGTCATAAGGTTCTCTGGTCAAGTCTTTATATCAGTCAAGGATAAAGAAGTGATCAATTTATTCTCAAAGACGAAAATTCTACCCATTTCTACTATTGAAGATACCAAATCATCTCATGTATTGGATGCTAAACAACATTCTTTTCCTTTTGAATTTGTTGTTCCTGATGATCTTCCAAGCACAATGGAGGTAAAAAAAAAAATAATAATAATAATAAAATGAAATATAATAGTAACTTTCTCTTCTTTATTTTTAAATTAGTTTGGTAAAAGGAAAGCAAGAGTGAAATATATTCTTACTGCTATTCACGATCGACCCATGGTACCAGAATCTCTTTGTGCAAAAGTATCTTATACTGTACCTATTTTAGAACTAATTGATGTTACTAAAACACCTTTTATCAACTCCCAAGAAAAATCAATGGATATTTTATTGCCTGGTGCAAAATACAACAAGAAATGTCAAACTACTGCCTCAATGCCAAGATTTGGATATACGCGTGGTAGAGTATTATTAAAGGATATATATATATATATATAAACTAATATTTTTTTTTTTTTTGGTTTTTAGGTGAAATTGTTCCTTTGAAAATCGTCATCAATCATTTTGAAGCCTTCTCTTTACAAAATGCTTTGGAAGTAGAATTGGTCCGTACTGTAGAGATTCGTACCCAAAAGTAAGTACAAACAACAATAGTAAAGGATTTATCTCATTATTATTATTATTTTTTTATATATTTATTTGTTATTAGGAATACGGCATCAACAGAGGATATTCTAAAAGTGGTGAAACAAGATATCAAAATAATTGGACCTTACAATTTCTCACAATCAACGACATGTCAATTAATGATTCCTACTTCAACACCTCCTACTATTCGGTTTAAAGACAAGACACTACATATACACTATAAGGTTCGTGTTAGGGTGAAATTAAGCAGTACGAAGAAATCTGTATCAAGTCTGGAAATGCCTTTTGTTGTTGGAACTTGGCCTCGTGCGGATATACCTATTGACGATGATGATGATGACGAATTGATAGAATTATTAGGGGAAACAATGCTCAGCGATGATGACGATGATGATGATGATAATAGCAATCCAGGAAATAATGATTTGGATCGAAAGGATACAAATCATTCATCAACTCATCACAATCGATATTCAATCATGTCAGCATCATCAGCAACTACTTTGGCTTTACAAAAGAATGATCGTGTTGGAAGATCTGATTCGACACAATCAAGGGTTTCTCATCGATCTATTGGATCCATATCTTCTTGGCGGTCTAGTCAATCATTGGAAAATAATAATTTATCACGTAACACATCAACCAGTATGACCCCAATTGATCAACAACAACATCAAATGTATCAAGGTTTTGGACGAAGCAGCACATCGAATGATATTGTATATTCTTCACAAAATGCCCTGAATCGATCTTCCTCTACACCTGACTTACTTGCAAATCCAACTACATATCATCATGGACATTATACCGGTCCTGGTCATTTACAACATCAAAACACTTACCCATTTCAAGATAATCGACAACAAACATATTATGATGATGGAATGCATCGAGTACCTTATTATCAACAAAATATTTCACCATACGCTACTTCTTCTCAACAACAACATATACCATACTCAAATAACAATAATAACTTGGAACGCGGATCAATATCACCTTCATCTTATACAGCTTATCAACATAATCGAATGGGTTCAGAAGAATATCGATCAATGGGATACTCAGCACCATTACAACCAAATCAAACCATGATAGATGATGTACCAACTAGAGTTCTTCAACCAATGCCATCAACGTCTACTCCTGCTACACCTGCCATCAATCGATTCCGTACAACACAAAAACAACAAGACAATAACAATTCAACTCGCAGGAATTATGATTATTCATATTATGATGATCTTACGGATAGTGAAGAAGATAAGAAAAGGATATCATCAACAACCGTTATTCCAGCAATTACCACGGTATCAGATGATGATGATGATGATGATTCTGATGATGGTGATTTATTTGTTATCATTGAACGAAAGAAGAAACAAGCGGAACGGGAAATGCGACAAAAGCAACGAACAATGTATACAGTAGCCGAATAGTATTTTTTTTTTATCAACAATATATAGTACTTTTTGTGGTAGTCATATAGTTTATTTATTCTATTTTTTTTTTTTTTTACTTATTTATGTATTGTGTATCATTCTTATTTTTACTATTCTTATCTTATTATTATTATTTTTTTTTTTTTTGTACATTTACAAACAACACTAATACACATCAATAGTCACCACCCTTTACTTTTTTTTTTTGGTCTAGTCTTTCATCATAGGAAACTTTATATGATTAGGAAAGAATGATCCGATAATAAAAGACAATAATCATAGTATATCATTTGATAGATATTTCGGCACTATGGGTAATATTTTTAATAAGGAAAGACGGTTTAAAGAGAAATTCGCCAAAAGGGCATTTTATGCAGGTATGGACCCAAAAAAAAAAAAAAAAAAAGTTTGTGACCGCAAGGGTTACAAGATTTTGGTGGAGAAGGAAAAAAAAAAAAAAAAAAAAAACCCTGCCTAATATTTTCTTGTTTTAGAGCGTTTTTTTCTGATTTTTTTCTATCTTTTTTGTCTTTTTGTATTACTTTACTTTCTTTCTTCTTCTTTTTTCTTTTCTTCTATTTTTATTGAATTCTACCTTTTCTTTTTTTTTCTTCTTCTTCTTCTTTTTATTATATCATTATTTCATTGAGTAAGTTAATCCACTTTTCTAACATTAATCTTTTATTTAACTTTCCTTTTCTTTTTTTTTTTCTGCTTGTTTAGTTTGAATCAAACTTATACAATGTACTACCTTGACAACAAAAATGATCCTCCTCCAACAACCATAAATACGCAAAATAATAATAATAATAATAACAATAATGGTCATCCTTTATTTAGTCAATCTTTTGATCCTTCAACGTTACATCAACAACATTCTTTGGATACTGGTTATTCCTTTCTTAATTTTGACAATGACGCACACAATCTTCCTTCGTCGACTTTTTATAATGACGACCCATCATCTTCCCTAGGACACGATTCTTTGCTGGCTCAAGATTGGAATGGGATACATGATTCTACTTTTGATAATCATTCACAGCAAATGTTTCTTCCTCTGACTTCTCACGACCAACCCTATAATGAACACGATAACAAACAAGATGGTACCAACTTTTTCTTATCATTGACTGACCAAGAACAACAAGCTATTTTGATGTCTGAACCCAACTTTTTACGACAACAGCATCTTCTTCAAGACAATATGATGAAGATGAAAGAACAAGAACTTCAAACAAAAGACAATGGCGGAGGTGAAACTGGCACTCCTGTACGTTCCAACCTTTCTGCTATGTTTGATCAAACAGAAAATCATTCCGATTTGTCATCATCTATACCACTACATACCACTACATCGAATGAATTTCATCATTATCAACAACATCATCTTCAACAACCAATGCAATCCGGTGCTTCTTTTCATGAGAACCAAACGACGCAAGCTGAACGACAACAACAGCAACAACAGCAGCAGCAACAACAACAAGAACAACAACAAGAACAACAACAGCAACAAGAACAACAGCAACAGCAACAACAACAACAACATCATCATCATCATCAGCAGCAGCAGCAGCAGCAACAACAACAACAACAACAACAACAACAACAGCAACAACAACAGCAACAGCAACAGCAAAAACAACAGCAACAGCAGCAGCAACAGCAGCAGCGACAACATCCATATCCAACAATTTCAGCTGTCAAACCATCATCATCTACGGGCAAGGCTTCTCGAAAGGAAACGAATCGGCGATCTCAACAAGGAAGTAGTGCACGTGGTGTTAGCGGCAACAGCAACAGGACAAATCCTATTCCTATCTCATCCAACAGTAGCGGACATAGTGGTTCTATCACCAAACATTCATCTTCTGTACCAACTGAAATTGATCATCAAAGGCGATTCAATGAACTTCAAGCCCGTTTCAGAGTTAATTATGCTCGCAAACCGAATACAGGAAATGCATCTTCTTCAACAACATCATCATTATCACATCAACAACAACAAAAAATGACCATTCAATCATCTTCTCCATCGTCTACAATTACTGGTGCAAAAATGGGTTCTTCTTTTTCCAATGTTTCAGGTGCATTTGGAGGTCATTCTGCCCATAGCTTTGGCTCAGCTGTATATGGTTCTTCTGTTCCTACTTCATTGGAAAAAGATCACATGGATTCTAGTATGGTTGGCAATATTAGTGAAAAGGATACTAGTAAGTTCAGAGACAAACAAATAAAAACAAAAACAAATGGATGATAAAAAAAAAAATAGATAAACTTAATATTTGCTTTTTTTTTCTTAGCCCGATCAAACAATAACACTAGATCATCATCTACCACTACGTCAACAACATCAAAAGGCGTGCCTATTCCAGGTGACAACAAAAATACCTCGGCTTCCGGTATGAAACAAGCCTCCTCATTCCCTTCACGTACCATGCCTATTCAAATTCAAAGAGTGCATCGAGCCAACGCCAATCAGCCTATGGATGCCGAACAACATCAAAAAAGATTGGATGATCAACTTGTCAAAGTTAATTTTGATGATATTACTGTGTCAGAACTGAAGGAAATGTTACGACAACGTGGGAAACCAGCAACAGGCAAAAAAGCTATATTACTTCAACGACTTTTGGAAGAAAGAGATATGATTAGGGCGGTACGAGGAGGTAGGATCAGCCATCGACATTCGCAACCGCCACCACCAACGACTCCTAATATGTCAGCAGATCAATCTGGCTTCGATATCGCAGCATCTTCACGACCACGCTCATACCAAGGTTCTTCACCTATGTTCTCTCATACCAATTTATCACCTCATTCACCTTTACTTGAAAGTCCATCCTCTGTACCCAATTCATCTATGTATTTATCAAGTTCACCAGGATCCGTTACCTTATCTTTGAATCGTTCTATTGCCAATATGCATATTGGATCTCCTCCAATGTCATCTCAACATGTTAGGCGCTTCTCTCCTTATGGTACTCCTGGATCTCCTAGACTTGGATCTTCACCTAAAATTCAAAAACAAGCCTATTCTTCTTCCATGCCAAACAACTATCTTTCATCTTCACCAAACAACAGTATGGATATACCATTCACCAACAATGATGGATTTATGAATATAGGATCTTCACCAGTGACACCAGGTCCACCCAATTCAATGTCATCTTCATCTCGCAACACACGTCTCTATGGAAGTCAAGGTTGGAATTATCGGCAAAAGTCATATGCACCTTTCACTTCCTCCGCTTTGGCAACACCTGACCGTGACGATGACGATGATCCTTTTGACGTCATGGCAAGACAAGAAAATCCGAATATGGACGAGTTAGGTGATGATCAACAACAAAGGGACCAATCATTATATGATGACCTATTACAATTACAACAACATCAGATGCAACAAGAACATCGTCATTATCATGATCCACATTCGAATGAAATGGAAACCGACAATAATAATAATAATATGAAATTGGAAACAATGGAATGGATGAATCATTCTTCGATAGGAAATGATATATCACTGAATAACCTACTACAAGGTAAAATATCCAAAAAAAAAAAAAAAAGCGAAGACGAAGAGTATTGACAGGTTTTTTTTTTATATAGAATTACCAGAAGGTGTATCTGCAGAACAATTCATGACATGGTTTTCCGCTATGAATGAACAAGGTGGTGGACTTGATCAATTCAATTTGACGATGGAACCTATAAAATTGGAAACATTGGATATGTCTGATCTTGCAGGAATGATGGCAATGGATACCAACAATCACTACCATAATCCACAACAAGAACAACAACAACAACAACAACAGCATGACGAAACGAATCAATCTTGATTTAGTTGGTTAAGGAACTTGTGCCTTTTTTTTTATTGTATTATATCTTTCTCTTTCTCTCTCTCTCTTTTTTTTTCTTTACTTTTTTTTTTTTTTTTATTTATATATATAGAAATCTCCCCTCTTTTTTCTTTTGTAATAAATTTTTAACTTTTTTCTATCTCCGTTTTTTCATTTTTCTTTCTTTCTATTATTTATTTTGTGATGAAACGAATCACTTTGATTACTATAGTCACATTTTCTTTCCTGGTTTTCTCTTGTAGCTTTTGGTTTATTTATTTTGGACAACATGATATTATACGACAAAGATTCACTATTGATAATAAAGTATTGGACAATGATATAAAATGGCAGGGGTTGGATATGTCACAAGCTGGAGGTGTTATTATGGAGCATATGGGCAATGCAACTGCAAAGTAAAAATAAAAAAAAATAAAAAGATGAATATAACTAAGAATACTTATCTTTTTTTTTTCTTATATTGATTAGAGCTGAACTTGGAAGGGCGACTTGGAAAGTAAAGAAAACAGTTGTTCCTCTAAAAAAAAAAAAAAAAAAAAAAACTAAAAAAAAAAAAAAACTTATATTTTTAGTTATTTCATACTATGATGGCAAGATATCCTGAAGAACCTTCTAATGAAGAAAGAACAGCTTTGGCACAATTCATTCATTTATTATCAAGATTATATCCATGTGGTGAATGGTAAAATAATAATAATCATTGCATTAATATACTATTTATTTATTTATTTATCTTTTTAAATTAGTGCTGAACATTTTCAAAAATTAATTCAAAAATATCCACCTCAAACATCATCAAGAATTGCTGCTTCTCAATGGGCTTGCGCTATGCATAACAAGGTTAATGAACGTTTGGGAAAACCTATTTTTGATTGCTCTGATCTTGATGCTAAATACCCCTGTGGATGTGAAAGTTGAACTATAGACTCTTTTCTCTTTTTTTTTTTTTTTTTTTTTTTTTTCAAACACCACCACCTTTACTCTTTTTTTCTTTTTTTCTTCCTTTTTTTTATATATATATATTTTGTAGCCTTTCCACATTAGTTTCGGTCTTTTTATTATACTCCCATCTCTTTTACCTTTATCAGCATCTAGTATAGAAAAACAATCTATATCATTACGGAAGAAACCCGGCCGATGGACTTCTGTTTCCCGACAAAACGAATTCATTCACCAACCAACGATTACGAAGTAATTACCACAATGACACCAGATCAACCTCCTGCTCGAAAAAAAGTGATTCCTGACGAAATGTTTACCAACAAGATGGCAGCCATGTCTCTCGTACATAACAACAACAATAATAATGATAATAACAGTAGTAGTACGGAAAATCATTCATCCAATAAATCAACAAACAACGAGCATGTGATAAGAGTGGATGATATCGATGCATTCTTAGCTGACGATGAACAAGAAGAAGATGATGATGAAGATACTTATATTGGGCCAAGTGGCGAATTGGTAGATATCCATCTGGGCGAACTGACACTTCCTTTTGAACGAATATCTGGTTCAACTTGTTTACGTATTCCTGATTTTGTACTTCATCCTGATTATCCTTCTGATCGTGCAATATATGAATTAGCTCTTCAACAACAACAATCACTTCAGCAAAATAACTCAATGGATTCCCAATATCAACCTATGGATTTAGATTAGTATCGTTTTAGGGTAGTTTTTTTTTTTTTTGGATTCAATAAAAAAAAAGGACTTATTTATGCAGACACTATATGGACGATGTGGGACTTTTTTTTTTAACTTTAAATATATAGATGTATTTCTATTCTCATTCCTTTCATTATTAAATAACCAAGTGTTGATAATGTCACTTTGACAACATTGGGTGGAATTGAAATCAACGTTACCATTATCACTTTTTTTTTTCTTAAGCATCACCTTGCGGCATACATGTTCATACTCGACTAAACCAAGCTACAACAAGAAAAACTGAACATATCTTATAAGCATCATCATCATCACAGGGAACTTTAATAGTCGTTGATCATGATGATGTGGATGAATTCGCTGTTCCATAATAGGCAACCCACAGGTTCAAGGAAAAGGATTTCTGTTTCCCTTTTTTTTTTTTTTTCTTCCCTCCATTCTTCCTTCTTTTCTTCCCACCTCCCTCTTTTCTTTTTTCTCTTTTTTTTTTTTTTTTTTTTTTTTTTTTTTTTTTTTTTTGGTGGCGACTAGTATTTTATTTTATTTATTTTTTTTTTTTTGAAAAAAAAAAAAAGAATTAGCTCTATCATCAAGATGCTCTTTCCAAGTGTATATCAAGCCAAAGACGATAAAAAGAAAAAACCATACAAATCTTATCCCACCAAGGGAGTGTATCTTAGCAAACATTACCTACGATGTTTCCTCTTCATGATGATTGTCATTATAGTGGCGACAATGACTCTATGGATCATTCATCACAATACATCACAGTATAACGACGACAACGAACATCGATCCTTTCCTTTTTGTCATCAGCATCCCAATCCTTCTTTTTTATTAGAGCATCAGGCATTAGGTTATTTGAAGCATCATCGACGAATAGATGATGTGATGATCCCGAGTACAGTCTGGCAAGGTGGCATCCACGGGGTACTTTACATGGCGGTACGTAACGAGCAATTGGCCAATGTGCGTGAGACCATCCGAAGTCTAGAAGACAGATTCAATCACAGGTATCATTATCCATGGATTCTGTTGTGTCCTGAGGGGTTTTCCGATAGTTTCATCAGCTACACAAAACATTTGGCTTCTGGTCCGATTTATTATGGCAAGGTCGATCTCCAGGCGTTCATCACCCCACCTTGGGTCCAACATCGTGTGTTTTTGAAAAAGATGACTTCGTGGTCTAATCCAAAGGAACATCTTGATTTTACATTCCATCAATTGATGAGGTAAGTAGATGTGATGATGAATGAAAAAGAAGGAACAAAAAAAAAAAAAAAAAAAAAAAGATTAAAGGTTTTTTTTTTTTTTTTTTGTTAGATACCAATCAGGAATATTTTATCATCATCCATTATTTAAAAGTGTGGACTACATATGGAAAATTGATCCAGGCACTTCCTTTTCATGTAATGATATGGATGATCCTTTTAAAACAATGCAAGACAACAATAAGACTTATGGCTTCACAGTGACACAGCGTCAACCGCAAGGAGATGTATCAGGCAAACATATATGGAAATTGACTGAAAGTTTTATAAAGCATCATCATCATCTTTCTATTTTACCATCTAACAAAACAATCATGCAAAGTATCATGGAGAGATATCGAGGTAATGATGACAGTGAGGATAATGATCATGGATATAGTACCTGCCATTTTGGTTCTTCGATAGAATTGATGGATATGCGGTTTTTAAAATCAGCTGCCTATCAGTATTTTTTTAAGTATATGGATCAGACAGGTGCATTTTTTTATGAAAAGTACAAAAAAAAAAAAAAAAAAAAAAAAAGAGTTATTCATATTGAAATAAATTCTTTTCTATCATTGTAGATTCACGGATGTAGCGTTCCGTACATTGGCCATAGCGTTGTTTTCAAATACCGCCGACATTCAGTTCTTGAATGAAATTGGACTTGAAGGCAATCATCATTGCCCCCTTGATATGGACCACAGTAAGAAATGTGCTTGTGATTATCATGGTCCTGATGGTAATGAATGTATAAATGAATGATGATGATGATGATTTCTCATATTTTCATGAATAGTCTTTCAACCTGATAGTTGTACCATTCAATTGTTAAGTCAAATTGATCCCAATGCAATCAAAAACGTGACAAGGTTTATTAGGTCAAGAATGGATCATCCTTAATGGATTATATTTTTTTTTTTTATATATAAATCAGGATGGGATGAAATCATCCACTGCAAGAATAAAACACACACTTAACACATTCTCCATTTGACCGAGGAATGTCTTCTTTGACTGTTTTCATTATTTTCCTTCCAATATCATGATTTGATGTTTTCATCGTTTTCACTTTTTTTTTTATTTTTATTTTTTTTGTTTATCGTTGTTGTAGTCTAATCAGTATATATATATATATATATATATATTATTTATTAAATTTTTAATTGACGGTTTAATCATTATGTTTCGACCTGCTCGACAGTTTGTACCTCGTTTAGGGATTCAAATGGGTGTGATCGCGGGGTTTCTAATTTTATTACTTTGGCTTTTTTTCCCTATTTCATCATTATCTTCTTCTTCTTCTTCCCTTTCCTCCTTTGAAGGTTGTCAATCTACTCAAGAATGTTATAACCTTTTATTGAAAAAAGCACAACAAGCTCATGATCTCACCATACCACTTCAACAACGACAACAAACGAATGATAGTGCTCCCACTTCCTCTCCTCTCGACCAAGACAATAAACAACATATCAATGAAGAATATATTCGACTGACACAGCCTACACGGATCAAAGCGGCATTTGTAGTATTGGTGCGGAATAGTGAACTTTTTGCCATGCGTTCATCTATGCAATACTTGGAAGACAGATTCAACCACAAGTATAATTATCCTTGGATATTCCTGAATGAAGAGCCTTTCACTGATGAATTCATTCAAATGACCCGTGCTATGACCAAGGCCGATTGTCACTATGGACTTGTACCCAAGGAACACTGGAGTTATCCATCTTGGATCAACCAGACTCGTGCACAAGAATGTAGATTGAATATGGCAGCCAAGGATATTGTTTATGGAGGAAGTGAAAGTTATAGACATATGTGTCGATATCAATCTGGATTCTTCTTTTTGCATCCATTATTGGATGGTTTGGATTATTATTGGTAATATGGTTTCATGAAAAAAAAAAAAAACCGGTATTCATCTATATTTTTTTTTCTATATTAGGCGTGTAGAACCTGGTGTCAAGTTTTCTTGTGATATTGATTATGATCCATTCAAATTGATGAAGGAACGTGATCTGAAATATGGTATGTAAAAATAATAACAATAATAATAAAGAAATAGTAAGACATATAATCATCTCATCATTCTCTTTTTTTTTTTTTTTTATGTATAGGATTCACTTTGGCTTTGGAAGAATTACGAGAAACAATCCCAACTCTTTGGCAAACAACAGTTGAATTTGCCAAAAGTCATCCAGAATTCATATACCCAAGAACAAGACCTGATAGTTTATTCCGATTCGTCACTCAAGACAATGGAATCTCTTATAATCTATGCCACTTTTGGAGCAACTTTGAGGTATTGACTCAAATGATCACCCTTTCTCATCTAATTTTTTTTTTTTTATGTATTTAGATCGGCTCTTTGGAATTTGTTCGATCAAAAGGATATATGGCTTATTTTGATTATCTCGATAAAAAAGGTGGATTCTTTTATGAAAGGTAAAAAAAAATCTAATCATGATTATCTTGTTTCTCTATTGATGATATTTTTTTTCTTTATAGATGGGGTGATGCACCAGTACATTCCATTGCTGCATCCTTGATGCTTAGTCGAAATGATATTCATTGGTTTTATGATATTGGTTACAAACATGATGGATTTGAACATTGTCCTACTGAACCTCATTGGTTGACTTATGGAAAATGCTATTGTGATCCTGGTTCCTCTTTCGGTAAGTATTCATACAAAAAAAAAAAAAAAAAAAAAAAAAAAAAAAAAAAAGGTCTTATCCCATTATTATTTCATGATAGATCATAACGCAGGAAGTTGTACTAATCGATTTTTGGAGGTCACCAAGAAAACGGTTCATGATTTTATTGTTACTCAACCTGATAGTTTTTGAATAATACTGCGGTATTCTTTTTTTTTCTTTGTGGCGCCCCAATCCTATATTTATTTTGTTTTTCAATAAAGTTACTTCTTTTTTTTCATCTCTCTTCTTTCTTTCTTTTTTTTTTCTTTTCTATATTATCATTGTTTCAATGTCTTTATCTCTCGTTTTATTATATATTGTTGGGTAAAGAGATGCTTGAAGGTTACACACTCGGTGATTGAAATGCATTACTTATCATTTTTTTTGTACTGTAGTTCTTTTGCAACTGGACTCCAATCTCTTCCTTTCTTTTCTCTTCTTTTTTATCCAGTATTATTGAATTATACTAGAAAACAATGGAAAAACAACATTTTAGCTTTTATTGTGAATACACTTGCTGTATCTACTGCTACTCTTACTACCTTTGATATTGTTTATGGAACACCTCCATTTACTCATTTCTCACGAGTCTTGGGTAAAAAAAAAAAAAAAAAAAAAAAAGATATTCTAACCTTCTTATGCTCATTCTTTTTTTTTCTCAAGTATATGCTGCTGTAAATAATCTCTTTATAATTATTAGTACATTGATAGATAGACTGGCCTTTATCAACAAGAATAGTGGTGTTTGGACTCGTGTTTTACTCTTTCCATGTATGTGGACCTATCTCTGGCATATCCATGACTATTATGGTAAATATGTGATCATGATGACGATAATATGAAAAATAATAACCACTCATTATTTTCTAATACTTGATTATTATTATTATCATTATTGTTATGAAAAGGCGATGGTTCTGGTTATTCTAACAGTACAAGTGATTGGGCTGCTTGGGCACAGATTGTGGATCTAGGAGGAAAATCATTATTGGATTGGTTACTTGCTCTTTTTGGAACATGTCTATTGGAATATGATACTTGGTCAAAACTATATTTCCAGTGGAAGGAATCTTCATCAATTTCAGCAACGGAATCATCATTAACAACAACCACGGCAACAACTGAAACAAAACATATTCCTTCTGTTAATCAAGCTCATTCTTCGCTATCATCACGTTTATCCAAGATACGACTCCAACTTCTTCTTCATCCTTTATCACTTTATATGATCGTGGTTGGATTGCTATATGTATATGGAGAAGTCAAATCAAGTATTCGTCGTGGAGCATTTTTTCAAAAACCTATCAAGGACTGGGCACCTGATACCATCCCTGTGGCATGTGTCATTGGCTCTGGTGGATTTGATATGGAATTACGATCTAATTATTCTCATTGGATGGACAAATCGATAGATGCTTCTCAGGTAATGATAATGAAAAAAAAATGTACTCTAAAGCTTTTTTTTTTCTCTCTCTTTTTTTTTCCCTTGGCTTTGATGATAGAGAGGTGCTAAACTTGTGTTATGGTCTGAAGAAGTAGTATTAACAGAAACTTTACAAGATGAAGAACGATTACGAGCAATGGCAATCAAAGTAGCAATGGAACAACATATTTACCTGGTAATAGCTTATGATCGACAGTTTCCAACCAATCACAATATGGCTGTTCTAATCTCACCACAAGGCGATATTTTGATCGATTATATCAAGGCCAATCCTGTCCCTTTTGATGGTATGTCTTTTGTTATATATAACATAGGAATACTGACGAACTTTTTTTTTCTTTTTTTTTTTTTTCGTCTTATGGATTCAAATAGAGGACAATGAACCTGGACCTGGAGTCTTACTTTATGTGGATATTCCTGAATTTGGACGAATTGGACTAGTTATTTGTTATGATTTATCAATGCCCAAGTTTATCCGTCAAGCTGGACAAAACAATGTAGATGTTCTTTTACAGCCAGCTTTCAATTGGGGTAATGAAATCATTCATTGATCTTTTCATAAATTGATCTTTTTTTTTCCATTATAGGTGCAGGAGCACCAAGTGTACTTCGTAATCAACAACTTCGACCGATTGAAAATGGATTTACTTTATTTCGATGTGTTTCACAAGGTATCTCTGGTATCATTGAACCAGTGATTCATGGCCATTATGAACAAAAGACGGTGACGATCTCCAATTCAGTTTATATTTTCAACTTGCCTCTTCAACAACGAATCAAGACATTATATAGTGATTATATAGGTGATTTTGTACCAATGACTAGTTTAGCTTTTAGTATAGTGATTTTGACACGTTTACATTTCTTTTAAAATATATATTCAGTCAGCATAAAATTCATTGGCTGTGACTGAGCAACAGAAAAAAAAAAATCTGGACCCGCAATAAAAAAAAAAAAAAAAGAATCCACGCTCCTTTTCTATTTGTGCCTCTCTTTTTCCACTCTTTTTTTTTTTTTCTTTTGTGTGTGTGTGCGTTCCTTTTGGTCAAGCAACTATTTAAAAAGAAATTATCATGTCTGATCAACCTACCACTCAATTCTCTTGTAAGTTAAAAACATGAACAATTTCCTTTTTTTTTTTTTTTGTTTTTAATACTCATCTTTACTATTTTATTACTTTTATTCTTTTACTTTCTTGTTTTGTTTTCATTTTAGATCGATCTCAAAAGGAATTGACCATCTGGAGTGGTTATCCTGATTATAAGCCCATCAAAGGATTTGAAAAGTAAGGATGGATAGAGTATATCATGAACTTATTCTTTTATTAAATAAACTTACCACTCTTTATTTCTGGTTTAGACCTGAAACCACAACAAGAATCTTCAAGTATAGCAAATATGGTCATGTCTATGCCTATGCCACCAGTGAAGGGTAGGAAACTTTATAACATTTTGTTGTTTTTATGCTTATTCTTATCTATTTTAGAGCCAAGGTTTTCGAAGCTTCTACTTTAAAACAACTTTGTGATATTAAGCGTGCCAATCTTCTTGATCTCTGGCTTTCTCCTCAAGGTAGTTATATGGCCACTTGGGAACGATTCAGTAAGTTTTTTTTAATTACTGTCATCCATTCTGTACTTACTCAGATCTTTTATTTCATTTAGCCAAACTTGAAGATGGATCTGGTGCCAAAAATCTTTGTATTTGGGATACTGCAACTGGTGACCAAATTGCTTCTTTTACTCAAAAAGCACAAAACAATTGGTAAGGAAATTGGATCCCTCTGATATATCTGATATTAATCTTCCTCTTTTTTTTTAAAAAAAAAAAAAATGAATAAAAAATACATAGGAACTTCCAATGGACTGATGATGAAAAATATTGCGCTCGAATGGTATCTGGTGAAGTTCAATTTTGGGAAAGCCGAAGTGTTGGCAAAGGTACAGAAAAACAAGTAATTCTTTTCATTCACTCAATCTAAATTTTTTTTATTGTTATATAGCTGTTTGGGCACGTCTGCAATTAGAAGGTGTAAGCTATTTCTCCCTTAGTCCTGGTAAGGCACCTGCTGTAGCTGTGTTCATTCCTGAAAAGAAGGTAAAAATTGGATGCTATTCTTTCAATGGAAAACTAATACATGACATTTATATTAGGGTTGTCCTGCTGTTGTCCGAATGTATAGTATTCCTTCTTTCAACAATCCTGTTTCCAATAAAACTTTCTTCAAGGCTGATAATGTACAAATGTTTTGGAATGATCTTGGAACCAACCTTTTGGTATTGACTCAAACTGAAGTGGATAAGACTGGAAGATCATACTATGGTGAAACCAATCTCTACTACCTCGCTGTTGCTGGAAACTTTGATTGTCGTGTACCTCTGGATAAAGAAGGACCTGTACATGATGTGACTTGGGGTCCTGATTCGAAAGAATTTGCTGTTGTATATGGATCTATGCCTTCAAAAGCAACTTTGTTTGATCATCGTGCCAATCCAATCCATAACTTTGGTATCAGTCCTCGCAATTTTGTCCGTTTCAATCCTCAAGGTCGAACTATTTGTATTGCTGGTTTTGGTAATTTGAATGGTACTATTGATTTATGGGATCGCAAGTCACTTAAAAAAGTCAATACATTCTCTGCCCCCAATGCTTCTCACTGTGAATGGTCTCCTTGTGGTCGATATCTCATGACAGCAACACTCACTCCTCGTTTACGTGTGGATAATGGATTCAAAATGTGGCATCATACTGGCACACTAATCTATGAAGAGGCTGTTGATGAACTCTTCCAAGTGGGCTGGCGTCCTGAACCTGCATCGAAATACCCTGTCATGCGTAACATCTCTCCTGCTCCTGCACCTATCAAAGTCTTACCGTCCAATAAACCCGCTGTCACAAGTACAGCTCCCACTGGTGCTTATCGTCCTCCTCATATGCGTGGTGGTGCTGCTCCTACTTCTCTTGCTGATCGTGAAGCCATGTTGAGCCGTGGTCAATCTCCTGTTGGTTCTAATAGACGTCAAGTTCCCGGTGCTGTACCAAAACAACAAACCAAAAATGCCAATGGACGATCTCAACAAGCCAATAATAACAACAAACCATCGCCTTCCATTGCCGCCTTATCACCAGAAGAAAAACAAAAAAAGATTCGAAATTTGGAGAAGAAATTACGTCAAATCAATGATCTGAAAGAGAAACAAGCAAAGGGAGATTCTCTTGAACCAGCTCAGGTAAAGGAATAGATATAAAAAAAAAAAAAAAAAAAAAAAAGGCAATTTTTTTTTCTTATATTCCCTTTTTTTTTTAGGTGCAAAAACTGGCATCAGAATCAACAGTATTACGGGATCTTGCTGCACTCAAATAGATTTATACATAACCTATTGGATCAAGAAGAAAAAAAAAACAAAAGCATATTAGATAGCATATTGGCATGTGTGTGTGTGTGAATAGTCATATAGTCTTCTTATTTTTTTTTTTCTCTTTTATTTTACCTTTTTTTTTCATTATTTGTATGATATCTATTTTCTTTTGTTGTTTTTATATGCATTGGAAATAAATAAATAAAAGCATGTTCTTTTTATTATTGAGCGTATCTTTATCTACAGTCTATTTTCTATCCCATAGTCCATTCGATTCTTCATCATTGTTATATCTGATATCATCATCCATGAAACAGATTGTCATCTATAAATGGCTTTTTCATTCTTAATACAAAAGACGATGATGATGATGATTTGAAATCATAGTCAGTTAAAGAGGATCCATTAAATAAAATAAAACATGAATTTTACTTATTTCTTTTAAAAAAAAATGAACGATAGGCACAAGTTTTGAAATAAAAAAAAAAATAGAACATATATAAAAAAGGGAAGAGGAGGGGGGAATCATCTACAAAAAAAAAGGAGGGATACTGATACAAAAAGATGAAAAATAAAAGAACAGATGAAAAGATAAATATATAATCAAAAAGGAATAACATATATACAAAAGGAAAGGGAATGATTGAGAGAACTATTCTTGTTGTTGCCATCCCTATTTAAAAAAAAAAAAATGAATATAAGAGGAAAAAAAAAATATTTTTTTTTCAAGTTGATTACCTGCATCCTACGAGTGACTCTTGATCGATGATGATGTCTTCGAACACGACGATCAAACCAACCACCAGGCATAAAACAAGGAAAGAAAGTCCACCAACATCCATAACCCCACCAGCAACGCCAAATACCAGGATCAAGTTCCAAACTTTTCATAGAACCTGTAGAAGACCATCTTGGATTATTGTCATGAGTGGAAACAACAATATCATCATCATCACGCAAATTAACTACCGATCCTTGATGATAACGTGATTGAGTCAATTGAATGGTTTCTTCTTCTTTGAGAGCTTGTTGTTGTCGTTCCATCATCATCATCATGGCATCTTTCCCACCACCCAAAGCACGAAGTTGAGAATGGATTAAATCATTGAGTAATAAACTGGAGAGAATCAAGAAACTGTCCAAATCATCCACTCGGTGTTTGTCAGACAATAAAGATCTAAAAGGATTATTCGAAGAAGAAGCGCCATGATCAGTCACGTCTTTCGGTATAGCATGCATGGTTGTTTCATTGTTTTCAAAAAAAAGGAGTCGAGTCGCTTGTTTGGTGAGTAAAGCAATGGGTACCTTCGATTGATCGTAATGACATTTTTCACATAATAGATCCATGGATGTTCCGTCGTCCGCCATCTGCATACGCCATTGATAAGGTCGTTGATCCCATGAAAAGGAAAAGGTACTGGTGGTCATGAGCATATATTTCTGTGGTGTTTGTCGAGATAATAATGTCATGGTGTGCCAATCTTGTTCTATCAAAGACCATAATGGAAGATGATGATTATCATAAAGTGTTACATATAATTGTCGATGTTTTGGAATCACTAATCGTTGTTGGGTCTCGTCATCATCGATGCCATCCTCATCACTAGTCTGGATGATTTGATTTTCCTTTCCATTTATATCATTGTTGTTGTTGTTGTTGTTGTTGTTGTGTATTGTGTCATCATCATTATCATGATTGTTTTGATGATCGGTATCCAAATATGTTTTATTTGTTACTAGTCGTTGGTTTGAATATCGTGAAGGAGAATCGTCATGTACTTGAAATAAAGTATGTAAAGCCATAGAAGGACGATAAAAGAGAATATTTCCATCCATATCTTTACAAACTGTACAAGGTTCGTTATTATTTTGTTGGGAGGGTATTTCCATCAATTGATTATGAGTCAAAACAAGTTCCATTCTTGGTTTGTCTATTGAATTGGTTTGTTTATCTGTTCCCATCATAAGCTGAGAAGGAGGATAATATGTATGTTCAAGTCCAGGACTAATTTCTTTCATACCATGTTGAGATATTGAATGAGGTTGTTGTTGTACTGAAACCACAGACATTGAGAGTAATAATAATAATAATAATAATAATAATAATAATAAAAAGAGAGAAAAAAAAAAAAAGAGAAAAAGAATATAAAAAGGAGTTTGATTTTAGATAACAGTAACAATAAAGGGGAGGTTTATCAATAGGAAAGGGGTAAAAATAAAAAAAAAAAAAAATCAAGTTTGAAGGATATCCATATAATAAAAAAAAAATAAAAAAAAAAAAAGAATAAAAAAAAAAGAATAGGAAAGAAAAAAATAAAAAAAAATAAAGGAAATTTCAATCTATCTTGGAGAAAAGTCTTTTTATTTTTTTCCTTTTGGTTGTACAAATGTAAAATTCCCAGTCAATTATCTTTTTGATACAAAAAACTAATCTTTTTGTTCTTTATTCTGTGTATATATGTAAAAAATAAAATAAAAATAAAATAAAACAACTGACTATTCCTATTACGTACTAACATATCACTTAAATAGAATCTATATTAAAAAAAAAAAAAGGAAATATGAGTATTTTTTTTTCTTATTATTAAATATTTTAATTTTATCATATATATTTACCAGTGACAAGCTTGTTAAGTTTGGCAAGCTTGCTAGAAACAGTCAAATCAATGCTCTTGTCACCAATTTCAACGAGAAGACCACCAAGAATATCAGATTTAACCTTGTTAGAAACGAGAAGTTTCTTGCCTTCAGCAAGAGGACTCTTTTGAAGAGAATCAACAACCTTGTTCAAAGTAGCCTTATCCAATTCCTATAATATATATATATATATATAAATAAAATAATCCATTTTCTATATCCTCCTTATATAAAACAATTATACCTTAGCAGAAGTAATAACAAGAGGCAATTCGTTACGGTGAGCACTCATCAATTCAGAGTAAGATTCAATCACCTTGACAGTTTGAGGAAGACGACCATTTTCAGCCAAAGTATCAAAGAAATTTTCAGTCAAACTGTGAGCCTTGCCAGATTTGGCCAACACGGAACGAACACTTTCTTTCTTATCCTTAAGAGAGATGGTGGGGTTTTCCAAGAAAGATCCAATAGACTTATCCTTGGCAACGATCTTTTCGAAAGACTTGAGATCCTTTTCAACAGCATCGAGAGCGTTTTGACGAGCAGCAGCGACGTAAAGAGCAGTAGCATAACGACCATCAAGACCAAAGAGAGCAAGAGGTGCCTATAGATTAAAAAAAAAAATTAAATATATGAATATATATTTTCATATTAATTCACTTTTTTATTTTTACCTTGGGAGCAGCAGCAGCAGCATAACCTCGGGTCAACTATAATAATAAAATAAAATAATAATAAAAAAAAAAGAATGAATATATCTTTCTCTTGAATATTGTTCATTTTGCGTAAAGTATGGTGTGTATATGCTGAATATATATATATTGTTTCTTTTCCCAATCATTCTATTTCGTGTTGATTGTAATTTATTTTATATATATCTACATACTTGAGGAACGACGGTAGTCAAACGGGTAAATCGAGAAGCCATTTCTAACTAGAGTTGTAAAAAGGAAAAGAAGGAAAGGAAAAAAAAAAATAAGAGGAGAAGGGTTGAACGAAAAAAAAAAATGACCGGGTTTGTTTTGTTTTTTTTTTTTTTATTTTTACGCTCCCCCAACTATTAGAGTGAGCCCTCAGGGTCAACCACACATACACACACACACAAAATACTCAATTAAAAAAAAAATGTGACGTCCGATTTTTATGAGAGGGGTGGATCAAAAAAAAATATTTTTGATTGACAAGTAATGTAGCCTAGTTCAACATTACATCTCCGCTTTTTTTTTCTTCTTTTTCTTTAAGGAGGGTTTTCTTTTTCTACTTCTTTTTTCTTCTTCTTCTTTAACCATCCACTCTTAGAAAGAATCAATATGTAAGTCACTAATATTTGTTTTTTCTATTTGTATATTATTTATTCACCCCTTTTAAATATCTTTAGATATAATGGTCGCTGTCAAGTTACAAAAGGAAGAAAACCGTAAAGCCTTCTTGGAACTTTATCCCAATCTTGCAGAAGAAGTACTTGCTGAACTTCGTAAATACAACATGCCTGAAGATGCTTATGAATGGACCAAAGAAGTAAGTCATATTATTTAGTCGAAAAATGTTTCTTTTTTTTTTATATCGCGTTTCTTTTTTTTTTTATTTATTTATTTATTTATCATCTTATTTTAAACTAGAATTTGTTCTACAATGTTCCTGGTGGTAAGAAAGAAAGAAAAAGAGTACCTGAAAAAAAAATGAAAAAGTAACTTGTGAATTATAATTTCAATTATATTAGGTAAACTTAATCGTGGTCTCTCTGTTGTTGATACCATTCGTATTTTGAAAGGTGATGCTGTTACTGAAGATGACATTTTCAAAGCTTCCGTTTTAGGTTGGCTTGTTGAATTTGTAAGTATATAAACATAGACGAAAAGATATATATATATATATATTTAATTATTATTTTGGGTAATAATATTAGCTTCAAGCTTTCTTCCTTGTCTCTGATGATATTATGGATGCTTCTATTACTCGTCGTGGTCAACCTTGTTGGTATAAAAAAGATGGTGTTGGTATGGTAGCCATCAATGATGCCTTTATTTTAGAATCTTGTATCTATATCTTTTTGAAAAAGTATTTCAAGGCTACTGATTACTATGTTGAATTGATTGAATTATTCCATGAAGTCACCTTCCAAACTGAACTTGGTCAATTGTGTGATCTTATTACTGCTCCTGAAGACAAGGTTGATTTGAGCAAATTCTCAGTGGAAAAGTAAGTTTATCATATTTGAAAATAAATTGGTTGATTTATTTTTCTTCTTTTTTTTTATTATTATGATAGGCATAAATTCATTGTTATTTACAAGACTGCTTTCTATTCCTTTTATCTTCCTGTTGCTCTTGGTATGCTTATGAATGGTGTAAAGAATGAATCTGCTTATGACGAAGCTCGTGCTATTTTGATTCCATTGGGTGAATACTTCCAAATTCAAGATGATTATCTTGATTGTTATGGTGATCCTGCTTTCATTGGCAAGATTGGTACTGATATTCAAGATAACAAATGTTCCTGGTTGATTAATCAAGCTTTGGCTAAAGCTAACCCTGAACAACGCAAGATCCTTGATGTAAGTTTATGATTTAAAAAAAAAAAAAAAATGACTGATAATAAATATTTTTTTTTGTTGGTAGGATAACTATGGTAAGAAGGATGCTGAAGCCGAAGCCAAGATCAAAGCTCTTTACATTGAACTTGATATTGAAGGTATCTACAAGGCTTATGAAGATAAATCTTTCCAAGAACTTACTACTTTGATCAACAAGGTGGATGAATCTGTTGGTGTCAAGAAGGCTGTCTTTACTGAATTCATGGACAAGATCTACAAGCGTACCAAATAAATTATAATCTCTTTCCTCTCACTACTACCCCCCTTATCTCTATCTATTATTATTATGTTGTTATTAGTATTCCAATTATTATCACATTTTTTTTTTTTTTTTTTTTGCAAAAAGTTATAATAAAAGACATCTTGAGTAAATATATTTAGGTGAAGAGGTCCGAATAGAAATTAGATGGAATCAGAGGACGTACAAAGCGGGAATACAATAAATTTGTAACTTGTCCTTAAAAATAACTAAAGTGCATATCATGAACAAAAAAAAACCCACTTTTATCAATATGCAACTTTCTATTTTATTTCTTTTCCTTTTTTTTTTTTTTTTTTTTGATAGAATGTTCTAAAAAGGTAGAGAGTGTGAAAGATGACATACTAGACAAGAAAAAAAGTCAGTGCTCCATGAAGGTATGTTACACATGATTACATTGAACCATTTCTTGTATATAGTTTAGTAAGACAAATCACAAACCAATGTATTGAGATAAGTATCTTTTTTTTTTTTTTTTTATTTAGGAAATGAAATTAACAAATATGATGTTGTTGATTCAAATATATTGAGCTTTACATATAGAGATCTAAGGAGCTACAAATAAATGATGATGATCATCATTCAAATGATACTGCACAGTTAAACCTTCAAATATCCATCATCCAATATATATTATCTTCTCTTTCTCAAAAAAAAAAAAGAAGGAATAAGGATGATGAATAAAAGTATGATAGAGAGTGTGTGTGTGGGTGTGTGTCTATCAATCGAGTTTCCTAATATGGAATATGTTCTCTTTCTACAGTTTTCTCCCTTTTTCGTACTGACACTTTGCTATAGCATAAACAACGCTAGAAAGATTCAAATAAAAATAAATCACATAAATGTAATTGACTTTCTCTTTTTAATGCGAAATACAGTATAGAACTCTCATAGCCTTTTTTTTTTATTTTATTCCTACGTACTTTGTTAATATAATTATGTTTGTTATTTTTTTTCTTTTTGAATGCATTCATTTTTTTTTATTTTATGCACATTTTTATAGATACGGAATAGGTTGATCCAACAGGAAGTCCATATTGAATATCAATGTATATAGCAAAGTATAAAATAGAAGACAAAACTATAAGAAATTATGTTGGCTATCGCTTGTACCTATCTCTAAATGCGGCTTGCTGGTAACGCGGCTAGTCGGTAAGTCAATATCATTGAATGATTTTTTTTTTTTTTTGAATTGGAAACCAACTTTTTTTTTGTTCCCTTATACGCAACGCAAATCACTTTTTTATCACCTGCAAACCATTTTATTCACTACCGTGCAAATTATTTATTTTTACCTGCTAATTATTACGACAAAAAAAAACAATACCCCTCACCAAATCAACAATGGATATAAATGTATGTCAAGTATGCAATGAACAACCTTCAAAATACAAATGTCCTCGTTGTGATATACGATCTTGCTCAGTGATCTGCGTCAAACAACATAAACAAACTCAATCTTGTTCTGGTGAAAGAAGTAAAACTCATTATGTTTCTATGAAAGACTATAATGAATCGAATATGATGAGTGGTAAAAAAAAAAGAAAAGAAAAAAGAATCATGCTTCAACTATGAATGATCTAATATTCTTGTTTTGCCTGATAGATTATGTTTACTTGGAAGATATGTCAAGACAATCAGATAATGTGATCCGAAGTCGATTGAAAGAAAAAAAACTAATAGGTCCTGCTGAACATAGATTGAAAATGGTTGTCAAACATGCTAGAGAAATGGGTATTATTTACGATATGTTACCAGCTGGTATGTCAAGGCGTAAAGCGAATCAAACTAATTATAGTGTCAAGTAAAGTATATATTGATTAGGATGATTTTCTGCAAAATAGAAAAAAAAGTGGAATATCTAGAAAAAAAAAAAAGGAGGGAAGAGGGGGAAGAATGATAAACTAATGTGATCATTGTTTTCTTTTTTTTTCTTCTGTGATAGGATGAAACAATTATTCTGGACATTGGAATTTTATTTTTGTATGGATGATTCACAAGAACGCGTTTTGGAGCATTCGTAAGTTATTCTATCATGATCATCACGAAAAACAAGGGGGAGAGACTGACTTTGGTATGATTCAATTAGATGTCCTAGTGCCAAGTCTCTACAAGGTGTGTTTGAAAATATGTTACTCTCCGACAAACCACAAGGACGAAATAGCTATGCAACCATCCGACATCAGGTGCGTCATTTCACAGAAACAAGCATGAATGATTGGGTGATTGGACTGAAAAAGGAAGGTGGTAAACGGAACATGTTTATCAACTTGACATCCATGTTAGATCAACCTATTGCTGAATGTTTGAAAGGTGAACGGATCATTGAATACCCAACAATTTATATATGGATGAAAGATCATTTAGATTCTTCAATACAACTCGAAGATAAATATACAGTTCAAAACCAAAGTATGGATAGTAGCAGCAGTGATGATGATAATAGTAGCAGTAGTAGTAGCAGTAGCAGTGGTAATAGTAGTGAAGAAGATGATTCTGATGACGATGATTCTGATGATGATGATCAAACAGTCAATGATGCCAAGGTGGAAAAAGAAGAACAAGAGGAACCAATACCAAGAAGACAACAAATATAGAATTAGCGGCAAGTCAATGATCCGATGGTAACACCCGAGACGCAAGGTCACAAGATAGAGAAAAAGATCATCCTAACAGGGATGGTTAGCATATATAGATTATTAGTATAATAAAATTGTAGTTTAGTAAATATTATTATTTTATATGACAAATTTGTAAAAATAAATAAAAAAAGGGATATGATGATAACAATATTATTTTTAGACAATGAGGCTGAAGTAGAAAAAAAAAAGCCTTTTTGGCTGGGCGTTATTATAGTGTTTGACAGTTTTTTTTAAATCGGGAATGGATTCTAGTGTGAGCAAATAATGGGAATGTGAGTAAAAAAAAAAAAAAAAAAAAAAAAAGTCAAACTATTATATTTCCTTGGCTTATGCTTAATATGGCTCAAGTACATGATGTAAAAGAATGGAAATCAAGTTCACTCCATTTGTTTCCTTTTTTAGCTGGCTGTGACTGAATCTCAAAAGGAATTTCATTCCCCCTTTTCTCAATCAATTTTTTTTCTTTCTCTCTTTTTCTCTTTTCTTTTTACTTTCTTTCATTTCATTTCATCAACTATGCTTATCAAAGAATTCCGTGTCATTAATAACTGTACACAAGCTGAATATCAAGTTGGTAAGTAAAACTATTTATTAATATATAACTCCCCAACTCAAACTTGTCTTTTTTGTTTTAGCTCAACTTTATTCTACGGCCATGGCTTCAAAAGAAACCACAGGTGGTGGTGAAGGTGTAGAAGTTTTGAAGAATGAACCTTACGAAAATGCTGATGGTCAAAAAGGTCAATATACATACAAGATCTATCGTTTAGCTTCTCGTGTCCCTGCTTTTGTTCGTGCCATTGCTCCTACTGGTGCTTTAGATCTTTATGAAGAAGTAAAAATTTATTTATTATTTATTATTCTTCTTTTTTTGTAGAATACCATCTCATTATCTTTTTTTTTCATATTTTCTTATATAGGCTTGGAACGCATATCCTTATTGTAAAACAGGTAACAACAAATCTTATTTTTCTCCAAGGGGAGGATCGGGTGTGGTGGGCGAAGACAACTAGACAGAAAAAAAAAAGGAGACGTTGGGGCCAAAGACATGAAAAAAATAAAAATTATCAGTGAAATGGAATGGAAAGGAGGAATATCATCACTATATAGAAATCATTATTAGGGAAGAATTCACAAAAGGGGATGGACCGTGACCATGTGAATAGTACTCACTCCTTTTTTTTTTCTTATCCTTTTTTTTTTATAATCCTTATTCTATTCTATTCTATTACTACTACTACTACTACCATGGTTTCTTTGTTATCTTTTTTTTTTGTTGTCATTGAAACTTAGTTTTGAAGGTAAATGAAAAAGGATTGGATGAAAAATCATATCATAAATCAACTAATATTCTTTTTTTTTTATAGAATGGTTGGATGAAAGATAACTTTTCGATCGTTTATGAAACTCTACATGTAGATGGCTCTCGTGGTGAACTTGAAAACGCATTGAATATTTCTAAAGAAGGTACAAAAAAAAAAAAGAAATAGAACAAAAAATTGATAGCTTATCTTTTTTTTTTTTATTTTATTATATAGATCTCAAGAAACGTGAAGTAGTGATCATTGACATTGCTCATGACAAGATTGATAGTAAAGATTATAAACCTGCCGAAGATCCCAAGTTATTCCATTCCCAAAAGACGGGTCGTGGTCCCCTGGTAGACCCTGACTGGCAAAAGAAATGTGACCCTGTTATGACTTGTTACAAGCTTGTTTACATTGAATTCAAATGGTTTGGGATCCAATCCAAGACCGAATCATTCATTGCAAACTCTATTCACAACCTTTTCATCAAATTCCATAGGTAACAAAAAAAAAAACATCGGTTGAATAGTTTTACCGATCACTACATCGTCTTTTTTTTTTTTATAGACAACTATTTTGCTGGACAGATCAATGGTTTGGTATGACTATTCAAGATATTCGTGATATGGAAGAACAAACAAAGAAGGATTTGGATGAAAAACGAAAGTTGAAGGATACTGGTTCTATTCATGAATCTATGAAGGACTCTGGTAATGCTTCTATTCGTTCAGTACAACGATCCGTCAAGGGAAAATAGATAGATTGTTTTTTTATTCTTCTATAGCATAGTTTTATCTCTTTTCTTTTTTTTTTTTTTTATATATATTTATGTTCTGCATCTTCAATATGACTTCCATTGATTACACTTCTTTTTTGATACAAACAATACATTATTTCAAAACATCAATAAAATACAAATACAATAAACCACATTGATTTCCTTCTTTTTTTTTTTTTTATTATTTCCTAGTGAATATATATACATATAAGTGTTTGGTTAATCTATGTGACTAATCTATCCTTTAATTATTCTGCTTGATATTGTCCTTTGACTGTATAGAATGGATAGCTGATTTGTTTTGCTTTTTCCAAGAGTTTTGTTCCATTCACCTTGTCAGTATTAATGACATTATCAGTTCGTAAATTCATTCCTGTTGTTTCTTGCCAAATATGAGAGAGTGGTTCCGTTTTCCCAAAGTCTTGTTGTTGTATGGATTGGACAAACCGAGTGAGATCATTCATATCACTTTTCAATTGTTCACGGTCTTTTGCTTGTTTCGGTGGTAAAAGTTGTGCTAATCGACATAAATGATCTAGTTGTTCATCTGATATGCTTGTTTGGTCATTAGATGTATTCAATAAACTATTGACTGACCAGGTAGGTGATAAAGGCTAAAATAATAAAAAAAAGAAAATGTCGCGTAAGTAAAGCCTTATAGTAAAAATAAACGAGTCAATGAGTATCTATTTACCAATCCATCACCATCTACTTTGTATTTAGATTGAATTCGTGTGGTACAAGTCAGAAATCTTTTAATCATGTTTTTTTGTTATAAGATTAGGAGAAAGAAATGATCTTTTCTGTCATGTTCTCACAAAAATCAAGGGCCGGAGTTTTAAGTATATTTTAATATTTTTTTTTTTTTTACTTTTGACATTTTCTCTTTGCTCTTCTATTTCCTTTTTTATATATATATATATATATATATAATGGTCAAAATGCAGTTATATGTATGGAGCCCAGCTTTAGGAGCACCCTCTATTGATCCCAAGTGTATTGTCATTGAATCTTATTTACGAGTTTTGGAATTGGATTATACTGTCGTACACGCTAACGATCCTCAAACAAGTCCCACAGGTAACAACAATAACAATAATAACTTTTGTCTTCTTACTTTTATTATTTATTAAGGTGAATTACCATTACTCAAACATGGTGCAACTTGGATTGCTGGTATTGATCGTATTCTTTCTTATTTGGTGAAACAACAATTCGATGCTAATGCTACATTATCTCCTGCTGAAAAAGCGGATTATCTAGCGTAAGTGATCTAACAGCAGATAAATAAATAAATAAAAAAAAATAGCTTGTATATGAATTCATTATAATATCTATTTTCAATATTATGTTTTTTTAGATATAATGCTCTTGTTCAGGAGAAACTTTATGATTGCATGGTAAATTCAAGACATTATATATATATATATATTTATTTATTTATACTAATTCGAATTTTTCTATATAATACATAAGCTATTTACTTGGTATGCTGACATGACCAACTTTGTTAAATCGATTCGTCCTACCTATGCGAAATTATTATCATTTCCTTCTCGTTATTTTGTACCCATTCAACTGAAAAAGACTGCAAAATCTCGACTTGCAAAATACGATGTGGAAATTATCTCGGATGATACAACTTTACCTGAAAATGAAAAGGATGAAATGAAGGAACTTCAACGCACTGGATGGCATCAAGTAAGGTTTTAATATTATTATCAAGTAATGACTTTTTTTAAATAACATTTTTGTGTAGATGTATCGATTGGCAAGAGAAACTTATCATGTATTAAATGATAAACTTGGTGATAAGAAATATATGTTTGGTGATAGGTAATTAATAATCTTTTTTTTTTTTTTTTTTTTTTTACTTTCTCTTTAGAATCATAGTATTAACTTTCTTTTTTCTTTGTTTTGTATAGTGCAACGACTTTGGATTGTATTGTCTTCGGATATCTATCTTTACATTACTATCCCGATCTTGCTCATAATCGATTACAACATATTTTGAAGGAAGAATACCCAAGACTTGCAAGATTTTGTGATCGATTCCAACAGACATACTTCTCTGATCAGAAAGATGTCGAAATATCTGAACCATCCGATGATATTCCCTCTTTATGGCGTACAATGATCAATAATCCTCGTGGATTTCTCAGTAGTATCAAGGATGATGCAGTACAATACATGTCAAGTAGTGATAAAAAGAAGAAAAGAAGTGAAGCTCAATTGGATTTTGAACGAAAACGCATATGGTCCATTGCTGGTGGGGTCACTTTTTTATTGGCTTATATTATTTATAACGGAATCATTAGTGTAGAAGTAGTAGATGAAGATGATCAATATTACGATGATGATGATAATCAAGATGATTATGTGTATGAATTAGATGAATAATAAAAAAAGAATGCTTTTTGTCTTTGCCTCTTTTTTTTTTTTTTTTTGTAATTGATATGTATAATGATATGATGAGCTACAGCGAATAAGCTGACGGAGATTTAACAATTCGTCATATTTTTTTTTTTTTTTTTTTTTGGTCTGGTCAGCCATTTTTCTCTCTCTCTCTTTTTTTTTTTTTCTTCTTTTTCTTTTGCCTCTTATTTTAAAGCTCCTTTTCTTTTTCAACATGGCTTCCACCGATTCAAGTGCGCTTCTTCTTAAAAGACAACTTAAAGGTAAATGAAGTACCTTTTTTTTATCATCTTCTTTTTTCTTCTCTTCTTAATATAATTGTACTTTAATAAAGAAAATTTTCTCACACTTATGTTTTTTTTAATTTTTGATCATGATTTAGATCTTCAACGGAACCCAGTAGACGGATTCTCTGCAGGATTAGTAGATGACAATATTTATGAAGTAAGAACAACTTTTGAATAACTTGTATTTTGATATTAGAATCTAATCTCTTTTCAACTTTTATTATTATTATTATTTTATTATTTTTCTTAGTGGGAAATCATGGTTATGGGTGCTCCTGATACTTTATAGTAAGTCTTTCTTTTCTATTGTTCTCTTTTGACAGTTTGACTTATATGCATTTTCTCTCTCAGCGAAGGCGGATTTTTCAGAGCTATCATGACTTTCCCACCCGTAAGTTTTTTTATTTATCTTTTTTTGCCTCATATGGAACTACTATGTTACTTAACTTTTTTTATATATTTATTTTTTCTTTTTATATTTAATTAGACATATCCAATTATGCCTCCTACCTTGAAGTTTTGTACTGAAATGTATCATCCAAATGGTAAGTTAAAAAAAAAAAAGGAAAAAAGAAGTTGTGGAGGAAATGAAATGATGATTGGCTTTGGCTCATGTGATCTAACCGGAATTATTATTTTTGTTAAACTAGTTTACCCTGATGGTACGGTATGCATCTCTATTTTGGTAAGTCAAGTTGAAACAATAGGAAGGTTGATTTTTTTTTTCTTTTTTCTTAAAAAATTCATTCTTTTTACTTTTTAGCATCCTCCTGGTGATGATAAATATGGTTATGAACAAGCTAGTGAAAGATGGTCTCCTGTTCATACTGTTGAAACCATTCTTCTATCAGTGATTTCTATGTTATCAAGCCCAAATGATGAATCACCTGCCAATATCGAAGCAGCTGTAAGTTAATACAAAGAACTATCGGATATTACATACTAATATCATCTTTCATATATATAGAAAGAGTTCCGTGAAAACTACCCTGAATTCAAGAAAAAGGTACTCCGATTGGTTCGAAAATCTGCTGAAATGCTGTGATTAGGATGATCTCATTGAAGTATCCAACAAAACTTACATATAGATAAGATTACATATACAATCCGTCATTTATTCTTCTTCTTTTTTATATTTATTGTCCGTTCATCTTCCTTCCTTTGTATTGCCTACATGCATATCATCATTCCCAAATGTTAGTTGTTCTAATATTTAGACAATCTATCCTATTTATTTTAAATAATAAAAACCTTCTATATATTTGTCCATGATTAATCATTTCACTGTATAAACTTGTGATTACAAAAAAAAAAAAAAAAAAAGGGTGATGTCGGAGTGTGTGACTTTGAAGAACTGACCACGAAATTCGATCTTCCTCCTCTTTTCCTTGCTTCTCTCTCTCTCTATTTCTTTTTTCTCTTCTACTTTTCTCTCACCTTCTCTCCGTCTACTTTGATTCCTGTCTCCTCCATAATTCACTACAACATTACGTCAAAAAACGCGTTTACTACTTTTGAACGTGTCATAATTGTACTAGTTACTCTATTAGATTAATTATTTACGCGCATTAATAGTTTTCTTTTTCTTCTCTCACTCTCTTTTCTCCCCCTTTCAACTCTCGTATTATCATATATGGCAGACGGTGACTCAAACAAGACACAATCTACTCCACCGGTGACAAAGTATGTATATTTCAAATATAGATTATAACATTTCATGTTATTAGATTGATTTAACTAACAAATTCTTTATTATTCTTTCAATACTTTTATTAGACTTCTAGAAAAAGACGACACAAGTCTACCATCTACGACAACAACAGCAACAGCAACAACAACTTCTCTCGATACACATACTTCAGTCAACCCGAACTCCAATATGGGAACGAACGACTCGTCATCGACTCAACAAAATACTACGGTAAGAACAGAATCAGCCGTCACCACACCACCTTCTTCTTCTATAGGAGAATCGACTTCCGTTCAAGCCCCTACGGTACAGGAAACCCCAGATTCAACATCTTTCTCAGATACAACACCAGTCAACTCCAGATCAGGTCCCGCTGATGGTGAAAACAGAACAGAAGAACCAATTATGGATGATCAGGAAGCTGCAAAGTCGGATTCAACGAATGACCAACAATCAACAACAAGAGCCGCAAATGAACATACAACAACGTCTGACCGTATGGATATTGACGCTCAATTAGAAACTACCGAAGCAACAACGACAATTCAGTCTGACAACAATACCCACGATGAACATAAACCTGAAATGACAATTGCATCATCATCGTCACAGCAAGACCAATCGCCAAAAGCTGAATCTTCACTAAAGGAACAACTACCAAATACTGCATCTGATGAAAAAGTCAACCATCCAGAATCGATATTAACTTCATCCAACGATAATCATGATCAATCTACAAATGGAACGTCTGCTGCTGTACTCTCACCTGGCAAATCAACGACTGAACAGTCTCCTCATGAACAACAACAAGTCGATGGTGATCACCAGGAAATGGATATTGATATGCCCAATGCACCTTCAGATTCAAAAGAACAACCACCAACTGAAGAGCCATCTACATCTGCAATTGAATCTCCATCAGCTTCTTCCACAAAAGTAGACGATATGGATAACCGTCCATCCACAAACACAATGGAATCAACTAGTGCGACTACAGAAGCCAATGTGACAGAAACGACTACTACAGGCAAAACGACGACAGCAGTATCAAGTGCAAACGATGAACGTCAAAATAATACAACACAATCTAGTGCGACAGCATCATCTACCGCAGCACCTACTTCCAACGTCTCCAGTAGTAGCAATACACAAAATGGTTATCGACCTCTTAATGTTAAAGATGCCTTGACTTATTTGGATCAAGTAAAAGTACAATTCTCAGAACATCCTGAAGTCTACAACAAATTCCTGGATATCATGAAGGATTTCAAAAGTCAAGCGTGAGTAGTCACCCAAAAAAAAAAAAAAAATTGGAACGATGTCATTCTTTTTAGTGATTACTCATTATTAACTCTTTATTTTTTTTTTCTTTCTCTCTCTATAGAATCGATACTCCAGGAGTGATTGAACGTGTGTCTACTCTCTTCCGTGGTCATCCCTTATTGATATCTGGATTCAACACTTTCTTACCACCTGGTTACTGTATTGAATGTATCACTGATGAACACTCCCACGACATTATTAAAGTGACAACACCTAACGGAACAACCACTACTAATGCTGGCGAACCATTACGACTAGGCTCAGAAACCACAGGTGCTCCTACTCATGAACAATTGTATTACGGAACAACTGCTGGTGGCTATAGCGGTTATGGAACAATTCCACCTGGGTCATCAACAACAACGACAACAATGTATGGAGATGGAGGTCATGGTACTGGATCAATGACTATTCATCATTTACAACAACATCCTGGACAACAACATCTTCCACCACCTATACCGGGACAGCAACATCATCTTCAACAACTTCATCATCCTAATCAATCTCTTCATCAACAACAACAACAACCACACCCTCATATGGTACCTCAACAATTACATCATCCTGTAGATGATGGTCTAGGAAACCGTCGAGCTCCAGTGGAATTCAATCATGCCATTAATTATGTCAACAAAATAAAGGTAACAATTTTTTTTTTTTGTTGAACAGTTCGGGTAGTGATATACATTCATATTCATTAAACTCCTATTTTATTATTTGTAGAACCGATTTTCAAGTGATCCTGACATTTATAAACAGTTCTTGGAAATTTTACAAACATACCAAAAAGAACAACGTCCAATCCAAGAAGTGTATGGTCAAGTACAAGTCTTATTCAATGGTGATAGTGATCTATTGGCAGAATTCAAGCAATTTTTACCGGATACTACAGGTGGTGCATCCACTGCTGTTTACACATCTACACCTCATAGTAAATATATATATAGTTATGATTAACAAAGTAAATGATATTTACCTTCTTTATTCACTATTGAAAAATTAGGTCGAAAAGGACTGGTGATGGTGCCTGGTTTATCCAGTGGTCCTCAAGGACGAAAAAAACGGGCGACGAATATGTTGACTTCTGGCATCTCAAAGGTAAAAAGCAATGTTTTCAAAATCAGAAGAAAAAAACAAGAAAGAAAAAGAAAGCGATGATGATCCTTAACAATATTTATATATTTATATATATATATATATATATATAGCGAAGCAAATTACAAAATAAGATGGACACCCAAACATCTGATGTACGCTCTGGCATGTCATTAGATCAAGATATGGTACGGCCTTTTGTCTCTGGTGAAGAAGTAGAGTTCTTTGAACAGGTCAAGAAATACATTGGTAGCAAGGCCACATACAATGCTTTCCTCAAGGTATTGAATCTATTCAGTCAACAAATCGTGGATCAAAACGTACTTGTGAATCGTGTGGAAGGCTTTATCGGCGGTAACAAGGAATTATTTGATATGTTCAAGACTTTAGTTGGTTACGATGGAAAAGATGAAATTGTGGAAAATGTACCTGCTGATCTTGACAAACCTGATCTTTCGACGTGTCGCGCTTGTGGTCCAAGTTATCGACTTATTCCTAAATCGGTAAGGATCATTTCATTGCAAATGGGAATAATTGACTTTTTAACCTTTATTTCTTTCTCTCTTTTCTTTATCAGTGGGAACAAAGTCAAGTATGTTCTGGCAAGGATGAATTATGTTTAGAAGTTCTGAATGATAAATATGTCTCACATCCTACTTGGGCAAGCGAAGACAGTGGTTATGTGACATCCAAAAAGAATCAATATGAAGAAGCTTTACATCGTGTGGAGGAAGAAAGGTATGATTTGAATTATAATTTACGCAGTGGCTGATGATGTTTTAATCATGATGTTTTATTTTTTTTTTTTTTAACTAGATATGATTATGATTTGAATATTGAAGCCAATCTCAATACCATTGCACTTTTGGAACCTATTATGAAGAAAATTTCAGCCATGACTCCTGAAGAAAAAGCAGAATTCACTCTACCTGTTGGACTTGGTGGTCCTTCCAAAACTATCTATCAACGCATCATCAAGAAGATTTATGGTAATGATAAAGGTCTACAGGTCATTGGACTACTTCACAGTAGCCCTGCACAGACAGTACCTATTGTATTAAAGCGACTGAAACAAAAGGATGATGAATGGAAACGTGCTCAGGTAAGAAAAAAAAAAAAAACAAACAACAAATTATTATCAAAAGTTTTAACATAGGATTCTATCCTTTTTTTTTTTATAGCGTGAATGGAACAAGATCTGGCGTGAAGTAGAAGCAAAGAACTATTTGAAGGCATTGGATTATCAAGGCATCACATTCAAATCAAGTGACAAACGAAGCATTACCACAAAACATCTTATCACTGAAATCGAAGAACGGCGGATGCAACAACAAGAAGAATACCATCAACATAGACAAGAACGTGAAATTTCCTCATCTACCACCACAACGACAACTTTACTGGCTCCAGCAAGAAAACCTCCACAATTCACTTTTGTTTTTGACCAAAAATCTGTGCTCAAGGATGTGATGCGACTGATATACTACTTTCTCGATCGAACGGAGCTCTATAGTGCAGAAAATCAAGACAAAATGCGATCATTTATGGAAACTCTACTTCCATTGATCTTTGATGTAGATAGTATTACTCCAGATGGACAAGACGTATCTGTTGTGGATGATAGCAATGGTACTGGTGATGATGAAGTGATGGGTGACGGTGTTGGTGGTGAAGAGGATGGTGATGAAGAAGCGGCAGCCGATGATGACGAAGCTGCTGATGAAGCGGATGATGAAGAAGATGAGGAATCAAGATCAATTCAATCGTACGATTCTGATGGTGATGCAATCATGGCTACTCGACGTAATGGATCTTCAACAACAACTGCAACACGAAGTATAAAGAAGAATAATGGAAGCAACAGCAAACGATCCACTTTGAAAGATATCTTGACAAGAAATATATCATCAACTCATACATCTGGAGTATCTACACCATCAAATACTACTACGACTGGTGGTACAAGTACTTCATTGGATGCGACGGTACCAAGCGACTCGGAATCTGACTCCATCCCACAACAGCAACAACAACAACAACAAGAACAACCCGAAACGGATGTGGATGTACCTGAAGCAAACAATAATGATGTGAAGACTGACGAATCACAGGAAACAACAAAGGAGGAGATCCCAACAAATAACGAAAAAGAAGATCAACAGCGTGCTTTACCCAAAGAACAAACGCCAACTACTACTACTACCACCACTACTACTGGTGATACTTCACATAAACGACATGTATATAATTTGTTTGCTGATAGTGAATTTTATTGTTTCTTCCGATTATATCAGGTAAATTAGGGAAAAGTAATAAAAAAAAAAAGGTATATACTGATCTTTTATATTGATTATTATTTTAGTTAATCTATGAACGTCTTTGTCAAATGAAATCTTTGGATGAAGAGTATAAGAAGGATCCTATCAAGACAAAACGGGAAAATAAGGCTGCTCTGAATTTGGGATTAAAATCAAAAGCTATTTCTGGTAAAATTATAACAAAAAAAAAAAAAAAAAAAAAGAAAGAAAGAAAAACTTATTGACCTTTTCTTTTCTATAGATTTCCATTTGAAGTTCAATAAAGGTTACTACCAGGCACTACTGACTTTGATTGAAAAGTTCTTTGAAGGTGATATAGATCAAAGTTTATTTGAAGAATCATCACGATATATCTTTGGAAGCAAGGCATATGTTTTATTTACAATCGACAAGGTTATGCTTGCACTCATCCGACATGTAAGTGAATTCTACCCCCAAAAAAAAGTATAAGTTGATTGATCTTGATTTTTATATATTTGCTTTATTAGACACATTTGATTATTTCCAATGATAAATCACCTTTGCTATTGGACTTATTTAAGCAAGATCATAGTTTGGAACATGTGGATGCTCAAATTCTTGGTGATTACCGACTCCGTGTGGAAGATATAGTGGGCAAAGAAGAAGTCCTATTTAACATAGCATTTGTAAGTTTTATTGATGTGATGCATGAATTGTACTCATTCATTTTTTTTTTTTTCAATAGGATACCATTCGTAGGACCTTATCAATTCAAATTCTTAGTGGAGATGATGAAGATTACGAAAAAAACAGCCGTGATGACTATGAAGAATATGTTTCCAATTATATTGACTGGGCCAATGCTACTAAAGGCATCAATACATCTGATTTGACACCACGATTTCTCAAAAGGTAAATAAAAAGAATGATAGAAGATAACACATTGCTAATATATATATCTTGTAGAAACATGAATCATCGTAGTGATGAAGCTGATGATGTACGACAGGATATTTTTGTACGTTCCGGTATGCAATACAAAATTTGTCGAGACACATATCATATGTTTTATATTATTGGCACAGAAGATATATTTATACGCTTACCGACCAAACCAAGGCCAACACAACAACAACAACAACAAGAATCAAGTGCAAAATGGACTTCATGGTTGGAATCCAATTGGAGCAAAGGTATCTCGGACAAGGAACAAGCTGAAAAGGATGCTCGACAATTATTGTTCTCTAATTAATATATATATTTTTTTAACACACTCCCCTCCAAAATCAATTATCATCACTTTTCCATTTTTTTTTATTTTATTTTATTTTACTTTACTCTAACATCAATTAAAAAAAAAAAACAAAATTCATTTACCTTATATGTTTTACTGTTTCTCTTTTTTTTTTTTCAGCTGATTGAATGATGATGATATTGCTGAGAGCTAGTTAATCTTATTCATTGTGGGATAGATCTTTTTATCAACTTTTCCAATAAAAATCCTATTCATCCTTGTTGTTCTTTTTCTTATCTTTCACAATCTCACCCATTTAGAATATTGCATACCCTACCAAATGTAAAATACAAAATCCAAATTTTGAAGACAGAGAACATCAGTATTGATAAATTTTTTTTTATTTAATGATAAATGCATATAAAATAATACTGCAACTAATGACCACGCAATCGTTTGAATGACGTTTTCTGACGCGTGTAGGGATTGAGCTGGGAGGTATGGTATGGCAAATTCATCTTCATCTGAGGAAGAACGTTTTATGGGACCATCTTGAGGTTATTGACAGTTAATGGCGATGATGGATGGGCGATAATGACAGTAACCAGTCTTCTTCTTGTCTTGCCATCTGACATCGTTCCCGAAAGCACTAGTGGTCGTATCGTAAAACTTCTGATAGATAATATGATTGATATATTTTTTTTTTCTGTTCAGTACCCTATCAAACACAGATTTGTCACAACAGTAACGAGCACCAATAATTAGTATACGAACATGGCATCAATTTTTTTTTTTGTTACCTTTGCTTCTGATGATGGTTTTTTTTTTTCTTTTGCTATCCAGGAATCTTGAGAGCGACAGATATCAATCTTGACTTTTTGTAACTTTTCTTTTCCAAAAGCTATAATGGCGAACTTCTAGTGATATCTCCTTCCAGGTCTTGTACCAAAGGAAACTTTTTTTTCATTTTTGCTCATTGCCAAATTAGTGGATCCATGAAGTTGTTGAATAGCTGTTTCCTGTTTGATTCACCCAATAATTTTATTACTTCAACGTCTTCGATGTATTTCAATTAAGCCTTTCCATACTTTCTTGTTTTATTGAAAATTAAATTAAAACAAAAAAAAAAAAAAAAGAAAAAAGAGAGAAAGGCAACTTTTATGCTTGATTGGCGGGGTTACAATGAACTCTCGCATAATCGTGAGTTAGCCTTTCTATGAGCTTTCCCATATCATCTTTTCATCAACGTTGATTAACAGAACTGACGTAACAATCCATCAATACTGGATGTATTGGTTTATGTAGATAAGACTCTTTGATCAGTATGAAACATGACACGGCGATGATCGACGATGAAGTTAAAAAAAAATAGACGAAAGTCCATGATGGGAGCGACGGGTGACGCCGATGATTGATTGTCAATTTGAATGATGATTGACGACAGGGAGAGGATGGAGACATGAAGAGAATATCCAATAATTGTGTCCTTATCATTATGAATCATTCTTATTGTATATACAAATAGAGTTTGATCAGATCTTTATTCTTTACAATCGGAAAAATCAAATAAGAACGAATTCGTGAGATAGTAGGTGGGGGATATGTTGGTGGTAATACACAAAAAGAAATATAAAAAGTGGATGAAATAATGTAATAAAAAGAAAAAAAGAAAAAGCAAACAGAAAGGAATACGAATTTATCCATTAAATTGTCATTTCCTTGGCAAGTTCATGAGATTGAATATGTATATCATCATCTTCGGCAATGATTTGATCCACAATTGTCTTTTGATCTTTGAATAGATAGATTGGATCCTTTTGTTTGTTGACTACCTTGCTGTCAATCACCACATATCGCACAAAAGAAGAAGGGGTTTCATACATTGGATCCAAAAGAAGTTGTTCCTATTATCACAATGATGAGTTAACTTTTCTTTTTTTTCCTAAAAAAAAAAGATGATTTTTTTAAATTTATTTACCATAATTCTGCGTAATCCTCGAGCACCGGTTTTCTTTTCTAAAGCCAATTCAGCAATACGTTTCAAAGCAAGTTTACTAAAATGAAGTTCCACCTGTCCAAAAAAAAAAAAAAAAAAAAAGGAATCAGTACCTATATCAATCTTCTTTTAAGAATATCCCTTATCATTTTTGTATAGTTTACCTGACTTAAATCAAATAATCCTTTATATTGTTTGACAAGTGAGTTTTTTGGTTCCGATAAGATGCGTACAAGATCATTCACTTTTAGATTGGCAACAGAAGCTACCACAGGCACTCTTCCAACAAATTCAGGAATAAATCCATATTTGACCAAATCTAATATAAAACCATATGTGAGTTCCTTTTGTTCATTCGATCAAAAAATGATAGTAAATATAATAACTTACCAGATGGTTCCACAAGATCTAATGGAGGAATTGATACAGTTTTTTCACCTTGTTGTACAAGCACATTGTCTTCATCATTAGACTTGAGTACAGCATCAAATCCAATGGACTATACAAAAAAAAAAAAAAAAAAAAGTCAGTCAAACAATCCTACTTTCAGTGATGTTTACTTACTCCCTTTGCTAAACGATCCTTGACAATATTTTCTAATCCAACAAAAGCACCACTGAGAATAAATAGAATGTTGCTTGTATCCACTACATAAGACTCATTTTTCATTAGACCACCTCCAAATGAACCTCCAATGGCAGGTCGTTTGCTTGATCCATTTCCACCAGATATTGTCACCATAGTTCCCTCTAACATTCGTAATAAGGACTAGATAACATAAAAAAAGGAATTAGCTTACATCTTATCTTTCATATTCATCATCCATTTTTTTTTTTAAATTTATCATCTGATTTTCATACCTGTTGTACACCTTCACCTGATACATCTTTTGAATGAGATGACGCATTGGATCGTCGTGCTATCTTGTCAATTTCATCAATAAAGACAATGCCTGTTTCTGCCTTCTTGACATCGTAATCACAACTCTATAAAATAGGAGAAACAAAGCAATTAGTAAATAGATAGAATTGTTTAATGTATGCATACTTGTAATAGCCGATGAATCACAGTTTCAACATCTTCACCAACATAACCAGCCATAGTTAAGGGAGTTGCATCATTACTTGAGAAAGGTACATTGAGAATTTGTGCCAAAGTTTTTGCCAATAAAGTTTTCCCTATTGAATAAACAGATACATCCAATTAGTTAACATCATCAGTATTTCATTATCTTTTTTTTTTTTTTTTTGGACATACCAGAGCCAGTTGGACCAATGATCAAGACATTACTTTTGTCATATGTTGTTATATCATCCGATGATTCATCATCCAAGTCATTATTGGTTGACATTGTTGCAGATGTTTCTGACTCCTCAGTAGTTCTATGATGTGTAGCCGTTTGAGTTGGTGGATTGAGCCATGTTCGTCTTTGTGATACTAATAAAATAAAATAAAAAAGGAAGTTTAGTTTACAGGAGAAATAAACTATATATGTTTTTTTTTTTTTAAAAAAAAAAAAAACTTACATTTTCCATAGGAAGATAATCGTTCAGCAGGAACTAACTCTGCTCCAACAGATTGTATAGGTGTTGATGTATAATAATCTTGAGGTAACGCTGAATGATGTTGTTCGACATGGTGACGTTCTTCTGCTTCTAACTTTTGTCGTTTCCTTTGTTGAATTTCTAGATTCGCTTGAACTCTACAATAATGGTTATAGACTGCAACAGCTAATACCTTCTTTCCGCGTTCTTGACCAATAACATAGTCATCTAAATGTTTAACAATCTATAAAATAGAAAAAAAAATATAGAAAATGAATAAGATATATCACTTTTTTTTCTTTTTTAAATATTTTCTTACTGTTCGAGGATCCGTAATGGTAAAGTCCATTGTATTGATTGTTCCGGCAGTGGGTGATAAAGTAGATTTGGATTTCCCCGTTTGAGGTTGTCTATTGTCGGGTTCACATTCCAAAGTATGATAATAGCTTCTTTTTGTCATAGATGGTGATGATATAAAGGAACCAGGCAATAAAAAATCCAAATGTTTGCTACTACTAGATAATTCCCTTTTGGCTATAGAGTGATAATATTGAGTTGACCAGGTAGTAGCAGCACAACGTTGTAATCGTAAGATGAAAGAAGGTCGACAAGGATAATGACTTGAAATAAAAGAAGATAATAGATAAACAGAGGAAGACCTATTTGCCAACATTCTATGTCTATTTCAAAAATATATGATATAAATAAATAAATAAATGAAAAAGACCCCCAGCACTTTAAGAAGTTAAAAAAAAAAAAAAAGAAAGTATGGAAAAAAAAAAAAAGAACAAAGTGTAGCCCTGCAAATGCCAGCAGAAACAAAGCGGCTGTTGTAAAATTTTAGCCAATCATATTCTGCTTCCAATAGATATCATGCTCAAGTTGTGTAAACAATAGTTTATTTTTGTTAGCGGTAAACAACTCTATTTACATGGTCAATAATAAATGCTTCAAAATGTATAAATGTAGATGATTTTGTAAATCAAATAAGGAAGGGAGTGTTAAAGTGATGATTATTTGTGTGTGTGTAGAATGAGTAAATCAAATAGATAGAGACGAAAAAAATGGAATAACGAGAAGATACATGAAGATGTGAAGGGAAAATAAAGAGGAAGGTCGTTTACGATTTCTTGATACTTAGTAACCACCACGGCCACCACGGAAGCCACCGCCACCGCGACCACCTCCGCGACCACCACGGCTACCGCCTTTGATGATTTGTACAGAAAAAGAAAAAAAAAAAGAAGGCAGGTATCAGTATAAACAGATTATAAAAAAGTAATTATTATTCTTTTTTCATTTTTTTTTTTACCTCGGCCACCGCCAAAACCGCCTCGACCGCCTCCACGACCGCCTCGGTCACCACCACCTCGACCTAAAGAAGATAAGAATAAATCTATTAGTTGACAATCCTTCCAAATGATGATTCTAGATATTATAATTAATACTTCACCTCCTCGTCCACCGCGACCACCGCGGAATCCACCGCGACCACCGCCGCCACGCTTTTCAACCTTGCCTTGAAGACCAGTAGGTTTGGAAGCTATTCAAAGCAGACATAAAAGTTAAAAGAATCCTTATCAATATATGACTAAAATAGGTTTTTTTTTTTTTGTTTTTTTTTACCTTTGCCAGCAACCTTGGGTTTAGGTAGGAAACGTTCCAAAGGAAGAAGTTTATCACCACCAATGTAGACCTTATCGTTAGGTTTGAAAGAAGTAGCGACCATGCCTTCTTGCATCTTGACAGTAAAGTAGACTTCATTCAAAGGACCAAGGATTTCATCAACTTTGCCGATTTGAGATTTATTTTCAAGATAGATGGGAGCATTGAAGTAAGGAACCTTAGGGTTAATAGACTTGCATACCATTTCACCTTCACAAGCATGTTGGAAAGAACCCATAGCTATTCACCAAAAAAAAAAAAAAAAAAAGAGATGTTGATATAGAACAAAAAAAAGTCAGGTTACTTACGAACAACTTCATCAGGAGGACCTTGTTGATATCCACCGCTAAATCCACCACGGCCACCACCACGACCTATATTAAAATAAATAACAATAAAAATTCGATTAAGGAACATATGAGATTTGAATTTAATATAATTTCTTTTTGATCACTTACCACCACGGAATCCTCCACGACCGCCTCCACGACCACCACGTTCACCGAATCCACCTTTGCCCATATTTATAATAGTTTAATAGTAAAAGGCTAAAAAAGAAAGAGAAAGATAAAAAAAAAGGTTGAGGAAAAGGAAAGGGAGAGACACAAAAGCTTTTTTTTTTTTTTTTTCGTCAAGCTGTCAATGTGGCTTACACTACAAAAACGATTTCACTTCCCGCTATTAGATTTTTGGCTGTAATGAATGAGTTGATGATCATCCTAAGACCATTTTTCTATATGACGAATGAATAAAGAATGAAAAACTTTTATTAATTATTTTAAACCGTTATATTATAATAAACCTTTTTTCTTTTTCTTTTGAAAAGATTAAAAACAATATTAGAACTTAGCCATTCATTCATTTTTAATTGTTAGTATGTATGAGAGATATGTCTCCAACTCACACCTCAGGGTTTAATGTCCGCTAGACTTTTTTTTTTTTTTCATCGTCTGCCTTAACCTCTCTTTGTTTCCTCTCTTCTTTCTCTCTCTCTCACACACGCACAACAAACGCTTTTCCCCCTTATTTTTTTTTTTTATTTTTATATCAAAAGTTTGTTTCTCCCTATACTTCTTCCATATCTATTTTTCCTTTTATTCTATTATCATGTCAGATCATAGAAACTACTCTCCACCTAGTAGAGCGATGGGCTATAACAATACTTCTGATGATGATTACTCTCCACGTTCGTCTCGAGACAAATTCAGACGTGAACGAAGTATGGATGCTAATTCTTATGTAGATTCATATCAATCTAAAACTGATGAATATGGAAGGTATTCACGCAAGAAGCGACATTTGCGTAGTCCATCTCCTGTTGAAGGTAAAATATACATAGTCTTAATATAAGAAAGTCTTGTCTCTTTTTTTTTTATTGGCTATTTTTATTCATTCCATCTTTTTTTTTTTTTTTTTTGTCATAGACCGACGACATAAATATCGACGTACATCACCAATGTCACCACCATCGCACCATATGCAACATTACCGTAGTAGCAATTATTCAAGACAAAGTCGTGACCGTGGCGATGGTCGAGATCTAGAGTATCCTGAAGGTGATCACTATATTCCAAATTATGAACGTGATGGTTATACACCTGGAGCCCGTTATGGAAGGAGTGTTGATCAACAAAAACATCATCATCATCATCAACAGCAACAACAACAGCAACAACAACAACAACAACAAAATCAATCATCCAATACACAAAAATTCAATTATGGCATGATGGGTAAGGCAACAATGAAAATGAAATCATTTGGTATTCTAGGAGATTTTAACCTTTTTTTCTCTCTTATACCTTCTTTATTTTTAGAAAACATGAACTCCTCCATGGTTGGGGGTAACTGGTCTTCTATATCAAGGTATGTTATCGTGTTAAGAATTATATTTGTTTATAACTCACCATTTTAAATTATTATGATTAGAATGCCTCTTGTTGATCCTCACCAATTGGATTATGTTGTACCATTCAAACAATACTGTGACTATCTACGTCAAACACATTCCAGAAATCATTTCACCGATGAAGAATTCCAAAAGAAATACGATGAATACAAGGAAAAGATATCCTCCAAACAACTGGCTCAATTCTTTAACAACAACAAGGAAAAGCAATGGTTCTTGGAAAAATATCATCCTCAAGCATCTAAAGAACGCTTGGCCGATACAAAACAACGACGAGCAAATGCTTTCAACAACTTTATGCAAGCTCTTCAAAAAGGTGATTATGATCATGTAAAATACGACGTGGATGGCAAAGATTTGGATAATACCAACACCGATATTGATGATGGAACAGCAGCAACAACAACCAATGATACTACTGGAGCATCGAATGACGAAGCTTTTGAAAGTCAACTAGTGATCAAGACCGTCCCTCCAACTATTTCTCGACAAAAGATTATCGATATGTGCAGCAAAGTAGATGGATTCCTATATCTTGCCTTGTCAGAACCAAGTGTCAACAAAAAGTTTCATCGCATTGGCTGGATCCACTTTACCGAAGAAACTGATATGCAAAAGGCATTTGACCAATTGGATAATCAAAAGGTAAAAAAAAAAAAAAAAAAAAAAAAAAAAAAAAAAAAAAAAAAAAGGTATCTCATAATATTTCTTTTTCCTTTTATAGATTGATGATTTTGTATTTCATCTTGCTATGAACCGAAAAAATCATTTAGCAACCTCTGGACGAACTGGAAGAACAGCACCTGATATCACTAATACCTCGGAAAGACTTTCTGTAGATTTGGAACAAGCGACACGAATAGCGAAGATTATGGATACGGAATTAGGTGTTGAAGGACTTCAGGATGTTGTCAACCGTGCTCATCAAGTGGTAGAGCAACATATTAGCGGTTCTATTGGTGATGGAGTAAAGACTACGTCTAGTGACAGTAGTCATGATAGTAGTATGGAGGATACTCATTCAACAAGCGAAAAAGAAGACAATCATTTGGAAACGAAAAAGGAATTGGATTTGATCTTGACTTATTTGCGACATGTACATATGTATTGTTATTATTGTGGACTTGAATGCGACTCTATTGAAGAATTGAATCGTCGTTGTTTGGATCCTCATCATCGAAAATTACCATCATCTGTATCTTCTGATTCGAAAATATCCGCAAAGAATGAACGATTAAGTAAGTGAAACGAACACTATATATATATATAAGATAAACTAATCCATCCTTTTGTATGTTTAGCTCAACAATGGATTAAAAACTTGGATCAACGTATCAAAATGAAAATCAATCCTCCTGAAGATGATGAAGATATGGTCAAAATAGGTGGAAAGTCAATGAAAAGGTAAATGCTTATTAGATTCAAATCCATATTTTTAGAAATACTCATCTTTTTTTTTTTTTTAATAGTGAAATCAGTACTTTCTTGGCAGAACATATACAAAAGGAACATGATGCCAAATTCAAATGTAAAGTGGGAGATTGTGCCAAAGCATTCAAAGGTATTGAATTTGTGGAAAAACATATCAGCAGTAAACACAGTGAAGAAATACAACGGATCAAGGACGAAGTGACATTTTATAACAACTATGTGACCGACCCCAATCACTTATTGTTAGCACCAAGTAGTAGTAGTAGTAGTAGTGGCAATATCAACAGTCCTGGTATCAATAACACTACTTTCTCTGGCGCATCCCCTTCTTTTATGATGCAACCTGGTGGTCTATCTATGCAAGCAACTTCTATGGGTACTCCATGGGATCAAATTCCACGTATTGGTTTTGGAGGGAATGTAGGCTGGCCTAGTTCCATGGCAGGACGGATAGGTACAAGATTAAGTGGTAAAAGTACATCAGGATCAAGGTAAGTATTTTTTTTTTTTTTGAAGAGAAATGTCACATTAATTACTTTATAAATAAATAGTGATATGATGTTGGATATGCCTCAAGATCCAAGACAAGTCAAATCCTATGTTGATCTGGATGCTCCTTCTGATGGTGATGCCAATATCTCGTTTTACTAAATAACTTTGGTCATTCCCCTCTTTTTTTTTTTTGTTCTGTATTATTCTTTTTTTCTTTTTTTTTGTGATTTGTGATTTTTTTTTCTAGTCGGTATTTTGTTTTCCTCCTCCTTTTCTTCTTCTTCTTCTTCTCTTTATATACACAATATATATATACATAGCTATATCACCTCTCTCTCACACACACACTCTCTATTTTAAACTTTTGTTAATAAATTACAGCAAAAAAAGTGACAATGTATCTTGTTTTGTGACTTGTGATTGGCTAGGAACCAGACTGAAAGCGGTTGCCTTTTGGTTGACTCTCCGATGATTTCTTCTGTTGAAGGATTTTTTTTTTTCTGTCACTCTCTCTCTCTTTTTTTTTTTTTTTTTTTTTTCCTTTACTCCACTCGCTCACACACAATCATTAGAAGATGGCAGATCATATGGTTATCGACGAAGGTACATGAAATAATATTCATTAAAAAAAAACTGTGAAACTTACGTATTTACGCGATCCATTCTTTTTATTAACTTTAGAATCTAACATTCGTAGCCGTTTGGGTCAAACTAATGGTAAAGCTATTTGTACACAAATATATGTGTTTATCATAGAGCACGTATATATATATATATATATATGTGTGTGTGTTTGTATTGATTTGTTTTTCTTCTTTTTGTTTCCTTCTTTATGTTATATATATATATAGATGCACGTCCCAGCAATAACAGAATGGCGATCGATTCCTTTGAACCTGAACGATGTAAGTATCATTCATTTTTATTTTTTTTTATTTATGTCTGATTATGGGAATGACGATGTAACAAACTCCTGGTTGAAATTTATTTTGACATTTGCTTTTCAAACCGTTTTTACTTGGTCATGATAGCTGAAGAAGGATGGGTTGTGATTGTACGTGGTATTCATGAAGAAGCCGATGAAGATGCTCTGACTGAAAAGTTCTCTGAATTTGGTACTATTAAAGATGTTCACATCAACTTGGATAGACGTACTGGTTATGCAAAGGTAAATATTCATTTGAATGTATTTTTCTATATATAGGCTTTGATGTTCAATATTTTTTTTTTTTTTTTTTACTTTTTTTAATTATAGGGTTACGCACTGATCAAATATGAAACTCGAGGTGAAGCTCAAATTGCAGTGGATGATGGCAACAACACCAAGTTCTTAGGTCAAACCATTCAAGTCGAATTTGCTTTTGTCAAGCCTCCAGTATCAACATCAAGGAATGGTGGTCGTCGATCATACAATCGTGGCCGTAGTGTTAGTCCTGCTTAGTTTTCCTTTTTAGTATTTATCTTTTTTTTTCTTCCCCTTCCCTTTTCCACTGTGTATATTTGATGAACATTACAGTTTCCTTCTTCCTTGCCTTCTTTTTTTTTTTTTTTGATTATCTTACTATACCAAGAGTATATAATAAATGGAATTAAACTTTACGTTATCTGATGCCTGCTTTTTGAAATGAATAGAGAAATATATCTATCGATGGCCAACGATACACAGCATTCTATATATGGTTCAAAGAAGAAAGAAAAAAAAAACAAACGACAAATTTTTATTACATGAGAGATCAATAACAACCAAAAAAAAAAAAAAAAAAAAAAAAAATGAAAACATAATTAATTAAAAACAGATATAAAACGAATAACGACAAGATATATGATAAATAAATAAATAAAAAAACTATACTACAAAAATGGATTAACCAAAAGGACCAAAGAGTATCATAAAGATGATGATGGTTTCTTCCTTTTCATAAAGCTTTGATGGACTTCCTCTAAAGTTCGATTTGCAGTCTATATATAAATATGCATTTATATAAGATAATAAAAAAAAAAACGTTATCCATTATTGCTACATCTCCTTTTTTTTTTTTTTCTTTCTTTCTTTTGTCTTACCTCTGGTACCATAAAATAGATCAATATGTAAAGTATTAAAGAGAGTCCAGCATAAAAGAAATAAGTACCACCAGTGGTCATTGCATCGGTTAATGATAAAAAGGAGGTAGAAATGATCAAATTGCATATCCAGTTAACGGCTGTTGAGATCCCATTGCCTTTGCCGCGCATAGCTGTAGTAAATATTTCACTCTGAATCAACCATGGAGCATATCCTAACCCAAGAGCATAGCTAGCCACATAGACAATTAATGCTGTTATCAAGATTCCAGTAATCGCACTATCATTCGGACGTGGAGGACATCCTGTTGGACTTGAGAAAATATCACTCAAATCATGATTTATGGTAGACACGCAGGTATCTTGACTAATTGACCATCCACATTTCAAATCAGTATCAATAACACATCGTGCACAATGAGTAGCATAACCACTACAGGAGGCTTGTTTTTGAATAAAACCTTGCTGTACCCCAAACGTAGCACCCAAAGCAATAAGACCAGCGATCATCACTAACATCGTCACTACCAACATCCTTCTCCGTCCTACTCGGTCAATAACAGCCACTGCTACCATCGTAAATACCATGTTCGTCACCGCTACAATGATAGCCACACTTGTTGAGTTTTGATTGCTACGAAAACCTGCCATCTGTAAGATTGTTGCTGCATAATACATAGCTGCATTGAATCCACATAATTGTTGAGCAGCTTGTAAGATACATGCTATAAGTATATATATAAAATGAGTGAGATGATTTGGTTCTGTAGATGATTTTTAATCTTTTTTTTTTCTTTACCGATAATAAGAGGACGATAATGCTCGGCCTGTTTAAAATCCTTGAATTGACCTGCATGACTAATTTGAATATCATCAGCAATCAAAGCAATTTCCCCTTCAATAAATGCGTCGGACACACTATCGCCATAGATTTTTCGAATAACCGATCTTGCTTCTTCTTGTTTTCCAGATATAATCAAATGCCGAGGTGATTCAGGTAAGAAGGGCATCACCACCAATTGGAAAAGGGCAGGAACACCAGCAAGACCAAACATATATCGCCAACCTTGATCGACATTTGAAAATGCAATGTTGATCACATAAGCAATGACTTGACCAAACGTGATCACAAGTGTATTGAGTGTTGTCAGTCTTCCACGGACATTTTTTGGTGCAATTTCACCTAGATGTCATGGGAAACACAAAAAAAAAAAATTGATTAGTTCACAAAAAAAAAAAAAAAAAAAAAAAAAAAAAAAAAAAAGAGAATAATGGGAGCGTGGGATTCATACATGTTTTCCCACTTGATATTATTTTTAAGACTTACTGACAAAGACTGGGACAATCATGGATGCCACACCTACACCTAAACCAACTACCAATCTTCCCACAAGGAGACATGCAAAATTAGGAGCCAAGGCCAATAACAAAGCACCTACAATGAATACCACAGATGCAAACAAGATCAATCGCTAATATACAGAAAATAAATAAAATAAAAAGATGAGAACTTTGAATAAACCTTAAAGAAATGAAGGAATAAGTTGATTGTGTAACTCTATCCTGGGCCCTACCTTGCGTCCAAATTTGTCTGAAAACTAAAAACCAAAAAGAAAGGACATATCAGTAACAATGGTGTAAAGACTTTTATGTTTATTTGCATTACCAAACCAGCAAAGAAACCTCCAAAGATGGCACCAAAGGTAGTACCACCAACGATCAATTCTTGGTCAACCTTATTAAGATTGAATTCTTCTTGAATAGGAGAAAGAGCACCAGATATGACTATAATATAATAAAGTTTTTGAGTTGAATATCACTTTTTTTTTTCATGTAGTATATACATTACCACCAGTATCATAACCAAAAAGGAAGCCACCCACACAAACACAAAATACAAGAACATAAACGAAAAATGTCGCCTTCCCTATTTCTTGTTGAAAGGGAAGAGGATCGTCCAGGATCTCTTCACTAAGCTGAGGATCCTTCTTATTGGAAGGCATACCTAGAGATGTTGAAGGAGAAGAGGGAAGAAATTGGTAAGTGACATGTTGAAAAGAGGTCATTTATGTATATTGTAACAACAAAAAGTAGGAGATATAAAATAGGTCTAAAGATATAGAATATTCCCAGGCATGGATTTTATTTCTGCTTACCACAAAATAAATAAAGGAGGGGGGAGGGGGATAAAAAAAAATTCGAAAGAAAAAGGAAAGGGGAAAAAAGGGCTTCCCTATAAAAAAAAAAAAAAAAGGAAAAGGAAAAGAAAAAAAAAGAAAATTGCGGGGTTCTTCTTGTCAATCGCCGATAAGAGTGGTATCAAACCCTATTACACTTTTATTCAATATGTATGATGATGATCAAAGAATAATAAATCATAATAATAATAAAAAAGAAAGGTTTTTTTTTTTATTGAAGATTTGTTCTATATATAGCTACTGGTAGATATTTAGAAGACTTGAACCATTGAGTATTCGTCTAGACAGAAAGAAAAAAATTAATATCATATACAAATCAATTCAATATGATTTGTTACCTTCTTGTTTGAGGAACTGGTATCACAAATAGGATGTTGTTTCTGTTGTACTACTGATCCATAAGAATATCTATTCCGTTTTTGATACATCAGAGGAGTATTCGGAAGACTGTAGGTACGATACTTCAAAGGTTGATGGACAAATCGATGTTGTTCAAGTTGACGAGAATAGTGTGTTGTTGTCGAAGGGGTTTCAGAAGCGATGTTGTCTTGATTAAGATTCAATGTCAATTGATCTTCCATTCTAGCATTAGATACGGGAAGGGATATACAACCATTATCATCATTACCATCATACAGATTTTCACTTTCAATATCGAATTTTGATTTATAAGGATTTTTTCCATCAGCATCATCATCCTTGTCGTCACCACCACGAAGCAGTTTTGTCGCTAACACATCTCCAAAAAGACTAATAAAGTAGGCAGCAACCGCAATAGATATAACAATATAAAGAAACCAGAATTCTTGAGCCAACTACTTGAAGAGAAATTGAATTGAGAATGAGTAATTCTATAAAATCGTATCAGGATCAACATTACCGCTGTTTGTGGAACTAGATCACCAAATCCAATAGTTAATTGGGTCACGAAGGCAAAATACAAGGCATCAAGGTAAGACCAGTCATCTTCTAGAGTACAAAAAACAGCTGCCCCACCAAACCAAGATAAAGCAAAGATAATCGACATACGCCAAGCACCAGAAGGCGTCACTACATGCACCCACATTTGACGATCTTGTTCTTTGAGAAGATTACCGAGAGTATAGTTGCCACAAGAAGATATTCCACCACTAGAAAGTTGTCGACGATGATGATGTTTTAGAATCGAATCATTGTTATTCCCTATAGTGTTGTAAAAAGACGAGGAAGCAATTGTAGTAGTGGTATCAAATGGTGAATCATAATCCGTTCCTGGTATCGTATCATGTTGCTTCCCATCATGATCTTTTTGGTTATGTATTCGTTGTTGTAAAGCAAGATCATGCAAAGATTCCACACGCATAAGGTTCACTTTCATAATAAGATTTGAAGAAGATCCACTGATCATCGCCGATCGTAAAGATAACATAAAATAGCCAACAACACAAATTCCTATGGAGGCATAACCCAAGAAAAACAAACGTCCAGTGGAAGTGATTGGAGTGACATCACCATAGCCAATAGTCGTCAGAGCTGTTGCACAGAATATCATAGCTTGAGTGTATTCCCATTGTTCAATCCACATAAATGCTAAAGTACCAATAACAAGAGTAGAGCAATACATGACAGTAGGTAAGAGCATGGTTGTCAAAGTGGTTGACAAACTACTCGCAGTAGGCAAATCTAATATCCAATTCCAGAAAAAACCCAACATGGCCAATGTCATGGAAGTCGCTGATCCTAAACAACTATAATACCCTCTTGAATATACGTATTTATCATGCTTTTGGAGAAGATCATGAGTTCGTTGACGAAAAAATATAGATGTTGCAAGAGTTGAAAAAGCTGAGGAAAAAAAAAAAAAAAGAAAAAGAAAGAGAGAGAGATAAAGAAAAAAGAGAGAAATAAAAAAAAAAAGGGTACAAGTGAGCGATTTATTTTCCCACTCCGAGTATCTTCTTTAAACATTTACCGTGTATAGCTGCTAGGAACAAACAGATGCGAGTAGATTCATAAGACATACGAGTTTTCATCACCAAAACAAGACAAATCATAATACCACAACATAATGAAATCGTCATTAATATTGATTCAATTGTATTCAAATAGACGACAGGGTATTGATCATAAAAATGTCCTAATCCATTCCAATTTGCATGATCAACGATATAACCATTGACGACTACAATAAAAACAATGTTAAGTGTTTTGAGTAAGGATGATGATTGAACAGAATATATATGTGAGGATGGATAATTATATGTGATGATGAATTCGTAATGATATACTAGAAGTGTTTATCATTGTGACGTACCTGTAGCTCTGACATGCAGAAAGGTGGAAAGTACGGAAAAGAAAGATGCCACAAAAAATGGAAAAATAGCCAACGTATGTTGATCTTTATTGTTCTTAAAAGAAGATATTGAAGTTGCTAAAGAATTGATGGTGGCTGTACGACGTGGACGAAACGGTTGATGATCAGTCAAGTTGGGATGCTCTGGAAAGGCAAATCGAATGGAATTAGATGGCATATTCAAATTATCTTGTTTTATTGAAATATAATTGACCATACTAGGATCATCATCATCATCATCAATCCGATTGACAAGACTATCCTGGTTGGATGATGGGATAATGACACTGGAGCATCTTTGCATTTCCTTTCAAGGCTTAAAAAAAGAAAAAAAAAAAGGTACGAAAATTGAAAATAGATAAAAAAGGGGAAGATAAAGAAATGAGACAGAAAGAGGGGTTTTAAGCTAATTTTTTTTTTTTTTTTTGGCTCATCGAATCAATGCATCTTCGTGACAGCAGAGCCTAGGCAAAATTGGCGCATTGTACTTTAGGGCCAATTTTGTGTGAAGATCCTTACAGTTTATACCCAGCAAAAAGCAAAAAATAAGAACACGTGAACAGAGTGATTGAAGAGTACGGAGATCGAAATTTGCTACTGGAAGGGAGAAGAGACGAAAAGATTTTTTTTTTTTCACTTCCACTTTGTTCGTTTCTTATTTTCTTATTTTCTTTGACGCCCGCCCCCCTTTTTTTTTCAAACTTCTTCCTTTGGTTTTTTTTTTCTTGTCTTGCTCTTTTTTTTTTTTTTTTTTTTTTTTGTTATTTTGAATGAATCCCTTCCCAGGAACTCAAAATAACCCTTATGGGTACAATGCGAATATGATACCGGATGCCACAAATATGGTTAGCTTTGATCAATTCAATATTGATGCCACTCAATTACAAAGGTTACCTCTTCAACAACAACAAGCTTTTCTTGCTGCAAAACAAGCCCAGTTATATGCTGCCTCTTCTTCTTCTGCTTCTTCTCCTGTTAGTGCTACTGTTGCTGGTTCACCTTCTTCAGCCTCTCCAGTTGGTCCTAATCCTACGCAATTTATAGACCCAAATGCCATGACTTCGGGTGCTTTGGATCAACGGTCTCTTCCTATGTCTGCCGCAACGATGCCTCCAGGCGTTCAAGGTAACTTTCGACCTCCTGCCAATTTGAATCAGCAAGCATGGCTAGCAAAACAACAACAACAACAACAACAGCAACAACACCAACAACAGATGATGCTTCAGCGTATGGATGAATCACAAAGGAGGCAGTTCTTTATGATGCAGCAGCAACGTCAGCAACAATACTTACAACAACAACAACAACAGCAACAGCAACAACAGCAATTCCAAATTCAACAACAACAACAACAACAACAACAACAACAACAACAACAGCAGCAGCAGCAACAACAGCAGCAACAACAACAACAACAACTTCAGCAGAAGCAATTACAGCAACAGCAACAACAACAGCAACAGCAACAGCAACAACAGCAACAACAACAACAACAACAGCAACAACAACAACAACAACAACAGCAGCAACAACAACAGCAGCAGCAGCAACAACAACAGCAGCAGTTACAAGACCAAGATCAGCAAAAACAAAAACAGCAACAAGTACAACAAGAGCAAGACCAACAAAAACAGAATCAACAACAGCAACAGACTATACCTCCTAATATGGGACCGCCAAAACAAACAATAGCTTCACCTAGTACTGGTACGAAACTCGATTCTGACGTCTCAGCAAACTCGACTACCGTCATCAACGATTCTTCAGCAAAGAGACATGAAAATGATATCAATGCCAAAAGAGTGGAAACAGTATGTGATGAAAATAAAAAAAAAGGACTTGAAAACTGATAATAATGCTTCAACGTTATATAGGTACTTGGTATGAATCAAGAAATCATTCGATTATGTATTCAATATCAACAAGCTGAACAACAGGATTCCGATATGCCATTGTAAGTTGAATTTGGTATACAAAGGCTACACATGTTATTTGTTACTAACTAAGAAATGTGATGTACTTATTGATATGAATAATAGATACCAAGCAAGATTACAATCAAACCTGACATACCTCGCAACAATGGCTGATATTTCTATGGTGAAGCCAGGAGAAGTATGTTTAATATATTTATTTTAGTTACAAAAAAAAAAAAAAAAAAAAAAAAAAAAAAAAAAAAAAAAAAAAAAACTCATATATATTTTTATTAGGAATACAAAACGCCTACACCTCCAGATTTATCTGATTTACCAACACCAAAAAATGAAATTACTATCAGAATTCAACAACTGTTGACTGTAGCTCAAGGACTTTTCGCAGCAAACAATGGTAATAATTCTTCAAATATGTCACCTTTTACTCAGCATTCTCAATCTCAACAAGGTCCTCCTCACACTCCAACGAGAAATGTACAACCTTCACCTTCTCCAGCTGTTTCTGATCAACCTCTTTCTCAACCTCAAACTCCACAGCAACAAAACACTCTACCATCACAAACACTACCTTCACAACAACAGCAAACCACGCCTCAAATACAGCATCAGGGAACACCTCAAATGCAACATCAAGGAACACCACAGAGTCAACATCAAGGTACACCTCAAATGCAACATCAAGGTACACCTCAAATGCAACATCAAGGTACACCTCAAATGCAACATCAAGGAACACCTCAAAACATCAATCAAGGAACACCTCAAAGCCAACATCAAGGCACTCCTCAGATGCAGCATCAAGGCACTCCACAAATGCAACATCAAGGTGTGTCTCATAGGTCGCAACAATCTACACCACAAATGCAGAATCAACAACCACAGCAACATACACCTCCCATCAATCAACATACTCCTACTTTACAACAGCAAGCACCAGTACTTACTCCTCAACAACAACAAATGATAAGGCATCAGCAAATGATGGCAGCTTTGCGACAGCAACAAATACTTCAACAACAACAAGCGGGTATGAAAATGCAACCTACTGGTCAAAATAATATGGTAGCACCTGGGCAGATGAATATCATGAACAATCCAATGATAGCAGGCGGGATGGATCCACAATTACTGATGCGACAGGCTCAACAACAACAACAAACAATGATGAATGCGACGAGTATGGGATTATCTATACCGATGGCACCTGGAAACAATATGACACCTGATATGATGTTGAATAATTATATGAACCCTGCAGCCTTATCACAAGCAACTCAACAACAATCACCAATGAAATCCATGTCACCTACTGGAATTGTGAACCCAACCAATATTACCACACCTACTGCTTCATCGTCATCATCCTTACCAAGCACACCAACGACTGCAACAGGCAATGGAGGTATATTACTAGGAACGAGTACACCAACGTCAGGATCTATCACTTCTACATCCAATGGTATGATTCCCTCAACAGTAGCCAATTCTATGAATGAAACCAATGGAATTAATCCCAACGATTTGATGAACGGAATGATCAACCCTTCTATGATGCTCAATCCTGCTATGATGGCGACGGTCAATATGAACATGTACAATCAACAACAGCAACCAATGGATGATGGATCAGGGAATTATCAAAACGTCATGATGATGATGCAAAGATTGCAACAACAGCAGCAACAGCAACAACATCAACCTCAACAACAGTAGTAACAATAGCAATCATGAAAACGAAACAAAAATGTCAACAACAACAACATATAAAAAAAAAAAAAACGGCGAATGGGTTTGGATTAGGGTGGAATTTAGATAGTTACCTTTTTTTCTTCATTTAGGAATAGTTTATCTTTATTTAGTAATTTAGTGTGAAATAAATTTGACATATACATATGCATTCATATACTTCTTTTTTTTAAAAAAAAAAAAAAAAAATTATATGGTGATGGTGATGATGATGATGGGGTGTATTAGGATGAAACTGGAATAATAATAAAAAAAAAGTCCCCGTTGTTTGATTATCCTTTTAAAACAACAAATAAAACATCAAATTTACTTTGTACCGTCTTTTCATTTGTATCTTTTTTTTTTTTTGGTCTTTTTCTTTTACTTATCTTCTTCTTGCCTCAGTATCTTAATTTAATTTAATTTTTTTATTTTATTTTGAAAAGATGGTAAAAAGGAATACGATATCATCATATCAGATATATATGTTTCTATTTGGGTTAATGATGGCACAAATAGGATTAGGAGAGTTGATGCCACAAGCATCACCAACATGGCTAAATACGATCCCAATCCCGACCAATCATTTATTATTACGCAATCCTGGAAACAATGAAGGTGTACAAAGTGTACTTGATTTTCCTTTTGTCAATGTCAACGTAGACATGTCGAAATATCCGACGCCTTTGAAACAACCACCTCCAGATCATCCAGAAGTTCAAAAAGTCATGAAAGAAATTGATTGGTCTAAAGTCCCTGATGTACCCGTACGTGTTATCAAAGATTATGTTGTTGATCGTACTGGTTATGATGGACGTGCGGATCCTGCTTGTTGGTGGTCAGCCACTACCTGTAAAACCCCGAAAGTCTCTTACCTTCCTGAAGATATCTATTATTGTCCTCGTGCTGGTGATTGGGGTTTGAATTATGATGATGGTCCTTATAAAAAATGGTTCCCTGTCACTGATGCTGATAAGGCCTATGATCAACCAAGATTTTATAATTATTTATTAAATACAGGCAATCAGAAAGCAACCTTATTCTGTAATTATCAAAAAAAAAAAAAAAAAGGCAAGGTGCTTTTTCTAATCATGATCTTTCTTTTTTTTAAAAAATGGGTTTAAGTTGTTGGATCTAATGTCATCAAATTCCCTGATGCTGCTCAACGTGCGTTAGCAGATGGTCATACGATATGTTCTCATACTTGGTCACATCCTCAAATGACGAGCTTAACCAATGCAGAAGTAGTAGGTCAACTTTATTGGACATTACGAGCCATCAAAGAAGTGGTGGGTATCACACCAAAATGTTGGCGACCTCCTTATGGTGATGTAGATGATCGTGTTCGTGCCATCGCTTGGCAGATGGGAATGAGAACTTTTTTATGGGATCAAGATTCTTTTGATTGGAATCTGGTAATATATACACGTATATATAAATAATATTATCATTCGTTAAGGTTAACGATATTATCCTTTTTTTTTTAGCATGGCACACCATCTGGTGGTACTCTTGGAAAGGATGTTGTAAATGGTCATTTTCAAAAATGGATAGATAAACAAATGGATAAATCTGTTAAAGAAGAGCATGGTCACATTACTTTGGTAAAAAAATCATCATCATCTTCATCATCATCATCATCATCATCATTTATAAAAAAAAAAAAAATGAACTAATCCATTGTATTTCCGGCTTTAGGAACATGAAAATAGTGAAGTGACAATCGACATTGCAGAAAAATGGTTGCCTGCATTACAAAAGTCATTTAATGTCATCCCAATTCATCAATGCCTTGATGAACCACATCCTTATTGGGAAGAACAATGGACTTACCCCACTTTGAGCAACCCTAATCCCAAAGGAGATGGCAGTAAAGCTCCATTAGGTGGTTTCTCTAACAGCAATGATAAGAATAATAAGGAAAATAAGAATAATACCGACAAGAATAATAATAATAATAATGATGATCAAGAAAATGGATCTAATCAAGTCACTTTTAGCAGTATGATGTTGTACTCTTTAACTATTTTGATTTCTTTTTGGTATGTCATGATAGATATCATTTAATTTTAGTAATAATAAAAAAAAAAAAAAGAAAATGATGATTCCTATTTTGGTGATTAAAATGCCGTAACACGTGGCGTGGTTTAATACAAAATGAGTGGGGAAATTTTCTTTGTCCAATTCTTTTTTTTCCCTTTTTTTTTTTTTTTTTCTGTTTTGTGATATCATCCCCTTTTATACTCTCATATATACATAGATACAATTGTTCTTCCTCGATGGGTCCTCGAGCTCCTGCATCTGTTCGAACTGTATATAGTATCTTATCCGATCCTCTCATTTTGGGAACCACCACTGCGGTTGCTGTAATGACTATGGCATGGTACTTTTATGCATCAAAAAGTAACTAATAGCAAGAAGGAAGATATAAAACATACCTAATTCTTCTTTATGTGTATTCAATAGAACCCAGTCGTATTTTAGATCAACATACCATTAAACAATTCAAACTATTAGAAAAACTCGAGATCAATCACAATACTAGTTTGTATGTTCGATTTTATAGTATATTTACTTTACTAACCAATTTATATTTTTAGATATCGCTTTTCCCTTCCTCGACCTACTGATGTCCTTGGCTTACCTATTGGTCAACATATTTCCATTATCACTTGTATCGATGGTGAAGACGTAGTTCGAAATTATACCCCAACAACTGGGAATGAAACAAGAGGTTACTTTGACTTGGTGATCAAGGTAAAACTGTCATAAAGTATATATTCATTTTGATTTATCTTTTTTTTTTCTTGGGAATAGACATATCCTACAGGAACAGTATCGAAATATATGGCCAATTTAAAACCTGGTGATACGATTGATGTACAAGGACCAAAAGGATCTTATTTCTATACTCCAAATGTGATGAAAGAAATTGGAATGATTGCAGGTACAATATATCAAAAAAGATATTGAATTCATTTTGTCTTACTTTTTTTTTTTTTTTTTTTTCTCTGATATAGGTGGCACTGGTATTACGCCTATGCTTCCAATCATCAAAGCTATACTACGGAATCCCAAAGATACAACTAAATTGACATTGATCTACGCCAATAATGCCCTGGAGGATATATTACTAAAAAGTGAATTAGATCGTTTAGAAAGAGCATACCCTGATCAATTTCGTGTACATCATGTTTTGGCTCTTCCACCTAAAGATTGGGCTCAAGGGATTGGATATGTGACAAAGGAAACATTGGCTACTTGGATGCCTGCACCTGCTGATAATATACAACTCTTAGTCTGTGGTACTCCAGAAATGATGATTGATATTGAAAAGGTAAAAATAATAAAAATTGATTCACTGAGTTTTCATGAAAATTGATTGATCCGTTGACTTTTTTTTCTTTCCATTCAGGCAACGATTGAATTGGGTTACAATCCACCACGATCTATCAGTAAATTAACAGATCAAGTCTTCAAATTTTAGAAACCCTTCTTACCTGTCTATATTATAATTATATCTTATCTTATATTACCTTTTTTTTTTTTTTGTTATATATTTGTATTTCCTTTAGCATATTACACACACACACACACACTCTCTCTCCCTCTTTCCCTTACAGTCTTCACAATACAATAAAAACCAACCCCATCCCAATATTAGTCATAATTGTTTTACGGCTCCGAACCATTCATGGTCAATTGACTTGCCAAGCGGAAACTAAAAAAAAGAAAGATCTTTTTTTTTTTTTCTGTCTCTTTCTTTTTGTCTTTCTTCTCCTTCTCGTCTAGATCCTTTTTTTGGTCATGTTGCGATACGCTTCTCGAATACACACTGTTCGTCATGTTGTGACTACTTCAGTGAAACGTCAAATAGCTAGTCGTCCTTCTGTTTACAAGACTGTATCTCTTACTTCTGTCAATGCCACTCGACTTTATGCAACCACCAATACCAAAACCGTTCCTCTTACTGTTGAAAGGTATCCTGGCTTTACTCGTAACGAACAATTCAAAAAGGTAAACAAAAGAAAAAAAAAAGGATGTATATACGTGTTCCTTACAATGAAACTTATGATTCTATGACACGACTTGTTATTTTTTTTTATCTTATTAAAGACTGACGTTTATATTTTTTTTTTTTTTTTTTTTTTGGTGTTAGTTAACGGATAAAGATATCGAACACTTCAAAACCATTGTAGGTGATAATGGACTTATTTACAACAACGAAGATGACTTGGTAGCTTTCAATACTGATTGGATGAATAAGTATCGAGGTCAATCTCAATTGGTCCTGAAGCCCAAAACAACGCAACAAGTGGCTGATATTCTCAAGTATTGTAACGAACAAAGGTAAAAAAGAAGAAAAAAAACACATCTAGGGAGGATGAAGTATATTCATTCTTATTATAATGATGATGTTTTTTAGTATTGCTGTTGTTCCTCAAGGTGGTAATACTGGTCTTGTTGGTGGCTCTATTCCCATCTTTGATGAAGTCGTATTGAGTTTACAATCGATGAATAATATTCGATCCTTTGATGATGTATCTGGTATCCTTACTGCAGATGCTGGATGTATCTTGGAAGGTCTGGACAACTGGTTGGGTGAAAAAGGCTATATGATGCCATTGGATTTGGGTGCTAAAGGAAGGTAAGAAACTACATTCATGAGAAACGGGAAGATCAGGAACTGTGGGAATAATGATGATGAATGTAAAAACTTTAACTTTATTATCATTATGCATCTCTATATATTTTAGTTGTCATATTGGTGGCAACTTGGCAACAAACGCTGGGGGTCTTCGTCTACTTCGTTATGGATCTCTTCATGGCACTGTTCTTGGATTGGAAGTGGTAAAAATAATATAGGCTACATATAGAAGGAAACTAATAAGCTTTTTGTCTTTTTTTTTTTTCTATGGAACATCAATGGGTATAGGTTTTACCAGACGGATCTATTCTTGACAGCATGTCAACGTTGCGCAAGGACAATACCGGTTACGATCTCAAGCAACTTTTCATTGGATCTGAAGGGACTATTGGTGTGATCACTGGTGTTTCCATCTTGACTCCCCGTCGTCCCAAGGTAATCATGATTATTGTGAAACAAATGATTGACATGCCATTGGACTCACTGACACTTTATATAAATATGTATAATAATAATAGGCTGTCAATGTTGCTCTGTTAGGTCTCAACTCTTATGAGGATGTGCAAAAAGCATTTAAACAATCAAGATCAGAATTATCAGAAATTTTGTCAGGTAATCTATTTATTAAAAAAAAAAAAAAAGGGAATGTGTCTTAATGATGAACTACTTTCTATAGCTTTCGAATATTGGGATAACAACGCTCTTCAAATCTATAAGAGGCATTCTGATGCTAAACCCGTGATGGAAAACGAATACCCATTCTACGTCTTGATTGAAACTAGTGGATCTAATAAGGAACATGACGATGAAGTAAGTAATAGAAAATAAATGTACTTTGTTCTCTTACTAATATCTATTATATTTCACAGAAATTGACCAACTATTTGGAAACCATGATGGAAGAAGAAGTAGCACAAGATGGTGTGGTTGCTCAAGATGAAACACAAATCAAAAATATTTGGAGTGTACGTGAAGGATTTACCGAAGCATTGGGCAAGGAAGCGGCTGTGTACAAGTATGATATTTCAATGCCTGTTCCCAAGATCAATGAATGTGTAGAAGACATGCGACAACATCTTAAGGATGGTGGTGTACTTGGACAACCTGATTCTCCTATCATCGATGTGGTTGGTTACGGTCATGTTGGTGATGGTAATCTTCATTTGAACATTGCTGCCAATCGTATAGATAAACGTGTACCTGAATTGATTGAACCTTATTTATTCGAATGGGTTGGTAAGTTTATCTTGATCTACAAAAAAAAAAAAAAAAAAGATTCACATTCTTTCTTTTTTTGATAGCCAAACAAAATGGTTCCATCAGTGCTGAACATGGTCTTGGTGTTGCAAAGAATCAATTCCTTTCTTATTCAAAATCAGATGGTATGATCAAGATGATGAAAACAATGAAGAATTTGTTGGATCCCAAAGGTATTTTGAATCCTTACAAGGTATGTAAATAAAAATATAATATCTCATGATGTACTAAACAATGATTCATTCTTATGGTTGATAGTATTTGCCCAGTCAATAATAGATGATATTTCCTTTTATTGGATGGATGTCGCAAAAAAAAAAAAAAAAAAAAAAAGGATTAGTTGGTAGACTTTGTACTTTAGATATTCATAGTATAGTACTTTATGGACGCATTGAAATAAAATGGATTATTTCAACAAAATAAATGTAGATGATTTTTTCTTTTTTTTTGGGTATACTTTGTCTGGTCGATCTTTTGGAGGACTGTATCATTCGAGTTTCTTTTATTGGAAAAGATGCGAAAGAATATAAATATATATATAAATAAAAGAATATAAAAAAAAAAGATATATGTAATGAGATGATGACTAAATAAAAAGAGGAAAAGAATGGATCGACTATACAACAAAAAGAATAACCACAAAAAAAAAAAAAAATAGTAATACTACTAAAACCAATATATATTTTCTTTAAAAAAAAAAAAGCCTATTTACTTTTTTTTTTATTATTCTACATTCAACACCTTCTTGAGTTTCAGCACCAAAGCCCAATCTTCTTTAGTCATATCCTTTCGGAAAGATTCCTTGAGTACATCGATAGATTGACGAGAGATCTTTGAATAAATTTCATCCTTTTCTTCTAAATGACGGCCAAATGTTTTTGGAGTTTCATATACAGCACATTCAATCTTGATAGCCACACCACCACCAGCTTGACCCTTCTTGACGATTTCCAAAGATTTATGATTTTGTTCTATGGAGGTGACCTTACCCAATGTGATGATTTCACGTTCCTTGGTTTCAGCATTAGTGCGTGCCACACATACAGGCGTACCGATCCGTAAAGCACCTTCGATGACATCCACACCAATAATCAAAGGATCCTTCTTGTTAAAGATAGCACCAGGTACCATTTTGAGTACACAGGGGAATACTGCCGAGGGAGCTTGATCTTTGCGTTTTTGTTCCAACATGGATTCGTTGTATTCCACAAATCGATCAAACAAGTGATAGATGATATCAGCCTTGAACACCTTCATACCCAATTCTTCCGCCATATCTTCAGCTTCCTTTTCCACCTTGACATCAAAACAGAGCATCACCGCAAATTCACGTGCCTTTTCCAACATCACTGATGCCTTGACCACATCCTTCTTGTGCACAGGACCAATATTGATACCAGCCACAGGGATCTTGGATGTCCGTAAGAATTCCAAAAGAGCTTCCAATGCACCAAGAGTGGATGCTTGTACCCACACACCATGACCTGTACGATCAATAGTACTCATCAAGTTGGTCAAATCAGACATCACTTCTTCCTTCAAATCTTCTTCATCATCATCAGGACCACAAACAAGTAAACGAGACCCAGCAATAGCCTTTTCCAAATCAGGAGCAGAAATCTTGACACCCATGGCAGCCTTGATGGATTTATGATGTACGTATTGAGATTTGACCCGAAGTTCTCGTAGAGGTTGAGGTGTCAGTAGAGCACGAACTTGAGTAACAATAGGACCATTGAGACCACATACCACAATTTTATCACCTTCATGTAACCAACCATTCACAAGTACCACATCAATAGTAGTACCAAGACCTTCGATCACCTTGACTTCCAACACAGTACATTCCAATTCAGTAATATACATCAACTTGTCACTCATACGAGTTTGAGTCAAGTTCACCAAAAGATTGAGCATATCAGGAATACCTTCACCAGTGTGAGCAGATGTGGGCACCAAAGATACATATTTAGCAAAGTTCTTGTTCTTGTAATGGACTTGAGCATTCAAACCTTGTTCAGCAAAGGCAACGATGGTCTGGGTCAAACGTGTTTCAAATTCATCACGGACGGATTTCTTTTGCTTGGCCAATGAATCTTCAAATGAATTATCAGGAATGGCTTCCCATTGGAAAAGACGATCAATCTTGTTCAAAGCTACAATAAAGGGTGTCTTACGATCACGTAAAAGTCGAATGGATTCCAACGTTTGAGGTTCCAAACCGTGCATAATGTCAACCACCAAGATAGCAATGTTACAAAGGGAACTACCACGAGTACGCAAGTTGGTGAAAGATTCGTGCCCAGGAGTATCAATAACCAAAAGACCAGGTAATTTGAGTTCTTCCACACGTTTAGCACCCAAAACAGCTGTTTTCTTTTCGATCGCATCAGCAGGGAAATAAGTAGCACCAATTTGTTGAGTAATACCACCAGCTTCGCCTTCTTGAACATTGGTTTGTCGAATCTTGTCCAATAATTTGGTTTTACCTAATCATCAATATACAAATATATATATCAATATCATCCTCTTTCTCTTTTTTTTTTTTTGAAAAAAAAAAATTACCTGTATCTACGTGACCAAGAATACAACAAATAGGTGATCGTAAATCGTCCTTTGATCGTGCAGCCATAGCATCCTTTTGTCGTTGAACACGGCGAGCAGCAGCTTCTTCCTTTTTCTGTAAGGCCAAACGTTGAGCTGCAGTCAATTCTTCATCAGAGCTTTCGTCACTATCATCACTATCGTATTCAGAATCATCATCACTGTCTTCCGATTCATCTTCTTCATCAGAGGATTCTTCCACCTTGGCAGGAGCAGATTTCTTGGTAGGAGCAGCTTTAGTAGGAGCAGATTTTTTGGTAGCAGCAGGAGCAGCCTTGGTAGGAATAGGAGCCTTTGTTTCCACAGGTTTTTGTTGTTCTTCTTCTTCTTCACTTTCATCTTCCCAATCATCCTTGACGTTTTCTTCTTCCTTGGATTCCACAGGTTTTTCTTCTTCATCACTACTCAAAGCAGCCTTTTCCCAATCATCTTCGGAAGCTATAAATACAAAGGTATAAGAAAAAAAAATACTCTAATGATTCATTTTTTCTTTTTTTTTTTTTTTTTTGTTTATAGATACTTACATTCTTCTTCAGCAGCAGCTTTCTTGGCTTCTTCTTCCTTACGTCGACGTTCTTCTTCTTCCTTGCGTTGACGCTCTTCTTCTTGCTTCTTCTTTTCTAATTCTTCCTTGGAGGGACCCTTCTTCTTCTTGTTGCCGTAAACAATCTTCTTTTTTTGCTGTTCAGGTTCAGGAGATTCAAGACCGAGCACCTTGACTTGACCAGATTCCACCAGTTGTTGATGACGAAGTTGAGCACGACGTTGAGCTTCCTTTTGGGCTTTAGTAAGTAATTTGCCTTCCTTACGAAGTTGTTCCTTTCGAGCCTATTTATCAATTTCACAAAAAAAAAAAGTTAATATGAAGGTATTTCTTCCTCTACTATTATTTTTTTTTCTCTTTATTCTTACTTTTTCCTTTTCCTTCTTCAATCTACGGGCTTCTTCCAATCGTGCTTCTTCTTCAGCTAAAAGTCGTTCTTCTTCTTCAGCACGAAGACGTTCCTCTTCTTCTAATCGACGTTGTTCTTCTTCAGCAGCTTTTTGAGCTTCCAACATTTTCTATAAAATTAGAATATAAGTAAATCAAACTGTCTTTGTTCTAGCATCAATCAATTAAAACTTACACGAAGAGCAGCTACGTTACCACCTTTCTTTTTTCCTTTTCCACCAGCAGCAGGAATTTCCACAGGAGTAGGTTCAGGAGCAGGAGCAGCGGCAGCCTTGTTTTCCAATTTCTTCTTGAGTTTTTCCTTCTTGAGTTGAGACTTTGATTTGGTACCAGTGGCGGCCGTAGCATCATCATCATTATTGTTTGTAACAGCAGCAGGAGCAGGAGAAGCTTGATCACCCATGAGCTTTTCGAATTCAGCATCTTCTTCAGCTTGTTTCTTCTTCTTTTCTAGCGCAGCAAGTCGTTTAGCTTCTTTTGCTTTTTCCTTCTTGAGCTTTTCCTTTTCCTTTTTGGTCAAAAGTCGTCCTTCATTGTTGTCATTATCTTCAGTGGGAGTAGGAATAGCAGGTAGCTTGTTGTTCTTCTTCTTGTTCTTCTTCTTGTCATTTGCCCAATCGAGATCATCCTCTTCTTCCATATCATTGTTCACGGGTGGGGTTGATTCCAATACTGGCTCTTCGTTTTCGTCGTCTGAAGGAAGTTGTTGTTGTTTCTTTTTGTTCTTCTTAACCTTGGATTTGGCAGCCTTATTGACCATAGCCATCAAACTACAAGAAAAAAAAAAGAAGAGTCAGATCATAATGACTTTTTATATATTAAATAATATTTACCCATCATCGTCGTCTTCAATTTCAGCAAGAGCGGCAAAAGACGCAGTATTTTTGGCAAAAGTTTCGTCGTCATCGGAACCACCACCATTAACACCAAGAGCAACAGCATCTTCTTCGAAAGCTTCATCCCAATAATCGTCCTTCTTCTTGTTATTTGATTTCTTTTTTCCCATGATGTATTATAAGGTGAAGAGGTTAAATATAAAGAAAAGTAAAATGGAAAGAGAGGGGAACCAAAAAATAAAACATAAAATCTTGAAAATAAGCCACTTTCCAATTCCCGCCACTATGATTTTTTTTTTGTCTGATTGAAGTGTGAGTCTGCATATGGCAAATCATCTTCCTCTTTTACTTTTTTTTTTTTTCTTCCTACTAAATCCTTTTTATTTATTTATGTTAAGAAGAAAAAAATAATCTTTCGCAATGACAATGATCGATGAGATGGATCACATGTCTTTTTTTGACCATATTAGTGCGGCTATAATCTATCAAAGAATGACCTTTTTTTTTGAGTTCTGCTTCATATAGTTTTACAGGTCTCAGCAGAGTAGGTTTCGTAATGGCTTGGTAATAAATAGGACAAGGATGATTCCGTTAATGAAGAGGGATGCTGATTATTTCTTTGAATTGATTCTATCGTACGCTTACTCTTTAAGGTTTCGCTACAAGAGAATAATGGATGATGGATGATGGATGATGGATGATCATGCAGGATGGTGTTTTCACATAAAGAGTAACCAAAAAAAAAAAAAAAAAAAAAAAAAGAGTATGAGGGACTAAAAGAAGTAGACGATACAGTATAGTATTATGTAAAGAATGACTTTATAATATAGATTAGTTTTACCTATCCTTCTTTTTATCATTTGAATAAATGCATTTTCTCTTTCTTTTTTTTTTTGGATCCATATATGGATGGTAATATTTTTATTTCATATATGTATTGAAGAACCCAATAGAACTGATACGATCGATCAGAGCTGTTCATTTACGTATATTTTGTATTATAAAAAAGGGATGCCAACTTTTTTTTTCTATCCGCAATCTAGGTCTACAAACACTGGATTGAAAAATCGATATATTAGGATTGATTACTCAATTTATACACATTTTTATCGCGTGATGATACTTGGAGATGATGATGGATCATGAAAATGTCAAAGGAGAAAAAATAATAATAGTAAATCATGACGATAAAAAAAAAAAGTAGTAAAGGATGTACACAATGGTATTTTTTTTTTATTTCAATACAAAAAGATCAATGACTTTTTTTTTTTCTTCAAAGAGGAATGAATATATGTATATATATAAAACAGGAGGGGGGTAAAAACGTATACTACATAACTAATAACAAACTAAACTAAGCGAGTTCCCAGAGAGAAGAGGCAGCATTAGGTTTCCAGGTAGGGTTGCTTGTATGACCTTGGAGACAAAGATAAGTACGGCCATGGTATTCAACACGATCACCAGCTTTGTAGGTACCAACGGGATCCCATTCATCGACACACTTCTTTCTGCTGTGGTGGCAATCTTCATCATCATCATCATTACAGTGGCTCTTCTTCTTGTGGTGTTCTTCCCGATCTTCACAGTGACCCTTCTTCTTGTGGTGTTCTTCCCGATCTTCACAATGACCCTTCTTCTTGTGGTGTTCTTCTTCTTCATCATTACGGTGTTGACGTTCTTCTCGTTCACGACGTTCGCGTTCTTCTCGTTCACGACGTTCACGTTCTTCTTGTTCACGACGTTCACGTTCTTGCTGTTCTTCTTGTTCACGACGACCAAATTCTTCTTCACGACGCTTGAGTTCTTCTTCACGTTGAGAAAATTCTTGACGGCGGCGTTCTTCTTCTTCAGCACGATCCTTTTCTTCTTGTTCTTCCTTCTTGTGATCATCATAGAGTTTCTTGCCCAAGAGACCAGCACCGATGGCCAAAGCACCTCCCAAGATGGCAGTACCAGCTTCAGCAACGTGTTCCTTGGTACGAAGAGACTTGCATCGCTTTTGATGAACTTCATGGACATAGGATTGGAAACGAACAGGAGAGCTTGGAGGTTGTTGATTGCTTGAGTTTTGGAAACCTTGGGCTTGGAGGATCAAATTGATTTCACCAACCACGTTGTTCTTGACATCATACAAATCAAAGAGACCATTGATGGAACCACCTTGAGCATGGACCACTTGATTGATGGGAATAGCAGCAAAACCAATCAAGGCATCAGCAGTAGTTTCCTTATCCAAGACTTCAATAAAGAGATCAGGTTCACCTTGCAAAGGCAAATTGAAAGATTGATTCCAGCTAGGAGTTTTGCCACCATTCTTAGCAGTATAAGTTTTTTGGAAAGACTTCTTATCTTCAAGATTCAAAGTGAATTGCATGTAAGGATCTTGAGTTCCAAGTTTTTGTCCATCCTTTTGGAAATTGGCACCAACGGCATTCACAATCAAAGTTTGGCTTTCAGATTGAATATGAGTAGTAGAGGAACGCACTACATTATCGTCAGAGCTATAAGTAGTGGTAGTAGAGGTATATTCATAAGAAGTTTGGTATTCCATGTTAATTTAGTTTGTATAAAAGATGATGATGAAAAAAAAAAAAAAAAAAAAAGAAAAAGAAAAAGAGAAAAAAAAGAGATTTTATAAGTTCATAATCGCATAAGACAAGCGGCGTTTCAACAGAACGCCCTTATTCCTATTAAATTTTGGTATTGATATTTCCTTATAGATCTAAGGTACCGGGCGGGGAATATTGAAAGATGCAGTAAATGAGCGGTAAGTCTCTCGCTCTCTCTCTCTTTTCTTAACATCTGTGGCTAGAGGTTACACTATGTAAAAGCAAACTTGCTTCTTTTTATATACAATGTTTCATATTCCGAATAAATCCATTCAAACAAAATAGAAAAAAAAAAAACTTATTTATTGAGATTCCCTTTTTTATTATTTATATAATCAATCTTTTTAAATCAAAGAAAGGTTAATTCTAAAAAAAAAAAAGTGAAAGTATAAAATAAAAAAAAAAAGAGAGATGAGATAACTGGAAAAGAAAAGAAGAAAGAGAAACAAAAGAGACGCGCGACCGTTACACGAACAGTCAATCATCCATCACCATGGATGGAAGAATCACCGAGTATTTCTTTCTTTGATCACGTTCTTGGCATTTTTTTTCTCACACAATGACATGCCAAAAAAAAAAAAATATATTGACAAGTGGTATCTTTATCGAACAGAGTTTACTTAAAACGGGTTATTCGGGAAAATAAACATACTCTAAACACATAAAACATTACCCACGTACAACATATTGTATCGTATACCTGCATAAAAATAATGAGATAAACAAGATCATGCAGCTTTATTTTTTTTTTTTATTTATTATTTATTTATTTAAAACATATAAAATGAGGTGATGTAAATGGCAGTAAAACCAAGTCATTTTCTATTGGTCATAATAATAATAAATACATCGTTGTTGTCAGGGTTGGCACGGATGATGAGACATTATCGATATCAGAATCAAATAGTAATACGAAACCTACATCATCTATATATACATACATAAAAAAAAAAAAAAGAACAGATGATCAACCTTTCTTGTCCCTTTTCTTGCATGAATTTTCTTACCATTTTGATAATCAAAAATAATATAAATTCCCAAACTTCGTATACATATTAGATCAATATTGTTCCATCATTCTTACATATCGAGTTTGAATCATGTTACAAATAACTGGTTTCTTCGGTATCACCAACTTTACTACAGTAAAACAGAAAGATTAGTTCGTTGTTATAAATAAATCATCATCACCTATATTTATACACACATGTATATGCAAATACGTATTTTTTTTATTTACCTACAGCTTTTTTTTTCCTTCTTCTTGGAAGTATTTAGAGGAATCATCATAAGATCTATATTCTATGAAAAAGAAAAATAACTATCTCTTTTCCCTACTGTCAATGTTTGAATGTTGTCGCATATCAATTACTTGTATCTTATTTGCTGTTGTGTTGCTGTTGTATTGAGTTTGAACGTTTCGATCCTCAACCAATCCATAGGAAAAAAAAAAGTATAAAAGATTACTGTTTATTTCAAACAAATAAAAAAAATCACTAAGAAGGTATAAGTACAATATATAACAGATTATCAAAGGTATAAAGTAAAGTAAGGTAAAGTAAATTAACAATAACAATAATAATAATAATAATAATAATAATAATAATAATAATAATAATAATAATAATAAAAGACTAAATATAAACATACACAGATCACGCCTTTTGTACAGTCTCCTCTGATTCAGTTTGAGTTTGTATTCTGGATTTAATATAATTGAGTGCTGATCCTGCCTTGAACCATTCAATATGTTCTATCATACATAAAAAAAAAAAAAAAGAATCAATCACTTTTTCATCTTCTTCTTTTTTCTTTAGAATAATTCTATTTTTACCATGATTGAGAGAATGTACCAAATCCAATACTATAGTTGTATCTCCAACGGATGAAGGTTGTATCACTTTTACTTGTAAAGGTTTTCCAGGAGTCAATTGTCGTATATCAATACTAACAGATGCATGTCCATCAACTTTGTCATAATCCGAAGGAGAAGTGAATTGTAGAGGAAGAATGCCTTGTTTTTTGAGATTGATTTCGTGGACAGGTGCAAACGACTAAAAAAGAATACATATATATATATCAGTAATCAATTTTATATAATAGAGTTCTTACCTTTGCTATGATAGCCACACCGTTTAAATACCTTGATTCCAAAGCACCATGTTCACTTGCTGAGCCATGACCATAGTTTTCATCCGCAATCAACACCCAAGGAATACCGTGTTGTTTGTAATGTCGAGCTGTTTGAGAGATCCCATCATATTGTCCAGTCAATCTATTTTTGATCCAATTTTGTTTCCCATTTTCAGCATTGATGGCGCCAATCAAAAGATTATTAGAAAGATTGTCCAAATGAGCACGATATTTCAACCAAGGTCCTGTCATGGATATATGTTCTGCTGTGCATACACCCTTTGATTTGAATAAGATAGGAATAACAAATGGCGTATTGTCGTTTATTCGAAAACTAGGTGTAAATGGTAAGAGTTTCTGTAACCTTGTTGACTGTGGCGGAATCAAAGTATTAGGATCGATTTTCTTTTTGTTGTTGTTTTCCAATGGTGCTTGATAAAACCTTGCTCTTTCTTCATCATCATTCTTCACAAAACCATGTGTTGGAATCCCGTCTTTGCTAGCGTCATGAGGTGCACGAAATTTGAAAGGTTTACCATCTTTGCCAATCAGTGAATCAGTCAAGGGGTTAAATTGTAAACTATTTGCCACTGCCATTGCCGTCACAATCTAAAGCAAAAAAAAAAAAAAAAAAAAAAAAAAAAAAAAAAGATTTATCAGTATTTGATGTTTTATCCATAAAAAAAAAATTTCTTACTTCAGGTGATGTAATAAAGTGATGTGTATTGGGTCTTCCATTCAATCTTCCAGTTGAATTTTGATTATAAGAGGATATAATAGAAACAGGATCATGAACTTGATGATGATGATGATGATCAGGATGATCGAATTCAATGGCAACATGTTGAGGTCTATCTTCATTCCAGTCAATACAAGGTCCACAGGCATTAGCAAGAAGAGAAGCACCAGCATCTTTGAATGATTTTGTGGCACCATCACGATCAAGGGTAGCACGAATTTGTGTAGATCCAGGCGTCACAGAGACCGGGGACTTGAATGATAAACCTCTTTCTAATGCTTGTTGAACCAAAGAAGCTGAGCGAGCTAAATCTTGATAAGATGAGTTTGTACATGAACCAATATGAGCGGCACTAATATTCATAGACCATTCTTCTTGATGTTGTTTGGTGATATGTTTAAATTTGGATATAGGAGTAGCAATATCTGGCATAAAAGGTCCATAGATATGAGGTTCCAATGTTGTCAAATCTAGATCGATGATATGATCGTATATAGCATGTTCATCTGCTTCAAGTAACTGAGGACGAATGGTTTGAGCAAGATCAGCTATATTGTTTCTTGAGGTAGCTCGTAAATAGGCATCCATGTTGTCGTTAAAAGGAAATACTGAAGACATTGCACCAATCTAACCATAGATTATAAAATGAGGTTAAAAAAAAAAAGAATGTTTGAACCTTTTTTTTGAGTTACCTCAGTTCCCATATTACAAATAGTGGCCATTCCTGTACATGATAAGGTATCTATTCCATTTCCCATATACTCAATAATGGTATTCTTGTCTACTCCTTTATTATCCAAAAGTGTACTGATCTTGAGAATGACATCTATCAAAAAAAAAATGATTAGTTTTCTTTTTATTATTTTTATTTTTATTATTATTATTATTATTATTATTATTATTATTATTATTATTATTATTATTATTATTATTATTATTATTATTATTATTATTATTATTATTATTATTATTATTATTAACCTTTTGGATTAGCCCATGAAGATAAAGAACCTTTCAAATGAACACCAAGTATACGAGGATATTTGAGTTCCCAAGGTAAACCAATCATAGCATCCAAAGCTTCTGCACCACCTACAGGAAAAGCTAAAGTAGCCAAACCACCAGCATGAGACATACGAGTATCAGTTCCAATGATTAAAGCACCAGGATAAGCATACTTTTCAAGTACCATTTGATGAAGGATACCACTTCCAGGACGCCAAAGACGAATACCATAGGTTTCACAAGCTGATTGTAAAAATGTATCCACTTCATGATGTAATAAAGATTGAGCATGACCAAGATCAGCTAAAGGACGATTTCGATTGTGATATTGTGTTTCTACTTGATGATCACAATGAACAGTTGTTGGTATTGCCACTTGAGATAGACCAGTATTCATGAATTGAAGTAAAGTCATAGGAGCAGTAGCATCTTGACACGCTACTCTATCAGGAAGAACTTTTAAATATTCTTTATTATCTGTATTATATTGTTGATGTCCATAAAGAAGTTTTTCAGTCAAAGTAAGAGAACGACCAAGTCTATTAAAGAAAACAAAAAAAATTATTTATTTTTTTTATATATTTCTTCTTATATTATTATTATTATTATATACCTTTTTCTTGTTATATCAATTGTTTTTTCCATATGAACATAATCAATAAGTTTTGAATCATAATTAGATATGGTTACTTTTGAGTAAAAACGTACATGTTGACGAGATAATAACACGGGTAATGTTGTCTAATAAATATAATAAAAAGAAGGTTGAACTATATATATATATATAAAATATATGAATATTATTATTATTATTTACCTTGAAAGTACGTGGTAACATATATATTATTATTATTATTATTATTATTATTTATAAAAGAAAGAGAAAGAGAAAGAAAGAAAGAAAAAAGAATAAAAAATAAAAACAAATCAGATATTTTTTATGCTATAAGAAATAAAAAAAGGAATTTTTCCTCAAGTAAGAGTGAGAAAAACGTTTGAAGTCACATGTTCATTTTGCATTATCAAAAAGAGCATTCTTTATATATTGATAGCATAACTCCCACTTTTTTTTGAACAAACTAAAAAAGAATTAGTAGCTGAGTGGGATGGAATAAGCCAATGTTACACAACGGTCATTACCTATTTTTTTTTTCCTTTCACCCTTTTCGATCTTTCTTTTTTTCTTTCTTTTTTTTCTTTTTTTTTTTTCTATATTTTTTCTTTTATTATACAAAAACTAACTTTTTTTTTTAATATATTCATGTCTTTTGTCTTTTATATATATTCTTATTGAAAGAAAAAAGTCTATGTCAGTACAAAAACGTCAAGGTAAAATAATAATAATAATAATAAACAATAATTAAAAAAAAACAATAAAAATTGACAGTTATGTTTTTTTCTTTCTTTCTCTTATTATTAGCTACCAGTTACGACTGTGCACAACAAGGAAATCAACATCCTTATTGTTCCCCTTTAACCACTGATACTTGGGTTAATGGATCTACTTATGAATTCATTTGGAATTACAAGTATGAACTAATATTATTAATAATATAAGATAAAACTACTAAAAAAAAATATATTATTTATTTATTTTTCTTTTTAGTTTTCCTTATTATGTCAATTCGGTAAATGTTTATATAGAAAAGGAGAAGAAGAGGACAAGTTTATAATAATCCTCTATTTAGTGTTGTAGGGGTTTATTTTTAATCCAAACATAATATTGTACTACCTTTCTTATATATATACTTATCCTTTTATTTTATTATTATTATTTAGCCATCACTTAATCTATATCTATATTATATCAAGAATTATCAATATACTCAAATTAAACAATGGTCTGATATTCATACAAATGATGGTTCTATGTCTGTATTAGTAGATGATACTTGGTTCCCTACTCCTGATACTGATGGAAAAAACAAAACTTGGTCTTTATATTTATATTATCTACCTTCTACTGTCAACGCTTCTTCTGAATTACAAAATACCCTTAGTCAATATCCTAGACCTTATAACTTTTCTGTTATACGTAAAATAATAATAATAATAATAATAATTGATTATATTTATACTTATAATTATTATTTTTTTTTTATTTTATATATATTCTAATAGAATTTCCATCAACATCATTATCAACTACATCATCCAATAATACAAATTCACCATTATCTCCGTCTTCGTCATCATTATCATCATCATCAAATCAACAACATGGTTTACCAAATTGGGGTATTGCCTTGATAGTGATTGCATCCGTGGCAGTTGCTGCTGCATTAGGTGTTCTTGCTTGGGCTTTCTTGATCTACTTTCCACGAAGACGACAACGACGACGATCAACCAATCGATTAAATGGTGGTACGAAAGGTCCCGCATCTTATGGTCAACATCATCCATCACCATCTTCATCAAATGAAAAAGCTGAATCCATTTATTCTGACACTCCTATTATGCATACTGGATTACGTTCTTCTGTTAGTGTAGGTGCAACCACTGCTCCTTCCTCCGTTTCTCATCCTGCAGATAGTCCTTCTTATCCATCTATTCATCATATCACTTCTCTTAATCCCAATGATGCTTTGAATGATTCTTATCGACAAATGATACATCGACCTGATTGGACAACTATTGACGAAGATATTGATCAAGAAAAACGAAGACAATTAGGTGAAGAATTATTACAACGACAATTGGCTGAAGATGGTTCCACTACTATGATCAAACAAACTCAACCTAATCGACTGAAAAGTATGACATCTCAAATTCCAAAGGCTAGAACTGCCGTTGTTGTTGCTGAATCTACTGACTCTTTATCCTCCACAACCTCTTCTCATCCTCCACGATGATTTTTCATCTGTTTTTATTTTATTTTATTTTGTATTGTTGTATTTTATCTTATCTTTTCCTTGATTTATTCTTATTCTTATTATCATCCATCATCCCTCCTACTTTGTTTAGTCATTTCCTATTTAGCATTAGCATCTCTAGTTATATCACCAATAAAAATAAAAAAAAAAACTCAAGATTTTTTTTTTCTTTTCTTTTTTTTTTTCCTTTTTCCTTTTTTTCATCATATAAAAATAGAAATCTTTTAGAATTCCTTCAATTCCTCTCTTGCCAAAAAAGTTGGAACTGGAACTCAAAAGACATCTTTGTCTCTTTTTTCCCCTTTTTGCCAAGAATCTGGGTAAGTGATTCTAAAAAAGATATCAAAAGTCGGGGCAGCTCCCCTTTTTTTTTTTTTTTTTTTTTTTCTTACCTCACTTTTTTTTTTTTTTTTTTTGGACATATTCTTTGACCAAAAATGGGTTCGTTTGAAAGTGAACCTCCTAGTTACGATCATGCTATCCAGTCGACAGTTGATCCATCTCTCATTCATGAATATGGAAAATATAATGATGCTTCAGTAGATTCCTATGAACGTGGTGAACAATTCATTCAAGCCTTTGGGGCTCAAATAGATCAGTATCCAAAACATCTTGCTTCAGAAATCCAGGTCCAAGGTCCGTTTTGTTTGATGCTTGACCTTGCTTGTCATGACAATGCTTTATTTCGCCATCCTCTATCCACAAGTCTTTATCCAGCTTTCAAGTCAGACGGTGCAACCTATATTCATTTTTGGCCTAATGGTCGACCACAACAACAACAAGGAGATACGGATGTGACGATACAAGGGTCTCATCCATGGGTAACTATAGCACAAACAACAACAGTTCATTATTTTGAAATCACGGTGGAAATGGCAGCACGCGATACGGTACTTTCTATTGGCTTGACAACTAAACCTTATCCTTTATTCCGTATGCCAGGATGGAACAAGCATTCGGTGGGTTATCATAGTGATGATGGCCATGCGTTTTGTGACGATAGTACGGGCGGCAAACAGTTCTGGAATCCCTGGCAACAAGGCGATACTGTAGGATGTATCTACCATGTGGAAACGGGCACGGTGTATTTCTCATTGAATGGTTATCGTATCAATACCCCTGCTTTCTCTGGATTGGAACCTCATGCATATTATCCAAGTATTGCTAGTGATGGTCCTGCCATGGTCCGTGTCAATTTTGGTGCTGCTCCCTTCAAATACCCCTGTCAAGATTGGATTGGTTATCATCATCGATCTTCTTAGTTTATCTACTTTTGTACCATAGTTATCATCATTCCACCCTTCTTTCTATATATATATATTCAATAAAATACAATGTTTTTTTTATTCCCTCTAATCATACATATAGCTTATGTTCAATAAATGATGGTTTTATTCAAGTTTTTTTTTTTTCTACATACAAACTAAAATAGAAGAATAACCAATAAAAAAAAAATCAAACAGTATCAATGATGCCAATCAATATAATAAAAAAAAATATTCATGTATAAAATATACTAAGAGGATGGGATATCAAAAAAAAAAAAAAAAAAAAAGAGAGAGAGAGAAAGAGACAGACAGGGAGAGAATGAGTGAATATGTAATGCGAAAGATACATAGATACTATACTAGCCCATATATATATAAAGAAGGGGAAACTATTGACGATCTTGATTTTCTGGTACCAAAGGGCTTTCCTTGACAGGGCTTGATCCAGCAGTAATACCAGGATTGGAATGTGGGATGGTTTCAGGACTTGGATGTTCAGATCCAATGGCGGATTCAGGTTCTTTTCCAGCTTGAGATAAAGCATAATCTCCAGAATCAAAATACTTTCGTTCCTGCCAAAAAAAAAAAAAAAAAAAAAAAAAAAAATACAATAAGAATCAAGTAATAAGATCATAAGTATCAATCTTCCATTTCCTTTCTTTTCCAATATACAAACACATATACCCAACTATCTACCAATCTATTTACCCACTAACATATATAGATAAATATGTACATCGTGTACATACATTGTGTATATCCTCCCCACTTCCCATTGACACATATTACATCCTCTTTTTTTTTCTTTCTTTCTTTGTTTCTTCGATTCTCCATGCTTCCTCTAAAACAAAAAAGGATTTACCTTGAGTTTGTGTCCAATAAGATCCTTTCGATCCGGTAGCTTGCCATACATTTTGAATAATTTTCGTTCTTCTTCGTTCAGTTGCTAAAAGTTCGAAAGAAAGAGAGAGTGTGTGTGTGTAAAAACGAAGGTGAATATACAATTACTTGAGGATGAATCTCTACACGAGTCGACTATTTTTAGGGGAGAAGATGTAAACTTACGCTAATATCGATTTTATTAGTTTGTGCAGGATTCATTTTGGTAACCAAAAAAGAAAAAAAGGAAAGAAAGCAGGAATGAGAAAGGGAAAAAAAAAAGTAGTAGGAGAAAAAAAAAAAAAGAAAAGAAGGGAGACAGAAAGAAACCAAAAAAAAAAAAAAAAGAGTTCGTTATTTCGTCTTTTTCACAGGAAAAAGCATGACGTACCGAACGGAGTTGATTATACAGCGTAGGTTCCAAATTAGTATTTTGGGTTCTCGATCAAAAAAATCCAACGAGGATATCAAACCCAATTTTCCGAGTCATCTCTCTTTTTTTTTTTTTTTTTTTTTTATTTTGCTTTTCCTTATATATGAGGATGGATGAAAATAATGTTTGCTTAACACCAACTACCCTTCGAAAAAGAAGATTGATACGACAAGATCAGGATTGGAATCCTGAATTGGATTCTCTTTATCAAGACGATCCTAGTCCAGTCACCAACTCTTCCCTGAACTCTATTTTTTCTCAACCACCATTGATCTTGGGATCTCCTCATCAACGTCAACAAAAACGCCTTCGACCATTAGAAAACAACTCTACCTTGCCTTCATTTTACGATCGACTTGTCAAAGCATCCACAACTACCGACCAACCTCTTCCAAAACGTCACCTGAATCCAAAAAAAAATCACAACTCGCTTTCCGAACTGGATGCCACTTTCAAGGCTGCTGAAACACTTGTTTTATCCAAAGATCTTTCCAAGGACGCACCTTCAACATTACCTGTTGTAAATGACAATGGACCACTATCACCTACCAACAGCATCGATACTGTCATTTCTGAAACAACCAATATCTCTTCCCTGTCTTGGCCCTCTCCTATGCCTTCCTCTCCTGCTCCTAGCACTATTCATCAACAACCTGTGACCTCAATATCTCTTCGCGAATGGATGGCGAATCTCTCTTCCACCAAACAACAATCAGAAAAAGAACAATGGATACAGCAACAGAATTCTCATGCAACATCTCTGAACGAATCATCAATACAGAATGTTCCATCTTCTCCAGATAGTCATCCCATGAAGCATACGGTGCCCTTTAGAAGGATACGGTCACAATGGAGGGTGGAGACAATTGGCAATACACAAAACTCAACATCACCATTATCTACATCATCATCATCATCATTATCATCATCATCATCATCATCATCATCATCATCATCATCATCATCATCATCATCATCAGTATTACCAGCATCAGTATTACCAGCATCATCAGCATCATCAGCGTCATCAGCATCATCAGTGTCATCATCAACATCATTATCATTATCAGCATTATCAGAATCATCAGCATTATCAGAATCATTAGCAACGGCTTCATGCACATCAACCATGTTAATGGCATCATCTCGACCAGTCATTCGGAACAACAACTTTATGGGAAGGACAAGGAAAAGGGGAACTAGAGGGGTGGCGATCATACCAACATTCATCATGGTGAAAACGAAAGTCAGCAAACGTAAAAATAGATCAACATGGACAGAAACTATATTATCTGGATAAAGAGGGGGGTGGCGTCAGTTCTTAGTATACCATGGACACCAAAGTCTTAAGTTATCCCTTTTATATATTTAATAGTTGTTAGTGTGTCTTAACATATTAATGTATCATATTTTATCAAAATAAAGAAAGAAAAAATTATACATCGTGTCTATTTATCAAAAAAAAAAAAAAAAAAAAGAGTATACATCATGTCTCTTTATCAATGTCATCCTTGGTTTTTTTTTTTTTTTTCTGTGGGGGAGAGGAAGAATGAAAACTGTTTACATATATATATATATATATATATATATATATATATATATATATATATACCGATCTTAGATAGATAAAGAAATTTGGAATGATGATAAACGAATGAACAAATCAAGTCTGATAAACAACGTTAGTTTATTTTATTTATTGAATGACTATGTAGAAGAATGAACGGAGGAGAAGGCATATAATAGAGGGTATAAACAAAATAGATAAAGAAGATGAAGGAGAGAGAGATAGAGAAAAAAAAAAAGGGATTATATACAGTAGTGAAAGGGAGGAGAATATCAATGAAGAAGATAATAAATAGAAACACGGTAATAACTATAGTAATAATAAAGATGATGATGTTGTTGATTCTATGATGGAGATACATACACAAATACAATACAGGAGGAAGGAAACAATCATTCTACGTAACCCGTAACAAAACTATTAATGGATTCCCATTCCAAAGGATCCAGAGGTGGTGTAGGAGGCATTGGTTTGTCGATATGATAAACTGTAGATTTGGATCCTGCTGCAGTTGCTGCTATTGGAGTTGTAGCTGTTGTCGATGAAGATGACGACGACGATGATGATTTACGAGCAGTAAAAGCATACCAGTTAAGATGGGATTGATACTTTTTACATTCGGCAAGCATATGTTGAATAGCAGCATCAGTAAGAAGGTTGGTGGTAGTATGTTCCATACAAGGTGGAGACCAAGTTGAAAGTTGTTTTGTTGTACGAATGGCCGATGTGACAGATGGATGTAAGGACTTGAGATATTGAGATAAAGAAGTAGCATGTAGATCGGCAAGGTGGCCACCCCATCCAAGAGGCATGGTCATACGTTGTTGTCTTGTATCAACGAATCCTCCTTTTGTTGTTTGTGTTGTCATCAATAATGTAGATAATTGTGTACATAGTTCAAAATCAATACCTTCGGATTTCAATTTTTCTTTTACTAAAGTAAAGAAAAAAAAAAAGAATGAGAAAAAGGACCTAATTTTCTTTTTTTCCCGGGGGAACACATATGCATTCAATTTCTCCTCCGCTCCGAGGTAAATCGCCCCAGGATTTCAAAAAAAAAAAAAAAAAAAAGAACTTACAATCATGATTCATCAAAGCAGCAGATACTGGTCCAGGCCTTTGAATTTGATATTCAACATCAACAATTTCAAGATATCCATTAGGTTTAAGAACACGAGCGATTTCCGATAAAATTTGAATCAATTGTGGACGAGTCATGGAAGTCATCATTTGACGCATAAAAATAAAATCCATTGATTCATCTTCAAAAGGTAAACCATCCATCATATCATGTTGTTGAAAATATGCATTATTTGGTTTAATGGCACTAGGATACATAGTAGCAATATCTATACCATAAAAATCTGTATGTACATACAAAGACACGTGTGATTATTATAAATATCGATTTCTTTTTTGAGCAACATGATTTTTTTTTTTTACCAGTGGATGGAAATTCAGAGGCCATTTCAAGAATCCTATAATTAGGTAGGGTTGCACATATCAATAGTTAGGTACATGAAGAGTGACAAAAAAGGTGTAACCTTGTTTTTTTTTTTTTTTTTTTTTTTTTTTTTTTTTTTTTTTTTACCATGTTCCAGCACCAGTCCCAATGTCCAATACTTTTGGCCGATCATAAAATGAACCTTGTAATAATGAACGTACAGGTGATATATAGTTACCACCAAAGGCGTATTTTAGAAGAAAATGCTAAAATGAGGATTAACAAATTCAAATAAAAAAAAAAAAATCATGTCATGTCGGGTCATCAAAAAAAAAAAAAAAAGGTTAACCACAACTGAAACGAAAGGAGGAATAGAATAGAATCTTCACTAAACTGATAAATAAGCCACTTACAAGAACAATCAATCGATCCGATTCATCTTCGTCACAAGGTAAAAAATAAAAAGATTGAGGAGTATGTATATATTTTCGTCCATTGATCATGGTATATTCTGCTGATAAGGAACATGAATGAGATGATAATGATGATGGTGTAGGGCATTGATCATCGGCATTGATTTTCTTCTTTTTTTGTTGTTGATGATGATGATTTGAAAATAACTGTTTAAGACTTGGTCTTTGTTCTGAGAGTTTCGTTTTTGCCTTTTGAGACAAATGTGAAGTGATGGCTGATGGTACTGGTTCTTGTGATTGATGATTACCCATCGAAATATATATATAAATATTTTATATATATATATATATATCTTTAATTCTTATTTTCTGCTTCTTCAGATGAAACAAATAAAAAGTTAAAACAGAAAAAAAAAAAAAAAAAAAAGACCTGAAAGGAAGGTAGAAAGCTAAGCAGTTTTTATATATAAAAAAAAATGGATGATTGATTTAGCGATCACCTAAAAAGGAATGAGAGATGGTAACTTGATCTTTTGGTTATTGAAATTATCGCACTAAAAATCTTTTAGGGGAATGATCTGATCCTCCCCCCTCAACTGATCAAATGAACCCTTATCATTATTAGTATTATCTCTTTATCAACAATTTAACAAACAAACAAAAAAAAGATTTATATATTTATAATAGATGACTCAAGATATAACATTGATGATATATATATCTCTATATCTGTTGGTCATCCTCCTTTTTCTTTTTTCGTTTTTTATTCCATCCCAATTGATAGTCCGTCGCAATGGAAGATTCTGTTGGTTTGACTGAAAATCTTTTCCTAATATAGCCTTGCATAAATCGCATGGTCGTAGTATTATTTCTACATATTTTTAATTCCCTTAACAAGTGTAAACTAATTCTTTTTCTTATGATTCTGTTTTAAATAACGCGCTCAAATATCGAATTCTTATCAAGTTGATCATGGATACTTTGCCTTTGAAACCCAGCATCCTACTCTCTCTTTTTGCTTCTTTCTTTCGTTTTTTCTCTTTCTTTGAAGAACTCGAATTTGTTCAACCGTTTTTAAAGAGGAAAACGAACATTGTAGAAAAGAAAAATTGATGTTAACCATATTCATAGTTCTTTTTTTTTCTTTTTTGTTAGGCATCATGACGATAATGACATAATGAATATACTGAAATGGATACAAAGCAAAGTAGGAATCATGAACTCCACTCTTTTTTTTTTCTTTTTCTTTTTCTTATTTTTCTTGGATCAAAACAGTCAGCGTCAAAGAAAATCCAAAGTATTATTATATATGATGTATTCCACTTGATAACCAATAATATTATTTCTTATGATATGGTATATATAAGACTCTCCCTTCTATTATGACTAGGATGATCAACGCCCTTGAGCAGATGATAGATAATACACCAATATTCTCATATATACTTATATAGTATGATAGTTGTAGAAATCCATTTACCTTAGATAGCTATAGATTAATCTTTGCCAGTTGATTGGCTTATTATATGAAAAAAAAAATAAAAATTTGGGGGTTTTTTTTGTCGGTGCTTTGCTTTTCTCCACTTTTCCACACTCTCGTCTTTTTTTTGTCTCTTGTATTTTCCAATTTTTTTTTCCCTCTTATCTTTCAACTTTTTTTTTTTTTTACTACAATTTTTTTTATTTGGATTCTTTTGTATTGAATTCATGCTGACACCATCACAGTATGAACGTACAAGAGGATCTTCCATCTTTCAATATAACATCAAACTACAGTACAGATTCATTCTTGACTAATAATAATAACCTTCTTGTAGAAGGTCCTGATGGAAACAATATACTTTGCGACTCACCTCAACCGACACATCTACCAAACTATGCTGGCCCCGATCATTGCTCTCCTTCTTCTTACCATAATACAAAAGAATATGTCAAACATACTATCGAAAATCAACTGGAACAACAAGGTCATCAAGATGCACATCCTACACCGACCAATTCTCAAGAACAACAAATAACAAAAAGATCTACACGTCGTGTGAAACCTCGTCGAGTGATTGGGAACTATACTCTAGTCAGTACGTTAGGGTCAGGTTCCATGGGAAAAGTTCGTTTGGCTATTCACAATCTAACTCAAGAAAAGGTCAGTTTCATTTATTTATTTATTTTATGCATTTCATACTTAACAATATTTTTTTTTTATTTTATTATAATTTATTATTTTGGTTAGCTTGCGGTAAAAATTGTGCCGAGGGTTGGAACTCAAGAACATTTACCAAAGGATGAAATCAATGCCAAGAAGAAAAAGGAAAAAGATCAACAGAGTGAAATTAGAACGATCAGAGAAGCTAGTATCATGTTACTTCTTCATCATCCATATATTGTCAGTCTCAAGGAAATGATAGTATTGGATCCTTATTACTATATGTTTATGGAATATGTGGATGGTGGTCAACTTTTGGATTTCATCATCTCTCATGGGAAACTCAAGGAACGTCATGCTCGTCGGTTTGCTCGACAGATTGTTAGCGCATTAGGTAAAAAAAAAAAAAATTAACTTTTCATTTATTATTATTAAAAAATACCTCAAGTAGGGATTATTCACTCATACTTTATATGTCTTAGATTATTGTCATCGAAATTCTGTTGTACATCGTGATTTGAAAATTGAAAATATCTTGATCTCTCAAAATGGTAATATCAAAATCATCGACTTTGGTCTCTCGAATTTATTCTCTCCAAGATCACATCTCTCTACATTCTGTGGATCTCTCTATTTTGCTGCTCCTGAATTGTTGAATGCCAAGGCTTATACTGGACCCGAAGTGGATGTATGGAGTTTTGGCATTGTTTTATATGTTTTAGTCTGTGGAAAGGTACCTTTTGATGATCAGAATATGGCAATGCTTCATGAAAAGATCAAACGTGGTGTAGTAGATTACCCCTCTTCTCTCAGCTCAGGTAAAAAAAAAAAAAAAAAAAAAAAAAAAAAATCATGGAAAAAAAAAAACTTAGTAATGTTAATTGCTTTTTTTTTTTTTAATCTTTTGTAGATTGCAAAAATATCTTGTCAAGGATGCTTGTGGTCAATCCTAGTCATCGTGCATCTACTGCGGAAATCACTATACATCCATGGATGAATAAAGGATACAATGAACCTATCGACAATTTCTTACCGGATCGTGTGCCATTGACTTTACCTGTAGATATGGAAGTAGTTCGTGGAATGACTGGTTTTGAATTTGGTACAGAACAAGAAATCAAGTCTCAACTGGAAACCATCATTCAGTCTGATGAATATCAAAAAGCAGCATCAGCTTTAGCCGAAAGACAATCACAACAATCTCATAGATATCCATCTCATTCTCCTCTCTCTCGACGTCCTCCAGTATTCAATTTACCCAATGATGATCCACAATCTATACCAGCAGCCTATCATCCATTGATCTCTATTTATTATTTGGTCAAGGAACGATTGGATCGTGAACAACAACAATCAAACAATCACCAAAATGACGATTCTAGTCTTCATTTACCAATCAAGTCTATACACAGTCCATCCTCTCTCCATAGAAATGGTACCATTGCTCCAACACATTCTATGATACCAGAGAATGCCACTACTACTGATCCTAGAGCACGATTCGATCTACCTTCACAACCTAATACCATTATCTCCATGCCTGAAGCTGCTCATGCTGCACAACCATCAATATCACAACATCAACCCAATCTCTTCATCACACCGACAGATTCACCTTCTACATCAACAGGAGTGGCCTATGGTGCAAAAGGCAAAATCAATATTCGAGTGGATGACGAAGGACGTGTCATGGATGTAGACAAAAATCGACTTGTGGTACCTCATCATGGATTCAATCGTTTCTTCAATTGGCATCATACTTTTCACCCACATCGGCATAGTTCAATTGGATCAGATGATGACATTGAATCCAACATCACAGGCAACCCTCTTCAACAATTGACTCAAGCGGTAACAAGAACTTCACTTGATAAAAGAAATCATCATCATCATCATCATCGACAACGACGACATACAAACGATGATCGACGTTCTGACACTATTACTGATCTTTTACCTATACCATCAACATCATTTGGTCATGCTACTCGGGATAAAACAGATCGACGTCATGGATTGCCATTAAGTATCAACACAAAAATCAACCATCATCAGTTAGAAGAAAATGAAGGATCATCGTTATCGGCTGGCACAAGACGACTTGGACGTACATTCAGCAAGATGTTATCAAGGAAAAGTGCAGGTCATGAGGATAAGATAAAACCAGATGAATGGAAATCCGGCAGTGGGGACAATCAACATGATCGACTTCATAGGTCTACTACGACAACCACAACACATGAACATGAACAATCCTTTCCCAACAATGCAGGTGGTACTCTTCATCAGCGTCTAGGCACAGCGGACGAGCAAGTGAAACCAGTATTCTTGAAAGGACTCTTCTCAGTATCGACAACATCCACCAAACATCCTTCAGTCATACGTGCAGATTTGATTCGTGTTTTGGAACGCATCGGGGTCAAATGGCGTGAAAGCAAAGATCGATTTGAATGTGTCCATGTACCTAGTATTGATATGAACCGTGTGACGACAGATGGATCTACCCAGTCTTTATCCTCTTCCTCCTCCAATCACAACAATCCAGCGGTTACAGTGCCTGATTTAGTCGTAAGATTTGAAATCTATATTGTCAAGGTCCCTTGGTTATTAGGAATGCATGGATTACAATTTCGAAGAGTTAGTGGTGATACTTGGCAATACAAAAATATATGTAGTATCATTTTGACTGAACTCAAATTGTAGTCTGTATATATATATATATCTCTTGTTTGTATATAGTATTCATTGTTGATTTTTTTTATTTTTATTATTATTAATAAATCATCATTATAAAATATTATATTTTATTATATTACTATTCTATAGATAAAAAAAAATCTTCTTCCAAAAGCACCTTCCCATACTTGTCTTGATCATCATCATCTAACATCATATTTCTGTACTGAGGTAATGTCATGGTTTCGCCATCTTGTGTCACAATAGGTTGATAGTCGGGTGGAGGAGCAAGATAAGTGCCTTGATTTGTTTTCTATCACATCCAATAAATAAATAAATTAAAAACCATGCATATTATATAATTGTTTCTTTTTTTTTTCTATATTACCATGTGTGACCGATCCGAAGCAAAATGTTGTATATAAGAAGACGCAGGTATCATACGAAAGCGTCGTTTGTATTGTTCAAGTAAAGCTATTTTGGGTTGGAAACTTTGAGTAATATAATCGGTCAAAGAACTTTTGAATGGAAGTGTGGTATCAAAATCATAAACACTATATTGGATCCTACTTGTTCAAAAAGTATATATTTATTTATCCTATTTAAATGTGTTTACTTGTCTTACCTTTCCGATATGATTTCCTTGAAAAGAAGTATGACATGATAATCCTAAAAAAAAAAAAAAAAGAGATCAGTTTCTTTTTCTTCTAGATTATCTTTTTGATCTTACCCATAATACAAATGGTCGATCTGATCGACAAGCTTTTTGACACCACATTGGAAACTAACATAATTAAAAAAAAAGAACTATAAGGACGAACTGATCTTGGTTTATATATATATATATATATATACTTACAGCTTGTTGTTCATTGCTGATAAAAACCACAGTACATTGATCAAGTTGATCGGGGAAATGGTGTTGTATATGTTTACATAATAAATATATGTTTTCTTCACAATAGTTTGCTGTATAAATCAAGGCATCTTTCTTCAACAAGAGCGTCATATAGTAGAATAAAGAAGAGGAAAGAAAGAGACAACTTTGAAACGCCGCGAAAATCGATTTAAGTAGAATGATGCATGATCAACAGGCTGTCTTCTTTTATCATAAAAGTAATCAATATACATATCTTTTGTTAATAATCATAGATAATATACACAACTTTTGTTAATAATCATAGATAATATACACATCTTTTTGTTAATGGATGATGGTTTTAAGCTTAAAAATGGGGATTTGAAAAATGACTAGAGCTATTGATGTGGATTCTTTTTTTTTTTTTTTTTTTTTTTTGGTTTTTACAGCCAAAATTTTCCAACTCCTCAGCCAAATTTTAGCTGTGAAAATAAATCGTCAGGGGGTCATCAGGCCATTTTTCCGAAAAATCGATGAAATCTTTTGCTGGTGTCAAAAGTAAATCGATAAAAAGTCAAGAAAGAGATCCCTGATCCTTTTTTTTTTTTTTCTTTACTCTCTTGCATGCCCTTATTGCGACAAACAAGTAAGGTTTTATTTCAACCATGCTTGTTATCAGCGGTCCGTTCTTATTATAGAAAAATGAATATCGATCCAAGAAACTAATCTATCTTTTTTTTTTCTTTTTTCTATAGTTCAAGCAAACTTCTTCGAGTACATTACCTCAAGTGCGTCAACTTCATTTCAAGCATTTTAAAAGTGTTTTTCACCCTTTACAAACTATATCAAGGTTAGAATAATAATGATAATATATCAACAAAATCAACTAAAACATCTTTATTTTTTTTTATATCACCTAGAGTACAACCGCGCATCTCTGCACAACAACAACAACAACAACAGTATTCTATTTTAACTATACTCAATCGTTCACCATGGTCAAACTTATCTATAACTGCTACTTCATTCCGGTCATCCACTCTTTATTTGGGTACTGTCACTATTATTGCTCTAGGCATCAAAGGTGTCTTTACAAAACCGCTCCATTGTGAAATGACAACGATGGTGCCCAATCAACGGTCTCTAGTAGTCTTATCTCCTGCCAAAACCAAATCGATTGTGACGAATGATATCAAGAAACAGGCTAATATTTCATCCTTATGGCGCGATATATGGGATTTGATCAAACCTGATCTTTTATTACTTGCTTGTATTGTATTGACTGCCATAGGTGCCGCTATTGTTCATTTACAGACACCCTTGGTCACAGGTGAACTGATCAATGTGTTGACAGCAAGTGTTCAAGCTACTTCTCATGGTGTTGCTCTTTCTATCAAGGAACTTAATGTTCCTGCTTTGAAACTTTTTTCTCTTCTCTCTGTCCAAGGTAAATGAATACAAGTAAAAAATATATATATAGATACTAATGTTTATTTTTTTTTTTCATCAGGTTTTTTGACGTTTGCTCATATTACACTGGTGGCTGCTTTTGGTGAAAAGGTTGCTCAAAGATTACGTGCCAAACTCTTTGCTGCCATTATACAACAAGATATGTCCTTTTTTGATCGTCATCAAAGTGGTGAATTGGTGAGTCGATTAACTACAGATGTGGCGGAATTCAAGGTACAGAAACAAAAAAAAAAAAGAGGCAGGAATGACTGATTTTTTTTTGTCATCTCTCTACCATTATCTGTTGAATAGAGTACGTTCAAACAATTGGTGACCATTGGATTAAAATCTATTACTCAAACTCTGGGCTCAGTTACTCATTTGTTCCAAATCTCTTCTTCATTGACATTCACTATGCTTGCTACCATGCCTGGTTTATATATCTTGCTCAATATGTATGGAGCTTATCTACGAAAATTATCCAAATACAACAAACAACTGGATGGTATATCGACAGGAGTTGCCGGTGAGGTAATATAAGAAGAATATTAAAAAAAAGAAGAGGGAAATAAATATATCAATTTGTCGATGATTGTTTATTTTGGTAGGTGATATCCAATATGCGTACAGTCAGAGCCTTCGCTTCGGAAGAACGGGAAATGGACCATTATGGAGATGTCTGTGGTAATGTCTCCAAAGCCAATCAACACATGGGTTTACATATAGGATTATTCCAAGGTAAAAAAAAAAAAAAAAAAAAAAAAACCATCCTATAAAGGAAAGGAATTAAGTGTACGATATTTCTTTTATATAAATAGGTTTGACCAATATCTCAATTGGCTGTATGATATTGACTGTACTTTATTATGGTGGATCTCTTGTTGTTCGCAATGAACTTAGCAGTGGTGATCTCATGTCGTAAGTAGCTTTGATAAAACAAATAGGTTGTTCATTTCCTCTTTATAGGTACATGTTATCCACACAAACGGCACAACAATCGCTAGGTAAGAAGAAAAAAACAAAAGCACCATATCGTAGTAACAACATTCTTTTTTTTTTTTTTTTTTTTTTTTTTTTACTGTCAGTATCACTTGGTGTCCTTTTTGGTCAATCGATCAAAGCACATGCCTCTGCTACGCGTGTATTTGAATTTATTCATCAATATCCAAATGTACCTTTGCATGGTGGTTCTGTTATATTGAATGTGAATGGAGATGTGCAATTTGATGATGTTGATTTTTATTATCCTACAAGACCGGAACATCAAGTATTGAATGGATTCAGTTTACGTGTTCCTCATGGCACTACTGTTGCTCTTTGTGGACCATCAGGTAAAAAAAAGGTCAAAGAAAGAAAAAAAAAAACGGTCGAGTATGTATTCAATTTTTTTTTTTTTTTTTTTTACAAATGATTTTCTTTTTTTGATCAGGTTCAGGGAAATCCACCATTGCATCTTTATTGGAACGATTTTATGAACCAGTACATGGACATATTTATTTGGATGGACAGGAATTGACTTCATTAGACCCATCATGGCTTCGGCATCATATTGGTTTTATCAATCAAGGTAGAGTATAGAATAAATAAGGTAATGATGAACTCAACTCTTGCTTTACATATATAGAACCCGTTTTATTTGCCACTTCTATTTTGGAAAACATTCGTTATGGACGACCCGATGCCACTATGGAAGAAGTACATGATGCAGCTCGACAAGCGAATGCTCATCATTTTATTGAAGACTTTCCTGATGGATACGATACAGTGGTTGGTGAACGTGGAGCTTCTTTATCAGGTGGACAACGGCAACGTATTGCTATAGCAAGAGCCATTTTGAAGAATCCAAAGGTAAGAAAAGTTATGGTAATCATTATTTTTACTGACCTTTTTTTTTTTTTTTTTTGGAAGATTCTTATATTGGATGAAGCAACCTCGGCTTTGGATAGTAAGTATTTCTTCTTTTTTTTTTTATAAGAATGTGATTTCTTACTTTATTATTATTATTATTATTATTATTATTATTAGCACAATCTGAAAAATTGGTTCAAGAAGCACTGGACAAATTGATGCAAGGAAGAACAGTACTTGTGATTGCCCATCGTCTTTCAACCATCCGAAAAGCAGATATGATTGTGGTGATGGGCAAGGTACCAGGCAACATTTTAGAAAAAGGTAAGGATGATAAGATGAAACGGATTGGTTACTGATGTTATCTTTATTCAGGAACACATGAACAATTGTTAGCAAATCAAGCTACCTACTTTAAACTTCACAACCAATTGATCAATGACGAGCTTTAGATTAGAAATAGATCCATCCTTTTATTATTATTATTATTATTATTGTATATATATTCTCTCTCTCTTTTTTTTTTTTTTTAGATACTCCGTCTTTTTATTTTTGTATGTTATTCAAATAAAAGTTTTTTATACATGACATGGACACAATTATTATTATTATTTTTTCTCTCTCTCTCTCTTTTGAATTCATGATGTATAATTTTTTTTTTATTTCAAATCTATTTCAGGAAGGAAGGTGTGTTCAGTAGAGTGCAAATGGGGAATCAATGGCAGATGAAGTGATGGGGAAGAGAGAGAAGGAGGAACAATCAAAGGAACGATGCATTCAAGATGAACGGTATCTGACTGACCAAGAGGTGAACAATAGTTGAGTGTAATACATAGATGATGGTGGACATGGATACGAGGTGAACGGAATGTACTTGATGTAGGCAATTGATGTAAAAAAACAGGAATCGTGCACGGACATGTCCATGTGGAGGAAGGTTGAACGAGCACTTGACTGGTTGTTAGCAATATCATTGGTTCGTTTGTTTGTAGCCTACCAAAAAAAAAAAAAAAAAAAATTGATTCATTTTCCAGGAATAAGTAAAAAAAAAAAAAAAAAATTGAGTCAATTTTTTTGGGTTCATTTTCCAGGAACAGAAAGGACAAAGAAAACAACGCATGATAAGAGAATGAAAATCCCTCATTTTTTTTTTTTTTTTTTTTACCCAATCTCTATAGATTCATAAAGTTGAATACCAATCATACAAGAGGTCAAAGAGGAGTTAGATTGATGATGACGCATCCGTGTCCGTAAAGAACAAACAAAAGATTGGGTGGCATCGATCCATTGTGGTAATTCCAATTCATATTGCCATTGTGCCTGATGAGATAATCCCCAACATAATTTTGATCTATTTTCTTCGACGAATTCATCGGATATTGACGAGGAACAGGAGGAACAGGAGGAGGTATGTAAAGAGGGTAAGGATGATGAAATAGGTAAAGGAGGGCGTCGATAAAGGTACAATGTCCGAACGGCGATCAATGGGGGATCATCATGAATGATGGCCTTGAGTGTATAATCAATCGATCCATACCTATGTGAGAATGTCAGTGGTAAGTCTTTGGGAAGATGCAATAGGAAAGGATGAAGGTAATGTTGCCCTGAAGGCATAGATTGCCATTCGGATGAAGATAATCGATAGACATCATCCATAATGTTCTTATCTTCTTCCTCTGAAATTCGCTCTGTACCTATCAGTCGTATAGAGGATGAATAAATTCTTGTATGCTGATCTGAACCAAGTTTCAAATAAAGATTTCCCTTTACATGGATGGAACATCCTTCATCCATACATACGTACTCATTTTCCAAATCAATCACTAAAGAAGACATTATGATTTAATTTTGTATTAAAAAAGGTAGATGATCGAAACAAAAGAAATAAAATTAAAATAAATAATAAATATATAAAAAAAAAAAAATGAGAAAAAAAAAAGGTAAAAAGAACGCTTTCATGTAACAGATAGCTTTAACCACGTGAGAAAGACCAATCATTTATTATATATCAACAAAGAAATCATATTTCAAACCAAGGAAATAATAAATAAACTATGGTAGCACTAATTGTAATCATTTATAATTTATTTCTAATCAATGGAGATAGTATCAGGGATACTATTATTACTATTACTACTAATACTACTGCTACTACTACTACTAGCTTGATATATTTTTGCTTCATTATCCGAAATATCCAATAATCTTGCCGCTTTTGAGGTTGTTGAAGAAAACACGGATCGTAATACATTGGATGACCCAAGTGGAGATAACAGACGACCGTTGGTGTAGCTTGAATCCCATGCTTTACTGGTAGAGCTTTCATTCATCAAAATAGTTGTATCCAATCCCATATCATCATCATAATTAGGTTCATCATCATCATCCAAATTTGCCTTGGGTCGAATTGTTTTTGTTGCTAAAATTTCTTCTAAATTGACATCATCCATTATACTTTGTCCTCCAATTGAATATTCATTTTGTCCTACATGCAATGACCTACGTTGTCGTTGTCGTCGTCGTCGTCGTCGTTTTTGTTGTTGTTGAGGAAGAATGATATAGCACCACTGTATAAACTTGCTGATCATCGTTCCATCTTTCGTAATACTATTTCCATGAGCTAATCGTCGGTATCGGTAACCCATAGGTATCCATCGTCGTATGGTTGTGCGAGCCCAGCCAGGTAAAACGCCCATCACATGTCCTTCTTGTTTTGGTGACCCCAACATGTTTGTATTCCAAGATCTTCGCCAGGGATTATCGTCTGTTTCATACTCCATATCTTCATTTTTATCATTGTTATAATCTGAATCCGAATAATCATCGTCGTCGTATTCATCATCTGTTGAACTATTATCGTATAATGTTTTGCGATTCATAGGACGGCTGATGAATTCGATGGTCGTCATGTTCAAAAATGCTAATATTAAAGAAAAAAAATGAAGATATGTCAGAAATATAAACATCATCATTACTATCAAATAAAAACCAAACTAGACTAAACCTTCTTTGAGCTGCAGCCTATTTTTTTTTTTTTTTTTTTTTTTTTTACCTAGTCTGATATGGAAACCCAAAAGTCTAACCATAGCCACCAAGGCGGAAATTGCAAATAGAGCAACAATACATGCCAAAAACATAAACAAGTAATATTTTGTAGTCAGCGTATCGAATGCATTTTGATCTTTGGTCAAATCAAGTATTTGTATCACTAAATACAGAAAATAGGTTAACTTTGTATTTCATTCCTTTTTTTTTCATATTTACCATGAGCCATAAATATATTCTTTCTATAAAAGCATAAAAATACCACATAAATAGTCAAACTTGAATACCAAACCAGAGATAGAAAAGCAGATGTCACCAAAATAAAGAAGAACCTGATTTTTTTTTTAAAAAAAAAGAAAAAGACGTTACTCATCACTTGTTTTTATTTTTAATGCATCATACTATACCTATAGTTCGCTTCTCCAATACAACAATTCAACCATTTACAATGATGATCCATCCCACTAATACATTTGTTACATAATTTACAATGACGAGTTGTTTTGGGACTACATAAATAAAAAAAAAGTGTAAAAGATGATATTTTTTTGGAAAAAAAAAACTAATTGTTTTACTTACACTTTAATTCGACAAATACCACATATACTAGTATAAGGATCAATCACAGAAAGGCCATATTTCCTAACATAAGTTTTGCTTCGAGTTGTTCGATTCGCTTGAATAATAGGATCTTCAGTGTCGATAAATGATGTAATAATACTTAAAACCTTGATACCTATACAAATCATAGCCATAATGTAAAAACAACAAACAGTTAAGGATAATAATAATAAAAAAATAGATTATATTTGTATCTGTATAAAAAGGATATCTGTCGTGCATAAGAAGCCCATAACCAAGAAGAAGAATCAGGACCTTCTCTATCAGCTAGTGGCCATTGATGAACCCATTGCCATGTGATGTCTAAAGTTGTTTCAGGTATTGGTGTAATAAAATGAATAAGAAAATAATAAAATAAGAGATCAAGTATAATAGAAGCAGTCCACTGAAGTAAAAGGTAAGGATCGTAAGGATATTGATAACCATGTCGTCGAGACCAATCGTTGCGTTCCCAAAATGGGGTAGTAGTGGTGGTATAAAGAGAAAATGACCGTGGTCGTAAAAAGGGTATAGAGAAGGTCATTGTAAAATAATGTGTGCGTGTGAAGAGGGGAATATTTTTGTTGTTGATATTAATGTTATTATTTTATTTTTATATCATATGAAAAGGAAAAGGAGTAAGGATGGAACAATATGAAGGAAAGAGGGGCAAAGAAAAAAAAAAAAAGAAAAAAACAAGGAGGACCTTTTTTTCATCTTTTGGGATAAGAAACGCCGATATGACCTCTGATTGGCTGATTTGCATATTGCAGACAAATCAGTCGTACAACACTTATCTTTTCTTTTCTGTGCTGAGAATAGACACTTATTTGCACTAGTGTTCGAAAATATAGAAATAAAATGGCGTTGATGATTGATTTTTGAACTTTGATGATTGATATATCGATGATGATGGATGATTTAGTCCATGGATACCCTTCCCTTGGATTCCTACCTTGTTTTGCTCTACCAACAATGTCACATATCTTCCACTTTGCATTGATTCATCTGTTCATTTGATTCTACCAATGAGCATAAAAAAAGTTGACCAAGGAGTTGATATATAAATACATCTATTCATTGATTCATTACTACCACCTTCAAAAAAAGGGGAATTAAAAAAAAAAAAAAAGAATGAAGCAAAACGAAAGAAAATGTTGTCCAGATCAATTGATTTAATATAAAAGAGGGATGATTGTGATTTATTTCTTTTCCTTTCAAGCACATCTCTCTTTCTTTTTACTTTGTATTTTTTTTTATCAATTCTACCAAGGAGAAACAAAAACAACTAAGTAAATAATATTGTTATAAGATAGCTATTTTCATCATCTAATATAAAATCATCATCATTGTAGATCTAATCAAAGGGGTCCTCTTGGGCCAATTTCTGTGGTTGTCTGGTGTCACTCTACATTTTATTCAGGGCAAGAGGTTTTCTATCGATCATGTCTGTCTGTCTGCTTTTTCCTTTTTTCCATATACAACACAAAAACATAATTAGAGATCACAATGATTTTTATATAAAAGCAAAAAGGAAAAAGATTTCTAACTAAAAGAGTTTGTCATCTAATCTATGTCCATCAAAGAGTTCAGTTTCACCTACTGCCCCTATGGAAAAAAAAAAGGTAAATTAGTAAATGAGGTCTCTTTATTTTTTTTTTTTTTCGTTCTTACCAACAGGTCAAGTAGCGTCGATTTTCATAATATCATCGTTTGCTATGGAAGTAGCAATCACTTTGTTATCTATAACTGTGTTAGTTTTTTAATAATCACCAAGACAATCCATTTAGATCATACCAACTATATAAAAAAGAAAAAAAAGAAAGAAAGAAAGAGGGAGAGGAAGTTAATAACTATGAGTGGGTATTGATGTAGTGCATTAGAAATAGAAAAGAAAGATTAAAAAAAAAAAAAAAGGTAATTGTTCTCCAAATGGCGTGCCCATTGACTTTATTGGTCAGCGCGCAATCAAAAAAATCTCCATCTTTTGGAATAAAAAATAAGCTTTGTGCGACCCTTGATAGAGATAAGGGTCCCGGAGTCTGTAATCTTAAATCATTGGTAAAAGTAGAAATACCCTTTTTTGAATCAAACTTACCATTGTGGGCTCTTTTTAAACAAAAAAAAATCAAGTCATTACCAAAGTGTGGGATTAAAAAAAAATCAGTTAGTTACCTTGATCCAAAAAAAAAAAATCAAAACTTTCCAAGAAAAAACAATCTCATCAATTAAAAAAAAAAAACTATTCATCCTGTCTTTCTTGATCTAAGGTTTCACATTAAAAAGTATCACCATTGTATATTATGCTGTTCTTAAAAAAAATCCCAGTTGAAATATCCCAATAAAGATGATGACTCATGTCAATGTTTATTCATTCATAACAGTTCATCATGATGATGATGATGATTTTTATTTTTATTGAATCATTCAATGAGAAATATTATAAATATATCCTGATAAAAAAAAAAAATACTATGACTCAAGGTTGAAAAGAAAAAAAAAAAAAAAAAAGGAACAAACTACCTAATTCAGTAGAAAATGCTTAACTAGGAAAGATATTATCTCGAATAGGTCAGCCTTTCCACCGTGCGAAAACCTTGAATTAGGGCTATAACAGCATAGAGTACATGTGACATATATAATCATCCTTCTTTTGATTGGTTTGTGAATTCTCTCTCCGTCCGAGGTGAATACCGCGGAAATTCAATTGATTTCTTTCTTATATGGATTGTTCCAAAAAAGATTTTTTTTTCGTTTTCTTTTTCTTTATCTTTTTTTTTTTTTTTTTTAATTATCATGTCTTCCATTACGGAAAAACGTGAAGAAAAGATCGAATATGATATTTATGAAACAAAACACGAACATTCTGATCAACAAGTAGCAGTAAAAGATGTAGACGATCGTTCTCTTCCAGAAGAATTCATCGAAGAATATCAGTTTACTTGGAGAGCTGCCATTGTTGGTTCATTACTTGGATGTCTTGTTGGTAATCATCATCATCAATAATATAAATGATTTATACTAATTTTTTTTTGTTTATTTGTGATACAGCTGCATCAAATACATACCTTGGTCTCAAGATCGGATGGACTTTTGGAGCTTCCTTATTTGGTGCTATTTTCTCATTTGCTATTATCAAGCCTTTATCTCGCGCTCTTCCTGAAAGATGGGGCGGTGGTTATTTTGGTGCAAAGGAAAATTGTACTGCTCAATCAGCTGCAACTACCGCAGGCGGTCTTTCTGCTGGTTTCGTTTCTGGTATTCCTGGTAAGATATAAAAAAAAAAAAAAAAAAAGTACATGATCAACAAGAAGTTAAGACTCATTTTCTATTTTCTTTTTTTTTTTTAAAAAAAAAATTAGCTATGTACAAACTTGGTCTTATGACTAATCCTCGAGATGATGCTGCTGCTCTTGTTCTTTTCACCATTTCTGCTGCCTTCTATGGTTTATTCTTTGCTGTACCTCTTCGACAACACTTTGTGGTAAAACAAGATTTGACTTTCCCTACACCTCGTGCCGCTGCTACTACCATCATCTCTTTACACAGTTCTTTGGAAGGTGAAAAGGAAGCAATGAAAAAGGCTAAATGGATGGGTATTTGGTTTTTGATTTCTTTCCTCTGGTCTCTTATCTCATACTGGGTGCCTTTCTTTGATACCAGTAAGTTAAAAAAAAAAAAAAAAGAAATGATCATCAATGGGATTTTATTTTGATAAATTGATTTTTTTTTTTTATTTTTATTTTTTTTTAAAAAAAAAAAATAGTTCATATCTTATGGTGGATTGGACATGATGCCAATTATATTCCTTTTATGAGTGCAGATGAAAGTTGGCGTTGGTCATTCCGGTGGGATTTTCCCTTCTTTGGTGCTGGTCTCATGACTCCTGGCTCTACTGTATTATCTTTCTTCATTTCATCCGTGATCATCTATGGTGTTATTGGTCCTGTTATGGTCATTAAAGGTGATTTTGTCAAACCTTATGGTTTCACTAAAGGTGACACTACACAATCCTTCTTCTTATGGCCTGGTATTGCTCTCATGGTATTGACCACTTTTGCCGAACTGTTATGCCGATATGATACTTTATGGCGTGGGGTCAAGGGTGGATGTATTGGATTATATAATTCTTGTCGTGAAGGATATTATCGTATTAGAATGGTCGTGTTCCGCCATGAACTTAATGAAGAACAAAAGAAACATCTGTCCAAGGATCGTGATCCCGATGAAATCTTTGATGAATCTGAATTGGTGCCTACTTGGTGGTGGATTGGTGGTACATTTATTTCTATTATCTTTACTTGTGCCATCATGGGTGAATTCTTCGGTATGCCTGTTTATCAATCCATTGTTTCAATTATTCTTGCCTTCATCTTCTCCTTTGTGGGTGTTCAAGCCGCTGGTGAAACTGATATCAATCCTACCGGTGCTATTGGTAAGATGTCACAATTGGTGTTTGCCAAGATGCCTGCTGATACTCTCAAGGAAGTCCAAAAGAACAATTTGATGGCTGGTAACATCTCTGCTTCTGCTGCAAGTCAAGCTGTTGATATGGTGGGTGATTTGAAAACTGGTCAATTGGTGGGTGCTTCTCCTCGTTCCCAATTCTGGGCTCAATTCGTAGCATCCTTCTTTGCCATTGGTATTGCTGTTGGTCTCTTCATCCTGTTTGCTGATGCCTATCCTTGTATTGTTGACCCCAACCTTGATGCCAAGTGTGAATTCCAATTGGTTGCTGTGTTGACCTGGACCAATGTTACCAAGATCTTGACTGGTGATGCCGAACCTTTATCTCGTGGTTCCATCATCGTCACCATTGTATGTGCTGTCATCGGTGTGGTCTGGCCTTTTGCTCGTACTTTCTTTGTCCCTGAAAAATATCATCGTTATTGTCCTTCCGTTAGTGCTGTTGGCATTGCTATGATTAACTCTAGTCCTGAAGTTCCTTTGGCCATGTTCATCGGTTGGACTAGTGGCAAGATCTGGAAGCGTGTCAATCCTGTCGCTTATGAAAAATACATGTACAGTGTTGCTGGTGGTCAAATTGCTGGTATGGGTATTGCTGCCATTTTACAAGCCATCTTCACTATTGCTGGTGTGCAAAACTATGTCTATACTGGTTCTTGTATTGAGGGTCTCTATGAGAATTGCCCTTAGATCATCCTTATATATATATACATATATTATTCCTTACTTTATTTACCTGTCAAAAAATTTCCCCCTTTTTTTTTTTTTTATTTCTAGTGTAGTTTTTGACTCTATTCATCTCTTTATTTGTACAATATGTAGTTCTATTTAATAATAAAATTTCTTTTTTCTCTTTTTTTTTTCTTCCTTTAGAAATGGAACATGGGATGATGTGATGATGTGATGATGGATGATGGATGATGGATGATGGATGATGAACAATATATGTTGGATGTTGGATGATGAACAATGGATGTTGGATGATAGATGATGGATGATGCACAATATATGTTGGATGATGGATGATGCACAATATATGTTGGATGATGGATGATGCACAATATATGTTGGATAATGGATGATGCACAATATATGTTGGATGATGAACAATGGATGTTGGATGATGGATGGTATAATGTGACCTTTAAATCAGCAGATATATATGTATGAATGAATAATCAATCAATGGCTCAAAACAACGGACATTTAAAATGCATAAATCGGTGATTTTTTTTTTTTTATTTTTTGGAAATGTTGAAAAAAGAGGAAGAGAGTTAGATAGAAAGGCATGTAAAAGGGCAGATTGGCCATTTCTAGATACAGTAGTTATTGAAAATAAAAAGGTAAACCACAAATACTGTTTACAAGCTAATCCTTGATTTTTGACTCAAAGATCTTCCTAGGGATTTATCGTGTTTAACAATAAAAAAAGTGGATGATTGATTGACAATCACGATGCGTGAAAAGCTGACTTTTCTTGTAGGATGGTTGTAGTTGATGTTTTCAGGAGAAAAGGTAGAACAATTATTAAGCATAATCATATACAGGCAATAAAAGAAAAAGGAAAAGAAATGACTCTTTTTATATCAAAAGTGAGGATGAATAGAAGATAAGAAGTTTCTTAAAAAGAATTCAAAGAAAGTTTCCAAGCATTTACATTGAGGAGAGTAATAATCACTTTTTTTTTTATGCAATGTTCTTTTGATAGCCTTACTTTTTTTTTTTTTTCGGCTACCACCATTTAAGGTTTTCTCCACAACCTGGCATTGGCCGATTTCCAAATACAGTAACGGTCAGTCACATTTTAATACAGCGGCCACTTTTTTTTTTTTTTTTCCTTCTTCTTTCTTTTCCCCAGTACAAAAGCATTCCATCCACATCAATATTTGTAATACGCCTTTATCATCATGAATGCTCCTGATCGTTTCGAATTATTTGTGATCCCTGAAGGTCATAAAAAGTAAAACCAAAAAAAAAAAAGAATGAATATTAAAAAAAAAAAGTCATTGAATGGTTAACATTGTTGTTTATTATTAGGGTGGAGATGGAAATAGATACACGTATTCCCAATGCTGCGACTTTCAAGATTGAAAGAGAAGATCACACTTTGGCTAATATGTTAAGAGCGTAAGTGGATTGAATCGGATTTGGATCATATTAGAAAGTTTATGGATGAACTTTGTACAAGTTATCATCAGACTCATTATCATTTTTCTTCTTCTTTTATAGACAATTATTAAAGGATCCACGGGTACTATTTGCTGGATACAAAGTACCTCATCCATTGGAACATAACTTTTTGATCAAGATTCAAACCATACCCGGCACATCACCAGGAAAAGCACTCAACGATGCCACCTCAGAACTGATCGGTGAAATAAATGCTCTCAAGAATAAATTCGATATGGATGTACTTCGACATCGTACTTTTGAAGACGCAAAAGCAACTCAAGGTGGTGGTGTTTATGATGATCCCATGTCCATGGACCAACATCGTGCTCCTATGGATGTTGATTTTTGATTTTTCCTTTTTTTTTTTTTTATTTATTTGATTTTATTTTTTTTTTTTTTTTTTGGAATTTGACTTGCCATATTTTTTTTTCTACACACATCACATCACATATATATTTTCACCCTCATAGTTTAGCTTTATAAAATAGTCTTTCCCTTGTGTACATACCACTTTTTGTGAAATAAAAAAAAAAAACTAAGACATTGTAACAATAGACGTTGTGTCTTTTAATGGATAAAGCTTTTTTTATTATTATTTTATCAGTAATTCATTGAATAGAGTGGAGGAAGAAAAAAAAAAAAGAGATATATGGTTATGAATGAATACTAGATAAAAAAAAAAAAAAAAAAAAAAAAAAAAGAAACTAATCTAATAGACTTCTTCAAAAGTGATATCCACAGTGGCCAATCGTTCAATCAAGTTGGTGTTCCAAAAAGCAGCACTAGGAGTTAGTACACCATAAGGAATATTGCCGGTACGATTTTGTAGTAAGGTCAATGCACACTGTAAAGTAATCCTAGGAGTAGCAGCATATCCAGGTTCTGGACCACGTACAACCGAGGTGAGTTCAGCATTGAGAGGAGTAGTCTTGGGATCAATGCCGGCCATGGTTAGGCTTTGATAACCTTCGCTGCGTAGGGTGATTTCAAAACTGGTTTGTTGTAGCTGTTCTTGTGTTGGATGATCTCGAGAAAATACACCTGCCGAGAATTGTTCCGGATAGCGTAATAACAATTGACGACCCCAAGGTGATGATGCAAGGAAGCTAAAGACAAATGCATACAAGTAATAGACAAGTGCTACCCATAAGGAAGGTAATAAACAATAGGCTGTGAATTGAACTGTTGGAGGCATACTAGCTTTCTTGCTGTCGTTCTTGGTGGTTGCATATCCCGTCAAAAATAATTGTTGTGAGAGTCGTACAATAGATGGATCCGCAAATACAAAAGGTACATGGTATCCTAGTTGTTTGTCGCGTGTCAGGTGTTTGTGGAATTTCAGTTTGGGTCCAACTGGGCGAGGTAAGGGTGTAAGTTCTGATGCTTTTCTGATCTCTCGAAGTAGTTCAACCGATCCAAACCCATGAACTATATACATTTATAAAAAAAGTGATGATAAATTTTCTATCAATGTAATACAACCCCATCCTTTTTTTTTTTTTTGGGTTACCTGCAGATTCATAAGTAGCGTACCCACCACGTAACCCTGCTGGTCCAACATGAAGTTTGAAAAACATTTCGATTTGTGTAGGTGTCCATCCACGAGAAGTATATAATTGTTTCATCCAAAGTACACCCATATCCGTTGGTACCTATATATATATATATATATATGATTAGTAATACTTATTTTCTATATCAATCCCTCTTACTTACACTATCAAATCCACAAGAATGTACAATAGTAACTTGTTTGTCTACTGCTTGTTTATGATATGTTCGTTGCATACGTTCGACAAATTCTGGTTCTCCTATTTTTCAAACAAACAAAAAAAAAAGTATCAGTATTTTATTTTATTTTATTTTATTTTTATTTTTATTTTTATTTTGATAATCATACCTGTAACATCAACATAATGACACTGTTGTTCAACACAAGATCGTACGACATATTCTCCCATAAATCGGAATGGCCCCACAGCATTGATTAAAACAGTTGATTGTAAAGTCATATCATCCAATTGTTCTCGTCGTACAATATTTGCTACCAGAGCAGTAGGTGGTTGAATACTTGCATTAGGATATTTATCACTTAGTTCTTGTCGAATTTCCTTTAGTTTGCCTTCAGCTCGTCCTGCAATAGCCCACGTGAATCCAGACGGAAATGCACTAGGTTGTTTAGTAGCAAGGTCGTAAACTTGTTCAACAATGTACTTTCCAGTCAATCCAGTTGCCCCAAAGATTGTAATATCAAAGTTCTTGGTCATGAAATAAAAAGAGAGAGGTATATATTAATAATAATAATAAAAAAAAAAGAAATAATGGAAAGTAAGAAAGAAAAAAGGTTCAATAGAAAAAAAAAAAAGTTTACTGCAAATTTAAATTCTTATTCTCACCCATTCCCCCCAACTTCCCCTAGGTAAAAATTAACCAATAAAATCGTTTTTTTCCTATTGTCTAGAAAAATTGGCGCGTTGGGAGACAACAGGAACGATTAAACAATTCAATGAAAACAGTAATCCAAACTGGTTCCTTTTTTTTTCCTTCTTTATTAATAAAATTCAAAACAATATTGTATATATAAACGTATTTTTTTTTTTTTGTGATAAAAAAAAAGACAACATCCCTACAGTCAAACTGCCTAAACTAAAACCACTATGTCCAAAGTTCTATTGTTGTTCCATCATTTCCTATTTTAAATATAACAAAAAAAAAACAATCATCAATTAATATACTAAATTTTATTTGTAGATTGAATTATTCTTACCTCTGGGGTAGGTTGAGATCCACCATTTTGAGCTTGAGTTTTGTTCTTGGAAATACCTGATACAATATCATCCACACGTAACAATAAACAAGCAGACTAAATAAAGTTAAAAAAAAAAAAGTAAATACACTATCCAGTAATCAAAAAAAAAGATATATACCTCAATAGCAGTCTTAATGGTTTGTACTTTGACAGCACTTGGTTCCCAAACACCATAATCCTTCATATCCACCACCTTGCCAGATTCACCATCAATACCGAAAGAGTGTTCACCATTAGAATGTTTGGCTCTCAATTGAGTCAATACTTTGATAGAGTTACCACCACAGTTTTGTACAAGTGTACGAGGAATCACTTCCATAGCTTCAGCTACTGATCGATAAGGCCATTGTTCAACACCTTCCAATAATTTAGCACGTTCTTCCAATTTAACAGAAACAGCCATTTCAGTAGCACCACCACCAGGAGCAAGTTTGGCATTGAAGAAAACGTTACGAGCTACGCACATAGCATCTTGAAGATTTCGTTCTACTTCAGCAATGATATCTTTACTAGGACCACGTAAAATGATGGAACAAGCCTTGGGATTATTACATTTGGTCAAGAAAGTAAAGTATCTAAGAATAATAATAATAAGAAAAAAAAATTAAAAAAAAACAATCATTCATATTCTATAAATAAAGGAACTTACTCATCACCAATCTTATCAATATTGAAAAGACCACATCCAGTACCCACATCAGATTCACGGAGATCATCTACACGGTTGACAATTGTAGCACCAACAGCACGAGCAATACGATTGTTATCAGTTTTACGGACACGACGAATAGCAGTGATATTTGCCTTGACAAAGTAATGTTGAGCAAGATCTAAGTTGAATAAATCATGAGTCATCTAATTTGACATCAATATCTTCGATTCCCTTTTACCTGAAACACCCTTTTCAGTGAAAACCAAATCAGGCTTCAATTCAATGATTTTGTCGCACATGGCCTTAATTTGTTCTTCTTCAATTTCAAGAATACGATTCCAATCGGCTTCTTTTGTGATTTCAATATTTGTTTGAGATTCACCCTTCTTGTATTCGAGAGGACAATCCAATAAGACAATACGAGGATTTTCAATACGACGGCGCATCTTGGGGTGGGTAACATCTTTGGCCAAAATAATACCATCCAATACTTCAGATTGTTCAATTTCACCACCAGGAATCTATAACAATAATATTAATCGTATTTATTTCATTCAAAATGTACCCTTTCCTTTTTTTTTTTTTGTATTTACCTTTTCCACACGAGCATAACGTTTCAAATCCACTTCTTTTCTACCAGTTCGTTCTTCATCTTTGGCAACAGTTCGTACGGCATCCAAGGCAAGTTTACACATAAGATCACTCCAAGTACTGACAAATTTGGTTCCAATAGATGATTTGATCAATTTGAGCATTTCTTCATCACTATTCACATCCACTGGTGTAGAAATTTCTTCAACAATCTGTAAAGCATCTTCCAAAGCCTTTTTGAATGCACTAATGATAACAATAGGATGAATGTTGTTTTCGATATGAGGAAGAGCACGAGCAAGAACTTCACCAGCTATAAAAGATGCAAAAAAAAAAAAAAAAAAAAAGATAAAGTCAATATATCATATACACACCATCCAGATGACTTTTTTTTTTTTTTACTTACCCAAGATGATAACACTAGTAGTTCCATCACCAACTTCTTCATCTTGTGTTCTTGATAATTCAATCATACTTTTGGCAGCAGGATGATCCACTTCAATTTCACGCAAGATCGCGTTACCATCATTGGTCAACAAGATACCACCCATAGGATCAAGTAACATCTTTAACATGGAACGAGGACCCAAACAAGTACGGATAACATCAGCAACAGTCTGTAAGGAGTTGATGAAAAAAAAAAAAAAAAAAAAGGATGATGTGTTAGTACTATATTTTTTGACAGGCGGATAATGCAAAAAAAGAAGACAAGCAGGATCTGATAGATGATACTTTTGACAGATTGCTTGTTTATATATATATATAATGAGTGTATTGAAATACCTTGGCAGCAGTAATATTAGAAATTTGAGCTTTTCGACCGGATTCCCGTTCCATATTGGTATCTAAGATGAAAGGAGGAGAGACAGATGACGTTTGAGTTGACAGTTGTAAAAAAGTAAATATAAACATTTGAATTCGCTTTTTTTTTTTATTATTATTATTATTATTATTTATTGTGACATTATATATCATGATACTATTCGACTTACTCATAACTACGACTGGAGACTGCATCTTTGATAGTTTTATAAATGTGAGAAAAACTCAAGTAATAAAAGAAAAGAGAAGAGAGGTAACAAATAAAAAAAAAAATTCAAGTCAGTTCACGCGTGTGCAATCTAAGAATATCTGACCAACAGTCAAAAAAAATTGGAAGTCTACAAAAAAAAAAAAAAAAAGCAGGCACGTAATGTCTTTTTCGTCTCCGCCAACATTGTCATCGACTGTATGGCTGCAATCATTCTTATAAAATCAATCTTTGAAATATAATTAACGTTTTATATGATCTTTAACTGTAGTCCAGGAATGGCATTAAAAAAATAAAAGAAAAGAGACCATAGTAACATTTACAAATGATGATTTTCCTTTTTGTCTAATGATGGGATGGTGGATAATATTTGTAATGTATAGGATAGATGGTATATAGGATGGATGATGTATAGGATGTATGATGTATAGGATGTTTGATGTATACGATAGATGGTGTATAGGATGGATGATGTATAGGATGGATGATGTATAGAATGGATGTATATAGGATGGATGATGTATAGGATAGATGATGTATAGGACGGATGATGTACATGTATAGGATAGATGATGTATAGAATGGATGATGTATGGGATAGATGATGTATAGGATAGATGATGTATAGGATAGATGATGTATAGGATAGATGATTTATAGAATGGATGATGTATAGGATAGATGATGTTTTAATAGCAATCATCTCCTTTTTTTTTTTTTTTTTTTTTTTTTTTTTTTACATATTGTACAAGATAGTCGACTTCTTATTAGACACAGTGTTTCCGGAAAAATTATGCCATGCCTTCCAATAGTGACTTTGTAATGACACACCGATTGTTTATAGTTCAAAGACTTAAATCCGGTAGATCCGATATGCAAATCTGTATTAACATAGGATTACATTATTTATTGGATCACTTCAAAAAAAAAGTTTACCATTAAAGTCCTCATGCCCGCATAACAGTACTCACAACGCATCAGCAAAGGTTAGAATCATAAAATTCATCTATATTCATTTATACACGAAAATCGGAGATAGTACGATACAGCCGATCACAGTAAAAAAAAAAAAAAAAATAAGTAGATCCCAGATTCTCCCCTTTTTTTTTCTTTCTTTTTTTTTCTTTTTTTCTTTATTTTCTCCAAACATGAATATCAAAATAGTTCAGCCGGATTCAACTTACGCTCAGATTCTCTCAGACCTTGGTAGAAGACTATTCTCGGAGAGTTTTGCTGATTATAATCTACCTGACGATCTCAATTCATATCTAGACGATGCATATACACCAAAACATCAATTGCAAGAATTGAACAATCCTTCCATGCACACCTATATGGCATTCGACGAAGATAATATACCTATTGCATTTTGTCAATTGAGAGAGAACAAGAATGTGTATGATTTTATTAATGATCCAGAAGCAATTGAATTACAAAGGATTTATGTTGATAAACGTTACGCTAGACAGGGCATTGGAAAAAAGTTGCTTGCAGAATGTATTTTGAAGGCCAGACAACTCGGAAAGGAAACGATTTGGCTTGGTGTTTGGGAACACAATCCTTCAGGTATCAAGTTTTATCAAAAGGAAGGTTTCTTTAAAGTTGGCTCTCATGCTTTTAGGATGGGTAATAAAGTGGATGACGATCATATAATGATTAAAAAGATATAGAGTAGTAACGTCTTGAAAGAGGAAATACAAACGTATAGATAGATAATAGTTAGGTATTGTTGAAGGATCTTCGTTTATCAAAGCATGAAATAAAATAATAATAATAATAATAATAATAAAAAAGGATTTTGATACACATAAAGTTTCCATAACAACGAATGTCAAATTTTTTCTTCATTGTAATCATCAGAATGAATCAATGTATAAATGATCACCTATCAGATCGGTAGAAACCAAAAGTAACGATAAAAAGCATATTTTATACAATATAATCATCTTCCAAAAAAAAAAAAAAAAAAAAAAAAAGGAGAGAGAGATATGACTAAGATACAGAACAAGATCAATCACCACTAAAGAATCATTCACATCACCCACACAGTACTTTATTCATATATATTGTATCTGTCATAATAATATCAAAATAAAATATCTAACTAAGGTCCAAATGTCTATCTAATATATTACTACTGTATTTATCCATCCATTCGTATCCGCATCTGCTGAATTTTTGTAATCATTTGATAATCCTTATGCAGTCGATTTGTTGTCACTGTCATAATTATCATCATCCTTGCCGCTATTCACATAGTATCCCAGATTAGTCAATGAGCCGTTCGATGTTAAATTTCAATGGATTCAAAACTGAAAATAATTATGATAGTTGTTGATGATTACTTAATATACAGTATGTCTATCCGCGTCTTTCATCTTGAACCTTCTTTCATCAAATATAATTGATTTTCATTCCAATGACTATCCTATTTTTCAGACAAAATAAATGAAGCAGAATTGTAAACACAGTTGATTCAAAAAGAAGCAACGAGTAATAAATAAAGAGATTAGAAGGAAAAAGGATAAAACAAATAAGGACGTGACAATCGAGTTTTTTTTTTTTTTTCTTACCTTGTTACCACGTCTTTTTAAACATTAACATTGAATTGAGAGAAAGTCAATCAATGGAAAGGAGGATGGGTGCATCAATATTTTGAATAAGTATATATTGTTATAAGCACGGAAAAGTAAATAAGAAGAAGAAGAAGAAGAAGAATAAAAAAAAAAAAAAAAAAAAAAAAAAAAAAAAAAAAAGAAGGGAAAAGAAGATAGAAAATGAAAATAAATCTGCAGCGCACTAAATTTATTAAAAGCAACCCAGGCTAATCCAACATTCCGATTTGGATCCAATATTAGACGGAATAATCCGTTTTATACCGCATATTGTTCCGGCCAGCTGGAATTTTTGTTTGAGGTTTATAATGAAGAAGACGATTTCATCGCCAGTTTCTGGCTTCTTGGTTTAGTGGTATAATTCTCGCTTAGGGTGCGAGAGGTCCCGGGTTCGATTCCCGGAGAAGCCCTTTCTTTTTGTATTTTTACAAGAACAACTGTCATGTGACTCTTGGGGGTTCCATTGTTAAGGTTTTTTTTTTTTTTTGTAATTGTGTTGGGTGATTTTTTTGGCTTTGTTAAGTAATTTTTTGGTTTATTGGTTCAAAATTGAAAAAGTAAAACGGATGATTGAAAGTTAATAATGTTTATAGTGAGCACCAGTACTTGATTACGCAAGCACACGTATAAGAAAAGAGATAAAATAAAAAAGAAAAGTAAAGTAAAGAAAAATAAAGTCTTGTTCCAAATTTGGAAAGTAGAAGTAGAGTAAAATTGTTCTGACTTTAAATATAGAACAAAGTGAGCCAATCAAAAGTGATAATCCACAATACAATCAAGTAGGGATAAAAAATAAAGATTTATTTAAAAAATAAGAAATAATATGTTGACTGAACAAAAAAAAAAAAAAAAAAGTGAGATTTAGAAAAGTGAAATTTAATTTATCTTTTTTTTTTTTTTTTTTTTTTTTTTTTATCATGCGTATGTCTGAGTTCTATTATTTTATTTATTCCTTTCTCTTTTTTCTTTCTCTTCTTCTTTTTCCTTCTTTTTTTTTTTTTTCCTATCCCTCATTACAACAATGATACATTAGTTGTAATTAGTTTAGATATTAAATACGTTATTTTATTTATACAACAATAAAGATAACTATCTGTTTTATCTTAATAGTCAACAATTACTTTTTACATTGTTTTCATTCTTCTACATCAAACAAACCAATATATTCTCGTAAGCATATATATATAGTTACTTCTGTCTTGACTTGTCTGTCTGTTTACTGATATTATACCATTTCTCCTGTCGTGTTCTTGACACTGTGCTTTCATGTCTACTTTCTGGAATTTAGATTTCGAATGCGGTTACACGACTATTCTCTCTTGATACAACAAGGAACCACTGTCAAGTGTCCGATAGACGGTTGCAACAAAATATAGAAGAATAACATCAGCGAAAAACTACATATATCGATCATATCAAAAAGTTCCATGCGGTTAGTGATAAGTCGAAGGAAGACGCGTTTATTATTATCGAAAGCTATCTTTGGAAAAAGTACAAAGTCGTCTTTACTCATCAACAATTTCAGCAAGTGGTACCGAAGTAGATGACAAATGTTAAAAAAGAAAATATTTCAACATTATCAACATCATAGTTTAGTTTATCCTTCTTCCCCACTCTCGCTACTTTTAATAAAAAAAAAATATTTTCTTCTATTGCCTTCAAAAAATAAAAATAAAATGACTTCACGACAACAATACAATAGTAAACAGGCTTGATGGTATCATTCTGATCGTAGTATACTTGATGATAGATTTATAATGAGCACCGTTTCTATTATGATGAAAAAAATTATTAACTTATATTTTCGAGCACGTCATCCAACTGTGATAAAATAACTTGAGGTAATGATCACGCTTGAAAATGAACAAAAATATGCTATAACTGGAGTAAAGAAGAATTGATTTAAATATAAAAATAAAAAAAAAAAAAAAAAAAAAAAAAGGAAAACAAAAAAAAAATATCTGAAGATGGAATCAATTACATTCACATGTATAAAGTGGTTGAAATAAAAAGTGAAACTTTATTGAATAAAACTATAACAGACTACTAATTGATATACTAAAAACTGAAGTTAATATAAAGAAAAGAAAGAAAATAAAAGAAAATAAAAATTATCCAAAAAAAAAAAAAGAAAATGAAAAACAGACCTTGAAAATCAAGGCACACTCATCATTGGCACAATCTTAACCAAGTTTTTATTTTTGAAAAGATCGATATCCATATTTGGTAACACCCCCTTTTTTTTGCATAAAAGAAAAATAGATTGTATTGGTTTTATTTTTGGGCTTTAATTTATGTTACAACTAATATAGTTTTTTTTTTTTTTTTAATAATGTAATGATGTTTGATGCTCCACCATAGGATGGATTGGTTGTTTTGAAAAAGGCGAAGCAGGATGAAAATATAAATGATGATGGTATAGTTGATCTGAAGGTGGTGAGGATATAGGATGATGATGATCTAATAGAGTATGATGAGGATTGGGTTTATCGACCAATCGTCTATTCCAATATTGTTGTAAACGAGAGCATACATCTTTTGGTAATGGTACGTTGGGTACAAAGGATAAAATCACATAGCCAAGTCCCATAGTAAAACTAAAGATGGAAACAATGATATTGAATGCATTTTCACACATGACGATACAACCAAGACTTGATAAAAAAAAAAAAAAAGGTGATATAAATTTTACTCAGTCAACTAACCATAATAAGGATGATGATTTACTTACAATAACATTAATAATCCTTTTCCATGATGTACATTCAAGAATCCAAAATATATATCACTTAATCCGAACGTTTTCAACTCATTGAAGACTAGAAAACTAGTAAAAATTCTATCGGGTACCAAAAAAAAAAAAAAAAAAGGTGTTTGATGATGTTTTGAGTCTTTTGATCTCTACTTCTCATAAATCATCATGATCATTACGTGCAATAGACCGCTTGAATAATTTCTCCCAATTTCCCATCCAAAGCTTTGATGATTGCAGCAGCAAATACAAAGATGTAGATACTAATATTGATGAAGCCAAGGGTTATAAATGCAATGATTTGAGTGTCATCAGGATGACATGTATGAAAATAGTACATTTTGAAACAAAAATAGATAATAATCAAGGAAGTGATGTTGTTGATAAAAAAAAAATATTCAAGTCGGATCTTTTTTCTTTTCGGATCAAAAACTAATAATTTTTATTGTACAAACAAATATATAACTAAAAAGTCTAAGGCTGTTCTTTTTGTAAAGAGGATGAAGGTGATGATAGGTTAGTAGGTGACCATTCTCCGTCTGATAAAGGGGGTTGTGATGTGGCGTCAGATTGTGTTCTAGCAAAGTATTCCTAATAATAACAAGAATTCCCGATGAATAATCCAATACAGACAATCCATAATATTGTGATCACAATCCATGTAATTTAATTCTTCTTCCTCTTCTCTTTTTTTTTTTTTTTTTTTTTTTTTTTGGTTACCTCTGGTTTCAATTGTTGGCGTTGTTGAGTCTGTAGCCGGTACACTCGTCGACTTTCCAGGAAGGAGGCAATGGCAGCAGCAGTAATCCAAGACTGACGACTTGATAGGGTGGTATTGGTTGGTACAGATAGCGAATTTTGCTTTGGTACAGGTGATAACCAAGGTTCTTCTACATTAGTTGTTGGTGTTTGAGTAGATACTGTATTTGATGCTGGTGATGATGATGATGATGATGCTGATGATGTTGATGCTATTAATGGAGATTCATTTTGGGTTGATGATAATCTTTGATTCGGAAGTGATGTTGGTAATGGTGATGACAAGACTGATGAAACTGATGATGCTAGTGAATTTGATGCTGATGATGCTGATAATACTGAAGATATTGATGAAGATGACGATGAAGCTGTTGGGTTTGGAGGTGATGTTGATGCTGTAGCTACCTTACCAAGAGATCGTAGGGAATTTTTCTTTTTGCTGGTTGTTGCTGCTGGAGAAGAAGGTGGCGATGGTAATGATGCACGTGATATAGTTGACTTCCTTTCATTCTTGCTAATAATGTCAAATAGACCATTTTTGCTCTCGTCCCACTGAGCCAGCAGGTAAGATATATCTTGGTCCATGCTTCCAAAACGTTCGCCAATCCTTTCAAATGGAAATCCAGTTCCTAATATAAAAAAAAAATCAATCATACATAATACATTTCTATAATAACATTAATTGACACTATTTTATATCCTTACCTCTATCATAGGACAATCCTTTTGCATCATGCCGACATAATACTATCTTTGTTTGAAGATTGCGTAGATGTTTTTCAAGAAGATCCAGTTTGTTCAATATAATTCGTGGTCGTTGATCGGGACTTTTTTCATCTACTGTTGTTGGCGATGTCGTCAATTCACCATCTATATAATCAAGGACTTTATTTAAATAGAAAAAAAGAATGTTATTAGTAGGGTCATTCTTTCTTTCTTTTTTTTTTTTTTTTTCTGTGTTCTTACATAAATCTGATAATAATGCCTTTTTCGTGTTTTTGGTCGTCAGACTAGTTTGTTGTTCCATTTCCAACATCATACGTTCCACAGTTTCCAATAGCGTTTCATAATCCTGACGTGCCGAATCATGCCCCAAAGTCATCATTTCCAAGGCAAGCAAGTGCATAAACCATTCTCGACGACGGGATCGAATCATATAAACTAAATAATCTAGCTGCCCTGAGCAAGTAGATTCAATATCTTGAAGATCGTCAATAATGCCATCCATGTCAAGAGGAGAGGACGAAGAGGAAAGTGCTTTAATGTTGTACATTCCGCGAAGAGTAGATAAATTGACGGGATGAGTAAGAGGTATTGATTGTTGAAGAAGACCAGTGATTGATTTGAAGTAAGGGACAAGAACAGATCGCGCCACAGATTGCATTCCAATGGTTTGTTGTGACTGATGTGAACGTGGTTGTTCAAGTGTTGAGTTTGCTGGTGCCAAAGTATAACCTTGTGATATTGTTTCCACGTCCCGAATCTTGTCCACTAGTTGATCCATCAAACGATCGCAAATACTAGTCAAGAATAGAATTCGCTGTAAGTGTTCCAATAATTGTCCATAAGTTGTTCGAATCTTGGTGAATCTCTAAAGAATCATGATATTATCAAGGTGAGTTATTAAAAAAGAAAAAAAAAAAAAGAAAAAAAGAAAAATAAGAAGTATATATTACCAGATTCCGATAAACTATAAATAGAATAGTCAGAAGGGTTATTTGTACAAACACCAGTGATATATAGTCAGGATGTACCCAATGGAAACACAAAGCACCAATAAGATTCACCAGAGAGAACACAAAAAGAATGATAATAGTGGTTGCTAAAATACCCATGGAGATATAATATGTTTTCAGAGAAGGCATACGATATTGTGAAGACAGTACATTGTTGTGAATGGTATTTGATGTAATAGAGTTATTATTATTATTGTTATTATTATTGTTATTGTTGGGTATAATATTGGAAGAGGAATTCACAGTTTGTTGTGTGGAAATATCATTCAAAACTGAAGAAGTTACGATAAAGTATTTGAATTGTTCTTCGAAACCTGTTTCTTCACTTTCTGGTATAGCCAAACTGATAAAGGCCTATATAGTAAAAATAAGTTCCATGCAGTTCAGTCTCCGAATAATCTTCTTTCCGTTTTTTTTTTTTCTTTTTTTCTTTTCTTTTTTTTTCATTATTTACCTTGCAATAAGTGAATACCTTTAAACTGAGATCATGAATATATTTTGCACCAATCAAGTAAGATTCAAACTGGAAATAACGTTGTAGAGAAGATGTCGATAGTTGAGATATAAACAGTAAAAAAGGAGATTTGTGACAAGACGGAAGAGAGAACAAAAATAAGGATAAAAGTGATAAAAAGAAAAGAAGATGAATGAAAGTTGGACATAAAAAAGTTATCCAAGTTGACATGAGTGATATTTCGTTTTGAAGTTTTTATTTAGTGTACATGCGTTAATATGAGATAAAAGGAAATAGAGTGGTAATAACAGATATAAAAATAAAAAAAAAAATAAAAATAAAATAAAAAAAAAGGTATGTATATATAAGTAGAGAAAAAAAAAAGGTGAATGTAAAAAAAAGAAAAGGGAAAAGCGAAAAAAAAAGGGAGCGAACTAAATAGCCTAAACTGGGTTTGTAAATTTTCATATGACCGATTCCAAATAAGCGAAACTTGACAGCCAAGGAGAACAAGGATTGTTCATTTTGCATGAAGTTGAGCTAATAAGGAGTCCAATTCTTGAGCCACAATATGATTTGTACACTTTCCACGTACTTGTCTATACATATATATATATAAATATAAAATTATTAATAACATATTTTTCATTCATCCTACTTTTGGTTACCTTAATCCTTCCATATCTTTATTTAAAAATGCTTGTTCTCCAGCTTCTTTAAATGCACCAATCTTGACAAATAACATTGGTCGACTAGATGGATCGCATTTCAGAATATATTTAGATGCTTCTTGATATTGTTTAGCTTTGATACATTCCTCTACAAATGGCTATATATATATTATTATTAACAAAACAAATATAATATAATAAAAAGTTTTTACCTCATATCCAATAGGTGATTTCTTGCTTTTTGCTAGTTTTTCTAATTGTTCCCAATCTCGTACTTTAACTAATGCTCGTAGTTTTACCCACCAAAATCTATAATAGATAAAGATAATATTAGTTTATTGATAAACATTATTTATTTATTCAATTTACCTTTTATCCGCTACTTTGAAATCAGTCCTCACTTTGGTGGCTTTCGCATGTTGACCAAGGACTGTACACTTATAAATAGTTTCACTGATCGATAATCCACAGAATGATTGATGGGTATCCTTTTCAAGTTGACTTTGTAATTGAAGCAGTTTGATAGCTTCATCTACTACCTTGGCTTCAAATATGCATTCCTTGTCATCTTGATATGTTTTTCCTGCTATTTTCAATTTACTAATGCGTTCATTGATATCCTAAATAAATAAAAAAAAAGGGTGAGCATATCATTATTAAATTATTGATTATCATAAATGACTTACTTTTTGATCAAATCCTTCAGATAAAATGACATTTGCACTTTCAATCCTTCGATCATCTTGATAATAAAAATCTTTGAGAAGTTCACGGTCTTGTTCCTTGCAATATACCTCCAATAGACTGCATGCCAGGGGTTTGTTATTAATCATTCGGAAGAATTCACCCAATGGAAGCTTTCTTTTCAAATGGAAAATAACAAGATATACTAATAAAAAAATAAGTTAGACGCCTACATTACAGCACTAAACTTCCCCTTTCTCTATTCATTGTCATACCTAGATCAGTGTCACCACTTTCAATAGCTTTGATTAAAGCTGATTCATCTTCCTGCATAGACATAAGCAATGGTACCTGGTCAGCAGCACGAGGTTCATAATCCAGTAACTATGTACATGAGAAAAATATATCTATATTTAGCAAACCTTTTGTCTCTCCTTTTTTTTTTTTGTTACCTTGGTAGCAAGTCGTGTTTGTCCAGTATTATATGCAGTTTTGGCAATTTCGGCAAATGATAATCCAGGATTTTTTGACAGCTTGTCCACTATTGTTCTACAAGTAGCATCCTCATCTTCGGAAGCAACTTTGATCTATATATATATATATATATGTATATGAAAAAAAAAACATTATATCATATTATCCCTTTTTATACCAACATTCTTTTATATATATATATGTTTCACGTACCTTTGCGCAAGCCCAGTGAATCAAGATTTTATCGGTTCGTAAATTCAAATATTCAGCAATGCGAAGGGCTAATAAATGTTGATGTCGTTGAACAAGTCGATCTACTAGAATTTCAGGGGTGAGGCGTTTGTACCTTTAGTAAATAAAGTATAATCCAAGTTAGTTGATACCTTACATATCAATATCAACTTACTGCACATATGTCAAAGGGATACCAATATCATAGAATCGAATAGCATTCAAGACACGTAGAGTTTGAGCCATATCCACAAATCGATCTGCATTGTATTGATCTAAAAAGCATTTTCCAAAAGAGGCTGCCTAGGGAGATAAAAAAAAAACAAGTATAAGTGATTTGCGAGAATAAGGTATATACGTTACCTTCAATAATGATCTTTGGTAATAATGATGAAATTCGAATCCAGCCGCTTCTATGCAACAATCCACCGCATCCACTAGTTCAGGTCGAATAGTACGAATATTTTCATCTGCCTTGGGACTTCTTCGCTATAGTAAAATACAAAAAAAAAAAGTAATTTCAGAAATAAATATATATTCTCTCTTTCTCTTTTCTTCTTCTTCTTTGGATTACCTCGTAATGATCCAGAGCATCGAATAACATGGCGGCAGGTGATGTAGAACCAATCTTGAATATTTCTTCCGTAGCAGCTAAAACATATATATATATATATATATATATATATATATATATATAGAGAGAGAGAGAGAGAGAGAGAGAAGAAACAAGTTCAATCATCATCATTTTTCTTATATTTCATTTGTTAATATATAACGAATATATTTACCTGGTACTTTTTGTAAAAGTTCACACTTGTCATTACTCATAATTCGAACACCATCAATTTCTGAAGATAAAAAGATAGGGTCATCATAAGAGAATTTGATCCAATCACCAAAAGGTCCAATCATTAATACAATCTTGTCCCAATACATCACAACAGAATCTGTACCACACCTAAATAAATACAAAAAAAAAAAAAAGTAAATGGTGATATCCTCATTTCATCGTATTTTTTTTTTTTTTAGATTACCAAACTAATTGTTGAGGAGGAATCTTGGATTTTGTAGCATATTCAGAAAGATTCTTTTCAAAGTCAGTTGATACCACCCAAAGTTTACCTTCAGCAGTAAAGAGAGCCAAGAATTTGCCATTAGGAGAAACTGTCATTTTGGTAAAAGGTCCTTGTTGTAAAAACTACAAAATAACAAAATAACAATAATAATAATCATTAGTATGAATTATTTTATACCAAATTAATTATTACTTGATCTTGAGCCTCTTTGCTATCAACTACAATGATTGTCGTTCCTGTTGCAATAAGTACTTCTACATGTCGACTAAGTGTATACTGAGGAGGAATAACTGTCCAACTATGAGGTAATTCTATCAATCCAGTTTCTGCCATTTGCTTTGGTTGAGGTTCATAAAAGTTGGTGACTGAGATCAATTGATAGTTGCCTGTCATTGCTACTAATCCACCACCCCATATTTGACAGTCAATGATACCATAATCACTTGCATCCTATTTAAAAGATATATATATTAAGTAAATATATATATATATATATATATATATATATATATATATATATATGATCAGTTTTGGATTTACCTTGCCAAGAGTAAATTGAATGTGATCACCATGTAAAGGATATAAACGAACAGCACCATCTTCAGTAACGACTACTAATTCTTCTTGATCAGTCCATCCCAATGCTACAATTCGACCTTTATCCCACTAAGAAGAATATAAAGAATTTAGTTTGATTTTTTTTTTATTTGCATGAATTTCAAGCTTTTTTTTTTTGGTACCTGAATTTGATCTATGAGTTTTCCAGAAGCAGTATATACATATATAGTTGGTTTGATAGGTTGTTGTTTTTGAAGAAGTAACACCTTTTTATCATCTCGAATCATAGCTAAAAGTTGGTTTGAAGAACAGAAGTGTTAATATATATGATACATTCAATATCCAAAAAAAAATATGAGAATGTCTTACCAATAGGACCCCCATATTGAGCAGCAGCAATCATATATTTAGACAAGTCAGTTTGGTTCCATGAAAGGGAATATATTTCTTGTTTTCTAATATGTGAATAAATATGATATAGGGATAATTGTGAAACGTGTTTGAGTATATCTTAAAAACTGGGAAAAGCGGGAATTCATCTTACCTATAAAATCGATCCTATATCAATAACAATAACAAAAAAAAAAGAAGAGTAGTCAGTATAAATACAAGTATTAATATAATATATTATAAATGTTACATGAAGTTGTATCCAGTCAGCAGTAGGATTAGGTGTCATCTTATTAAAATATTGTAAAAAAAAAAAAAAGACAAATGGGAAAAAAGAGTAAAGGAAAAAAAAATCATTTGAGTGTGCGCGCACGCATTTTTAATTCACCGCCTTTTCGAAGGTTGTAACTGCAGTGACGTTCTTTTGTCTATTCAATTTTTTTTTTCTTTTTCTTTTTTCTTTTTTTCTCTTTCTTTTCTTTTCTTTTGATACTTTGCCTAATACGCGTCGGAATATCCCCTTTCCTCTCTCTCTCTCTTTTTCTCTTATTGCGTCCACTTTGTTTCCCTTCTTATTTATTAGACTTATCATTCAAATACAACTCGTATTTTATAGCAACAATAAGAAAAGGGCAATATGATCAATCACCGTCCACCTGAAACTACCATTCAAGCCATGAACAAAGCTTCAAAAACTATTGATGAACTGGCTACTCTAGATCGCAACTTTCCTGATATTGGTGATACTTTGAAAGGTACCTTTATTATTATCTTGATCTATTCATGGTTTAACTTTTGTTTTTTTGTATTATTTGATAGCTTCGTCGTCAAGAGTCTATGCAACCACGGAAGAAAGTGCTGTACAACCCATCATATCCAAGGCAACCTTTACTATGCCTGTACAAGCTCTGGAACAGATACAACAACGTATGTACTTTATTGTGGACTTTTGTTCCATTCTATTCTTCTTCTACTCACCATTCTTTCTATTTGTTATTATTGTTATTATCTTGTATAGGGAAACTAACTGATGCTGCTGGTCTATTCTCTGAGATCAACCGTGCTTACTTTGTAGTCAAAAACCAACTGTACTTTTGGAATTACAATGATAGGTAAACACGAAAAACCAATATATTTAAACTTTTTTTTTTAATATTTACTTTCTTTCATCTTTTTATATATAGACAAGACTTCAACGTATACGAAGATACTCATGACATTGTCAATGTTGCCATCGCCAAACCAAAACCTGATATCTTTAATAAGGAAGTTACTCATGTTCTTATTGTGGCCAGTACTCATGAAATCAACGTCATTGCCCTTTCTTATAAGTGTCAAGATAATTTTGTTGACACCCTTACTTTTTACAAAACTGGAATCATGACTTCTTCTGTTGGTGTTCGAATGACAACCATCTTGGCAACAAATATTGGACGTATCTTCATGTCAGGCGATGATGGAAATGTGTGGGAACTTATCTATAAGGTAAAAAATAAATACATAAATAAATATATATTGTGATATATATATAATATTCGAATATGTTTACATTTTACTTTTATATCCATATTTTAGAGGGAAGAAGGTTGGTTTACTAGCAGGTGCTACAAAACAATTCATTCTGGTGATTATAAACACTTTTTCTTTAATCAAACAAGTGGTAAGGATGACAAACCAATTGTGAAATAAATAACAATGATGATCTTTTTATATTTACATGATTTATTTTATATATAAGACCCTACTGTTAGCATTGCAATCAGTAACGATGGAAAAGTATTATATCAACTTACGCAGAAATCAAATATCAAGGTATCTATAATAAGATTAAGAGATGAAAAGGAAAAAAAAAAGCCAATTGACCTAATAAATAACTATTTTTAGGTTGCCTATCTTGGAAAGGATGGTCAAGGATTTACCAGTATTCCAATTCATACCTCCATTGAAGAAACTGCAAAGCTCTTGTGTCCAGATTCACCTCTTATTAGTAGTACTGGTTTCAAAATCACGTCGATCCATCCTACATTACTCACTGAAGCGAAGAAATATCAACTTATTGCCATCACATCAACTGGATGTAGACTTTATTTATCTCATTATAAAACAGACTCACCAATTATCAGCCACGAAGACCCACCAAATGGATTAGACTTGATTCATGTACGATTGCCCCCTCCAACTCCACAATTATCAACCATTCTTTCTACTCCAAGAAATCTTTCTACGCCAACTAATCCTTCATTCCAACAATCAAATATTACTACTACTACTACTACTACTCCAGCAACAACATTACCACTAGTTTCACCACAACAAAGTTTTCAGATATCCAAATGCTTATACAACAATGGTGTTTTGATGATGGTATACTCAAATGACAATACTGAAATATTGACTACTTGTTGTCCTGATATGGGTTATCTAGCAAAGGTAAATATATTCATAAAGAAAAGAAACGAATGGATACAATGATTATTTATAATCATTCTTTTCATTTTTCTCTCTTTCAATATAGGATGTTCGTTCAGAGCTTCACGAAATGTATAACTCTCAATCTCTTCCCGGTAAAATTATCACAATCACTGAAATCACCAAATCACCTTTCCAACTCAATGAACTTGCCTCATCAACCTCACTTGGTTCTACTCGACAATTTCTGGCTTTCACTACCACTGGGTTGACATTGCTGTTGAAACAACGACCTGTAGATATGTTGCAAAATCTTTTATTGAGTTCTGGATCCGATATTCGTCATAGGGCTGCTGATTTCAAAGAATTTTATGATTTCTTTGGTCATATTCAATCATCTTCTTTATGTTTTGGACTCATTGGTCGTGCGGATTCCACTATTGCCAGCGGTACTGATTGTAAGTATACAATGATGATCATGGATTACTTGAGTAAAACCTTATTTAATTAGTTACCTAACCCAATCCTTTCTTTTTTTTTTTTTTTTTTTTGTCTCTTTCTTGATAGTATTCTCAAACATTTCTCCCTCAACTGATATTGCTAAAGGTGCTTCGGATTTGTTGGATAAGTATGGATTACAACCTTCATCTTTGAAACCCCAATATTCTAGTCGGCATGATGGTCTTGCTCTATATATCTATCGTCTGATTCGTCCCATCTGGACAGTATCTATAGTAAAGGAAACGTAAGTACACAGATATAAATAGTGAAGTCAATTTTGTGATGATGATGATATATTCTTTTCTTAATTGCATTTTGTTTACATTTCTTTAGGGCCAGTCCATCTTCTCAAATACAATATCAAAGTACAGTGGAACGTGGTACTCTCCTGATCATCCAACAAGTGTTACGAAAATTACAAGGGTATATGGATCTGTAAGATCAAAAGAAAAGAAGAGAGGGAGACAGATTCATGTTGAATTCCTTCCTTTTTTTTTTTTTTTTTTTTTAATACTCATATTTTCTTCTATTATGTATTGGGATGAATAGGAAAATCGTGATGCAGATGAATCCTCACTCACCAGAAGAATTATCCACTCAAGAACTATATGAACTTGTCAAGTTATTAGCAGAAGCAATTTCCTTTTTTATTTGTCTGTTTGATTCCGATTTTACTGGTATCATGGAAAAGTAAGTAATGAGGATTCTGGATTATCCAAATGGAACGGAATGATGATAATGGATGGGTAGAGAGGGGAAATAATGGAAGATGTCTTTTTTTTTTTTAAATCCATTCTTTCATAACATACGACTCATCTCTCTCTCTCTTTTTTTTTTTTTTTTTTTTTTTTTTTTTTTTTTTTCCTCAATCTCCAATGTGATTAGGTTCAAACCCGAAGTACGCACTAAAGTCATGGCCATGACATATAAAGATCTACTTACCACAAGCGAAGGACGATTAATGCACAACGATCTGACGCGTGCTTTGACCGATCAGCATTTACTTTGAAATTCAATAAAACCATTTTTTTTTATTATTATTATCTCATTGATTTTTTTTTTATATGTACTTTATGATGGAGAAGCGGGATTGATTGATCAACATTTAATAAAACACCTATTTTCTTATTTTTATTATATTTTATCTCTGTGTATATGTTTTGGATGATGATGATGAAGTAGACTTATCAAGGTTGTTTCTGATGGGTATAAAAAAAAAAAATTCAAAAGTTTTTGTTTGATGAATCCAATATATTTTTTCTAGGAAAATCGATTTGTTATATATTTGATATGAACAAAGGTGCAAATAAGGAGACAGAGAACCAAAAGATCGTAAACAGATAGAGACAGAAGATGTTTCATAACAACGTGCACGGAACAAGTTAATCTATATATATATATATAAGAGGCTTTATTGGTAAATATAGGTATTATATATAGAAAAAAAAAGTGAAAAAGAGGGATAAAGGTATATTATATCAAAAATAATTATAGTTTTGAAGAAATGTAGAAAAAGGAAATAGGAATAATAATAATAAATCTAAACAAAAGGAATAATAATAAAAGAGATGGAGACATAATCAACTTGTCGACATGTTATTGTTGTTATCATCAAATCTTGCAAAAGGAGATACTGTTGTAGCTTGGTTACCACGAGCAGTAGTAGCTTTCTGGAATGGATTCGGTGATGATGCTCTTGAAGTATTGCTATTATTGACACGGCCAAACACACGTCCTCCACCTTGCACAGTTGGTCGAGTGATTTGATTCTTGGGTAAAGTAGATGGTGGTGGTGATGATGATGATGGTGGTGATGGTGGTGAGGACGTCGTCACTAGATGATCATCATAGTTTCTTGGATTATCATGATATCGGTTGTTGATATGATTATTGCCATCAATGTCAAGGTCATTGTCGTTATTATCATTATTGTTATTGGTTGACGTAAAAAGCTGTCCAAATCGATGTTTCATATTATCGCCAAACGTTTGCCATTTCACATTCAAAGGCACTTGTTCACCTCCCTGATCTGTCTGTCGATGGTTTACTGATGATGATTCCACATGATTGATTGGCCTTCTACCAAGAATAGCATCTAATCTATCGTCGCGTTTCTGTCGTAAAGAAGATGCTAGCGTGCCTACATGATGTTCTTCATTGTTGAAAGATGAGCTTGCTGCATGTCCACTTTGCTGGGTTCGTCCATATTTGGAAGAATATGCCTATATGCAATGTTGTTAATGTTATTATTTAAATACATCATAATTGTACTTACACCAAAAACATTTTTTGCCCGATCCAGTAATCCAGGAGGTGCACTAATGTCATGATTAAAGTTTCTTTCTAGTAATCGTCGCTCTAAAATACAGTAAAAAATGATATCAATATATATAACATACAACTTTTTAATCCCCCCTGTTTTCTTCTAGCTTCTGATTTTACCTTCCATAACAAGATCTTTCCCTTCGGCTACATCCACATTCAGTTGTCCACCATTTTCAGGATCCGCTTCATTATTGTCCTTAAACCATTTTGATGAAGAAACATTAAAAAAGGCTGACAAAGCTGGAATCAGGATGACCACAGGGAACCAATCAATAAAAGTAGTGCCCAAAAAAGGGACAAGATCTGCCTTGCCCATAAACTAAAGGTTTGATTACAATAATAATAATAATATATATAAGTATAATTCCTTTTTTTTTTTTTAATAAAAAAGTTTACCTTGCTGAATACGGTCTCTATGGGTTTTCCAGTTTGATGAGAATCAATATTTCCAAGTAGATTGATATAATTATAACATAATGGTGCCCTAATAAAAGAATCATCAATATAAGTACGGGTTTAAAGAGGGGAATGAATAGCCAACTTACATCATTTTACACATGTAACCAGTAAACCATAGTAAACTATTTGGATCGGTATGATGATGAGGAATCAGTAAATAGAGATTGAAGAATCGGATCTTGAAAAGAGATGTATACACACAAATACACATCCATGTGAGTATCAAGAAAGAAAGCACCTATTTTTATTTACAAAAAATTAAAACAAAGTAATATAAGTAATGAATAATTATCACAACTTTCTTTTAAATATATTACCTCCACTGCAGCATAATTCAATCCGCAAGCTTTGATAGCAAGACCAACAATAGAAACAACAGGAGATTTGACATTGAAAGTAAGTTCGGACCATAATATACAAATACTGATCAAGCTAAATAAGATAGATAAACCACGATATACAACAGATCGGAACATGATCACCCACCACCATTCTATAATTATATTATGTTAGTCTTCTAATTGGATATATATATATATATATATATTACCTATGATCAGTTTTGTATCTGTCCAAAAAGTCTGCTCTTCTAGTGGTCGTAATGTTGAATAAAAGTGTCTATATAGAGTAGAATGATAATAAATGAGTAATCAAGAAAAAATAACATCAATATTTAACCTCAAGTCTTTACCTGTCAGAATTTCCTTTGTTTGTTTCAATATCCTGCAAATAAAATGCTTCCGAAAGAAGATTCTTCCATAATCTATATAAGATTTTAAGTTAGCACGTGCTGATTTATTGTTCTCTTTCTAGTGTACTTACGCTGACTTTCGATCCTTCATCCTAGCAGCCAAAATCATATTCTTGTTCAAAGTAACAATATAGTCTTCAGTAAGCAACTGAGGAATGTTAGTCATATATTCACGTTCGGCATAGTGTGGATGTTTAACAAAAGGAAATCGTTTGACAGTTTCATCCACCATATGTCGAAGATTTGGGTCATTTCGAAGAGGTCTATGGGAAATAGCATTGATCGTCTTTTTATATAAATAAATAAAAAGATTAAAAACATAGATCAAAACTTCTTTCTAGTTCCTTTTTCTATATATATATAATTTACCTTTGCAAGTTCATCGAATTCCAATTCACTGTCCATACATTCTTCCTTAACACGTGGTGCTTTTTTGTAAAGTTCATTCAAATGTCGTTTAGTATCACTAGCATACCATAACTTTCTTGGCACAGCTATTAATCCATAACCCATAAACATAATGACCAAAAATAAACCCCAACTATTCGCCATTGCCATAACAAAACCTTGAAGATCTTCTCTATAATCCATTGTAAAAAAAAAAAAAATAAAAATCACAAATTAAAATTCAATCAACCCATAGATAGAAATCTTACCTTGTAGTAATACCACCTTTGAAGAAGAGATAAATAAGACCAATAATACCAATAATGACATAAATCATATAAAATCGAATATTGACTTGAGCTGCCGATTTTAATCGTTTGATTACTTTGATATCACCAGAATTTACATAAGCTTGCATCATAGGTATCAACATCCTAACAAAAAAAAAAAAAAAAAGAATAAATTTGATATAAACTCAATCTAACTACTTACCAAGTTAAACAAAAAGAAGTCCAATAAATGGTCCGCCATGCGATATAGAGAAAAGATTGTGATACCCAAGTGAATGGACGACGACAAAGCATATCACAACCTTCATAAAGTGACTATTAGTAATTCAAAAAGGAATAATATTAGTCAATTTCCTTTTTCAAACTAGTACAATCCACTTACTGAGGCCATATCCAGAGGAAGTAATAGAACGATCCAGAACGGGAAGAACCAACCAATGACACTGACAATAGAAACATACCATGGTTGGGTTTTGATATTACTATAAAAGAAGACAAGGGAGGCCACTAAAAAGAAAAGTCCAAGTATACTGAATACAAGAGGAACCCAGTTACTTTCTTCTATCATTGTTTCATCAAACGTGATAACAGTAAAAGAATTAAAAAAAAAAAAAGTTATGATAAACCAAAATGGAATGACGAAAAAAGCCAAAAGCGGAATATGAAACGATTGCAGGCAGAAAAAAAAAAAAAAAAGATAAAAAGGAAAAAAAACCCAGGAATTTCCTTTTTTTTTTTTTTTTTTTTTTTTTCTTTACTGAAACTACCACTTTATATTACTAATATGACAGATTCAACTACCACCATTCCTACTACTATGAATGCTCTTGTCTTGGAAAAGTTTGGTCCTCCAGAAGAACTTAAATACAAGTCAGTACCTGTACCCAGTTTAAAGAAAGACACAGATCTACTTGTACGTGTCGTATGTGCAGGTGTGAATCCTATCGATGCCAAGTTACGTCAAGGCAATCTATTTTCTTTTCTTGTCAAGAAAAATGCTATTCTAGGTGCGGATTATTCTGGTGTAGTCGTCAAGAAAGGAGCCAAGGTGACCAAGTTTGAGGTAGGCGATCGCGTGTTTGGTAAATTGGCTTTACCTTCTGGACCTCAAGGTGCTTATAGTGAATACATTGTGGTGACCGCGAATGATACGGCCATTGCCAAAAAACCAGAAAATCTATCCTTCGTCGATGCTGCTGCTGTAGGTATTGCTGCACTTACTGCTTTGGATGGTGTGGTCAACAAGAGACCTTTGCCTTTGGAACATAATATGGATCCTCCTCCCAAGGTATTAGTCATTGGTGCTTCTGGTGGTGTGGGCATGTATGGTGTTCAAATAGCCAAGGCGATTGGTGCACACGTGGTTGGGATCTGTAGTGGCAAGAATATAGAATTAGTGAAAGGATTTGGTGCTGATCGAGTAGTGGATTACAATGATCAAGCTGCTATGGATGCATTGGTACAAGAAAAAAACACGTTTGATGTCGTATTTGATTTGGTGGGTGGGGATGATTACTACAAGAAAATGCTCCCTTTGGTCAAGGAAAAGACAGGTATGTTTTCCACAGCTGTTGGACCTACTGAACATTCTGGTTCCACCAAAGTTAGTCTATTGGGTTATGCCTCTATGGGCAGCAAGATTCTTTATCGTGGTTTATTTGGCTCTCGGCGGTACAGTATGATCTTAGATCTTCCTCATGATCAATTCGCTTCCGTACTTACTCCTTTATTGGAAAAGAAACTCATTAAACCTTATGTTCCTGAAGAAAATATCTTTGATTTGAAGGATGCAAGCAAGGCTCATGAAAAAATCGAATCTCATCGTGTGGTTGGCAAGATTGTTCTTCGTGTTAGTCCTGATGTTTAATCTTATATATATATTTTCATCATTAGTATAATATTTAGTATAGTATTCAATAGCGTAATAATATTAATAATAAATCATCATATCGTTTTAGTTTTTTATTCCAAAAAAAAATAATCATTCTATCTTTTTCAATGGTGTGTGTAATGAAATGAAATAAAATGGAGAGTATTATCCAAGTATACCAAGAATGATCACCTCCAGTGCGACCATAAAAATAATAGAAAAATAGAACAAAGAGGAAGTGAGTACCAAGAAACTATTAATAATCATCTCTTTTTTTTTTTTTTTTTTTTTTTTGTAAAGTCGCGTCGTCCCCCCCTTCTCCTTTTTTTCTCTTTCTCTCTCTCCCTTTTTTTTTTTTTTATAATCTCTTTGATTTATTCATCTACTCTTTATTAATTCATCTAGCTAAAAAGGAAAAGGGAGTGTTAGGATGAAATCAACTTTTAAAGCTGACTATGAAATTAGTTTTTTTTTTATCTTGCTATCTGTCAAAATCTTGACATTTGTCCAATTCACACACTTTTGATCAAGACCTTCTTTTCTTTTTTATATTTTTGGTCTCATCTGAATCACTACTCTTACACAGTTTCATCCGTTATTACCTTTTTATCACATTTATCAGTTTCATCCGTTTTATTTTATCATTGTTTCTTATGATGATTAATCATCATCATCTAAAAATAATCTTTAGTTTTAGTATAAATACATCTAGTAGTTTATATATTTTTTCCTCTTTGTCAAAGATCAAAATAAAAATTTATTTTATAAATCAAATCATCTTGGCCACTCTTAAGAAATAATCATCTAAAGTTTTACTTTATTTTATTTAAACAAACATCTATCTTATACAAACAATTCTTATATTGTTTTATTGGATCATCGTCAAGTGTGATCATTTATCAAGATATCTATATTTGGAATCAAGTATCAAATCATCTTATATATATTTTATAAAAGAACTGGTGCTCACTACAAACAATCATCAATAATATTATTATATTAATAATATTATTCATCAATTATATAAATCAATCATCCACCCAATAACGAAAAAATCTTTAACACTTGACGATGCGTTTGTTGCTAGACTGGTCGCTCATTTGGAACTGTCTGTATATGTCGCAAATATCCCAGATTTCTTGGAAACACTGGACGCGCTATATATCTGGAAAAACCACCATTGTATACTGAAGGATGTCCTACTGCCCTCCTCCCTCATTGATCCTTTTGTTTCACCGGATGTGCTGTACTCACCTTCCAAGCGTTCGCCGAGCCACAAGTCATACTATCATTGAACTCCATGACCCTTATGAAAGTCTAGAACCACGGATGGCAAAGATGATGATGATGTTTAGTTGTGATGTTTTACATTCAACTTGGCTATGTTTCTGAAATTAGTTTTCCCGTAATAATAGTAATAAAAAATCATCATATCGTTTTAGTTTTTTATTCCAAAAAAAAAAAAAATAATCATTCTATCTTTTTCAATGGTGTCTGTTTGGTTGAAGATAATATAGGAGATATTCTAAGGTAGGAATCGATAAGCATTATCACGGGTAAAATAAAATAGGGTAGGTAGAAACAGGCCAAGGTATATCGTTCATTAGTTGTCAAGACATGGGCTGGATTAAAGAGTACTTCGAATAAAGATGCAAATACGGTAGTAGCTACATGGGATCCATAGATACAGAGACCTAGACGGCAATGGAGAGAGTCTTACAATCATAAGCAGAAGGTTAGCATAGTACGACTTGCTATTTTTTTTTCTTTTTTTTCCTCTTTTCAAAAAAAAAAAATATTTACCTTTCCAAAGACCATGACATGCGATAAAGAAGAATACAAACTGAAAGAATAGTTCAGAATAAAGAAATGACAAAAACCAATAATGAGGAGGTTCACTGGCTAAGAAAGGATCTTTGTAGTCTTGAATAAAAATGTTGCGCGTATCCTTGAGAAATCCAGGAACGAGTTCAGTAGGATAGAATGTTTGAAAGTCGATCAATAGAGTCACAGGAATATGAGTGAAAAAGTAAATAAAATAGACCAAGTCAAGAGGTCTTTTCAAAAGACTAGTGTTAGCCATAAGAGAATACAAAGGGAAGAAAAAAGAGAATTTAGCGGTCGTTCAATTTCAAACAGGATAAAATTTGGTTGGCATATCATTCTTTTTCTTTTTCTGGTCTTTTTCACTCTTGTTTTTTTTTTTTTTTTTTTTTTTTTTTTTAATGGTTCTTATTACGTTGGTTCGACATGGCAATACAGATGCAAACAATCAACGTATACTTCAAGGTCAAACAGGTAAGACAATATTATAAAATACATATATATAGTATTAACTATCAATAATATATAGATACAATATTGAATGATATGGGACATCGCCAAGCAAGTCTAGTGGCCAATCGCCTAAAACAAGAACGATTCGATAAGATATATTGTAGCGACTTACTTCGGTGCCAACAGGTATTTCCTGCAAGATAAATCTTTTTTTTTTTTTTTTTTGTTAAAAAAAAAAGTGGATATTATGCTAACTGATTTTTTTTTTTTTTTGGAAATTTTTGTAGACGGCTCAAGCCATCCGAGATCATCATGTGGATACCCCTATTACACTAGTACGTGAACTCCGGGAACGTAGTTTTGGTGATTTATCTGGCCTATCAATAAAACATGTCTTTGCACAGAGTAATCAACAAAAAATGGATGCGTCTACTTTTGTAAAGAATCATGGTGGTGAAACTGAAAAGGAATTTGCGAAAAGGGTGATTGATGCGTATATCAATATTGTCAATGAAGCAACACAAGAAGGATATCAACATATATTGATTGTTTCACATGGTGGATGTCTTCGATCATTATGTTTATGGTGGACATCGACAACTAAATACGAATATGATGGTGATTTGGATCGATTACGGCGTGGACATCATGGCAATACTGGAGTCAGTCAAGTACGTGTTTCACAAGGCAATCCAACTGTAGGTGTGGTGGAATTGTTTAGTTGTTCTAATCATTTGAATAGTATAGATTCCACTTTTGATATTCCCCCTTCTGTTTAGTTACCTTATTGATTTAGTCTACTGAAATTAAAAAAATAAAGTATATCATTTGACTGGACTTGTTCCATTTGGATACAATTGTCATTTGTTTAAATCCACTTTATTTTTTCCTGTACCTTGGTACTCTTTGATTTATGCGGTGTTTGAAAATTTGATTGGACACTAAGTTGTGTAAAAATAGAAACCAAAGTTGTACTCCTCTTTTCCTCTTTTCTTTCTTTCCCTTTTACTATACAAATTCAAACAATGGCTTCTACTGATATCCTTCAAATTTCCGATCCTTCAATAAATAAAGACTCTTTACATTCTACAAACTCACAAAGCTCATCTACTTTACATTACTCGGATACGTCAGACTCAGTAGATACCTTATCAACAGTTGAAACCTCTACATCAAAACCCACTGGTCGAAGGCGAAGAGATACTGTCAGTCAACAAAAAATACCACCACTTCCCACTGGACTTCAAAATACAAAGATAGAGGAAAATACGACTATTCAGGAAGAGAAGGAACAAACTGAAGAAGAAATACAACCATCACAAGAAACTCCTATTGACAAACAGCAACAACAAAAAGAAGAAGAACAACAATTAAATGAAGAACCTGATGACATTGATTGGGGTAAATGGACAAGATGAAAAAAAAAAAAAAGAAATACAGTTCTCCTTAAATGCAATATTAACTAAACTGATCTTTTATAATAGAATTTTGGTCACAAGTACTTTCCGATTATGATCGTGTAGCAAAAACTGAACCCAAAGTCCTTTTACTACATGTTCAACGTGGAGTACCACAAGCATTACGAGGTATGGTTTGGCAATTATTCGCAAAGTCAAAGGATGTCAAACTAGAACAACGATATATGCAATTACTCAAGGAAGAGTCGGTGTATGAAAAGGCGATATTAAGGGACTTGGAAAGAACATTTCCTCAACATGAATATTTCCAGAACAAGGAAGGACAAGATGCTTTATTCAATGTTATCAAGGCATATTCACTTTATGAACCTGATGTTGGTTATTGTCAAGGTATTGCTTTTATTGCTGGACCTCTTTTGATGAATGTAAGTTAAATAATAATAATAATATAATGTAGTACACGATCTAATGTTGATTTTTTTTTTTATATTAGATGCCAGAAGAAGAAGCTTTTGGTGTTTTAGTGAAACTTATGGATCGATATCAACTCAAAGGACATTTTGCACCACAATTGAATCTTTTGCATCAAAGAATGTATCAGCTTGATGGTTTGATTTATGATCAATTACCACATGTTCATCGTCATTTTGAAAATCAAGGCATCCGAGCCAATATGTATGCTTCTCAATGGTTTATGACTTTATTTGCTTACAAGTTTCCATTTCAATTCGTATTCCGGGTCTACGATTTGATTTTGGCTCAAGGTATTGAATCTTTACATCGTTTAGCTGTGGCTTTATTGGAGAAAAATCAATCTACTATTTTAAGTATGGAATTTGATGCTTTACTGTCATTTTTAAAAAATGATGTTTTGGAAGTATACAAGGTAAGATCAAATTAATAATAAAAAATAATAAAAATTATATTAATGTTGATTATTTTCCTTCATTAAATTGGAGGATATCTTTTTTTTTTTTAATTATTATTAGGATAATATCAGTAATTTATTGACAGATGCCTATAACATCAAAATCATTCCCAAAAGATTGGATAGATTAGCAAAAGAATACCAAGTGGAAAGTGCTAAAGCCAATACAGAAGCTGAAGCCATTGAAAGTTTACGACGTCAAAACAAACTTTTAGCGGAAACCACCAAACAATTGGAAACTAACATGAACGAACTCAATAAGGAACATATACAAGTGGCCAATCAATTAATCGAAACTAAAATGGATATTGCCAGGATCAACGATGAAAATGATGCTCTTCGACAACAATCATATGATTTGAAAAAGGCTTTGGAAACATTACCAAAAGATGTAGAAAATAGAGTCAAGGATGAATTGGAAGTACTCAGTACTAAGAACGCAGCTCTTACTCAACGTAATACAGCTTTGGAAGATCAATTGGCTTATATGGAGAAGATGGTGACGGATATTAAGGTACTCTATGCAGATAGTGAAAATGAACGTGAAGCTTTACGACAACGGCTGGCCGATTTGAAACGACTTATGGGACAAGATTAGATTTCTGTTTGCAAATATTTAGTTATTCCCCCCCTTTTTTTTTATTTATATTTTACCATTACTTTTAAATAAAAGTATATCATTTCTCTCTCCACACTCCACCGTGTCAACTTTTTTTTTTTTTTTTTTTCAACGAGCGCTAAAACTCTTATTTACGATTTGGTTGATCCAATCAAAAAGATGGATTGCCTAATTTGGATTCCACCGAGTCAAAGCGAACCTGTACTTTTGACTCTTTCTTTTTTTTTTTTATAGATAAAAGTACGGGTTTTATTTCTTCTTTTTTTTTTTTTCTTTTTTTTCTTTTTTTCTTTTTTTTTTTTCGTCTTCTTTTCTTTACTTTTATAAAATAATGCTTTCTAACTTGCAAGTACGATCCCTTTTGCGTCAAACACGTCCTTTGACCAAACGATTCTATGCCACAGAACAAGTAAACAGTTACCCCAAAATACACATATTTTTTTTTATTATTTATTCAAATACTCATCCTTTATTTATTATAATAGAATATTAAGAAGACTGCCTTGTATGATTTTCATGTCAAACATGGTGGTAAGATGGTTCCTTTTGCAGGATATGCTATGCCTGTCTTGTACAAAAATATGGGCGCCTTGACTTCTCATTTGCATACTCGTGAAAAAGCGTCTATTTTTGATGTTTCTCATATGCTTCAATCTCGGTAAGTGATATATTTTTAAAAAAGTTATATTTTTTTCAACTTTTTTTTTTTTTTTTTTTTTGGTATCTAGGGTGGTTGGCAAGGATCGACAAAAATTCTTTGAAACATTATGTGTAGCTGATTTACAAAATATGCCTGTGGGTCAAGGTACATTATCAGTGTTTACCAATGAACAAGGAGGTATTATTGATGATACTATCATCATGCAACAAGAAGATTGCCTCTATGTGGTGTCAAATGCTGGTTGTGCTGATAAGGATTTGGCTCATATTCGTCAACAATTGGGTTTATTCCAACAAAAAGGTGGTGATGTTGATTTCCAAGTCATTGATGATCATTCTTTGATTGCTATCCAAGGTCCCAAGGCCGCTATTGCTTTACAAGAACTCATTGGTAAGGATTTAGACGATTTCCCCTTTATGAATGGTCGATTCATGGATGTTGCTGGTGTTCCTTGTCATGTTGCTCGTTCTGGTTATACTGGAGAAGATGGATTTGAAGTAAGTAAAAAAAAAAAAAAAAAAAGAAGACATTAGTATTAATAAATAACTATTGTAGTTATCGGTCCCTACTCCTGAAATTGTTACTATCACTGAAAAATTATTGAGTCATCCTGATGTAGAATTGGCTGGTCTCGGTGCTCGTGATAGTTTACGTTTAGAAGCTGGTTTGTGTCTTTATGGCAATGATTTGGATGAAACAACTACTCCTGTGGAAGCTGGCTTGACTTGGACCATTGGTATTTTATAATTCTTTGAAGATAAATGATCATTTATACTTTTTTTTTTTTTTTTTTGGTAGCTAAATCTCGTCGTGAAACTGGTGGATTCTTGGGTGCTGAACACATTTTACCTCAAATCAAAGGAGGAGTGAGTCGTCGTCGTGTTGGTCTTATTGTCCAAGGCGCCCCTGCACGTCAAGGTGCTGAAATTTTAAATAAGGAAGGTGAAATCATTGGTACCATCACATCTGGTTGTCCCTCACCCAATTTGAAGAAGAATGTAGCTATGGGTTATGTCAAGAATGGTTATCATAAGAAGGGTACGGAATTGAATGTCAAAGTTAGAAACAAGGTCCAACCTGCTGTTATTGAAAAGATGCCTTTTGTTCCTGCTAATTATCACAAATAGATTATTTTTTTTTCTTCATTATTTTATATCATTTCTCCTTACTACTATTACTTTTTCTTTTTTTTTAAAAAAAATCTTACGTTATTGATTCAATAAAAAAAAAAACAAATTCTCATCTATTATCACTCTTATTCTATTATATCTATTTCCTCCTCATTGATTGATTATATTATACATTGGTTTCTATGATAAGTAGTATGCTTTTTTGATCCATTGATTTTTTTTTTTTGGATAGCCGATTGCCCAGCCACATTCGTCTCTGTCTATTTTTTATAGTCCTGAGGATTTGTTTGAATTTCTATTTCCCTTTTCTCCTCTTCTTTTTCCTTTTTTTTTTTTCTTTTATACCCAGTCTATAGACAACCCCCATTTTTTTTATTGTAAATATATTTGTAACATTATCATGAAGGAATATCAACGAGAATTCATTGAATTTGCACTTGCCAATCAAGTACTCAAGTTTGGTTCATTTGTATTGAAGTCAGGCCGAGTATCACCTTATTTTTTCAATGCAGGTCTGTTCAATAGTGGCAAGACATTAGGAGCGATTGGTCGGTTCTATGCAGCAGCATTGGTAGATGCTGGCTTCAAGTACGATGTGCTGTTTGGTCCGGCTTACAAGGGGATTCCTTTGGTGTGTGCGACAGCTTTGGCCTTGACCACTGATTATGATCAAGAAGCACCATTTGCTTTCAATCGTAAGGAAAAGAAGGATCATGGTGAAGGAGGCAGTATTGTTGGTACGGCTTTGCAAGGTCAGATCGTGGTGGTGGATGATGTGATCACGGCTGGTACGGCTATCAATGAATCGATCGAAATCATTCGCAACAACAATGCTCATTTGGCTGGTGTCCTGGTCGCTGTGGATCGTGCTGAAGTGGCTCCCGATGGATCTGGTAAATCTGCTATTCAAGCCGTTCAAGAAAAGAACAATATCCCTGTGCGTGCTATCATCACCATGGATCATATCATGGAATTCATGGAAGAAAAGGGTACCTACAACCAAGAATTGCAATTGATGAAGGAATACAAGGCTCAATATGGTATTAAGAATGAATAGATCATCCCTTTTTTTTTTTTAATGTAGTATGATTCTTCCCTTTTCTTAGCTTTTTAGTTTATGTATATAACATTTATAATGAATAAAATTATCTCTTTTTTTTTCAATATATGAAAGATGTGGTCTTATTGTTATGATCATCATTGTTCACTATTGTACTACACCCGCAACATATCTATTAACGCACTACTTTTAACTACCGTCGTCTATGGCAACTGAATGGATCCGTCTATAGATAAAAAAAAAATAATCATAGGAAGATGAATACAAAAGGCTTTATTGGTTTGTTAAATATATAAATATAAAGACGATAAAAGGATGAGTGAGATAATAAAGAAAGAAAAATAAATGGAGAGAATGTAATATCAGGGAAGTCTTTAATTCTTGTCCATGTAGGGATGTGTTGCCATTGCTATAAATATGTAGAAAAAAAAAGAGTGATTAGAAAATATCATTCCTCTTACTCTCTATTGAAACATCACCTGAAACATTCTTTTTTTTTTTTTTTGTACTTACTATTATAATAGTTTGCTTGCGACAAATTTCCGGGTAAAGAAACAGGTTGATTAGGATTTTCACTTGATCCTTGTACACTGAATAAAGATTGTTGTTGTTGTGCTTCTTCTTCCTTTTCTTTTGGTCCCGTGGTACGATCGATCTTTGTAGTCTAAAAAAAAAAAAAAGAATCAGTTTATCCAAATCCAATCTATTGTTAAAAAACGTACTTCACGATATTTTCCTAAATAGATCTTGAGAGCTTCAGCATAGTTTTCAAATCCAAGAGATTGCATAGCCCATAAAATATCTTCACCATTGATCGTTTTTCTTTTTTCTTGTTGACATCGGTCACTAGCTGTAATAAAACAAAAAAAAAAAAAAAAAAGGGTTAAGGATAAATCATGGTGAGTATATGTTGGAAGACAAAAAAAAAAGTGACATCAATATAAATAAATCAAAAAAGGATATTCGCTAGTGATAAAAGAAATGAATTCAGACACACATTCTTGTACACATTCTTTGGCCTCTTTGGCGATTTTGGCATTATCAGGTAATGATTTTTTCATGATGCGTGCCACACTATAATAAAGAAGTTCGATGAGTCATATTATCATTTATTTCATTATTATTATTATTTTACTTTGCAATAGGAAGAAAACGATCTTGTTCTTTCAAATCAAAGTCGGCTTCATCGGCAGAATTACTAGACATGATATAGAGTTTTATTGAGTCAAATAGTTATATAGAAAAAAAAAAAAAAAAAAAAAAAAGAAGTGGAAGAAACACGCAAAACCGTTGGAATCTTTTTTTTTTTTTCTTTCTTTTCAATCACGAAAATTCAATATCCGCTTTCCACCCACCTTTATTACAAAAGAAGATCATGCACAATATGATTTGGATCTAAAGATGTTTATTGTTTATTCTGTATGTCCTATAATGGTTTTTCTTTTTTTTTTCTTTTCTTTTTTTCATTTTGAAGAGCCATATTTTGAAGATCAATGATGAAGAACAAAATAAAGTGTATGTATAAAAAAGAATAAATAAAAAAAAAAAAAGAAACTATACTAGGTTGAGAGAAAGAGTTGAAATAAAAAATAAAAATAATAATAATAATAAAAAAAGAACAAAATGACAAGATAAGTAAAAGAATATGGAATCAATTGTTTATTTGGGAGGGCTAAAAGATAAATAAAAAAGAAATATTATTATTATTATTGTTATTATTAGTATTCATATATCATCAATATATTATATATATATATATATATATATATTCCTTTTACTTACTTGTAAACAATCTTTCTAGTCTTGATAGGAGCCCACTTGAAACGCTTGAGCCAGAGAGACAAACCGAGCAAACCAGTCAAGATGATAGTAGCCTTCATACCCATCTTCTTACGTTCATCATGTTCAGGTTCAGCAGCCCATGACAAGAAGGTGGAAACATCCTTAGCCATTTGAGAAGTAGTAGCAGGGGTACCATCTTCGTATTCAACCAAACCATCGAACAAAACACGAGCCATGGCAATAGCACCACCAGGGAAGTAAGGGTTATAGTTCAAACCTTCACGAACTTCAACACCACCAGGGGCATCCACGTAACCAGTCAAAAGAGCAAACACATAATCCTACATATATATATATAAGTACCATTCTCTTTTTTTTTTTTTTTTTTTGATCATCTCTGTAACTTACAGCACCACCATGACGAGCCTTGGTCATCAAAGAGAGATCTGGGGGTAAAGCACCAGCATTACCGGCACGAGCAGCTTCTTCATTAGGATAAGGTTTGGGCATGTAATCAGAAGGCTATGAAGCAAATATATATATATATATATATATATATATATATATATTAGTGAATCCATTCCTTTTTGTATTTATTTAGATATAATATTTTTTTTTTTTACCTTTCCTGGTCTTTGGAACATATCACCATTTTCATCAGGACCATCAGTATATTCATGTTGTTCAGCCATAGCCTTGACTTCAGCTTCAGTATGAGAAACATCGATCAAGTTTCTCCAGGCAATACGATCCAAAGAGTGACAGGCAGAGCAAACTTCTTGGTATACTTGGAAACCACGACGAATAGAAGCATGGTCATAAGTATCCAAAGGTCCATTATGAGGCCAGGGGTGTTCAGGAGGATGAAGACCTTCATCAGCCATGTTAGCAGACACATTGTTATCGACATACATGTAAGCCAAAGCAGTAGAACCAACAATACCGGCGGTCACAGCAGCCACTTGCTTGGAATTCTAAATGAACAAACAACAAAAAGAAAGGAGTTTAGTATCGTAAGATAGATAAGGTTTTTTTTTTATGATCGTTGATGTATTTGTTGATTCTTTTTTTTTCGATAAACACGAATGATATACATACTTCAGTAACAGCAGGCTTGGTAGAGGCGAAACGAGCCTATCCATTGAACAAAATAAATAAATAAAGTAAAATGAGTTTCAATGATAGAATAAGTTTCCGAATAAGTTGAATAAAAGAATCGTATATAATGTCATCAATAATAATAATAATAATAATAAAAAAATTCAAGTTGTTGTTTTTTTTGTTGTTATTGTTGTTGATATTAAAAAAAAAAAAAGGAAAACTTACTTGAATGGTAGGCTTGACCAAACGTCTCGAAGCTTGAGTAGACAATCGAGAGAACATGACCTTTTTTTATGAGATGTGAAAAAAGAGAGAGGGGGGAGATGGGTATGCTTAATGAAGCAAAGATAAAAGAAAAAAAAAAGTGAGTTGAAAAGAAAAAAAAAAAAAAAAAGAATCACACTCGATTTTTTTTTCTTGGAAGGCGATTTTTTTTTTTTTTTTTTGGTTTCCACTCCCTTCACCTTTTTTTTTTTTCTCCACTGACAAGGGCAAGGCAAAAAACCTCAGCGGTTAAAGTCACATTTTAGATGACGTTGATTCAGCCACCAACTTTTGTGTTCCGTCTCCCGAAGTCTTCCAAAAAAGGAAATGACCTCTTTTATCAATGCCATTGTATTTAATATATATATACATATATTTCACTACATCGTTATTTGGATAATATACTATGGATGATAGATAAAAGTCAAATTCTATGGATACTTAGACACATATTATCTAGAATATTTCATCTTTGTTGATTAGAGTGTATATATACTGCATATAAGTAGAGTGAAGGACTGGATTGGCATTAGATTCACAGTATGCATGAATGAATGCTTGATAATTTACGAAATAATGATTGAACAGTGTGATGATTGAATGATAGTAGCGAAATTAATCGTGATAGTATCAAACATAGGATTCTTGCCCCTCTTATCAAATGTAAAAATGGCATTCAACTAAATACATCATCATCCATTCATCAGCATTACTAATATCATCATACCATACTATGGTATCATCTTCATAGTTACTGTCACCATAGGAACATTTCCATCACTATATTATCCACCGTTTTCGTCATATCATCGTCATACCATCATCATCATCATCAGATACCGTCGATTATTGTCAATCTTATCAATGGTCATCATGCATTATCAAAAAAGAATAAAATGCTATTTTTTTTTTAATGCTATCCCTCAGTCGAACATGTGTCCATACGTGTGAAAAAGTGTGAGTAGCGTGTATCGTTTCCCAATTAGGTTATGCCTTCATGGTCGATCAAAAAAGGGTGCCTGAATATGTATATGTATGTGTGTGTGTGTATTGTGTGAGAAAGGGGGGAGGGTGATTATCATTAAAACATATAGAAGATATAAAAGAAAATAATACATACTATTATTTATTGGTATCTATTAGATTTTACTAGTATATAATGAAAGAGCTTGATAAAAAGGAATGATGAGATCCAATGGACAGTGGCTGACAGCTGGGTGTGAATTCTTGGACATTATGAGAAAAAAAAAAAGTGCGTTACTTTTGTTCTCTCCTTATTCTCCTTTCTTATTTGAACAGAATAGATAATACAATGGCATCAGCTGGATTGCGCAAACTTGGTAATTAAAGGAAAAAAATAGGAAATAGGGGGGAGGGGAAGACTGGTTGACAGCTTGCTCATTACTCTTTTTATATACATACAATATATATATTCTACCGCAGTATTCGTGACAGGGAACAAGAATAAATTGGTTGAAGTACAAGAAATCTTCAAGGATGTAGTTGATATTGAATCTCATAAAGTGGATTGTATGTTGTTTAATAGATAACAAAGGAATATATTTAACTTATTTTATTATTTATGTAGTGCCTGAACTTCAAGGTACATCAAGAGACATTGCAGCAGAGAAGGTGAAAATGGCTGCTGATATTGTAAGTATCAAAAAAAAAAAGTAAAGCGATAATGATAAACAATATATGTACATATAAAGGAAGAATAGTAACATTTTTTTTTTTTTTTTTTTTTTTTGGTACGTATATAGATTCAAGGACCATGTATCACTGAAGATACATGTTTATGCTTCAATGCATTAAATGGGTTACCTGGACCATATATGTAAGCAACAAAAATTTTTTTTGGTTAATTGGATGAACTCATAGATAGTCTGATGGTGTTACGTTATTATTTATAGAAAATGGTTCGTAGAATCCGTTGGCTTGGATGGGTTAAACAAGATGTTGGTTGGCTTTGAGGATAAGACTGGGTACGCTTTGTGTACCATTGCATATTGTAAAGGACCTGGCCATGAACCCGTGATCTTTGAAGGCATCACTAAAGTAAGTTTGTGAGTGGATTTGAACCAGATTTACTGAATCTTTTTGGTTTTGGAAAACAGGGTAATATTGTACCAGCACGTGGCCCACCCAATTTTGGTTGGGATCCTGTATTTCAACCTGAAGGATTCCATCAAACGTAAGTTCTTTTTTTTTTTTTTTTTTTTATCAAGTAAAAAAAAAACCGGATGGACTTCATCCTGTTACTAATATATATATTTTTTTTTTATTATAGATATGCTGAAATGCCAAAAGAAATCAAGAATACCATTTCTCATCGATTTAGAGCATTAGAAAAATTGAAAGGATTCTTTTTAGAAAATTAGTTGAATATATTGTAGAATAAAGAAATAAGAACAATTATCATTTTTAGTGTTGAAAATGTGATAAAAGACAATGAAATGGGATTTTTGATATGATTCGTTCTTGAACAAAGAAATAGACATGCAGATTGCTCAGTTCTTTTGGATAATTAGTGTAACCTATTGAAAAACAAGACGAATCATGCCATACTTTTCGGGTTGTGGGGTAAAGTTTTTTTTTTTTTTTTTTTTTCTGCTGGATTTTTCAAACCTATATAAAAAAAGCGTCCGCAGTTTTAATTTCTTCTTTTCTTTCTTTTCTTTCTTATTATTTATCTATCACTCCAACTATCTATTATTCCTTATCAAAACCTTTATACCTAATCTCTTTATAATGTCGGACGGACGCTGTATTCATTGTGGTCAGAAAGGACATTACTCCATGTAAGTTATATATATATATTGTTGGGAGAAGAATTATTGATAAAAAAAAAATATGTCGTGAGTCTAACACTCTTTATCTATTTCACTTTTTTAGGATGTGTCCCAAGAAACCCAACTCTGTATCATTTATGAACTATGATACTACTTGCATAGAATATAGCAACTATCAAAGCAATACCAACAACAATAATAACATATTATCTTTCAAGATAGGCAAGAAACGTCGATTCTCACTTGGATTTATTTAGTTATTCCCCTCCGCCTTATTTTTATATATATATATATATATATTGTTATTTTCACATTTATGCCGGGCACAGTGTGATGTTTTTTTCTTTACCTTTGATTCCCTTACTTTTCTTTTTTTTCTCTTCCTATTTCTCTTGTATTATATTCATTATTCTTTGTACCTCTTTTATTAGTCTGTTCATATATTGATATCACTTCTTTTATTATTATTATTAAAAATATCACAAACTTATCTCTTTCTTTTTGGATACTTTTTTTTATCAAATAAAATAATAATTGGACCTAAAAAAGGAGACAAATATATTACACGTGGTTGATGGGAAGAAAAAAACAAAACAAACAAAACTAGGTTTTGCTACGGATAAAGGGTATGATCTTCGTAATAGCAAATGATATGATAGCTTTTTTTTTTTTAATTCAAGTATTGAACTATGACGTGTAGACAAAAAAAAAAAAATCCATACTAACTAACCAACCAACAGAAGACCAACTTTATTTTCTCACACACTTGTTTTAATCATCCGCCTTTATTCGATCTTTTGTATATATAGTTTTGTTTGTCAAACGTAGGACGAACATCGTCAGGTGTTTTTTTTTTCTCAAAATGATCGGTTGCTATTTCATAATGCAAATTTACTTGAATGAAATATCGTATAAAACAGGAAACTAAGGAGTCTACAGAAAAAAAAAATGATGATATATAGTAGATCATCAATAAGGGAAGGATGAAGTAGTGGAAGAAAATGAAGTTTTGTTATGTGATGATACTGATGATGTTGTTGTTGTTGTTGTTGTTGATGATGATGATGAGAATGGTACTAATGATCGTGATGATGAATGACAAAGTCGATGATGATGAACCAAAGTCTTTTTCTTGGAGTAACTAGTAGACAAGAATGGAAAAAATCAATCAATCAATCAATCATCATCATCATCATCGTCATTCTTGTTTACTGAGTGACCCCCGTCCCAACTTACCTTTTTGAGCAACCTGCTTCCTGGCATCTATAAGGTCGATTACCAGTATGAATCCGTCTATACGATAAGAGATCAAAAAAAAAAAAAAAAGGCATTAAATATTCTTATAAAATTCATCCTTATCATGAGAAAAAAAAAAAGATTCTTCTTACCTATGACGAGCTAAAGAGCTGCTATCACTAAAACTTTTACCACAATTATTAAATTCACACGCGTGAGGTCTTTCTCCTGAGTGTGTTCTCAAATGAACAGTTAATGCAGATCTCTACAAATACAATGAACAAGATATCAAAAAAAAAAAAAAAATTCAGTCAGTTTTTCCTTTTTGTCCATTTTATTTATATACTGGACAGATTGCCATGGTGATCGGGATTGAAAATCTTTGGCTTGTACCTGAATGAATCTTTTACCACAGTTTCTAAAGTCGCATTGATAAGGTCTTATAAAAAAATATATAAGTAATCATAGTAGTAAAAATAAGATTGAATGGACTTGCCTATCATTTGTATGTGTTCGATAATGACGATCGGCATCAGAAGGACGATCTATAAAATGAATGAAATCAGTGTTTATAGGATGATAACAAATGATGAACTTACTGAAGGATTTTGAACATCCAAACCATTTACATCGATGTCTTTTTGGTTGTTGAAACATGGATGATAGTTCACCATCTAAGATTTCAGCAATATCCATTCTTTAATGATAAAAATGAAAACAAAATAAAAAAAAAATAAAAGAGAGAAATAAAAAAAAATGTGAATGGATAAATGATGTTTATTATTTATGTTTCCTCCACAACCATCCACCATATTGGTAATTCATCTTTTGCATGATTGTTATTTTCTCACATCATACACTTTTTTGTTGATGATAAGAAAAAAAAAAAAGAGTGGCGCATATTTGTGCTACCCTATTACTTCAAAGAAGAAGCTAATGAAGTGCTACTTGACTTGTCATCACCTTTTAAAAAAAAAGTTATTTATATATTTATATCTATCTAAAATGTGCGATCATCATGGATTCTTTTCCCGTCATATCCCAAAAAGGAAATCGTCATGCTCTTGTCTGTATCACCTTTGTATGTCAATGATAATATATATATATATATATATAAGAAAAAAAAAAGGGTGTGATATGTCATCCTTTCGTATGGTTTGGTGTATCCCTTGAAAAAATACATTCATTCTATCTATCCTAACCCTGACCCGAGTCTGACCAAATATGGATGATTAAAATAGAAGAGATAAAACTATTATTTTTTTTTTTTGGTGTAATCGAAAATGGATGATTTTATTTTGATAAAATTCAATATGCATTGGAAAATCAATGCGATATGCACTACATCCTTATGAAACGCAGCAACAATCTATATAATCTGTTATTTTCATTGATCTCCCTTTTAGATAAAGATGGATGATTACTTTTTTTTTTCAATTTCAGGCAATGTAATCCTACATATATTTTATTATCATCAATCAAATGAAAAAGGAGTAAACCTTTTTTTTTTTTTCATTGCCTATAAAATCTTTTTTTTTTTCTAAAAAAATATATTTGATTGTGAGGTATTTGATGAATTCACTTGTAATAAAAGAAAATGATAAGCCAATCAAGGGGAAAAAAGAAATATAGTAGTTGATAAGTAAGGGTCTGTCATATCTAATTGTTTTGTCTATCAATCGTTGTTCATCTATTCCCCCCTTTCTTTTCTTCCTCATCTCTTTCAATTTTTTTTTTTTTTTTCGCTTTGAAAATCTATTCTTGTAATCTCCGTTCTAGGGTGATAGAGGATGATGATGATGGTGATTGTTGAAGGGGGAGAAAGGTACAACATGTTCTATCCAAGCGAAATAAAATAAAATCATACAACAAAAGAATATTGTTAAATATATATATATATATATATATATATAATATTTTCTTTTCTTTCTCTCTCTCTTTCTTTCTTTCTTTCTTTCTTTCTTTCTTTCTTTAGTTTCATGCAGGTTACCTAATTGGGATTAAAAATGATTTCTCCATGGGGATGAACAGAGTGATATTTTTCATTGTTTTAAGTATCAGAGAAAAGAAAAAAAAAAAACCTCCTTTGATAACAAGGATAAAGTTGAAAAAAATGTCTCCCTTATCCCTTATATAATATTTTTTCATTTATTATCTATGTTTTTTATTCGGATTTTTAAAAAAAGTTTATTCTCTTTTTGTATGTTGCTATGATGATTAACACGAGGACTTTGTTGAAAAAAAGTCATTTTAGTTATTTATCCGGTTTTCTATAATATATGATTTCTCCTCTCTCTCTCTCAATCATCTTATTTTATTTTATCGTTCAATTTTTTTTTTTTTTTTTGACATCATTCATATCATTATTTTTTTTTTTTAGTTGATAAGTTTTTTCATTAACTTTAAAGAAAAAAAGAATCCAGTGAATGAAATAGTAGATATAATAGGATAAAGAAAAAAAAATAAACTTATCCCTTTACCTTTTCTTTTTTTTTATTTTTTATTTATACATATATATATATATAATATGCTACACGAGGACTTTTTGATTTAAAGAATGGGATATATCATAGAAAACAGTTAAATATGCTTTTTAGTTGAAAATATATTTCAAATGGCGGGTGAGTCTAAACATAAGCATATCCGATTTTATCGCGCTCCTTAAAAAACAATGAATGCATTGATCTTTTTTCTTTTTTCCTTTCCTCTTTTTTTTTTCTTTCTTTCTTTGGCTCTTTCTCCTTTCACTTTCTTTAACTACTTTTTTCACCATCGTCTTTTTTTTTTTCCCCTCTCCCTCCTCCCCTTTTACCTCTCCTTTCGTTTATACATTCAATCAATATCTCCCTTATGATAATGAACTCCTATTGTCTTATTCTACTTTTTACATCAATAAAACCCACACTTGATCCTTTTCCTTTCTAGTTTTACCGTTTCTTCTTCTTCTTTTTTTTTTTTTCTTCTTCCTTTCTTTCTTTTTTTCTTTCTTTTTCTTTATACTTTTATTCATCTCATGACTCATCTAAGCGACTTTAGTTTTTTACGTAAGAATATACTTATTTAATACTTATTCTTATTACTAATGAATCCTTTTTTATAGAACGTATGGTCTCTTTGGCCTATTTATCAGTCTGGTTCTTATATCGAGTATGGAAATTGGATAGATTTAGATGTCTTCATCCTCATCGGTTTCGTCAAGGTGAATTGAAAAGTGTAGTAACAGCTCTAATATTAGTCATGATACCTTTCCAGTTATATTATGGTAAAATAATAAAAAAAAAAGAAAAAGATAAAACAACTTTACTAACCAAATAATATTTCACAGATGTCACATCTTGTAAAATCAAGTATGAAGAAGGATTTGCTAGTGTATTTGGACATATTTTTACCAAGCCAGAAATGATGTGGACAAAAGCAGATCAAGAACTCGTGGTACCTACAAGTAAAGTTTCTTTTTTTTTTTTCTTCTTTTTTTAAAACAAGAAACTCATCCCTTCTTTCTCTCTCTCTCTCCTTAGATTATAGTCTATGTATTGGTCTATCCTTACAAACGTAATATTCAATCAATCAAAAAGGAAAATGATTTTTATGATATTTACTTTTTATTTTATCTTATTTAGTGGTACACTCTTATTATTACAATGCTTTTGGAATTATCTTGCAAACTCGGTGGCCAAAGCTAGCTTCATGAGTAGTCGTGAATTTTTATTCTATATTATTTGGTATATCAATATCATCTTCATCAATGAAATGTCATACTCATTTTTTTTTTATTGTAATTTTTTTTTTTTTTTTTTTTAGGACTTTTGTCAGTATCATCATCTTCCCTGTTTTACAATACAATTTCTCTCGTGAAATCTATGATCCTACTTATAAAGAAATCATGCCTGAATTAGTATACGGTTTTGGTAAGTCCTAAAACATAATAAAATAAAATTATCTAGAGTATTGACCTATTATATATATATTAGAAATCTTTTTTGTGGCCTGTTTGGGTGTTGTGTCTCACTTTCGTTTCCGAAAATTGTTGAACAATTCTCGTGACTCCAACAATGCACGATCCATTACACACAAGATACGTTATTTCCAAGAATTGAACCTTATTTTGACAGTGGTCTTATTTATTGACGCTATTGCCTTCATTATTCTCAGTGCCGATGGTTTGACTGGAAGAAAGACTTTGAATGCACATAAATTCTCGGCCGATTTCTTAATCTGCAACAGTAAGTTGATCATTTTCTCCTTTTTTTTAATATGACATTCTGATTCATATTTTTTTTTTGTCTCTTCTAGTTAACATTAGTACATTAATCGTTTGGTTCTTGGTCATGTTGATTTTCCATCCCAAACCTCAAGGTAGTACTTCTCAAGGAATGCAAAACCCTACCAATGATTTTCTCTCCAATGGCAAGCAACTCGATGGTTATCCAGGTTCACCACCCATGATGACTCAAGCATCTCAAGCATCAAGTGATTATTTACAATATACAAAATCTGTTGGTGTGTCTATTAATTCACCCTATCCAGCAAGTGCTACTTACCAATTGGGTCCTTTACCTCCTCCACCATCAGAAACTATGCATCATAATAATTCAGTAGCTTCTTCTACCCCATCAACGGCTACACTTGTCTCTTCACCCAATTATCAAGGCAGAAGATCAAAAGGTATGACTATGGATCCAACTGAAAGTATGATTGATGATACTACCCATTTACCACCTTATCGACCTGTTGGTAACAATCATACTCAACCACGTTCTGGTCCTGGAGCTGCTATCATGGAACCTATTTTATCAGAAGATGAAAATTCTCAATGTCGTCACTGTCATCAATGTCAGCAACAACCAACACATACCAATGATTCAACAATGCATACTATAGTCAATGTGGATAATGATCGAAATGAACGTTATTCAGGTGATGCTCTCTCTCTTTCTCACCGAGATACCACTTTCAATTCTATGGCAATGTCACATACATCTGAAGAAAAGCGAACTAGTCAAAATGAATCAATGATCACCAATCAACTTGCTGCAGACTCTGACACAGATGATACTGGTGTAGCGCCTAATAGAAACCCCAACTGGCAACTTTCTTTGGACTTTTCTGAAAAGGCAACAAATAATGTGAAACGGGAAAACTCTGATGATTCTATGTGGTTACATCAATCTCCAAAAGGTGTTGTGGGCTCTGGATAGAAACTGATCCAAATCATCCGTTTAGTTCATCATATTATATAGTTTTTCTTTATTCTTTTACTTATACATTTTTATTTTATTTTATTTATTTATTTATTTATTATTGTTCTTCTTCACACTATTAGTAGTTTACTCCTTTTCATCACTTCCTCCCTCTCCCTCTCTCTCTCTCTCTCTTTTCCTCTCCAATCATACATATGTTGATAAAGTTACCCATTTTAAAATAATATCTTCTCCTTTTCATTCACACACACACACACACACACTCAGACTGGTTTGGTCTAAGCCATTTTTTTTTATATAATAAAGATACTCCTTTCGATCAAGGTTACTATTATTGTTTCGTGGAATATTACCTATTATAGAGTCTTTCTCTCAGCCTCACTCTTTTCTTACGTGTCTTTTTTTTGTTTGGTAATGCATATCCTTTTTTTTTCTGAGGCCCAGATAAAAATTTAAATCGATTCGATCGGATTTCTCCTTCTCTTCTCCTTTTTTTTTTTTTTTTTGACATGGCTACAAGCTCTCCAGTTTCTGTGAAAGTACATGTATTCTCTGATTTTGACGGCACATTATGTTATGATGGTAAGAACTTTTTGAAAAAATTTTCTAGTTTACTAACCATTTTTTTTTATTATTGTATTAGATACTGGTGTACTCTTGATAGATGATCCGCGATCGTTAGGTTCTGAAAAAAGAAAACAGTTAGATAAAGCCATTCTAAATGGTCAACTGACTTATAGGTACATGAAACTTTGTCTTTGGGGTTTAGTTATATGATTCTCATTCCTTTTTTTTATTTTTATTTTTGTAGAGATGGTGTCAAGTCAATGTGGGATTCTGTTACAATGACAATGGAAGAGGCTTGGACTGATCATCTCGACAGTAAATTTGAATTTTTTTTTTTCGTGTTATCTTTGATACTAAAAAATTTTTTTTTTCTCTCTGGTTTGTTGAACATTTGATGATACATTCGTTTTGTAGAGGCTCGTGTTGATCGTGGTTTTCCAGAGTTTCACAAATACTGTCAAAACAATGATATTCCTATTACGGTAGTCAGCAGGTAAAATAATTAGAGAAAAAAAAAAGAAGTGATAATACTAAAATCATCTTGTTTAGTGGACTTTATCCTTTATTAGAAAGAATGATGATTAAGTTTTTGGGTGAAAACGATGCCAAGGATATCAAGATTATCAGTAATGATGTGCATATCGATGGCCGAAATTGGAATGTCCAATGGCATGATGACAGTCCTTATGGAAATGATAAATCTAAAGGTAAATGAAAAAAAAAAGAGGATCATCCTGAAAGTTGTAATCGTGTTCTCATTGGTCAGTCATGGATGATATACTTGTTTTTTTTAATTTTAGTTTTTAATTTTTTTTTTTTTTTTTTAGCTCTTCAACAAGCTCGAGAAAATTCTTCATCTGATACCATCTTCATCTTTTGTGGTGATGGGATTTCTGACATCTCTGCAGCCAAACATGCTGATGTCCTATTTGCAAGAAAAGGTCGTGATCTGGAAATCCATTGTCATCGTGAATCTATTCCTTTTATTCCTTTTGATAGTTTTGATGATATTTTAGTTGTACTCAATAGTTTAGTTACAGGAAAAGTTAGATTAGAACGTGATCCATCCACTGGTTTTTGTCGTATCGAATAAATAAATATTATGCACTTATCTGAGTTTGAACCACCACTTCCCCTCAACACAACCTTCATTGTGTCAAAAATAAGCGGGGTAATCTTGAAATGTAATCCTTCCTTCCCTTTCTCATATTCTTAATATGGTAATGGAATATATCTTTTACGATCAAACAACGAACTATATGGATTGGAAGAAGGAATCGTTTTTTAAGTTCGACGACAGATGAAAATAGATAGAGAGATAGATGGATGGATGAATGAATGGATGGATGGACGGACGGATACACGAATGAAAAAACGATTCCCAGCCCAATGTCATGTCGAAAAACCATTGTCATTGCTGATCTTTTTTTTTTTTTTTTTTTTTTTTAAAAAAAATATAGTCGCTCGTAGTTCCTGAACGGAATCAATTCCAGCACATTATTCGTCTTCTTAATACTAATGTGGACGGTAAGGACAAGATCACGATTGCTTTGACTTCAGTGAAGGGTGTGGGTCGTCGATTTGCTAATGTTGCATGCAAGAAGGCCGATGTGGATTTGAACAAGCGTGCTGGTGAATTGACCAATGAAGAATTGGAACGTATTGTGACCATCTTGCAAAACCCTGCTCAATACAAGATTCCCAACTGGTTCCTCAACAGACAAAAGGATATCATCGATGGCAAGTATTCTCAAGTTATCTCTAACGTATTGGATACCAAGATGCGTGAAGATTTGGAACGTATGAAGAAGATTCGTGTTCATCGTGGTCTCCGTCACTACTGGGGTCTCCGTGTCCGTGGTCAACATACCAAGACTACTGGTCGTCGTGGTAGAACTGTCGGTGTCTCCAAGAAGAAATAATATACTCGGTAATATAAAACTCATAATATGTATGGATCGGTGGACAATATTGATTTAGCCATCTCTCTCTCTCTGTCTTTTTTTTTTTTATTTTATTGTGATTAGTTCATAATAAACTACATTTTATTCATTATATGCAGAATGCGAGACGTCTACCTTGGGTTTATTTTATGAGGATGATTCATTGGGATGAACTTGCTGAAATCCGGTTAGGTTTTTTTTTTATTCTTGTGTATTGTGTATATATGTATATTGTCTATGTGCGTATGATGTATATGATGTGTATTGTGTATTGTGAATTATGTATGTGTCAACTGTGAGATCTTTGGGATTCACCTGCAGAGTCTTTTTCATGGAGATGATATTCGTTCCCCGAAGCCTTTTATATTTTTTTTTCGTGATTTTTTTCTTTTCTTTTTTTCTTTTCTTCCTTTGCTCTTTTATTATTTCATGTTAGTAATGTATTATGTTTCCTGATGATCCTAAATCAACCGCTTTTCCACTCTTTGAATCCACCATTCTGAATCAAACAGTCACTTCGATTACCTGGAGTCCTTCCAATGATCTATGTGTTCTTGTTTACCAGGACAATTCTATATCGTTATGTCGTGCTACTACAGTATCTATCTGGACTTTTTCTGACTTGAAGTCAAAAGTGACAGCAATCGCTTGGCATCCGAATGGTAATATCAACTTTAATATTCTATCTTTTATATTGTCATCGATCCGTCACTCATCCTTTTTTTTTTTTTTTTGAACTCTTATGGTATAGGTCAAGAATTCGTTGTTGGTTGTCTTGATGGTACTATTTATCAAGTTAGTGCAATTAAATTTATACCAAACTTTATCCTTTGTTGGCCTCCTTGCGATTGTGTATCAAATCCTGCTGATGGTATATCCTCTCTTCTATGGATTGATTACTCTCCTGATCTACCTACTGTTATTGTCGTAAGTGATGGTGTTTTGTGCTCATTCTTATTTTAGTGTCTACTATTCTGAATACTTATATATATTTGATTACTGTTAGCCTGGATTTGATCCAACCGCTTTTGACATGCAAAGCCATCTACCTGCCCTGAGCATGGTGCCACCCGAAGAACCAGTGTATGTTGAATAACAAAGATATATTAACTGATGCTAACTTTTCATTTTCGATATAGATCTTTGACTCTATATGCAAGACATATAAAATCAAAAGATACACAGCTTCCATCTCCACCTACTTGTCTGGATAAAAAACATTCATTGCTACTCATTGGCGATCGAAATTCATCTTTGCACCTCAGGTAATTGTTGAAAGAAAGGAAATTGTGGGTAATGATATATATATATATTTTTATATCGGATTTGTATTACTATAGTCTCAATGCCGGGTATCATATTGGAACAATCCGCTGTACTCAACAAATTTCAGTAAGACTCTCTATATATAAAAGGATATTCGTAAATGAATTCTTTTTTTTTAACTTCATTTTATCTAGAAAGGATCCATTAAAAACATCAGCTTATCTCAAAATGATTCTACGATTCAAATCCTGATACAACATACTGGCACAGCCAATTATGAAATGGTGACATTGAACAGTCAGTTCTTACAATCAAAAAAACTCCCATTATGCAATGTAGCGACAATCGAACGTCAAATCAATTATTTACTTCAGTATATTCATCAATGTACAAAAGCTTTGGAAGCTCATCGTACTGTTTACGCAACTTTGGCCAAAAGGAACGTGGAAAGAATCTCTGACATTGTAAAACAAGGCAATAGTAAGTGAAAATAAACAGGACAAATATGGGATACTTATTCATCTCGTGTGGTGATCATAGGTGAACTTTTACCTTTACCTCACATTGAACTGTTGGGTTTGCTCGTGACTGGAAATTTGAATGGTGCCTTACCAGAATACTTTAGTGAAGAAATGACGCAGCAGGTAAGAAATAAGGGAAGAACAAATCACTGACGGATTATTGATCCATTTTTTTTTTTTTTTTTTTTTGATACATAGAAAGCAACACAATGGGAAACAAAATCTTTACATAGTTACTCAAGAATACAACGCATCATTATTGAATATCTTCAACCAGCATCTGAACGTCTCTTATTGAACCTCAGTCAACTACATGGATATGGATTATGGTATGATCAAGGAATGAGCATCATATTTTGTTCCTACTTCGCTATTCTTACCTTTTTTTTTTTTTAATTCTTCTCTTCGTAGGACGGAAAGATATAGTGATCTTTTATGCTCGGACACTATCACTACTGCCATTGAACTCACTAGACATTATCTATGGATAACTCAACAACTTTTACAAGATACTGGAAAGGCATCCCGAAGATTCGAAGAGTTTATCAAATGGATCGTCCGCGGTAAGCAATTGAAATAAAAGGTGGAGAGAATGTTTCTAGTATCTTTGATATATTATCTTATATATTATTTTTAATTTTGGTGAATTATAGTGGTACAAAAAATAGCAGATCAAGGTCAGACCGATTATATGAACAATCCATCTGGTCCCCTATATCAAAATCCGAACCTCATTGTGGACTACTTGTTGAAAGATTTTGGCTTTGATAGCTTGGCATGTTATTTTGATGATATCGACCAAAACTCACCGCTCACAATGGAAATAGGTAAAAAATGATTTTATTATTCAACGTTCGATGATTACTAATATCTACTTATAGATGAACCGCAGACAATTAAAAATGATGTGTCCTCTTCCAATATCACGCGTTCACTTCGATCCGCATACAATGACATGGCCAAACACTGTAAGACGATCTTGGAGGAACCGGCAAATACAATGTCTCATCTGATCACACCGTTGGATACCATCCATTTGGATTTATCGCCTACCATCAATGCTGACAAATCTTTACACACTTTTTCGAATGAAACACCTGGACGAAATGAAGCAGCGAGATTGATTGAAAGCAAAGTAAAGAAAAGAAAAAAAAAGATTGAAAAACAGCAGATCTTTGATTTGAAATAACTGATGCTTACTTTATATTAATTTATAGGCAAAGATGGAACATTATTATGCTTTTGTTAAAAAGGGCTTTTGTGGCAATGACCAAGGTATACTTGACTAGGTTTTTTTTTTTTTTTCTTTCTTTGTCTTTTTCTAATTCTATATGCATATTCCCTATATTAGTTGTCATTGTACGGATCATCTGGAAGGAAAAACACAAACAAAGTCATTTACATTCTGTAAACTTTGCCCTCCGTAACGAATGGGTTGCCAAGGAAAGCTGTGTGATCAACCTCGGTCAAAGATGGTGTGTATCGGATATAGAATTCATGGATGATAAGGAGCTGGCTCTTATTCTTCAACAATGTCGAAATACATCATCATCAACGGCAACAACAAATGATGGTCCATACTATGGGTGTAGTTACTTGGCAGCAATCGAATTTGGAAACCTGTCTTTTGTTCCATTGGATGTCACCATTCCTTTTATGACCTCATCACCACAATATCAATCCTTAGTAAGTCATTAATAGAAAAAAAATATTTTCATCAGTGCATGTATATGATGTTTATATCATGATATTTGTAGGATAATGTTACATCAAGGTATACGCAACTACTGAATATGGAAGATGTAATTATGGGCACCAATGGACGTGAAAAACGACGGATATTGGCTGTGGCTTCCAAAAATAGAATATACCAAGTCATGGAAATGGATGAACAAGATGATGAAAACGAAGACGAAGTTTAATATTATATATTCTTTTATTTAGTTCATCTCCCTCTTTGTTTTTTTTTTTATATCCTTCTAGCTTATTGTAGTATTTTTTTTTTCTTCATGCCAAAAGTAATAAATTTTTTTTTATTTTATAGTGCTCTACTTTTTATGCCCTAGTTATTAAGATGATATTTCAAATGTAGGTTTGCAACCGAAAAGGAGTAATCGGATTACAGTAACCAAAAGGTTTGAGCAATATCCTTATCTAACAGATGATGGTCCTCGTTACTTTAATAAATTCATATCATACTTTTTCCCTCCTCAACCAAAGGAATAATAATAATAATAATAACATTTCAAATCGCTATATGAATAATCTATAAAAATGAACTATTAATCATCGTTTCTCATAAAAATAGGGTGATATCGTCTTTATAACATTGGTGTCACTGCTTCATATCTAGAGATCATCCATTACTTAGAAGATATCAAAAAGTAAACGAATAACAAAGATCACTTTATTTAAAGAATGCAAAATGGGGAATAAGGGAAAATAAAAACAACTATGTATAATAACAGTATATAAAAGAGAGGGGTATTATTTATGAAGTGGTCATTGATGTGGGTAATCTTTCACGAGATTGTCGTTTCCTTGCTGCTTGATTGGTTACTACCCGATTCGTCCGATGTTTCAACTTTTGTAATCCTAGTAGAGTAGTCATTGTCATGATGATAAAGGAGCCGAAGATCGTATGACTATCTGAATATTCCTGGAAAAAGAAGGACCCTGCCATCCATGCAAAGAGAATGTCGGAGCCACAAGTGAAGATACCAATCCCAGTAGGTGCCAATTTGAGCCTAATAATAATAATAATAATAATAAATGGGATGAATTGAGTCATATTATTCATCCATCTATTTATATATATATGTTACCCTTTATTTAATAAGCATTGTCCAATAAATGCAAAGACACCGACTAATAACAAGTAAGCAACAGGAATCCAATCGGAAGGAAGATATAGTTTTTGGAAAAGAAATAAACCTGGAGGACTGATGAATGTTGATATGGCACCAAAATAAACCGAATGGACCAAAAAATGAATGTTTTTCCCTACCTTACGAACAGTGATGTAGGACATGGCAGACATGATAGCACCAAGAAGAGCACATTCAATACCAAAATGAGATGTTTTTTCTGGGACCAAGTTGAAAGTAAAGAATAATCCTGGCTTTGTCACAAATACCACACCAACAAGACATGATATAGAACATAGAGTATCCAAACTGGTAAATCGTTCATCAAGGGCAATGGATGCAATAATAGAAGTAAATACAGGTCCTAAACTGAATAAAACTATAGATAGAAAGTTAATTTTTTTTTAATCATATAAAAAAGAGTTCAATTCATACCTGTAGCATCCAATAAGGGTAAAGTTGTCAAACTATAAAAAAAGAGAGAAAGACCAATAGACATGACAAGTGCACGAAATAATAACCAACGACGAATACCAATATTACCCAAAGGATTGATCTTCCCTATACCACATGTCACCAAAGATAAGAATAGTTGTACAATAGATCTTGCAAATACAATTTCAAAAGAACCAAATGATTTTTCACTAGATAGTTTGACACAAGCAGACATGGCAGTAAAAGACAATGCAGAAAGACCCAAAAGAATAACACCAAGTCGTTCCTTTCGTCTTTGTAAAGTATCATTAGATAATGAGATAGTACGTTGTTGTTGAGATAGAAGAGGAGTTGATTCATTTAAGATAGTGACACTTGGAGGAACTGGTCTCCAAACAGTTGAGGATACATTACCATTGATAGTTGGTATATCTGAAGAGTTTTTTGGATTCATTTGAAAAGTTGTTATGTAATAGCCAAACAACTATTCTTTTTTTTTTTATTTTTATTTTTCCCAATTGAAAGAACAGCAATAATAATAATAATAAAAAAAAAAAAGAAGAGAATTAAAATAAAAACAAAAAGTTCAGACTGGGTTTTTAAAAAAAATTGAATGAATTTTGGCTATTCAAATCAATTGACAATAAGGGATCCACTCAAATGACAAAGTAAAAAAAAAAAATCTCTCTCTGTCTCCTTATATATCTTGCATTTTGACCCTTGATTGTTAAGTTTATATGTAAACTAAAAAAGAAGTATATATATCAATACTTTTATCCATTACAATATAATTTAATCACACATCCTTAATAACAATTTTAAAACTTGTCATATGTTTGAATTTATTCCTTTTTATAAAAGTTTGAATTAGAGAAATGATTACTAGATAATAATAATGAATGAATGATTTCCATCTTGACCATGAATACGTTCAAATCAAATCGGCCTTTGAAACACGGTACTTGATTTTCAACAAGAAACAAAAAAAAAAAAAAAAAAAAAAAATTAGGAGCAGGTGTTTTTCTTTTTCTTTTTCTTTTTCTTTCTTTCTTTGTTTTTTTTATTTTTTTTATATTATTATGAACTATTTACATTCACCTAGTAGACTTCATAATGTTAATTCAAATAGTCCATTAAACTTATTTGATAGTCCATCATTATCTGGTCACCGTTATTCTGATCATTTTACAACTCTCAGTTGCGAGTCCCCCCCTCCTAACTTTGATGATCTCCGAACCCCATTGCCTCCTCAACGACGTACTTTGGATTGGACTACTGATTTATTATCTTCGACAAAACGTGCAACTGAACCTTCACCTGGACGACAATTACAAAAAAAGACGCCAACTACAACACCATTGGAATCCAACAACAACAACAACAACAAAACTAATCCATCTTCCATCTCCAATACCATCTTTTCTCCTATTAGGAAAACAGAACCTTCTTCATATCTTAGTCCTATCAACAACAACAATAAAAACAACATATCTCCTGTGGAAGCATCTTCTTATGTTGATAGTTACAACGTATCTTCTCCTCTGAAAATTTCACCTTATAAGGCCGTCGATACTTTCACTAGTCAATCTACTTCTTTGAAAGTTTCGCCATATAAGAATTTGAATGAAAATACCAACAGCTTATCTCCTTTGAAATCTTCCTACAAGACCATCAATAATTCTCATGCTGGTTCCTCTTCTCTGAAAACAATATCACCTTACAAGAATTCAAACACTGAAAGTAATATCACTAGTCGAACATCTCCTCTCAAATATAGTCCTTTGGCCGAAAAATACAACAACAAAAGCCCATTGGAACATGATTTTACTTCAAAGAAATACATCACTTCACCAATGAAAAACGCCAATCATCTTATGAATAGTTCTTCTACGCCTTTGTTCAGTAAGTCTCCTGCAAAAACGCAATTGTATGAATCCAGTCCAATACATGATGACCTAGTTTCTCGTCGACCTTCCAACTCTCTTGATGATTTTAAGGCTACTCCATTGAGTGATGCTAAACATGATAATGAACCACCTACTTCAACTCCTCCGCGTCCACCTCAAGCCCCAACTACCTATCGAAGTCCTGTTTACAGCAATTCTTCCTACAAGCCTTCCGATAAGCAGCAAACACCTATTCATCAACATCACAGTCCTCTTTTTACTCGAGATAATGGACAAACTAATATTGTACGAAGCTCAGCTCACTTGGCATCATCATCATCATCATCACCTCCATCCACAGAGCAAGCAACATTGAAGAAGGATAATATTCATCAATCATCAACAAATGACTCTTCATCGACTGATATGAATGGATCTAATAACAACAATGATGACACACAATCACTTCATCCTAAACATAAGAGTACAACATCCCAATATCCAAAACGACAAAAATCAAATCGAATCCATCCTACATCTATTGAACAACAACAACATCAGCGTCGTGGCGAACTTCCTCATTATATGCTTGCAACAGCATCGTATCAAAGCAGATTACATTCTCTCACCGATCACGATGCCAAATTACATAAAACAAAATCAGGTGGTGTAGTGGTAAGTGATGCCTTTTGTAGAAAGAGGAAAAAAGAATAGATTGATTGGATTTAACTTTTTTTTTTTCCCTTTTTATTTGATTATTTGACTAGAAACGAACAAGTTCATCTAGGATCCCACAATTTCGATCCACCACCAAGATCAATGCCATTGATGATATCCGTAGTGAAATGACCCCAGAAGATGTATATATTCCCCTGGCCGCGCGTGTTAAATTATTCGAAAAGGAATTGGGAAATGGATCCAAAACTTACAATCAACGTTCCTCACAGGTAATCCAAGTGGCTCTCTTTCTTTCTCTATATAATATCGATATGAACTTTTTTTTTTTTTTTTTTTTTTTTTTTTTTTTGATAGAGTGAAAATACTATGAGTCATACAACACGTCTAACAAAACCAAAATCACCACATTTATTAACGCGTGAACGATCAACCAATTCAAGGTAGGTATTGTATATATATATATATATATATATATATATGTAAGATCTTTACCATCTCTATTCATTATATGGATACTAACTTTTTTTTTTAAAAAAAATAGCCATTATTGTTTCAATGTTGATGATCAATCTAGTGTATCAAGTTCTACAAAAGGATACCGTAGATTACACCATCGATCTGAAACCCCACAGTATGAATCAAAGGATTTATTGGATGGAACAAGAATCAAGAAAGAAAAGAGTGATGATTCATATACAAGTCGACTTGGAAAACGAACATTATCTACTGCTTTGGAGGTAAGTGTTTCTCATAGAATTGTAGGGATGGATTTTGATGGATTCCATTCAATTTTTATAGGGTGAACAACATAATGATGGTCAAGATAATCGATTATCTGAACAAAAAAGAAGTAAACATCATCATCATTCAGTGCAGGTGAAGGTAAAAAAAAAAAAAAAAAGAAAAAAAAAAGAAAGACTGAATTCATTGATATTTTTGTATCATTAGCCATTCCATTTTGCCACAGATGATCGCGCAGCTCGATATCAACAACTTTTCCGTGCCAAACTGAATTTATGGAAAGAAAAAGAATTCAAGGAAAATAGGCGATAGACTAGACAAAATGTTTTTTTTTTTTTTTTACTATTAGTTTATCATTTTTTTTTTTACTTATAATTATTATATTAAATATCGTTTTTTTTTATTTTATCCATTCTTTGTATTCGTTTTGTTTCAAGTGAATTCAATCGGGGAACGAAATCTCATGCTGTCATCTTTTTTTTTTTTTCACTTTTGTGTGGGTGCTTGGGCCTTTTTTTTATTTTTCTCACTCTCTCTCTCTTTTTTCTGTTTTTTTCTCTCTATCTTCGATTTTTTTTTTTCCTTTTCTTTTCTTTTTATCTTCATATATTTATATACAATTGTACAGTAGAGAGTATGGAAGAAGGAGGCAGATACAATACTTACTTGAATCCTTATTCCAACAATGGGAATAATGCTAGTGGAAGTGGTGGTAGTAGTAGTGGTATAGGTTTGAGTGGAGCATCAGGTGGCCCAATACGCAGAGGTCATCGTGACCCTCGAAGTAGACGTAACAATGATCCATATGGTAAAGCAAAAGAAGAAGAAGAAGAAAAAAAAAAAAGAAACAAATGTTCATAGTCTTTTCTTTATTTTATTTTATTTTTATTTTATTTTCTTTGTCCTTTCCTCTTGCTTGAAAATTATCAATTTACCTTTTTTCTTTCTTTTATCACATTGTCTTTTTTATATTTGTCTATATTTTTTTGATTGTCTCTATTTCTCAATTCTTTTTTATTTTTATTATTATTATTACTTTGATGTATATACTGGTTGATTTGATATGTTATAGGTTTACATCAAAGACATGGTCATGGTCGAATGGATCCTAGAGATGAAGAAAAACCTTGCCGGACCTTATTTGTTAGGAATATACAGGTATTTTTTTTTTCTCTTAATAATAATAATAATACTTATGATAACTTACTATATATATATATTCTTTCATCACATTTTTTTTTTAGTTTGATACCACACCAGAAGAGATTTGGAATGTGTTTGGTCCATATGGAGACATTAAGGAAATATACAACAAAGTTGAAACCAGAGGACTTGCCTTTGTTCATTATGTAAGTATCATTTTTTGTTTTTGTGAGCAATCCAATAATGATTCTTCTTTCTTTCTTTCTTTCTTTTTTTTTTTTTTTTTTTTTTTTTTTTTGATAGTATGATTTACGATCAGCTGAACGTGCCAAAGCAGATTGTGATAATATCAAAATTAAGGATAGAAATTTGGATATCCATTATTCTCTACCAAAGGATGATCTTCGAGTCATCAAATGTGATGAAACAAAAAATCAAGTATGAATATATATATATATATAGTGAATGACATATTGAATTTGATGTTTTTTTTTTTTTATTATTATTAGGGCACATTATTATTATCCTTGAATGGAAGTCAATCTTCTCTTGTTGATAGTGAATTATATGAATATTTCAAAAAGTTTGGTGATGTCAAAGTTATTCGAACTCCTGCATTCAAAACATATACTGAAAATACAGAACGATGGTAAACCAGAAAAGAAATAGTTTATTAATGCTAAATTATGTTACTTATTATTATTATTATTTTATTCTAGGCAACGGCTGGTAGAATTTTATGATTCCCGTGATGCTGTCCGAGCTGCTACTGCCACTCACAAGCAAAGCTACAAAAATGGTATTTGGGATGTGACCTACTTTTGGGATCAACCGCCAAGGTAATAATTAAAAAAAAAAAAAGGTAAAATTTATTTATTGTATTTCATTTCATCTTATTAGACAACGAGATACTTCACCTTCTCACCGTGCCGATAGATTTCGACGCCAAGATACAAGACATCATCGTGAAAGAAATGATTATCGTCAAGATAGAGAACGCACAGATCATCATCAACATCATTACCCATCACCATCAAGTGCTCCACCGCCACCTCACTCTATTCAATCAGTAAAAAAAAAAAATAAGATTTGGCTCTTTATGATGATGATGGTATATTGAAAATGGTGTATTATTTTTAAATGATAGGAATCAAGCAATATGACCAACGCACAAAAAGCTCAACAGGTAATAAATATCAAGAATATGAAGAATATAATCGAAATTGATTTTTTTTTTTTGATATGATTTATATATATATATATATATATAGTTACTTGCATTATTAGCTCAACTCCAAAATGTTCAGAATACAGCTCAACAACAACCATTGCAACAACAACCACAATCATCTGGGTATACAGTACCAAACCTTGCTCAACAACAACCGCAACTATCACAACCATCTGGATATACGGTGCCAAGTTTTACTCAACAGCAACAATCACAACCATCTGGATATACTGGAACAAGCACTATTCCCTCTCAACAACAACAATTACCACTAGGACAAGGACAAAATCAAATTCAACAATTAATGGGATTATTGGTAATTGTCTTATTTTAATACTGAAAGAGGGTTATAATACTCAATTTTTTTTTTTTTTAATTAGAGTCAAGCTACCGGTGTGACACTTCCAGCACATGGGAATCAAAATCAACCTCAACCTCAACCAATGGTACAACAAAACTATCATCCACAGTATTCTCCTCAACATCTTAATCAACCACAAAATCAACAACAGCAACCTTATTTGAATCATCCTACATCTCCTCACAAGAATACTGGACATCCTCCGTATAATCCATAGTTAATTCTCCATACATGCTTTAGTGATTTAGTTTCTTACTTTAATAGTCCTTTTCTCCTTTTATATATTATTTTTCAAAAATAAAGCACTTACAATGACACGATCCGCATATTCATTTTTCTTTTTTTATTGAATACTTTTTTTCTATTGATTGATTTTTCACTATGCATGTCCAAAAAAGGCTATATCACAATTCCATCTACTTTGAATCAAACGGTTGAAGGTGGAATAAAGAATCTTGTCTGTCAAATATGTGAATAAAGTAAATCAAAATATCAACCGGGTCTTTTTTTTTTAAAAAAAAAAAAAATAATAAGAATAAGAATAAGAATATTTTCTTTTTCATTTTATCTACAAGTGTTATTTGAGTTTTTCTTTGTATATAGAAATGATGGAACAAAATAATAGAATACATATAGTGATTCATTGGATAAGAACATTTGTTTTGATTTTATCTATTCTGATCATCATCACGTCTCTTGGTCGATATAGTAAAGAAACGATTCCACTGTTTTCGTTGTTACACGATCATTCAACACAGACAGAAGAGTTTAGACAAGCAATCATCCAGGACCGAAGATTGATTGCTACATTGGTGGCAGCTCAAGCATCCATCATCTGTCCATTATTTCTTTTGATAGGGAACCAATCGTTTTTTTTATTGACTAGCCAAGATCATCATAGTGAATTGACACAATTCTGGCGAACGGCTTTGGACCTTTTATGTCAATTCCTTATGCCTTTAGGATTGGCTCTTAGTTGGTTGTTTTGTATTTCTTTTGATCAAAAAACAAATATGATTCAAAGTCATACCATTTGGTCTTATTTGGACACTTCTCTTTTTTTAACAGGCAATCTTAAATATATGATGGTCATCGCTTTGGTTTTAGAAATGGCATTTGTTTCTATAGCTTGGATTCAACTTTGTCTTTCTAATCAAAGTAAAAAGGAACCTACAGAGAAATTATCATCAAGTTTATTATTGCTTCCACATTGATTCTCCTTACAGGAGGTATATTTGTTTTTCCATTTCCGATGGGTATAATTTTGGATCATATAAAATAAAAAAATTTGATTTTTTTTTTATTCAAACAATTTCATAAAAAAAAAAAAAAAAAGGAGAAATCTAAATAATCTATAACTTGGCAAGCACAGCTTCAGCACCAGATACAGTTACTCCACGAGCAGGTTCAACACCAATATATTTCACCACTAAATCATCCACGACAATAGCAAAACGTTTGGATCGGATGCCCATACCATTCTTAGTCAAGTCTTGATCCAAACCAAGAGCCTTTGAGAATTCAGCACTACCATCACCAGCCATGATCATTTTATCCTTAACCCCACTGATTTTACCAAATGCATTCATGACAAATCCATCCGTCACTGACAGACAAATCACATCACTAACCCCTTTTGCTTGAAGAGCATCGATTGAATTGATATAACCTGGTACATGGGTATTAGAACAAGCTGGTGTAAAAGGTCCAGGAATAGCAAATAAAACCACTTTTTTTCCTTTAAGTTGTTGATGAATTTTATAAGGTTGAGGACTAAAAAAAAATGATATTGCAAAAAAAAAAAAAAAAACAAAAAAAAAATTAAAAAAAAAAGATTGTTTCATTTCTTTATTTACTTACAGAGGACAGGCCTTTAAATCTTCATTAGGAGTGTATGGAACATATTGAAGTGTACCATCAGGAATCTATAAACATAAAGAGTGAGAGAAAAAAAAAAGGCGGAATATGTTAATTATTTAAACAATAAACCTTTGTTCCTTACTTACAATGTCACCAACTTGAATCTACATTTTTTTTAAAAAAGAAAAATAATAATAATAATAATAATATTAGAATAAAAGGATTAATATACCAAATAATATTAGAAGGAATTTAAAAACTACTATTACCATACTATGGAATAAAAGTCAAAAAAAAAAAAGATAAAGAAAGAGAAAAAGAGATAAAAAAAAAAAAGCTTAACTGTTTCCTTTTTACACTTTTTTTCATCACGTAAGCTTGGATGAAAGATGCCATTGAACTTTTTTCATTCACCGATTTCATTTGATTGGCCAAACTGAATTCATGTTCAAGCAAGGTGCTTTATTCTTTTCTTTTTTCTTTTCTTTTTTTTTCATTTTTTTTTTTTTCATTACTTTATACACGATATCTCAATGTCAAGGTAAAAAAGTGACATTGAATAAATAAACAAAATTGACTATATTTATTATTCACTTTTATAGATCAACTTTACATTCACGAATTCTTTACAAATTGGCAAATACAATGCCTAATATTCGACATAATGACATTGGACAAGATATAATGCATTTTTTATCCAAATGTCCTTCATTACCACAAGAGACTCCTCTTCTCAATTGTACAACTATATTTACACGAAAACATAGACAATCTTTTAACAATATTGGACGCATGGTAACCTCAAAAAGAAAAACCACGTGTTAACCAATATTCTTATCTCTTTTTTTTTTCCAATTTTTTTTTATGATGATAGACTAGAAGAACTCAAGAAGCTTTAGGTGCTTTTATCAATTATCTTATGGATGCTCCTCAATATTATCAAATACAAGAATTACCTAAATTAGTGAATTATTTACGATATCTTCAATTATATGATTGGGATTATCATGATATTCATGAAGGTAATATAGTTTATTATATCGGAATTGAAGTTACTTAAACATTATATTTGATATCTTGATAGGACTTATATTACCAGAAATTGTGACATATCAACTATATTCCGGTCTACTTTATCTTGCTGATGTCCTTTTAGATTCTCAAACCCTGATTATGAATATACTTTTATCTTATACGAAGTCTATATTGGATGAAATCAATAACAATGATTCAGTTGGTAATATATAAAAAGAAAAAAATTCCGCTTGATTCTTAATACTTACTTCTTACTTACCCTTTTTTCTTTTTTTACAATGAATATAGGTTATATTATATGCTTTGCTTTACCATCATTGGTCGGCATTTATCGAGCTCTACAACTTTCACCTTACAGATACACTTCATCACAATTGGAATTTATCTATGAACATGTACAACTATCAAGTAACCAAGCAACCATTGATATCATTCGAACTGCCATTACACAATGTCTCGAAACTGATGATCAACAATCTCCTAATCGACAAACTTTGATTACTTATTGGGAAAAGGACGAACCTATGACTTTTAATCGAACTGTTTATGATATCCTAGTCATCATCCGTAATGTATTGGCACGTAATATGGCATCATTACTCACTAGCAATAACGACGACAATAACAACAATAACAACAACATGGATAATAATAATAATAGTAATAGGCGTTCTCCTTCAACATTTATACCAATATATCCTGATTGTTGTGGACGGAAACCTCATTTAACTCAAGATATTGAATATGAATGGACACTTTTATTAAACAAAGCAATCAATGTGGATCATTCAACTGATAAACGACTGGAAGAAGAACAAGATAGGAAAGGTGCTTTGAATGAAAAGAATCTAAGGAAACTATATGCAACTTCGATGAGTTATTATCAGGATGTTCGTATGAATATGGATACTAAAGAGTCCAATGGGAACAAAACCAAGATGAAAACTCCTTATATGTTGGAAATCATGGGTACAAGTATAGTAAGTCAAGAAAATGAAATATATATATGTATATATAAATTCAGTAGATACTCATTTTTTTATTTATTTATTCATTTGGCTTTAGCAAGTTGCGACGTTGGTATCTATTGCCTTACATTTACCAGATGATGCTTTGGTTGGTCATATTGCTGATTGTCTATTCTCTGATTCTCGTTATGTCGATACTTGGATATATGTCTCTGCGTTGGATTCTGCTGTATTACTGGCCATCAAGTAAAATAAATTTTATATGGAAAAAAAGATTCTCATCTCTCTTTCTCATTCTTTTTTTTTTTTCTTATATAGCTTCCCACAATTCAATACTCGTATAACACAAATCATTTGTCAGTTTCTTGCCACTCCTTCCAACATGTTTGATACAGAAACAAAATTAGATGGTGATAAGGCGAGCCTTAGAAAGTTCGCTGTGGTTCGGCTAGCCCTATGTGTACAGGTACAAGAAAAAAAAATTAGAAATAAAATAAAACTACGAATAATATATTAAATTGTTGATTCATTTTATGTACATCAATTAAAAAAAAAAAAAAAAGAAAAAGGAATTATCATCAACCCAAGTACCTCAAGCTGCAATATCAATTCTTTATTCATTATTGAATGAAATCACTCATTACAGTCAAGATGAAGGTGGCAACATATCCTTGGAAACTACAATCAATAGACGGCGATTCCATGGTGTATCTTTGGTAGATATTTTAGATGAGAAACAAAGACGACAAGTATGTACCAATGTACTGTCAGCGATCATTGGTGTGGCTGTTTATCTCAAGGATGAATCTGTAAGTTGGACTATTAAGCATTTTCCTTGATGAATATTTTCTAACAAAAAAAAAAAAAATGCGATTCATTGATTTGTTAGATTATCTCTCAAGCACTTCCAATGTTATTATTAGAAAGAAGATCATTCTCTTTGGTAGCAGCAACATCAGTCTTATCAAGCTTAGGAGATTTGGCACTGGTGGCTTCTTCAAGTGTTTTTGAAGATATTTTGGGTGTTCTTTCCATGTACAGCCGGGAATATTTGCAATCTGATAATAAAACAATGTGGACTGATGTAAGATACCAAAAAAAAAAAAAAAAAAAAAAATGAAAACGACACTAATCAAAAAAATGTTTATTGAAAGATTGTAACAACTCAAACCACTCTGGCGAAACGAATATATCTACGACCGGATCTACAACAAATATATCTTACTAATATCTTATCACTCTTCTTGGAACATGGGAGCAAAATACAACAATTGGAATCCAATGGTATGCCTGCAACAAGATCATCAGATGTACCTTTGACTACGAAATTGGGTACGCTGTTGCCTATATTGGAAGAATTATTGAAGCACGATGATTTCAATCCTCAAGATGGTCCTATCACTGAAAGTTTAGTTTCTTTATACCGAAATTTTTGGATTCTATGTGTTTTGTTTGGATTTGTCAATAATACAATGTGGATTCGACAATGGCATACTGCATTGATGGTGATTGCTCAAAAGTCTCCTCTTCTGGTAACAGAGAGTGCCAAGGATTACTGGGAAGCCGATCTTGAAAACAACTCGATTCTTCGTGGACATGTGATGGAACAACAAGTCATGATGGGACGCTTGCGACAAGAATTGATCAATATCTTACCTTCCTATTCAAGCCAAATCAAAGGGTTTTCATTTGCTCAGGTGGTTCTTCTCCTTGGTGTTTATCATACGGAAACAAGACGTAGTCAAATGGGAAATGCAGGTTATATCCTTGGCTACTTTATGAATGAAACAGTGGGTCATGGTGCTTTGACAGGATGTTTGGAAGGCATATTGGATTCTGTATTGATGCATTATACCACTACATTGAAGACAAAAGCGGCTGAACAAACACTTGGCATGGATGTCAACAAACAACTCGTGGTTACCTTGCCACTTTTATGTCATCGTCTTGACAAAGTGCATACGTTAGCTTGTCAAGTAGTTGATCGAATTGTACATGCGCTTCCTCAAGTTTTTGCTGATAAATCGTTGATTATTTTATTACTGGAACTTGTACAATTGTTATGGCTAAGTTGTGCAGCAGAATTTAGAAATGAGGTAAAAAAAAAAAAAAAAAAAAAAAAAATAGAAAAAGAAAAATGATGAACTGATGATCTTTATTTTTTTTCTTCTTCTTCTTCTCTTTTAATAGTACAAGCCTGTTTATCAATTCACATCCAAGCTTGCCAAGGTGACTATTGAACTTGTTGATTCTTTCTCTTATCGAAGAAAACTATGCACTCAACTATGTGATTACGCAACTCGATGGCTATCCCTGTCTATGGAATGTTGTCCTTTGGAAATCAATGGACTATTACAAGATTATCTCTCTCAGTTCCATGACTTTGATGATGATGATACTATGGCGGTCGGTACTACTCATATGGGTCGGACTATTGCTTTACAAATAGGGAAAACAACATCCAAAGATCAAATATCAAGTGGTAATGTTTTGAACAAAAGGGAAAAAAAAAAAGAAAGAAAGAACAAAGCTGAAAGAAAAATCTTGATGATGAATATGTTACTTAATGTTGATGATTTTACTTTTCTATATCTATATATATATATATATATATATATATATTTAGAATTTGTTCCTCAAATACCTGGCATCCATCTAGATGATTCTTCCAATTTTGCATATGGGTTTACCTCAAGAACTTACTACACTGGTAAAGTAGCTGGTATTGATCACAGTAGTAGAGGTAATGAATGATTTGTGTATAATGAGAATAAATATGACTAGATCTATTCAACTTGAACTTTTTATATATACTATTTCATGTGATCAACAAAATAGGACAATACGACAATCATCCATCAAATCAAGCTGATTTCTTGACTTGTACATTGAAAACCTTACTGGACGATATCAAGGCTAAACGACAAGTACGTAATGACAGAATACATCGGCTCTTACTTTGCACCGCATCTTTTATCATTTCTCAGGAAAACGTAATCACAAAAAAAAAAAAAAAAATCAAACAATGATATTTTTATTTTTATTCATATAATTCTACGTAGACACATCTGGATATGGTCAATTATATCGTCCAGATTCCAGTTTATGCCTTTACACCAGAATCCCTTCGTAGTGGCACTAATGTATGGAATTGGATCATGATTGAACGACCTGATATAGAGGAACGACTTATGATTGAAGTATTGCGAATGTGGACCTGGGCTCAACGACATCGTCGAGGTTTATTCTCACCAATACTCAAGTAAGTTAAATTTTAAGGGAAAACATAATGAAATTAATTTTATTATTATTATTTCATTCGTCGATATTTAGCTTCACTAGTCCGTTTACGCAAAAAATGACATATCAACCATCCGATACAACAGACATGGATATGAAACACAAAAAGGCCATTATTTTATTCACTCCACATGAAATTTGGTTGAGATTTATCATCAGTCATTTCTTCTCCATTCGACACAAGAGCAGACATCTGGTCACTGTATCCATTCTTTTATTACAAGAATCATTTCAAAATGCTCATCTTATGAGGTATATATATATATATAAAAGATAGATTGATAATCTCAACTTTTTTTTTTTACGAAATATTTTTTTTTTTTTTACTTTCTTTGTATAGTACTCATCCAATGTCAAGATCAGCAAGATTTCAACTTTTATACTTGGGTATGCAAATACTATGTTCGGTACGCTTAGAATCCTTGGCAGAATGTAAAATTCGATCTCTTATCTATGATACTGCTTTCAATTGGTTCGGATTGCCTCCTAGGTAAGAGACAAAAAAAAAAAGGACTGTATGCTAGTCGTATTGACTCTTGTTTAACTTATTTTAGCTGTCGGTATGGAACATGGAAATCAACTGCATTGTTAGAGAAAAATTTCATGATCGATCTATACAAGTTGATAGAAAATGATACACCCAAACTCAATCATACATTATCAAGTTCTACTTCCTTCAACCCAAACTCAAGTGTATCATCTGGGTTACATTTGATATGCAAAGGTAATATCTGAAAATGGAAATAATAATAATAAAAAAAAAAAGCAATCATCAAATTTATTTTCCCTTTCTGTTTTTACCATTATAGGCAAAACAAGGGATGATATTTTACGTGATCACCAGTCATCAAAAAAATTGCTTCTTCTTCTTCTCGAAAATGAAATTTACAGTTGTACTGTTTGGTATAATCCTCTCAATGATGCTTCTTCTATCTTTGGTCTGGATGTTTTTCCACGTACAATTGAAAAATCCCTGAATACTGACGTAAGGATTAAACTTTTTTTAAAAAAAGAAAACATTTTATTTGACTAACATGATCTTTTTTTTTTAATAATCAGGATGCATGGAAGGATATGATTCGATTTGCTTGGATGAAACAACCTCGTATGGCTGTACAATTGGCAAGTCGCTTCAAGTCTCCTTCTATCTTGGTTGAATTGAAGAGATTGATTGCAAACAATGCTCTTGATGTGGTGGATTCTCCCGAAGCCTTGACAATATTACTTGGTGATGGAATACAAACAGATGTTCGCTTAGATTTAAGAGTAAGATATAATTCCTTTTTTTCTCTCTAACACACATTATTCATTCATCATCATTCTTTTTTTTTTTTTTTTTTTAAAAAAAAAAAATAGTATTTGAAATATTGGGCACCAGTACCGGCGATAACAGCAACCAATTATTTCTTACCATCTTATGGCAACCAGCCGATGATCCTGCAATATGCGATGCGGAGCTTGGAACACTATTCTGTTGACATTGTGTTTTTCTACATACCCCAACTTGTACAAACTATTCGTCATGATGATTTTGGTTATGTAGAACGTTATATTATGAAGGCAGGTCAAGTATCACAGTTGTTTGCTCATCAAATCATATGGAATATGAAAGCCAATTTTTATTTGGATGCTGATAAGGGATGTGAAAAACCTGATCCTATGAAACCAACGCTTGAACGCATTATCTATAATCTGGTCAGTTCCTTTGCTGATGAAGATCGACAATTCTATGAACGGGAATTCAAGTTTTTTGGTGATATTACTGCCATTTCTGGTTACTTAAAGGAATATATAAAGTTGGGTCAAAATGAAAAAAAACCAATGCAGAAGGTACAAAAAAAAAAAATATGTTAGAACGTGGTTTAAAAAAAAAAAAGGAATTTATTGACTAAATATATATATATATATGATTTATTAGAAACGATTGGATGAAGAACTTGAAAAGGTCAAGGTGGATGTTGGTGTTTATCTTCCTAGCAATCCAGATGGTTGTGTCGTCGATATTAGTAGAACATCTGGCAAACCTTTACAAAGTCACGCCAAGGTAAGACCTAATATAATATAAGAAAGAAAGGAAAAAAAGAAATAGGGTGAAAATGATAGAAAAGGAAAATAAAAAAAAAGAAGTACAAATGAGACTAAGAAGAATGACTTTTGCATCCATCTCATTTTTTTTTATTCTATATTATTTTTATATATGTATATTGATAGGCACCTTTTATGGCAACATTTTTGATCGAGAAAGAAAAGAATGATCAAGATTCGACTTCTGATAGTAAAATACTGGCAACATCCAAGAAATTACCATTGACGAATGATACTATTGAAACTAACAACAATGATGATAACAATGATAATGTTGATGACAAGAATGTTAATATTGGGAATAACAGTAATAATAATAATAATAATGATGATGATGATGATGCAAGTCGTACAACATTTCGTATATGGCAAGGTGCTATTTTCAAGGTGGGTGATGATTGTCGACAAGATGTATTGGTGCTTCAATTGATTGCAGTATTCAAGAAAATCTTTCTCAGTGTGGGACTTGATCTTTATGTCTATCCTTACCGTGTTGTGGCGACTGGACCTGGCTTGGTAAATGAATGAATGAATGTAAAAAAAAAAATAGACATTTTGACTGATATTTTTTTTTATTATAGGGTGTCATTGATGTATTGCCTCAATCCATATCTCGAGATCAATTAGGAAGAGAAAAAGTAAATAGTATTTATGATTATTTTGTGGCGAAATATGGAGGACCCAACTCGGTACATTTTCAACGTGCTCGTATGAACTTTGTCCAAAGTTTAGCAGCTTATTCGGTGATCTCTTATCTCTTACAAATCAAAGATAGACACAATGGCAATATTATGTTGGATGATAAAGGACATTTAATCCATATTGGTAAATTTGGAGAAAATAATCATCATCATTATTTGTTCATTTTTTTTTTTTTTTATTTTATTTTAGATTTTGGATTTATTTTTGATATTGCACCTGGTGGTGGTATTTTGGAAAGTTCACCATTTAAACTTACAACGGAAATGATACAAGTGATGGGAGGTCATTCTGAACAACAACCTTTCAAACAATTCTCAGAATTAGTGGTGAAGGCCTACTTAGCTTGTCGACCTTATGCGGAAGTGATTATACAACTGGTTCAACCTATGCTTGAATCTGGATTACCATGCTTTAAAGGGGATACCATTCGACGAATGCGAACAAGGTTCCAAACTGACAAATCTGATCGTGTGGCTTCTGATTTTATGATTCAACGTATCAAGGATTCATTTGAAAATCAAAGGACTGTACTTTATGATTATTTCCAAAAAGTTACCAATGGTAAAAATATATATATATATATATACAGATAAATCATTATTTATGTATATTCATTATTTATTTATTTTATAGGTATTCCTTATTGATAATGTTAGTTTATTATTTAAAATTAGAATAGATTATAAAAAAATTTTTTTTGAACGTTGTGCAAAAGTAATTTTTATTTGATGATTGGTTTATTGAATTTTTGTTGATAAAGGAATTCCCATCGTAACGGACATGAAACAGCGGACTTTGGACTATGATTGTTGTTTACAAACAGAGCAAAAAAAAAAAGTGGGGAAGAGTCCAATGAAAAGGTACAACTTGATGATGATGTGTAGATGACATGTTCCAATGAAATGTATTCACAGTTAAAAAAACACTTTGTATGAAGGATGTTTCCTAAAGAAAAGGAAAAAAGAAATGCACTGAACCAATTGTTTGGCTTATCTGCGTTTGGCCGATCATCCAATCATTTTGGTTTTATAACTTTTTGCAAGTTCTTTTTTCTTTTTTCACCAACTGGGATAGATGATCACAAGATCATTACATGTTAAGTCAAAATTTAAAAAGAAATGTTGATATACTTTTTCGCTTAGCCGAAAACCCACCAACTTCCTTTTGTGGTATGTCGTCGGGAGTTGATTTCTCACGCAAAAAAAGGTTCATGGAAAAATGAAATGAGAAACTATACCTAGCAAATATCATATTGAAAAATATAACAATAAGAACATAATCATCCAGTTAAAAAAAATATTATTACTATGGTAAATTTAAAATGTCATTTTGATTGTAATGTTTTAGATTACTTGGATAATCTTGTAAAAGGAGGGGTAGAGAATGTCAACCAATCAAAATCTCGGATGGACTCACAAAAAAAAAATACTTTTTTGTTTTTCCACTTTTTTCTTTCCTTATCTTTGTTTTTCTTCTCCCTTTTCTTTTCTTCTTTACTTCTTACATTATCTATTGGTGTGGATGACCAAAGCGACAAAATCAACTATCGACAAACCCAAACGAGTCAAAGTCACCTTGGCTTGTGTGATTTGTAGAAAGAAAAAAGTCAAATGCGATGGTATTCAACCTTGTTGTTCTCGTTGTAAAGCTATGAAACTTTCTTGTGAATTCTCTGAAGCACCTAGAAAACGAGGTCCTCCCAAGAATCATGTTGAAGTCATTGAAAACCGTGCTCATCGTATTGTATCTCTACTTGGTAAAGATACTTCTCGTCGTCCTCCAACTAATACTTCCCCTTCTTTATCACCTTCTCCTCCGACAACAACAACAACATCTTTTGTTTCATTTCATCTTACTACAACAAATGCTCTTTTAAACTTGGTTATTGGTGCTGTGGATGCTCTAAAGGAAAAATGGAAAGCTGATTGTATTCTTACTGGAGGTCCTATGGTAAATAAATAATATAAAAATAAATAATGGACTGACTACTTTTTCTATATATATAATAGACTAGTCTTGCTCATGATACTCTTCCTCAAAGATTCAAATTACAGCTAGCGGAAAAGTATTTTGCCAATTTCAACCTCTTCTTACCTTTACTTTCACGTCATCATTTTCTTCATCGACTTGTTCATCAACCTGATGAAATGGATCCTCTTCTTTGTTATGCTGTATGTGCTATGGGTAGTCGTTATTTGGAACATCGTGATGATATGGAACGACTTTATTTTGAACACTGTTTATTACTTTTTGAAAAGCTCAAAACAGATGAACCTACTTTAGCTAGTGTTCAGGTAATTATCATTATATATTATATAAAGAAATCTCATCAACTTTTTTTTTTTTTTTTTTTTTTTTTTTTTAGGGTGTGATTATTATGTGTTGGTATACATTTTTGATGGGTGATTTCAAGAAATGCGCCTGTCTTCGTCGACATCTAGTGGATTATGTACGACGGTTAAATCTCGGCTTCAACGCAGATCCTTCACTTAGCATTGTACAAACTGAACAACGACGACGAACATTTTGGGTGATTTACGTGACAGATGCTTGGCTCTCGTTTTATACTGATGCTCGATTGATCAATATGACTAAGGAAGGATGGAATATCAAGAAACCTATTTTGGAAGATAGTCAACTAAAAGCAATTGATAGTCGCAATTTGAAATGGTCAAGTGAAGAACAACAACCACAAGTCTTACGGGACGAAACAACTGAAGCAGCTCTACAAATGCCATCCTTTGAAGAATTAATTCAACTCGCTTCGATTGTTGGTGATATGTTTGATTATTTACAACCTTCAAGTGATGGACAACAACGTCAACCTGCACAACATCTCGAATCTCAACTTGTCGATTGGTTCTTACATCTACCTTCTTATCTGGAATATGGAAAATCAGATGTCGATAACGCACCTATCGCCAAAACTATTCGTATCATGTATCATACTGTACAAATCATATTACATCAATCACCACTTTTGGAAAAAAACGATTCATACACACGTAACTCCATCTGCATCACTGCTGCTGATGCTATCATCAATATTGCTAACGAAATGTTACAACAACAAGACGAACTTAAATTATACAACACTTTTACCATGTCCATTACTTTGGCCTCTTCAGTTCATTTGGAATCTATGATGACTCAACAGGATCAAAATATTAACAACAAAGAACGACTGGCTCGTAGCATCAGAGTTTTGAAAGACGCCAATTGCAGTTATCTTACCAGAGTGGACTTTGATAGATTAGTGGATCGGTTTTTAACAAATCGTTGTGGTCTACTCGTGGATGATCAATTCAAATCAAGTCATCAACTGGCTGGTATGTGGCAAATATTACATCGACCTCGACAATCTATGACTCAACAATCAGTTCTAACCAACAGTGACAACAACAACAACAATAATAATAATAACAACAATAGTAGTCATTCTCCTATTTACTCCAAGGCAACTGGGCATATGGAACCCATTATTTTATCAGAATCAGTTTTACCACATCCAACAAATGTACACAACTTGGATATTGATGGCCTTTTGAATGACTCGATGACTGAACTTATATTTGGATCTGATCGTGAAACATTGCAATCATTATCAGCACACTGGTCTCCTAATGCCAATCATACCAACCTTCCTCAAACAAACTCAACATCATCTTCATCATCATCTGAAAATGTGACTGGAACATCACCCATTAGTAATATTCATGATCAACAACAATTGCATCATCAGCAGAGTCAATATCAGCAACAAAAACAGTCATTGTCAATTTCTGAATATTCAACAAGTGAAAATACTGGGGTTGGTCATACTGGTATGAATGAAATGGATTCATCAGGTTCTTCAGCCTCTCCTCCTTCTTATTATTCGCCAGCACATTCACCCGAAGAAGAAGATAATCGTATTCAATTACTTCCAGCATCCACTTTGTTACCATCCTCCAATCAACAAGCCCAACAAGATTTGACTTTATCCAATGCATTTATGATTTGATTCCTATATGATTCCTTTCGACCATTTTTTATACATACATCAATCATCCAATAGTTTATTATTTTTATTTTTATTTTTATTTTTATTTTTTTTTTTACATATGTCCTTCCATACATACACATACATACATTATTTATATTATCTTTTTTTTTTTTTTTTTGTTTTATAGTTTCGTATTTTCATCATTTCTATTATAAATTCCACAATACCTTATTCATCTTCATCTGCTTTTTTTTTTTTTATATCTTTTAATAAACATCTTTATTTTATTTAAAATTTTTTTTTCCAAATAATACTAATAATCAAGATATTGTTTTATTAAATCAATATAATGTTAACCACAAAGACGAAACAAATAAATTTGTAATAGGATCATCAACAAAAAAAGGTATCTGTCTACAAACGAGAAGCCAAGCGATGGTATGGTACAGATAGTTGTTGTGCGACTTCAAAGTACATCTAAAAAAAAGGGAAGAGATGAATAAAAAAAAAAAGAATAATGAAACATTGTATTACCTGATCTTTCAATTGTTTATAAGCAGAACCACCAGATTTGGCGAATTTGGCGACTTGCAAAGCGACTTCTTTTGCCTTGGGTAAGACTTCATTTTCAGGCACAGCAACATCGACCAAACCTTGTTCCAAAGATTCTTTTGCATTGAATCGATGAGCACGTAATACCATATTGCGGAATGTCACGGGTGATAATTTATGTTGTAGGACGGAACTCATGCCAGGAGGTAAAGGTGCACCAAATTCAACTTCATTCTATTCAAAAAAAAAAAAAAAAAGAAGATGAGAATTCTATTGAACATAATATATATATATGTTTTTTTTACCATGCAAATATAACCACGATCTGATCGCATCACTCGATAATCTAATCATAGAAAAACAAGTTAATAAAAAAAAAATTGCATGAATCCCTTTCATTTGTATTACCATGACAAAGAGCAAAGATACATCCACCAGCAAATGCATGTCTATTAAAAAAAAAAAAAAAAAGAGAAAATTTTTTATTAATAAAGAAAGATTTTTACTTTTTTTTTTTTTTTTTTAAATCTTTACCCATTCAAAGCAGCTACTGTAGGGATACAAAAAGTCAATAATTTCTTGAGCATAGAAAAGTAAATATCCATGAAGGGTTGATAAGACACAGTGTAGACCAAATCAAGACCATTACTAAAGATCTTGCCATTTCCCACTGTCACCAAAGCCATTTCAGGAGGTTCATCAGCAGCAATGTAAATGTCTTCTACTACTTGAAGAGCGGCCAAAATACTACGACAGAATTCGGGAGTAAAGCGATTGTCTTTATGATGCAAATGCAATACAAACAAATGACCTTCTTGACTTAGAGTCATTTGAGCATTGTCTTTGGAAGGAAACGATTGTGGGAAAATAGAAGAAGTCATGTTTACTATTAAAAAAAAAAAAGAGGAAAGAAAGAAGACAAGTGAAAAAAAAAGACAAGAATATATATAAAGAAAAAACAAAAGAGAAAGAAAGGAGAGAATATATGCGGTTTGTAAGCGTTTTTCTGTCTACTTTAGGAATCTCCGTCTGTCCCTTCACCATGTGAAAATAATAAAAAAAAGTCCCACCCCACAATCTGGATTATCCTTTCAATTTGACAGGTAATTTCCCTTTTCTTGTTATTTATCAATGACATATATGAATCCATCCTTTCTTTCTTTACTTTTTTTAACTTATTGATGATTACTATAAGATATATTTATCCTCTTATAGATGATTATGATAATGTAATAGTATGACGAATGATGCTTTTAGTGATGATCAATAGATGAAAGAATATGATAATAACGTCTATCACCGATAATCATACGAATCAGTAAATATAGGATTATGACCAATATTTATCTTTTTTATTTTTAAATATCTATCAACTACATCCTCATACGATTTACAATGACACATTCTCTCACTTTTCTGTGATCCTTCGCGTCCCTTATTCAGTCCTCGATTCTTTTCTTATGCCATCCTAATAGAGAGTAAACATTTTTTCTTTTTTCAATTAGAAATCCAATGGAATCGATGCAAAATCATCATCATCATTATCATCATTAACAATCATTGGAATCATCACTTACACGTTTTGTCAAAACTTCTGTATTTTTTTTTTTTTTTTTACTGGCACCACGTTATCTTTTTTCTCTTTTTCCTTGTTCTCTCAACGATTTCAATGTCCGTCGAAATTCTTGGAGGCTTGATCCCTATTTTTTCTTACTTTTTCTTTCACTCTTTTTTTTTTTTTTTTTTTTTTCTGTCAGTACAACATGAATAAAGGTCGACCATCAATCCAATGGTTATTTCGACAACATGGAAATATAGTATGGAGCAGATGTTACAATACACAAGTGAAAAACAAGACGATCCATTCATTAAGATCAAGACTTAGTCTTCCTCGACTCTTCCTGGGGGGCAGTTTGATAGGCTTCATTGGATATGGTGGATATCAATGGTATCAAGAAGAACAGAAAGGAAGGTTAGACAGTGATTGGTACTTACCTTTAACATTACTGGACAAACGGAATATCTCTCCGGACACTGTACGACTAAGACTACAAACCAAGAAAAGGGTCGGTGAAGACTATCCGGTGCCTTCGTGTGTATATATCAAAGACGATGCGATCCAAGTCATGCGGCCTTATACACCTATTAACGCCAATCCTTATCGAGATGGATTTATTGATTTGATTGTTAAACGATATTCCAATGGATCTGTATCTCGTACTCTGGCAGGTTATCCTCTTGATGAACCAGTATTTGTACGTGGACCAATGATAGAAGAATATCAATATGAAGCAAATACTAAGGATGAAATTGGCATGGTAATAAAAAATAATAAAAAAAAAAAAAGGAAGGGAAATTTGATTCTATTTTTTTTTTTTTTTTTTTTTGTAAACAGATAGCTGGTGGAACAGGGATTTCACCGATGTATCAAGTGATCAAACACATATTAGAAAATCCTCAAGATAGACAAACAAAATTATGGCTGATCTATGCAAACAAAAGTGAACGTGATATATTGTTGAAACAAGAACTGGATGCATTATGTGAGCAATATCAAGATAGATTGAAGATCATGTATGTATTAGAATATCCGTCAAAGGAATGGCAAGGTGAACAGGGTAGAATAACCTCAGAAATGATTGTAAAGATGTTACAAAACGGAAAACAAGGTCATCGACGACTTATATTTGTATGTGGACCAGATGGGATGATGAATTCTATTTGTGGACAAAGGGCAAGGGATTATAGTCAAGGAAAATTGACGGGTATATTAGCTCAATTAGGATTAACTTCAAAAGAAGTATGGAAATTTCAATAGATTGTAGATATTTGTGACTAGAAATAAAGAAAACCATTTTTTTTTCTTACTTTTTGTCTTTAAAGTTCCACAAGCGAAAATCACATGCAGCACAACACAAAAGGTACCAATTTTTTTTTTTTAGTTTTTTTTTTTTTATTTTTTTATTTTTTTTTTTTCTTTTTCTTCTTTATTATTATTATTATCACCAATGAATAAAACTAAGACACCAAATTCTTTAGAATTACAACAACATTCTTCCAGTTCAAATAACAACCAACTTACTCAACTTGCTGGTCCTCCTTCACCAACTTTATCAACAAGTTCTTTTATGTCTTCTGTTTCTTGGATGGCGGAAAAGTCTTCTTCTGAACTTATTCCCATGTTAAAAAATGCTTATCATGCTCTCAAAGATAAAGAAAGAGGTAAATATATATATATATATATATATTATTTCAATGGAAACTTATCATTATTAACTTTTTTTTTTCTTTTTTTTTCTATTTTTTTTTTTATTTTTCTCTTCTTTCATTAGACTTGATGTTGGCAGCTGAAATAGGCAAATCTCTCTTGGAAAACAATATTGCAATGAAGAATAGATATGAAGAACTTTTAAACAATACAAGAAATCAAGTTCCTACTAAAGCTATTACATCAGCAGCTGCCTTACCTACTCCTTCTTCTTCAGTATTGACCAATACAACCACAAAAAGTAGATATGAAAGTGATTCTGGTATTGACTCATATCATGAAACAACCGATGACGACGACGACGACGATGATGATGATACTAAAGGCATGCGTTTTATCCCTTCTCGAAGTACGCGTGAAGCTATGATTGAAGTATTGGAACAAAAAAATATGGAACTCAACAGTCATTTGGAACATATCCTTGAAGAACAAGCTCATATGGATAAATCAAATACCAAGAAACATCAACAATTGGAACAAGAAATTACCGCTCTTACCAATAGTCTTGAAATCGCTGCCAACAAAATCCAAGAACTGGAAGAAATGAATGTCAAAGCCAATCAACGACGACGTGGTGGAGATCAATCGAATCATGATGATGAGGATGATGAAAAAGTAGATCGACAAATGGTGGACGAATTATTGGAACAAATCAATTCACTCAAGATGGAAAACGATACAACAATACAATCAAAAATAGATCTGGAAAACAAACTGGCTCTTACTTTACAAGATCTTCGGAAACTCAAGGAACAATTCGATCATTTTCAATTCACAAAGGATGATCACGAGGACCTCAAGGCGGCTTATGAACGTCAATTTAAACACATCGATGAACTTAATGCTAGTGTCGAAGAACATCGCGCCATGTTACAAAAACTCAAGGAGAGAGGTATACAACTTCATTCAACCCATAACACTCCTGCTGGTAGTTGTTACAATGGTCAAGATACTTCTTATCCGGATGCTGCTTTTAGAAACACGTTACTGGGTGAATTGGAAACTGAATGGCTGAAACAACAACAAAGACATCTTCAACCTTCTCTTTCAACCCCACTCTGTACTACCAACGACTCATCTCCGCCCTCATCTGGTCCTTCTATGAAACCTTCTCTGTCAAGTTTATCTCTCAAAGACCTTTCCAAATTCACTGGTCAATCTATCACTGCTATGTATCAACAAAGTGAGTTTGGTATGGAATCTGTCCTTGCACGTGCTGCTGGAGTCGATCAAAAAACATTGGAAGAAGCTATTCGGTTTGTCGATCGATTAGAAGAAGGTTTTTGTGGTAAAAATAATAATGATGATGATTGGTTACTTGGATTGGATACAACTACGGAAAGACAAGATAATAATGATTTATTGGATGATTCAATAAATCAACATTTATTGACAATGTTTGATCCTGCTTTTCCTCGTGATGGTTTATATCCTGATGCTACTGCTCTGGTCCCAGTCAAAAATGAATCTGATTTGGCATTAAGTTACCCAACATCTTTCAGTGGAAGAATTCAGCATACTGTACGTCACTTTTTCAAGGCAGTTTGGCGATGGTGTCGGTTTGCTGTGATATTGACAACTGCTGTATTGATTAGTGTTTGGAATGGTCCTGATTTTATGTTATTGGAAAACTGAAATATCTCTTCATCATGTTTATTTGTATCCTTTTTTTTTTTTTTTTTTTTTTTTTTTTTTTTTTTTTTACATATATATATACACGTCCATTACCCTCATTTATTTATATCTTTCTATACTCATTCCCTTCTTTTATATATATACACACACAAACACACACACATACATTTACCACTCCTTGGATTATTTTTCTTTTTTTGTTAAATTCTCTCATTTGTTATTCTTTTTTTTTTTTTTATTTCATCGTTGATTGATTCCCTTATGTATATCTTATTTTTATACTTTTTTTTTTCCTATCATTGATTCTATATATTATTCCATTCCTTCTTCCTTTAAATTTCTTTGAAATCTGTATTATCATCTACCACTTCTTCTTCTTATTCCTATCATACTTTTTTTTTATTTTATTATTTTTATATTCTCATCTTTGAAACACAATAAATTTTTTGATGTCATCTCAATTTGTTCCATCATCTATGTTCTGACCTGTCAAAGATTGTACCTTATTTCATAAGCTTGTCACCATAATATCTTTACATCAAGTATTGAAATACTTGTTACTATAGTGTTCTTTCGATTTCTAAATCATGTATTATACAATATCTTACTTTAATGTAATGATCTTACTTGATTGATTCTTTTTGACCTAGAAATAAGTTCAAGCAAGAGGGAATTGAGACTCAGGATTCATAATTGGTTGGCTAAAATAAAGCTCTTTTTTTTTTTTTTTTTTTAGTTGTTTCTCCTTTTCTTTCTTACACCAAAACTCATCCTCTGTCATCCAATTTATTTATTTTGTCATTTTATTATCTAGTGAATCTTATCCATCTTTTTCTCTTTTGAATTTTATACTTACTTGGCATTAGAGAAAAAACAAAACATCCAACACTTTTTTTTTTTTATTTGAACATTTGTATTTTATACACAAATTCATTCAGATTTTCTACAACTATCAGCAATACATTGGCTGAACTTCGTTAATATACGTTTTATACAACATCTAGGTTATATACGAATATTACTATCAAGTCAAAGGAAACATGAAAATTTGGAAAAGAGGATTGATAGGTTTATTGATAGTGGCACTTCAATCGTGTTCAGCACAGAAAGGTATATATGCGCGACTCGTTAATATATAATATGCTAATGCAACATTGGTATGTATTTATCAAACTTAGCTGAAGACTTCAAGATATCCAAACTACCTGGAGTGGATGTGTCCAAACTGGCCTTTGATCAATATGCTGGGTAAGAAAATGATAAATAATATATATATATATATATCAATCTCAAAAAGATTGTTCATCACTTTATTTTACATAGACATATTGAAGTATCTCCAGAAACAGATGGTAATTTATTCTTTTGGATGCTTGAACAAGTTCAACCTACTCCCAAGAAACTGGTAACTAAAAAAAAAAATTCATCTGGTATACACATAATTTTGATGTTTCTTTTGTTTTAGATTATTTGGTTAAACGGTGGTCCTGGATGTTCAAGGTTAAAAAAAAAAAGAATTATATAGACAAATGGAATACAACATGATCTGATTTCATTTTTATTATTCACGTATACATAGTATGGATGGCATGTTTTTGGAAAATGGAGCTTACAGAGTGAATCCTGATTTATCTTTGACAATTAATTCTGCTGGTTGGCAAGATCATGCTACTGTAGTCTTTCTCGATCAACCTGTGGGTACCGGGTTTAGTTTTGTGAATGGTGATGGTCTTATGCATAGTATGACTGAGGTAAAGGATAAAAATAAGAATAGAACAACAAGAATCCTAAATAATAATAATAATAATATTTTTTTTTTTTCAATTGCATGTCCCAGGTTGCCGAACATTTCACTACATTTGTGGACAAGCTGATGGATATCTTTCCCGATCTCAAGGAACAAGATGTAAAGACTTTCACAGATAAAAGGTTGTGTATATTGATTGATGGGTTCATTTATATTGTTGTTGATTTTATAGTTATACCTCGCAGGTGAAAGTTTTGCTGGCTCTTATATCCCGTACTTTGCTCATCGAATGATTAGTATCAACCGAGAACAAGAAAACAAGGTAATGACGATTGTACAAATGATAAATCATCGAAAATAGTTCATTATCTCATTCTTTATTTTGTGTCTGTAGTACAATCTCAAAGGTGTGGCTGTTGGGAACGGATGGATCTCTCCTAGACATCAGGTAAAAAATTCAAAATAAACTCTTGTTATCAGGTCTTAGTGATAATAAAAGACAAGATAGATCACTTATTCTTTTTTTTTTAATGATGTTTTTGAATAGTATGAAGCATACTTCGATTTTGCTGTGAAACACAATCTCTTGGAAGGAAAATTTTTGGTAGGAAATGAGAAAATGAGGAATGATGCATATAATCATGTTGTTCTATATGTTTGACGTTTCTTTTGTATTCTTGTTAGGATGATGCTTCTAAACACTTGAATGATTGTCGCAAGAATCTCTCTGTTGATACAAGAATCCATATAGATGTTTGTGAAGATATACTGGGAGATATCTTGGATAACAGCAAGCATCCGTAAGTCATATAGATAAGGGCGCTGACATATTAATAAATTTTTTTTTGTTTCACAAATTTTTGTAGGGAAGGCATGAAAACAGTCTGTATCAACACTTATGATATCCGATTGAGAAACGAAACCTCTCCAGCATGCGGTGCAGAATGGCCCTATGAACTAACAGATGTGAAAGAATACTTAAGAGTAAGTGAAAATAATGTTTATTTAGAATGCAAGATATTCACAAACATATGCATTCTCTGTCTCTTTATATATATATGTACCTGTTCTTTTTTAGTTACCTGAACTCATTAGTGGTACACATTCGGAAAAACAAGCACTTGGCTGGAAAGAATGCTCTTCTACTGTATCTGCTGCACTTCGAAAGGATACAAGCGCATCTGCTGAACAGGTAAGAATTGAGAAATTAAAAAGTTTTTCATCAAGAAAGAAAAAAAAAAGAAAAAAAAAGTATGATATGGTCATTTTTAACCTTTTTTTTTTCTTTTATAGTTCCTTCCTGAAATCCTGGAAGATATCAAAGTACTACTATTTAGGTAATTTTTTTTTATCAACCGTAACTAGATGTTAACATCATACCTTTTCTTTTTTTTTTTTTTTTTTTTTTTTTTTTTTTAGTGGGGAATATGATCTGATCTGCAACCATCTTGGAACTGAATATATGATTGGCAATATGACTTGGAATGGTGAACGAGGATTCAAGGTACAGAATATATAAATATATATTTGTATATATACTTTTTCCAATTGATTTACAAAATTCTTTTTTTTTTTTTCTCACTCTTCATCATACGGTAGGACGCCGTACAACAAGATTGGACCATTGATGGAAAACTTGTTGGCTTTTACACGGAAGAACGTAATCTTAGCTATGTACTTATCAAAGATGGAAGTCATATGGTACCTTATGACAAACCCACGGAAACATTGGATATGATCAATAGGTTTATGGGTGTTGGTGATAACAAGGTCAATGGTATGTCTAGTCATATCGGAAATCAAGAACAAGAGGAAGAAGAAAATGATGAACCTGTGCAAGAAAATGAAGAACTTGAATCTCCTATGGATAACAATGATGATGATGATGACACGAGCAGTACATTACCTTCGGGTTCTACGTTGGACAATAACACAAGTGAACAAACAGAAGAAATGGACGATGATGGACTTGGCGTTTCAACAAAGAGTGCTGGTAGCTATGGTGCTTTGGTGATTTTAGTGACTTTTATCGTAGTGGGTGGATGTTGGTATCGTGCTAAAACAAGGACACAACATGATGGCAAACCATCGATATGGCAACGTATTATACATTACTTTGATCAACGACCCAATGGTAAAAAAACGAAACTTCGATTAGGTGATCAAGATGAAACAAATGAACTGTAAGTAAATCAAAAATTAAAAAGTGATGATCTCACTTTTTTTTTTTTTTTCTATAGGGATGAACTTGTGATAGAAGAACCAACATTATTTGCTGCCGAAACATATTCTGATAGTGATGATCATAAACCGGAACCTTCAAAACCAAAACAATCAAGTCCAACTGCATTTGCCATTGCTGATGAAGATGATTCAGATGATGGATTTGATGATTTTGCCGATTGGGATGAACAAGATGCTTTGACAACAAACAAAGATGGAAAAGATCATTAGATTTGATTAGATGTAGTCAATAATAAGAAAAAATAAAATAAAATACAAGCATAATTGACATCCATTTCGTTTTCGGATTAAAAAAAAAAAAGACAAATAATGGACAATATTTTTATTATTATTCATGTAAATATATAAACAGGGGGGAATTGAAATGAGACATGGGATGAAGAAAGTGGGAAATAGAGAGAGAGAGAAAAAAAAAATGGAAGAATAAATAATACAATAGCCAAGAGATAGACTAGAAGCGGAAGTAATGATAGGAGGGTTATGAACAGGAAAATATTGATACTAATGCTGATGATAATGTTAAGATGGACTTGAATCTTCATGATATTGATGATGATGCTGTGATGTATGGCCATTGGTATATCCGTTTCGTAAAATAGATTTGGTATGCCCATTCCGTCGTTGAGATGTAGTAGAAGTAATTGGACTATTGGGACTGGATGATGAATCACTACCACTCTATTTAACATATATATATATATATATATAATAGAATGATATGAATATATGTAATTTATTATTATTATTATTATTTACCTGTCCATAATTTGAATCATTGTATAAGATGGCAAGATCCCCAATGATTTCTAATCAAGTTATTTTATGAGATAAATGAATTGAAATGGATTTGACATTTTTTTTTCTATTTTTTACCAGCAAGTATCCCTGGTTCTTGTTCTAATGTACGTCCCCAAATGGTATCTGTTCCTGTTGGTATATCTTCATCTAATGCTCTATAACTAAGTAACATACAAGCTGCAGCTATCATTTGTGGATCATATGTTAAGCATAATGGCCGACGTAAACTATATATACAATATATATATAAAGGGTAACATTGCGATTAATCTATTCATCATTTCTTGACAAGTGGCATTTTTTTTTTTTTTTTTTTTTTTTTTTTTTTTTTTACCTATCGTTTGCAAATCCATAGGCAGCTTGGGTCACACTTTCGGAAGCTATATAAATAAAGAAGACGAGTGATGAAATGAGAAATTATTCGACAATGATATATGTATATATTCTTACCATCCAATTCAGCAGCAAATTCGAGTACTAGTTGATGAGGATGATCCACAGTCATATCAAAACAAAGTGTTTCCAAAAGAAATCGTTCATACCATAAAATAGCAGATCGCCATGATTGATAAAGCTATTTATGATGATATAGAATAATAAAACACTGTGAATACATCGTTTACAATTATTATTATATTTTTTTTTACCTTTTGTTTTTCATCATTTTGATTGATTCGACTATATCGGGCCATGAGACAAGCTGAGGTAACATCACTTACTTTTCTTGAAGATTCTTCGACTTTACATGCCAAATAGATACACGCTCCTCCTATGTGCTACCAATGAAAAAAAAAAGAATATCACAAGACAGGTTAATGTCAATCCATACTATTCCAGTTTCTTTTTTTTATCTTTACATTCATATTATAATCATTAAATGAACACCGCATATAAAACCGATGGAAATAAACCATAGCAGTAGCAACAGTGATTTGTGGCCTGTTAAGTAATGAGATGATTAGTTCAAATAAAATAATGATCCATTCATATGACTTTACACAGCTAAACGACACCCAACAGTTTGAATAAATGCACAGCCTTGAGCTCTTTTTCGATGTTCCTGTGATATTGAGACCCCGTCATGAGCAATGGTAGGTGCCAATTGTAGTTCTTCTCTACTAAAAAACCACTATCCAACAACAACAAAAAAAAAAGGTTAACAATAAACAAAAAAAAAAAACGATCTATCTATTTCCTTTCTATATTAAACCATCATTTTTTTCAAATATAATAGTTAGTTCTTACTTGTTCCATGATGTGTACAGTCCAAAAAAAAAGGATTGGTTTCGAGAATTAGAATAAAAGAGAGAGAGAAACAGAGAGAGAGAGAAAAAAAAAGAAACAACGAAGGGAAAGAATAATGAATGACTGGGACGCCGTAAGTGATGTTCCCCTCTCACTTAAATGTACATTGTAACCCAGCAGCCAATGAAATTATTCTACTTTTTTTTTTTTTAAGTGGAACCAAATGTGTAAAAAGCTCGCATTATAGTTTCTTTTTTTTTTCACTTTTCTTTCGATTTCTGAGTCCTTTTTTTTTTTTCTTTCTTTCTTCCTTTCTTTCTTTTATTCACAACATGACTATTGAAACTTTTGAAATCCCTAGTTTTCATCCTTCACAACTTGATGACTTGCATCGTCGTCTTGAAAATGTCATTTATCCTCATGAACTGGTTTTGAAGGATAATCCTTGGGCCTACGGTACTCCTCGACAAGCACTTGAACCTTTAGTACAAAAATGGCGATATTCTTATGATTGGGAAACTGCAAGAACTGAAATGAATCAATGGCATCATTACAAGCTGACTGGTGAGAATGGTTTAAAACTTCATTTTATTCATGAACCATCCAAAGACCCTAAGGCTATTCCTATTGTATTGGTTCACGGTTGGCCTTCCTCTTTTTATGAATTCCACAAGGTCATCAATCCTTTACGTGATGGGAAGGACGGCTCTCAGGTAATCATCAAAATAATAAAAAAAGTATTTAATATTATATTCTAATTTATTATCTATAGGCTTACCATGTCGTAGTGCCAAGTTTACCAGGTTATGGATTCTCTGAACCTTCTACCACCCCTGGCTTTGGTATTCCTCAAATGGGTGACGCTATTCATCACCTGATGCTCAGTCTTGGTTATACAAAATATGGTAATGATTATTAATACAGATAAAGTTTTGATTCTGATACAAAATTCTAACATTTTTTTTTATAGCTTGTCATGGAACTGATTGGGGTCTGTGTGGCACAGTACCAAAAAAAAAACTCAGTTTTTTTAACGTTTATTTATTTTTTGATTGATAGGTATGATGATTGTAAGATATTTGGCCGCAACACATGATAAACATTGCTTAGCCATGCATTCTACCATGTTTATGGCTTTGCCACCTTTACCCACTATTACTAATCTTTGGAAGCGGCCTATCAACGTCTTCAAATTCTTAGCTGGTGCAACCATTTTAGGATTTGATCAAGTATATGGACCAGGCAAATTCAAATCTGCGGGAAACAATTTTGCTGATGTTATCAATAATAAAGATGCTGGTTATCGAGCCATTCAAGGTACAAGACCATATTCTTTATCCTATGGTTTGACAGATAGTCCTGTTGGTTTGCTAGGTAAAGGAAGATAATATCTTATAACATCATCACGAATATCCATATCCTTTTTTTTTTTTTTTGATAGGTTGGGTATTGGAAAAATATCATAATTGGACATATCATTCAAATAACAAGGATGCTTCAGTTTTACCCGACACTATATCCCCTGATGAACTGCTTACCCAAGTATCTCTTTACTGGCTCACCAATACCATTTCATCTTCCATGCGTTTGTATTATGAATTCTTCCAACAAACAGATGAAATGTTGAAAGTATTTGAACGTCGTATCTCTATCCCTTTTGGTGTTAGTAACTTTGAGAGTGATATAACTCGTAAGTAAAAAGGTAGTCGATAGAATGATACATATGATTTATTTTTTTTTCTTTCCTAGGCTCACCCAGAGAATGGGTAGAAGCATGTGGAAATTTACAATTTTATTCTGAACATTCTGTTGTAAGTTGACAAAAAAAATTAGATCGCGTTTTTCATTTTAGATTGACATGTCTGTTTTGATTATATTATAGGGTGGACATTTCTCATCATTAGAAGTACCAGATTTAATAGTGGACGATCTTCGATCATTTGGAAAAAAGGTGGCCAAGTCATTTGAATAGGCTTCCTAGTTAGTTGATCCTTTATTTTACTTTGTTAAATAAAAATTTGTTGACATTTCTACCGAGTTTATACTTGATGCTATGAAGCATTTAATTTATGTCTTTTATTGATTTGTTTTATATTCATTGATTTTCTTTTGTTCTTGAGTCGAAATATGATATGCTTCCATCATTTCATCTACCCCTTTTCTGTTGTACGCGTTCGCGTTCGTATAGCGGAATATGAAATCCTCTGTGTGATGAAAAAAAAAAAATTGCCCTCGTTCCAATTTTTTTTTTTTCACTTTTGCCCCTCAAACACCATGAATGAAAATACATCACCAGTATCCACACCTAGTAGTGGCAAAGTAAGTAAAATAAAATAAAATAGAAAGTTATACTCATCTTCCTTTTTTCTTTAATCTTCTCCTATTCCAATCCCAAGTTATCATTACCCCTTCTCAAATCAAAAACTAATCTATCAAGATCAGACGTAAGGAACAAAAAATATAATATTTGATTCAAATTTTTAATACTTACTACTATTATCTTTTTCTCTAGGCAACTTCCGATGGCAAGTTAGATGATAACAAGGTAGGTGAATAATAAATATTATTAGAAACCAAGATACTAATCAGAATTTTTTTTTTTTTTTTGGTGAACTAGAAATCATCTTTAACAGCATCACCAGTACGTAGCCCATTACGTGATAAAAATTCAAGTGTGATCACTTTACCTATACGACAGAGTCCTTCTTCTAAAGAAATTCAATACCACACATCTCCAGCTACCATTCACCAGCAACACCATCGTCATACCTCTCCATCCAAGCAACAACAAGTAAAGGTACAGGACTTGGAAGGTATTCAGCATCGACGACGACGTAATTTGTATGATACACAACAACGATCACCCTCCAATAAACCATCACCCACAGAAGTGATCTTTACACCAAAACCATTATCACCAACAAAATCATGGAACTTGACTGAACGCATTCTTGCTAAAGAAGAGAAATCATTGGAAGCTCGAGTACAACATCAACAAAAAGAATTGGATACACTTAATACAACGTTGAATGCGGAACGACAAAAGACAGCCGATGTACGTAAATGGATGATGGATATGGTACAACTGGTACAAAAATTCAAGGAAATACAATGCGATATGGATGAGTCGGTGGATATGTTGGTGGAATTTGACAATACTATGGATGAACTGATCAAGGAGCAACAGCAAGACATGGCACGACAACTGGAAATCGACCGTTTGATGAATCTTATACCTGAAAAGCTAGTTGAAATTGAAGAATTAAAAACACATATGAAAAAATAAAAATATTACTTTTATTATTGTTTATTGTGATGGGTGATCTTTCAATACCTTTTGATGATTTTCTTTTATGTATATATGTACATTGTGTTTTATTGTTCTTATTATTATTATTATTATTACATATATATATATATGGCAAATGATAGGACAAGGTAACACGATTCCTGCTGATTATGACTATGACGTTAGATTGTGTTGGTCTTGGCAACTGCTTCTAAGCGATTGGATTCTAACGCCGCCGTCCAAATCGGTTATCAATCCATTCTTTAGATTGCATAAACAAATTATAAGTAAATCACTATAGTAATTCATATTAATAGTAAATATTACATTGAATTTTGGTCATGATGATAATGAAGATGATGAAATAAAGTGGATATAGCAAACAAGAAAGTTTTGAAGAAAAGTGAATCTCACAATATGATTGGATGGGCTTTGAAATCAAAAAGTGTACTCTTTTTAGGCTTTCGTCGCTTTTTTTTTTCTCTACCTTTTCCTTTTTTTTTTTCCTTTATATCTATACACTAGCAAACAATAACAAATACAACGTCATGGGAAAAAAAGACTACATGTCACTATTTGACCGTTATGTTTCTTCTCTTCCTTCCAATGAAGATCATGGTAATACATACATATATATATCAAAAAGAAAAGAAACGATAGTGACATGTTCTTATTCTTTTCTCTTTCCTTTTTTTTTTTCTCTCTACTTGTAGACGACTTTACACCTTTACCGGACTCCATGGTAATATTATTCATAAAAAGAAGAAGAAGAAAAAAAGATATACATAATGTAAAGTTAATATCTTTACTAACCTGTTCTTTTATTATCTTGAACAAAATAATACTATAGCGAACATCAACTCTTTTAGAACAAATAGGAAAAGATCGATCTTGGACAGATGATCAAGTTGATAGTGATATTGCTATTCTAGAAAAAAACCGACTTTACTTTGTAAGTATGGATTAAAGTATTTTAGATAAAAACTAATATTCAACTTGTTTTTTTTTTTTCCAATACCTTTAGGTTCGCGATCTTCGAATACTTTCAAATCATAGTTGGTCGGTAAGTTGAGATAAGAAAATATGCATTTGACCTGATGATACATCCAAAAAAAGAAATAACCAACAAGACCCCAAATCATTCCCATATTTTATTTATTTATTTTTTTTTTTTGCAGGTGATCGAATTACTTCCTTTGGTGCGTGATTTATTACGACAAGCCATTGTTTCCAATAAAAAATCTGAACAAGATATGACTGATGATGTTATGGATGCCAAAGCTGAAAAGAAGAAAAAGAAGAAGGAAAAAAAGGAAAAGAAAAAGAAGATGGGTGAACCAGTGGTGCCTTCTTTATTGGTACGTGGACGAGATGAAGTAGCATTGGCTGGAAATACAATACAAGAAACTTCTTCTGAAATCATGAAAGATGTACTTAGTGAAGATCCTGAAACGATTAGAAATACCATTCGAAATGGCTCCATTGATCTTGGTAAAGACGATACTCCATCACCTGTCACCACCAACAATGAACATAAGAAATCAGTCTCGTTTTGCAATGAAAATGGTACTATTCCTCAACAACGTCCAAGTATTGTGGACAGTAGTGATGAAAGTTCTTCGTCTTCTTCTTCTTCTTCTTCCGGCGAAGATGATCAAACTGGTGGAAAGCAACAACAGAAGCAATCAAATTCCTTTGGGTTACGGCCTATCAAACCTGTTAGTGCCAATCGAATTCAAATCAAAACTTCTAATGGTCAAGTCTATGAATGCGATCGGTTTTGTCCTCATAAAGGTGTGGATTTATCAACTTGGGGTCAAGTCTTGGGAAACAATCTCATCTGCACAAAACACAATTGGAAATTCGATTTGAGTGGTAGTGGTTTGGGAAACAAGGGAAGATCCATCCATCCATGCAAGGTCAATGATTGGTAATGCCATGATTTGTCCTCAAGATTTTTTTTTTTTTTTTGTGTAGTCTTATAGCATCCATTTTTTTTTAGTATAGTAGGTCGTACGATATCTTTATTTTTTTTTTTAACATAATAATATATTTTTGATTTCTTTTTTTATTTTTTTTATAATTTTTTTTTTTTTTTACTAGTTATTTGAAATAAAATCATCATTGGTATCCTTCATTGATTGTAGTCAATTATTTTACATCCATTGGTATTTACTTGGATCATATTATAAAACTTGAGAATCTTATATTACAATAACATAGAGCACGATAAAAAAGGAAATAAGTTTAAAGTGACTAAATGAATAAATGTCTACTCCTGCATTAAAGTTTCACACAACATCCTCATCATCATACTATCATTCTAATATCGTTTATTATTGTTCGTTCATCAAATGTCATTTATTATATCTATTGTCGATACTCATTACATACTCCAATACATCCATCAACTATTATGTTCATGATGTATTCATTCCATCATCCATACACTCATCGTTAATATTAGAGGAACCATCATCATCATCATCATCATCATCATGATGCAGATACTCAACTTGAGACCACCAGGAACTACTCAATTAAATGAAGAAAAAAAAAATTCATTTTCTATCCGCACAAATTTCTTAATTTTGAAATGCCAACAAGGAATGCCAGAAATTATCAAAAATACACGAATCACACGATATTTCGTAAAATCCATATAATAATCTCTATTTTTTTTTTTTATTATAATATTCAAAATCTACAGTAAAAAACTAATCTACATGTATCCTATTTCTTCTTTTTGGATATACCAATCGCCTTGGGTTCAACTCCATTCTTGTATTGTTCCAACCAACTCAAAATATACCTAATCCAAACAATAAACGTCAGTTGTCTCTTGGACTCGAATAAACGTGAAATGAGATAGACTTACTTTCGTTGCTTGGTAGGAATTCCCATATCCGTTTTCATCACTCGGCTTTCGGTAGTAAACAAAGATTCCCAAGTCTAGAATACACATGTGTAAGAAACACACACAAAAAAAAAAAAAAAGAGTTAGATCTTCCATTTTAATTGAATAATACAAACACAATTATATCCATATATAGGATACCCCGTTCATTGATATTTCTTATCACTTACCTCGAACTTGCCACTGAATTCTTCACAACCTCGTCCAATAGTTTTCATAAAGTCATTGACATCCTTAATTGCACCTATAAAATAATGAATAAAGAATAGATTAGTTGGTTTTTGTTGTCTGTTGTTAGAATCGATGATACCTCTTGGTGCAGGGATAGAGGAACTAGATTCAGTATGAACGAGTCTTCGAGTGATTTGTCGTAAAGGTGTAAGAGGTAACATAGTAATATGTGGAGCGGAAAGACAAAAGAAAAAAAAAAACACAAAAAAAAAAGAAAAAAAATGAAAGGTAGTGGAAAGAAAGAGAAACAAAAATAAAAGGAGGGAACGGATATTGAAATCGACAATTTTTTATTGAGGTAAAGTGGATTCAGAAGGTTGGAAGCAATCTAAAGGATTTCTTGTACAAAAACCTTGATTAAGAGGAGAAGCCATAGTACCACGCAATAACATCCTTTCTCTCCAAGGGAATAAACGAAGAATAGCATCTGCACTTGTCAGTTTTTCCCCTTTAGGTGTCTCATAACCAGACCAAAGTACATGAGCCACAGTGGATGCACGAGGCCAAATTCGACTTTCAAAATTAGTATGGTCCACAAGTTCACTTGATACAAAAAAAAAAGTAATCCATTATCAATGAGTTTTTTTTTTCATTTTCTATGTATATTATACTTACCCCCACAGAGCAGTTTCTGCTCCAATGATTAAATCAGCTTCTTGTGAAGTAAGATTAGCACGCATATCATAAGAATACATTCTATTCCAATGATTAAAACCGGCACCAGGAACGTCAGGATAAGGATTACTACGAGGTTTGCCTGATGAATGAAAAATAAATAAATAAAAAAACAGGTATCATTATTAAAAAAAAAATATAACAATAATTTAATTTGATCTGATTACCAAAACCAACATCAAGATACCAATAATCACTTGAAGATACAATGGTACGATAACCTTTTTCAGTTGCAGCCTTGACACCAGGAGAACCAACCCATACTTGAACAATAGTATCCTTTGGTAAAGTAAGATTGTATTCCAATACACTTTCTTGCCAAGTGATCACTGTCTTGTTCTTTGAACGAATATAATCTTGCATGTCCATCACAAACTCACTGAATAATTCTTGAATAGTCATATCATGTTTTTTCAAGTAATCAGCTACGTAGGTATCATTTGTCCAGCAACCATATACTACTTCATCACCAGAAGCATGGAAATAACTATCAGGGAAAAGTTGAGCAAATTCATCGATGATGGTATGAATCACTTTTCTGGTTTTCTTGCTAGCAATATTTAATTGTCCTGATGGAGGTTGAACAGTATATCCAGTATAAGGTACCACGTCGAGACAAGATACTATTTCAGGTAGACCTGAATCAAAATAATCATCATTTAGGTTCGTACAACACACAAAAAAAAAAAAAATCCAATCATTTTACCATAACCCCACGATGTAGAATGACCAGGAGCTTCTATTTCAGGTATCACTCGAACACCACGGTCTTTGGCAAATTGGACAATTTCTTTAATATCTTTGGCTGAATAAACATGTCGAGGACTATAGGCTCCCTTTTCAGCTAATTGAGGATATGCTTTGGATTGATAAGGGAAAGAGGTAGAATCAAGCATATGCCAATGAAATACATTGAATTTATTCCATGACATGGCTACCAAAAAAAAAAAAAAAAAAAAAAAAAAAAAAAAAAAAGAGAAAGAATAAAATTAGAGTTTTAATTTGAAGATGACAACTTTAATTTTTTTTTTTTTTTTTTTTACTTTCAATCACTTTTTTAATATCATCAGTTGTATAATAATGACGAGAAGTATCCAACAATAAACCACGATAAGCATATTTGGGATAATCCTTAATAGACCAAGGTGCATTAGGAATCACATGAACTTGATGAACTGGAGACCATTGGATGATTTGAGATAATGTTTCCAAGGCATGTAAAGCACCAAAAACATTTTTTGCCTTGATGATGATGACATGATGGGTAGAGGGAATAGTCAATTCATAGGATTCATCTGTATTTAAATCAAGAAGAGTATCATCAGGATGATCCAATTCTATTTTCACATTATTCAAACGACCATGGATGGATGAATCAGTAGTAGTCCAGTTATAAGGAATCATAGGATAATCATCTTTGAGATAAAAAATATCTTTGGTGTAACGATGGATGGCCTTTTTCAAAATACTATTGTGATGATCATACTCAAACTCGAGACGAGACACATTCAAAGTGAAATGACCTCTAGTCCAATATTGTGGCAAAGGCCAAATCCATGGCTGTTTGACTGGATTACTTGCAGGCAATGAATTGATACCAACTTGTTCGATACCAATAACGGATGATATTATACCAATCACTAAGTATAATAGATGACAAAGCATATCTTATACAAAGAAGAAAGAAAAGAGAGTGCGCGGGGAGAAAGAAAAAAAAAATTTTCCTGGGTAACCTCTTTTTATAATCTTTTTTTTTTTTTCTACCCCACAGAATTTCCCGGGTTGTTCCTTTTTTCCTTTTCTCTTGATTTTCACCCTGAATTTGAACATATAGTTACGTAAGCTTTTGTTCCTCTTCTTAGGTTTCTTTCATTTTTTTTCTCATGAAATATCATTTTTCTCTTTTTTTTTTTTTTTTTTTTATCATCATCCTCTTTATGATTTCATTTGGAAAAGAATAAACTATTTTATTGGATTATCCCTTGCGAGTATTAGATCACTTTTTTTTTTTTCTTTTTTTTTTTTCTTTTTTTTTTTTTTTTTTTTTTTTTGGAAGGAATAAGATTAATAGCGGTGACCGAAAAGAGAAGAGGAGATCGCCAGTCATTTGTTGATACTAAATGGACAGATGACAGAAATCAAGCCAATCTTTTTAAGCAGACGAGAAAGTTTACCCTAAATGGATTCCACCAATGAAGAGCGTTAAATCAACTCCTGAGTCATTGAAATCCAAGATCTTTTTATTTTTTTTTTTTGTTTTAATTTTGATATCTTTGAAAGACGCAAATGGAAAAATAAAATCTAAAAAGAAAATAAGATATTATAATTAAGATTCAATGATCGTTTGAGAGAAGTAAGAATATATCATTATAGTATGATGCTGATGAAGCTAAATTATTATAAACTCTTAATTTTCATCTTTTTCAGGTGTAAATGACGGAGTCCCAACTACCCATTTTTCCATATGACCTGACGTTTGGTAGTCTTTTTTTTTTTCTTTTTTCTTTTTTCTTTTTTTTTTCCTTTCTTTCTCTTTACTTTTTTTTTAATTCATTATCATTCTACTTCTAACTCTTTTTTATATTTACTCTTATGGACATCAAACAACGAAATGATTCTACACTAACGAAAAATATTAAAGGAAAAGTATCGACACCAGATACTAAGGCACATTCCATATTGACCGATGCCTTATTCCCGGAACGAAAACCTAGTACTGACAACAATGCTATTGACAACGGTGAAGACGAAGAAACTATGAAACAAAATGATCCTTTATCTGCTCAAGTTTGGCGTTTATATACAAAAGCAAAGGATACTTTACCAAATGGTGCTAGGTTAGAAAATCTAACTTGGAGAATGATGGCTATGACTTTGAACAAGAAACAACAAAAACCGACTGATACGCCCTCTGATGACTCTAATATGATTGATTCTTTTGTGGATTATTCTTCTTCTCAACCTGATGATTCGTTCGTTGTTCCTTCAAATCAATATAAATATACAGTAAGTTGAAAATAGTATGATTACCTAACGATTTATTCATAACCTTTCTCTCTTTTTTTTTTCTTTTTTTGATTTAGCCTCCCACCTCTTTATCCAACAATAGTATCACTATCCCTGCAGATACAACTCATCAAATCAGTTCACCAGTACAATATCCCTCTTCACTGAAAAACATCGTCTCAAAACAACAAGTATCATCTGCCGCACCATTACATGCTGGAGCAATGAGCTTTGAAGATTTATTGACAATGTACTATGCAAAACAAGATCAAGAATCAGACAACAACAATGGATCAAGTCAATCACACCTTGAAAAAGCAAATGCAGGTTCATTCACTTCTTCGGGGAACTCAACAACCCAGTTCTCTCATTCGTCCCTCGGTAAGTCTGACTTTTTTTTTTATATTTTGTGATATTACCTTTTATTGTTAAAAGACAAATTTACTTTTGTTTTTTTTTTTTTGTTTTTTTTTTTTACCCGATCATATCCTTATTACTTTTTACTAATCAAAGTTGATCACTTTTCTTTTCCAGATCCAAGTCCCGCCACTTCTCCATCAGCTTCACCTTCACCATCAACAATATCACCACCATCATCAGCACCATCCTCTGTGCCATCATCCTCATCAACATCATCCTCAAAAAAGGATGAAGAAAAGAAAGGAAATACAGAATGTTTCAACTGTCATACTCAAACAACTCCGTTATGGCGCCGAAATCCAGAAGGTCAACCACTGTGTAATGCTTGTGGATTGTTTTTGAAATTACATGGTGTGGTTCGTCCTCTTAGTCTCAAAACAGATGTGATCAAGAAACGCAATCGCAATAATCCAAATACCATCGGATCAGCAACATCTCTCAATGGCAACAATAACTCTACTAACAATAATACATATGGACTCACCAGTGTCATCGGCAAACGCAACAGTGGTACTGGTGTCATTCAAATAGCTCCAAGTAACAATGTCAATATTCCTCCAAACATCAAACCTTTAGCAATGGCTACTAAGGAAGGTCGACCTATTCGCGCAGCTTCTCTCAACAAACGTCAACGAAGACTTTCTCAAGATGGTATGGATGGTAGAGCTAGTTCTCCTTCTTCACCCTTGTCAGCACACAGTATGTCAGCATCACCTGGTATGGTCATAGGTTCTTTCCCTACTACCAATCAGCATGACTTCCTCATGTCATCCAATAACCCATCGTCTATCCAACAACCTCATATTGCGCCATCATCATATCACGGCAACTACACTCCATACCATCATGCATCAGGTCACTACTCTCAACAACAACAACAACAACATCAATATCACAACAATATGGTCATAGGCAGTGCACCAACAATATCATGGACGGATCATCAAGGACCACAAACTCAACAACGATCACTTTCACCCTTAGAAACATCTTTGGCTCAGTTGACTCCAGATCAATTACAACAACTTGTATTATTATATCAACAGCAATCTCTCATGCCATCTCAAGAATCAACCGATCATCACAATAACGAATCATCTTTATCAACGTGGAACATTCAACATACAACATAGGCAATTTGGTGATTAAATAGTTTCCTTCTTTTTTTTGTATTGTTATCCATTAGTATTATATTATGCCCTTCCCTTCATATTCATATATATATATATATATATATATTTTCTTTTGTACAAATAGACCTATTCCGCCTTTCGATTATTATTCTTTTCAAAAAAATAAAAAAATAAATAAATAAAAATATATTTCATAACTCGAGTTTTTTTTTTTTTTTTTTTGAACAATGATGATGACAATAGATCACAATTAAATCGGAATTTGACTTTTTTGAATCATAAAGCGTTAGACCCAAACTTTAATTAGACCTCTTCCAAATAAGCGAAACCGCGGGTTGTCAAGACAACATGTCATCACCGAGGTTTGATTTATATTTGCTCAAGGAAATCATATAACCTTTCATTTGAAAAAATCACCAACATAATGACCAAACCAACATCATCAAAACATGATTCATGTATTTCAAAAAAAAAAAAAACACAATTTCCAAAAATAGGCATCCTTTATTTTTTCCAAGAAATAATAATACAAAATAAAATAAACTACAACTACATAAATATATATATATATTTCTAAATCTATAAAAGAGCATTCTTATCCCAAGGAGTATCCATGGTCATAGGATCCAAAGCAACGGCAGGTTTAGAAGATTCAGCCAGCTTGGCAAGACGGAATTCTTCATCAATATCATCATAATGGCGGAAGAGGATGTAGTAGAGGATACCACATGCAAAAGCACCACATGCAACACCGGTATATACCCACACCATATTAGGATCTTGAGAGGCAGGTGAAATGGCGAGAGAAATCAATGCTGCAATACAATTGGGCCATAATGATAATGCTGATACCAGTGATTTCATCGATTTGGGAGCATGGGTATAAGCGTATTCAATAGATGTAATGGAGGCAAAGATCTATAATAATAATAAAAAAATACATATGAGTATCATCATCATCCCATCTTTTATTATAACTTACTTCACTAAAGGCAATCAATACATAACAAGGAATTTGAATAAACACAGACACGTTAGAAGAATCACCAGTTTCAATAAAGAGAGGATCCATGTAAATATAATGTTGTACAACAGCAGCATAGACCATAGATAAAGAACCAAGGAAGAAACCAACAGTGATACGTTGTTGAGGGAAAAAGTTGATTTTCTTGCTGCGTAAATAAGGATAGAGTACCAAATCAACAATGGGAATAAAGATCAATAAAGCTATAGGGTCAAAGTTGTTCATAATGTTGTTAGGTAAACTGGACGGTCTAGCCATAACTGCAGCTTGACTGATAAGATTGTTGCTAAGATTGTTGTAACACACCCAATAGATCGACAAAGGCACGAAGATCTTGCATGCCATGATAGCTTGTTTGAGTTCATCCACAAATTGATCGTCCCAATGAGCCGCCTTTTCCGTCATTTCCGCATCCCATTCCACCACACCTGGTAAGCCAGAATCTCTTTTAGCAAAGTCCATAAAATCCTTGCAAACCCTACGAGCTTCTCTATTGCCAGGTAGATTCTTTTGTCTCCATGCTTGTCTGATGACACTAAAAGCCTTGAGAATAATAGAGCCTGTTGGTGGTGGCTTGTAATAGAGTTTGCTACCAGACACAAATACAATGATGGATACCAATAACATGATGGTAGGTAATAGATAAGCAGCCCAGAAATCTACATTTAATTCAAGTAAAGGACAAACAACACCACCAACAAGAGAACCAATATTGATAGCCCAATAGAACCTAAAGAAAAAAAAAAAAAAAAAAAAAAGGAAACTCAGCTACTAAAAAAAAAAATATTCCACAAATAGGGGAAATCATAATAGCGCGACAAATCTACCCTGGGAAGAAAAAAGAGAGACCCTTTTTTTTTCATCTACCGATTTTAACCTAATGTAAACGTTTTTCCATGGAAACATTCGCACGGTTATATAAATGTAAACTTACCAATTATAAAGACGTTGAATGGAAAGAGAGTAATCCACCACTACTTTTTCACCAGTTTTCAATTCCTTGATATAATCATGATCATATTTATATTGATCAGCGCATAAAGGTGATACAATACCTTTAATACCACCCGTACCAACTATAATGAAAGGATGAGAAAAAAAAAAAACTGAGATTTTTTTTTTTTTTTTTTTTTTACTTACAGCCAATCACTACCAAAGCAACTACGTAACCAGGAAAACCAGCACCAGCTTCAATGGCAGATGGAAGAGAAGTACAAGTAAGAATAATCCAACCGATCAAATAAACAGTAGAAAAGATAAGAATAGTCCAGTAACGACCAATATATTGATCAGCAACAATGGCTCCAAGCATAGGAGTAAAGTAACAAAAGAAAGTAAAGAAGTTTTGTAAAGCCGTAGCTACTGATTGTCCTTTGCCTAATTTGCCTACAGTAGCATCATTCGGTCCAAACTATGAAAAAAAAAAAAATAAGATTCATTATCATTCATATGACCCTTTATCTATTTTGTCTTACCTGAACGTAATTTTGAAATGGGGCTGATCCACCATAATAAGAGAGTCTATTATCCATTAATAAAAAAAAAAAAAAAGGTGGAGATAAAGTATTCCATTTTGGGTATATTTCTATGATGGATGATTATATGTAGTTTACCTTTCACTATGAACATAATATTATAAGTAAAAAGGTGAATGAATAAATGTGACTAAAAAGGAAGAACAAAAAAAAAAAAATCATTACCAAAGTTCGTTCACCAGGATGAACCCTGCAGCAATTGGAATAGTTTCTGCAACACGACGAAGTTGAGCACCATCGACTGAAATAGTAGAATCGTGTTCAATGACAGTGGTGATTTCTACACTGGTAGGATCCAAGTCTGATTTTTCTCTTTTTTCGTCTGTCATGAATATATATAAAAAAAAAAAAAAAAAAAAAAGAAAGAAAGGAAGAAAAAAAAAAAAGAGGTGTTCTTCTAAATACAGGTACGGAAGGTTACAAAAAATTTTAATTGGTTAGTATTGGCGGAGGTTTTTCCATGCTTGTCATAAACCATCATTCGATGATAGATTCATTTCGGTTGCCGCCTTTACCGTGTATTTGTTATCAAAAGGATGATGATAAAAAAAAAAAAAAAAAAAAAAAAAAAAAAAAGAATACAAGGGACCCTATATTTTGATACTTAATAGGGTTATCACTTTTTTTGTTTTTATTTATTTATTTATTGGATATACGAAAAAAAAAAAAAACTAACGATTAGCTATACTCCACACCTTCCAAATTTATAATCCGCACTTTGTAAAAAAAATATATTGTTCACATCTTCCAAAGAAAATCTAGAGTCCACACAAATTTTCGATTTCGAAAAGCTCCTGCGGTGCGCCAGAGCGTTTATGAGTATTAAAGAGAGATAACATCCCAGTTCAACGCAAACTAAAGTGAATAATGAAGAGAGAATAAATAATCATCACATGCAAACGTTATTTCATCTAAAACTTAAGATAGTTTTTACTTGCTTTGGTCAGATATCTAAATTCTTTGATCTTCCTTAAGTCAAAAGTATGCTTTAACCGAAGTTCATTTTGGACGGAACTTATAATTTTTTGTTTTTAACTCGCTTTTTTTTTTTTTTCTTGTTCTTTTTTCTTTCTTTGTTTTATCACTTTGAACAATCATTCCAAGATACTTGTCCATGGCAACAGACGCGCTCCAAAGAACAGAACTTTCGTTGGCAATAAGAATGACAGCAAACAAACAAGCCTCCTCGTTTATCTACTTCGACTTCTACTTCGATTTTTACTAATTCATCGACTCTTCAACACAACAAGAAGATTTCTACTGCAATACCAACAACTATACGTCGACCTCCTCCAACTTCTACCAAATTCTGGTTGGGGTACTGAATCATTGATTGAAACACCATTCTGGGAACAAGAGGATCAACCATTATCACACCCACAAAGCCGACGGAAACACGCTCTTGACGTGCCTTCTTCATGGATAACAGATACAATCGAAGCATCCTCACTACCACCAGCGCGCGTTGGATTTGATAGTAATCGCCTCCATGATTCGACTATGCTGTGCCATCATCATCACACCAATAACAACAACAACAACAACAAGTGGATGATCAATGGAATATGAAAGATGAAAATTGGGTATCAAACAAAGATCATCAACCCCTCTCATGGATGAACAGACAAGCTCGATGCCTACTGGTTGATTTTCGGATCCTTATAGAAAGAAGTATTCAAGCATAGAACAAACAATCCATCCTGCTGTTATCGAGAAACTATTATCACCAGAATGGTATCAGTCGACCCCCATCTATGGAAAGAGCTAGCAAGGCTCCACCACCATCACAGAACCCAATTGTAGTATCGATTCATTTGGATGTGGAAAATGACGTCAAGATAGCCGTTGATATTGGAAAATTCGGCGATCCTGATACGTTGGCTTACGAGCTCTGCAAATCTCATTAATATTACTGCTCCTAATCCGATGCAAGCTATCTCTACATTGTTTACAAATCAAAAGGAATCTGTCATGACAAGATATAATCGCAGAAGGTGATACTATGGTCTTTATTATTGTTGTTTTAGTTTATCTAGCTTATATCTTCCTCCCTCTTTGTTTAGTGTTTAGTATATATACCTATCTGAAAAATAAAAAAATAAATAAAAAAAAATAAAAAATGTCGCAAGACCGCAGTTATTCATCATCTTATCTTATCTTTGTGTCGCGCTGTGCTGTCAATTCGAAAGGACAAAAGCGTGGAATCCTTTTTTTTTTTTTTTTGAAATTCCTTTCTCTTCCTTTTCTTTTTTTTTTTTTTCTTTGTTCCTTTTTTTTTTTTTTCTCAATCACAACTTTTAATCTATCATGTCCACTATTCGTGTGTCTGTTGCCCAAGTGAGTGCATACAAGTTTGAATTGGAACCTACCATGACGAAACTGGAATCTTATGTTAAACAAGCTCGTGAACAAAACAGTCGCTTGGTTGTCTTTCCGTAAGTTGAATGAATCACGCTTCTTCTAGACCTCATACTTTATTATTGAAATGTTAGTGAAGCCTTCATTGGTAGGCACCCTAAACATAGTACCTTTGGCACGGTGTTTGAAGGAAGTTCTCCGGAATATGCTAGGTATCACAAACATGCTATTGCTGTGCCTGGTCCTGTCACTGATCGACTGGTGACTTTGTCCAAAGAAAATGATATCCTTCTTGTTGTGGGTGTCGTCGAACGTGACAAATTGACAGGTAAATAAATAAGAAATGGTTTGGACTATTGAATATTCATTCATCTTCATTTTTATTTCTTTTCTTTTTTTTTTTTTTTTGATAGACACTTTGTATCGTAGTACTGTGTATATTGATCCTGATGAAGGATATATTGGCAAACATAAAAAATGTAAGTAACCAAAAAAAAAAAAAAAGAAATGGATGACTCATTCATTAATCATCGCCAACTTTTGGTTGTTTTTTTTTTAATTACTTTTTTTTTTTTTTGATAGTTATAGCCTCAAGTTCGGATCGAGCAATATGGGGTGAAATTGCTGATAGCTCAACTTTACCAGCGAATCGAGATGGACATCGTATTTCTACCGTGATCTGTTGGGAAAACTACATGCCAGTATTGCGTACTTTTATGTACAGTCAAGGAGTACAACTGTATTGTGAACCTACTGTGGATCATCGTGATATTTGGCAATCGAATATGCAACGTATCGCTTTGGAAGGTCAATGCTTTGTCTTTGCTACTTGTCAATTCACACGTCAAAAGGATTATCCTGAAGGTCATGCTGGAAACGACTCGGATGGCGGTGATCCTGAAGCTCCTCATTCACTTGATGGTAGTGTAATCATCTCCCCTCTTGGTACTATCTTGGCTGGCCCTCTCCGTGGAGACGAAGGTTTGCTCACTGCTGATATCGATATGGAAGAAACAACTTAAAGTAAAATTGGATCTTGATCCTACTGGCCATTACACCCGTCCTGATGTCTTCAAATTGGTTGTCAACCAAACTTCCAATTCATCCACTTAGATTAGCTTTTTCTTGATTATTATTATTCTTTTTATTATTATTATTATCATTATCATTATTATCATTACTATTATTATTATTACTATTTGTTATTATTTTATTACTATTATTATTATTATTATTATTATCGTTTATTTTCAATACAATAGAAAATATTGAGATAAGACTATGACTATAATGACACTAACTAACAAATATGGAACAAAGAGAGATAACCACCAACTAAAAAAGAAGTAGATGCCATCCAGATCAAATACGATGATCCGACTACCGATTTCTGCAATTGATCCAGTCATATATAGTATCCCATGAAATCCAGAATTTTCAAAAAAAAAAAAAAAAAAAAAAAAAAGAACACATAAAAACATGTATATTTCAAAGTGATGAATCGAGAAAAGAAAATGGCATTGAAATAAGTGTTCGAGCTAAAAGTGGTCTTTATTGATAGAGAAAAATATATACTACAAATCAAAACTAAATCAACAAATACAACCAATCAATAGAGAAAAAAAAACTAAACTATGCTTCATCCATGCTTGGTAGATCTTCCTTTTCATCATAGTATTGATCAACAATTTGGTTGGCAAGCGCATAGAGTTCTGGATCAGGAGCAGGATTCACCGAGGCCAAAGCATCCATACAACTTGGTGTATCATCCAATATTTCTTTTCCTTTGGATACCCTTGTCAAAAGCATTTGCACATAACCTAATCCTAAACGAATCAGTTCTGCATCTTGAGATTTAATAAAATCCAGAAAGGCTAACAAATAATCATAAAAGTTAGTCTATCATTAGGTTTACCTTTTTTTTTTTTTCTTTAAAAAAAGATATTGATTTACCTTTCAGTAATGTTCTATGGTTCAAATTATCCATGAATTTCTGACCATGATGAGCAATGTTCAATAAGCAAATAGCGGCCTAAACGAAAATTGAATCAATAAAAATCATTCTCTTTTTTGTTTTGTTGATATTTACCCCTTTGCGAATTTCAAAATGTCCAGTTTGTACCATATCAGAAAGTTGTGCTATTGTTTCTGGTGTATCCACTTGTTCAATAATGTAAGCCCGGTTTCTATTGTTGTTTTATGAAAAGAAGAGAGAATGATGAATGACTTTGTTACCAAATAAATAAAAAAAAAAAAAGCTATTCATCCATTTCTATTCTTTTCATCTTGTCAGGGCTTACGCTGTTGTAATATTAGACATGACCCAAAGTGTTTCCTTTTTAATCACCCTAAATAAAAAAAAAAAAATAAAAAAAAAAGAGATAGTCAATTTCATATATATATATAAAGAGAAATATTTTAATTTCATGCTTCTCATTTTATCCATTACCTAGAATCTGATTTGAGTAACTTGAGCAAAGTAGACAGGAAAGGTTGTTGTTGGATCAAAAGTTCAGTGTTTTCATCAGGACCCGCAGCCAAATTTCCAAATGTTCGTAAAATGGGAAGTACAATGGGACCTTGATCCGCCGAATTATTCAAGTTCTTGACCAATGGTTGAATGAATCCTTCTTGCATTACCTGGTCTCTAAACTCTTTACTTCCAGCTGTCAAAAAGCTCATCACCCAACAAATTTCTGTTACTGTATCAGCCTATATATATTAGATAAAAGGAGAGGAAAAAAAAAAGATGAGTCACCTTCCTTGATTGATCTTTTTTTTTTTTGCTTTTTCTTTTGGCACTTTACCGTTTCTCTTAACAAATGATGTAATAGATGTTTGTCGATACCAGCAGCTATAAATGATTGAAGAGATGCTTCATCACCCCTTGCAAGATTAGCTAATGCAAAACAAGCATATTGTACAGTACGTGGTTCCTATAATGAAATGAAATGACAAGATTATTAAAGATAAATAAGTAATTTTTTTTTTTTTTTTTAGTAAACACTTACCTCAGAATCCAACATTCGAACCAAAGGTAAGATGGCACCATTATTTCGAATTCTAGCACGGACTTCATCATCTTCATTTGTCATATCACCTAAATCTTCTGCAGCCATGTTTCCTAAAGCACCAGCTGCCATTTCGCGAAGAACATTATTTTCTGAATCCAATAAAGTAATTAAATAAGGCACCATACAGATGGATTTGGCCCATAGATCATAAGCTCCAGCAGCGATATCTAGAAATGAGAATAATAATAATAATAATAATAAAAAATTAATGATCTACCTTTTTTTTTCAAACTTATTCTTTTTCTTTACTTGATATAGTTTTAACTACTTCAATTTGTTCATCCACCTCAGCACTTGATAATAAATGCTATAACAAAAAAAAAAAAATAACTATGAATGAATATTATTTGAAACATTGCTTTCTTTTTTTTTTTTTTTTTTTTTTTTTTTTTTTTTTTTTTTTTTTTTTTTGTACATACTGTTAAGGTTTCCATACAATTCCCTTCTACAATATAAGTCATAAGTGCTTCAGCAGGTTCAACTACAAATTTGGCCAAATAATGAATAGCATCTAAACGAATCTTCTTATCAGTACTTTTGAGATCTTGAGCCAAGGATTGTACTTGAGCTGTATTCAATCGATAATAGGGATCAATATCTTCTATAAAACAAAAATAAAGGTTAAGATAGAATACTCCAAAGAAAAATATTTTTTTTTAATATTTATTTACCATCGTGTTCATTATCAGGAGCAAGAATAGTATCGTCATCAGTTTCAGATTCACCAGCACTTTGTTCTTCTCTCCTCGTAAGATGTCTGTATCTTTTCGTTGTAATGAGTTGTTCACGGTGTTTTTTTCGTAAAGTATCATTGATAGCTTGTCGTCGTCGTCGAATATCATCAGAAGACCCAGAAATACTAGTACGTTTATATAAATGACGGTGATTTGGTTTATCAGGCATACTTAGAAAGTCTTATTAGAGAAAAAAAAAAAAAAAAAAAAAAAAAAAAAAAAGAAAAAAAGAACAAAAAAAAAAGTTTTCATGCCGCCACTGTGAGAAAAAAAAAAGAAGTTTCAGTTTGGGAATTTTTTTTTTTTTATTTTTTATTTTTATTTTGATCAAAAATACACATAAAAAAAAAACATATACTATTAAAAGTCCCTTAAAATCATCACCATGGCATCTAATCTATTCTTGGATGTTTCTAATCGTTGTAATACTTTTTCCATGTTTTCCATATTGGCCTTGTCACCATCACTAAGTAAATCCATGTTTTCCTTGACATCCTGTCGATTCAGTTTTTCCAATAGCCGTTCTCGGAGTGCCAATTCTTCTTTTTTACGTTGTTGTAAATTGCCAATCACCCGGTAGATATCCACCAACAGTTCTTCATAACATTTTTCCAATGGTACGTACCATAAATGGAATGACCTTCCAGGTGCACGATCCGCCGACTTGGGTACTTCTTGAATTTCTACAAATCCATGAAGATTCAATTGAGCCAATTTTTCCCTTGTATCCTTTGGTGGTAACATGGCCAGTTTTTGTACTTGAGATTCATCCAATTTGCCCTTTTCAATCAAAATGCGTGCAATCCGACATGTTGCTACACCTAATCGTTCCCGTAATAAACTTTCCAGTAATTTGCGTTTCATAGATTCACGTAATTTGGCAAGATTAACCGTAAATTGATTAGCCCCACGTTCATCCTTGTTCTTGATAAATCCTGCTTGATCCATCTTTAATAATGTAATGTATCCTCTGACTGCATCTTGTGTACTTGGTGGTTTGTTCTTGTTTAATGGATCTTGTTGTAAAATAATATCCCCTTGAGTCAATAATTCTGGTGATAGAAGATTGGCAATATGCATTGGAGTTGCTGAAGCTATTCATCATTAAAATAAATCAAATGAAAAAGTATTCATAGATAATTATATATCTTTTACTTACGAGTATCATCTTCTTTGACATTTTTCATTTCATCCTTGCCATATTCAAAAAAGGCTTTGATTACTTGTCCAGCCGTTCGATTCACACGTTCCGTAGCATAATCCACTATGGTCTAAATATATCAACTATGAGTCATCTTTCTTTTTTTTTTTTTTTTAGAAAACTGCGGCAACTTACTTCATTTCGAAAGATCATATTGTACTTGTCATAATTGACAGTAAAGAATATATTTTCATCTACTTCAGCCAAATTGGAATCCTCTGCTTGTCTATTTGATCCATCAAATCCATCCATAGCGAATCTCTAATTCAATAATAAAATACGTGTTATATATATATATATATTCAATCTTTTTCATTCTTCTTCTTTTTCTTCTTCTTCTTGTTACCTTATTTTGTATATTTATAGGATCATTGATTTTTCGTTTCTATAGAAATATAAAAATATTAGTTCCCAATTATTTAAAAAGATTAGTAAAAGAATTTTTACCATGCCAGCCATTTCATTTACACCGAATTCAGCTTGTATCTGATCATAAGCTGCCCTTTTGATAGCCAAAAGTTCTTTTGTTGTAGTGATAGTGTATTTTTCCGCTTCTTTTTCTTCTGCTTCCAAAAGTCGATCTAATGCTGATCTACTATGTTCTGGTAATACTGCCGTTATATATCGTTCATTGGCCATTTTGGTGAATGTCTTATGATATATTTTCCATTCTATTATTTAAAATAAAAAAGAAGAGAGAGTTCAATAAACATGATACACGATATATGTCATATTATACTTACTATCAAGATCACAATCTAATTCTTCTTTCATCGCAGTTAATGTCAAACGCCCATGGAGAAAAAGTTGTTTACAGATTTCAGTTCCCTACGAACAAAGAAGGATTAAATCTCAAACTGTAAACGATTATATGTATTTACCTCATTGCCAAAATGATCTTGTGTCAATCGTAAAATGGATCCCATTCGTAGTCGTAACATGATTTTAGTTGAGTCCATTTGGTAAAAAGTTGGATCGCGTACAGTCAAACTTTGAACAGGTTCAGTAAAATAGCATAAACCATGTTGAATCAAAATGACCAAAGATTCACGGACTTGTCGTTGGGTTAACTTTGTAAATCGTATAATGTCGCCTAAAGAAAGCCGTCCTTTCAAAAGTACCTGGTGTGCTACTTGCTGCAAATAAGTGAAAAAAAAAAGATGTCAATATCCATCTAATATTAGATTAAGAAGTTTACTTACCGATGGAAAGATACCAAATTCTTCTTCAATAATTTCCCTACATAATCTAGCTTCAAACGACATGTTGGTATAAAAGAGTAACAGACACAAAAAAAAAAAAAAAAAAAAAAAGGAAAAAAAAAAAAAAAAACAACCAAGTGGCTCTTCAAAAAATTTACATTTATTCTTTTTTTTTTTCTAATAATATTCACAACCCGCCTCCAATCATCATTCGCGAGACTGGGCAATGCAGACACATCTATTATATACACAAATTTTAAAATCTAATTTTCTTGATTCACTAATATACATAATTGTTGAAAGAATCTATCATATAAAATAGATGATCAGTTTTTGAATTTTAAATAAATTAAATAACTTACTCGAGTTTGTCCTTTTTTTGATAAGCAGACACAATCCCACTTGTACTTGGCATAACAAATAATTTGGTAGCACCTTTTCCATTGGACCAAGGAATTGTATTTGGTTGTAATCCCATCTTAATACCTTTTGTTTTCCCTAGATAGATTTCATATATTCCTTTTCCAACAAAACAGGCCACTCTAGGTCGATATTTACTTATTTTTTCTGTGAGTAATGGTGCATTTTCGCGTTGTTCTGCTAGTGTCAAATCTGAAGCTCTTCTTGTTGTACGTGCTGATAAGTTGGTGATTCCCAAATTGAATTCTGCAGTCATTGTAACATCGTCTTTACATGTCAATACTCTGTCCACTAGACCTACAATATATATATATATATATATATATTTAAAATAGATTGTAAGAATAGTTACGTATTTTTTTTTACCACTTTCAGAAAGACAAGGCCAAAAATGGTTGGTAGGTCCTGCAAAATGGTGACCTCTTGCTGCACTAGTAATACCAGGATTGATACCAATAAATAAAACACGTAGGTCATAGTCGAGATAATCAGGTATAGTTTTCTTCAAAGGATCATTGTTGTTTACTTTGATTTTGGTGGTGGTAGATTGTTTAAAGTAAGGTGATTTTGGCATGTATATATATATATAGAAAATAAGAATACAAAAGGAAAAAGGTAAAGAATTCAAAAAAAAAAACTGATGAGCGGCTGTTGAAATATCGAGTCCAATTCGAGACTGCGGGGGGAAGAACAAAAAGTATTGGTTGGCCAACCACCTTTTCTAAAGTATTTCCCTTTTTCTTTTCAATTTTTTTTTTTTCCATCTTGACGACACGTATATTATCATGGACGAAGAATCAGTTTTATTCGGTATTCGCAATCTATTTGCTCTTGGCAATTATCAAGCTTTGATCAATGAAGTCACTTCAACTCGTAATCTTCACTCACCTGATGCCAAATTAGAAGCTCAAATTTATTTATATCGTTCCTATGTGGCTCAAGGCAAATACAATCTAGTTCTTTCTGACATTCAAGATACTGATGCAGATGCTGGTTTGAAAGCTGTTCGTCTATTGTCCCTTTACTTGCAACAAAAATCAAAGGCACTACCCACTGATGACCTCGTCCAACAAGCTAAACAATTCTTTGAAGAAGGTTCTCATCGTGTCCATCCTGTTGTTCAAGTTGTTATCGCCACGCTTCTTGTCAATGCTGGAAAATACGATGATGCACTTCAAGTATTGCATGTTCGCACAAAGAAATTGGAATGGTAAATCTAAAAAAAAAAAAAAAAAAAGGAGAGATATGAATTATTACTTAACATTTAGAATACTAAATACGTTATTATAGTGTGGCCTTGGCTGTTCAAATATATTTACAAATAGATCGATTAGATTTGGCTCGTAGTGAAGTCAATCATGCCAAATCTTGGGCTGAAGATGCTTTGTTATTACAAATGATGGAAGCCTGGGTTGGTTTACGAGTGGTAAGTTTATTTCCAAATTATAATATATATATCTAATCATACTTTATGTTGATTAGGGTGGTGAAAAATATCAAGAAGCATTCTATATCTTTGAAGAATTTGGACAATCCAGTACAGGTCAAACAGTTCGAGTATTGAATGGTCAAGCTACAGCTAACCTTGCAATGGGAAGATATCCTGAAGCTGAAAGTCTTTTACTTGAAGCTTTAAACAAGGTAAGAGAAAATAATGGATTTTTTGTGATATTAATTATAACATGGTGGTATTATATATGATTATAGAACAGTGATGATCCTGAAACTTTGGTAAATATGATAACATGCTCAAATTTGATGGCCAAGACACAAGATACAACAACCAGATATATCAAGTAAGGAATATTTATTCTTGTTTTAGTACCTTTTTTTTTTTTTTTTCTAACTGAAGCTTCAATTTTTTTTTTTATCAATGATAGTCAATTACGTGAAGTAGCTCCTCAACATCCCTTCTTGGTGGATTTGGATCTCAAATCAAGTTTATTTGATCGATCAGCAACTCGATTCAGTTTGGTAGATGCATCCTAGTTTCTTTTTATTAGTTTTAATAAAAAAACAACACATAATCTTTCAATAAACTCTTTTCATACAAACCTAACGCTTGCCTGCGGCATTTCAATATTTTACTTTTCTTCTCTCCTTCACTCTGTCTTTTTCATATTTTCTCATTCCCTTTTCCTTCCATATTAATTGTCTTTAGTGTTTCCTTTTTATCCAATGGGTGCAGGTGCTTCCAAGAACAAGATTACTTCCCAGGATCAAGCCATCTTGAATTTGAAGATACAAAGGGATAAATTAAAACAATATCAAAAGAAGGTAAATCTTTAACCCTTTTAATTTTAAATTGAAAATGACTCATATCTCTCTCTTTTGTTTTACAGGTGAATCTTGTGATTGAAAAGGAAATACAAGCTGCCAAAGTCTCTTTGAATCAAGGGAACAAGAAAAAGGCATTACTTGCTTTAAAGAAAAAGAAATATCAAGAACAACTACTTGAAAAAACTGAACAACAACTTTTGAATTTGGAAGAACTGGTAAAAGAATAAAAATAAAAAAACTTATAGAATGGAAGGGATGCTTATACTTTTTTTTTTTTTGGTGATATCATTTAGACTCAATCGATTGAATATGCATTAGTAGAAAAACAAGTGTTGGAAGGACTCAAGAATGGCAATGACGTATTGAAAGAAATTCACAAGGAAATGTCTCTGGAAGACGTTGAACGATTAATGGATGATACTGCTGATTCTATTGCTTACCAAAACGTAAACCTATTTATTATAAATCATCTCTATTCTAACTATTTTTTATCTTTATTTCATAGCAAATCGATGATATTCTCAGTGAACAACTGACGGCTGAAGATGAAGAAGAAATCATGAAAGAGTTGGATCAACTTCGATTGGAAGAGGTAAGAATATACCTTATGAAATATCAATGAACTATGCCTCATTCTTTTCTCTCCTTTTTTTTTTTTTTTATTATCAGCTTGATGCCAATCTACCCTCTGTACCTGAATCCGAACTTCCCAAAACTGAACCTGTTTTACCTGAAGTGCCAACACATATACCAAGCACTGTCCAACCTGGTAAGAAAAAAAAAAAAAGAGTGGGCAAAAAGGGAAAGAGAGATGCAAACTTACTCATGATCATTTCTATATGATTAAAGAACCAATCAAGAAGAAGGAGAGAAGTCAACCCATGTTAGCCTCTTGAAAAAAAAAGGAACTATTTGTATCCTCTTATATTTACTTCACTATGCCCACCATGAAAATTTAGATCTAGTATTATTTAGCGATAGCGTTTGGTTCTTACTTTTTATTATTATCATTATTACACTTGTTACAATAAACAATTATCTGATTCCCACTTTTGATTATTCATATATATATATTCCTATCATAAATGTGGCGTGTTCAATGATTATTGTAAATCCAATAATAAAGTAACAGAAGTCATGCTTCATAAATGTAGAGAGGCAAATGTAAAATGAATAGAGCTTTAGGCTATGATACTAATGGCAATACTGTAACCATCGTGTTCTATTGAAATCATCATCTTTAAACCATTATCATTCATTCATCATCTTCTATTGTAGCCATGACCAGCATCAATAACATTCAAATATCCATATAATAATAAAAAAAAAAATTCTTGGCATGAAGTTTTTTACTAAACCCAATGATGAATATTTTCTGGGCTGTGGCCATTGCCAATTTTGGTAATGATGTATTTTTTTTTTTTTTTTTTTGGGTGAATATTTGACATTGGACCCACTTTTTGAGAATTTTGTGGCGATGCTTTCCCAACTTGTATAATATCGACTTTTTTGTTCTACATCTTATCATCTATTCTGAATAATAATGCTTAATTAAAAAGAAACTTTAAAGATTTCACACACGTCATATGGACATACATTTATTTCGATGCTTTATCATATCATGATCAAGTATTAACTCAAAGTACTTGATCGGATGAATGCACGTGTTTTTTGTCGTCCATTGTCTTGGATGACTACACAAGTAGATGAATCTTCTGTAGAACGTCAAAGAAATAAAAATAAAAAAAAGAATATGTATCATACTGTAGATACCAAAAAAAAAAAAAAAAAAGAAAAGGAGTAAAAAAAAAAAAAAATCAGTTTTTATTGATTCAATAGACTACCAAAAAAAAAAAAAAAAAAAAGAATAGAATAATAGTATTCATCATGTACTATAATAATTCAGATCAAAAGAACCACCACATAGGGAAGCATCCCCTGCATATTGTTTCGCTGTTGGTGCAGTCCATCCGCCAAAGGCAGTAAAGTCACTAAAGCTAGGATTGTTGTCATAATGAGCATACCAAAGAGGTTTTGAACTATCAAGTTCCCAATTTGTTGACCCGGTGACTGTTTCCCATTGTGATTGTGATGAATATACACCCCAATTGAGCTTGCTATCATCCAGAGCGGTTTTGAAGGCTGTCAAAGTATTCTGGTTAGTTGTGACATCAGGCCAGTTGTTCGATTGAGGATCCACTTCCACGTCCAACCAAATGGTACCAATCTGCATATGATTAGCGTTCATCGCATCGATGGCTTCGGATGCTTGAGTTGCAGGTGATTTGCATGTCGACCGACCTGTACAAGGAAAGATATAAAGATCCACACTAAGTCCAGCTGCTATGGCGTTGTTGTAGTTTTGCACAAGGTTCGCATCCACCTTTCCTCCTGGATTGCCACCCCAAGCTTCAATATACGCACGAACACCAGCACGAGTATAACCTTGACCTTTTACACATTGGAATGCTGATGTTGATGTTAATGATGAAACGTCAACACCTTTGCTATCAGCCTGGACAAAGGAGATACCAACCAAAAGAAGAGTCAAGTAAAAGATAATCGGAAAGTCAGTAGAGATCCACATCAGAGAACCAATAAGAAGAATACAAGTTGAAAAAAAAAGAGAGAGAGATAAGAAGAAAAGACAGAAGAAGAAAAGAATGATTGATATAAATACCAAAAAAAAAAAAAATGAATAATTTAAAAGTAATGTATCACTTGTTAATTTATTATTACCTTAATATCATAAGTCATGTGGAATCCAACGAGCATTGCATAGTTCCCCCGCAAAAGTAAAAAGGAGTACTCTGTCAGTATCACTAAAGATCCATTACGCTTGCATACGCGTCACTTTTTGTTCACAAAAGATTCATTTAAGTTTCCAGAATAATACCCTGTGTAAGCATTGGTATCACCGTAAAGTATATGCTCCAAAGAACCAACAAACCAAACTGAATTTCTTTAGTTGAATTGCGCGTATAAGAAGACACGATAATGACCTGGTGCCAAAAACAGTAAAGTGGTGATAACAGAAGGTGGCGATGCAAAATCAGATTCATAAGGTAACTAAAAAAAAAAAAAGGAAGATTTCAAGACAATGCAGATGCACTGAATATATATAGTATGATGTAGAGTCCTTTCCTTTCTTGTGCTTTACTTACCTTCCAAAGATAGAATAGTTCAGGACAAGAAGATATTGACCAGTGATAAATCTTGAAATGTAGAAGAAGAATACCACGGAAATAAGTTACCACGCTTTCTTCAGTTGTAAAATAATCTTAATTATTTCTTTGCATATTGAATAAGAGCAGACGGAGATCAAAGTTATTTGTGATGTTTGTGATGTTCGTGATATTCAGTACGTTCGCTATTGGAAACCGGTAGCGTGAAAATAGATTGATGTTGTCCAAATCAACCGGTGATAAAGAAGAAACGAAAAAAAAAAGTGAGTATTTACTGAATTTTTTTTTTTTTTTTTTTGATGACATGATACTTACGCGAAGATAAAATAAATGACCTAGCTTGCTGACCATATTTCACCAAATTGCTATGGCCTTGATGTAATTTTCCCCATATACTATCACACATATTTTGTTTGTTCTTGATAAATTATTGAAGATCATCCAGCGGATTGTTGTTGATAATAGTGGCTCGCTGTCTATGAATTGTCAAAATCGAAGATAGCGGAAGGTGATATATAAGATTGAGTAGGGTCATATGAGAGTGATTCTCAAAAGAGTTGTCGTCATAATACGTTGATGGTCATATAATGAAATATACATGGTCGAGAAAAAAAAATGTTGTTGTACGCTAGAAAGAAATTGGCTTGAAGGAAAATAATCGATCACAAGCATTTTGTGGAAAAAGTTTGAGGATATTCATATCTATTAACCAATGAGTTCCGCTTTGACATCTTTCTACCGTCACCTTTCCAGTGTTGTTCTTGTTGTAATTCTATAGTATTTGATGATGTTATGCATTATTCCAAAAAAGAAATATTAATGAATTAGTTTTTCAATAACATGTAACTTGCTACCGTAGTTGTATTTTTGGTTTACATTGATACAAGTTTCGTGTCGCGTCAACTCATGTCCAAACAGTAGATCATCCATTGTATTTTTAAACGGTTTCTTGGTTGTTGTATTTGTCTTCGAAATGGGTATTCAGTTAATGGTGGAGGAAAAAAAAAAAAAAAGGAAAACGTGAACAAGGAAGAGGAAAACAAAAAAGAAAAGAGAAAAATTGACCTGATTTTTTGAAGTCGCGCAAGTTGGGAATCTATTATGCAGTGATAACACTTTGAGCCAATCATACACATCAAAAAATTAATACTACAGAGAAAAGATGAACTCAAGCTAAAATAGTTCAATCATCTTCAATTGATATATTTTTAATGACTTAATATACTACGGTTACCTTTTTTTTTTCTTTCACCCTCCTCTTTATCCCTTTTTTTTTTTTTTTTTTTTTTTTTTCAAAATATAGGCGATTTTCCCGTAGAATCATGATGACAGGCATGCTTGAAAGTTCCAGTATGAAATGATGAAGTGAGTTTTCAATCACCATATGGGAATTACACAATGGGCAAATGACCTTTTTATTTTCTTTTGTTACATAAGAAGAAGTTGATTGGTCAAAAATAAAATAACTGATGACATTGCTAGTACGGACTACGGATGATGAATCAAATGTACGACATAATATGATGATGGATGACGGATGATGGGCAATGATATGATGATACAGTATGACGAATGTCCAATGGTGAAAGATGATGGATTAATGATGAACGATAACAATTGATGAATATAAAAAGGGCGACTTTGACGATGAAAACATCCATTACCCTTAAGGATCAAAAAAAGGGAATTTCAACCAATTTAAGAAAGACTGCGCCGAAATGACAATAAGCTCGAGTTGTAAAATACCGAAAATATGTTCATCATCATCATTCATCGACCATCCAACATCTAGTGTCATGGTGTCATCCATGTCTTTCTTTTTTTTTTCTTCTTCTTCTTCTTCTTCTTCTTTCTAAATGGATACATCGGATGATTGAATGAGAGTGTACCTGTTTTCTTGCATGTCAGACATATACAATAAAGAATAAAAAAATTAGGATGATATCATTTTATTAGAAATCACTCTATGGAATCACCTTCATATTCCTATAGAAGGTAAAAGAAAGGCTGAGGAAAATCATCAGGCGGTATGATACTTGGGTCTAAAATTGGTATAGAATTTACTAGTTATGGAAGACATCTTTTTTTTTTTCCCACATGTGTATAAAGAAGAAACAGAAAGACAGAGTATAGAAAAAAAAAGAAATGACGATGAAAAAAAAAAAAAAAGAATATGATTTCCATATATTCAAAAAGAGAATGACATTATCAATTGGATGATGAACTTTTAAGGTGACAATCTGATGGATTTGTATATTTATATTTTTTTTTTTCTGTTTTCTATACTTGAAAAGATAATAATCCAAATCAAGAGATAATTGACGACCTTGGGAAACCTCCGTGAGAGTAATAAACCAATTAAAGTTTTTTGTAACATTTTTATTTCTGTATATAGAGGAAAATTGACTCTTTTTTTTTTTTTTCTATTTTCTTTTGCCAATCCATGACAGACGAAAAAAGAGACAGGTCAGACTTTGATCGTGCCAGTGTAGAAATCATCACTGCACATGAACATCACCCTACTTCAGACTCTACTGTAGATAATGTTGAACTTCGTCGTGTTGCTGATTCTGTTCCAATTGCTGCAGGGTTCATTTTGGTGACCGAACTTTGGTAATGATTTTTTTTGCATGCAGTATTCATTAGCCATCTTACTCACTCTTTTATTTTATACGCAATTAATAGTGAAAGGTAAAAGATCATCATCAATAGTAATCATCACTCTATCATCCATCATCTCCACAATCATCCTTAAAATGGGATACTAAATCTTCACTTTTATTAATACATAATAGACTCTCTTATTATGGTGGATCAGCTCCTTTCCAAAATTATGTTCAGGTAAAACCAGTAGATAAAAAAAATGATTTGAATGAATCAATGACAAATTCTTCTTTCTCTCTCTCTTTTTTTTTTTCAGTTTGGACCTAATGATGCTACTGTAGGCAAATTAGACAAAGGACAATCAGTAGCCACTGCTTTACAAAACTTTTTTACTTTCTTTTGTTACCTTACTCCTATGCTTGGCGCCATTGTTGCAGATCAATATGTTGGTCGTTACTATACTATTATTATCTTTTCTATTGTATATATCATTGGTTGGGTCATCCTTACTTGTACTTCCATTCCATCTGCCATTGAAGCCGGTGCTGGTTTCCCTGGTTATATTGTTGCTTTGATAGTGGTTGGCTGTAAGTGAAATCAAAAAAAAAAAAAAAGATCTCAGTTCCTTTTTTTTTTTTTTTGTCTCATGTTTGATTTATTGTATAGTTGGTACGGGTGGTATTAAAGGAATCGTATCACCTTTATGTGCTGATCAATATAAATATGATCATGATTATATCAAAGAATTGAAAACTGGTGAAAAAGTAGTGGTGGATTACTCTCTTTCCATTCAACGTCTATACAATTGGTAAGTAACATTCACTTATTAAGGTTCAAGTCCACAGATAAAAAAAAAGGGTCTCCTTTTTTTTTTTTCTCAGGACGTTGGTGATTTCCCTCACGTGGATATTTTAGTAGCTGCGTTGTTTAATCTTTTTTTTTTCTTTCTTTCTTTCTTTTTTTTCTTTTCTTTTTTTTCTTTTCTTTTCTAGGTTCTATTGGGCTATCAACATTGGTGGTCTTGTCGGTGGGGTTGTGTGTCCTTTACTTGAATTAAATGTAGATTTCTGGGCTGCTTATCTATTGCCTACCATCATGTTGGTGTTATGCCTCTCGGTGTTTATAGCTGGTAGCAAATTCTATTACAAACCACGTCCAACAGGATCTATTATTCTCAAGGCTTTTAGTGTTATCAGACAAGCATGGCGACAAAAGAATCTACCTGGCAACAGAGAAGCTCGTAGGGTTTGCAAGGATTTTATGGACTTTGCTAAAAGAGATTCTGGCTTACCAGGTGTAGTGGAATGGGATGCGGAAATGAATGAAAAGGCGGAACAGTGGGACGATCAATTTGTGGATGAACTCAAACAAGCTATCATGGCATGCAAGATCTTCGTGCCTTTGTCCATCTATTGGGTGACCTACAACAATCTTAGCAACAATCTTATCAGTCAAGCTGCAGTTATGGCTAAACCATCCACTTTACCTAACAATATTATGAACAACTTTGATCCTATAGCTTTATTGATTTTTGTTCCCTTTGTTGACTTGGTGCTCTATCCTTATTTGCGTAGGAAGAAAATCAATATTTTCCCTCAACAACGTATTACACTTGGCTTTTTCATTGGTTCTATAGCTATGGTTTACGCTGCAGTTGTACAACACTATATTTATATCGATCCTCTCTTTATTGAAACTGGTGAATCTTCCAATGTCTCTGTGTTTATCCAAATTCCTTGTTATGTATTGATTGCCTTTAGTGAAGTAAGTTATAAAAGATGGGATGATGGTGATCATGATACTCATAGCTATTTTTTTTATTTCTTATTATCATTATTACTTTTTTACTACTTAATAGATCTTTGCCGTTATTACATCTATGGAATACGCTTACACCCATGCTCCCAAATCGATGAAATCAGTAGTATCAGCATTATCATTATGGCCTAACTGTGTCTCAGCATTGATCTCTCTCGCTATTTCTCCTGCAGCTCATGATCCTAATATGGTGTGGGTATATACCGGTGTTGCATGTGGTGCTTTTGCATGTGGTATCCTCTACTACATTCTCTTCCGTCATTATGATGATATTGATGAAGAATTCCGTCTTGCCAAGTTAGCCAAATCTTCTGAACCTGCCGTTGCTACGACCGTGGATTCTACTTCTGAAAAGAAGGCTCTTGAATAGTTTTAGAAATATAATATATAGTTGTAGTTTATTTTATTTTGTATTATTATTTCCTGGGAATAAATTTATATATTTAGTATTGAAGTACGCCGATGATGGTCTGGTTATGTTGACTTTTGTCCTCATGATGATGGATGAATAAGACTATCTGCAAACAAATCTTCTGGTGATTTTTCAATTGAAGAGTCATTCGTAGTTAAAGAAGGGAAAAAGAAAAGTTTATTAATAAATCAAGTCGATGATGATGATAGTAATAAACTTCTTTTCATCATTGACAACAACGATTATATTCAGCTGTAAATGTGTCTTTGAGGTATAACGTGAAATGTTTTCTATACACATTGGAGAAACATTTTTTTTTTTTATGAATTGACAATACATGATACCGTTAGTAAATAGTAGATGGTTCTTGCTTAAGTAAATACAGTTTTTATTTGACTAGGAAGTTGATAAAATGATTATAAACGGAAGGGAAATGGATGTGTAAATATAAAGGACGATGTAACAAACAAAAAAAAAAAAGATATAAAATAACAATAATAAATATGACGATGTAGAATGAGACAAAGGATGCAAAAACTGGAGATTAAATAGGGTATTCTATCGTATTTCAATTGGAGGTTCTGTTTCCGGTATGCCTTGAAATTCAAATACTGGTGCAGCAAACGCTTGCATATCATCCTTTGTCACAGAGTCATTCGATACGCCAAATGATGTTGTTTGACTGGTAGATGATCCAAATGCCGAAGGAGTTTGTGATGTCATATTACCGAAAGCCGATGAAGACGATGTTGTTGATGGTGTACTGGGTTGTCCAAAAGCATTAGCAGTTGTTGTTGAAGTTGATGATGGTGTACCTAATGTAGATGTTTGTCCAAATGCTGATCCACCGCCTAAACTAGACGTTTGTCCAAACGCTGTTCCACCACCTAAACTAGATGTTTGTCCAAAGGCTGATCCACCACCTAAACTAGATGTCTGTCCAAATGCAGAACCTGATCCTAAACTAGATGTTTGACCAAAAGCAGAACCTGATCCTAAACTAGATGTTTGTCCAAAAGCAGAACCTGATCCTAAACTAGACGTCTGTCCAAATGCTGATCCACTACCTAGACTAGATGTTTGTCCAAATGCTGATCCACCACCTAAACTAGACGTCTGACCAAATGCTGATGTAGGTTGACCGAAAGCAGAACCTGATCCAAATGCTGATGCTGTTGGTGTAGTCGTTGATGCTTGACCAAATGCAGAAGGTTTACCAAATGCAGAAGCAGTTCCTGATGTAGGTTGACCAAAGGCAGATGTTGTTCCAAATGCTGAAGTGGTTGTTGCTGCGGGTTTTCCAAAGGCAGAAGTGGATCCAAATGCAGACGTTGATGCAGGTTGACCTAACGTAGAAGTGGATCCAAATGGTGTTGTAGTACTAGAACCAAAAGCAGATCCACCAGAACCGAATGCAGACGTTGTATTGCTTGTTGTTGTTTTACTTCCAAAAGCAGAGGATTGACCAAAAGCACCAAATCCGCCTTGATTTCCAACAAAAGGTGCAAATGGTTGGTTTAAAGTCGCAGTAGCTCCAAATCCACCACTTGTTTGTGATTTTTCCTTTTCCTTGTTGTAATGCTGAATAGCACCTGATGTATTCCCCTGAATAGCAGCAAGTTGTGTATCCATATCTCTGTTAATCTGTTGGAAACCTGGTAACTAATAATAATAATAAAAAAAAAAAAAAAAAGAAGTCAGTAAAAGATATTGATCATATTAGGAACTTACATATTGACTATCATTGCCAACTGAGCGCATACTATTGTAATAAGCTAATCGATCTTCTTCAGGACTACGGTCTGTACCGACGATCAAATTGGGTTCACCTTTAGCTGGACCATAAACAGATAATGCCCAAATAGGTTTTTCTTCCTTGATATCTTTGCGAATGGAGGCTTCACTAGTAATAGGAATAATAATAATATGAGTAACGTAATAAAATTGAAATATTTTAAAACTTACTTGTATGATAGTTTAATGTGTTCGAATTTACAATTATTTCCATAAGTACAACGGTTTTCAAGAAAGAATTTACACACAGTCATTATTCTACTGTTTATATAAAACTGAAAGAGAGTGTGGACAAAAAGTGAGAGAGAATTTACAGCAAAAATTTCTTTTGAAAAAAAAATGGCTGCGGACTTGGAATCTTGTTCCCTTTTGATTGAAAGTGTTCTCAAAAACTTCACAGTTTTTCCTTCTTTCTCTATTGCTGGCATGGCATCAAATCGCAGCTCTATAAAATTAGAAACCAATCAACGGCAAAAACTATGGCGAGAAAAGTTTAGATCTCAATGTGTTGAAAGAGTAAAAGGGACACGAAAAGAACAAATAGACCAACGTCGACATAACAGCGTAAGGAGTACATATTATAAAAGAATAAAACTTTTATTTAACTTTTTTTGATAAAATATTAGTGGATGAATAACGTGATAGCACAAGAATGGCAACAGTTTAGACAACAATATGAACAAGAACTACAACAAGCTGGTACTGAAATATATACAGATCTTGAAGCTATGATTGAAGAAAGTATACAAAGTATGCCAAAAAAAAAAAAAAAAGGATTGGGATAAGTTTTTTTTTTTGTAACTTTATTTATATTAGTTGAAAATAATAGACAAGAAGAAGATCAATACGAAGAATACCAAAGATTACAGCAAGAAGAACTTGATATGGTTATTGAAGAATACGAATCAATAAAGACATCCATATGTATGAAGTGTCAGCAACCAAATTTTGCTCAACAGTATGACCAAGGACTTTGCTCTCATTGTGGATATGTGGTGAAAAACGAGGTAATACTCTTTTATTTGAAAATGCTTGTGGTATGGTTTTTAAATCCTTTTTTTTTCAGGTATTGAATACAATATATCAAACAAAACAGAATCATGACTCCTCGTGTACAGATAAAATGGAATTTATGGTTGAACCTGGGGAAAATGGAAATATACTTGGTCTGTGCGGTTCCTGTGATCTATGGATTCTCTTTTGATAGTTGTTTTTTTTTATCGAATGTTCTATATATAATATATCTGTTATGTTTTTATAGACACCTATATTTTTGTACATAATAAAAGATTACCCTTTTTCTTCAGCTTTCCGTATTCGGTTAGCGGTGTTCTGATTTTTTTTTTTCCTTTTTGTCAAGTTGTCTTGGTTATTTCTTTCTTCTTCTTGTTTTACCAATGTCTTTCTTCAACACCAATATCGATTCTATTCTTTCCTCCTGTCATTTACAACCATCTTTGGAATTATCTCAAGTGGATCTTCAAACTTATGTAGATCGTATTACTGCCGATGGAAGCTGGTGCAATGTAAGTATGCACGAATATGTTCGCAAAAGGTTTGACTGACATTTCCTATGTCATGATCTTCTATTACAATAGGATTATTATCTTAAAACACAACAAGACGAGAACAATAGTCAACATGAAAATATTTATAAGATTTATGCAGACACATTGGACAACATCTTCACCAAGGTCATTCACTGCGACGCGTCTATTCAACTATCACTAGTAAAAGTATTATATCAAACTTTGGTCTCACAAGATAAAAACCACTTTGGAGTAATAATTGAACAAAAACAGTAGTATTCAGTTGAATTGTTTGTAATCTTTTTTTTTTGTCTTTTCTTTCATTCCTTGCTTGTATCACTCACTATAGGAATGTTTCATGAAGAACCACGATATTACCTTACAAAAACTCCTCTCTGACCTACTTATCACGAACCATAAACCAGTATCAGCTAGTGTGGAAATGAAACGACTTGTACTTGAACTATTGGAACGTATACTTTGTGTGTGTAGACCTCTAGAATCTTTAGCCTGGGTGAATGAAAAACTCTACGATTTGGATTGGACCTCCTCTTCTGATGATAATGATCAAAATGATTTGTCCAATATGGTGATGATTTTTGTTACTACGATTCAGGTTTATGGAAAATCAGGTACTTTATAAAACAATAACAGAAAACAAAAAAAAAAAAAAGAATAGTAGTGCTGATATTCTTTTTTTCTTGAAAAGTACTGGAAAATAGTTTAGGGGATATCAAGATATATAATTACATCACACCTCTATTGACTTCATGCGTAGATGCTTTATCTTTTGTGAATACAATGATGCGACAAAGTATACCAGCAAATTTGGAACATCAAATGGATTATGTAACTATTATAAACAGTATACTTGATCTTGTTACATATTGTTACTCTATTTCGTCTGATACACAGGTAAACTTTGAAGAAGGAAGCAGAAGATTATTTTTTACTTTATTCTCATACAACATCAAATCTTTTTATATTATTGTAGCAACAAGATCGTGATGCTATCTTCCATATAGCCAACTATTTGGTAGTTCTTATTTTTGACAAATTTGTGTCAAATGTAAACACAACGCTCAGCAGCACATATTACGAACAACACCATAGGCGATACAAGGTGAAGAAAAAAACAACCAGTGAATCACCCAATAAAAGTGATCACAATGTGATAATGGATTGTGTATCACGTTGCCTGGTAAATAAAAAGAAGTCTTTTTTTTTCTTTGAATAGTTATCTTACTTATATTTTAGACCTTAGTGGCTCATAATGGCTTGACATTCGACAGATTATTACTTCTTCAACGACAATATGATGATGGAATGATTTTGGGAAAAAGTGAACTTCGTTTTCCTCTCAGCTACAATGGTATAATGACGATGATGGCACTATCTATTTATGATCGGTATATGAACACAGATCTAGCAAACCAAGATCCACGGCGTTATCTTTTCCCACTTTTGATTGATCCAGTTTGGATTGGCCGCAACTGTCTTGGGATGATTATATCCTTATTGCACAAGTAAGTAATTGAAAAGAAGAGACAGAATAAAAATCATCCTAATCTTCATTTATATTCTTTTTTTTTTTTTTATAGTCCTCAAGATGCTGGTAGGATAGACAAATCTCTTTTGATACTTTTATACTTGGCTGATAATGTGGATAGTGAAACACTCTCATTGTCATTGGATATACTCGATAAGGAGCTCCAAGGTCCCTTGATCAATGGTCAGAAAATGACACTAGTAAAGGCATTTCAGGTAAATCAATAGATAATGAAAATTAGATGACAAAACAATGGTCATACCAATATTATTTTTATATTCCTATATTTCTATCAAAATTCACAGACTTTGACATCCATGACTTGTATGGCGGACAATGCAAATTTTCGATTTTTGGGACATCAGTTACTGCAACGCTTCTTACAACTGGGTACAGACGAAATTCGCCTTTTTGTTTTGACAGAACTACTTCAAAACTGCCCATTTCCGACAATGCATACTGCAGCGATTGGATTACTGAAAGATCAAGTAGATCAAGCTCTTCGTCTGAAACATGGAAACACGATGTTCTGCTCAAGGGTTATTCTAGACAAGTTTTTCCCTATCATATACCAGGTTGATAACAACAAGGACAACGATAATGACACTGACAAAGAGAAAGAAATATTCTGGGACAAGTATAATTACCATATGCAAGCATTGAACTTTTATTATTACTTGATGATGGCTGATGAAAAGGAAAATTATGTAAGTGAAAAAAGATTGAAAAGAGGAAAATAAATCATTGATTTTTTTTTTTTAGACCTGCGTTTGGGATCAACAACAAATAGAATGGTTGAAGACAAATTATCTTAATCCATTGGAACAAAAGGTGATCCAATTATACTCATTATGTCAACAAGATGATGATAACGTAAGTGAAAAGAACAAGATATATGTCTTATCTTTTTTTTTTTTTTTTTTTTTTTTTTTTTGGTTAACTCTCCTTTTTTTTGATTGATCAATAGGATTCATTGGTCAAATGTATGCAACTGGATATGATGAAGGATATAATGGAAAAGATTACAAACAAAACGCAAAGCAAACAAATCTCTTCTAGTTAGAATCAATGATAGTATACCGTATAATATAATAAAAATTTTAGATGTAAACATTTTAAATTTTAGAGTATTCATTCGTGAAAGTTGAAAATATCATGCCAACTCAAGATGATATGGAGAAGAATGGCGATAAAGGTACTCACTTTTTTTTAATTTACTTTATAGATGCAATGATATTTCTATACCATAACATCAGTGAAAGTTCAAAACAATGATTAGCTTTATGTTGTGTTCAAATTTGGTGCGATGATGATGACTTCTGAGGGAGAAAGGGAAAGGCAAAAGTTTCTTCAAGTTTGTATGTAGATGAAAAAATGGGATCAATTTTTGGATTTCACAGCCAAAATTTTCAAACTCCTCAGCCAAATGTTGGCTGCAAACTCGAATCGTCAAGGGGACCATCAGGCAATTTTTCGAAAAATCGATGAAAATCTTTTGGTGCTTATTGTACTTTAGATGATAAGTTAAGCGATAAAATAGGAATAGATGACATTAAATTACTTTTTTGAGAGGAATTCAATGGTAATAGTTTTATTGGATGATGATCATTATTCGATGAGGGATGACATAATTGGCTTTTATTTTTTTTAATTTAATCTACAAATTGAGAGATAAGATTTAACTCATTATTAATGCAAATGAAAGAGAATCTTGTCATATACGTTCAATCCAAATCTGGTGCAGTGATGATGATCGTTCAATACATCACAAAAGTGTAAAGAGGGGCATGTCTACCTTTTTGTGATATTACAGTGCAAAGAAAATAGTTTGAATTTTTGATAAATAAGCCAAATAGAGATCAGTGAATTTATCCAAAGAAAAAAAAAAAAAGAAAGTGGCTAGATGAAAAGAATGATAAGTGTACCAATAAACCAAAAGAGGACGCGACTTTGGAAATCTCCACGATTCAGTCAGTCAGTTACGTCGGATTTGGAAAAGTATTTTTATCTCATCTTCATTTTTTTTTTCTTTTTATTCTCTCTCTCTTTTTCCTTTTATACGTCCATGTCCAAAGCAACTGATACTAGGAAATCGATTAGTTCTTCTGTTTTTGGAATCAAACGACTACTACGCGATTTTCAATCAAAGTCACCAGCTTTATCAAAAACTACCTCTACTTTTACCGCTAACAATGGTAAATCAACAAAAAAAAAAGTATTGATTGATCTTGACACTCACCTTTCTTTATTTCATTTGTGGAAATGTAGAACTACATGCTTTTGGTCCTGTGAATATTGATAAAATACGGATAGAATTCAAGGAACAGATCGATATCATCCGGTCCATTTGCTCCCAGTTTGAAACAGAAGTACTTGGAGAAGTGATGAAATTAGGTCCCGGCGCTGATCCCACGTTTCGAAAACACTTTAACCAACTCAAGGTAAGTATAAGAAGAAGAAGAAGAAAAAAATAATAGGGATGATACTTTTTTTATTGATTTTATTAATGTATTATATTTTAGGAACAAGCAACTACGGAAAGTACAGTCTTGCGCCTTCAAGAATATCTTCAACAATCAAATGAATGCCTAGAAAAAGCAATTTATGACAAGGAAGCATCGAAACCAAATGTTAAAGTAAAACAATTAGAAAAATTGGCAAAATCCATGGGGTAGGTAGAAATTAGTTTGTAAAAAAAAAAGTGTGAAACTTCATATAAGACGGACAAGACTTATCTATTCTTGATTTTTTTTTCTTTCTTCCTTTCTTGTAGACTTGTCTCATTTGTAGATTCTTCTCAAAAAGATTCTAGTGTACCTTCGACAACTATTACTCTTGGAGGAACTGTCATTGTAGTTGATGTAAGTGATTATATATATATATATATATATTAGGATAATATAATGAGAAACAATATTATTAACACTGAATTATGAACTTTTTTTTCCACCATTTTTTTTTTTTCAACAATAGATTGATATTGATGAACATGGACAAGTTCAAAAAACAAAGGTTACATTTGTACCTGAACACTTGCAGAACGATCATGATGAAAACTTGGATTTATTACTGGCAAGAAATTTACAAACTAAAGACTTGGAAGGTTTCAAACGGAATTTGGGTACTTTGGCATTACTAGATCGACTCAATGTAGAATATGCACCAACTGATTTTTTTACGATTGTTCGCAACCTATTCAAAGATTTACAAACAAACTGTGGACATGAAACGTAAAAATAGAATATAGAAAGAAAATGATGATGATTTATAGTCATTCATTCTAACAACGTCTATTTTTTTTCTTAATAGATTACTCTTATCAAACAATCTGTTGGATGTATTATTGGAAGGTCATGGTGTACCTAGCTTTAATTTGGATTATCCAGGGATCTCTATCGCTTATTGGATCGACAAAGTCAAGGCTAAAGATATAGATTGGGATGATGTTCGTACATCGGTTGAAAATGGTAAATAAAAAGTAAAAATACAATTTTCCATTGACTTTTTCTTTTTCATTATTATTATTATTATTATTATATAGGAAAAGATCACACAGCTTTACTTCAAGCAGCCAAGATATTAATCTCATTTGAAGAATCAAAAACATTACAACAATTCCTACCATCACATCGATCAAATTACATGTTGGCATTTGATGAATTGGAAGAAACAATCAATAGCAATGAAGAGTAATTTTTTTTATTATTAATGAATCAATTAGCACTTACATTGGATTTTTCTTTTTTTTTTAGAGACGAATTCAAAGTCATACGGGAAATCAAATGGCCAAAATTCATGCAACCATTACGATTTGTCAAACCAATATCTTCAAACAGTACGAAGGCAATCCCAATACGATTTGTCGCTAAACTGGATGTCCCTGTTCCGGCATCAGATACCATTGTGCAAAAACTCATGGAATCTACTGGCCTTTTGAAAGGTAATGAATTGCTATCCTTTTCAAGGAAATATATATATATATATATATATATAGATATCTTACATTTTTCTCCATCTTCATTTTTTTAATTATTAGAATCATCAACAACACATACAAATGCTATTGAAGATCGTTCATCTTCAGAAACAATGTCATTGGAAGAATTATTGGTAAGTATATAATATGTTATTTTTCATTCGTTTATATTATTTATTTATTTATTTCTTTTTCTTTCTCTTTCTCTCCGTTTTTCGTAGGTTGTGGGGTTGACTGATTCTTCTACACAGATAAATCCACTAAAATCAAACTCTTTATGGATCAAGGTAAAGTTTTCAATAATCATAACTTTCTACTTTCCTAATCTTTCTTTTTTTATTCATATAGAAAATGGAAGACACATGTGATCAAGTTTATCAATGGATGACGGGTACTGGTACACCTGGCAAACTTTTATATCGAATCCCATTCCAACACCCTTATCAATTGTATAGTATTATTATGGTAATGTATTGACAATAGATAGCAACTTGTTTAATTAATATTTTATATACATATATAGCACTTGCGCCAACAACAAATGTTTAACTGTTTGTTTACAAGTATTTTCAACAAGGACACATTTCAAACAGGAATGGATGAATCAAAAAAAGCAGTTCAACCATTATCTTTAGAAGATATAATGATAGGTAAAATTGAATATATATATAGTGTATGTGTACTTATTTCGTTTTATACCCTTTAATGACTTGATAGCCAGCCAAAATGACAACAAATTACGAATAGAAGTCAGTGGATTCGACGCACCACGAACAATTCAACTCTCATTATCACCACCGCCATCATCATCAAAATATCCGTTTGTGTCAGTTCCCATTATCATTGATATACCTAGCAGCAAAGCACCTCGAGTACGATTAGATCCAGTAACTGTGGACTTGACTACCAATGGTAAAGAAACAATGTGGCATCCTCGTGTATTTGATGTGGATGAAATGACCAAGGTGTTACAAAAGGAATGCAGAATCCCTCCAATGGTGGATTGGCTTTGGAAATCAATTGAACAACATGATGGATCCTATTTTTATAAACAACCACTGAAACGATCTCATACTTCAATGATGGATTTAGATGATAATAGTTTTTAGTTTGTTTTTTTTTGTGTTGAATGTCGGAGTTTCCCGAATAAAATCTACCTTTTTATTTTTTTGCATGGTCGTGTTCTGGTTGGCTCATTCGAATGGATTTTTCACTTTATGATCTTGGTCGTCGTCAGCTGATGATAAAAAGGGAAATTTGCTATTTTATATTTATTTCCTTTTATTTTCTTTTTTTTTTATATATTTTTTCTTTTTTGTTTTTGTTTTATTCTCTCAATTAATATAGAATATGACACATCAAGAACATTCGAGTTCAGAAAACATTCTTCCAACAACAACAGAAACAACAACATCAACAATATTACCTTTTACTTGTCAATGTTCAATAGTTCCTTTGATTGAAAATAACCGCAGCACAATTACCATACCTCGGTCGGAATCCAAGTCAACAGAAAATCATAGTTTTGTACTTTATGTGATAGTTTTTGATGTAAGCCATTATTCTTATCTGACAAATTATCATGATACTTACTCTCTTTTATCTATATATTATATGTAGACTTTGGAAACTAGACGAAGATACAGCGAATTTGAATCCTTCCGAACACTTCTCACCAAACTATATCCTGCCATTTTCGTACCACCTATTCCTGGAAAACATTCTCTATGTAAGTAAATTCAATATTTTTTTTTCTTATATTTTATTATTATTTACTCTTTCTTTCTTTTTCTCTAGCTGATTATGCTCATGTACATACTCAAAGTCGACACAAGGATGAACTAGCCATGGTGGAAAAACGAAAACGTATGCTTGAAAGGTTCCTTTGTCGTTTGATGGAACATCCTATATTGTCGAGAGAACATGCTTTTCATCAATTTCTACAACCAAATGTATCCTGGGTAATTTTTTTTTTAATAGAGTCACGAGTTACCTATTATATAGATATAAAAGATGCTTATTTTTTTTTTTATTTTTGATAGAATGAAGTCCTTACATCTCCTCCATTTGTCTCTATTAAGGATCCTCTTTTGGAATCCATTTCTTCTTCTGTTCCTGGTGAAACAACATTTGTATCTTCTTTACTTGGTGGCAATGTATCCTCTCAAATTATACCTATACCTACTATATCCTATGCTGTCAAAAATCCTGATCCCAAGTACCTTTCTTCAGAATCATTACTGGATAAACAATCACAACATGCAAGTACTCGTTTAGATCGCTCACAAAAAAAGTTACTTCGTCGACTTGGAGGTATTGATGATAAAAAAATAGAAGAGGATGAAATATAAGACTTATCATTTTCCTTTTTTTTTTTTTTTTTTTTAGATTTATCCAACGATTATGCTGATATGGGTGCAGCCTACAATGCACTTAGTTTGGATGAAGTAGGTGAAATGGCAAATACAATGGAACAACTAGGACTTTCGAATGATGAAGTATGTTTACAAATGCGAAAATTGGTGACACAACTGGAAATCGAGTTTGCCGAACACATACAAGAATATGTGCAATATACAATGATAGCCAAACAAAGCATACGATATTGGTATATGAAACAAGCTCAATTAGAAATGATAGGCGACGCGTTGGTGAACAAACAAACAGCATTATATTCTTTATTGAAAACAGAGGATCAAGCTGAACGATTACAAACTCTGATGACACAAGGTAATTCTTCTTCTCCCGACGATGGTACAATGGATCGAAAACACAATGGTACAACGAATGGACACTCTACAGATGATCATAATTATGGGATGGATAATGATACTTATGACATTGATACTCATTCAATTGAAGATGGATTTTTCTCTGTGGATTCGCCATCTCCAAGTGGTCCATCAACTGATAATAATAATGATCATGATGAAATTTTACAACAAAATAATAATAACGAAAATAACAAGCATACTAGTAGTTACCCTTCTGCAGCCAGTATATCCGCTATTCGTGCTTCAAAATCTAAATCAAAGAAATGGACTTCTCCAAGAAAACTCTTCAATGCCATGACATATACTATACAGGGCATGATGGATGTGGATCCAGAACAAACAAGACGCAATCAAATTAAAACATTGAAAGCAACTATTGCAGAGGTAAAAAAAAAAAAAAAAAAAAATAATGATTGGAATAATTATATTAATGAATATATGAAATAGTTGGAAAATGCCAAAATGAAAATTTCGGAAGAAGTCAAGCAAGTAGGAATAAGCATTCAAGAAGAACTACGGCGGTTTGAAGAACAAAAAATGATAGAGCTCCGAACGATGATGATCGCCTTTGCCAAACGTCATTTAGAATTTTGTGAAAAGGTATTATTAATTGCAAGATAAATGAATATACTCAAAATTGATTTTTTTTTCTTTTCTTTTAGAATATGATTTCATGGCAACAGACTCGACAACAGGTTAGCGACATGGGCATATCAGACTAAAAATTCTTAGTTTATTCTATCTGCGGAAAATGAAATAAATTTATGCCTTTTCCCTTGTTTTACATTTTTTTTTTTATACGCTTCTTTCCTTTTTTTTTTTTTTGTTGTTTTATATATATCTAACTTTTACTACATACTTGTCATGACGAACAAACTTCCTTTTCCTGTATTTCGCTTCAAACCACGTACTACATCTAAGATTCCAGGCGCTTCTATCATAGTACTTCAAGAATGGTGGGGTGTCAACAATCAATGTAAACAACACGCTCAACGATTAGCTGACGACACCGGTGCTCATACAGTAATACCTGATTTATACAAGGGAAAAGTGGGAGTGGATGCTGAAGAAGCTTCTCATCTCATGAAGAATTTGGACTGGCGCAATGCGATTTCAGAATTACAACAACTGACTTTACAACTTCACGAAGCAAAGTACCCGTAAAGTTTATACAATAAGATTTTTGAATGGGTTTTATATTAAATTTTTTTGTTTATATACATTATATTGCAGATCTGTTGGCTCTATTGGTTTTTGTATGGGTGGTGGTCTTTCACTGGCATTGGCTAGTCATTTAGCAACAGCTTCCAAGTATCCTCTGAAAGCATGTGTTTCTTGTTATGGTACACCTCCTGGTGATCTTTATGATGTTAGAGATATTACAACCGTGACTCCGGTACAAGGCCATTTTGGAGGAAAAGTAAAAAAAAAAAAAAAAAAAAAAAAAAAAAAAAAAAAAATGAATGAATCATTTTTTTAATGCTCATTGAATTGTTATTATAGGATACAATGAAAGGATTTAGTGATCCTGAAGCAGGTAACTAATAAAATAGATGGATATTTTTTTACTAATTGATTCCTTTCTCTTTTGAATAGCTGACGCACTTGAATTCAACCTCAGAATACATAAAACGGCAGAATCCATCATCTATCGATATCCGGAACAAGGTCATGCATTTATGAACGATGAGGAATGGTCTATCGAACAACGAAAGAATTTAGGATTTGTGGATAAGACATCGGATCCAAAAGTGACTGAACAACAAGTCCGTGAATTGGCTTGGTCTCGTATTAATAGCTTTTTTGTTCAACATCTTAGTAATCGACAACAAAGTGTAGAATCTTTGGACAAACCACTGGGTTAGATTAGATATTTTTGTTTTTTTTTGTGTGTTGGGGACATCAAATGAAATCAAATAAAAAAAAAAAAACCTTTTTGTATGACTCTTCTTTTTTTTCTTCTTTAGCCCAAAATTATAATGATGATCTTATCTTCTTTTACAAATACAACATCTACTTCTATAGAATAGTAGAGTATTCTTTTTTTTTTTGTTCTATCCATTACCATTACATATAATTGTATACTGTTAGATCTATTGTCAATCATGTTTCAAGAACCGCTTTATCTGATTGGTTGAAAATTGGTTTGGCTCTGATGGCAGGTGAGTCAAAAAAAAAAAAAAAAAAAAAAAAAAAAAAGACAAGGGCATTTTTTTTTTTACTCTCATTTTTTCACTTTTCTTTTCTTTTCTTACAAACTTCCCAATGCTCTCCAGTATTTCAACTGTTCGACTCAGTGCCTTGAAGGCTAGTGGTCTTCGAGCCATGAATTACTCTACTATAGGAAAGCGTATCAAGGTGGACAATCCTGTGGTAGATTTAGACGGTGATGAAATGACACGTATTATCTGGTCTGATATTAAGGAAAAACTTATTCACCCTTATTTGGATTTGGATATCAAGTATTATGATTTGGGTATGGAAAGTCGTGATGCTGTAAGTTAAATTTTATCTAGTTGTCTATTTTTTTTTTTTTTAAGAAGGGGTTCGGCAAAATACAACCGAGATTCTTTTTCTACTTATTCTCACACTATTTTTTTTTTTTTTGTTGGTTTCAAAACATTTTTATATGATAGACTGATGACCAAATTACCATTGACGCAGCTGAAGCTATTAAGAAATACAATGTTGGTATCAAGTGTGCTACCATTACACCTGATGAAGCCCGTGTCAAAGGTAAAAAAAAAAAAAAAAGAAAAAAAAAAACGAAGAACCAGAAACCAAGTGAATCACTTGTTCTAAAAAAGGCAACCAAGAACTGATAAGTTGATCTTTTTTTTTTTGATGATTAGAATTCAATTTGAAGAAAATGTGGAGATCTCCCAATGGTACTATTCGTAACATTTTGAACGGTACTGTGTTCCGTGAACCCATCATTATGACCAATATTCCTCGTATTGTCCCTGGTTGGAAGGAACCTATTGTGATTGGTCGTCATGCTTTTGGTGATCAAGTAAGTAATATATAAAGACATGTAATTAAACATTGACAATATATTTCTTTTTATATATATATATATACGAATAGTATCGATCTACTGATTTTGTGACTGATAAGGCTGGATCATTTGAAATGACTTTTACTCCTGCAGATGGTAGTGCCCCACAACAATTCAAGATTTATGACTTTCCTGCTAATGGTGGTGTAGGACTTGCTATGTATAACACCAATGACTCAATTCGTGGTTTTGCTCATAGTTGTTTCCAAATGGCTCTTTCCAAGAAGATGCCTCTTTACATGAGTACCAAGAATACCATTCTCAAGAAATACGATGGACGTTTCAAGGATATTTTCCAAGACATTTATGAACAAGATTATCGTAAAGAATTTGAAAATAATAATTTGTGGTATGAACATCGTTTGATTGATGATATGGTGGCACAAGCTTTGAAATCTAAGGGTGGGTTTGTCTGGGCATGTAAGAATTATGATGGTGATGTTCAATCGGATATTCTGGCTCAAGGTTATGGTTCTCTTGGTTTGATGACATCTGTTTTGGTTACTCCTGATGGAAAAACATTGGAAGCTGAAGCTGCCCATGGTACTGTTACTCGACATTATCGTGAATATCAAAAGGTATGTTTTTTTTTTTTTTTCTTCTTTTGTTCAGACTCGAAAGTTGATCTTTTTTTTATTTTTATTTTTGTTTTTTTATTTTTTAGGGAAATCCTACTTCCACCAATCCTATTGCTAGTATCTTTGCTTGGTCTCGAGGATTAGCTCATCGTGCTAAATTGGATCAAAGTCAAGAATTGGCCAAATTTACCCAACATCTGGAATCAGCTTGTATTAACACTGTCCAAAACGATAGTATCATGACAAAGGATTTGGCTTTGGCTATTCATGGACAAGAGTGAGTATCAAAAAAAAAAAAAAAAAAAAAAAGAAGAAGAGAATTTGCATATTCATCCAAAATATCTTTGTATTAGTCTTCGACCTGAACATTATGTGACTACTGAGGAATTCATGCAACATGTTACAACCAATCTTGACAAACTTCGAAATTAGATTATGAACTTTATATATTTTTATTACTTCCATTGTTGTTATTTTTTTTTCACACCCCAATTAGATCTTCTATTTTATCCCCTCACTCTTTTTCCTCCAACAGCGCTTAGACGTCTTTTGTTTTTTTTTGTGGCACATCATGCGATCATGACTTCAATAAAGTTTGTTTTTAGTTTTTTTTTTTTTTCTATTATATATCTATATATATACTTATATGCTTATGTTGATTTGTGTATACACTGTATGCATGCGTATAAGTTGTTAGCTGATTAAAAAAAAAAAAAAAAAAAAAAAAAAAAAAAAAAAAAAAAAAGAGAACATGATCCGATTTTCTGATAGATGATGATATATGAATCTAGCTTAAGAAATGGGATCCACCTTTCATGCATAGATTCATAGCGGCCACCATCCAGTCATTCTACCATACAATCATCCTTGGCAACCATCACCTCATTTCATCTGTCATCAAATTGTCCATCATCAAAACCATCCATCATCAAAATCACTCATCACCACATTTCATCTGTCATGAAATCATCCACCATCTACTATCAAACCATCCGTCATCAAAATCATCCATCATCAAAATCATCCAACCTCTTTTTACTTGGGCAGTTTGTTTTAAACTGGTTAGAAAAAGTTCCAACGGGAGGAAAAAAAAAAAAAAAAACTATCTTACTAGAGAAAAACATTCTTTTTTCCGGATAAGGAGAAAGGCAACATCGGCTAAGACTCGGGATCGACAGATAACGTAAGTTGATCAAACAAGATTTTTTTTTATTTGTTGAAGATTAGAAAGAATATATAAATGTAATCCTATCTGCAGTGGCGTGATAAATACTATTCATGTATAAACAAAAAAAAATCTAGCTACGGAATAAATGATAGATAAAGTAAGGGAGAGGAGAAAGAAAACGATAAAAAAAAACGCGAGATGAAAACTATCCATGCAACGCGGAGCTGCAATGTGTTCCTTAGGTTTCCGATACAAAGTAAAAAAAAAAAAAAAAAAAAAGAGCGCTTTTTTATTATGTACAAAAAAGAAGGGGGGGGGAATAAATAAAGAGGAATGTCAAAATGTAGTATGATGATGGCTTTTTTGAGAATGATTGATAAGCCAGGTAAAAGGAAGTAGTGATTGATACATCACCCAAGTGGCGATAAGGGAAGTCAATGATTTGGTCATAGAAAAAAATAATAATAAGACATGAATAGGGGAATCTTGAGTGAGGTTGGTATTGTTATAAGAGGATGGATGCTGATGATAATGCTGATGCCTTTGATATTGTTGTTGTTGTTGTTGTTGTTGTTGTTGTTGTTGTTGTTGTTGTTGTTGTTGATGATGACGTTGATAATGCCGAGGATATTGTACTGATGATGTTGATGATGATGATGATGATGATGATAGTGATAATGATGTTGATGGTGTAAAACTAGTTGCCCATAAAATAGATTTCTTGGTAACAAATTGAACTAAATGTAAAATCATAGACCAAAGAATATCATCTTCATCATCTTCTTCTTCTTCTAATAAAGACCAATAATCCGAAGCAGCACTCATGGTTTCCCTAACAGGAGATTCTGGTAAATATTCCAATCTTTCAATATCAGGGTTGAAACGGACAGATGATGGAGCACCAGATTCAGAACAAGTTTTTGACCAAGGACGATAATCATAATCCAAACGTAATGATGCAGGTTTCTTCAATACAGATTTAATACCTTCAGGTGGAGGAGTAGGAGGAAGTTCAATCGATGGTTGCGTAGAGTATAAAGGTCCATATAACCCTAAAAAGGAAAGTCAAAATAAAACGTTTTAGATTTGTTTGTTGTAAAAAAAAAAAAAAAAAAAAAGGTTTTGTGTGTGTGTGGAACATGCTTTACATGTGATGTCGGATTCTTTCTGCCTAAAAAAAAAACGAGGTGAGAGAAAAAAAAAAAAAGGTCATCCTATTAGTCGTTTTGTAATAAACAAAAAAATGAAACAAGAAAATAACTCACCAATTGACTGTGGATGGATTCACCATTGGATTTGACCTTCCTAGTTGACTTGTACATAATTTTGCCATTTGCCTCCATAAAGCATTTTGATATCGAATACAACGATCATGTTCAATTTGTATTGATTTGAAATCCTTGATATTAGCTTGAAATTGTTTCTTTTTAATTTGTAGTAATTGTTTCTTGATTTCATGATTTGTTTGAATAATATCATTTACATCCCAATCATGTGCTAAATAATCAACACATATACAAGCCGTCATCTTTGTTGTCAAGTAATAATAATAGTTAAAAAAATAAAAAATAAAAAAAGTATAAAGAGGAATAAGAAGAAGAAGTGAAAAAAAAAGAAAAAAAAAAAAAAGAAAATAAATAACAAAGCGGTATTAAGGAGCAAAAAAAGGGAATAAGAAAATGGAGAACCCGCCGCCGTCTAATTTTATATTTGTCACAAAAAAAAAAAAAAAAAAAAAAAACACAAGCACACCATTTCTTTTACACATTTTCACGCCACATCCAATCTGTGACATATCGGAATTTGGCGATCACTTTTCTTTTTTTTTTTTTTTTTTTTCTCCCACACCCATAATCTTTTTTTTTTTTATATATATGCACGGACCCACCTATCTTTAGTTACACGTTTATCTAGACTCATCACCTTTTTTTTTTTTTTTTTTGAAACGTATCAATAATCAATCACAATACATATACAACACGTGTTGTATGAGTTGGTCTCTCTCACTTCTTTTTTTCCCATCCTTCTTTTTTTTTCTTTTTTCTTTTTTCTTCTCATTGTGTTACTTTTTTTTTCTGGGTTGATCAAGTTGTGTGTGTGTGTGTGTAATCCGTGCACTTCTTTTTAGGTTGGAAACATGCGGAAAATAAATCTATTTTTTCTTTTTTTTTCATTTTGGTTCATTAAAAGAAGACAGGTATATATGTCATACAAAAGGGATTCAACAAATCATATCTTTTTTATTTCATGTCCCAAAATTTGATGCCAGCATCCCACAACCAGATTCATTGCGTTTCTGCTGCGGTATTTCAAAATCATAGGGTTTACTCATCATCTCCATCTTTCCATCTTTTTTTTTTTTTCTCTTTCACTTTCTGTCTTTTTATATATATATATAGAATATGGCTTTCTCTTCAGGTTTGATCTTGACTGATCTCAACGATTATATAGCTCCATCTCAAGCTTGTATAAAACCCGTTGAAGTTGTCAAATCTTCTGACAACAACAATGGTTCTGTAAGTCGAAAATGAAATATCTTTATTTACTGTTTCTAATCTTAATTTATAGTCTGAAATCAAAGTAGATAATGAAGGTACTTATTATGAAATCTCTCAAGACGGTGGTGAATCTAAACTGGAACAAGCTTCTATATCTCTTAACGATTGTTTAGCTTGCAGGTAATAAAACTTTTTCTTTTTTTTTTTTGTTTTATTATTATAATTGATGACTCATATATATATTTTTTTTAAAAAATAGTGGATGCGTCACTTCAGCCGAAAGTGTACTTATTACTATGCAATCACAAGAAGAATTATATAATGTTTTGAAAACCAACCAAGAACAACCTGATCAACACCGAACCATTATCATCTCCATCAGTCCTCAATCAAGAGCCTCACTTGCTGCCAAATATCGACTTTCCATGTTACAGGTGCATAAAAGACTTGTTACTTTTTTCAAACAACATTTAGGTGCTCATCATGTCTTTGATATTGCTTATGCTCGAGATTTGTCATTGGTTGAAACAGCAAAGGAATTTATTGAACGATATAGACATTACTTGACTCAAGGTGGTGATATTATCGAACAACAAATGCAACAACAACAACAACAACAACAACCAGAGGAACAAGGTGGAAGACAAAGACGAAGAAGACAACCTGCATCTAATCAACAACAACAACAACAACAAAAAAGTATTCCCATGTTAGCTTCTTCATGTCCTGGTTGGGTTTGCTATGCTGAAAAAACGCATGGTGAAGTGTTACCTCATATCTCTATGACCAAGTCTCCACAACAAATGATGGGTTCTCTAGTAAAAGATTATTTAGCTACAAAGACAAATACAAGGTAAACGCCAATATATATATATATATATATAATATATATATTATATGATCACTGATTTTTTTTTTTTTTTGGATTTAGGCCTGATCGCATTTATCATGTTTCTATTATGCCATGCTATGACAAAAAATTGGAAGCTAGTCGTCCTGATTTCTTTTTAGAAAACTTTAACACTAGAGAAGTGGATTGTGTATTGACTACTGGAGAAGTGGACAAGATGTTTATGGAACAACATATCAATTTTACTCAACTGCCAGAATCTCCTATTGATGATATGTAAGTATATATTAAATAAACGAAAATGATAACTCAATATTTATTCTCTTTAGATTCAACAAAGTAGGTGTAGATCCAATGACTCAAATGGAGACAGCATACGGTGCATCAGGTTCATCCTCAGGTGGTGCCTTGGAATATATTTTAGCTAGTGCAGCAAAAGAACTATTCCAATTGAATGATGTTCCTTTGGATCAACTTTCTTACACAAATGGACAACAACAAGAAATTATTGGTGGTCGAGTAGTGATCAAGATGGGCAAGAATGCTGATGTCAAGGAATATATGTTACAAGATGATGATGGACGAGTTCTACTTCGTTTTGCTACAGCTTATGGATTTCGAAATATTCAAAATATTGTGCGAAAAATCAAGACTGGCAAATGCACATATCATTATGTGGAAGTGATGGCTTGTCCTGGTGGATGTGCAAATGGTGGTGGTCAATTACCAGCTCAAGAACATAATACTGATATGGAACAAGTAATTCCTGTCAAGGATTGGGTTCAGCATGTTGAACAAATTTATCGTTCTATTCCTGGTCTATCTCCTGAAGCCAATGAATCAATCAAAGCTGTTTACAAGTAAGATAAAATATGTTTTGATAGGGAAATGTTTTGGATTTTATTTTAATCATTACTTTTAATAGTGAATGGATTGGAAATGCTTCCAGCCCAGAACATGTATCCAAATTACTTCGAACTCAATACCATGCTGTTACTCAAAGTTTGGCTAATCCGCTTGCTACCAAATGGTGAAAAAAAATTCATTTATATATATATCATCCTGTATCATCCTTGGGAATAATTTATAGTATAGAACCATTCTTATATATATATATATATATATTCATATAGCTGTATAGATAGACCTTTTTTTTTTTTTGTATTTATTCTGTGTCAAAATAAAAATGACTATGTGCTTGGTGCCTTTTTTTTTGTACCATTTCAGTGTCCGCCTTTAGCGCCTTGGACCTTCCTTTTTTCTTTCTTTTTCTCTTTCTTTCTTTCTTTCTTTCTGTCTTTTTTTTTTTTCTTTCTTTCTTTCTTTTTCACTTTTTCTGTTTATATTTTATTTTATTTTTTTACTATTTATATTCCGTACTATGGCAGTTGATTTATCAATGTCTTCACGTATCATGTAGGTTATGACAAAATGAACATCTTCCACCGTTACGATAAAAGAAATACTTATTTCAAGATTTTTCTTAGGCAATTCAATTCTGTTCAAGACGAACTAGATTATTATAGGAACCATGCAGAAAATCTGGAAAACACCTTACAAGAAACCCGGGCAGCTTTAGATGAATTCCAAGTTTCATCTCGCGAACTAGAAGAAGAATTGGAAAAGGAACTTCAAACAACTGAAAAAGCTTACAAGGAACTCAAATCACAATGTGAACGGTCAAGAAGGGATGCTGATGAATGGAAGGTAATATTTTTTTAAAAAAAAATGAATGGGTTCTATAACTAACATTATTCTTCAAAAGTCCAAATTCACAGAGGCAAAACACGAACAAAGTATTACAATGATGCAAATGCAAAGAGAAATTGATATTTTACGTGCAACAGAGGAAATGTTTCGAAAAAAGATTTTGGAATTGGAATTGGATAACGATGATTTGGAACGTACTGAACGGTAAGTTATATTATATATTTGAATAGATAGTTCTCATCTTTCAATTTATATTAGGGCGGCCACTTCGTCATTGTCGGATCTAGAAGTCAAACTCAATAAAGCCATTGAAAGAAATGTCATTTTAGGTAAGATAAACAGATATGCAGAGGGAATTCATCAACCTGTTTCAACTCTTTTCTTTATATAGAAAATGAAATTGCGACAAAGGATAATCTTACTGAACAAACACAACGATTAAAGGATGAACTCAATGGTATGTTAAAAGAGGAAAAAAAAAAAAGATGACAATAGAAATATGTTATTCTTATTTTTGTTTTTGTTTTTTTTTTTTCAGAGGTCAATCAAGAACTAGCGGTATTACGTACCAAATCATCCAAACAAAAAGCATTGATTCAAGATATGGAAACCAAATTGGAGATTGCCAATAAAAAGAGTGATGATTTACAACAACAACAATTGCTTCACCAACAACAACATCATGCTAATGATGATTCCTCACGATCTTCCACTCCAGATAAAACAACTCAATATTATTATGAATCTTATAATCCTAGACGTTCACGTATTCCAAGAAATGGTCCTTCAACTACTACATTATCCTCTGCGAGTACTAATCCTGTTAAGATGGTGCAAGAAATGGTGGGAAGAGTCAGAGTAAGGCAAAAAAAAAAAAGAAACATCAAGGGGGGGATGATTATATATTAAAACACTAACATTTTGTTTGTTTGCTAATTTGCATTAGAGTTTGGAAGCGCGCCTTCAATCATGTCGATCACTGGTCACTCCTTTATTGAATCCACCTCCGTCCTATAGCTCTACCATTCCTTCCAATCAAGATAGCATCATGTCAACCTCAAACTCTAACCCTGGTCCTATGCAATTGTCGAATATCAATGCCCGCCGACCATCCGAGTACATGACATCCCATATGGACATATCTGAAGAATGAACTTCTCATACTATACTCTCTTTATCTTTTATATATATATCTACATATCTTTTTTTTTTATTATTCTTATATATTTATATACAATAAACGTTTTTGACATTATACTGGATGAAAACCTTTAGATCTAATGTGTGTGGGGGGGATATTTATAAATAATGGTATGTATACATTGAAGGATGGTTATGAAATGAAGTTTGTATGATACATAATATACGATGGCTGATATATAATGGATAATGATGATATACGATGACGATGATTAGGATGGATGATACGTGATCAAGATAGGTATTGAAAGTATTGATTATATAGGCAACGACAATCAAATATTTGATCTTTCAAAAAAAAAAAAAAAAGGAGTACTTCATAACCTTTGGTATTCATGATTCGCTTTTCTCCAATCAATGACTTTTATATTATACGATATAGCCGAAAGATATGCCGAAAGTTACCCTATGATTTTCATTTATATTTTTTCTTCCTTTCCTTTGGTGAAAGAGGGATGATTATCTTTTTCTTTTTTACGTGTCAGTATCTGTTTCGATTTGGTTTTGATTCAACTTCGGCATTTGAATTCCTATTTTTTTTTTTTTTTGTGAAAAAAAAAGAGACGCATTTCTCACTGTTCTTTTCTTGGTCTTATTGTTATTTCATTAATGCCTCCTACACAACCACCTAGTGTACGCAATGAATTCATTCAATGGTATAATGATATACCTCCAATCACAAGAACCATGTTGACAATGACTTCGGTGTTTAGCTTAAATGCTATATTCCAATTTGTTCGGTCTGATAGACTTTATCTCATCTGGCCCTTGATACTCCGGAAGTGGGAGGTAAAGAAAAAAAAAATATCTTATGGCACTTTTTAAAACAATCTCACCTTTTAATACTGTTATAGCTTTGGCGTTTAGTGACCAACTTTTTTACATGCCATGTCGATTTAACATTCATATTCAATCTTTACTTTATGTATACCTATAGTGTCAAGTTGGAAACCGAAGTTTTTCAAGGTCAACCTGCTGACTATGTCTATTTCCTTCTTTTCAATAGTGCTATACAATTAGTAAGTTCATTAATTTTTATTTTATTTTGAAATATATAATACTCACTCTCTCTTTTTTTTTTTTTTTTTTTTTTGAAAGCTATTGGACAACTACTTTCAAAAAGTGTTTACTCTTAGTAGGGCAGTTGTACCATCCATTATGTATCTTTGGTCAAAACACAATGCAGATCAAGAAGTTAGTTTTATGTTTGGTTTTCGATTCAAGGTAAAGGAAATATTATGGATAATAAGGAATAATGGATAACATGTCAAGTGAACTCAATATTTTTTTTTTTTTTTTTTGGTGAATATAGGCTATTTTCTTACCATGGGTAGTAGCTGCATATGAATATATTGGTACTAGTGGAATAATTCCTTATGCTACACTCTATGGTATAGCATCATCACATCTTTATTATTATTTTAAAACTGTGTATCCAAGGACGGGAGGACGACAATATTTAACTACTCCTGGATTTTTACAACGATGGTTCCCTCCAACTATTGGTAGTTATCGATCTTCTGGTGTAGGATATGTATGGACAAATAATCAACAACGACAACGAACACAAGAACGAACTAATATCATGGGTGGACATAATTGGGGACGAGGACATAGACTTACATGATCCAATTCTTTTTGATAGTAAAAATATATAGTTTATCTTTTTTTTTTATATTCTTATTTTATTTTGTGAAATAAAACCAGGTATATATATATAATAATTGAAACGTGGAGTTTGAAAAAGAATGTTACTTTTTTTAAAATTGATTGGGGTGAATAAGTAAGTGGTCAGTGAACATTCTTTTAAGGTTCACCAATGGTCAAAAAAAAAAAAAAAAAATTAGAGTGATTGAATCTAGAATGTCTTTGGATTGAAAAAAGGTATAAAAATATATAATGTGACACAAAGAAGTTTATTTCACTTTGATTTGAAGACAGAAGATGTTTATTTTTAACAATCAAACAAATCAGTGTCCCATTTTCTCATTTTTCTTTCCTTTTTTCTTTTCTTTTTTTTTTTTTTTTTTTTTTACGTTTTTTTTTTCTTTTTTTTTTTCTTCTCCCTTTCCTTTCCTTTATTTTATCATGGCTGGTCCTGACGTCAAAGCTGCTACAGTAGATCCTAAAGCTGTATCCTCTTCAGATGCTTCTAATGATATTAGTCCTAGTTCTTCAAAAGACATTACTCCTTCATCAGCATCTAGCGATCCCAAAACAACTCCAACTGATCCGAAAACAACTAGTCAAGACTCAACTCCTAAACCAACTCCAGACCCGACTAGCTCTGATAAACCTTCTGTTATTTCATCTTCTATAGATTCTGTTATTTCTTCCATTCATTCTAGTCAACCTATTACTTCTTCTTCTTCTACTCACTCTGTCATCACTACTTCCAGTACAGTTTCGTCTATGACTTCCTCACTATCTTCAACTAGTACCAATATGACATCATCAAGTATTTCACCCACATCCACCTCATCCAACAACAACAAGAACAATGACAATACAGCTCTTATTGGTGGCATCGTAGGAGGTATTGTTGGCGCAATTGCTCTGATTGGTGTTATTTTTATGTTAGTGAAACGACAACGACGTAGAGCTAGAAGAAAAAACAACAATATGGATGATATTTTCAATTCTGATAATAAGCGTGGATTTGCTCCTATGGATGATTACAACACGGATCATAGTACTCGCGATTTACCACAACAACAACAACAACAGGAACCTCCTATCTCACCTTTTCAACAACCTATCATGTCGCCTATACAACAATCAGCTTATGGTGCTCGTTCTGTCCCTATGCAGCCTTATGCACCTCAATTAAATGATATGACTTTCCATGATGTTACCTCTCCAGTTATGAATTACAGTGATATTGGTATGACAACTGTAGCAACCGATCCATATCATCACCATGACAAATATCAAATACCAGTAGATCATGATCATCAATATAATACGTATGGAGGGGATCAACAAGGTCAATATTATTCAAATGATGCTTATTACAACAATCATCAAGCTGGTGAAGTCTATTATGATCAACATGGACAACCATATCATTATGATCAACAACAGCAACAACAACAACAACAACAATATGATCAACAGTATGGTCAACAATATGATCAACATTACGATCAACATTACGATCAACATTACGATCAACATTATGATCAACAACAGCAAACTTATTATCAGGACCAATTACCCGTTACATCTGACACTCAATCTCAAAGTCCTCATACACATTCACCTACACCAACCGCTGTTCAATCATCTTCACCTCCCATGACAACAAATGGTCAATCTCATTGAATAAATAAATAATAGCTTAGATACAAATATCCTTTTTTGTTTTATAGATATATATGTATTTTAGCATATCTCAATATACACACACACATACACACTTACATATTTATACTATAGTTTTTATTTCCCTTTTTATTTTATTTTATTGTATACTTTATTGAATAAAGAAACCATATATGAATAAATAAGAAAAAGAAAACGATGCCCAAAAAAAAAAAATACTAAATACTTGAATAAATAGAGACTATGATAAACACATAATTCTACAGTTATATATGATTGCATAAATAAAACTATCTAAAATATAATAATAATAATAAAAAAAAATCTATGAATGATCACCCATCAAGTTCAAACCACAAGGATGAGGTTCAGATAGAGGACCAGAGAAAGAAGACATATTGTTAGGACGACCAACTCGGAATAAAACATCAGAATCATAATCACATCGAAGTTCAGATTTGCCTGCACGAATAGCACAAATGGCATTGGATTGACATTGTTCATCACATGGAGGGATTTTGGGACTAGATCGGACACGGTGTCGCCAGTATTTGTTAAAAACTTCTTGATTGTCTTCCATTTCTTCAGTTACTTTGTGCCACCATTCTGGTGTGAGAGGGGAATTAGTAGATGGTAAAAATGCTTTTGATGAATTGTATTCTTGTTTTGCTGAATATTCAATATGCCAATTCTAAATAAATTATAAATCAATTATGATTCCTTTTTTTTTATATATATATATTCGTATGTCACTTACTGGTGAATCCTCCCATGTATTAGATTGATCAAGATCAGCTGTGTAAGTAATAGAATCCACTACCTGAAATGATTGTCTATCTACCTTGTAAATCCTATATAAATATAATAGTAATGTCTAGTTCAAATTACCCTATATTTATAATAATGATTATATCATTTTTACCTGAATGAAGGATTGACGTGGAGATAAGGAGTCATAGAAGGAGCTACATATGCTGTAGAGATAGCATTGGATGCTGTTTGTACCCCATCACGGTAAAATATTTGTAATTCATCCCTTTAGAAATATATATATATAAAGTAAATAATCATATCATTTTCAGTCTTTTCTTTTTTTTTCTTTTTCTTTTTTTTTTTTTTGACTTACTTGTGGGTATGTCCAAAGAATTGACCAGCAATCACATGAGGTGCATATCGTTCCACAATTTGATAGTAATAATTTGAATAGTCATGGAAACAAGTTGAATCACCAGGAGCAATATGACCAATGATCCAAACACGTTCTCCAGCATCTTCAGATTCTTGTAATTGTTGAATTAACCATATCAAAATCCCATTCGGATCCTATTATTAAAAAAAAAAAAAAAAGTTAAAAAACATCCTCATTTCTATTTCTATTGATTAATTATTACCAATTCTGCCGGTCTTTCATATAACCATAAATTCAAAGTATAACAAAAGTTGGTATTCATACTGATAAGCTTCAAACCAGGTAAGGGTCTTGTCACATAACTACCAGTACTCGTTTGTACAGAGAAATTGGGCATATCTGAAAGCCATCCACGCCAATTCTTTGCTAATGATCTATATAACCATTTCAATGAGAGATATTCAAGACCTTTCTCTTGTGGAAGTTTGGTTGACTTGAGAGGGAAATTGTTTGTAGGTGCAGCTTCATGATTGCCAACTGATGGGTATAAGACAGAGTTAAGATGATCCTTGGTATCAAAATGTGTGTGTAGTAAAGCATAAGCATTTTCATGCATACGTTGTGTTTTCATAAAAGGTAAAGTGGACCATATTTCGTGTGGAGGAATATCACCAGTCAGAATTCCAAATTCAATTTCTTTTTCAACCTTTGGAATATGTTTCAACATGGATTCTATCAATTTGAGTGGTGGATCACATGTATATTCACCTATTTGAAAAAAAAAAAAAAGATTCAGTTAGATAGGCTTAATTATGATATGAATTATTTTCATATTTACCCCATTCGGATGCAGGTTTTGTAATATTATTATAATCAGTATTGGCAGCACGACAACAAATAGGATTATCACATACAGCATCAGAATTGACCTAAATAAATAATAAATAATAAAAAAGATGAATTTATTAGTTAGATTCTTTTAACTATGTTCATCCTTCTTTTCTTTTTTCTTTATCTATTTATTTATTATTACTTACTTCATAATGAGGATCCACGTGCCAATCACTGAGTTGAAGAATGGTCATGATTTCTCCAGAAGGTGGAGTTTCCTTAGGTTCTGAGGGTTTTTCTTTGGGAAAAGTGACATTCCAGGGTTCTAAATCAGGATATGGACAGGAATTCGCAACAGCAGCACAAAACAGATGACCATCACGCCCGGAAATTGACATTGTCTAGATAAGGAAAAAAAAAAAAGAGAGAAGAATATGTAAATACTAATAATAACAATAATAATAGTAATAATAAAAAAAAAAGATAATTGTATTTTACCTTGATAACTTTTCGAGCAATAGGTAATTGTTCTTCCATAAGACCTTTACACTATTAAAATAAAGAAGAGAATGAATATATATATTTGTTAGAATGTTGAATTACGATGACTTACAACTTCAGGAGAGACTTTTTTCGTTCGTTTACAAACATTGGTAAGTGTTCGGACCAATAAACTTTCAGAAGCATAAGATAAACTTTTGACAACTTTGAGAGCACTAATACATCCAGTACAAGAGGTAGCAATAGACTTTGCATCAAGCCAATGACGAGTAGTATGATAAAGTTTATCTTCAGCTTCAATATCATTTTGACGAAAACGACTTTTCAAATAATCAAAAGGACTTTGAAGAAAGTGAGGTAAAGCCTCACAAAGTTGAAGTGTTAATAAAACAAGTAATAATGAAAAGCAAAGCTTCATTATTACTACGGAAATAAATATTAGATAATAGATAAGAAAAAAAAAAAAAAGAAAGAAAGAAAAAAAATATAATTCAAAACGACTTCCCTTTTTTGTTTGAAGCCAACCACAATCAGTCAAGATTGGAACGGCGAATGAACAAATGTTTCCTATATGTTTAAAAAATGGTACAAATCATGCGGATATATATATATGATAAAATAATTATGCTTCAAAGAAGGAATATTCAACATAAACCATCCATTAAATCAAAATATATATATACATAAAAAAAAAAAAAAAGAAAACAGTTTTTAAAAAACAAATGATCATCAATGACGTTGAACAACGTGGTAATATCATGCGGTCAAATGATCAAACTGTATATATTTTTTTTTTCTTGGAATGATCCAACTAGATAATTTTTTTTTTATTTATTTATCATGCTTCTTTCAAAGTCAAAAGTCTCTTTGCAAAGAAAAAAAAAAATTAAGGTTAATCAAGGTTTTTTTTTTTTTTTTCTACTGTAACACTTCACTAAGATTGGTGAAGTTTTTTTTAACCAATAAGGAGGAGATCGAATTTTTTATCTTTTTTTGTTTAAATAGAAAAGATCGTCATTTTTTTTTTTTTTTTGCTTTTCTTCTTTTATTATATCTCATTTTTAAACATATATATATATAATAACAAATGGTCAAAGCAGCTACACCTCAAGCAGGTGTTTTCTCTGGTATGAATCCATCTGCATTCAATGCTGCAGATCCTATTGTACTTTTTATCATTCAGGTATCAAAAAAAAAAAAATATCAATGTGATCAATATGATCTTATGCCTTTATTTGGTCTAGTCAACAATTATTCTTATTTTTTGTCGATTACTTGCTATACCACTTGGTTATTTTCGTCAACCCAAAGTTATATCTGAAGGTAATCATTAAATTTAATCAAAAGAATATTTTTTTTTTGACTTTTTTTTTTTTTTACAAAAAAAACAATAGTAATTGCTGGTATCATTCTTGGTCCATCAGTATTAGGTCGTATACCGGGTTATATGGATCACATCTTTCCAACACAATCTCTTCCTTTTATAAATCTAATTGCCACTATTGGATTGGTTTTTTTTCTCTTTCAAGTTGGTTTGGAAGTCGATGTACGCTTAATTCGTCGTGATTGGAAACGTTCATTGGCTGTGGCAGTAGCAGGAATGGCTTTACCTTTTGCTTTAGGTGTGGCCGTGTCCTTAGGTCTTTATAGACTTCAAAATGATTCATCTGTTCCTTTCGGTAGTTTTCTACTCTTTCTTGGTGTAGCTGTTGCTATTACTGTAAGTTTTATATATATATATAAAAAAAAAAAAAAGGAAAGGCTCAATTTTTTTCTTTTTTTTTTCTTGAAGGCTTTCCCGGTATTGGCAAGAATTCTTGCTGAACTCAAATTATTGGGTACAAAAGTTGGTGCTATTACAATGGCAGCTGGACTTTTAAATGATTGTACTGCATGGTAAGGGAAATATGGATATGATTTCAACTTGATTTCATCTTTTTTTTTTCTTTTTTTTTGTTAGGGTATTACTTGCTTTAGTGGTAGCATTACTTAATTCAACTGGTGGTCTAGAAGCTCTCTATGTATTTTTAACAACGGTGGCATTTGCCTTATTCTTGATCTTTTTGGTTGGTCCACTCTATTACAAATTATGCGTATTTACCAATTCTTTTGAAAATGGACCTACTCATTTATTGATGACTGTCACATTGATGATTGTTTTTGTTTCTGCATTTGTTACTGATATCATTGGTGTTCATCCTATCTTTGGTGGTTTTCTTGCTGGTGTGATTATTCCTCATGAAAGTAATTTACCTATTCGAATTACTGAAAAAATTGAAGATATTATCAATATCCTTTTTCTACCATTGGTAAGTTTATCTCATATCATTTTTTTTTTTTTATAAACCGCGATTTCTCAATTTTTTTTTTTTTTTTTTTTGTTTCATTTTTCCCTCTTTCTTTCTTTTTTTTTTTTTTTTTACTTTAGTATTTCACTCTTTCTGGATTAAAGACTCAAATTGGTTTACTCAACTCTGGGACAGTATGGGGTTATGTTATTCTTGTCATTTTTATCTCTTGCTTTGGAAAAATCACTGGTTGTACTTTGGCAGCAAGGTTATCTGGAATGACAACTCGTGAATCCTTTACTGTAGGCTTCCTTATGAATTGTAAAGGGTAAGTCATTCATTCTTTATATATATATATATATATTCTCACTTCTTTTTTTTTTTCTTTAGCTTGGTAGAATTGATTGTCTTGAATATTGGACATGATGCTGGTGTTTTGAATGATCAAGGTAATTCTTTTTTTTTTTTTTTAAAAAAAAAAAAAAGAGAATACGATCCATTAACCTATTTTTTTTTCTTTCTTCTTTTTTTATATTTCTCTTCTAGTTTTCGTCATCATGGTTGTAATGGCACTTGTAACAACTATCATGACAACTCCTTTTGTCATCAAACTCTATCCTGAATGGTATCAAAAACAACAAGCTGCTCTGGCTTCTGATGGTGAATTTTCTACTACTGGTTCTGATATTGGCAAAGTGGATGTCGCAACTACTTCCTATACCCCTCCTACGTTATCTGGAAAAATGGATGATGACCGATTTACTATGGTGACTGTATTGAATCGAATGGAAACTGTTCCAGCAGTAATGGCTTTGATACGACTATTGAAACGCGATGATGATATTGTGAAATCATCTCCTCATATTCACGCTTTGCGCTTATTGGAATTAACTCAACGACCTTCGGATGTGATGAAGATTCAAGAAATGCGGGAAACTCTTCGAATAGATCCTGTACTCAGTGTGATTCGTACTTTTGCAAGTTTGATTGGTATTAGGTTAACTACTTCTTTGGATTTTGCTGCTCCCACTGATTTTGTTAAACGTATCAGTGATCGTTCAGTTTTGGTGGATGCAAACATGGTTCTACTTCCTTGGAAAAGCAAGAATGCAACTCCTAACGAATCAACACTATCAGAAGAAGTCAATCCTTTTGATCGACCAGCAACATCTTCAAGTGGGTTATATCAGTTATCAGATGCCGAATTTGCAACACATGCTTTTACCATTGATCACTGTGCAGTTGGACTCTTTTTGGATAGAGGTTTTGGAAATATACGTGATGATGACAATGTCAGACTTCAACATGCAACTACTTTTCAAATCGTGGTACCTTTTGTTGGTGGAAAAGATGATCGTGCAGCCGTGTTATTTGCATTACGACTTCAAATGTATCGACATGCTGATGTTTTGATCTTGCGACAAAATTCATCAACAAACAACAGCAACCATCATCAGGACAATGATGAAAAGGATATAGGCGATGGAAATATTCGAAGCACATATGCCACAACAAATTCAATTAGGACATGTTTGATGATGACTAGTGATGATGACAAACAACTATTGGATACACTCTTCCCTCTTACCAGTGAAAATGTTCTCAGCACAACCACTTCCAATGTAACATGCAGATTTACTGACGACATATCTGCTTGGTCACTTTTACGTACGGGTAATCCTCTTGGAAAACACGATCTTATTGTTCTTGGTAGAAAACCGGATAGTGCTCCTCACTCTTTACCCACATCTCCAATGGATACCCCTGGTACAGTTTATAGCAAGGAATTCAAGATCGCTTTAGGTTCTTTGGCTTTTGATCTTGTGTCTTCTGGTTCAAAAGCAAGTCTTGTGGTCATTCAAGCTCCATCCAATCCTCCTT